CTTCGGCATCCTGAAAAATTTCAGTTGATACACAATTAATATGCTTCTACTGAGATAGAGGCTGCGTCCCGAGAAATCAACTGAAATTTTTCAGGATGCCGAAGGGGGTTTCGTAGAAGCACCATATTTGGCATCTGAACAATAAAATAGTAAAACTATTAATAATTATTAAAAAGCTAACCAATTCTGGCTGATCTCCTATACGCCTGCACAGAAGCTCCGCCAGGCAGTTGCCTCTAGGCACCCTGATCTCAGTGTGCTCACCCCACCGATGCTTGCAATCTACAACAAGCTGGCACCAGTCCTTAATGCCTATGGTGCCAAGTACAGATTCGCCAAAGACAGCCGATACTATGATGCCAAGGTAAATCCGCTTAAGCATCTGCGTGCATACATTCGCCTATGCCAGCTTATCGAGAATGAGCAGCTTGGCAAGTCTCCCCCTTAATGCTTGCCTCTGCAGACATCATGGATCCCAGGCCATGTGCGCTTAGACAAGCAAATAATCAAGCAGGTGTTTGTTTCGAAAACACGTGAGGAGGTTACCAAGATCAATGCAGCAAAGAGGGCAGCAACAGAGGCAAGGAAAGCAGCAGAAAAGGGCGAAAAATTGGCCAAGAAGGCTGCACGCGAAGCAGCGAAGATGCCATCGGATGCAACAGAGGCCACTGCAGCAACTGCAGCAGTAGCGGCTGATTCACTTGCTGCTGCATCGGCAGCAGCAGCAGACACTGTTGCAGCACTTAACAATGCATATGCACCAGCACCCCCAGTCTGTGCACACGACCCGGTCCAAGGGATCACACAATCTGTGTGGGATGTATGGGGCCGGGTCGCAGATCTAACATCAAAGCCATTTAAGGCGCATGGTGATAGAAAATTCCACGGGATGGCGACAACAGATGGTGTAACGATATGCATTTTGTTACAAGACAAGGTACCTAAGGCTGGTGCTGCAGGAGGCAATGCTGCGGGAGGCAATGCTACAGGCAATGCTGTGGGAGGTGATGCTACAGGCGATGCTGTGGGAGGCGATGCTACAGGCGATGCTACAGGCGATGCTGTGGGAGGCAATGCTACAGGCAATGCTACAGGCGATGTTGCAGGAGGTGGTGCTGTGGGAGGCAGTACTATAGCTGACTGTCACTATATCCACCAGATCCCACAGCCAGAGCTGCAGAATCTGAAAGGTCGCTGTGTATTCATCGATCCAGGTCGGGGCGATTTACTGTATATGATGCACGAAAATAGCAGCAATGGGAAAGAGGGTGAGAGAATGCTCTACCGCTACACACGGCAGCAGCGTAATAAGGAGCTCAAGCTGCGCCACCATGACAGGATTCGTCGGGGGGTACAAAGGATCAAGTCCCAGAAGATGCTGTCCGCAGGGCAGAGGCAGAGCTTTCCAAGCACTGCTGCCGGACCCTTAGCCCAGCAAAATTCCGTGCCTACGTTGCTGCCCGTGCATCTGTGCGGTGTGTCCTAGCACCGTTTTATGCAAACACGATGACAACGCGAAGGTTACCAGAGCAGCAGCCCACTAAGTCAAACAAGCAGCACCAAAGGCGCTGTAAGGACCATCCGGGTGTCGGGACCAGTCCCAAGGTGTACCCACTTCACCGCAAGCTGTGCCTTGATTCATTCATGAACCAGGCCCGTGCAGACCACAGGCTTGCCGCGAAACTCCGGAGCAAGTTTGGTCCAGATCCAGTGCTGATCATGGGCAACTGGAGTGCGCCGATGGCCCGGCACCATGCGCCGATTCGTGGCAAGGGATGGCGCGACAAGTTCAAGCACCATGGCTTTGAAGTCTATCTGATCGACGAATTCCGGACATCGTCGATGTGCCCGTTCTGCTGCGATAAGTCACTGCAGACATTCCGGCATGTTCCCAACCCGCGGCCCTACCAGAGATCGAAGAACCCAACTGTGAAGTGCCATGGCCTTCTCCGCTGTACAAGCGAGTCATGTAAGCGGGCCATGGCACAATACAGGCGAGCCTATTCGTCTCGGCTCTTGAACTGCAATCTTGCAGCAGTTCTAAACTTCAGACTCATTTTCCAGTCACTCTGTGATTCAGGCAGTATTCCTGAACGGTTCCGTCGCTTTACGGCCATTGCTGCCGATACTTCTGGCACCACCCCTGCAACAAAGAACCCGCGCAAGAGGCGTGCAGCAGCAGGCGATTCTGTTGCCAGCAGCAGCGAGCCAGCGCTGAAGCGCCTACGCTGAGCAGGCCATCAAGATGGGAGATGTCCATGATCGCTATTGCACCAACAACCATCCGACACGTTCAAATGACCGGTTCGCCGTGATGCCCTTATCGACGTGTCAACCCATGCTGACTAGCAGCCGAGCTCGCATCGCGAGCAGAGTATTTCTAGTAGAAATAAGAAAAATATAGTAGTATCAATGTGTATAGATGAGTACGATATTCATTGCTATTCTCAAAAGCTGAGAGGTCAGATGGCCGAGCGGTCTAAGGCGCTGCGTTTAGGCCGCAGTCTCCCCGGAGGCGTGGGTTCGAATCCCACTCTGATCAGCTACTTTTTGCCACTGCTCGAGGACGATGTGGCGAGAGTTTTGCCCTGGCTATGGATATAGCGCAACTCTATCCTTTTGTAAAGTATTGATAACGATAATGAAACGGTAGCTATTTTCATGACTTGTTTCATACCTTTTCTCTGGTAATTTTACCCTGTAATTCTTACCTGCGACTAGAAATATAAGGGCCGAGTAAAAGTAAATGCAAACCCTTGTGTAGCCAACACATTTTTGAAGACTGTATATTAATTTTTAGCAGCACTATTGTCTATCTTGCAAGGGTGCCGTTTTCTGGCGCCAATGATTGTGTCTCTAGTCGGAGCATATATGTGCTCCAGATGCGAACGCTGCCTTCCACTTTGCAAAATGAATTCATGCTCAACTCAATATCGAGTTATATGATACACCAATTGATATCAAGTAATGCTTGGAACAAATTTGCATTATATGCTACCTAGGCAAACCTATTAGTTTGGATGTCTAGAATCATTACATATTCCCTAGTTCTAGGATTGTAAATGGTGTAAGCCATGGCAATATCTCAGGTACGGCAAATATGAAAGGGAATGGCTATTCAGAAGGTCAGCATAGTTATTATAGCCAATAGAAATTAGACTATTTGTTAGAACAGAAGTTCAAAATGAGAGCTATGATCAGAAATCCATTCAAAAAAGGATACCGCAGATTGGGCAAAAGAGAAGTGCGTCCGCCGGGAATCGAACCCGGGTCTACTCCGTGGCAGGGAGCAATCATACCTCTGGACCACAGACGCTTTAGTCGCCAATTCAAAGCTAATCGGCCGGCCAATCTCTGATGTTATCGCTCGGCGGGAGTGATAATATGCTAGCAAAGGAGCTAGCGTCGGAAGAGCTCGAACCGGAGCTCAGACGTCGGGGAGAGAAGGTCGGGATTGTAACGGGTTATATTTGGAAACAGGTTCTGAGTCAAGGAATATTCGGGGGCTTGTTGTTCTTGTCTTGTCCTGTCGGTCTGACTTCTCCATATATATGGAGTAGTCAACGAGTGTCTTGGCTACGCTTTAGGTGTAGCATATACGATAGGAATTCCTGTGTTAGGATCCGTAAGAGGAGCATAAAGGGCGGACTTGTTCCGTAGACGAGGCAGTGTACTTGTGTTTATATTGCGAGTGGAACCTTGTGCGTGTGTGACGTTGTCTTGGCCCGGGTCTTGATCTTGATCTTGATCTCGCAGGTGGGCTTCGTCATGTTCATGCTCATCCGAGTTGAGCATAACACTGATCATGTGGTTTTTAAAAGGGATGGTGGAGAGGCTTGTTCAGTGGGTCGATTACCAGCACTGTCTGGATCGGTCATGAAGGACATTGTAGTCGCTCGTCTCGCTTGTCTCACTTGTCTTGCTTGTAACGGTCCTGACTTAATAACTTGGAAAAATTTGTAGAATAAAGCTCAATAAACTGCTTTTAACGAGATTGTATCCTAAAAAGTAGACAATAAAACTTAATGCTGCTTGCTGCTCATGGCTGTATTTATACTCGCTCAGTGGGATGGACTTCGGCAAACGGAGTATACTACATGCTGTTATCGGCTGCCGGGCGCCCGCGGGATAGTGCTCCTACATCTGTATAGATCCGATCTATACATATCGGAGGCCATCCGTTGGTAGATGTCGGGAGTCGGACATATCATATCGAATCCATTCGCGGGAGTCAGCTTGACCCGCGATAGTCAGGGGCGGCTAGCACTGATAGCGGAACAGCGGCAAAAGAACGGAGGTAAAAGAAACAATTTGGTCCAGTTGCTGTGTAACCATGTTGTGGTCCGACCATGGACCGATTATGATATGACAATCATGTGATGTTTAAAAGAGACTAAGAAGAAGCATAGTCAGTGGATCGATTACGAAAGACATAGCTCTTATGCTGAACTAATAGATATATCTAGTAGAGATATATGACAAATATAATCATAGCTTTCTCCCCTAGTTTCACTAATGTGATCTGATAGTGCATAGCAGTGAAATCTTCAAAAATGCTAGCATATAGCATTAGTATTTTTCATTTTTCTTTAGCCTTGAAATCCAAACCTATCTATCCCCTACTAGTAATGCTACTATTAATAATTGAGGTTATATCACCAATCACTTCTATATGACATTAAGGTAAACTAATATAAAATATATTAGTTCATATATAAGCACTATAAATCTTCATTAGTATTGTTGCACACCTGATGCAGTTGTACCTAATGTCGGTATATCAGCTGAATCAGGTGACAGAAATCTAGGTACTAATGAGAGCCCCACTACAGCCTATGATATAGAGGTAGAGTCTAGCCTCTGATAAGTTGCACAGATGGCAGTATTAAAAACTCCCGTATGCAACTTGTCTATTCCCTTTTCTCTCTTTTCTTCAGTATTAAATATACCTTTTATAAATCCCCTATATAGTCGACTGACACAACAGTATCAATCGATTACATATTAGGTATATACATCTCTTACTAATCATAGTATGATGTTTTGGTATTCATATTTGCTTAGATAACAAAAAACAATTATTTAGAAAGTGTAAGAGGCATGATTTAGAACCCATCCTCATTATCACTATCACTGTCGCTGTCACTGTCGCTGTCGCTGTCACTGTCACTATCACTGTCGCTGTCGCTGTCACTGTTGCTATCATTGCCACTATGACTAACAGTATTCTTAGGTTGGTATCCGGCACCAGCCTTCCCTTGAGTTGAAGCAACATTGGTCAGGATGTAGTGCATCACTTCATCTTTGTTTCCCATGAGGTGGATGCTAGGGGTACAAGAAATGACCCTAGGGGCGTCTGTGGGATCAGCCTTAGCAGTCTTAGTGGCATGATAAAGCACATCTGCGGAGACAAGCATCTGCAGCGCAAGTGCAGCAATTAATGAAGGTACAACACGGATCTTCAGCATGCTTGGTAACGATTTCTAGGAGGTGTGTGAAAAGGAAATGCAAAGAGCGGATGCAAGTAAAAAGTATGCAACTGTTTTGCTCTGCTTGAAGGATGTGAGGGGAAATCGTGTTTTATATTTGTTTTTACCATTGCCGATAGCCTTTGTAGACAAGCAAGGAAAGTATGATGTCAGGTTAATATAGCAGGTGGCAAAGTAAAGCAGGTGGCTTGTATTGGTCGGGCACAGTGGTTTTGTCCTTTATTTGGTCACTATATTTGTTCTGTGTCGATTTCCATTTAGAATGTTTGTCTATTGACATCATATTTTCGCTGGCAAAGACCATGTTCAAATACGCCACTGACAGAGCAAATATACATTTGTTGAACGATCGGTGTGTTGGCTGACATGGCGTTGCGAACTGCACACCAGTGCAAAGTGCAGCTATCAATAGTGCTTGCCGTAAATGCTAATCCTTATATATATTTCTTATTTCCGAGGAGTCAGCAATATGAGTATCCCCGATAGTATAGTGGCGAGTACACCAGTCTGTCACATTGGAGACCCGGGTTCAATTCCCGGTCGGAGAGCTTAACTTTTACATTTCCTTTTGTCAGGCTAACGAAAACAATTATTTTTGTGGTGTTTGATGGTAAATCTAGTTCTTAGTTAGCTCAGCGTAGAGGCGGTCAAGAATATCTTTGTAGAGTTTTTTGGCATCAGCACGCTTGATCTTGAGAGTAGGGGTGAGCAGGTTGTTCTCAATAGTGAATGGCACAGACTCAAGGTGGATGTTTTTCGGGATCTCATAGCCCTTCAGGTCGCTCTTGCGACCCCAGGAATTGATGGTGCGGCAGAGGTAGTCGCTGGCGGTCTTATCAGCGCATATATCCTTGAGGTCCTTGCCCTCCAAATGCGCTAGCTCCTTGGACTCAGTGATCTCACGGCGCAGGAACTCTTCGTTGGGAACCATGACACCAACAAGCTGGCTCTGCAGCGAGTCGCCCGTAGACGAATGCCTGGTCAATTAGTGGGCAGTTAGTGATAACGTTCTCGATGCGCTCAGGCGCAACATATTCGCCCTTGCGCCAGCTTGAACATATTCTTCTTGCGGTCGACGATGACGAGGTTACCCAGGTCGTCAAACTGGCCGATATCACCGGTACGTAGGAAACCGTGCTCATCGAATGCCTCAGCTGTGAGATCAGGGCGCTTGTAGTACTGGGTGAAGACGTTGTGTCCTTTGACACAAATCTCCCCGCGCGGGTACGGCATATCGTCAACTGTGTATTCCATCTCGGGCACGCTGACCAGCTTGTAGGCGCAGTTGCCGAATGTGCAGCCGACATTGCCAGCCCTCATTTCTGAGATCACGGTCATTCCACATGGGCCAGTGGTCTCGGTCAGGCCGTAGCCTTCATAGACTGTGGTGGAGAAGGCGATACGCAAGAAATCCATGACGTCGTGAGATATCGGCGCTGAGCCAGAGATGATTAAGCGGATATTGCCTCCAAACTTCTCGCGCACAGACTTGAAAACCAGGACGGTCCCAGAGCCAATGTGTGTTTGTGCCCGACAAAAGGTTACCCTTCTTGGTTGAATAGGCATGGTTGAACAGCTTGCTAGGCGAAAGCCGCCACGGGCCTTGACCTGTGCCCACACTTGGTCGTGGATGCGGTTGAAGATGCGTGGCACGCCGACCATGATCGAGGGTTTCAGGGCGTTGATGTCATCAAGGATCTTGCGGATATCACCACAGCCGTATCCGATGCGGCAGCCGACGCTGGAAATAGCAGCATGCACCGCGCGTTCCAGACAATGGGCAAGGGGGAGAATAGAAAAGTGCGTGTCGCCGGCACCAAACCTTGAGCACCTGTCCAATACGCATGCGCTCCTTGAAACTGCCGACAACAGATAAGAAGTTCATGTGAGACAGAACCACGCCCTTAGGCAAGCCAGTGGTACCGGAAGTATAGCAGATCGTGCATGGGTCATCAAGTCCGGCAGGTGTCTCGGGCATAGGGGCAAGGTCGTCCTGCTTACCAGCTGCCTCCAACTCAGTCAGCGTGAGCACACTGCGATCCTCGGACAGAGAATCGATTGCAGATTTAGCGGACTCGGGGATTTGTCCGTAAGACGCATAGGGTTCTGACCGTCGGGATGTCGTCCCAGATTCCAAGCATGGTGTCGAGTTTCTCGGGAGCAACAAACACAAGACGCATCTCAGTCTCGATTGGCCATGTGCTTGATAGCCTCAATACCCAGGGTGTCATACATGGGCACGCTGACAATGTTGTACATGTACGTTGCGTGCTCAGTAAACGACCATTCGATGCGGTTAGGTGAGAAGATTCCAATGCACTCCTGCGGCTTGATGCCCATCTTGGACATGCCAGATCCAATACACTGCGCCTTGTCCAACACCTGGCGATACGTGAACCATTTGTAGTCTCCAAACGATCCATCACTGGCCACCGGCCGGTGGCCAAGGAACTCTGCGGCCTCGCCGGCATTCTTCATACCTTGAAGAAAGTTCAAGTGCATGTTGGTAATGCCTTCGTCGTTTCGTGGCAAGAGTACCATCGGTGCGATTGGCAGCGATACGCGGCTTAGTCTCACCCGCAATTGCTGGCGAATTCAGGACCTCAATCGATGAGAGCGCGGTCGGGTACATGGTTGTGCAGGGTACTTGTGCTCGAAAATGGAATTAGTGGCTACAAGATGGGAGGTAGAGCAAGTATTTAGATGGACCTGTGTGCGTGTGGTGTATTTGCAATTGCATGGGCGCACAGGCTGCATGCTAGTGCATTGTGAGCAGTGATAAAAATACTACAGCAGCCAGAAATATATGCAAGGGGGTGTTCCAGTCATGATCCGGCTTGGGATGCATTAGGTGCTATCCGGAAGGAAGAATACTCGCGGAGCAGCCTTTTATGTGTATTGGGCTGCAGAAGATGGGGACCGCCTATCTGCAACGGCAGGATAGACCATAGCTTTGGCATGAAGGTAGACCTTAGTATGAATTCCGTTGCCCTTACCTGAAACGATACGCAGCGTAGTATAGGGAGATAGAAATATAGAGGAAAGAGAAAAGGCTGCGAAAGGAGAACTTGTGTTTGCAAGACTGGTATGGTTCGTTGAGCCGGGCTGCCTGTTCAGCTTTTATTTGGAAACCAAGGGAGATGATTGCCCAATCCCACCGAGCATTGCCAGAGGAGGTGGTCTGTTGAACGTGGTAAGCAAAAATATTTTTGCCTCCCTCTTTGTCGATCCATCCGCATCAAGCTAGGCAGTAATTCCAACCGCAATTGGGATTTGCCTGCCAGCAACACCCCGTATACAGGCATCGAAAAAAGAAGAACGTTGCATTTGGCTTTGTTTCCAGCTCCTTCGCAGCATATTCTTGTCTGTGGTTGTACAAGTGTACGAATAGGTATTTTTTTTGCTTACAGGTAAGGTAGCCGTCGCATTCTACAGGGCGTGTAAGCTGGTAGCATATTCGTGCTCGGTGGTCTTATTTTTTAAACAGCCACGCCAATGCTCATGGCATAAAGAGAGCGAGTTAATACAAAGCATTGGCCGTATATTCTACAAACAAGTGTACCCCATACGCGTTTGTCACCGGGCCATACTACTAGTGGCATGGGCTGCAAAGGCATGTGCCAAGGACATGTAAACGCTTCTCGCATTGAGTATCTTTGCTTGGTCCATCAGTGATTGATTATATGGCACTAGCATCCCCCTCTCATGCGGTATCCATCAAGGGGTGCATCTAGATGCCCATTAAAGGTGTCTATTCTTTCCCTAAAAGCCGTGTGGCCTGGGGATGATGGACATTACGTTGCATGGATCAGGCAGTGTCTGCATATATCTGGGGCAAAAACAGTGTGCTCAATCTTGTTAAAGATTCTTTCACGTGAACAGTGCAGCGAAAAATGCGTGTGCACAGATCTGTCGGTCCACGCGGACTGTTTCGGGGAGCCGACAAGGATAAACAGCCGGTATGGTTGCTATGTACTGCTTGATTCAGCTGCTTGCATTGAAAGCGGAATCAGCTAAAACGAGCGCTCTTAAAACAAGGTGATGAAAAGGAGGATCTAGTGCCATGTATTGGCTGTTTGAAACCAGCAAACGTATCATGGATAGACAAGTAATAGTGTGCATTCAACTAGCCTCAGCCTGGTTCTTCAGAGCAGGCCTGGCAGTACCGATTGTTTGCACAGTTTGAGAGTGAGATATAGGATAAATCACGTGTTATTGCGCAGCGACCCTTTTTCCTGCCTGTGGAGACCAGAAACATATGGCCAAGTGCCGTTTGCGCCCTCTCACAACTTTTGAAAGCTATCATCGTCCATACCTTTTGCATTAGTCATGTCGCTTCAATTAACACACGAGTTGCTGCACACGTTTCTAACCACAGCCGAAAAAAACGCACAAGACACGTTAACAGCAACTGGCACGCTGGTTCCCTTTGTGTTTGCTCAAAAGGCACAGCTTTGGTACATTCCGGCGACTGTCAACCACCCGCTGCGCAGCGCGCTAGGCCTCACAACTGCTATGATTCTAATCAGTGCACACGCCGACAAACAGAGGCCGATCAAGGTGCACCGTGTAAGCAACGTGATCTGCGGCGCTGAACCACTCATGAGCTGGACACCGCTCGCTGGTGACGACAGCGATGTGCTAGCCGTGTCGGAGTACCAGTACCAGTGGGGGCAGCCGAAAGATTGCGCCACTAGAACGCGACCAGGCGCGGATGCTGACAGCGCAGTATGCACAGATCCTGCCGGAGATCCATGGTCAAGGTGTGCCGATGGTGGTGTGGACGAAGCCGATCGAGCAGGCATTGGGATTGCCATTTTACCTTGTAGTGTTTCAGCCAGGCAGTCCGTCAGAGTTTGCCAGTGTTGTGGCGATCAAACAGACAGGGACTAGGGGCTGCAAGGGGAGAGGTTGTTGTTAGGGAGATAGCTGACAACGAGGTGGGTAGGGTGCAGCAGTGGGCAGAGTACGATTTGCTAGGATCACAGCTTCTGGGAGATGAAACAGCGGTACTGGGAGGCGATATGGCTGGGGATATGCTGCCAGCTTCGTTTGTCACACTGCGCGGGATCTGGGACATGGATACCAAAGGTCCATTGGCGGTCGAGCTACCGCCTGAGCCCCCAGCGTCCGCGCAGATGGATGTTGGAGTTGGTCAGCCTGCCGCTGCTAGCCGAGCCTGAGCCTAACAGGTCTCTGCAGGCACTGTACATGGAGATTACTCGTCCTCGATTCCCTGTGCGCAAGCTGGGCGGCAGGCAAAAGGTGGATGGAGGATGCCGGCACATTCCGGCCACACGTATGGCAGCAGGAGATCAAGAGGGACCTGGAGCCGTTTGCTGATGAGGACCAAATCGCAAGGGAAGAAGGATACGAGGCGGCAGACAGATTGGCAGAGCACCGCGAAGCGTTCGGCCAAAGGGTGGACGAATTCATCGAGGCGTCAATCAAGGACCCGCGCGGTACCGCGATGTTTAGTCGGCTTGGTCGCACAGCACCCCGGCACAGCGCCAGCGGATTACCAGAGCGCCCGGACCTCGATTTCACCGAGCGGCTCTGGAATATAGCCCATTTTGCGTATGACTCGAGCGATCTGTCAGAGCTCCTGACTGCTGTGGCTGAGGGCCTGGAGACAGGCAAGCTGCAGCCGTATATCCAGCACACGAACCAGGCGCCGTTGGCGCAGCTAATTAAGGAGACACTGAAGCTGGCGCAGCAGAAGAACCTGATGGACGCAGACCAGGAGCACGAGCGGCTGGCGCAGCAGCTGGATCTGTGGATCGACGAGCAGCCGCAGGACGCGTTAGTGGCGGTGGGAGCGCAGAAGCTGAGGAACGATTTTTGGTTCTACTTTGTCAATGGCCAGCTGGCGACGCCCAAGCAGATGTCGGTGTTTTTGGACATGGACGTGGAGCCCAAGGAACTTGTGAAAAGGTTCTGGGTGCTACTGCGGATCATGGAGGTGTGGTGGCTGGTGCAACAAGGTGTGCCAGGGCTACCGAGGCACTACGTGTGCCAGGTGATTAGTGCACTGATTGAACATTTCGGCGCTGCATTAGATAGTGAGGCGGCATATGGGGAGGCTCTTAGAGTGACACTGTTTTTGCCCGTGTATGCGACTGAAGTGCAGGAGTTTGTCGGGGCAATTGGCGAGGGGTTCGATCCGACACGGTACACGATAGTGACGCAAGAGCCAGGCAGGAGCAGGCTGGTGGTTCTAACAAAAACGGCTGGCATGCTAGGGTCAGCATTCAATGCAGACGAAGTGGTGGCGGCGGCGGGGATTCTGGAGAGCGGGGACGAGGCTATATTTGATGATTACGCCGTGTTTGAGGCCAAAGTGTTTTAAGAGAACATGTAGATTCTAGTCCCAATGTCGGTAATGAGCCACTGGAGGCCATCCAGCAAGTTCTCGCCAGTGACTGCGCTACATGGCTTGACATTCCAATGGTGCGTAGTGTGCTTGTCCAATTCCAAAGCCTGCTGAATTTCGGCCGAGGACATTGCACCATCGATGTCCTGCTTGTTCGCAAAAACCAGCAAGGATGCGCCTGCAAGCCTGTCTTCCTTCAGCAGGCCCTGGAGCTCCTTCTTGCAGTCCTGCATGCGCTGTCTGTCAGCAGAGTCGACAACCCACACTATACCGTCGGTCTGCTCAAAGTAATTGCGCCAGTAGGGCCGGATGGTGCGCTGGCCGCCAATGTCCCAGAAATTGACAGTGTATGTGTCGAGAGTGAGTGTGGAGATGTTGAAGCCGAGGGTGGGCGAGATGTCGTCGATTGGCTGGTTGTTCATGCGCTTGATGATGGTGGTTTTGCCGGCATTATCGAGGCCGAGCACCAGCACGCGCACCTCTCTTTCCTTCTCGCGGAGTTTCTTCAATATCGACAGTAGCCCCATATATGTGGTTGATGGTATGTATTGGGAAGCGAGCGATCTGCTGGTAACGGATACGGGCCAAGGTAGTTTTTCGTTTTCTAGGAAAATCCCTGGAAGCCGTCTAGGCTGTGATCACAGCATGTGACGGGTCACATAGTATGGTGCACTTGCAGGCACTATCTGGGCTTGAAATGAGGTGGCGGGGCACAACGTTGTAGAAAAAACTTTGACACGCTTTTTCCCTGTGGTCTTTTTCTTTTTCTTTTCTTTCTCTCGTGCTGTAAGGAACACCTGCCCCCTTTTCTTCACATTTCAACAATTCTTCTTTTGTCCCTTTCTATTCCACACCGGGTTCAGTAATTTACTCTCTGCACCATTGCGTGGTTTTTTATTGTTTCAATTTCAATGGAGAACGAAAAGGCGACGTCAGAGCATGAGGCCGAGAACAACGGCACGTACGGGTTCGTGCAAGGGCTAACGAACGCAACGCAAAACATGGGGACGTCGATCCAGGGGATGCAGCAGCAGTTCCTGGACAACATGCAGCGCGCGGTGCAAGTGACGGTGACGCTGAACAAGATGATGGAGGAGCTGGTGAAGCGGTCGATCCAAATCGGCGTGGTGGCGGAGGCCTTGGCAACGGAGCAGCCAAGCACGTTGCTGAAGATCAACGTGACGAACCGGTCGCCGATCCCGCTGGTGGATATGCGGGTGAAGCTGTGGTTTGAGACTCTGGCGGGCGAAGATCCGGTGCATCTGGTGATGCAGCAGAACGAGAAGGGCCAGCTGCTGTTTGACGACACGGAGAAGGAGACGAGCCCGGAGCAGTTCACGGTGTCGCAGCTGGTGACCCTGGGCAGCTCGCAGCTGGTGGCCGGGGCGGTGCGCCTGGAGCTGCCCCGGCTGGTCAGGCTGCGCGGCAGGATTGCGGTGGAGTTTGCGTCGCCTGGGTCTGGCAGCTCGCTGGGAGTGGCCAAGGAGTTTGGGGTGCATTTGCGTCATCTGCTCAGCCACCGCTTCCTGAATGCCACCGAGGTCGGGATGGAGTTTCCCAAGGCTGCTGGGCACTATCTCGAGGGCACAGTCAGAGTTGGTCTGCTGTTTATCAGAGAGGCGTTTGGCGTAAGCCCTGCGGCGGGCATCCCGGTGGGCTCTGCCGTGCTGTTCAACGTCGAGGAACGGCCGGCGCTGCTGCTGTGCATCACGCATGAGGACGGCAGCGTGGCCGAGTGCCAGTGGGCAGTCATCGAGGAGGGCGGCTATACCGACGAGCTGGTAGTTGCATTGACCGGAGAGGTCGCCTACAAGGAAGGCGCCGCCAGCCGAAGCATAGCTATCTTTTCTTCTATTAGCTCCAGCACCAACCCCTGCAATATCCCATCACTCATATCAAGGTTTTTTTTCTAGTTTTGGTAAAAAAAAGTCTATTGTTTTTTATTCTACGCAGGCTGCGCACCCTTGCGCTTGGACAGCAGCGCAAAGACTCGCACGACCTGCAGCGTGAACGACTCCTTGATCATCAGCATCAGGGCCTGTGTGATGACAGCCTTGATGATCTGCGTCTGCATGCCCTTGTAGAGACCCGGGATGCCCTCGCGGCGCAGCACTTTCTGCAGGACGTCGGCCGAGCTCTTATACACGACCTCGTCGCCGCTAACCGCAAGCTCCTGCTTACTGGGCCGCCACTGCAAGCGCACCTTGGCCATGATATACGGATATGTGACCACCGTGGCCAGCGTCTTGGCTAGCGCGCCCACCCAGAAGGCCTCGCCGGACGACAAAAACTGGTCGGCGCGGTCCTTGGTCAGCATGCCCTTGACGCGCTCAAACACGCCGTAGGTGATGGCCGGATTGGAGCACAGAAGCATGGCTGGGCGGAAGCCGGCCCATAGGCCCTGGACGCCCTCGGTCCGGATGATCTCCCGCACGGTGTCGGTCCAGTGCTGGCGCTCGGTGTGGTGGGCCGGTCTGCTGGCGCGTCGCCACCACGCCGATCGGCAGCGTGATCAGCTGGTTCACCATGCCCGCCAGCGCGCCGATAGTGAGCTCGGCCACCGTCGACAATGTCTTGCCGCCCGACTTGGCCAGTGCCTTGAGCGCGATTCCGCGCACCACGCTGTATGCGTAAAAGTACACAAATCCGTTGATCACTTGGTTCACCAGGTTCGTTACCAGGCCGGCGTACAGCCCAGACAGGCCCTCGCGCTGCAGAATCTGCTTCACCGCGTCTATGGGGCTTTTGTACGACTGCGTGCTGGTCTGCACTTGCATCCGCGTCTTTATTCTATAGTGATGGATGCAGTGCTTTTTTCATGTGTCAGTCTTCAGCTGGATCAGCCATGGGTAATCACAAGGAAAACGGTAAATGCATTGTCATGTGAGGGGAGGGACGCCAGCTAAAAGGGGGTTTGTTGCAACTTACGTGTCGAGAGGGTAGATGAGGAACAGCGCCAGAGCTGAGCTGCCGGCCCCAGCGATCGCATGGCCGACCGGAGGCAGGGATTCTTTCGACAGCGACATTGTGGATAGAAAAATACGAATCGCAAGAATAAAAAAGTACAGGGGAGGGCGAGATGTATGTTTCTGGAAATACGCTTATGGACGACAAGCAAAGGCCAGCAGTAACGAGGGGGAGCGTGCGTCGGAGAAATATGTGAAAAAGCGAAGAGGAAGGTGTATAAACAGAAAAAAGGCGGTTCCAAGAGACGAAAGGAAATGAAAAAGAGGAGGGCGAGGAAAAATGCACAAGCACGAGCTTTCTATACTCTCCGAAGAGGCGGCCCTCAATGGGGTGGGTCGTCTGTCTTATTGCAGGTTTATCGGGGGGATCGGAGAGCGAGGAAATTGGCTTGTTCACATGCGTTTATCATCTGCCAAGTGACTGCTAGCAAGGACCCGGATTGCATCCGCCATGCAAGAGTTTTGTATTCTGCGGTTCCTTTGGAAGTCCGAGAGAGGGCGATAAAGAGGATCGCATTCCTCTTTTGTGCTTGCCACACGGAGCATTAGAGTGACTTTTTAGTCCGGGGCCGGACCACGCAGGTTTTTTTTCCATGGGGCCAGGCGGATTAGAGCAAAGGCAGCACGTGATATTTAATTCTCGCATCGCTTGATCTTCAGTTGCATTGTGTTTTTGGGCTACTGCTTCCAGGTTGGCATATACGCACATGCACGGCGCTGGCCAGTATATATATTATCAGCTTCCAAGAGGGTGCTGACCACCGTAGGTAGTAAGCGTAAATTATGTAGCGATATTTCGGTGGCGTGAGGGGTGTCCACATCGCCGACTGCCAAAACGACGACGGTAGGTTGTCCAAAGCATGTCTCCAAAAAACTACCCTCATCTCCCTTCACTAATCCCTCCAAGCACACCATAAACAACAGGATACCAATGAAATACGCAATAACTATCACAGCGCTTCTCTCGCTGGCATACACGGGCACATCCGCCTGCGTCTCAGGCACGTACCGGTGCGCACAGAAAAGCGGGCTGGCCGCGCAATTCCTGCAGTGCGCCAACGGCAGCGAAATTTCCATGATGTGCGGGCCCGGCACAGTCTGCTACTCGCAGGGAAACAGCATTATGTGCGGGTTTCCCGTAGACACGGCAAGCGAGCCGGCCACCGATAAGGGGCTGGTGGCGGGCGCACAGTGCCAGGCATTGTCGCCGTGGGACGAGTATGTGTGCCCAGGGGAGAGCGGCGTCCCATGCGTATTTCCTCAGGTGCGTCAGTGGCAATTACATACATTTTAGCTGTCCGCCGGGCACCGGTGTGTATTAAGAGCAAGGGCAGCAGTATGTACTGCGGGTGGAAGGGCGATGGCGGGGCACTGGCTGGGTCATCGGCTAGTAGCCTCCCAGCCGGCTGAGAGTACTTTATCTGGGAGTACCTCGGCTGGGGCCACTTCGGTCGAGACTACTCCGGTCGAAACTACTCCAGCTGAGACCACTCCGGTCGAGACTACTCCAGCTGAGACCACTCCAGCTGAGACCACTCCAGCTGAGACCACTCCAGCTGAGACTACTCCAGCTGAGACCACATCAGCAGAAATACACTTTATCCTGATACTGTCGGCAGCTCGTCTACCAGTGACCCGTTCGGTACCCTCTTCCCGACCCGCCACTTCCTGACACTGTGCTGCCCTCTTACAGTGACACAACTGGCGCCACACCAGACTTGTCGTCAAACCTGACATCTGACATTCTTTCGCCAACTGCCTCGGACGGCCGAGCCCACAGACTTGACCACCACGGAACCCGCTGCCAGCCCTGCGACCCACCGATCGACACACTGGCGAAGAAATTCGGGCTCTCGGGGCAGCTAATCTCGCAGGGCCTGCAGATGGTGCTTGCCAACGGCATCCATCTGCCAATGCCCCTGCCCAACATTGAGCTGCCGGAGATCAACCTGGCGTCGGTACATCTGCCGGACGTGACCCTTGCAAGGAATTGCAGTCACGGGTCTGCATTTGCCCACGATCACCATACCGTCGCTCAATCCAGCCAGTTTGACGAATTTCGCGTATATCGAGGGCATTCTGAGCAAGGCGCATATGTCGTTTGACGATATTGCCAATCTGCCGTTGCCGGACCTCGAGAGCATCAGCCTGCCGAACATGGGCAGCCTGAATATCGGCAATCTCATGGGCATGATGGGCGGCGGCGGGCTGGGCAACGTTGTGCGGAACGACAGTACGGCAAGAGCCGCAGACCACAACGCTGGGGCAGGACGAAATCATCAATGCCATCGGCATCTCCATGATTACCGATACGTTAAACCACTGAGCTACTTTAAAAAAAACCGAAAATACATTTCATTTATTCTCATCCAAGTACTCGGTTCATTACCGCCAGGACCTGCGTCGCCAGCTCCTCCTCGCTCCACGCCCAGGAAATTGTGAGGGCTGGCAATTCAGCAGTCACTGGAGCCGGCCGATGCCAGAACACGCACGGTTTTGCCAACATTGACGGCGTCGTCAAGCGTGGGCTTAGTGGCAGGGTCAACCGCCAGCAGCTCGTTGATAGCCACCAATGCAGCGCGCGCGGGATCGGCGTCCTGGGCCAGCCCCAGGCGCAGCGCCAGCCTTTCCGCATCGAAGACGCGGCGAGTGGTGAACGCAATCTGGTGCACGGCCTGGTGGGGCGCATTGGAGTCCTCCAGCGACACCTTCTGGGCCAGCTCGTCCAGAGCGAACTCGGATGGATCCAGCAAACGTGGGCGGCCCTGGCTGCCCAGCACCAGAATGCCCTGGACAGGCACGGTGGTGATGGGGCGGGGAGGTTTCCGGCGCTGTTCGGTGGCCCAGGCAGCCTGGAACAGCTGGTCGGACATCAGCGCACGCACGTCCCGGCCAGTGGCAATCTCCAGCAGCTCGCCGTTGGCCGGGTCGTAGCAGGGGCAGGCGAACTCGCCCATGATCTTGGACTTTAAATATGTCATGCGGCTCTTCTCGCCATGCACCAGCACCACATTGCGCGGCGCCGCCTGGCGGATCAGCTCCATGATGCCCTTGGCGTCGGCGTGGGCCGAGAACGACAGGTTCTGCACGTCAATGTTGACGTGCACCTGCGAGTACTGGTCAATATCCACGACCTTCATGCCGCTCAGCACCTTGGCGCCCACAGTGCCGGCCACGCAGTACCCGGGCATAATCAGCATATTGCGCTCGTCGGGCGCCCACTTGCGGAAGACCTCCAGAGATGTGCCAATGTGCAGCATGCCGGGCGTGGCGAAGCACACCATGGGGCCGGGCAGGTCGGCGTAGTCGCGGTTCCACGGCTTGATGTACTTGAAGTCGAACGGGTTGCGGTCCACAAACGACTCCTTGACCTTCTGGTTGGTCCAGTTAATGAACAGCTTGTAGAACCGGTTCGCCTTCTCCGTCAGCCCCGCAGAGAAATACACGGGGGCCGTCAGACCCATGCGCTCCCAGTACGTCTCGATCAGAATGCACAGCTCCTGCGCCCGGCCCAGCGCAAAGCACGGGATCAGCACTTTGCCGCCGCGCTGCACGCACCTGTGGACTTTCTCCAGAAAGTCCCGCTCACGTGCGCGCTTCGAGTCGCGGATGGTCGTGCCGTACGTGGTCTCGGTGATCAGGACGTCCGGGCGCACGCGGTCTATCCATGCAGCGCCCAGATGCCTATCCGGCGTCATGTTGTAGTCGCCGGTGTAAACCACGCTCTCGTTGCCGCACCTCGCATACACCATCGCCGCGCCCAGCACGTGGCCGGCATAATACGCGCGCAGCTCCAGCTCGTCATCCACCCACACGGTCTCATGCAAATGCAATGGCACCACTTTTTTCATGCAGTCCTTGATGTGCTGCGATGTGAAAAAGCCGGTCTCGCCCTTGCGCTCCACCGTGATCTTGCGGTAGTCCTCCAGGAGTATCGGGCAGATGGCCTTGGTCGGCGGCGTCATGTAGATGGGCCCGTGGTAGCCACGCTGCTCGGTGAAATGCGGCAGTGCCCCGCAGTGGTCCAGGTGGAAGTGCGTGATCACCACTGCGTCGATGCGCGATGTGAAGTCGCCCTCGGTCGTGATGTAGTTGAAGTCGGGGAATCGCCGCTCGTCGTTGTACCCCATGTGCATGCCGCAGTCGAACATGATGGTCTTGCTGCCCAGCGTCACCAGCACGCATGACCGCCCGACGTCCTGTCCAGCGCCCAGGGGAACAATTTTCATGGCTAATGTGTATGTGAAGAATGCAAGGCCTTGGAAAGCAGCTTGTTATCCAAGCAATCTCTCCAGAAGCCCAGTCATCCTGCTTGTTTGTATTTTTGCCATTGCGATCACGGGCTTTTGGGTGCCACATGTGCCAGGGGGGGGGGAGTGATGGTTGGTGGGCTTATAAATGCAAAACTTGCTATTGGAAAGACATTTCTGGCTACTTAGAAATCAAGATCCAGGGTCGGCACAGCGTTGGTCTTGTAGTACTCGATGACCTTGAGCGCCTTGGTGGCAATGGTCTCGGGCACCAGGCCGAACTTCTCGTACAGCTGCTGGTACGGGCCCGAGGCACCAAAGGTGTCAATGCCAATCGGGTGGTGGACGTACTTGTGCCAGCCAAAGGTCGACAGGGCCTCGACGCTAATCGACGGCACGCCGGGCGTCAGCACCTGGTGGCGGTACTCGGCCGGCTGCTCATTGAACAGCTCCAGGCACGGCATCGACACAACCTTGACGGTCAGCCCGTGCTTCTCCGCCAGCAGCTTGGCCGCATCCACGGCAATCGACACCTCCGAGCCCGTGCCCACCGCCACCAGATCCGGCTGAGCGGCCGCACCGTACGTCTTGAGGTGGTAGCCGCCCTTCAGGGTGTTCTCGATCGACGAGCCCTCCAGCTGCGGCAGGTTCTGGCGCGTCAGCGACAGCACCGACGGACGCGTCGCGTGCGTCAGCGCCGCGTAGTAGGCGCCAGACACCTCATTGCCGTCGGCCGGGCGGAAGTTCAGGTAGTTGGGCGTCGCGCGCAGCATGGCAAAGGTCTCGATCGGCTGGTGGGTCGGGCCGTCCTCGCCCAGACCAATCGAGTCGTGGGTCATCACGTACAGGACGCGGAAGTGCGACAGCGCCGACAGACGCGTGGCTCCGGCAGCATACGAAATGAAGTTCAGGAACGTCGACGCAAACGGAATGTTCGCTCCGTACGCCGCAATGCCGTTGGAAATCGCCGCCATGCCGTGCTCGCGCACACCGAACCGCAGGTACCGGCCCGCGTAGTCGCCCAGGCCCGTGGCCGCCGGCTGGAAGTCCACCGCGTCCTTCCACCGCGTCAGGTTCGAGCCCGTCAGGTCCGCCGACCCGCCGATCAGCTCCGGCAGAACCGGCGCCAGCGCATTGATCACACCCTCGGACAGCTTGCGCGTCGCCACAGCCTTGTCTGCCGGAGTGAACGAAGGCAGCGCCTTCTCCCACCCTTCGGGCAGGCGGCCCTCAATGCGACGCACCAGCTCCGCATGCTCCGCCGGGTACGCCGACGCGTACTTGGCCAGCAGCGCGTTCCACTCGGCCTCGGCCGCAGCGCCCAGAGCAGCGCGCTCAGCGTACTGCTTGGTGACCTCCGCCGGCACCACGAACGACTGCGCCGGGTCGAACCCGAACAGGGTCTTGACTGCGCCCAGCGACTCGCCGCCCAGAGGAGCGCCGTGCACACCGGCAGTGCCTGCCTTGGCAGCGCCAAACCCGATCGTCGTGGTGACCTTGATGATCGTCGGCTTGTTCTTGACTGCCTTGGCCTCCTCGATGGCGCGCGTCAAACCCTCCAGGTCGTTGTCGCCGTCGGCCACCTCCAGTGTATGCCAGCCATACGCCTCGTAGCGCTTCAGCACATCCTCCGTGAAGCCCAGCTGCGTCGAGCCGTCGATCTGGATTCCATTCGAGTCATACAGGACAATCAGGTTGCCAAGCTCGAGGTGCCTATCAAGCCAGATGCTGTCAGTGATTGGTGAAAAAAGATGCGACCGGCTGGCCGCAGGAACAGGGCTCGGAGAAAATAAAACAAAGCGCCGCTTTTCTAGCCGCTTTGCAAGAATGGATCACCGGAACACCCATTCTGCTGATATGAGTAATTACAAGCAAAAAATTTTCCTCCGCTACTTACCCAGCAAGCGAGCTGGCCTCCGACGCAACGCCCTCCTGCAGGCACCCGTCGCCAGCAATAGTGTACACGTAGTTGTCAATGAGCGGGAAGCCCGGCTTGTTGAACGTGGCTGCCAGATGGCGCTCGGCAACAGCCAGACCCACTGCGTTGGAGATGCCCTGGCCCAGCGGGCCCGTTGTGACCTCGATACCGTCAGTATGCGTGTTCTCCGGGTGGCCCGGCGTGACCGAGTTCAGCTGGCGGAAGTTCTTGAGGTCATCAAGCGACACCTTGTACCCCATCAGGTGCAGAAGCACGTAGTGCAAAGCGCACCCGTGCCCGTTCGACAGCACAAAGCGATCACGGTTCAGCCACTTGCTGTGCTGGGGGTTGGCCTTGATGAACCGCGTGAACAGGACGTGCGCCATCGGCGCGCACCCCATCGGCGCTCCGGGGTGTCCAGAGTTGGCAGCCTGGACCATGTCCGCGGCTACAACGCGGATCGTGTTGATGGAGGTCTGGTCAATGTTCGACATGGTTTCCTGACGAAAATGGCTTGTATGGAAGTTTAGAAAGAAAAAAAGAGTACTTGGTTGTTGTGTGAGCGAACTAGAGAAGCAAGAGCTAGTAAATCCGAGAGAGAGGAAATTTGTGATACTGATAAAGCCACCGCCGCTGCCGCCCAGTTACTTGCCTTTTAAACGGATCAGGGGTGGTGGCAGCTTGACCATTATTAGCATCAGTGTTAGCAGGCGATTAGTCAAAATCATCACCAATCGGCCCCTCACGCTGACAAAGGCGGCTCGTTTTGGAAGCTAACCCGCATTACTCCGTCAGCCAGTACCACGTAGGCGGAAAGGAGGGCCGATGTTTCTCAGAGCACATGCAGAGTGGTGGGTGCTGAGTAATGCTGATTCTCTGCACCTGACATGCATATCACAGAATCACGAAATGTAATTGGGAACCTACCGGCCAAGCATATGCTTTCCCCTTGGTGTCAACCGACCACACCACCAACCCCCACCGGGTCACCGTTGATTTTCACAACAAGCTCGGCTGATCACTCGTACGCGAAGACATCCTGCAAAATGTAGAAAGTGACTGAATTTGCGCTGTTTGTCGATACCTCCCTTTGCTGTTCTTACGAACTGCATACTTATTTGTATCCCTTCCTATGGATCTTCGCAATAAAAAGGCGAACAGAAGATAAGCGGGTTGGTCGTTCGCGGGGTTCAAACCTTTGGTCCGTATAAAAATAATGTCTCCCTCACATCCGCTGTCTGTTCACATATAGCTTTCGTTTACTGACTATTTATTGATGCCCGCATTAAGCTCCTAATGACAGGACGCTCAACTCCCCACCAGGACATACCTGTCGACGATGCGTCCGACGCTACCATAGCTCAAACCGACGAGATTATGAAATCGTACCTGCGCAAAGTCGACCTGCGCATTGCGGCGTTCCTCTGCTTTGGCTACGGATCCGTGCTTCTGAACCGCTCTGCAACCAGCTTCTCCAAGATCCAAGGCATCGAAGCCCAGCTCGACATGCACGGCACCCAGTACAACACATTGCTTGCGTTATTCTACCCGACCTTTCTGTTTTTCCAGCTGCCGTTGAACCTGGTGTATCGGAAGATCGGTGCCCGCATGTACATCCCAACAATGCTGTTCTGTGCCGGCACATTGAGCGTATGTGTGCTAGCCGTGCATTCGTACTCTGGCATGCTGGTGATTCGCATTCTCGAGGGACTCTTCCAGGCGGGGTTCTGCTCGGCTGTGTTCTTCACTCTCTCGCTCTGGTACCCGCGCCAGTACCTCGCCACACGCACTAGCTGGGTAATCAGCTCTACATGTCTGGCTGGCATCCTGTTCTCCGCCTTCAGTCTCGGCCTCTCGAAGCTTAACGCGCCAGCACCCATCTACTCCTGGCAGTACCTGTATTTGCTGGTCGGCTTGCTGGCCTGCGCTTCAGGTCTCTTTGGTTTCGCCTTTATCCGTGACCATCCGGACACTGCCAGCTTCCTGAATGACCAGGAGCGCACCTTCATTGCTGAGGTCATGAGCAAGAGCGACTTGCAGGCGAGCCAGTCGAAGAAAATATCCGGCCGTCAGATCATCCAGGGCCTGACCGACTGGCGCCTACTGATGTTCATGGCCATCGACTTTGCCAACAACTACGTGGGCGCATCGGCCAGCGGCTGGGCCCCTGTCCTACTAACAAGCATCGGCCACTCGACCACCACCAGCATGCTGATTTTGCTCATTTCGGCCATCCTGGCCATGCTGGCGACCATTGCCACTGGGTGGTACGCCCAGCGCATAAATCACATCGGCTACTTGCAGATTGCCCTGTCGGTGGCTGGAGCCGTCGTCCTTGTTATTGGCGTGGCCGGTGTCCAGAGCAAAATTGCGCGCACCATCAGCGTGTTCCTTTTGCCAATTCTCGCCGCTCCTGCCTGTATTGTCGGCCCGACCTGGCTGAACCTGAGGATCCGCGGGACCGACAACAGCGCTATTTCCAATGCCTTTGCCACCGCCGCCTGCAATATCGGCGTGTTTGCTAACAGCTACGCCTACTTAAACAGCGATGCGCCGCTGTATATCAAGGGTAGTTCATCTAACTTTGCCATGTTTGGTGCTGCTATCATCTGCAGCGCTGTATTGCTGTATAGCTCTAGAGCCGACAAACTCACTAACTCGCGTACCAGCTTCAGAAAATCTGGATTCAAGCATATCCACTAACGCTGCGCAGCATAGCTGTTACTTTACTTCTATACCTTACCTACCTATATATAAGATTTTATAGTCTAAAAAGTGTCCGAGCGTCTGCTAGAATCTTTTTAATTGGTTAAAAGATAAACCCCTTAAGCTTCAACACGAGTTTGAGTGACTTGCTCTGTAAACTCCTTTTGATCTTGTCGCCCTGGCTTCACCGATGAGGTCAGATGCTGCACAAACTGGTATTGTAGTGGTCACAGGTCTCCACTAGATATCTCCATTGGTTCAGCGCAAGAGCTGCTCTCGTTGTCGGTCGGCCTTATAACTTCCATGGTGTCATAATGGTGGTCATCACCGGCTGCGCAACACTCTTAGGATATTTATTTATAAGCACCTATTGAATAAGGCCATATAGCTCTTCTAGCAGTCATGCAATATTTGTAGGTTTATTTTATAAATTAATTTGTCTTATGAACATGCGTAAGCGGTAGTATTTGGGCCACAATGGACCCAATCTGTATAGACTGATCCAAGAGACTGTATCAGTGCTAAGGGCCCCAAGAACCATGCAAGCCAGATCGTTTTTAATAAAAAGTTCTTGATGCTATGCATACGCAATACAGCAAAACTGAACAGCATCATTTCTCTTCTTACTTTGCCTATTGAATTTCTCAAATGAATATTACCCGCAGCACTACTGTCATAAAGACATCATTTGGTGGTATTGGCTTCCATGATTCTATGTTGCCCCGCCTAGAGCAATTTGTACACAGTGTCAATATCATCAAAGAGCATACATACATGCTTGCACGATGGATATTACTCCATCAACTAGCTGATGATGATGCCTTTTATCAGAATTATATTTTCCTCATCTAATTGTTCTATTTTTCTTTATATCTTGCTACCCAGTCCAATATTGGACCGGATCCTTCTTGTCTTTCTTCGAGATTTTTCTACTTGCTTAGTGCCTTTCTGCACTCTCTCACACTTTCCTAATATATCGACCTTCTGGTGTTTCAGCCCGCTCTACAATCTTGTATTGCTTGTAATCTTCTGACACCTTTGACCCTGCAACATTTGTGAAAAAGGGGGTTTTTTTCATTCTATTTACTTATTAATTTACTACAATCTGAAGGCGAAGACGGCCATATCTGCCGACGATTTCATCAACCAGAAGGACAGGTCAGAACTGTCGAGCGCAGATTTCGGTGATGTAATTAGATACCATATTTATGATTATCTAATACATAATGGCGATATCGAGCTACATGGCGTGCGCGAAATGAATCAAGTAGCAACATATGTGGATACCGAGCTGATGACAGCATACAAGAACAACATTGTGTTGCACTACAGCACTTGCCTACAGCGGATTCTGGCCAAATTGATTGATATTCGCAGCCGCAAAAACACACTGCACAGTACAATGGGCAATGTGTCCAAGGCTGAGTTCAATAATGCATGTCAAGTGTGTATTTATATACCTGCACAGAAGCTCCGCCAGGCAGTTGCCTCTAGGCACCCTGATCTCAGTGTGCTCACCCCACCGATGCTTGTGATCTACAACAAGCTGGCACCAGTCCTCAATGCCTATGATGCCAAGTACAGATTCGCCAAAGACAGCCGATACTATGATGCCAAGGCAAATCCACTTAGGCATCTGCGTGCATACATTCGCCTATGCTAGCTTATCTGGAATGAGCAGCTTGGCAAGTCTCCCACCAATGCTTGCCTCTGCGGACATCATGGATCCCAGGCCATGTGCGCTTAGACAAGCAAATAATCAAGCAGGTGTTTATTTCGAAAACACGTGAGGAAGTTACCAAGATCAACGCAGCAAAGAGGGCAGCAACAGAGGCAAGGAAAGCAGCAGAAAGGGGCGAAAAATTGGCCAAGAAGGCTGCACGCGAAGATGCCATCGGATGCAACAGAGGCCACTGCAGCAACTGCAGCAGTAGCGGCTGATTCACTTGTTGCTGCATCGGCGGGAGCAGCAGACACAGTTGCAGCACTTAACAATGCATGTGCACCAGCACCCCCAGTCTGTGCACATGACCTGGTCCAAGGGATTACACAATCTGTGTGGGATATATGGGGCCAGGTCGCAGATCTAACATCAAAGCCATTTAAGGCGCATGGTGATAGAAAAGTCCATGGAATGGTGACAACAGATGGTATAACGATATTCATTTTGCTACAAGACAAGGTATCCAAGGCTGATGGTGCAGTAGATGCTGATGGGTGCAGGAGGCGATGCTGTGGGAGGCAATATTATAGCTGACTGTCGTTATATCCACCAGATCCCACAGCCAGAGCTGCAGAATCTGAAAGGCCGCTGTGTATTCATCGACCCAGGTAAGGGTGATTTACTGCATATGATGCACGGAAATAGCAGCAATGGGAAAGAGGGTGAAAAATGCTCTACCGCTACACACGGCAGCAGCACAATAAGGAGCTCAAGCTGCGCCACTATGACAGGATTCGTCAGGCTACAAAGGATCAAGTCCCAGAAGATGCTGTCCGCAGAGCAGAGGCAGAGCTTTCCAACCACTGCTGCCGGACCCTTAGCCCAGCAAAATTCCGTGCCTACGTTGCTGCCCATGCATCTGTGCGGTGTGTCCTAGCACCGTTTTATGCCAACACGATGACAGAGCGAAGGTTACCAGAGCAGCAGCCCACTAAGTCAAACAAGCAGCATCAGAGGCGCTGGAAGGCCCATCCGGGTGTCGGGACCAGTCCCAAGGTGTACCTGCTTCACCGCAAGCTGCGCCTTGATTCATTCATGAACCAGGCCCGTGCAGACCACAGGCTTGCCGCGAAACTCCGGAGCAAGTTCGGTCCAGACCCAGTGCTGATCATGGGCAATTGGAGTGCGCCGATGGCCTGACACCATACACCGATTCTTGGCAAGGGATGGCGCGACAAGTTCAAACACCATGGCTTTGAGATTTATCCGGTCGACGAATTCCGGACACCATCGATGTGCCCGTTCTGCTGCGAAAAGTCGCTGCAGACATCCCGGCATGTTCCCAACCTGCAGCCCTACCAGAAATCGAAGAACCCAACTGTGAAGTGTCATGGCCCTCTCCGCTGTACAAGCGAGTCATGTAAGCGGGCCATGGCACAATACAGGCGAGCCTATTCGTTTCGGCTCTTGAACCGCGATCTCGCAGCAGTTCTAAACTTCAGACTCGTTTTCCAGTCACTCTGTGGTTCAGGCAATATTCCTGAACGGTTCCGTCGCTTTACGGCCATTGTTGCCAATGCTTCTGGCACCACCCCTGCAACAAAGAGGCCGCGCAAGAGGCTACGCAAGAGGCGTACAGCAGCGAACCAGCGCTGAAACGCCTGCGCTGAGCAGGCCATCAAGGTGGGAAATGTCTAGGATCGTCATTGCACAAACAACCATCCGACACGTTCAAATGACCGGTTCGCCGTGATGCCCTTATCGACGTGTCAACCCATGCTGACTAGCAGCCGAGCTTGCATCGCGAGCAGAGTATTTGTAGTAGTCTAATAATTTGTCACTAGTACCCCTATGCATTTGTCGCCATATATGCACTTGATCATAACGGGTTACGCGCTCCTCTTGGTTTTTTTTGGTTTTAACTGCGTAACTACCCCTGTCGTGCCATTGCAAGCCAGATTAGTGCTACTGTGCATAGGCCCGGTTTTGGAGGTCTGGTATTGGTCATTCGATCTTTAATTTATTCTTGCCCAGCCGCAGAAACCTTGGTATTACAATCGGTCGCACCGAGGCTGTTGGTGGAACCTAAAGTGTACAATACACATACACAGTGCACAGAGTCCGAATATGACGTCCATAAACGGCCATGATGCCCCTTTCGGCATCGCCGCCGTGGTCTCCCATTTGCGGAAACGTCTCCTGGTCTATGTGGTTGGGTGAAGAAATGCCCATCCAAAGCGCTGTGCATAGTCTCTCCACCACTAGTGAAGCAGACTGGGGACAAAGTCCACACTATCACTCGTCTGATATCTGGACTTCTGTATGAGACAGCCTCGATAGTCAAACAGAACAAAAAAAGCCTATTTCTCTTTGCGTTGTAAAAATTTTAGTTCTTGTATTCCTCCTCGAGCCTGGAGATGTCTTTTTCATTTACACCCGAGGAGCAGGCCCGCGTGCAGGCCGCAGCGGCGCTAGGATATTCTCTGGACCCGATCGGAAAACACGACCTGGCGATGCTCTGCGTATTCTCAGTAATCTACGCTGTGGATTTATTTGCTGTGCTCTACCTGCTCTGGAACTGGAACTACCCGCCTATCAAGTCAAAGGGCCCTGGATTCCTGGCCGGTGCCTATATTGCCATCGCATTCTGGTTCATTGGTGAAATTCAAGTGAGCGGGCATATTCATTTAAAAGGCACTGCATATGCAAACTGCAAGGTGTTCGGAGTCTGGTTGCGTATCATCCTTGGTATCTGTATGTTCAGCGCGCTGGTCGCTCTGCGCAGCTACTCGCTGTTCTGCATATTCGAACTGAATAAGCCGTACCGGGGACTCAGTCGGTACCTCCCGTTTATTATCTACACCACTTTGATGCTTATCTACGGGGTTGTTGTGCAGGTGCTCCCAGATGACAAAACCATTGTATATAAGGGCTTGTTAGATGTCTGTGTCTACAAAGGCGGTTTCAAGGCGTCGCTGTTTATCTTTGCCTGGGCAGCCTGGGTGTACGTTGCCATAGTGAACTGGCAGATTCGCGGGATTAAGAGCTCGTTTAACGAGTCGCGGGAAATGCTGTTCTGTTGCGCCCTGATTTTTGCTGTTCTGACATTCGGTACTATCGTAAACTATGTGCGGGGTGACTATCTGTTTGATCTCCCGCTGCGTCTTGCCAGCACGTGGCTCAACCACATTGCATCCAACCTAGTCTGGTGGACATTGGCCGGAGTTCCTCTCTTCAACTGCATGTTCCGGCGCGAAAGATACCTGCGCTACTGGATGAAAAAGCTATCGGACGATGGTCTTCAGCGCCAATACGAGCAGCAAGCAAATGTTGCTACCGATATTGGCATGCTCTGCCAACATGCGGCTTTAGGCAGTCGCTCCTTCAGGTCTTCTATCAACAACGCAGGGCTGTCAAATCAGCCAGAGAGCGATTTCAACTCGAGCCGGTACACTTGCAACACGGTGCAAGCGCATAGCCTGAATTTGGCTGCACCCGCACCTTTAGTGTCAACTCGAGCATTTTACCAGCCTGGCCATAATATGGACGCTCCTTCAGGGGAAAAAACTATGCGTATGGACTCGATACGGGACGCAAATGCTGTGCTTGATCGCCAAGTGGAACAGCAGCACGCCTGCATTACCCAAGATCGGCTCTATGGTTCGGCGGATCATATGCCAGAGGCTAGCACACCTTCTGGTCACTCTCCGCTAACCGTGTCAAGAAGCTATCATGAGCAAGTATTTTATATAGACTCAAGATGGGCTGATGCAGGCGATGGGGAAAGTCTGAGCGACCAATATAGCAGCCGCCGTCTGATATGAATATCTGTCTAGTTTAATATATGAATCTCTGTATCCAAGCACGGATACCAACGCTAAAGATCTTGGCCTGAGGATAGTGGCTATGTACGCTATCTATCTCATTTGTATCATGGGAACTCGAACAATTCCATGCCACGGAAAAGAGGCTGAGCCCTGGAACAATCACAGGTCTTTTGTTCTGCATGCAGTGCGGGAAACACATCAGGTATTCCCATGGTCAGCGGAGCATTGGCCAGGATAAAATTGGCTTGAGGAATTGTACTCTTGTTTCTTCTTCAGTTTCTGTGCTATACTACCTCTTCAACAGTACCATGAATGCAACCAGCACGCTCGACTTTTCTCAACTTGATACGGCGGCGGCAGCATTGGAGCCGACACTGAGATACACTGTAATGGTAAGAATCTAATCCAATTACTAGTTCCACCACCACACATATACGTGCTAACCTCCCAATACCAGATTTCAATATCTCTAGCTCAGTGCACTTTGCTCTGTTTCCAACAACATTGGGAATTTACAGCCTGCTCAAGTATTGCGAGAAAACAGCTTGACGAAAAGGCGTTTGTTGCATTTGTCGAGCTCAGTCGCCGCGCGCTGATTAAAACAATTCCAGTAATTGGTGCTGCAAGAGCGCACATTGGGCTTGTGGTCATACTGAAGGCAATCAGCGAAGGTGTCAGGGCGCAGCTTTCAAAGGAGCGCTATAGGACGGAGGAAGAGCGTGATTACAATTTCGCCATGAAACGAGGCAGTGACTTTGCTTTCCAAGTTGAATGGAGACGCTCTCAATGCCAGATACCAAGAGACGATAGCTGCGTGCCCCGAGTTGGAAGAGGTACTGGGATTCGATACCTTACGGCCGATGCCTCTCCAGCGAAAACCTCATGCCGATAAAGGAATCACAACTGTGTATGATTGCCACGGTTAAGACACTGGGGGCCGATGAGTACCTAAAGTCGCATTACAACGGTGCCGTTGTTTACGGTGCAAGCAGAGATGAGTGTGAAGCCGCCTTAGCTATCGGAGGTCTTGCTCTCGGTGTTTAGAGCCATTTTATGTTCTAAAGCTTCCCTTTTCATTATCTTCTTCTTCTCGGCTCACTGCTATCGTTTCTTGGATTAACTTTCATATTCTCGACCATAGTTTTTATTTTTAGCTTTCTGGCTACCCTCAGCAGATACTGTATCTCCTTGCAACCTTCAGAGACTCCAAACAACTAAACGAATATCAATCCCCAAGGCATGCAGCACGATAAATTGACTACCCTATTATCGACATATGATCGAGATGGATAGGCACTCTATTGGAGAATTGTACATAAACTGCACGAGTTAGCTTGTCAATGTTGTGTTGAAAATAGCTACAGGATTGCCTTGGATTGGCAGCGAGGAACTCCCAAGAACCGTCTGGAACCACCGATGTCCAACAACAAAAGCCAACTTGAAGTCCAAACTGGCAAGAATCCCAAGAAATCTAGGATCCAACACCATGCACTCATCGTTTGACCATCCATCTCTCCTAGCTATATATCGTATATCCATAGACTAAAAGCTGTAAGTACATTTGGTCCAGATCGATGGCAATAGCAACTGATTCTCTGCATCCAGTACTAGGGTAAACCACCGCTATTTGAATAAAGCGCAAGCTGAGGTTTGTTGCTCCGCATGTTGTTGCCATATATCTTTGCTATTCCTCTGAGGTGACCACATTTTGTGTTCTGCCTTTTAAGGGCAACATAACGCTTGCGCCACAGGATATGTCGACGGTTGCACTATACCTGCTGGATATGTAGCATGGGAAGTTTCTGCTACTCCCAACTCGATGGCAATCTGGAGGATGTGTGGCTGGATATATCCACTGGACTTGCCTCTTTTGTTGGCCAAGCTAGTGGCACGAGTGCCAAAGGTTGGCACTCTTGCAGCCAGGGTGATTGACAATGGTGGATATAAAGCGAGAGGGGAGAGGAGCCGGTGGTGCCTATCTCCATCCTTGTGAACAGACTTTTCCATATTCTCAGTAAAAATGGTTGCAAACAACACTATCGACTTTTCCCAGCTCGACGATATCGCTGCTGCCCTGGAGCCGACGCTGAAGATATGCCATGATGGTAAGACATATAGCTATCAGCCTAAAGGCCCAATTTCTCGTAATATCCGTGCTAAGAAGTATACCTACATCCATAGGTCAGCACATTTGGTTCGGTCATGGACCACGTCGGAATCGCCAGCCTCGTTAAGCACTGTGAAGCTACCCTTAACCAAGATGACTTTGTTTCGTTCGTCGGAGCTCTCTCGCCGCGCAATCATTAAGACAATCGCAATGGTTGGTTCTGCCAGAGCACATTATGCAATGATCATCTTGATGCAGGCGGTCAGCGAGGATGTCAAGGCAAAGCTAAGCAAGGATGTCTACCGGACTGAGGAAGAGCAGGATTACAAGCTTGTCTCTAAGCGTGGCCAGGATTTTGCTAGGCGTGTGTTTGAGGATCATGTACTGACGCCATTCTGAAGGACAACACAGATATGTGCCCAGAGCTGCTGCCGGTGTTTTTCTTCGATGCGTATGGCCGATTTATCTGCAGCGAAGGTATTATGCCTCTGAAGGAGTCAGAGTTGTGCATTCTTGCAGGTCAGTTATCCCCCTCCAGATCGAGGACTACATCAACATCCACATCAAAGGATCTGCCGTCTATGGCGCTAACAAGGACGAAATCAATGCCGCTATGGCCGATAGGAAACCTAGTGCGCAAGGCTGGTGCCTAAATCGACACTAGTCATTCATTTTCTAAAATGAGGAAATATAGAAATGTAAGAGGCAATTTGTGCAAGAAAACCAGCTAGAAATGGAGAGCAAAAGTTGCAACTAGCCAAAAGCCCGGTCTGATAACTACTCTTTGCCAGCCTTTGCACGGGCTGCATTGGCTGAGTCAGTCTGATGCATGCGCTCCATGCGACCGGGAATGGATCCAAAGCGCCCAGTTCTCATATCAGCAAATGCCTGTCCCAGCTCCTCCTGAGTGTTCATGACGAATGGGCCGTAGCGGGCAACCTTCTCGCCGATCGGAGTGCCGGCCAGGACCAGAATGCGCGCCTCCTCCGACCCAGCGGCCTCAAAGTCAATCGGCTGCCCGTCGGTTTTGATGACAGCCATCTGGCCTTCCTTCACCCCTGCCTTCTCGTTGCCAACCAGGATCGGCTCCGTGTGGAAGTTGTACACCATTGCGTCCATGCCGCTCGGGAGATCCAGCGTGTACCGCCCAGTGGTGCGCAGGTCCAGGAAGAATATCTGCGTGCGCGTGTCGATGTTGGCAGTGACATCTTCAACCTTGCCTGCAATGACCTTGATCCGGGTCTTTTCGTCGCTGGAGGTGAACGTGGGGATGTTCTCGGGCGGAACGTCCTGGTAGCGAGGCGCCGTCATCTTGTACTTGGCAGGCAGATTGACCCAGATCTGGAAGGAGTGCATAACACCGCCTTCCTTGAGCATCTTCTCGGTCGGCATCTCGCTGTGGATGATGCCGGATGCTGCACTCATCCATTGAACCCACCCGGGCTTGAGAATTCCGTGGTTGCCGTGGCTGTCACGGTGCTCAATCTCGCCCTCCAGCACGTACGAAATCGTCTCCTGGCCACGGTGTGGGTGATCGGGAGCACCGACAGCCTCGCCAGGTCCATACTTTGTCGGGCCGAGATGGTCGAGCATCAGAAACGGGTCAACCATGTCCAGGCTGCCGGACGGTACTGGGCGGCGCACGACAAAGCCGCCGCCTTCGCGCTGGCGGTGTGCAGTGATGATTCGCGAGACCTGCTTAGTGATTTTTGTAGTGGTGGACATTTGTGCTGTTGTTGGTGTTGTTGGTGTTGTTGGCGTTGTTGCTGTAGAAATACAAGTGATGTGTAGAAGATCTAGGAGTGGCTGAAAAGCTGGGAGACCAAGAACCGGCAGTGCCAAAATCAGCGCTTTTTATGCAGATCGGGCCAGTGTGGTGATTATTAAGGATTTGGTGGCCGATTTGTCATTCGGCTAGGGCTTTAGTCACGCATCCTGAACCAGCGTGACTGGCTGGCGCTCCAGGACAACTGCGTTAGTAACGGACATCGCATTACTAAACTGCCACTGCTCGCTCTCGTAACGAGGCACAAGCAGCACAAAGCGATATTCCTCACCAGACTCGTCTGCTTACGGTGCTTAGAGGATCGACTCCGATGTTGGCGATGGCCCAGTACAGGAGCTGGTGACTAAGACCGGACCACTGGAAGTGGTTTGGAGTGGGATGCCTATGTCCCGATTCCTTTGGCCTGCCTGTTCTCTGCCGACAGCCCACAAGCTCCCACGCTTGCTGACATGCAAACTACTCGCACTGATGTACTCCCAGCGATGGCTGGTTCAACAAAAAAACAGCTGCAGGGCGAGACTCGTCCAGAAGCCTGCCGCATCTGAGTGCTGGCTATCCCGGCGCCAAGGACCGGAAGCAGGGCCCAGGTGTGCTGAACCCGCCATTTATTTTTGGCCTGCAGGCGAAGGGCAATCAACCGAATCCTTCGATCGCCCAGCTTCTCCTTTGTGGACATCGCTTTCACCCACAGAGGCTTCTTGGCATCTCATCTCGTTTCCATTTACGAGTGCGTATTTTTGGAGACCCGGTCGGAGCCTGCTGTCTAGGCTTTTCAGCGTGCGCTCGCCAAGCCCACTCAGGTCTCCTGAACGTAGCCACCACCCGGTAGCTATGTGCTGCTGCGAATATAAAAGCACAGGCGTTCCTCGCAGACATCACACCTTCACTACCAACAACACCAGCCAGCAATTCCACACCAGCCTCTCACCCCCACCTGCATCCAGCCATGAAGATCACTGCCTTTACCCTCGGATTCCTCGCAGCCGCTGCCTCTGCCGCGCCGGCTGCCGACACCGCCTCGGGCAACAACGCCTGCGCCAAGACGCTTGCGCTCAAGATCACCAACATTTACGAGAACGGCGACACCAACTTCCACTACGACTACTGCGAGAACATCAAGGACGGGCGCGGGTTCACCTCTGGCATCTCTGGGTTCTGCACCGGCACCGCCGACGCATGGGAGGTGGTCCAGCAGTACCACAAGCTGACAGGCGGCAAGGACTCCTTCAGCAAGTACGACGGTGTGCTGAAGAAGTATGCCCAGTCCGGCAGTGACTCGACCAGCGGGCTTGACGGATACTGCTCGGTGTGGTCGAAGCTGGGCAAGTCCGACGCAAAGTTCCGCAATGCGCAGGACGCGATCCGCGACAGCATGTACTATAACCCATCGCAGAAGCTTGCGGACCAGCTCGGACTCAAGCTGAGCATCAGCCGCGCGCAGCTGTACGACTGCGGCACCCAGCACGGCACTGGATCGGACGCCGACGGACTGGCTGGGCTGATCAAGACCACCAACGCGTCGTTCAAGGCCGATGCCAAAGGCAGCTCGGGTAGCACGCTCAAGATCAACGGCCACAACGTCGACGAGGTCGCCTGGCTGACAAAGTTCCTGCAGGTGCGCACCAACGACCTGCTCCACCCGAAGGAGAAGGAGAACGCGTCGGGTGCATGGAAGGAGACGCTGTACCGCGTAAAGTCGTACCAGTACGCTCTCAGCAAGAAGCAGTACAACTGGACCAAGTCGGTGCAGGTCCTCGACAACGATGGCAAGCCTGTCACAGTCTCGTGCTAAACATCCATTTATACCTTTCTCAATTCCATATCTACAGCCCTATTTGCTGACTCTGAAGCAACAACACAGTTCAATGCCACCATGACTAAACCAGGCATATACATATTCAGATCCCCAAGGGCTACTTCTCTTTTTCTCCTCAGCTGTTTTTTTCTTGAGCAATCTCCTACATGTGCGCTCGTAAATACTTGATTCTGCCTTTGAGGTTAACAGTGGTAAATATTGAGATCTGACGATTAGGACCAGCTACCCTGCACACAAGCACAAGATGTAGCCTTCAGCATGATAGGAACATGTGCAGAGGGTTTCATGGAACTCGGCAAGATATCTATATGCACATCCCAAAAACAAGTATTATGCACAGAGGATCCAAGCCAATTCATCATGTGTGTTCATCATTGCTTGTCTTTGTAGAAGGGCGTACGTTGAAGGGAGGGGAGCTCAGTCACACTGGCACTACGCGCGACATCTAGGCTCCATGGTTTGCGACATGTGGCCGTCAAGCAGCTAGCCTCGCGACACGTATCTGCCTAGCCAGTGGAGGCAGTAGCTGCAGATCTCTTTCTACCGCTGTGGTGTGGCGTGTCTCGAGCACAAGAGCACAACTAAAAAATTTGACCGTTGCAATTTCTTTCTCCTCAGCTCTCCCTTGCACATTCCAATTCGCTCAACCTCTTCCTACTTTTATTTTTTGCATTCAAACCTTTTTCTTCTATTTTTATTTGTACAAACATCCTTTTACATTTATATTTCGCATTCAAACTAGGCAAATGGAGAGAGATAGTTTCGATACCCTGCGTCCTGGCATGCGCGCCTGGGCGCCGTACATGCAGTCGCCACTGTCGCCGAGCACAGTTCTGCCGCGTAGTCCATCGACACCCCAGTCGGCATTCACACCGCGGACGCAGTTTTCACCCGGGCTGCAGTCCAGCGCATACAAGTCAACGGCGCCGTCGACACCAATGTCGGCGACCAGTTCACTGACAGTATTGGATGCAAAGAACATTGTGCGGGACTTTGGGCAGCCGCGGCTGGACCTGACGGCCGAGGACAAGTGGCGGAGGCTAGGGGCACGGATTCTGCCCCTGTTTAATGGTGATCGTCTACAGGGCACGGTGGAGGAGAACAACGAAATTGTCAGGTAAGGGAGACGGAGCCATAGCATGCGGTTGTTTGTTTTGTGTGCGTCAAAGCGCCAGGTGAGATCTGCATACGTGAAGCGTGTGGGGCTTTTTGCTAAAAATACATTTTTCTGGTAGGAGCTGTCTGCGAAGCGACCAGGATTCGATCTGGCACGAGATAAACAACATCCTGCGGGTCGGGATGTCGTCGCTGATCCGGACCATGTACCAGCAATGCGAGCTGGTGCCAAAGTTTGAAGCACTAAAGCTGACCAAGGGCAGCAGCAAGCAGCCGCTGGCTATTCTGTCAATGAACGGAATTGCCAATGCGGAGCGCATTAACAGCGCGCAGATCTGCGACAGCCTAGTGACGGTATGGGAGATGCTGTCGGCACATATTCTGCCGTATTTTGAGGGCGTATTTCTGCCGGTGTTGCAGTTCCGGCTGGCATCCAAGGCCCGGCCCGGCAAGGCGGGTAGCATGCGGCGCGCCGTGCTTATGCATTTCAGAGACATTATTGTGGTACCCGTGCTAGGGAGGCTCGAGGAGGTCGCGGGAATGGTGCATGCAGAGAACCTACATGGGGTGCAGGGGAGCCACCACCAGATGGCGGCTATCCTACTGCAGATGCTGACGGTGCTGGCAGGGCTGACGCCAGCGGAGCGCGGCCCGCTGTTCAAGACAGCGCAGGCGTTTGCTGTTGCGATGCAGGTGTGAGGTGTGAGGTGTGAGGTGTGAGGTGTGAGGTGTGAGGTGTCACGTGGAATGTAAATAAACTATTTCAAAATCAAATCAGCGAGCGTCTGACCGCTCAACTGATGCAAGCGCATTAACTGGGGGTGGGACACGCACGCACTCCCCATGCTTTTCACCTCCTCCTTCAACCTAGCAAGCGCCATTTATTACAATACGCCATTAATGTTTTCTAGACACACACTGTTCCGCACCAACGCAACAGGCACTACCGGCAGCGACCCGCTTTCAGCTGGCGACAGCAGTTCGCAGGAGATGGTAGGAGCGTTAAACAAGCTTGAGCCCGTGGCTGAGACATCGCGCAGGCGGCAACAATCCGATGCTCCTCAGTTTGGAAGGCACGAGATTATGAAGGAAATGAAGGCGACCGAGATGAACCAGCATCATGACAAGTCGTTTCCAAGCACAGGGTTTTCGCGGTCACGCAAGGCGTCGCGCGTGTCCCTGCATACGGGCAGTGAGGTGAGCGGGCTGGGAATAACAGCAAAGGGCCAGGAGCCACGGCAGGCGCAGAGCGCACCGCCGACAGAGCACACAGATGCCGCCACAGATGAGAAGAATGCACTGGTTGCTTTGCTACCAGAGTCACTGGGAAAGAGGCTGTGGCAGCACTTCCAGGTGGCGGCAGGCATGGCGGACCTGCGCGATATGGTGGCCAACAGCGCAACCGGGCTGGTAGTCTTGCCGCAGGCGCCATTCCGCGGGCCAGACGAGCCAGACGTAGGAGCACTTTTGAACGACAACGTGCTATTCACCGATTCAGACGTGCTGGCGGAGGGCAGGAAGTGTAAGTTCACGACAGTCAGCGGGATCCGCGGCACAATCGACTGCAGTTCGGTGAACGCGCTGGGAATGCTGCCGCCAGTCGAGGATATCATGGGCATGATGGCTGAGTCGGAGACGCCGCGAGCCACAATCTTTGACGTGCTGGATGACGAACGGACCCAGCCGCTGGTACGCCTGCGGATAGTCAGCATCCATGACAACTGCAGGCTGCCGGATGGCCGCAGCGTGCGGGTGGCAGTGACATCGGGGGCGCTGCAGCGGGCACTGGTGGTGGACTCGGCAGTGACATCACTATCGGCCAATATCTACGAGGCCGCTAATGCAACAATCAAGGCGCTGCTGCCACAGGCCACGGCGGCGCTGACCGAAGACGACCAGATAAAGGTTGATATCGAGGACATCGTGCAATATGCGCGGCAGATAGAGTCGCGCACGCCACCGCTGCCTGGACGGCCTGCAAAAGGCGGTGTGGTGAGGCGGCTGACGCTGGGCAGTGGGAGCGTCGAGAAGACGCCCAGCGTCGAGGAGGACACCGACGCATGGCAGGCGGCTATGGCCAAGCTGATGGGCAATCTTGCAGCGCACTTTGATGAGCTGGAACATGAGACCAGCATGTGCGGTGACGCTGAGGCGCGCAGGCGGCTGGCAGAGGCAGTGATCGAGTGTGTGGAGAAGCTGGTGTGCGAGTCTGTGTACGCCAAGGTATTCGCTCCATGGTTCAGCGACGACCGCACGCAGGACGAGCAGTTTGCGTCCAAGGTGGCCGCCCTCAATCTGGCTGATATTCGGCTCGAGCATCTGGGTCTGAAGGCCGCCCCGCAGACCGCAAAGGAGCTGGTGCGTATTGCGCGCGAGACTGGCGCCCAGCTACAGGGCATGAATGCAGTTCGGTCGCCGGCCGAGAAGCTCAAGCTGGTGGTAGACGCACACAAGACCATGGTGGACCGGATGGACCGCCTCAATGCCAGGCTGCGCGCTGGACAGCAGAAAGAGCCAGCACAGAAGCCCGAGGACTCGCCGACATCGTCGCTATTGTCGGCAGACAGCATCCTGCCGCTGCTGATTTTTGCTGTGGTCACGGCCAATCCGCAGAGCTTCATCTCCAACCTGCGCTTTATCCAGCGGTACCGGACCCGCGCGCTCCTGTCGGCACAGTTCGAGTACTGTCTGACCAATGCCCTGGCTGTGGCCTCGTTCGTCGAGTCGGTCGATGCACGAAAGCTGGGGCTGTCGGCTGAAGTGTCTGCCAGCGTGCTGGAGCGCGCAATCCCGCCCGCGCTGATGTCTTTGCAGAACCTGCTGTTCAACAACGCCATGAGCAATGTGGGCATTGAGGTCGTCCAGGGGGTGTATGGCGCGACGCTGGGGAAGCTGATTGATACCAGCAGCCAGCTAATCATGCGTGCACCGTGGCGGTCGCCCAGCGATCGGGAGCTGCAGCAGGGCGTTGCCCACGATGCCGACGAGAAGACTCTGGACCAGAGCAATGTCATTGAAGGCGTGCGGTCGGTTCTGAACACCGCCAGCGAGCAGCTGTCGCACGAGATCAAGGGCCATCTGCCACGCAGCAGCCCAGCCATCAAGAGGGCAGTTGTGCCGGAGATCAACGAGCGCTTTGTCAATGCCACGGCATCCGATCTGACTATTGCCGAAGTATCGGAGCTGCTGGCTGCATACCAGGAACTGGCAAAGTTTGTGCGGGGGTAGGCTTGAGTTCATTGTTATTTTTTATTTTCATTTTTGGCCTTAGCAGCTAACAAGATACGCTGTCACGATGATGGTCAGAGCCGCGTTCGTGAACTTGTATGTGACCATGCTGTCTGCCGATTCGTCCCACCGTGTCGCATTGCCAATGTGGAAGCCTGCCCCTGTGTTTTGCACGATCGTGCACGTCACTATTGCCTTGGTCGCGGATGCCCGCATGGCCGCAAGCTTTTTCATTGCATAGCTAACAATGTTCGTGTGCAGCTCCGGGAGCAGTCCGTGGTGGTACTCGCCGTTCCCGATGGCCAGGTCCACTGCCGCCTTCAGGTGCTTGTAGACCTTTTCCGTGCTAGATCCCTTTGTGGCAGCCGACATGGATGAGGTAAGACGTGTTGGGATGAGTGAGAGTCGCCAGTTCGAAAGAAAAAAAAAAAAGCATCTCCCAGCCAATTACCTGGTCTGATACTCCAGATTGGTGGGCCTGGGCAACTATGGTGATTGTTAAGCCCGATCATCAGGCGAAACCTCATTTTGTTTTCTCAACCTCCTCTCCACAAAAAACCCCATCTTTTGCACCTTTCTTCTTCGTCGCTAGACATTATCATGCCCCCTCGGCTAGGCTCGCAATGGCGCAAGGCCGCGCTCAGCACATGCATCTATCTTTTCATATCCCTAGCCCTGACACTGCACAACAAGATGGTTCTGCAGTGGTACCAGTTTTCGTTTCCCTGGCTGGTTACTGCCACGCACAGTCTGGGGGGCATAGTCGGCACGCAAATAATGCAGCGGTTAGGGACGTTCACGCCGGTGCGCCTAGACAAGCAGCAGCAGCGGATTCTCTGGCAGTTCTCGGTCCTGTACACGGTGAACATAGCCGTCAGCAATATCTCGCTGAACTTTGTGACAATTCCCTTTCACCAGGTAGTCCGAGGCACCGTGCCCGTGTTTACATTGGCCATTACCGCATTGTCTGGGGGCGATCCGAAGCTGCCAATACTGGCGTATGTTAGCTTGGTGCCGGTGGTCATGGGCGTGGGGCTGGCGACCTACGGCGATTACTCGTGGACTGTGGTGGGCCTGCTGCTGACGCTCTTGGGGACGGTGCTGGCTGCAGTGAAAACCGTCGTGACAAATCGCATTTTTGGTCGGCCGGCTGCAGCTGAAGCTGGGGGCTTTTGATCTGCTGTACAGGCTCAGCCCATTGGCGCTTGCGCAGACCCTGGCGTGGTCGCTGGTCACGGGCGAATTTGCCCAGGCCAGGGCGTTCATGACCGGCATGGATTCGGTTTGGCCGCTGCTGGGTGCATTGGCTGCCAACGGCGCCATTGCGTTTGTGCTGAATATCGCCAGCTTCACTGCGAGCAAGAACACCAGCGCCCTGGCCATGACTGTCACTGGAAACGTCAAGGTTGTACTGACTGTCGTTCTCGGCTGCATTCTGTTCAGCGTCCAGCTCTCGTATCTCAGCATGCTAGGAATCGCGATTACGCTGTTTGGCGGGGCCATGTATTCTCTAGTCCGTCTACACAGAAAATAAACACTCTAGAACAGGTTGCGGCACAGCGGGCACGAGCTCTGGTTGCTGGTGCTGAACCACTTGAACAGACACATGCGGTGGAACTTGTGCTTGCATGTCTTGCACTGCTTTGTCGGCAGGCTGTTGTCCAGCGCGCCGACTGCCGAGTAGCAGATCGCACAGTCCTCGACGCCGGCGAAATGCGCGCCCACATTGCCCAGCAGCTGTGCGCAGACGGCGTCGAGGCGCCGGTTGCGCGACATTTGCGCTTGCGCGGCCACCAGCCAGCTGCGCCAGCGCTTCTCGGTGACCGCCACGCGCTTCATCGACTCGATCGTCGGCAGGGACAGCGGATAGGAAGCAGGCACCCGTACCGTGATCTCCAGAGTGCTGTCATCGACGGTATAGGTCATGCTGACCTGCGTTCCGCCAGCCTTGATGGTCGCCTCGTCATACTCCTCAAGGATGTCGGCCACTGCCGTCGACTTCTCGGCATGCACACGCACATCCCAGGATTCCTCCGTATCAGACACATCAGCGTCAGCGTCAACGCTAGAGCTGTCTGCCTCTTGCTGGCGAATACGTGCAATTTCACGCTCGACAACCAGCGGGCTAATGTGCTTGCATGTGAACTGCTCAACAGCCTGGCTGGTGGCGCGGAGCTTGGCCGACAGTCCAGACCACCAGGACCGGTATGTTGCCGGGAAGGTCCATGCTAGCGAGTACATTATCTGGTGCGCCAGAACACGGAACAGCTGGTCTCCGCTGGGGTTATACTGGAGCTCCGCTGCCCACGTCTCCCAGTCCAAGCCTTCAGACGGGTCCCAGAGGCGTGGCTCGTACCCACCCATTGGACTGACGCCATCGATGCTAAGCAGGGCGCATACCCAGGGCATGGCGCTGTCCAGCACCTGGTTGTTGCTGAGCTTCTCAGCCATCTCCTCGTACCGGTTGTAGTCGGCTGCCAGGGCATCAGCGCACCGGGTGACCAACAGCATGCTGGCAAGAAGACGGAATCCAGTGTTGCGCACGTACTCGTCGGTCTCAATGGTCTCACCAAACTCCTCATGCGGCACGTGCAGATTCTCCAGCGTCTTGGCAGCCAGGCTGACCAGCCCAACCAGCGACTGGATATGCTCGCCGACATCTGCCACAATGTCACTGGACGACAGAACCAGACGCAGCAGCTCCATCTCCAGCTGTGGCGTAGCACTTATCATCACGGGGTACAGAGTATCGAATGCCGGGACGTCAAAGAACCCGTTAACCACAAGCGCCGTCACAGCTGCAACACCCTCAGGCACTGGTCGTTCCGACACCACACACGTGCTGACCAGGTGGTCGCCGATCTGCCGCAGAACCGGGCCGACTGAATTGATATCCTCAACCAGATTCTTCGACATGCGCGCCAGCGAACTGACAGAGCACGCTACAGAGACCAGAACAGCCTGCTGCTGCTCAACATTATCGAGGGTTTCGGCAAAGTTCAGCCAGCGCAGGCACTGGCGCACCAGACCAACAGCGCTGATATCATCGATTACCGGCACGCAGTTGCTGAACCGCTCCAGAACAGCGAGAGCCGCCAGTGTAAGTGCAAGCGACACCGTGCTCGAGGCAACAGAGTCAGCCAGTATCTCGGAGACAGCAACCAAGATGTGCATGATCTTTGGTGTCGATGACGCAGCGTCCAGTGCTCCAGCCTGTGGCGGCAAGAGCTCCGCCAGAAGCTCTAGCGCTACCACCAGCTTCAAAGACAGACTCGTCGCTGACGCAGCCTTGCCGTTGATGGTCCGTGTCAAAGAGCCGGTCAGATCTATCAGCGTCCCACGCAGCGCAGGCGACTGCGGGCATGCATGTCGCAAGGACACCGACCGCGCTACAAGCGTCGTCAGGTCGACAAGCGCTGGCAGCTCCAGGATCTTGGGCAGGTCGCTGGACAGCGGTACGGCCATGGCGGCCTCTACATCGGCCGAGTTTAGCGGGTTAGCCCACTGGCACCACTCCGAAAGAGTTGCCAGAACGCGTGCCCACTGCGATTGTGGTGCCTGGCGATGCCGTGCAATGCAAGTGATAATCAAAATGTCCCAGACTGAGTCTGACACGTCATTGTCCAAGGAGGCGTCGCCAGTACTGAGAACCCTGCTGACAAGTGTGCTAAGCCAGCGGCCAGAGTCGTGGGGGATCTTGATCTGCACTGCCTCTTCGTTGTCGTCGTCGCCGCTCTGGGATTTGGGCAACGAGAATCCATGGACAACCAGCAGGCTCAGTATGTCGGATACTGTTCCTTCGATCATCTTGGCTGCAGCGCTGATCCGGGCATACAGGGCGTTGTCCCCATCGTCGAGCTGCACAATACCGATGCTGCCAGACGTGGCACTGTCCGAGTCCTCGGCATCGTGCTTGTAAGCGGCCAGAGTCTCGCGCAGCAGCACATACGCCAGTGTCATGTTTAGAATCAGGGTCGACAGAGCCTCGTTTGACGCGTCAGAAAGAACCACCAGACCGCCCGACAACTGCAAGAACTCGACACTGAACATGGCGCGCCGAGCAAACCTCGAAAGACCATACATGTCGAATCGCTGCTGGTGGTCCGTCGCATTCAGCCCCTTGCTGGCCAGCGAGGCTACTGACCACTGGCCCAGCGAGTGGAACGACAGAGACATGGCGCCCAGCGGCTCGTTGATAGCCTGGCTCAGTGCTGCACTGCCTAGCGCGGTCTGGCCCAGATAGTCATCAACCAAGGCGCTCTCACCAAGTACTGCCTGCGCATCTCCCTGCAATGCTCCCTTCCAGGAAAGTTCGTCCAGTAGCCACCTGCGGATCAAGGACTTGATTGCCTTGGTATCGTCCTGCGGACAGATACGCGCAAACACCGAGTGGGCAAGGCGTGCCAGATGCGATGGGTTCTTGAGTGTTGCCAGATCGCCTAGGTCCTCTGAAATCGACTCGCTCAACGCGTGTGCCAGCTCCGATCCCAGGTGTAGCTTCTCGAGCTGTGACTCGGTTGCCAACCACGCACGCTTGGCTTGTGGGTAGAGTCTTGCGTGCGCAATTCCGGCCAGCGTGCTGTCAGGACCGGTTTCACCGTGCGCCGACGACAGCGCCATGTCGAACAATAGACCCAGCGCCGAGCGCGCATTGTTGTCAGTGCGCGTAAGCCAGAACCGCACAAACCGTGGGCCGGCCATGCGGTCGTTCGCCAAAGCAGTCCAGCTGCTCAGAACCTCATGGATGGTTCGGATCCAGCTGTCCAGCGAGCTGCTCTTGGATTTTTTGTCCTCCCACTGTATCTCATACTGCATTTTGAACACGCTCTCCATCCAGCCGAACACCACGTTAACTGTCTGGGGTGAGACAAGTACCGTGCCGCAGAACGACAGCTGCAGTGCCTGGCTGTACAGCTGCAACAGCTGCGATGGCGGTGACTCAAATGATGCAGACAATATGTCATCAGCACAGCTGGGAATGCTGGGAATCGACGATACGATAAGAGCATCCAGCGACGGCAGGCGCGCCGAGGTAAAATCTCCATTCCGGGAGATCTGCGAGCCCGGAAGCGCCTTCAGCAATGCTGTGACAAGGCGCAGCGTTGTGCCATTTCCATCGTCAGCACTGTCGGCTGGCATCCTGACAAATTCGTCTAGGCTGGCGACCGCCTCCGCCAGCGATCCGGTGTTGGCCATCACGTATTGTGCCTTGGATAGAACCAGATCTATAGCTTCGTCGCAAGCACCCGACTTTTCCAAGCGAACAGAGAACTTGTCGGCAAACCCTTCGCGGAATACGACGTCAGGAGCATGCTGAGCCAGTGTCTGAATAAGGCCCTGGGCTGTCTGGTCGTCAGGAGATTGCGCTGCGAGCTGGCAGAAAGCGACCACCAGCTTCTTTGCATTTTCAACCAGTGGCCCGTGCTGCTTAGCATCCAGAGCTCGGATCTGTGCTACCAAATGAACCACAGGAGCCGCTGAGTCGCCAGATAGCCTCTTCAGTGCGAACCAGCTGGTTTGTGCCCAGATCTTGTCCATCAGCACCGTCCCGTACTTCTCTGCCAGGACCTCGATCTTGCAGTACAGCGCGACAAACGCCCCTGTCATTTCCTCGGCCACGTCGCCATTCTGGAGGTAAAAGTGCCACAGCCGATCCAGTTCCTGGGCTGCTTCCTTGCTTACACTGTCGATGCCCGCAGGTCCAGCTGCCTTTAGGCTGCGCTGCCACAAGAACGACAGGCATTCGCACAAGGCACTCGCCAGAGAAATGCTCTCGACCTGCACTGCCCTGGCACCGATCTTCGTGGCCGCAGCCGCTTCATCACTGGCCGCAGCACCCTGCCATAGAGCGCCGCGGAACTCGCTGCTAAACGCTGGCTCGTCAAGGATATCCGCGGGCAGGTTTGCCAGCAGCGCCAGAATCGATGGGTATGAGATTGTGGGGGCCATACGGCAGCGCGAACTCAGGAAAGCAAAGAGCCGGGCCACAGGCGGTGTCTTCTTGCCCTTGGCTGTGATCTCAGACCATGCCTGGGGGTAGTTTTTGGTGGTCAGCAAAACTGCATCCCACATGTCGCCGTGTGCTGTCGGGTCGTTGTCCACAAATGCATTTGACACCAGTGCCTGGGTCAGCTGCAGATACGAGTCCTGTGCCAGCTGCGGACACCCAAGCATGGCTGAGCGGATGAACCGGTATACGGCCCGGCGAATGAACGTGGCTGGGCTGGCCAGGAATTGCATTGCCTTTTTGCTGCCGAGAACCTCATCGAACTTGGCCTTCGCTTCCACCACTTTATCTGACTCGACTTCCTCGATGACTAGCCCCAGAATGCCAAACGAAGCGCCAATGACCTGCTCGAACTTGCTCTTCATTTCCTCGGCATCGGCAAACCGCGGGTCGCTCAGCGTCTCTGGTGTCTGGTTCACAATGTTGTCAACCGCAAAATCGACAAGCTCATCCATGCAGTACGCAAACACTTCTTTGCGCCGGGACTCTGGGAACACTGTCTCGTATGCCTTCTTGGACGTCTTGGCCACCTCCCGGTGCGGATCAAAGTAGGAGGCAATCCAGGCCCCGATCAGTTGCTTCAAATTGGGCGCCAGCCGCTTTCCGGCGCTCTTCACCAGCGCAGCATTGACCGTGGCCACGGCTGCACGCACACGGCGGTCGGGATCAAAAATGTGTTTTCTGAACAGCGGCGGCCACGCCAGCATCATGCCCTCCAGCCCGTCCTCCCATGTGTGCTCGGCAACGTATCCTTTCAGCTCAAACAGCGCACGCATCTTCGTCTTCGAGTCGTGCTTTCCCAGCCGCTTGAGCTGTGACGCCAGGTGCCCGTCGATCTGGTCTAATGCCGGCCCCGGTGTCGATGAGCGCGAGTTCGCCTCAGGCGTGGTGGACTTTGATGATTGCCTAGGACTGGGAGCTGCACGCGACAGCTGGCTGAACGCGAGAGCCGGGTTTGCCTTGAACGCGTTGATCGCCGCCATGTCTCCCTCGAGCAAGTCCGCCGCACGACTAGAAGAAAGGCAGTGAGGAAGAAAGTCAATGGGTGCTGTGGTCATTGGAATCAAAACAGTCAAAGTTGTATTCTGCTGCTCCAGCACTTACCTGCTGCTCGTTGGCTTGAGGTTGCCCTTGACGCGAGGTTGTCTACCCTTTCCCGACATTTCAAATGCTGTAAGATAAATTTGTATAGCTGGAAACAGAAAAAGAGAAAAACTTTTTTAAATTGAATTGTCGGAGCGAGGAAAAGAAAAATGGATGCTGCTGCGGTCCCACCAGCTGCTTTTTAGGAAATGCGGGCTGGAGTGGAATGTTCTAGCATGGTGATGTGCCTGTGGATGTCTCTAGCCAAAGATATACTTGGTTTGGTCTTCGCAAACACAGGCCAGCACATATGCGCTGTTGAACCTCTTTGCGCTGACGATGTTATTTTGTCGTGCAGCACTTGGCCGTGAACATCTGAGGTCGCTTGGATTGTGCATATCAAACTCCTCTACATCTGGCGCTGCATCCGTCCTGAGCTCGATATCTGTTCTCGCACTCTCTGTGCTGCCACTGCTTATCCATGCAGTATTATCAGGCTTTAATTGCTCCATGCAACATGCTATATTTGTAATTCTACTTGCAAATCACCTACGCATCGTATGAACACTGACTATGTGGAATGGGCACAACTACTGTGAAGAAGGTAGTGACTAAACTCGATGGTTTATTTATTGTCAGATTGAAAATAAAGCGACAGCTAATGTGTGTAGTCATCACTGCGGCGGTCTAAAGTCAGAGTATCTCTGCCAAAACTGGCCTAGGTCAACAAATGGACGGGGCGACACCTTGGAGGCGAACACAACGTCAGACTCCACGAACTCACCAAACTCGACAAAGTAATCAAGCATAGCATAGATCTCGGAGCGGTCAAAACCTTCGAACTTCTCGTTGACATAGGTAGCCGGCACTCCGGTGACACGTGTAAATGTGTCGACGATGTCTCCAGAACTGTACAGTCCACTATAGGCACCAACAATCTTGCCCTCGTAATCACCGCGGTTGTCAGCAATCAGACGCACAGCATTGCCCAGGTCCTTTTCGATGTCGACATACGGCAGCTTGGTATCCCTAGGCAGCGGGTACGAAAACCGCACAGCTGGAACCTCGTCTCCATCACTGTTGGCAGTAGTGGTCCACTTTGCCGTTCCCAAGAGGTTTTGGAAGTAGAATCCAGCGTAGACGTAGTATCCCTTGACCTTGTCCGACTGGCTGCGAATGTACTGCTCAATCTTGTTCTTCCCCTCAAGCTCATACACCTTCGTATACTTCCCATTGCTTCCCTTGGCCGCGCTCTCCAGCGAGCTGTAGATGATATGCGAGACTCCCTCGGCAATGGCGGCGTCGACAATGTTCTTGCCTAGCTTGAATTCAGCATCGAGGTCGCCAGCGTCAACCTGCGCCAGGACCTCTGGCTGCAGATAGTTGGTGTTGGCAAAGACAATGTCGACGTTCTTGAAGGCACGACGCAGGCTCTCTGGATCGTAGTTGTCGGCCGCAACCCACTCGACGTTGGGGTACTGAGCGCGCAGCTCCTTGACACGATCAGAACTGACGTTGCGGGTGACGCCACGGATGTGGTACTGGTCTGGCGATTCGTATAGAGAGGCGACGACAGATCCGCCTTGGGCTCCGGTGGCTCCAATAACAGCGACAGTTTCAGGCATGGTTTCAGATGACGAGGACAGTTGGCTTGAATCCTAGTTTGTTGATGATAATGTTGAGAAAAAAACCGAGATTGGGTCTCATTCTTATATGCCTTTGGATTCTTGACAGCACCCTATTCATTAGTAATCAGCTTGCGTACATGCTCTGCCAGTCGGTTCTCTAGACGACGGAGTCTCCGCAAGAGTGGACTGACGTGAGAAACTTCTGGAAGAAAATTATCGAAAAAAAGCATTTTCCTGTATTTATAAGCAGTGCGGTGCTGAGAGGAACTCCGCAGGCCGCCAAAAACCTCAGCTCCGCAGACCAAGGCGGCAGCTCAGCACCCGGCTCAGCTCAACACCCGGTTCAGCTCAGCAGCATTCGAGTAGTCTCTTGTGGCCGTTATCCACACAGCCTGCATGCAGTCTGGGAACGAAAATATTACCAGCAGTGGTGTTGGTTCGAGTGCTGCATTAGCCACTTTGTCACTGACTGTGGTCGGTGAATATCTGACAACTAGTCCGCCACCGACATTATAAAACTGCAATTGGCTCAGAGGGTAGAAGCTGTAGGAAAGCCTTGCATGTGGATGCCATGCCTGCTGCACAGGAACCAAAATCGGAAACTGCACTAGTGACGTGTATCCGGAACCGCCCCAACGACAGCCCAACTGCGACCTGCTATTGAACTTATCTGCCCCCTTCCCAGCTATTCAGGTTGTAGAGCCGACTCATCCAGCAATGCAAGCTGTGAGAGGGGTCCAGCTCGTGGATGAGACCGTCGTTATGGTGGTAGAAAAGTCTCAGCAATAGACGTTCGAAGCATGCTAAAATGCAGGCAGCTGCATCTTCGCATAGTTGGCAGCTCTTGTGTAACCTGGACGCAAAAATAGTGGACCCTTAATGGCCCATCACATTAAGAATCTGGGTATCTCGCCCCCCTCCTCAATATGGCGATTCCCCACAGCCACCTTTTTTTTTTCCTTTTTTGCACACATTATCCTTCCAACCCATTTGGAATGCATCGACTGTACTCGACAGTACGTAGCAAGCGCCCGGCGCGGATAAGGTTTGCCCACCAGTGGACGCAAAAGCAAGAACGCATTCTGTACCACAACATCTACAATGAGTATCTGACGAAAGCCAAGCCGATCGACTGGAACCGTGTATCGACACGGGTGCAGGCCGAGCAGTCGGAATGCGAAGCAAAGTTCTATCAGCTCCAGCAAGGGCTACAGGACCGGTCGGCGCCGCGTATGAGCATGTGGACAAGAGACGAGGTTGAAAAGGTTATTCGAGGTGCACACAAGGCCGAAAAGGAGGCGCTACGGCGAGGCGAGCAGGACATTAACTGGGAGGACGTGGTGAAGGAGACCAGGCTTGCAAGAGATCCGAACGAGTGTCGGAGGATTTATGATACGTATTACCATTTGTGTCGCGTGAACCTGGGTCTTGATGGGAGCAACCCCAAGATCCTGGGACTGGTGGGTGTACTGGGACTGGCAGGTGTGTACATTCTAGGCGAGCCGCTCTTTACAGCACTTGTCGGTTAAGCGGATCAGGATACCAGGGTACTGGGTTCTGGCCTGTGTCGCCCACTTGGCCTCTGGGAAACCACGGATGTTGTGAACCTCTGAGCACTCTATCTTTAGACAAGAACAGTGAACTTTGGAAGTAGGAACGACAAATGATGCCATTCGTGAACGCAAGAACGATGCCTTGTTATGCAAGCGCTTGATGAAGGGAGAGGTGATCACTCCTATGCAGCAGGCACTGTGGTGCGGGCACAGATTTTGCATTAGAACAACCAGGGAGCAATAGCGGGCCCGGGTGAGGGGACGTGGATCTGTTATCTGCAGACGCTGCAGTGCACATCTTGGCATAAAAAGGGGATAGAGAGAGCAGCGGAAGGAGGGCGCGCATTTTAATATGACCATATATAGAAATGTAAAAAAACGGGCAATGAGCTGTGGATTCGGGCGCTGGCGAATAGCCAGGACAGCATTTTGAAATAGATGAGCTTTTATTCTAATTACATGGGATAAACGGAGAGCTGGAAGGGCCACCAGTTACTGGTCCGCAACGGAAGCGACAAGGAAAGGGATTACCCGATGCTCTGTCGGAGTTTCGACTGCCGAGTGCGCCCATGCTGCCTCCTCTAGTTTCGCCCGATTTCTGAGCCTTCGGGCCGCGAATGGCCCAGTCAGTAGCGATGACAAAGCCAGCCTCCCTCCCTCCTGCACCTTTCCCCCTTCGTATTTTATTGATGGGTGCTGAAATTAGGGACAGTGGGGAGCAAGACCTTGGTTTTGTTTTTTTCTTAAGAGCAGCCTGCAGAACCAGCAGCAAGTGTGCCTTCCAATGCTTGGACGAAGGGGTCACGCAGACTACCAATCTGGTATCAGACGTGACATTAGCAATCGAAGTCAGATGGCGGTCTGGGCGGACTCGGGTAGTCGCGACGAAGGGCGGTGTCGGGGATCGAGGTAGCTGGAGTCATTATGATGGTGGTACAAAGAGGTCGTTGCTGTACAGAAAATTACAAAGAGACTTGGAATAAGAATAAGGTTTTATCTGGGAATTGGCGGTTACGTGCTAACTGTGGAGATAGGCCAAGTCCAGAGGGTGGGATGCGCATTGCCCTTTTATACCAAAGGCGTTCACGGCTGGGCTGTATCCGGGATAAGAGCAGAGCAAGTAAAAAAGAGAAGCGAAGCGAACAAAAAAAGAACGAGCTCTGGGCGGGTGGAGGGGTCGGGTAGGTGGACCCCCGTGTCTTGGGAAATCTCGACAAGGGGGTGACCGCTGGGCGAACAGGCTTTTTTGTTATTGGGGAGGGAGCCTACGTGCATAACGAGGACTTGTTAGCCGGGTTTGGAATCCACTGGCACTTGCCGAGGGGTATTGGCCATGATTATCGTGAACAGGTGCGCAGCAACAAGTGACGACGGCTTCGGAGTTTGTTTCCCCTGTCACAGCACCAAGGGCCAGTCGGCGCTGTGAAGAACAGTACGCTGCGGCAGTTGCCAAGTACTCCGGTGAGCCCGACAATTTCGCCTTGGGCCGAAGCGCCAAGCCCGGGGGAGGCGACAAAAAAGTAGACTATTTTGCTCCAACTAGTCCAATAAATGCGTATAATAAAGACAGCGGCTTAGGACCGACGGTTTTGGCTTCGTAGGCGCAGACAAGGAGGCCATTCATTTCAATGGCATCTGTGCTCCTTTATTTCGAAACAGACTATTATGAGACACTTCAAATTTTCTGTATGTCAATAGCAAAAGGTCTTGCGTTGTGCGATGGATGCGGAGAAGAATGCACGCACTTGCAGCGAAAAAGGAGAGGTGCCTGAAATTGACGCCTGCTGTGGTAAACAAAAAAGCCCTGGTTTTCTGTTCCTGTTTTAGAGTTGCTAGTGTGTGTGCCGATTGTAGGCGGAATGTTGTGATTTCAGTCGGGCGGGCTTGGGAGGGAGAATTCACTCTTGGCACTGGAGCAATATTGCAGGCAAAGCCGTAGCTGCCAGGTTTTGCTACAGCAGCGCCTGCCGGCCCTAAAATTGGTAGCAGCCGCCCACCATTATAAGCATCGACAATAATCCTAATATGAGCAGCAATAAACTTTTTCCCCTTGTGCTGCTATTAGGCTTGCACGAGACATGCGGCAGGCGGCAGTGAATTTTCCAGCAGTAGCTATTCCAACGAACGAAGCGCTCCAGCGCGACTTGTGCTTCGTTTGGGAAATCACTCGGTCAACGAGACTCACCAATGTTGGAACAAGGGGGCACGTTCCTAGTTGGAAGCGGGCAATGCGCAGTAGGCAAGAGCAGAATGGCAGAGTACTGTGAGGGAAGCGAGTATGCATGCTGCAGTGCTGATTTTGATACGGGCATGCGCGCACACCTTTTACTCACTTTCAACAACAAACACTCCAGGCACGGCACGGGGGAAACAGCGATCTGCGCAATACAGCTGAGTGTCTGACTACGCAATAAGCGGATTGCACTTGCTTGGTTTCCGTAGCAACCAAAAATAAATATATTTCCGCAGCACCTCAGACTTTGTCTAATTTTCTCAACCTAACCGACTATCGGCTGGCCAGTCCTGCGTGCGCGCTGCACACTCGTAATCGCAGGCCTGATGGCCCAATCCTTTCCATACGTGGGCACCATGGCCATGATGATGTTGACCAGGTTCTGGTTCACGCCGGCCATGATTCTCTCTTTGTCGCCCATTTCCTCGATGCTGGCACGGCATACGGGACAGTCAGTGCTGTGGTTGAGGGACCGACACAGGCACTTGGCGCACGCGTTGTGGCCGCAGGGCGTGGTTACTGGCATCTGCACAAGCTCCTGACACACAGCACAAATGAACATGCGCTCAGTGACCGCCTCTAGGAACGCCGACTCGCTACTGAAAGTGGCTTTCAACACCTCGGTCCAGATGCGGTCATTCGCACTATCAAGACGAATCAGCTCACGCAACACGGCATTCGGCAGGACCCGCACCGACGACGATGCGGTAGGCTTGCGCAAACTGTGGCTCCGGCCGTCGGCATCGGCGCCATCGGGATCGTACAACTCGAGCCCGAGCTCCTTGGCCCGCAGCTGGCCCTCGGGTGTCCAGGGCACCGGCTCTGGGTCATCCCGGCGGAACCAGAACCGCCAGACATACGGGCCGCTGTGCCCCCTCTCCTTCCTGTACTTGTAGATTTTGTAGATGCCGTCGTAGCGCACCCCCTCCGCAGGCGCGAATTCAGGGTGCTTCTTGGCGACCTTGTAGCTGCGGCACACGCGGATCGGCGAGCTGCTGCGCCAATCGGCAGCCTCCGCGCCAACATCGGTGTTGATTGGCGCCGCGCACGCGCGTGCCAGAGACAGGTTCTGGCGAGTCAGCTCCTGGTCGAAGACCTGGATTTTAGCCGTGCGCTTGTTGCCAGACAGATCGTAACCACCAGACCCAGTGTATATAAACTCGTCACCATGATCTTCGTCCTCTGGGTAACCGGCTGCCAGTACAATCGAGACAGCTGGCGTCGACGACTTGCCAGCGATACCAGCGACTGGCGGCCGGTGGACTCCAGACTCGGATACGTGAATACGGTAGCGCCATGACTGGCCGACATGGACACCTGGGATTGGCCCAGCATAGTCCTTGTCTACAATGGTGCACTTCTTGGTTGTGCCAACACACGCCATACCGCCGCCCCAGCTCTTCGTCTGGGTTGCCGACGGCATCTTGGCCTTGCGCGCCGACTTGCCAAACGTCTTTTCGCCTTCAACTACTCCTTCATTCTTGTTAAAACAGTCGGGGCAGAACCAATCCTCCTCAGGCACTATAGTCAGTGGTGGATAAAGGCAGCGCATGTGGAAGAACCGTCCACACTCGTCGCAGCTAAGCGTGTGTTCCTCGTCGTCCTTTCCACCACATTCAGTGCACCCACAGCTCTTACAATCCTTCACTGAATCGTTCTTACAGACATCACAGTTCGGCAGCGGCGGTAGATCACCGTCCTCCTCCATAGCAATGTCCTCGGCTTTCCCGGACGGCGCGTCGTCCTCAATGGCCGTCGGGTGCGGTGCATCGGCTGCTTCGCCCATGCTATCGTCGTTTGCCGGTTCTTCTATCTGATGCTTTATGAATGCGATAAATGTGTCACCGTGGGCCACGCTATAGTCAAACAATTTCATGCTGTCTGCGAGCTAAAAACAAAAAAGAAAGAGGTAATGCATGTCAGTACCAAATATGCAGGATACCACAACTGAAGAGATGGGCAATGCGGCATAGATTTTAATTTAGTGTTTACTTGCCTGCTTTCCACAATAAATCAACATGATGCGCCCTGGCTGCAACTCCTTGTCCAGCTCCTTGGACAACCACGTTGCCGTCATCTGGCGAACATTCTCAACCTTTTTCTGTCTGCCTGACAGTAAGGAAGATGTTGATTTCCTCGGTCGCCGTGTATTTGACTTTAACCCTCATTCTTCCTCACGATGCGCGCTTTTCATCAAGTGATGATATTGACGCAATATAAAGTCTACAATATGCAAAATAATAACAGGGTGTAAGCATGTAGGAAAAGCAACAGCTGGAGCAAGAGCCATTTTTTCATCTACCATCAGCCAACTCTTGTAAACTTTATATCAAGCAATATTGTAAAACTATGGGGTTGATCTAATCGCCTGATTCATACGATTAGTAAGCCACAATGAACGGTAGAGAATGGGCTATTAGTACAGGAGTCGCTACTAGAAATACTCTGCTCGCGATGCGAGCTCGGGTGCTAGTCAGCATGGGTTGACACGTCGATAAGGGCATCACGGCGAACTGATCATTTGAACGTGTCGGATGGTTGTTGGTGCAATGTCGATCATGGACATCTCACACCTTGTTGGCCTGCTCAGCGCAGGCGCTTCAGCGCTGGCTCGCTGCTGCTGACAACAGAATCGCCTGCTCCTGCTGCACGCCTCTTGCGCGGGTTCTTTGTTGCAGGGGTGGTGCCAGAAGCATCGGCGGCAATGGCCGTAGGGCAACAGAACCGTTCAGGAATACTGCCTGAATCACAGAGTGACTGGAAAATGAGCCTGAAGTTTAGAACTGCTGCGATATCGCGGTTCAAGAGCCGAGACGAATAGTCCCGCCTGTATTGTGCCATGGCCTGCTTACATGACTCGCTTGTACAGCGGAGAAGGCCATGGCACTTCACAGTTGGGTTCTTCGATCTCTGGTAGGGCCGCGGGTTGGGAACATGCCGGAATGTCTGCTGCAGTGGCCTCTGTTTCATCTGATGGCATCTTTGCTGCTTCGCGTGCAACCTTCTTGGCCAATTTTTCGCCCTTTTCTGCTGCTTTCCTTGCCTCTGTTGCTGCCCTCTTTGCTGTGTTGATCTCTGTAGCCTGCTCGTGTGTTTTCGAAACAAACACCTGCTTGATTATTTGCTTGTCTAAGCGCACATGGCCTGGGATCCATGATGTCCGCAGAGGCAAGCATTGGGGGGAGACTTGCCAAGCTGCTCATTCTCGATAAGCTGGCATAGGCGAATGTATGCACGCAGATGCTGAAGTGGATTTACCTTGGCATCATAGTATCGGCTGCCTTTGGCGAATCTGTACTTGGAATCATAGGCATTGAGGGCTGGTGCCAGCTTGTTGTAGATTGCAAGCATCGGTGGAGTGAGCACACTGAGATCAGGGCGCCTAGAGGCAACTGCCTGGCGGAGCTTCTGTGCAGGTGTATAAATACATACTTGACATGCGTCATTGAACTCAGCCTTGGACACATTGCCCATTGTACTGTGCAGTGTGTTTTTGCGGCTGCGAATATCAATCCATTTGGCCAGAATCCGCTGTAGGCAAGTGCCATAGTGCAACACAATGTTGTTCTTGTATACTGTCATCAGCTCGGTATCCACGTATGTTGCTACTTGATTCATTTCGCGCATGCCATGTAGCTCGATATCGCCATTATGCAATAGATAATCATAAATATGGTATCTAACTACATCACCGAAATCTACGCTCGACAGTTCTGACTTGTCCTTCCGGTTGACGAAATCCTTGGCAGATATTGTGGTATTTGCCTTCAGGTTGCGATAAATGAATAAATAAATAAAACGAAAAAACCCCTTTTTCACAAGTATTGAAGGGTCAAAGGTATCATTGTTAGCTAGCTGATGGAGTAATATCCATCGTGCACGCATGTATGTATGCTCTTTGATGATATTGACGCTGTGTACAAATTGCTCTAGGCGAGGCAACATAGAATCACGGAAGCCAATACCACCAAGTGATGTCTTTATGGCAGTAGTGCTACTGGTAATATTCATTTGAGAAATTCAATAGGCAAAGTAAGAAGAGAAATGATGCTGTTCAGTTTTGCTTTATTGCGTATGCATAGCATTGAGAACTTTTTATTAAAAATTATCTGGCTTGCATGGTTCTTGGGGCCCTTAGTACTGATGCAGTCTCTTGAATTAGTCTATACAGACTGGGTCCATTGTGGCCCAAATACTACTGCTTATGCATATTCATAAGACAAATTAATTTGTAAAATTAACCCACAAATATTGCATGACCGCTAGAAGAGCTATATGGCCTTATTCAATAGGTGCTCATGAATGAATATCCTAAGAGTGTTGCGCAGTCGGTGATGACTACCATGATGATGCCATGGAAGTTATCAGGCCGACCGACAATGAGAGCAGCTCTTGCGCTGAGCCAATGGAGATATCTGGTGGAGACCTGTGACCAGTACAATAACAACTTGTCACCCTGGTTTCACCGATGAGGTCAGATGCCGCACAAGATCAAAAAGGAGTTTACAGAGCAAGCCACCCAAACTCGCTTCGAGGTTTAAAAGTTTATTAACTAATTAAAAAGATTCTAGCAGACAGTCGGACACTTTTTGGACTATAAAATCTTATAAATAGGTAGGTAAAGATAAAGCTATTTGTAAATTCTAGGCCAAGTAGTTTAATCTAGGTTAAGCTAGCTAAGCTTAAGCCATATATATAAGTATATATTTATACTGTTGCATGCCCACTGCAGCTGTCCCTGATATCAACATGTCAGCTGAATTAGGTGACAGCAAACTAGGTGCCAACAAGAGCCCTACTATAGCCTACAATATGGAGGTAGAATCTAGCCTCTGGTAAGCTGCACAGGTAGCTGTATTGAAAACTCCCCTGTGCAACTCATCTATTCCCTTTTCTCTCTTTTCTTCTGTATTAAATATAACTTTTAAAATCCCCACATATTCAACAAACACAACAATACTAAGTCATTTAATAACTTAATTGTTACCAATCAATGTACTCTGTGTTTGCAACCTCTCATTTTCAATATTACCACAAATGGATATGGCATCCTTTTTCACAGCACAAAGTAAAATCATCGTCCACATTGTGACAAACTCCATTTACAAGTACTCCCTACTAACATATACCTAGGGCTTGAGGGATAATCATGGATTTATTTCAAAACACGCCCACATCTCGCACCAGAAAACGACAACCCGTGGGGTATACAAACGAACGTCGCGATCCACATCCCTCGGCTGCTTATTCTATGTAGAGCCACAGATATCTGTTTATACCAGTCTATTTGCTGGGCTTAGCACCGCCGATCACGCGACCGAGCTGGACGACCGACAGCAGGGTGCCGCCGATAATCAGACCAAAGATGCCGCGGACAACAAGGCGCGAGCCGGCAGTACGCAGGTAAATGGGCGAGTGGCCGTTCTATAAAAATGAGCATGGATTAGTCAAACGAAATCACTGCTGTCTGATGCTGAATTCAGTCGTATACGTACGTGGTAGAAACGCTGCTTGTCAAGAATACCCATTGTTAAAAGTCTGCTTAATTTTAAGAAAAAAAAATACTTGTCAGAACAAAGAAAGAGCAAAAGGAAAAACGTCGAATTGAAACGGAATTCGAACTGCGACTGCTAGTACTGCCGAGTGTTATCTGCTCTGCTTTCACGCTCTTTTTACTGATGGTCTCGAATCTGGCCATACGTGCTGATTCCAAATCTCTGATATCTGAAATCTAATCAACAGTTTATTTTATTTTTTCTTAGGCTCCGTGGCCACAAGGCCGCTGCATGTTCTCAGCTCTCCTGCTCTACATATTTCTTTTACATTGCTACTTTGCAGCACATAATGATATCTAGCTTCGCAGAGCAACAGCTGGCCAAGTATGGCTGGAAACAGGGTGAGGGCCTGGGCAAAGAAAAGACAGGTATCAAGCGTGCTATCACCGTCTCACGGCGCACCGACAACCGCGGTATTGGATCGGACGCCAGCCAATGGACCAGCAACTGGTGGGACCATCTCTACAACAAAGCCAGCGGCACCAGTACCCCGCAGCCCGAAGAGGACCCCGAATATGCAGCCAAGGTTGCCGAAGCTGCCGCTCAGCCCGACACACTATCCGAGTACAAGGGCATGTTTGTGAAATCGGCGACCGATACACCGGTGGGCCAGTCGGGGGCCAGCACACCCAAGGCGCAGGGCGGGCCTGTGGACCGGACACTGCTGGTGCGGGATGGCGACGTGCATTTGGGTGTGACTATTAGCGACGCAGAGCTGTTTGCGGCGTGTGAGGGGCGGATGGCGAGGAAAGGGGCCCGGGCGGAGCAGAATGGCAAACTGGCGAGGGTCAACGGCGACGGGATGCCTCGGCCAGAAGTTGCAGCCATGATTGAGGCAGCATTGCGTGGAGAGGCGCAGAGCCAGATCATGACACAGTCGAAGCGGAAGCGTGATACGAGCGAGAGTGAGGGAAAGAAGAAAAAGGACAAGAAACACAAGAAGGAAAAAAAATCCAAGGACAAGAAACATAAGGACAAGGAGTCCAAGGGCAAGAAACATAAGAAGGAAAAGAAGTCCAAGAAGGACAAGTCAGAAAAGAAGAGCAAGAGCAAGTCGCTATGATAGTCCATCTTTGTAATTAGCAGACTTTGAACCCATCCATATGCCGTCTGTATAATACACACCATGCGTACCGGTGCACAAAACCACGGATCGGAGAGTGGTCTGGTTTTATACGCATATTTTGGCCTGTATGTTTTTGTAATGGAACCTGCTTCACTCGCCTCTTTTGATCCGGTATACAGCTCCGACTGTGTCGAGTTCTTCCCGTTTGACGACTCGCAGCGGTTCCTGCTTGGAACCTATCAGCTCCTGAAAGCCAATGGTGAAAAAGCCTCCGACGACCAGAGCTTGACATCGGCCGACGCCAGGCGCATCGGCCGTCTTTATGTCTGCGATGCGCAGGATAACGCCGACGGGTCAATGTCGGTGGTTGAGCAGCAGCGGATCGAGACTAGCGCGATCTTTGATGTCAAGTGGAGCTACAACAAGGTCAACGGGAAGGCCCTGGTGGGATTGGCACTGTCTGATGGCGACATGGCAGTGTACGAGGCAGATAACACCAGTGACTCGCAATTCCTCAAACCACTAATCAAGACAGCGGGGCCGACATCCGACAGCAGCATGTGTCTGTCGTTGGACTGGTCGAATCGGCTGATACAAGAGAGCCAGCCTCGGATCATGACTTCGCAGAGTGACGGATCGCTAAGGCTTCTTCAGATGCGCGAGTCGGGCGACCTAGAGAGCAGTGAGCCGTGGCACGCACACGGGTTTGAGGCATGGATCACGTCGTTTGATTATTGGAATACGTCGGTCGTGTTCTCCGGCGGCGACGATGCCGTGTTCAAGGGCTGGGATCTGCGCATGGATCCGGTCGGATCATCCCCGATCTTCTCGTCGAAGCGGCACGTGGCCGGCGTGTGCAGCATCCACTCCAACTTCCACCGGCAGCACTTGCTCGCCACCGGCAGCTATGATGAAAATGTAATGGATCTGGGATACGCGTTCAATGAGGGCTCCACTGGCTGAGCACAGCGTCGGTGGTGGTGTGTGGCGACTAAAGTGGCATCCAACGGAGCCCACTCAGCTGCTGGTCGCAGGAATGTATGGGGGCTTCCATATCCTGGATGTAGATGTGGATGGGCTAGAGAGGAGCGCAAAGGTTCCGCTGCCGGATAGTCGGTAGGCCCAGTGTCAATGTCGAGCTAACCACGTCGTTCATGGAGCATGGTTCGATTGCCTACGGCGCTGACTGGTGCCAGTTCAACCGTGGTCCAGCCAAGGACTGGCTGGTTGGCACCTGCTCGTTCTACGACCACCTGTTCCATCTCTGGCGCAGGCCAGCCATTGGCCAGCGGTAGATATACGCACGTGACGAGACCCTCTGGTTTGAGCGTGTGTGAGCGTGCAGGCGTGGCTACTTCTTGCCTTTCTGAAAAACATTTTTAATTGACAATAAACGCATCACGCGTTAATTTCAGCTGCTATTTTAACAATGAGCGAGAACCGTTCAGCCGAGACACTTTAGGCCGAACACGCGTGCAGAGCTGGCCGAGACCTACCACAAGCAGAGACCAGTGAAGCAGACCAGACGCCAGGTCACCAAAGTGTTCTCTGAGCAGCCGCTGAATCTGCAGAACCAAATCACGTCTGGTCTCCCAGAGAAGGAATCAAAAAAGCCAGCCAAGAGCGAATTGCCGGTGTCGTTGGGCGATAACCCGTTTGACCGGGGCATGGACGCAACCAATCCGCAGAGCGAAGTCGACCGGCAACTATCGGCCAGATCGGACGACACTGCACTGCAGCCTGACCAAGTGGCTGCAGAGAAACAGCTGGCGAGCCTACAGTCAAAGCTGAAGCGGTCAGAGACAGAGGTTATCACACTGCGGCACCAGCTTGCTGAAGCAAAGGCAGACCTCAAGGCTGCGGAGGACAGGCTGCGCGAAAAGGACAAGATGATTCGGGAGCAAGGAAAGCAGATCGATGAGCTCATTGATGAGCGTGTACCGATGGATGATATGGAGGCGGTTATGAAAGAGAACAAGCGTCTGACAGCCGAGTTGGCTGACAATCGAGGCGCTACTGGCCGAGTGCCAGAAACTGCTAGAAGAGTATGTCGCTGCTGATACCCCCAGCAACTAGCTGGGCTACTTCTCCCCAGTCCTAGCATTTTCTGTATATCTTTTAAAATTCCTCATACCCACTCGACAGCCATCGCTTGTGAAGCATGGGATCGTACACTTAATATGTATAGGCATATGAAGGTGGTGCTGTCAAAAGAGATGATCTAGGCGGCTGCACATGAAGTGGCAACGGAGGAAGCAGGGTCATTCGCCTGCAGTGATCTGGGAAACGCGATGCTTACATGCTTAGCATCTCTGGCGGCTCAGACAGCAGCTCTTTTGGTTTCAGTTAGTCCGAAGACTGCCCGAGAACCTGTGGACCTTGACGTACCTAGCTTCTTTGTCAAAGCAGCTGAGGAGCACACCCATTTTCGCTACATATTGGCTATTCACGCCAAGGTCAGCTAATGTTTGGCAGACAGCATACTAGTGTGTATAGACCAAACCAGTCAAATCCCGTATATGCATAGAGGTTGAGCTGCAACAGGCTCTCATTGATGGGGAACCGGTCGTCTGGGTCAAGCATATCGTCGACGTTTTGAAAATTCACAGCCTGGTCAGCAAACAGCATGTCCTCTGCGTCGTTGCGGTCCATCGAGTAGCTCACAACCGTCAGTTTCTGAAGGGACGGAAGCTGGAACAACAGGCTGGTCATGCAATTTGTGTCAGCGATGCTGACGAGGAAGTGGAGCGAACATAGATTCGCCCATGGCGTAAGTACCGGGATAGGATACAGAAGGCCATCGATAACTGCTTCCTCCACTGTGCTTTGGCTCTCAAACAGCGATTCAATTGCGGCGACTGAGTACCTGCCCATGAACTGTGGGTATCCGGTGGGGTGACCGACTCTCAGCTGCTTGATATCTTTAAGGATGCTAAAGTCGATGCTTGAGTAGTAGGCGGGGTCCTCGGATATGCTCAGCTTTGTGATTGGGTTTCCAATGAAGAACGTGTAGAAATCTAGATACACCAATCCCGATCCGCACACTTTCAGGGTCTCCAGCGAGCCAAACACGATATCATTGCCTTCGCCTGGAAAAGATGCTGGCTGGTCGGGTGACCACACGAACTCCACTGTCAGTGACTCGAGGTTGGAAAAGTCAACAACACCTTTGGACATATTAAACAGTCGCCATGGGAACATGTGCACGATCCGGTAGAGATCGAGTTCGCGAAGGCAGTGAGTGGGAATGCCTGGCAAGTCAGCGTTCATCTGAAGACACGCAGAGTTAAGCCTCAGCGTTGTCAGATTCTGGCAAAAGCCGACCAGTTCGTTGGATAAAGGCGTAAGCACGTCGGCATGCTCAAGCTGTGACCTGTATTTCTCGGTGAGTAAACGCCAGAAAATACCAAACGTAGTCAGGAATATCAGTCGCACAGGGGGAATCGTCGCCGGTGTGGTTGGGACTGTAGAGCCGAAGGCTGCTGACATTCTGAAATGTCCGATGGATGGTGTCTGCTGCCTCCTCGGCCTCGCTACGCATCTGCCTCAGTGTCTGTAATGAGCCAGCCTCAAACGCACCATTGCCAACCATCACAATGGAGGACACATTGGACACAACGCTGGAGATACCCGGCACTATCACCAGTACTGCCTTGCTGAGATCCAGTGGCTGCTTGCTCTCGTCAGTCATGACTATCCTGAACTCGGTCACCAGGTGGAGCTTGCCCTTTGCTGCAAGAGAATTGACGTTTGACTTCCAGCGCCTCTTGTGGCTCTTTAAGCAGCTAGACTTTGCACACACACACTCAACTGTGCACTGCAGGAAGAGGACACTGAAGGTATCATCCGGAATCCAAACATGCATCTTGGGGTAGCTGTTGATGAAATCAATAACGCGGTCATATTCTTCCATCGTTGAGGTTTTGCGCAGCGACTCCCTGCAGAGGCCATCTATATACATCCTCAGTACTGCCTCGTCCATATCCAGGGGGTGCATCGCTTGTAGTTTAGAACAGAAAAATGGAGAGGAGAGGAGAGGGACAACTGGAAACTTGAGCCGACAAGTGGAGATAGCCTTGCAAGACGGTTGTCAGCCCCACCCACCCTCATTAGCTCACTTTTGCTACACAATGGAGGGGGAAATGCACTGCTTTTCACACATGCATAGGCGCGCAGAATCCCGTGCCACCTGCTTGCAGTGAGCCAAAAGACTGAGCTGCAAACAGAGTGTACGTGTTCGCAGTTCCCAACAGCTGCGTGGCGTAGCCATTAAGAGGACACCATGGCTAATTGCCAGTGTTTATGTTCGACAGTTGCGCGGTAAAGGCATCCCTGGCGAGTATATTATCGATAATTCGAGCCGTGGCCACATATACCGGCAAAGCAGCTAGTATATAAGCAGAACTTTGCGGCAGTAGCCATTATGAGTAACATACTAACGGAAAACTCTTAGACGCTTGGCTTTGAATCAGGTTCCGGGGCGGCTGGGGCAACACTGGTAACAGTGACGATCTTGCCCATGTCATGGCCGCAGCTGGAGCACTTGTGGTGGTTCTCCTTCATCGAGTCCGACAGGCACATGTAGCACCCGGCCGGCCAGCAGATGCAGCACACGGCGATGGCTGCGACCAGAGTTGATGTGCTCATCTCGCGCTCCACCTTGGAAAGCCCATCCTTGTTGCATTTCGGACAGTGTACCTGGGCCGGGATGCTGTCGATATGCATCTGCGGCGCAGCGTATGTTGCACGGGTACCTGTTGCCCCCTGAGCCGGCTGGGCAGCAGGCGTCGAAGTCTCGGGGTTGTAGGCGGCGGGGGATTACTGACAGCTGGCTCCTCGGTATACGGGATACTCTTCTCGTTAGTGGCGCTCATTTTTGTATGAGATTAGCTAGTAGTTGGAAAATATAGGGTGTTCGTGGAGACAAGGAGAGGGAGGGAGCAGGCTGTTGAGGCCCTTCGCCACCAGGACACATGGACGGCTGCTTATATGGTGCTGAGCCAGTCGCTGTACCACCTTTTCGCTGATATTTCGAAAACAACAGCAACCACGCTGATGCCAGTCGCTGCGCACACTGTCCTGAAAGAAAATTGCAGGAAAAAGTCCATTTTTTACCTGGGGATTTGCAGAGCAGCAAATATGCATCCTTTTCGTGACAAAAAAAAACGCTGATTTCTTTGCTTGGTGATTTCTAAATGCAGCTACTTGTCAGACCACCAGCTCCCCCATTTTGGGCTGCCTATCCACACCACAGCAATCCTCAGCACAAATCAAAGGGATTCCAGCGTGAAACCCAGACCGGTGCCCCATTCCCCTATCAGGAAAGGCGTTTACATCACCGATAGACAAGGGCCGCGGTCGAGGACCATGCAGAGGTTCTCACTCCTTTCCCCACCTCCCTGCATCCTCATACACATTTCTGCTGCTGTGCCCATCTGCGGAAAGGCTAAACGTCGCTGTTGGTGAGTACATGCAGACACCAAGCTATATGCCTACAAGACATGTGTAAAAAGCAATCAATTGGTTCACCAGTTTATTTCTATGGACTATGATTTGAACACCTTTGGCTCGGTTGCCTTGGCCTCCTCAGGACTGAGAACCCGAAATGTCTGCGTGCCGTCTGGGTGAGCCGTGGTAACGATGCAGCCAATCTCAATACCGCAGTTCGGGCAGTGGTGGCGGTTGACCTTGAATTCGTCTGACCCTTGCATAGCGGCATATGCACAGCAGCCGAGACAGCCGGCAGCAAACCGGGCATCATCAGTTAGCCTCGAGTAGACTACAGATTTGATACGCTTCCTTGCAGTCAGGGCATATCATCTCTACGGGGACGTTGTCCGCAGTCATTACAGGAGGGGCATAGGCTGGCTTTTTGACGGGAGCAGCCTCTGAGGATGCTGAGTGCTGGGCCATGGGACTCTCTGGTGCAGAAGTCGCAGAGGTCTGAGATGTGTCGTCCATAGTGAATCAAAAGCAGCATATAAAAAACATCTGGAGGTAGCAGTGAGCTGAAGGGAACTGGGCTCTGGCGTACCGGAAACTTATAGCGTATAGTAGCAGCTGCAAAGCTGGATCAAATGTACATGTATTTCCTGATGCGCTTTCAATAATGAAGGATTTACTCGCTTTCGTTGCTTGCTGTGTTTTTTTATAGCTTCTACTAATGGGGTATCACTAAAGGAATAGCAGGATTTCCGTTCCAAATGAGCGAGATGGCAGGATTGAAACACGCTAGTTGAAATGGTATTCAGATGTACTGGCTGCAGCACTGAAAGCAAGGTTCAAGCCGGGAAAGTACATGAGCCTAGGGGTTTGGGAGGAGAGAAGTGGTTGCTAGTCTGAATAAAAGGCACATAACTAGTCCAAATACATTGAAGTTGAAGGTATGGCAGCACCAGTTAGTGGCAGTTCGGGAGCATAGCATCCACAGCTACTGAGCTTATGCAGTAAGGACACCTTTTATTTCTTCAATATCTACTATTTAGGGAAATTAGTAACTAACCTTGGGCTGCGGTGCGCCCAAGTCGGTTTACCTAACTCCAAAAGCCGACTTCATTCTCTGCCAAATGCAGGCAAAACAATGAATTAAGAATCGTGGGTGTTTGCAGGTAGTGGGCCAGGTCTGACCTGGATTCAGTTAACGGTGTGCAAGAAGCCAGTGAAAATGCAGCCTATTCTAGGCTCCATTGCAAGGCTATACCGGATTTCCTTGGACTATTTCGTTGTGCTACCAAGGAGCGCGCCTGCCAGGTGTCAATTGCTAGACTGCTTGGTCTGTATGGGTCTGCATCGTGCGTGCAATAGCCAATCCGGTTTTGCAGGTGTGGTGTAGGTGCATGCAGAGTGCGTGCCTCAGCAATCACCAGCCAAAATACCAGCTGCATCTAGAAGACCAAAGCCACTACTCCCAAGGGGTGAGGAGCGGTGGGATTGCTGTGAGGACGCCGATATCTTGATACCGGTAATCTCCTGATGATTAATTACCAGGAAAGCCTGCCACCGGGTTAGCTTGGCTTGTGCTGTGAAAATTGGCAGTGAGCGACATGATCGACAATCGCTCCCCCAAAAAAACTTCTCACAATGTTAACTTATCATACCGGGTAGTACCGCTTCGGATCAGGGAGTCTGGTATCATAAATGGCTATAAAAGCAAGAGCTTTGCTCGTCTCCTGTCCCCTGACTTTCTTCTTCATTACTCCTCATCATCGTTATCTCCATCTCTTTCCACACTTTCTAGCTTTTCAAGCAAGACCAAAAAATGACCCGCACCGTCGAATCATATGTAAGTGTGCTGCTCATTCAGTGAAGCAAATTTGCGGAGCTGTAGCTGATAACAATCTCCTTCTCTCTTATCCCGCATAGAACGCCTTCCTGAACACCCCTCTGAGCGAGGCGGATCCTGAGATCGCACAGATCATCGAGCACGAGAAGTACCGTCAGTTTGCTGAACTCGAGCTGATTGCCTCGGAGAACTTCACGTCGCAGGCCGTGATGGAGGCCAACGGGTCGGCACTGACCAACAAGTACTCTGAGGGACTTCCTGGAGCGCGCTACTACGGTGGCAACGAGTACGTTGACCAGCTGGAGACGCTGTGCCAGAAGCGCGCGCTGGAGGCATTCAAGCTGGACCCGAAGGAGTGGGGAGTCAACGTGCAGCCGTACTCTGGCTCGACGGCGAAACTTTGCTGCGCTGACGGCGCTGCTGAAGCCGTTCGACCGTCTGATGGGTCTTGATCTGCCGTCTGGCGGACATCTGACCCACGGCTACCAGACTGACAAGAAGAAGATCTCGTCGTCGTCGATTTACTTCCAGAGCATGCCGTACCGCGTGGACTCTGAGACGGGCATCATCGACTACGACCGCCTGGAGGAGAACGCGCTGCTGTTCCGGCCGCAGCTGCTGATCTGCGGAGCGTCGGCGTACCCGCGGGACTTTGACTACCCGCGTCTGCGCAAGATCGCCGACAACCACAGCGCGTATCTGCTGTGCGACATGGCACACATCTCCGGTCTGGTTGCTGCTGGCGAGCAGGAGAGCCCGTTCAAGTACTGCGACATTGTGACGACCACCACCCACAAGACGCTGCGCGGCCCGCGGGCCGGTCTGATTTTCTTCCGCAAGCACGAGGGCGAGGACCGCAAGACGTCGCTGGAGGCGCGTGTCAACCAGGCGGTGTTCCCGTCGTGCCAGGGCGGCCCGCACAACAACACAATCGCCGGTATTGCGGTCGCGCTGAAGCAGGCGGCATCGCCGGAGTTTGTGCAGTACGCCAAGCAGGTGCGCGCCAACACGCAGGCCCTGGCCAAGACGCTGACGGGTCACGGCTACCGGCTGTCATCGGGCGGCTCTGACAACCACCTGGTGCTGTGGGACCTGAAGCCGCAGGGCCTGACGGGCAGCAAGATCGAGAAGATCTGCGAGTTTGTCAACATCACGCTGAACAAGAACTCTGTGTGCGGCGACAAGAGCGCCGTGACCCCTGGCGGTGTGCGTATCGGCACGTCGGCGCTGACCTCGCGTGGGTTCAAGGAGGAGGACTTTGTGCAGGTGGGTGAGTTCCTGCACCGCATCGTCGAGATCGCCGACGAGGTGCAGAAGGCGGCCGGCAGCAAGCTGCTCAAGGACTTTTTGGCCGCTGCCAAGGACAACGACAAGATCGTGCAGCTGCAGAAGGATGTTGAGGCCTTTGCCACATCGTTCCCTATGCCCGGCTTTGACGTGTCGGGCCTGAAGAAGCCCCAGCACTGATTTTTCCCTGGTGCATTTCTCTTTTAAATATAATTTTCATCTCCTGTTCTTGGCAGCGTCATCCTGGTGTGTGGACACATAATCCAGGTAAATACGTGGTCGTGTTCATTTTGCTGAGCAGTGGACCGAGCCAGCCGCTGGCCCCAGCAATTTATTCCCACACTCTTGGACTCCCGCCATGTCAGTCACGCTTCACACCGACCTAGGCGACATCAAGCTCGAGCTCTTCTGCGCCGAGGTTCCCAAGACATGCGAGAACTTTCTGGCGCTGTGTGCATCTGGATACTACGACGACACCAAGATCCACCGCAACATCAAGGGCTTCATAGTGCAGATGGGCGACCCGACAGGCACAGGCAAGGGCGGGACGTCGATCTGGGGCCGTAAATACGAGGACGAGGTCCGGTCGACGCTGAAGCACGACCGACGTGGCATGGTCAGCATGGCGAACTCGGGGCCAGACACAAACGGCTCGCAGTTCTTCATCACGTATGCTCGCCAGCCCAGCCTCGACGGCAAATACACCCTGTTCGCCCACATTATTAGTGGTGAGGAGACACTGGCGGCGGTCGAGCGTGTGGCGGTCGATAAGAAGCACAGGCCGGTGGAGCCGATTAAGCTCAAATCCACCACGATCCATGCTAACCCGATCGCCGATCCGAGTGTCGTCGCTGTGTGAAATAAAAAATCAGGACACACCCACGTTTGGTTTCCGACGCTTTGTTCTTTTCTCTTCCTTTACACAGAAAATTATTTTTCCCCATTCCTTTCATTGCAAAATGGGCGACGACAGCACCAGCAAGGCCGTGGCCAAGCAGCAGCGCGAGGACGACGAAGTGTTGCACCGTGACCCTGGGTACTTCCAGTACTATAGCCAGCTCCAGCACCAGGTAAGATGCGCCAGGGGTGAAATTCAGCCGCATTGCCCAGTTTCATTGCACTAACCATGCTGTCATGGGTAGCAAAACATGCTGCAGGACTATGTGCGGACATCGGCATACCACTCAGCGATCACAGGCAACGGGCCATCGCTGTTCCGCGACCGGCTGGTGATGGACGTGGGCGCGGGCTCGGGTATCCTGTCGTACTTTGCTGTGCAGGCGGGAGCACAAAAGGTGTATGCGGTGGAGGCCTCGGGCATGGCGCAAAAGATGCGGCACATCCTGGACGCGGCCAAAGCCACGCCCGCGCGCAACGCGTACCTGGCGGACCGGGTGCAGGTGGTTGCATCCAAGATCGAAGAGCCGTCGCTGCTGGAGAAGGTGCCGCAGGTGGATGTGATAATCTCTGAGCCCATCGGCGTGCTTCTAGTTCATGAGCGCATGCTTGAGTCGTACATTTATGCACGCGACAAGTTCCTGAAGCCCGGCGGCGCCATGATGCCGTCCTCAGGGACGATCCATCTGGCGCCCCTGTCGGATGGGGCACTGTGGAACGAGACCATCACTAAAGCGCGGTTCTGGCAGCAGGAGTCGTTCTACGGCGTTGATCTGAATCCCTACTTTGCCCCGTCGTTCACGGAGTATTTCTCGGCACCGGTTGTCGGGTGCTTCAGCCCGCATACGCTGATGGGCGACTCGGTGCCACACGATGTTGATTTCCACTCCGTTACCATTGACGAACTGAAGGAGTTCACCATTCCGATCTGCTGGACCATCAAGTACACCGGCATTATGCATGGCGTTGCCGGCTGGTTCGATCTGGGCTTTGTTCCGCCCATGACATCGCTGCACCCAGGCACCCTGCCCAGCGCCACGTACATGTCGACGTCGCCTGCCTCGCCCGCCACTCACTGGCAGCAGGTGCGCATGCTTCTGCAGCAGCCCCTGGCTGTCAACGCCGGCCAGGTGGTGCGCGGCCAGGTCCATATGAAGGTGAACGACCAGCGCAGCTATGACATCACCGCAACCCTGGTTGTGCTGGACGCTGCCGAGTCTGCCGCACTGAGCGACGCCCAGGCCCTGTTGGCCGCCAAGGACCAGCAGTCGAGGGCCCGCACCGCCGTGTGGCTGCTGCATGACCAAATCTACAATTACTCGTACACTGGCGACCCAACTGAGGCTGCCAAGCCCGAGGCCGCTAACATGTACTTGCCAGCAGACACATTGCTGGCGGAAAGCAGCAATCCGCCGATGGATCCCCAGCAGGTGCAGTCTATCCTAGCTAATGTCTTGGCTGGCACTCAGCCCCAGGCAGAGATGCAAGAGTAGGTTCTGTTTAGTCCTTTGCAAGTCTTATACATCTATCTGTGAGTTTTGAAGGTGTCGGTGTGAGCTGCCAACTTGGTGGGTGGACCATATCGATTAAGCTGGTCAGTGCACGGTTGTCAATATTGTAGGCGATTTCATTTCCAAGCTGAACCAATTTCTGGGCTCAGCTCCCAGAGTAGCTGCCGTCATTTCTCCACACCAAATTTAGAACCATGCCAGCACTGCTCATGATGTAGCTAAATAGGCAGGGCTTCTTTCTAGAGAGTCTGGTGGAGATTGGTCTTACATGATATATATACTGGGTCTTTGAAATGGCCTATATGGCACAGAAGCAGCCTGGATGGCATGGAATCGAATGAAAAGTATGCTGAAGCAGATACAAAAGGTTTGATGCTTATGCGACGGAATCAAATATCTACCAGATATCCTGGGCGTAACGACCATCAGAGATCAGGTCGGAAAGATACGTGCTTGCCTCATCGGCAGATAGGCCGCCATGCTCTTCAAAGATCCGAATCATGGCAGCAGTCATACTCTTGCCCAGTTTATCAGCCGATCCACAGACATAGATGCGGCCGCTATTCTGCAGATGCGACCAGATCTTGGCACCGTCCTGGGAAACGTGGTTTTGCACATATTTGCGCTCATCACCGACCCGCGAGAATGCTGTCTGCAGTCTGGACAGCGTGCCGTCTTGGACATACTGCTCGAGTTCATCCTTGTACAGGTAGTCGTACTTGGGATTTCGGCAGCCAAAGTACATCGTTGCACCACCAATGCCGGCAAGCTTCATCTCCTGCAGGAATCCGCGGAACGGAGCAACTCCAGTACCGGCGCCAACGAACACCACAGGCACATCCGATGAAGGTGGCAGGTGGAAGGCTTCTTGCGCTGGGAGATGTGATACAGATACACAAGCACCCAGCTCCAACGATGCCAGATACTCGGTTGCCAGACCACCGTAGGAGCGGCCATCGACGGTATCGTTGACAATGGCAGCTGAGATGTGGACTTCATTGCCAACAACCGACTGGCAGCTGGCGATCGAGTACCGCCGGGGATCCATGGCCGACACAAAGTGAAGCAGCGTTGCAAATGGAATCTGGCGCACCAGCGGTGCATACGTGCGCACCACATCAAGAACAGTGCGGTTCTGTGCTGTGAATCCACTCCAGCCAGCCGACTGCTTGCCTAGAATGTTGACGTCTTCAGCAGCCTTGCGCAGCAAATCATAGGCATGCCCATTGCCTGAAGTCTCGCTCAACGCAACAACCAGCTCGCGTGAAGGTGCTTCCTTCCAGTCGCAGACATATTGGAGGGCATCAGCGACGGTGCATGCGTGGCCATGGATAACTGCAGCAGCCGAATGGGCAAAGCGCGAAGCGTCCGAAACCTGCTCTAGCTCGAATATCTCATCCAGCTCGAGCTCTAGGATCGCGGAAACCTCACGCACAACACCTGGTGCGTTGACTGGGTAGATATTGAGGTGGTCGCCAGTCGTGTACGAGATATCTGATGTGTCATCCAGAGTGATCTCGATATGCCGAGTGCTGCGACCGCTCCTTTCGACATCCTGCAGCTCGCAGTTGACTTTGACTGATGCGTTCTCCAGCGACAATCTGAACGGGGCAGCAGGGCTGTTGTCAACGTACTTTAGCGAGTACGGCAGCGACTTGTCCGTGACAATATCAATGTAGGCGTCGACACTGGAGTTGTAGTGCCCAGTTACAATCATTCCGACCTGGAGTGACCACTTCATAAACTCATCGTCAAGATCGTCGTTGGAATCTCCTGCCGTGAACTCAGTCAGCGGCGTGGCACCAAGCTCATTAAGACGCTGGTACAGATGGCGCGGGAACTTCAGGAACGTGTGCCAGAGCGAGTTGCCGCAGCCAAACAGTGCAAAGTCGACGTCCTTGAGGATGTCGGTGCGGGTCCCCTGGTCGAGCAGCTTGGCAAAGTTTCTGGCGTTGTCAGGTGGCATTCCGTTGTACGTACTGGTAATAGCCACAACCAGAGAGCGCCTACCATCGGCAGACTGCATTGAAGCAAAGTCCCAGTCATCCAGCGGCAGCAGTGTAATGTCAGCAAACCCCATGCGCCTCAGCTGCCCGGTTATCTGCGTCGCATAGTCCTCGCTGGTGCCCATGTTTGATCCATACACAACGAACGTACGCGGCAGCTTGTCAGCAGAGACCGTGTGCGTAAGTGGGTGCAGAGCGGGATGCTCGACGGTGTAATTATCATTGGCACCACCAGCGTCTGTTGCTATTGGAGTGTCGGCATCTGGAAGGCTTGTGCGTTTCTGGACAGTCATGAAGAGATCCATTGGGCTTGTAGTAATCTTCGTCGGATGATGCTGGGGTTCGCCATCTCCTACAACATGAAACTCGTATCTCGACAACAAGCGAGCTAGCACAGCCCGCAGTTCCATCATTGCGAACTGGCGACCAAGGCAAGCACGGCTGCCAGAAACAAACGGGACCCACGAGCCGGGCTTGATGTTCTTGATATTCTCAGGCGAAAAGCGGTTTGGGTCAAATTTGAGTGGATCCGGAAATACCTTCGGATCCCTGTGCAAACTCCATATGATAAGGCATATCTTGTTACCTTTGCGGATAGTGATGCCACTAGGCAGAATACAGTCTTTCAGACACTCACGCTGTAATCCAGGAACCGGTGGAAATAGGCGCAGTGTCTCGTTGATAATCTGCGTCAGATAGGTCAGCTTGTTAGTTTGCTGAATTGTCGGCGACGTGTCTGCAGTGATCCCAGCGGCAGCGAGCTCCTGTAGCGCCCGATGCTGAACATCGCGGTGCTTATCCAGGAGCTGCAAAGCGAAAGATATAGTCGAACTGCTGGTTTCCTGTGCCTGCTATTCCAAATGTGATAATCTCCTCCTGGATAAGTCGGTCGCTGAGTCCAACTAGGTTACCGTCTTCGTCTGGTGCACGAGCATTAAGCATAAACCCAAGTAGATCTTTCTTCATACTTGCAGCATCTGGCGAGGTGCGGCGCTCATCGATAACCTGCTGTACCGTGGCCCGCATGTTGCGCATGTGCTCAGCAAATTTGCGGTTCGCAGCAATGGGCAAATACTTCCACAGCGGGGTGAGAATAAAACGAACAAGCATCTGTTTCAGGCAATAGTCCATGCCCTCCGTGAACGGGTGCTGACCAGTACCAGCTGGGTCGAGCAGGCTGAAGTCAAAGCCAAACCCAATCCTGGCAATCATCTGGAATGTAACGCTGGTGGCAAAGTTGAACATCTCAATTGGCTCGCCAATATGGCTGTCGAGCCACTCGCATGCCTGCTCAGAAATCTCTGTCATCTTGTGACCGTAAACCTTCATAGCGCTAGCTGAGAATGCAGGAACAAGCAGACGGTGTGCCAACTTCCAGTCCGGGTCGTCCGACGACGAGGTAATCAGCCCATTTCCACCCAGCTCGTGGAGCTCGGACCATGGATAGGCCCATTGATTTTTCAAAATATTCGCTGTCATTGATAGTCGCATTGGTGGCTGCCAGGTCACGAGTATAATAGCTCTTCACGCCGAGTAGATAGCATGAAAAGGTATCGCCGTACTTGTCAAAAAGGGAAATGAACTGCTGACGCGAATCACTAAAGAGCATAGGCGCAATACCAAAAATTGGATAGCCTCGAGCTACAGGCGCTTCAAGTCCCGCAATAGGTGTGGTGAGATACACAACTCTCGCTCGTTGAACATGGTCAATTGATACGATTTCGTTGCCTTCCTCGTCCTCAAATGCAATCGCCTCGGGGAGCATGGTAATTCCGGTTGAGCGTTGGGCGATATTGGCGCGGAGCATCGCTAAATCTGTATCAGCCGCAGAGACTGAGACGATAAACCCGTCCTTGTCTGGCCGTTTCCCTTTCTCGACGACGATGGAAAAGTGGCACTCGACTTTGGAACTAGCATCTTTATTGCCGGATAAGGGTGAGAGTTCATGGCTAACAGGGCATGATGAGAGCATGGTAGAGTATGAAGTAGTATGCCAATAATGTGTGAAAAAAATCAGTAGTGTTGAAAGGCAAGAGTGTGGTTGTGTCTACCATGGAGGGGTGTTTAAATAGTCAATGCACTTTGGTCATGCACAGGAACCCCACACTGGATGCTGGATACAATGCTACGCACTACACAATAAACAATACAGATTTTGTGTATGTGCATAAAAGACAGTTGAATGGCCTCACAGCTCTTGAGATAGTTGTCCGCTGGTGGCAGAATTAGGAGATATCTCATACACTGCACTATTGCGCACCGGAAAAGTGCCAGTGCCAGCGCTCTGTTACTAGCTAACCTAGCATTAGAAAGGTCTAGCGACAGCGGGATGGAGACTGAACTCAAATCATTTAGCACTCAGAAGCAAGGCAATGACTGCGTCTACTCTCTTATTGATCATCAGATGGATACGAAACATATTGGGCCATTTCGCAATAAGGATATGAAAATACAGGTACAGCAGCTGGCTCCACAGAACTAGAGATAGTCTGCTGTTATTGTAGAGTTATCAGCTAGGAAAGCAAGATGGTATCCGTGGCTAGTGTCGGGGCTGCAAAACATAGCCTTTATCAAATAACCTACTGAAGAGTAGGGATGTGGAAACACAGGCATCGTTGTCATCTTTGATACATTCAAGCGTCCTCTGTGTATGGACATAGATTCAGTTCGTTGATCGATTAGGCTGCATAGCTATCCAGTGTACCGTGTTGCTTTCCACACGAGTATACTGACTGATTTTTCGTTAAATGGAGTTCACCTTGAATACATAATTCTCTATTCACAAAGCCGCAGCAAAAAATCTACAGCTTAAATCTATAAAAGAAATCACAAGCTGCTGCGGCCTTTCTAGATTTCAAAAGCGGTGATGTTGCCAACTTTTGACAACCCTGCTTCCAATGCCAATGAGGGTACAGAGAATCCGAGTGTAAGGCAGAACCTGACCTGGAATGCATGTCATGGATATCCCTTATTTTGAATTATTGCGTCTTCCCTCCACTGCAGATTTCGAGTAATATATTTTCAATCATGTCAACTTTTGTATACCCACAAAACAAGCGCAGGAGCCCTTCTTCAACATAAGCCTGAAGGGTGTCTGCTTGGATATCACTATCAAATGTGACTCCATGTTGTCAGCAAGTATGCGAACTCTAGCATCACTAAGAACGTGCTAGCCCATGTAGATCGATTTTTGGGTCATTCCTATCTCGCTCGCACTGTTCAGCAGCTGCCCAAGGGCCATTTCTAGCATGTATTCCCAATCAATCATCAGTGCCTGATGCTTGAGGACCTAAATGCTTCTTGCCGATGTGTCCCGATGTAGGCAGGGCTGACCGGGACTGAAGAATGCGGCAATCAATGTGTGCACAGCTAGCGATAGCATCAACTAGCCTTACATGTGCACTGTTGTAGTTCCTGCTGACTCCTTCACGTAGTCAGTCACTGGACTCCGGCATCCTCGAAGGTGAAAAGCTCCCCAGCCAAGTGCTTGCTGCTTTGAACACATGCCACCGAGCCACATGCACTGCAAAGGACGAGCCCTGAAATATTAGGTCCACATATCTCCTGAAACATATTGTATATCGGCGAATCGGGACTACATCTCGAGGAGCATCTGTGCATCTTCAGCACAGCACACTTAGACTTGCAGCAAAAGGACTATGCAAGAGAGTTAGCAAACTGATGGTGAAGAGTGCAAAGTGCGAAACAGAGAAACCAAGCATATAAAAGATATTTACGCATCTGTGCAGTTTTGTTGAGAATGTCTGTTGGCATTGGGTATACTTTCAAACAACGGCTAGTGCTAAACGGCCAAAACGATACCTTCAAAGCTCATCGTGCTCCTTCTTCCTCTCTTCCTTGGGCTTATCAATAACCACCGCCTCCGCTTTGGCAATCTGTGCACCTTCGAGGTTTCCGCGCTTCGCCAAGGGTCTTTGTGAAGTTCGCTACCTCCTTGTCATACGCCTCCCACTCCGGAAGCAGCCTGCGGGCCCGCTCAAGCTTGGGCTCCTTGGTCATCGGATTATTGCACAGATCGATGGTCTTGGCCTTCTTCAGCGAGCTGTCGCTGCACCAGGTCTCGCACCACAGCCACTCCTGCGGCAGACTATGGATTGGGACAATGTGCTGCATGTTGTTGGGCAGATCCTGGTCCAGATTCGCCAGCGAGTTTGAGTCGCGCGACAGCGTCTGGTACTGGCCACGCAAGCGATCGCCGGCGGCCAGGAGCCGGAACTGCTTCAAGTCAACAACGTAGAGGGCCGAGATGTGGTACGGTTTGTCTTTCAGATGGTCCTTCCACCAGCCTTGCTTCCAGAAGCGGTACCCTTCGATCTCCTTGCGGTCATCGCAGAACGGCACATACCCATATGGTGCGCCCTTGAGATCCATGTCGGCAAGCTCCTGCAGGTCGGCCCGCACAATCTGGTCGGCATCAACGAAAATCACGCGGTCGAGGTTGAGTGGGAACAGGACATCCAGATACAGGATCTTGTAGCCCCAGATGGTGCGCTGCTTCTCGGTCTCGTGGTTCAGCCAGTGCGGCCACTTGTAGGTGACGAACTCGTAGTCAAACCCGTACTCCTCGGCCATGTGTGGCACAAATGCCTTGAAGGACGGCGACAAAAAGTTCTCAATCAGCCAGAACTTGACATGGCTCTGGGTGTTCTTCAGCACACTCAGAATCATAATCGACATTAGGCGCTCGTAAAGATGGCCCGAGGCAACGGCAAACACGTCAAAGTGCGGGCGGCTGTCGCCCGTCGACACACCACCGCTGATAGCGCCCTTGAGCTTACCCCACAGGCTGCCCTTGCTGCCGGACCCACCAGCAGCCTTGGCAGTGTCGTCGGCACCCTTCTCCAGCAGTAGTTTCTCGTTCTCCTTGCCAGCACGCTTGGTGACGACTGGGAAGATCGTAACGCCGTTGAAGCTTGTCAGCAAAATGGGCTTGGCTGATTCTGCGTTGCTGGTCTGAGCACGCTTTGCAGCCACATAGTTCCAGCGACCCTCGCTGATATCGGCAATGCGATAGATGTCGCTGGAGCGACCGTCGCGGATCGAGAAATTCCAGACACCCGGATTTGCCTTGAGCTGCAGGTAGCCCAGGTTCGCCATGACGATGGTATCGGTGATCGACGGCTTCAGCGATGTGCCCAGCTGCACTTCAAGACCGCGTGGCGGGGATCCGGCTGCTGCCGTCCACACAGTGCCCCTCGACCAGAATATTGACTAGGCGGTAGATGGCCGAAACGCCAGTGCTCTTGTCTTTGACTGACGACAGACGGATGTTGTCCAGATCGTGGATAGATTCAACAGCGGTGACCAGCCAGGCCGCCGGCACATCCATACCAAGTGTAAGCAGTGGATCGGCAGGCACGCCATTGAACTGGACCTCGGGCGTGGCTACAGCGCCATCGCTGCCAAACGACAGCTGACTCGGCCACAGGTACCGATAAAAGCGCTTGACAGGAAGCTCACTCATACCAACAGATGGGTTCAGGTACACCTCGACCGACACACTGGGCAGGCTTGCCAGTGCCTGGAACACAGGCGCCCACTTCTGGGCATACTCGCTCAAGGGGTCAAGCACAGCCTGGATGCGGAAGCGCGCAGTGGCGGGATCGTTGATCTGGATAAGAGTGTCGCGCTTGCTGCGCACCAGCTTTTCGATTGACCGGCGGGTGTCAGACCAGGGCCGCTGGAAAATGCCATTCACCTTGACCAGTGTCTGGCCATGGCTCAGGATCGCTGTGGCCTTCATAACTAGCGCTGGCAGATCGATGGAGGATGGGTCAGGCACGATGTCCTTGATGGCATTATATACGTTGTTAATGCGCTCGCTCAGCTCATAGCTGACCAGCGCACTGACAGTATCGGCTGTAAATGGCATATCCTCGGTAATTGGCGGCAGTAGCCGGCCGTTGACAACAACGTGACCGGAGCCGGCCACCGTCGCAGGGACACCCAGAGCGTGCAGGGCAGCCTTGTTAGCAGCAAAGGCAATATCGGCAGAATCAACCGCATCGTCCGAGGGTTCGAAAATCTCAGCGAATGCATCGCTATGAGCAGAAAATTGCTCGTCAGCCAGGATTCCCTGGTCGAGGTCGGCAGAGCTCAGGAGGCGCGCAGCGAATGAGGCCACAACATCGGCTGGAACATCAGTCACAGAACCAAGCTGGTGAACAGCTAGAGGAATCTCAGCTGAGAACCCCTCTGGCTGGTCCTCGTCTTCCTCGCCATCGGCTCGGTACTCACTGGCAGCAGCTGGCGAAGGTGAATGAACCAGGCCAACACGCATGCGCTTATCATCCGGCTGCAGCCTGCAAGGCCTTGGTAGCAAGTCCGCGCGCATGGGCATAGGCGAAATCTCCAACAACCCAGACGGTTACAGTCTGCAGCTCGGTATCGGTGTCTTTCCGGAATGACAAATACGGGACACTGCTATCGACCCATCCCTGGACAGCAGGCTTGCCGAGAGTCAGGAACCGCAGCGGCGACTCGTCTGATGGGTAAATAAGCGCGCTACGCGTGCTCATGACGCCGGGCTGGCTGTAAATGTAGTCCTGGACGTTGCCCTCGGGATCAAGGTCTGTGCGGCGCAGGGCTTGGGCAAGCTGCCACATTTGCATCTGTACTGCCTGGTACAGTGCGCTCTGGTAGTTGTCGGAGAGTGAGATAACACCGCCATTGACAAAGACCAGGCCATCAGGAGACGATGTGGTGCTGAGGTCGAGACGTGCACAGTACTTGACGCTGGCAGTCCACCACTCAGAAAGCTTCTCGTCGCTCAAGCTGATGACCTGATCCCACGACAGCGCACCGTCGCCGCTCTTTGTCTTGGTCGACTTGGCGAATGCTGCATACAGACCGCGGGTACTCTCGGTAAACGACATCTTGCCCGAGTTCTTGGTAAACGCTATCATCGCCCCCTGCCAGAACGACAAAACCTTCTTCTTGCCAAATGCCTGGCGCAGATAGTAGTGCAACTTGGCCATCTTGTTTGAGTCGGCATCACTGTTGGGGTTAGCGTAGTCGACCAGCGGGACAATACCAAACTGCATCGGCAGCCCATGCTCGATGTTAGTCATGATCTCGTCCAGGATCATGGTCCAGCTGGCTGACGACGACAGATCCAGGGCAAACACGACCTGTACAGTGTTGTGGCGGATACGCTGGATCTGGCCGGGTGTGAAGATGCGCATCAGGTTGCGCAGGTCCTTGGGCCACATGCCATAGCGCGAGTCCTTTTCGAGATTGTTGAGCCAGGCAACAACGCTCTTTGACGGATCGCGCATGTCAAACGTGGGCATGTCCTCTTCAGCCTGGTCGGGCTGCGCCAGATCCTCAGACAACATCAAATCCAATGCCTGCTGCTGCGTAAACCCGATGTCCTCGAGGGCAGCAATGATCGAGTTCTCCTTGCGCAGGTGATTCAGCAGCTTGAACGGATCTAGCTCATCGGGCGTCAGCCGCACGCCATTGACAAAGAAGGAGTCGTGCGGTGCGATCTGGCGGAACTGTTCAATGCTGTCTGTCAGCGTTGTGTTGAGCTCGACCTCAGACAGCAAGTGTGCGTAGCGAGGCAGGTCTTGTGCCAGCTGCTTCAGCACAGCAAGCTTGTCAGAGGCACCCAGAATCATCTGCGTGGCCTGGAATCCAATAGATGACATCAGATTATCGGGCAGTCCCTTTGATCACAGGCTCTGCATCGCTATCAAACAGCTCGATCTCGCCATTACGGCCAGCGTCTTGCACGGCCAGCTTAACCCCCGCCCCGCCCTTGCTGCGCTCACCAGCAAAGTCCAAATCGCGGTCGTCAATAACCTTGTACTCGGTACTCTTCAGTGCCAGTTCGACTCCGTACCCAGCGAGCCCCAAGGGACGCTCTGCTGACGCCCATGGGCGGTACCGCAGAACATACGTCGCCTGAGCGCTCTCTGCCAGCTCCTTGGCGTTCTGGTGCAGCTTGAGGAAATCATCGGCCCGCGGGTCAGCATACAAAACCACCAGCTTATCTGATGCCGGCGCATCGGTCCGGTACACATGGTCGAGGTCCAGCACCTGCGGCTCCGTCTTGGCCTCCTCAATGTAGGTCGTGCCATAGAATTTTTCGATGTTCAGCATTTCATCCAGTGCCTCCACCGGTGCATGCCTGCTTGTCCTTGTACTGAGCCCACGTCACACACGAGTCGTCGAACGTCTTCCGCACCTGTTTAATCTCGGGAACCACCGTTGCATTGTACAGCTGGTACTGCGCCACCACTGCCGGCGCGTACGTGCGCGTTGCCAGCTCCAGCTTTAGAAGCGACATGGCAACAGGCGTCAGCAGCTGGTCGTTGGAAATCCACTCGAGTGCCTGCGCGTATGCAGCCGAGTCGGGTTTGTCGAACACCTGGCGGTTCTCGGCCAGCCTCTCGATAAACGGGAAGAATGCGCTCGCGTTGTGCGTGGCGATACCTTCGGCAATCTCGAGAAGCAGGGGTGGTGCGTGGAAGGAGGCTTCCAGCTTGGTGCGAATTGGCGCTGACTCTGAAGATGCGCCAAATGCATGCCCGCTCATGGCGGCCAAGGTAGCAAGGCTGCCAAACAGCTGAACGGTTACGCGCATTTAAAATAGAAAAATAGAATTGACCTCTGTAGTTGATCGGAGCAATGAGAAACTGAAAGGGGAAAGGTAAAGAGCGAAAAACGTTTTGTAGACCAGCAAGGGAGGCACGCATATTTATACCCAGCCTGTCGGTCCCTGCCGCTTGGGAGATTTATGAGGCATCAAATGGCGGGCTGCGACGTCACTGGCCTGACGGTCTCCAAGAGGGTGCGATGATGTGGCATTGCATTTCTGGGCCATTTTACCACGTACGCCGCTGTGGATGAAACTGACATGTCACCGATATCCGTATAGACAGTCTTGGCAGACAACACAGTACGTGGCAAAATGAGTGACGTATGAAGGTGGCCATAATATCGCGCTGCCACGCATCTATCTGTTGGCTCTGCATTTCGGCAGCTCGCTGTGGGGGGAAATGACGCCTACATCACAGACTCTGCTTCTTGCCATGAATCCACTCGATGCTAGCTGACCTACAAAAGATATCCGATCCTACGTCACAACTCTCCGCAGATGAGTGCACCCAGATATACCAAACGAGTCCAGCCCTGCTCGAGGCCCGCTGAGTTTGTAATTCGCTTTGCCCCACAGCCAGCTGATGGACCAGACATCCAGCAAACGAAAGAGCTCGCTACCGACAGTATCATTGCAAGAGATCATCAACTCGCTTCTGGAGGAGAACCGGGTCGACGAGGGCGTGCGGTTCCTGAACTCTGTCAGCCCCATGGCTGTCCTCAACAACAAAAAGCTCGTAAGCAACCTGCTGGCAATGTTCAAACCCACGGATGTGCTTGAGGAAGATTTGAAGCAGCGCGGCAGCTTCTTACTCCAGGCTCTGGAAAAGAGCTCGACTGACACGAGCAAGGTGTGGAAGGTCGACGACGAGCGCCGCAAATCGATAGTTCAGGCGCAGCATTTGATTCTGACATACCTGGTGCCTGTTAAGCAGGTATTTATTGGCAAGTGGTTCAACCAGAGGATTTTCCAAGTGCCCAGAGGAATTTTTGGATCTCCTGGATGAACTCACCACGATGCCAGCAGATGGGACACCGGTGAACACAGTAGCGGCAATGATGGTGACAGCGATAGGCGACAGCGGTCCTGACTCTACTACCAGTGAGCTGGAGTTGACAATGTTCCAGAGTCGCTTGGAGATGGCATGTATCTTGCTGGAGCAGGTCTCGATGGACCTGGCCCGAAATATCGGCTCGGCCTGGGGCTCCGTATTCATGCAGATTGCCTCCGAAGGCTCCTATGTCTCCTGGACCGCGTGTCCTACCCAGCACGCCTGTTAGAGGCGATCAGTACCCGGTTCAACGCTGTGCTAGACAACCGGCACAACCCTCTCGAGCAAAAGATCGCCTCGCTACTACTCGACCTTGTAGCCATAGCCACCTCCTGCGGCACTATCTCCCGGTTCGAGTGCGTGCAGCGGATTGCAAAGCTTCTCGCCGAGAAGGATACCGACCAGCAGTCAGCTGCTCATCGATCTCATCAAATCCGACCTGCTGGCTGTTGAGATCATGGACCATCTGATGACAGTCGTGGTTCCGGGTCGACAAAAAAGCAGACATGAGCGCAAAGAGGGCTAGCAGCATGCCACTGGGCATCGAAAAGACTGCGTTCTGGCTGCAGTATGCAAGGCCGAAGGGAAGCCGGACAGGCGTTGCCAAATGGTACGATCTCGTGTGCGGGCTGAGCAAGCTGGTGCAGCGGTCGATGCAGGGCATTCGCCAGCCGTGTGTGCCAACCTAACGCCGCGGCGCCAAATGCCAGCACGTTGGCGATTGATCAGCCGCCGTCGATGCTGGTTGTCAACAAGCAGGCTGCTGGTGTGCTGGCTAAAGCACTGAAGGAGCTGCGGCAAGTGGTTGGGAGCAAGTTCCCGCCCGACGACACTGAGTCGATGGCTGAATCGGACTCTGACGGCGAGTGCTCGGGCGGGCAGCTCGCCTGTAGGATGCGCTGTGAGCTGGACCTGATGGAGGCCTTTTTAAATGGCGCGTAATTTGTCAGCAGCGTGTAACTCTGCATTTCTCCTCTGCTGCCGCTAATTTTCCAACTCAATTCAGCCCTTTTTTTTCACACTTTCTTTATCATGAGTCACCCAGAGGTTGGAGAGCGACTGGCGTCGATAAAGCACGTTGTTCTGGTTCTCTCAGGAAAGGGCGGTGTTGGCAAATCCTCGTGCACAGTCCAGCTTGCGCTGTCTCTTGCTAGCCAGGGACGCAAGGTCGGCGTTCTTGACATTGATCTCTGCGGGCCCAGCATCCCGCGCATGCTCGGTCTCGACGGCCAGCAGATCCACCAGGCTACTGCGGGCTGGGTGCCCGGTGTTCGCTGACTCACAGAAGCGGCTCGCATGCATGTCGATTGGATTCCTGTTGCCTGACAAGAATGCGTCGGTGGTCTGGCGCGGGCCAAAGAAGAATGCCATGATCAAGCAGTTCCTTACCGACGTGTACTGGGGCGACCTTGACTACTTGCTCATTGACACGCCACCTGGTACCTCGGACGAGCACCTGGCTGTAGTGGAGTATCTGCAAGAGTGGAGCCCCGACGGAGCCGTGATAATCACCACACCGCAGGCGGTGGCCCTGACAGATGTCAAGAAGGAGATCAACTTTTGCCACAAGGTCGGCTTGCCTGTGCTTGGTCTGATCGAGAACATGAGCGGGTTCGTGTGCCCGCACTGCAGCGAGTGCACGAATGTGTTTTCAACTGGGGGTGGCGAAGGTTTGGCAGGCCATATGGAGATCCCGTTCCTTGGAAGGGCTCCAATTGATCCGAACCTGGTAATGCTGCTGGAGCAAGACGACAAGACAGTAGTGCCCAATGTCAATGACCCTGAGGCGCCCAAGCAAACGACTCCTGTCGATTGTCGAGACATATGAAAGATGCGAGCTGAGTAAGATATTCAAAGGCATCTGCGAGCGACTAGATGAGGCATTGTAGATTAATATATTCGCTTTTGCCATATGCATATGACTACGTGTTTTGGTATATGTGGGGGTGTTTGTGCAGTATCTTTTGATACACAGGACAGCTGTTTGCATCCACGTACAGCTAGTTGCTGTTTGCTAAAAACGGGTACGTTCTCAACTTTCAACAAAGACAAGATGGTTTGGTGCTTGGTATTCCATATTCAAATGAGGCTAAACTACAGCTGCTCCTGCTCCTTAGCCTGTATCTGGCTGCTATCGGCGTCAGGCAGTATTGATGGCGATGATGAGATTTCATAAATAGATGGGATGCGCTGGCGTCTTCCATTTCTTATCTCGAATGTTTCATATTCTTGAATTGTTTGTTTGCTCACCGACGGCCCACTCTCGCCAAAGGCTCTTATAAAGTCCTCTGGAGACAGCGTGACATCCGCCATAGTCCCATCACGACCTGGATTGACAGCACGTATTGCATGCCTGAAGGCGTTTCTGCAGAGCTCCCTCAAGTCGGCGCCCGAGTATCCAGAGGAGTGCTTGGCTATCTTTTCGATATCCACCTTTAGCTGGTGCGGATCAAACTTGCACAAAAGCCGTCTCAGAATCGCTGCCCTGGAATCTTCTCTGGGCATCTTTATGTGGACCAGCTTCTCCAGGCGGCCAGGACGAAGCAATGCCTTGTCAACATCGGCACGGTCGATTTGTTGCGCCAATGACAAAAACACCCTTGCAGTCGATCATGCCGTCAAGCTCCGTCAGGAGCTGGGTCAGTACTCCATCCAGCGTGGCGCAGCCTTCGTTTACACCTGTGCGTTTCTTTGTGAGTGCGTCGATCTCGTCAAAGAAGATGATACATGGGGCCACCGACCGCGCTCTGGCAAAGATCCGGCGCACTCGGGCCTCAGACTCGCCTACGTATTTGTCGATTAGCTCTGGCCCACGTATCTGCAGGAAATGCGTCCGTCCCGCGTTTGCGGTTGCCTTCGCTAGAATGGTCTTTCCACAGCCTGGCGGGCCATAAAGAAGCATTCCACGTGGCAGCGGCATACGGTATGTATCAAAGGTGGGCTTGTGATCAACTAGGTCCTCGATGATGCTCTTAAGCTCAGTAATGGTGCTGTCCATTCCACCAATGTCGTCGAAGCACTCGGCTGGGATGGTAAAGGCCATTTCCCGCAATAGAGACGGTTTGACAACCTTGCGCGCATGCTCGAAATCTTCATAGGCAATATATAGCCTAGGCGATGATACGCTTGCTGTCTGATTCGCGCTGTGCTCTCGCTCTGTGTGTAGTCGATGGCGCCCTGCCTCTGTGCACAGCAGTTGGAGATCGGCACCAACATATCCATGCGTCTTCTTAGCCACCTCGTCGATTATAGTAGGTCTAGTGCCAGGGTCCAGCGACATGCCATCCAAAATCTTTGTCAGAATGTCCTTCCGCTCCTCTTCAGTTGGGATACCTATCTCAATCTCATGGGAGAAGCGGCCAGAACTACGAAGGGAATGGTCGATTTCGTGTATGTAGTTAGTTGCAGCAACGACCGTGACGTCCGGTAAGAGCTGGTCCATCAGTACCAATAGCTGCGACACGAGAGTGTATTTGGAGGCCTCTCTGTTGTTGGGGTCTCGCTTGGCTGCAATGGCGTCTAGCTGGTCGATGAAGAGGAGTGCAGGAGTTTGGCTGGCTGCTTCGTCAAACTTTTTACGCAGGTTCATCTCAGACATTCCATGGTTATCCTTCAATAACCTCAGGTCCACTGATGCAGAGAAACCTCATCCCGACCTCACTAGCCTAAAGACTTGGCAATCAGTGACTTTCCGGTGCCCTGCAGGGCCATGTAGGATGATGCCGCGTGCCTGCTGTATGCCGAGCTGACAGGACAGCTCGCTGAAATCTCGTGACGCGCAGACCAGGTCCTTCAGCTCCAGCAACTTTTTCCTTGTAGCCTCCAATTAGCGCGAATCTAGGCAGCAGCTCTCGACGCATCAATGGCGAAGATACATGAATGCAATCCGGGTCCTTGATGCGACACGGCCCGTCCTCAGAAGTGTACATGACTATAAAGTCAACGTACTTTTCATTGATGGCACACGACAGCACGTCCCCCTTCACGACCACGGTGTCTCTGTACGTCTGGAAGAATTCCTTCAGCCCCTCCTTAAGCTCAGTAGTGGGAATTCCAACAGGCTCGTATCGGACTTTGGCTTCCAACGGGGAAACTGACACTGCCGCCTTGCCTTTGCTCGGGGGGTAGATGGCTGTACTGTCAATAGGTGCAAGAGTAATAACTTCGGCCTCCTTGGAGTGTTCAAAACGCTCTACGGTGATGGTATCGTCCAGTTTGTAGCCTAGGAGCTCGCGGAAATGGTGGTGGAGTTCAATGGTTTCATCCGCACCAGGTCCCCATTTGCAAGGAACTATAGCAGATACGCCGCCGTTTCCACAAAGACGAATGTAGGTGACATAGCCCTGCACGACCTTGTTCTTGCCATTGACCACCTGTCCCTCCCAATAATTCTGATAGACGCAGCTAACAACCCTTAGCTTATACGCTTTGGAGGCCATTGCACTTTGTTGTGGTTTGCCATCAGAGGCTGCTTTAATATAAGAAGGTGGAAAAATAAAACACAGAGTGTCTGGGAGGAAAGAGGGGGCATCGTCTTGCTCCTTGCCAGTGCAGCAGGATTGACAGCTTGTCAATTTGCTGGATATGCGGCAGATACATGCACTAATCATTCTATCTAAAAGATGCTGGTTTCAGCTTTCCTTTGCGATTACTAGGCATGGTTGGCATCTTGCGCTTAGTTCTTTGAGGTCCGCTTCAGTTTGCTATCAGCCGCTTTCTTTGCATTCGCCCGGATGAGCTGGTCCAGTGCACGCATATCGGGGTGGTACTGGATGACCTTCTTTGACACACGGAACCCGATGTTGGTGTCACGAATGAGCCACTGCACACTACGCTTTCTCTCTGTGCCTGGAACCAGATCTCTCGCATATACCGGCGTGCTGGGGTCTGATCCCGACAGGCTGTATCTGGTAATAAGCAGCGGAGTCTCGCTCACAACCGGGAACTCGATCTGGCTGTCCGGGCCCAGCGCCTTTTTCATGTTCAGCTGCTTGCGAGTCAGAGCGCCTAGGATCCGGATGCTCTTGACATGGTCGTAGTACATGAGCTGGACAAAAGCAAGAGGAATGAACCCAGCAGCCATGATTGCACCGGCCGCCAGAACCGTGTAAATGTCGTCGGTGCGCACCCAAAGACTCAGTGCAGTCGAGCAAAACACGTTGACCAGGAACACCATGCGCAGATGCCGGATCTGCTTGAACATGGGCATGTCGTACATGGGCAGCTTGATCTCGTTCTTCGGGTCTGGCGACTGCCGCTCAGTAGCCGTTGCCGGCGGCTTCGAGGAATCATTTAGACTGGCTCTGGTGCTGTGAAATGCCCGGTACAGCGTCTGGTTGAGCGAGTGTAGGCGGGGCTGCTGATGGTTCAAAATACTTCCTGGCCGGAGCATGATCGGAGAGATAGTCGGTCGAATGGCCATACCAGCTGTGGCTGATCGAGCAAACAGGCGCGAGACCCGGACTAGCGGCTGTACACGCAGCATATTGTGGAAAGGAAAAAGAAGGGAGGTAGAACTTCAAGGGACAGGGGAGTGCTGCTCGCTAGCTACAAAGAGGCGCAAAAAAAACCGATCTCGATAGTGTACCCATGAAAATAGCTTGCAGTTTTATGGTCAGCAGCACACCCTGGAGATAAGGGATCTGATCTCCAGAGCAACGGAAGAACAATGCGACTTCAATGAACGAAGCATAAGAGATATCCGGGTATTTATATGAAAAGTGAAGCTTTGTGGCAGTCTCTAAGATGTGCTGTTACTTTGTCCTGGTGACCACCGACTGCGTCACACGCTCCAGGGCCTCTCTGGCCTGCGATGGCGGGAATACCTCCAGCGCCTCCCGTGCCCGATCAACGTACATCTGGGCCAGTAGTTTTGTGCGCTCCAGGCCCTGACTCTTGTGCACCAGCTCCCACGCCATCGGCACATCGCCCTCATTAGAGAACTTCCGGGCCACCAAGGGGCCCAGCTCTGGGTACTCTTGCCAGGCATACAGAACCGGGGCTGTCGCCAGACCAAGCTCCAGATCAGCACCTACAGGCTTACCAAACTCCTTGGCGCTGACAGTGAAGTCAAGCAGGTCGTCAATCAGCTGGAAACCAATGCCCAGGTTGCGGCCATAGATGTAGGCGGCCTCGACAACATCGTCTGTAGCATTGCTCAGCACGGCTGATGCCCGGCAGCTCTTGGCAATCAAACTACCCGTCTTCAGATATGTCTTCTCCAGGTAGTACTCGAAGGCGCGGTCATCGGGCTTGGCCATAGGCGCGCCCTCATCCTCCAAGTTCTTGAGCTGTTTGAACTCGCCGTCAACGAGGTCCGACAGCACACTAGCCATGATCTCAATGACCTCGGGATCACGCAGTCGCGCCAGCCCCATGGATGCTCTGGCCAGCAAAAAGTCGCCGGCGAAAATGGCCATTTTGTTGCCAAACGCCTGCTGAATCGCCGGCAGTCCACGCCGGGTCTCTGCCTGATCAATAACGTCGTCGTGCAGGAGCGATGATGTATGGATCATCTCGGTGATCTCAGCCAGCCGCCGGTGCGTCGGGAGAACTGTCAGCCCTTGTCGTGTCTGCGGCGTGTACGGGTTGCACCGCCGTTGGCCCCACGCGCCGCGCTCTCAATCAACTGGTTCATCTCATGAGACTCAAGGTCGCTCTGGATATTCTTGGAGACCGCCCGATCGATCAGCGAATAATCAACATCAGACGAGCCAACCAGCATTGATGACATGCCCTGGCGCTTTGTGGCAATGCTGGTCGCCTGGGCCACCAGCAGCACCAGAAGCGGCCGGATATGCTTGCCTGACGCTGAGAAATAATATTGCGAGACTGTGTTTAGCATCGGATGTCCGCTCTCCAAAAGCCTAGCCAGGTTATCAGTCATGAATGAGAGCTCGGCACCCACCAGATCCTTCGGGTCGGCAAGACTCTTGTCCTTATCACCGACCACCTGGGACGCATTGTCGAGGGCGCTGTGCCAGTCGTGCGCCGTGATCTTTTCCGGTGCCTGGATCGAGCTCGCATTGAAAGGCCGCTTGAGCTCGTCCACCAACGATGCCTGCGATCCCGGGACTGGGTCTCGCGGCCCAATCGCAGCAGACTCCATTAGGTGCGCAGCCTTGGCGGCATGCACAGCCAGCTTGCCCAGGGGCCGCACCTCCGACGGCTTCTGTATGATGGTGCGGGCCAGAACGCCCAGCTGGCCCAGTGGTCCCTTTGCCTTTATAGCCATTTACAAGAAAATTAGTGCGAGGAGAATAGAATCAGCAAATTGAAAAAGAGAAGAGTCACCCAGTGGGGAGAGAGAAAGTGGGCGGTGCGGGGCAGGCGCGATATGATAACCGAGGCAGTGCGGTGGACTTTTTTGTACGCTGCAGCTTCGGCGCGAGCTATGCGGGTAAGCAACGAAAAAAAATCCTGGGAGATTTGGCGCGGGCCAGATTGCGCAGGGTTTGGAAATACGAGACCAAAGATCACGAGATTACGGAAAAGCTTAATATGCTGGAAGGTGTCGCTTTTTTCTCAAACAGAACCCTCTTGCCTCCTGGAGGCAATGGGCGGCCCAGCGCTCTTTTATGACAGCGCCAGCCGGTCCATCGTACATTGCATATGAAGTATACAGAATACTAGTATGTGTATGTGTATATGCACCGAATAAAAGTAGGATACGAAGGTGGCGTCAGCCGTTGCACACATTGCGCTACAGAAAAAGCAGAAACCCCTCGTTTGCTGAAATGAGAGCATCGCAGTTATTCGCCCCACCACGATAGTAAGCCCAAGCCCGAGTCATTAATGCCACAGACAAGCTGGTACGGCGGCTTGACGCCCTCCTTCTCGCCCCGGGGGGGATTGACATCCAGAAAGTCGACGCGCAGAACCCTGAACCTAATGTCCTCGTCCAGATCCATAAACAGGTCATTGCCCTCATACCGCCACACCCACACGCCCTCGGTCGCGTCAAACTCGCAGCCCTGCGGCATCATCTCGGCCGGCACAGAAATATCGTCAAAGAAGCCGATCGAGATCTGAACGCCTGCGGGGCTGGCGCTGCGCACCTTGCCCACGAGGATTTCGTCGCGGAAGGGCCGGAACACAGCCATGCGGAAATGAACTTTGATCCATATCCAGCCCTCCGAGTGCTGGACGTAGCCTTCGTCGATCTCTACTAGGTCGTGGACTAGCATGCAGAGGCCGACGTCGTGCAGCACGCGGTTCGAGTATTTGCGGTTGATTTCGTCTTTGATAGCTTCTTCGCGCGATTTGCGGAACTCGGCTGGCAGGATCTTTAACGTGTCGTGGATTGATGTCAGCACAAACATGGCGGGTATGGAGCAGGAGGGTTGAGGGTGCAGTTATCTGTATTGTGGCAGGTGGCTGCGGCGCGCGTGTATTCTGTAGAAATTTAATGGATGTCCGTGGGGCTGGGTTTTGTGGGTCCAATCTGTAATTAACGCTGGAGGGCAATTTTGTTTTGCTGTGCGCCCTGTTCTCCTCCACAGTCATGAATTTTGTACCATTTGTACCATTTGTAGTATTGTAAATTTTTCATTTCGCCAATGGCACCTGTACAGAGACGCCGGAGCTTGCGATTAGCTGAGAAAGAGGCGCTGAGCAAAGCGGGTGAAGACAGTCGGACTGGCAAGCCCGAGCGCAAAGGACGAGTTATCGCGTCGCGGTACATGAACAGCACCAAATCTAGAGCTGCAGCAACAGCAGATAGCAGACCCCAGGCAGCGCCGAGTAGGGCTGCCAGAGCTGGGCCGTCACGGCCAACCCGACCAGTCACCGCGAGATCCACACCAGCACGAAAGTCAGCGACATCAACAGCTACAAAACGAGCAGCAGCAGCAGCAGCAGCAGAGCCGATAGCAAGCAGACCACAAACTCCACGACGGCCCACAAGGACAGCTACCATAGCTACACCTCGGCCTGCAGCCAACCACGCTGGATCAGCAGCTCCTGGGAGCAGCGGGCTTTATACGGAGTATATTCAGTGGTGTCTGCTCGAAGCCCGATCGCAGCGACAGTTCGATGAGGCCAAGCAACTTGCTGATAATGAACTCCAGCGGCTTCTAGAGGAGGCAGAGGCAGAGAAACAGGCATTGCTCGAAGAGCAGCGCAGATACAAGCTGATGCGGGAACTCACGGCGCTGGCCAAGTGGCTCAAAGACAACAAGCCCTTTATGGTAGACATGAAAGGGTGTATTGACAAGGTGAGGGAGCCGTACATGCAGCTTGCGGCCAGGCTCAGGGATACGACGCGGGCAATGCCGGTCACAGGCGTACACTTTGAGAACAGCGCGGCACTGGTCAAGGACCTAGAGCAGTACATGGAGGCAGTGAGAATGTGTTTCTCGGGCGACGATGCCAGAGATATGTTCAAGGTCGCAGAGCTGCTGCGCGCGTACTATGGCGGTACCGAAGAGGAGACTGAGCTGATGAGCGAGTGTATCAGGCTGAAGGAGTCGCTGGCAGTAAACGCAAACATGGCTGTCAGTGGCAATCTCCGTCTGGGGTAACTGAAAGCGCCTTGTTTGGCCAAAAAAAAAAAATAGCACCGCCTCGGAGTGCGAAAAATAGCAACCTCACGCTGTTTTCCGAGCCTCTCTGACCCGATGACACAGCACCCCAGACTCTATCCGCCTTCTCTTCTCTGCTCACTTCACCTTTCTTGTCATTACCATATAAATGTCTGATAGTCCCCGGCGTCCAGGAGCAATTCCGACGCGACAGACCTCTAAAGACAGCGAGACAATCAATGTCGACATATCGGACTCGGGCAACCGGCTGTCGGCGAACAAATTCACGCCCAGGACTGCCCATCTGCACAATCCGTCGGCAGACAGCCCACTGAATGTGCCGCGGTTTCCTCTGCCAGCAGAGTCCTCGATCGACGTAGTCCCATCTGTGGGTCTGCACGACACTCGGCGGGTATCTGGCAGCGACCCTGCAGTTCTGGCAGCTGCTGAGGCTGGTGTCAAAACCATGACCCCGCCAGCGGAGGACGACGAGCAGTGGTACCGGGACCAGATTGACTATGTGCGGAACCAGGTGGAGCTAATGGAAAACGTCGAGGTGCAGCGCGACCAGGAAGCGCAGCAGATCCGGTCAGCATGGAAGCGCGAGCTGTTCCTCTTGTTCGAGGATCCGTCGTCGAGCCCGTCGGCATTTGTGATCAATGTGTTTGTGACGTTTATGATTATCCTGAGCGCGGTGCTGACGACGATTGAGACGATTCCCTCGCTGCGCAAGGGCAACTCGCAAATGTGGTTTGGCTTCGAAACCGGCATCGTGGCAGTCTTTACGCTCGAGTTTATTCTGCGATTCCTGGGCCACACCGATACCTGGCAACAGGCGTGGAACTACGGAAAGTCGGCCATCACTATTATCGACGCGCTGGCTATTTTCCCGTACTATGTCGAGCTGATTCTGCACCGCGATACATCCTACGAATTCCGGTTCACGATCCTCCGAATTTTCCGCCTGTTGCGCGTGTTCAGTGCCTTCAAATACTCGTCGCTGCTGCAGCTGTCAATTGAGGTCATGATTGTCGCGGTCAAACGCAGCTCAGACGCTCTCTTGGCGTTCCTGCTCTTTGTCGCTCTCACTGTCACCCTGTTCTCGACGCTGATGTACTTTGCGGAGCGCGGCACATGGGATGAGGAGCGTCAGGCGTTCTTGACTGCGAATGGCGAGTATAGCACGTTCTCGTCGATTCCAGCCGCAGCCTATTACTCGATCGTAACACTGACTACCACAGGCTTTGGCGATATGGTGCCGACAACGTTCGTTGGCAAGCTGATATCGTTCCCAATGATGATTGCGGGCATCCTGCTAATCGCACTACCGTCCATCATCGTCGGCCGTAATTTCACGCAGGTGTGGGAGGCTGCGCGCAAGTACCGTGTGCAGCCGCCCAATGTGCGTGTGCAGCGGATCGGTGACACACTGATCGAGGATCACGTCAGCAGCCAAGGCTCGGGACGTGCGAGTAGGCGGTCTCGGCGGATCCGGCACAGAGGGCGTCGTGACGGGAGCGTGTCGTCATTTGGCTCTGGCGGGTCGCATAATACGTCGATTGCCCATGTCGAGCGGCCAGGCGGGTATACGAACGTTCCAACTGGCACCAATCGCCTGCAAAAGGATGCCGATGACTACACTGTACGCGCCGATCCGATCGCCGAACTTGCCCGTAAAGACAGCTTTGAGATGCAGGAGTTTGCTGCAACCCCTACGCAGCTGCCGGAAGAGCGGGCCGATGGCTACACACAGGTCGACACTATCTATGGGGCTGGCGAAGACGACGAAGAAGACATGCAAGGCAATGTAGCCACGTTTGCCAGGTATAGAGATGACACATCGTCGATGCGTAGATTCAAAAGTGTCAAGGGCAAGCAGGTGGTGCGCGGTGGCAAGCGGCGATCGATGCTGGAAGACTCAGATACCGTAACTGTGTCCAGGGCAGAGTGGGACGCACTCAATGCCGAGCTGCAGGCGCTGCGCAGTGCCGTTGGCGGCAACCAGATGCTTCTGAAGGCCATTGCTGAGCATCTGTCGGTACCGGTACCAGCACCGGAATTAGACAAATAGATTGCATTTTAAATAAACTCGGTTCAACACTATTCCAGCATCTTTGTCCAGTCGTACTTGTCCCACCCAAACTGCTTCTTCCACTCGTCGGCGCGCTGGAGCCGCTGGTCGCGCGATTCTCTGAGCCGACGTGGCTTGCGGTACACGCTCGGCGGGAGGTCCAATATCCCTGCAACCACCTCGCGGCCAAACCACGGCGGGAATGTCTCTGGGCTCTCAATTACATGGCCCAGCCCACCTTTCGGGTCGAACCACACATGGAAGTACGGCATCTTTGCTGTCATCGTGTTGCGGAACCCGCCCCTCCTGATTGCAGCCCTGGCTGCTTCGTGGTTCTGGTCCTGATCCGTCACATTGTCGTTCTCCGGTCGCACGGCCTGTGCCTTCAGCGACGTATCGATGACCTTCCTATGCTGGCTCCACTCGTCGCTGATCCCAAGAATGCCCTGCTGGAATACAACATGCACATCGTCCATGTGCTTGAACGGAATTGGCACGCACTCGATAACGCAGTGCGTTGACTTAGTGGTCGACATGACAGTTTCCAGGAACACCACGCCCATACGCCTCTCCATGAACATGCGCATCAGGCACTTCATAAAATTGCCAATCTCGTCCCACGTATCGTCGTCCAACTTTAACGAGCTGCCAGAGCTGTGCTCGATCGGCGCAATAACGCAATGCCCATCATTCATCGGCTCGCGGTTTGGCAGCGCCAGGTACACGCGCGTACCCAGCGCTATTATTGGGAACTGCGGCGGTGTCAGTAGTGTCGAGCCATCAGACTGCGACGACTGCTTGAAGCACAGTTCGCAAGCATTGATCGCTGCCTCCATGAGGTTGTAGTCGTGGATAGCCGCTTGGCGCTTCTGCTCTGCAGACTTTCCCTTGGCCTGCTTAGTGAATTTTTCAATGTTTTCGTCCATATACTCGAGGTCGTTTGAGAACCCACTGTCGCCCACGATTTGTTTCGCCAGTAACCTGTCCGCAGGGTCGTCGTCGTTTTCGCGTTCGGCACGCGCCATCTGCCTGATCGACATGGAGTCCTCCGATCCCGTATCAGCAGCTAGATTCAGTAGCCGACCGCTGCTATCTGTGCGCGGCAGCACCACAACATTATCCTTTTCTGTGCTGCAACCGGCACTGGACTCTGTCTCGCCTGCTAGAGCCTCGGCGAGCTGGCGTTCGAGTTCGGGCAGGTCAGCAGATTTACGAAGCTTGGCTTTCATGATTCTGGCGTGCAGTTTGTTCAGATCGGTGGATGCCTTTGGAGTCTTGCTTCTGTGTTTACTTTCACGGTGGGAGCGGTGGTGCTTAGAGGAAGGTGAGCGAGACCGCGAGCTTCTTCGGTGACGGTGACGGTCACTGCTCCTATCTTTATATTTGTCCCTGCTCCTGTCGCGGTATCTGTGACGGTCAGACTTTGATGATCGGTGGGATGGCGAATCGTCTCCCATGTTTGAAAATATGTAACGCAAAAAATGTATATACTCTAGGGTATATGTGAAGTATTCTGTATTTAAGGTAAAAGGGGCATGCCACAAGAATGGTAAATTATGGTGATTCACATGTGACTAGCTTTAATCCAACTATTGGCATTTGATATTGTCATGCACAGCAGCTCTTCGCATGAACTCAACTACTGTAGAACTGATTGAACCCATCTAGTACTGCCTGCCTGTCGCTTTGCGACGTAAATTCTATTACTTCTAACCTTTCAACATGCGGATGCGGCTCGAATATGTGCTGGTTCTGCTCAACCGCACTGTCGAATTTTGCAGAGCAGACAAAGCATTCATAGGGTTCTATTTGGATCGGGTGTAGCCCCGCCGCCTGTAGGTTAGTCATAAATTAAAGTGCCTTTGGAAGAAAATCAATGAGGAGGACAACGACGGAAAACAAAGTAAAACCTAGCTTTTCCTTACACTCATTCTTGCCCAGCCCTTTAACTCTTGACTTTCCAATGAGCAAGTCGATATGTCAGATGCCTTTCCATCCTACAAGGGTATTGGTGAACATGCTATTCTTTTCAGCGAGCAGAGCGGTAAGAATAAGACAAGTCAGCCGAGTTTATTGACCATAAAATAATTGCAGCAGGGGCTCCATATATCGAGTTGGAGCTCAAAACCACCTTTTGATAGGGAAACCATGGAGAACAGTGCTCAAATGAAAAGATGCCTGTTTTTCTTTGAAAGGTTGTAGAGAATAGTAGATATTCATACTTTTGGAAATAAGGGCAATGCCCTTAATGACAGACATGAACCATGATAGAAAAAGAAAGGGGAATAATTTAGATTTCAAGCACAAGTAGCAGCGGTCGTTTTTAAAACCGAGCCATAGCATCCGCTATGATCAGCTGGATGTGGGATTGGTTTGGATATATGATGCGATGACCTTCATAACAAAGCACTTTAATTTGTCTAGAGGGGGATATTCCCTTTATTGAGCAATTTGACGTCTTGGTGCGCTCCTTGCATATGCTTTTGATACGAGGCTGTGCCACTCAATACATGGGTGCAGACAAAGCACAAATACCTCCCTTGATCAACTGGAAGAAGTGCTACTTTCTGTTGTTCTGTCATATGGAATGAGCTGACACGCTGGCAAAATGATAAATGAAAAGACAAATGGACTTGCTAAGCAAATATGCTGTGTTTGTATCTCTTATACTGCTAACTATAGTTGGTGGTTGACCTTTCTGGAGTCGATTGATGGTGAGGTCTTTGGCCATTAACACCCAAACTTTCTGTCGGGCCAGTATACTGTCCCTTCGCACTGCCCAATTCTGATATGAATCACCTTCATGAATTTGGTTGGACAATTTGATATCATGGCGCCATTCCCGAACAAGCAAAAGCCTGTTGGGTTGAGTTGCACATAGTGGTTTGGACTATCCTACAGCTCACTTGCAGAATTGACAGCGACAGGTACCTTGGCCAATCCCATTGACTCCGCAGCCTCTAAATATAGTTGATCATAGCGACCTGCACCTGTTTGTAAACCACTATGCTCATTACACTCAATGCATTAGGTTCAAGGTTGTAGGAGATAGCTATCGAGCTATGCTACCGTCTAACATATCTTCTTCATGATGATGGTTACATATATGTATTGGCTGGAGCAAGCCTGTGGTAGTCTATCGTTTCCCTGCATTACACTGAGCAATGTGGTCGAGACAGTCTTGCTTGAGTCTATACTGCGCACCGCACTTTTTGCAGTACCAGACTGAATAACTGTTGGCGAAGAACATGCGCTCGGTGCTATTAGGTATTGCCATTAGAAATATGGAGTACTTGTCAAAAGAGACATAAAAGTATATACGTTGTGCAACAAGAATGCACTTGGTATCTCTCATTTATATCGCTATCTTCTAGAGCTTATCTCAGATTATTCAAAAGTGGCATAGGTCATACTTGCTGAACAATCTCACTGATATGTATCACCTGCACTGCTAGCACAAGCACAATCGGCTCCGGTACGCCCCTATTTGAGCATAGCATGATCAAACAACCACAAAGTAGACCAAGCCGGTGTGCAAGTAGTTGGAAATGCTCCAAACGATATACCCAATTAACATTGCTGCTAACGCCTTTCTAATTACACTACATCCCCTAGCCGCATATACCGTCTACCGCTATCCATATGTTGTATTCCATTACATATGGTTTTATATGCAGATAATTGCCCACATAGCAATGAATGTCGTTGAAAATATAGGACTGAATGTTGTGGCGATATCTATAAGATGGGGATTCGTGAGTCATAAGGGCTGTTGGCATACATCCATGTTCCTAAAGCTGATTCTCCACCTCAAGGTGTTCGTTATTATACTGACCATTATCTATGTTTATTTTATGAACTTGCAAAAAACAAGTGCATCTGTGAGACACCTTGACGTGAGGCGTCATTTCATTCCCAGCTTGTAGTTCCTGACAATATCAATATAACTTTACCATTTCACAGGCAGTGGCTGATGGCTGCATAGCAAAATGCTTGTTGATGAAAGTTGTAGATTTGTTGTATTGTGCACACTATGTGCAAAGGAGACAGGCGAATAAATTATTTGGTACAGTGTCGCTTGGTCACATTTATACCTAGGCTCTACGTACTCCCCATTCCATGCATTTGTATAGGCAATTGTTTGGGATGCAAGGCTATGCAGTTACAGCTAGCATAATATTTACCAGGTATTTTGTTGTATTGTTGTGTCGGTCGACTGTGTAGGGGGTTTTAAATGTATATTTAATACTGAAGAAAAGAGAGAAAAGGGGATAGACGAGTTGCGCAGGGAGCTTTTAATACTGCCATCTGTGCAACTTATCAGAGGCTAGACTCTACCTCCATATCGTAGGCTGTAGCGGGCTCTCGTTGGCGCCTGGATTTCTGTCACCTGATTCGGCTGACATGTCGATGTCAGGGACAGCCGCATCGGGCGCGCAACAGTATTACCACTATTATTGAGTGGATTGGATGTATCGTCCACGTGGTTGAGGGCTCGATCATATGAAGTCCAATGCAGTAGGATTTCATCAGAGTGAGAATGCTCCAAGTGACAGCCACTAGCTAACCCATAGCTACACAGTCGAGTGTTTTCCCACTAAAAGAGCTGTTGTGGCTTGGCACTATTTGCAAGCCAGGTTTGCACCTATACCATTCCAAATCTTCAATTTTCGTATTGTTGTAACTATGTATTCACCTGCACAAACGCTACCGTCACTTGTCCTCGAACAGATCCTCGACTTTGCAGTTGGAAGTTTTCCGCACGAGTTCACTCCAGAGTATGCCTGCGACTGCGGCCCATATATGCGTGTGGTTCCTGGCCTCAGTTTATGTCGCAGCTGGAGAGATGCAGCGCTGTCAAAGTTGTATGGCGAGGCCTGGTGGTGCAAGGTCCCGAATTGCTCGCAATGCTACACAACCGAATGCCACAGTCGCAAATTGCCTAGGGGGCTACCGACTGCTATTTCCACTGGTAACCAGTATCGCGTCAGAAAAGTGTCGCTGCATTGGAAGGTCGAGGCTATCCTGGATGGTACAGCGATCAGTGCGGCCAAGAACTCATTGCTAGGCAAATTGGTAATGCCATCAGTCACCTCCCTGGACTTTTACTTTTGCTCGGACCAACTGGAAGTGGATCTTAGCGAGGCTAAGAAGATGGAGCATGTCAAGGCGTTCTGCAGCGAGATATACCAACTGTTTCCTTCCGTGCAAAGCTATCATCTCGTAAAGTTTGACGGGTATGATGAACTCAACGACTACCCTGAAGTTCCGGCTATAGACAGCCTTATTACTGGTCTGACCAAACACAAGACGCTGGTCGACTTTTCGTGCTCGGCGTTCGTTATTGTGGTTCCCCTTCCCACCGATGGCCGTGACCTGCGCTATGTATCAACCACCGCTCTCGAGGCTGACCAACACACAATCGAGCTTATCCGGCGCAGTGCCTCTACTCTTGAGTGCCTCACAGTCCAAGGCGGGGGTCCAGAGGTATTTGCGCAGCTTCTTCATTCCGAAGATGGAAAGCCTGTTGTCTACACCCACGTTCACTCTCTGGAGATGTCGTACACCGTATATCGCTCCTTTAGAGAAGCACACCCCACCTTTGCTTCTCCTACCGGTGTGTACTTTCCGTCTCTCAGAAAACTAGTGAGCAGGATAAGATACCCGTTCAGCAACGATGTCCTGTTCAGAGGCAGTGAAGCGACGCTAGAATATCTGGACATTCCGCTTTTACCGAGAACTGTTTCCGATCTCCAGGAGTGTGGTGTGTTCAACGCCAATCGTTTTCCAGCACTGAAATATGTTAGCGGAAAAGGGGATCGAGTGGACGATGAGATGACGCGCATACAGTTGACAGGATCTCTGCTGCGGTTTGCTGCCAACGCGCGCGTTATTAAGGCCAGGGAGAACGACTGTCCATTTGACTTGACTGGCTTTGCAATCAGCGAGTTTGGACAAAACGTTACCGTGTTGGATATACCGCCTATCAGGCTGACGTTAATGCGTACGCTCCAGCTTATCAAGGTGCTACCGCGTCTTCAACAGCTGAGAACTGGAGTCGAGATCACCGACGAGCTGCGCACCACTGACCAGACCCATGATTCCTGCGTTGCTGAATGCCGTCCGCTGTGGATACAAAGACATGAAGGCGATCCAAAATACATGGAATATGGCGATCCATTCCATCCGGATATTGAGGACGACATTGTCCAACGTGGACTCAGACCAGATGCATACGAGTGCTTTTATTCGTCGAGATTCATCTTCTCCGACTATTTTGGCGAGTTCATTTTGGACCACCTCAGCCTGGTCTATGCAGATTTAGGGTTTGTTGACGAGCTCTATTCTGACTTCTACCCGCTGTCCGACTCCTTGGCTGTTTTGGACTGCAGCCATGACAGAGAGGACAGCGCGGTGCTGCTGGCTCGGTCCAAGATTGCAGTCATCTTGCTGGCACTGTGCCCGTCGATCCAGCGGATCCAAACGTGCTGGGCCATCGACTTCAGATACACGAAGAAGGCCATTCCCGACGATATATCTATAGAGCGGCAGAGGATCGTGGAATCCGAGCAGCACCAAAAGCTCGTTGCCCATCTGAGGTCGGTAGCCCAGCAATAATATTCGCCTACCGCTCTGTCTGTCTAAACCATCGCTTGCTATTGCATTTCCAATGAAAACTTTATTTCAGTATGCCTTGTTCAAAGGGGTATTTTTTTTTAGAATTTTTTCTATCGGTTGCACCGCTTCCTTGCTACTGGGATGATGAGAGCCAAAGCTATATACCGTGCATAGACAGAGAACATATGGTATGTTTATCAGCTGTAAACGCTCATAGCTTGTATCTAAAGTCAGGGTGGCGGTCGGCCAGGTCTTGGATCTCGTCAGCAGTCAGCCGGCTAATATCCATGGGCTTCTTATCGCGCAGCTTGTTCTCACGGTCCAGCGCGAATCTCAGCACAATTGCAGCCAGCAGGCACAAGAACGTCATAGACAGGCATACTGTGTGTCCGAGCACATACTGCGGCGAGTCCTGGTCTCTGTACACAAAAGCCGTGGCCAGGGGCCCGAGTCCACCGAAAGCCGATGTAAACGCAGCAGCCATAGCCGGCTTGGTGTTACCTTGCTGGTTGGCCATTTCCCACGCCGGACTGTGTGCCGCGGGCTGTGGCGAGGCGAAGCTGAACAAGAACAGAGCGACCATGCGGCCGACGACGTTGGGCGAGAACAGAGCCAGGAAGAAACCAGTGACTGGTGATACAGTTAGACAGCATGATGGCGTAGGCAGACCCGCCTGTGAACTTGGCCACATAGGCAATACTGGCCATACCAGAGAACGCCATGAAATTGGTCAATGCCGAGAGCGCCTGGGCAACGCGCGATGAGTATCCCTGGCTGGCAATAATGGTAGGGCCGAACATGCCGTTGACCTGGGTGGCCCCGTTGGCACAAAAGTCGATCAGCGTCCAGAGCCAGATCTTGTAGTCCTTCAGCGTCATGACGATCTGCTTGATGCTGATGCGCTGGTCGCTGACAACCGTGTTTTGGTGCCGCATGATGCGTGTGATGACCGCGCGCTCGTCCTCGGTGATAAACGTGGCCTTTGTCCGGGTAGTCTTGCAGGAACACTGGGCCAAGCAGACTCCAGACGCCGCTGATCAGACCAACGAAGACAAAGATGCACTGCCAAGGGGCCAGGTACTCCGATTTGATAGACGTCAGCCCCGAGCAGAGCGGCCCGATAATGATCCCGCCGATGCCGGAGCTAGCAAAAAAGAACCCCATGCGCTTACGCACCTGCTCGCGCGGATACCAGTACGAGATATAGTAAAGAGACCCAGTCAGATACCCAGACTGCACGGCGCCGAACCAGAAGCGGCAGGCGGCCAGCGCGTGGGCGTTCTTTGCGAACGCCGTGCTAACTGTGACAATTGACCAGACAAACATGGATGCAGGTGAGCCAGTACGTCGGACGGACCTTCTTCAGGACCAGGTTTCGAGGGCAGCTGGAACAGGAAGCTGCCGAGGTAGTAGACGGCCAGGGCAATGTTGATGTCGTAGCCCTTCAGGTCCAGGGCCTTGGTGAGGCCAGGCAATTTTGGCATTCGACAGAGCCATCTTGTTGAGCGAGTCCGTGGCATATCCGATGCAGACATACAGGAGAAGCCGCCGGTCACACTTCCAGATATACGACTTTAGGGACTCTTGCTCCTGCTTGGTGAATTCCAGCGGCTTGTTGATGTTGTCGATATAATAGCTGTCTGAAGGACTCGGAGGCGCGCACGGCGGGGTCTGCGGAAGGCATTGGAAGTAGTGGGCTGGATGAATCGCAGCAGCGTCTGTCGTCGTTGTCGTCGTTTCGTGTCATTGATAGAATGGTACGGGCAGAACAGCAAGGGCTACTTATATGAGGTATTGTGCTAGAGTTGAAGGATAAAAACGAGGGCCCGGTGGAACCAAAAGAGGGAAAAAGTTGAGGAAGAGGATCCGCACTGGCAAAGGGAGAAAGGATGGATGATAGAGCTATGCGAATCTTGCTCCCTTTTTTTCTTGCTGTTGCGTCGTGTCCAGCCGCAGTCGACCTTGCTGGCGGACAAATCTTAATTGCTAGTCACGCCTCCAAGTGGCCATTAATTTCGTGTATCTGTTGCGAAAAAAAGGAAAAGAAAAAGTCATGCAGGCGGGTGGGAAATCAACAACAGCAGAGAGGGATTGAAGTGCCGATACCACGCAAAATCCGTTGTGCAATTCAGAGTCTGCTTTAGGATAAATAGAAGCGCTGGACGTTTTATGTACTAGCAGTTGCTATCTTATCTAGCAGGTCCTCGGTGGGTTCTATGCACGGTGTATGCTGCTCGCGGGCTGATCGCTATGTAGTCGGTTTCCCAGGAACGCAACTCCTCCATATACATCTAGCATTCACAATCCTGCATTCTGCCCAACCGGACTTGCACATTCACACCGGCACGCACAGTCAAGGGGTCGTGCATGTTGGAGTGTGACTCAGGCCCATGCCGGATATTTTGCAATGCGAGCTACCAGCTGAGCGAATAGTGGATGAACCCAGCGCAGGAGACCTGATCTGCGGGGTTGCGGCCTGGCTCGGTTCATTTATCAGAAATAGCCGGTTCGAGTCACAGGTAGCTTGGTTGACGTCACACGTTTTTGGGCCAACATTTCTGCCAAGCACCGAGGTCACGCTGCCTTTTTCTCGTCTTTATTTTTCCTTCAGTGCAGCCTTCTACTAATTAGTTATGCAAATTCCACAAATGGACAGCCGATTCGAATGGGTAGCAGCACGAGACGGCGCAATTCCGCCGCGAGCCATCGCTGGCGGGGTCGAGCGCGACGGGCGGCCGCTGTTCATTGCACGAGCGTTTTTCAAGGGCGGGCTCCACCCAGGCAAGGCGGCGCCACATATCCAGAACGGCGGGTTTGCAATGGGGTGGGGCGGGGGCGAACACAACCTGAACGAGTACTTTGTGCTGTGCGGCAACGCCAACGCAGTGCAGTGGGTAGCTGTTGGAGGGCCCAGTCGATCTGCATGCGCCGTATCGGCTGCTGGAGGCCGGCAAGGAAGCCGACGGCGTGCCGCTGTTTGTGGCCAAGGCCAATTTCCAGAACTCGCAGCAGTTGGGTAAGGCTGGTCCCCATCTGAGCTCGGGCATGAGCCTGGGATTCGGCGGCCGGGAGCACAATGAGAGGAACTACCATGTGTTAGCGTATCTCTAAAGAAATAAAGGTTACTTGGAAAGATACTTGCTCCACCAGCCTTGAAGTTGACGCAGGCCACGCTGATACCGATCTGCTCCAGTGCCTCGGTTGACAGCTGCGTGTTGTCGGGGCGCGATGCCACGGCCTCAGTAGGCTTGTCTCGGACCGGCACAAGGTGGTCAATGCTGGCATTGCCCAGGATCTCAGCAAACACCTGGCACATGGCGTACTTTGTCATCTCCTCCTTTGCCGAGAAATGGAAGACTCCACTTACGCCCTCGCCTGCAGCACCAACACTGATCTCGGCCATATCGGCCAGCACCCGAGCAACATCCAAGGTGTTCGTGGGGAAGCGCTTCTGGTAGTCGTCCATCTTGGTCTCCTTTGACGCATCCTTGACTGCTCCCAGCAGCAGGTTCACAGCGCTCTCCTTGATGTCCTCCGCCGAGCCATATAGGATCGGCACGCGCAGAATCGCCGCCTGTGGATTTGCCTCCTGCACTGCCCGCTCACCGGCCAGCTTCGTGCGGCCGTAAAAGTTTAGCGGGTTCGGCTTGTCGTCGACCTGGTACGGTGGGCTAGTGCCATCAAATACGTAGTCGGTGGAGATGTATACAAAGAACGCTCCATGCTGCTTGGCCAGTGCTGCCAGGTGGCCGGGCACTTCAGCGTTGAGCCTCTCCGTCGCTTCCTTGTTCTGCTCGGCTACATCGGGACGCTTCTCGGCCGCGCAGTGAATGATGGCCTGCGGCTCCTCGGCACCAACAAAGGCGGCGACTGCTGCAGTATCGCTGAGATCGAGCTTGCGCAGCTCGCCGCGAGCGCGCGAGAACGCTGTTCCGATGACGTCAAAGCCACGACCCTCAAATTCAGCTACCACTGCACGCCCAAGCAGTCCCGGAAGCACCGGTAATGATAACCTTTGGAGACATTTCAAATGGAGCTGTACAAGAAAAAAACTATGAGCTTGGATTTGAATCAGCAGAATGAGATAGAAAAGAAAGGGTGGGAGGACAAATCGTGTGGGCTACCTTCGTCATCGCTTTCTATTCCCTCCTCCGGTTTTTTTTTCTTCTAAATACTCTCCATCAGAATGGACCCGAACATTATGCGCTTTGACAACATGCCAGTGACCGAATCCAGCGACGACGCCATTGTACAGGGCACCAGCAATGATGCTGCTGTCAGCCGTGAGTCGGCGGCACGTCTTGGCTACATGGCCGACCGGTATATCCACAACTTTGTCCGGCAGCCGCAACGCCGGCCGCCCTTGATCAACCGCGGGACGTACTGCCGATTCCACGGCATCCAGAGCGCCCTCCGCCAGTTCACAGAGTCAGAAGCCGAGCCCAAGCAGGTGGTCGTGCTGGGCGCTGGCCTCGACACGGCGTATTTCATCCTGAAATCCGAGGGTCTGCTGAACAATGTGCGGTATTTTGAAACAGACTTTGAGGAGATCACAGCCAAGAAGGCATCGACAGTGTACCGTAAGCGCGAGCTCAAGGCGCTGCTGCCACCTGACATCAAAGTTGCGCGCGGCGGGGCCGAGCTGCACTCGCCGTCGTATAATCTGCTCGCCGGCGATCTGCGGGCATTCGAAGCCCAGGTGGTGCCGAAGCTGATGGAGCGCGGATTCCAGACTGATGTGCCGACACTGTTTATCAGCGAATGTGTGCTGATTTACCTGGACCCAAAGTACTCGGACCGCATCCTGGACTGGGCCACAGACAATGTGCTGAACTGCGGTATCATCACGTACGAGCAGATCCTTCCTGGCGACCGGTTCGGCAAGATGATGATTGAGAATTTGCGGGCGCGCGGGCTGGAGCTGCGCGGGCTGCATGCCCACCCGACACTGGAGAGCATGGAGAAGAGATTTAGCGGGCGTGGGTGGCAGTTTTCCAAGGCAGTGGATCTAGTCGACTACCACGACCAGTGCGTTGAAAAGAACGAGCTGGACAGGATTGCGCGCATCGAGTTCCTGGACGAATGGGAGGAGTTTACGCTGCTGGCCCAGCACTATGCCTTCACATTTGCCTACCGCACCAGTTCGCTGCCATTCTCCGCCATGCATATCGTCTAGCTCTTCTTGGATGGGGGACTTGCCGAAAAGACATTGTTTATTATCATCGACTTCAACTCATGGATACAGCTGCAGCCCTCTTTACTTGGTGCGCTTGGCAACCTTGTTGAGGAATGCAGTGAAGACCTGCTTGGGGATCTGGGTCTCGTCGACCTCGCTGATCTTCTTCTCCATGTCAGCAATGGCAGCCTCCTCGTAGTCCTTGTAGACCTTCTCAATGTCGAGCTCCTTGTACAGCTCCTTGACGCGCAGCGCGTGCTCGGCGGGTGCCTTGCGGCCGTAGTTGTCGTTGAGCACCTTGCGCTGCTCCTCGTTGACGCGGTCGAGCGCCTGGACGACCAGCCACGAGCACTTGTTGTCCTCGATATCCGTGCCAATCTTGCCAATGACCTCAGGGGCGCCATAGCAGTCCAGATAGTCGTCCTGGATCTGGAAGTACACGCCCAGCGGGATAAGGATGTCCTTGGAGATCTGGAAAATAGGCGAGTCGGCAGGCGTGCCGGTCATCAGCAGCGCCATGGCCACGGGCAGGTAGAACGAGTAGTAGGCAGTCTTGTACTCGACAATGTAGCGGTGCTTCTGGATCGAGAAGCGGTCGAGGTTGACGTCGTTCTCAGGGGCAGTTAGCAGATCCACCATCTGGCCGAGCTCGGTCTGGTACGACGTCTCGTGCAGCAGCTCCACCAGGTCAATGTAGTACGGGTCGCTGCGGAAGTACTTCTTCAGCAGCCGGTAGATGCACGACTCGAGGATGAACGAGTCGTTGATTGCCAGGATCCCGACGTCCTCGCGCCGGTACCACGCCGGCTGCCCGCGCCGCGTCGGCGACTCGTCCATGATGTCGTCCGCCACCAGGAAGAACGCCTGCAGCCACTCCACCGCCCACCCCAGAACCATCGCCTTCTCGTTGATGTCCTTGGGCAGAGTGCTCTCGCCCCGCATAATCTTGACCGTGTCCACCTACGGACAGTCCCGCGGTTCATCTTGCCTCCCATGACGTTGTACTCGATCATCTGCTGGATCCGCGAAATCATCTCGTCCGTCGCTCCAAACGACGGCAGCTCAGAGACGATGTCGTTGACCAGCTGCGGGAAGAAGTCGGTGAATTCAGCCTTCGTGGTAGCCATGCTTTGGTGAATGTCGGGCGAATTAGTTGATAGATGGTGAGAATGAAGCAAACAGTGCAACAAAAGAGATAAAGAAGGACGAGAGGAATACCAAATCCATCTTGGCGGTGCTTTAAAGGGCGGTGAAATGGGGAAACGAAAGGCAGATGATTGGGTGCACAGCAGGAACTCGGATCAACTGTCAATAATGACAACAAGCAATGAATGATAGCTGGTTGGGACTGCTGTCAGAAATTACGCGGCACGCGCCAGTTCCGTTTTCTGGGAGTATCACGTGGGTGAAATGCCTAGTAGTATGCTTGCGCCTGCCGTTCTGCTGGGCTGGACAATATCCTGGTAGCGGAAAGCATCCGGGCAGGCTCTCAAAGTCGAGAATCCGGCTGCTGCTGTACAGTGTTGCTGATGACTGTGAGCCCACACCTGTAGCGACCTGTGCTGGTAGTGATGCCAAGAACTGGTTTGCAGTCTGCTATCCGACTTTTGGACTGCTGCAACCACCATCTTTCTTGACTTGTCGGAGTTTTTCATTACACATGCAAGCTGAGGCATGTCCCGAATCACTAATCACAATTTAATGCCAACGATAAAACTACTACGTCTTTGCTGGGGGTTGGAGAACACAGCTAGCGCTTAAGCACGGGATGCTGAGATGGCTGCATTGCGCAGTTGACACGCTGGGGCTTTTATTTCCCTGTATGTGCAGCCATCCTCTTTGTTTGCGGCAGTGCCCAAGTCCAGAAAGACACCACTGACGCTAAAAAGTGATCTATGAGGCATTGGTTGTTGCGTGGGTTCTGAAAGCTCAAAGTATAGCTAATTCCTATTCTTGATTTTCTAATGCTTGCGTACCAGACGCATGGAGTATGAATTTGATGATCCCAGATACCATATGGAACTGGTCTGAATCGCCATTCTTCACTATTCCACCATCATCATACTTGCTCGCGCATCATTTTATAATACAAAATGGACCCATACGGAGACAGATATTTCCTATGGCAATGGGACCTATTGGCTCAATGTATGGCTTGATACCATCGATGCTGTACGTGATGTATACCATATATCAAACTGCTGTTTATGCTGTCGTAAATCTGAGTACTGAAGATATATTCAACATTAGCCGAGGACATGATGGTATGGTATAGAGCAGCACATCACATGTACATTGTCGGATATTTGTTTATCCCATGGCAACTAACCTTTTGAGAATTACTATTGTAGGTAACAGCTGTCATCCGCTTATGGCCGACCGAGAGTGCCAGCAATGAGGCATACCCCGCAGCATCGATCAAAAAGACAAAAAGGTGACGACGCGAATAGCCACGCCATTTACGAGTATCTGCCCCACCTTACTTATCTGGCCTAAAATCAGATGGCTGAAGAAAGGCTTTCGAGGCTACGGCAGTACTTGCGTTCATAACTACAAGGAGCTCATGAGGGAAAACCAGGATATGCAGCAATATATGAGAGGTTGTGAAGAAATGGATCCGCTAAGTATAGGCGATGGGGCACCTTGGATTTAGGTATGGAGGACATGGATGTGGACGGTCCTGAGCATCAAGAGAGCCGCAGGCTAGGAGAAGTAGAAGGTATTGAATAGAGAACTGGAGCACTGGAACTTGGACGTGGAGCCGATATTTGTGGATGGCTCCGAGTACTCTGAGAGAAAGCGGGGAGAGAACTGACAATGGCTTCCTGAGCATTCAAGAGAAAGCGGAGTAGTTACTGATAACAGTTCTGATTTTTGGAGCGACGACGGACCAGTGGACATGGATGTGGACGATCCTACAAAGTACAGCTATAATACTAGAAATAAACCTTGCTGGACGATTCCCCACAGATACTCACAAAGTTCAATATTCAGACCGTATGATCCGCCAACCCCTCAATCCGGATATGAAATGTGCCTGTATAATTTCAGAGTCTTCACTGAGTTCCGCGAGCCTCCAAACAGCAATACGTGGTGGGACCCCATCGATACCCTGGCAGTCTACGATGTAGCGGGCACTGTCAGAGGAAGGCAGCCAGCGCGGAGCTGCACCGGCTGTACACCTATTGAGTCAAATGACAATAAATGGCTGAGCACTAGTGTAAAATGGATGCTGCGTCTGACTGGAATCTGGTGTTTGAATATAATCATAAGCCGAGAAAATCTGTTTGTTTGAAGAAAATGGACTGGAGAACTATGCTGTTTTGATGAGGGATTAGCTGGAAGGGCAGCACGCTTGTCGGCTCTTTATACTCTGGGAAGTCTTGAGCATAAAGGGAGGAACTGAATAGATAGCAAACGACACCATCGGCTAACTATGAACGCGCTGACACTGCCATAGATCAATGAGTTGGTCTCATGCACCACAGCTGATGAGCCAAACCAACTGCAGGACCGGGCCAAGTCGATTCAGACAGTGTGTCCGTCAGTCACCACAATGGTTGCTTGTGGATGGTATCAGATAGCCATTCATTAGATATTTTCTTTCAAAAAGGAAAGGAATTTCGGAAGCTCTTGCAAAAAGAACAGAGGAGATTTTTAACGAAGCTGGTCATTCCGTGTATTTCTATTACAGTGGCCGTTTGACTGTCCTCTGTGCTTTCCTTCCTAGCAACTGCAGGATCATGCATTATTTTCATAGCGCAAGCTATTGATGCTGATGGGAGGCAGTATGTGACGTGGTGCTGACAGTACAGGTGGATACAGCAGCAATGACCGAAAATTCGGGGTCAAGGAAGGGATATGTGCTGTTCACCAGTGCAAAGACGAATTTGGATGCCTATTATCAAGGATATGAGGCTGGTCAGCGAGTATATTGTCCTGAAAAGGTATTTGGATTTATGCAATTAGCGATGTGGGTATCATTACAGTAATGAGATGTAGAGCTCCAGTCTTGAATGCACAATCTTCACCAATCAGTCCATTCCTTTGGATAGACAGTATATAATGAGCCAAAAAGCCATGTGGGATCCAGTCATCCTCGTATTTCTCCCTACAATCAAGACCAGTAAAAATATGCGTCTGCGGCTGGGCTCCCTACGCAAGCGCGCGCCTCCCGAACCCACCATCTCATTAAGCACTGAGACAGTTCACAAAGACCTTATTAGGAGCGGCGTGCCAGTGCGCATAACCGTCCAGATCGACGGGCACCAGCCAACAGTCAGATTCTACAGGACGGGTCCGTTTGATCCGGCGATCATGCAGCTCAAGGCGCTGAAAATCCGCCTGGTGCATTCGTGCCGCGTGTGCATGGCATTCGGGTGGTTTGCGTGCGCATGGCACTATGCGCCGGTGTCGCAGGAGGTTGTGAAGGATATTGTGGGGCTTATCCAGCGCGTGCCGACCCTGGAGGTCGTCGAGGCTGAGCCAGTGCTGTGTGAGCAGCTGGCACAGGCACCCGCTGCGCCGGATCCGGCTCCGTGCTGGCGAATAAAGCGACCTCAGCTGACCATCAGGCTCGAAAAAAAGGTGATTTCCCCAAATAAACAGCCCAGAGGCAAACCTTGCTTCTCCCCTACTTATAGTTTTGTTTGCTTTTTTTTTTCCTCTATGGTCAATATTGGTGCATCGTTTCCGCAGAAGCTCACACACATCTGCTGCATTGGCGCCGGGTACGTTGGCGGGCCCACCAGCGCCAGTCATGGCCATGCATTGGCCAGGACATCCACTTTACCGTCGTCGACCACGACGCCCAGCGGATCTTGTCCTGGAACTCGCCACATCTGCCTGTATACGAACCCGGCCTGGACGACATAGTGAAGCGGCAGCGCACAAAAAACCTCACCTTCACAACAGACATTGACCAAGCGATCCGCCAGGCCGACATGATCCTGATTGCAGTGAACACGCCGGCCATGCAGAGCACGGGCTTTGGGCGGGCGCCGGACCTGCGGAGCCTGGAGAAGTGCATGCGGCGGATAGCGCAGGTGGCAGAGACCGACAAGATTATTGTGATGCGGTCGACAGGTGCCGTGCCGCACTAGCGCATGGGTAGAAGGGATATTGCGGGGGAACGGGCGAGCGCAGTTTGCGGTTCTCTCGAACCCCGAGTTTCTGAGCGAGGGCACAGCCGTCAGAGACCTGCTGAGTCCGGATCGCGTGATCATAGGTGGAGCGCATACGCTGGCGGTGCAGATGCTCAGAGGACCTTGTATTTGCAGTGGGTGCCCGAGCAGCGCATTCTGGCAATGGACGTGTGGTCGGCGGAGTTGGCGAAGCTGGCAGCCAATGCAATGCTGGCGCAGCGCGTGTCGAGCGTAAATGCCCTGAGCGCAATTTGCGAGAGGGCGGGCGCCCACGTGCAGAATATCATCACGGCCGTCGGCTCCGATCGGCGGCTAGGCAGTGAGTTTCTGCAGGCATCGGTGGGATTCGGCGGCCCGTGCCTGCAAAAGGATGTCATGAGTCTAATCTGGCTCAGCGAATCGCTGGATCTGCCCGAGGTGGCCGCGTACTGGGCCCAGGTCCTGGAGATGAACGCCTTCCAGACCCGGCGCTTTGCACAAACCATCGTGCAGTTTGCCAAGGGCTGCCGGGTCGCGTGCCTGGGCTTTGCCTACAAAAGCGGCACCGGCGATGCGCGCAATGCTCCGGCTGCCGAAGTCTGCCAGCTTTTACTGAGCGCTGGCTGTCGGTTGGCGATTTTTGACCCAAAGGTGCCTGAGCAGCATGTGTGCGAGCGTCTGGAGGAGCGTGGGTGTGAGATGGCGCACGTGACTGTGTGCCAAAGCGAACTGGAGGCGGTCAGCGGTGCCCAGGCGGTTGTGGTGTTGACGGCATGGCCGCAGTTCGCCAGTCTGGACTGGGCGGCCGTTTACGATGGTATGGAGAAGCCCGCCTATGTGTTCGATGGCCAGCTGGTGCTGCAGCCGGAAGCAATGCGCAGCCTGGGCTTCCGTGTCTATCAGATTGGCCATCCCGGCGCCCCATAGATTCCGGCACTGATCCCACCTGCCTATATCATGTACAAGCTATTTTTTTCATTCCTGAAATATGTCCTTTGTGCTTTAATTCATCCTGCCAGGTTTTTTCCGATTTCTTTCTCCGTACTTGTAAAACCTGACCTGCCCATGTCGCAATTAATGTCGTATGTGGACCGCCGCGTATCGGTCATTATGAATGACGGCCGGCTGGTGGTGGGCACGCTGCGGGGCTTGGATCAGATGACAAACATCATCATGCAGGCATGCCAGGAGCGCATATTTTCGGAGGACGACGGCGTCGAGGTCGTCAATCTCGGCCTGTACTTGATCCGCGGCGACAATATCGCAGTAGTGGGTCTGATTGATGAAGAGGCGGACAAGGAGCTGGATCTGGACGCGCTACGGGGAGAACCGCTGACACCGCTGACCCACTGAGAAGTATTATTATCATCACTAGTTTTTCTTTCTTGAATGTACAATGGTAGACTCATATTTTACGTGGCAGCACCGGAATGCATTGGATTACAATATACGCATAAGTTGCTACGAGATATACAAGGAAGCTGAGATATGACCTGCTAAAGCCGTGAGGACCCGGCCACAGCCGCTGTCCAATTCGCGAGGGATGGTTACCGCAGGTCCCTGTTGCTGGATTTATCCCGAAGGACGATCGCATCGCTTGAGCAGCTCGATAGGAGATATCAAAAGGCGTGATTCCCGTGCACCCCCCGGACCACCTGCGGATATGACTCCTGCAGCATGGAAAACAACCGTGGGTTGTTGCGTGCCATGACCTGCGGGTCCTCGGCCAGACACACAAACGTAGTGGCGGTCCCTGACTCAATGCACTTCATCAGCACCTTGAACATGCTCATGGCCATAATGAACGCCGAGATGATAATCGGCGGCGTATATGATCCAGTAACGTTATACTGCGGCTTGGTGATAGTTATATACAGCCATGCCGCAATCGCCACCACGGCGCCGCACAGGAACGCGCCCAGCTGCAGCACATTGCCGATCAGACAGTCGTTAATCAGGGCCTCGACGCCGCGGTCCTTGATCAAATCCCACGTGTCGCGCGCCGCCGGAATAAACGGCTTGCCGTACATGGCCACCTCGACGTATGCGTACTTGTTGACAAACTCGGCCATGCCCTGGATGCACGCCAGAATGCAGTCCAGGCAGCACGCCAGCAACTCCACGCCGATGTTGCTGTCGGCGTTGTCGCGGATCGCACGCAGTATAGCGCGCATGGTCTGGATCACCGCAATGATCAATGACCCGAAGCACACGCTGCCGAACGAATTGGTAGTCGCGCGCTTCAGCGACGAGAGTGCCGGCGTGCGTGTCGGGTAGCCTGCGGGTGCGCCTTCGAAGAAATAATAGGTCGCGTAGATCCCGCACAGCGTGGTGTGCAGGACGTTGATGATCACGCCAGTGGTCCAGTAGAATGAGAACACCATAAACACCCACGACAGAATCTGCTTCACGTTCGAGCATGACTGGTAGGCGCGCCCATTGCGGTCCGTGTGCGTCGTGCACGACTTGTACTGGTCCATGTGCTTGAAGCTGCCCATGAACGCCAGCGCCCACAGCGCGCTGTACAGGGCCTGGATAAACAGGAACACGATGCTGGTGACGATCGTAGATGGGAACTTTCGCGACACATGGCAGACTGTCTCCAGCACCAGCTTCGAGAACGGGATGCGCTTCCGCCACGAGAACCACATCAGCGCATAGAACACCCCGAAAATCACCATGATGGCGCCCGCGAACCAGATCCGCGCTGCCAGATAGTACACTCCGGTGCCAATCGTCACCACGACCGAGAACCAGAACGAGATTACAAGCAGGTTGCCCGCAAACGCCTGCATCAGAAGCAGGTAAATAAGGCTGACCACCACTGATGCCACCAGCACGCACAGCCACATCACCATTCGTCGGCCAGCTGTAGAACGACTTGGAGTACGACAGCTGTCCGCGGTGCTGGAATGCGTCCGAGGGCAAAGACTTTTATGAATATCGCCGACATTGCGACGAACAGCGCAAACTGCAGCAGAAACACTATCGCTGCCCATGCGTCCCGGAACTTGGGTGTCGCGTTGTACCGCGAGGCACCCTTGAAGTCTCCGCCGTCGCCGTAGTTCGCAGGGCCCGGGTCGGTGGCCGGCGGTGGGTAGTACGCGGGCGTCGCAGGCGGAGGCGCCTGGTACTGCTGTTGGTACGGCTGCTGATGCTGTTGCTGCTGGTATGCTGCTGCTGGTATGGCTGTTGCTGGTATGCCTGCTGCTGGTATTCCTGGTGCTGGGGAGGAGGAGGCGGTGGCGGCGGGTAGTACACCGGCGCCGAGTTGTCGATAGGCGCATAGTTGCTATTGTATCCGCCACCAGCAAACTGGTTTTGGTTGTTGTTATAATAGTTTGACATATTAATGAGTGGGAAATAGGAGATAGAATAGAGCAGAGAGAAAAGAAAGCTCGTCTACCCGCGCTACAACCGCGCAGTTATGAACCGCTCCTTTCATGTGCGTAACGATGTCATTGTTACCTTGTTTTCGCCCTTTTTCCAAAATACACGCGCTGCGTAAACAAGCTGCCCCCAAATCACTGGTCTGCCTGGGCATTGGGGCTACACAGGAAGATTTTTTCCTAGGAATGGGTGCAACTCATTGGAAATTGCCATATGCAGCTGCACTGTGTTACATTCCACCCAAGTGTTTTGCACAATAAACGATTAGCCCAACGAACGTTCTGTCGGTTCCGAAAGTCTTGGCAGGGAAACGTTGTCTATTACTGCTCTTCCTTAGCGTTCGCGAATACCTCGGATGAGGCTACTGCTGCTACAAAAGCAAGTGAACAGAGGAGACTTTGAAGCTGTATTTGCAATATCTAAATTTGGATATCAGGGACGGTAGGGGCATATCGCTTAGACAATGGCAAAGTGCTATGGTGGCCTACGCGGCCTTTGGGGCGGTGGCCGGCCTGGCACCTGCGCCAAGCAGCGGCCCAATAACCCACTCTGGCATGGCCACCGGCTCTGGCACCTGCGGCGCCCCTTCCACCATCGCGCGCATCATACGGAACCTGACCATGGCTGCCTCCTCGGGCATCGGGCTCATCACAACGGCATACTGGCAGCTGGCCGAGTCTTGCACTCCCACACCCCCAGTCACTGACTCTGCTGTGCACACAGGGATGTAGTATATTCCGCCACTCTGCATGACGTCAATCGACATGGGCATGAGCTTTTGCGTCTCTGGGTTGTAGACCCCGGCTGTCATCACTGGATGGTCAGGAGTCGCCCTAGTCAGGCGCGACAAGTCCACATACGGTGCCAGATTTGCGAGCCGTGAGGGGTAGGTGGTTGGCACGGTCACTGAGGCCCTGCTGGCCGGATAGAAGCCGCCACTGGATGGGTAGAAGCCTGGAAAGCCCATGTTCTGGCACATAGCCATGGGAGGCAAGCACAGTAAACGAAATAATAGCGATCTTCATTAGTTGGTTCAGTGAGTGTTGTTGCAGGTACGTCAGAAAGGCAATTTAGATTGCTGATACTGGAACCGAGGTGCTGGAGGCTAGACAGCCAGGCTTTTATAGCGCAGCGCTCCCTAGATATGGCGCTGCTTTTGTCACTATGCCATGCACACAGATGGATCCAGGTGGCAGTGGCTATGCCGATGCAATATGAGAACACGATGATCCATCGACGAGAGACAGCTCGACTACTCTCGCTCAGGTCACTTCAAAGCAGCACCATCACAGATCACCGCAGTGCTGCTAGTTATAATTTTGGACACATCATACAAGACTAGCTATTCATGTATTCAGCAGTATATGTACCATCATATTGAACATGTCCTATGCGTCTGCTGCGGCTGCAACCGCAGTCGGGTTGATCTTGGCCATCTCATCGTCTCTAATCGACATAGAATAGTACGCCTTCTCGATCTTCTCAAGGCTGCTGTTCCAGCACTGGAATCTTTTTGTCCAGATCACGGATACGTCCACCGCACAAGACAAAGTTGATTCCCTCCTTGAGCTCGCGCAAGAACGCCAGGCTCCGCTCGACCGCATTGCGGTCGCCCTTTCCAATAGAGTTGATGCAATAGCGGTTGACCTCGCCAGGCAGATCGCTGACACCCAGAATATAATCCTCATCGCTGACCATCAGCAGCGGCTTCACCTCGCCGCTCTCGTCCGCCACCGACAGGCTCTCCACCACCTGCTGCTTCGTGATCAGCGTGCTGTCGCGCAAAAACGTCCACAAGCCGATCGCCTCAATGTACTCCTGCAAGCCGGGCGTCGCCTGGCGATTGTACTTGTACCCATTCGAGCCCTGCAGTTCCGCCGACATCTTGCGGAACAGCTCCAGCACCTGCTTCTGCTTGCTCTCGGCATCTGCGAACACGCGGTCGGGCGAATCCTTGCGTAATGCGCAGCAGAGAGAACACAATCTTCTTGCTCAGCGCCGTGATGTCGCGCGAGCACTTGATTACACGCTCGCGCCGGTCGTAGTGCGCGTCCAGCGTGTCGCGGTACTGCGTGAAGCTCGTCAGGATCGCGCGCTTCGTCTCCGACATCGGCTGGGAGAGATCAGGCGTGCCCTTGTGCTTCTCGAAGCGCGGCTTCTTGGCTGGGCGCTGCTCGTGCTGCTGCGGAATCTGCTCTGCCGTCTCGCTCATGCTATTTGTTCAAAGTAAATCTGAAATGACAAAATAAAGTAGAGGCAAAAAATTTTCTACCAGCGCCTCGTCCAGACCACTGGCAATGAATCTTTGGCCGCCACAGCCAACCAGCCTCTTCGCTTTTACTGCGTTGGCGCTTTCGCAACTCTTTGCTGTATTTTCTTCTAGCATTCCACCCTGATTTCATGCACATACTCCTGCAATGCTGCAGGCCGAACACAAAGTCAAGGTCGTGTGTCGGGTGCGACCGTTTCTGGAGGCAGAGCGACCTGACGACTCTGTGTCTGTAGAGCCAAACAACGTGTTGCGGGTGACGAATCCGCGCTGATGCCAGCAAAGACGTGGAATTCAACTTCGATGCCTGCTACGGGCCCGGCGAAACGCAGGAGGCAATATACCAGAACGATGTGGAGCCACTGGTAGACATAATATTCACCTGGCATGTCAGCTACAGTGTTCTGCTACTGGCGTGACAGGCGCTGGGAAGACTCACACGATCCAAGGCACTGAGAAGGATCCAGGGATCATTCCGCGCGCACTCAGACACATATTTGGGCGGCAGAACCATGACCCACTGGACTATGATATACGCATAAGCTACTACGAGATATACAAGGAGGCGGTATATGATCTGCTGAAGCCCGGTGAGCCGCCCATAGCGCTGCCGATTCGCGAGGACGCCTACCGCAAGGTCTTTGTTGCCGGGTTGTCTGAAAGGAAGATCACATCGCTTGAGCAATTCAATACCATCTACCAAAGGGCGTGCCGGAACCGGCGAACAGCCAGCACAAAGCTCAACAACCACTCGTCTCGGTCGCACGCTATTTTGACTGTCCGGGTTCAGTGGACAGACGAGGAAAAGGCTTGGTGCGGCCGTGTCCATCTGATTGACCTGGCAGGAAGCGAGGACAACAGGCGGTACAGCCAACAACAAGGACCGCTTAGCGGAAAGCAGTGCTATCAACCGCAGCCTATTTGTGCTGGGCCAGGTCGTGGAAGCCCTGAATTCCAGCTCATTGCGCATCCCGTACCGCGACTCCAAGATGACGCGCATCCTGCAGGATTCGCTGGGTGGCGAGAGCATGGGCATGATGATTGTCAATGTTGCCCCTGGCGAGGAATTCTTGCAAGAGACGCACAACACGCTGAGTTTTGCCACCAAGTCGCGAAAAGTTGTCAATAAGCCGGTTGCTCACGAGGTGATTGAGCCAAGATGGACTGTGGTGGATAGGTTGCAGCACCATCGCGGTCTTGGTCGGCCGGTGCGGCCGGGGATGGTGGTGGCAGCGGCTTCGGGTGCTAAGCGGCGGTGGTCAGACGAGAGCGATGCCTTTGGAAAGCAACAGACCACCAAGCATAGAAGGCTCAAGCACAAGTCGAGAACGTATTGCAAGTCGGCGACGCATCTCTCCTGCCGTCGGAAAGCAGCCTGCCCGACATGCCCCAGCAACTGAGGTGTCTGGTAAACCTCTGCCACAGCAAGGTAATTCTGCCGGCCGCGCTGTATCCAAAAGGTTCCATGATGTCAAGGCAAATGACCGGGACTGCGAGTCAGGAGATCATGGAGCGGGTCATGCGGATCGAGAAACAGCTGCAAAAGCCAACGCTCGATTCGGATCAGGTCATGGATCTTTTCACACCGGCTACCAAACTGAAAACCAGTCGCGGCTGGCTCAAGTATGCGCGCGATCTGGAACATAATGGCGAGCTGGAGAAGGCACTAGTGCATTATGAGGAGGCTCTGCGGTACGCACCAGAGCTCAATAAGCTTGATGCACATATCGCGAAGCTGAAGACCAAGATCAGACGTGAAAGACGCCGGAGCTCGATTGCTAGCCATGGATCGGCCAACATGAGGATTGCTGACCGCAAGTCAGCCGATTCAGAGATATTGGGAAGAGGCGACAGCAGGGACAGCGACGATGATGGAGATGTAGGACCATTGTGGTTGGTCGACGGTTTAGCTGAATCGCCTGGTGCTGAGAAGGCAAGGCGGCAGAGAACAGCCCAGATGTCTGAACAGCCCAAGAAGCCCTTATTGATCCCTAGGTCTCTGGTGTTTGGAAGGCTACCGCAGTCGAATGAAACAATACCCGCTGGTTCAGCATCTGCTATGAGCTACACTAAGACAGGCAGGTCGCAACCAAAGCGGATACGGCTTGAAACAAAACCAGGCAGCTTTCCCAACCCAGTGTGGCGAGAGTTCACAGGGCTTGTTTGCCAGCGGCAAGAGCAGCTCTCGCTCTGGTATTGATAGCCGATTGAAGTGTAGAGTTGCATTGGCTTCGTCTAAGGAACCATACACCAAGGGCTCGCCGACTGCAAAACCACACAGAGCTATCCAAGAGCCACCCACACCGGACGATCGTAATGACGAGGATTTTGTGCCAAACAGTGATGCTTCGGACGCCGAGGAAATTGAGGAGGCCAAACTGCTGAGTGAGATGACGATGTATGGCTCGACGAGTAAGTCAAGGCACAAAGGCCATGCCACTGGTTCACACAACACCCTAGGGTCACTTTCTCGGCAGCAGAAGGCTGGCGATGATAGTGGGCAGTGCAACTCTCCGGCTGACGCTGCAGTTGATTTATCTGTGGACAAAAACTCGCATCCTGGCTCCAAACGCAAACCGAGTTCTAGTACGAGTGCAGAAGAAGAGCCCCTGGCACTGGACAGCTTCAACAGTATATGCATAGCTAGTGCAATGCAGATGATCAACTCGGGCGACGTAAAGAAGATCATGAAACTCCAGGGCATTGGCAAGCGGCGAGCAGAACAGATTCAGGCATCAATTCTGGCTGAAGGGCCTGTAGTTAACATTGCTGACCTCAGAGACCGGCTGCACTTCAAGAACAAGATTATCGTCGGCATCCTTTCCACATTTGCGTAGACTCCCACTGTACATTGTAAATATTTCGTTAACAACTACGTACGCTATATTGGCGGTGTTGGCCATGGAGTACCAAGTCACTCCTACGCCACCATAGATCAGACTAGCCACCCTCATAGGCGGGTTCAAGAAGGCCAACCGACCCTCCTCTTCTTTAGTTGTCTGTTGGTTTACTTTTCATTCAAGTTCATGAGCATTCACTCTGGTAGTTGTCGCTCTGATCAGCGCCTGATCCAAGCAGCTCAGTGACAACCATTGTGGATACGTCCCTGGTACCGTTATCACGGGTTCGATAGAGTCACTGTCTCCGCCGATAATATAGTGAAAAATGCGGCTTTATGTTCCTGGTTGTCCACATACATCACCTGGAAGATTTTCTCATGGATTGGTGGGAATTGGCTGGTGAGCAACAAGTAAAAAATGCAAGCTGTTGAGCGCTGCATACCTCAGAAGAGCTTATATAGTTGTCTATTTCTGCAGAACCACCCCTACTTTCAGAACCCCTCACTACCCATTTCCATCTCTATCATCTTCAACAAATGACTGCTGAAAACATCACCCGTGTAATCCTAAACAACCACATTCCAAGTGGTATCCCTAAACCATCTGACTTTACAGTCGAAACCGTCTCTGCGCCAACTGCTGAAATCCTCAAGGATAACGAATTGTTGGTGCGCCCGCTGTATCTGTCCTGCGATCCTTACATGCGTAACCGTATCAAGGGAAACGGTGGGTTTTATGTTCCGGATATTCAAGCAAAAGCTGCAATCACAGGCCATGGTGTATGCGTTGTTGAGGCTTCCTCAAGCAACAAGTTTGCACCTGGTGACCACATAACCACTGGGCTTTTCGACTGGGCGCAAAAGGCAATTGTGCCTGCAGAAGGACGCAGAAAGGTCAGCGAAACCGATAGAGTGTCGCTGGTAGATTACATCGGCGTGCTCGGGATGCCGTCGTTTACTGCCTATGTTGGAACAGTCGTTCTGGGCAACCCCAAGAAAGGCGAAACACTGCTGGTCACATCGGCTGCTGGTGCTGTTGGCCAGATGGTGGTGCAGCTGGCAAAGGCCCGTGGACTGCGCGTAGTCGCTGTTGCTGGGTCTGACGACAAGATTGAGTTTGTCAAAACCCTCGGTGCAGATGTTGCCTTCAACTACAAAACGTGTGGTAATTTCGAGCATGCAATCCACCAGGCCGCCCCAGAGGGAATCGATATTTATTTTGACAATGTCGGTGGTGAGTTTTTGGATGCTGCGCTGATGAACATGCGCCACCATGGGCGTGTCATTCCTTGTGGAATGGCATCTCAATACAACATCGCTGCAGACGACGAGTACAGGATGGAGAATTTTTCGCAAGTTATAATCCGCAAACTCACGATTATCGGGTTTCTCGTCATGGAGTACTATCCAACCGCATCGTTTACTGAGTTTATAGCGGAGGTATCAACTCTCTACGCATGTGGCAAGATTACATACAAGATCGACGAAATTGTGGGACTCGAGAACGGCCCAGCGGCGCTGATAGATGTATTTGATGGAAACAGCGTTGGAAGGCGCATAATTAGAGTTTAGAGTATAACATTGCTTCGATGTCAATTAATATATACTAATATGTGCATCGGCGACTGTGCTCTTTACAGCCCAAGAGCCAACCGCTGATTGTGATGCGATGTATGTATATACATATATTATTTAATTCTGAATATTTCTAAGGAGAGAAAGGAAATGAAATACAGTACACTACTACTTTAAACTCTTTCGCTTCGGCTTACACAGCTGTCGCAAATTCCCTTATGATGTATTCGCCTGTGAGCTATCAGCATGGTCCTCGCTGTCTCTTGGTTCAGACAGCACCAAGGCACCATTCAGTACGATGTCTGGATCGCCCTATTTGGGGGCGTAATGCCAGGTGCAACATCTATATAGCTCATCTTACAACGTTGGTATGTACAACTACCCTTATATATACCTAGCGTCTGATGCATGCATTAGTGGCACAGCGTCAGCTTCCTTAGCTCTTACGCCTTGTACATTGTTGACCATGGGAATATTTTCGTGGCCTATTGGCTCTACAGGAGTATTAAAATACCACTGGATAGGTGCGCTGGAGGAATAATATCGCTTCCTTTTATGCACATTCCTGCTACTACTTTCGTCTACCCAAATGCAAAACAGCACAGTTACTGACGGCACAGCATTAGTGAGCACTGCACAGGCAGGGGACAAGAACATCTCTTCATCGAACGAAGAACTCGTCGACAATACTACCCCGGAGCCCGATTCTGCACACGGCTGGCTAATCGTTGCTGGTTCAACCATCTATACGATGATGTCTTTGGGCACTACTTCTGCTATTGGTGTATACATAGACGAATATCTTGTGAATGTATTTCCAGATGCGCCCTCGTCGACACTGGCATGGATAGGCACCATGCAGTTCGGACTATTGTGTTTCTTTGGAATCATATTTGGCGCTATGGCAGAACGCATCGATGTGCGCATAGTGGGCACGATTGGTGCCCTCGTATCCGGTGCAGGATTATTGATCGCATCAGCGTGCTTCCTCCCCCTCGTCGCTCATTGCTACACAAGGAATCATATGTGGAATTGGGTGTGCGGCCCTTTTCACCATTGCGAATTGTCTTCCACAGCAGTGGATGGATAGATACAAGCCTATTGCAGTTGACATAGCTATCAGTGGTAGTGCAATAGGAGGGGTGTGGCAGCCATTCGTCATGCGAGCTATTATCAAGCACCATGGATACCAGTGGGCCTTGCGCATTTCTGGCCTACTGCAAATTGTGATTTGTGGTGTTGCAACGCTGCCAATGAGACGGCGGGTTGATGCACCGCCGCGTGGGAGGCTTGTCGAATATACACTCTTACTTGAACCCAAGTTTCTCATGCTGTTCTTATTCGGGATAGTAGGTTCTGCTGGGCTTTTCTTCCCGTTCTCGTACATGCCAAACTATGCCATTGCGGTGCTTCACAAAGATATTTCGTGGGACGCCAATATCTCGGCGATACTTAACGTTGGTGCATTCTTTGGGCGGCTACTCTCAGGGGTCTTAGCTGCATACATCGGCTCGATTAATACCCTCATTATCTGCTCGTTCCTATCGTCTCTTGTACTTCTTGTACTATGGCTGCCCTTCAAGAACATTGCTGTCCTCATTGTCGAGGCACTTTTGTTCGGCGCTTTCAGTGGCAGCCAGGTTACCGTGTATCCAATGATCGCAGGAAATATATACGGTCTCAGGAGGCTTCCCAGCGTTTTAGGAACTGTTGTTTGTATCCCTGTTTATCGGCCAGCTTATCAGCTCCCCTGTCGCTGGCCAGATGCTGGACAAGTATGGACATGGGACAAACTTTAACTCCCTCATCATTTACGGTGCTGCGCTTTATCTTGCTGCCGTTATGTTCTTAGCCATCCTCCGCATGTTTATTACTAGGAGCCTGTTTGATAAAGTTTGAGCCAACCTTTCATCAATACATTATATCTTTTACTTTCTATCCATGTTGCCACATGCATTATCTCTCAATCCTGTAATGACACCTAATCCCATGGAGATTTGATTTGTAAGACCCATGTGAATGTGCGAGAGCAGGAAATAGCCCTGCCAAGCAAGGTTGGGGCGGTGTTGGATAGGGTCGACATATATACATAGTGGCCAAGTTGCCAGTAGTGACTATAATTCCCTTTTCTTTCTGCTCCATCTTGTAAACACACCTTTGACACTAATGGCGAACTGGACGACTCTGAGACCACCTATTCTTCAACGAATCGTGAACATATACAGTACCGGTATCAGCTTTGTTTGGTCCAGGCGACGTCGATACATATATTTCTTACCTCCTGCTTAACCAAGTGTGCCAGCTCTAGAGGAAAGCTATAAAGGAGAGTGTTTACACTTGCGCGATTGTTTTATGCGATATACCTACCACTGAGCAAAAACTTCGACTTGAAAACAGTTCCGACTCAGGCCATCCTCATATCTAAAGGAATACTCCTCTCAACCTCATCGCCACACGCCATTTTATACAGAACAAACATTGCGCATATTGTTAATTCAGCTCACAGCCAGTACGCTAGACAGTTAATTATCTCACCACAGGGGTGTACCATCGACTTTTTCTGCTCTGGCTGACATATTAGAAACATTTGGGTTCAGCACAGCCAAGTGGATCAGTTTAGCAGGAGGTGCTTCTGCTTTGACCAATCCTCTAGCTTGCAGCAGACTGCAGGGACTCGTCGTCCTCGGAGCAGACGATACCAGTACGGGACCATCAACAACCTTACACCTACTTTATACGGCATATCTCCACATGTCAGGCACTTGTCCTACATATCAAACAGCTATCCTCCAAAGAACCAGCGGCCATTTCCGCTTGGCATTCTGTTGGACTTCTACCTGCCACAGCTAACAAAACTGTCTCTTCTTCATGACACACTTCCGATTTTTGGCCACAACAGCTTTTCACAGCACCTCACGCATTTGTCTCTTCACATAGACAGTAAGAGTGCCGAGCGTATCCCTAGAATTTTTGCGCCTTCACTAATAGGCCTGTGGCTATTTTATTCTGATGCTGTACACTCGTGGGATATCTTTAGGGACTGCCTACCTGGATCGGTAGTATTCGAAAGTCTTTTGACATTCCGACTATTCCATAGGTCCTCTGCTTTCTCATTGACAAAAAGGAAGGCTACATATTTGTCGCCGCTGCTATTCCCTAAACTAAAGGTCCTGCGTCTGGACCACTACCCATTCAATTACTCCAGTTCCCTCGCCTTTTTCAAAGACTCACCACTACAGACTGTCACTATAGATGACAAGGTGGATAGATTTCGGCCCTTAGCAATTCTTCCCTTCCAGCACGCCCAATCGCTATTTATCAACATTTCGATGGGGCGGAATACGGCCTATGACAGCGTAGTCAGGTCCCATAGCAAAGATTCTTTTTAGTAAACATTTTTTAGCCTCCAGAACCGAGATTGCTATTCAGACAAGTCTCCCGATGCTGCTTCCTCGCACAATCCATTGGACAGGACTGGAAGAGCTCGCTATTCAATCCCCCGTAAATCTTGCTGACCTTGTCACCATTCTTCCGCAGCTCCCCCACCTACGCTGGCTTCTTGTTGGAGCTATATACGGTACTGGAAGTAGCATAGAGAATACCGAACCAGCATATATCTGGAGCAGCACGCTGACACAGCTCATTCTGTTCTCGAGCATTGTGTACATTCCCAACAGCGCCATCTCTCGGCACGATGTGCGCTTTGGTATCCGGATTACCCTCTCTTCTAAAATTGGTTCGTCCCAGGTGATATGAGACAAACGGCAAATAACGCGCTTTCTGAACACATCTACCACCGAGGATCCAGCGAGCCTAGGGTTGAAGTGGTTGGATATCTCCCGTCCAGGGGGAGAAACTACCTGCTTAGTGGTATCCCTTACACCGACAGTCCACTTGGTTAAAGAATATATTCTGTCTATATACTGTTCAGCTGTCTTTTTGGAGTATACATGCATTCGAGGATCAGACATCGCTCATCCAGTCCTGCCCACTAGCAGCCATCAGACAGGAATATCAGACAGAGAACCGACTCTGATCGCCTGATCAAGAACTGGCGCTGCCTGCTGACAGCGTAATCAAGCTGCTGTTGAAACCTCAACTGCGCAGCAGATTTATGCGCTTGGCTCGCTTTCCTCCCCTCCTAGTTCCCATTTGGTAGTTTGAAAAATTGCGTCAATAATGGCAACGGAAGTTAATTCGGAGACAGCAGCGCTACTGTTGACACTGGGACGTGAGAAGGACTACACGGCCCTCGGAGAGCATTTGTCTGGGCTTGAAGACAAAGTAATTTACAGCTTGACTGAAAATGACCTCGAGAATGACAGCAGCGGTACAGCCCTAACCATGGCCATGTTCCGCGGTAGTAGTGCATTAATTGAGCAAGGCAGTTTAGAGCGCGGGCAGAGTGTCCTCGGATCGATAGTGAGTGCATGTGTGGGCGGCATATGCGACGAGGGAGCAGACCAAGAGGACAACAAGAGATGGACTGCAGTAAGCGACAAGCTCCTAGAAGTGCTCCCGCAGCTCAGTCCACGGTCCATCATCGATGTGGCATTCCGGATCCTGGCAGAACTCAGGGCGCGTGGGTCAGTTCCAAGTCCACTGACGAATTTCTTGCCCATGCTGCTGGATACCCTTGGTCTGATTGGAGCAGTGGAGATTGTGTCCCGTGGGGAGTCAGGGGCTAGGTGCAGCCACAGGTGGTGGTAGCGAGGGATCGAGCGTAACACGTACTGGTGCTGAACTCAAAGGCATACTGGGTCGAATCGGCGTGCTCGTATCGATGGGATCCCAAGTGCTCGGTAGCCGTATGCGCTTTACTGCGCGAAATCGTGTTGAGCGAGCAGCTTGTTGGAACAGTAGCCAACCGCATGCTGCGTCCAGCTCAGGGAAGTAGAGCTGACTGAACTTCCGGCAATGGTCTATCAGTTGCTGCTATTTGCACGTAACGGATACAGACAAGAGATCATTGGCGGTATATTTTCGGTGTTTGATGCGCTCGAAGTCGAGGGTGGGCGCGAATTGGCCGACATTGAAGGCACAGTAATGCTGCATATTTCGTACAGCATCAAGCAGGACTTGGACCTGGGCTCAGCAGTGGTAGCGTATGCTAAGGAAATCAACGGGGTGTCGCGGTCACTGTCGACATTCTCTTTTGCCTGCTTGCTGTCGCTGGCCCGGATCCACCGATTCGAGGAGACGATTACAGGGTTTCTGCGCACGACAGTGATCAAGAGCATCCACGACTCGCTGGTGCTCGACACAACGTCTTGGATCCGTCCATATCTGCCAGCGATTACGCTTGACGCACAAAGCCTGTTTAAAACAGTGGTGGCACGGACGTCGTATGGCTGGGACCAGGTGACACAGTCGTTTATTCACCTGTGTCTCGGCCTTATCGAGAGCGCAGCATCCAAGCGCAGCAACTACAGTGCACAGGCATGCTCACGAGTACACAGCATCTGTGTGAACTCGCTGCGGTCTGCGTTCAAGATGCACGAGTTTGTGCGGTCTGAAGTCATTGGGCAGATCCTGCACCGCGTGGCATTTCAGAACGACTCACATACCGTGTGCCTGGATCTCTTAGGGAAGCTGGTGGAGGATGATCCGGATGCGGTGGGCAAGTCACTGGTCCAAGGTCATGGATGTGTTTGACTCAATCTCGGTGCTGGACGCGCAGACAGTCGAGTCGCTCATCAAAGCAGTACTGCCGATCCTTAGTTGATGAAGCACCGTTCCGCAGCTCCCTCTTGCTGGTGATTCGCAAGATTCTGTTTGCGCACAACATCGAAGACCGGCACAAGGCTTTGGCAGGGCTGTTTGCAATGATTGCAGAGTTTTCAGAGGCCGCACAGGAATGTGGTTGGTGGGCGGCAGGCAGACTTGCTCTCATCAGTGCTCCTGGAGATGGTTGGGCTGCTGCGCCGGTGCTTCACGCAGCAGGCAGAAGTGCGTGCGCGCGCGTATGAGGGCCTTCAGCGCGCTATTTGAGCGCAACTCTGTTAATAGCAACGCCATGCTGCTCAATGCGCTGCACAGCATCTTCCGCGGTCGAGTTTGCCAAGTACTACGAGGGCAACGGCGGATTCGACTCGCCGATCAATATTCAAAAGTGCCTCAATCCGTCGACGCACAAGTCAGCCATGCCCATTGGCAGTTTTTTGCAATGCTACGGCAAGCTAACGAGCGCGCAGGCCGACTTACTAGGCCAGAATGAAGCAGGGTCGTCAAAATTTGCGACAGTGGCGAATGAGTCGTGCGACCAGCTGCGTGACCTGTGTGCGCGGTTTGCCAAAGCAGAGATGGAGGACTTTGAGCTTGACCCGACTGGCGACTATTCAATTAGCAGTCCGTCGACGCTGCGCAACCACAACACGATCCGCCTGGTGATCGGCTGTCTAGACTCGTGCTTCGAATATGTGGCCATGCACAGCGTGCGTGGAAACTGCAGCTGCACTATCGACAACCCCGACATTGCGCTCCAGCTGTATATGAAATATGCACGGTTTGCCGACACCTTGTGCACGCGGTGCCTGGACGACAAGAACAAACGCATCATCACCCATCCGGCTGAGCTATCGCTGGTGACTATAGAGTCAGCTATTGGTCTTCTGCAGCTAATCCTGCCTGACCGTCAGCGCCAGGATGATGAACAGCATCCGATGAATGAGATCCATGGGCATGACTGGTTTGTCGAGCGGGCTGGTCGTGCAATCACCTGGTCAGCGAGCCAGCCACTAGTCAGGCATTTGCTTGAAACTGCCCTGCTGAGGATTCCTGGGGCCAGAGTTGAGCAGGTGCTTGAACTGGCATATACTGTCTACAGCGGCGTCATCATTCACACTGCGAGTGAGTGCGACGATATGCCTGCGTACTTGAAGCCAAAGCAAGCCAAGGGCCGCACCACAATGATCCTCAGCTGCGAGGTGCTTGCAGCATGTGCCAGCACCTTAAAGGATCGCAATCTGCTTGGCCTACTTGCATTCGCGATTCTGAATCCCAGCGCTGTCTGCTTCTCCCAAACCACGACGCCCAGCAGACCGCAGATGGCCAGAGCCGCTGCTGCTCTAGTTGCCAGCCTGCAGAGATCAGTCAGCACGCTGCTTGGACAGCGGCCAATTGCGACCAAGGACGTGGTTGTTGTTATTGGCGTCATCCAGGGCCTGAACGAGTGGCTGGTCGCGGAGCTTCCTGGATTAGATGGGTCAGACCAACAGCACACATACGCAGCACTGAACCGCCTGGCACGATGGACCGCGTCATTGCTCGGCGGTGAGCTCCCCAGTGACCTGGGACTGCTCAAGGCGCTGTTTTCGCTAATAACCGCCGTGCAAGCGCATCTACAGCCTGCCGACACAGCGCTGGCACAGTACTCGGCCGATACCCAACCGGCGGCAGCCAACGATCAGACCGATGCGGCGGAGCTGGGCGAGATTTCGCATTTCGTCGACCGAATGGGCATGGCGTTCCAGGACCCTGCAGGGTGAGGATGTCGATGACGAGGCAATGGATCAGGACGACCTCGATCTGTTCCTGCCGCGCACATTCGCACCACTGCTGACGCTCCTGGCAGGGTGGGTCCGCAATGAGCTGCACACAATCAACTGGGCGGCCGGCCAGCTCAGCCGCTGCGTGGGCACTGAGGCCGACGGGCACGACGACCCTGAGGTTGTGGGCAGCATTCACGCGGAGCGGCGGATCTGCCTGCGCCTACATTCGCTAGCATCCATCATCTGCTCGCTCTTTGAGCGCTCGCTGGCCACCACAAGCGACCTGCCCGTGCGCATATTCCTTGACCTCCTGCGCGCACTGGACCAGCTGACACGCAGCAAGCTGGCCATTCCCCTGCTGCCCATTACTGAGTCATATATCAACATCCTCGAGTTTGTGTGCTCGGATCTGACAATTCGATTCTACGACACTGTCGTGCTGCGCTACGGCAAAGACAGTGCGCCGGTCCAGGCCGACGAGAAAGAGAAGGGCAAGAAGAAGAAGGAAAAGGGCGGCAGGACGAAGAGCCGGGTGACGCGCGACTCGGCGCTGGTCTCCAATGTCGTGTATCAGATTGAGATGACCGAGAAGCACGTCAACCAGCTGGGCGCCAAATTCAAGACCCCGCTGGCGCACTACCTGAAGCGCAGCACCGCGCGCGATTTCCGCATCCATCGCAATGCTCTGCCAGCCATGCAGCCGCCTATGTTTGGCGAAGACTGCACGGCTGCTGCTGGCCAGGAAGAAGAGGAAGAGGAGGTGCTGGTCAGCGATGACAGCGAGGCAGGGACCGAGATGCTGGGCGCCATGGACTCAGCCGATGACGACAGCCACCAGTCCAAGCGCATCCGGGTATAGCGCGAGTTGATGTTGTGTATTGAGAAAGAAAAATGGATTTTAAGGCTATCATTGGATGAGGACAGCACAGCTGGCTTACATGCCACCGACCAGCATCTGGTCGACAACACTGCTGATAAAGTCCTTCTTGGGCGTCAGATCGCACCCAAACTCCTGGTTCAGCTGCATGCGGATCCGCTTCTTGGTGGTCTGCGTCAGATCGGCGCCTGCCAGGATGCGCCGCACGGCATCGACGATCTGGTCGTCGGTGGGCAGCATCGCCATCGGCGGCTGGCCCATTGGAACTCCGTAGCTGACTGGAGTAGACCGCCCTCGGAACAAACTCCTGCGGCTGCGGCGCATACATCGACACCACATGCAGGCTGTTGGGTCCGCTGGCGGCCGACATATGCGACATGGGCCGCATTCCCTGCGCCTCGCTGTACATCGACATGGTATTGGGCGGCACCCACGCGCCCTGGTTCGGAACCGCCACTGACGTGTACGGCGACTGCGCCTGCATCGCCATCATCTGCGGGTTGGTCATCGCCGTTGACAGCCGCGGATCGACAAAGCTGCCTCCCATGAACACCGACCCAGCCGATGACCCATGCACGCTGGCCGTGCCGCCAGCCGGCACAAACCCGACCGCGCTGCCAATGACGGCTAATGGGGCCTGACTGGCTGCTGTACATCGACTGGCGCTCGTCCTCGCGACTGCCCGGGTTCATGTTGGGCGGCGGTGCATTCAGGACACCGGCGCTGGCCAGCTCGTTCTCGTACTCCATCCAGCGGCGCTGCGGAATCGACGCCGGGTCAAACGGCTTGTCGTCATTGACGATGATCTTGCGCTTGCCGTCGCCAACCACCACGCGCGTGTTGCCCCACGAGAAGTCGTCAAAGTGCCAGAACGAGTAGATTGGCAGGACGAACGACCACAGCGGGTATGCGCACAGGTAAATCAGCATCCAGCCCACGTGCTGCCACTCGCGCCGCAGAATGAAGATGATCGCCTGCACACCGTAGATAGCGCCGATGAGAATCAGCGAGATGTAGCCGACATCGGCAAGCCCAGTCACCGCCACATAGATCAGGTACGCAAAGTAGATCAGCGTCGTCGGCATCGTCAGGGTACCGAACAGATCGAGGAACACCACAAAGCGCATCGAGAAGCAGCAGAACCCGCAGAGGTCGGGCAGGAACAGCAGCTCAGCCAGGTTGTGCACCGTCGAGTTGATCCACCGACGGCGCTGCGACACCAGCACCGACCACTTGTCCGGCGCAATCGTCCTGCACTTGGCGTCCTGGATGAACTTGAGCTTGAAGTTCGGGAAGTGCTTCATCATCAGCGTCGTCAGGTACCGGTCCTCACCGAGCGACAGCAGGTTCTTCTTGTGCAGCGTGTCGACGTGCAGCTCCGAGTATGCCTCCAGGATCGGGTTGGCAATCAGCAGCGGCTTGCCAGAAGAGTTGCGCAGCCGGTACATACAGAAACACCCGGGCAGGCACGTAACGGCGCCAAACAGCGACTCGAATGCCTTGGCCATGTGGTGCGAGATGAAGTACTCGTACACCTGCATCATGGTGGTCCAGCTCTGGCTCTCGTTGCCCAGCATGGTCTCGCCGCAGATCCCGGCAATGCGCTGGTCCGACGAGCACGCAGAGACCAGACGAGTGAGCGAGTCGGGCATGACCTCGGTATCGGCGTCAATCTGCAGCAGGTACTCAAAGTTCTTGGGCGGAATGCCCAATGATGTGGCGCATCTGGTGGTACATCTCCAGCTCGAGCGGCGTCATCGGCAGATCGAAATGGACCTTGTTGAGGAACGACATCAGCAGGATCTGCGAGTCGCGCTTACCGCGATTACCCGACCGGCTCGACTCGTCTGGCGTGCCGACCTTGGCCACAACCATGAACGGCACGACGTGTCCCTCGAACTCGTAGAGACCCGAGTACACCTTGCCGATGTTGTGGCGGCGCGAGCCCTCAGCAATGGCCAGGTAGTCGCGGCCAGGCGGGTCGTACTCGGGGTCAACCCCCAGGCAGTCCAGCACAATGCGCGGCGTCGACCGGTCATTGCCGTGGCCCACAATGTTGCCGTCGCAGATAACGAAAATCAGCTTTTGCTTGTCGGTGTACTCGAGCGCCGCCAATGACTCCACCGTCTTTGCAATGCTCTCCTCGTCCTCGGTATAGCAGGGGACCTGGCAGATAACAAACTTGCTGGGCGGCATCGGCCGCTTCTTGTTGCCAAACTGCAGCGCAGCCAGGAACTTGACCAAGACCACCAGCATCAGCAGGCACGCGAACGCCACTAGCATATAGTTTGTGAACAGACACCGCACGCTCTGTCTATCGTCGACTGTACCGACGTAGAACAAGCTTCTTGATGCAGTTGTAGTTGGCCAGACGCGTCTCCGGTTATCCCAAGTTCAGCGTGTTCCACTGCTCCTGGTGATGTCAGCAGAGCCATAGCACCCCTCCAGCTTCATGATTTCTCGAATTTGGTATCGCAGGAAATTGTACTTCTTGTTGATGTTGATCGTGTCCGTTGTCGATGGGGTCAAAGTACGGCTGCATGTTGAACACCTCCTTTGTTGATGACGCGCCAGTACTCTTTCCCACTTGTCCTTGAACATCTTGTCGTTGATCCAGTCAAACTTCCACACCACACCGCCCTTCTTAAAGTTCTTCAGCTCCTTTACCGCCGATGTTCTCGTAAGAACAGTCGGGATCCTTGAGCTTGTCTGACCGCGTGTTGGCTGCAAACGATGTGTTTGAACGTCATATACTGGCCGCAGTTCTCGTCAGGATCAGTCCGTTGGCTCCGGCAATTGGGTAGATCAAATTGTTGTTTGGTGCCTGGTCGTCAGGAATCAGATCTGGGGCAGTAGGCTCGCGCTGGAAAGCGGGAACGTGGCATTGATGTCTTTACCGATGTAGTTGGCAGAATGAGATCCTTCTGGCCAGTCGTCTTGGATCCAGTGATGCCGTGCGGCTGATCGTACCCAGTCGGTCAGATCATACACGTTGGCCATACAGAGCCGACGTACGCCTTCTTGTCGGTATTAATATTGGCCACGTCGTTCCATGGTCCACACGTTCTCCTTTGGGCACAGAATCAAGCCGAGCCCGATGATAATAAACAGCAAGAACGCCCACAGGAACACGATGATCACGCAGATGGCAACCTTCTCTCGCCACGCCATGCGCACGTCCGGCCGCTTCATGCGCCCGCACCACGACAAGAACGGCGACGGAATCCACCACGTCGTCAGGTAGGTGAAAGCCACCCAAACTTTGCGCGATCCGTGTGATCTCCACGTTCTCAATGTGCTCGTGGTTGCCCTTCTCCACGTTACCCTCGCCGCCCGTGCCGCCCATTCGACCGCCGCGGGTTCTCTTTCATCTCGTATGTCTCCATCTTGGGCTCCGATGACTTGAGCCCAAAGAATGTTGTCCGCTTGGCCTGCGTGTTGCCTTGGCTGTCGAACCCGACACCACGTGCAAACGCACCGCCCTCAGGGGACCCGAAATCGCCAGACATGCTTGTTTGGTCGGCGTTCAGCTCCAAATACTGTGCCTTTGGTGCTTGGTTCATTAACCGGGAAATGAACGATCAGGAACTGCTTAACCTAACGTGGAAATACTACTGCTTTAGCTGAAGGACACCTGTGGAACGGATAAGCCCAAAAAATACTGGAAAACCTTGGAGACTTACACTATTAGACGATGCTTGCGTAGCTGAGAAATATGAGTTATGCGTGAAAATAGCGAGATTGAAGGGGAGAGGCGAATAGAGACGATGGAAAAAGAAGAGAAAAAAGATTCCTTTGTTTTCCAAAACTGCGAAGGGATGAATAGCCCTTTTATTTTTGCAAAAGCGCATTCTCCCTCTGTGTTCCAACTGTATTGTTATTTGCCTCTGCGTGTGTGGCAAAAATAGCCTGCAGATCCACTTGCGCTTTTTTAACCCGCTCATTCTCCCTTGGGGAGTTGATTGGCAACCTGCGCGACTTCCCAAAAAAAGAGATTCGGTGGTTTGTTGACGAATTTTCCTCAATGCCTGCAAAGTAGAGTAGATGGCCGATTAGCCGCGACCAGCGGATGCGCCAAGTCTCGAAGAAGCGCCCAATACACTGGAACCACCGATCCAGCCAAAAGGCACTCATATCGTGTGGCGTTGAGATATGCGCTGATGGCAAAGGCAGTTTGTGTGTCGGTTGTTCTCTCTAAACATAAAGCTGCATGTCCCCGTGCCATTTTCTCCACTATTGGCACTCTCCCTCTGATCTCTGCTCAACCAGATGCTGCGAATGTGATGAGTATCTTCGAACAATGCATCAGTTTCTCAGTTAGTGCCCCCCAAAATAGATTTGTTTGACCATGAGCACCGCGGCACACACTGGTGACATGTACAGCTCCTCGATGGTACATTCTTCCCCTTACCTGCTCGATTGGCACGGCTTGCTCTACGCACATTATCAGCTATTGATGCACAATGGACTTGAAGCCTGCCCGGCGTCAAGTCTGCCTTCTTTCTGATATCAACCGGTAGTGTATTTTTAGCCAACTGGTTGCATCTCCTGCCAGATGACCTGGATATATTTAGACCTAAATTGGGTGAGATAACCTTGCATGACATAGGCACAAGACAGCAGCTACTCTAGCCTAACTACAGTGCACGCCTCACCCATTTGAATGAGGAAGCTCAAAGAGAATAACTGTGAGCGGCGCCAGCACACTCCTTGACAGCTCAGATTTCCGTATGATCCAGACACTGAAAAGCAAGGTCCGGTTTGAGAACGCGGAATGGACGTACTTGTTGTCGGAGATTGAAATGGTGCATAGTCTGATTCGGGCAGAGGAGCTTCGTGTCTTTGAGGAGCTGCGAGACAGCGTTTTGGAGGTCAGCTCGAGGATCCGCACCAACAGCAGGGTTTTAGCCGAGTTGGATGTGGCTATTTCGATGGCTGTTCTAGCTGCAAGGCACCAGTTTTCTCGGCCGCAGTTTGTCACGGACCGGGATGACAGGCACTCGATCATCGGCGGGCCGGCACCCTATCGTTGAAGGCCCAGCTGATTTCTGCAAACCGCCAGTTTGTTGCCAACGACTGCACGTTTAATGCAGATTCGAGCCAGGTACTTCTTTTGACAGGGCCGAACATGGGCGGCAAGAGTACATACCTGCGCCAGGTCGCCTTGATATCGATTCTGGCGCAGACTGGTAGCTTTGTGCCTGCCAACGAAGCGCAGCTGCATGTGGTTGATGCCATCTACTCGCGGATCGGGGCCCATGACAATCTGGCACTCGACCAGTCGACGTTTATGGTGGAGATGAGCGAGACGGCAGACATCCTGCGGCATGCGACCAGCCGGTCATTGGTGATCCTGGACGAGATTGGGCGCGGTACGTCGACCAGGGACGGAGTGTCGATTGCCTATGCGACACTGAAGTATCTGCACGACAAGGTCAGATGCAAGGCGCTGTTTGCTACACACTACCACGAGCTGGTGCCGCATGCCGTGCCATCGCTGGCCGGGGTGCAGCCACTACATACGGCGATATATGAAGACGGTGAGGGTGGGTTTGCGTTTTTGCACAAGGTCAAGCCGGGAATTTGCGAGAGATCGCATGGCCTGTATGTAGCCCAGATAGCCGGGATGCCCGATGAGGTGCTAGAGACTGCCCGGCAGTTTGCCATCAGGAGACGCAGTGTTTAAAATAGAAACATTTCTGGCCATGCCGCCAATTGGATGAGTAGAGGAGCGACCAGACATACTGGCTCTGTGATACTAGAAGCATAAGGAAGATGGACTGGAAGACGATCATCAGAGAAGAAAAAAGGAGGACCTATGTAAGGCTTGTAATAAGCAATGCGGACAATTGGAATAGCTGTACGCTCTCGGAAAACAAAGGTCAGAGCGTGGAGATTGGTACCCAGACATGATACAAAAAGGAGGGAAGTGGGCCCTAAGCTCTGCGCGATTGCTCACAGGCCATTGTGCTGGCGCTGTTGATAGTATGGTTTGTAGATCAGCTTGCAGCCGTTAATCATCACAGGTAGCGAGATGAAAGGGCACAGCTCGTTGTTACGTTAGACTGGGCAATGGTCATACCAAATCCTTGATGAGTAGAGGCAGAAAGAAAGGAACTGGTGGTAAACAGAAGGCGTCGGCAGAAGGACAAAAGCAAGCTTGAGTTTATGTATATACTAATTTAGTCCAACTCATCAATTACTGAGGGTCAGATGGCCGAGCGGTCTAAGGCGCTGCGTTAAGGCCGCAGTCTCTCCGGAGGCGTGGGTTCGAATCCCACTCTGATCAACGTAACCCTCCTTTTTTGCTTTTGTCGACGAAGCTGAGGCGACGGTTACAAGACCTCTTTTTTTTGCTGCTAACAGTATCGATGTACAGATCACAATCAAATTTATTTACATCCTAAGTGGATTGTGGCGTCACCTGCCTGTACTTTAGACTCACCAATCGTGCTAGCTCTGCTTTGTTGGTGTTGATCTTGCTGCCCATGGTGGCGCAGGAGAGACTCCTGATCTTGAATTTCAAGGCTGAAACACACACGTACAAAGGCCCAGACAGCCGAACAGCCTCCCTTCTTCCCCTTACACATATTTTTGAGAAGTTGTTTTTTCCATATACCGGATAACCACTCATCTTCTAGGTTAACAGATCCTAACATATACTAATACACCCTTTGTTTACCATTTGGTTCCTAAGCTCCGCTTGTTTTTTTTTTTTTGTTTTTTTGTTTTTATCTAACCTGCTAGCTGTTTTTTTCATGAATCGTACACATACCACTTTGCACACCTATCTCATAGCTTACTGATAAATAGTGCTTGGCAGTAAATCTATATCACCTAGTTCTAGAGATATGGTTGGGCGAGAGCAGAGCATAAGCATATGTTTGAAAGAGATATATGCAAAGGGATCGGAGCTGGGCAAGTATATGAACAATGAGAGTATGGATTGTTTGCTTGGCTACATCATGTCTTTTGTTACGACACCCAGAGCCTAACTTTTTACATAAATATCTGATGTAGGTATTAAGCATGGTGGCATAGGGCGGTGTTGGCAGCATGATGTCAAGATTGACCACACGCTTAAAAGGGCCCCAAGCACCCAACAGTCCACCTTTTCTCCTCAGTTTTGCTCTCATATATATATATTTTCCTCTATATATGGTGATAAATACTCATCTGATTATTAACAGTATGAGCAGAGCATTATGATAGAGAGTAAATACCTTGGCATATCCCTCATGGCCATAGTCTATCCATGCTCAGCCATACGATTTGTCAATGCGTGTGTCTCTTTGGCTTCTGATGTGGTACTACTGACACATATGGCATTATGCTTCTAATCGACTAGACAAGGCAAGTATTGGTTTGGGCCAGCAGCTGTAGAGTCTAATCAACCGCACCTCCTACACTGTAGATCGTCACCTCTTGCTTCCACACTCTCTTTATCATATTCAATTATTATTAGCATGATGCCTCACTACTATCATATACACGAGGATCTAATAAGCACTGGATGTCACGATGAAGACTTCAGAAGCTCTCGGTGACGATAAAACCAACATCGGGCAAGCCAACATGTTGACCTTCAGAGAGTCCAGTAGTTATGAGCTTTATGTCATGAATATAACCAGAAATTGCTGAAGAGAAAAAAGGGAGGATGGGCCATTCTGGCCTACAATGTCTATACAGGTAGGGATTTGGATCTGCACATAGTGGTGAAGGGCATGGGGTTGCCCGAATGTCAGCACGACAAAATGTATAATGCGCATGAGCGTGGTCGCAGGGGAATAGAGCAGCCAAGATACATCGTCTCATCAAGGAATCAGTATCTTGACAACTTTTGTCATTCCAGCTTTCCTGTCTTTCCCATTCCCCGGTTACCAAGGTCAAAGATGAACGAGTAGATCATTATGAAATCTATTCACCAGTTAAAAAGCGATTACTGCAAGATTACAAAAACTGGGTTATTTTCTAATGGTTGATGCAAAAGTTAGTGATGACGTTTGGCTCAGACCCAGATCACTTTGCAAGGTGCAAAATGATAAAAATGTAGAAGCTGCTCTATTGACGACCACGCCAGGACTCGAACCTGGAATCGCTTGATCCGTAGTCAAGCGCCTTATCCATTGGGCCACGCGGCCAGAGGCAGAACCACTAATTTCCGGTTGGGTTCTGTCTCAGGGAGGGCAGAGTCGTTCATTCGCACCTTCAACCCCAACAATCTGAAACAGACTAACTCGACTTTGGGGTGACTGAATCCAAACCGCATTGCCTCTACTTCCTTTCTAGTGATATCCTTCAGCTGCCATGCCAGAGTTAGATATGCCAGTAAACTCTCCCTCACAATGAATATACTGCAGGTGCAGAATATGGACGCTTCCTTTCCTCATCACTTATGCTTGCTGTTTTCTTGCATTTAGTTGCTTGCGGCCCTATAGCTAGCTGTGAAAGAAAACAAAAAAAAAGCACAAGTATCCCTGCAATACTCTTCAACCCTATTACCATCAAAAACTTACTTGTCAACATGTAAATCCAGCGCAGTAGCATTGTCGTATCGAAAAATTCCGCAGCCAAAAAAATACACCGAGTTCCACCTCGATTGATCCCGTTTTTTTTGCAAAAAGGAGAATGGCAAAAGAGCAGCCCGACGGGGGGGTCGAACCCCCAACCTTGAGATTAAGAGTCTCACGCTCTGCCGATTGAGCTAGCCGGGCATCTCTTCTTCGCTCCTCTTAGCGCAGTAATCTTTTTGCACTCTTTCGCCGCCGCAACGCACTGTTTGCCGCCCTGAGTACGCCCGGATTACGCCCTGAGTACGCCCAGTACCGCCCAGTACCGCCCAGTACCGCCCAACAGCCACACCACCAACCGCAACTGCACCCGCCAGCGCCATAGCGCTTCACCTGTTACGCATAAATTTCAAATTTATTTGGAATTTGTGAAGAAATGGCGAACTACGTTCCCCTCGTTGCCTCTGGCAACGCACCAACCCAGCTCGCAACCGCGAATGACCCGGCTGCGACCAGCGTTCCCACGGCGCATCATCCCCACCATGGTGGAGCTGCTGCGCAAACGCCCCAAACGGCTGTCACGGCCAATGCAGTGGCGCCACGGCCTGCGGGATTCTCGCCAGATCTGCAACCAGTGCAGCTGCTGGCAGCAGTAGTGCCAGACGAAGAATGGGCGGCTCTTGGCATCACCAGCGGTGGCCATGCGGACCACGCCGCCGCTGTGCCAGGGACTGCCCCACCGCGCAGGCAGCTCTCCTATGCCGAGGCAGTAGGAGGCCACAAGCGCCCACGCGCGCCCCGAGGACGCAGCACCGGCCAGGGCGCAAGCCAAGGCCCACCAGCGCCCCGACGCCCATCACGTCAGATGGAGGCCGAGAAGGCTGAGTATGCACCGCTGCTCAACTCGGCAACCATCTACGTGCCAATTGCGAGCACGAACCCCGACCGTGCAACGCTGATTGAGAACCAGGTTTTTGCGGCTCTAGGCCGCCCGACGGTGCCACCGTCGCACCGCAACTACCCGATATTCTCTTTCACACGCACGGCAGAGAAGATCGGCGTCACCCTGATGAGCCTGGACGACGCCATCACCATCGCTAAGCACCCATTCCGGCTTGGCAACCAGGAGCTGCAGTGGACATCGGCAATGGGCGTGATCCATCACGTAGCCATTGCCCACGTCCCAGCAACGCTGCCCTACAGAATCCGCGCAGCACTCAGGCCCTACGGCCAAGTTTCCCACCTGGAGCCGGTCCTCATCAACCAGCGCCACTACGGAGACTGGGAGTTCCTACTCCATGTCCCCAACGGGAAGACGCTGCCTGCATCTTTCAAGATGCACAAGCATCCGCTCCCAATCCCTCTCCTGCGGGGTGATTATGCCACCATGGCATGCCCACGATGCAAGGAGATCAACCCTGAGCAGTGCCACTGCCCAGGCCCTCAGTGCCATCGCGCCCGCTCCCAGCGCCATAGCGCTAACCACAACAACCAAGCTGAGGCACTAGTTGCAGCCACCCCAGCTGCACAGACCCACGAGCCCTCCCCCGACCTGGATGTGCAAATGAGTGAGCATGCCATCGCACAATCGGCAGACCAGCCACGCAACTCTAATGGCCGACCAGTTTCGATCTCACCAGCCATCCTTATGGCTGAGGCATCGCCAAATGCACAAATGGCATCCCTCCCAACCACACCTTCTACACAGCAGGCCCCATCAACGCCAACCAGGGCAACTCCCCCAGAAGGCCTTGCTGACTTCCCGCCATATGGGCCACAGCTGCCCCACGGCACAAGTGTGCCAACCACTGCCAGCGAGTTTGAGCGCATCCTCTACGAAGATGACCACAGCTCAGCCGCATCATTCAGCAGCCAATCAGTTTGCTCATATAGTGAGCAATTCGGCTTTGAAGATGACGAGGACAGCGAGCAACCCTATGCCGCCCCAGCAGAACCCCTCCCTGAGGGACTGCAGATCATAGAGGACAGCGCATCTGATTCCTCTGATGCTCCACTAAGCCGCAGACTACGATCCCACACAAAGAAGGCCCGCCACACATCCCCACAGTTGGACAAGCAGGGCGCTGCAAGTGCTCACTAGAACACTAGCACCAAACTGCTAACAACTGGAACTGTTTCTGAATGTCAGCTCGAGAAATTCGAGAAGATATGTTAGAGACCATTGGCAAACGACCTACCTCTTCACGACCTTCAACGGGCTCTATGGCTAATGCCCCATTAGCCAGAGGCCCACCACCACCCCCAAACATCCTTGCCGCTGCCTTTGTGCCTGATGAACACAACGATAGTGACAATGAGGATCCACAAGAACAGGAGCCTTCGGGCACTGACTCGCCATACCCAGATTCACCAGCCTGGGCTGAACTACCAGTCCCTGAACCACCATCCCTCCACCCACTCTCCCTCCCACGCCTCTGTATTGCCTCAGCAAACATGCAAGGTGCAATGAGTAATGAGCGGAAATTGCTTGAGTTTGAACAACTCGCAAAAGACAATGCTGTGAACATCGTGTTCATCCAGGAGTTCCAAGGTGTATTTGACCCATCTACACGCCTACGGGGAGCATTCAATGGCTTTTGTCTGCTCAGCACCTGCCCCTACTACTACACGATCTGATGGTCGCCCTGCCCACTATGACACAGTCATTCTGACAGCCAAAGCACTTGGTGCTGTAGAGCTGCAGACACCATTCTCATCACCACGAGCAACATTCCTCACTATCCCCTCACTGCGCCTGTTGTTAATCAACATACATGGCCCTTTTGGACAGGAAACTGATGACTTCCACTTCCATATAGCGACTGCAGCCAGCATGTTCCAGGAACATGGCTGGACACTGCTTATTGGTGGCGATTTCAATATTGCCCCAACATACAGAGACCGCCTACATGCCAATGATGATGAGCGCAATTTCCACATCATTCCCATGTATAACCTCTACAACAACACTGTGGATATCCTTGACTTTCAGTGCCAACGCATATCAGCAGCACCTGCCAATGCCACAACTGGGCCACTGGTGATGACTTCACCTACAACCACAATCATGGTGGGTACATATCTCGTCTAGATCTGTTTCTGGTACCCCTCGAATGGGCTTTGCGATGGAACACAGAGTACATCGCCGCTCTACCAGTGGCAGATCATAAGACGATAATACTCACCATTGATTCTGTGACTCCTGAGCCTAAGCGCACACACCGACCATACCGTCTGGACCCTGCCAAACTCAATATTGACACCAATATTGAGTTTGTCAACAAGAAATTTGACATGTTCCTCAGCAACATCCCTGAAACGCCCAGAGAGATACTGCCAGCATACATGCAAGTCCTGGCTGACATACTTGACCACTTTCGCAAGGAGGACTACCAACGAGATCGTGGCAAGCACCGTAGCATGCGCTCTAAGTTTCGCCAATTTGCCAACTTGGCAAACCAGGCACGTGTGGCAAACTCCAGTGCAGCAGCTAAGGCACTTCATAGCCAAATGGCAGCTATTGAAGAGGAGGCCAAGGCACTATATGTGACCATGGCTGACCATGTCGCTGACCGCTGCAAAAATACCTGGCTTCGTAAAGGAGATCGGCGAAACACATGGAACTACCAGCGCACCAGAAATGCCATCAACCCACCATCCTCAACAACAATCACTGCCCTACGGGATGCCAATACTGGCAACATTGTGGAGGACTGTACTATGATCCCTGAAGTTGCCAGACAATTCTACATGGACATGTACAAGTGCACCCAACCAGCAGCCCAAGATGTGGATCATCTGCTAGATCTACACAAGCAATATGTGGATGCTCGACCAGCAAAACAAATTGCAGAGGCAACAGCAATGGTGGGTGAGTTGATCACCTTAGCACAGGTCACTGAGGCATGTCAAGAGTGCAAGCCGCAAACGTGCTCCTGGGCCCAATGGCATACCAGTAGAGCTGTACATCAAGTGTGCTAAAGCATGCGAAGCCTCTGTGGCATATTGCAAATTGCATCTTGGCTGATGCATCCCTAGTCACTGAGCAGTTCACTGCTGGTCGAATTGTGATATTGTTCAAGAAGAAGGACCCACTGGACCTACAGTACTTACTAGGCCCATCTCTCTCTTGAACTCTGACCTCAAGGTCATCACAAGTATACTGGCCCGACGCATTGGCCATGCAGTCCAGCACCACATCTCACCAGAGCAAACAGCAATTGTTCCTGGCCGCAGGATGTCTGATGCTATCCACAATGTAATGTGTGTGATGCACCATCTCAAGAGACAAGAGCACCCCTCTGCAGTCATTATGTTCCTTGACCAGGCCAAGGCATATGACCATGTGGCACATGTCACTCTCTTCCGCCTACTGCGTGAGAACTACAGGCTCCCTCAAAAGGTCACCAACCTCATCGAGGCACTGTACAGCACTGCATCCTCCTCTGTCATGATCAACGGCATTGACTCAGCACCATTTCCAGTGCAAAATGGTGTTCGACAAGGGGATGCACTATCATGCATACTATTTGTCATGGTCATGGAGCTGCTAGGGTGTGCACTGTGTGAACATGTCCCACACACATGTTTCCCCTACACTGAACCTTGCATCAGGCCCAACGCTATTCTCACACTCCTATGTACATGGATGACACAGCAGTTGTTATCAAGCATGCCCACGACTACCAAAAACTGCAGTATGCTCTCAACAGATACTGCAAGGGCACAAATGCCTTGTTCAACGTTGAGAAGACTGAGGCAATTCTAATTGGGCATAGCAGCTATGATGCTGAGAGCCCATCGGCCGAATTACCAGTCAAACCAGTACCAATTGGCACCCCTGTGCGCTATCCTTGGAGCATACCTAGGCACTGGTCCTAGAGGTACAGGATCTGGTCAATAGCTCCTATATCACGCATCTCGGTGAGAGCTGCAAAAGCAGTGTGCAAACACACCACACTCAGAGGCCGTGCTTTTGCAATCACCACATTTGCCCACCCCCTTCTACATTTCGCCTACTCGGTTTACCCCATTCCAGATGCAAGATATTGGGAAACTGAAACAGCGGGTCTCTGGCATTCTGTGGGGGCCGTACCCGACCATACCTCAATCGAGACTCTGCTTACGCAACCGGCAAAAAGTGGGGGCCTGGGATTTACATCCCTCCATGCAATTTACCGAGCAGTTGTGCTACGAGAGGCAGGCCAAGCAATGGCTGCTTTTGAGTGCATTATCAATGCCCAAGCCACATCGCAGCCGATACCAGAGGACAATTCCAGTTTGGGCACAGATACTACTGTCAGACTGGCAATACTGACCGAGTCGACCTCCCGGGCAACAGTGGCGCACTAAAGCCATTGAGGGCAATGCGCGACCATATCTGGTGCTTCCTCCAGAACCCTTTCCTCCAGAGACACCGCCGCATCAACCTTCGAGATAAGGTCTGGCCAATATACTGGCAATCGATCTACAAACGATTAGTGCATGCGAAATCGACACATCCAGATCCGCCTAGACCCCACCGTGGCACACAGCAACTTGGCCAATATGCCAATCATCGGCACCAGCATAGCCCCCATCCAGAGTGCCCACTGGTACCAGGTCCACAAGTTCTACAAATGGATTCATGACCAGAATGCTCGTGCATCGCCAAATATGCCAACAACCCCTCCACTTTTCTCAATAGGCATTATTGAGTCATTCTCCAAATGGCTCAAGTCTGAGTACCATGGCTCGTCAGCCAAAGCACGACAAGCAGCAGCAGATCTTGCAGAAAACTTGGGCCTAATCCAGCAGCAAATCCAGCAGCAAGAAGAACAGCGCACAGCAAACCCCCAGGCAGCAGCGTTAAAGCCATACCTGGCAAGCCTGTTCGTCAACAGCCAGCCAACAAAGCCAGAGCACAACCACTACTTCAGCCGGTGGTCTAGGACCACACACACAACCCAACACCTCCTACGCACAGACTCCCCAATTCCATTCCCAGAACCCGCACACCAGGTCCCCACATTGGCCTTCCCAAAAATCCCCAAAACAATGCCATGGTCAATTGTGGCCAGAGTCAATGCCCCACCACAAGCCCGCGCTACGCTACACTGGCTCCATGTAGATCGCCTGCCCCGCCGATACCACCAAGACTCCCCAAAGCAGTGCCGCTGTGGAGCTACAGAAACCCCACAGCACCTGGCAGGTGCATGCCCACTCACAGCCCACTATCGGGACCAGGTTCTCCCCAAATACGTAGCTGTGGGCCAAGCCCTAGTGCCAAATGTCCTTGCTGAGGTAGCTGAGTCAATGGAAAGAGCCCACAGCACCGGGATCCAAGATGTGGACATCTACGAATTGCCAATCACAAGACCACGCCCCCCAAATCGGCTCCCTTTCCCATTCCCACCCACACAGATCTCCCCAGGACACTGGCTAGTGTCACCAGCACTCCGCTGGACAGCCTTTACACTGCCACAGATCAGGGACAACTCGCGCATAGCCCGAGAATTCCAACAGCTCTGGGAGCTTGGTACAAGCCTGCTCATTTACTTCCTGGCTATTGCACGCCATGATGAAGCCTACACAGATACTGTGTGGTCCACAGCCCGGTTCACCAGTGCATACAATGGAGAGTTTACCAAATATGCACTTGCATTTCTCCCACCCGACTCTTTCCTTCGCAGCTATCTCAACCAGCTTAAACTTGCGGTTCCGACTACGAGCCAAAGGCAATCTGATCTCGATGATCACGATCAAGACCACATCGGATCACAAATATCAGAAAACTCGCCCCGATCATGCAGACCACCGTAATGGACAATCGCAGCCCTGTAACCGGGATTTTGGAACCTCTGAGTGCACGGATTTCTCCCTTTAAATTACCTCTTTATTATCTTAGCAGCATTTGGCGGCTTTTCCATTAGGACCTCCATCTAAGATACAAATAAATGCTCTTTCACCATGAGCTAGCCGGGCTGAATCACCGAATCTGGACCAGGATCTGAACCGAATCCGCTCTGAGTTCTACCTCAAATGAAGCAGTGTCATTCGCACGCACACACGCTGTATCCCCTCGTGTACAACATGACCACGACGAGGTCCGCACATCTAAGTAACAACTGCGAGCAATCTATCCAGGTTTCTCACTGTTGGATGGAGAACAAACGTTATTAACATACGCACAGGCCAGGAACCAAAACATACAGAGAAGGGTACCCACTGGGAGTTCTCAGTCTGAAGTATACTTGTGACTTACAACTCCCCAAGCTGGGTCAAAGTTCAATAAAACATACAACAACGCAAAGAAAAACAAAAGAGAATAATCAGGAGGAGAGAAGTAAAATACTGTTTGGCCTTTGCTTCCTTAGTAGACATACCCATGCATTCCCTCCCTCGTCAATGCCACTGCGGCCTAGACCCAGCACCCTAAACCGGTTTCTGGTGCCGCCTGTCACTACAGCAGTGCGTGCCCATTATGCGCATATTAATTTCTTTGTTTTTGTTTCCTCACACAATCCACACCGCCCCCGTCCCACCCCTCCCCTCATCCATCTAGGGAATCCTGTCCTGGTGCTGCCTATCAAATTGTGAAAATCGCGGTGGCGAATCACAGATCACAGACACAACACATTCATAACCTAACCCAATCAAACCTGGGTTGCAGGAGAGACGATTCACACACCCCTTAGCTTTTTGCTCATTTTCTCTCTAGCCAATTCCTTCACACACCCCGCACTCCCAAGCCTCTGACTCCTGTTTTTGCTGCCTCCTTGTGTTTTTAAAGGGATTATGGATACTCCCTTTTTGCTTCATCTACGGCAACCGAGGCAGCCACTGGCTTATACATGCGCTTACTTCAGTAAGCAAATAACATGCTCAATCCTCCCAGGTAGGGCGCAACTCACTATTCAAGATTATGCGATGTTTATAACTTCGTGCTTACGATGAACCTCCTCCTATATTGACCGACAGTATTGCAAGTCTGATCCCATAAAATGATGTACTTTGCAATCTAACTGGTTTGTCTCTGTCTCTCTGTGCTTGCTCCTCGATGTGTCTGCATATATAAGCAACATCTATGAATGGATGCTATTGAGTCATCATGGCTATATCGGTTATGGTGCCACTCACTAGCATTTTGTTAAGCTTGGCCATGAGCAAACAAAAACACTGATAGTAGTAGGTCTACTTGACTAGTGAGTCTATTATATGCAGAAACCCGCATACTACCCCTATGATGCAGACATCAGAAACTCACAATAATGCCAAAGCCAACATTCATTCTTACTGACGAAACACATACAATGTATGTTCATAATTGCAAGGATAGGAATAGGTGAAGTATGTGTTCCTTCGAGGAACCAGTGCGTCGGCAACTTTTGTCTCTTTGTATTTCTGCTCTTGTTTTCCTAATATACAGTTCATGCAAACTAGCATCATCTGATTCCTGCCTTGTGATACAACCAACATCCTTTTAGCCTAGCAGTGCAATTGAGACCACACCAGCCACTATTTGGAAAAGAGACGACGGCCAAGATGGTTGATGTCAAGGGAGTCACAATAGCCAAAACAAACCAGACTGTTTGCTAGAGCAAAAAGTTCAGCGAGAGCGGTGAGCAGCCACCCACTCAAAACAGGAATGGACGAGTGAGCAAAAGAGAAGTGCGTCCGCCGGGAATCGAACCCGGGTCTACTCCGTGGCAGGGAGCAATCATACCTCTGGACCACAGACGCTTTAGTCGCCGATTCAGAGCCATTCAGCCAACCAACTTCTGATCAGTGGCCTCTTAATTTCTTACTCAAACTTATTTGTTGCTGTGGATCCGTGCACCGCATGTACAGGAGTCCTGTCGCGGTGCTGTACCAGATCCTCGCTGTGGACGACTAGTGGCTCAGAATCCGAATATCCAGCTAGCACCAGGACAATTGGGTCCATCCCCCAAGTAAGACCTGCCTATATGTCTGTTTAGTCCTGCGCCACTGACAGACTTATCCTGTTATCCTAATTGTCCTAATTGTCCTAACCGGCTTCACTCTTTCTATATTTCTTTTGTGCGCTAGGGAGCACCAGGTTTAGCACTGAGCTGACAGATACATATGCCCTTGCACCATGGCTTCACCGCCTTAGGTGGAGGTAGTTGCATTAGTAAATGGATAGTAGATGAGCGGGTGAGTGCATGTAGGAGGTCATTCACAATCACTAAACTAGGTAAAAAATATTTAGAACTTGTAAAACTTTTTATTCTTTTATTTTTTTATGCTTCTACGAAACCCCCATCGGCATCCTGAAAAATTTCAGTTGATACACAATTAACATGCTTCTACTGAGATAGAGACTGGGTCACAAGAAATCAACTGAAACTTTTCAGGATGCCGATAGGGGTTTCATAGAAGCGCCCTTTGTTGTATTTTGTTTATTTATTAATCTAGTTGCTAATATCTTTTTGGCCATTAGTAAATATTCAGATTTTTAAAATATTTACCTACTGCTAGTAATTGATTTATAATTCGTAAATTAGTTATTCTGATAAAAGATATTTAGTTTCTTTAAACTTTCTTAGGAATGGCCTCTGTAAGGGGTAGATTCAATAGCTTGTCACACACCCCTTAGTGCTATCTTGATCAAGGATTGTAATGTAGCAAAAAAAATTGGAAATCTTATTCTTAATACATGCCATATGTGATCTTTCAAAGGTAGGTGCTTAGTGTGTTGCGCGCCCGATGCGGCTGTCCCTGACATCGACATGTTAGCCGAATCAGGTGACAGAAATCCAGGCGCCAATGAGAGCCCCGCTACAGCCTACGATATGGAGGTAGAGTCTAGCCTCTGATAAGTTGCACAGATGGCCGTATTGAAAACACCCCTGCGCAACTCGTCTATTCCCTTTTCTCTCTTTTCTTCAGTATTAAATATACCTTTAAAAACCCCTACACAGTCGACCGACACAACAAATTTATTTAATACTCTACTTATATAAAATGTCAGAAAACGACAATGCGCAGGGCACGGGTATACAGTCAGATACGTTTTACGCAGACCCATTGCCAAGTACCTCGTATGACGTCCTCGCGGATAGCCATACTGCAGGGGAAAATAGCATGAATCAGGGTGGATCTGCCGACAGCACTACAAGAGTGCTTGACCCGGCCGCGATCCAGACCCAGGCTGCAATTCAAGTCAGCATACAGAAGATCATTGCTGGTATAGAGCCATTCTCTGGTGACCCTGCTGGGCCAACTACTGTGATGTGGCTGAACACGGTGGATAAGAATCTGGCGCTTTTCGCTACGACTGATATCTCCAAGGAGGTGATTGTCGCATACGTGCAGAAGCGGCTTACTGGACAAGCTGAGGCGATTATGCATGGCTATGAGTTTACCAGCCGCTCGACTCTTGGACAAGCTCTGAGAACAGCCTTTCCTGAGTCAATATTTATTGATGATGCTCGAGCCAAAATGGACAATATGGCAACGTTCGAGAACCTGCTAGCCGAAAGTATTCGGGCTGAAGGTCTCAAGCTATTGCGCCATGCAGGCGTCAACAATACGCACACCACGATGCTCGCCAGAACACTAGCTGAGATGGACAGATATGCATGGGTCGATACGCGGCTAAAGCCAGAGGAAGCAACGATTGACAACATCGATGACGCACTCAAGGCTTTTGAGCGTAGTGTTTCTATTCGCCGAGCTGCTGGTGTAGCTAAGAACCCCAAAGCGACGATACTGGGGAAAGCCAGGACTTCCAGCGATGAGCACAAAAAGGCAATGCCTGAGAGCGATGAAGCGTCCGATACATCCAAGCGTAAGCAGCGCAAGCAGCGTCAGCGCAATAAGGACCGTGAACGGATCAAGATTCTTGAGGAGAAAATTGCGAGTATGGAGTTATCAATGGCAGCGAAACCAAAACCCGCAACTACTCGCCCTAGCCACCCAAAAGCGTAGGCGGCTCTCAAGGCCAGCAATGCTCTGAGTCAGCATCATATGTAGTTGGAGCAATTTCAAATACATCTGTTGCAACCATAGCTAACCATGAGAGCCGCCCAACAGGCAAAGAGGTATGGAGCAGGGGCTGGAGAAAAGTTGATGGCGTGTCGCTAAACGGCCAACAAGCCAAGGCTATTGCTGATGAAGGCTCAGAGGTAGCGATAATTACCAAGGATGCAGCTACGCGACTACACTTGTTAACTTGGACGCGGGATGCACCAGTGCTGATGCCTATCTGGGGAAATGCACATGGGCATAAATCCATAGGCCGTGCGTATGGCACAGTGAGCATTAAGCATGGCCCTGAAACCCGCATCTGCATGGTTGTAGTTGATCTGCCCAATGTGCCTTGGGATCTGCTGCTGAACAAGTCCACATTGGACGCACTTGATGTGCAACTGATGACACCTGCAGCACGCCGTCGCATTGAGGCTCGCCAACGTGAGCAAAAGCGTAAGAGGCAGGAGGTAGCGGAAATCGTGTACGACGACTCTGAGACTGACACCGGTATTGACAGCGAGCATACTCTGGTTGACGACGATAACGACGATAACGACGATGGCGGTGCTGCTTATGACGAAACGTTTGAGCCCAAAACCAAAGCCAAAAAGATCGATTCAATTCCGATTGATACATTGGACAAGTCGAAAAACACTATTCAGCGCGGGATGCGTGTTAAGCTCGGTTTACCGCCGCAGTTCTTCAGCTTTGAGCGCGATGAGGAGTTTACCCGACTTGATGCCTTATACCCACCAGTCGACGAGGAAAATCTCTTGGGTCGCCTGAATGATCAGTGTCCGACGACTGCCTTGAAGCATCGTCTGGTAGATATCCTGATGAAGCACAACCCAGTTATTCGTGAGTATCCATCAGGATGCCCACCTCCGGCTGCGGTCGCGCCGATTGTACCACCTATGGTACCCGATGCACGCCCAATACATGTGCTGCAACATTCTCAGAGTGACAGTGCTTTAGAAGCCATTGATTCATTTGCCGCGACTCGTCTGCAATATGGCATCGACTATCCAAGTACGACGCATGCTCAGGCACCAGTATTCACGCGGCCAAAGCCCAATACTACTGCTCGCCGTGTTTTGCTTGATGACTCTGCAAACAACGAGCTGAACATGGTATCGACGGGATTGCAGCTAGCACGACCATACGATGTGTTGGCGTTCTTACGGGATGCACGAATCGTAAGCTCACTGGATTTGGCTTCGTTCTTCACGACTATCCGCTTGGATCCATCAGTGCGCCATTTTTGGGCCTACGATGCACATGTTCATGGCCACGTCGAAACTGCCAGACTGGTACAAGGCAATTCTGAATCACCAGCCATTGCACAGTCGTTCATCGAGTGGGTTATGTCGTTAGTGCCAGCCTTGAATGACAAGATGATCATGTACATCGACAACATCTACTTGAAGACTACCGACGATGACTACGACAAACATCTGCTTGATTTGGATGATTTGCTCAGTGCGCTCGAATCGGCGAATCTGCTCGTCAACATGAGTAAATCAGTCTTGGTCGCTATCGACGATGTTGAAATTCTTGGATATCTGTGGAGCGCTGACCGGTCATGGGCAATTCCTGATCATCGAGTAGCAACACTGGCCGATTTACCAATGCCAACGACTAAGGCTGGGATTCGACAGCTCTGTGGTGGTGTAACGGCAATATAACGGCACCTACCTCATGCGCAGCATTTGCTCGCTCCATTCCACGTCTATACCGGCACCAAACGCCTGACTAAAAACGTGTTGAGGGGGCTAGAGCCTGCCTGGCATGTGCTAAAAGAAGCACTGCTAGATGTAAACGCTCTGTATGTTCCACCACCAGGAGCCCCATTAGTGCTACGCACGGATGCATCGGAACTTGGTATGGGTGTTGTACTGCTAGCACAACGCTCACCAGGTGATGCGGATGATCTTGTTCCAGTTGGTTACTTTTCGCGCAAATTCGATGGTCTCAAAGGTCAGCGTCCTCCAGGATGGCGAGAATGCGCGGCAATTGTTGAGGCAGCCAAATATTTCTATCCATACCTGGATGGTTGTGCGAACCTCAGCATACAAACTGATGCGACTGTAGCACATGCATTGTTCCGCCACAAAACTGAGAGCGACGCTGATGACTATTCCAATTTCCAGATTGAGTTGTCGCGGCTTGGAATCAAACACTCTATGCTGGAGCACCGCCCTGGAGTACAGCAAGAGACAGCTGACTGGCTGTCCAGAGACATCGTGCCTGCAGTAGGCAAGAATGATGGTGAGATTGTCGAACCAGTCCACTATGTTTTCGGTGCCATTCGGACACGAAATGACGAGAATTACAGCGAGGACAGATTCAACGAGGAGGAAGAGGAGGAGGAAGAGGCAGACGGAGATAACGAAGAACGCGATAGTGAAGAACTGGCCACTGTGATGAGACCAGTCTATGATGCCTTGCCGGGCTTACCTCGACCATCTGCGTATCTCGAGTGCCAGCATACTGACGACTTTTTGATGATGGTGCGCAGCTTGTGTGAACGACGGGAGGTCACAACAGATCCAGCCAATATGCCTGATTTGGATGAAGCCGTTGGGTTCCAGCTGCAAGATGGCATTTTGATGCACTTTGCTGACCTGGGCGGTTTACGCGAAAACGATCTGTGGTTACCGGTTTTGAGCAGACATGCAGCGTTCGAGTACATACAGGCAGCACACATAGCTTTAGCACATCCGCGCTACCAGCGCATGTATAACTATGTGCGGCGTCAAGTTTGGTATGAGTCTCTTGCCGAGCTTGTGGATAAAGTGACGCGCAGTTGTGAGCAGTGCCAAATGACAGCTATACAGCAGCGTCCCAGCATGGTTCTAACCGCGTCTGCGATTCCGAAGCCAAAGGAGCAGGTCTACATTGATCTGATGACTATTGGGCCCTCCGCAGAACCCGAAACCAACGCCCTGGTTGTTGTTGATGCTGCAACTATGTACTTCGAGGTTTATCCTATGTCGTACACAACTGTCGGCAACGTCATCGATGCATTGATCATGAATTGGTTTGCTAGCTACGGTAAGCCCATATACTTGACATCCGATCATGGACCGCAGTTCGATTGCCGTGAATTCAGACAGTACCTGGACCAGCAGGGAATTATCTGGACACCATCGTCAACATACCACCCACAAGCAAACATTGCTGAGTCGGCAGTAAAGCGGTTTAAGAATGGACTACGACCGCTGATATATCCAGGCGCCCATGGCCAAAATTGGACTAAGCATGCAGCACGGATTGCGGCAGCCAACGCCATTACTCCTAACTGTACAATCGGCTGTGCACCTGCCGAGTTATTCTTTGGAACCCAGAATGGGCGGCCATTGAATCAACTAGCTGCAAATATACAAGAGCATGTTCGACAACAACAGCGACGCATACGTAGACAAGCTAGAGTCAGGGCCAATGCCAGAGCTGCACTGCGTTACTTTGAACCAGGCGAACTGGTGACAACTCGTGCACATCCTGTGCCACAAAACATTGCCCAGGCACCACAGCGTCGCAGAGGCCCATTCAAAGTCGTCAGCAGACTGGACACTATGTACCGACTAAGCGATTTGCATGGTAACCCCATTGCGAAGCGTTTCGCTGGCGCGGATTTGTTGCGGTATTTCATACCCTACAACGTTGATGAGGATGATGACGATGGCAGCAACAATGGCAACAACGACAACGACAACGACAACGACAACGACAACGACAACGACAACGACAACGACAACGACAACGACAACGACAACGACAACAGTGACAACGACGACTTCCATGAATCAGGCAGACCAGGCGGAAACAACTGGAACAACAGATCCAATGATCCAAACTGCCATGATGGTCCCAGTAACGATCTGCTAATGTTCTCCTCTGCAAATGCTCCACCAACAGATGGGAATACCAGCCAGACAATCCCAGAAGGTCATGACATGGCCGCTGGTCCTGCCGATGATATGGAATACCAAAAAGACATTGGAACAATGCCCTCCGATGTTGGACAAGCGCAAAGCATAGGCGTTGGACTATCGGATGTTGGACAAGCACAATCCATTGCCGCTGGACCGTCCGTTGGGCCATCAACTGTCAACAGACAAAACGTTCACGTCGTTGAGGCAGCCAAACCCCCAGCAACATCGTCCAAAGGTTCAACTGCAATACTGCAATACGACGAGGCACAGCGTGAATCGATTACGCACTGGGTAACTGATCAGGCTATGGCCGAGACTGAGATGGATTATGAAGTCCCAGTTGGGCCGATCGCAGAGCCTGACACAATCCTTCCGGGTGAGCCACAAATATCCCCCAGTATAAGTGAGTTGGATTTACTTGGGTACAACCAGATTCCTGGAACACTTATCCTCATACGACACCAGTACCAGGTAACGATCAAGTTCATGTCCGACTTGAAACACCTGAGGATATGGGTATGAGTAGCGCTGCAGAGAGCTCTAGCCATAGATGTTGCGCGCCCGATGCGGCTGTCCCTGACATCGACATGTTAGCCGAATCAGGTGACAGAAATCCAGGCGCCAACGAGAGCCCTGCTACAGCCTACGATATGGAGGTAGAGTCTAGCCTATGATAAGTTGCACAGATGGCAGTATTAAAAACTCCCCTGCGCAACTCGTCTATTCCCTTTTCTCTCTTTTCTTCAATATTAAATATACCTTTAAAAACCCCCTACACAGTCGACCGACACAACAAGTGTACTTAACAATCATACACACACATGCAAAGCACCAACACCTTGTTAATATTGATTATGTTGTATAACTGATCCTGATCCCTAGATCCACACCACAGTGCGTACGCAAGAGTACAGTGGCCCCGCTATATAGTTCAGTACACACCAGCGCATCAGCAGTTCTCCTTAGTTTCTTTACTGTCACTAGATATATACCATGTTAATTTACCAGTATCACAACAGATTAAATCATAGACTCAGCTACTTCATTCCAAGCCCTGATGGCTCTAACCTGCTCAAGCACAGCCGGTGTCTCAGCCAAAGTCACAAACATGTCGTTTTCTTGTGGTCTAGCACACAAGATACAAGTGACGACATCCTAGAATGGTGGTGTTGTGGTGGTGAACTCAGGCAATCCATAGCCAAAATCCTGGACAAACGGTGGCATATGCCAATGGTTCGTGATAGGAACAGTTTGTTGGAACATGTTTGTTGCCATAGTCAGGTGTATGAAGCATATGGGGTCAGCCTCTAATGTATCGTATACCTCAGCGATCAACGGTGCCTTAGCAGAATCAAGCGCAGTATGGACCTTAGTGGCAATTTCTGCGACTGACTATGGTGTCATTGGCAATTGTGCCTGCTCAATTGGGCTGATTATCTGAATCATAAATATCATGTTGCCCATGTAGTTGTTAGCGACCCTGAGGCACTGTCAAATGTTGCTGGGAAAATCGATCTTCAGCAGGCCCTATCTGTTGTGATCTAGCTCAGAAGTTGCAGTGACAGCCTTGTATGCCTGTGCATATATCTTTGCAATAAGTGATACCAAAATATTGTTGGCTGAAAAATGCATACCACTAGGTGCAAAGCAGTTCACTTTCTGAGAAAACTCGTTAAACTTCTCCATTCTGATTCTGAATAAGCTATGCTGACACCTATCATTCTGGCACATTTTCTCCAGAATCAGTAAGTGGCACTCATGTGGCTGGAGGCATGTGAGCTTTTCTGCCTCAGAATTTGGCTGTGTCAGGAATACCTTTTTCATACTGCTTAGTGGTATGTGCTCAGTAGGTAGTGATTGTTGCATAACTGCACAGTCAAAGAGAAATGGTGTCTTAGCAGTCAGCTCTCCAGTTTCCATGGCATGCATCTCTTCAGCCCAGGCTTTGCTAAATGTCCTATAGAATACCAAATTGCCAACAGCATGGGTAAAGTTTATGAACAGTATGAGGCTGCTGTTGTCCTTAAAATGCATGATGTTTATATGTAGGAGCTTGATTCTACCTGACTGCCTGTCTCTGAGCACAACAAGCCTAACATTGACCAGCCCTTCAGGCCAAACTTGTGGGTCAAAGTTGGAGGAATAGAAGTCATCGAAATGCATATCCTCTATGGAGGTCATTCAGAGTTTGTTATCTGCACAACAACTATTTATGCATGCTAGAACTATTGGCAATTTCAGTGAAATAAAAATTTCACCCAAACCACCATCAGTATCTTGGAAAAGTTTCAGTGAACATAATTTCCTTGTGGTTGCTTAGCCACATCTATTGAGATATTGACTTTTGTTGCCCAATGATAATTAACCCCAAATATGCAAAGGTTTTTCTTTCTGGTTGAAATTATGTTCACTGAAACTTTTCCAAGATGCCAATGGCAGTTTGGGTGAAATTTTTATTTCACTGAAATTGCCAATAGTTTCAACATGTATATATAGTTGTTGTGCAGAAAACTAGCTCTGAATGACCTCCTATGCTCTGAGCAGATGCACCAAGAAGAGAATGTCTGTACCTTAAACCAGTACTTTATATATATCTTATTTCCCCCAATTCTTAACAAGTTGAAGATCCCCGATAGTATAGTGGCGAGTACACCAGTCTGTCACATTGGAGACCCGGGTTCAATTCCCGGTCGGAGAGCTTACTTTTTATATGTTTTTGTGATATAAGCTTTTTTGCTATTATTTGAACTCAAAGTACTACTTGTCGCCATGAACTATTCTTTTTCGCTTACCTGGCTAGTAGATATCTTTTTTGGCCATAAAGAGCTTATCATAAGTCTATGAGATCATAGGGTATAGGATATGCTCATCTTTGTATACTACTAAGGGGACAATAATGAACTCAAGCATTCAATATTTGATACTATGAATGCTGGAAAGGACACAAAGGTAATCATAGTTCATTTCGAATTCCTACCAGGCATATGTCTGCAAAGTCGAATTGCCAGTGTGTTTCTTTCAATAGCATTATTATGCTCTTTGTTTGATTGACATTCACTTTGTGCACAACAGATATAAAAGGGGCTATCCTGCTGTCGTTTGAGTGATTTTGTCTTCCCAACATCCTATCCTCATATTATAACTCACACCCCTATCACATTCACTATTGGAGGTCATTCACAACCACTAAACTAGGTAAAAGAATAAAAAGTTTTACAAGTTCTAAATATTTTTTACCTAGTTTAGTGATTGTGAATGACCTCCTACATGCACTCACCCGCTCATCTACTATCCATTTACTAATGCAACTACCTCTACCTAAGGCGGTGAAGCCATGGTGCAAGGGCATATGTATCTGTCAGCTCAGTGCTAAACCTGGTGCTCCCTAGCGCACAAAAGAAATATAGAAAGAGTGAAGCCTGGCTTAGGACTAGTTAGGACAATTAGGACAACTAGGATAAGTCTGTCAGTGGCGCAGGACTAAACAGACATATAAGCAGGTCATACTTGGGGGATGGACCCAATTGTCCTGGTGCTAGCTGAATATTTCGGATTCTGAGCCACTAGTCGTCCACAGTCGAGGATCCTGGTACAGCACTGCGATAGGACTCATGTACATGCGGTGCATGGATCCACAGCAACACAGTTGTTTGAGTAAGAAATTAAGAGGCCTACTGATCAGAAGTTGGTTAGCTGAATGGCTTCGAATCGGCGACTAAAGCGTCTGTGGTCCAGAGGTATGATTGCTCCCTGCCACGGAGTAGACCCGGGTTCGATTCCCGGCGGACGCACTTCTCTTTTGCTCACTCGTGTATTCCTGTTTTGAGTGGGTGGCTGCTCACCGCTCTCGCTGAACTTTTTGCTCTAGCGAACAGTCTGGTTTGTTTTGGCTACTGTGACTCCCTTGAAATTAACCTATCTAGGACTGTCGTCTCTTTTCCAAATAGTGGCTGGTGTGGTCTCGATAGCACTGCACCGACTACATGTTGAGTAAAGACTAGTTAAAATTGCGCTGCTAGGCTAAAAGGATGTTGGTTGTATCACAAAGGCAGGATTCAGATGATGCTGCTTTGCATGAACTGTATATTAGGAAAACAAGAGCAGAAATACAAAGAGACAAAAGTTGCTGATGCACTAATTCCTCGAAGGAACACATACTTCATCTATTCCTATCCTTGCGATCATGAACATACATCGTACATGTTTTGTCAGTAAGAACGAATGTTGGCTTCGGCATTATTGTGAGTTTCTTATGTCTGCATCATGAGGGGTAGTATGCGGGTTTCTGTATATACTAGACTCACTAATCAAGTAGACCTGCTACTATCAGTGTTTTTGTTTGCTCATGGCTAAGCTTAACAAAATGCTAGTGAGTGGCACCACAACCAATATAGTCATGATGGCTCAATAACATCCATTCATAGATGTTGCTTATATATGCAGACACATCGAGGAGCAAGCACAGAGAGACAGAGACAAACCAGTTAGATCGCAAAGTACATCATTGTATGGGATCAGGCTTGCAATACTGTCGGTCAATATAGGAGGAGATTCATCGTAAGCACGAAGTCATAAACATCGCACAATCTTGAGTAGTGAGTTGCACCCTACTTGGGAGGATTGAGCATGTTATTTGCTTACTGAAGTAAGCGTAGGTATAAGCCAGTGGCTGCCCAGTTGCCGTAGATGAAGCAAAAAGGGAGTATCCATAATCCCTTTCAAAACACAAGGAGGCAGCAAAAACAGGAGTCAGAGGCTTGGGAGTGCGGGGTGTGTGAAGGAATTGGCCAGAGAGAAAATGGGCAAAAAGCTAAGGGGTGTGTGAATCGTCTCTCCTGCAACCCAGGTTTGATTGGGTTAGGTTATGAATGTGTTGTGCCTGTGATCTGTGATTCGCCACTGCGATTTTCACAATTTGATAGGCAGCACCAGGACAGGATTCCCTAGATGGATGAGGGGAGGAGCGGGACGGGGGCGGTGTGGATTGTGTGAGGAAACAAAAACAAAGAAATTAATATGCGCATAATGGGCACGCACTGCTGCAGTGACAGGCGGCACCAGAAACCGGTTTAGGGTGCTGGGTCTAGGCCGCAGTGGCATTGACGAGGGAGGGAATGCATGGGTATGTCTACTAAGGAAGCAAAAGCCAAACAGTATTTTACTTCTCTCCTCCTGATTATTCTCTTTTGTTTTTCTTTGCGTTGTTGTATGTTTTATTTAACTTTGACCCAGCTTGGGGAGTTGTAGGTCACAAGTATACTTCAAACTGCGAACTCCTAGTGGGTACCCTTCTCGGTATGTTTTGGTTCCTGGCCTGTGCGTATGTTAATAATGTTTGTTCTCTATCCAACATTGAGAAGTCTGGATAGATTGCTCGCAATTATTACTTAGATGTGCGGACCTCGCCGTGGTCGTGTTGTACACGGGGGGATACAGCGTGTGTGCATGCGAATGACACTGCTTCATTTGAGGTGGAACTCAGAGCGGATTCGGTTCAGATCCTGGTCCAGATTCGGTGATTCAGCCCGGCTAGCTCATGGTGAAAGAGCGTTTATTTGTATCTTAGATGGAGGTCCTAAAGGAAAAGCCGCCAAATGCTGCTAAGATAATAGAGAGGTAATTTAAAGAGAGAAATCCATGCACTCAGAGGTTCCAAAATCCTGGTTACAGGGCTGCGATTGTCCATTACGGTGGTCTGCGTGATCGGGGCGAGTTTTCTGATATTTGCGATCCGATATGGTCTTGATCGTGATCACCGAGATCAGATTGCCTTTGGCTTGTAGTCGGAACCGCAAGTTTAAGCTGGTTGAGATAGCTGCGAAGGAAGGAGTCGGGTGGGAGGAATGCAAGCGCATATTTGGTGAACTCTCCATTGTATGCACTAGTGAACCGGGCTGTAGACCACACGGTGTCTGTGTAGGCTTCGTCATGGCGTGCAATAGCCAGGAAGTAAATGAGCAGACTTGTACCAAGCTCCCAGAGCTGTTGGAATTCTTGGGCTATGCGCGAATTATCCCTGATCTGTGGCAGTGTAAATGCTGTCCAGCAGAGTGCTGGTGACACTAGCCAGTGTCCTGGGGAGATCTGTGTGGGTGGGAATGGGAAAGGGAGCCGATTTGGGGGGCGTGGTCTTGTGATTGGCAGCTCATAGATGTCCATGTCTTGGATCCCAGTGCCATGGGCTCTTTCCATCGACTCAGCTACCTCAGCGAGGACATTTGGCACTAGGGCTTGGCCCACAGCTACATATTTGGGGAGAACCTGATCCCGATAGTGGGCTGTGAGTGGGCATGCACCTGCCAGGTGCTGTGGGGTTTCTGTAGCTCCACAGCGGCACTGCTTTGGGGAGTCTTGGTGGTATCGGCGGGGCAGGCGATCTACATGGAGCCGGTGTAGCGTAGCGCGGGCTTGTGGTGGGGCATTGACTCTGGCCACAATTGACCATGGCGTTGTTTTGGGGATTTTTGGGAAGGCCAATGTGGGGACTTGGTGTGCGGGTTCTGGGAATGGAATTGGGGAGTCTGTGCGTAGGAGGTGTTGGGTTGTGTGTGTGGTCCTAGACCACCGGCTGAAGTAGTGGTTGTGCTCTGGCTTTGTTGGCTGGCTGTTGATGAACAGGCTTGCCAGGTATGGCTTTAACACTGCTGCCTGGGGGTTTGCTGTGCGCTGTTCTTCTTGCTGCTGGATTTGCTGCTGGATTAGGCCCAAGTTTTCTGCGAGATCTGCTGCTGCTTGTCGTGCTTTGGCTGATGAGCCATGGTACTCAGACTTGAGCCATTTGGAGAATGACTCAATAATGCCTATTGAGAAAAGTGGAGGGGTTGTTGGCACATTTGGCACTGCACGAGCATTCTGGTCACGAATCCATTTGTAGAACTTGTGGACCTGGTACCAGTGGGCACTCTGGATGGGGGCTATGCTGGTGCCGATGATTGGCATATTGGCCAAGTTGCTGTGTGCCACGGTGGGGTCTAGGCGGATCTGGATGTGTGATTTCGCATGCACTAATCGTTTGTAGATCGATTGCCAGTATATTGGCCAGACCTTATCTCGAAGGTTGATGCGGCGGTGTCTCTGGAGGAAAGGGTTCTGGAGGAAGCACCAGATATGGTCGCGCATTGCCCTCAATGGCTTTGGTGCACCACTGTTACCCGGGAGGTCGACTCGGTCGTATTGCCAGTCTGACAGTAGTATCCGTGCCCAAACTGGAATTGTCTCTGGTATTGGCTGCGATGTGGCTTGGGCATTGATAATGCACTCAAAAGCAGCCATTGCTTGGCCTGCCTCTCGTAGCACAACTGCTCGGTAAATTGCATGGAGGGATGTAAATCCCAGGCCCCCACTTTTTGCCGGTTGCGTCAAGCAGAGTCTCATTGAGGTATGGTCGGGTACGGCCCCACAGAATGCCAGAGACCCACTGTTTCAGTTTCCCAATATCTTGCATCTGGAATGGGGTAAACCGAGTAGCGAAATGTAGAAGGGGGTGGGCAAATGTGGTGATTGCAAAAGCACGGCCTCTGAGCGTGGTGTGTTTGCACACTGCTTTTGCAGCTCTCACCGAGATGCGTGATATAGGAGCTATTGACCAGATCCTGTACCTCTAGGACCAGTGCCTAGGTATGCTCCAAGGATAGCGCACAGGGGTGCCAATTGGTACTGGTTTGACTGGTAATTCGGCCAATGGGCTCTCAGCATCATAGCTGCTATGCCCAATTAGAATTGCCTCAGTCTTCTCAACGTTGAACAAGGCATTTGTGCCCTTGCAGTATCTGTCAAGAGCATACTGCAGTTTTCGGTAGTCGTGGGCATGCTTGATAACAACTGCTGTGTCATCCATGTACATAGGAGTGTGAGAATAGCGTTGGGCCTGATGCAAGGTTCAGTGTGGGGAAACATGTGTGTGGGACATGTTCACGCAGTGCACACCCTAGCAGCTCCATGACCATGACAAATAGTATGCATGATAGTGCATCCCCTTGTCGAACACCATTTTGCACTGGAAATGGTGCTGAGTCAATGCCGTTGATCATGACAGAGGAGGATGCAGTGCTGTACAGTGCCTCGATGAGGTTGGTGACCTTTTGAGGGAGCCTGTAGTTCTCACGCAGTAGGCGGAAGAGAGTGACATGTGCCACACGGTCATATGCCTTGGCCTGGTCAAGGAACATAATGACTGCAGAGGGGTGCTCTTGTCTCTTGAGATGGTGCATCACACACATTACATTGTGGATAGCATCAGACATCCTGCGGCCAGGAACAATTGCTGTTTGCTCTGGTGAGATGTGGTGCTGGACTGCATGGCCAATGCGTCGGGCCAGTATACTTGTGATGACCTTGAGGTCAGAGTTCAAGAGAGAGATGGGCCTGTAGTACTGTAGGTCCAGTGGGTCCTTCTTCTTGAACAATATCACAATTCGACCAGCAGTGAACTGCTCAGTGACTAGGGATGCATCAGCCAAGATGCAATTTGCAATATGCCACAGGGCTTCGCATGCTTTAGCACACTTGATGTACAGCTCTACTGGTATGCCGTTGGGCCCAGGAGCACGTTTGCGGCTTGCACTCTTGCATGCCTCAGTGACCTGTGCTAAGGTGATCAGCTCACCCACCATTGCTGTTGCCTCTGCAATTTGTTTTGCTGGTCGAGCATCCACATATTGCTTATGTAGATCTAGCAGATGATCCACATCTTGGGCTGCTGGTTGGGTGCACTTGTACATGTCCATATAGAATTGCCTGGCAACTTCAGGGATCATAGTACAGTCCTCCACAATGTTGCCAGTATTGGCATCCCGTAGGGCAGTGATTGTTGTTGAGGATGGTGGGTTGATGGCATTTCTGGTGCGCTGGTAGTTCCATGTGTTTCGCCGATCTCCTTTACGAAGCCAGGTGTTTTTGCAGTGGTCAGCAACATGGTCAGCCATAGTCACATATAGTGCCTTGGCCTCCTCTTCAATAGCTGCCATTTGGCTATGAAGTGCCTTAGCTGCTGCACTGGAGTTTGCCACACATGCCTGGTTTGCCAAGTTGGCAAATTGGCGAAACTTAGAGCGCATGCTACGGTGCTTGCCACTGATCTCGTTGGTAGTCCTCCTTGCGAAAGTGGTCAAGTATGTCAGCCAGGACTTGCATGTATGCTGGCAGTATCTCTCTGGGCGTTTCAGGGATGTTGCTGAGGAACATGTCAAATTTCTTGTTGACAAACTCAACATTGGTGTCAATATTGAGTTTGGCAGGGTCCAGACGGTATGGTCGGTGTGTGCGCTTAGGCTCAGGAGTCACAGAATCAATGGTGAGTATTATCGTCTTATGATCTGCCACTGGTAGAGCGGCGATGTACTCTGTGTTCCATCGCAAAGCCCATTCGAGGGGTACCAGAAACAGATCTAGACGGGATATGTACCCACCATGATTGTGGTTGTAGGTGAAGTCATTCCACCAGTGGCCCAGTTGTGGCATTGGCAGGTGCTGCTGATATGCGTTGGCACTGAAAGTCAAGGATATCCACAGTGTTGTTGTAGAGGTTATACATGGGAATGATGTGGAAATTGCGCTCATCATCATTGGCATGTAGGCGGTCTCTGTATGTTGGGGCAATATTGAAATCGCCACCAATAAGCAGTGTCCAGCCATGTTCCTGGAACATGCTGGCTGCAGTCGCTATATGGAAGTGGAAGTCATCAGTTTCCTGTCCAAAAGGGCCATGTATGTTGATTAACAACAGGCGCAGTGAGGGGATAGTGAGGAATGTTGCTCGTGGTGATGAGAATGGTGTCTGCAGCTCTACAGCACCAAGTGCTTTGGCTGTCAGAATGACTGTGTCATAGTGGGCAGGGCGACCATCAGATCGTGTAGTAGTAGGGGCAGGTGCTGAGCAGACAAAGCCATTGAATGCTCCCCGTAGGCGTGTAGATGGGTCAAATACACCTTGGAACTCCTGGATGAACACGATGTTCACAGCATTGTCTTTTGCGAGTTGTTCAAACTCAAGCAATTTCCGCTCATTACTCATTGCACCTTGCATGTTTGCTGAGGCAATACAGAGGCGTGGGAGGGAGAGTGGGTGGAGGGATGGTGGTTCAGGGACTGGTAGTTCAGCCCAGGCTGGTGAATCTGGGTATGGCGAGTCAGTGCCCGAAGGCTCCTGTTCTTGTGGATCCTCATTGTCACTATCGTTGTGTTCATCAGGCACAAAGGCAGCGGCAAGGATGTTTGGGGGTGGTGGTGGGCCTCTGGCTAATGGGGCATTAGCCATAGAGCCCGTTGAAGGTCGTGAAGAGGTAGGTCGTTTGCCAATGGTCTCTAACATATCTTCTCGAATTTCTCGAGCTGACATTCAGAAACAGTTCCAGTTGTTAGCAGTTTGGTGCTAGTGTTCTAGTGAGCACTTGCAGCGCCCTGCTTGTCCAACTGTGGGGATGTGTGGCGGGCCTTCTTTGTGTGGGATCGTAGTCTGCGGCTTAGTGGAGCATCAGAGGAATCAGATGCGCTGTCCTCTATGATCTGCAGTCCCTCAGGGAGGGGTTCTGCTGGGGCGGCATAGGGTTGCTCGCTGTCCTCGTCATCTTCAAAGCCGAATTGCTCACTATATGAGCAAACTGATTGGCTGCTGAATGATGCGGCTGAGCTGTGGTCATCTTCGTAGAGGATGCGCTCAAACTCGCTGGCAGTGGTTGGCACACTTGTGCCGTGGGGCAGCTGTGGCCCATATGGCGGGAAGTCAAGCAAGGCCTTCTGGGGGAGTTGCCCTGGTTGGCGTTGATGGGGCCTGCTTGTGTAGAAGGTGTGGTTGGGAGGGATGCCATTTGTGCATTTGGCGATGCCTCAGCCATAAGGATGGCTGGTGAGATCGAAACTGGTCGGCCATTAGAGTTGCGTGGACTGGTCTGCCGATTGTGCGATGGCATGCTCACTCATTTGCACATCCAGGTCGGGGGAGGGCTCGTGGGTCTGTGCAGCTGGGGTGGCTGCAACTAGTGCCTCAGCTTGGTTGTTGTGGTTAGCGCTATGGCGCTGGGAGCGGGCGCGATGGCACTGAGGGCCTGGGCAGTGGCACTGCTCAGGGTTGATCTCCTTGCATCGTGGGCATGCCATGGTGGCATAATCACCCCGCAGGAGAGGGATTGGGAGCGGATGCTTGTGCATCTTGAAAGATGCAGGCAGCGTCTTCCCGTTGGGGACATGGAGTAGGAACTCCCAGTCTCCGTAGTGGCGCTGGTTGATGAGGACCGGCTCCAGGTGGGAAACTTGGCCGTAGGGCCTGAGTGCTGCGCGGATTCTGTAGGGCAGCGTTGCTGGGACGTGGGCAATGGCTACGTGATGGATCACGCCCATTGCCGATGTCCACTGCAGCTCCTGGTTGCCAAGCCGGAATGGGTGCTTAGCGATGGTGATGGCGTCGTCCAGGCTCATCAGGGTGACGCCGATCTTCTCTGCCGTGCGTGTGAAAGAGAATATCGGGTAGTTGCGGTGCGACGGTGGCACCGTCGGGCGGCCTAGAGCCGCAAAAACCTGGTTCTCAATCAGCGTTGCACGGTCGGGGTTCGTGCTCGCAATTGGCACGTAGATGGTTGCCGAGTTGAGCAGCGGTGCATACTCAGCCTTCTCGGCCTCCATCTGACGTGATGGGCGTCGGGGCGCTGGTGGGCCTTGGCTTGCGCCCTGGCCGGTGCTGCGTCCTCGGGGCGCGCGTGGGCGCTTGTGGCCTCCTACTGCCTCGGCATAGGAGAGCTGCCTGCGCGGTGGGGCAGTCCCTGGCACAGCGGCGGCGTGGTCCGCATGGCCACCGCTGGTGATGCCAAGAGCCGCCCATTCTTCGTCTGGCACTACTGCTGCCAGCAGCTGCACTGGTTGCAGATCTGGCGAGAATCCCGCAGGCCGTGGCGCCACTGCATTGGCCGTGACAGCCGTTTGGGGCGTTTGCGCAGCAGCTCCACCATGGTGGGGATGATGCGCCGTGGGAACGCTGGTCGCAGCCGGGTCATTCGCGGTTGCGAGCTGGGTTGGTGCGTTGCCAGAGGCAACGAGGGGAACGTAGTTCGCCATTTCTTCACAAATTCCAAATAAAATTTGAAATTTATGCGTAACAGGTGAAGCGCTATGGCGCTGGCGGGTGCAGTTGCGGTTGGTGGTGTGGCTGTTGGGCGGTACTGGGCGGTACTGGGCGGTACTGGGCGTACTCAGGGCGTAATCCGGGCGTACTCAGGGCGGCAAACAGTGCGTTGCGGCGGCGAAAGAGTGCAAAAAGATTACTGCGCTAAGAGGAGCGAAGAAGAGATGCCCGGCTAGCTCAATCGGCAGAGCGTGAGACTCTTAATCTCAAGGTTGGGGGTTCGACCCCCCCGTCGGGCTGCTCTTTTGCCATTCTCCTTTTTGCAAAAAAAACGGGATCAATCGAGGTGGAACTCGGTGTATTTTTTTTGGCTGCGGAATTTTTCGATACGACAATGCTACTGCGCTGGATTTACATGTTGACAAGTAAGTTTTTGATGGTAATAGGGTTGAAGAGTATTGCAGGGATACTTGTGCTTTTTTTTTGTTTTCTTTCACAGCTAGCTATAGGGCCGCAAGCAACTAAATGCAAGAAAACAGCAAGCATAAGTGATGAGGAAAGGAAGCGTCCATATTCTGCACCTGCAGTATATTCATTGTGAGGGAGAGTTTACTGGCATATCTAACTCTGGCATGGCAGCTGAAGGATATCACTAGAAAGGAAGTAGAGGCAATGCGGTTTGGATTCAGTCACCCCAAAGTCGAGTTAGTCTGTTTCAGATTGTTGGGGTTGAAGGTGCGAATGAACGACTCTGCCCTCCCTGAGACAGAACCCAACCGGAAATTAGTGGTTCTGCCTCTGGCCGCGTGGCCCAATGGATAAGGCGCTTGACTACGGATCAAGCGATTCCAGGTTTCGAGTCCTGGCGTGGTCGTCAATAGAGCAGCTTCTACATTTTTATCATTTTGCACCTTGCAAAGTGATCTGGGTCTGAGCCAAACGTCATCACTAACTTTTGCATCAACCATTAGAAAATAACCCAGTTTTTGTAATCTTGCAGTAATCGCTTTTTAACTGGTGAATAGATTTCATAATGATCTACTCGTTCATCTTTGACCTTGGTAACCGGGGAATGGGAAAGACAGGAAAGCTGGAATGACAAAAGTTGTCAAGATACTGATTCCTTGATGAGACGATGTATCTTGGCTGCTCTATTCCCCTGCGACCACGCTCATGCGCATTATACATTTTGTCGTGCTGACATTCGGGCAACCCCATGCCCTTCACCACTATGTGCAGATCCAAATCCCTACCTGTATAGACATTGTAGGCCAGAATGGCCCATCCTCCCTTTTTTCTCTTCAGCAATTTCTGGTTATATTCATGACATAAAGCTCATAACTACTGGACTCTCTGAAGGTCAACATGTTGGCTTGCCCGATGTTGGTTTTATCGTCACCGAGAGCTTCTGAAGTCTTCATCGTGACATCCAGTGCTTATTAGATCCTCGTGTATATGATAGTAGTGAGGCATCATGCTAATAATAATTGAATATGATAAAGAGAGTGTGGAAGCAAGAGGTGACGATCTACAGTGTAGGAGGTGCGGTTGATTAGACTCTACAGCTGCTGGCCCAAACCAATACTTGCCTTGTCTAGTCGATTAGAAGCATAATGCCATATGTGTCAGTAGTACCACATCAGAAGCCAAAGAGACACACGCATTGACAAATCGTATGGCTGAGCATGGATAGACTATGGCCATGAGGGATATGCCAAGGTATTTACTCTCTATCATAATGCTCTGCTCATACTGTTAATAATCAGATGAGTATTTATCACCATATATAGGGGAAAATATATATATATGAGAGCAAAACTGAGGAGAAAAGGTGGACTGTTGGGTGCTTGGGGCCCTTTTAAGCGTGTGGTCAATCTTGACATCATGCTGCCAACACCGCCCTATGCCACCATGCTTAATACCTACATCAGATATTTATGTAAAAAGTTAGGCTCTGGGTGTCGTAACAAAAGACATGATGTAGCCAAGCAAACAATCCATACTCTCATTGTTCATATACTTGCCCAGCTCCGATCCCTTTGCATATATCTCTTTCAAACATATGCTTATGCTCTGCTCTCGCCCAACCATATCTCTAGAACTAGGTGATATAGATTTACTGCCAAGCACTATTTATCAGTAAGCTATGAGATAGGTGTGCAAAGTGGTATGTGTACGATTCATGAAAAAAACAGCTAGCAGGTTAGATAAAAACAAAAAAACAAAAAAAAAAAACAAGCGGAGCTTAGGAACCAAATGGTAAACAAAGGGTGTATTAGTATATGTTAGGATCTGTTAACCTAGAAGATGAGTGGTTATCCGGTATATGGAAAAAACAACTTCTCAAAAATATGTGTAAGGGGAAGAAGGGAGGCTGTTCGGCTGTCTGGGCCTTTGTACGTGTGTGTTTCAGCCTTGAAATTCAAGATCAGGAGTCTCTCCTGCGCCACCATGGGCAGCAAGATCAACACCAACAAAGCAGAGCTAGCACGATTGGTGAGTCTAAAGTACAGGCAGGTGACGCCACAATCCACTTAGGATGTAAATAAATTTGATTGTGATCTGTACATCGATACTGTTAGCAGCAAAAAAAAGAGGTCTTGTAACCGTCGCCTCAGCTTCGTCGACAAAAGCAAAAAAGGAGGGTTACGTTGATCAGAGTGGGATTCGAACCCACGCCTCCGGAGAGACTGCGGCCTTAACGCAGCGCCTTAGACCGCTCGGCCATCTGACCCTCAGTAATTGATGAGTTGGACTAAATTAGTATATACATAAACTCAAGCTTGCTTTTGTCCTTCTGCCGACGCCTTCTGTTTACCACCAGTTCCTTTCTTTCTGCCTCTACTCATCAAGGATTTGGTATGACCATTGCCCAGTCTAACGTAACAACGAGCTGTGCCCTTTCATCTCGCTACCTGTGATGATTAACGGCTGCAAGCTGATCTACAAACCATACTATCAACAGCGCCAGCACAATGGCCTGTGAGCAATCGCGCAGAGCTTAGGGCCCACTTCCCTCCTTTTTGTATCATGTCTGGGTACCAATCTCCACGCTCTGACCTTTGTTTTCCGAGAGCGTACAGCTATTCCAATTGTCCGCATTGCTTATTACAAGCCTTACATAGGTCCTCCTTTTTTCTTCTCTGATGATCGTCTTCCAGTCCATCTTCCTTATGCTTCTAGTATCACAGAGCCAGTATGTCTGGTCGCTCCTCTACTCATCCAATTGGCGGCATGGCCAGAAATGTTTCTATTTTAAACACTGCGTCTCCTGATGGCAAACTGCCGGGCAGTCTCTAGCACCTCATCGGGCATCCCGGCTATCTGGGCTACATACAGGCCATGCGATCTCTCGCAAATTCCCGGCTTGACCTTGTGCAAAAACGCAAACCCACCCTCACCGTCTTCATATATCGCCGTATGTAGTGGCTGCACCCCGGCCAGCGATGGCACGGCATGCGGCACCAGCTCGTGGTAGTGTGTAGCAAACAGCGCCTTGCATCTGACCTTGTCGTGCAGATACTTCAGTGTCGCATAGGCAATCGACACTCCGTCCCTGGTCGACGTACCGCGCCCAATCTCGTCCAGGATCACCAATGACCGGCTGGTCGCATGCCGCAGGATGTCTGCCGTCTCGCTCATCTCCACCATAAACGTCGACTGGTCGAGTGCCAGATTGTCATGGGCCCCGATCCGCGAGTAGATGGCATCAACCACATGCAGCTGCGCTTCGTTGGCAGGCACAAAGCTACCAGTCTGCGCCAGAATCGATATCAAGGCGACCTGGCGCAGGTATGTACTCTTGCCGCCCATGTTCGGCCCTGTCAAAAGAAGTACCTGGCTCGAATCTGCATTAAACGTGCAGTCGTTGGCAACAAACTGGCGGTTTGCAGAAATCAGCTGGGCTTCAACGATAGGGTGCCGCCCGCCGATGATCGAGTGCCTGTCATCCCGGTCCGTGACAAACTGCGGCCGAGAAAACTGGTGCCTTGCAGCTAGAACAGCCATCGAAATAGCCACATCCAACTCGGCTAAAACCCTGCTGTTGGTGCGGATCCTCGAGCTGACCTCCAAAACGCTGTCTCGCAGCTCCTCAAAGACACGAAGCTCCTCTGCCCGAATCAGACTATGCACCATTTCAATCTCCGACAACAAGTACGTCCATTCCGCGTTCTCAAACCGGACCTTGCTTTTCAGTGTCTGGATCATACGGAAATCTGAGCTGTCAAGGAGTGTGCTGGCGTCGCGCTTCGATACCTCGATGAAATGGCCAATATTGGACAATGTCTCGAGCTTTAGGGATGAGCAGTGATATCGTGATATCCACGTCTCCTGCATCTGATGTCGCTCGCGGTTCTTCTCTTTGAGCTTCTCATGTAAATGTGTGAGATGCGTACTGCAGTTAGGCTTGAGAAAACCAAACACGCGGATATCACGCTCTGCATCCACACGAATTTTGGACTCAATGTTGCGCACCAGTGGCATTAGTGCCTGTAGGGCTGTGGCTTTGCGCCGGGCTACCTCAATAATGGCCTCCGGCGAGCGATATGACGGTACTGCTCGTTTGCGCTGGCTGAATCTCCGTCGCACATCAACTGGTTGCTTCTTGGGCACTAGTGCGGCTTCAAGAACCTGCTTGATCTTTGTGACTTCTTGCAGTGTCCGTGCAATATCCAGTAAATCGTGTGGACCGCCGCAATTCAGTGACAGCTTATTGACAGCTCGCTCTATATCGCTGATCCTCTCAAGATGCTCTCTGACTAATTCGCGTGCCCGTGAATTCACGCTAAAGAACTCGAGCAAGTCCATGCGCTGCTCGATAATATCAATGGATGTGGATGGTGCAGTCAACCGCTTGGCTAATAAACGGGCACCAGAGCTGGTTTTTGTGTAGTCAATCTCAGCGAGTAAAGTGTGCTCGCTAGATCCACGGTCACCCGAGAGCTGTGGGCGGACCAGCTCCAACGCCTGGATGGTTGCTGCGCTCATCTTCATATGGTCCTTGACCTGGTACCGCTTGGGTGGCTGTAATGGTGGAAGCAATCCGAGTTGGGTGTCCAGAACATAGTTAAGAAGGGCGCGTGCGGCAGTCTGCTCACAGGAAGATAGTTCGGTTGCTTCCAGCAGAAGCATATCGGGCGTCGTGATCAGCGACTGCGAAGGTGCAGACAGTTGCCAGTGGACGTTGGGGTTCAGTGAATTAGAGTGTCTCTCCTCTGGCTCATCTGTAATAGCAGAATTAGACTCACACTCAGTGCCAGGCACCTGTGGCTGGCTCCATTGGTGAAACGACGCGGCTGTGACATGCGTCACGGCAGGCTGTCCAGTGATTTGCGATGATGTGGATGAACAGGGGTAAATGGCCTTTACCATGTCGTGCACCATGTAATCACTCTCATCGACCAAGATCTCTCTTGGGCGAATGCGAGCCAAATCCGTGGGTAGCGACGACGGCGACGACGAACAAGTCATGAAATCGCCGGTAGCCAAGTCCAGCCATGCCAGACTCAGAGATACATCTATGGTAGATGGGTCGCTGCTTGCGTCAATAGAGAAATCTGGTCTAGGTGGGATCTCGGGTGGATCTGGGACGCACACTGAAGAGGGATCAAACTCTTCAGCGAGCAAAAAATCAATAGGTATTGTGCTCTGATGCTTTCGTGGCCGCCCAGGCCCACGCCTCTTCTGTCTTGCTTCCAGCAGTTCACGTTCCATTTCCCACTTGCGTTTTGCTTCAGCAATGATTCGTGAGATATCCGCTGCGTGTCTTTCCTCAATGGCTGCCTTATCTCTCTGCCACCTATCGATCATCTGCTGGTGTTCGATGGATCTTGGGTCAATGCGGGCGATGCTGACGATGTAGTTATGCATACGTGTGCTACTTGCATACTGTTCGTCGATCAGCGTTCCGGGAGTAACCACACGTGTCACCTTGCGAGTAAATACACGGCGCATGGGCTCTTGGAACTGCTCGCAGAGGGCCACATTCAGGCCATGCCTTGCGACAAGAATCTCAAGATATCGGTCCAGGGACCGTGCGGGGAATCCAGTGAAGCGCACGGTGCCATTGCGAAACTTTTTGTTAACGACTTGCAGACCGAGGAGGTCACCGCCAATATCATCGGCGTGGTCAAAGTAGAGCTCATAGAAGTCCCCAACACGCACTAGTAGCACACAACCAGGGTACTTTTGGCGGTACTCGCGAACAGCACTCAGTACGCTGCTGGTGCTGATCAGGGCTGACGCCAAGGTGTCTGATCCAGCTGGTGCAGTAGATTCAGCCGCTGCCTCTTCTACCTGCTGTGTGGTTCCATGGTGGCGTCGGAGCGGTGGGGTGCTAGTAAACGCTGCATGTGAAGGGTGCTGTGCGCTGTATAGACGCGGGTGGCGCCGGCGAGCTGCACCAAGTACCAGCGTGGTACCAGTACGAGGCACTGGGCTCCGAAACAGCCAGCTCCTTGCCAGCATACGAGACATAGACGAGAATGTAGCAGACAATGAGCGTTTGAAAAATGGAGAAAGTAGACAGTGGTGATGGCAAAAGCCTATGCAATCGAAACCAAAAATCACTGAGTAGTGGCATAGTAGGTCAGCTCGGCTCAGGAACAAGCATGGATTCGTCCGGCTCAGCCTAGCTTGGGCTCCCGCAAATCGGGAAGGCAATGTGGTACACAAGTTGCGCGTTCTCCTAACGCGGCTGAGGCAAGATGGTGGGGGAGGAATTCATAGACTGGGGTTAGAAGAGTCATAGCAGAAGTTTGGCCGCTAGAATGGGATCATCGATGGGCGAGAGTGACTCACAAACACCCGCATTTTTCTTCGAACAAACTGTACCTGGTGTTGGCAAACTGAATGCGTGGATCCAAGCGTGCCTAATCTGTATAAATAGGGCCTAGTACGTTCGGTGTTTCAAAGAATCGCTTTTTTCTCACTCGTTATCTATATAAGCAGGCGTTCCAGCCCTCATTCCTTTTTCTTCCTTTCATTCTCGATTCCGAGTAATTTTTTCGCTCTTATCTTTACAAAAATGTGTGGAATCTTTGGTGTTTACCAGTACCAGGGCGATGTTGAGGCATTCCGCCAGCGCGCGCTGGATCTGTCCAAGAAGCTCCGTCACCGCGGTCCGGATTGGTCGGGCTGCATTGTGGCTGGCAAGAACATCATCTGCCACGAGCGGTTAGCTATCGTTGGTGTTGATTCGGGCGCGCAGCCCCTGACCAACGAGGACGAGTCCATCGTGCTGACGGTCAACGGCGAGATCTACAACCACAAGCAGCTGGAGGCTGAGCTCAAGTCGCCGGCCAAGTTCAAGACCCACTCTGACTGCGAGGTCATCCTTCACATGGTAAGCGAGAAAATTTTTTCTGTGCAATCCCTCTATAGAATTGGGGAAGGAATAGCCCAAGAAATGGTCCCGATTTGGAAACTGATTTGTTACACATATAGTACAACGAGATTGGCACCGACGTGTGCGCCAAGCTGGACGGTATGTTTTCGTGGGCGCTGTTCGACCGGCGCACCACACCCGCGCGCCTGGTCGCCGCCCGCGACCCGATCGGCATCACCACGCTCTACATTGGCCGTGTTTCGGCGCACCCCGAGACGATCTTCATTGCGTCCAGAGCTCAAGTCGCTGAACGAGGAGTGCGACCAGATCGACGAATTCCCGCCGGGCTGCTACTTCGACTCCGAACGACGGCCAGTTCCACCGCTACTTCCAGCCTGACTGGTGGAACCCCGAGCGCATCGCCGTCAACCCGATCAACTACCGCGAGCTGCGTGAGTCGCTGACGGCGGGCTGTGCGCAAGCGCCTGATGGCGGAGGTTCCCTACGGTGTTCTCCTCTCTGGAGGTCTCGACTCGTCGCTGATCTCCAGCATTGCTGTGCGTGAGGCGGCGACGCATCTCGGCCGCTGGCCCAGTCCGATGTCGAGGACGTCGATACGCGCGGTATGCGGTACTTCCCCCGTATGCACTCGTTCTCGATCGGCCTTGCCCGGCGCACCGGACCTGATCGCCGCCCGCAAGGTGGCCAAGTTCCTGCGCACCGCCCACCACGAGTTCACGTACACGATCCAGGAGGGTCTGGATGCCGTTGCCGACGTCATCTACCACCTGGAGACATACGATGTCACCACCATCCGCGCGTCCACGCCCATGTATCTGATGTCACGTAAGATCAAGTCCACTGGCGTCAAGATGGTGCTGTCTGGCGAGGGTTCCGATGAGGTGTTTGGTGGGTACCTGTACTTCCACTACGCGCCGTCCGACGACGAGTTCCACAAGGAGACCGTCAAGCGCGTCCAGAACCTGCACACCAGCGACTGTCTGCGTGCCAACAAGTCTACCATGGCCTGGGGCCTTGAGGCTCGTGTGCCCTTCCTTGACAAGGAGTTCCTGCAGGTTGCCATGAACATTCAGCCCTCCGACAAGCGCTGCTCGAAGGACCTGATGGAGAAGGCCATTATCCGTCCGTGCCTTCGACGTCACCTACCCTGATGCTGGCTTCACTGAGGAGGAGCTCGCCCAGGGCCCGTACCTGCCGCACGACGTGCTGTGGCGCCAGAAGGAGCAGTTCTCGGACGGTGTCGGCTACGGCTGGATCGACTCGCTCAAGGACTGGGCCGAGCGTCGTGTCTCTGACGCGTCCATGGCCGCCGCCAAGGATCGCTTCCCCGAGGACACCCCCGAGACCAAGGAGGCCTACCTCTACCGCGAGATGTTTGAGCAGCACTTCCCCCAGAAGGCATGCCTGGCCTCTGTCGTCAGGTGGGTGCCGCGCACTGACTGGGGCTGCAGCGCCGACCCCAGCGGCCGTGCCCAGAAGATCCACGAGAAGGCTTACTAAAATGTTCTTTTGACGTTTGCGTTAAAAAAAAGTTTTCTACTGCAGAATACGCGTCAGACGCTTTGCGTGCCTCTGCACAAACTCTTGATGCTCTGCCTTCAGCTTCTCCTCAAACTGTCTGTTCCTTGACTGCATCTCCTTCTGGAACTGCTCGCGCTTCTCCCTGGCTGGATCCACAGCCAGAATAGCCTTTAGCGTCTGCTTGAGCTCGTCCGCTGTCTTGGATACTTGATCTTTTGCTGCATTGGCTTGCTCAGCACACGCTGAAATGTGGTGCCCATAGGAATCGACACCCTGCTTCGTAGCCATCAGTTGTGTGCTTGCTTGCTCCAACAGCCGCGTAGCTTCGGAAAGTCTGTCTGTCTGCGATCCGTCGACTGCACCAGCAAGTTCCCCGGACAGCTGCTGTGCACGAATTCCGACGTTGCCTGTCACAATGCGCAGGATCTCGCCCATAGCATCCACTGCGTTCTCTGAGACATTTTCACCCTGGCTTGTCCCATTATTAACCAAATAAATGCGTTTTGCGGGTCAGTTGACATTTGCATGGGGCTCAGCCTATCTCCCCTACGCATGGCCCTGCATCTTTATGGATACTAATGCTTAGAATGTACTAGGCTGTCCCACGCCCGCGATGCGAAGCGCACCTCCAGGCGAAGACAAACGCTGTTTGCCTGGTACTTTTGTTGGTACGGCTGATCTACCACCAATGGCCAGTCGATGCAGGAGTGCCAGCGCCGAGCACTCTCTCAATCCAGGCCTTGAGCACGGCCAGCATCATTAGACCAGTTCTTCCGACCAGTTGTAGATAGCCGGATTCTAGCCAGGGTGGTTTATCGAACGTGCCAAACTATGCTGGCTAGCAGCCAAGCTCGCATCGCAAGCAAAGTAATTCTTGTGGATGTATGAAATAGATAAAGAAAGAGAAGGTGAAAAAAAAAGGGCTATGAAGGGTTTCGCACATGGTAAATATAACGTTTTCACTTCCGGTACTGGAACGCCTGACCGATGCTGTGGCACCGCGCTGGCATTCCCCATGGGCTTCCATTTGAACTCTGCCATAATCGGTATGTGGTCAGACGGAATCTGCGAGTTCGGGAACCCGACTGCATGCCGCACCCACTCCTCGTCCAGCTCGCCCAGCAGGCCCGTCGGAATCAGGGTGCCAGTCGTGTACCAGATGTAATCGATTGTGCCACTGAACGTCGGTGTGCAGTTTGTCAGCGGCAGCTCGTTGATGCTGGCGTACGCTGACTTCAGTCCGAACGGATGCCGCAGGACCGTGCCGTTTGTAGTCCGCGTACGGCTCCATGCGCTCCATGTCCGGATGCTCCTTGTCCAGCCGCCCACGTGACAAAAACTCGTACAGCCCAGAGTCTGGCTTCGAGTTAAAGTCACCGCAGATCAGTGTCGTCACCTTCTGGAACTGCTTCTGCTGCTGCTGCATCTGCAGCTGCACCTTATGCGCTTCCGATCCAGCACCGACATCGTCGGTGGCTGCCGGAACTCCTGCGTGCTTACGCGCTAGCATTGCCAGCTCCTCTGTCAGCATCATCGTCTGCACCATCTTCACGTCGGTGAACTCAGGGTCCCAGTGTACATGTGCGTTCGCCACGAGCATCATCGGCTCGCCTGCCAGCTTGCGGTGCTTGAGTACTGCAAACCCAACAATGTTGTCCTTGGTCATGAACCGGTTGAACATGTCGTCTACCTTCTTGAAGTCTTTGCGCTGCAGCGCGCTCTGCTGGAACTCGAGCAGGTGCTGTGCCTCCAGCCGGAACACCGACGACTTGTAAAACGTCGCGCACCCGTCAACCAGCCGGCGCTCTGGCTCGTCCATCGTACGTGCACGCGACTTGGTCCAGAACACGCCTTCGTAGCCCACTTCCTGCAGCTTTGGCTTAAAGAACTCGTCAAACTGCGCTGCCTCCACTTCCTGCAGGCACACAATGTCTGGCTGCAGCGTCGTCAGCTCAGAAATAATGATGTCGCGCCGGTACTCCCACGCCAGCGCCCAGGATGGGCAGTAGCTGTACTTTTGCGGCGTCGCGTACTTGGGGCACAGCACGTTGTAGTTCAGCACTGTCAGAATCTCCGGGCTGTCTGTGCGCACGTCCTTGTCTAGTGAAACCCACTGCCGGTCGGGCGACGGCTGCAGCGCAAGTCCATTATCGCGCAGGTACTCGATCAGTGCACGCGCGCCATCCTTCTGCAGGATCGCCTTCAGGTGCTCCTGCAAGCGGGTTTCCCTCCAACCCCAATGACTCGAGCTGGTACAGGGTGCCCAGCTCAGGCGGCAGATCGGTGATTCGGTTGTCAAACAGCAGCAGCTCTTTTAGATTCGAGCACAGCCCTAGCTCTGGAGGAACTGCACTGATAAGGTTTGCCTGATGCGTCTAGCTCCTCCAGATTGCGCAGCTCCGCCAGTGCCACTGGCAGCTGTGTCAGCTGGTTGTGGTTTATGTAAAGCTTTGTCAGGAACGTGTACCGGAATAGCGGTGCCGAGATAGCCCTTAGTGCCATGCCGCCCAGATCCAGCTCCTTCCATACAGTCTTTACAGCCCCATTTGAACTCGGCGTCCGCCGGTCGTTCCGCCGATCCAATTGACGTGCTCTTGGCCCGCGAGCTTGGTGGGCGAATCGTGACTGGGGTCGATGCCGTCCCATTCAGATGCCCGAGTGGCGTTGTTGAACGTCCACTCACGAAATCTGCATAGGAGCTAAGCGGCGTTCCTGAGCCTCCATGGTTATCGTAGCCGCCCAAGAAGTTGCCCTGCTGCCGCTGTTGCGCCATCGCCGTGCGTGCATGGTGGTGCGGAGTCGCTGACGCCCGTGACCGCTGGTGCGTCACGATCTGCTGCTGGTGGTACTGGCTTGTCGGCATCACCGGCGTGGGCGCCATCTGCACTGGGCCACTCATCACCGAGGGAGACGTCAGCATGGCGTTCGCCGCCTCGGCGCCAGAGTACACCATACTGCCCAGCATCCCGTTACTGGTCATCAGGCCGCCCCCACCACCCATCATCGCCGCTGACGGCATTACGCCTGTCGGTACTCCGCTGTGCGCCATGCTGCCCATTGCTAGGTCGCCTGGTCCCAGCCCTACCATGTGCCCATTGCCGCCGCTCATTGACGCCGCAATGTAATGGCCAACTATATACTGTTAGAATGCGTGAGCAAACCAAGTTATCAACAATGCTCCCACACTACTAGATTGCATTCGCAGCCGCATGTCAATTCAGCTCTCTATTTTACCTGCTGCATCGCCCTGCGAGGTTGCACCCATTCCTTGTCTTGCATGCTGGGGAAGCTGCTGGCCCGGGGTCTGGCCCTGTTGCATGTACATCTCAACCAGTGATTGTCAGTTTTGGTTGAAACAAGAGACGCGTGTATGTAAATAATTGGAAAAGTACAATCCGATTCAAAAGCTATGAAAAGCGAGAAAAGAAAGCAGAGGGTCACCTCTGGCAATAGCCTGCTGAGCAAAAGAGAAAATGGCGAGCTCTTATTGGTTGAATCGATCACGTGAAGGCGGTTTAGCCAGCGTCAGCGCGTGGTTACCCTTCTACCCTGTGCCGCCATACGTTCAATGTAGCGTTGCCTGGCCGCCTCCACTGCCGACTCATCGTTGCGCCTTGCAAAAGACTTGCGCAGAGTGTCCTCTCTAGCTTTATCTTTCGTGGCTTGCTTTTCCTGTCGCTCAATCTCCTGTCGCTCAGCCATCTGGCTGTACGTGTCTCTGTTGCTTGGTCGGTTGTAGCCTCTACTCCGCTCAGATGCGCCGCGGCTTGGCTTTCTCGGTTGGCTGCGTGGCAGCGGCGGGTCGCCGGATGCGAGTGGCCTGGGTCTCATAGCATTCCGACCCATGTCCGGCTCTGCCTGCCAGCCACTAGCAGCTGCCTCGCTCGATTGCCCGTCCATCTTCTCAGCAACCTTGCTCAGGTCATCGCGCTCAATCTGGTCAAGAAACCCTCGGTAAAATCCGCTCATTCCCTTCTTCTTCCGGCTCTCCTCTGCCCGTTCCTGTTCCTCTTCCTCCTTGACCTTGCGCTGCCGCTCTTCCTTGATCTCCTTATACCCGCTGGTGACAAACACTTCCTTGTCACCGTATTGATCTCCTTCGCGCTCCCGCTCCTTTGCAAGGAGTCGCTCCTTTGCCACCTCTTGCTGTGTTTGCCGCTGCTTCGCCGTCTCGATGAGCTTTTCCATGTAGCGCGGCCTCATGTCGCTGGATTTTTTCTTTTTGATGTGGTCGCGTGCACTCTGGATACTGTCATAGAACTCGTCGTAGGCATAGGCACTGGAGTCTGCTGGCTGTGAATCAGCAGCGGGCTTTTCAGTGGAGCGGGGTTTGGTCGGGAGTGCGATATGCTGCTGTGGATTTTTGGACGGGCCTGGGTCGATCGTTGGCATGGCAGTGTCGCCAAACACCGAACCAAGAGCACTGCTGCCTGGTTTAGATGTACTTGGCGCCTTCTTTACGTTCAACCCAAACTTTCGTGGTGTTATCTTTTTCATCATAAAGAAAGGGGAATATTTACCAGGACTATTTGGCTCGCACTGGTAGTCCTCAGTTTTTGTCATATCGGACATGTCTCTATGACCAGATTATGGACACATGATGTTCTCTGCAGAGCCGATGGGAATAAAAAATATATATATAGTCACTACCACAAACTATGTGTTCTAGATCTGGCTCCGCGCTCTCATCCAGTAGTGCCTCACAGGGAATGCCAGCACAGCTGCAGCACATACAACGCACAGCGTCGTTCCCATCGATATCAGCATTGTCAAAAACCCACATGCTGAATATAGTGCTGTTGATATCGGCGGCAGCGAGATATTGGCCACTCCTTCTGCTACCGCTGCCAGAGAGTAGCACTGCGCCATTGCTGGCGACTGTGTCGAATTAATAAAGTCGCCAAACGCGCTCTGTGACGGCACAATGACCACCATGGCTGTTATAGCAAACAGGGAATACCCGGTAATCAGAACGGCGTATGTCGGCGCAACTGCAATGACAATTAGCGAAACCAACACGCACATTGCCCCCATAGCGATGGTGTAGTAGCGCATGCGTTCGCCGCGTCTTGCAATAACGTGGTCGTTTAGGAAGCCTACAAGCGGCATGGCCAGGATGAGAATGCCGTCGACTATCAGAAAGGCGACACCAATTTTCTCGGGCGAATACCCAAACTTGTCGTTTAGGCGCAGTGGGAACACGGTCTCAATGACACTCTGCAGACCCGTGGCCACGAATATGGCGATAGTGGGCCCAATGACGGGTGTTTTTCGCACCAGCTTCCACATAGTCAGGTCGCCTGTTTCGGGGGTATCCGCGTTTCCCTTGTCATTCTGGCCATTGAGTGTAGACGCCACAGCACTTGTCTCCTGACTGCCCTCGACGTCATTGGCCTCCATTTCTAGCGGCTTCCCGTCAGCGACCGAGGACGTCGAGCTGTCTACATACATGGTAGGCATAGTGGTATCTTCGGCTGGGTTGACGAGGTGACGGATTTCTAACGAGTTCCTAACAAACACAGATATCATTACGAACTCTGCCATGCCCAAACACATGACAATTACCGCAATACCGTCGACTCCCATTGCTTGGTACGCCTCGCCGCCCACCACTGGACCCAGCATATTGCCGACATTGTCAAACACAAACAGCACCGCCATCTTTAGTCCCAGGAGGTTGGCCGGGTACACATCGGCGACTACCGTGAACAGAATTGTATCTGCAATACTCGATGCCATGCCCAGCACGAATCGAAACAAAATCACTTGGTAGAAGCGCGTAGTGGAATAGAATATCGCTCCAGCCACTATGTACAGGAACGCTGCAAACAGCTGCGGGTAGAGCCGGTTCTGTATCTTGTCACTGATATACCCGACAGATAGGGCTGCAATAAGACCACCAACACCAAACACTGCCGTGATCATTCCGTTATCGGCACGCGGCACATGGAGTTTGGACTGTAGCAAATCCGGCAAGCATGCTATCGTCAGGCTGTAGACGAACCGGTTAATCAGCGCTATTATCGATGATGTTGCCCATATCGTGACCGGCTTACTTCGTATGCGCTCCAGGAGGGGTGGTATCTGCATTAGAATGTGGATAATATGAAAGAAGCTATTTTGCGATGGAACAGATGGAAAGAAAAAAGGAGTTCCAACAAAGAATGCAATCTACTATTCTTCAGCCCACCTGCGAAACTTCCCCAAGGCAGTTAAATGCCGTATACAAAAAATAAAAACATTTAGTACAGTTCGCCTAGCTCAAAGCAACAATAGACAATGCGGCACAGCCTCCTGACCATAGGCATACATCATTATCGGAAAAGGTTGGTTTTGGCAGGAAAACTGATGCCAGCTCTACCCCCTTTCTCGAAACCACGTCTGGGAAATAGTGTCATGGGCTGGGGGAGTCATGAAGGGAAAGCTAGTAACAACTAAAAATATACTCCCACTGAAATACACTATTTCCAGTGTTGGACTCATTTGAAATTGGGCTCGGTCATTACCTCCTTTCATTTTCCACCAGCGTATATGCCCTCCCACATCTCAATGGCGCCTTCCGTTGCTGCAGTGTCCATAAAAAGCGACCGGAGTGCCACTTTCAAAAATGTATGGCATTCGGGCAAAATAAACATATCGACAGATTAAGACACATGATGTACTCGCTAACAAAGTGCAAGAGAGAATGGGTGGGGAGTAGTCAATGACGGAAAATCTACACCAACGATGTATGTACATATTGTGCATATATTGCCGTGCTTGCAAGGATGTTGGCGGTGGTTGCCTCTCTTTTATTAAAGACCAATATTAGCCGTGCAAATCTGTATATAAAAAGGTGGTGTAGCTGGCCATGCATGAACCAGAGGAGGCAGTGCAGCCAGTTTTTGATAGTGAGACAAATTATTAGCATTGCGCTTTGCAAGCGTCGGATCATGTCTGCCATGCCTTGTTTTTAGAGTTCCATGCGTTATTAATGATATTCTGATGGATTCATAAATCTCGGCGACTTTTTGTTGGTAGATATGGCTCGAGTTTTCCAAATATGCATGCTGCATTAGAGGAAAGTAGAAAACAATGCATAGTTAATGTATTCCATCCAGGAGCCTGTGCCATGCATGGTAGGACCTTCCAAAAGGCAAGTAGGACCACTGTTTAAAATACAGACATCTGATAACCATGTTTTATTATTTTATCCCCCTCATACGCTCACGAATCGGGTATATCGCACATGCACCAGCACAAAACAAACATATTGCTGTGCTGATGCCGATAAGTGGCTTAGTAAATCCGTAGTCTGAATACAGTGCAGTGCCGATCGGCGGCAATGCAATAGCACCAATAGCCCATGCCACAGTCGATAGCGCGTAGCTCTGGGCCATAGAGTCCACCTTTGTGTAGTTGACAAAATCGCCAAAAGCACTTTGGCTTGGAATAACCATGCACAGGTTGGTGAACGCAAAGAGCACGTATCCAACCATCATGACCGCGTATGTGTTTGCAAGAGCCATGATCAGCATCGTGAATATGGAGGCGATGGATCCAAAGAGCATGGTGTAGTACCGCATCGACTCACCCCACTTTTCGATGAGCCAATCTGAAAGGGACCCGACGCAGGGGACGAAAATAGTCAGCGCCAAGCCAAAGATCACAAAAGCCATGCTGCTGTCTGATTTTCCAAACTTGTCGTCCAGGTGCAAAGGAACCAGTCCCTCGAGTGTGCATTGCACGCCGATTGACGCAACAATCGCTACTATCGCCACAAACACAGGCAAGCGCAACACGAGCTTCCAGAGTGGGATTCCCGCCTGCTCGCTTCCTGCCACCTGACCTGCGTGCCGCATTGCCTTTGTCGTTGAGTTGGCCTCCGAGTAGCCAGCGGGGCTCGGACAAAAGCCACCATCGATTTCGTCGCTGGTTGGGTAGTCCTTTCGAGACGAGGGGTTATTGGAGCTGGTGTCCAGCAGCCCGCCAACTGGTGGCTCAGCCAGGTTCAGCTCCTTGCGCAAGACCAGTGAGTCCTTGATAAACAGGTTCAGGGCGACCACCTCGAATATCCCGAAAGCAATGACAATCGACGATGTCCCGTGGATCCCATCCGCATCAAACAGCCGCTCCCCCACCACTGGTCCAATAGTGTAGGCAATGTTGTTTGCAAAATACACGATTGCCACCTTGAACCCTAGCAGGTTTGCAGGATACACGTCGCCGACGGCCGAGTAGAGCATGGTGCAGGCCATACCGGATGCAATACCGTTGATAAAGCGGAAAAGGAGCAGCTGGTAGTAGTGCTTTGAAATGTAGAATACGACACCTGCTGTAGTGTATGTTAGTGCTGCAGCGAGCTGCAGATTCCAGCGGAAATGCAGCCTGTCGCTGAGCATGCCGGCGATGGAGCCACCAAATATAGCACCTATGCCGAACATGGCAGTCACCACACCATTTGATGATTCGGAGACATGCATTGTGTCCTGCAGGATATCCGGAAGGTTGGCGACAGTCAGCGAGTAGATAAATGTGTCGATGAATAGAAATATGCTCGCCATGGCCCAGATTGTGTGCGGCGAGTGCCGTATTTTGCCCAGAAATGGCGCCCTATCCAGCAGGCCCTGCATCATGAGTATATAAAAAAACGGTTAGCTGTAAAAAAAAGGGAGCTAGAGAGGAGAGCGCACGACTATAGATGTCTCGTGTTAGTATTTTGCCAACACCAATGTGCTTTCAAATGCATTGGGGAAGAGTGTCAGCTAAGGAATCGATGCGAGGTGCGACGCAACGGGGACAACGGGGAGAGAGTCGGCTGTACTTGTAGTAGTGGCCAGAACCCCCAGTTGTCCAACAATATCCAGTTTTGACCGAGAAATTTGCGGCTGACCAAAAAAAAAAACTGTATGCTGCTGGGTCTTCTTTGAATGAGCAAAACACTTCAGCTGATACAGCCACGCATTCTCAGCAAGACTACCATGGCCATTGAGAACGTTCATGGCGGATATGCAATTTGCGTAGATGGAAGGCAGTTGGCATTTGGTGCAGTAAAGAGGCATATAGGGGTGTGTTGGGAACCTAGGAATTTTCCCTTGTACGTTGCTGCGTTGGAGAGGCTGGGCAGGAATGTTTCCTCCAAAAGTGGTGCAAACCAAAAAAAAAAAGGTTTTGCAGCGGAGCTGCTGACAGTACAGATGCCGCCATGCTACGAAACTCTTGGCGGCCAAGAGGGACCATACCACAGCAGTTTGTTCCCCGAGTTGTGGACCGCAGAGTTTCATGCTTGTGCCCTAATTGTAAATCACAAAATCCACCACGAAGACCTCAGCCGGTTTTCAGCCTACATGCTATGTTCCACTCCAGCTTTTTGTAATGCAGCTTTTTTTTTGCGCTTTTAGTAGTATTATTGCGAATTCCAAATGAGGCTTTCATCTGCCCTGTTCACACTGTCGCTCGGCCTCGCCGGTGTTTGGGCCAATACCGAGATTGTGCATTTTACATATCCTGTCTCGCACCAACAAACAGGCATGCTCATTGCTGACATGCAGGCAAAACTGCGCCCTAAAACCCTGACCAGTCCGCACGACGCTTTAGACATGGAGGTAATCGTGCCTGAGCAGAGCAGCAGAACAGACAAGGAAAAGTGGTACCTGCTCAGCAGCCTTGAAGGCGGGTCGTCATACGAGCTGCGGCTGTCATACGCGGCCACATCACCAACCGAGTACCAGGTGTCGGTGTTTAGTCTGGACGAAGTCGTCGCCATGTACAATCTTACACAGGCACAGGTGACCTCAGCAGGTAAAGTGCAGGGTGCAGCTATGCTGGCAAGGGTGACGGCAAGGCACGCAGGTGTGTCAGCCTATGCAGTGCCTGACTTGGATCTGACGCAGTTCAACATCGCCTTGGACAAACTTGTGCTGGGGGTGCCTGCGCAAGCATTCCGATTAGTACTGATAATACTGGTGGTGGTCCTGTTCAGCATCTTCTGGGCCGTGCCCAAAGCTGTATCTGCCATAGACACAATCGTAAATAACGAGCATTCGCTGGACAAAGCAAAGTCCAAGAAGGATTACTGATAATAAAGCAGGGCTCACAGCTATAATATTACAACCTCATTTCCTCTCTACAACAGTACGCATTGCTCGCTTGCACAGTCGCCAGAGCGGCTCTGCCATTATCAGCACCGAGCATACAATACAGAGCCCCGTGAGCAGGCCAGCCACGGTAGACCTGTATCCGATCCGGGTATACAGGGTTGTGGCGATGGGTGGAGCTATGGTTGATGCCAAGGCCCAGAATGCGTTGTATATGCCATATGACTGAGCCATCGAGTTTAGCCCAAGGCTGTTGACAAAGTCGCCAAAGCTGCTCATGACCGGGATATTAACAATCAGAATGACTATCGCCAGCCACGTGTTTGCGCCCAATACCATGGTGAATGTCGTGCAGAAGCCCATCAGCAGCACAGAGCTGCTTGTCAGAGCCAGGCCAGCCAGCACGATAAACGGCCGGATGCCTTCGCCGAACCGCCTCAGCATCCAGTCCACGGTCCAGCCCATGGGCACAGAAAGAACAATGGCAACACTGCCGTTGGATCACGAACAAGAGGCCAATTTGCGACGCCGACATGCCAAAACATCCTTCGAGTATATTGGCATAATGCTTTCGAGCGACCCTATCAGCATGCCCATGGATAGGGTGGTCAGGGATGCCGAAAGCACCTGCCATTGCATTATCAGCTTGCCCAACGACATTTCACGGCGGGGGCTGCTCGCCGGCTGCGATTTAATCACCGGGCCCTTCTCCGTCCAGCACCGTATCTTCTGGCTTTGTATCCTCGGCATTACCATTCCGTGCGACAATTTCCTTATGCAGCACCAGTGGCTCGCGCATTGCTAGCGCAACGACAACTGCCAGAACGGATCCGAACACGATGATGACTGCAGACACACCATGTACGCCTACGGAATCATACAGTGCGCCGCCCAAGACCGGCCCTACCGTGTATCCTATGCTGTTGAATGAGTTAAGCAGCGCCATCTGGAAGCCCAGCAGCTTGCTTGGATACACATCGCCGATGGTCGACATTCCAATCGGGTACAGAAATCCCGACGCCAGCCCGTTCAGCAGCCTATATGTGAGGACATGCCAGAGCTTGCTAGCGAAAAAACAGTATGACGCCGCTCAGGGCGTATCCTACCGCACCGATGATCATTGGGATCTTGCGGCTGCCGATTCTGTCGCTGGCAATGCCAGAGATTATGCTGGTGATGAAGGCGCCGAGGCCAAACATGGTGGATACTACGCCGACAATGGACTCGGAGGCCAATTTCATGTCCTCAAAGAGATGGGGCAGGCAAGCAATGGATATAGAGTACGAGAGGTTGTCGATTAGCAGGCCCAAGCAGGCAACACACATGACAGTGATGGGGGAGGACCGCACACTCCACAGTTTCGCCTCTAGTTTATCGACATATGATGGCATAGTTTGCTTAAAGGGCTGTACAAAATGAGGTTCAAACCAGAAGAGAGTTGGATGAGTGCCGAAACGAGGCATTTTTTCATTTTAACTACATTCACCGATGCCTGGCGCCGGGTTAGCTGCATCATGTTCCTTTCTAAATGGGAGCGTGTGGCTAGAGCATGCATGAAGAGAGTTTATCGTAGCAACCAGAGCAGTATATACTCATAATGCAAGGCTATGACGACTGAAATTCAGCACCGCACATACACAAAGGGAGTATTTTTCTGTTCTTAAATCTTGGGCTTCCTCGCCTTTGCCTGAAGCCGCATGAACACCTTCCTCACCGCCTCCTTGGCATCATCTGAGATCATGCACTTGTACAGCTCATCCATTTCGGCGTCGTTTGCCTTAACCAGCTCGTCAACAAACCGCTCGTTGCGGATCAGGCTGCGCGACACCCGGATTGCGCGCTGCGAATGCCCGGCCATCTCCTTGGCGACGCCCAGCGCAGTTTCCAGCAATGCCGACGGCTCGACAATCCGTGCAATGAACCCATGCTGGTGCATCTCAGCTGCAGACACAGTGCGGCCGAACAGGATCATATCGTTGGCGAGCATGGGGCCGAGGATGCGCGGGAAGGTCACTGAGCTGCAGCCCTCGGCGCAGAATGCGAGCTCGGCGAACGGGGTCCGGAAAATGGCCTTCTCGACCGAAATCACCAGGTCGCACAGGGCCAGCGTCGTGCATGCGTAGCCGACGGCCGGGCCGTTGACGGCGGCGATGATTGGGATCGGGCTGGTGATGATGAGCCGGGTCAGGTCGCGCGTCAGGTCGTTGCGCGCCTTGATTGACGCCAGCTCTTCGTCGCGCGTCCGGTATGTGGGGTTTGTGTTGAGGTCCTGGCCGGCAGAGTATGCGCGGCCGTTGCCGGTGATTACAAGGGCGCGCAGGGTGGGCGTGCTGTGGACGAACTGCATCACTTGGCGCCATTCGCGGTACGACTCGGGCGCCATTGCGTTCATGCTCTGGGGCCGGTTGAAGCGCATCAGCAGAACGCCTGGCGGGTGCAGCTCCAGCTGGACGACAGTAAGTGTGGGAAGCTCAATAGAGGCCGGCATTGTGAAAGCAGAGGCGTGGAGATAAAGACAAGAGGAGAGGGGCCAGCAAGGCTCACCTGGGGGCGTGCCACTGCAGCCTTTTATACATGGAATCACATGCCTGGTGCCGGCTCTGCATCAGGCAAAGAGCGGGAAGCGAGTGGATTGACTTCCGGCGCACGGCTAGCTCCGAACAGCAATCAAAGTCCGGGCACAGTCCAGGCAGCAGTCACGTGCGGCGATACAAGTGAAGAAAACAAATAAGCAAACGGTCTGGCGGAGGAAGAAATCGAGCCGATTGGCAAGTAAGCTAAAGGTTCTTTAATACCAAAAGATAATCAAGAGATGGCGGTCTTCTCAGTTGGCCTGACGCCTGGCGCGCACAGCCTCAGCAAGCTCCTGCAGCATGGGCACGGTCTGCTCCCAGCTGACGCAGGCATCGGTGATGCTCTGGCCGTACTTGAGGGCAGCGACGCCGCCGTTGGCCTCATCGGGGATGTTCTGGCGGCCCTCGGCGATGTTGCTCTCGATCATGACGCCGACGATGGCCTTGTTGCCGGCAGCGATCTGCTTGGCAATGTCGCTGCTGACCTTGGGCTGGTTGCGGTGGTCCTTGCTGGAGTTGCCGTGGCTGCAGTCAATCATGATGTTGTCGACCACGCCGGCCTTGGAGATCTGCTCCGAGATCTTGGCCACCCACTCGGCGCCAAAGTTGGGCCCGCTGTTGCCGCCGCGCAGGATGATGTGGCAGAGCGGGTTGCCGCGGGTCTTGGTGATTGCAGCCAGGCCCGACTTGGTCACGCCCAAAAAGTGGTGCGGGTGGCTGGCAGACCGGATGGCGTCGACGGCGATGGTCGCGTTGCCGTCGGTGCCGTTCTTGAAGCCCACGGGGAAGGACACGCCCGACGCCAGCTCGCGGTGCAGCTGCGACTCGGTCGTGCGCGCTCCAATGGCGCCCCACGAGAACAGATCCCCCAGGAACTGCGGCGAAATGGTGTCCAGCAGCTCGCAGCCGGCCGGCATGCCCATCTCGGTGATCTTGCACAGGAGGTCGCGTGCAGCATGCAGGCCCTTGTTGATGTTGAAGGTGTCGTTCAGATCCGGGTCGTTGATCAGGCCCTTCCAGCCCACGGTCGTCCGCGGCTTCTCAAAGTACACGCGCATGATGATGCACAGGTCGTCCTTGAGGGTGTCGGCCAGGACCTTCAGCTTCTCGCAGTACTCGATGGCAGCCTTCGGGTCGTGGATCGAACACGGGCCCACCACGACGATCAGGCGGTCGTCGCGGCGGCGCAGGATCTCCGACGCCTGCTTGCGGCCGGCGGCGATCACATCCTCGGAGGTCGCGCTCAGCGGGTGCTCCATCTGCAGGATGTTGGGCGGAATCAGCGGGTCGTAGCCCTCGATGCGCAGGTCGTCACCTGCCTTGTGGAATGCTGAGGAAGTCGATGCCATCTTTTTTTTTTTTTTAGTATATCTACAGAAGGTAAGAAAAAACAATGAGGTAGGGAGGACAGGTGTAGAGAAGAGAGAGGGCGGCGGTTGTTTTGGAATTGGCAGCGCTGTCTTTTAACTGTTTCAGATAGAAAAATTTTTTCGTAAGCATCCTAGAAATCGTCTGCCCAACCGAGGACGCTCGGCGAAACACGAAAATGGCAATGACTCAAGTGCGTCATTAGTAGCCATACGAGGAGGAGGGAAGATCTTTGCGCGAATTGGTCGATGAGATGCCGAACATTAGCCGCTGGCAAGTCAGTGGGTCCCTCCAGGGCTGGTTCTTGGATGGCATTGGCCTATTTCTTTGCCTTCTTGACAGCGCCACCTTTAGCCACCTGCTGGTTGCGTTTGCCAGTCGCAGCAGCAGGCCTGGGCTGGGGCTTCGATGTTTTGAAGAAGGCATCGAGACGGCCCTGGGCAGGCTTGCCGACATTCTTCATCAGCTTGGCGGCGCCCGAGCGCACGCGGTCCTCGCTGAACTCCTTTTCCTTGACCAGGAACTGCACCAGGCCCTCGACATCGGGCTTCTCCCAGACAAACGTCTGGTCGCAGTCGGAGACCTCGGGCGAGCGGAACAGCTCACGGGCCTGCTCGAACGGCCAGTGCTCGGGCACGGCCTTTGCGATTTTCTCGAGCTTGACGATTTCCTCAATGGACTTTAGGTCAGAAATATGCGTATAGGCGGACTTTGGGCCGACGCCGCGGATCGAGTCGCAGTAGTCGCAGCCAAGCAGAATGCCCATGTCGATGAGCTGGTCGATGGAGAAGTCGCCGAGCCCCTGCAGTACGTCCTCAAGATGGATCTCCTCGATCTCAACCAGGCGCCTGCCGTTGGCAGTCGAGGTATTGGTGGGCACGGTCAGATTGCGAATCAGCACGGGCGCGCCAAACAGCAGCGTGTCCATATCCTGCGATGCCGCCGCCCACACCTTGCCCTGCCTGGCCAGCGCCGCGCACTCGGCCTCGGCCTCGCATGGCGCAGTGACATAGGGCACGCCCATCAGCTTGAGGAGCCGGCGCGCCTCGTCGTTGATCTCGGGCGTCACCTTGGCCAGCCGCTTCGTGTGCTTGACGATCTCCTCGGCGTCGCCTTCCTCCTCGGCCTTTTTCAGGTCCGACTCGGCTTTTTCCCGCCGCTCCCGCCGCTTCGCCAGCTCGCCGCTCTTCATCGTCGGCGGCTTGCCGTCAAACACGTAGACGGGCTTCAGGCCGTTCTCCAGCATGTTGATTGTGCGGTAGAACAGGCCGATTAGGTGGCTCGTCACGTCGCCCTCGGATGTCGTCAGGTTCTGGCCCTGGCTGCGCACGGCCACCAGGAACTGGTACAGCGATGTCGACGCGTCTATGGCGACTTTGCGGCCCACCAGGCTCTTCATTGTGATACGGCGGATGGCCTTTGGCGCGTGGTCGCCCAGCACCTGCTTGAAGCCTTTGATTCCCATGGCGTAAAAAAAAGTAATGAAAATTCAAGTTGCGAGAAATGGAAGAAAAAAAAGGAAATGCGTGTATAAAAGAGGATCAAGAATGAGACAAAGTAAAATTACACCGACGCGTCTGATACGCGTGGGAGATCAAGGCACCCGGTGATCCACCAGGACACTGAGGATTTCACTCAATGTAGGCCGGGATGCCATAGACGACCGGCGCAGCGCCAGTCAAGAACGGCATACGGCAGGCCCCGCGCGCCTCGCTGACAGCCTCGGAAAGCGACATATTCCCGGGGGTCTTCGTGCCGCCCAGCACCCCGACCTGGCCCAGCCCCCACTTGGCCAGCAGGGATTTCGCAAAGCGATCAATGTCCTTGTCGCCGACATCCCACAGATTAGCCAGCAGCGCCGGACACCCAGCAACCATATAGTCCAGGGCAGTGCCAGCCGCATCGTACTCGCCCAGCGGGCGCAGGCGGCCGCTGCTGCACCCAAGCAATAGGGCCACTGAGCACTGCGGCAATGCGCGCAGCCGCGCCCGCGACACGTACTGCTCGCCGCCGCCGTGCCCGAAATACAGCACCGCCGATTCCGACGCCAGCGCTTGCGCAAGCTCGTGGTCCATCGGCGCCCGCCCAATGGCGCCCGTCCACGTGCTGCTCGCTCTGACGTACGCCTCAAAGTTCTGCTGCGTGCGGGCCAGATCGCCGGCTGGATTCAGCACATAGTAGACGTGCGAGCCATCGACCCGTACACCCGCCGGCGATCCAGCCAATAACGCCGGCTTCTCCCCTTTGAGCGTATCGAACAGCGGGCCTGCAAGCCTCGGCGGCGAGCGCTGCAGCTTGGACAGGCGCTGCTGCAGGAATGACAGCGACGGCACACGGGACACCGAATGACTGCGCAAACATGGCAGACTCTCCCAGGGAATCTGCTGCGCGTGCTTGTCTAGCACCAGAACCAAATGTCGCGGTGCCGCAGCATCCGTGGGCTGGTCATCCGTTGCCAGCGCCAGCTTCAGATCAGCAGCAAATCGGCTAATACCATCCTCGCTGCACATGCTACCCCCACGGTAGCAGAGCATGTCGAGCAGCATGGCACAGACATCCAGCCAGTCGTCGCTGTCAGCATCGCGCGCTGCATAGGCAACAAACCGGCACACATCATCGGCCAGAGCCACTCCATTGGTCATCGGCACGTGAGATTCAGCACACGCGCAGATCACCTTGCCTACAGCCTCAGGGTCCCCTACGGCAAAGGCGCCAATGGGCAGCAGCAGACTGCGGAACCCGCCTAGCCACTCGTCCTCGATACTGCGCAGCAGCGCGCCCAGCCGGCGATCAAGCTCAGTGCGCTGCTGCCACCACTGCAGCTTGTCGGCATCCGAGATACACTCATTGGCGACCCTCATGGTTTGGTCAGACTCGGCAATAATGGCAGCCATTTGTGCGTACGCATTGTCAAAGACAGTCCCGGATGGATCGTCCGATAGACCGGCGGGCAGGGCTCGCATAGGCAGGCACAGGACGGCGGGCGCACGACCACGCTCATACCGTGTCAGGAACAGGAGGTTGCGCGTGCGGTCTATCGACAACCCGCAGACCACCCAGGCATGCGGCAAAACATCGGCGATCTCCCGGGCGTCCTCGTGACCACCGGGCGGCTGCAGGATTTCAGTCGGCCACACAACAGGCCGCGGCGGGCACTCATCGTGATAGCGCACGGCGGCCTCGCGTGCCACGGTGATATTGCGGGCGTTGTCGAGAATCCGCGCCGCTGCAGTGGGAGAAGAGCTACGCATGCCCAGTGCATCGGCCACTACGCGCACCAGCACCAGCAAATGGCCGCTCTCATGCACGCTGTGCGCCGACCCCACGGCAATGGCTGCTGCCGACGCGCGCTCCAGCAGCTCATCCAGAGCTGCCAGTTCCTGGGCAATCGGCTCGCTTCGCAACTCAGCCATGGGCGTTGCACCGGCCAGAAACAGCGCCGAATCGAGCACCTGCGCAAGGCCCATTTCCGCCAGCGTCTTCTGCAGCCGGGCGAATTGCAGGCTGGCCAGCATCAGCAGGTGCTCCGGCTGCTGGTCGATGGTTCTTTCCACCGACATCTCCTCCGGAAGCCAGGCACCCGACAGCAGCTGCAGTCGCACGCGCACGTCGTCACGCATAACCGTCAGACCGTCGCCTGTGCTGGCTTCCAGCGCCTGCTCGTACGCCTGGCTTGCATGCTGGCAGTCGCCGCATCTCCGCCACGCATCGCCCAGCATCACTAGTGCCCGCACACCGTCAATGCCCAGAATCTCTCCCCCATCCTCGCTAGAGGCCAGCAGCTGCCTGCACTCCTCCCAGGCATGGCGACGCGACAATACGTCGATGCGCCGCACACCCAGCAGCCGCTTAGGCAGAGGCATAGAGATACGCGCGCAGATTTCCAGGCCTTTGCTGAGGAAATACTCGCACTCCTTGACGCTACCGCGCACCGAGAACAGACCAGAGACATACAGGGTACTCTCAACCAGCGCGCGCTGCAATGCCCAGCTATCGTTGAACTGCAGGAACGCAAGGTCGTCGGCGGGCGCCTTGGCCGGCGAGCTGAACGGATCGTCGTCGTCTTCCGGCGTCGCGTGCTGCTGCGCCAGCGTCCGCAGCAGACTGCACAGCACGCGGTATCCCTGCACGCCCAGTTCCACGGCGTCCGCCAGCCGGCCCTGCGAGAGCGCCAGCCGTGAGTATACCAGCGCCGCGCGTGCCAGCACCAGAAGCGTTGTGGGCCGCGCCTTCGGCTGCTGCTTCCCCTTTGTTTCCTGCAATTCATCGAACCGGGCCACTGCCTGGTCCCGCGCCGCTGCCAGCGCCAACGCAGCAGCCTCGGTTTCGCCACACGCAATGTGGAACTCGGCCACTGCCAGGTGAGCCGCAACCTCGATATGTGGCGGCAGCACGCCCGGGGCATAGCGCCCGGTAACCATCTGGAAGTGGCTCTCGGCCGCCTGCATGTCGCCCAGCAGCATGCGGCCGGTGCCCAGCCCTACCAGGCTTTCCATGGCGATGGGTGCAAACTCCGCGTCACTGCCCTCGCACGCAGTCGCCATTGCCAGCAGCACCTCCTGCACACTGCAGTACTTCGAGTGCAGGCGCCGTGCTAATAGCAGGTCGAGCACATGCTGGATCAGCCCAGACACCTGGCGCAGGAACCCTGGGTCCAGCGGACCGCTGGCAAGCTGCGCCCACAGCCGCACGCACTCATCCAGGTCTTTGCTCGCAGCCGCTCCCTGCTCGATCTGCATGACCGCCTGCCATGCAAGGCACTCAGCCCGCAGTCCCACCACATACATGCTCTCCTCGGGCTGCCGCTGCATTACCTCCTGCGCTGTCTGGAGCCGCTGGCTGCACTCGATGTCCCGCCCCTGGTCGCGGTCCATCGTGGCCAACGCAACCAGGCACCGCGCAGACGCCAAGGCACTACAGTTCTCGTACTCCGTAAGCGCATGCTCCAGGACCGCCCGCCGCGCTCCCTCCATGCCCACCGCCCGCCATAGATGCGCCTCTGCCTCGCGCATCCACGCATTCACCAGCCGCGGGTGCTCCGGCACCGCCATTGGCCTGGCCAGCTCATCGGGATCGCGCGCGAGCCGCCCAGCGCTCATCCGCACATACTGCTCGATGAACTGCACGAGCCGGGCCGCCGCCTCGCCCACGCAGGAGCTGGTCGGTGGCAGAACCACCGATGTCCCTGCCTCCTCAATCGCTAGCTCATCAGCGAACCGCCGAGCCGTCCATGCAACCGCCCGCGCCAGTGCCCCTGCCGCCTCCTCATACCTGCTGTCGGCCTGATACGCGGCCACCAGAACCTCGTAGCGCTTCCACAGCTGCTTAACCACATGGTCGTCACTGCCCTTGTCGAGCCACATGGCCAGGCTCTGAATTGCAAACTCCAGCGCACGCGCCGCCCCTGCATGCATCTTCTGCTGGTAATGCGCTGCTCCAGTGTTGAAGAACACGGTCGAGTGGCTGCGCAGGAACTCGCGGCTACAGAGCCGCTTCCCGCACAGCATCAGCAGAAGATCGCTGTGCCGCTGCAGAGCCGAGCCGTCCATATCGCCAAACTCCACCTGCAGCTGCAGCGACACCAGGTACGTCTCGGCGTGGCCATTGTGGACCGCCGCTGCATCTGCTCCTGCCTTGGCCAGTGCCCCACGCGAAACGTACGCCTGGTATGTGCGTCCGGCCACGTCCAGCACGTGGACCACATGTTGCGCCAGCCCTGCGTCCCCCGACGCCCGCACCGCCGCCACCACAGCCTTGGCCGCCCGCCGCACACCATCAGCACACGTCGCCAGGCTGTTCCACCCGTTCAGCGTATGCCGCGCCTTCCCGCCCACCGCATCGAACGCCAATTCTCGCACGTCATTGGCTACCTCAGCCACATGACTAGTCTCCCCAGTCTCTCTGAAGTGCATGGCCAGCACCTCAAACGACAGGAACGCCGCGACGAGTCTTGCCAGGGCAGAGCTGCCTGCTTGCCCGCCCACCACTAGCTGGCACGCATCAAGTGCTGCTGAAATCCCCGCTGTGTGCAGGAGAACAGCCGCCCGGTGCCGACTCAGCTCCACCAGCTCCGGCACCACCGGCAGTTTCGCCATATAGCTGGCCATCTCCGGCATCAGCGCCTGGTAGAACTCCACCACCAAGCCATCATTGGCCTTATGTCGGGTCGCCGCATTCACTGCGTGTCTCAGCAACACGCGCCCGTCGCATTTGTCCGTCATCGCATACGCCGTCAGCGCCAACACACGCACCTCCAAGGCATGCCCGCCGGTAGCCAGCGCCGAGTACGCCCGGAAGCAGATATCCAGCAATGCCTCTGAACCATCGCCCATACTCCACTCCAATGCGCTATCCTTACGTTGTGCCAGCGCCACCGTCGCCTGCTCTGCCATGTCCGGCTCCATTGCCAGCACCCGCAGCACATTGCACAGGAGCGTCGCCACCAGATTATTGAACATCGCCGTGCCATGGTACGACCTCGGGAACTGCACCATGTTGGCCTCGGGCGTCTTGATGCTCAGCCGCCGCAGACTGCGCGCCAGCCGCGAGCCTCTCCCGTCCTGTTCTGTCTCTGCATGCTCCTCCAGCATCTGCCGCAGCAATACCAGCCCCTGCCATGCCTGCCGCCCCAGCCGCGCGTTCACACATAGGCTTGTGAAGTTCCCCAGTGTCTTCTCCAGCGCCAACGCCTTGAATCCAGCCCTGCCCCTGTTTTCGTGCAAACACCGGAAACCCGCCACTGCTACACGCACTAGGCGCTCCACGCCATCTACTGTTTTATCTGCGCTCTTGTGTGCCTGCCGGATCTCCTCGGTTGCTTTGCTCAACAGCTGGTTGGTCTGGTTCACAAGCTTGAGTGCAAACTCTATGCTATTGTCTGCTGCTAGCCGATCAAGCGCCTGCTGCTCTACTGTATTTGTGCATTTACTGAAACTCTGTAGCGACTCTAGCAGCCTGTCGCGCATAATTACGAAAGCAAATGGGAAAGAAAAGAAATGCAACAATATCTCGAAAAAAAAAACCTGTGCATTTGTTTATTTTATAAAAAATCCACTGATCCCACGATGCGTCTCGCTGAATCGCCGAAATATCCTGAAATTCAGCCAAGGAAAATATGGCCTTGGTGCCATGTGACGTCAACTCTGCCCCATTTGAATCGCCCTTTCCAGCAAAAAAAGCCTATGGCACTGTCGCTCATTTCACCGCCCTCCCTAGTGGGCTTGCCCACATACTACCTGCGTTCATTTTTCTCGCCACCCGCAGCCGAGACACGCTGCCGCTGCATATTCCAGTGCTACTCCCCGGCTAATGCTCTGCGCAATATGCTGCAATTTCACTGGTGGTCAATTTATGCTGTGCAACCCACCTCCCTTACCAATACAAACCAAATAATGTCATTTGAACAAAAAACAAATATGCTAAACTCATATTGCCCTAGTTGCAGGTGCACACCGACGCGCACTGGCACCCGACTCCAGATCCCTGGCACTCGCAGTACTCGCTGTGCGAGGTCGCTGCCTGCCCACTGCTCGTCGATCTATACACTTCCTTGTAGATCTGGTTCGTCAGGTTATCCTGAGCTCCAGAGCTTTTCGCTGTCTGCTGCTGCTGTTGCTGCTGCTGCTGCTGTTGCTGCACTGCCGGCTTGCTAACCAGCGGTGCCTGAGGAGTCTGTACGGCGTTCATTTTTGGTGGAAGAAATACTTGAAGGCTGATTTATATAAAAGAGTTGGCTTTTTGGATGGAGGATGAAGAACGAAAGGGAGAAACCCAGGCGTCCTCTTCCTTTTATATCTGCTTGGCTTGGCTCCCTTTTTACTCGCTTCAATCCGATAAACGCTGTGCATCATCGATACGGGGAATTTCGGGCACACACGGCATGCTACGGGACGAATGAATAGACCAGCTGGCGGCAGTAAAAAAAACAGGCGCGCACACGCCAGCCTGCAAATTACGCATTTTTCGCTGCCATTGTTGTGTTCTTGGGTCATGTGAAAGCGCAAATCCGCCCACCACAAAGGCTATGGCCGTTCTTCCGAAACACAAACCCCCTGGGTGCCCCGTAGTCTCTCTACGTAATGCATTATCTGTCCCGGTCACGCACACCAGAGGCGCTTCCTATCTCACGCCCGCTACTGCTACGCCTGGATTGTTCTTTGCACACGTCCCACTCACTACACCAAAAGTGCACTTGCATTCAAGCCATGCGCCGCTGTCCCGGCTATTTCTTCCAACTAGCAAGAAAAAGCGTCTCTTGCCGGTTCAGAGGCCTCTGGCTTCCTGCAGTCTCTGCACAAGCGTGTGCCATTCCTTGCCGATTGGCCGACACATGCCTGCAGATGTGCAGCTGCATATCATGCAAGTCTCCACCCCCATGTATGCTGCCCATGTTCTGGGATTTGCAATGCAAAGGAAGTGTTGTGTTCATTCTGAGCCCCCGACCACCCCTGTCATCCTGATAAGGAATGCCAGCTACTGAATCCTATCGTTTTGCAACTCGATATTTTTTGACTCCACATGTAAAGTCTAGCCGCATTTTACGGCGATGTTGCCAAATCATGCCAAAGTGAGCCACCAGTAGTCAGTGAATCCTCAAGTGGCCACATTAGGACCTGGCAAGTTGACAATCTGGCCTCACTATATACCCTTTAGAGAGAGGACCACTGATAAATGACCATGTTGCATTATGCCGCCAGCGCATATTTGCAAATGTACCACCATTCATGCGCATGATTATAAATTCGCACTGTCAAATGTATCCTCTGCTAGCTATTGCAACAGACAGATTACTAACTTTATGTCAGTGTTAATGTACAGCAATAGAAAGTACACTATCCAAGTGATTTGGGAATCATTTAACAAGATACACTCGCAGTAACACCACGCCCTCAACGTTCATGCCAGCATCTTTTTAGTGTAGTTGTGCTACCAGTATTCTGTCATGAAGATAAAAATAAATACAATTGTCTAATATAAATGTGATCAGTGATGCAGTGGTAATAGCTCCTCTATGCCCTCTGGGTCCACACGCTTGCGCCACTGGATGTTCGGAGGCATAGATGGCCCGCACAGTATGGCAGCCCAGTTGCTCAGACACGAACCACGGGAGTAAGGGCTTATGGCCTTCGCCAGAAGCACATTCTTCTTTAGCCTCGCGTCGGGCTTGTCGTCAAATCTGTCAGAGTGCTTGGCCTTAATAACCTCGTGTGTGGTTAAATTGCGGCTGATCATGATAGTGTGGTAGACGAACAGGCCAGAAGGCGGCAGCACAAGCAAGACAGCGTAAATGACCAAGGCCAGAACCACAGGGTGGCGCGAAATCATGTCCTTGAGCGACAGATCGCCGCCGAATCCGCCAGGCTGGTTGCTGAGCGGCACCAACAGCCGGGCTAGGCTGAGCGATGCGATGTAAAGAGCCAAGACGACAGTCGAGCCCACAAACGTGTAGAAATAGCGGTAGTTGCGGCGGCCAACACAGTTGTTTAACCAAATGCAGTGGTGGTCCTCGTTCTCAACGCAATTGTCGCAATATTTACAGTGCGAGGCACGTGGTGGGCGGAAGATTCTGCACGTCTCACAGTACTTTAGCCGTACGACAGTGTCGTTGATTCGGATTTCTTTTGTAATGGGCGGGAACCGGTGCGACGGGTCAGACATCGATCTGTGCCCGCGGGTGAGCGGCTTTGGGTCATAAACACTGAGCGGCGCACCACGGCCTCCAGGAGCCTTCACAGGGACCCAGGGAGGCGGCAGTTTTTCATAGTACTGCATAGACGGCAGCTGAGATTCAGCGAACAATGGGCTCCGGCTGCTGCTAGACCACTCATCGCTGGTCCCTTTGGGGGATTCGACAATTTGCACCTCCCCTGAGAATATGCCCTGTTCAGGGTTCTTTGGAAGTGTCATTGTGCTGCCACTTGTGCCGATGCTGTCTGCTGATATGGCGTCTAAATTTCGCGGGATGATTCCAGGGTCGGATAACGATGCCATCATCATGGACGACAGTACCAGTGCAGTAATATACGCAAACACCACGACCGCAGCTTTGTGCATGTCTGTCCACAGATACGGACATACGAATATCGCAAATAGGACAACTGGGACGGCAATCATGCACACTGCTGCTATGAACGGAACAGGCTTGTTTCCAGTCACCAGCCGCCCACGGAACAGGTGCCAGTTTTCGTGTTCGTACAGCCTGTACATGCGCTCCTTGCGCCGGAGCCCATCACTGGTGAACCGCTCTGGATGCGCCATGAGCGTCTTCTCATCAATAGGCTCATACAGGCCAATGGGCGCTGGTTTGCGGGGATCGAGCTCTCGTCCTGCCGGATTTTCTGGCGACTGTGACGGTCTGTCTGGGTTTACAGACATACGCAGCACGACGTTCCGGGGCGAGCCCAGCGGCTGTATGCTGGACCCTTTGTTTCTGATACCATTTGTATCTGCCATTAGCGCAAATGTCTAATTACTGGTGCCGGCACGTATCGGTCAGAGGTGAAGCGGAGTTCCTTTTATCGCCTTTGTGAATAATTGTTGCTACTGTTAAACCAAGATGAAGGGAGCAAATTGTTGTAGGTGAATTGAAAAAGCAAAGCAGAAGCAGGCGGGGCAGGGATTCTGGGCGACTCTTGTCTACATGGGTGATTGTTTTTTGTTGTCGAAATAGTGCATTTTCTCCTCGCTATTGCAGGCCAGCATCAGGTCTCGCTTGCTACCGGTTCTGTGTCGATCCCTGCAAAGAGCCTCCTGGTTGAATCCGCATGGCCCAAATTGCAGAGCCACGGGCTTCCTATGGTCGGACCCTCGCCAGCGATGCTAGTATGCGTCGCTTTGGCAACAGATGCGACCAAGAGTTGATGCAGATGCTTCACGCTAGGTGGCGTGTTATGTAGTATCGGCACGATGCCACGCTTCCTTCATGGGTAACATGGTTGGAGAGTAGGGCTGACTTGAGCCCACCTGTCGCAATACCGGTGAGGTGTATCGCATTTGCAGTGTGAATAACTTCTAGACAAGTCGGCTATTGCTGCAAGCACGACAGCCAGGACAATTTGGGTAATTATTGACTGCCGCCGAACAATACTTTTTTAACCTGAAGAAAGCAAACCAGCGCTGGCTCAACAATTGAGCATGCTGTGCTGCTCACCTTTTCAATAGGTGTAGCAGCTGTTGAAATGTAGATGGGTGCAACTAGACGCCAATGAAGGAAGCCATATGTACGCAATCCTCTTTAGTACTACCTGATCAAGGAATGAGGCTGTACATGAACATAATGTAGTGAAGTCTTGTACCACTGAGGACTGGATACTTGGCACGGCACATAGAAATACCATGCGTAGTCCTGCGGATATGGTATGGGGCTATTCGTTCCATTGCGGAGCATGGCTGAGGGAATGCGCCCTACTCTCTGGTTGTCAAATGCACTGGCGGCACAAGGTGCTCGTCATGGGAATCCGTGGGCAGCATAGCTGTTGACATTCGGGCAACTCTATGCCCTCCGCCACCATGTGCAGATCCAAATCCCCACCTGTATAAACTTTGTGGGCCGGAACGGCCCCATCCTCCTTTTTCTCCTCAGCAAATTTTCCATTTTATTCATTCCATAAAGCTCATAACTACTGGACTCTCTGAAGGTTAACATTTTTTTCCAGTGAAACTATAACCCTATGGATCGCAACGAGGAGAACTACCCAAGCAGTATGCGCTACGAAGCTGTGCAAGAGCTCATTGGTGAGCTTACCCAACATCTTAAGACACTGGATGACCGCAAGGTCGACCTGACCATCAGGGCATCAAGACTAGTCCTCAAAGACCCCAAGAGCCAAGAGCGTCACCAGGTACGCCGAGAACTCAACGACATTGACGAGCAACACACCGAAATGCAAGCTCAGCTAGAGGAGCTCAAACAGTGTGCCGAGGTCACAAGCAATGTACCACATAAGTCGGACCCGCCCACAGAAGCAACCAGCTCCAAGCAAGTTGAGATACCCTCTGTGGAACTCAGCGAGATTCCCGAATGGCAGCCCCACATACGCCAACGCAATGAAGACAACAAGGACCAAATCCGGGTTCCACGTGATCTACCCAAGTATGCCACCAACAAGGAGGATTGCGATGACATTGAGACATTCCTGGACAAGTTCCAAACTGAACTGTACTCACACTGCCTCGACCCCGAATATCATTGGACACGGCTCCTACCGAGATGTCTCACTCCGGAAGATGAGAAATGGCTGCGCACTCATGTCCCGGCCACTCTGGATTGGAGGCATGTTCGGGAGATCGTCATGGAGCACTTCGATGGAGAAGAAGTCCAACGCCGAGCCACGACCGAGCTCTTCAAGTGTGCTCCCAGAGCCAACGAATCAGCCACCGAGTTTGCATACCGATTCCGTAAGACAGCGCTGAGGGCTGGCAATGCCGATGATAATAAGTCAATGGTGGCTCAGCTTGTACAGCAGATTCCCATTGGGGTGCGCAGCATTCTGGAAGCATGGATGCATCAACGGAGGAAGCCTTGCAGCATGATCGACATTGCCCACCAGCTAAAGAAGATCAGCCTTGCCGACCACCCAACACCACTGTCCGCAGCAGCCTCGGCATCTGGCCCCCCAAAGAAGAAGCCTCGCCCTCCAGCTAGCTACTGTGCCTACCACAACCAGTATGGACATGACACTGTCGACTGCATCGCAAAGCAGAGGAGGGACCAGATGGCCTCATCAGAAACCACGGATAAGGACCAGGGCCAGAGAGCAGGCAACATGAAGGAGATCCGGATAAAGTCTAAGGGGACTGATCCCACCTGCTTCTCCTGTGGCGAGATTGGTCACATCTCCACTGACTGTCCGAACAAGCCTACTAAGGCTCGCCGCATTATCGCACGTCAATTGCAGGAGGATGAGCGCATCTTTAGCATCATGGCCAATGGACTCCAAGTGTCAGCATTTGTGGATACGGGTGCAGATGTCTCGGTGATCTCCCTAGAACTCGTGGAAGAGCTTCAGGTCCAGGTACAGACTACCATGGCCAAACCGCAGACAGCTAACCCAGGTGAGCTCCTCAAGATTATCGGCCAGGCCGAAATCTCGCTCTCCACCAAGTCCCACTCAGTCACGGCAACCCTGCTAGTGGCACCGACCATGGACACCACTGCAATCATACTGGGCTACCCCGAGATTAAGAGTCTGAATATCAATATATCGACTCACCAGTATTTCTACCCTGACGATGTGGTATCTAGCCACGACCAGGACGTAGACCAAGAGGTTCCCTGCATCACCTCCGAGATGTCAGGCGCAGTCCCTGCCACATCTCAAAAGCAGTTTGATGAGTACATTCGTAAGGCACTGCAGGACAATCGTAAGATAGATCCTCGCAAAACCCTGTACCCTCCCTGAGGCATATGTTCACATCGACACCAAGGAACACAAGCCAGTCTTTCGTCGCCAATATCCCATTGCCCAATCGATGCGGGCATCATATGACAAGGTCATACAGGGGTGACTTGATGATGGCTCGGTAGTGCCAGTGAGGAAGGCTTCACTGTACAACTCACCAATGTTCCCAGTCCCCAAAAAAGACGCCAACGGCCACTACACTCTGTGTAGACCATGCATGGACTTCCGTGCCCTCAACGACACTGTAGACGAAGACAGATACCCACTGCCCATCATCCGGGACATCTTCGCAGGATTAACAGCTGCCAACTTCTTCACGTCATTAGACCTGAAGTCAGCCTATCTGCGCATGCCAGTTGTTGAACGTGATCAACACAAAACGGCTTTCACCTGGAGAAACTGCCAGTACATGTTCACACGTGCTCCGTTTGGGTTGAAGACTCTACCGTCGCACTTCCAACGTCTCATCACTACCATCCTATATGACATGCCCTTCGCACAGGCCTATATTGACGATATCATCATATCCAGCACCACACTGGAGGATCATATGAGACATGTATGCGCGGTTGTTGAACGCCCTGAACAAAGCAGCACTCATATTGAACATTGACAAATGCCATTTCTGCAGAACATCACTCACGCTGTTAGGATTCCAAATCAATGGACACGGTCACACGGTAGACACCAAACGACGGGCCCAGATTGCTGATCTTGTAAGACCACAATGTGGCAAACAGGCACAAGCCCTGATGGGCTTCCTCAACTACTTTCGTGAACATGTACCAAACATGAGCACATTGACCTCACCGCTAAATCAGCTTGCCCAAATGACGACGATCCGTACAGAAGATTGGACAGAAACTCGTGTTGCAGCCTTCAATGCTGTCAAAGCCATTTTACTAAACCCACCATTCCTGTACTTCCCTGACTTTTCTAGGCCATTCTTTGTCGCCACTGATGCTTCGGACGTAGGGATCGGTGCTGGTCTTTACCAGGTCAACCCACGAAATGGGGCCAAACAATACATCTCGTGGCAAGCGCGCACCCTATCAACCTCGGAACGCAACTACTCCGCTACCAAACGTGAGCTACTAGCCATAGTATTCGCACTCACACGCTTCTACCCCTACATCTGGGGTCGTCACTTCACGTTATTCTCAGATCATAAGGCGCTCACCTTCCTACACACACAGCCACGCCTGTCACCGATGATGATTGGCTGGTATGAGCAGATTTTTGCTCCACGACTTCCAAATAGTTCACCGCCCAGGTCTCCGCAATATTCTGCCTGACAGCCTCTCACGACTATACCCACCATCTGATACTGGAAGGGGGGGAACCAGTACTAGTCAACCCTTGCAACGCACTACTCTCACCATACGCCGCCTACCATTGGCTACCCACAGTTCTGAGGAAGATACGCCAAAGGCACTACGGCAAGAGCTGCTGGCCAAGCAACATGCCATCGGGCACTATGGTGCAGAATCAATGGTACGCACACTGCGTGATAATGGTTACCAGTGGCCGAAGATGCTAGAGGATGCCAAAGGCATAACTAGCAGGTGCATGCAATGCCTACGATATAACATATCTAGGCGTGGATACCACCCCATCACGCCGATACTTGCCAGCACACCCTTCGACCATATCTCAATTGATCTTGCTGGGCCATTCACCACATCTGTCCAGCAGAACCATTTCCTATTCGTGCTGACTGATATACATTCACGCTTCGTCATCCTCCGACCCTTACCTGACAAAACTGCATCGGCAGTGGCAAAGGTCTTAATCAAGATCTTCTTTGATTTTGGTTTTCCACGCATCGTACAGAGCGATAACGGACGGGAATTCGTTAATGAGGTCATGACAGCCATGTTGAGAGAATCACATGTGGATCACCGCCTAATCACGCCCTACCATCCACAGGCAAATGGCACTGCTGAACGGACAGTCCAGACGGCTAAACTAATGATCATGAAGTTGGTCAAAGGCGTATACCACGACTGGGATCTGTTCATTCCTTTTGCGCAATACTGCATCAACTGTAACATTGTGCGCCGTCACCGCACTGCCCCATTCGCAGTAATGTTTGGTCGAGCACCCAACACATGGGAGGACCACACTGCTGTCTCAGCTGGCCCCCTCGATGATGAAGTACAGGAAGAACGAAGACGATTCATGGAGGACACGCTATTCCCGGCTATTGAGCGCGCAACGGTCAAGGTATCAGAGGCCTATCGGTTACAGCACAGTGCTAAGCACAAGACCAATAGCATCCCTATTGACACGTACGTCATGACCAGGCAGCATAATCGCTCAAGTAAGCGTGATCCAGCGAATCAAGGCCCGTACCTGATCACAGCCATCACGAAAGGTGGCAGCTATGTTCTACGAGACATGGAGGGTCAACAGCTTGCACGAAACTATACCAGATCGGAGCTAATACCTATCTCTGACAGACCGATATTCCAAGAAGCTTCCCTCGAAGTCGAGAGGATCCTGGGCCACAGACTCAACAAGGCCAGGGAGTATGAGTACCACGTTCGTTGGGCAGACGAAGATGAGAAAGACTCCTGGGAACCATTCAGCAACTTCGACAGCACTGACGTCATCCAGAAATACTGGCAGGAACATAACAAAGCACAGAAGGAAACCAAGGAAGCCCGCCAGAAGAGGACGACCCAGCAGAAGAGACCTTATAAGCTCAGATCTAGGAGGGGGTGATGTTGACATTCGGGCAACTCTATGCCCTCCGCCACCATGTGCAGATCCAAATCCCCACCTGTATAAACTTTGTGGGCCGGAACGGCCCCATCCTCCTTTTTCTCCTCAGCAAATTTTCCATTTTATTCATTCCATAAAGCTCATAACTACTGGACTCTCTGAAGGTTAACAATAGCTATGGCCCATGATAAAAGCATCCACAAGGAGCCTAGTCTTGTTGAAGCCGTGCTTCTCTTATTCTCCAGCACTTTTAACAGAATGGCGAGTAGCAGCACGCTCAACTTCACCCAACTGGACACAGTTGCCGCGGCGTTAGATGCGCTGAGATTGCTTGGCTTTATATATCGAATTCTCGATTCCATACCTTTAGGCTTGTTCGCTTGGTTCCATGATGAACAGGACTGAGATTGCCAGTCTACTCAAGTACTGTGAGAGTAGCCTCAGTGAAAATGGTTTTGTTGCCTTCATTGATCTCTCCCGTCGGGCGATAATAAAATCAATTACTATTACTGGAACAGCCAGGGCACATTACGCACTCGGAGCGCTGATGAAGCCTGTTCACGAGAATATCAAGGAGAAGCTAACCAGGAAGTCGTATCGGACCGAACAGGAGAAAAATTACGAGTTCATCGCTAAGCGCGGTCATGAGTACGCGTATCAGGTATATGGTGATCAAAAGGACCGGCTGCTCGATGAGACTAGCGCTATGAGTGCTGAAATAGCAGATGTATTCGCTGTTGATACGTATGGTCGCTTTATCAGCAGTAAGAATATTCTGCCGATGATGGAAACTGAGTTGTGCCTCATTACTACAGCCGTCACGATCCAGGGTGAGCAATACGCCATGATTCACATGAACGCAGCAGCAGTCTACGGTGCTAGCAAGGAAGCGATTGATGCAGCGTCCACAATTGGCAACATAGCGTTTAAGTCAGCTAGCCTATAACCCCTCCAGTCTTTTAACTACCGTCTTTATTGCTTTATTTCTGTATAAAACCTTATAGTCCAAAGGTGTTAGGCTGTCCGCTGGAGCCCTCTTAATTGGTTGAAAAATCCGAGCACTTGAGCCTCAAAGCGAGTATGCGCGACTCGCTCTGTGAACTCATAAAGCAGTATTCTTTTATGGCCGATAGATTCAGTTCACAAGATTTCAAATATGCCTTAAAAGCACTTGAAAAAGCCAGCCCAGAACCATATATTAAAGCGCTATAAATCTTTATGAGCACTTGTTGAAGGAGGCCATGTAGCTTGCTCAGCGGTCAAGCAATGTTTGTGGATTTATTGTACAAATTAATTGGTTTCATACATATGTGTAAGCAGTAGCATTTGGACCACAATAGAGCCAGTCTGTATAAGCTGATTCGAGAGACTATCAATTCTAATGGCCCTAAGAACTATACAAACTAGTTAACTTTTTTTTTTTTACTTTTGCTCAATTTTAATTTACTTCATATACATGTTTTTTCTATCTTTCTACTTTATTGAATCTCTTAAATGAATACTACCTATATTACTAGTATTATAAAGACATTACTTAGTAGTATTAGCTTCTGTGATTCTATGTTGCCCTACCTAGAGCAATTTATATATAGTACTAGTGCCATTGAAGAGCATATATAAATTATTGCACAATGGATATTACTCTTGTTAGCCTGGGGAATGAGTGGTTACAGAATATATGGAAAATAATGACTTCTCAAAAATTGACTGAGGGGAAGAAGGAAGGCTGGTCGTCTATCTGGGCCTTTGTACGTATGCGTTTCAGTCTTGTCTATGGTGGCGCAGGGGGACTCCGGACCCCGAATGTCAACATCACCCCCTCCTAGACTTTGGCCTGCCACGCCCCCGTTTTGGTGCACTCTTGGCCTGCTGTCTCTCATCCAGTTTCTGCCAGTACTCCCGAATGAGCCTGGGGCTATCGAAGTTCTCAAACGGCTCCCACGAGTCGGCTTCTGAGCTGCTTTTCCATCGCACTCGGTACTCGTGGTCACCGGTCTTGTTGACTCGGTGGCCGAGAATCTTGTCCACTTCTAGAGATGCCTCTTCAAACAGGGGTTCGTCTGAGATGGGGTGGAGTTCCGATACGGTGTAGTTCCGAGCCAGCTGTTGTCCCTCCATATCTTTGAGCACGTAGCTTCCGCCTCGAGTGATTGCTGTCACCAGGTAGGGACCTTCGTTTGCCGGATCTAATTTGCTGGCTCTGTTGTGCTGGATCGTCATCACATAGGTGCCCACCGGTATGTACATGATCTTATGCGTTTTGGCATGTTGCTGTACGTATGCCTCAGCTACCTTCTTCGTGGCATTCTCGATCGCAGGGAATAGAACGTTCTTCATGAAATCCGCCCGTTGTTGCTGTCTTCTGGCGCTTGCGGGTGCTGCTACGGCTTCAGAGTGATCTTCCCAGCTATTCGGTGCTCGTCCAAACATGACTGCAAAAGGTGCCGATTGGTGACGTCGCACGATGTTGCAGTTGATACAATACTGTGCAAACGGCAGGAATAAATCCCACTGATTCATCACACCATTGACCAATTTCATGATCATGAGTCTTGCAGTGCGCACTGCCCGCTCGGCTGCTCCATTGCCCTGTGGATGATATGGCGTGATCAGTCGTTGGTCAATGCGTGTCTCTCTGACCAGTGTGGCAACAACCTCATTGACGAACTCGTGGCCGTTGTCGTGCTGGATGATGCGAGGGAACCCGAAGTCAAAGAATATCTGTATCAGGGTTTTGGCGACGGCAGAGGCTGATTTGTCGGGTAAGCTGCGCAGGATCACAAACCTAGAGTGAATGTCAATGAGTATGAATAGGTAGTGCTGCTGTTGGGTGGATGTCGTCATTGGCCCAGCCAAGTCGATGGCTATGTGGTCGAATGGGGCGCTAGCTAGGATTGGCGTGACTGGGTGAAAGCCGCGGCGTGGGATGTTGTATCTCTGACACTGTATACAGCGCTGCGTGGTTCGCTTCGCATCCTCAAGCATCTTGGGCCATCTGAAACCATTCTCGTGTAGGGATCGAACCATTGCTTCTGCGCCGTAGTGCCCGATGGCATGCTGCTTGGCCAGTAATCCTTGGCGGAGTTCTTCTGGTGTCTCCTCCTGTAGGTCGTGGTTGGCTAGTGGTAGGCGGCGAATGATGAGCGAGGTGTGGAGGTGTGGTCGAGAGTCACTGAATCCCCCCCTCCCAGCCTCAGACTGCGGGTAGAGGCGGGATAAGGAGTCGGGTAGGGTGTTCAGGATGCCAGGTCGGTGCACAACCTCAAAGGAGTGTGCGAAAATGTGGTCGTACCAGCCGACCATCATTGGCGATAAATGCGGCTGGGTGTGTAGGTACGTCAGCGCCTTATGGTCGGTGAAAAGTGTGAAATGGCGACCCCAGATGTATGGGTAAAAGCGCTTGAGTGCAAAGACAATTGCCAGTAGCTCTCTCTTTGTTGTGGAGTAGTTTCTTTCGGCAGCTGTGAGCATGCGTGCTTGCCAAGATATGTATTGTTTTTGTCCATTCCGCTGATCTACCTGATACAGACATGCACCAATGCCCACATCTGAGGCATCAGTGGCTATGAAGAATGGTCGTGTCCAATCAGGGAAGTGCAAGAATGGTGGGTCCTGCAGCAGAGATTTGACAGCCTGGAAGGCCCTTGCACGTGCGGCTGTCCAGTCTTCCTTTCGGATTTCCTGGAACTGCGACAACTGGTTCAGAGGCGCCGTAAGCGTGCTCATATTCGGAACATGCTCACGGAAGTAGTTCAGGAAGCCCATAAGGGCCTGTGCCTGCTTGCCGGTATGTGGCCTTTGCAGGTCTGCTACTTGTGCTCTTCGCTTTGTGTCCAGCGTGTGACCGTGTGCGCTGATTTTAAACCCCAACAATGTGAGGGATTTCTTACAAAATTGGCATTTGTCTATGTTCAGTATCAACATGGCCTCGTTGAGTCTCCTTATCACCTCCTTCACATGTCTCATATGTTTCTCGAGTGTATCGCTATACACCACGATGTCATCTATATATGCCTGTGCATATGGCAGGTTATATAGGATAGTTACTATGAGCCTTTGGAAGTGTGAGGGCAGAGTCTTCAAACCAAATGGCGCACGTGTGAACATGTACTGGCAGTGGTGCCAAGTAAAAGCCAATTTGTGCTGGTGTTGTGGTGCTACAGGCATACGCAAGTAGGCTGACTTTAAGTCGAGTGACGTAAAGTATCTTGCAGACCCTATGTCTGCGAATATGTCCCGGATGATGGGGAGTGGGTACTTATCTTCCTCGATTGTGTCATTTAGGGCACGAAAGTCCATGCAGGGCCTGCACAAAGTGAGGTACCCATTGGCATCTTTCTTCGGGACCGGAAACATGGGAGAGTTGTACAGCGATGCCTTACGCACTGGTACTACTACACCTTCATCGATCCATCCTTGTATGACTGTATCGTAGGAGTTTCTCATTGCATGTGCAATGGGATATTGGCGTTGGTACGTGGGTTTGTGATCACCAGTATGTACCGTAACATACACTTCCAGTAGTGGGCATAGAGAACGTGGGTCAATCTTGCGGTTCTCCCACAGAACACTGGCAATATAGTCCTGGTATTCTTTCTGAGCATTGACAGGAACATCATCTGCAGTCTCAGTTGTGATTACCGTAGTTTCATCAGTATCATTTACATGTTCATCGGTCATCAGGGTGTCCGGATAGTAGCAATGATGTGATGTTATATTGACGTTGAGGCTCTTGATATCAGGATACCCCAGAATGATGCCAGCTGACTCAATGGTCGGCGCTATCAGTAGTGTTGTCTTGATCAGGTGAGATGTGGTGCTGAGGGTGATTTCAGTCTGCCCTACAATGTGCAGTGGCTCGCCAGGATTGGCTGTCTGCGGTTTCATCTTGGCAGGCTGAACCTCAACTTGGAGCTCATTGACCAGTTCCTGGGAGATCACCGAAATATCTGCACCTGTGTCAACAAATGCAGATGCCTGCATGCCATTGGCTTTCAGCACGATAATTCTCTCATCATTTTGCTGGTACCGCATGGCTATGCGCTTGGCCTTTGCTATCCTATGTGGGCATTCGGTAGACAGGTGTCCCAATTCTCCACATGAATAGCAGGTGACTCCTGATCCTCCAGGTTTGGCTGAGTTCTTCGAGTCCTCTTTGTCAGACTCAGCTTCAGGGGATAGCTCCCTGGCTCGTGGCTCGGGTGACTGGCGGCGCTCCCTCTTGGTCTGTCGGCATTCCTTGGTGGAGTGGTTACCTTCGCCATGGTACTTGCAGGTCTTGGTGCGTGGTCTCTTCCTTGTCAGCTCAGCTGGCTCTGTGTCTGGCTTGTCAGCAATGCTTATCTTACGGAGCTGCTGCTCAATGGCCGCAAGCGTGATGGCCCCATGCTGCTGCTGCTGCCATGCTGACAGTACGCAACTGACATCCCGTGGTAGCAGATTGAAGAGTTGGTTGATTACCAGACTATCATTGTCCATTGCACCGGCTCTGAGAACAATGTTGCGGTACCGGGAGACAAATGCTGATGGTGACTCGTTGGGGCAGGTCTTGCACCGAAATAGCTCCATGGTGAACTGGCGATGGATTTTCTCCCCAGCAAAATGGTGAACAATGCTGGTGCGTGCCTGCCTCCAGTTAAGGCTTGGCGAAACATGGCTCCTCAGCCACTTGTCATCTTCTATCGCAAAGCAGACTGGCAACAGGCGTGTCCAATGGTTATCGAGGGGTAGGCCATAGGCGCCAAGTTCACGCTGAAACTTGTCCAGGAAAGTCTCGATGTCGTCGCCTTCCTCATCGTCGTTGGTGTACCTGGGCAAGTGGCATGGTACTGTAAGCTGGTCCTTGTTTTTGCTCGTTGCAGTGGCATATATGCGGGTGCCATTCCTCGATGCCACTGCCGTCGGCCATTGGCCCACTTGCCTCAGTTGGGGTCGTTGCTTCCGTGAGTGGTGTGTGAGCAGGTAGTGCAGCATTCGCAGTTTGCTCACGGAACTTGACTCGGTCCAGCTGGGTTCTGGCATTGCCAAGTTGTTTCTCAACCTCGGCAAGCCCTTGCTCAGCCTGCTGGAGTTTGCTGTCTTCGGCCTCGTCTAGCGTGAGGTCCGTTAGCCTTATCATGATATCGGTCTTGCGATCCTCAAGCATTGCAATATGCTTGGTGAGTTTAATGGTCAGCTCATGCAGTTGCTCTTGGCGCAGGTTGCTAGCCGGTCCTCCGGCTTTTCCCTCAGTTGTATCGTTACGGTCCATACTGAAAGGTTTCACTCAAAAAAAATGTTAGCCTGGGGAATGAGTGGTTACAGAATATATGGAAAATAATGACTTCTCAAAAATTGACTGAGGGGAAGAAGGAAGGCTGGTCGTCTATCTGGGCCTTTGTACGTATGCGTTTCAGTCTTGTCTATGGTGGCGCAGGGGGACTCCGGACCCCGAATGTCAACAACTCTATTAACTAGCTGATGATGATGCCTTTGACCCTGCAACATTTGTAAAAAAGGGATTCTTTTATTCTATTTATTTATTCATTTATCACAATCTGAAGGCAAAGATGACCATATCTGCCAAGGATTTCGTCAACTGGAAGGATAAGTCAGAACTATCAAATATAGAGTTTGGTGATATAAATAGATATTATATTTATAATGATCTATTTCATTACTGAAATCTGCATTTGATAGTTTTGAGTTATCCTTCTAGTTGATAAAAGCTTTAGTAGATATGGTTGTCTTTGCCTTCAGATTATGGTGGATAAATAAATAAATAGAACAAAACCCCCTTTTTCATGAATATTGTAGGGTCAAAGGCATCATTGTCAGCTAGTTAATAGAGTAATATCCATTGTGCAATAATTTATATATGCTCTTCAATGGCACTAGTACTATATATAAATTGCTCTAGGTAGGGCAACATAGAATCACAGAAGCCAATACTACTATGCAATATCTTTATAACTGTGGTGCTATGGTAGTATATATTTGAAAAATGTATTAAATAAATTGAAAATATATAGTAAGAATAGTAAGAATATGCAATAATATAAAACTGAATAGCAGTGGTAATTTTATATTAAACTTAACTGGTTTGTATGGTTTTGGGGCTGCTAGCATTGATATGACATGTTTGTATTATAAGTAATGGAGTAAACCTAATAAATCTATCTATGCGGCTGACAAGTTTGCCTTTTATAGGCGAAAATTAGTATTATGATCAGATCCCGGGTGATTCTGTCTATGTGATGCCCCGAACATCACAGATACAGTCTCTCGAATCAGCTTATACAGATTGGCTCCATTGTGACCCAAATATTACTGTTTACGTGTGGTCAAGAAACCAATTGATTTGTAAAATAAATCCGCAAACATTGCTTGACCGCTGAGCGAGCTACATGGCCTCCTTCAACAAGTGCTCATAAAGATTTATAGCGCTTTAATATATGGTTCTGGGCTGGCTTTTTCAAGTGCTTTTAAGGCATATTTGAAATCTTGTGAACTGAATCTATCGGCCATAAAAGAATACTGCTTTATGAGTTCACAGAGCGAGTCGCGCATACTCGCTTTGAGGCTCAAGTGCTCGGATTTTTCAACCAATTAAGAGGGCTCCAGCGGACAGCCTAACACCTTTGGACTATAAAGTTTTATACAGAGGTACAGATTCTATAATCTCATTCAACGGAATGGATTTTTTCTACTCCTTACTGGCCTTAGCACGGGTTGCATTGGCAGAGTCAGTTAGCTGCATGCGCTCCATGCGACCGGGAATGGATCCAAAACGACCAGTTTCCATATCTGCGAGGGCTTGGTATAGCTCCTCATCTGTATTCATGACGAATGGGCCATATTGCGCAACTTCTTCCCCAATCGGAGTACCGGCCAGGACCAGAACGCGCGCCTCCTCCGAGCCAGCGGCCTCAAAGTCAATCGGCTGCCCGTCGGTTTTGATGACAGCCATCTGGCCTTCCTTCACCTCTGCCTTCTCGTTGCCAACCAGGATCGGCTCTGTGTGGAAGTTGTACACCATTGCGTCCATGCCGCTCGGGAGATCCAGCGCGTACCGCCCAGTGGTGCGCAGGTCCAGGAAGAATATCTGCGTGCGCGTGTCGATGTTGGCAGTGACATCTTCAACCTTGCCTGCAATGACCTTGATCCGGGTCTTTTCGTCGCTGGAGGTGAACGTGGGGATGTTCTCGGGCGGAACATCCTGGTAGCGAGGCGCCGTCATCTTGTACTTGGCAGGCAGATTGACCCAGATCTGGAAGGAGTGCATAACACCGCCTTCCTTGAGCATCTTCTCGGTCGGCATCTCGCTGTGGATGATGCCGGATGCTGCGCTCATCCACTGAACCCACCCGGGCTTGAGAACTCCGTGGTTGCCGTGGCTGTCACGGTGCTCAATCTCGCCCTCCAGCACGTACGAAATCGTCTCCTGGCCACGGTGTGGGTGATCAGGAGCACCGACAGCCTCGCCGGGTCCATACTTTGTCGGGCCGAGATGGTCGAGCATCAGGAAAGGGTCAACCATGTCCAGGCTGCCGGACGGTACTGGGCGGCGCACGACAAAGCCGCCGCCTTCGCGCTGGCGGTGTGCAGTGATGATTCGCGAGACCTGCTTAGTGATTTTTGTAGTGGTGGACATTTGTGCTGTTGTTGGGTGTTGTTGGTGTTGTTGTGTTGTTGGTGCTGTTGCTGTAGAAATACAAGGGATGTGTAGAAGATCTGGGAGTGGCTGAAAAGCTGGGAGACCAAGAACCGGCAGTGCCAAAATCAGCGCTTTTTATGCAGATCGGGCCAGTGTGGTGATTATTAAGGATTTGGTGGCCGATTTGTCATTCGGCTGGGGCTTTAGTCACGCATCCTGAACCAGCGTGATTGGCTGGTGCTCCAGGACAACTGCGTTAGTAACAGACATCGCATTACTAAACTGCCACTGCTCGCTCTCGTAACGAGGCACAAGCAGCACAAAGCGATATTCCTCACCAGACTCGTCTGCTTACGGTGCTTAGAGGATCGATTCGATGTTGGCGATGGCCCAGTACAGGAGCTGGTAGCTGAGACCGGGGTACTGGGGGTGGTTCAGGATGCTGAGCTGAAGCAGTGACAGGCTATTTTGGCACTTGGAGTTCTCACCGTTACTACCACAGAATTTGGTGCCATCATTGGGGCTATACCAGACTTCCTGCGAGTGATGCTGAAATCCGAGGCTCCGGGTAGGAATTTGAGGCACAAGGTCGCCCTTGTTGACCACACGGTAGATGGGGAATGGCTGCTGTGAGAGCCAGTTCACGAACGCAGGGGTACCAACACGTGGCTCTCCATAGGTCCACAGCTGGAGCTTGCTCACCCATTCCTGACGGGTAAGAACAATGTCTGCAGCTGCAATAGTAGCCTCAGCACCACCAAGCGAATGGCCAGTAAGCACGATTTTGTAATCGGGGTACTTTGCAGCCAGGTCGGCGATGTTCTTTTTGATACCATCGGCAGTAGACTTGTACCCAGCAAGGAATCCGATATGAACACCAGATCCAATAATGCTCAGCGGTCAGGGAGTGGGCAGGAACACCATGTTCTCAATCCAGTCCATCAGAATCGTGCTTCCGCGCCAGCTGACAATGATTTCCTTGGTATCAGACTTGTGCGCAACAAAGCCGTAGCTCGGTGCGCCGTTACCATTCGTGTTCCAGCGGTAGTCGACTACAGTTCCCCAAGTATCAGGCGACCAGCAGTTGATCATGCAGGTCCATGACGTATCCAGAACCTTGTAAGCAGCACCAGCGTAGCGGCCATACTTTAGCAGGCCGGCGTCCGATACGGTGCCGGTTTGGTTGTTCGGCGCGACATAAAGGTCGGACGGGAGCAGATTCTTGATGCTGTTGGGGAAAAAGTACTTCTGAACAGAGCTCATGATATTGGTCGACTGATCCTTGCTGAATAGTGCATAGCCCGAAGAGAGCTCCCAGGGAGTGAAGTCCTGCCCAGTAGGCGCTCCAGAGATGGATGCAGCTAGTGCAACAGAGAGGACGAGGGTGGGCTTGAATATCATGGCGGTGGATGAAGTTCAATAAGGAATAGGTTTGTGTGAAGGGATAAATAAAGCAGTGGGTGTTGGTCAACGACAGTTAGATGCTTTGGCGTTTGCTGATATACTGTTCCTTGAGGTAAGTCGAGCGATGCCACTGCTTTTATATCAGAATATTCGTTCTCATCTCTGCAAGATGCTATGACCATAGTATTCTAAACTGTAGTAACTGTACGACGAAATGCACTGGTATGAGTGTGGACTGTCCATTCTTAAAAAAATCTGCCCGGAAAACAAGCGGCTTATGTGCAAGATGCCCTGTGTTTCTACCAGAATCAAATGTCCGAGCATTAAGCAGCGGCACCATCCCTCAGCAGGATCTGCGTATATCACAAAGTCCAAAGTGGATAGACGTCTTTGGAGACATCTGGATGACCAGGTGTCTGGTTAGTTTACCTGGACAGCATGTGAAACGATAGAAACCAGTTTTATGCTCCAGCTTGTCAATATCTTCCACTAGATCTCAGCAACATTCATCAGTTACTGCGGATCTTGCGGCCCGCCGGTTCCGCCGACGCTGCAATATTACCGGGTAATTTTGCAACAAAGGTCACAGGCCAGATACATCAGCATGATTTCCGCCAGAGATGGCCAGCAGTCCAGTATCGGGTGGAAATGCGTTGATACAGGTTTAGACACATGGTCTGCCAATACCATGTTTAGAGAACGATTTTTCAGTAGATCGAGATCCTGGCGGGTATATGCACACTGTACCAAAGAGGATCACCAGTCTGTGCCAGAGAGGCCAGCAGCAAACTGTAAACAAGCCAGCTTTGTCCGGCGTCGACTTTCACTTGCAGGTGTTGTCAGCAAAGAATTGCATTGGTTTAGTTTCTCAACTCAATCTCATTCTTCGAAAATAAAATAAAAACCTGAATTAGCGGAGCCCGCTGCCTTTGGCATTTCGTCTTCCTGGCAGTACGAGGTGGGATTAAAGAATAAAAGCGATTTGTATGGTGCGCATTTGCAGCATTATTTGGACACACAATGCTCCAAGAAGGGCGTTTGACTAGACAGACAAGACATTGCATATCATGCACCCATGGAGCTCGGCGCAGTTTTAACACCCAGGCCGATGCATATCGAAAATCCTTGCCATCAGGGACTGCAGCAAGATGCTTCGGCTTTTGGATCTTTGGCTATGCAGACTGGCCACCCTCATCCTGCTCAGGATACAGCGCGAACATCTAGTGTGGAGTAGCATTCAGCAGATGAATAAAGTATGTTATTCAAGGTGACCGAGAACGACTCTGGCGATGGCTGCGTCCATGGTGCCTGCCCTCGTTGCTCCTACCCCTGCTCCTACTCCTGCTGTATCTACGATGGTTGCGGCGGCGGCGGTACCTGTCATTGTCTGGTGTTAGGCTCCTGCTGCGACTCCTGCTGCGACTCCTGCTGCGACTCCTGCTGCGACGTCTGGAACTGCTATTGCTGCGAGAGCGACTGCGACCCTGCCTGCGCCCCCGACGCCTATCGCGGCTCAAACTTCTATCCCTGCCATTGCTGCGACTCCTGCTTCGCCGGTGTCGCTCGCGAGAATAACTGCGGTCCTGCTCCGCGCTACCCCAGCGACTGCGCCTGCCAGTGCGCCGACTATAATTGCCTCTAGATCCTGATGATCCGTGTGAGCGCTCGTTCGATATCCGGATCTGCTCACGTATCTTCGCTTCCATCTCGCGCTTCTTCTGCAATTGGTCCATTTTCTGTTTGACAAGGGATTCAGGAATTCCGCCTGTACAATCTTGAGCCTCGAGCAGCAGCGACCACAGGTCCTGCATGAATCCCTGCGTCTTGGATTCAAGGAAGCCGGTCAAGTTGACCTGAATTGCTTTGGGATCGGGAGAGTTTGATTCGCCGAGCAGATTTACAACATACTCAAACAACACTTCATCCTCGACTCCCAGCAGCTCGTTGACAGTAGTGGCGATCCACGGCTTGATTACGTCCATGTTAACCTTGGACATATCCACCTTGCGCTTCAAAAGATCGCTGAAGCCCATGTCTTTCATCAGCTTCTTTGATGCATCGCCAAACCGCAGGTCCTGGTCGATATTTGTGCCACGAAAGAATCCACCAGCCATATCTTGAAAATGTTGTTAGAGTGATAAAATAACCCTGCGGCAAAATTGAATAAACTGAATTTATTACCCTTTGTTGAGATGGCTAGTTATGGGCGTTCGTGGCATTCGGTTGTAGTGTACGAGCACGTGAGACTAGCCACGAGGGAACGAAGCCCACCCCCAGAACGCACAGATAAAAGGCCATATGCGACAGAGATATAATATTGTTTCCACAGATTTATTCTTTCACTCAATGTACAAACACGTCAACGCTTTCCGTGCAAAGATAGTCTGGTCCGTCCTCAATAATCTTGGGTACTGAGTTTCCCCGATAGTATCTTGATCATTGCCACTTCATGGGCTACATATCCGTGCAGACACACCTTTTTACCTTCATATACTGCCACAGGTAGAGAGGTGTGTAAGCGGTATAGATCTGATCTGGGATTCGGATCTAACATGCAATAGCCAATGCATGCAGCCATAAAAATACCTGCAGCAAACAGGCTGGTGACATGTAGCACTTTATAAGCATTTTGCTCAAGACTCACCGATTGCTTCAGCTTTAGAAACATACATTGGCCACGTGGTGTGAATGGAAACGATTGATAATAGAACAAAGAGTGTTTAGATAATTGACGCATTTAGAAAGTCTCCGCCAGATCAGACGCGACCTCAAAGTCGCAGCCGGTGGAGGCCTTGACCTCATCGAGAGTCACGCCATACGAGAGCTCCCGCAGGACCAGACCCTGTCCCTTCTTCACATCAAAGACAGCCTTGTCCGTGATGATGCGGTCGACGCAGTTCACACCGGTCAGCGGCAGCGTGTTCTCCTTTAGGATCTTTGGCGAACCATCCTTGGCATTGTGAGTCATGGTGACAACAACACGCGACTCGGGCGCAGCAACAAGATCCATGGCACCACCCATTCCCTTGATGACCTTTCCGGGAACGACCCAGTTGGACAGATCGCCGGTCTGCGACACCTGCATGCCACCGAGGATGGTCATGGCCAGACGGTTGCCGCGGATCATGCCAAAGGACACATCGCTGGAGAAGCACGAGCCACCGGGCAGTACGGTGATGGACTCCTTGCCCGCATTGACAAGATCAGCATCGACCTCCTCGGGGTAGGGAACGGACCCATGCCCAAAATGCCGTTCTCGCTCTGCAGATGCACAGTAATGCCAGGGCGGATGTAGTTGCTGGCCAGCACAGGCATGCCGATACCGAGGTTGACGTACATGCCGTCCTCAAACTCACGCGCAGCGCGCTTGATGATGTGGATGCGCTGCTTCATCGACGCGGGCAGCTCGTCCTCCTGCTCCGCAGACCGGCGCAGAGTCAGCTTTTCGATGCGGCGTTCATAGGTCTCGCCCTTGATCAGCCGATGCACGTGGATTCCAGGGATATGGATGTCGTTGGGCTTCAGGGTGCCCGTCGGCACGATCTCCTCGACCTCGGCAATGGTGATCTTGCCGGCGGTGGCCATGGGACCGTTAAAGTTGTTGGCGGCATACTTGAAGACCAGATTGCCTTCCTCGTCGGCCTTCCAGGCCTTGATCAGCGCAAAGTCGCCGGTCATCCCCTCCTCCATCAAGTACTTGCGGCCGTTAAAGACCTTGGTTTCACGCGGCTCGCTCTCAATCAGCACGCCCTTGCCGTCCTTGGTGTACTTGATCGGGATTCCGCCCTTCTCAACACCAGTTCCAACGCCGGTCAGTGTGTAGAAGGCAGGCACGCCAGCGCCGCCAGGACCGGATCCTCTCAGCAAGTGTACCCTGGGGCACAAGCTCAACCTCAAGCTCACCGCCCAGATACTGCCGCGCAAACTCCTTGTTCTCGCCAACATAACTCGACACCATGCGCTTAATCTGGCGGCTCTGCAGGAGTGTGCCAAGGCCGTAGTCTGATGTGCCGGCGTTGTTTGAAACTGCGGTGACCTGCTGGATATCCTTGCGGCGCGCCAGGGCCTTGAGCAGGTTCTCGGGGATGCCGCATAGACCGAAGCCGCCGATCAGCAATGTGTCGCCAGACTTGATCCCCTCGATGGCGGCGTCAGCTGACGGGTAGATCTTGTTGTGCGCGTGGCGAACCGAGGCGCTGGCGAGGCCGGCGAGCAGGTGCGGGCGGATCATGCGGGCGGCGCCCAGAATAGCCTGTCTCTTGATCGAAAGCATGTCTGCTTGGATGTGCAATGGAGAGAAAGGATATGGCAGAAAAAAGATTAGATGGAACGGATGCCTGGTTGGGCGGATCAAGCAGAAAGCAGCAGTCTTTTTTTGCTGCTGACAGGTAGCGTGTAGTGGTAGTTTAAGCGGAGTTAAAACAGGAATTCAAAAGAGAAATGGATGAGGAAAACGTGTGTGTGAGCAATGTGGAGGTTTTGTGAACAGCTCCCAATCCACCATGGTGCGGCGCTTTTATATTCACCGGCCTGCACGACAGTGCCCCCGACATGTGTGCTGGTCCCGCCCCTCCTATGTGTCCGAGGTTAGGAGGAGGGCAGGCGGGACTGGGCTATCAGCAGAGAATAACCACCTTGCACAGTGGCTATCGGATTACGCACTGGCTGATAAGCTACGGAGAAAGGCTTGGTGCGGGAGGACGGGACCATTGATGATTGTTTCCTCCGCTGGCCCACTGGTACTCGAAACATCGGACGATCGCATATATCCTTCGGGTTCCAATGAGCAGGGGGCACAGACTTGATCAGGCGCCTATTCGCTCCTGTACTCCACGCAGCAGCCATGCGGGCGGGCCATGGCATGGTATGGAACGGAAAATGGCCCCTCGAACGCACAAGCCATAGGCAGCACAGCTATTTCCCTGAGCTCAAGTTGCACATTGAACCCCGCTGTGTTTAGTTTACACGGAACAGCAGGCGCGCTCTACAGCTCCCCATTTTCCATGTTGGGCAGTTCTTGCGGAATTCCCTGTGCAGACATGGAAATCTAGGTACCGGAGCAGGACACGCATGCCCTGCGCTTGGCCCAAATAGGTATCCGGGCCGAGCAAGAGAACTGCTGGAGTGGAAATTGCGATATATTTGGAGCTGGAAACACGAAGCAGAAAGCAGTCACTTATCAGTAGGTCTCGGCGATATCGGCGGCAACCTCAAAGGAGCAGCCAGTGGCACTCCGCACATCGTCGACGGTGACACCAAACGCGAGCTCGCGCAGAACAAGACCCTTACCCTTGACAACGTCAAACACACACTTATCAGTGATGATGCGGCTCACGCACGCAACGCCAGTCAGTGGCAGCGTGCACTGGTCCAGAATCTTGGGCGTGCCGTCCTTGGCACAGTGGTCCATTGTGACTACAACCTTGGTGTCGGCAGCCGAGACGAGATCCATGGCGCCGCCCATGCCCTTGACCATTTTGCCAGGGATGATCCAGTTTGCCAGATCGCCCGAGCTCGACACCTCCATGCCGCCAAGAATCGTGAAGGTCGAGCCGCGAGTTGCGGACCATGCCGAACGAGGTTGCGCTCGAGAAGAACGACCCGCCAGGCAGAATCGTCACAGTCTCTTTGCCCGCGTTAATAAGATCCGGGTCAACCTTGTCCTGGGTCGGGAACGGGCCCAGGCCAAGGATTCCGTTCTCGCTCTGCAGATGCACCTCGATTCCGGGCTCGATGTAGTTGCTAGCCAGCATAGGCATGCCAATACCGAGGTTGGCGTACATGCCGTCCTTGAACTCCTTGGCAGCCCGCTTAATGATGCGAATGCGGCGCTTCATGGCATCCGGCAGATCGTCCTCGGTCTCGTTCTCCTTGCGCACAGTCATTTTCTCGACCTTCTTCTCGTAGTCGCCGGCCTTGATGATGCGGTGCACATGGATACCCGGAACGTGGATCTGGTTGGGATCAAGCGCGCCAGTCGGCACAATCTCCTCGACCTCAGCGATCGTAATCTTGCCGGCAGTGGCCATCGGCGCGTTGAAGTTGTTGGCTGACTCGCGGAACACCAGGTTGCCCATCTCGTCAGCCTTCCACGCCTTGACCAGCGCAAAATCGCCGCGGATGCTCTCCTCCAGCAGGTAATTGCGACCATCGAACTTCGCGCACCTCACGTGCAGGCGCAGCGATCTCGACCGAGCCGTCCTTGCCATACTTGATCGGCGTGCCGCCGAGCTGAACCGCTGTGCCAAACCCGGTTGCTGTGTAGAACGCGGGTACGCCAGCGCCGCCTGCCTGCAGCTTCTCGGCCAGAGTTCCCTGGGGAACAAGCTCCAGCTCCAGCTCACCGCTGAGGTACTGGCGCGCAAACTCCTTGTTCTCGCCAACATAGCTCGACACCATGCGCTTGACCTGGCGTGTCTTTAGCAGCTGGCCCAGACCAACACCATCGACTCTACATTGAGGTGGAGGAAGCAGGAATCAGAAAAAGGAAAGAGAGCGACTGGATCGGCCGTATATTTTTCCGGCTCTGGTGGGCACAGATCCACGCACGGTTCAAATATTTGCCGCGTTGTCGGACGGACACACTTACCCGGCATTGTTGGACACAGCAGTCAGATCCTTGATGTTCGAGTTGTCGCGCACCGCCTCGATGAGCCGCTCAGGGATCGCCGCACAGGCCGAATCCGCCAAACAGCACTGTGCTGCCCGACGGAATGTCCTCGATGGCCTTGGCTGCCGACGGATAGAGTTTGCTGAAGTGTCTGCGCAAAAGACTGATGCTCTGCTGCGTCATAGCCTTGCGCGCAAAGCGGCGCTGTACCGATGTTGCTGCTGTGCTGAGCATAACCATTGCGGAAAGTAGTGTGTTTGAAAAAAAAGTGCAGTAGAGACGGCAAAAGAGGGGAACAGGTGCGGGAGATGAGGATTGAGTGAAGCACTGGTCAAGGGCAGGGGTGCTGGGCGGCTTATAAGAGCGGATGCTGCTCGTGCATATCGTGCGCCGCTGGGCATTCAAATGCCGGTTCGAAAGCGGTTTTCCTTGCGCAGAAGGCAGCTGCTTTTTTCTCACGATGGCACATGCCCCGGGATGTTCTGCAAACCAGGCCGTATGCAAGCTAATCTATTGGCTCCGGCGCCTCCGGAGCAAACAAGTTTGTCTCGCCCCCTCCTGCCTGGCATGCAGCTCAGAACCACATGCTGATGCTGACGCTTGTGCTCAGCGACCGCACGTAATGCCACCAGCGGGGCTACAGCCGAAAAAGCACAATATTAGTCATCTGCAGATAGCAATGGCATGTGTTGGCATGACTGCCCAAAGCGCACGCCGCTCGCAGCCACTTACCGGCATATACAGCAGGTCTCCGGGCCCCATGCACACCTCGAGATAACGAGCCTGGGAAAATCGAGCAAACCTTTGCAGATCCGGCTCATTAACGTCGACCTGGCTCGTGTTGCACAGCGACGATCCGGGCGGGAACGGATACACATTTCTTGACTCGCTCGGCGCGTAGAACCGCATGTGCTTGTATCCGACGACCTGCGCAAATAGGTTATCGTATTTGTCAAAATGCAGCGGAGACACTGTGCCCTTGGGCCCCAGCCAGGCATTGACCAGCACGCCGCCATTTGCTGTTGCCGAATCTTCAGGCACAGCTCGTCGACCGGTCTCGACCTGGGTGTAATCAGGCAGCCAAAAGTCGCGCTTGAGCCGAGGCGCCTGGGCAAACAGGTTGTGCTGGGCCAGGTACCCTGTGCCACCAGCTCTGCTGTTTTGCAGCGGGTAGATGGCTTGGTCCAGGTATTCGCCAAATGGCATCAGCTGCTGCGACCAGTTGCGGTCGGTGTATTTTGCGCCTAGCTCTACAGGAACGAGACGGTGGTGGCCAACTGCCGACCGCAAGTACTCGAGGTCTGCCCACTTGCGCGTAGTGAGCGCTGGCCAGAACGATATTGCACCCTTAATGACAAACGGTACACTGCAGCTGGAGTCCCGAATCATCGAGTGGAATCTTCCCAAGTCCATGTCGTCCAGCCTTGTAAGACTGCACCGGAAATGCCAGCTGGGGAAGGTCTGGTGCTGCCGAGATCGATGCAGTGTCTGGTGGTTTAGGGCTGGGGAGGAGCAGGCTGAATGACGACTCAATCTTGTCTCTAACCTTGTAGATCCACTCGAGCCGCTGTCCTGATGCGCCTGCTACTACGATGGCTCGGTCGAGATCATTGAGGACCTTGAGTGGTGTATCTGGTAGCGTGTACTTTCTGCTGTTGGCAAGTAGGTCCAGCCCATGAAGTAGTGCAGCGTCAATGAATACCGCCAGCCAGTATACATGCGTGCGATCATGGCTGTTAGGCTAACTGCTGAATCGTCTGCTGAACTGACTTGGTCAGCGCAAAGTCAATCGACATGTGCTGCTTCTGCTGCGGCACTGTGCCAACCTCTGGTCGGATACCAGGCGATGCATTGTGCTGCGGTGGTGGTAGTACAAGGCGCTGTCGAGACTGGCGCGCAGAGCTTTGCAATTCCAGCTCCAACTTCATCCAGCACTCGCGCTAGTTGACTGACAATGGGACTACCGCCTAGTTGTTCCGAGTGTAGCTCCAATTCAGTGCGCAAAAACGAAGCAAGATCAGGTAGCATCATGAGTAAATACAGAAGCTGGCAGAGACATACCCGTCGTTGCTTGCTGCACAGAGAAAGAGAGAACCATACGACTATCAGTATAGCAGCGAAGCACCAGGTATGGGCAAAGCAACAAGCAGCACTGTCATCGGCTTCTCAGTTTCAGCGTGTTTATTGCGTGGCGATGATCAATTGGCAACATGTCTATTTTCTGGTTGTGGTCTGCTCGTTCATCAACCTCAGTTTGTTCATGTGTGGGGACTTGACCTGCATCCGCTCAGAGATCATAATTCGCCCAACAAGCGTCTTTAGTGCCTCAGCGTCATATCCAGGCCCTGATCTCTAGCAGCGACGGGATACATGCAGCAAGCAGGATGAACTTGGCAGTGTTCCAGTTGCAGTAGTCGCCGCTAATCTGCTGGACATACGAGTAAAGCTCCAGCGACTGCAGGGTACGGCTGAACGGATCGTTGATTTCCAGAATGCGCTCTTGCACCTCGTGGAACGCAATGAAACGTACCTCGGAGTCCTGCGGAAAATAGCACGACAAGCCAGATGATTGTTGGCAGGCGCTGCAGCATAAAGCACAGCTGCGAAAACGTCAGCTGTACGTCAATGTCGAGCTTCTGCAGCCACGTGCAGCCAAGCAGCTCAGGCAGAGTGACGCTGCCAAACAGTCCACCAGTGAGATTGATGGACCGGATCACAGTGAATGGTCCAATCATGCTGCCGAGGACTAGTGCTCAGCGTGCTTCTGTCATCGCGCAGCCCCAGGCTGACGTTCAGGTGGGCCAGCTGCGTGAAGCTGGCAAAGTCGATCTGGGCAAACACGCTGGTGTTTCCAGAGAAAGTGATCTGTGTAATTGGAGCCTGCATAGAATGATTTCAGCAGCCTCCGAATATCGTGCCCGTAGTTTGCCAAGTTCAGGGTCCTCAGTTGCGGGAAGAACAGCTGCACATTGCGGTGCGACACAGCAAGCTCCTCTGCCTCGTTGTCGTCCTTCGGGGCTTGCCGAATGCAGGTCGAGCGTCAGCGACTCCAGGTACGTGAACTCTGTGTAGTCCTCGCTGGAGATGTCGTGGAATAGATCGTACAGGAGCTCTGGCTGGATATGGTACAGCGTCAGCTTCCGCAACGAGTTTGCGTAGATGACTGGCAGCGACCGGCCGCTGGCCGGCGGTACAACTTCGCGCAGACACAGCACTGTGAGCTCGGGGAATATCAGTGCCGGGAAATCGCACCTTACCTGCGAGTTAAAGTCAATCTGCCGCACCTTCCCGATCCTGTCATCGACGGCATTCAACAGCGAGAAATCGTCGTCGTTCAGCAGCCGTCGGCGCCAGCGCAACCGCCTCGATGTTTGGCGCATGCCGCATCACATATGCCATCACGCCCTCCATGGGCTTCAAATTGAACTCTTCGTAGAAATTCGACCGCGGAAACTGCACCACCGAGATTGTCAGCGCTTTGACAGTTATCCAGCTGTGCATACTGAAGGCCAGCGCCTGCAGACACCCAATGACATGCTTATCCGTGGTCTTATCGTCCACATGCAAGACAATCTCATTGACTGTCTGCATCGAGTCCGGCAGGATGTGAATGTTGGTGTGGTAGTGGAAGCTGGTGCTGCCAAATGGCACGCTACCAAACGAGCTTTGCTGCACCTTCGAGGCTCGGAGTTTGCGCATGAAGCTGTGGGTGCGCGCGGCCTTCCGGAACGGCTGGTCTTGGATCTGCACGATCAGTTTGGCTCGCAGATATTTGAGAACCGCAGGCCGCCAGGCGCTACACACGGCGCCCAGCGGCTGGACTTGGCGCAGGTACCGCCAGTTGTCGTTATGCTCGCGTGCGTCGTAGTAGTGCCTGTGCGACTCGTTGATGATGCGCTCGATAAACCAGTGCTCTTTGTGGATGCGATGTGCTTTTGGATACATGATAGGTTAGGGTGGTGTTTGTACAGAGTGTGTGCTAGTCGTAAAGAGAGAAAAGAGAAAAAGCAAGCCTGGCAGAAGAGAGAGAGGCCACATGAAAGCGCCTACGCTTAAATCCTTTCTCCCTCACTCTCCTTTGGTATTTGCCTGCACCCCCCACACCCACTGCAAATCGCCCTGCGCAGGTGAATCCAATCGAAATCAGGTCTGCCAGGCTCGCTTCAAGACATACCTGACGATCCTGCCTCCCTTCTAATCCTGCTCTCTGCCTAGCGACTCCCTAAAGAGCTGCAAAGGCGCACTGCTTCAAGTGACGAGATGAGACATGCTTGCTGGCTGCTGCCTTTCTGTGCTTAGCAGCAAGTGATCGGCCAAAGAAACGCCTGCAATGCAAAGTCGCATCATGGGCTAGGTCTGTTGGATACGCTAATCCGTGCAGCCCAAACTCAGCCCATTGACCTGAAAAATCAGGGTGCTTTGTGGTTTTCAGCCCGCTGATGTCCGGGGCAGACCCCCAGATGCTAGCCGCTTCTGGGAAAGGGCAGGGGCATGGTTCACTTCATTTATCGTGCATGTCCATTTTTAGACCGATTTCTTTGACACCAAAAGGCAACCAGGAACAGCGCACAGCAGCTGGCATCGATTGCATTGGAAATCAATGCACGGAAAATACTAAATCTCACCAGCTACTCCTCCATTTCCTCGTCCTCAGCATCGGCATCAACCTCCTCGATATCGTCGTTGAAGCTGGCCAAGACGTCCTGCATGGTGATGTTGCCTGCAGCATCCTCGCTGGCCTCCTTGTCAGCCTCGGCCTGGCGCTGGCCCTGGGTAATCAAGTATCCAAGCGAGTAGTAGTTCTTGTCGCACACGCTGCCGATGTCCTGGCGCATCCTGACAATACCGCGCTGCAGCGTCCGCAGCACAGGCTGCAGGCGCACCGAGCGGGTCTTGACAAACGGACCGTGGTTCGAAAGCAATCCAGTGATCCAGCGCAGGTGGTACTCCAGCAGCTGGCTGCTCTCCAGGATGCTGGCAATGAACTTGAGCAGGCGCTCCAGATACGCCTCGGGGAAGTCCTTGGTCAGCAGCATGACGTCGGTAGGCGGAATGCGCTCGTAGGTCTCGCGAATCAGATACTGCTCGTTGAGCCGGAACGCGTTGACCAGAGCGCGCAGGTACTCGCCCTTGCGCGACAGCTCACGGATGGTCTCGGGCGTCACGTCCTCGTCAAGCTCATAGGGATCAAACACCAGCGTCTCGTCGAGCGAGTAGATCATCAGTCCCTCGGTCGACGCCGCTGCCCACTGCCGGCCGGTAGGCGAGAAGCGCACGTCACGGGTACGCACCTCAGGTCGCAGCACGCGGTTGGACTTGTCGCCCGAGCGCACACCCGGCAGGCTGTTGTCCGCAGCCTTCTCCGTGTCGCTGTCGATGCCGTCCGAGTCGATGAGGTCGGCAGGGCCAGCCTCAGTCATGTTTTTGGAGTTCAGCTTCTCCTGCACACCGTCCAGAGACAGGTTCTTGGACACCTGGAACTTGCGCAGCAGGATCTTGGACCGCCGGTCATACAGACACACAAACTTGCTGTTGCCACCGCCCAGAACCGCGGTGCCGTCGGCCGAATAGCAAAGCGAGTTGAAGCACTTGCCAGACGTCGAGTTCTCGGCCGTCTGCCGGTCGTTGGCCTTGCGACCGCCGGCAATGTCGCGCCGACCCTCGATGGTGCCTGTGGGCGCGGCCTTGGCTACGTCCCAGAAATGGATCTGGCCGTCAAGTGTCGATGCGCACAGCTCCTTGCCGTCGGGACGGTAGGCCAAAGCCAGCACTTCGTTATTGTGATCCAGGCGCTCAACGATCTTGGAGCGGTCAAACACGTCCCACAGGCGCACCGACTTGTCCCACGACGCCAGATGCAAGCGACTGACCATCGGGGCGGAAAGCCAGCGAGCTGATCGGGCCGGTGTGGCCAGACAGAATATCAAGAAGCTTGCCGGTTTGCATACTCCACATATAGATCTCGAACGAGTCCTGGCAGCCAGCACACACAATCTCGCCGCTCGGATCGACTGCCAGCGTGTTGAACTGCACAGGCGTTGGCGAAGTGAAGATGCGGAAGTTGCGGTACCGCACAAGGTCATAGGCACGCACTGTGCCGTCAAGCGACGCTGATAGGACAACCTGGCTGCCCTTGGTGAACTGCACTGCTGTCACCGCGCTGGTGTGCTCGGAGAAGGTGATGAAGCAGTATCCAGACAGCGAGTTCCACACCTTCAGCTTCGCGTCGTCGCCGCCTGTGGCCACGTACTGTCCGTCGGCCGAGTATGCAACGCACGACATGTCGTAGAAATGGCCCTGCTGCTTCAGCACGTACGTCTCGCTCTGCCACTCCCACACCAGCAGCTGGCCGAGCTTCGACGATCCAAGCGCCAACCACTCGCCGGTCGGGTTGACAGCAATGGTGTTGATTGCCTGGCTAGAAACCGACAGCGTGTGGATCTGGTTGAAATCGGGCATCTCCCACAGCCCAAACACGCCATTGGTGAATCCCAGAATCAGCAGCTGCGTAGCCGGGTTGAACGCTGCGCTCTGGACCTGCGCATGCGCCTCCATCGCGAAATGGCGCGTCTCCGTGAACCACACCGTACGCACGAAATTGCCTTCCTCGTCGCGTGGGAACTCGCCAAACACCAGGTTCTCGTCTACCATATGCTCACGGAACCGCCGCACGCACACAGCACCGTCGCGGCTCACCGTGTAGATTGCGCGCATGTCGCGGGTGAACCACGAGCCAACAACAGCATACCGGTGGCCAGTCAGCGTGGTCGGCGTGAACCCCTCGATCGGATCCACTGAGTAGATCTTGGTGGCCATGTCCTTGCTGGATGTCAAGAAGAACCGCGAGTCCGGCGACCAGCTGATCTGTGTGATGTCGTCATAGTGCCCTCCGTACCGCCGGTGCAGCTCGAACGGTGCAAACTCGCGCGTGTACCCGGGCGACCGCCACACCTCGACCTTGCGTCCGAGCCCCACTGCGAAATACTTGCCATCAGGCGAGAACTGGATGTCGCGGACCTTGTCCTTGAAGTTGAAATGATGCAAAACTGTACGCCGCCGGAAGTTCACCAGCAGAGTGTTGCCCAGATCGTCGACGCTCAAAAGCAAGTGCCCGTTGGGCGAGAGCGCCAGCCGCCGGATATCGCGCTTGTTCTCAAATGGAAGCGTCTCGGTCTTGTTGTTGACCAGATCGAACAGCGTCACGCGGTTGCCGACCGGGCTCAGCACGCTGTTGCCATCGGGCGTGAACACCAGGTTTCCCTTGCGGTACACCGTTCCGCACAGATTCGAGAACTTGAAGTCTGTCTTCATTGGAGCTCGACTAGTATATATAGAGTGAAAGAAGCGCGTGTATGTGAAGGGAGCCGAAGAAAAAATCGCAAAAAAATCACCCTCAAATTCTGGCGAAATGCTTGATCCAGTGCCCACGATCTGGTACTTTCAGATGTGATCACGCCATTTATTTGATTTAGTGATCGCATGTTCTCCAGAGCCTGCAAAGGGCAAAATACAGACCGCCAACATATGAGGACAACAGAGCCACGCTGCCCTTTAGCCCATCGTCCAGACTGGATACCCAACAGTTCAGCATTCCAGTACCACAATTTTCCAGGACGCCCTCGTTTTCTCTGGATTGTTGGTCACAGCTTGTTACTGTATGTCAAACTATGTGTTGGTGTACTCTAGTGACTCCAGTTGATCTTTAAGAAGTACTCTCACATCCTTTTGCTTTAGCATGTCCAATATTGAAGACTTTATTTAAATATGCTTCATGAACTAGGAACCCAGCCTTGAAATATCTAAAGCTCGGGCACCAATATAGCGCCAGAGATGATGATTGCTGCTAATGGCTGTGCTGACCCTCTCGACATTTTCAGGGTTGGTGCTGAGACATTTGAGAGCAGGGAGAAGTTGAACCAATTAGCAGATATTCTTAGTAAAGAATTTTATTTGGGCAAATAGTGCAAGCCTCTGGAGCAAGCACTAATCGACTACACGTTCGCTAGGTTTAACTGGCTATAAATATTGCGTTTGGCTTGAGCCTTACTAGGGAGCAGAGTTTGACCAGTACCGTTGGAATTCATTGAGAAGAGGCGGATATCTAGGTATTTTAGCAAAAGTAGTTGCATGATGAGGTTAGCCAGACTTAGCTTGTTGACGATACTGGAACTCCGACATAAGCTATTTTTGTTGCTTCCAGGTGATGCGCTTGGGCAGCGGCCAGTTGAAATTGTAGATAAATGCCCTCTCAACAGCTGATGGTTGCTCTAATATGTAGGCAGCCTGGGCTACAGAGCACTGGGGAGCCAGTGGATTGCCATCTGGATAACACATAAACAAGTCTTTTGCATCTCTGATGACACTGCCACCAGTAGCCATGTGATGAAGAGTTCCAGCAAATCTAATGAGACTAGTCCGGCTGCTTTCAAACACCGGATAGAGATAATTAGTCTCTCGTAGACCTATATGCGAGTATCAATATAAGAGATCCGAAACGAACAGAGATATTGTCACTGGGAAAGGGTGCCTTGTCCATATCGACAAGGTTAAAAGCAAGACACAGCGCATTCAAGCCAGACAAGTTCACCACTTCATTACTGTGTTAGAACAGTCCGAATGGGACAAGTACATGGATGTTGTATCCCGAAGGTTTGCAACTTTGTCATACGAATCGCCAGGAATGAGCTGGGTGGCGTAACATGGGCTACAACCATATACAGTGCGAGAAGAGATGGGAAAACCTTGAAAACGGCTTCACCTGTTCTTCGATCTTGTTGAACTTAGCCAACGTAGAGGCATCGCTGGAGTTCTTTGTGCAGATTCATGTAGGGTGGTCACGGAGAACAGCCCCATACTGCTCCTTGCAATAATCGGATCCCATTGAAACTGAGGTGAAAAAGAATAGAATATATCTGGAGATAGTACATTGGCGAGTGCTTTAGACGAAACAAGTAATGCGGTTAGGGGAGTATAAGGTAGTGAAAGGGCGTGTGGTTGCTGGTCTGGGGTTATATATCCCAAACCACATGGAAAAGCCCTTGTTGACATTCGGGCAACCCCATGCCCTTCGTCACCATGTGCAGATCCAAATCCCCACCTGTATAAACATTGTGGGCTGGAACGGCCCCACCCTCCCTCTTTTCTCCTCAGCAAATTTCCAGTTTATTCATTCCATAAAGCTCATAACTACTGGACTCTCTGAAGGTTAACATTAGGGAGTTGGGAAAATACACTATTGCATTCTAGAGCCAATTCACACTATTCTAGCATCACCCTGGATATGTGAGACATAGGAACATGTGCAGCTAGTATACGCCTTCTCATCTAAAATACTGTCAGGCCTGGTAAGGTTAGGGTGAAATGTCTGGTCTGCCAGTCTCGGAGCCAATTCTGGGATAGTGAGGCTATCTTAAAGGTTGCGCCTATAAACTGTTCAATGCCTATTACTCCTTGGTTATTTATTACAGGCACTTCTGACGAATTGCATTTAATTGACATGGAGAGTAAAGCCGCAGCGGATGATATCCCCACACCAGCCTCAGCCCTGGTGATGTGCTCAGTCTTTTGTTTTTACCAAAGATTTCATCCGATGGCCATGGTGGACCGCGTACCTTGGCCTAAGATGTCTCCATTAGCGGCCTGCCGGATCTGTGTTTTCTTGGGCCCTGATCCTGGCCAGAAATAAATTCGATTTTTAATTTATTGTTCAATTTGGCTATACTAGAGATTGAAATTAGTGTAGCGTCAAAATGGAACTGCGGCTTCTTTGTGGATGACATGCCCCCGAAGAATGCCTTGGAACACCAGGGCTGCGCGTATAAAAAGCGGGTCTGTCCGTCAGAGGCAGCAGGCCAACCCTGTCTTTTTCGTCAGCACTATTGCTACTGTATTTTTGTACTCTCTTTGCCTCTGACCTCTGCGTCAACAAACCACGTTTCCCTTTCTACTTGTGTTACCCCATGTCGAAGAACGCCAGCGCGAACAAGCAGGCCGCCAAGGAGCTGGCTCAGCAGGCCATTGACGCCTACATGGATGACGACTTTGAGCGTGCCGAGTCTCTCTACACGCAGGCCATTGCCTCTGATGCAACCGTCGGCGACTACTACCTGAAGCGCGCCCAAGTGCGCCACAAGCTCTCCAAGACAGACTTGGCCACCTCGGACGCGCTCAAGGCCGCCGACCTGACTGCCTCAAAGACTATCTACCTGCGCACCTACTATAAGGCCCTGGTTCTGCATGGCGAATGGTCGTTTGCGCAGGAGAAGTACGCCGAGGCCGTCGAGTCGCTGCACAAGGCCACCAAGATTAACCCGAACGACGAGAAGGTCAGCAGTCTGCTGGAGAAGGCCGAGGCGCTGGCGCCCGCGCCCGCGCCTGCACCTGAGCCCGTGGCTGAAGAGCCGAAGGAGGAGAAGCCGGTGGAGAAGAAGCGCCATGCTGTGCGTCATGAGTGGTACCAGAACGATGAGGACGTCATTGTCGAGGTGTTTGTGCGCAACGTCAAGAAGGAGTCGCTGGAGGTCGAGTTTACAGACAGTGCTCTGTCGCTGTCGATTAAGATGCCGACAGGTGCCGAGAACAACCTAGACTTTGACCCGCTGCTGCTCCCCATTGTGCCTAGCCAGTCGACCTATGAAATCCTGTCGACCAAAATCGAGGTGCGCATGAAGAAGGCTGCCAAGGGCGAGAAGTGGAGCCATCTGGAGAAGACTGAAGCTGAGATGGTTGCTGACGTGAAGCCCTCCCATTTGTCAAACTCGCGCAAGGGCGTTTCATGGGATAAGATCGCTGCTGATGCCGAGAAGGAGACTGCGCTGAAGGTCAGCGAGCAGGGTGTCAACCAACTGTTCCAGACTATCTACAAAGATGCGGACGAGGACACCCGCCGTGCTATGATGAAGAGCTATGTGGAGAGCAATGGAACTGCGCTTAGCACCGACTGGGAGTCAGTCAAGAAGGGGCCTGTTGAGACCCTGCCTCCCACTGGATGCGATGCTAAGCCGTTCAAGTCATGAGCACGGTAGAGCCAACCCTTCACCAAAATCACATTTCACAAAATTAATATATTCATCAGCTCCCACACTATCGTACATGTAGTGTTTGAATTGTAAGCCGATGTGCGATGTAGCGAGTATCTTAATACATGCAGGGTGTTGCAACATCACTCGGTAGAGAATGTAGATGATCAGCGTCACCAGCAGTAACTACCGCTGGTGTTATCGTATCTGGCTACGGCGGTCCCATTGCATTTCCGCAACCCACCCGTCACAAGTTGGAGTGTCCTCAGCTATGTGTGCGCTTCCACATACTGGTCAGCCAGCACGCATCAAGGTAAAACGTAGACACGACCCCTCAGCCAAAGCTGCATATACTTGAGGATTTAGCCAACGCAATCTTGACAGGTAGAAAGACGTTCATAAGCTGGAAAAGAAAGAAATGAAAGTTATTTGATAGACTTGCGGCTGAACACAGAGCTGTGGCGGCCATGACGCATCTTGCGAGCGGATCCAGCGATGCTCTGGGTGTCAAAGGTGTCACCCGACGCACTAGTCTCGCCACCCGAGAACTCGATCTTCAGGCTCAGGCTGCCGCCTTCGCTGGTCAGGTTCAGGTCCTTGGGACTTGCGGCCGTGCCGTTGCTCTTGACCAGGTCATCCTTGAGCAGGTCAAATGGCTTGACAATAAAGTCAAACAGCGTCTTGTCACCACGGAAGCTCGAATGGTCTTTGACGGCAAGTGTCAACACAGGCGCACTGCCAATGAGCACAGGTAGCCGGTCCTTGTTGTTCCACTCAGCGCGGGTGGCATCCTTCTCGACACGGGTCTTGTGGATCGACTTTCCGTTCAGCTCTGTCACCACCATAATGTTTCTGGCCTTGGAGCTGCTCAGCTGCGCACTGTTGATGGTGATGTACACAACGCCGGGCAGCGGGAACGAATCAATGTTGGCAGACACAGGGATCCTGCTGGCAAATACCTGCGACCGCGAGTTCTTGGGGCCACGCGGCGAAGGCGGAAGCAAAGGCATGGGGCCAGCAGAATCGTGGCTCTCGTCGTTCGCAGCTTGAAGTGGCACCATGCCCACCGGAGCCGCATCTGACCCTTCGCCAGGCATGTTGGTTGCCGACATCATCGCCTGAGTAGCGGCTGGTGACAGCGTGCGCTGCTCCGACTCTTCGCTGTCCAGTTGCTTGTTTTTCTTCTTGCCGCCAATCTTGCTGAACAGCCCACCAACCACACTGCCAACCACGGTAGCGCCGCCCTTGATCACAGTCACAGGCGCGGCAACCACGGTCTGAGCAACATTGAGGAGAACCGGCGACGAATCGTCGTGCTGCTCCACATAGCTTGGCTTGAAGAGGAACTGCAGGTGGATTGTGGCCTTGCCCTTGTTGTCGAGCGGGTAGTCGCGGTCTACAGTTTCGTTGATAGGTAGCTCTGCCAGTGGAATTGTGACAGCACCCAGGAGCGTGTGCGACTGGATCTGGTTCCAGTCAAACACCTCGAGCGTCAGGACTGTCTTGGAGCGCATGCGGATGTCGACCTCAGTCTGCTGGTTCCACCGCGGGTTCAGGGTCTTTTTGATGGCCTCGCTCTTCCACACCTTGATGTCGTTAATAGTCGCCACAACGTACGGGTCGGACGTGCCCGACTTGTCAGCAGCAGGAAGGTTGCTGGCAGATGCGATGCGAACGCGCACCGAGCCCTGGTTCGTGATGCTCTCGGCTGGCAGGAGCTGCGGGTCCTCAATCGGATCGTACCGCAGCAGAACCAGGATCTCGCCGGTATCCGAGTCCAGCGGCAACCATACAGGCTCAGCAGAGTTCACCAGTCCCTGGCTGATCAGCTCGCGCACCGAGAAATCGGCCTTGCCAATCGAGATCATCTCATCGGAGCTGTCGCTGGCGCCAGCCGGACGGCACTTGACATCGAACGTCAGGTTGTCGTAGCGCGCCTCGGGGATTGCGGCCTGTGCCAGCTCGTTCTCCCATACGTGCTCGCGGCCACGGCGGCGCGACGGCTGCGTCTGCACCAGCGGTGCCTGCTTGTTGTTGTTGAGGTACACGTTAACAAAAACGCCAGCAAACGGCCGCAGAAGCCCGCGACAGCCGATTGTCACCACCGAGACAATACCGGCGTCGAACTTTGAGTAGTCAATGTTAGGCAGGCGCGGGTAGCGCGACAGCGACTGGGTCACAGGGTCGTCCGTGTTGCCGGTCTTGCCAGAGAACATGGACATGCCGAGGTCAGCGTCGTCGTGCGGCGCGTTGGATATGCCTGGAACGATACTGCCGACCTGGGTGACCGCAGCTGTGGCAATGCTGACTGGGTTGACAGCATCGGGGATAACATTGGTGACCTTGGTCACGGCAGATGTGGCCATGCGCAGCGGATTTTTGGTGCTCCGGGCAGGGGCCACTTCGGGCGGACGGTTCGAGTTATCGGATGAGCTGCTGCTCGACGACGAGCTGCTCGACATGGGCTCCTCTACGCCAAGTACAAGTCCGCCGTCGCTGATCTTCATGTCCAGCATGCCACGCGCCTTGTCCTCGGCTGACAGCATATCGTCAAAGTTGATCACTGGAATGAACGTAGCGCGGAACCGGATCTCGCCCTTGATCTTGCCGTTGCGCTGGCGCAGACCAGCCCACATCTCGACCGGCTCGGTCTTGACGTACACCGGGTCGCCGCGCTCATCCTTGGTCATCTTGCCCAGCAGCCGGCTGACCTTGAGCATTGACTCACCCAGCGGCTTGTGGCGCTCCACGCGGTTCCAGTCCATGCACTCCAGCGCAAGCGTCTCGTTGATGCGGTGCACAGGGATAAACAGCGTCTCGTTCCACACAGGCTCTAGGTTGCTGTTGATGTACCGCGTCTTGGCCATGATCTGGTTCTGCACCATCACGCGCACGTACGGGTCAGACTTGCCGCCGGATGCGGCCTCGACGTTCTTCAGGCCGCGGCCCTCATGGCATGTGAGCTTGACCACGCCGATGGGCGGGCCTGGCAGCTTCTTGGTCTGGCCCAGGCTGCCAGCCATGTCGGGGTCCATCAGGATCGGGCGCCACTTGACGTTGAGCCGCAGCTTGCCCTTGACGTGACCCTCGAGCGGGTACCAGTCCGAGCCCTCGTCGCCGGCTTGGTGCGCCAGCGCATCGTCGATGCGCAGCTTGAGCGTGCCGACAGTGCGCTGCGTGGCGGTATCGACCAGGCGCACGCGGATGGTGGCTGCGTCCTTATCGGCAACAAATACCTCTTTGCCAGATTCCCACGACGGTGCGTCGGTACCCTTGATCTCGGGGCAGTCGATGGCCTTGTTCTTGTTGACATAGGCCTCAGCACGCACCGAGAGCTTCTTGGCCAGCACCGGGGTCATGGCCAGGTCGCTGGCCGAGCGCACAAAGAGCCGGAGCAGGCCCGTGTTGGAATCGACCTCCGGCTGGCCGTCATCCTCGTCGTTGGCAGCCTCGTCGTCGCCCGCAGCGGTGGCTCCCGCGACAGCAGCCTCGGCAGACGGGTCCAGTGGATTACCGTCCGCATCAACCGTGGCAGCCTGCGTGGTACGTGTGGCCACAGGGAAATATGACATGTCGAATGTGAGCTGGCCGCGCTCGGTACTGCCCATCATGATCGGCAGTGTAGCGCCCTCAAGCTCAGGCTGTTCGAGCAGCTTGATCATCGGGTACGTAATCAGGCCGATCTTCTCGTCCTTACCGACGGCATTCCAGTCGAACACCTCGAACTGGATGGTGTCAGTCTTGCTGTAAATCATCAGCATCAGGGTTTCGTTCCATGTCGGCGCCAGTGTCTTCTCGATCATGCGCGTGCGCTGCGACACTTCGGGATGCTTGGCAGTGGAGACCTTGACGTACGGGTCAGCCTTGCCAAACGTGTCCATCTTGGGCAGTCCGCGCGCGCTGTGCATGTTGATAATCAGCACACCCTTAGCCGCCGGGATCTTGGCCACAGCGCCGCTGATCAGCTGCTCGACATCCACTGTGAAGTGGTTGGGCGCGTAGAACATCGGCCCCACAATCGAGTGGATTGTGTCGAGGATGAACGTGCGCAGGCCCGGCACGTGCGCGATGTCCACGCCAAAGGTGTCACCGCCCACAGGCTTGAGCACAAAGTCAATGGTGGGCCGCTCCAGGAAGCACACTTGCGCCGTGCGCACGTGTGGGAACACCGGGCCGAGCTGCAGCTTGACCTGCATCTTGCCCTTGAACACCATGTCCTCAACCATGATCGGCATGCCGGCGCCCACAAAGCCCTTGCCCACGCGCACCGTCAGCACCACCTTGGGGTTGACCTTGTTCTCGCGCAGAACTGCCGGCACGTCCTCGAGGTCGTTGGGCGTGAACGACACCTGCCAGTCCATCACAATGACATTGCGATCCTCCAGCTCGCTGTATGTACGCACACCATCAATGCGCGGCGCCTTGGTGCCCAGCGTGAACGTCGTCAGCTTGAGCGAGTCCAGGAATCCAGGCGTGTTCTGTTCCAGGATTGGGTCGGCAATATCAATGACCATACGGCTCAGTGATGGCTCGAACATGAGCCAGAACCGCGTTGTGAACTCGTTGAGCCACCCGACGCTCTCGAGCGTGCGTGTCAGGGCGTTGTGCTCGTAGGCCCGCTCAAAGTCGTCCCGCACCGTGCGACGGAACCGCACCACCGAGTTGCGGTACCATTGCGCTATGGGAACGGCGCTTTGATTGTTAGTATCTGCACTATGCGCTCAATGCATCCTCGGCATCGAATGCCTTTGGGTCTAGAACAATCTCTCTGCATGCACCTCTTGCATAAGGGGCGGCAATCCCCCACAGGACATCGCCCTCTCTTTCCCACCACCGCCATTCATCAGGGAGCTACTTACCGCCGAATGCTGCTGCGATGGCAACGCCAAAGATTCCGAACCTCAGGCTGGTCAGCACATACGTCAAGAACATGAGCCCAAAGACGCCAGCGCAGTTCCGCCACATCCCTGTCCGATCAACCATTTCAATGTACGTGTTGAGCGTGTCGAAAATCGTCGGCTCGGGTGCCTTGGGTGCTTCCTTCTTGCCGCTGTCGATCGCACCCTTCTCCTTCCATCCCACAACGCTAGGTTGTTGGGGTTTCGCCGCGTCCTTATCGCCGACGCTGCTGGTGCTTGCCTGGTCGCCCGCCTCCTTGCTCTTGTCAGGGGCTCCATTGGTCACGGCAGCGGCGACGCCGGATACACTGGTCCCAGTAGCCACCGCCTTGATTAGCGTTGGCTTGTTGCGGAGCTTGACGAATCCTGTTTCGGAGCTGAGTTTGTAAAGCGCCCGCTGCGTCATAATCTTGGTTTTGGCGATATCGTAGATGGCCTTGGATGTCAGCGGCGTCCGCTCTTCTTCCTCGGCCCCGTCGCGGGGGGTTGCGCTTCCGCCATCGCTGTTTGCTGCTGTCGAGCCGTTGTTGGTTGGCACCTCTGACGACTTGCCGTTGGTAGGCGCCGCGGTGGCATCGTTCCCGTTGGTCTCGGGCGCCTCACCGACCTGCCGCGACGCACTGAGCGCGTTCAAGGCTGCGGACTGGAACCGCGACGGCGTACCGTTGCTGGTGCGCAGGGCCTGCGAAACGGCCTCGACAGTAGCTGCCGACTGATCTTGACGAGGGCTGCTCTGTGGCAGCGACTCCTGCACCATGTTGGAGGGCGGAGGGTCGTCGTCCCGCGGCATGTTTGAATGATATGCTTGCTGGTCTGCCATTTGGGTCTTTATTTTAAAAAAGAAAAAACAGGAAGGCAACAAAAGTGGAGAGGAGGAGGGAAGGGCGTGTGATTATAGTATTTTTAAGAGTCAACGCCTCTTGTTTTTGTAACGCCGCCCTGCCATGCTGTTTGCATGCTAGCCATCTTGGCGCACTTGTTGTGGCCCGGAGCCAGGTCCCTCATCCCAGAAGGGCTCGCAGCAAACGCCAACGATCCCCCGCATGTTTAGCTCGTGTTTACATCTTGGACGATCGTCCTCCAATAAATAATGTCGCTGAGTGGGGCGGGCAATATCCAGGCTACCAGCGTGTATGGGCGGCATGCCCTCCTGCAACACAGACGAGCACTGGGTATCTTCCACTTCGAGTGCTGGCTCTTTGATGGGCGCTTTGTGCGCCAGCTGCCTGTTCCCTGTCTTCCTCCGTACCACCCTGCCGTTGTCTTGGCTCTGAGGCTGACCCGCAGAGTATGCCGAGCGGCCATTCTTTTATGCTGTTTGTGACACGACGATGTACACTACAATGTCCCACATGGGTGCGCAATTTTGCACAGATTCGCACACCTGCGAACGATCTCATTTCGGCGATTGTTTAGGCCCTATTTGGCAGGCCGCTCTTTGGCCTCTCCCCCAACTACTTGCAAGTAATTTGATGCTGCAATGCACCGGGCAATCTAGTTCTGCAGACGGCATCCGTCTAGCAGAGAGATCGGCGCTACATGGCGACTGCTGCAAAGGCAAAGAGCAAGGGCGGTGGCAGAGAGCGCAGTTCCAGGCCCGCGGGTCAGCGCAGTACTAAAATGTTTGTTTGGGAGTAGACGACACTGACAAACGCCACCCAAACAGCAGCCCGTGGGTCGAGTACTCTTCGTACCATGGGCATGCAGCCTGCGATACGTCGGGACATGCACCCTCAGCACCAAGCAGGCGAGGCAGACAAAAGCTGCAAGAGCGCAGAAATGTGAAGATGCATATCTTCAACAAAGGACACTTGCTGGCACTGACCTTGATCACACCAGATAAATCAAATCTCCGATTTTCATACGTAACACGCTGCAGGCGCGATGGTTTTCAGGGCGACTACGCAAGCAAACCCCGCCTGCAAATCTCGACGCCTCTCTGTTCAATTTGTCTCTTCTTGCTCTATTCCCTGCACCTTACATATAGGCGTACCTTCTCTAGCTTTCTTACATAGCCACCTCTCTAACTGACTTTACAAAATGGACTACGGGGCATACATGAACGCAGGCGGTGTGGGCGGCGATTTGTCCGAGACACAAATCCCTGACAACGCGGAGACAATCCACATTTCGTCGCTGGCGCTGCTCAAAATGCTCAAGCACGGGCGTGCTGGAGTGCCAATGGAGGTGATGGGTCTGATGCTGGGCGACTTTATCGACGACTACACAGTGCGCGTGGTGGATGTGTTTGCGATGCCGCAGTCGGGCACGGGAGTGTCAGTTGAGGCCATTGACGAGGCGTACCAGGCGGCGATGATGGAGATGCTGAAGCAGACGGGCCGTGCCGAGTCTGTGGTCGGGTGGTACCACTCGCACCCTGGGTTTGGGTGCTGGCTGTCGAGCGTCGATATCAGCACGCAGCAGGCGTTTGAGCGGCTGAACTCGCGTGCCGTGGCCGTGGTGGTTGACCCGATCCAGTCGGTGCGCGGCAAGGTTGTGATTGATGCATTCCGGCTAATTGAGTCGACAGCGTCGATGGCGGGCACGGAGCCGCGCCAGACCACGTCCAACATTGGCCACTTGCACAAGCCCAGCATCCAGGCGCTGATCCACGGGCTCAACCGCCACTACTACTCGATCGCAATCGACTACAGAAAGAACGAGCTCGAGGAGAAGATGCTGCTGAACCTGCACAAGAAGGACTGGGCGCACGGCATGACGCTGTCCAACTTCAAGACGCACTGCTCCAGCAACCACGAGTCAGTGAACAAGATGCTGAAGCTGGCTGACTCGTACAACAAGTCGGTGCAGGAGGAGCAGAAGCTAACTGCTGATGAGCTCAAGACGCGCCATGTGGGCAAGCAGGACCCGAAGCGCCACCTGGAGTCGGTAGTTGAAGAGGTCATGGGCAACAATATCATCCAGACGCTGGGCATGGCTGCTGACGACCAAGCGCTCTAAAAACCAAAGTAAAATCTACGTTTATTCAATCCCAAAGCCCTGAAAGTGTTTGTCTTTAGCGAAAGGCCGGGTCAAAGTCACTGCAAGTGGATGACGCAGGGCGTGCATACTCACACCCCCGCACTCAGTCATGCACCATGACTAGCACTAAACAGCGGTGCGAATGGGGGATGCGGAGGATTTATTCGTCGCAGAACCATGCAAAGAGGTGGAAAAGAGCTCGAGTAAGAAGAAATGTGGACAAGAAAAAAGATACAGCAATAGAGAAGATGTGAGGGTCAAGAAACGGATGTCGAGGGAGGCCAAGAACCAGGCCGGACTCCCCCCTGGCGCCAGTGCTCCTACTCCAGGACCAGGGTATTTGCATTAGGGCTGGCTGGCGGCGTGTACCGCTGACGGTCAGCCAGGGCGCCAACCGTCATGCGGTCGAGCCGGCGCATGACGCCCTCCATGTCGCGGGCCCGGCGCTCGTGGATGCTGACGCAGTCCTGGTTTGCATACCGTAGCCGCCCCATGCGGTTCACCGCCGAAGCCACCCGGGCCAGCCCCATCGACCGCTGCTTTCCCAGCGACAGCACCACGCGCTGCTCGGCCATTGCCCCTCCCTGGGCGCGCGTCTGCTGCGCCATTATGCCCAGCAGCTCGCGCTCAGCCAGCTGTGTGTCGAGCTCCACCGGCGATGCTTCGAGCGACATGCGCGGCCGCTCGTGCAGCAGACACTCGCGCGAACCCGTCGACTCCACCGAGTGGTACGTGTCCAGGGTGTAGATGGATGTTGTGTCGCAGATGCCCGCCATGGTTTATTACACTGGCCAGTGTGTAGAGTGCAGTGAGGAAAAAGAGGAGGAAAAAGAAGGAAGACGGGGGAGGTCAGGGACAAGAAAAAGAGGAGGATATCTGCCAGGAGTTTTATATTTTTGCTCACAAACACGGCTAGAAGACAAAAAAGCGAGAAAACTGGCACGAGTTGGGTGGGCGAAGGGGATAATGTTCTTTTCTGCCAATCCATACAACGGTGCTCCTTTTACAATCTTTTAAAGGGCCAGTTCAGGAATTCCTTGATGCTCCCAAAAACGCACCCTTTTCTCAGCCCAACAGCAGCCTCGAATGCATGGCGTGGAATCTCCAGCTCCTTGTCCTCTATGCCCGAAGCCGATCGCCGTTCCATATTACCACCGGCGGCGTAGCGTCATCCTCCTTCAATTCTCTTGACTCTATTCGTAGGGTCTGTCTCGAAATCGGCCCGAGTAACCGTTGCACTTTAGCAAACAAACCTTCTTCACTGCCCAAACCATTTGCTGCTTATTGATACTGTCAAAGTGCATTCCAATGTCTAAAACAAACATAGAGACAATCGTCTAAAAGGGACCTTTCCGGACATTCATGCATAGCCGTACTTGTCCTTGGCCAGGCGCTCAACCAGGTCGGGCGCAAATGCATACAGCACTGTGCTGATCCAGTACTTGAACGGCGTTATCAGCGTCTTGCGACGCAGGGCGCCAGCCTCGATGATTTGCTCGGCACACACCTGGGCCGACAGCTTTCCCTTGGTCGAGCCGGCCACCTCTGCCCTGCCTCCAGCGTCTACTGCCGACTTGCGCAGCTCGGTGTCAACAGTGCCAGGGAACACAAGAGTTACCGATACTCCGTGACGCTCGACCTCCATCCGGAACGCATTGAAGAATCCCGTCACTGCGTGCTTGCTGGCCGAATAGAGGCTGCGCGTGGGCGCCGCAATCAAGCCAGCCATCGACGACACCACGACCACCCGCGCCTTGCTAGCAATTAGCATCGGCATCAGCCGGCCAGCAATGTTGATCGGCGCAAACGCATTAATCTCTATGATCTTTCGCAGAGCCTCGTCGGCGCGCGTTCCTACCGCGTCGCGGTCTGTGGAACCGGAATCCCACAGCTCCTCAACCGGCAGAACCGAGATTGCCCCGGCATTGAGCACCAGGTAGTCCAGCCTGCCGCGGAACCTTTCAACTACCGCCCGCTCAATCTCCCTCTGCGTCTTGGTCGTTGTTACGTCTCCAATAACCAGCTTGGCGTGCCGGCTGGACAGCAGTCTGCACTCGCTGGCCACCTCTGCCAGCTTGTCTTCCCGGCGCGCACACAGTATGAGATCGGCACCACGCCGTGCATAGCCCAGAGCCAGGCTGCGGCCGATCCCCGACGAAGCCCCGACGATAATCACCTTGGCATTGGCAACGGGAGCGGGCTTCTGCAGCTGCTGCGAGGCTCGGTACCCGATAATTGCAGTTACAATTGATATCAACGCCCAAACATACACTGCCATTATTGCGTCAAGATGTAAACAAACAGGAAATTGGTCTGAGCCACAGGGGAGAAGTAGGGGAGAAAAGCGCAATTTGAAGTAAGCAAAGGATTTAGCCTCGCACTGTCTCCGCCGAAAAACAGCAAGGTTCCTGGCCAAGTACCAATTTCAACCTCCGAAAATCGCTAATGGGTCGTGATATCAATATTTTTATTACTTGTAAACGCAAACACGATTCGCAGGTCACTCCCAGAGCGCCTTTTCCTCAGTGCGGTCCCGAGTGATGCCATGCCGACGACTGCTTGACCGGGCTGACAAACCGCTGGTCATCGAGTGGACGGCCAATCCCGTTGAGCCGCTCGATCGACTTTTGCACAAACCGCCGCATATGGTCCCGAGGATGCACCGCGCGCTGACGGTCCAGCGCCTGCTCGCTCTCGCTCTCCTCATCGCTAGCCGGGTAAGGGCAATTTCGCGGCTCCAGCGCCGTCTTACCATCGACCCTGCCGAGCTTTCCAGCAATGCCGACCAAAAACATCTCGCGTGACCTCACCGACGTCATAAACGTGCGCTGCTCAACCCGCCGATCCTGCTCCGACATCTCGTCCAAGTCGCTGGCCACGCGCTCCAGCCGCTCCATGCGCTGCAGCGCTGGCGGCGTATAGTCCTGGTTTGTCAGGCGGTGGGATGTCAAGCGGCTGGCCTTGTGCAGAATGTCGCCGAGCTCCAGCATCCGCTGCTGTTGCGGTCGTAGGCTGGCGCACTGCGATTCTAGCCGCCACGCATGTGCCCGACTCAGGAGGTCTACCATCTCTTGCTCGCGCACCGCTGTGCCGACGGTGCCTGAGCTGCTGCGAGCAGTGATTGTGGGCTCAAACTTGAGCTGAGACGCGCCCGGCCGGTGCGGAAGCTCGAGCTCGGAGGAGTAGTCTGGGCACACTGTGTCCGAGTGCTGGTCAAATGAGGATGACGATGAGGCCGTGTTGGCCGAGTCAAAGTGGACGCCAGTAAGCATAGGGCTATATGGCGCGGATACAATCTCGAGTACAGAAGAATAAACTGGCAGTAGAATTAAGAAGCGAAAAAAATTGGGAAGGAAAGCAGTAGGAAGACATAAAAGATGGCTGGGCGGTGGAGCATGCCCAAACGAGGGCTGCATGCGGCAGGCCTTTTATCCAGACCGTTGAATAAAGAGCGGCTGGTCCAATGAGACAATCGTCACACAGACCGAATTGCACATGGCGGGGAGGGTAGGGATGTGAGGGACATACCGAACAAAGGTGGCTTGTTTGCATCTCTCGCTATTATTTGAAATTGCAGGGGTGAAGCTGGACGTCACGTGCCAAGCTGTCCAACTATTGGCCACCCGCCAGTCGGCCCGGTTCCAATGATAACCACGCCTCTTTCTTCCTCCACGATAGCTGTTGGTAGGTGAGCTACCCAACTTCGGCCACCCAGATGAAGGCAGTCTTTTACCTTGGCTGCGAGTTGGGTTCGGCTGGCACACCCCGCCACTTGGTGGCGGGCGATCTACTAGTTGCGACAAGATATGTAGTACGCATGTATCCCGTTGCATTACTCTCTGCCAGCGATTGCCATCCATGACATACATTCAAAAGTCAGTTGTTATTAACAAAATTAATGTGCCCTTAAACAAACAGATACCTGGGCTTGATCTTCCACCTCAGCAGCATATAAGCAGCGGCATACATGCCAACCGCCAGTGCCAGGTTGATGACAATGCACTCTGCAATGGTCTCGTTTCCGAGGCTGTACCCAGCAATCACCTCTTCGCCAGTGCGGTAGCACGACACTGAGTCCTCCTTGCAGTTGAAGGTCAGCCCGCTGAACTCGTTCTGCACAAATGCTGAGTACGAATAGTACATCATGCAGATGTACTTGATCCAGCGCAGCACTGGCGTGATGCTGTGCGCGTTGGCCATGTTGCCAGCAAACAGCATTAGCATGGCCAGCGTTAGCGGTGTGATGATGTGCGCGACCTCCATCGAATTCACCAGCATTGCCACTACGAAGGCAAACGCCAAGGAAGCGAGCAGGATGGACACAAAGATTGCCAGCCCAATGAAGAACTTGCCTGCGTCCACCTGGAACTTCACCAGGAAGTAAATCCCGATATACATGATAAAGTAGGGCACAAACACCAGCGGAATGATGCTCAGCACCCGAGACACAAAGTAGCTCGACATCCGATATGCGCCGCCCGACCGCTCACGCAGCAGCACTGCCCGACCTGACAACACCATGGTCATTACGGGGATAGCTACTGGGAAGACCGACAGAAGAACCATTGCAAACAGAGCACCAATACGGTTCTGCACTGACTCCTCCGAATTGCCGAGCTTGAAGAACACGAAACCAATGAACAGCATGGAAATGAGACTCTGAGCCACCAGGCCGTTGACAAGTCCGCTGTTGCGCAGCTGGAGCTTCCAGTCGCGTTCAAACAGCACCCATGTCTCGCGGATCCACCTGTTCATGGGCAGCGGCTCGGTGACAACCAAAGATGCCTGCTCGTCGGAAATGTCGGGCTTCAGGGCATTAAAGCGCTCTGAAATGTCCTGGCTCCCATTCACTGGCGTGTCGTGACCTGAGCCAGTAATATTCTTGTTTGTAGGCCAATGGAGCTTCTCACCAGAAGCCCGGAACTCGGCAAACGCATCTACTAGCTTCTGCACGCGCAGCTCGCTCGCCTGCATTGCCTCGTCGGAGGCAAAGTCAATTGACATCAGGTCAATGAAGAAGTTTGCGGGGTTCGGGTTAGTGCTTGGATGTCCGAGCTGTGTAAAGTACTGGACAGCGTCCTTTGCAGGCCCCATGTAAACGAGCTTGCCCTGAGAGAGCAGAATCAGCTTGTCAAACATGCCCACCATCTCGGTGCTCGGCTGGTGGATAGTCATGAGTGTGCCAAGATTGCGCTTGCGCGACATCTCCTTCGACAGCGCAACGACCATTTCAGCCGACGTCGAGTCTAGGCCAGACGATGGCTCGTCAAGCATAAGAATAGCTGGATCTGTGACCAACTCTACACCAATGCTGGCACGCTTGCGCTCACCGCCACTGACACCGCGCTCGAAGTGCCCGCCAATAGGCGTATCCTTCACATGGGTCAAGCGCAGCTGCCGGAGGATCTCAGCAACCCGTGTCTTCTTGTCCTCATCAGTATACTTGGTATCGGACAGGCGCAGTCGTGCGGAAGCCAGCAGGGTCTCCTCAACGGTCAGCGAAGCATGCATCAGGTCGTCTTGCTCGACAAATGCCAACAGTCTTTTGAATGAGTGTGCGTCGCGCTTGTTTCCGTTGAACTTGATGTCGCCATACAGCCGGCCGCCTTGAACACGGCCTGACAAGATGTTGAGTAGTGTGGTCTTGCCGGCGCCGCTGGCACCCATGATGGCAACCAGCTCGCCTGGGTAGATGGCGCCACTGATATCGTGCAACACCCGCCGGGTTCCGCCATCCTTGGTCTTGACATCATAGTTGAGGTTGTCCCACGAGAGAATAGGCAGGCGTGGGTCTGCAGTGTAGGGAGCCTCGGCGAATTTCTCTTCGTCGCCGGGGTGAGCAAAAGAAGTATTTGACGAGTTAATATCGGACATTTGTAGGGCTGAACCTGTCTAGTGGTATATGAGTAGTGTATGTATTGTTGTACGGCGTATGGAGTCAGCCACCAGTCACAGCCAGAGGGCTGCGCTTTTATACATTGCGTTCTCTGACTGCTCTCCCCGGATGTTGATAAATTATGCTTCAACCTGAACAGCGCTTCCCTGCCTTGCTCTTGTGTGGATTTGTCAGGACATGCAAGAGCAGCAGCGTGCTGAGACGACTATTGCACAATGCTTGGGCGATCTTAGCCAATGGCATCATGGAGGGGTTTTGGCCGCAGTGGATCGACCCTTAGATTCAGGCTCTGAATTGACCTCATAAGTATCCAGAAATTGTACTGTCGGAACCGTCAAGCTCCGGAAAAGATAGCGCTAAATTCCCTCCATCACGGATAACGCGGAACCGCTTGGAGTCACGCACATACATGTGTGGGCTATTGTTCTGTTGATGAAGCCCCGCACTTAATGAAGGCATGCAGTGGATTTCCGAGTCCACCTCTTATATTTCTTGCATTTGTCAGACTCAGGCTGGGAACGCTTCTTCCACGTCCTTCTCGAATGCCTTTTCCCCGGTCCAGCGTGAGTCAGGCAATAGAGAGGCATCAATATAAAAAATAAAATAACAGGTTCTCAAAATGTATTAGTCATCAGTCCGCCTTAAGCGACTCCCTATGTTCCGCCACATAGCGGCAACCAGTTGCCAGAATGCAGAGATTTCCAGACTTTGACCAGCACAACTCTTCATGGGATAAGCGGGCAATTTCAGGCGGCGATTTGCATACCTCTTGTGCTTTTGTTTTGGATGTGCAGTTCAACATTACACTCGCATTAAAAGCTCAAACATCCTGATCAAGGGTAATCACTGGATAATAAGCCGTAAATGTTATTGCGAAATGCTGTCTGTCTATTTGATGCATTTTTCATATCGCCCAATCCATAAAAATTGTAGCTTCCTGTTCTCTGGCCAACAGCAATAATATTTGGTGTAAACTGTACTGAACCCCTAAAAACGGCTTAGTTTGTCGAAACCTCCTGAGCCAAATCTTCCAGTGTCTTCAAATGACATGTTAAGATGCTTTCCAGAATCGAAGTCAAAGTCAATAGGGTGAGTGATGAGCACTATGTCGGGCCCAGCTCTGTCATCGGAGTCACCTGCCTTCCAATCTGGGTTCTCAACAGGAAGTACTAGGCGAGAAGCAGTAGGGGGATGTGTGGGCTGTTTGTTCTTGACATATAGCCCAGCTGTTGTGTCTTGGGTACAATACACTTAGATAGACAGCCTCCTGCAACTGCCTGGAATACGTTTACTCTCCAAGCACCTTTCCACGACATATATTGAACGTATGAAATATGGTATATGAAAGAAGGAAGGAGGAATCACCCAGTGAAAAGGGCGGGTGCCTGTCTAAGTAGTGATGCCGGCCGCCTGGAATAGTATGGATGGCCATTGTGGCCTAAGGGTCTTGATCCATGGGTTCCTAAAATCATGAGGATTTGGAACCACACCAACAAACCAAGTAATTGTAGCTTTCAAATAGTATATGTATGACTTAAGGGCGCTTGTGTTGGAACTTGAGAGCCACTCTATAGGTGAAATTGCTAGATTCATCAAGGTATAGTAGAGGTCCTTGTCTTTCCTGGTATATGCATCATGTAGCATATCATCACTGTGTATGTATCGTCCAAGCAACTCGGCTGTGAAAATCACCAGTTCATCAGCAAGGCTGCTGTTCATCGAGTTCTCAGGTATTATCATGTTATGCGCAGCATCACTCATTCCTCGTAGGCGCTCTATAACTAATTTTTCTGCTTGCCTTTCCCATTCCTCCTGAGTCCCAGATGTGTCTATAGACATGTTCCTCCTGATACTCTTAGATGTAGCTGATGGCTGATCATATCGTTTATCTGTGCCATATATAGAGGGGCTGGTCCGCTTGCACTTTGCGCCTGATGGGGTGTGCGGTAAACTAATGGCAGTCATTGTAAGTAAAGTCAAAAATACATGGGTTTAAAACTAGTTAGATGAAGCAGGCAAATTCTCCAACCCCTCTTCAGAATATTGTTGATGGAACAGTCTGCTCACTCAAGCTTGATTGCGTGTAGAGTACATTAGCTTTTGATCCAAGAGACAAGCTATTGCTGTTCAGGATCGTCCGGACTGCAAGAACCATACTCTGATAGACCAGTGGAGTGCCGTAAATAACGGCAAATAACGCTAGGCTGAAGCGCAGCAGAGATATTTGGCACTGTAAGTGTAAAATGTAGAGATAGAGGATATCGAAAAGGTATGAAGTATGAAGTATGAGGCGTGTGTGGTTGGAGTGTCAGTCTGTCAGGCCGACCATCATCTCCTGGGCCAAATATGTACCAGAAAAGAAATTCCAGCAGAGGGTCGTGCTGCTTGCGCGGCAGATTGAGCACCTGCTGTTGACTTATGAAATGAGTTGTCTTAGCTGGGCGGTCATGGTGACATTACCTTGATTATGATCACTTGCCGTAATCCATCACCGATAGGAGCAAATGACGTCTGGTCTCCAAGTCTGCTCGATATCTTGCGCTGCGTGAAGGGCTGGTCTCCGTATGTCTTACAGTAAGTATCTCTTTTCTGTTCTCCTTAGCTTATTGCTTTTATACCTAGTCATACTTTTCCTTTGTACAAGAATGCAGGCAATTACGCAGGTTCACGCAGTTCCAGCCATGACTGTTCTCAAACGCCTTTTCTCGGCAACCGTCTCTCGATCTGCTGCCAAGCAAGGTCTTGTAGTTGGTCTTCTCGACAACAAGCTGTACATGGGCGACAAGGTGCAGATCACTGGTGAGCAGGCAACCAAGATCCAATCCGAGGTCTCTGCGCTGGGCACCAAGGGCGACGTTGGCGATGTGCACGTAGTCTTGAGCTCTGACGGCACCACCCAGATCGCAGTTGTCGGCCTGGGAAGCACCGCACAGCTGGAGCAGCACACGTCAGAAATTGTGCGCAAGGCTGTTGCTACTGGCATCAAGAAGCTGGCGGCCCAGAGCGTCGAGACAGTGAGTGTTGCACCGATGCCGTGTGCGCAGTCGGCAGGCGAGGGTGCGGTCTTGGGCCTGTACAAGTTCGATCAGTTCAAGAGCAAGCAGGGAGAGGAGAAGACGCCAGTTTCGGTGACTAGTGCGGCCAGCGAAGCGTGGCAGGTCGGCAAGGTGTATGCGGAGGCGCAGAACCTGGCGCGCGATCTGACGAACACACCCGCAAACTACATGACGCCAACCATCTTCGCTGAGCGTATGCAGTCGGAGCTCTCAAAGTTTGCGAACGTGCAGGTAAACATCTACGACAAGGCGTGGGTCGAGCAGCAGCGCATGGGCGGCCTTCTGGCAGTTTCCGCGGGCTCCGACGAGCCGCTCAAGTTCCTTGAGATCATCTACCGCGGCGCGCCTTCCTCGGACTCTGTCAGCCTGGCCATGGTTGGCAAGGGTATCACCTTTGATACCGGAGGCTATAGCCTGAAGCCAGGGAAGTCCATGGACATGATGAAGGGCGACATGGGCGGTGGCGCGACGGTTGTGTCGGCGATGAGGGCGATTGCTGAGCTCCAGCTGCCGATCAACATGGTGGCGACCGTGCCGCTGTGTGAGAACATGATCAATGGCAAGGCGACTAAGGTGTCGGATGTGTATACGTCGCGGGCCGGTCTGACGGTCGAAGTCATGAACACCGATGCTGAGGGCCGCATTGTGCTGGCTGATGCGCTGCACTACACGGTCGAGCGGCACAAGCCCGAGAACATCATTGACGTGGCGACACTCACGGGTGCGATGGTGGTGGCGCTGGGTGAGCTGTACACGGGCGTGTTCTCTGCGAGCCCCAAGCTCTGGCAGCAGATCGAGAAGGCCGGCAAGACGTCTGACGAGGCAGTCTGGCGCATGCCCCTGCACGACACCTGGGACACGATGCTCAAGTCGGATGTGGCAGATCTGTCCAACATTGGAAATAAGAGCGAGGCTGGCTCGTGCACGGCGGCGGCGTTCCTGCGCCAGTTCGTCAATGGCCCAAGACTGACCCCACCCAAGGTGCCAGCGGAGCAGACAAACGACGAGGAGGTCCCGAGGTGGGCGCATCTTGACATTGCGGGGCCTATGGAGACAAGCAACTCGACCGGGTACCACTCGGCTGGCATGACGGGCCGTCCGACGCGTATGCTGATTGAGCTGGCGCGCCAGCTGTCCAGGGATCCAATTGCTTAGAATAACAACGTGCTGTCACCAAAATAGCACATAATGATGTGATATATGCCTTTTTCGATGTAAATAGGCGGATTGCATTTTGTTCTGCTCATGGAAATTATAAGGAGCGCTTTACGAAGCACCCTTGACGGCCAGGGCGCTCAGGGCCGACAGGAACGAGTTGACATTGACATCATCAGTGAGCACGGCCTCACCGCCGCCGTACTGGTTGGCATTGTTGTACGACGTCGACGGGTTCAGCTTGCTGACAAGGAAGCGGGCCTGCGAGCCATGCTGGTCGCACACAATGTAGCGCGGCACAGGCAGGCGGTCGACAAGCAGCTCCTGGGCGTCCTGGACGGGGGCCTCCAGCAGCAGCTTCAGGTTCTCGTACTCGGGCTGCTCATGGTACCCGGCCTTGCGCCACTCGGCGATGGTCTCACCGTGCCAGATCAGAATGTGGAAGAACGTGTCGAGCAGCAGCACAACGTCAGCCTTCATCGAGACCGAATCCAGCAGAACCGGCGCCGGCGGGCCCTCAAAGCCGTACGACATCAGCGTGGGCTGGATCATGATCAGCGAGTTGTTGGTGTCCTCGCGGAACAGGCAGTGACGGTAGAAGGCGGTCTCGTCGGGCGAGCTGTTGAAGACCTGTAGGAATTGCGAGCGGCGCAGATGGTACATGAACTGCGGGTAGATCGAGAAGTTCTGTGCCAGACGGAAGCTCGCCGGGTCGTCGCGCCGGTAGTCGCCGAACTTTTGGCACACACGGATCAGCATGCGGTCCAGCCAGCGCAGCACATCGGCAGCCTCGTCCAGCTCTGCCTTGAACACCGCGATGCGAGACATGAGCACAGCCGCAGCCTCCTGGTCGAACGACGCCGGGATCTCGGGCGCTGAGCCCTCGGCCCAGTTGCGCGCAATGGTGGTCACGCGCATGCGGTACTGACCCGACGAGTGCTGGTATGTAGTCACATACTGGATCAGGCCGCGCGAGCCGGGCTGCAGCGCCTGGCTCTGTTGGTTGGCGACCTCAAAGTACACGCCAACAGTGGTGTGCGGCGTGACGGTGGCCAGGCGCCATGCAGACGTGTTGCCAATGCCGATCTCCGTGTCCGAAACAATGGCTGTCTTCTTGTTGGCCGAAATCCCCGGGCCGATGAGGCCGCACACCTTGAGCTCCTTGGTGGTCTGCACCTCGAGCGTCGCATTGAAGCCCATCTGCAGCTGCTCCTGGTCGTCCTTCTCAAAGATGCGCTGGAACGACTGCTTGAAGATGGAGGTCACGTACGAGTCAGTCAGCACCATGACACCGCCAGTGCAGTTCACCAGCGACTTCATCTCGGCCAGACCAACCTGGTCCAGGCAGCCCGAGAAAATGTCGATGGCGTGTCCGGCAGCTGCAGACCGCTTCGACAAGGCCTCGTAGAACTTGACAGCCTTGCGGTAGTGGCGATCGGTCTCCTTCTCGATGTCGTGGTGACTGCGAATCGGCTCCTTGAGCTCGGGGCCGACAACCATACCAGGGCCCTGGGTGGCAGGTCCGCCGCAGAAGAGCATGACGCGGCCACCGGCGTTCGGGAACGCCGATTCCATCATGCCTACAGCGACAGCCATGGCGGCACCAGTGCAGCGCAGCGGGCGCTTATCAGCGGCCACCGGCCACGGGTCGCGCTGCAGGTTCTCGAGGATGCTGGTCAGCGTAAACTCGCACTGCTCGACAGGCTGCAGGAAGCGGTCGGCGCCATACGCCTGCTGGGCCTGCTGCGGCTGGTGCGGTGCCGACCCCGGCTGGTTGCGGATGCTCGACCCAATGCCCAGCATCTCCTGCACCTGCTTGACATTGTAGTCCTTGGTGCCGCGGAACACATACGACTTGGGGCAGTCCTGGTACCCGAGCTCGTGCACCTGCACCATCGTGCCGTACGTAATCAGACCCACCAGTGCCGTCGGTGGCAGCAGCGACAGCGACAAGATAAGGCTGTCCTTGAGCGCCTTGAGCTCGTCCTCCTCGAGGCACGTGTCGACGACAAACATGAACACGGGCGGCACCGGCGACTGGCGCGCCAGGGTATACTCAATCGTCGTGTAGCGCGGCAGCAGCTCGGGCGGCAGGTTGTGCGCGCTGATGTCCTTGTAGTGTGGCGGGAACTGGTTGCGCTGCAGACAGAACGGGCAGATCCACAGCTTGCCACGCACATCAATCTGGCAATACGGGTTCAGCACTGCGCGGCACGGCGCCTTGCACATAACTGGCTCATAGCCGACGGGTGGCAGCTCGGGCCGGTCCTTGAGAATCGTGTACAGAGTCGACACGGGAACCACACAGCGAGTCGCCTCAATGCGCGTGTTCGGGAGCACATTCCACGAGCAGCGGATGCCGTCCTGGTCCTCAATAGCTTCGAAATCCATGATGAGAAATGCCTGGGCTAGAAATTTCAGATGTATGAACGAGAGATGGGGAGCAACTGGAATCGCCGGCCAACGCTTGCTCTTAGCCGGGTTCCCAGGGCACGGCACCTCATGCGCGGGAACTTTTTCAAACACAGCCAGCCGACGCTTCACTCTCCCATTGGCCGCCGCCACCTGATCGGCGAATTAGCACGCTCCAGATTCCCAGATCATCGGCAGCGATGTTCATAGCAGCGGACACACTCTTGCCCACCCGACCACTTCCGCACTCTGCTCCGCAAACGCTATCCTAATATTTTTTACTCTGTATTCGTAATGCCGTCCGCTCGCCCCCAGCACAAGCTGTATCCGATCGAGCCCAATGCGATTGAGCTGATGTTTGGCGGTCTCGCGGCCTCCTACGCCCTCATGACGCCCACCAAGGACCTGAACGTCTACGACCACACAACAAAGTACCTGATGATGTCCAGTCTGGTGATGTTTATGTACTACGCGATTCTGGTCGCTGTCGACATCTACTGCTTCAAAGTGCCGGAGGGCCGGACTCGCGGCAAATCAATCGGGTACCGAGCCACACGCGTTCTTTCCATGACCTTTGGAACGCTGGTGGGTGCCGTGGTCCTGGCAGGCATCTACGTTTTGTTTGGCGCTCCCTTGCAGACGCAGCAGAATGAGACACTAGCTGCGGCTCTGGATGTGTCGCTGCTGGCCATTACGCCGGCGGTGGTGACTCTGAAGAGTGATCTGAGTGCGTGGCGCCGGGCGCTGCTGTCGTTCGAAGAAAAGTCCCTGCCGGAGCAGTGGGCAGCGGGGTTCTTTTGGTCCTCGATGGTGACGAGCTGGGCTGCGGCTTACTTTGTGCCCATGGACTGGGACCGGCCGTGGCAGCGGTGGCCGATCCCCATCGTCGGCGGTGCCTACGTCGGCTACTTGATTGGCTTGCTGTATGTGCTGGTTCGGTGCTTTGTACTCCCGATTGCCAGGGCTGATTTCAAGGCCACGGAGGAGGAGAAGCTCAAGATTATCCGGGAGATGGCTGCGCGCGACCAGCAAAAGAAGAAGGAGTAGGTTTTATTTTAAAGATAAAAGATTGTGAAAATGCTTGTTAGATGGCAAACTTGGCATGTCCAAATGAAATCGGCACTGCCGACGGCAGCTCAGCAATGGTGAGCTCTTCCAGGGTCTTGGAGTCAAGCACAAGCAGGCAGCTCTTGATCAGCGTGCTGTCAAAGAACACCGACAGCAGGTATCCGTCGTCCTCGTTGTCGCTCTTGGGCACAAACACAGGCTCGCTCGGATAGCATCCCTTGCGGTGCCACACCAGCGGGCTGACCATTGGGTCGTTGGTATCGATCTTGACGATGCAATTGTACATTGTGTTGGTGTTCATGTGCGCTGCCAGCCCCTGCATCCGTTCTAGATGGCTCAGGGCGTACACATAGTTTGTACGGCTTCAGGTCAAACACCGGGTTGATCCGCGGTAGCTCAATCGGCTCCGGTCTGAGAATCGTCATATGCGCCGGCGGCACCACGGCCGTCCTCCCGCGGCTCTCGACAAACTTTGCTGCCTCCATGGTAATACCGTTCAGCTGGTAGCGGCGCACCTGGCCCGACGGCAAGAAGTACCCGGTTGACGGGTGCCGCAGCTGCTTGACGCGCAGCTTCCTCAGGATTGTGTCATCTTCGTAAGCCACCAGGTCGATCATCACCGAGTCTGTCGCGCTCTCCTGCACGGCATTGATCTGGTGCAGCGCAAAGAACGACGGCGCCTCGTACACACACTGCACGCGGCGGTACTCGCGGCTGATAACGTAGAACTGTACCGGCTGGTTGGGTGCAAACGCCAGGGACTCCAGCAGCGAATCACCCCACCGGTAGTTGCCACCGATTGGCGATGCATACGGGTAGACGGGCACGATGATGTAGTCCTGCGTGATCGAGAAGCTGTGCATCACCGACGCCTGGGCAAAGAAGTTGGCCACGACGTATCCCTCCGGGTGGGCCTCGCTGATCGCCACCACGTTGTAGGTGGTCGAGCGGAACCCTACGTCCTGAGTGACAGTAAAGTACTCGCGCGTGTTGGCGTCGTATTGCATATGGGCACTGCTCAGGTGGGCCTTGAACAGTTGGTTGATGTCCTTGAGCTCCAGCACCGAGCGCGGACGCAGGTCCTCAGGATCCAGGTTCTGAACGGCACCCATGTGGTTGGCTGTCACAATGTTTTGCGTCGAGCCCTGCAGCGGCATGAACAGCTGGATGTCCTGGTTGCAGCACTCGCCCTCTGATGTGTTGTAATGCGCACCCTTGGGAATGAACATGTTCAAGAATGTCTGGTTTGTGTCCGTCTGGTACAGGGCTCCGGGGCTGCGTGTGCTGACACCGTGCTCCATCTGGATCCGCCCTGCCAGCTGCTTAGCTATCAGACGCGACCGGTACGTGATCGTCTCCTCCTTGTCGTCAAAGTAGAACTTGCCCAGCAACGGCAGCGCATCCATCAAATTGCCGAACGTGAACGTCTGGGTCGCCTGCTCCAGCTCGCGCTGGACATTATACTTGATATCAAACCGGCCAGGCCCCAGCGTATACAGGCTCCCACGCAGGCCATCCGGGAACGACCCGTTGAGGATCCGTAGCGTGATCGGCCTCGGCTGCTCGTGCGCATTAGCAAGCCCACTGCGCAGCATCTCGATGTCGCCCGACGACAGCTTATCATGTTGCATCCGCTCGCGTTCCTTGCGTCGCTGCTCGGCAATTTTGAACAGCCGCCTCTGCTGTTCCTCGCGTCGATCTGCCTCGTCGTCTGAGTCGTCAGCTTCAGCAATCTCCGGTTGCTTCGACGAGCTTGGACCAGCACGCGGTGGCAGCCGAGGGCTAAGCGACTTGCGTGGCGGCAGTGGGGGACTCAGTGACGTGCGTGGCGGCAGTGGCGGGCTGATGGAGGTGCGTGGTGGTGAGCTGAACGCCGTGCGCTCGGTCTCGCTCGAATAGGGCGTGGACCGGGTCGCGTACGCGTGCGATGCCGAGCTCTTGTTAAGAATCGCCGCCGCAATGTCTGCAGGTGATGGCCCGTCTTCCTGCAGCGGATGCGATGCTGTGGGCACCTTGCTGGATGTGCGCGACGCTGAAGGTACCTTGTCCGCCAGACTGATGTCTTCAAGAACGCCAGCCACTGCCTCTGCAGACAGGTCGCCAGCGAAATCCCCAGCATTGCTCTCGCCACCAGTGCTTCCCGATTTGCCATACGACACCGTGGCCTTTTCCAGAGATCCGGTCTCTGGCAGCGAAGGTGGCTGGAGTGCGTTGGCTTCAGGCTCTTTGGCACCTGGCTCTTCTGCGGCGGGCTCCTCGCTAGTGGTTTCTACCGTGGGCTTCTCCTTGCCAAACTCTTCGTCCTTTTCTGTCTCGCTCTTCTCTGTCTCGTCCTTTTCTATCTCGTCCTTCTTTGCCTCCTCCGTGACCCGTGTCTCGTCATTAGCAAGCGTTTCCTTGGCTGCCGGTGCCTGCTCTACGGCCCCGGGTGCAGTCCCGCTAACCAGCCCAGGCTTGTCAGTAGTCGCTTCTTTGTCAAGATTACTCATTTAGTGAACAACAAATGGCTGAATCCTGCAATGAAAAAATAATAGCTTGCGAAAACAAATTAGAGAGGAGAGAAGGTACACTTGCGCCTTAGTTTATTTTTAGACTAGTGACATTGTGCCTTGGCGAAGGCCACGAAAAGTGTGCTTTTGTTTTCAGTTGCCCCTGTTTTTGTGACAGCCTTCTGTTTAACGGGTTGCTCAGTTGCTAATGCCGAACGCAGTTCATAACCACGGCGGTGATCATTACTGCTGGGTGTGTCATCACTTCGTCATATTTTCAAGAAATCTAGGCGACTCTAATATAATCTGGACAGCTGGCAGATGGACTCAGCGAGCAATAAACACATGTGGTGCATAACAGCATCTATATATTTGTGAGACATAATACCGCATCACACAAAGGTGCACCGGTATATATTGAGACCGTTGGCCCTTGAGTGCTGACACAATCTTGGGCCGCTATAAACCAGACTAGACACGCACATACCCAGGCTCAAAGAGACCAACTACTCACCATCTTTCTCAGCTTGTTTACTATCACACACTCACCAATTTAGCTTGAAAGCACCTACTCGTTCAGAGTTGACAATCCTGAAATTAGAGTGCCGAGCCACTCTTGCATCGCTCTGCCAACGACCAAACTACATAGACCGAGCCTCAAACGGACTGACCTCTCTCCCTTTTCTTTATCTTGTTTTTACCTTTTGATTACTCTACATACACACATGCAACCACCCATCCGATTCCGAAGGTTAGCACAGAATATCTTGTTCTTGTTTCAATCCCCCTATCGTATTGTTAATAAGAGATATACTCACTCAACATGCAAGCGGGGCTGTTCCATATGTAAATATGGAAAAAGAAGTAATAGAGGAATTTTCCGATGTATGTGTCGAACGCATAGCTTCTTGAATTGCGACCAATAAATCAAGCATGGTAGCCGTCAAGGAAATATATGCGTGTCTAAATCGACAAGGAGCAGCAGGTATCATCAATGGATATTTGATGTCATCAAGTAGCCTGCAAAGAATTGCTCTAAATGCCCTCGCCATTTTGGTGATAACATGAATGCTCTTCGCAATCTGTGCCAAAGAGTTCGCTGGCTACATGGTACATTCAGCATATTCTAACCCAACTCTAGCCCATTCATATTGCAGGGTGGCCGACAAGAATAACTCAATCTTTTGTTGACCGTGGAGAAGAAGTATGCTCCTGTACGTAGACATATTACATATCACAATTGACATTTTGAAAGGGATATTTGTTGCTATGTATGGTTGTGTATGCATTGTTTGTAGATAGTTGCACATAATGTTCATATTGAGTAAAACCAACTTGACTATTTAATTGCCTAACATTCCAGCTATTGTTAATTTCGAACCGCATAGCATGGAGTGTTTGCATCACAGAAGGGTATAGCCAAGCCAACAACAGCCTCAGTTCGGACCCATGTAGTTCATATTCGTGTTTGTACCTGTTTGGACGTTCCTGGCATTGGCGCCCTTGTTGTTCGCAAACAAACTGTTCTCGTGGTACTGGTCATCCTGCAGGTTGCCGTTCTGACTGTTGCTGAAGTTGAACGTAGCTGGCGCTGTGCTTGCACCGGGGCATTCCTGGCCTTGAGACTGGTCGCAAGGCTGCGGTGCAGGCTGGGGAGCGGGTTGAGGTTCTGGAACAGGTTGGGGAGCGAGAGTAGGAGCCAGTTGAGGCTGAACACAAGGCTGGGGAGCTGGAGCAAGGCAAGGGGCTGGAGCAGGAGCCGGTGCCGGGGCTGGCTGGGGTGCAGGAACCGGGCACCTCTGAGCCTGAACCTGGCCCTGGTCACATGGTTGAGGAGCGGGAGCTGGTTGAGGTTCGGGTGCCAGAGCAGATTGGGGCTCAGGATCCGGAGCTGGAGCTGGACAGGGCATATTAGGAGCAACACCACAACCGAAAATTTGGCCACTACCAGCCGAGAATGCCAGGTCAGGGAACACATTTGTGTTTGAATAGCCCAGTCCAGCAAAGCGTGGGCTGGGGAAGAGGTTATTGGCAGTGAACTGCAGCCCGCGCCTCTCAAACAGCACGCTATCCATGCGGTCAACTTCGACAGGGGTCGCGTTGGCCAAAGCTAGAGCGATAAGGCTGATAGGCAAGAGGTGGCAATGCATTACTTGTAAAAGGAGGTAGAAATGACCAATTGAGAATATGAGCAGGGCTCTAAAGAAATAACATCTGGCACCAGAACAGCATCAGCCTTTATACGGCTAATACTGTCACTGTGCTGGTGCATGCACCCGAGCTAATTCGCGCTAGAAGAAATATCACTTGTGAGTATGTAGCTCTACATACACTTAATCCCAGTGGGACTTAGGCGATCCAAAGATTTATCAAGTGTGCCTTTGTTTCACACAGCGCACAACGGCAGCGACGGTCAGTACTCGCACGAAGAAATCCGACAGGTAATTCTAGATTGATAACGACTGTGATATCCCAAAAGACCTCCTTTTGACATTATGTAGTTTACCAACCTGTCCTACTTGTTCAAGAAGCTTCACCGTCCACACGTACCTGCTCATGTTATTCATCGCTGGTGCCTCGAGCTTTAAACTTCTTAACGGCTAAGGCATTTATATTTCGTCCTGGTCTTATCTTTCTTGATACCAGATCAATGAAACTTTAAAATGCCATATCCGATGGTGCTGGGATTTAGAAACTGGGTGCAAATATTATCATGTCTACCATCTAATGCTATATGTGAACCTTATTTGGTATTATGCACACAGATAGCTTAGTTGCTCTCTCGCCTTAGAGCTAATGCATACACTCGAAAGTACCAACAGCACTGGCAGCCAGTAGCCGGTTTTCTACATGGCAAGGAGGCTTGCGCGAAAGTCGCAAACTGGGAGAAGGCTTTGGCCAGAAACAGGCGGTATGCTGCGCAAATTCGCAAATTCGATGCCTTCTCTTTTTCTCCTCTTCTAAGCCCTAGCTTTTCTGACTACATGCCATCTAGCATCATTATTATTTGCTCCACGGGCTTTGGGCTCCCTCGCTATGTGGATAGTAGCATCAGCCGAGACGTCGCACAGGCAGGAAACGAACTAGAATCTCATAGGCCGCTTCGACAGCTTCAGCCACTACAGACCCATCTCCTATGTTCCCCACACGACATGGGTTTCTTGCACCCTCCCCGTACGAGTCGCAGTTTGTGGTGTCCCTGACGGTGTGGAGAGAGTTAGGATGGCGATGGACCAGTATGCCCAGAGCCCCTGGATCACGTCTGGAAGATTCGTAGGCATACTGAGCCAGCCATTAAGGCTAAGGAGAAAGCCGGGGAGGCAGAGGAGGGAGGCAGAGGAGAAGAGAACACGCAGAAAAACCAGAACTTGGAACTGAATGCAGGCCAGTTGCGGAATCCTGCGATCTGTTTTTTCAAGGCAGTTATCAGTGACTCATGTACTGGCAAGACCACGTTCGAGATGTACAGAACTTTTGAATCGAGGTGTGCTGAGTTCTGGAGAGAGTCTAGCTCTCTTTATGAGATAAGCTGTGCACCCACACAAGAACCCTCGTCAGCAACCACCCAAGCGATCCTGGCTATGGCAGCTGCCAACAGGGCCATGCAGCGGATCAAGGACCTTTTAGGGCTTCAGACTCTGAACACCAGACAGCTGCTGGCAACTACCGTTTACGCCAGTATATGTAGTAGGCCAACAGAATATTTCATGCCACGTTTTCAGCACTTCAGCCTCAATATACAGTTTGGCGGCACACCTGCATGCCAAGGGACCAGACAAGAGGTCTGCTAATGGTAGCATCTCGAGTCAGCAACTGATACGGTAGATATGCCATTGAAGAGAATATAGATGGATGTTTAGCACGAGACTGTGACAGGCTTGCCATCGTTGTCGAGGACCTGCACCGACTTGGTCCAGTTGTACTGCTTCTTGCTGAGAGCGTACTGGTACGACTTTACGCGGTACAGCGTCTCCTTCCATGCGCCCGAGGCGTTCTCCTTCTCCTTCGGGTAGAGCAGGTCGTTGGTGCGCACCTGCAGGAACTTTGTCAGCCAGGCGACCTCGTCGACGTTGTGGCCGCTTGATCTTGAGCGTGCTACCCGAGCTGCCCTTGGCATCGGCCTTGAACGACGCGTTGGTGGTCTTGATCAGCCCAGCCAGTCCGTCGGCGTCCGATCCAGTGCCGTGCTGGATGCCGCAGTCGTACAGCTGCGCGCGGCTGATGCTCAGCTTGAGTCCGAGCTGGTCCGCAAGCTTCTGCGATGGGTTATAGTACATGCTGTCGCGGATCGCGTCCTGCGCATTGCGGAACTTTGCGTCGGACTTGCCCAGCTTCGACCACACCGAGCAGTATCCGTCGAGCCCGCTGGTCGAGTCACTGCCGGACTGGGCATACTTCTTCAGCACACCGTCGTACTTGCTGAAGGAGTCCTTGCCGCCTGTCAGCTTGTGGTACTGCTGGACCACCTCCCATGCGTCGGCGGTGCCGGTGCAGAACCCAGAGATGCCAGAGGTGAACCCGCGCCCGTCCTTGATGTTCTCGCAGTAGTCGTAGTGGAAGTTGGTGTCGCCGTTCTCGTAAATGTTGGTGATCTTGAGCGCAAGCGTCTTGGCGCAGGCACTGTTGCCCGAGGCGGTGTCGGCAGCCGGCGCGGCAGAGGCAGCGGCTGCGAGGAATCCGAGGGTAAAGGCAGTGATCTTCATTGCTGGATGCAGGTGGGGGTGAAGAGGCTGGTGTGGAATTGCTGGCTGGTGTTGTTGGTAATGAAAGTGTGATGTCTGCGAGGAACGCCTGTGCTTTTATATTCGCAGCAGCACATAGCTACCGGGTGGTGGCTACATTCAGGAGACCTGAGTGGGCTTGGCGAGCGCACGCTGAAAAGCCTAGACAGCAGGCTCCGACCAGGGTCTCCAAAAATACGCATTCGTAAATGGAAACGAGATGAGATGCCAAAAAGCCTCTGTGGGTGAAAGCGATGTCCACAAAGGAGAAGCTGGGCGATCGAAGGATTCGGTTGATTGCCGTTCGTCTGCAGGCCAAAAATAAACGGTGGGTTCAGCACGTCTGGGCCCTGCTTCCGGTCCTTGGCGCCGGGATAGCCAGCACTCAGACGCGGCAGGCTTCTGGACGAGTCTCGCTTTGCACCTGTTTTTTTGTTGAACCAGCCATCGCTGGGGGGGTACATCAATGCGAGCAGTTTGCATGTCGGCAAGCGTGGGAGCTTGTGGGCTGTCGGCAGAGAACAGGCAGGCCAAAGGAATCGGGTCATAGGCATCCCACTCCAAACCACCTCCAGTGGCCCGGGTCTAAGAGGACCGACTCCGATGCTGGCCGATGGCCCAGTACAGGAGCTGGTGGCTAAGCACTGTAAGCAGACGGGTCTGGTGAGGAATATCGCTTTGTGCTGCTTGTGCCTCGTTACGAGAGCGAGCAGTGGCAGTTTTAGTAATGCGATGTCCGTTACTAACGCAGTTGTCCTGGAGCGCCAGCCAGTCACGCTGGTTCAGGATGCGTGACTAAAGCCCCAGCCGAATGACAAATCGGCCACCAAATCCTTAATAATCACCACACTGGCCCGATCTGCATAAAAAGCGCTGATTTTGGCACTGCCGGTTCTTGGTCTCCCAGCTTTTCAGCCACTCCCAGATCTTCTACACATCCCTTGTATTTCTACAGCAACAACACCAACAACACCAACAACACCAACAACACCAACAACAGCACAAATGTCCACCACTACAAAAATCACTAAGCAGGTCTCGCGAATCATCACTGCACACCGCCAGCGCGAAGGCGGCGGCTTTATCGTGCGCCGCCCAGTACCATCCGGCAGCCTGGACATGGTTGACCCGTTCCTGATGCTCGACCATCTCGGCCCGACAAAGTATGGACCCGGCGAGGCTGTTGGTGCCCCGATCACCCACACCGTGGCCAGGAGACCATTTCGTACGTGCTGGAGGGCGAGATTGAGCACCGTGACAGCCACGGCAACCACGGAATTCTCAAGCCCGGGTGGGTTCAGTGGATGAGCGCAGCATCCGGCATCATCCACAGCGAGATGCCGACCGAGAAGATGCTCAAGGAAGGCGGTGTTATGCACTCCTTCCAGATCTGGGTCAATCTGCCTGCCAAGTACAAGATGACGGCGCCTCGCTACCAGGACGTTCCGCCAGAGAACATCCCCACATTCACCTCCAGCGACGAAAAGACACAGATCAAGGTCATTGCAGGCAAGGTTGAAGATGTCACAGCCAACATTGACACGCGCACGCAGATATTCTTCCTGGACCTGCGCACCACTGGGCAGTACGCGCTGGATCTCCCAAGCGGCATGGACGCAATGGTGTACAACTTCCACACGGAGCCGATCCTGGTTGGCAACGAGAAGGCAGAGGTGAAGGAAGGCCAGATGGCTGTCATCAAAACCGACGGGCAGCCGATTGGCTTTGAAGCTGCTGGGTCGGAGGAGGCGCGCGTTCTGGTCCTGGCCGGCACCCCGATCGGCGAGAAGGTTGCCCGCTACGGCCCATTCGTCATGAACACCAGGGACGAGCTGTACCAGGCGTTTGAGGACATGGAAACCGGGCGGTTTGGATCCATCCCCGGTCAGATGGAGCGCATGCAGCTAACGGACTCTGCCAATGCAGCCCGTGCGAAGGCTGGCAAAGAGTAATAAATAGTCTATCGAAGTAAATAGTTAGATAATGCGTTAATTGCATATTTTCATCTAGCAACTGTGCGAAAGTTGCAGCGTCATAATGGCAAGAATATCAGAATGATGGCTGCGGATACATCATCACACCCACAAATCACCAATTATCTAGACATGCTTATATTCTGGAAGACACATTGCTGCTAGAGGCAAAATATCATTATCCACATTGCACTTATGTCTATATGATGAACAAAAGCTCGTTTAACAGCAACAAGCGGCCGTGGACAAACAGCAGCTCTGACGACCGGGTGCTGCGGCGGAACCTCGAGCGGTACTGGTCATTATATTTTCCACGCCAGGATGTCGAGGCAGCACCGCAAGAATATATCGATGATATAACCAAATTTGCAACCTATCTCCAGACAAATGCCGGCTGCTTCAGCATGCAGACCAACGCATCGTGCATGTTTGACTATCAGACACTGGTGGCAGACAACCCTGTGGAAGACTTTGCGCAGCGGATCCGCAACGAGCCCGAGTATCTTTTGTGTTGCCTTGGGCTCGCTGTGTGTTTCGTGCTCAGCAAAGAGTATGGCGGTGAGGCCGAGCATATACTTGGAGACCACAAACTACATATCCAGCTGCTGCATCACGAGCCGCTGACACATATGAAGTCGCTTAAATCGGGGTACGTCGGCAAGTTGGTCACTGTGCGCGGTACTGTGGTGCGCACGACGCCGGTAAAGCCGCTGCTAGTACAGGCTGAGTTCAATTGTGCACGGTGTGGGACTGCGCAGATCGTCAAGATCGTGGATGGCAAGTACGAGATGCCAGTAAAGTGCTACGCTCAGGGATGCAAGAGCAAGGTGTTTGATCTGAACCGGGGTGTGTGCCCAGGGACGCGCACAGTCGATTGGCAGCAGATTCGGATCCAGGAAAAGATTAGCGACGACCCGAAGGATCCCGGCCGGGTTCCACGCAGTATTGAGGCTGAGTTGCTTAACGATCTAGTCGACAGCGTGGTGCCTGGCGATGTGGTCAACTGCACGGGAATCGTCAAGGTGCTGCAGTCAGACGAAGGCAGGGGCCGCGGCAAGCCGAACTCGCTCTATATTCTGTATCTAGATGCTGTAGCTATCAACAAGGTTGGCGGGAGTGGGCCGGCAGAGGGGGACGACGGCGCCTCGGCAGGCGCGCAGGTGCCTGGCACCGACGATATGACGACCAAGGATGGGATCCATTTTTCACACAGGGACTTGGAGATGATCCGCGACATCCACCAGCAGCCAGCGCTGTTCCGGCTGCTCGTCAACTCATTCAGCCCCGGGATCTTTGGACACGAGGTGGTGAAGGCAGGGATCATGCTAGCGCTATTTGGCGCACGTACCCGGTCCGACACCGAGAAGGGCAGCTTGCGGATCCGCAGTGACTCGCATGTGCTTGTGGTCGGTGACCCGGGGTTGGGTAAGTCTCAAATGCTGACTGCTGTGGGACAGATCGCCCCGCGTGGCGTGTACGTGTGTGGTACAAGCGGAATTTCTAGCAGTGGCCTGACAGTGACACTGGTTAAGGAGGCAGGGTCAGGCGACTTTGCCTTAGAGGCTGGTGCATTGGTGCTCAGCGACATGGGGTGCTGTGCCATCGACGAGTTTGACAAGGTCAGCTCCGAGCACAGCTCGCTGCTCGAGGCCATGGAGCAGCAGTCGATTAGCATTGCCAAGGGCGGGCTTGTGTGCAGCCTACCAGCGCGCGCCAGTGTCATTGCAGCGGCGAATCCCGCCGGCGGCCACTACAATAAGGCCAAAACTGTGGCCGAGAACCTCAAGATCAATGGCGCGCTTTTGTCGCGGTTTGACCTGATATTCATTCTGCTGGACCGGCCGGATGCCGATATGGACCGGTTCTTGTCGGAGCACGTAATGGCGCTTCACTCAGGCAGCAGCGCGGCGAAGGAGGCACAGTTTCCATTGCACGAAGACACAACGCAGCAGTGCGAGGGCACAATGGCCAGCGCTGGCGGGTTGGAGAAGTGGCTGCGACTGAAGCCAGGCGAGAAGCTCGATATGATCCCGCCGCCGCTATTGCGCAAGTACGTTGCGTACGCACGCAAGTATGTGCAGCCTCGGTAAGTGGAAAACAAAAACAGGCAGGCAAATGGGTGGTAAGCGAGGCAAATCGGCTGCTGACAGTCCAAGCTTCAAATAGGTTGTCGCAGGAGGCAAAAGCAAAGCTGCAGAGCTTTTACCTGGAACTCCGTGCAAACCACCGGGCAGTTGACTCGACACCGATTACGACCCGGCAGCTGGAGGCCCTGGTGCGGTTGGCTGAGGCGCGCGCGCGCGCAGAGCTGCGCGAGACGGTGACGGCATCGGACGCCGAGAATGTGGTTGAAATCATGCGGTGCAGTCTGTTCCAGACGTATGAGGACGAGGATGGGCTGTTCGACTTTGGGCGGTCGCAGATGGGTACGGGGGTAAGCCGCACAAGCGACATCAAGCGGTAAGTGCATCACAGCTGTTGGCAGGGAGTGAGCCTGTGTATAGCCTGTATATTGATTGTCGCCGAACTGGACAAATGGACAGGCGGTGGTTTTGTTGTCTGCCAGAAAATCCGGGCTGCATTGTTGGCATCTCAGGCACATGCTGCGTCCATGTTGCAGCCTGGGCAGCCACAGGGGGTCCGGGAGGGGCGGCTTGGCACGGGGTGATATGTGCCTTTGGGAATAGTTGGTCATATGAGCCTGCGCTCGCAGATTGGATCAGCAACCGACGTCCGCGCAAGAGGGCAGGGTGGTGATATACAGAGCAGGAGCACATGCATGGGCGATTGCGACGTCCATCTCATGGGCCACCTACAGGTCGCTCGAGGGATTTGCGTATGCAGTGGTTAATGAGAGACTTTCCACATTGAAGTTGAATGAGGCGCTAATCTCGTGTTCACAGTGTTCTTTTTGGCAACCCGTGCTGCCATGTCTTTTCGCGACATAGATTTGTTCATCGGCTGCAGAGCGTCAGCGAGGAGACATACAACAACATGTTTACGTACTCGATGCTGCTGGACATTGCGACAAGTAAGTAGTGCCTGTGGACCGCTGCAGCGTGAGATGCCAGGTGACAGCCATGCTAACACAGTGCAGTTGATAGAGATGGGGCTGCGCTTCAACAACTTCCAGGATGTCATCGACAAGCTCAACAACCAAAACTACCTGCTCAAGAAGGGCCACAAATCGTATCAATTGACGACGTTCTGAATAAAGGATTAAGAGCCGACGTGCAGCTAGACGATTCGCAGCGACAGGATGGAGCGCACATCATCGGTGAAGCGCAGTGCATCCAAGAGCGGCAGCAGATCCAGCAGTGCCTCGTCCTTTGGGTCGCTGTTGACCCAGGGCTGGATCGGGATGCCGTTTGTCTGGTTGATAAAGTACGACAGCGGCGAGTTGTCAATCAGCACGATCTGGGAGAGATCCGGGTCGACGGCTGTCAGGTCCTTGGCATAGCTGGTGTCGTGCGGGATACACGACTCGCGGAAGAACCGGCCCGAGATGTACTTTCTCTGTGCATCGAGCAGATCGATAACCGGGTCCGCATACTCTGCCAGGGATGCAGTAAACACCACAACCTTGTACCACTCACTGACTTTGCGCAGAAAGTAGTCGACGTGCGGGCGCTTGTACACATAATATAGGCATGCCACCTTGTCGATCACGACCTCGATCCGGTGGTGTGCCCGGTACGACCCCTGTGGCGACGAGTGGATCAGCGTCTCGTCCAGATCCAGCACCAATGTTTTCTTCTTGAAGCTGCGCGTTATCGACGAGGGCGGCGTGCTTGGCACCGCTGGCATTGAGTGGCGGTTTGCACGCTTCACCACCGCCAGCGAGTCGTCCAGGGCCGTAGAGGTAGAGCCGGAGGATGCACGACGCCGGGGTGGTGTGCTCTGCGAGGGCTCAGGCACCTCGTCGATTGTGTGGGCAAGGGGCGAGGTTGTGCGACGCGGCTGGCGGCCAAGGGGCGTGCTGGCCGACGGTATCCGAGTGGTAATCGGCTGGTATTCGTCGCCGACCAAGGAGTGCGGGTTTGGAAGGTACTGCAAGAGGCGGTCGAGGAGCGGCACGCTTGTCAGCAGCCCATAGGCAAGCGTGTACAGGTATATGAGGGCAAAATAGACCGCAGAGAACCGCCGGGCCGGCTTGGGCCGCTGCGTCTGTGGCGGGCGAACAATCGGGCTCTTTTCGTCGGAAAACGAATCTCGCTGCATCCTGTTTTCCTTTGGCGGCCAGGAGCACGGATATATTATCGGCGGCGGGTTGTCGGAGGCAAGCAAAGGTGGACGGGGGTGCTAGAGTTTTGGAAGGCAGAGGAGAAAATAGACAAGAGTACAGAAGCAGTGTGTAGAAATAGATCGCAAGCCCATGCGCTTGGGTCGGCTGTGGCCACTCCTGTCCCTCTCCGCATCTCCGAATTAAGAAGCAGTGGGCGCGATGGCCATTTTTATGGAGAGCGAAGCGTGTGAACCAAGCAGCGCTGATTGCGCGCTAGTGGATGGTGCTGCCCGATGATATTTCCTGCGCCCCATGCACCAGGCAGACACAGCGCAAAATTTCAGCATGCATTGTGCATTTGCACACAAGCAAGCAGGAGCCACCACTTCCAAATGCCTGCACTGCCTGACGCCGACTTCATAAACCAGCCTGTATTTGATATGAATTCCTTTATATCCGCTGTTTGCCGGGACGTGTGCGGGGTTCCACCGACTGGTGACTGCGCTCCGTTTTTATTGACTCCATCCTGGTCCGTCCACCCCGAAAAAGGGGCAGAGGAAGGCGGCCGTTTGTTTACAGCCGTTGGCGTCCCTATCTTGCTCAGGGTGTCCTGCCTCGGCAGGTGTGCGCGAATCACAAAAAATCGGTGTGGCTCGTTTTCCTGTTTCGCCCAGAGACAAAAACGAGGGCCCAGAAAACGCCTTATTTCCTGTGCCGTCCCTCTTTTCCTTTCCTTCTCTCTCTGCTTTTTCATATCCTTTCCATTTTCTTCCTTCCCGGGCCCTTGCTTTTTTGGAGCATTTTTCTTGGAACCCGTGTCTTTCAGTTATTTGAAGCGCCCTTTTGTTATTTCGGAGGAGCCAGCGAGCTTAAAAGTAGCAGCGCTATCCAGAAACACTGCTTTTATTTGGAGGACCGCGCAAAAAGTACCGTTTACTGCCCTTCACCAAAACCGGCCCCTTTTTTCTTGCATGCCCAGTTAGCCTAAAAAGCTTATTCGATACGCTCACTATTCTTATTTCTCTGTATGCCTGAGCATTGGCAGCTGTTCCAGTTTGGTGGGCCCAGCTCCTAGTAAACGAGATCGCGCAGCACAGTTTATTTGCGTCACATTATTTATTTATTCCAAGAGGTAAATGGCTGGATGCATCGGCGAGAGTGCAGATAGTGTGGCAACGGCAGCAGGCATGGAGGGTCAGATGTCGCCAAAGAGTTGCACTGTGCTTATTGTTGACAGGCGGTTTCTCAAAGGCGTGTATCACACTACGACAAATGAGGGCAGTCCGCGCCTCCGCACGGGGCCGGCACGGGACGACGTTGTTTTCGTGCAGGAACTACTTGAAATATACAGCCAAGGTAACAATGACGACAAAGGAAACAAGATGCAGTGGCCGTGGGAGGGCAAAGAGCGGGGGTTGTGCTAAAACCGGGTATCTGTAGTCGTGGCGGTTCTGTCTGGAGACACGGCGCTGCGGTGGATCTTCAACAACACGGGGCAGCGCACCATCATCGTGCTAATCGATGTGGACGATACGTTTGATCGCAGTAGCCGGCAAGGCCCGATCTATACGCCGCCGGCGAGCCCCGAGGACGGGAAGCAGTGCGGCTCGGACGCAGAAGGACCGTATGGCCTGGCTCTCCTGCGTGTCATTGCGCATTATGCGGCGATTGGCGTGTTCCGGAACGTGGCTCCCATAGGTAAGAATTCGCAGATATAGTGTGTGGCGGGACGAGCGGTCAGGCCACGGGGGCATTGTTGTCGCATGCCGGGCTTCCCATGGACACATCTTTTTGCTTGCGCCTGCAGCGGGACATGTGCTGCAGCACGGGGGTCCCGGGGCAGCTGGTGGGTGTCACACCACCGCCGTCGCCCATGGGAGTGGCCTGCCCAATGGATGTCGTGTCCCTGTGCCCAAATATGGCGTCTTGCGCATGACACCCAAACGCGTCAGTTCCAGCACACACGATGGGGGTGGGTTGGGAATGTCGTGTTGTGGCAATCCGTCCTTTTGTCGGGCTTGTGGCTCGAAAAGCAGCTTCACACATAGCTTCTCAGTTGCATTCTGAAATGGTGGGTTTTGTGAGGGGCTGCAAATCTCGCTTTTATTCGCCAGGCAAGCTGGCCAATAGTCTGGCCCGCCACTCTGGATTTTCCCTTTTTTGCGGTGGGCCCAATGCCCTTTTGCATGCTAATCAGGTGGTTTCTGCTCTGTCGCTTGGAGAGGCGGCAAACCTGCTCCGCGCCCTCGACACGCCAAAGGCTCGCTCTATGCGGCTCTTCTACGCGCCTCAGCACCCGCATTTTCGAGCGGGCAAGTCGGCCTTGCAAAAGCTGTCTGAGCAATAATGCAGAAACTGCAGCAGCCATGGCAGCGGACAATCCCTGTATGCACACGCAGCTTTTTCAAGCCCTTTTGTGGCCCACCAACCCACCCCCCGCCATTTTCCCTCGTCTATGCGTGCTTCTCACTGGCCAGAATTTCCCACTTGGGGAGACACGGAGGCCTCTCAGTGAAGGGGGCATGGCAGCACCCGTTAGTGTCAGAGCACCGCCGCCCGCTGCCACCACCGCCGGCGGCCTTGTTACTTTCTTTCTGCCCGCCGCTGCCGTTTTATTGCTCTACCGACGGCCCTTTTCGCTCCTTTTCTCTCTCCTGACACCGCCCCACCTGTTCTATATACTCTGTATTTTACTCGCCGCAAACAGCCTGAAGCTAACTACCTGCTCCCTTCTTCCTTGTATTGCACAATTAATTATTGCTCTGTATCTGTACCATGACCACATCCCTGCACACGATGGCGGCTTCCGATACGACAACACAACCGCACACCCCGCCGGCATCCGGATTCGACATGCAACGGCGACGCAACTCGTTCTGCTGTCCCACGACGCCCCGGCCAACAGTAGCCATGAGCACGTCACGGGACCCGGGCTTTATGCGGCAGGTGGCGAGCATGGGAGCACTCAATTACCTGATCAAGCCGGTATCCGCACAGACAGTGCACAGCCTGTGGCTGAATGTGTTCTCGTGCCCACAGCAGCCTATTCACGGCTCGCAGGACAGCGTCCTGGAGGCGCCGCAGCAGAAGATCTTCCAGCGGCGGATACGCACAGACGCGTTCAACGGAGCAAGCACTGCAGACGGGCGGAATGCAGCATTCGAGGAGGACTTTATCCGGCAGTTTATCCCGTCGATTGGAGCGACAGCACCGCCTGACGGGGATGTGTTTGGAGACGTGGTGGTCGACAGCGAGTACCTGGGCGCAGATGGCGCCGAGTCGGGCTTTATGGAGAGCGCAAGGGCGCAGCTGCTTCGGGCGCAGCTCCTGGAGTGGTCATTCAACCCGTGGGAGATGTCCAGGCGCGACCTGCTCGACAGCGCAGTTGTGATGATCATGGATGCGGCGGCGTGCGTGGAGCTGGAGCTGCGGGTACCGCGGGTGCAGCGGTTCGTGGCGATTCTGGAGACGGCGTACTACGACAACCCGTACCACAACTTCCACCACGCAATCGACGTCACACAGTGCACATTCTACATGCTGCATTCGCTGGGGCTGTTCAACAAGTCGGGGTTCAGGCGGGCGTCCCTGCGGACCCCGGCGGAGACGTCGTTCCCGATACGCAGCATCCTGCGACCGGTGGATGCCCTGGCGCTGATTGTGGCCTCGCTGTGCCACGACCTGGGCCACCCGGGCCTGAACAATGCGTTTATGGTGCGGGCACGCACGCAGCTGGCGGAGGTGTACAACGACCAGTCGGTGCTGGAGAACTTCCACGCGGCGTGCTTCTCGATGATCATGTCGTACTACTTCACCGACTTCATTGCCCGCCATGCCGACGCGAGCAGCACCAGCTTCGACTACGAGGAGCTGCGGCGAGTGGCGGTCCACGCGATCCTGGCCACCGACATGGCGCGGCACTTTGAATTCATTGGGAAATGCAAGGCGCAGCACGAGCGCTTCCACTCGGGCTCCAATCTGCCACTGACAGCGCAGCAGCACGAGGCCGAGCGGTGTCAGCTGGCGGCCAGCATCCTCAAGTGCGCGGATATCAGCAACATCGTCCGGCCATTCGACGTCCTCGCAGCGGTGGACGAAGCGGCTGAACCGCGAGGTGACACTGCAGGGCGACATTGAGGAGTCGCTCGGCCTGCCACGCAGCATCGTGGTGGACACCGACAATGTGCCCGCGTCGCAGATTGCGTTCTACGAGGGCTGCGGGCGGCCGCTGTTCCAGGCGGTGGCGGACCTTGTGCCCGAGCTGCAGTTTATGCCAGAGCAGCTGGAGCACAACATCCGCAACTGGACCTTCATCAAGGCGCATGGCCGTGTGCCGGAGATCCCGTACGGCCTGAAGCAGACCGTGGCCCATGATGTCAGCAGCACCAGGGCTGCGTCAACAGACTCGGCGCCGGACTTTTTTCCCAAGCGGTCCGTCACATCCATTTCGTACACGACTAGCACACTGACTGTCAACACCGCGAACAGGCACGGCGATGAGTCGTGCAGCCATGGCGAGGCGAAGCTGCTGGCGGCGACTGTGCCGTCACCGCCCGACAGCCAGCATTCTGATTCTGCCACAACCTCTGGCGTGTAAAGCAACCCCCTAAAATATCTCTCTTTCCAAAATACTCCTTTCTTTCTTTATCTTTTCCGCCCTCGTTTCCAGATTACATTATTTCAGTTACATGTACAGCTAGCAGTACGACGCCCACCACCAGGCGGTGGACGTGCCAGCCGAACTCAGCACGCAGTCCGAGCAGAGGATGTCATTTGTCACGTAGCGGGAGGGAAGCGCAGTTTTCATTGATATTGGGCCGACCGGCACACGGTTTACATGCTGTACAACGAGGCCAATCTACGGCTAATTGGCCAACAGCTGAGCATGTCGACCCGTTATTTATAACCTCGCTCTTGCAGTCTTAAACGGTAGATGTGCGCATCATGGGTCGTCTTGTGTAAAGGTGAGGCGATGCTTATGCCTTGAGCCACTCCTCGTTTGGTCTTTTTGCACGCCTCGGGCGCCTTCGAGTAGACCGCCGCCAGACGCTCAGTGGCGAGCTGCGCTAGCCTCTCCAGCATCGGGCCCTGAGGCGCGCCCTCGACCTTCAGACTCGCCGGCTTCTTCCCCTTGCTGGCCGCGTTGACCCCGATAATCCGATCAGCGCACAGCTTCACGCCATAGAACCCCTGATGTTGTCGGTCGAGAGCTCAGTGACGCGCAGAAACTCCTTGAGCGCCTTGTCCAGGCTGCCCATCGAGTACAGCAGCTCGGCGTACTTTAGATGGAAATAGTGGTTGGCTGGCTGCTGCAGAATCACCTCCTCGAGGCAGAACGCAGCCTGCGCATACATGTGCTGCCCAAGGTACAGGTGGGCAAGCTCAAGCCATGCCTCAAAGTCGTTCGAGTGCGTGTCCAGGTACGTGTTGAGCTCGCCGATGGCCAGCGCGTGGTCGCCCGACGCCTTGAGCATGGCGATCTGCCGCTTTGCCGCCAGCACGTTGGTTTCGTCGGCAGCCAACATCTCCTTGTACAGCTGCTGGGCCTCCTCGGGGTGGCTCAGGGCCTCGTTGATCAGCCCGTACAGGCGCTTGACGCGCTGCGAGCCCGGGAACTGCCTGTAGAGCTGGTCCAGGATGCTCTTGGCCAGATCAAACTGGCCTTCGTCCAGGGCGGCCAGGAACACCTGCTCGTACACCAGCCAGACTAGAGTTGTGATTAGTTGCAGTTGCCTCATCTCGCTGTGCGCCCGCGCATTTTGGAATTATAAACTACGTACTCTCATCTCCGGCCTGTCTGATGGTGCCCTTGTTCAAGAGGGGCTCGGCAAGCTTCAGGACCTCAAACGGACGGCGCTCCGAGGACTGTCTGATTTCGCCGAGAAGTTCAAGAGCCGCGCTCATTCTGTGTAAACTGAAGTGTGAAGAAACTAAAACTAGAAAAAAAAAAAAAAGAAAGTCAAACGGGAAGCGAAAAAGCGGGGACTGGAGCAGCCATCAGCGGGCACGCGTGTCTGATTTAAAATTGTGATGGCAATAATCATAGCACCTTTTTTTTTCCTCTTTGCTCCACACAAATTCGCATTTCTCAATGTCACAGCTACTCCGGCTACGGCCCACGCTCCGACACACACGGCGCCTCCGGCGATGGGTCAGCACACGGCACAGCGAGCTGGACATCCCAATGCTGGCGGCGAAGCTCCGGCAGGGCGTGTTTCCTCGGCAAAAGTACGCAGCAGCGACAACCGAGCAGATCAAGATCGCAGTCGACCACCTAAAGTCACAAGGCATCTACGGCAAAGAGACCGAGCCCGTGGCCATGGTCGACTTTTCGCCGCCGGCCCTCATCGGCAACGACATTGACGCTCATTTCCGGCATATCGGCAAGCTCGTCGCAGAGCCGTATCTCGGCATTGCCAAGAACTTTGTCGAATCTGGCGGGCCCAAAGCACCCGAGCGGCCACTGCCCGGCCAGTGGGTGTTTCAGAGCGGATGGACGCGGTACGGCAGGGATGGGTCTGTGAGGCGGGTGGCCTGTCCTGATGCTGGCGATGAGTGCCTGGTGTTTGATGTCGAGGTGCTGGTGCCAGAGTCGCCATACTCGGTGCTGGCCACGGCAGTGTCAGAGAATGCATGGTACGGGTGGGTGTCGCCGTACCTGACGGGTGAGTCGCCGCACCCGCGCCATCTGATCCCGATCCAAGATCCCGCGAACCAAACCCCACGGATCGTCATAGGACACAATATCGGATACGACCGGGCGCGCATCCAGGAGGAGCGCCAGATCAAGCGCCCACCCACAGCATTTCTGGACACCATGTCTCTTCATGTGTCGTCAGGCGGCCTATGCAACCAGCAGCGGCTGCACTGGGTCAAGTATTCAAAGGCGAAGAGGGAGCAGGACGAGGAGTTTCTGAAGCTGAATGCCGACACGGGCAAGTTCTTTGACGTCAGCTCGCTCAACAGCCTGAAGGAGGTCGCACTGCACTACTGCGGAATTACAATGGATAAGGGGCGCCGCAATGTGTTTGTCGACGGGACCTTGGCAGAGATCCGCAGCCAGTTCAACGATCTGATGGACTACTGTGCATGCGACGTCGAGATCACGCTGCGCGTGTTCCTGAAGGTCTTCCCGGCGTTTCTGAAGAAATGCCCGCACCCGGTGTCGTTTGCTGGCATGCTGATGATGTCGGAGGGGTACTTGCCTGTAGACAAGTCGTGGACAGAGTACGTGCAAAGGTCAGAGAGGCTGTTTGAGCAGGTGTCGACCGACGTCGAGGAGAAGCTTCGCAACCTGGCCGAGGAGGCACTGGCGGTCAAGGACCCGATGCAGGACCCGTGGCTCAAGAATTTGGACTGGACCGTCGAACCACAAAAGTACACAAAGCCAAAGTTTAAGAAAGACGGATCATATGCAAAAAACGGCGAGCCACGGCCGTATACAAAGCAAGTGCTGCCGGGATACCCAAAGTGGTACCGCGAGATCTGGGACCGCAAAGAAAAGCGCGTGCATGTGACGGTCCGGTCCCGCGTTGCTCCGTATTTGCTGAAGCTCAAATGGATCGGGCATCCACTGTACCATTCGGCCACACATGGATGGACTTTCCGAGTGCCACAGGACCACTACGATGCGTGTATGCTCGAACTGCAGCATCCAAGCTCGGCAGAGCCACATCTGGACCTGCCAGCATTCATCAACATGCGGCCCTGGAGTTTCCAGTGGACCCCGAGAACGAAAACTACGAGCCGATTCCTGCCACAGACAATGGCAAGTTTGTGTATTTCAAGGTACCGCACAAGGACGGCGAATCAGCAAACTGCGGCAACCCACTGGCTAAAGGCTACCAGACCGCAATTGACGACGGCACACTGACCTCAACCTATGCCATGGCCAAGGAGGCAATGGAGATGAATGCAATGAGCTCGTACTGGACATCAGCGCGCGAGCGCATCAAGTCGCAGTTTGTCACCTGGGACAACGACGCCCAGGATGCGCTCACCTCCCAGCCTCTGCAGCTTGGCCTGCCCAGCACCCCCGACAACACTCTAGGCGTGATCCTGCCGATGGTCGTGGCCATGGGCACGATCACCAGGCGTGGCGTCGAGTCGACGTGGATGACGGCGAGCAACGCCAAGAAGAACCGGATCGGGTCCGAGCTCAAATCAATGATCCGCAGTCCACCCGGATACAGCTTTGTAGGTGCCGATGTCGACTCAGAGGAGCTGTGGATCTCGGCGCTCATCGGCGACTCGCAGTTCCGTATGCACGGCGGCACGGCGTTCGGGTGGATGACACTGCAGGGGACCAAGGCCGCTGGCACCGACCTGCATTCAAACACAGCACGGATCTTGGGCATTGGCCGTGGAAGCGCCAAGATCTTCAACTACGGGCGAATCTACGGCGCAGGCGTAAAGTATGCGACATCGTTGCTGCTGCAGTTCAACCCGGATATGACCGAGGAGGTCGCTCGCCAGAAGGCTGACCAGCTGTATGCTGCCACGAAGGGAACAAGTATGCGCAACAAGACGTATTTTGGAACGCCGTTCTGGCATGGCGGTACCGAGAGCTACATGTTCAATGCGCTTGAATCCATTGCAACGTCGGATGATCCACGCACGCCCGTGCTGGGCTGTGGTATCACTGACGCCCTGCGCAAGGAGGTCACCGGTGACCGGTTCATGACTTCGCGGGTCAACTGGGTTGTGCAGAGCTCCGGCGTCGACTACCTGCACCTGCTGCTAGTTGCCGTGTCATACTTGGCACGTCGCCATTCAATTGACATGCGGTTCATGATCTCAGTGCACGACGAGATCCGATATCTGGTGGCCGATCGGGACAAGGCCAGAGCAGCACTAGCACTGCAGATTGCGAATCTGTGGGTGCGTTGCCTGTTCAGCTACCGGCTAGGCATTGAGGACTTGCCGCAGAGTGTTGCGTTCTTCTCGGCAATCGACGTTGACCATGTGCTGCGCAAAGAAGTCGATATGGAGTGCATCACGCCTACCAACCCAACACCCATTCCGCCAGGAACGAGCCTTGGAATCAGCGAGATTCTGGATATGACCAATGGCGGCCAGCTAGACACTCCAAAAGAGAGCACAGCAGAACCCAGTGTCCTGTCACAGCCCATGCCCTTGCCCAGTGCGAAGGAGCTCGAAGCGCTGGCCAAGACGGACCCAGTCCCGCTGGAGCTGCCAATGGAGCCGGCACACGACCTGCCGCCGCCGCGTGACACCGAGACCATCGGTGAGGCCATGGACAAGCCGAAGCGCCAGTCCAGGAGGTCGCGTGCACCCATGGCCGACTCTGTGCCTTGGATCTCCAAGGCGCCCGACAGCGTCTGGCTCACAGCACAGATGCTCAATGGCAATGCTGAAGTAGCTGAGCTGGTCCACGCCATGCGCAACTCTTCAAGCGGTTCGCGAACTACTCGGTCCAAGCGCACCGGCGTCACCGAGGTCCGCCGGATCGCTCGGAAGGCCAAATAGCGGCTTTCGAAATTTGTATTCAGTTAAACTTTGCCAGATTCTTTGTGTTTGTAATCGCGTTCAGTCGCTCCTGGTGGTTGCTCGGAACCGTTGTCTTGCGCACCGACCGGATCTCCTCGGCAGCAAATCCAGGAATGCGGATGTTCCAGTTACGCTCCAGATGCAGCTGCAGGTCCTTGGCCTCCAGCGTATCAGCCTTGCGGTGTTTGGCCAGCTGGCACGCAAACGCCGTTACAGACTCAATGAACTCGTCCGCAATATCGCACAGAATATCCTCAACCTCCGGCTCCAGCCGCTCGGTCGGGTCAATCTCGCCCACCAGCTCCTGGATCTTGCGCTTCGACAGAATCCGCGACCCGCCATCCAGATCCACCGGCCCCGCCTGCCGCATGCTCTGGGTCGCAACATGTGCCAGCGCACTCGACAGTGGCACGTGCGTTGTATTCGGATTCTGAGGTACAACTGCCGGCGATGGAGCCACGGGCGCCGGTGACGGAGCCGCAGAAGACCGCACCACGAGCGTCGGTGTGCTGGCAGGAGCAGTTGCACTGGTAGCTGGCTTCAATGGCTTGTTGGCCACTGACTTTGCTGGAGTCTCGCTACTTGACCCCGGCCGCTGCGACTGGTCATTCTGGCCCAGCGCAACCCTCAGCCCCGGTGTGTTGTTTCCAGACATGGCTGCTTGGAACGACATCCGCATAAAGTTGTTCACCTTCGAAATGTGCGCTTCCATGTTCTCCACCTCCTGGGTCAGCCGGCGCTTCGCATCGGGATCGTTGGTAGCATCGCGAATCGGTTTGATTGCCTGCAGATGCGCGCGCACCTTTCCGTTCTCGCTGTTGATGTATGATGTGGCTGCCGAGCTGTCGGCGATGTTGCTGCGGAACTCGGTTGGAATCTCAATAAGCCCGATCATATGGCTGGTGAACGGCACGTTGTTGTCCGCTTCTTTCTTCAGCGCAGTGTGGTTTTGGATAATTGCATGCATTTGCTCGACCATTGCCGGACTGAGCACAATCCCGCTGCTTGGTGCAGGATCCTTGGCGGCCTTGGATGCCGGCGACTCCTTGGCTTTGCCTTTTTCTGTGCTTGCTGATGCGTTCTGGCCTGGAAGTGCCAGCTTGTTTGATGATCCGCCTGCCATGGTTCCCTTGCTTATAAGCTGTATTTGCTCGTGTTGAATAGAGAAACGGGTAATATGAATTAGAATAATTTGCGCCAAAAAACAAAATTGAAGAAAAAGCACCATGTAGAATATGTAGCTTCAATGCTGGTTTGCATGGTTATGCGAAATCACTAGCTCGATCACCTGACCGTCCAGAACGCTAGCGATTCTGAAGCAGTCGCACACATCATTAAATGTGGATTGAAAGCACACACATTGACAGCGCCGTCATCATGCAGCCCGCCCCACACGCACGAAACATCCGTCGACCCACCGCGCTCCTCCATTCCCGCTATCTCCCACATCACAATACTGCCGTCGGCACACCCGGCAATCACCGCATTGCCATCTGGCGTCACAGTGCACCTTTGCTGCACCGGCTGCTTTGCACTAGACCGCGGTGCATTGAGACGCAACATTGGCTGCAGTGAGAAGGCATCGACAATGCTATGTGAGCCATCGTCCATAGTCACTATTAGCCGGTCGCCTGATGGCGGCATAACCTGCAGGCTGTCGATTTGCTGTCCATATATGTCCAGTCGGGCCGAACCAAATGCGCCCTTTCCCAGCTGTCGTACGTCAAACAAACTGAGCTCGCCCGACTCCCCGTTAACAGCAGCCACAGTGAGCCCGTGCCCGTCGCAATCCACCACTGCACGTGCCTGCACGTTTAGTGAGCCAACGGGCTTTGGGACATTCAAGTCCCACAGATACACGCATCCGTCGACGTCGCCCGACACGAGACTGTTTGTGCTGCACAGAGACATGCTGATGACGTTTGATGTATGGCCCGCAAAGTAGCGAATATACTGGTTCGTCTCCAATGACATGTACCGGATCTCGTCGTTGACCTTTGTCGACGCGTACACGATACTGCCCGCGTGCCTTGTGAATCGGGCTAAATTGCAGCCGTATTTTTTGCTATACAAAACCTGTCGCCGCACGCCCGCATCTGTGTCATATATATGCAGGCTCTCGTCCTTGCTGGTTGTTATTAAACGTGTGCCTTTGCTGTCGAAATCCAAGGACATGATTGTGCTGCGGTTATCGCGGAACTGCTTGGCGATGCTAAAGTTGCGCAACGCCGCTAGGCTTAGGACCCCCTTGTATGGGTCAGCGCGCAAAACGTCTATGACAGCGTCCATTGCTAGTATTAGTGTGAAGTACCATAAAGCGAGAGTCAAGAAACAGCCATTTCTGACCCGGCATCTCTTGTGGGCATCCTTAAATCCGCTTTGCGGGTATTATGGCCAACAGCGATCATTCTCTCAGCTATTGTTGCTCTGCGATGACTGCAAGGAGATCGAAGGGTATCGCTTCTGGAAGCAAGGCTGGTGGAAGGACCATCTGAAGGACAAAACGTACCACATCTCAGCCCTCTATATTGTTGACTTGAAGCAGTTCCGGCTGCTGGTCGCCGGCGATCGCTTGCGTGGCCAGTACCAGACGCTGTCCAGAGATCTCGACTTTGCGTGCTGTCGTCGACTCAGTTCCATAACAAGGCTGTATGGAAGACCACATAGACTGTTTGTGGAACAGCATTAGCAACGCGTAGGCGCTGATTGGAAAGCGTACACCATGGATGAGAGATGTGAGCATATTTCTGACACCTCTTTGTGAAACTTGCCCAATGCCTCGGAAGTCGATGCTCAGCAAGATTTGTCACCTTCTCTTTTCGAGTATGAGGTCGATTGCTGAAGAGTTCGATGCCTATATACTGGATGTGGGAATGGAAAACCACCATATCTCTGACATGGATGGAAGCATGCTAAGAGGCTCTTAGCGCTGATGCTGCTAGAGCTTCGGGGCTCCAGACATTCAAGCAGTTCCATCAGATACATTCCAGACACGCAGCATAGATAGTCTGTGTTGCTGATTTCTAATTAATTATATACATCGCCAAAGTTGTTGGACTTGACCAGCTCAGCAAACAGCCCACCCATGGCCAGAAGATTTGCAGGGGTGTCGAACTCGGCGACACTGCCATGATCCATGACGATGATGCGGTCGCTGTTCATGACAGTTTCAAGGCGATGCGCGATAGTCAGGACCGTACAGCCGGCAAACTCCTTGTGGATGACGTCGTGGATAATCCTGTCTGTCTTGAGGTCAACGTCTGCTGTCGCCTCGTCAAGAACCAGGATCTTGCGTTTGCGCATCAGCGCACGGGCCAGACTGAAAAGCTGTCGCTGTCCTGAAGTCAGCGCCTCACCACCAACCCAGTAGGATAGTCCCCAGTCGTCAAGAGCTGAAGAATCCTTGGGTGATGGCTTCTTTTCAAGGCAGAGCCACAAGAATGTGCGCATAAGCCAGTTAGACCTGCGCCGCTTCTCTCTCTGCCACTTCGTCTCCCCAATGTACCAGTCGTTATCATCGCTATCGTCCGCATTTTTGTCGTGCATATTCTTCGAGTTGATCACGCCGTCCATATTTGCCTTGATAAGCGCGGCCCACATGTCCTCAATCGAAAACTGCTTCAGCGGGTCAAGGTTTGCCCTGACAGAATCATCGAAGAGAGTGGCATCTTGCGGGATGATTGTAATATTCGGACGCAGACTGTCAGCACGCAGAGTCGCGATATCGATGCCGTCGATCAGAATCGACCCGCCTTCGCCTTCAACTAGCCGGAACAGTGCGCGTGTCAGCGAGGATTTGCCTGCACCGGTGCGGCCCACAATGCCAATGCGCTCGCCGCTCTTGATCGTGAACGAGATGTCCTTCAGTGCTAGGTCGTGATCCGGTGTGTAGCGCATGCTGTAGTTACGGAACTCGATTTCGCCATGTGAGGGCCAGCTTGGCGGCGCCTGTAAGCCGTCCTTCCCCCATGCTTTCTCAGGGTCGGTATTGGCAAATGCGCGTAGTTTGCTAACCTTCTCGAGCATGTCGGCTAAGTATGTGCGAAGCGCTACCAGATTTGACAAGTCTGAAGTCATGTTACTGACTAGTGACTCAAGCGCCTTGAGCTCACTCGATGTTAGTTTATAGTCAGTGAACTGCGACTGCACAACCAATACAAAGGTGGTGGCAGCACTTGTAACAACGTCAATGACTCTCTCAATTGTTGTCGAAAGAGATCTCAAGTAGCTGCTTGGCCGTTCCAGGCGAATGTGCTCATCAGTCCTGTCAGCATAGAGCCCTGTGAAATGCCCCTCAACGCCATGTATGCGAATCGTCCTGGTACTATCGCTAATGACGTCTTCAATAGACGATATACCGATAGTGATAGAGTCCATGACATTGAGCAGTGAGCTTATAGCAGGCCCGACCAGTTTGGCAGCGTAGCTCATCACAAATACCATCGCAGGGGCAATAACCAATAATAGAGGCGCCTTGTAACCGACCCGGTAGACTGACAGCGATACCTCCAGGAGAACGGAAATACAATTCTTCGTCAATGAAGGAATAGCCCCTGCGATGTTGTTTTTGCATGTCCGTAACACAAAATCGATTTCGTGCTTGTTAGTGCTGTCGAAGAGTGATATCGGCGCGTAAATCAAACTACGCGCAAACATTCCAACAACACGACCCTTCACGTGGGTATCAACTAGCAAATGCCAAATCCAAGCCTCCACCTTCCTCACGAAATTATCTACAGAGGCAGAAAGCACCTGCACCCAGAGATATGTGTTGATAGCCTCCGAATCGACAGACCTGCTGTTCTCATTCAACGCATCGAGCTTGTACCCTTCCGCGATATGGTCGACAATCGGGTAAAACACGGCCGAAAAAAGAAGCAGTGCAAGGACAGGCAACCCAAGAGTATCCACGACATACTTCAAGTTCCCCCAGTTGATATTCTTCCTCGTGTCGTCAGTTTTGGCAGGCTGCGTGTCTTGAGCATTGTCTGTCACCAAAGGCGCGCTGCCATTGCTGATCAGCGTGCTCACTGAGCTCACAGACATAGTGTCATTCTCGGGCTCGGGGTTCTGATCTGGCTCCGACTGCTCTGCAATTGTATGCACTCTCGGGTGCTCCTGGATCTCTACGGTGATCTGACCCTTATCGACAGTGATGCTCTGGTCGGCAAATGCGTCCAAGTGGTTAGAGTTCATCGACACTACACGTAACTTGTTGCCGAGCAACCCAGTGTTTAGCAAGACATGGTCTAGCAGATGGCGCTTGACCTGTGCATCAACCGCAGAGAGCGGATCGTCCAGGATGTATATATCTGCACGAGTATACACTGCACGAGCAAGCGCCAGCCGAGCCTTCTGTCCGCCCGAAATATTGATGCCGCGCTCGCCAATTAGCGTCATGTCGCGATCCGGCCACTGCTCGATGTCCTCCATTAGTGCGCAAGCCTTCATGACACGCCAGTAAAACGCTTCGTCAAAGTCGTGGCCAAACAGAACGTTGCCCCGCAGCGTGCTGTTCATGATATACGGCGACTGCTCCAGATACCCGATCCTGCCACAAACCGATGCAGTTCCAGATCGCATCCTCACTTCTCCGCACATCGCATGCAGCAGGGCTGTCTTGCCAGATGCGACACTGCCCTTGACTGACACAAGCTCACCGCTGCCGATTTTGAGCGATACGCGCTCTAGCACGTTCTTCTCCTTCACTGTAGACTCAAGTGACTGATACGTGAATGTGCAATCCTTCATCTCGATTGACGAACCTACCGCTGAAGTTGCTGGATGTACTGGAACACCGTTTGTGGGCTCGGTCCTTAGGCACCCTTCTATCTGGATGTTTGTGGTAATCGCCTCGGACAATGATCTGAGCTCGGATATGACGCTTTCCATATTATTGTTCGTCTGCGAAATCTGGTCTGCGACCTGCAGCAACTCCATGCTGGACAGTGTCCTGCCGCTCTGAATGTGCAGCTGCACAGTGAAGAAAACTGCCAGTTGGCTCGAAATACTTTGCAGGATGTCGTTAACGTTCACAATCACTTTCAGAGCCAGGTATGCCACGCGGCGATACCTCTTGGAGATTGCACTGCTGCCTAGCCTATCTGAATCCCTGTTGGTAGTGAGAGCCGGATCAAGATACCTCTGTTCCCAGCTATTGAATTTGATCATCTTGATATTCCTGTAGATTTCGGAAGAGTCCACTTGTTCAATCCACCCTCCGTAGTATGGACGACCACACCACTGCTGAAGCTGCCCAATTGCCCAGGTCAGCAAGGATAGAACGAGGGTAACTGCAATGGGTATAAAAGAAATCCCGCCGATTGCCTGGTAAGTCAGCCAGAGAGTAAATGTAGCAGTAGCAATGGAAGGTACTTCGAGGACTATAAATTCGAGCTGTCTGATCAGGTCATCCACCAACCACGTCAAATAAAATGACGTCTCACCGTGCTTCCCGGCTGTAACAAGCGGTACCCGAACCAGTTCAAATACGACTGCTCTTGATGCGCGATGTGCCTCTTCTGCTAATAGCTGGCTGATGCGACTAGACTGTGTGTTGACCAGCTGAAGCACTAGGGTGGTAAGTAAATACAGATATGGCCAGTACCATGCGCGATTCGACGATTCCTCCATACATTGGAGTGCCTTCGTAAATATGACCGACTGCATGACTTCAGAGATACGGAAGAGCGACTGCACAGCGAGGAGTGGGAGGTATGGACGCCACATCATCCGGACAATGGCTCGAAAGATAAAGAGGGTCTCGTTCTGGTCGTATTTGAACTCTTGGTGTGCTGTCTGTAGGCGGAGCCGCTCGGGCAGGGCCCAAAAGTCGTCGATAGTAAGCTCACGAATGTGCCCGAGCCGACTCAAAGCAATCTCCTTGGTGTAAAGCGTACTGCGAGCTACACTATGCAGATCATGCCAGCCTTGTGCATCGAGGTCAGCAGCAAGCAGACACAGATGCAGCAGGAACCCAGTTGCTTGCAGGGAAAGAGGAGTGCCACTGGCTTGAAAGAGGGCTTGAAGTCCAACGAGGTTGACAAGCCTGAACCCGAGCTGGCCATCAGTGTAGCGTGCTAATGCTGGCAGCATTGCAACAGACGTCTGATGAACCGCCCCAAACCAGCCAGGAATAGCCTGTACTGCCACAACAACGAGCAACGCATGGACGCACAGGGCTAGAGGCGAATCGAGGTGGTGCTTGCGATGAGGGGCATCCCGGGCCCACAAAACTCCCAGAGTTCCTAGCGCATAGAGGTGAACAGCAAGAGGCAGGTGCTCTTCAAATAAGAGCATCGCAAGAAGAAAATAATGGAAAATAGAGATGAGGAGAGACGATGCATACGTTAGACGACAGGGGTGAGCGAACGGATTATATCCCTACGCGCAGCTTCTCCTGGGGATATCCACGACATACATTCCAGGTCAGGTTCTGTCTCACACTCGGATTCTCTGTACCCTCATTGGTTTGGAAATAGAGTTGTCAAAAGTTGGCAACATCACCGCTTTTGAAATCTAGAAAGGCCGCAGCAGCTTGTGATTTCTTTTATATATTTAAGCCGTAGGTTTTTTGCTGCGGCTTTGTGAATAGAGAATTATGTATTCAAAGTGAACTCCATTTAACGAAAAATCAGTCAGTATACTCGTGTGGAAAGCAACACGGTGCACTGGATAGTTATGCAGCCTAATCGATCAACGAACTGAATCTATGTCCATACACAGAGGACGCCTGAATGTACCAAAGATGACAACGATGCCTGTGTTTCCACATCCCTACTCTTCAGTAGGTTATTTGATAAACAAAAGCTATGTTTGGCAGCCCCGACACTAGCCACGGATACCATCTCGCTTTCCTAGCTGATAACTCTACAATAACAGCAGACCATCTCTAGTTCTGTGGAGCCTGCTGGTGTACCTGTATTTTCATATCCTTATTGCGAAATGGCCCAATATGTTTCGTATCCATCTGATGATCAATAAGAGAGTAGACGCAGTCATTGCCTTGCTTCTGCGTGCTAAATGATTTGAGTTCAGTCTCTATCCTGCTATCGCTAGACCTTTCTAATGCTAGGTTAGCTAGTAACAGAGCGCTGGCACTGGCACTTCTCCGGTGCGCAATAGTGCAGTGTATGTGATATCTCCTAATTCTACTACCAGCGGACGACTATCTCAAGAGCTGTGAGGTCATTCAACTGCCTTTCATGCACATACGCCACACTTGCATAATGTATGGTGTAGTGTGTAGCATTGTGTCCAGCATCCAGTGTGGGGTTCCTGTGCATAACCAAAGTGCATTGACTATTTAAACACCCTTCCACGGTAGACACAACCACACTCTTGCCTTCTGACATTACTGATTTTTTTCACACATTATTGGCATACCATTTCATACTCTACCATGCTCTCATCATGCCCTGTTAGCCATGAACTCTCACCCTTATTCGGCGATAACGATGCTAGTTCCAAAGTCGAGTGCCACTTTTCCATCGTCGTCGAGAAAGGGAAACGGCCAGACAAGGACGGGTTTATCGTCTCAGTCTCTGCGGCTGATACAGATTTAGCGATGCTCCGCGCCAATATCGCCCAACGCTCAACCGGAATTACCATGCTCCCCGAGGCGGTTGCATTTGAGGATGAGGAAGGCAACGAAATCGTGTCAATTGACCAGGTTCAACGAGCGAGAGTTGTGTATCTCACCACACCTATTGCGGGACTTGAAGCGCCTGTGGTTCGAGGCTATCCAATTTTTGGTATTGCGCCTATGCTCTTTAGTGATATGCGTCAGCAGTCCATATCCTACTTTGACAGGTATGGCGATACCTTTTCTTACTACCTGCTCGGTGTGAAAGGGTATTATACTCGCGATTTGGCAGTCACCAATGCGACTATCAATGACAGCGAATATTTTGAAAAATCAATGGGCTATCCATGGTCCGAGCTCCACGAGCTGGGTGGAAATGGGCTGATTACCTCGTCGTCGGACGACCCGGACTGGAAACTGGCACACCGTCTGCTTGTTCCTGCATTCTCAGCTAGCGCTATGAACGTTTACGGTCACAAGATGGCAGAGATTTCTGAGCAGGCATGCGAGTGGCTCGACAGCCATATTGGCGAGCCAATTGAGATGTTCAACTTTGCCACCAGCGTTACATTCCAGATTATTGCCAGGATTGGGTTTGGCTTTGACTTCAACCTGCTCGACCCAGCTGGCACTGGTCAGCACCCGTTCACGGAGGGCATGGACTATTGCCTGAAACAGATGCTTGTTCGTTTTATTCTCACCCCGCTGTGGAAGTATCTGCCTATTGCTGCGAACCGCAAATTTGCTGAGCACATGCGCAACATGCGGGCCACGGTACAGCAGGTTATCGATGAGCGCCGCACCTCGCCAGATGCTGCAAGTATGAAGAAAGATCTACTTGGGTTTATGCTTAATGCTCGTGCACCAAACGAAGACGGTAACCTAGTTGGGCTCAGCGACCGACTTATCCAGGAGGAGATTATCACATTTGGGATAGCAGGCACAGAAACCAGCAGTTCGACTATATCTTTCGCTTTGCAGCTCCTGGATAAGCACCGCGATGTTCAGCATCGGGCGCTACAGGAGCTCGCTGCCGCTGGGATCACTGCAGACACGCCGCCGACAATTCAGCAAACTAACAAGCTGACCTATCTGACGCAGATTATCAACGAGACACTGCGCCTATTTCCACCAGTGCCAGTGTTGCTCCGCAAATGCAAAAAAGACTATATTTTGCCTGGCGGTATCATTATCCGCAAAGGCGACCAGTTACGCATTTATGTGTGGGGTTTGCACAGGGATCCGAAGGTATTTCCGGATCCACTCAAATTTGACCCAAACCGCTTTTCGCCTGAGAATATCAAGAACATCAAGCCCGGCTCGTGGGTCCCGTTTGTTTCTGGCAGCCGTGCTTGCCTTGGTCGCCAGTTCGCAATGATGGAACTGCGGGCTGTGCTAGCTCGCTTGTTGTCGAGATACGAGTTTCATGTTGTAGGAAACGACGAACCCCGCTATCATCCAGCTAAACTTACCACAAGCCCAATGAACCTCTTCATGACTGTCCAGAAGCGCACAAGCCTTCCAGATGCCAACACTCCAATAGCAACAGACGCTGGTGGTAACAATGATAATTACACCGTCGAGCATCCCGCTCTGCACCCACTTACGCACACGGTCTCTGCTGACAAGCTGCCGCGTACGTTCGTTGTGTATGGATCAAACATGGGCACCAGCGAGGACTATGCGACGCAGATAACCGGGCAGCTGAGGCGCATGGGATTTGCTGACATTACACTGCTGCCGCTGGATGACTGGGACTTTGCTTCAATGCAGTCTGCCGATGGTAGGCGCTCTCTGGTTGTGGCTATTACCAGTACGTACAACGGAATGCCGCCCGACAACGCCAGAAACTTTGCCAAGCTGCTCGACCAGGGGACCCGCACCGATATCCTCAAGGACGTCGATTTTGTACTGTTTGGCTGCGGCAACTCGCTCTGGCACACGTTCCTGAAGTTCCCGCGCCATCTGTACCAGCGCTTTGTTGAGCTTGGTGCCACGCCGCTGACTGAGTTCACGGCAGGAGATTCCAACGACGATCTTGACGATGAGTTTATGAAGTGGTCACTCCAGGTCGGAATGATTGTAACTGGGCACTACAGCTCCAGTGTCGACGCCTACATTGACGTCGCCACGAGCATGTTATCAGAAAATTAGTTGAGCCTTTCTTGTCCTTTTTCTTTGTCCCGGCCTCTACACAATTTGTAATCAGCCTATCCTCCCGACTGGCCTCCTTTACATACCTTGCTCTGACTTTCTAGGGCTTATTGAAATACATACGGCCTGCAACTTACAATACATTTTGTTCTTAGGTGCTGCTACCCATCCTCCTTCAAACACCTGTAATCTTTGATATAAGCCACGGCCGTACTTGCTGATGTTGACAGCAGCCCTACTACCCCGTTCAGATTGTCGTTGGAGAACACACCAATTAAAGTCAACCGCAAGTTGCAAGACGTCAAAACGAGCGGTCGCAGCACTCGGCATATCAAGATCGCTCTGGATGACACATCAGATATTTTGCACACGACTGGCAACCACCTGAATACCCACCTGGTCAATGTACTGAGTGTTGTACATGAGGTTTCTGCGACCCTAGAGCTCAATCTGGATGTGGTATTTGAGCTGGAGCATATTTCGTATGCTTCTCCCTTTGCTCACTATGCAGCAGCAGTTATCCATGACTGCAGATGCACCGCTGCTTATGCTTTCCAATATGTTTGCAACTGGAAGGAAATGCATTCGCACGAGCTGGTTGTTGCACTGAACGAGACTTCCGGTAATGAGCCTACCTATGATTCGCTGCGCAAAGCTGTTGAAGACGTCAACACGCTAGGCAAGCAGCCGGCTGACTGGAATGCATTCACAGCACAGAACCACACAGTTCTGGATGTGTCGCGCACGTATGCGCCACTGGTGCGCCAGATTCCATTTGCAGCACTGCTTCACCTTGTGTCAGCCATGGACCTTCCGCGGTACTCGATCGCCAGCTACCAGCTGGTTGTTGGCAATCAGACCCATGTTTCAATTGCTATTGTCAACCATATTGTCAAGGGTTATTGATACGGCGGTCTGGCAACTGGGTGCTTGGAATCTTTGGAGCCAAGCGCTTATGTACCTGTGTCGCATCTCCCAGCGTACGGCTTTTTCCACCTTCCGCTTTCATCGGATATGCCTGTAGTTTTCGTTGCCACTGGTATTGGAATTGCTCGGTTCCACAGATCCTTGCAGGAGCTGAGGTTTGCAGGAGTTGATGGTACTGTTGTATACTTTGGAACTATATATTTTCATACTCTGCGCTAGTCACAAAACATATTTATAATCATATTTCCGGTATTCCTGCCACTATGACGCTGCAACTTTCGCACAGTTGCTAGATGGAAATATGCAATTAACGCATTATCTAACTATTTACTTCGATAGACTATTTTATTACTCTTTGCCAGCCTTCGCACGGGCTGCATTGGCAGAGTCCGTTAGCTGCATGCGCTCCATCTGACCGGGGATGGATCCAAACCGCCCGGTTTCCATGTCCTCAAACGCCTGGTACAGCTCGTCCCTGGTGTTCATGACGAATGGGCCGTAGCGGGCAACCTTCTCGCCGATCGGGGTGCCGGCCAGGACCAGAACGCGCGCCTCCTCTGACCCAGCAGCTTCAAAGTCAATCGGCTGCCCGTCGGTTTTGATGACAGCCATCTGGCCTTCCTTCACCTCTGCCTTCTCGTTGCCAACCAGGATCGGCTCCGTGTGGAAGTTGTACACCATTGCGTCCATGCCGCTCGGGAGATCCAGCGCGTACTGCCCAGTGGTGCGCAGGTCCAGGAAGAATATCTGCGTGCGCGTGTCAATGTTGGCTGTGACATCTTCAACCTTGCCTGCAATGACCTTGATCCGTGTCTTTTCGTCGCTGGAGGTGAACGTGGGGATGTTCTCGGGCGGAACGTCCTGGTAGCGAGGCGCCGTCATCTTGTACTTGGCAGGCAGATTGACCCAGATCTGGAAGGAGTGCATAACACCGCCTTCCTTGAGCATCTTCTCGGTCGGCATCTCGCTGTGGATGATGCCGGATGCTGCGCTCATCCACTGAACCCACCCGGGCTTGAGAATTCCGTGGTTGCCGTGGCTGTCACGGTGCTCAATCTCGCCCTCCAGCACGTACGAAATGGTCTCCTGGCCACGGTGTGGGTGATCGGGGGCACCGACAGCCTCGCCGGGTCCATACTTTGTCGGGCCAAGATGGTCGAGCATCAGGAACGGGTCAACCATGTCCAGGCTGCCGGATGGTACTGGGCGGCGCACGATAAAGCCGCCGCCTTCGCGCTGGCGGTGTGCAGTGATGATTCGCGAGACCTGCTTAGTGATTTTTGTAGTGGTGGACATTTGTGCTGTTGTTGGTGTTGGTGTTGGTGTTGGTGTAGAAATACAAGGGATGTGTAGAAGATCTGGGAGTGGCTGAAAAGCTGGGAGACCAAGAACCGGTAGTGCCAAAATCAGCGCTTTTTATGCAGATCGGGCCAGTGTGGTGATTATTAAGGATTTGGTGGCCGATTTGTCATTCGGCTGGGGCTTTAGTCACGCATCCTGAACCAGCGTGACTGGCTGGCGCTCCAGGACAACTGCGTTAGTAACGGACATCGCATTACTAAACTGCCACTGCTCACTCTCGTAACGAGGCACAACCAGCACAAAGCGATATTCCTCACCAGACCCGTCTGCTTACGGTGCTTAGAGGATCGACTCGATGTTGGCGATGGCCCAGTACAGGAGCTGGTGGCTAAGACCGGGCCACTGGAGGTGGTTTGGAGTGAGATGCCTATGACCCGATTCCTTTGGCCTGCCTGTTCTCTGCCGACAGCCCACAAGCTCCCACGCTTGCCGACATGCAAACTGCTCGCATTGATGTACCCCCCAGCGATGACTGGTTCAACAAAAAAACAGGTGCAAAGTGAGACTCGTCCAGAAGCCTGCTGCGTCTGAGTGCTGGCTATCCCGGCGCCAAGGACCGGAAGCAGGGCCCAGACGTGCTGAACCCGTCGTTTATTTTTGGCCTGCAGACGAACGGCAATCAACCGAATCCTTCGATCGCCCAGCTTCTCCTTTGTGGACATCGCTTTCACCCACAGAGGCTTCTTGGCATCTCATCTCGTTTCCATTTACGAATGCGTATTTTTGGAGACCCGGTCGGAGCCTGCTGTCTAGGCTTTTCAGCGTGCGCTCGCCAAGCCCACTCAGGTCTCCTGAATGTAGCCACCACCCGGTAGCTATGTGCTGCTGCGAATATAAAAGCACAGGCGTTCCTCGCAGACATCACACTTTCACTACCAACAACACCAGCCAGCAATTCCACACCAGCCTCTCACCCCCACCTGCATCCAGCAATGAAGATCACTGCCTTTACCCTCGGATTCCTCGCAGCCGCTGCCTCTGCCGCGCCGGCTGCCGACACCGCCTCGGGCAACAACGCCTGCGCCAAGACGCTTGCGCTCAAGATCACCAACATTTACGAGAACGGCGACACCAACTTCCACTACGACTACTGCGAGAATATCAAGGACGGGCGCGGGTTCACCTCTGGCATCTCTGGGTTCTGCACCGGCACCGCCGACGCATGGGAGGTGGTCCAGCAGTACCACAAGCTGACAGGCGGCAAGGACTCCTTCAGCAAGTACGACGGTGTGCTGAAGAAGTATGCCCAGTCCGGCAGTGACTCGACCAGCGGGCTCGACGGATACTGCTCGGTGTGGTCGAAGCTGGGCAAGTCCGACGCAAAGTTCCGCAATGCGCAGGACGCGATCCGCGACAGCATGTACTATAACCCATCGCAGAAGCTTGCGGACCAGCTCGGACTCAAGCTGAGCATCAGCCGCGCGCAGCTGTACGACTGCGGCATCCAGCACGGCACTGGATCGGACGCCGACGGACTGGCTGGGCTGATCAAGACCACCAACGCGTCGTTCAAGGCCGATGCCAAGGGCAGCTCGGGTAGCACGCTCAAGATCAACGGCCACAACGTCGACGAGGTCGCCTGGCTGACAAAGTTCCTGCAGGTGCGCACCAACGACCTGCTCCACCCGAAGGAGAAGGAGAACGCCTCGGGCGCATGGAAGGAGACGCTGTACCGCGTAAAGTCGTACCAGTACGCTCTCAGCAAGAAGCAGTACAACTGGACCAAGTCGGTGCAGGTCCTCGACAACGATGGCAAGCCTGTCACAGTCTCGTGCTAAACATCCATCTATATTCTCTTCAATGGCATATCTACCGTATCAGTTGCTGACTCGAGATGCTACCATTAGCAGACCTCTTGTCTGGTCCCTCGGCATGCAGGTGTGCCGCCAAACTGTATATTGAGGCTGAAGTGCTGAAAACGTGGCATGAAATATTCTGTTGGCCTACTACATATACTGGCGTAAACGGTAGTTGCCAGCAGCTGTCTGGTGTTCAGAGTCTGAAGCCTAAAAGGTCCTTGATCCGCTGCATGGCCCTGTTGGCAGCTGCCATAGCCAGGATCGCTTGGGTGGTTGCTGACGAGGGTTCTTGTGTGGGTGCACAGCTTATCTCATAAAGAGAGCTAGACTCTCTCCAGAACTCAGCACACCTCGATTCAAAAGTTCTGTACATCTCGAACGTAGTCTTGCCAGTACATGAGTTGCTGATAACTGCCTGAAAAAACAGATCGCAGGATTCCGCAACTGGCCTGCATTCAGTTCCAAGTTCTGGTTTTCTGCGTGTTCTTTCTCTGCCTCCTCCTCTGCCTCCCCGGCTTTCTCCTTAGCCTTAATGGCTGGCTCAGTATGCCTACGAATCTCCCAGACGTGATCCAGGGGCTCTGGGCATACTGGTCCATCGCCATCTAACTCTCTCCACACCGCCAGGGACACCACAAACTGCGACTCGTACGGGGAGGGTGCAAGAAACCCATGTCGTGTGGGGAACATAGGAGATGGGTCTGTAGTGGCTGAAGCTGTCGAAGCGGCCTATGAGATTCTAGTTCGTTTCCTGCCTGTGCGACGTCTCGGCTGATGCTACTATCCACATAGCGAGGGAGCCCAAAGCCCGTGGAGCAAATAATAATGATGCTAGATGGCATGTAGTCAGAAAAGCTAGGGCTTAGAAGAGGAGAAAAAGAGAAGGCATCGAATTTGCGAATTTGCGCAGCATACCGCCTGTTTCTGGCCAAAGCCTTCTCCCAGTTTGCGACTTTCGCGCAAGCCTCCTTGCCATGTAGAAAACCGGCTACTGGTTGCCGGTCTTGTCTGAACCAGTCTTGGAAACTTGCTGCGTACTCTGCAGGCCAGAATGTGCCATTGCAACTGAGATGCTATGTGTACCTCCAATGCACAGCTTGTAGGTACCAGTTATGTGTGCAATTTCGCCTAGCAGGGTGTTCATCCACAAAAATCACGTGTATGGTCTTTTTTTTTTTGGAGTTGTTTAAGGAATTTGGCCAGACAACTCGCGGCATTCTGGAGAACCGGAAAAGGAAAGACCGTCCGCTAATTGGTTTATGCGTAGATAGTGGTTCGCTTGACACGAAAGGACTCCCAGAGTTTAGCGTAAGCTTTCTATCTCTCGCTGCCAAGAATTTCAATTTCACTCTCTTCACATTCCAACAGCAAAATCACTACAATGGACCAGACATTGGACGAAGTAAACAAGCACTGCGGCGAGCACGTCCAGGCATACGCATCATGCGTGGACGGACACGAGCAGACATGGAAGGTTGATTGCCTGGAGCTGCGCAAGGCGCTGACCAAGTGCACAGACGAGAATGTCACTCTGATGAAGATGGTCCGCATGTCGTGCCAGCCGACGATCGACAAGTACCAGGCGTGCCTGAACAAGAACTCGGACAACCCGGCCGTCTGCATCGACAGCCTGCGCGATCTGTACGAGTGCACAGAGAGTGTCGGCGAGATGATGGAGAAGATGAACAAGCTGAAGCAGCGGGCGCAGGAACCAGCAGTGGCAAGCGAGTAAGAAGCTTTTTTTTACAGTACAATATTGGAAACAAGTAGTTAAATAGCCCCTACACCGTGGGTGATGACGATGCCAGCGAGTCGCTGGCCATGGTGCTCATGAAGTCGGTGATGTCGGGCATGTGCTCAACGACGTTCTTGGAACGTGATAGGTGTAGGTAGAAGTCGGTGCCTACGCCCTCCATCGATACCAAGTCCAAGTCGCCGCCAAAGTATCGGGCCAGCTGGCGCGCCATCGGCAGGCTGTGGCCGGCACCAAACAAGGGCATGTCGGCAGCGTGCTTCATGAACGATATGGAGCTCATGGTATCAGTCTTGGACCGGGTGCTGGGCTCGACCGGGTGCTCGGTGGTGCCTAGGTACGACCAGATCGCATCGACCTGCGACAGCGGGATGCCGCCGCCCTCGTCGCTGACCTTGAATGCTACGTCCTCGTCGCCGCTCGCCATGATCAGCTTGACAGGCGGGAACTTTGAACCACGGTGAGTCTCAACAGTGGCCCGCAGCGCGTTCTTCAGCAGCTCGAACAGCAGGCTGTACAAGTGGTGCGGCACATACGTCGTGGTGGTGGTTGGCTGCGGTGCGATGACACGCACTACTGGCGGCGCAAAGCCGTAGTGCCGCTGGCACGTAATGCTGGCGTCATGGGCGGCACGCGTGGCGATCTCCAGCGGCTGGATAATCTGTACCAGATTGCGGCCGTGGTCGTGGATGGACATGTGGTCCTCAATCAGCAGCTGCGTGCCCAGGCTCATCGAGTACACCCAGTCAAACAGCCGCCGTGTCTGGTTCTCGGCGCACCGCCGCGTCGAGTCGCCGTCCCAGAGCCGCGGGTTGCGGCACTGCGGCTCGTTGCAGAACTCGCTGCACACCCGGTTGGCCGCCCACTGCTGCGGCTGCGCCGGCTCACCGCTCGCCGACCATGCGGCGGGATCGGTCATCACCATTTTGCCGCTGGGTGCCAGATAGGCCATCGGCGCCGACAGGTCGGGGTACGCCAGTGTTGATGACAGGTGATGCGGCGCCTTCCCACCCATTCGCCGCCGCCGCGCCGCCGAGGGCCGCAGAAATTTCGGCACAATGTCAGGATTCTCGTCGCGGATGGCTGCCGACAGCTCGCGCAGGCCCTGCGCCATGGTCCACATGTGTTCCCGGTACCGACCCTTCAACCGCCGCAGCGCATTGACGAACTGGGTGTTATTGTCTGGTGTGCTGGGTGCTGGTGTCTGGCTTACCAGCAGCGTGAGGTCGTCGGTGTATCGCTCCAGCAGTGTGCGCAGCTGTGGCACTTTGCCAATCTTGTACGGCGACGGATTCTGCTCCAGGCCGTTGATCGTCTGGCCAATTCGCACCGGCAGCTCGCGGTACAGGAAATTTGCTGTGAGCTGGAAGGCGGTGAATCCGTCCGTGCCGTTCTTGCGATGCTTCAGCAGGTGTCTACGATATTAAGAGGGGGTGATAAGCAACGTCGCCTGCATAAATCCTATGCGTGCGGATATGACGCATTTGCATCACTGCTTTTGTTTGCCCTACCTTCCAGCCGTGTAAAACTGACTGAGCTACATGGGGGAGATAAGGATGGATGGAGAAGATTAGCAAAGAATGTGGCAAGGTCCATCATGGCTGCCTAGTGCTGCTGCCACACGTACCGTCAGCTTTGTTATTTCTTTGGAGGCAAACCTCTGGAAGAGGTCCTGGCGGGCTTTTGTGGTCAGCATGGACTTTGAAGAAAACTCGCGGGCTACGGTGCGCTGGGCTCCAGTGCTAAGGCGGAAATATGAGGGTTGCAAAAAAAGAGTAGTAGCAGTCACGGAGAAAAACAGGAAGGAAAAAGAATGGTCAGATGAACGATAAAGCAAAGCGTTTTGACTTCTCCTCGGCGACGGCTGCTGCTGGCTTTTATAGGTTTCCAGTCTCCAGACCCAGCCGCCAGAATAAGTGCGCCGAGGGCTGCCCTTGCATGTGACCGCCAGTCACCTATCTATCTTCTGCCCGCATCGTCGCTGCCCGGGCCCTTCTCCAGCCCCGACTAACCAATCGCTAGCCCCAGCCCCCTCACAAGACAGGATCTACACTAACTCCCAGTGCGGAAATTCTTATTTTTTTCAAAGGATAACTGGCGTCTTACAAGTCGAGCTGCTTGGCCGGCAGGATCTGGCCAACGCACTCGCCAAAGCCGACCCGGAAGCCGTCGCCCTGGCAGAAGCCGGTGACCCGGACCTCGTCGTTGTCATCAACGAACTTGCGCGTGAGGCCCGAGTCGCCCAGCTTGATGTCGTTCTTGCCAGACCACGACAGCTCGAGCATCGACCCGAAGCTGTCCTCGGTGGGTCCGCTGATGGTGCCGGTGCCCAGCAGGTCACCCGGCTGCATGCTGCACCCGTTGATGGCGTGGTGGGTCAGCTGCTGCTTCAGCGACCAGTACATGTACTTGAGGTTCGAGTTGGTCAGCGCATAGTACTCGTCCGAGCCGCTCGGCTTGATCTCCACCTTGAGCTGGATGTCGTAGCCCGAGCTGGTCGAGTCACGCAGGTAGGGCAGGGGCTCAGGATCCTGAGCCGGCTGCGCAACACGGAACGGCTCGAGCGCCTCCATGGTGACGACCCAGGGCGAGATCGTGGTGCCAAAGTTCTTGCCCAGGAACGGGCCCAGCGGCACGTACTCCCAGGCCTGGATATCGCGCGCGCTCCAGTCGTTCATCAGCACAACGCCAAACATGCGCTCCTCGGCCTGCGCCATCGTCAGCGGCTCGCCGAGCTCATTGCCAGGGCCCACAAACAGCGCCATCTCGAGCTCATAGTCCACGCGCACAGACGGGCCAAACACAGGCGGCTTCGTCGCATCCGGGCGCCGCTGCCCGTTCGGCCGCCTCAGAGGCGTGCCCGACACCACCACCGACGACGCCCGTCCGTGGTAGCCCACCGGCAGATGCGTCCAGTTGGGCATCAGCGCATTGTCCTTGCCGCGGAACATCACTCCCACGTTCGTCGCGTGCTCGCGCGACGCGTAGAAATCTGTGTAGTCGCCGATCTTGGCCGGCAGGTGCATCGTCACCGAGGACTGCTCCACGGCCACGTCCGAGACCGACACGGAGCGGGCGGGGTGCGCAGAGTTGGTCAGGAACTCCTGCAGCGCAGCGCGAACAGCGACCCACACCGGCCGTCCCAGCGCCATGTATGCGTTCAGCGAGGGCTGGCTGAAGACCGCCTCGGCCTGCAGATCAGAGATGTGCGAGAACAGACCGTGCTTGGAAAGCGCCGTCAGGTCGAGCACGTACTCGCCGATGGCCACGCCCACGCGCGCCGGAGTAGACGCCGTCGAGAAGATGCCAAACGGCAGGTTCTGCAGAGAGAAATCGCTGGAGGGGGAGACCGGGACAAAAGTGCACGACATGGTTTATGTAAAAAAAGCTGGTTAAGAAAAGATAAGGTATGCTGCTTGCTGGCGCCGGCCCGCTGTGCATGTGCCCTTTTAAACCTGCGGCGGGTGGGCGATGGCCAGATACCTGTCCAGGGGCGCGCCTTCGTGGGTCAGGGGGATGGGGAGCAAGCGCCGGGCGATGGCAATCTATCAGAGCCGCCTGTTCCCACGCGTCCCAAAAAGGCAACGCCTTTACTGCTGCAGCTCGGCTGCTGGCCAATCTAAGCTTCCATGCCGGTGGCAAACACCTTGCGCTCCTTGCGATCGACCTTGAGCCGAGCCCCGCCAATAACACCGGCGACAAAGTACGTGATCCCAACGCCAACCATCAGGCACCCGAAAGTGACCGCGCACGGGAACAGCACCTTGGCGAACCTTCCTTCGTCGCTCTGCATCCCGACCAGCGTTGAGTCACCAAGCACAAAAAACGCTACGACGATCTGGCTGAACCCGAGCCCCTTCCAGCTGCGGTTGTCGTCGTACATTGGGAAAAAATAAAACATCTTTGGCAGCACCGCCCAGTCGCAGAGGACCAGGACCACCAGCGCGCCCACAAGGATGAGCCGGCACACGAACAGCGGGATGATGATTACGCCCCGCTGGTTGAGCAGCATGTATATTTCCATGGCCAGAATGACGCTTATTAGGAGCGCACTGATCCCCGTGTTCACCATGCGCAGGAGCTTGAGCGCAAATGTGTACTTTGTCGTAGGAATATGTGACACATCGACGTCGGTGTGCGGGATGCTAGGGAATCGAAGCGGGAACTGCCGCTCAGGCTTTTCGTTCGGAACCGCCCATGTCGCTGTAGATGCTGCGGTTCAGATGGCTGCCATGGACGCGTGCTGCCGAAGGTGTGAGCTTGATAGAGTAGTCTGGCGTGCTCTGACCATTGCTCGCGCCACGGAGAGTGTCGTCATTGTTTGGCCAATTTCCATCGGACAGGAAGTCGCTGCTAACCGACCTGTTTGCATCCTTTAGACCGTAATAGTCCATATTCGATCCAGTGTCGTATGTCATGCTGATTAAGTTAACGGTGAAATGCAGAAAAGTGATGCTGATGTGTGATAATGAAAAATATGTCTAGGAGTCGGAAGAGGCTGTCTTCCGTGGGTAGCCCCCATTGTATTTAAGAGCAGGGGGCTGCTTCAGACCACAGCACTGACATACCGATATTGCGGATATGTCAGGCACAGCCAGCAGCATCAGCACCCACTAATGCAGCTCAGAGACTTGCATATGCTCGGAGGCCAGCTACTGAGTTTGCAAATTGACTGACTCGCAGTGTCTGCTTTCGCAAAAGAAAACTGGACGTTGTTTGTGAACGATATAATGCCTACGAATGCAAGAGAATGCGCACAGACTTACGACCCAGAAATATAATTTCTGCTATTCAATAACGGTAAAAAGTCTTGTCGGCTTTATAATAGCGACGAGCAGATGTGAAAAATAACATCATATTTTTGGACATAAAGCGTGGTTCAGGAGACAGACTTTGCAGCGAGATAATGACGCTTGCCTCCCCCAGTGCCACCATTCTTGGAATCCAGTATAAAAGCGATCTCAAGTCCCCTCCATCCCGAATTCGTACCTCATCGCCCATTTATACATTTCTTAACGACACTTGCATTTCTCACGACTACCATGCCATTCTCAGCCAAAAGCATCTTCAGCGGAGCGCTCGGTATCGCCGGCGACGAGGTCTCAAAGTCCGTGAACCGGCGCCCCGAGGTGATCCTTCTGCGCAAGGTCCTGCCGTGGTCCATCTTCACCGCCCAGCACCTGCTCAATGCCTCAACCCTCCTCATGTTCGCCATCTACGAGCTCAAGACCACGACCCACCACTTTTTCCCGATCGTGCACACCGCAATCCGTGCCCTGATCATGCTTGTCGTATTTGCCACCGCCGGCTACTTTATCTTCACAAAGAAGAAGCACTGGGACATCTGGATGTCCCGCACCCACGCGCTGGGCTTCACCGGCATGAACGCCCTTGTTGGAGCCCTTCTCTCGTACGACCCAATGCTGCCTGAGATCCAGGAAGGCGAAAGCAAGAACAAGATCGGCCCGCATGCGAAGCGCATGTTTTATGCTGCAGAGGTCTTTGTCGCCGTGTATGTAATCGGGTCGCTGCTGGTTCTTTTGTTTACGTACAAGGCCCGTACCAAGCTGCCTGGACATGTCAAGCCGTTCCCCAAGGCTCCGGCCGATGACTGTGCTGGCACATACGCGCCGAAGCCTATGTCCACCACCTACCAGGATTCGAGCTACCTGTCAAGCACCAACAGCAGCAGCCACACCGTCGTGTCCGATCCCAAGTTTTCCTTCTTGTGAACATGGCCTCTCCCTAGCCCGCAAGTGACATCATACAGTCTCTTGGGTGTTCTAAGCGCAATACCGCCGTTGACCGCCGGTATTGCATCCTCATGTACTTTAGCATCATTTCTCATGTCCTCTTATGCATACCCACTACGGCATTTATGTAACTAAGCATGTGGATGTACTGAACCTGTGTGTGAGAGGTAGTCTTCAAAAAAACAGACATAAAAATAAAAGATTCAGCTAATGGGGCTAGAATAAAAAAATGACCCTGATAGAGCACAGGCATTCCGCAGCCTCTTGAAGACTGCACAGGCTCTCAGCATAGGCTAGGCTGGAAGGGGAGGGATGAAGCAGTAGGAAGAAGAGAGAATTTGCAACACCTTGAAAAGAGACCGACAATAAGAAAAGTTTAGACACATAAAAGCCCACCAAGAAATTCATCTCCGCAACGACTCTTGCCAAAGCGATTAGTTTTGTTGTTGTTGTTGGTTCTGCTGTTTAACGGCGTCGGCCACCCCTGGGCTTCTTCTCCGCCGGCTTCAAGATCTGGAACGAGCACATCAGCGTATCATCGACTGACATCATGGCTCCGGCATTGTCAAACTCTCCGCAGTAGTTGGGTGCAGAGAACAGCGTGACCAGTTTCCTCTTTGCAAAGAATTCATAGCCATCTTCGACGACCTGGTGAGCACGGCACACCAGGTCTAGGTCGTGCCGCTGCAGGAACTTGTACACAATGTCGGGGCCAAACGTGAACGATACGCCGCGGTCGTTCTCGCTCCAGCCGTTGATGTCCTTGTCGGGGTCCGACCACAGGAGATCGCACAGCAGTCCGGTGTCCGGCACGTCGGTCGGGCGCATCACCCGCTTGATCTGGTCCATGCTGATCAGGTCCGGCGACAGGCCGCCGTGCATCGAGAAGATCTTCTCGTCGATAATCGCTGCAATAGGCAGGCAGTTGAAGCAGTCCGTGAATGTCTTCCACAGCTTAATGTTGTACCGCCGCTTGCACTCGTCGTAGAACCCGTAGATCCGGTTGATGCTCGCGCACTCGTGGTTGCCGCGCAGAATGAAAAAGTTCTCTGGGTACTTGATTTTGTACGCCAGCAGAAGGCATATTGTCTCCAGCGACTGCTTGCCGCGGTCGACGTAGTCGCCCAGGAACAGGTAGTTCGCCTCTGGCGGGAACCCGCCGTACTCGAACAATCGGAGCAGGTCGTAGTACTGTCCATGGATATCTCCGCAGATCTTAATCGGCGCCTCGAGCTCAAGCAGGATCGGCTGGCTGATAAAGATCTCACGCGCTGTCACGCACAACCAGTGGATCTCGTTCTCCTGGAGCTGTACCTCCTTCCCGGGTCGCGAGCCACGCACTATTTTTGCCAATGGCAGGAGCAGCCGGTATTGTTAGCACGTGTGAAATGTCAACATTTTTAGCTGTTGCGATTTTTAAAAAAAGTCGAAGGTAGTAGAGCCGGACGCTACACACACAAGAGACAGAACATACGAGCGTGGTTACGGCACCCACTGACCCACTGCTATGATTCACATAGATGTGGGTACACTGCTTAGAGATCGGCCAGCTGACAGCTGCAGCATAGGTGCAAGGTGCTGCAGAGAGTTATTTACGTTTCAAATGCATTGCAATTTCAGCATCACAAGCACGCGTCGCAGGGCCACCAACAGCATGGATGAAATGAGGTATTCGAGGCGCTTCACGGAGTCGCACGGAGTCACACGGAGTCACACGGAGTGTGCGTATGTGGTTCTGCAAAGGCCAAATTCGGACACGCCAGGGGAGGGGAGAGAAAGGAACAGAACACAGCAGCAAGCTCAGCCAAAACAAGCGCAGTGCCGTAGCGGTGATTCCTTACCTTCCAACAGACGCTGGATAATAGAGTCGACATTCACGCTGTCATCTGCCATGTTCGTCCGAATGAATAACTATACTGGAAATTCAAAATGTTCAGAGCTGTGTTTTCTACTACATAATCCGCGACCGAAATGCAAGTGGGGCTGCTGGGACGACCAACGAGACGAAGCGCTATTGCGACGGGAGAAATGCAATTACCTTTTAGTAAGCCAACAGGAGAGAGGGGTTGAAGAAATAGAAGGAAAGGGTGGGGGACGATGTAGGAATTGGACAGGCAAGAGAAAAGAGAGAGAGAAGGACGAAGAGAAGCTGTCAAGGAGAAAGAGTAAAATAAAAATATTTTGGAGCGAGCAGAAAAGAAGGGAAAAAATTTTTTCTTGTCCGTGTTCAAAAGCGGGCACGCCGAATATTTTTGCGTCTGCCGCCGCACTTCTACCGTACACACACCGCATCCCGGTCGCCGGTGGACTGTGCCCTGGCAGCCCTGTTCAGCTGCTTTGCACAGACGGCGCATCGCTCGAACCCTAAATGATGCTTAAAAATGCCCTCCCGCTTCTGTTTCCTGCCAGGCCCGTCTTGCCACACGGGTGGGTCAGCAGCATGCAAAAAAGCGAGAGCCAGATGACAACAGTGGCACACCCGCCACCGGCGATGCTGTGATCACGGCATCGAAGTTTGATCTGGCTGATTTGCAGCTGCAGCAGCCTTCGAGGTCGGCCAGCTGTGTCGCATGCCTGTCGGCCGTTATTTCAAGGCTGCCATTTGCACACTCTGAATTGCAGGCTCATCTCCGGTTCTTCCGTCTTTGCAATTCGACTTGCGTTTCTTTCCTCTCAGACCAGTTTTCCCAGTCCTTTTCTCTCTCTTTCTATTCTTTGACAGAGAAAATTTTCTTGTCCTTTATACCTTGTTTTCCCCTTGACGGGTCGCTATATAACCCTTTACGCATCCAGAGCTCGGCAGAGAAACACGCGCTCTCGCTACGAGCACTGCACAGAGACTTCGCTTGTACCAAACACACTAGTGCCGGCACTTTGTTCCACATTACATACCAAGCAGGTACGTCGCCTTTGCTCTTGTCTTGCTAAGAAAGTTGTTGGAAAAAAGAACGAGTGCATTCTCATCAGCCTAGGCTGATATCATCAAGACTTCGCCCCCACCCACTCTCCCTCCCCCGCTCCCTTTCCCTGAACACCTCTGGTCTATAGGAATAGGCATCGGCGAATTTTCTTGAAATCAGGAAGGAAAAAGTATTATGATGTCAGCGAACACTACAGCTCCGAATGGCCCTGCGAACATGCGCACGTCGTCGTCGTCGTCATCGTCGACGAATGGATCCAGCGGGTCGCAGTTCAACCCTGCGCCGCCGGCAGCACCGTTCACCAAGAGCGAGCGGCCAGCATCGGAGATATTTTTTGCCAATGCGCCACATGCGCTGCCCGAGGCCGAGAGCGTAGACAAGTGGTTTGAGAGCCTGACGCAGTTTGAGGACATGCTGGAGGACATGGCCAAGGTGAGCCTGGACCCGGTGTTCAAGGACGAGCTGAACGCGATTGACCAGTGGTTCTCGGTGCTGTCGGAGCCGGAGCGGACGGCGGCGCTGTACTCGCTGATGCAGCACTGCTCGGATCTGCAGGTGCGCTTTTTCATCACCATTCTGCAGCAGATGCTCAAGCTCGACCCGAACTACCAGCCGCCAGCGGTGGTTGACGACGGTGGCGCGGATCAGAAGGAGCGCCATTCGATTGCGGTCCAGGGGACGTACAACAAGCTCGCAGCAGGCCAGGGTGGCGTGCGCATGAGCTACGACGGGCCCATAGGCTCGTACCCTGGCGGTCCGCACGCGCAGCAGGCAGTGGTGGGCCAGAAGGGAGCCGGGTGGGCGGTGGGCGGTGGCAACGCATCATCGGACAACATCCTGCTGGGCAGCAGCGGCGACGTGCATGCAGCAGCAGCGGCCAAGTGGGGGCTGAGCGGTGCTGCTGGCGGCTCGGCTCTCAACAGTCCGATGCCGGTGGACATGGCGCGACGCAGCGGGCTGGGCAGCACGGGTGAGCGACCCAAGAGCTCGAACGAGGCAGATGCGAACCCAGACTGGCGCACGAACCGACAGAGCACGGGCAGCAACCTGGGCGTGGACATGCAGCTCGGGGTGGCCGGGTCGCGGCGGCAGAGCAACAACGTGTTTGGGCAGCAGGGGACGCCGCGTGGCAGCATGATTGACATGGAGCCCAAGGACTTCCGGTGGTCGTCACTGACCGACAGCCTGGAGCCATACGGCAACCTGGGACCGGACCCGAATGCCTCGGCGCTGGCGCAGATGCTCGACAGCAAGGTCGATCTGGGCACATCGCGCGGCAGCATTGCGACCAGGCGCTCGATCAGCAACCGGCTCAGCATTGCGGTCAAGTCGCCGCGCGACACCATGCAGCTGGGCGCCTCGATAGGCTCGGCGCTGGCGTCGGCGCAGCAGTTTGCGCAGCCAAACGCGGCCATCCGCACACCCAGCAGCGGCTACGGCGCCATGCACTACCAGGCACGCGCCCCGCCGCACCAGGCCCCGCACACGCCGTACTCGGCCGCCCGCATTGGCGCTAACAACGCCGGGTCGGCGGCCAACTCGCCGTCGCGCGGTACGTTTGCAAGGCACGGCAACCCGCCGCAGTCGCCAGCTGGGCCCAAGCCGCAGGACGTGGTGGACTTTGAGCTGATCAAGGATATCCCAGCATGGCTGCGGTCGCTGCGCCTGCACAAGTACACCGAGTGCTTCGGCGGGCTCGAGTGGACCGACATTGTGCAGATGAACGACGAGCAGCTGCAGGCGCGCGGCGTGTCGGCTCTGGGCGCCAGGAGGAAGATGCTCAAGGTGTTTGAGCTCGTGCAGGCCGAACTGGGCAGCAAGAAGGACGGCGAGTGAGGAAAAGCCACCACTATTATTGTCTCGCCAGGGACGATGTTCAATGTTTTTGTCTCTACTGCCAACACCAGTTTTTTTTCTTCAAAGGTACACTAGTGTTTAGCATTTCTGTTGCTGCCGCGAGTGGAGCGGGTCGTGTGGTTCCTATCTATAGACCACACTGCCCCTCTCCCCAATTCCGCACTTTCAGTGGGACCCGCGAAAATGAAAAGTGGAACCGGCGGATTGGTGGTGGGGAGAGGTCAGAGCCAGATACGCAGCAGCAAGCAAGCCTGCGCTATCACTAGCGAGTGTGGTTTCCGGTTTCAGAAAAACCGCCGTTGTATTGAAAACGCTAGAAATACAGGAAATGCGAAAGATTAAAAAAATGTTGTACAGTAACTGGGAGGGCTTGTTCACAGCTGCCAGCGCGCAATCTCGTTGAACTTGTGCGGGACATCCAGCACCGGCGACTTGTATGCGAGCTCATAGAAGGCAATATCCCACAGGTTGCGGGCGGGGTCGAAAATATCCGGGTTATACAGGAAGCTGCGCGCCAAAGCATCCAGGCGCTCAGCCTGCTCATCGGACATCATATTGGCAGTCTTGACATGCTTGTTGTAGTACGCCAGGCTAATATGGCCGATGCGCTTCGGGCGGATATGCGGACACGCCTCCTGCTGCACCTCAGCGATGATTTCGCGGAACACCTGCGGGGTATCCAGCACCAGCTCGACCTTGTGAGTGCCGTGGTGCGGGTAGTCATGCATGGTGTTGATGGTGCGCGCGCACGGCACCACGCCCCGGCCCACCAGGGACTTGGCGCGCCTATGCAAAGCACAGGCAATCCGCGACACCGTGTGGCCAGAGGCGCCGTTTGAGTCGTCCAGGTCAATAAACCCGGTCATCGAGATATGCGGATGGTACTGGTGGGCCTCGGTATACCCGACCAGCTCAGCCGATGCCCGGAAAAACTCCTCAATCGCCAGATACAGCGCCGAGCTCCGGCGGGGCTCCAGGTATATTATCACCTTGCGCGGCCCACACGTGTTGTGCCAGAAGGCAAGGCTCTGCAGGGGCGACGGGCTGAGCATCGAGGGAAGGGCTGGCAGGGCAGAGTACATCCTGTCCTCGCTCTGCGCGTCCTCGTGCGCTGATGTCAGGCGGCCGAAGGGCAAAGAGAAGGCGTTGGCCGTGCGCGCATACCCAACTGTGGCAGTGAGCTCGGGCTTGAGCAGGGCTTTGGGCAAGGCAATGTGCTTTGTGTGGTCAAGCGGCCCTAATGCGGAGGAAAGCGCATGCATGGTAGGTGGTAATACAGACATAAGGGTGAATAGAAGAGCGAGGGCGGATTTGCAATAGAAGAGCAGGAATAGAAAAGAGAGGGGTATCTTTGTGACTGCTAACGGGCAGGGCGGCTGCTGCTTATATACGAAGGAAAAACTAAACGACCTAGTGATTCAAGAGTAGGTGCTCTGGTGGGGGGCGTTGTTTATAGATTGGGTAATGCGAAACACAGGGGAATTCAAGCCAAAGCGGCCAGAGGCTTTCGGGTGTGCCTGACCACTGACAAAAAAAGCCAATCCACCCAATATCGCCAGTGCGCCATTGGCCACCAAACGTGAAACCCGCCTTCAGGAAAGGATATTTGCTGGTATTTTTATACCCAGTGGCGACGCAAAAAATTTCTGGCACGGTTTTCGTCGGCGTGGTCGGTTTGATGGCCGTGCAACTTGATACGCCCTCCTCATTCGGCTTTATCTCCGAGGGACAACAGGGTGGAATTGCGCTCTCGCATGATTTAGCGGTCCGGTTCTTTTCTGCGTGCTCGCCGACTGCGTGAGAACCCCAGGGCGGAATCGCTCAGCAAGCCAGCTGCAGTGTCCATGAGCAATGTTCGGACGTGATGCGTGTCGGTTTCTGTGTGCCCGGCCTAGTCTGGGCCTCATCCTCTATGTGGGACCAGCACTACATGGTGCAATAGGAGCAAGGGCTGATAGGGAGAAGCCGGATTCACACGAGAATAAAAACAAGGCTCATGGCCTGGTGGTTTGGCGCCATTCTGGCAGCATGTGAAGGTTCCTTTTTCTGACACAGCGACAGGCAAAAATTATCCACCTGGGCGCGGAGAAATAAAGGTGGCATGAAGCGCACTGACCACCACCCGTGTCACCAGGCGTGCAGCCCCTGTGGTGCTGATCTCGCGAGCAGAAAAAGAGGAAGGCACACCCCCAAAGGTCATGCGATTACCAACAAAGGAGAAGTTTAAATCAGCTAACGCTCGCGGCTCCACACAATATTGCGGATCTCGTTCCGCAGGTTCACCACCGACTGCTGCTTGCGCTCCAGCACCTCGTCCAAGTGCTCCAGGTACTCCATGGCCTCATGCATCTTGGCATCCTCCACGGTGTCAAACACCACAGCGTCCTGCAGGCGCGTCACACGGCCCGAGGCCACATCCAGGTGGTACTTGTCCGACAGGCTCTGCTGCCAGCTCATGGCCCGCACCTGCGCAGCCTCGCCGCGGGCATTCTGGGCCAGCTGCGCGTAGCTCAGTGCAGTGTAAGCGCTGATCAGCGTGGTCTCCTCTTTGCACGCCTCGGTTGTCGCCCGGATCTCCGCGCGGTGGTGTTTCACAAACGCATCCACGTCCGCCAGCCGCAGCCCGGCAAACGCTGCCTGCCCGTCGCTCGAGCTGGGCGGCGGCGAATGCCCAGCTGACGACGACCCCACTCCGCCAGTTGCCGACGACGAGTACACCGGCGACACCACCTGCCCGTTGCGTGGGCGGTGCTCCTCGATCGCCGGTGACGGCGGCGGACGGACTCGTGCATAGGCGCTGCGCGGCGGCTCCTCGGGCGGTGCAGTGCTGCGTGTGCGAGCCAGGATGCTCGACAGACGCGAGCCCTTGCTGCGCGCAGCCACCGGCGACTTGGGCAGGCGCGTGGCCACGTAGCCCTTGGCGGCTGGCGATCCGTAGGCGCGTGGCGCCATGCGCACGTCCTCGGCAAACGCCGGCTGTTCGTCCAGAATCGACGGCGCGTCCTCCGACATGGCGCCCACATCACCAAATGATTCGCGCGGCGCGCAGTCCATCCGCTCGATACTGCCCTCGACTGAGTCGGTTTGCATAAACTCGTCGTCGTCGCCGTCATCATCCTGCATGTTCCACTCCTCGGCGCGCTCGGCCGAGTCGTCCTCGTACCCGTCGGGATCAGCGCCGTAGTAGTCGCCCTCAGGGATGGTCTCGTTGATCGGTGAGTCAACGTCAGCGGTAGCTGCGCTGCTGCTGGCGCCCTTCATGGCCTTGACGCGGTCGGCGTACCGCAGTGTGTTCAGCGTGTTGTCGCAGTTGGCACTGTTCGGTGAGATCGTCGCCACCATGCATGCACGCGAGTTGCCGATGAACGAGTCCTTCAGCACCTGCGTCAGCTTGCTACCGCGGAACGGCTGGTGAGCCTTGTTGAGGTCCAGCGCGCGGATGCACTCCTTCAGCGCCAGTAGGCTCTTATTGATCTCCGAGCCCTCCTTCAGCGTGCGCTTGTCCACCCGGTCCCCGCGGTCTGACCCGCGCTCGTTACCGGCCAGGTCAATGAAGCTCAGCTTGCCATGCATCACCGGCCGCCGCCCCGACACATCCTTCAGCGAAATCTGCAGGATCGCATGCGACCGCGACGAGTCGGCGTTGGCGCCAGTCGACCCGGTGCTGCGGCACCCGTTGCCATACTCGAACACGCTCATTAGATCCTCCGGCGACTGCACCAGCACCTCACGCACATTCTGCACCACCACGTTCTGCTTGGCGTCCTCGCGAGCAAACAGCTTCTTGCGGTCGTTCAGCAGATCATACAGATCAACCAGATAGATCTCGTAGAACGTCACAAACGCCTGTAGGTGCCCATGCTCCGGCCGTGCCAGCAGCGCAAACAGATCCTCGGCTGCGCGGATGTACAGCCCGTCCTGCACGTCCAGCATCGTGTATGTCTTGCCGCTGCCCGTCTGCCCATAGGCAAAGCACGTGGCATTGCCCCCGCCAAACACATACTCCACCAGCGGCTTGGCCGTGCGCTCATACACATCGCCATTGGTCGCCGTCTCGCTGAACACTTCGTCAAACAGGAACCGGCTCTCCTCGATATACCGCGTCATGTCCACCTTGACCTTGGGCTCCATCACCGACATCCCGCGTCGGCCCCGCACCACCGCCACATCCTTCTCGCCGCGCTCGCGCTCGCGGCTGCTCAGCGGCCGCTTGCGCACACACACGCGGATTTTGTCGTGCAGATTCGAGACTGTCTGTTCACGCGACACTGCCCCACTCTCCCGCCGTGCCGTGCGCGGGCGCCCAATCATGCTGGTCCGCCGCCCTGCCGTCGTCGGCCGCGTCGGAATCCCATACGCATTGACCAGCCCACCCCTGCCACTCTGCCGCACAACGTGCTCCAGGTCCTCATCGCTGTCGCCTGCCCGCTGCCCTGCCGCAAACGAGCTGCTGCGCTCCAGAATATCCGTTAACGACGCGTGCGTCTGCACTCGTCCCACGGTCGCGGGTGCTGCCCCTGCCACCCGGCGCGGCGCCCGCGGTGTCTCATCACCCCGTCCAAACATGCCCTGTCCGGGCGTCAGCGTCGTCCGCCGTCGCATCCCGCCGATCGCTGCATTGCCCGCCGGAGGCAGCCCCTGCCGCCCGATCGTTCGTGGAATCCCCGAGCTCGACCCGTTCGCCTGGCTGTACAGGCTTGTCGTGCGCGGCGCCCGCACCGTCCGACTCCCCGCTGCCGCCAGCATCTGCCGGTCGTTGTCGCTATCATCGCCATTGAACGTATTCGTGCGTCCGCGTCCTTGTGCCGTGTATCCGTCCGCCCCCCGCCGCAGCGACGCAATCAGCTGCTCGAATCGCTCTAGCTCAGGGCGGTGTGTGACGCCCAGCCGCGGTAGCATCAGCGTTTCCAGCTACAGCAAACCAAATGCATCAATACTGTGCTGTCTGCTGAATCCAAAGAAAAAAAAACAAACAAATCGACCCTGCCTATTGTTCCGGCACTTGGCCGCTTCTCAGATCATATCCTCCTGCCTTTCTCTGTGGCTTACCTTTGCAAGCTCGTCAAGCGAAGTGATGCCACTGCTGTACAGTCTACATATATTAAGAAGCCCTCCCTCCCAGAATGGTCAGTCCCTGCGCCTTTCCGCCATACCTACTGCATACAACCCTAGGAATAGTTCTAACTTACGATGGATAGTGGTGTTCCAGCTCCATCCCTTTCAGCGTATTGAGAAAGTCATTGGAACTCATTGTGCCCTGCTGATTCGCTTCACCCTGCTTGAAACTAATTGGAACAAGTCTGTGTGGTATTATGAAAGAAAAAGGAAAAGGTAATGGACCAGAAAAGCCTTTTGCAGACTGCTTCGCGATATGCTAGTGGGAGGGGGTTTTTTGTAAATACAAATAAACTGCACAAACTTTGAATGAGAAAAGCAGGGAGGCGAGAAATGGTCCTGGTTCTTCTAGACATGATGCTTGCTGAGGGGAAGGAAAAATCTTTGTTTCTCAGCTCGCTATTGCAACGTGCTGCAGAGCCAATCACCGATCGTTAGCGTGTTGACAAGATAATTTTGTAAACATGAATATCGCTCGGTAACATTCTTAGCAACAAACCTCGCCTCTGCATATCTGCCCATCACTGCACAATACCCAGGATCTGGTTCGAAAAAAAATGCTGCTTTAGCTATATTTCTGTATCATACAAGTAGGATGTAGAAGAAATTCAACGAGGCAACTGGCTGTGCCCATCTTCACCACCGTCAGTGCAGCGCACGGTGAGCTGCAAGAAAGATAAACAAAAAATACAATTGCAGGTGCCGCTCGACAGGTGCCGCCAGAACCGCATGGTTAATGCCAATCACCCAGGTTCTTCACTCCCCAGAAAACACCTGCGATCTTCAATATACTGTGCCTATTCCGCCTTATCAAGCAAGCGTGATGTAGAGTGCAGCATGCCCTGCACTCACATCGCCTGCTGCATAATCTGCAGGAGCTGCTCCTTCTCGCGTTGCAGTTGCCGGATGCGCCGGACCAACTCGGTCTCGACCATCGACAGGTCGAACACTGGCTGTGTGTGGTGGCCCATCTGTGTGCCTAACAGCAGCAACAGCAGCAACAGCAGCAGCCGCATTACATCGCAATGATGCAAGAGTGCCAGTGCGCAGGGGCGGGGATGCATATGAAAGGGAGGGAGAAGGTGTCAGGGTGATTAGCGCATGGATTCCTCTTTACAATTGCTCGGCGCCTGGCGTGACTGCAGGACACATGAGCGTCACCGCGACTGCGGATCTCCAGATGCTGCTCATAAGCGCCAGGCAGCGGAACGAGCTACCCTGCCACCTGGCATATTAATAATGCAGTGCCGCAGCGCCAGCACCGGCTGCGCAACACGTAAGCGCACATTGCCAAGATCAAGGAGACTGCTGCTGCTTTTGCCGCTGCCGCTGCAGCACCAATTGCTCAGATGCCAGCTGCCATCGATTTGCATCGATTCGCACATCCGGCATATGAACACCAGCTGCAATCCCTCCCCACCCACTCAGCACTACCTGTGCCATTGGGGGAGAAGCCGCAAGTGCACAGGCGATAGTGGTGGGGGTGCACAATAGCCTCAGGCTCAAACGTCGCACACATGCCGACTCACACATCCAAAAACTCAGCTCTTACCATAGTGCTCGGCGTCCGAGCTGAATCCCGACGACGCACCAGACATGACGCCCGCCGAGGAAATGGCAGCCGGGTCAGTGGCAAACAGCGACGCTAGGGCAGCAGCGCCGATGCTGGCGGTGTGGCGGTGCTTGGCAGCGCGATTGCGCTTCATCTTTTGCGCAATCTTGCGGGCAACCGCCTTGCGCACCAGCTCGTCTCGATGCTTGGAAGTAGTCATTCTATGAATGCGTCTTGTTTTTGGAGTTGAAGCTTGGTTAGGCCTGGGGTGGAGAAACAGAAAAACACGCAGTATGCGGGAGGAGGCTGGCAACTAAAACCAAGAGCTGTCTGGAGCAATCAGAAAACCTGGGAAAGAGGCGGTTGAGAGTGGAGGAGAAAAACCGAAATTGACCAGGCCCAGCCGGAAAATCAAGCCTGGCTTTTATATGTCGCGGCGACTAGCAGGAAGGAAAATACACCAGGAGGCGTGGAGTTGGCGATCAAAGCCAGTTTAGAACAAATGAAGAGTAGCCCAACAAAAAATTATTCCTGTGGCAAAGCCTGAATAGCCAGTACTCTCTACGGGTCTCTCCGAACACACCTGCCCGCTCAGCACGCGTCCGACTCTACAAGAATACCAGCGGTACGCTGTTGCTGGGGGTATCCTTCGCGCTGCAAACTGGCAAACTGAGCCACCTAGACTCGATAGAACAGCAGATTGTCATGCATATCTTGTGCCTGTCCCTGGTGGCCCACCACTGCCTTGTGCATGCATGGAATGGCGGTGACTACGAGTTGTTTGTCTTTGCCACAGAACCCGCTGGCTCAATCGCCGTCTCCCAGACATCGCATAACATAAACAGCTGAAATCCCCTCCGCCCATGCTGTCGAGACACACAAACATCAATCCTATGTTGACAACCCCCTTCGTGGATTCAATAAACAGCAAGTCTGGATGACATTGGAACTGTGTAAAAATAGAACCGACTCTTAGCCAGCGAAGATGCGGCGCTTCTTGCGCTCTGCCTCCTTCTCCTTCTTAGACCGCTTCTTGTCCTTCTTGCTGTATGCGTCCTCAGACTTCTTGTCCTTCTTGGACTTGCTCTTCTTCTTCTTAGAACCAGAGATGGCTGTCAGCACGGCGTCAAGGTTCTTGTCGCCCTTGGCGCTGAGGCTGGCAGCTGGCGAATCGCCGGTGGCTTGCATTGGCTACAAAGGAAAACGGGGCGAGTGTCTTCATTAGTCCGTATTTCGTCACTTTCAAAATGCAACTTTTCATATATTGCCGAAAACAACTGGGCGTCGCCTCACGTATGCTGGACGGGCTACTCACCTCATTGTCTGCCTCTGGCTCATTGCCAGGAGGAGCGTCCGCGCTTCTTGAACAGCGAGTCAATCTCGTCTGGGATATTCGACTACAGAGAGGCCCAACAACAACAACACGAGTTCAGTACAATGGGCACCATTTGTAAAAAGGCAAAATAATGCTGACGTTTTGAATCCTGGCTACTTACCTCGGCCTTGCCCTTCTTCCCACCAGCAGACTTTGCAAATCCGAGTGCACCCAAGGCGCCGCCGGATTCCTTCCCCGCCATCAGACACGTCGTCGTCTGTCGTCGGCACCAACTGCAACCAGGCCAGTGTCGTCCAGAATGTCGGCAAACATGTTCTTCTTGCGCTCATTACCGCGCTCACGCTCGCGCCACTCGTCGGCCCTGCGCTTGTACTGGTCGAGCTTGCACTTGCTGGCGACAATACGGCCAAACATGCTGTCGTTCAGCTGGGTCTCACGCTGCAGCAGCTCTGCCATGATCGTCTCCTTGTACTTCAGGTCCGAGTACTGCCAGCAGGCTTCGACCACACGCGATCCAAACTTGTCGCATCGCCAAGTCAGCATAGTGGCTCTCGTACTGGCGCAGAATCCGGCGCTTCTGCTTGAGTGGCACTTGCGGTGACCGAATAATAGCTTCGACGATGTGCGACCCGCTCGGGTCCTTGGCCCACGAGTAGATCTTCATCGGTTCCTGTGCAAAGTAGCTCTCGAGAATCGGCCGCATGCCCTCGACCGGGAACTGCAGCAGCGCCTGCAGAATCAAGGAGCCCTGCAGCTTGAACGGCAGCGTGTTGTAGTCGGCACGCACAAAGTCCTGGTAAGTGATCAGGAACGCGAGCAGGTTGATCAGCTCCTTGCGCTCGTTCGTGGTCGTCGCGCCCAAACCCTTGTTCAGCGCGTTGATTAGCTCGCTGTACCCGGCCTTCAGGCGCACGCACGACTCGATCAGCGCACGGATCACACCAGGGCGGTTCTTGAACAGCAGGTCATGGACCAGCGGCTCGATCTCCTCAATCATGATACTTGAGCTGGACCGGGCTCTTGGCATTGGACAGCAGGCTCTGCACCACAAAGTTCGAGATCGGGTGGAATCCCAGCTCGCTGAGGCTCCCGCGGAAGTACCGCGTGTAGAGCCGCTGCAGCAGCGCTGGTGACGCAATACGAAGCGTGATCTCCAGGAAGTGCGAGCCGACCACGTCCTCCAGCATGCTCCTTATATAATTGTCCCGTCGCGTGTTTTCGTGGTCGACTTCGTCAGAGATCAGGACCCATTAGCAGCTTGTCGAGCAGCGAGCCAGGGTACTCAACGCTGGTACGTGCTGCCTGCAGCGTAATCATGAGCTGCAACACATGGCTGCCAAGCTTGTCATTGGCCAGCATGCGCTGCATCGGCGTCGCCAATGGAGTCACTAAGCTCACGCAGGAGCTGGTCCAGTGCTGGCCCAAACGATTCCGGGACCCTGCGCTTGCGCTGCAATGCCTTGTCCTGGGATGGCAGGCCGTTGCGGTCCTCCATGTACTTTGTCGAGCGGCGGCTCTTGATGCCGCTCTTCGCCTTGGACGACGGATCCTCGATTGGATCGCCCGCCAGAACCAGCAGCAGGACGCGCAGGACGTGCGACGCGTACTCGTTCACCATCAGCGACTGCCAGTGTGGCTTCAGCATCTCGGTGAGCCCAAGCACAAGCTGCTCAAAGGTCGGCAGAGGTGTGCGCACGCCATCCTCTTGGTCATCGCTCTCAGGCGGGAAATCGCTGGACTCGCCGCGGCACTCGCGCTCGAGCGCCGATGCCGTCAGCAGCAGCAGCGACTGCAGTACATGCGACGAGAACCGGTGGATGACCAGGCGCAGAGTGTCGTCGCGTGTCAGCGCAAAGTACCGGCGGATATGGTAGTCGCGCGAAACCCGGAACAGCTTCTCGAGGATCCGTGAGCACTCGTGGTCGGTGGTCAGCTGCAGCTCAAAGTTCTTGGCCTCAGGAATACACGTTGTTTACGAATATGTCCTGGTCTTCGGAGTTTTCAAAGGAAGCGCTGTCAAGCATTGCCTCGCAGCTCTTCAGGTAGTGCTGCAGGTCGGGGTTGACCAGGCCGTAGGATGCCGGTGTGATCCGCGACTCGTCCTGCTCGTTGTATTGCTCGTCCACCTGCATTGGCTCCCGCGCACCTGACCGGTCTTCAAAAAACAGCGAGTCCCTGTTGCCGCTTGTCCATGGGCGGCGGAATATAGCCACTGTCGCTGGCCGGGGCTGCGGGTGCCGGCGTCTGATCCAGTACCTCGTTCTGCTCATGCCCATCCTCATGAGCCTTGCGTTTAGTCTCTCCTCCGCGCTTTCCGCGGCGTGTCTTGCGCTTGATGTCAGAGCCCATGGTCTTTTGTGTGGGTATTTTGTAAGGGATATGTGTAGAAAAGCCGGGAGACAAGCTGCAAAAGAAAAAATTGACGTGCGCGGCAGGCAATTGAGATCAAGCAAAGAAACTTTTTTTTTTTTTCACCAAAAACCTTGGAGCCGAGTGCTACAAGTCGGCTGGGCGAGCCGAGCCGTCAATATAGCCGGCGATCTGGTTTTGTAGCTGCGCGTTTTCTGCTTGCAGCCTGAGCCACCAGCATCTGGAGCTCAGCAGCCGGGTTTTGGTGTGGTGGCAGCTTGGGCCTGAAATGGCGTAATCGGCATTCCTCGTCGCTGCTGTATCTGTCGGTGCTGTTCGAATCAAAAGACAGCTTTGACACCCCAGTTACCCGTCGCAGGTGCTGCGGAGATGCTTGCATCTACAGAAAAGTAATTCAGACATGCTAGTGGGTATGTGCAATGCGCAAAACTGTCAAAAGAGCGCCAACGCCGATGTGTGGGTGTTACCTTCGTTGTCTGCACCCGGCGAGCTTGTCGCCTCACCTGGTGTGCACCTGATGTCTACACAATTGGGAATTCCTGCCATTCAAACAAGGTCCGCGGTGCGCGCAGAGGGAGATATCAGTAGCTGGACTCAGGCGGGAATCGCAATTGTAGTTATTGAGAGAGACGTCAATGTACACAGTCCTTGTCTACTACAATGGTTGCTACGATTCTGCATCTTTTTCTTTGGCCGCGTAAAGTTTCGCTGCAGCAGCAGAAGTGATTCGGGAGCGAGACAATGGAGTCACGCGCAGTTCCTCCATGCGTATACTCACATTCGTCCTTTCCGACCAGGGCAAATATGTCAAAGCTGCCCTTGATGCGCTTTAGCCCACTATTTCGGGCACTTGCTGTCGACTGCACATGCCTGCGGACTTGTTCAGACTGGCTAGCGCGTCGCTGTCTGCGGAGCGCAAAAAAAACTTGCTGGCGGGCCTTGATGTTGCCCCTTGCCTTGAGCTGGTTGCTACAGATAGGACATGGTTGTAGCGACTTGACACTAGACTAGACGTGTGGAGCAAGAAGCCGCTGCGAGAAACATTGTCTAGAGATGCATCGTTCTACCTCTTTCCTCCGACCCAATTCATTGCTGCAGGCACCTTCCCCCGTGGTTGTTGTCGCTGATGCAAAAATGCGTAAATTTGAGTGGTGAGAACGTAGATAACAGATGCGATATGTAATTACAGCTGACGAGTATCACCGAGAGGGGGCAGCAGGGAATTTATGAAAGTGGCCGAATCGCGGGCTATACGCTAGTGCGGCTGCCACACACTTCACAAGGCACAGAGAACTTTTCATTCGCCTTAAATGGCTTTGATCGCCAACTCCACGCCTCCTGGTGTATTTTCCTTCCTGCTAGTCGCCGCGACGTATAAAAGCCAGGCTTGATTTTCCGGCTGGGCCTGGTCAATTTCGGTTTTTCTCCTCCACTCTCAACCGCCTCTTTCCCAGGTTTTCTGATTGCTCCAGACAGCTCTTGGTTTTAGTTGCCAGCCTCCTCCCGCATACTGCGCGTTTTTCTGTTTCTCCACCCCAGGCCTAACCAAGCTTCAACTCCAAAAACAAGACGCATTCATAGAATGACTACTTCCAAGCATCGAGACGAGCTGGTGCGCAAGGCGGTTGCCCGCAAGATTGCGCAAAAGATGAAGCGCAATCGCGCTGCCAAGCACCGCCACGCCGCCAGCATCGGCGCTGCTGCCCTAGCGTCGCTGTTTGCCACTGACCCGGCTGCCATTTCCTCGGCGGGCGTCATGTCTGGTGCGTCGTCGGGATTCAGCTCGGACGCCGAGCACTATGGTAAGAGCTGAGTTTTTGGATGTGTGAGTCGGCATGTGTGCGACGTTTGAGCCTGAGGCTATTGTGCACCCCCACCACTATCGCCTGTGCACTTGCGGCTTCTCCCCCAATGGCACAGGTAGTGCTGAGTGGGTGGGGAGGGATTGCAGCTGGTGTTCATATGCCGGATGTGGGAATCGATGCAAATCGATGGCAGCTGGCATCTGAGCAATTGGTGCTGCAGCGGCAGCGGCAAAAGCAGCAGCAGTCTCCTTGATCTTGGCAATGTGCGCTTACGTGTTGCGCAGCCGGTGCTGGCGCTGCGGCACTGCATTATTAATATGCCAGGTGGCAGGGTAGCTCGTTCCGCTGCCTGGCGCTTATGAGCAGCATCTGGAGATCCGCAGTCGCGGTGACGCTCATGTGTCTGCGGTCACGCCAGGCGCCGAGCAATTGTAAAGAGGAATCCATGCGCTAATCACCCTGACACCTTCTCCCTCCCTTTCATATGCATCCCCGCCCCTGCGCACTGGCACTCTTGCATCACTACGATGTAATGCGGCTGCTGCTGCTGCTGCTGTTGCTGCTGTTAGGCACACAGATGGGCCACCACACACAGGCAGTGTTTGACCTGTCGATGGTCGAGACCGAGCTGGTCCGGCGCATCCGGCAACTGCAACGCGAGAAGGAGCAGCTCCTGCAGATTATGCAGCAGGCGATGTGAGGGCAGACAGCTCGTACTTGACTGTCCTTCTGCCTAGCATGCATGTGCCAGTGTATAATCCGTAAAATGGCATCAACCGCGCATGTAATTTCATCACCAGTCATATTGGCAAATGGTGAGCTTCGCTCAGCCAGCACTGCAATATCACAGCTGGCCTTCTCAACTTGGGTCTCTAAGAGCCCATGTGTATAGTACATCTAATAAAGTTCACTATTAAGTTAATCTGGCCATAACACGAGTCTGCTTTCGGACACTCTACGGGAGCGATGGGCCAAACTGGGCACCGTGCTTTTGCGCATCTTTGCACATTCTTGTGCTGTGCACGAGTGCATACTGCCGATGGGAGAATAGTGCCAGACTTCCGCAGACGGTGGTCATGCGGGTAGCCAACGTCCGTGGCTGCATTGGACCAGATGAAGGCGCAACCAGCACTCACCAGCACACTGCATCCCTAATACCCTCTTCACTGGCCATTGCAGCTGGATCTTGCCAGCACACCCACCAGCTCCTGCTTTTCCATACCTGGTGGAGTTGACTGCCCGGCCGGCTCCCCGTCCATTTCATGCAAATCGGGTATTGCGACTTCAGGCAATCCGCTCTACGTAGCCAGAGGGATTGGCAAGCGCGCACAGGTCTGCCCCAATGCACAAGAAGACGTAGGTCGGTATGGTTTTGCTGCCAGTTTGTTCCTCCAGGTGTATTCTTGCTATTTTTGGTTTGTAGAACCAGCTACTCAGGCACTACATCGGGATATTCCATGGTTCTGTTCCGAAACCATATATCGTGGATCTAATCAAATGCCAGCCAGTATTTTGTATCCATGGTGTATTCCGAGTTATACAAAGAATATACTAAATAGGCAGCTAAGTCGTTAAACTTTTGTAACAGGGTTCTTGACAGAAAAGAATCTTTCTGACGGAATCAGGGACAAATAGTCCGCGGACTGATCGACTTCCTATCAACCATGTAGAGGAGCAGCCTGAATGACTGGTTCTCGGGACGCCGGTATGCCCGACGCTGCTGAAAGACATGGCTGCAGTTGAGCGGCCGGCCAAACAGCAGATGCGGTGTCATACGTACTTGCTCGCCTACATGCGTCCACGGGCTAGATCAACCACATTTCTTATGACCGCATGAATTCCTCCGCCATTGCAATCATTGCCAAAGCCAGTGGTTCTTCTCATGCTTAAAAGCGCAGCCTTGGGAGCCCAGTGCCAATTGCCCTTATAACCGCCTTGAGTCCCTTAAACTTCTACCATCACCAAGAGGGATTGATTTCTCTGTACGGAGCCGGCTGCCTGCATTTGACAACTCTTCGACTTTTTTTTTTTTTTTTGAACTTCTCACTCTCCTCTCAATTCCTTCAATTCAATTGTATTTGCTGTTTGTTTTCTATGGACGCTTACTTGGGACTACTCAAAAACGCGACCAACGAGTCGGCCGCGCGAATTATTCTGGATGCTCTTGAAAACGATTCGCTCTTCCACTTTACGCGGCTGCTGGAAGCACCACCCATTGCAAAGGTACGACAAAAGGAGACGTCAGCCTGGTCATAAAAAAGAGGTCTATGGCTGCCAACGCCTTGGTGACGTGGCTGCGTGAATTTATGACCACGGCGACTGCGCATAAAAGTAGGCCAACACGTAACCAAAACCACGCCTTGCCCATGGCTGCACTAACCCACCACCCCCTTTATGTTTGTAGCTGGCAGAGTCGGACGAGTTCAAGCCGTATCTGAGGCTCCTGGAAATATTCTCATTCGGCACCTTGAGCGACTACAAGCTGCTTTCGCAGCAGCTGCCTGAAATCAATGGGCATCAGTTGGAGAAGCTCAAGTACCTGACTCTGGTCACACTTGCATCGCACGCCAAGGTCCTGCAATACAACGACCTGATGTCTGAGCTGGAATGCACTGACGAGCAGCAGATGGAGGACCTAGTCATCGAGTCCATCTACAATGGGCTGCTCTCAGCCAAGCTGGATCAGCAGCGCCGCCTAGTCGAAGTTGATTTTGTAGTCGGCCGCGACGCAAGCCGAGCGGACCTGCGCGAGATGCTGAGCGTGTTGAACTCGTGGTCGGCCGTGTGTGATACCGCCCTGAGCGACCTGAATAGCCGCATCAGCAATGTCAGCTCGGAGGCTGTGGCGAAGCAGATGGCCGAGAAGGACTTTACCGAGCGGCTCCAAGAGGTGCGTGTCAAGTATGCGCCCGTCGCTGGCGATGGTGATGAGCCACTGCACAGCTCACAGTACACAAGCACCGAGTACCAGCGTGAGGAGCAGAGGAAGGCTACTACATCGTAGTAAGCAGCCCGCACACATTTTGTATCTTTTCCTTTGTAGTTCTGGTGCTGTAGGCATGCTCTATATTCCATCCATTGCTCCAGATATCGCTGCAAGTCCAGCATCTGCTCCAACATGTACATTTCAATGAGCACGATAACAGCAAACTCGTTGGAAGCAACGTGTATTGAGACAGCGGAGGGATAGTGTTTATACAAAAAAGGAAATCGATGAGGAGGGTGTGATGTAATGAAGCCAGATGGTTAAGCCTTGGGTCGGGCTCGCGTCCTGGTCATCTTTTGTCCTGGCAAGGATAATTGCCGGGACTTCGGGGAGGTCAAACATACCATTTACCCCCTGCTGGTCAACCCTCAGTGCGCTGCGCAGGGCTGCATGGATGTCACCGCCAAACTCGTCCAAGAACACCTTTAACGGACATCTCGCGCACGTGCTTTGGGAGCTGGGCAATCTCGCACTCGGCCTTCAAAATCAGCTCCTGCTTGTCTGCCTCGAGCTGTGCCCGCATCGAACGGATCTTGTCTTCAACCTCCATGTCAAAGTTTTCCAGCATTGCAATGCGCTGCTCTTCGACTAGCTCCAGGTCTTTGTGAGTACCAAACTTACTCGACGGGTTGCCGACTACTGTTCCTTGGCTGCGCTCACCCTCTAACTGTGAGCTGTGTGGTGTGTCAATCGATGTGCTCATGGCTAAGTGCAAAAGTGCGAGAAATACGAGAGTGGGAAAAAATGAAGTTTTGAAAAAAAGAAAGCCAGACGTGAGCTTGTGCTTGCTGGAACCACTTTGTCAACACGCTGATTTGATCTAATGCCGCGATGCTGTGGTTTCTGGTCTGTGATTGCAATTGGCAGATGTGCTTGCACCAAGGAGGGATCGCTTCCAGAGAATCGGCGCGGGGAATATTTAGTTTTGCCGGCAATCTCCGCCAAAACATCCATTACTGCGACTTGTAGCCAGTGCTGGCTTATAAAAGGCTCAGGGACCCTTGGTCCCTTCATAATAAAGCTCGTCAATAGTCACCATCCTCCCATCCCTCGTCAACAATGAAGAGCCCCCTCGCCTGCCTCTCCGCTTTTGCTCTCTACACCTTCGCGGCTTCAGTCTCGGCTGTCAGCCCTATCACCACGCACGTCCTCGACGCCAAGCTCGGTCTCCCTGGATCTGGTGTGCCCATCACCCTCAAGTATGCCAGGAGCTCATACGATGCTGCCAAGGGTGACAGCCGAGTGATTGCTCGCTGCACTACCGATGCCGACGGCCGTTGCAACTCGCTGCTCCCAGATAGCTATGTTCTGAAGCGTGGTGTCTACACTGTCCACTTTGACATCAAGACCTACACAAACAGGCTTGGCGACAAGGCATTCTATCCGTTTGCCGATATTACTTTCGAGATCGAGACTCCTGCTCCTCACTACCACATCCCGCTCAACCTGGCTCCGTACTCATTCACTACCTACCGGGGCTCGTAAGCGCCGGATAGTGTGTCATAATGCAGTTCCTTGTCCTCTCCTTTTCGTGCTAATACACACGGGTACTGGGCTTCGTGGTTTGAAATGCAAATGTTAGGAAAGTGCTGTTACCCAATAGCAGCAAGAATGAGCGGATGATCTACATATTGCAAAGGCTACTAGCGGAAACCAGCTGCTGACCTTGAACCAGTTGCCCATCATGGTGGGTTGTTTAATCAATTGGAATGTAGATCAGCCCAACGTAGCGGAATGAATTTAAAAGCAGCATATACCCAGCTAGTTTTGGAGTCCCGTCTGGGATAGTCGGCGGAAATTAGACTGCAGATCTGCTGGTGAAATGGGGAAATTTCGTTAGACCACATAGAATGGAGCACGTGTAACTCAGCGATGGTGTGATACATAGGGTGCAGTGTTCAGCAGTTGGTTGGTGTTAGGAATTGCCACTAACCAGGCTGCCAGTGTTTTGTTGCAGACACATTGTGGAAATGGCTTTAAGATAACTATCTCAACAGAACCACCGCGTTACTGATATCAGCCATTTGGGAGCACTTCGAATGTTTGCCCGCTGTTTCCAAAAGTACTGTCGCGTCACTGTTCAATGTTTAGTATTGGCATTTAACCTTTGTTTTAAACAGGATATTCCCCATTTTACAGCCTTTCTCGGGTATTCTTGCGCAATCACTTTTTGAATGCAATACACCAACTCCCCATCACCTGACCATGTTATGCTACGACGCAAACCGCCTAACTACATAAGGGCCCATTGCTACAATACATATATACGGCGGGTAGATATGATATTTTGATACAAATTAAGCTGGCTTATTATTTACTTCAACTTGACCCTTTAATTTACCCATGACCTACATTGAACTAGATTGTGGAATGCCATTATCATCAGTTCTCATAATGGTATCTCTTTATCTTCTGCTTGCTCAGGCAGTTTATGATATTATGAAATAGGTAATACAGGTGCCACCAAGTTCACAGAGGGTGGTGGTGCATATCGTTACTTTGTGTCCAACTATTATTGCATGTGAATTGCTTCCAACTCCTAAATTCTCGAGATGCACTGTTTGTAACAAAACTATTTCATACCTTTTCGCTCATTACCTCCACACATGTGCTCGCAGCAACAGCATAGAGAGCTTCTAATCTGCTGATACGCTAGTTTCGTTCACCATTGTTTCTTGTGGAACAAAGAAATAGAAGCCATCCAGTGAGGTGAAAAATGTGAGCTCGTGCTTATCAGACACATTCTGTCAACGTGTTGGCAGCCGCAATGTGTTATTGTGATTGCCATTTTCAACGATTGCCTTTGAAAGATGTACTCACACCATGAATGGCTGTTTTCCAGGAAATCGGTGCGGGGGATTTATTGGTGCATGGTGGCAATCTCTAGATGTAAAACAGCCTCCATCGTGGCTTCTGAAAAGCACTACCTTGTAAAAAGCTCAAAAAATTTCTATGCCATCAACAGCCAGTTCATCCAACAATATTGCCCTCTCACTTTTCACTAATCATGAAGGGCCCCCTCGCCTACCTCTCCGCTTTTGCTCTCTACACCTTCGCGGCTTCAGTCTCGGCTGTCAGCCCTATCACTACGCACGTCCTCGACGCCAAGCTCGGTCTCCCTGGATCTGGTGTGCCCATCACCCTCAAGTATGCCAGGAACTCATACGAATTGCTGCCTAAGGGTGACAGCCGGAGTGATTGCTCGCTGCACTACCGATGCCGACGGCCGTTGCAACTCACTGCTCCCAGATAGCTATGTTCTGAAGCGTGGTGTCTACACTGTCCACTTTGACATCAAGACCTTACACAAACAGGCTTGGCGACAAGGCATTCTATCCGTTTGCCGACATTACTTTCGAGATCGAGACTCCTGCTCCTCACTACCACATCCCGCTCAACCTGGCTCCGTACTCATTCACTACTTATCGTGGCTCGTAAGTGCTGACGCATATGCTATGCATCAACCTTTTTCCTTTCTTTTCCATGCTAATACAGTTTTATATACATTTTTATGATCCGTGTAGATGGTAAGTGGAAAAGAAATGTGGATCAGCTGTGGTAAGGAGCGAGTTAACGATTTGCTTATTGCAAATGCAGCTTTCGAAAAACATCTGCTGGCTTTGAGCCAAAGAAACATTGTACATTGCTTGCCCGGGCTGTGTGCCATCAAATAATTAGTACTCGGTTTCATGGTAGCACCCATGGCTCCTGGTATCCAAAGTTGCCGGTTATCCTGGATCCGAGTCTGATCCAGTGATCTGATCCAGGGCATACGATCAGCTGGGTGGCTGGATATCTCTGACAGAACCTCCAGCCTTTTGCTCCAGACTTAATGGCCGCTGCGCGCGGGGAATTTCTCCGCTTTTCACAGCACCCGTCGCCTGCGCTCTTTCGCAACACGCAGAACCCCCTCTATAAAGCAGTGTAAGAGCGATCCGCTCTGTTGACAAAGGCTCTGCTTTGTTTCTCTTATCTCTTTGTCCTTTTTCACTATACTCTTACAAGCAGCCATGGGAGGAGTCAGCCCCATTACCTCGCACGTTCTCGACGCCGCTCGCGGTTCGCCCGCCCAGGGTGTGCCCATCACCATCAGCTACGCCTCGACCTCGCAGGCAGCAGCTACCGGTCTGAGCCAGGTTATTGGCAGCGGCGTGACTAACAGCGATGGTCGTTGCCCGACTCTGCTCGAGCCCACCCACGTTCTGCAGCCGGGCGTCTACACTGTGCGCTTTGACATCAAGACGTACTTTGCCCTGCACGGCGAGAAGGCGTTTTACCCGTTCGTTGATGTGACCTTTGAGATCGATACCCCTGCTCCCCACTACCACATCCCGCTTAACCTGGCCCCGTACTCGTACACTACCTACCGCGGCTCGTAAATTCAAAAGCGTATACAGGCCCAGCCGTTTCTTTCTCTTTTCGTGTAATACATTCCTTGTGTCCTCATTTGAATGCAGCTTTTAGCCTTGAGAGAGTGGATGATAGCACAAAATGTAGAGAGCATCAGCTGTGCAACACCGTTCATTGCCATCGGGCTTCTGATGTAGCAGGGATGACAGGAACATGATTTCACATACCTCTTAATTCTCTTCTCCTATTGATGTGATAGCCACCTCATATAAGCCCAACGACGTATATGTGCGTTGTTGGCAAGTGCAGCCACCGTTTACCACACCCCTCTCATCTTCTCTGATGACTTTGTCGATACATTTAATGTATATTGCCGTGGCGCATGGCCAATCTAAAATAGAGCAAATGCGGAGCTAGAGTGCTGGTATTAAATAGTGGGTAGCCCTGTCAGTCATGCTGGCCGGCCCTTCTATGGAGTTTCCATGCCGAATAGAGATAGCCAGATGAATTGCTCGGGCTGGTCTAGACAGTGTTTAGAAGAGAAAGGCATATTAAAGCGGCTACATCCAGCACACAGATTCCAATCGGTCTTTGCTTTTGTAAGTAATTCATCCTCAGTACCATCACCCAATATGTCCAATTTCAGCAAACTCGCACGGCAAAGGACGACGTACATTGCCCTGATCATCGCATCATACGGACTTTTGTACGGGTTGGATACAGCGGTAAGCAAGGCCGACAACAGCAATGGAGACTATGCCTCTGCCGTGCTGGGCTGAACAATATTCATATGGTAAACACTGGCTGTATGGACGATCCTATGTGTAGACCACAGCAGTTGCAATTCCTGCACTGAAAGGCGATTTCAGGCTAGACTCGTTACAGATCGAATTCATATGCGCAAGTACAATGCTGGGTGCTATTTGTGGCCTCATCTTCATGATCACGCTCGGGAACAAGTGGGGTCGGCGACTAGCACTGCTGGTTGACTCGAGTGTCTACATTGTCGGGTTTCTGCTCACTGCTATGTCCTCGTCGTTCTACATGTGCATCGTCGGGCGCGCAATTATTGGTGTCGCACACGGCATCTCGACCATGATCGCACCTGTGTTTATTGGCGAGATATCACCCAAGGCTCATCGTGGGCTATTTATCACCTTCAATATGGTTGGGATCAATGTTGGCATGTTGGGTGGGTTCATTCTTTGCTGGATTGCGACACTGGCAACATTGAATAACAGTTGGCGGTGGGTGTTTGCTCTCTGCGCCGTATCCAGCCTTATTTTGCTTGTGCTGATGGTGCTTTTTGTGCCAAATTCTCCACGCGACCTGATTTTCCGTAACCGGGTGGACGAAGCCAGCAAGGTTATCTCAATGCTCAATGGCCCTGCGACATGGGACGCTGCCGAAGTCAGGCGTGAGATCGATGCAATTGCCGATGTGATACAAAGCGAAAAATGCGCAAGCTTCCGCCAGCTGTTTTCGAGAGCCAATGCAAGGCCCCTCGCGATTGCATGCATTCTCCAGGCCGCCAAGCAGTCGTCAGGATTCAGCTCTCTTCAGTACTTCTCGGCATATCTGTTCCAGGTTATCGGAGTGAGCGGGTCTAGCCGGTTCACCCAGGCACCTACGGTTATTTTGAGCTGTGTGCAAGTAGCCTCAGTGCTCACCTCGCTCGGGGTTGTAGACCGAATTGGCCGCAAGCGTCTGCTGTTGATTTCATTTGTGGCCATGGCTGTGGGGCTCGTCGTACTGGGTGGTGCATTCGTGACCATCACCGGATTCGAGCAGATAAACAAGGCTGACTGCACGCTTTACACGCGGTGCGGAGCCTGCCTGCTTGACACGTCATGCGGGTGGGCTGCGGCAGAAGGCATTTGCCTTGCACGCAGCGCAGGCTCCACCACTGCTGTAGTGTTTTCCGAGAGCTGTCAGATGCATTTTGCACGCGAGCACATTGGCAGCTGGTTGGCGGTGATCTCCATTATTTTCTCCCTAGGCACGTTCACGCTTGGCTTGGGCAGCATTCCATGGGTGATCCAGTCAGAGATCTTTTGCCAGGCGATGCGCAGCCGTGCTAGCGGTGTTGCAGCCATATTCAATTGGCTGTTTTCGTATACTTGGACCGTGTCGTTCCTGCAGCTGGCGTTCAACATCACGCTTCCTGGCGTGTTCTGGTTCTATGCGGCATTGATGTGTTCTACAATTGGGTCTATATTCTGGATGATTCCAGAGACATCAGGGAAGAGTCTCGAAGAGATTACAGTGGAATTGCGTTCTGCCTCGCTACTACATCGAGAAAAGCATACGCCCCAAGGCCCCACGACCGCTCTCGAATATACATGACGAAAGATTAGATGATTTGTCAGCATACAGAACCGCAAGGAGCGCTGCCAACAACCCGGTTTCTTTTATGCAGCATTGTCCTTCTCTGTCGATATCAAGACAGCTGGTGGTGTATATAAGTATAGTTTGCGAGCGACGCTGCCATCGTCGCAAGCACTGCAATCCCATGGGGCCCACGCGGACACTAATTAATTACCTTCGTCTGGGCAATGCTTGGCTGCCATGAGAACCAGGCATGTGCCAGAAGCCTGATACAGTCCACGAGTAATTTTCCATACTAGTCAAGCCGGAATACACGTTTGCTTCAATGTCCAGCAGCAGAGGACTGAAGCAACTGTTGGCAGATTTCTCAGCCTTTTGCTTTGCTCATTTTCTTTTCTATACATTGCACCTTTTTGTACAGTACGAATTTACATTTCAATGACTATACCTCGTCGAGACAGTAACAGCAGCGAGAGCCAGGGCTCTGGGTCGTCGACTCATTCTAGGCGGCACTCGGTGCTTACCAGGATTCTGGGACGCATCATATCCAAGAATGGGCGGCCAAAGAAGCAGCAGCAACAACATCAGCAGCGCAAACACAGTGGTCACAATAACTCTGTCATAATGCAATCCACAGCAGCCGATTCAGAGCCGGCAAAGTCAGAAGTCTCTATCAGGCTTGAGCCAGCAGTTGAGGTAGTCCAGCGAGTCAAAGCAGCAACAGTGATACAGCGTGCATGGAGGTACAGGCATTTACAGGAGCCACTGAATGCATGGCGGCAAGCCAAGGTTTCGGTAGCGCGTATCAAGAAGATGCAGTTTGAGGATGCTGCCCGGCTAATGCGCAGTCTGGCAACCACCCGTGGCTCGAGTATATTGCTGAATGCATTGTTGAAGCACACTCCAGCGGCAGAAAGCGCTGAGTGCAAGTTTCCGGGGCGCATATTTGTGGCCGGGTACTTGTTTGCTGCACACCCTCAAGGGTTGATCACGGGCAGTTCCCACATGGATTCAGTGATTGAGTCATCGGCAGCAACGATGGTGCGCATGTACAGGCAGTTTGAGGTCTCATTCGTCAAGCGCGAAGCAGCATGGTTTGACAAGCAGCAAGCGTTTATGGCCAGCTTCCGCGCCTTCCACTCGGCATTCGAGTCCTGGAAGCGCTCAGGACACACAAGAGCTCCTGGCAACCATGGAACAGCACTACCTGGAGCTCGACCGTCTGTGGCAGTCGGTACAGCGGCGCACCAATGGCGCTGGTGATGAGGGCTGGCGGCAGGGAATCAAGGAGCAGCGCGACAATTTGGTAGACAAGATCCGCATGCTTGGGGGCAGCCATGCAGTGGAAAGGTTGATGCAACGGCAAGATGAGCTCCGGCTGACATATGCCGACCCGCAGCCCTCACAAACGCCCTCCATCATGGTATCATCCGGCATACCGCATGCACAGAGTGACGTTATCAACGGCAGCCGCGATGCCAGCGGGGCAGGCATGATTGGGCAGGCAGCGAGTGCTGCTACACATCAGTTGCATCAGAAACCTACGAGTCAGCCATCCAATGACTCGGGCTCAGACACGAATGCATGTGAATTGGAGCCAGAATTTCCAGCGCTGAGTGGCGTTTCTGTATCGCACCACCATCCCTCAGCAACGCTGACCAGAGCCGTAGCTGACCCAGCATCGCAGGATGTCGACCGGGTGTTAGGACACTTTGACCTATCGGCATCTGCAGCATTGCAGGATGCGAGACTCGCGCATGAATTGGTTTTAAACCCCGAGATGCGCCTGGAACCTGCAGGCTCTAATACTCTGGCTGGCGCCGTGCAGCGGGCAATTATAAAGGCGTTCTTTGACAGGATTGCGCAGGAGATTGAGGCGGGCAAAAGCGGCCATGTCCTCCAGATTCTGATGCAACTGCAGCGCGACCTCCGGACTATTGTTCCGCCTCATGGCCAGTTGCGTGAATCCCTTGACCGTGAACTCAACACCGAGTGGATGGGTGAGCAGCTTAGAGCTGGTGCACTGGATGTGCGCGCCAAAGTTCAGTTCGCGCTGCACCTGATGCGCCAAGTTTGCGCGCCAGTACGTGACAGCGCCATTGCTGCGCTGGCCACGGCATTGGACAGTCTGGACCTGCAAGATCTCTCTACTCGTGAGTCAATCCAATCGCTGCTAGACATTACACGGCAGATACTTGAGCTGATCCGCGACATCCGCTTGGATTCGCTGAATTATCAGCTACAGACAGTTGTGCGACCCTGGCTGATGCGCCATGCAGTCGAGTATGAGCGCGCCAAGATCTCGCAGATCCTTGGCAGCCAGCAAGCTGAGGAGGCAGCAGGACTAGTTAGCGACTGGATGAGGGCGGCAAAGGAGCGTGAGGGGTCCGGGGATTGCACAGCCGATCGACCCAAGCAAACAGCGCACCACATATTCCATGAATCCATACTCGACCTGTGCTTTGCGCCAACGCTGGCTGATGACAAGGAATTACCGCTCACGCTGCAAATGGATACTGGTCGGATCCGCGCCTTCCAGAACGAGATCCAGGTCGTACTCGCTGCAACAGCGCTGGGAATTCTCTATGGCAGCCTTGCACGCCAAGTGCCCAATGCCTCGGCGCGGTTGCCAGAATTGACCAAGCAGTGGCTGGGGATGTTGCGCTCGGCCGATATTTCGATTGCAGAGATTGCCAATGCAGTGCACGACGCTTTGCCGGCCAGCAACAGCGAGTCGGTCAAGCGACTGGTACACAAGACACTCGAGGTGAATGACCCTGTTTACAAGCTGATGCAGCAGAGATTGCGCAGGTTCCTGCTGGATGGAATTGGAGCGCTGCCTGGCACCAAACGCAATGGCCAGGCGGATAAACAGCAGTCGGGACGAGGTTGTTGGTGAGCTGGCACGGATTGGTCTGAAGCAAGTACACAACGACGCCGTCAAGCTGCTGCTGCAAATCAACGCACTGTGCTGGTTCAACTGGCAAGTGTGTTCCCCATGGTACACAAGGTCTGTTTAGATTTGCGAGGTACATACACGCTTTTATTTGAATTTTGAGGTCGGCTGATGATGGTACAGATTGGTTACGAAGGTAGAAAAAAAAAAGAAGTGAGAAAGGCAGGGATAAGCAGGAGATAGGGGAGAGAATGTGATGAGGGGGTTGCAGAGCAATTTGAACAAGCATGGGCGGCAGAGATGACTGGCCACGTCCTAATGACATCGCCATAGCCAACGCACGCGTATGCGAAGACATGCGCCTTGATGATTCCAATGCACTTTACAGGAGTTTTGTTAGTGAGCAGGGTGGTGTTGAGCTTTGCCTGCTGCGAACGGGATCCAGCCCAGCTTCACAAACCACTCAAACACCTTGCTCGTTTTGTTGACATCGACGCGGCAGAGCTTCTGGGCATCGCGCTTCTTGAATGTACCCTCAGGCAGCGTACGCCCAGCCCGCACTAGCGATTGCTTGATGGTAAGGTACTGTTCGGGCAGCAGTCGCAAGATAGAGCAGCAGTCGCGCTCGGCTGGTGCTAGAACCTCAGCCATTGGGTACCCGGACACATCCATTGGAGCAGCTACACAACCAGCAGAAAAGAATGCAAGTTTTTCCATCATAATTAGCGCATAATGTGCGGCTGGAATACAATCGCGAATAGCAATGGTGCATAATGCCTACGCCCAAGTAAAAAAGGGTGCAAGAAAAGTGGGGCTCGGTGGACTCTGCAGCAATATTATCCCGCAGCGCATGTGTGGATGTAGCCAATGTGCAAAGCAGCAAGTTGTCTTGGAGCAGCGTTTACGAAAAGGCGACACCCTCCTTTTCCAACTCGGAGAAACTGGCACAAACAAGAGCATGCAAGGAAAATTGAACATGAACAAGGGTGAGAGTGGCAGCGGGCACCCGTGGTGCGGTTGCTCAAAGGCGACTGCTGCTGCCGCCGAAACGGAGATTAAGGCAAAAATAGAAGCAATAAATGCACTGCGGAACATAGAGATTGCCTCAGCAGATGTGAACACAAATGACGGCCAGGAGCTGATCTTATGCATTTGATAAACCAGGAGTATCCTGGCAGGGTGAAAGGGGGGATTGTGCCAGCTGCTGCTCTTTTGGACTCGGGAGACAATGGGCACACATGTCATCTTCGGCTAGTACCATTTTTCAGATGACATGATGATAGCGCCGTGTAGAAAAGTGATGGCATGGGCGCAAAGGGCGGGCTGAGATTACACGTGCAAGTGGGATCCGCAAAAAAAGGAATTGCCCATACTCGCTTGCGTCTTTGTGGAGGAGATGCAGCAGTGTGAGGGGGAGGGCGATCAGGACTGATATCAGCATAACAACTGGCGGATGGGGGAACTGCTTGGGCACACTGCAGCGATTCACATGTAGTACAGTGGGGGAAAGAGAAGAAGCAATCAGCGTCATACATATAGCCGGCACAGAGGTTGTGCCGAAATAGAGCGCTGGTGGCAAGGGATGGGCGTAGAAAAAACGAGGAATGTGTCTGCTGCTGGTGCAATTCCAGCAGCCAATGCGCCTTCTCCTGCCCATGCACAGCCGTACCAAAAGAGGCGATATGCTTGGCGAAAGCTGGCTGCCCTCAGTACGAGGGCATGCCTGCGGTATACTCGGAAACAGCAGAATTGGGAGCGTCCAGCGAATCGCGGCGCATCGCATTGTCATGCCTGTTATGTACGCGCACAGCAAGAGCGCATGCGCAAAGAACCGGGGAGCGGCGTAATATATATGCCTCCATTATCTCAGCAGAATAGGCGCCAGTAGCAGGAGCAGTGAAAATGGAATGGCGTGCCTCGATTGTCAGCATATATGTGTGCCGGGGAAAGGGGAGGAGACACCATTGTTGGTGAACTCGTCAACCTTCGCAGACATAATAGCCTGCAGTCGAATATGAGGGCAATAGCGGGAAAATCATCCAACTGTCGAAGCAGTCAGCAATCAGACGTGTCACACGTAGGCGGGGGAGAGCAGTGGCGATGCCCAAGAGCGGTGCCACCGCAGGTGGGAATCTGGAAAGTGAAAAAGGAACACGGGTACATAGCAGCAGCTACAAGCATCCACACACGCGCACACAGATGCCGGCCCAGCGCATCTGCGTGGAATTGCGCCATTGAAAAGGTATGATTGGGGAGGAGCTGGAGTGACATGAAACATAGTTTGAGGTGCTGGCTTACCTTTAGCCCACTTTACCGGGCACGAATTGGTGTGCGGACGCAGGTTGAAGATATCGCGGCTGATGTCGTCGGTGGTGAACTGATTGACATCGCTTGCTGACGTTGTGGGGGCGCTGGAGCGGCGGTACGGGCCCTACGGAGGTGCTGCGGCTACCAACAGTGCTGTCGTCTCGGGCCATGGGAATGCTGCGAGGCGAGCTAGCCGCGAGACACAATCTGCAGATCCTCCATGACGGGTGACGGTGTCACCATGACTTTGCCCGCATCTTGGAACTGCAGCGCAGCGGAGGACTTTGACGAGTGCAGGGCCATCACAAGCGGCGTGGGCGGGACAGATGATGGTATCATCAGCGTGCTCGACCTTGCAGACACTTGCAAGCCACCCTCACTTGCGCCAACAGCTGATGGCACATGTGCCCCCTTCGCATATGCACTGGCAGTCCAAGGCTCCCGCCGACCCATCGAGGAACAGCGCGATGCTCGCCGAGGCGCTCTTGCGCAGCGCAGCCTCTGCGCGCCCGCCGCCCTCGAAGTTGCTGGTGGGCAGTATGATAGCTGGGAGCTGGGGGATGGACGACTGCCGAATTGCAAGCGACCCGTGGTCTAGCGAGTGGAATGAGGTGCTTCTCGTGTTGTGTCCGCTGCGCGGAGAGTCGGCCATGGCATTTCTAGTGGTACCCATTGAGGGTACATGAGATGAGGATGACGACGACGACGACGACGACAGTGCATTGCGAGACAGAAGAGAATGGCGCCCCGCATGGCGCCCCGCCGGCATTGGAACCTGCTTGGAGCTGTCCCTGAAACGCTCTGTATCCATCAGGGCGCGCGAGTACCCCATGGGGTCACGCTGGTAGTCATCAAGGTAAGATACCCGCAGTGTCTCGCAGCCCCTGCTTGCCTATTGTTGCCAGAAGCCGCAGACAGTGACCTCGTGGGCGTTCTGCGCTTGCGCTTGCTAATCCGCCCACCGTCTCGCCCAATGCCGCATGTGGTGGCTTTGGGAGCCGACAGCGGGCGCGCAGTAGCACGAATGCGCTGGGGGCGGGATTCCTTGGCAGGCACAGACTGCCAGCCCGGCATCTTGGTCTTGCCATGCGTCCGCGGCGGCGACATCCAGCTGGGGCTATAGAATTGCTTTTGGCTCGCCCTGAGATTGCTGGTGTCGCTGGAGTGGATTCTCTCGGAGCTCAGCACATTGGGCATCAGCGGCTCGTCGCTGGGAGGGACAAACGTACTTGGGGCCACGGTGGGCTGGTCAAGTGCGTATCTCACCATGGCTGCTTTATTTTATTTTTGCTGGTAGGTGACAGAAAACAGGGGCCGGGTGAGAAGATCGTGCGCAAAAATGAAATAGTAAATACGAGCTATAATGGACAGAATATAAAAAAGGCAAATAGAGGAATGAGGCAGCAGCTGTGAGCGGTTACAAGGAGCTAGAAGCTGAGGAAAGAGAGCTGATGGGTGCTAGATTCTGGCGGAATGCCTTTTTGTCCTGGGACAGATTCTGAATAGCCTGGTGGCGAAGTAAGAGAAAAGAAAAATGGAAAAGAAAAGTGGTGGTGTTTTTACAACTCGGATATCAGCGGCCGCATTCGAGTGCTGGGCGGAAACAGGGAGCCAGGAGAGGTGCTTTAAAAAGAATGGCCGCACGGGTGGACAGGAGTGATAGGGATGCTACAATATGACTAGCTGGGTTGAAAAGGGGAAAAGATATGGAGTGCCTACATATTCCCAGCGCCATTGGCAATGGCGATGGCGACCTGGTGTAGTTTTTATAAGTTGCCACCCTTGGCACCTCACCAAGGCTCACAGAAAGAAAAAATCAAATGGCGGGGCCACGGGTTAATTACCCGCATAATTCTGGGGCCGCCACCCCCACCCCTGGTCGAAACAGTATAATTCAACCCGGACCCAGGAACAGCAGCCTCTGGTGCAACAGAGGGCAAGGCAGCTGCGGTGTATATGCGCTGAATGGCCACGACAATCGATATACACCTCCCTGTGTCTTTTCCATGGCTGATGGAGCCTTGTTGCCGAATGCCCCTGTGCAGTGGCCTTACCATGGAAATAAATCAGCGGCGGAGTTGAGCTGCGGGTTCAGGGACGGGTTTCCCAGAACCATCACGATAGCAAACAAGGGATAAAAAATAGGCCGCCCTGTTGTCAGCCCAGGTGGAGGTCGCATCATCCGACAAGGAAATGCCGGCGACATGGCTGCCGGCATGCCCCGGATGTGTGTGGTGACCACATGCCGCGGCCCAACGGGTGACTCCGAACATGCCCAGCATTTCCAGTCTACCCAAGCAGCCATTATTGGCACTATAAGAGACCAGCAGGAGCAGCCATAAAGGCGGTGCGTGCAAAGAACCTCAGACACCTATTAATATCATCAGCCCACATCATGGAAGGGACGGTGTGAAAGCGCAGCGATGTGTACACGCAGTCTGTCAGTTTAGGGAAAATTACCGATGCTGATTGTTAATACCATCGGCTCAGCCACACCGAGGCAGGCTGGGAGCATCCGAGCTCGCTGCTTGGCGGTCTGGTTGGCCAGATAATAATACAGCGATCGACATTGCCTGGTGGGAAGGTCGGGGTAGAGATGGGCAGAGAGGATGATTATTGCTCGGCGACTCTTGCCAAACGCACTGACACTCACTTCCAGGGCCACCCAGCACCGCACACTCATGCTGACGGCCCGCTGTATTTTTATCCACCGGCAGGCCCTCAGCCTTGATTTGCACAACAAAGTTTGCGACAAGGAGCGTATTGTTTTGATTTCAGATTGCCGCCCCATCCCTCGACGATGAAGAAGGTATCGTGCCGTCCCGCCGGGCTGCCATTCTTCAAAAAATAATGCGCACTGCTCTGCAGGCTCATGGATTTGGGCAATATCTCGGTCCGCTTGCGCCAGCAGGGGTGCTCGCAATATACCTGGCGTGGAGCTCATCAGAAGCAGGGCTTATATCCTATCTCGCTTACACTTGTTGCAGTCCTCCTTCCCCAAAATAAAACTTGGTTCCTCCACCAGCCGCCGACATGCATTTCTGCATGCTCTACACATGAAAAGCTACACACATCCAATGGGATTAGGCATGGGGTGGTTCCTTACGTTGTTAGGCGAAGAATACATTTTTGGCGCAGAAAATCCCATTTCTATTGATGGCTCACACAACACCCACAGCATTTGCGGGCCATGTGTCCGCAGTCTGTGGGTCCATCATGTCACCCGCCCCCCCCAAAATAGCACTGACGCCAAACACACTCCTGTATCTCCCCTTGTCGCCTTTTCACCACCGCACGCCCTTGGATCATGGACGTGAATGTTGCCGAGACCGCTGTTCTCGGCCGAATGGACCAATTCCTGGATCACTACTACAGCCAAGACATCGGCCTGCCTGTTGATAGACCAGCAGACCCATATGCACTCGCTCGAGGTCGATATGCATCTGCTCATCGAGTACGATCACAAGCTGGCCGTAATGGTGCTCGAGTCGCCCACCCGCTACCTACCGCTGTTCAGCCAGGCCTGCACAACAGCACAGACACGCGCCAAGCAGCGATCACACCTTTCGCCCGAATTCACTGTCAAAGAGGATGTGCAGGTGCGGATAACACACTTGCCCAACCACCCGTCCCTTGTGCGCATGAAAATCCCCGGATCTGAAGACATTGGCAAGCTGGTGAGCATTTCTGGCACTGTAATTCGCACCGGCGTGGTCAAAATGATGGAGACGCAGCGCCTATATGTGTGCGGTAAATGCCGCGGATCGTTCATGATGCCAGCAGAGGTGGAGCAGTACAACTACATTCCAAAGCCAACTCGCTGCATGGTGCCTAACGAGGAATTCTGCAACTCGACAAACTTCTTTCCAGCTACCACTGACACCGGCGACGCCCTGCAATACTGTGCAGACTTACCAGGAGATTAAGGTCCAGGAGCAGGTCGGCCGGCTGATGCTGGGCACGATTCCACGAGCAATCGTAATCATCCTTGAGCACGATCTTGTCGACCTGGCAAAGTCTGGCGATTCAGTCACAATCACCGGCGTCATAATCCGTCGCTGGCGTCCGGCAATGGTCGGCGAGCGACCTGACATCGCCATTATCATGCGCGCCAACAGTGTGCTAGTCCATAACGAGCAGAATTCGCAGATCACCATCACCAACGACCTCAAAGACGAATTCAGGTCCTTCTGGGATGCCCACAAAGCGATGCCGTTCAGCGGGCGCGACGTCATTGTTCGTAGTATGTGCCCACAGGTATTCGGATTATACTACGTGAAACTAGCCGTGATGCTCGTGCTCATCAGCGGCGTGGCGCGTACCGATCCGTCTGGGCTACGAGTGCGCGGTGAGGCGCACATGCTGCTGGTAGGCGATCCGGGCACGGCAAAGTCGCAATTCCTAAAGTATGCCGCCCAGCTGGTGCCTCGTTCGGTCCTGACCACAGGTATTGGCTCGAGCAGCGCTGGCCTTACAGTTACAGCGGTCAAAGATGGGTCCGAGTGGCAGCTGGAGGCTGGTGCACTGGTGCTTGCAGATCGCGGACTATGCTGTATCGACGAGTTTGGCAGCATCCGGGAGGCCGAGAAAAGCACAATTCTAGAGGCCATGGAGCAACAGAGCATTTCGGTTGCTAAGGCAGGGATTGTGTGTAAACTCAACTCGCGCTGCTCGGTCTTGGCAGCGATGAACCCCAAAGGCAGGTTCGACGTGAACGAGAGTCTGTCTATTAATGTCGCTCTATCAACGCCGCTGCTCAGTCGCTTTGATCTTGTGCTGATTCTGCTTGATACCCACGATGCTGAATGGGACAAGACCGTTTCAGATTTTTTGCTGCGTAACGAGAATCCATTGCTGCAGCCAGACATGGGCTCGAGGCAAGCCTCGATGATGGATATGGATGATCCCTCACAGGCAGCACCAAATCAGATGCGTGCTAGCAGCTCATGGCCATTCGAAAAGCTGCAGGCGTACATTGCCTTTGTCAAAAGTTCATTCCAGCCTGAGTCTACTTCTGCCAGCGAGCAGGTGCTGACCAGATACTACCAAGCCCAGCGCCAAAGGGATCAGCTCAATGCTGCACGAACCACGATCAGGCTGTTGGAGAGTTTGATTCGTCTGTCGCAGGCGCATGCACGCCTCATGTTCCGAAACAAGGTACTAGTACAGGATGCAGTGGTCGCCGTTGTGCTGATGGAAACAACAATGCTTTCTGCGTCAATTCTGGGCTCGACTGACGCGCTACACACAAAGTTCCCTGATGACCCTGAGGGATTTTATTGGGAACTCGAGGACAATGTGCTCAAGCACCTGGGGCTTGAAGAGCTGAGCACACGCCAGTGAATATTGCACATATCCTGGTTAGACTTGTGGTCTTATATGTGGATACCCTGCATCAGCAGTCGTTTAAAATAAATGCAGCGCCTGGGAGTTGAACAACGTATATGGCCATACTGTCTAAAGACCAAGTCTGCTGGTATATGACGGCTCTGAGGGAGTATGGCAAAACCAGATGCCAATCCACATTCTGAAGCAGCTGCCGCTGTTTGATATATTGCTATGGCGATCATGACAAGCCGACTACATATCCTGCGTATCTTTTGCCTTCTAGCCTCTTTGCAGGCGAAGTCACAAATGGATACACCAAACCAGGTAGCACAAAACATCTCGGCTGAAATACTCAGTCACATTTGCGGCCTGCTTGACTATCGCGAGAAGCTAAACAGTGTATGGGAAGAGATGGCATGTCATAGAATGAGCAGTGGCTGGGCAGCTCTTTTCTTTCGCTTACTCACGCTTGCCGCTCATGGCGCCCCACGGTCCTTCACTATTTTTACCAGATCACAGAATACCGACGGAAAATTGTCTGATAGCTACACCCGAGGACAAGATATTTTTTATCCTGCTCTTGCTATGGCAGCTTCTAATGACTGCTCCGAGTTTGTTAATTCTACAAATAGTTTGCTAGTAAGCGGGGGAGTTGTTAACAGCACCAGAATCATGTGTCTTACCGAGGACTTTCTTTCTATCCAGTTTTACCTAGGGTCTGCGAGATGCATTTTCGTATTTATCAGCAAGGAGCGTGAGTCATGATTGTCTCGGATCCTTACGAGCAGGTTCAGTCAGTTGCCAAGTGTATCCAGAGACTGCTCCCCAATGCAAAGGGCCACTCGTTTACTGCTGCTCGCGGGATACACGGTGAGCGCGAGGAAGGCTGATTTGAATGCATCGTGAGATGTGCTGCTACGATGCTGCAAACCTTTATTTTGCACAAAAGCATATCAGACACTATATTTTCCAGATTCGATGACTATATTGACCTTCAGCCTGTCCATATCAACAGCAGTACAGAGGCCAGTACATACTAAATGATCGTTAGAAGCTGGGAAATACTGGGGGAGCTGAGCCTCCTGGGAAATGGCGCATTTCCTAGATATGATGGAGTATGGCCGCACCCAAGACCGCCACTATGTCTATCCAAAGCTCAGAGCTATCACGATTTACCACCGTGGCCAGCTGTCGCATGAGCTGAGCGGGAAGCCTAGTGTCCATGCGTTCCCATCGCTAACCTTGCTTCGCATTTTTGCACGCTTGAATTCCGATCTCAGCACTATCTTCAGTGATAATTACAGTACGCTGGCATCGTTTACGGTTGCCGTCACTCGACTGTTTCTTGGGTTGCTCCAGGGTCGCATAATCCCTAACATGCCCTGTATCCGCGTCCTAGGTGAAAATGATGTTTCCGCGCATGGCGATACCTCGTATAAAACACTAGTTGCGGCACGCTTTCCTTTTCCTGTTGCACCAAATACCAAGCAGATCAAGACATATTTACCACTGCATCCACTTTATATTTCTTCACCTGCACGTATGATTGCCGACTACAATAGCCCAGGTCTTTGGTGTTTGGTCCTTGGCAACTGCGGGCTTGACTTCAACCAATTTCACCAACTGCTGGGAGTTCTTCACGGTCTTGCCAGATTTGAGGTAATTGGAGTCCAAGCTAGTAATTCACATAATGCCAAGTTCGCAGACAGAGGAAACCGACAATCGCTGGCTGACCTTCCTGTCATGAGTCAGAAACTAACAGAACTCGCATGCAAGACATGTTGGGATCACGACACAGTGGCAATTGCCATTATAAAGCTGCCGTCCCTCAGAAATGACGTGCTGGATGCTAGCGATATACTCAAACACTGGTTCACAGAGGAAATAAAAATATGTTTACAATGAACACCGCGGGTCTGTCCCCTCAAGCCTTGATTTGCCATCAGCCAGGCCTACATAAGCTTCTTAACCTAAATTTTGAATAGCACCTGTGATCAATGACAACCGCTACCATGCTGCTCTCATAGTACCGATATCTACTATAGAGTGGGGTTGTTTAGTAAATGCTCTCTACACCCAGATACTTCATGGTTCGACATTCGGCGGCTGTATAATTGGATTCATTTCGGACGCCAGGGTCTAGTATCAAGAATAAACGATTAAAGCTAGAAGAGAGCAGCAAAGCTGGCAATAGCAAGGCCAGCGGCGATGGTAGCGATCTTGAGGGCATTGGTGTGTGCTCCATTCGTGCTGGTAGACGTGTTAGTGGCCGCTGAGGAACTGGCAGCCGACCTACCCGTCGTGTGGGCAGCAGAGTGGCCACCATCCGTATGGACTGTAGTACCAGTTGTCGGGGCAGTGGGGTGGCTATGGCTAGCATCAGCAGATGTTGGCGAAACATCAGTTGTCGAAGCGGCGGGATGGCTGTGGCCGGCACCAGCAGATGTTGGCGAAACACCAGTTGTCGGAGCGGCGGGGTGGCTGTGGCCAGCATCAGCAGATGTTGGCGAAACATCAGTTGTTGAAGCGGCAGGGTGGCTGTGGCCAGCGTCAGCAGACGTTGATGCAGAAGGAGCTGCCGAGAAAGTGGGAGTGTAGTCGTCGGGCTGCAGCATGCAGTGAACCATGCCAGGAGCCATGGTCATGCAGTACTGTTTGGCGCCGCACGTCTCGGTCTCCCATTCGCTGTTCTTGCAGCGGAGCAGGATAGAGTCGGTGCCGTCCTGGCAGACTACAGCGTTGCCCTGGCAGTCGTGGGCAGTAGCAGAGAGAGCGAGGGCAGTGAGGGCGGCGATTCTGACGGCGTAGACCATTATTGTCTGAGGAGGCAGCGGTACTGACGAAAAAAAGTGGAAGAAAGAGATTGAGCAGGGGCGATGGAGGAGGCACATTCACACGCCAGCTCCGTTTATATACTTCGTCGACAAACCTTCCATGCAATTTCTCGAACAGCCGTCTCAACTTTCTGGGGATTCTGGGGAGTCAGGGGCGAGAATCCAATTGATTTTTTTTCCGTGTCCACCCAGAAAGGCAGTTGCAAATCTGACAGCAGCGAGACGGACACAACGCTACAGCAGTGGCGGCAGGCGTTCAAACACACTATACATAGCCCTCCCACCGACCACTGACATGCATGCACGGGGACGGCGCTTGGCCGGCATCGTAGATTACGACTTAATCAGATGGATAATCGTGAAGAATATTTTACGCCTTGAGCTGGGGGTTCTCGAGGATCTCAACGCGGTAGCCATCGGGGTCGGCGACAAAAGCGATGTGCTTCATGCGGCCGTCCTCGGGGCGCTTGATGAACTTGACGCCCAGCTTGTCCAGGCGGTCGCATGCGGCATGCAGATCATCGACCGTGATTGCGATATGGCCGTATCCACCGACATCGCCGTTTCCGGTGTTGTACGAGAACGCCGCGTCGTTCTCGGTGCCATGGTTGTGCGTGAGCTCCAGGATGCCCTGGCGGCCCAGACGCACCAGACCCTCGGACGCCGGGTCTTCGTAGCCGACAAAGTAGAGCGAGAACTTTGCGTCGTCGTTGTGGTGCTGATCGAGCACCTTCATGCCCAGGGCCTCCGAGTAGAACTTCAGGGACGCCTTCGGGTCCTTGATGCGGTACATCGTGTGGTTGAAGCGGTACTTGGAAACGTCGGTCGTCATTTTGCGAAGCTGGTGCAGTAGAGTAGTAGGAGAAGGCCTTACCATTAACAGGAGCAGCAGTTCAAGTGAAAGAGAGATGAGGGCAGTAGTCGTCGTTGCTGCAGCAGCTGGCTAGCGGCACGTATGGGAATTAGTAATCGCATGCGCGGCTCTAGGTAGCCCCTTGTCCGAACTCCGGAATCTCAAAGATTATCAGCCAGCTCATTTCCACATTGAGGCTCGGCCAAGCGAGCCGCGAGCTGCTGCTGATAGTGATGGGGTTGGTGTGTATTGCAGAGACAATGGCCGCCATGGCATAGAAAAGCAGCAGAACAATGAATATGTCTACGTAGGCACTGAGCAGCTGCCGAGGCAAACTTCCCGAGGTAGCTCTGCCAGGACGCTTGCCGGATCAGTGTCAAGGGGATGTTCGTTGTAGCAAGTCCCCACGTGCATTGGTGGTTGCTACCGTGCTCTGCCCCCCCCCCCCCCGAAACGCCAAAAGCAATGTCCGCTTCGCAAGCATGCTGGCTTTGCTGCTGTTACCGTGCCAGCGGTGCATCTTACTTGTGAATGGACCGGTGTATAAATAAAAGCGGGATACAAGCACTAGGCAAAGCCAGCAGCCGGTGTGGGCCAGTTGGGCTTGGATCGGCCACAGTATGGCAGAGACTTGTGTCGCTGGTGCACAGACAGGTGGCTCATTCAGGGGGAGAGGAGCAGGGGTTGGGTTCTGAACCCGGATCGACCTGCACATTATTTTGTTTTTTGGACGGTTTCGTCGAGGAATGGGAGAAGAACATGGCCAAGGTCCGCCAGCCAATAGCGGAGAGAGAGAGAGGATCTGCTCAGTCAACAGTGGCCGCTCGGAAGGAATAAGACAAGGGCGCCATTATCTACTCTTTTCTCTGCTGCTTCGTTTGTCCAGCCAATTCTTTCTACTTATAAGCCTGCCCAACACAACCATGCTCCGCGCTACCAGCCTCGTCACCATTGCTGCCCTCGCCCTCGCCGCCAACGGCCAGTCGTGCCAGGGCAACGCTGCGTCGTGCCTGGATGGCAACGACTCCGTCATCCTGCGTTGCAACGGCGGCGCGTGGACTACTGCCAACTGCCCGGCAAACCAGGGCTGCATGACCATGGGCCCAGGAATGATCCACTGCATGCTGCGCTCCGACCCCACGCCAACGGCTGCTGCCTCGGGCGACGCTTCTGCTGCCTCGCCGGCTGCTACTAGCGCCGCAGAGTCGTCGATGGACATGAGTGACATGCACAAGGAGGAGAGCTCGGGTGCTGCCAAGTCGTCGGCCGCCAATTCTTCGGCCACCAAGTCGAACTCGACCAACGGTGCGGTCAGCATGAAGGTTGCCGCCGCCCTGGGCTTTGCCGTTGCTGGTGTCGCCGCCATGTTCTAAGGGCTTTTTTTTAGCTTTTATTTCTATAATGCTGAATGCTAATTCTAGCTTTACTGCTGACAGAGGCACTTCATATCGCTGCCGCGCTGGTCGTGGGAGCACCTGCCAGCGGCCAAGACCAGGTGCATGGGCATTGCTACAGCGCACCTGTGCATACAGGCGGCATGCCGCAACATGCCTGGTCCGCATTCTCGTTTTCGGTAGTGTGGGGTGGGGGTCCGGAGACAGACACACGACGGCGTTAACCGCGTGTGCTACCTGTCTCCACATCAAAAAATTGTGCATCGGAGATGAGTCCAGAGGACCCATTCCCGGCCGCGCCGCACGTCTTCGTGCAATGACAGGCAGCGCAGCCGTCCGCGTTGCCTTTTTGATCACAGCGCAGAGGTGCCAGGTAAGTATGAGTTTTCCACCACCAGCGCCGGCCATGTCGCAAATTTATAGCCCGTGCCCTCAGGAATCCTAATAGGGAAATTAATGGGACAATTTTACCTTTTGGCTGCGGTCACAGGTCTTTTTTTTGAATGTGCGAGGCGGTGCGTTTGGCTCGCCAGAATGCTCTGGCACTCTTCGTCTCCGCTCACACCTTCTCCTCTTTTACAGCCTGTGAATATATATCATGACTGAACACCTGCCAGAACTAGTGGACGAGCTCACCAAGAGTGGCCTTGATGCGCTGGACCCAGAGAAACTCAGCGTCTTGAAGCGCACATGCAAGAGCTCGCCAAACACAATACCTCTCGTGTTCGAGTTGCTAATGAAGGCTCTTGGCAAACAACACGCGCAGATACGCATCTCCAGCACCCAGGCGATAAGCGTGCTGTTTGAGCGGTCACACCAGTTCCGCCTGCTTCTGATTGCCGCGCTGCCCCACTTCCTGTCTCTCACGCTGGGGCTCTACCAGCATACATTGCCGGCGCCCCAGGCATACGCACGGAAGCTGAAGCGTCTTGCGGCCGAGTGCATGCTCGGATGGGTGCGGCGGTTCGGCAGTGCATATCGGAGACTGGGGCTGGCATTCCGGTACCTGAAGTACTCGGTGAAGATCGACTTTTCACAGGCGTCGGCCAGTCGCCAAGGAGAGCGGGCCGTGGAGAGAGCGCAGGAGGGGCGGGAGAGAAATAGAGAGCGCTACATGCAGTGGTCGTGGGACTCGGTGCTGGCAGACGTGCAGATGCATCGGCAGGACATCGATGAGTCGCTGACAGTGCTGGACAGCTGCTTTGCGATCCTGGTGCCTGGAGTTGCCGGGATTGACGATGGAGTGGACTCGGCCAACGCTGAGAAAGACAATGACGAGTTTGAAGCCATGCTTGATGCAGAGCCGCAAGCAAGCGGCAAGAGCGATGACGATAGCGAGTCCGACCTGGACCAGATCCTGGCGGTCATGTCGCGAAACCGACACGGCATCTCTGTGGACCTCAACCCCGACCGACTTGTTGATGCCGAAGAATCACCAGACAACTCGGTTGTCTACAGCACAATCCGTGAGCATCTCAAGCCGACAATGAAGGTCTTTAAGCCGCAGATCGACGCGTGGCTGGACAAACTGTCGCGGATTGATCCGGCGCTAGATCCCGAGATACATCCGCTCATCGAGTCTGTGCGTGGTTTGCAGAGGCGCATTGAGGCGCTGGAGCCAAAGTGCCGAGACTTGCACATCGACACGTCATTCCTGAACAGCAGCGGGGAGTCGGAGTCGGAGGACGAATTCGAGGATGCAACGGATATTGTGAAGCGCTACCAGCGCAGCAAAGGCGCAAGGCCAGGCGGAATAGCCAAGCAGGGGCCGAAAGAGAACCCGATATTCGCACTCCAGCACGAGCCCGAGCTCGAGAACGACCCCACATTTGTAAGACCGCGTCAAACAGCACAACGGCCGCGACAGAGTACCGCGAACACGGAAAAGTCCGAGATTGAAAAGCAGCTGCTGAAGACAGCACCTGTGGTGGAGTTTGGGCAGGATTTGATGTACTGGGACAAGAACACGGTCGATGCCAATGTCACTGGGCTGGAAATCCGGCACCGGTTCCTGGGCAGTGCTCGAGAGCAGGCAGTGCTAAAGGGCGATGCCGTCGACAACCTCAGGAAGCGCACGCTGCTCTATTCTGACGTCGCTCAGAATACCTCCAGGCGACCGGTGATAAAAGAGTGCCGGGCACCGCTCAAGAATGGAAAGCTGTGCCGTCGACGCGACCTCGTCGCGTGTCCGTACCACGGCAAGGTGGTTCCGCGCGATGAGCATGGCAATTGCGTGGGGCAGGGAGCTGAGGAGGCTGAGGAGGCTGAGGAGGCTGAGGAGGCTGAGGATGCAAAGGAGATCGAGGAGCCGGTGCTAGAGGAGCCAGCGACAAGTACTGTGGCCACGGCAGCACGGCTTGAGGACGTGCATTGGAAAGATCTGGCGCCGCTGGTCAGCCAGCAGCACCCGGTGGCTGCGGGCACAGGACGGCGACTACGGAAGCGCAAGGAGCCGGCAGCGCCCTCAGCGCTGGTGGATCTGCGCAAAGCCAAGGGATCGAGCGCGAACAGGATCCGCAAAATATTGAAGAGAGGCTTCTGAAAAGCCGGCTGAAAACGATCGGCCAGAATAATGAACGGTGCATTCTGCTGGACCGACGAAAACAACAGAAGAATTCGCCTCTTGCCTTCAAACAGTATTATTGTGCGTTTTGTTTTACTAAAAACCTTTTTGCTTGTAAATTTGACTTAAAAACTACATGCGTTAGTGCGTGGTTGCAGAATACCTCCTTGTACTATTTCCATGCTGCTCCCTCTCCACTCTTTCCGTGACTCTGCGCTCTAGCATCTATTCCCACCCTATTCCACTCCAACCACACCGATATCTCCAGCAGAGCCAAAAAAAAAAATAAGCGCCTTGACGCAACCCACCTCACCGGTTGGCGCCTCTGCTTTCTCTTCTCTAGTCTCATTCACAACCAATTCACGTCTTAGAGCCTGGCACAGACAATGGACCCGGCAGCGTCCGATGGCGCAGCACAAAGCAGCGATATATTCGAAGACGACGCAGGGCACGCCAATAGTAATGACATAAAAGTGAGCAGTAGCCGCAGTAACGAGACGCCGGCGGCAATAGGGCTGACAACAGCCTCAGCCAAGCTGAAGCTCCTGGAGCTCATAGACACAGACAATGCCAAGATCGTGGTGCCGCCACATTTCTATAAACGCGCTGGCCCGGCGATTGTTGTTCTGGGGACGACGCTGCTGGTGGCAGTGTTTCTGCTGGTCAGCGGCAGCTACATTTTGGGCAGGGGCCGGCCGGACCAGACGCGCGGGGTCGGGGCGATAGTCGAGGCGGTGCTGCTTGTAGCGAGCGTTCTGTTCACGCTGTGGGTGCTGGCACGCGAGTCACGGCTGGAGGCACATGAGCTGGACCGACGGCTGCGCGCAATCGGGGCAGAGATCCGCGGGTGGTCCGGCACATACGCGGAGTTGCGCACGCCCCAGCTGCCGACGGTGACGGCCTATACGGTTCTGCGGGACGGCGTATGGCGGGATGTGCCGACGCTGCTGGTGGTGGAAGGTGACGTGGTGGCGATCGGATTTGGCGAAGTAGTGCCGTGCTCGGTAGCGCTGCGCACAAGCAGCACTGCAGTGCAGGAGGACTTTGTGCTGGTGCGTGGCCAGCGGTTCACGCCCGACACAATGCGGCTGTGGATGCCGACCGAATGCCCGCTTCCGCGGCACCCGCTCAGCGCGACAATCGGCAGCCCGCGGCCCGAGGAGCGTTGGCGGCCATGGGACCCTGCGACGATTGGGTTTCCGGAGCTGGCCGGGCGCATGCTGTTCTGCGTCCTGGAGACACCGCTCGGCAACCACCTGGAGCAGATCGCGATACACCATCGGCGGACCGGTCGCTCAGTGCTGCAGAGCCAGATGCGGATCGTGATCCGGCTGTGTGCGCTGCGGATCCTGCCTGTAGTTGCGCTGGTCGCACTGGCCACCAACCTGGTCATGTATGGCGTGGTGGATATCAGCCAGCGGTCGTTCCGGTGGATGGGCGTCGAGGTTGTGCTGGCCAAGACCGCGTATGTCTTGTTTCCCTTTGCCTGCACCACGCTGTGGCCGGTGTTCTGGGTCGTGGCGCGCATCTTTACCAACGCCACCGAGGTTGTGCTGTTTGATACGCTGCAGCGCAGCAAGACCGACTACGAGGACATGGAGCATATCGATGAATTTGATGTCGAGGCATTGCCACCGACCAAGGACGTTGTAGTTGGCTTTGGACCCATCTGGACGCGCATGCGGTGGCTCATGACCAACTGCGACTACCGCAATCTGTCACGCTCCAGTAATCTGTCCGAGACGCTGGGCAGCATCACGGTCATCTGCAGCATTGACAAAGAGGGCACAATAGCAGAGCCATTCTGCTCGCCGGAGCAGGTGGTTGTACCGGACAGGACCGACGAGTACGCGATCCTGGACTTTGCCGAGCAGTTGGTCGGCACCGACAGGATCCCGTTTATTATCGACGAGGGCTGGGAGAAGTACTTGCCAGCGCTAAAAACCATCGGGCTCAACTGCTGTCTCAACACTGCCGCCCATGACTCACTGAAGCAGAAAAGCGACCCGACACACCGCCGCCGCGACTGCATGCGCTACCACGGCAAGATTCTGCCGTCGCAAGACACATGTCTGTGCAAGGTCGGCCGCGCCATTGGGTTTGCCCCCGAAGACGTGGCCATGTATCGCAAGCTGAAGGAGGTCGACGTCTTCGCACCGTTCCACCAGGCAACCGAGTCGACACACCAAAAGGACATATTCTGCGAGGCCAGCTTTGCGTCGATGGTGTTTCGCAACGCCGAGACTCCGGATGGCCTGCAGCTGTTCAGCAACGGCAACGTCGAACTCATCATGAACATGTGCCTAGACTACTATGACGGCACTGAGATCAAGGCCCTGGATGACCGCACCATCTCGCAGTACTACTCGCTGTACCTGAACGCCCTGCAGCAAGATCTCCAATGTCTGGCCTTCTCGTACCGCCCGCTCAGCATCGATACCAAGAAAATCCGCTGGGATGGTTGGGACGACGAATCCAAGGCAGGTCGCCGCCAGATCTACGTCAATCTGCCACCGCAGCCCGAGAGGGCTTGTGCGTCAATCGCCTCTGTGAACTTGCCAGGTCCTGATCATGACCAGATCAGTTCGATTGTCAAGAAGCCGTTTTCGCCGCTGACTCGCCCGCTCGATGTCATCTATGAGGATCCGGAGGAGGAAGAGGAGGCCGAAGCCGAGCTGGAGGCTCTACATGAGCAGCTGTCGGAGCGCCAGGATGCCTCCAGCGGCAGCGGCCATTCGGGCAGTCCTGGTGCTGATAGCGGGCGCGGCTTCATGTCAGTGAATACAGATACGCGGGTCAGCGGGCCCAGCGGCACTGCTGTCGACGATGATTCCATCCAGCACCAGGATGTCCCAGAGTACAATCCGTCGTTTGAGGAAGATTTCAGCGAGCACGATGCGCTGTCGGATCTGCCTGAATATCTTCAGCTGGATGCGCGGTCCTTTGCCGCTCACCCATCTGCTAAAGCATCGCTGGTTGCCTCGGCAGCCAGTGAGCCTGATCTCGACTATCCGAAACCGATGCTGGATACCTTCAATGACGAGGAGGGCTTCCTGCGCGATGCTGTTTCCGAGCAGATTTTCCTTGGCCTGGTTACCTTCGCCTATGACCCAAAGACGGATGTATGCGATTTCATCGAGGATTTGTCTATCGCTGGCATCCGGTTCGTGTATTTCTCGCGATCCAAGGGGCGCCAGAGCAAGTCGTTTGCAGAGCGGCTCGGGCTCGAGACCGACTGGAACACGTGCATCTTGCTGAGCTCGCCTACCGACGAAACTGGGGATGACGGGTATGTTGAGGACCACGACATAAAAGCGCGCCTGCCACGCGGCATTGAGAACATCCGCTCGCATCTGGAAGAGGTCGATGACATCCCGCTGCAGATATCGTTGTTTGCCGAGTGCACGCCGGACGCGACCCGCGAAATGATCAATATATTCCAAGAGAACGGCGACGTTGCGTGCTGTATCGGGAGCGCGCTGAGGGACTCGAACACGCTGACCTTTGCTGTGGCCGATCTGGCTGTCGGCGTCGAGCCGATTCCGCACTTTAATCGCATCCTGTTCAATGGTAGCGGCTCGTCGGCGTCGCCGAACGCAACCAACAGGACCCGGGCGAACACCAACAACATCAGTGCTAACAACAGCGTGGTTGCGCTGCGGTCGGCGATGCTGGCGGGCCAGGATGTCGCCAACGACGGATCGATCTCGACCTCGGGTGCCCTAGTTACTCAGTATGCACTAGGTGCGGCGCTGACGTGCATTCCATGCCCGCTGTTCCTGCAGCACGACACTAGCCTGTATACCCTGATGCAGGTTATCCGCGAGGCGCGTCGCCTCGTCAGCTGTATGCAGCAGTGTGCGGTGCTGCTAATCATGGCGTGCCTGGTGCTGGTCCTGGTGAATCTGATCTCCTCGCTGTGTCTCCTGCCGCCCGCGCTGAACGGTTACCTGACCATGTGGTGTTTGTGGGTCATTGCGCCTATGCTTGGTGCATCGATGCTCTTTGTGCCGCACGACGAGAATATCATGTCGACGCTGCCGCCCAAGAACCACGGCCACCTGGCGGATATCCGGCGGTTCGCTGTGTATGCGACCATCCGGATGCTGCCAGCTGTCGCCCTGACTGTGCTTGTATACGTCACTGCATTGCAGAAAACTATGCCGGGCGTGTCGAGTCTGGGCAAGCTGTCGTCGGTGTTTGGCAAGCGCGACTGGATGGAGCTGGACCCGAGCGAGCAGTGGGCGCTGCTGACTGCGCAAGTGTGCGCGATGGTCGCACTGGTGTACAACTGCGTATGTATTTCGTCTACACTGATGTTTAGGACGCGCACATCGATCGAGTTTTTGCCATTCCGCAATGTCGTCTGGTCGGTGTGCTCTGCGGTGTCCCTCGTGCTGACGTTTGCCTTTGCTGCGCTGCTGCTGGCGTTTGGCGATGCACATGTGGACAGGGTTGCCTGGTACACGTACTTTATCGGCTTCGTCGGCCCGATCCTGCTATTGCCGCTACAGGATCTGTGCAAGCTGCACGACAAGAAGCGGTGGACACGGCAGCAGAAGCTGGCCAAGCTCGAGTTCAACACCAAGCTAGGATTGCACTCGCCGCTGTGATATTGTAACTTTATAGCTGCTTCTTGCAGTATTTTTCTAGACTACCGATTTTTCCTGTGAACAGCTGCCCCCTGCGAAAGTCCGAAGCTTTTGTGGTCTTTTGACTTCGCCAGCTCACTTTTACATCGATTTTTTTGTTTTCTGCAAAGCGCTTGCAACAAGAGTGCACACAGACATGAAGCGGCTGAGACGAGTAATTAGCAAGCAAAACACAACACCGGCATCGCCCGTGCTCGCAAATGATGTGCCGACTGGGCCTGCAAGCTGGTCGGCCGAAGCAACCGAGGACCGGTCCAATTCGGCCACCTTGCCAATCACCAGCAGCGGCTCCGGCGACAGCAAAGAGGGCTCGTTCCTGGGCATCGACCTGTGGCCGCGGCTCGGCCGGTCGTCGCAGCGGCGGCGGGAGAATAGCGAGTCGCCCTCCCTGGCCGCCTTGCCCATGGAGGCCAGCCCACAGCAGCTGCCCTCAATGCACCGAGCCTCACACTCGTTTTCCTCGCCGTACTCGCCGATCACGGCAGCAAAGGACCTGCGTCTTTTGCGCGAGGGTAGCCTGCATAAGCGCACGTCCTCGTCGGTTCTGCCATCGAAGCTGCCGCAACGGTTCCCGTTCGGCACCAGCATTTTCTCGACAGCCAAGCAGATCCCGCAGTCGCCGACCCTGCGCAGCCGGTTTATGCACCAAAGACAACCCACAGCTGACAGTATACCAGAGCCGCCCGACCAGCCGGATGTGCCCAAGCAGGAGTTCATTGGGTATCCGCCAGGCGGCTTGGAGGTGCGCGGCAATGCGCTGGTGCTTGTGTGCGAGCAGCGGTCGCCGGATATCTGCGAGTACACGGTGCGCCAGGACTCGGCGGGAATACGGGCCAGCGATATAATGGCGATTGCGTTGATGTCGTGGGCTGGCCATATCTTTTTCCGCGGCCCTATTCTGCTTGCCTTCCTGCCAATGGTGCTGTATCTAGTGCGGTCCGGTTTGCAGGTCTACAAGGAGACACTGGTGGTGATTCGGGATGTGGGAATACAGACCGAAACTGTGACGTTGGCGGGGTTCCGCAGCGTGCGCAGCTACGAGCGACACCAGATCGGAGACATCGTTATACATGAGGCACTGCATATGTTCGAGTACCGGTACTATATGGCCATTATGCCCAGGGACCCCGAGCACCGAATCGTCATCATGTTCCCGCACCTGCTGCCCAAGCTCGATGGCATTTTGCATGTATACCATGGCGCGCGCCAGCTGCTGTTCTCGTAGCAAGATCGCTCTTTTTCCACATAGTATATAGCAAAACCAATATTCACACATGCATTCTCAAGCCGGTGATGACTAGATATATGAGCGAAGGCAGAGAGGAAAAAGGGGTGTGTTGGTATAGTAACTTCCGAAGACAGCGCTAGATATAAAGTTTAGTGGGCGGCAGGGGCCTTGGTCTCCTCGGCCTCGGCGGCCTTCAGGAACTCCTGGATGAACTTGGTCTCCTCGTCGCTCGAGGCAACGATAGGCGGCTGCTTGGTCTTATCGGTCTTGGGAAGGGCGGCCTTGATACCGAGACCGTACGTGCCCAGAACACCGAGGACAATCTACAAAAGAGTATTTTCATAAATGTGTGCGTAATTAGCGTGCCCTCCGCCGTTTTCAAAGCCGATAACCAAAGGTCGCGTCTAGTCTACCCACGCCGCTTAAAAAGGGTTCCTTACGTATTCGGTGGCGATTTTGCGACCAGCGATGGTGAAGAAGCTGCCCATTGTTATATGTATGTTTTCTTTTTCGTTTTAAAACGCTCCGATTAAGGCGGGTTTGCTGGAGAAGAAGAAAAAACAGAGAGAAAAAGGACCAGGAATTCCAGAATTGCTTGCCAATTCGAAGTCACTGAGAGGCGGACCATTTTACCAACACTTTTAGACGAGCTGAAGATAAAGGGCGCCGCGCTTGATTGGCTATCATTGGTAGATCACGGTTGTGGATTTAATCAGCAGGCTCAGCGTAGCTGGAGACCGGCTAGAACATATGCAGCAATAGCAGATGTATTCTAAGGAACTTGCCCCGGTGGGTCTCTACGACATAACTGTGGCTAGAGATATCCGCAGGTAAACTTTAATCATTATAGCAGCATAGGTCATCAGATCAATAGGTAACCAAAGATATAATGCTGCGTCTTAGCAACTGCGTCTACACTCGTCGTTAACCGGATAGGGCAAAAATGTGACTAAAGTGAGTCTAGTCACTGAAGATATTGAGAGTTTAGATGTACATCTAGTGTAAGTATACTATTGCTTTGCTGAGAAGAGTATTTACCTCATATCACTATATTCATGGCCTGCTAATATTTGGTATCTCTACAGCCTCATTTACTGGATCCAACGTCTACAGCCCAACGTTCCGGTGGCAAAATTTTTCAGGATGCCCTCATTTTCTCTGGATTGTTAGTCACAGCTTGTTGCTGCATGTCAAACTATGTGTTGATGTACTCTAATGACTCTAGTTGGTCTTTAAGAGGTACTCTCACATCCTTTTGCTTTAATATGCCCAATATTGAAGACTATTTAAATATGCTTCATGAACTAGGAATCCAGCCTTGAAATATCTAAAGCTCGGACACCAATATAGCGCCGAGGCTGATGATTGCTGCTAGTTGCTGTACTGACCCTCTCGACATATTCAGGGTTGATGCTGAGACATTTGAGAGCAGGGAGAAGTTGAACCAATTCGCAGATATTCTTAGTAAAGAGTTTTATCTGGGCAAATAGTGCAAGCTCCTAGAGCACGCCACTAATTGACTGCATGTTCGCTAGGTTTAACTGGCTATGAATCCTGTGTTTGGTTTGAGCCTTACTAGGGAGCAGAGTTTGACCAGTACCGTTGGAATTCATTGAGAAGAGGCGGATATCTAGGTATTTTAGCAAAGGTAGTTGCATGATGAGGTTAGCCAGACTTAGCTTATTGACGATACTGAAACTCGACACAAGCTATTTTTGTTGCTTCTAGGTGATGTGCTTGGGCAGCAGCCAGTTGAAATTGTAGATAAATGCCCTCTCAGCAGATGATGGTTGCTCTAATATGTGGGCTACCTGGGCTACAGAGCACTAGGGAGCTAGCGGATTGCCATCTGGATAACACATAAACAAGTCTTTTGCATCTCTGATGACACTGACACCAGTAGCCATGTGATGAAGAGTTCCAGTAAATCCAATGGGGCTAGTCGGGTTGCTTTCAAACACCGGATAGAGATAACTAGTCTCTTGTAGACCTATATGTGAGTATCAATGCAAGATATCCGAAACGAACAGAGATATTGCCACTGGGAAAGGATGCCTTGTCCATATCGACAAGCTTAAAAGCGAGACACAGCGTCTTCAAGCCAGACAAGTTCGCCACTTCATTACTGTGTTAGAACAGTCCAAACGGGACAAGTACATGGATGTTGTATCCCGACGGTTTGCAACTTTGTCATACGAATCGCCAGGAATGAGCTGGGTAGCGTAACATGGGCTACAACCATATACAGTGCGGGGAGAGATGGGAAACCCTTGAAAACGACTTCACCAGTTCTTCAATATTGTTGAAATTAGCCAACGTAGAGGCATCACTGGAGTTCTTTGTGCAGATTCATGTAGGGTGGTCACGAAGGACAGCGTCATACTGCTCCTTGGAAGAATCGGATCCCATTGAAACTGAGGTGAAAAAGAATAGAATATATCTGGAGATAGTATATTGGTGAGTGCTTTAGACGAAACAAGTAATGCGGTTAGGAGAGTACAAGGTAGTGAAAGAGTGGGTGGTTGCTGGTCTGGGGTTATATATCCCAAACCACATGGAAAAGCCCTGTCTTGGCTGCCCCGATTTCCTCTTTCCAAGCTCATCACAACTATGACAACAATAAGCGCGCATGCGACGGAGGTGCCAGAACTTGTAGATGTGGCAAGGAATGCACCAACTTGCTTGCAGGAACCTCAAAACGAACATGTTTTCCGGGCCACTCCTTGTGGATTCTGCCTTTCGGTTGATTCTAATACAACCTCACTTCTAAGATACCCTATGTTGATACAGCAGGAGCAATGGTCACTGTCTCCTTGAGTATAATTGACAAGGAAGAGATAGCGAGCATTCTGCATACTACTTGGTGTTCACAGATACGCGGGGTGTATATGCTCGCCATTATCTGTTTTTAGCAACCTTTAAAGATTGGCAACATCTCATTTGCCGAGGATTCGCCTGCACTATCTGTGCATTTAGAGCTTGACATAATATCTGAGAGGTCAAGGGTACAAAATAGGCCTTGCTGCTGATACGCAAGGGTGTTAGAGCCAAGACCTTGAAAGACAAACGAAGTGGTATGCATGTGAAGCCAGTTTCATTGTGCCACATATAGGGGCTTTTCATGTTGAGATTGAACGCCTTGTGGTGTGTACTTCACTGAAACACGATGGTATCCTTTCCTGTATTTGTTGGCTAAGCAATAGCTATCCTATCTTGGGATGTTTAAAAGTGGTTGTGTGGGAAGTCGCTATCCCGGTCAAATCCAAGGTATGCTTCTCCGAGTCATGGCCATACAAAATGCGAAGCCACATCCTGTCTGGTAGCAAAGAACATCTTGGTCTATTTTCAGCTACAATAATGAAATGATGGACGGTATCTGCGCATATACATGGTACAGCGATTCGATTTGTGAATATCTTCAAAGGTATTTTTTGCAATGTTGCGCCATTCCCTGTGCTATCATCGCTATTCACTTACTAGGGAGTTGTGAAAATACACCATTGCATTCTAGAACCAATTCTGGGATAGTGAGGCTATCTTAGAGCTTGCGCTTGTCAACTTTCTAAAACCTGCCGCTCCTGGCCTATTCAGAGGTATTCACATATTCTAATCTACTAATCCGAATATAATCATTTCTTGATTAAGCCCCTCTGATTTTTTTGCACTACATTTTCGCTTTTCAACGCAACAGTTTTTGCTCCACATTGACTTCACTGAACATATTTTATTCGCAATGCTACGTTCAAAGTCGTTTGTAAAGCGCACACGCAAGGGCAACATTGTGCGCACAGTCAAGGAGCACTACTTGCGCGACGACATCAGCTGCGGTTATGAGCAGTGCGGACACCCGGTGTGCGTGAAGGCCCGGCAGGACGCGGCCGAGCACGGCAGGCACAGCGTCGATGGAGTGCAGACAGCAGCCCCCCTGAGCTGTACACCGCGCGACTCGGAGAAGTGGGGCAGACACTACCTGATCCCCGACACCAATGCGTTCATCAACCAGATCGATATCTTTGAGCGGCCGATCATCAACAATGTCGTGGTGCTGAGCACGGTACTGGACGAGCTGCGCGGGCTGAGTATGGCAGTGTACAACCGCGTGCGGGCTATTGTGCGTGAGCACGAGCGGCGGTGGTTTGTGTTTTCGAACGAGCACCACCGCGAGACCTTCATTGACCGCAGCGCAGGTGAGACACCTAATGACCGCAATGATAGGGCAATCCGGGTCGCAGTCAAATGGTATGCGAATCATCTGTCGAACACGGGCATTGCGGCGCTAATGGTCACGAATGACGAGGGTAATCTGAAGAAGGCAAAGGAAGATGGAGTTGAGTCGTGCCGGATGGACGAGTACTTGGCGATCTTCACAGAGCACCCGGAGCTGCTGGACATGATGGGCAGTGTGAGCATCACCGACCGCGAGTCTGGGGATTCCAGGTGGGGCGGGTACCCAGAGTACCTGAGTCCGGTACAGGTACAGGCAGGCATCAAGGCAGGCATGCTGGTGCAGGGCACGCTGCAAATTGCGGCCTACAACTACCTGGAGGGCTCGATCTACACGACGTTCCCCGACGGCAAGGAGCGCAGCGTGCTGATTCTGGGCCGCATGGACATGAATCGCGCGATCCAGGGCGACAAGGTTGCGGTACAGATCCTGCCCAAGTCGCAGTGGCGCAAAGCACCCAGTGCTGCGTTGGTTGATGAGGACGAGGATTCGGTGCCGGATGTCGATGAGAAGAAAAAGAGCGACGAAAAGGCAGCCAGGGACCCTGCGGTGGTTCCGGGCGACGCAGACAAGTCTGTCGAGGGACGTGCTCGCAAGCGTGCGCGTGTGGCAGCCGAAAAGTCCACCCCGGCGGCTGCTGGCGACACTGCGGCCGACAGCGAGGATGGGCTGTGTGTGAAGCCGGCCGAGATCACCGACGAGACCCTGGAAGCCGAGGATGGCGAAATCACAGGACGCGTGGTCGGCATCGTCCGCCGCAACTGGCGATCGTACTGCGCGTTCCTTGACCCGAACTTTGCTCCTAAGGGCCCACGTGCATCCAACGCACCCACATCGGTCAGCGTGCTGGCCATGGACCGGCGGATTCCCAAGATCCGCATCCGCACACGGCAGGTCGACGTGCTCGCAGGGCAGCGCATTCTGGTGGCCATTGACGCGTGGCCCAAGGAGTCACGGTACCCACAGGGCCACTTTGTGCGCGCGCTGGGCGATGCCGGCGACAAGGCTACCGAGACCGAGGTTCTGCTCCTCGAGCACGACGTTCCATACCAGCCATTCACAAAGAGCGTGCGTGCTGATCTGCCATCTGAGGGTGCCAATTGGGTGTTTGATCCGGACCGTGATCTGGTCACCGCCGGCCGACGCACCGATCTGCGCCACCTCAACGTCTGCAGCATTGATCCCCCCGGCTGTACGGATATCGACGATGCCCTGCATGCCGTGCCGCTGCCAAATGGAAACTTCCAGGTCGGTGTCCACATTGCTGACGTCACCAACTTTGTTAAGCCCAACACAGCCATGGACAAGGAGGCCGCTCACCGGTCGACCACTGTCTACCTTGTCGACCGCCGCATTGACATGCTTCCGGAGCTGCTGGGCACCAACCTGTGCTCGCTGATGTCCAACGTGGACCGCCTTGCGTTCTCGTGCATTTGGGAGCTCGACCCTGACGCCAACATTGTCAACGTCACATTCCATAAGAGCGTGATCCACTCCAAGGCGTCGCTGACGTATGAGGAGGCCCAGAACCGCATGGACGATCCGTCGATGCAGGACGACATCACCAAGAACATCCGCAATCTGAACATGCTGGCCAAGAAGCTGCGCAAGCGCCGTACTGACGCTGGAGCCCTGACGCTATCGTCGCCCGAGGTGCGGTTCCGGCTTGAGAACGACTCGCAAGATCCTGTCGATGTCGAGATGAAGGCGCTGAAGGAGACCAATGCGCTGGTCGAAGAGTTCATGCTGCTGGCGAACATCAGTGTTGCCCAGAAGATCTACGAGAGCTTCCCCGACTCGGCCCTGCTGCGTCGCCATCCGCAGCCGCCGCCCCAGAACTTTGACAACCTGCAGCACGCACTGAAGCCGCTTGGCATTGAGCTCGAGACTGGCAGCAGCCTGGCGCTGGCGCAGTCGCTGGACCGCGCTGTGCTGCCCAGCGACCCGTACTTCAACAACCTCCTGCGCATCTTGACCACCCGCTGCATGATGCAGGCCCAGTACTTCTGCTCAGGCACCTGCACACCCGAGGAGTTCCGCCATTACGGTCTTGCCACCGGCATTTACACGCATTTCACGTCACCGATCCGTCGGTACGCCGACGTCATGGTGCACCGGCTTCTGCATGCTGCAATCGACCGCCAGGTGGTGTTTGGCCCTGAGCTCACCGACAAGGTCAAGATGTCCGAGCAGAGCGATGTGCTGAACCACCGCCACCGCATGGCGCAGCAGGCCAGCCGCTCGTCGGTCGAGCTGTACACTAACCTGTTCTTCAAGGGCAAGACTGTCGAGGAGCCTGGCTATGTGACGCAAATTCTGCAGAACGGCTTTGGCGTGCTGATTCCCAGCTACGGAATCGAGGGCGTCGTGTATACGAGCGACAAGGACAAGAAGGACGTGCCGGCGGTCCTGCAGTACGACCAGGAGTCGCACACGCTGGTGTCTGCTGACAAGTCGTCGTCTGTGGGTCTGTTCCAGCGTGTGCGTGTGGTTCTGCAGGTCGACGATAAGCCCGTCAGCGCCAATGTCAGCTCTATGCGCCGCAAGCTCGGCCTGCGCTTGACCGAGCCCCAGATCCCCGGAGTCTCAATGACTCCAGAGGAGCTTGGTGCCCTGAAGGCCGCCACAGGCAAGACTCTGAGCAAGGCCGATGAGGACCAGGTCGTCGAACTGGTGACCAAGCACCCAGAGCAGGTGACAACTATTTGAAGTGCAATCCCATTTTTCCTAAATATACGAAGTTTACTCTACTTGTCCAGCTCCTCATCTGAGATGTCCTGGAACAGCTCTGGGTACTTTTCCCGGAGCTGCTTCCGGCGCTCAAGCAACTCAGGCGTCACCTCAACCTTGCTCCTGCTGAACAGTCCCGAGATTGCCTTGGACAGGGTCGCATCAGCATTCCTTGTTGCCTCAGATATCTCCACCGGGTCCTGCGGTGCTTCAGCCAGCGATTTGAGTGTCTTGACAAACCCCTTGCTGAACTCCTCGTGCCGCCTGTCGTCGGGCAATTGACGGTATGTCGACGTGTGGATCAGCAGCCGGGCATTGTGCCTTAGTGCCCTTTGTGTGGTTTGATGGGCTGCGGACCGGATCATACTGTCTTTGTGTGAGTGAAAGAAGGAAACTGAATCGTATGGATGCGAGATCCTCATTGCACTGGGGCGACGAAGGGGCGGTGGTGCATGCGTGGGTGCCCAATTCACCAGTAAACAAATATGGGCGAATTACACGCAGTTCCCCCCAGTGTGTCGAATGTTTCGCATTAGCAAACTCGGACGATCGCCCGCATTAGCTTGCTTGCAGACCCGCTGCTGATAGACTGAGCTCGACCGACAAAAACAACACAAATTATGTTTTGGTTGGCAGAACAGCACAGGATACTTCAGTACAAAAAAGAAAACTGTAAATATGAAATTGTAACGCGCGGCCACTACGGCAGCTCATACGGGTCGACGTCGTGCGTAAGCAGGTTCTTGGCAATATAATACAGGCTGAACACGCCAAACACCAGCACCATCGTCAGGTAGCAGAGAAACTTTGAATTGGCCGTCGCCAGTGTATGTGTGAGCTGCTGCCGTGTCCGGTCAAACATGTTGCCGAACCTCCCGAATGTCTCCGAGGTGCCGTCAAGCATCCGGTTCTGCTCAAACACGTCGTCGTGGATGTTGACCGTCACGCTGTGCAGCGCCGAGACCTTGGACGCCAGCAGGTCGAGATGGCGGTTGTTCTGCTGCTCCAATTCGAATGCCTCGCCAGCCCCAGTGCTGCTAGAGCTTTCGTTTGGCGTTCTGTTGTTGTTTCGCCTGGACATTATGAATTGAGTTATTATGAAAAAGGAATGAATGTGTTTTTTTTGCAAGAGCGGAGGACAAGCGGCGTTTCCTTGCATAAAAGGCTCACTCGGCAATTAGTGGCATTGCTGCTAACAGCGCTCCTAGAGACTGATTACAGTTAATCGATTTATTCTCTTCAAAGCCTCTATGGGCAAAATCTCATCATCGCCGCCTGGTCGGTTGAACCGCAGTGCCGCCTGTCTTTTTCACTTCTGGTTCGCGGGATCGCTCTTGCCCATCTGCCGGTTAGCTTGCTACAGACGGCATGGTGGTTGTGAGTGACGCTGCTCACTAATGTATGCATATACATGCCGATACACGGGTGGATCTGAGTACTTACCTCCTGCAGCAGCTTGTTCTTCTCAACCCAGTTGTTGTACACGTTGAGTCCGATAAACAGCGTGCCGGCGACTACACAAAGCTTTTGTTTCAGCTACGTTTGTCCATTACTGCGGTTTCAAGAACCGAGCGCTCGCAGTCGTTTTGCTTATCCAAAGGCAGATCCGGCTGTTTATCACACTCCCGTTGGTGGGTGTTTCTTTTACCTGTGGTTGCAAACAGCGCTGTCGAAACCGACTTTTGCATAACGTCGTAGAAGCGGAACCGATTAATGCTCATTTTTCGCTTAGAATGTGCTGAATTTAAAAAACGCAGAGTACCTGAAAGACAAGGTGAACACTGCAGCCAAGAGGACTGAGCACAGAGTACGGCAGTTATTTGGTGAGTCGAGCCGATAGCATGAATTGTCGGCTCGACGGAGTGAATGCTGAAAAAGTCATAGGCAGATTTTGCTGCCAGGAACCCTTCACAGGAGAAGTGAATGGTCGGTAAACGGAAGCTTGGGGACTGAATTAAATTGGATGATGCTCCATGTGCTCCCTAAGGCCATTCCAGCCATCTCGTTTACGGAAGGCAGACCTTTATGAACTCTCGGAATATAGCCAGTTTTGGCGATTCATTTAATATGATTTTCTGTCATTCAAGAGTATTATGAAAGCAGTGTCTTGCGATCTTGGGGTATGGAGAATGTCAGAGCAATTTAGAGTAATCGGATATGATGATACCATCCCTATTTGGGTTACTAATCGTCATCAACGTCAATAAAACGTCTGCTTTCGCCACTACTGTTTCCTCTATAATGCTTGAACTGCGAGCAGTGGACGCCCATCTTTAGCATCATTATGATAACAGGGCCGACACAAAAAACTAAAGTAGAGATGCAAGTTGGAATGTTGAAATGGGTACCGTTTCAAGGTGTCCATCTAAATCACACTTACCATCCAAATAGCTTTATATACTCCTCCACATACCATTCCTCCAGTCTTGAACTAGGAAATCGACATGTCGCTTCTGCTTTGCTGGTGGTCTAAGCGTGACACCTTCCATAATGCGTGTCTGACAATTTCCAAGAATGGCAATAATAGAAACACCATACATGCAAGGGGGCCACTCATTCAAACACCCCCGATGTCTGAACAACCTACCTCACCTCTTGACAAAGAACAATCCTGGCATTTCAAAATTTTCACTGCTTGTTGCGTACAAATACATCATGACCCTCATATACATGATAGCGTAGGCGACTGATCATTTTGATGATGTTCGCATATCTTATATACATGACTTATTTACTGACGGTACTGGGACTATATCGAATGCTCGCGCTATTGATGTTCTGAACAGGAATTGGGAGTAGAAAATAAGGAGAGAAATGATATAGAAATGCTACCTGTCGAAGGCCCCTATGTGTGAGGAGTACTTGCGCACACGAATTGCACGAACGCCTGCCTCAGGGTTACTAAATGCACACCCACCAATCGCCTGGACAATGGTATCGATTGATTCAGGGTTGACACCAGGGCTAGTCAAGTTGGGCAGGTGCGAGACCATTTGTACGACGGTATACACCCCTAGACGTGTAGGCCTGCCAATCGTGCTTGTGATCATCCTGAATATCTACATCCAGCAAAGCGGCACACCGCAAGATGGGCAGGCTGATTTTCTCAAGTCCATCTAGCTCTGTGGCAAGGGTCAGAGGACGGCACTGGGGTATACCAAGGTAATTCTCGACGGCTATGTAGGGATTCTCAACATCCATAGCCGCCTAGAGGCTGGGTCTAATTTCGAGCTCTAGAGCCTGGCTGCACCGACAGCAGATCTCATGATGCCAAGAACATCTAGAGTGAGGGAAATGGCTGGGGGAAGGAACATATCCCATGGAGAGGTGCAGGATGAGAGGATTGCAACCCCCAGGTGGCCACAAGAGAGCAGGTCTAGTTCTGTTTTTTTTTTGAGAGCGGCTCTTTCTTTGATTTCTTCTTTAGCGGCAATGGTTGTCACTAGATATGCATATCCGATTATGCACATGGCACCGAGTTTTTTTATTCACTACTATCTGTAAAAGTGGGTCAAGAGAAAGTGGAGAGGGACAGCAGATGCACCATGCAGAGAAGCAACCTGTTCGTCTGCATATGTCAATCACAAAGAGAGCGATAGGGCAGACGCCCACCAAGAAAACTGTGGGCATGTACCAGAGTATCGAGTCGTGGCCAGGGTGAGCGTTCTGTTGCCTTTTATTTTCTCTAAATACAAATTGTACCTGGCAATATTGTTTACATGGAGTACTGCCTTTCATTTGAACCCTAACAGCAATAATCTTCAACAGCCTTTTCTCTTCATAGTGAGAGTGGGTTTCGGTTCTTCCGGGGATGCTCCAGTTGAAAAGAAAAACCGACAGCCTCCGAGGTGCCTGATGTATGCAAATGCATGACCAACAGATATTTGTGGCTGTGCGTTCTGAAAATTTGTGATGGCAAGATTTCCAAGCTCTCATGGTCGAACTTTGCGACATCCCATTTGTTGAAAATGTTCTGCATCCTCCATACAAGCTGCCTTTCAACACAGTGTGGGCAGACGAAGAGAGGGAGGCCGAAATACCCCTTGTCGTTGATAAGGATTGGCCCCAGCAAAACCAGGTGGCCATCCTCCATACTCCTCGAGCGCCAGAATAATTCCTCTTTCCCTTTGTTTCTTCATCTTGAGTTGAACCATGCATGCTTCAGTTATTGTCGGCATCCAAAACGACGACACCTATCCGGGCAAAAGAAGTCTGTGATATCTACACCGGATCCACGAATTAGTAGTTCAGCTCACTATATGTCTCGTTGTGGTGACAAGCTCTCTTCTTGTCTATAGCTTTGCGGGATAGCCGCATCTTTTGCAATATGTAGACTATCTTATTCATATCCTGATCCAGACAATGCTGACTATGCTGCAAACAGTGCTCTGAGCCTAGCACATGGCCAATGTCATATTTGGCTAGAGTGCCCTTGATCAGAAAACAATATCAGAGATTAGATGAAGCCATGGGGCACTGGTAGTGAGATCAGCAGTTGCTCGCGCTTCCTCAAAAGACTTGGCATTCCTGTCTGCTGTCGCCATCCATGCCTCTTTCTTCTTCCAAATTTTTTCTCCTATTTTTTTACTGAATACTCACAAAACAACGCTTTATACGCATGTCATCTGTTGTAAAGATTCTTGGAGATTCTATTTCTCTCAGCGGCGCGTTCCAGCGTGCAGCCGAGGGTTTCGTCAACCGCACGCCGCACCGGAGCGCGCTAGTTCTTGGCGCAACCGGTGAGGTTGGGCGCGAGGTGGTCGGGCACCTGCTTGCATCGGGGGCGTTTGAGAAGGTGACTGTGTTTGTGCGGCGGCCTATCGAGTATAGCGGGCCGCATGCGGACCGGCTCGAGCAGAAGCCGATTGACTTTGAAGATACGGCCAAGATGCAGGGTGATTTCGCCGGACACACGCACGCATTCAGCTGCCTGGGTACGACGCGCGCCAAGAGCGGCCCTGAGGGCTTCTATAAGATCGACCATGACTATACGATGAACGCGGCGCGCGCATGCAAGGCAGCCGAAATCAGAGCACTACTCGATTTGCAGCTCGGCGGGTGCTAACAAAAACTCATTCTTCCTGTACCCAAAGACGAAGGGCCAGGTTGATGATGAGGTCAGTGGGCTGGGTTTCCCGCGGGTGTCGGTGTTCCGCCCCGCCATGCTCGAGTGCGACCGCGGCGAGGCCAGATGGATGGAGCGGATGGTCACTGCGGCGCTGCCTGTGCTCAAGGCGTTCGCAGCAAAGTCAGTTGCCATCAAGACGTCGACGGTTGGTTGGGCCATGGTGCAAAATGCATTTTACTGAGGTCGAGACACCGGTGGCCGAGATCATCTCCAACGCCGACATGCACAATGCCTTCGAGAGCAGCAAGTAAAGTTTTGCTATGTCCATTACTAAGGGCTTCAAAAATACATAAGAAACTAAATATTGGCCACTGCCGACATATCGGTCTTGGCAGTCTTCGCTGCCGGCTCCTCAGCGCTGGGCTCCAGGGATCCCTCGCGCTTTCGCCGCCGGGTAGTGCGCTGCTCGTCAGCCAGCTCTGCCGTGCGATGCGCCGATGCTGCCGTGGCTCGGAGGTACCCGGGCACCCCGCCCGATGTCTTGGCACCATGGTCATCAAGGCTTACTAGCGGCTCGATCTTCGTGTCCGACCTCAGCGTCATTCTCCGCGACGGAGATTCCGTGAGGATTTTGTCAGCAGGCTTTGCCGCGGCCCGCACTGGACGCCGAGCCCGTGCTGCCGGCACCGCATTGTCCATGGGCTTTGCCCGCGGCCGCGCCCGTGGGCGTCCGCGCAGCGCCTCCTCTACCCGGCTGGTGACGATGTTGCGGGTAGCAGGCCGGACTGCGTGCGGTGTTCGAGGCCCGGAGGAGCTGGTGCTGCTCTTCAGCGACGAAAACGACAGCCCCTGCATGCGCTGTGCCCGGGATGCTCGCCTATCAGCTTCAGCAGCAGCAACCCGGGAGGCTGCTGCCTTCGGAGCTTCAGCGATGCTGATATTGACATCTGCCGATTTGCTGACCGAGTCGTCGCTCCGATCAGCCGGGGTGGTTTGTCCAGATGCTGACAGATTGGTACTGCTGGCTTTCTTCTGGCACGACAGGCGCTTCAGCACCAGTGGCTGAGGCCACGATATCCTCGACGGCAACCTGTCTCGATCGGCTGATCGGTGAGAAGCGTAGGCGAGTTCTTGCGACTGGCATGCTGCGAGGTGATAGGTGCCGATGAGTCGCTCTTGGGCTCAACCGCTGTTGCAACCTCAATACTCTCAAATACAGTCGCGGTAGGTGAGTTGCCCTCGCTGCAGGGCTTGCCCGCTGCAGCAACATTCGTATTACCTGATGATACATGCAGTGGCTCGATGCTGCACGGCGCCGATGCTGAGCCAGGCTTCACTAGCGACCCCGTGGCCGATCCGCTCAGTGCCATTGGTGGGGTCGGTCTGTACATCGTTGCTGAGCCATGGCGCGCAACAGGACGGACCGGCCGCAGCCGCTGATGCGCAGCAGGGGGCCGTGCACCTGTGCTGTTGCCCATTGCGTTCTCTGCCAGCCCTTCATTGCTAACTGCATGTCCGTTTGGCCGTTGAGGAGCCAGGCGATTGTGCAGCGGTGGACGCTGGCGGAATGCCGCAAACCGACTCATCGGCTTATTCGAGTTGCCGCCACTGCTGCTACCATCTTCAATCTTCAGATACTTCTTCGCCGTGCTGTCAAACAGTCCATGTAGAGTTTCTTTGCGGCTGCCGAACCGCCTGATATACGCTTCATATGTCTTCTTTGTGATCGTGCGCGCATCGGGATGTGCATCAACAACGCCCTTGGCAATCGCCTCCTCGACCACAGTCCATGTATGGTGAAAGCTCGGGTGCCGTGCAGCTTGATACCATATTCATCAGGAGCCTTGCTGCACTAGCCCGGAACGACTTGTTCAGATCCCCTGTCATGATTCTGCAGATATGCGGTGTCTGGTCGGCTGCGTGTGTATGTGTGATTACTGCGCTGAGGACAGCTCATCCCACGCGTCACAAAGACCCTGTTTGCGCGCCCGCACGATTTGAGTCGCTGTCGGGAACACCAGCTCACATATCGGCCCAAACCGCGTTTCCAGTCGCCGTGCCATCTCCTCAATCAGCGCTAGCCCTGACCCATTGAGTCGCGTGCGCTCGCTGGCCACCACTTTGTTGATTTGGTCTGCTGCTCTCCGCACCATGGGCACGAATAGTGTCGTACGTTCGTTCGCGCCTGCTTTGACCAGGCTTGTCATATTCTTAATCGCCGTGTCGAGCTGCTGCCATGTCTCTTCCTTCTCGGCCACCTCGAGCTTTGGGAGTAATGAGCGGAATTTGTTCTCAAAATCGCTTGCGCTGTTGCACTACAGAAAAACAAACCGTTAGAATACAAGAATGTCTCACCCGCTTGCATTGTTGGTCAAGCTCCCAAGCCCTTCTAGATTCAGCCTACCCACCTTGGTATAGTCCATTCGGGTGCAACAAGGAAATAATTGTATTATTGTGCCTAAATTTTGCACCAACCTGCTGCGCAAGTATTAATAGACAAGAATAGTAAAGAGGAAACGCTAGGGTGTACCAACCGAACGAAACAGAATAATGAAAGGAAAAAGGAGGGGTTCCTGGGCAGTGGCCGAAAAATTTTCAAACCAATGCTGCGTGTTTTTTTTCGCGCTGACAAGGCCTACTGGAACATGGATTTCTGCAGCCAACAAATCGCTGGACAATCATTGGCCCTAAGCCGCAAACGGTAAATAGCCGAGCCCAGCGCTCAGGCATGAGAGCACGCATCACAGCGACGTGCCATCTACTGTTTACTGTAGCACGCTGGCTGCATGACTGCCTAATTCTATTTCGTGATCTCCAGCACGCAATGTATTTTCGCTCAGTTGCCTAAATGCGTGATGGAATCTAAACAGGTATTGAACATCAAGCTACCCATGCCAGCCCTCGTCTGAGACAGCATCAGCGTGGGTCCGTTTTGTTGTCCTTATCATGACCGATTGGCATTTATGTTCTGAGAGCCAATAGCTATTACTCTCCATGGCCAGCTGAAGGTTGATGATACCAGTGCAAATTGCATTGGAATTGGAGTGACTAGGTCTGCACGCTAATGACAGTAGCAACCTGATCACTGCACATGGGATCTCTAGCTACCTGATACTAGTTCACACACTCAATACATATCTGCTGGCAGTCAGACTGCATACACCATAAAGCAATGTCATACCAGTACCTGCTGCACTAGCATATGTGCTTCTGACAGCCATTGTAGAGGCATACACCCTTCAGCCACTCAGTCACCTTGAATAAAACACCAGCCAGCAAACTTGTTGCAAAGTGGTCAGCCCAGTACAGCCCACATTGTCTCAAGAGCAGAATAGTGTAGGACGAGTGTGGTTTCCGGATACACCTCCAGTGCTTCCATTGGCCATATACACAAGAGATCCAGCTGCCGCAGCATAGACAACCTAGCCAGGAAATACTCTGGCTCAGTAACGCCTCAGTGAGATTCACTCGCCAGCACAGGCTCCAGTTACTCTGCTCTCCCCCACTCCTATTCTTTTTCGCACCACTCTCTCCACCATGACCGTATTTGAATCGCCACACTACCAAATTTCAGCTGTACCTGTCAAAGGTATCACCAAATGTTTATCCGACTTGTCCACAACCCAAGCACAAACTCACCCATCCCCACCGCTGTAGCGAAGGAGCTGCCATTCCCGGTCTTCTGGCTCTCACATTTGTCAGATTGTGGAGACCAGCGGTCAAGGGCGTACATCCGCTGGCTGGGTTTCAGACACCAGCTAGTATTACCCTTTGTGCATCCACCAGTCTGCTGTCTTGGTATTCGCATGGTGGAGCCCAGCTCACTTCAGCCCTGGCCATTCTTTCTCTGCTCACTGACAATTGCTTTCCAAACAGCTGGTCCGACATTCACCAACAAGACGCAGATTTTGGTGACACATGCCAGACATGTCATGCCTCTGGCAGACAGAGTTTGCCATGTTTGTCTCTGGACACAGGATGGAGTAGACACTTCAATTATAAATCTCAGACATTTGCGCTCAAATATCAGCATCAGTCCGCAGGATCCAGCTCTGCTCAACAGCATCATCCGCGAGAATCTGGACCCACCGAACAAGTCTACCAACGATGAGGTCTGAGCTGCAGTTCGCAAAGGCCATATCGAAGACCTCCTGATCCATCGGACATCCAAGTACGATGAAACTGGAGACGAGTTCTGTGGCCTGTGGGTCGAGGAAGCTGGACTGGACAAGTAGGGCGAGCAAGGTGACAAGAGCTTTAGCGTCGGATAGCGCCAGTTGGTCAGTTTGTGTTGCACATTTCTGTGGAAACGCAGGATTCTGTCTCTTGACGGGGCGACAGCCAATGTCGACACAATGGCTGACCATACCATGCAGCAGGTTATTCGTGACAAGTTCAGAAACTCCACATTTCCGACCATCATGCACCGGCTCAGGGCTATCATGGACAGTGGCTGGATTCTGGTCATGGACCAGGGCAGAGTTGCAGGGTTTGTCGCTCCAGCCAGCCTGCTGGAACAGGACTATGCTCAAGCGCTTGGTCGAGAGCATGGAACTCAACAAGAGGTGCTGAGTTTTCTTCATGGCTACGGCGTCAAAGCTAGGTGACAGTTTTGTTCTTGCAATCAGTTCAAGTACGAAGTATATATGTTTCTAATCAGACTGATGACTGAAACTGGACAGAATGGCAGCGCTCATATCGCCTTAGGGCGTAGCAAATGCTGTTGCTTATATCTGACATGAAGAAAGCATATGCGCCTTTACCCTTTTCATCAGCAGTATGAGCATCGACAACTACAGGTGGCCTATTATTGACAACCGCTACTTGTCTTTGGAGGAATCCTGGGTCGGCAGCACTCTCGATGGCCTATTTTGAAGCCAAGGATTCCATGGGCAAGCAGATTGGCTTTAAGCAATGAATCTCCAAATGATGGCAGGAGCCTTGACAGCCTATTTCCTTTCCTAGTTTTTTGTCCCAGGGTCTAAGCAGTGGGCTTAACCAACGCATCCTCCTTAAGGCACATAGCTACAGTCCTCATGCCAGCAGCTTTGGCACTACAAATTCGTTGTCCTGGAGTGTTCTGGAGTTGAGGAGAAAATGTATTGAAAGGGTATATAAATAGTGGTGCAACAGAGATTCGACCTGTCTAGCAGGCTCCTAAGGAGAAGCTTGGGTTATTTACATGCCACCCTCTCTGGAAACATCCCTGCTTGAAACCAGCGCTTCCTAGAAATCGGTAGCATTGGGATCATATGTCAGTCCATTGTCATTGTTGTCAAATGAGATGAAGATGTTTGTACGCGGAGCGAGCATGGTATGGGTCGATTTCTTGAGTATAGAAGAGTCCGGTTGACGAAAGGATGGAAAGCTTGAAGATAAATAAGACAGAGGTGAGAGTTGAAGTGCAGTGTGCTGGTGAATTCAGAGTCAGCTACCTCGCCATCCTTTTATACGACCTGTGGCAGTCGTGCAGCTGAGAACCCTGCCCGTCTCTCTCTCTCTCTCTCTCTCTCTCTCTCTCTCTCTCTCTCTCTCTCTCTCTCTCTCTTGAAGCCTCCAATCATACGCACGCCTCGAAGCAAGAGCACAACTGGCCAATATACAGCCCTTTCTTCCCTGATATCACTCGCAACATACAAATTGTCCCCAGTATGCCACCGCCTCCTCCTCTGTGCCATTCGCCCCCACTTGCCCACCATCCCTTGTCAAGGGCTGCCTGTGTAGCAGAATCTCTCCTCAGCGAACCAGAACCGCCCACACAGCGCACCGAACCGCCTACTCCGAACCCCGACGTCTCTTTTCATCAAATGTGGCTCTAAAATGCAGAGGTGTTTGGTGTGCTGCACTCCCGCCTCTTATACTGGACCCCACCTCTCTACACTGCATCCGGAAACCCATTTTTCGACTGAGCTGCATATAATAAAGCCAAATAAGGCAACTGTGTGCAAACAGCAAGCCATTTGTTAAGCCAAGGTGCATCTGGCGCTCTGCGGTTAGCTAGTTAGAAATGCTGGAACGTGTCAATTCTCAGCCTCACCGGTTCCCTGGGATGAAGTGGCTTTGTCTTGATACCCGCCACCAACACCCGCTGGTTCAAACGACCGTCCAGCCGCCTCCAAAGACAGCTGCGCATCGCTGTTTTCACAAGCATAGCCACCATATAGCGCCTCGCTTGCTCTCCAAAGAATGCCTGTAGGGTCCACTTATAAACATGAGAGAGGAAACAAAAATACTAGGACAAGGGCTCAAAGGCAATATTGCGGCTGACTTTGAAGACCTGGTGGAGCATGCTCATGATGTGCGGGATCATGTGGTGGTTGACCCTGACCTTGGTGACTCGAGGAAGACACACCACCAACTCGCAGAAACCGACCAGGTCGAATGTGCCGCGAACAAAGAGATCCAGTCGCTCGAGACTCTCGCTGACCGGCAGATGGCTGCTTGGATCCAGGACCTCGCCGATCTCGTCAAATGTGATCTTCTGGTCCGGGAACTTGGTGGCCTTGGCGTCGCTCCGGATCATCGAGAAGCAGTCCACGACGAGCGTGTGCAGAAGCGGCAGCTGTCCCAGCAGGTTGGCAAGCCCGTGCTTGTCCGCGATGCTGGCCGCCAGTGTGAGCGAGCGCAGGTCGACCCATGCAATCAGCCCCGGAAGCGGATAGTCAAGCAGTCCAAGGGTGGCCACCTCAACGCTGGACGGCAGCTGATACAGGCGCTCAACCATATCGACAGAGTACACATCAACAAACGGAGTTCCAGTAGGGTGCCCGATCTTGAGCATCCTCACCTGTCTCGAACGCGTGCTCGTTGATGCGTTCAAAGTTCGTCGGGTCGTCCATAATAGTCAGTCTCTCGAATACCCAGCCCTGGAAATAGGCGTAGATGTCGGTGTAGACGTAGGCGGAGCCAGTGACATGGAGAGTGTTCAGCCTTGGGAAATGCACAGGGCAATTGCAGCCTGGAAAAGTGGCAGTATTCGCAGTGGCCTGAATGAACTCCACGCGCAGATCCTGGAGGCTGTCAAAGCTCAGCGCGCCATCGGTGGTCTCGAAGAGGTGCCACGGGATAACAGCCTCGATCTGGAACACCTCGAGGATGCGCAGGCACCGAGTTGGAATAACAGGCAAGTCGCGACGCAGACGTATGTAGCGGATGTTAATTGAAAGCGATGTGAGGTTGTCAAAGAGCTTGGGCACGTTCAGGGGGAACGGGATAAGCATCTGGACATGCTCCAGCTGGTGCGCATACTCCTTGAGAGTGTATTCGTACAAAGGGCATAATTTTCTGTCCGCTCCAAGGATATTAGGTGTCGGGACCCATTTCCTGAATACATGGTATCTTAAATCAGTTGCGCAAGGAAACAGCTTTCGGATGGACTGAGCAGCAGCCTCAGCTGTTCTAAATTCCTGGATCGAGTCCGCATCTTTTGCTGTACCCGCTGTGAACACCCCTGGTCCAAGAAACAGAATCGAGCGCACATTCGGCAAAGGTGACTGCAGTTTGTTTTCCATACCCTTCATCACCTTATCAATGTGCATCGGTAGCTCACACTCGTTAAAGATGACAACCCGGAACTCGGTTACCAGATGTAGCTTGTTGTGCTCGATGAGGAACCCCAGGTTCCACATCCAGTCTCGGTCATGGCTTTTGCTGCACGAGCACTTTATGCGATCGCACTCGACGAAGCACTCGAGAAGAAGCGTGCCAAACACTGCTTCAGAGAGTTCGTTGACGCGGTGTGGGTTCGAGCTGACAAAATTCATGACGTTTGAATATTCCCTAGCGGTCGACGTGCGGGTGAGGGACTTGGCACAGAGGTCGGTGGTATCAGGTGAAAGGGGCTGGCTCCCACCGTCTGTCCGGCTGTTGCATGGCTATGGCGTGTTGACAAACGGAAAATGCTACGGAGTATGCTCAAACGGCGGATAGAAGGCTGCGTAAAATGATAGTGGAAAGGTATGTGGAGAAATGGATTTGATGATGGGCTGGCTCCCCTGCATCCAGGCTACCGAGTCTATATACTCCTGAGCGCCAATAGATGCAGTGCTTGTCAATTCTTGACAGCCCTACAATGGACGCGACAAGCATGACGCACCTCGCCGATATGTATGCTCTGATTAGCACGCCCTGCTACCCGTATATAGACATATTAAATTTTCGGAAACAGTGCAGGCGTTGCTTTCACAGCCAATTGCGGGCAACCAGCATGCAATGTCGAGTGCATCTCGGCTGGCAAGGAAAGCTGGCACGGTAGGCTGCAGCATGGCAGGGGTCGCATCCCTCAGCAGTGGCTTGCAGCACCACCTGAAGTGGGTGCCAAAGCCCGCACTTTTGCGTTCGCAAATGCACAACGGGTGTCGGCCCACACCGCGCCTTGGAGCAAACAAAGGAGATTGACCCAATAACCCTAGTTGTGCTCTGCACCGCCACCCGGCTAGGGCTGGGTTCACGAATGAGCACTTAGTGCACGCAAATCCGCTGCTCCTGGCCGTGGCACGGCTGTTCCGTCTGTCTCGAGCGCATTTCTGGGCTGCACGCCTCCAAAATATCTTTTTGCATCGATATGAGCCGGCAGCACGATGCTCTAATGTCCAAAATACCCGGAAACCAGGTAGGCAATATGTTTCTGGTATACTACCATACCTGCTCCGAACAGATTGGGGGTGGATATCTGAGTGCCTTTTGCAACTCCTATCACATACGCAATAGATTATAGACATGTCGAATTGGTAAGGCAATATGGTTGACTTCACACAATAGAAAAGGTACTACTAAAGTGGCAGGATTAGTTGGAAGATCCAACCTGTCTCTGGCGGCGAGCACGAACTCCCTCACGAAGGCCGTCAAGGATCTTGACAGTGTCCTCCCAATTGACGCAGGCATCGGTGATACTCTTGCCGTAGACCAGCTTGGACAGATCGCCATCGGCCGGAATGCTCTGGTTGCCCTCAATCAGATTGCTCTCAATCATGACACCAGAAATGAAACCACCAGTGTCCGAATTGGACAGCTGCTCGCGGATGCTGTCGGCGACGATGGGCTGCTTGTGGAAGTCCTTGGAGCTGTTGCCGTGACTGCAATCAATCATCAAGTGTGCATTGACATTGGCCTTCTGCAGCTGCGCAACATACTCCTTGACATACTTCTCATCGTAGTTGGGCCCGTCAGCGCCGCCACGCAGGATGATGTGGCAGTGCTTGTTGCCTTCTGTCTCAACAATAGCACTAAGACCCTGCTTGGTTACAGACAGGAAGCAGTGGTGAGACTCGGCCGATTTGATCGCATCGATGGCGACCTTGACATTGCCATCGGTGCCGTTCTTGAAGCCGATGGGCACAGACATACCCGAGGACAGCTCACGGTGGACCTGCGACTCGGTGGTACGTGCGCCAATGGCGCCCCACGAGATGAGATCGCCAATGTACTGCGGCGAAATCGTGTCCAGCAGTTCGCAGCCGGCCGGCAGCCCCTTCTCAGCAATATCCAGCAGAAGCGTGCGCGCCTTGCGCAGGCCCTTGTTGATGGCAAAGTCGTTGTTGAGGTCGGGGTCGTTGATCAGGCCCTTCCAGCCGATTGTCGTACGCGGCTTTTCAAAGTACACGCGCATGACAATGCACAGGTCGTCGGTGGCCTGGGCGGCGTACTCCTTCAGCAGGTCGGCGTACTCTAAGGCGGCAGTCGGGTTGTGGATCGAGCACGGCCCGACCACGACAAGCAAGCGGTCGTCCTTGCCCTGGATGATGGCCTCCGACTCAAGGCGGCCCTTGACAATCGTCTTTGCGGCAGACTCGCTCAGCGGCAGATCCTCCATCAGAATCTGCGGCGGGATGAGGGGCCGGATGCGCCTGATGTTGACATCGTCAAGCTCGTTCAGGGCATGGACGTAGCGGTGCGGCATTTTGTCGGCGGAGTTCATGGTGTGTTTGTGATGCGTTGTTATCAAAGATCCCGATGAACGTTACCTGGAAAGTGCAGACAAGGGCGAAAAATATGGACAGTAGTATTGATAGTGGAAAAGAGAAGCACTGTAGTGTACAGTCTGTCTAGGCCAGCGCCATTTAACTCTCCGGCGCCCAGACCAGACCAGGGCCTTGTATGAGTCACGTCGCCGTGGTATTGACCTTTTTTATTTTGCCCGCGACGATGTGAGGTGTTAACACTGACTGTACCAGCGACGGCGCAAGAGCCGAAGTGGCCGAAAAAACAGTTGGGGATACTGTGCATCGGTCTTGATCACCGATCAGCAGGAATCATCGGGTATCTTGGCTGCTCGCAGCTTGCACCGATTCGGTAAGCAGTCGAGCAGCCAAGAGTGGAATAAAATTTTCAAGCGCTTTATCTCGGCAGGCTCAGTCTTCGTTGCTCCGTCTCCTTTTCCCTTCACCCTCGCTCTTTTTCACATTTCCTTTCTGGTCTATCTGACTTCACATTCCTGCCAACAAAATGTCTGCGCGCGTGTTCAACAAGGCTGCCCCCGTTGCCCGGGCTTACATTCGCTATGCCAGCACCGAATCTGCTGCTCAGAAGGCCAGCACCTCGACCTGTAAGGATAAGCCAGGGCTTTGTGACTCGCTTTTTCCTTCTGCCTTGGTAGATGGCAAGCGGGCTTTATGCGCATGACGCCATGACTATCCACACAAGTCACGGCGTACAGGTGCCAAACCCCTCATGTGCAGGCGCCGTGTCTGCGTGATATGGGGAGCAGGCTTCTATCTGCTCATATCGCCCACCCCCGCGCACTTGGAACAAGCATATTAACCTTCATTAATTTCTTCCATTTGTAGCCCAGGGTCTGACCAAGACCCTCTGCGGTCTGTACAAGACTGCCACTGGTAAGTAGCCCGCGGTCGCGTTGTATTGGATCGGCAGCCACAGGCCCAGTAAATACTCGGCGAGGTTTCACATTATTGAATTGGTGGTTTCATGCAAATAGGTCCGCTGCCTGCCGTCGGTCAAGGGTCCGCTGAACAAGACTGTCGGTAAGCATCTCGGAGCGCAGCCGTACCTCCAAGTCTACTCTTGGAGCTGAATTGCATACACACTAACGTGTACTGTCGCTTGACACTTAGGTATCCTGGAGCCCGTTCTGTACTACTCGGAGGTTGCTTTCCACGTTTTCAAGCAGACTTTCTACCGCCAGAGCTTCTCGCTCCCGACCAAGGCTGACTTTGCCGTTGTCGAGACCCAGCTGTTCAAGGCGCTCGAGTTTGTCAAGATCCAGAACCTCAAGAACGTCAAGTCGCTCAAGGACGTCTCGACCGAGAAGTGGAAGAGCGGTGCCATCAAGGCCTTTGAGCTGTCGTCCCTCTTTGTCATTGGCGAGGCCGTCGGCCGCGGCAACCTTATCGGTTACAAGGACTAGATACTTGTTGTTCGCCGCAATCTGTTTTTTCCTCCGTCTAATACAAACCCTTTGAGAGTCCCTCACTGCTTGGAAGAGTCTGTACCAGACACGCCATATTGGCTACACACCCACACGACGTGGCGCGATCTGCAGCATATTGGCCAGCAAGGATTTCTGCTAGGTAACGTGACCTGGGGATATGGCACGTTTGCAGGGCTGCTCATCAGCGGTTTGCGTCACTGCTGCGCTGCGCCTGCGCTTTTCATTCCTGCTGTCTGTATTTTTCAGTATTTTTTACAAGCTCTTCTCACAACCCCTCGCCTCTACGCTAGCAATTTGACGCAAATCCTTCTGAAATGACTTCTCGCAAGGCCACCCACGCCGGTAGCTGGTACACCGAGTCTGGCGACAGACTTGACAGAGAGCTCCAGGGATGGCTCAATATTGTGCCCGCCGCCGTTGAAGAAATAGTGCCAGCCGGGTCCAGCTGCAGCGTTCCCTCTGAGCGGTACCCGCGCCATTATTGGCCCGCATGCCGGATACAGCTACAGCGGACCCAACGCCGCCTATGCGTACAAGTGTGTCGACATCGCCAAGGTCAAGCGTGTGTTTCTACTTGGTCCATCGCATCACATCTACTTGGATAACTGTGCACTGTCGGCATGTTCCGAGTATGAAACGCCACTGGGCAATATTGCCATCGACAAGGATACCATCGGCGAACTGCGTGGCAAGGGCACCTGGCGCACGATGAGTCTGGAGGCCGACGAGGACGAGCACAGTTTGGAGATGCACCTGCCGTACATTTACAAGACATTCGAGAGCAAGATCCAGGAAATCAAGCTGGTGCCGATCCTGGTTGGTAACCTAAGCTTCCAGAAGGAAAAGTACTACGGTGAGATCCTGGCACCGTACCTCGACAACGAAGAGAATCTGTTTGTTATCTCGTCAGACTTTTGCCACTGGGGCAGTCGGTTCCGCTTCACCTACTATCGCGGGTCGGAGCAGCAGCGCCCGGTCAAGCTGCAGTCGAGCGACCGTCGCAGGCCAGACGGCAAGCCGATCTGGCAGTCGATTGAGCGGCTGGACTGGGATGGGATGGAGGCCATTGTGGACACAGACCACAGCGCCTTCAGGCAGTATCTGGAAGAGACTGGCAACACGATCTGTGGGCGTCATCCAATCGGTGTCCTGCTGGCTGCTGTGAACCATCTGTTCCCGAACCATACTGAAGGCCCTGTCCTCCGATTTGTCAAGTACGACCAGTCGAGCAAGGTTGCGTTTCCTACAGACTCGTCGGTCAGCTATGCCTCGGCGTACCTAGCACTTCCTTGAAGAGTCGCATGCATGCATTCATTTTCTGTACACACAAATATACTAGAAGAAAGGATGGGTATCCACAAGCTACATGTTGGTTTGTGGCAGGGATGATCCTGCAGACATGCAGCCGCCACTGCTGGTGGGTGTTTGCAGCATTGCTGGCTGATATAGTGGTACTGTGGATGTGTTGGCAATGGCAGCCTTGACACCGGACGCTGACTCGGTGTTAGCTGCAGCTAGATGCTCCTGACCTGTTGCTTGCAGCCCAAAACTGGCCGATTACTCGGGTGAGCAGGGGATACTGCCCGATGCAGCTTCCCATCCAGGGGATGTAAGGGCATCGTGCTGTATGAGACCGGTGCCAACACTTATTTGTGCCAGCGGGATATCGTCAAGGCTGTCCGATGAGCCATTCTGTGCCAGCAGTAAATTCTGGTACATGTTCCGCGTGGGTATCATAGAGCCATGGATCACTGGTGTGGAGTAGCGGCGGAAGGGAATGCTGCTAGCACCCACACCAGCTACTATGCTGTTCGGCGGAATGGCCAGCGTAGGCGTGCTCTCATGCATATCCAGACCAGCAATGTTGATCTTGCCCATCGGGTGCAGCGTCATGCCGTTGGAAAAACTCTGTGCAGGCTGCTGTGTAGAGATCCCTGGCGGCGGAGTGTACGGATTAGTCAGCATCATCACGGGCTGGCCGCAGGCGGCTGCCTTCGCTGGTGGTTGGGTGCTGATCAGCAAGGCGCACCGGGTCATGCTGAGCGGGCGCGCCGTGCTGGGGCACATCCAGCGAAGTAGCGACCATCGGGTTGCCTGGCTGCGCCAGATACAGATACATAGCATCCGTGCTCGGTGGTGTCTGCGAGGCAGATGGTGACTTCGGGACCTTTCGCGACTTATGACGAGCGCGCGCTCCCAGGTACTCATCCTCATGCATCCGCATATGGCGACGCAGGTTGCTGCGCACCGAAAAACACTTGTTACACCCGGGGTACATGCACCTGTGAGGCTTCTCACCCGTGTGGCTAAACATGTGGGTTTTCAATGACGATGGCCTAGTGAAGTGCTTCAAGCACACTTCACACTTGTAGCGTGACGACTGGTGTGATGACCTTCTTGCTGGCGGCGTGGGCTTGGCATCAAAAAAACTGGCGCTTGTCACTGACTCGACGCTGGCTCTTCCAGAGGTTGAAGCGGCCTCAGACGATGGCCTGCTCAAAGCAGATAAACTCGTGCCTACTGGGAACCGCAGTCGACACCGCACTGGACATGTACAGCGGGTGGTGCTGCTGGTGCGGTTGGCCAGGCACAGGCCTCTGAGATCGGTGGGGGTGCAGGTTGAGGAATAGCAGCCTGTGGCCAGGCAAACGTGGTCCAGATTAGCTAGACCACTCGCAGGAACAACGCCGGGGGTGCTGTATGTGGACGATTTCTGGTGTGCCAGACAAGGCAGGGACCATAAACTGCTGCTGAGGCGCCGTCATGGCCTGCGTGCCACGCGACGGAATATCAGGGAGCGAGTAGCGGCGATACAAATTGGCGAGAAACTCGGCTCGCTGCAGCGCGCCAGGGATCGGAGGATGGCGTCGAATCCATGAGAAAGTCTACATTGTCCAGTTGAGATATGCGGTTAGGCTGTCGTTTTTTGGCAGCGGATTCAGAAATTAACATTCTGACAAGCTTTTCCAAGCTGGGCAATGACATGGCTAAACAAGAACAGCAAAAAATGTGGACAAGGAAGGAGAAAGATAGATATGACTCCGTTGGGGAGTAGTTAGCTGGAGGTGGGTGTCTCCACATGTCCTGCACACATGCATATAAGCGCAAACATGCCAAGAATCTCGATTGGTCCCAAATAAAGCTTCAGGGACCGCTCGGTGTTGCTCCAAGTACCCCGCAGACTCTATAATTATCGGCTTCATACTAGCACTTACATATTTGTTTTGGAGTATCTCGGTGTGGCAAGGGTGATCACACAAGAGGTGGCCAGGATGCAGACTGGTTTGTGGGAAGTAGGGATTCCCTCGGCGTTTTCAGCTGAGGACTGAGTCAGCGGGTGATGCTGCCCTCAGACTCGAGAGGCGTTGTCAAAGCACGACGCTACGCTTTACTAAGCATGAGGTTGATTGCTTTTAGCATGGCAGAGGTCAACTATGCTGTGAGGGTGTTTCTGCAGGAGAAAAACAATAGCTGCCGCAAAAATCAGAGGAAATTCAGGAGCAATCCAAGCTTAGCCAGCAGCCTGATGCCGACTTATTCAGGGAGCGGAGGATAAGCCGATATTGCCGTCCAGGTGAGCGGCTGAGCTTATGAGCGTGGGACCGGTACCCACGGATCCAAAATTCATGTACCCCAGACGGAGCTGGATGTGAGCGGGCGGAGGGTCCAGATATCCTTATTGGTCTGCAGGTGGGTTGGCTGGCGTGCGATACACAGCGTATGCCACAATGTCGATCACCAGGGCATTCCGGAGAAGACATTGAGGCTCCAATATGCCTCGCTTCCATGGCAAGTTCTGATGGCTTTGTGTAGCCAATGATCTTCAAAAGGGAAATACTCCCTAGTTCCCTGCAACAATCTTTCGGACGGTGGGTTGATACATACCTTAAGCACCTGAATTGCAGATCTGCAGGAGGTCGCCGCGGTGTTTGGGGGACGCTATCGATGTAGGGTGTAGGTTCTATAATTAGTTGGAGATAAGCGCATCAATAAGCCGGATTACAAAGCGTAGTGTATGGCAATGCAAGATCGCAGCGGCCATCAAATATCTTTGCCTTTTTCTGTATCTGAGCGGCCAGTGGCCGCATGCCTACCTGAGTACTAGATTGTGTCTTCGAGCTGGTTGTTGGCGAGTAGCTATCACAAAAATAATACACAGCACCAAAACTCGCGATAGTGTTGTGGGAGATGCTTTCAGAGGTAAATGAGGAAAGAGAACAACTTTCTTGGAGGTAGACAAGGAAAAAAGAGGTAGGAAAGTATTATGAAGGCCGCCAGCGGTTGAAAACACAAGGTGCAGTGATCGCGACAAGTTAAAAGGGTGTAAGCTGCCCGAAGCTGGTGCAAGGAATAGTCGTCGGGAAAAATAGTATTTGAACAGAGCAGGGGTAGGACTGGTTTAGCTAAACCAGTATCGGCGGTATGGAAAGATGCTGCCACAGGCAATTGACAAAAGCTACAATAGTAAATCGGAAAGGCAGAAGGAAAGTACTTTTCGTTTCTAGACACGAGTGCGCTGGTAAGGGCTATATATACAAAAACCATAAATAAGATTCCCGCTGAGCCCCCGGCAGAGCAGCTCTCCTTTGCAGTCGCTTGGTAGGAACATTCGCACCACTTGTGCTTGGGTGAGACTGCAGCGACGGCGCCTGACTAGACTTAGGCATGCGGCATGCGGCGTGGTTAAATAAGCAGCACCACATGCATGACTGGCTTTGTTTTCGTCTTTCTCTTCTTGGCTTGGCCAAGGTGGGACAGCGGAACAATGCACTAAACACTTTTTCTACCTACTTTTTCGCCCCTTTTGCTGCTCTGTGCTTATTTGCTTCATTGCATGCTGCAGGACGGGCCGCTGCCAATATGCTCTGCAGCTTGCGGTGATGTTGTTGGATTCAGAGCAAGCCACCCTAGAACTTGGACAAACCCTAGCTATTATCTATTCCAGCACCTTCATCCCATGTTTGTGCCGGCCATCAAGCCTTGCACACTCTGGCGGCTGTTCTGACTGGCCCCTTATGGCCAGGGCGGAGGATGCCGGGAGGCGTTTGTTGTGTACCATCAGTTATGTAATACCTACTGCTTCCCGCTGGGTGTCCTGGAGGCGAACATTTTCTCCCGCCTGGCTCTGGCCAATGTATGTTCCAGCCCAGCAATACCATACACAGCTTGATCCTCAGGTGGTGTCCAGAGCTGACTCAGTCCCAGGGAGGGCTCATGTATGCATAGCGAACAGCGCCTGGCTGGGTTGGAGCTTCACGCAACCTGCCTATTTCTCATGCGCAAAAAGAGACTCTCGTTTTAATATGACCATATACGGTGAAAGCCATCTGGCTTGCAGCAGAGAGGACAACTTGTGTGGACGTGTGTTGTTGCTCAGCGAATGGCCACCAGAGAAAAGCCTGTAATTTAACTGCAGCCTGCAATTGCAACTGCCGAGACCCAGCGGGGCGCTTCGGCTTTAGACCAAGCCGCTTGGTTGGCGTTTTATTTTTGCCCCCCCCCATCGCCCCTCCCTGCCGATATTGCTGGCGACACCCAACGCCTTGCGGCCTGAGCCGGACCTAGCCTGGCTCAGCCCCGGTATGTTTTGGTGCTGCGAATCTGTGCTCAGCCCCGAATGCTGATTTTTGGTGGAATTCTTGGTGTCGCCACATATTGCCTTGTAGTGCACTGAGGGCCATATCATATATCTGCTGATTTGCTGACGTTTCGCCTTTGGGGGTAACCAGTAGTGCCTCCGGGTCAGCTTTCAGCTTCTATACCCGCTTTGGCAGCCTGGGTGGTTATATGCAGTTCGGCTTGCTAGTCGCAGGTGCCGTCAATCACGAGACAGACAGTGTCAATTGGTCCAAATGTACACTGTTGCAGGCAGGAGCGTATTCTCTCAGCTGCCTATGTCGGCTTATGTCGGCCTCTGTCTGCCAGCGTGCATCCCGCCCATACCATCAGGTGATGCAGCGAACAAAGCCGACGTCGGAATAACTATGCATAAGCTTTCCGCTTCGCCAACATGTGCGAACAGAATTGCATGTGGTGTCTTGCAATTGCCGGCTCACTGCCGCTTGTTCTTTCTAAACATAGTGCTACATTCAAGGGAGGCTTTGAAAGTCTCCAAGCATGCAAGTGTCCGAATAAATTATGAGTGTAAAGTAAAATGCTGACGGCTATCATTGCTGGACAGCAGCGACAAGGTGGCCTTTTGTCGACCGGTCAAGATTACCGTCTGCATGAGCAGCTGGTGTGCGCTACGCATACTTGGGCACCAGCTTTCGGGTTGGGATTGGCGCCCCACAGAGCCGCTGCGTGGATTTGAAGGCCAGCGGGTCGACAATCACCCACACCCTATCGGCTGTCTTGAACATTCCGATGTTCTGGAGGCTTGTCTCACACCCATCACCGTCCCCAGGGCCGCTGATCGGCACACCATTCGACAATCGCTCCTCTGAGCGCTGGACACATTCATCAATTGCCATACGCAACGCAGTACCAACGTACAGATTCTGGGCTGTCAGCTTTCGGCTCACCGCTGCGATGTCGTCACCATGCATGGCGCTGTCGTCGTCGGCAACAGTTTTCAGAAATAATGCCTGAAGTTGCTGCAACACAGCTGCTATATTCGGATCAGCAGAGGCTTGCAACTCAACAAACTCCTGCACGTTGCCGAGTGAGAGCCTAGTAACGCCCTCACGATACAGACACCCCAACAGCGAAATTGTGGTGCTCGGAAATGTCTCCAGCTCTTGGCGCGTTGGCCGTGGGATCCTGGCTGACCACACCTGTGAGGTGATCTGGGTGAACTGCGGCGCCGTATCCTGGTTAAAGTATGTGTCCCAGAACCGAACCATGTCGTCCTTTGTTATGCGCTGCATCTCGCGGATCTCGTTGTCAACACGGTCAAACTCGTAGTATTCCGATGTAATATGCTGCCAATACCTGGCCACCTCCTGGCCTAAGTTATGAAGCTTCTCCTTGTACAGCGCAATCCGGCTCGACACATGCCCGGCAAATGTCTCTTCGGCCATGGTGCACAGGTACTTGCGGTAGAAACGCAGGAACTCGCTAATCCGCAGGGTCATATACGCCGGATTGCATTCGCCGCGCACTGTGAACCGGATCCCGTGGTGGCCCTTGCGTAGATACGCCGTGTACTGGCCGCGGATTGAGTATCCCAGCTGCTCCTTGGTGCGCAGGCGGTCAAACAGCGGCTCGCGCATAATGTGCACCAGCAAGGTGATTATGCTGCGCTCGCGCTGGTCACACACAGGACCCGCATATATCTGCATACTCACAGCACTGTTCAGCGTGCTGGTGTCGGGCATCTCAAACTGGTGCAGGTACCGGCCTGGGTCGAACCGGTGCACCAGCTCCTGCACCCTCATGTACTCGGGCAGCGGCGCCGTGCCCAGGATCTCCACAGTGCTGTCGATTGCAGCCAACGCGTCCCTTTCGCAGAAGTTGCCGGTCAGCAGCATTTTGATGCGCGTCGTGTCAAACAATGTGTCGGCAAACATCTGAAGCCGCTCGCCTGTGATGCGATCTAGTTCACGAAGGAGCACCTCGTAGTGCCAGCGCGGCGATATGTTCAGACGCACAATATCGTCAACGGCGTGCTCGCTGGGGTCCATGTTGCGCTTATTTTTGTAGTCCTGCCGCAGCTGTCTCATATACACACTAAACAGCGTCGGGTCAACCGTGAACGTCTTTGCAGCGCGCAAAATTGTCTCCAGCAGCAAGTGCAGCTTGTCGTTGATTCCCGTCACGCTGATTATCAATCCGTCAAATGTTGAGTAGAAGCGGTACGTCATGCCAGCTAGCAGTGCGTTGTAGACATCGTGCGCCATCGTGCTCTTGAGCATATAGACGAATAGGTCTGCCATGTTTGACGTTAGTGGCGACTGTAGCATGGCTGGGATCTCAATAAACATGGAGATGTTGCCACGCGGCAAGAAGAACCGGTTATCGGGCTTGAACCACACCTCGACATTCTTGTCGCGGCGCAGCAGAACCGGCTCTGCTTCGAGGGCATTTGTCTGCACAGTGGCCTTGATATCAAGGTTCTCAGGAATAAAAATGTTGGGATCGGGCATTCGCAGCTCATCGATGAACAGTTCCGAGCGGATACCCCTTGCCAAGTCTTCGGGAATCGGGTCGATGCGGTATTCAACGCCAAAAATGCCCTCGCGCTCAGTCATCTCCATGTCAAATTGCTTGCAGCCGAGCAATATCCGGCAGTTGTCAGGATTAAGCAGGCCAAGCATCCGAGATAGCAACGTCTCGTCATAGTTGCGCAGCAGTGCATAGTTTGAAACAATGTGCTCAGGCGCAATGTACTTGTCATGCATGACCAGCGATAGGTCGTAGGCGAGCATCTTGCCGACGCCTTTCTCGGCGAATCGGAACTGTATATCGCGGATCCTCCTGCGCTCCTCGTGGTACCACTCTTGTGGACCAGCACGTCGTAGCATCTGCAAATAAGCAAATACCACACGCACGATATCCTTGTAGTGTCGCATCCCGCTGTCGGTGGCTGTGACCAGCACGCTAAGGATGTTTGGCTGGTTGCGCAGCTGCGAGCTAGCGCCAGCGTAGATGTAAGTGGCCCAGCCGCGCTTCTTCAGGTAGGCCAGAACTGACCCATGCCCATCATGTTTCAACAGCGATTTGATGTGCACATGCGGCATCTCGCGGTACCACGCGTGCAGGTTGGGCATTGGAAAGTTTATGTCGACCCAGTGGTATTCGTTGGCGGTCTTGAAGCGCACCACTGTACCTAGCTCGCTGGGGCTCAGCGGATGGCCGAGGAACACAGGCATGGTGTTGCCCTTGCTGGTGATGGGCGAGAACATCTGGACGGTCCATTCGGTCAGCCTGTCCAGCGAGTCGCTGCCAACAACAACGAGCTTCATTATATCGCTGGAGTAGTATTTGGCATGGAACTTTATAAGCTCGTCACGCAAGTCGACACCCAATCGCTCTGCATCGCCCTTCAATGTGCTCATGTTGCCGACATCGAACATGTGGTACGGATGCTTCGGGTTGCTGAGCGACTTTTTGAGCTGCAGGACGCGCCAGTTATCGTCCTGCAAGTACCCTTTGAACTCAGCGTCGACAGCACGCAGTTCTCGGTCGGTACTATCGGGATCGAACAATGGGGCGATAAAAACTGTGAGAACCGATCGAGTGCGCCTTCCAGGGCGTCAGCGGCTATATCAAAGTAGTAGCACGTGTTTGACAGGTTCGTGTACGCATTCGAGTAGCCGCTGTGCTCAGCCAGGTATCGTGCGTAGGCGTTCTCCTTTGGGTATTTCTCTGTGCCCTACTATTCGAGGCGTAGTTAGCAAATAAACTGAGCACTGGACCGCATGGCTTTCTTCACAATTGGAAATCGAACACGAACCATGAATAGCAAGTGCTCGCAGAAATGCGCCATGCCGCGCAGCTCGGGCGGGTTCGCTAGACTGCCGATGTTGACGCTGAGCGAGGCTGCAGCCTGCTTAGCATCGGCATCGTGCACGCACACGGCAGTGAGATTGTTGGGCAGGCGGATTAGTCGGTATTTCCGCGGGTCGCTCGGCGGCAGCTCCAATTCCTCGGTAAACTCAAAATACGGCAATCCAGACGAGCCTATTTCGCGGCGCTCGAACCCCGAATCCCAATCTGGAAGCGGCGGCAGCGGGATGTCCATGGAAGCTAGCAGTAGCGCAGACCAGGGGCTTGAGAAAGTAGATAAAAGGGCGCCTCTATTGAATGGAAAAAACGGATGTCTTGGAAGAAAAAAGGGGGAGGCGAGGATTATTAAGGACGGAGCCCAAGGAAACAGCTGCCTTTTTTCACCGAGGAGTAGCGATCCTTTTTTTTTGTCTTCCAGTGTTCACGTCGGGCAAGTATGCCAATTCGTTATCTCAACAGCCAATCTAGAAATAGGTCGCAGGCAACAATGTAGATAACAATGACCCGCGCTTGGTTCATCGCGCGGCCAGGAGCGCAGTGTCTTTTCGCTCGCACAGGAGAGGCATGGCGGAGCAGGCGCTTGCCGAATGCTCCGAGCCTTGCGCGCCCGTTTTTGCAAATAGGAGAGGGAGTTCACACGGACGGGTGGACGAATAATGTGTGGCCCAGGGTAAAGGCGCCTCTGCCTCGCTTGTGCGGGTCGTGACGACAATGGCCGGCTCCGTTCTGTGCAGCAGACGGGCGCTGGCGAAATGGTAGAATGCGGTAATTCTGAGTTGCTCCTTGCCTGTGCATTGTTGGCAAACCCTCACTCTGCATCAATGAGATGGTGGCAGGGAGAGACAATGGCAGGGCTGGTTATTACATACAGGCGGCTTCACAGCTTGCATCGCCGCCAGTTCCCACCTGTGGTATGCCCGAAGAGCCATGTGCTGGGCAAGTGCGAATTAGAGCTGGTAGATCCGCAGAAATTAGGCATCCCCTTTTTTCAAGCCCTGAGACCCACATCCTGTAGCACAGAACTGAGCGGGTACAGTGATGGACCATGCAAAAATGTAATCCTTGTGGAAATCCACTTGTTTTTTTCCGTACTCCTTTCACGAAGCATTCACACACGCATCACGGCTCAATACATCTCGGTCATGCACATGCGGCGATTTCCCCAATTGATCACGCGGCGTATCTGGTCACACCCGCATGAGCGGATGATCCAACACCGCAGCTGGCACAGCCAGGTATGCAAGGGCGACACTGTGTATGTGGGCATGTCTGGTGGCGTGGACTCGAGCGTGACCGCGCTCCTCCTCCAGCAGCAAGGCCTGCGCGTCGAGGGTGTGTTTATGCGCAACTGGGACACGCGGGACGAGCGCGGCGAGTGCCCGTCCGAGCGCGACTGGCGCGACGTGCAGCGTGTATGCAGGCAGCTCGACATAAAGTGCCACGAGGTGAACCTGGTCAAGGAGTACTGGAACTCGGTGTTCAGCGTCGCCCTCGACGAGTACCAACACGGCCGCACGCCCAACCCCGACGTGCTGTGCAACAAGGAGATCAAGTTTGGTGTGCTGCTGCGCGAAATCGCCCGGCGGCTGGGCGACGCGTGGTTCGCCACCGGCCACTATGCGCGCGCAGTGCGCAAGGGCTCGGGCGAGATGGCGCTGCTGCGTGGAGTCGATGAGCGCAAGGACCAGAGCTACTACCTGTCAGCCGTCAGCAGCCAGCAGCTGGACCGCGTTCTGTTCCCGCTGGGTGGGCTGAGGAAGGCTGAGGATGTCAGGCCACTGGCCCAGCAGGCAGGATTGGCGACGGCGCAGAAGGAAGAAAGCATGGGCATCTGCTTTGTCGGCGAGCGGCGCCGCTTTGACGAGTTCCTCGGTAAGTACATTCGGCATGGCGGGCTATGCCTGCTCTCCCATGTGGATTTTCAGTCGCTGGTTTCCTCTGCTCCTGGGCAGCCACGCCACCTATGCACCTTGGACGCTGCCATCATGAATTAACATGCCCAAGGGTATGCTGTGTAGCTGAGTATCTGCCGCAGGTACCAGGCGACATCGTGTCCAGCGAGGGCAAGAAGCTAGGGACGCACTCGGGCCTGTTTACCAAGACGATCGGACAGTCGGCTGGCATATCTGGATGGCAGGAAAAGTGGTATGTCTACGCCAAGGACATTGCCAACAACCGCATGTACGCCGCGCAGAACAGGTACGCGCATGTCTTATTCTATTCATAGCCTGTGAGCCAATGTCGGGTCGCGGATGGATGAGATAATGATTGGCCAGCGGTCTTCAAAGCTGGGCATTCTCTGCTGCTGGCAACCACATACAACGTGCAAAAGACTGACCCTGCTAGCTTCGTACCGTAGGAACAACCCGCTGCTGTATACGCACAAATTGACTGCAGGCCCCGCCCACTGGATCTCGAGCGAGCATCCGCTGCCAGGTAAATAGAACACCCGCATGACGTGCACGTCGCTGACCAACGTGTTTCCGTGTCTCCTGTTCTGCTCGCATTAAAAGAACCCTCCTTTTTTTCGCCCGTGTGACATAGGCGAGATGCACGGCCTCGAGGCACAAATTCGGTACATGCAGAAGCCCCAGCGGTGCTCGGTGTTGAACGGCAGGTAAGTAGCAGGTGCAACCCGCGAGGCCATGTGGCTATTTTTGCGATACTAAGCACGGACCCTTGACGCCAAAACGTTTGCCCCTGTAGTTCCAAGCTCACAGTGACGTTTGACAATCCGCAGTTTGGTGTGGCAGCTGGACAGTACTTGGTGTTGTACCGCGGAGAAGAGTGTCTAGGATCGGCAGTAATACAACAGACAATGCAAGTGAGAAATCTCCCGGAATAGAACAAAAAAAGTCATGGACACAACCAATTCGCAAAGGGCTTCTTTCGGTGCCTTCGCCAGGCTCGTCGCTGCAGACAGACAGGCGCCGTGCGGGGGATTGCTCTTCCCATGAGGATGGGCCACGCTAATTACACGTGCGGCAAGCTGCGCGCTGGGCGCATCACGAGAAAAAAGCGAGAAGGCGGGGCGCACGGGCGCACTATAAAGTCGCCCATGGCCCCTTTCTGCGACTGAGACAGATTTGACACATCCCCGTGCTTTCTACTCTCCTCTTCCTGCTTTTCTCACTATTCTCGTTTTACACCTACACGATCCTCCAACTGCACATTACACTATTACCAGCATGCCGCAGGGACTTGCAACACTAGCGCCAATAGCACAGACCGGCAGCAACGCCGACGTGCTGACAATTGAGGAGCGCGACGGGATGGTGAAGCAGGCGGAGCTCGGGTTCCGCATGTTTTTGCAGGAAACGGGGTCACGAACAGGATATGTGCTATACCCGAGCACCCGTCAGATCATCAAGGCCCTGCATGTACTGTACAAGGTGCTCGATGACATTGACTTTTCAAACGTGTTCGAATGAACCCAAAAAAAATCGATAGCAAGACGTAGATAATCCGACCTATTCTGTCAGCTCCTCTCTCCATTCCCTCCTCTTTGCCTTTTGTGTATAGAAACCTTACTTTTATTGTACCTATTGAAAACTTTGTCCTTGTTCAGAGCCATTCAAGCAACTCTGGAGCAACAAATGAAAACGTGTGATTTTAAGACCTTTGTTGTTTGGTGCATCATGCAATGCCAGCATGCGGTAGTGGACACCAAATCAGGAACACACTGTTCTTGATAGACTAGCCCAGCTGCCATTTGTGTGGCTATGCCCTCTATATCTAGACATAACCGCTGCTGGTACATGGCATGGTGGGTTTCTGAAAGCCAGTGAAGGTTAGGTGGTGATATATTAGGAAACTGAGCTCGAAAATGCCATTTCCACTTGCTACTAACCGAGGAATTCTTTTATCTGAATGGCTGAGCGTTGCTTCATTTCAACCGATATGTGGTGACGAGCGACCTGCTGCTTAATGATCGCAAACCTCGATATATTTTGCTATCATTTGCGAGAATAGCTTCTGCGCAAGAGCAGTGGTCCATACCTGTGATTGAGAGTATCCCCTGTGGTTGCTGTTTATGTGGCTGCTCATTGTGCCCTTGTCATCAGAAATATACCCGCAAACGCCGCACTTATTAACCGCGTACACGGGCAAGAAGGCCACCCTTGGGATAGCCTTCCCTCTGAGGCTGCCCACCCATTTCTTAGCTTTCGCAATGGTGTTCACCTTTATAGGGTTTGCCCGAAGATAGTGGAAAGCAGCATTGATGTCTTCACGATCTGGCTTGGGATGGGGCTTTCCCAATGCGTACTTTCTACCAGACTCGTAATGCCGCCGTATGTCTTGAGCAGTGAGAACCCTTTGGCAGAAAAGACATATGAGGAGACCAGTGGATTCGTGTACAAGTAGCCCAATCTTCTTTAGTGGATTTTCTCTGCTTATCGCCTACATGGACAATATGCTGTTAACAAAATGAAGGTATCAATACCAGATATGGCCTTTCAATGCGCTGAATCAACAGACAACTTACACCTGATCTGGGTCTCAAAACACGAATCTGGACAGCAGGGGGTGCGGGGCTAGAAGGCGGAAGGGCTACACTCACATCAACCGACAAATCCTTCTTTTCAGCAACAGCTCTTTGAGCAGACTCCGACCGCAGCCGCATACTGGCAGCCTCCTCGATGCACGGCAGGCACCTGTGTTTATGGTTTAGCATAAACGCCTCGGCATCGTACATGTCGCCGCACCGACAAAGCACATGGTTAGAGCTGGTAACTTGGAAATCCAGCACAACACTGCCGAAGCGCGTGCGCAAGACGCTCATGTGCTTGGAGCAGTGCGATTGCAGCTTCGATGAGGAGGAGAAGCCTCGGTTGCAGTCCTGGCACTCATAGCGGGCATCGGCGGGTGCATTGGTCTCCTTGATTGAACTGGGTGCTGACATTTCAGAACGGGACGAGAAAAGGCAATGTTGGTGAGTGGGAGGGAGGGCTTGGCGTTGGGCTTTTGAGGGAAATGCGATGTGCTGGTGTTTCTTTGGTCGGAATGAGATGCAGTTGAATCTCTTTCCTGGCTGCGGTTAATGTGGCGGTGCAGTGGTGTGGCTACGTGGGTGTGGCTACGTGGGTGTGGCGTCAGGGTAAGGGGATGCATGATGATTGCGCTGGGCAGCTGGGATGGCTCAGGGAAACAGATGGACATGGACATGGCAGTGACTGCGAGCTGCCCTACGACGCAACCCTGACATGGGCATTCCTGGTCGAGCAATCTCACTCCATTCAACGGCATCTTTACATGTCTATCCACTAGTTGGTATTAAAAACAACATGCCTTCAAAACCTTGCTTTATTTCTCCGGCACATCCTCATCTTGCGCCGGTTCAGCCGTCCACAGGCCCTCCAAGTCATACAGTTTCCTCGCCTCGGGGGTCATGACATGAACAACAAAGTTGCCCAGATCAACCACAACCCAGTCGTCGCTCTCGCGGCCATCGACATTGATGACAGCGTCGACGCCCTTACTGCGATTCCTCTGCTTGATCGCGGTCACCAATTCTTCGACCATCGCATGCATATGCCTCGTGCCCTTGGCCTCGGCAACCAAAAACCTGCCAGTCCAATCGCACCTGCCCGCAACATCAATCTCGGAGACCTCGGCGTCCTGCTGCAAAACGCCCTTGCAGAGCTCGAACAGAGTGCCGTTGGCGAATTCGGCCGGATCGCGCTTTTGCATGCGCTTTTGCCAGAGCGGCGCGGAGTACGCCGGGTCGATGTACCAGGAGTCGTCGGCGGGAGAGTCGTCGGCGAGGTCCGGGTAGAGACCCGGGATGGAGCGCGGATCGAGGCGCTCGATTTCGCTGGCGACAGATCCGGTGCGGTCGCCTTCGTCCAAGAGCTCCGTGTGGGTGTCGTCCTGGGCTTGCTGCCGCTGGTGCACCAGTTCGATGGTTTTTTTCGTGGTTAGGTGGCGGATCGGGTGTGTGCGGTGGTGTTGTGCTGGCTGCCGCAGGGCGGCGGCGGCTGGGCGGGCGGCGAGGCGCGGGAAGAGTCTGAACATACGGAGCCTTTTGTTTTCCTTGTAAATTGGAGCGCGTCTGAATGTGTACAAAAACAATTAATTGGCAAAATGCGAAAAGGGGTGCTAAGACAAAAGTTAATTTACAGGGGAGAAAAATTCTGGCGTAGGGTCTACTGGGAGTCCGAAGATTCCTCCAGGATTACGCTAACTGGGCGGCCCCGGCGATTACCAAAGGCTGGGGATCCCCGTGGCGGCATGGCCAGCACAACGGTCTGCTGCGACCGCGATCCCTGGACAGACTGGTAGACAGGTGCAGTACCGGGGATTGGGGCAGACATCGGCGGGCCGGTATCAGTAGGAACGCCCTTGCCCTTGCTCGGCAGCACCAGCTCGTCAATGCACGAGTCCACAGCCACGGCCAGCTCCTGGACGGTGCAGTTCGGGTAGGCTGAGATCAGCAGCGCCAGGGTGCACTCGCACACATCGAAGAACTCGGGCGAGTCAGCAGTGATGCCCTGCGGGTAGCGGTCGTGCAGGACACGGCGGATAGCGCTGCGGGTCTCGACCACCAGAGGCGGCTCGGCAGGCGGGCCCCACTGCAGGCGCAGGCTGGGCTGGCCCAGATCCACATGCTCGTCGTCGGTCTCATCCGGGTCCTCCATGTCCTCATCCGAGTCGCTCAGCACGGTCGGGCGGCGCTTGCTGGCAGTAGAGGCCAGAGAGCTGGCACTATCCTGCAATGCGGCCTTCTCGGAGGTGGCAGAGCTCAGACGACGCAGGTACTTGTGCTTGATCGCGTCGAGGCTTTCGGGCGCGGCGGGGGCGGACTGGGCGGCACGTGCTGCAGGATTGGGCGTCGGCATGCTCGGGCGGCACCCAGACACGGTTCATGGTGAAGAAGGCAGTGGTTGGGATCCACACATGGTAGAAGGGCACCGCTATGACGCAGTACACGAGGAAATACACGGCCAGGCTCCACTTGCGGCGCGCCAGCAGCAGGATCAAAGTGGCGCCAACGAAGCCGCCAGTCAGCTCGGAGACCACAATGGCCGGGCTGTCGCCAAAGAACGAAATGACGATCTCCAGGTACAGCATGCAGGCGGCGGCAGGCACAACGAAGGGAAAGGCCAAGTGGGCGATGACGACGGGCCACGCAGGCTTGCGGATGCGGCCGCGTAGCATGTCCAGCAGTGTGGCCAGACGCGAGCGGAACCACTGGCGCTGGTAGGGATCAAAGGCGACCATCTGGTGCTTGGTCAGCTCGACCTCGGCGCGCGCGTTGGGCTCAAATGCCCAGCGGTAGGTGGGAAACTGGCGCGCCAGACGTGGGGCCAGCAGACAGTCGTTGCCGGGCCACGCCAGGTGGCGCCACTTGACGGGGCGCTTCATCAGCTCGGCCATGGCAGCAGTCAGGCCCTCGTCGCCCAGGCATGGGGCACCGGAGGGCAGGCGCAGGCGGTACATGGTGAAGAGCTGGTTGAGCGGACATGTGATGCCAGCCAGGCTCTCACACATAGGCGCGACAAAGTGCTGCAGGTACAGGTCGAAGAACTGCAAGACGTGCAGCAGCGACTTTGCGCGGCCTGCCGGGTAGACGGTGCCCGACAGCGCAACGACGTCGGCGCTCTGCTCCATGCGCGCGACAAACTGCGTGATAGCCAGCGGGTCGATCTGCATGCGGGCATCCAGCAGCAGGCAGTAGTCGGCTGCTGCCGGAGCGTGACCCAGCGCCTCCATGCGGGCCTCGACTTCCTCCTCCAGAAACACCGTCTGGCGCGGCGGTGATAGCGACCCGTGTGCCGCCCGCGGGCTGCCAGCCACGTTGCGGAAGAAATTCAGCACCAGCATCAGCGTGTCGACGCGGCCCTGGTACGCGTCCTTGGCCGTGACCACATACGGGATGCGGTGCCGACCGCACTCGTAGAATCCGCCAAACACACGTGCCGATGCATATCCGCTGGCGTTGGTCGCCCCGTAGGCGCCGTAGAACTTGGCGTCACTGCCACGCCCGGCATGGGCTACAATACACAAGATGTCTGCCAGCACTGCCGCGTCGCCATCGCTGATGATCCACAGCAATGTGTTGGCGCCGCCGTGCGTCGACCGAGCGACGCCCTGCAGCGTTCGCGACAGCGTCTCCATCGACTCGCGGAAGCATGGCACCACGACGATGCATTTGGGCGCACTCGGGCGCTTGCTGTCTGCATGCCCGGCCTCCAGCTGCCGCGCCGAACCGTCCATGGGGCTGTTGTTCGCTGAGCCGAGCGCTGCGTCGTCATCGTCATCGTCGTCATTGGACTGGCTGGCCATCACGGCCTTGCGCGCCCGCAACCAACCGTATGTCTCGGCAATAACCAAGCGCGCAAACAGCACCACAAAGTACAGCCCAAACGTGACCCACGCAACCACGTTAGTGTTGGCACAGGCAAACGGCGATTTGGCGGTTTGCGTGGTGCCGCGCAGGAACAGCTGAACCATGCACGCCTTGTACAGCACATCGTCAATGTCCAGGTCGTGGAACGCTCCCGAGATGTCCTTGCCGGGGTGGTCTAGAAACAGCTTAGTCAGGCTCTCAGGCAGGAACATGTTCTCGGGCCGCAGCTGCCGGTCCGCCAGCCGCGTGCCGTTGACCACCAATTCGTCGCTCGCATGCCGCACATAAAGTGACACGTCAAATACCATATCGTCGATGATCACCCATGATGTAGCCGGCGACGCATGCATCTCCTTGACCTCGCTCGAGCTGATCTTCAACAGCCCAACTTTGGCACTGGGGAACTGCTCCCACGACGCCGTCAGGCAGTCGGTGCCGCTGGTCTGTGGTGCCTGCGGGAACGGGCAGTGCGTCGGAAAGTCGTCCACACCCCCATAGTACAGAGTCGAGTTGGCGCGCCACGACTCAATGAAGCTTAGCGTCGCCGACTCGTTAGCCACGCACTTGCTCAGCAGCGCCTGCGTCCTGCTGGGCAGCAACACCCGTGTGTCGGCAGCCAGCTCTCCCAGCATCGGGAACACGGCCGATACGTCATAGCCAGAAAACCCGCGCATACGCTGCCCGAACCCTGTGTGCGACAGTGTGAAATCGGACACGATGCCGTTGGCTGACACAAATTTGCGTGCTTGCACGTCCGCGGCCGTAAACGTCTGGTTTGTGCTGCACAGCGCCTTGGGCACCAGTGTGCCCCACATGATGAACGCGACGCTGGCTATCGCGAATGCCAGCAGGTAGCCGATTGATTCGGTATACATATGGCCGCTGGTCGAGCCAAACCGGTTCACACCGCCCGGCATGATGAAGTCCGCTACGTAAAGCCGCAGCGCCTGCATCCGCCGCCGCATGAATCCGCCCTTCTGCTCTGCCGTTTTGCTGCTTTGTCCCGTCGCTGGCCGCGCCGCCTGTCGCTGCCGGGCGGCCACGCGCTGCCTGCGCAATGCTGACTGGTACGCTGCGACACTGCCGACGCCGAATACGTGCGTCGGTGGTGGTGGCTGCGGAATACCGATGCCCACCACCGGCCCGGCCCTGACCCCGAACCTGACACCGCGCGTCGGTGCAGAATCGTCGACGTGCTGCCACCAGTCGAGTAGTCGGCCAGCTCAAACGACCCCGACACTCCCGCTGCTGCCAAACCCATGCTGGGCATCGTCGTTGTCCGACTTGCGCCATAAACATCGCCGCACTGCCCAGCCCACCGCTGCCCAGCGACGAGCCCTGCCCGCGCCGCCTCGCCTTGCGCCCCGCCATTCCCCGCCGGTGCCCCATTTGCGCCGGTGCCCCGAGCTGCCACCGTCCAGGACCGGCGACGAGTAATGCGTTGTGCCTGTCGATACTGAGCCTTGTGCATTCAACTGCTCACCCCGTAGCCCCACATACGCAGGCGCAGCCTTGCCGTCTTTGCGCTGAGCCACCAGCTTGGCTAGCTTCTTCGGCCCCGATGCCAGCCGATTTCCGCATTTGTCAATGACATTATCGATCCGCCATGCATGCGACTGTCGCCAACAGAGTCGGCCGTATCCGCTGCTACTGCCTCCGCTGCCGCATCGTCCACGTTCATCACATCCGTGTCGAATATGCTCCAGTCTGACCGTCCCTCGTGTGATCGCCGGAACACCCGCTGCTCAAGCGGCGACAGCGGCGGGTCCAGCGCAAATTGCGCCCCTGCGATTGCAGGCGCGAGGCTGGTGGTCTGGATTGGCCGCGGCCTGCCTGACCGATCGCCGCTGCTGCCTATACATAATTTATGTTAATGAAACAAATAGTCCGGGAAATAAAAGCACTGCTCACTCCCCCGCACACACGCATTGGTGCTGGGGAGGGCGCCTGGTGATTGCGGCCCTCTTTCTGCTTTCCCAGAACCCTGGTCACAAAGTGCAGTAATGCCTGCTGCTGTCTGACCGCGCAAAAGGAGCACCGTAGCAGCGACTGCGCTGTCCTTACCTGTGGGTGATGTGCCTGATGCGACCGGGGATTCTGCTGGGCCACTGCCCGTATGGCTCATGGGCCATTATGTGTTGGATAGTCTACGCTAGTGCCTCCCCCTGGTCTGGTATGTGTATGCGCTCTCCTTTTCCTTTGGAAGCAGCAGAAGTGTCTTTTTCCCAGAGTACGTAAACCGAGTGTATGCGTGAACAGAAATAGCGTAAGGAATAAAGGGCTTTGCGATAAGTCAAATAACTACTATTGTACAAGAGAAAGGAGGGAAGGGAAGAAGCGAATGACAGCAGGCCGAGATTTGGGTGCTGAAATTCAATAGAGGAACATGAAAAGGTGCAAGAGAGTGAAGAAGGCCAGCAGCGACAAAGACACTGGGCGGAGAATGGCGATGGTGGAAAAATAGCCTCAGCGCCCGTGGGGTGCGGTTGGCGGAGAAAAGCCCCAGCGCCCGCCGCGAATAATGATGCAATTAAAAGTCTGGGCGACCTTTCAGCCGGCTACTTTCCGGTACGTGCATGCTATTTTTACGGACCAGAAAAAGTGCTCTACGCATCCTCGCCAACGATGTCGGCCCACTTGCGGCCCTGCAGCAGGTCAATGAGCCCGTCCTTGATCTCGCGCACCTTGCCCGGGCCCTCGAATGTCATGCTGGTCAGCAGCTGCACCGCCGTGGCACCCGCCTTGCCAAACGCCAGCGCATCCTCGGCCGTGCTGATGCCGCCGCAGCCAATGATCGGAACACGCCCGCCGGTCAGCCTGTACATGTCACGTGTTGTTGCTAGCGCCATGATCGCGCAGGGGCGGACCGCTGAGCCCACCGACCTCCTTGCCGACATTATCAGCATCCTTCATGTTGGCTGGCCGCGTGCGCGTGGTGTTGGTCGTGATGACGCCGTCGACCTTGTAGTCCAACGCCAGCTGCGCAATCAGGCGCAGCTGGTCGATGTCGTTATCTGGGCCGATCTTGATCACCACCGGCGGGTGGTAGTCGGGCATCTGGTTGCGTGCCTCCATCACGCCCTTGATCGTCGACTCGAGCACCTGCACGTTCTTGCTGGCGTCGATGTTCTTAACGTTCGGGCAGCTGACATTGATCACCACATAGTCCGCGTACGGCCCCAGCTTCTGCACGCCATACACGTAGTCATCGAACGAGTCGCCCGCCGATGCCTTGTTCTTGCCCAGATTCACACCCAGCAGCCGGTCCGCCCGCGCCGACTTGTTAACCGCCGCCGTCACCGTCGCCACAGTCTCCCCCTGCTTCTTGCTCTGCGACGCCAGCAGCCGCCAGAACCGCGACCGGATCCGCTCGCCGCACACCTCCACCCCGTCGTTGTTCAGCCCCATACGGTTTACCACCGCCCTGCTGCCCTCGATCCGGAACAACCGCGTACCCGGGTTGCCCTCCTGCGCCAGTGGCGTAATGCTGCCTACCTCCACCACGCCAAACCCGAGCCCAAACAGCGTATCGATCGCCTCGGCGTTCTTGTCGAATCCAGCTGCCAGTCCCACCGGGTTCGACAGCTTCTTGCCCCAGAGTTCCACCTCCAGGGCCGCATCGTCCGCCTTACGGTCAACCGGCGACAGCCCGTTCTTGAGCGCCCAGATCGTCAGGTTGTGCGACTGCTCGGCATCCATCAGTCGCAGCAGAGGTGTGCTGACGTACTTGTGTAGGCCAGCGCTGGCATCAGTCGCATACAGGTATCCGAGCCCGCCAAGCACCACGCCGGTGGTCGCCCACGCAATGTTGCGCAGCTTTGACGGCGCCTGAGCCTTGGTGACGAACGTCCTGCTGAGTAGCGCACGATTACCAGCAACGCGAGCTCCGATTCTGAACATTTTTTTCTAAAATTTGTTTGCAAAAAATAAAGCGGCGGTGACTTGTCTGGAGGAGGAAAATGAAAAAGATAAGGTTCAGAAAGCGAGGGATAATTTCGAAACCAGTTGCCACAATGATGGGGCAGCGGTGCTGCCGTCTTAAATACCAGAAGCTTTCCCTCAGCTAGTGTACAGCCCAGCCACGGGCCGGCAAACGCCGACCAATGCATGCTGCCTGACCCACCCCCAAACCCAACATCCCAGAGTGGTCTCAGAATCAGTTCATGCCCTGATCGGTCCACGCCTTGACTGGTACCAGAAGACTGAAAAAAAGGAGCACTGCATTCTAAAACTCACAGAAAGATGGTGTCAACTACAGCCGCGCGCTGCTGAAGGCGCCGCGGGAGCCCAAAATCGCCCGGACCTCATCAATGGCCTCGTCCTCCCGGCCGATTCGAACCTGCACCACAGCCATGCCCAGGTTCTTCGCTGCCCGCAGATTCATTGCAATGTCGTCCAGGAACACCGCCTCCGATGGCCGCACGCCCAGCTTATTGCACGCATGTAGGTAGAACTTGGGGTCGGGCTTGCGCAACCCCACTACAGACGACTCGACAAACTCGTCAAACAGCGGGTTAAACAGCCAGTTGCGCATTGCCCCTGACGTGCTGTCATTCTGGAAGTTGTTTGTCAGCGCCGCCGTCTTATACCCGACCTGCCGCAGCCCGCGCACTAGCTCCACCACATTTTCGTTCGGTTCGCGTGCCACCTCCATCATCTTGGTGAACAGCTCATGCCCATCGATGTTCGTCTTATTCGGCAAAATCATATGCTGGTCCAGTGACCGCCGCTCAATGTACTTTCGGTACGCTGCGTTGTTGCCTACTACGTCATTCAGCTCCCGCGTCCATTCGGAGACAAATGCGTCGTAGCTGATCTCGCCGCGCTCGTACTTTTGGAATGCACCGGAGCCCCCGAGCTTGGAGAGCGCGACATTGATATAATTTGCAGGGAGACCGTGCTGCCGTTCATACGCAGAGATTGCAATGAACGGAGACTTTACCACCACACCGCCGATATCGAAAACTACTGCCCGGATTTTGTCCACCATTGTGCGATAAAAAAATATTTTGAAGAGACAAACCAGCGAGACAAGGGAGCCATGCTTTGCTGGTCTCCTAATGCCTCAAGACTATCAACACGTGAATGTGTTTTGCTGGAGAAAAACAATTGATTGTCCTTTTACCAAGCCTACTCCGGATTTCCTGTTTATCGCCTCTCTAGCTGCTCCGCGCCGGGGCCGCGGGTGTCTGTGCATGTCCGACTATAGAAACCAGTCTCGATGACAATACATTCCGATCCGTGAATGTGCATTTGTAGATCCCCCGGCCGCCCAGTATGAAAGTGCAGCATACGGATCTCATCTGCTGTTGCAACCATTGAAAACTGAAAACGAGTCTGAATTTGATATTTGACATGCCATGGTCCACCTCAGTCTCTTTTGAATGTTGTACATGATGCCCTACTGCATATATTGACAGGTATACTGATAGTGGCTTTCTGTACCTAACATTCAGACGGTGCAAGCACTAAGGCTGCAATGAATAAAACATATCCGCTCACGCTGGTTAACTCTGTTGGCAGCTGCCAATCCTAGAAACTGTATCTATTTTTATCGGCTTGCTACTTGTTTTCTTAGGAAGTGTAGGTTGACAACACTCCAAATGACGGCAGGAACTCTGCCAGTTTTTGTCCCTTCCCAGCTATTTGTGTCCAGTATTCAAACAGCGAACCTGCTCCGTGTATCCTCCCTAAGACACACAACCACAGCACTTGTGCAGGTATCCCTTGTCATACTACAAATTTCGTTGTCCTGAAGTGTTTGAGCTATGGAGAAAATGTATTGAAAGAAACTATAAATAGTGCTGCAGCAGGAAATAAACCCAGCCTAGTAGGCTCCTAAGGGAGAAGCTTGAGCTATTTACATGCTGACTCTCTAGACACAACCCTCAAAGATCGAGTAGACTTCAGAAATCTACAGGAGGAGGAGCACCTTCAACATCGTCAGCAGTTTGAGCACGAATGATCAGGATATTTGTACGCCGAAAAAGCATGATGAGGATGGGTCTCTTTCGTGTGGATGGGCAACGTTGGCCAATGGACTAAGATGAAGAAGATGAAGAGGTGCAAGTTGAAGTGCAGTGTGTTGGTGAATTCAGAGTCAGCTACCTCGCCATCCTTTTATACAACCTGTGGCAGTCGTGCAGCTGAGAACCCTGCCCGTCTCTCTCTCTCTCTCTCTCTCTCTCTCTCTCTCTGTCTCTCTTGAAGCCTCCAATCATACGCACGCCTCGAAGCAAGAGCACAACTGGCCAATATACAGCCCTTTCTTCCCTGATATCACTCGCAACATACAAATTGTCCCCAGTATGCCACCGCCGCCTCCTCCTCCTCTGTGCCATTCGCCCCCAACTTGCCCACCATCCCTTGTCAAGAGCAGACTGTGTAGCAGAATCTCTCCTCAGCGAACCAGAACCGCCCGCACAGCGCACCGAACCGCCTACTTCGAACCTCGACGTCTCTTTTCATCAAATGTGGCTCTAAAATGCAGAAGTGTTTGGTGTGCTGCACTCCCAGCCTCTTATGCTGCACCCCACCTCTCTACACTGCATCCGGAAGCCCATTTTTCGACTGAGCTGCATATAATAAAGCCAAATAAGGCAACTGTGTGCAAACAGCAAGCCATTTGTTAAGCCAAGGTGCATCTGGCGCTCTGCGGTTAGCTAGTTAGAAATGCTGGAACGGGTCAATTTTCAGCCTCACCGGTTCCCTGGGATGAAGTGGCTTTGCCTTGATACCCGCCACCAACACCCGCCGGTTCAAACGACCGTCCAGCCGCCTCCAAAGACAGCTGCGCATCGCTGTTTTCACAAGCATAGCCACCATATAGCGCCTCGCTTGCTCTCCAAAGAATGCCTGTGGGGTCTACTTATAAACACGAGTGAGGAAACAAAAATACTAGGACAAGGGCTCAAAGGCGATATTGCGGCTGACTTTGAAGACCTGGTGGAGCATGCTCATGATGTGCGGGATCATGTGGTGGTTGACCCTGACCTTGGTGACTCGAGGAAGACACACCACCAGCTCGCAGAAACCGACCAGGTCGAATGTGCCGCGAACAAAGAGATCCAGTCGCTCGAGACTCTCGCTGACTGGCAGCTGGCTGCTTGGATCCAGGACCTCGCCGATCTCGTCAAATGTGATCTTCTGGTCCGGGAACTTGGTGACCTTGGCGTCGTTCCGGATCATCGAGAAGCAGTCCACGACGAGCGTGTGCAGAAGCGGCAGCTGTCCCAGCAGGTTGGCAAGCCCGTGCTTGTCCGCGATGCTGGCCGCCAGCTGTGAGCGAGCGCAGGTCGACCCATGCAATCAGCCCCGGAAGCGGATAGTCAAGCAGTCCAAGAGTAGCCACCTCAACGCTGGACGGCAGCTGATACAGGCGCTCAACCATATCGACAGAGTACACATCAACAAACGGAGCTCCAGTAGGGTGGCCGATCTTGAGCATCCTCACCTGTCTCGAACGCGTGCTCGTTGATGCGTTCAAAGTTCGTCGGGTCGTCCATAATAGTCAGTCTCTCGAATACCCGGCCCTGGAAATAGGCGTAGATGTCGGTGTAGACGTAGGCCGGAGCCAGTGACATGGAGAGTGTTCAGCCTTGGGAAATGCACAGGGCAATTGCAGCCTGGAAAAGTGGCAGTATTCGCAGTGGCCTGAATGAACTCCACGCGCAGATCCTGGAGGCTGTCAAAGCTCAGCGCGCCATTGGTGGTCTCGAAGAGGTGCCACGGGATAACAGCCTCGATCTGGAACACCTCGAGGATGCGCAGGCACCGAGTTGGAATAACAGGCAAGTCGCGACGCAGACGTATGTAGCGGATGTTAATTGAAAGCGATGTGAGGTTGTCAAAGAGCTTGGGTACGTTCAGGGGGAACGGGATAAGCATCTGGACATGCTCCAGCTGGTGCGCATACTCCTTGAGAGTGTATTCGTACAGAGGAAAAGTGTCAGGCCCTAGTATGTTGAGGTTGTGTGTTGGTCTCCACTCGCTGAAAAGGTGATATCTCAGATCAGTGGCACGTGGGAATAGCTTTCGGATGGATTCTGCAGCAGCCTCCGCTTCTTTCCGACTGGATTTCGCGCCCTCCGCCGCTCTAGCAGTGAACATTCCGTAAGCCAAGAAACAGAATCGAGCGCACATTCGGCAAAGGCGACTGCAGTTTGTTTTCAATATCCTTCATCACCTTGTCAATGTGCATCGGTAGCTCACACTCATTAAAGATGACAATCCCGGAACTCGGTTACCAGATGTAGCTTGTTGTGCTCGATGAGGAACCCTAGGTTCCACATCCAGTCTCGGTCATGGCTTTTGCTGCACGAGCACTTTATGCGATCGCACTCGACAAAGCACTCGAGAAGAAGCGTGCCAAACACTGCTTCAGAGAGTTCGTTGACGCGGTGTGGGTTCGAGCTGACAAAATTCATGACGTTTGAATATTCCCTAGCAGGTCGACGTGCGGGTGAGGGACTTGGCACAGAGGTTGGGTGGTATCAGGTGAAAGGGGCTGGCTCCCACCGTCTGTCCGGCTGTTGCATGGCTATGGCGTGTTGACAAACGGAAAATGCTACGGAGTATGCTCAAAGGGCGGGATAGAAGGCTGCGTGAGATGATAGTGGAAAGGTATGTGGAGAAATGGATTTGGTGATGGGCTGGCTCCCCTGCATCCAGGCTACCGAGTCTATATACTCCTGAGCGCCAATAGATGCAGTGCTTGTCAATTCTTGACAGCCCTACAATGGACGTGACAAGCCATGACGCACCTCGCCGATATGTATGCGCTGATTAGCACACCCTGCTACCCGTATATAGACATATTAAATTTTCGGAAACAGTGCAGGCGTTGCTTTCACAGCCAATTGCGGGCAACCAGCATGCAATGTCGAGTGCATCTCGGCTGGCAAGGAAAGCTGGCACGGTAGGCTGCAGCATGGCAGGGGTCGCATCCCTCAGCAGTGGCTTGCAGCACCACCTGAAGTGGGTGCCAAAGCCCGCACTTTTGCGTTCGCAAATGCACAACGGGTGTCGGCCCACACCGCGCCTTGGAGCAAACAAAGGAGATTGACCCAATAACCCTAGTTGTGCTCTGCACCGCCACCCGGCTAGGGCTGGGTTCACGAATGAGCACTTAGTGCACGCAAATCCGCTGCTCCTGGCCGTGGCACGGCTGTTCCGTCTGTGTCCAAGCGCATTTCTGGGCTGCACGCCTCCAAAATATCTTTTTGCATCGATATGAGCCGGCAGCACGATGCTCTAATGTCCAAAATACCCGGAAACCAGGTAGGCAATATGTTTCTGGTATACTACCATACCTGCTCCGAACAGATTGGGGGTGGATATCTGAGTGCCTTTTGCAACTCCTATCACATACGCAATAGATTATAGACATGTCGAATTGGTAAGGCAATATGGTTGATTTCGCAAGGTAAGAGATTAATCTAAACAAAATTGTTTGTTTGAAGCCAAAATCTGCCTCTGGTAGTGAGCGCTTGGAAATATAAATCGCTAAACATATTTCTTTACGTGCTTGTGCTGTTGACACAACCTATATTTCAATCTGGGATCTGGTTAGTGAAAGGTTTGTGATTTTGAGGTAATCCAGACATACTCATTGCTATGGCGGTGTTAACAGGATAATGTTTGTTGAAATGATACAACTCTAAAGCATCTCCATGGACATCCAAGTATATGCACGACAGCAGTGTCCTGCTGTCTTATAATTTCACTGGCGCATGTGCTTCTGACAGCCATTGTAGAGGCATACACACTTCAGCCACTCAGTCACCTTGAATAAAACACCAGCTAACAAATTTATTGCAAAGTGGTCAGCCCAGTACAGCCCACATTGTCTCAAGAGCAGAATAGTGTAGGACGAGTGTGGTTTCCGGATACACCTCCAGTGCTTCCATTGGCCATATACACAAGAGATCCAGCTGCCGCAGCATAGACAACCTAGCCAGGACATACTCTGGCTCAGTAACGCCTCAGTGAGATTCACTCGCCAGCACAGGCTCCAGTTACTCTGCTCTCTCCCCCACTCCTATTCTTTTTCGCACCACTCTCCCACCATGGCCATATTGAATCGCCACACTACCAAATTTCAGCTGTACCTGTCAAAGGTATCACCAAATGTTTATCCGACTTGTCCACAACCCAAGCACAACTCACCCATCCCCACCGCTGTAGCGAAGGAGCTGCCATCCCCGGTCTTCTGGCTCTCACATTTGTCAGATTGTAGAGACCAGCGGTCAAGGGCGTACATCCGCTGGCTGGGTTTCAGACACCAGCTAGTATTACTCTTTGTGCATCCACCAGTCTGCTGTCTTGGTATTCGCATGGTGGAGCCCAGTTCACTTCAGCCCTGGCCATTCTTTCTCTGCTCACTGACAATTGCTTTCCAAACAGCTGGTCCGACATTCACCAACAAGACGTAGATTTTGGTGACACATGCCAGACATGTCATGCCTCTGGCAGACAGAGTTGCCATTTTTGTCTCTGGACACAGGATGGAGTAGACACTTCAATTATAAACCTCAGGCATTTGCGCTCAAATATCATCATCAGTCCGCAGGATCCAGCTCTGCTCAACAGCATCATCCGCGAGAATCTGGACCCACCGAACAAGTCTACCAACGATGAGGTCTGAGCTGCAGTTCGCAAAGGCCATATCGAAGACCTCCTGATCCATCGGACATCCAAGTACGATGAAACTGGAGACGAGTTCTGTGGCCTGTGGGTCGAGGGAAGCTGGACTGGACAAGTAGGGTGAGCAAGGTGATAAGAGCTTTAGCGTCGGATAGCGCCAGTTGGTCAGTTTGTGTTGCACATTTCTGTGGAAACGCAGGATTCTGTCTCTTGACGGGGCGACAGCCAATGTCGACACAATGGCTGACCATACCATGCAGCAGGTTATTCGTGACAAGTTCAGAAACTCCACATTTCCGACCATCATGCACCGGCTCAGGACCATCATGGACAGTGGCTGGATTCTGGTCATGGACCAGGGCAGAGTTGCAGGGTTTGTCGCTCCAGCCAGCCTGCTGGAACAGGACTATGCTCAAGCGCTTGGTCGAGAGCATGGAACTCAACAAGAGATGCTGAGTTTTCTTCATGGCTACGGCGTCAAAGCTAGGTGACAGTTTTGTTCTTGCAATCAGTTCAAGTACGAAGTATATATGTTTCTAATCAGACTGATGACTGAAACTGGACAGAATGGCAGCGCTCATATCGCCTTAGGGCGTAGCAAATGCTGTTGCTTATATCTGACATGAAAAAAGCATATGCGCCTTTACCCTTTTCATCAGCAGTATGAGCATCGACAACTACAGGTGGCCTATTATTGACAACCACTACTTGTCTTTGGAGGAATCCTGGGTCGGCAACACTCTCGATGGCCTATTTTGAAGCCAAGGATTCCATGGGCAAGCAGATTGGCTTTAAGCAATGAATCTCCAAATGATGGCAGGAGCCTTGACAGCCTATGTCCTTTCCTAGTTTTTTGTCCCAGGGTCCAAGCAGTGGGCTTAACCAACGCATCCTCCTTAAGGCACATAGCTACAGTCCTCATGCCAGCAGCTTTGGCACTACAAATTCGTTGTCCTGGAGTGTTCTGGAGTTGAGGAGAAAATGTATTGAAGGGTATATAAATAGTGGTGCAACAGAGATTCGACCTGTCTAGAAGGCTCCTAAGGAGAAGCTTGGGTTATTTACATGCCACCCTCTCTGGAAACATCCCTGCTTGAAACAAGCGCTTCCTAGAAATTGGGAGTTGCAGGAAACTCTCGGCCAGCATCAGTGTCTTCATGGGATGCAACGAAGATGGCTGCGTGCTGTAAGAGCATGATATAGATTGATTTCTTGGGAGTAGATAAATTTCGCTAACCAATGGAAGGAAGATGTGAAGAAAGGGCTGGAGTGAAGTATGCTGTGACTTTCCAGAGTGAAGTGCCTCACTAATTTGATGGGCATAATGGTCATTGAGGTTGTAGGGCATTACCTTTTCCTTCTCTCTTCCTCTCGTAACTACTGGTGTTTTTATGCTCATTGCTTCCAAACAACGAAAGTCAATATGCGATTCATCCTTTTCTGGGGATTTCAGAAGCACACCAATTGTCCAAACCATGACATTACTGCATCCAGCATGCAATGTGTACTTCCCTAAGAACTTTCTCTTACTAGAACACAGAGGGTTTCTTGAAACAGGCACATTTGGTGAGCTTTGGCTATCTTCTGACGTACTCACCGGCCTACTCTGGTCTCTGATGGACAAGTTTATCCTAACATCGTTGTAGTAATGTAGGCATTTTGGTTTTATCTGCATTCTGCCTCAAATACTGATAATATTAGTTTATTTAAGCTAGTGGGATTAATACATACAACTTTATTCTTATTCGTTAAACTTACCTTTCCAAGAATTGAGATGATCCGGTCGCTTTCTAGGACAGATATACACCAAACACTGGCAAATTGCTGGAGGCATTCTGCATGTTCTGTCTCTACTGGCGAGCTTTGATTAATGAAAGAAGGAGCTCCATATGACGGTTAAAACTAGTTGGGGAACAAGATATCTGTTGACTTTTTCTGCGCCCATTACTAATGCGCTGGCGGTGGGGCATCAAATGCGATACGGTCCGCGACTACGCATTCCTAAAAAAGTCTGACCGCATATATTATCTTTCCGAATACCCTAGCCATGTCGGAGAGCACATACAACCCAGACTTTCTCGAGCGCACGGTAGATATCGAAGACGAGTTCGAAGATATCGGCTACGAAGAAGGAGTTTTGGATGGCAAAAAGGCTGGCGCCCGCGAGGGCTGTGAGATGGGCTGCGAGTACGGACTGAATATCGGGCGCGATGATCGGATTCTACATTGGCTGGGTCGAGGAGTGGCTAAGCGTCGCCGAAATCCGGCCCGAGCTTGTGTCGGAGCGGACGCACAGACAGCTGGAGACGATTCAGAGGCTGCTGGAGGAAATCCCAAAGAAAAACGTCGAGAATGCAAATTTCCAAGAGGCACTGAAGAAGGTGGAGCGCAAGTTCAAGGTGGCGTCGGTGACGCTCGGCATGAATATGGCAGCAGGAGCTGCCAAGCAACACGCTGTCGTACTAGCTCTGGCGCCTAATCAAGGCTAGGCAGAAAAATCCAGGCGATCGGCGGAGGTTTTGCACGGCTTTTAGAATGCGGGAGCTGCGCTGAGACTGCTTTTTCTCCTTGCTTCTCTGACTTATCATTCTGGAAATACATAATGTCAAACACATTCACACTCAAGGCGCTTTTGGAGTACACAGGGCCAGGACGCGTCCAAGCCCATTCTGCTTGGTTTCAACGGGCATGTTTATGATGTCACCACAGGGAAGGGTTTCTACGGCCCCGGCGGCGCGTACAGCCTGTTTGCGGGCCATGACTGCACGCGCAGTCTGGCGCTTGGATCGCTTGACCCCAACGACCTGCCAGGTGAGACCGACCCGTTCCAGACCACTTCCACAGTGGACGCAGAGCTGGTGGCAGGGATTGAGTCGTGGGAGAAGCGGCTCAAGGCCAAGTACCCGGTGGTCGGACAACTGGTCAACGTGTAAGGGGCACTGAGTAAACGCTTGGGAAATTATTAGTAAATGCAAAGAGTGAAAAATGGAAACAGCGGTATTAGATGCTAGGCGGTAAAGGTGTGACGCAGGTTACTGAAGGCGCATTGGTGGAAGAAGTTGGTACTTCGGATGTACCGAGCACCGGCCTGGTTGCACTCGATCTTCTCAAACAGCCGCACGGTGTAGTAGCGGATCTTGGGCGATGGGTGGTAGAAGCCGTATGCAAGCGGGTGTAGGCCGCCCTGGCTCTGCGGCAGCGACGCCAGCAGCTCAGTGACCTGCTCGTTGGTCACTACCTGCTCATCCAGGTGCTTGTAGATGGCCTCTACCTCATTGACATCCAGGTTGGTCGAGTTGCGCAGACAGGTCACCATGTGGGCGATATCGACGCCGCGGATAAAGCTGCTAGCCTGCATGGACTGGTAGTCAGTGACGGCGTTGTGGTACGCCTGGGTTCCAATGAAGCCCTCGATGCGGCTCTGGTAGAAGCTGATCTCGCGCTCGCGGCTCTCCTTGTCGCCGGCCGAGATGATGTATCCACTGATGGACGACTTGTCCTTGTGGGTGATCAGGCCAGGGTCACCGAGCTTGGTGGTTCCGCGCTGCTCAAACTCGTACAGCGGCACCAGCGACATGAACCGGCGCACGTAGTTCTCGACCTTGGACCGGATGGCTACCTCACCGTAGTGCCGCTCAATGGCCAGCACCAGGTCCTGGAATAAACTCAGTGTCCAGGTTGTTCCACTTGTCGGGCTTTCCCTCGCGCGACGAGAACGACCGGGTGCGCGACAGGGAGACCGAGTCCAGGCTGCGTCGCAGTGAATCAGTTTGCGACTTGCTGTGGCCCGCGGTGCTGCCATTCGGTAGCGCCAAGGCAGGGCTGACAGTGATTTTGCCTGTGTTGATATTGCACAGCAGGTCCCACCACTCAGGGATGCTCCTCGAATGCCGGATTTGTGACGCCGGCAATGTACCCCGGGAACGACAGCAGCGTGTCGAGGTTGGTCAGGTTGGTGTACGGGAAGGCACGGTTGGCAAAGCCGCGCAGCACGCCGCCACCGCCGCTGCCCAGCGCAACCGCCGCCAGCACGTAATTAGCGACTTCACCGGCCGGCTTACCATGTCCCAGGAAGATGACGCGTTTCTGCGTCAGCAGGCCGTTCATCAGCAGAATTATCGGGTGCGTGTACTGGCCGCTCGAGTCCAGGTGCGGGTGGCTGACGCGCCCGCTCCCAGATGGCGTGGGAAGGGACCCAGCGAACGTTGTTAGCAGCTGAATCAACGAAAAGTCGCTTATCTCCTCAGGATACACTGTCATCGGCACGCGAATCGGCAGCTTGACACCAGAATAGACAATCTCAGTGTCAAAGAACCGCCGGTCCTTGTTGCGCGTCGACGGCATGCGCATGCGGCCTGGCGCCGCTGTATCTGAGACGGTGCCGCGCCGTGCCGACGTGCCACTAGACTCGTCATTCGACGGCGCTAGCTCGGCCAATGCCGAGTCCTTAGCAATTTCGAGCCGCTCCGAGTCGCGCGTCAGGCTCTCCAGCATCTTCTTCTCGTCCTCAAGCTCAATGAACCGCTCCTCGAACATGTTCTGGTCGTCGGAGAACCGCAGGATGGTGATTTCATGCCGGCTCAGCTGCGGCATGCATGTGAGGTCCATGGCGTTAACCGACGCGAACAGCTCCGCCAGCGTGTCGACAGTTGGCGAGCGGTAGTAGTTCTCCAAGGCCAGCATTAGGATGGCCTGGTAGATGTGGATGAACCGGTGTCGCGTGCAGACCGCCATGGCCTTGACTATGGCGCCGCGACGCACCTCCTTGTCGTGCTTAGTACGCACCAGGTTCAGCACATACAGCAAAGGCGGTCCTTCCTGCGTCACTTTGCCGGTTTCGTCTGGCGCCTTCTGGTTGAGGAAGAACATTGTCCAGTCGCTTTCGCGGGCATGCGCACCGTCCGGCAACATGAGCTCGGCCAAATGCGAGTCATCCGCCCCTGTGGGACGAGGGTACTGGTGCTTGAGAATAGCTCCCCTGTCAATGTCGAATTCTGCCAGCAGAATATACTCGACATTGAGCTGGCTCTGCTCGCCCGCGTCTCCTCCGCTGCCGCTTGGGTCTGTCATTTGAAAATAGCAAACAAAAAAGGTAAAAGGGACAAAGGAAAAAAGGAGGGAGTGGTAAAGTACCTGCCATTGCACGCAGCGACACGGTCTACGGGGACCATGGGATCGTCGTAGTTTACTGTTTACTCGAGATCAGGGCATCAGATCAGGAATCAGCAATTTATAGATGAGGCGGCCCTGCGCTTTATAGAGATAACGCGGCTATTCTGGCGGCTCCTTTCCTCCAAATTTCAGTGTTTCATTTCAAAAAGGCCTTGCTATATTATTACGCGATGTCGGCACACCGGAGTTACGTTCGCAGCCTGTATAAGCGGGCGCTCAACACATCGATGGACTGGTACCCGAACAGGCAGACGTGGCGCCCGATTGCGCTGCAAATCCGCGCTGAATTCGAGGCCAACCGCGGCGAATCGAGCCCTGTGCGTGTCCAGCAGCTGCTGCGTGAGACCGAGGATGTGCTGGAGGAGTACAAGCACCCGCTGCCGTACAAGTACATGACCGCTCCGGGTGGCACCAAGTACGAGCGCAACCTGTGGTTCGAGGACAACATGTCTCACCAGGAGCAGCACCACTGAACCCTGGCTGCTATTAGCGATACACACACAACCCACCACTGTCTTTCTTACTATCTATAAAAAAATACCTGTGCTTTCTCTGTTTGCATGGACAAATTGATCTGGTGGTGGTGGTACATGGTGGTGGCAGATAAGCTGATAATCTCCCCCATGGGGCTGAGTGACGGGCGGTTCCAGATGGCAGCGCTCCCACGGTGCTCCCGTGTTTACTAGAAACACAGCATTAGTAATCCCACACTGATAACGACGTGTATAAAAGAGGCGAGAGGGAGGCACCGTGAGATTGCGTCACAGTCACAGCAGCTCTCTTTTCTGAAACACCAGCATTTCTCCCACTCTTTTCTTTTTAAAAATAAAAACCACCATGGCCTCAATGAAAGCAGTCCTCGTCAAGCAGCCCGGCGGCATCGAGCAGCTGTACCTCGGCGAAACCGAGCGTCCCGCACCTGGACCTAACGAGCTGCTGGTCAAGATCAACTACTTTGCGCTCAACCGCATGGACAGCCTGCAGCGCCAGGGCAGGTACCCGCTGCCACCGCAGGCCGGCCCGATCATGGGCGTTGAGATGTCGGGCGAGGTGGTCGAGACCGGCGCGCAGACGAGCAAGTACAAGGTCGGTGACCAGGTGTTTGGGCTGATGTATGGTGGGGCATATGCGCAATACGCGACGATCGACGAGAGTTCGGCGCTGCCGCTGGGCTCCCTGTCGCCGGAGATCGCCGCGTCTCTGCTCGAGTGCTGGTACACCGCCTACCAGGCAGTGCACTATATCGGCAAGCTGCAGAAAGGGCGAGGACATTCTGATCCATGCGGCAGCGGGCGGCGTCGGCACAGCTGCGATCCAGCTTGCCAAGATGGCCGGCGCCCGGCGCATTTTCGTGACGGCCAGCCGTCCCGAGAAGCTCAAGTACTGCCAAAAGCTCGGTGCTACGCATCTGATCAACTACCGCGAGCAGAGCTTCAAGGATGTTGTTCTGGAGGAGACAGGTGGGCGTGGAGTAGATGTGGTTTGCGATTTCCTGCTGGCCAGCTACTTCAACGACAACGTTGCGTCGCTGGCTCTGGACGGCCGCATGTCGCTGCAGGCAACCATGGGCGGCGTGGTTGCCGAGAAGGCCACCCTGGGCCCAATTCTGTTCAAGCGCCTGACCATCGTGGGCACCACGCTGCGCTCACGCTCGCTCGAGTACCAGCGCGAGCTGGCCCATGTGTTCTGCAAGGAGGTGCTGCCGCGCATCACTGCAGGCGAGGTGCAGTGGCACATCTCCAAGATCTTCGACTGGGAAGACATCCAGGGCGCGCACACGCTGCTGGAGGATGCCTCGTTCACGGGCAAAATCGTGGTCAAGGTCACTGACAACGCGTAAACGAAGATGAGCTTTATTTCGACAAAAACGTCCTTTTTCAGTACAAGGGTTTAGACATACAGGTTTTCATATTCTCTTTAGGCGGTTGCTTAACCGCGAGTACAGGCGCCTTGGCGAACTCGACACCACTGAGCGAAGAAGCCGAGGCGTGCGCGGAGCAAGTGTCACGGGCAGCTCCATTTCCTGAATGGAGACATTGTAGTGCATGTTCTCTGGTGCATAATCGTACTGGTCGTGAATGCCTTGGTGAACAACCGGAGGTGGTTTATGCTGTGCTGGCTGAGCAATGCTGGTAGGAGGCGGCGGGAACGACAAAACAAGGTCGGCGGTGTTGTCGTTGTTGTGAGGCTTCACACAAAGGGCAGGGAGACAAGCTTGCACAGCTGTTTCGTCAGATGCCTCGGCCTCGACAGCTATGCATTGTGCCACGTCGCTCAACGCTGCGTCGTCGTCGGCGGGCGCCTGGTCTGCATAGACAGGCCAGCCGTTGACATATCCGACCGGCTGCTTGTCAGGCACGTTGGCGGTCTCGGAATTGTCCTCGCTGGCCTGGTCGACCGCCGTCAGCACCGAGCAGACCCCGCGCCCGCTTTCACACAGAATGCGCGACTGCCGCGATTTGCTGCCGAATGTGCGAGCAGTCGACGCGCGCTTACAGCGCACCGCCGGCTTGGCGATGACCGAGCGGCGGAACTTGGTTGCTGCTGGCGCGCGCAGCGCCCCAGCATGCGCTGCGTAGATCTGGGCCCAGCCGTTGGGCGCCTCAATCATGATGGACTCTGTGCGCTTGAGCCCGACACAATCCGATGCATATGCGAACTGTCGCAGCTCTTTGTCCTGCAGTTTCTTGCGCAGCGTGCGCACCTGCGTCTTGCGCTCCCTTAGCACCTGCCTCCAAATCGGAAATGTCTGTTTTTTGTTCGGCAATCATGCTTTTAAGCTCCTCAATCACCGCTTCTGAATGGTCCTGGTCGGTCTGAATGCCTACGCTGCGCATGCTGGTAATTTCTGCGCCCTCGGTCGAAACCAAAACATGTTTCTTTGCACATGCACTGGTCATGTTCGCTGATGAATGCCGCGGTGGCGGATGGAGCTGGAACGACGGGTCGCTGACAATGCGGAAGGAGGTGCGCCGCGTAGGCATCGAGGTTAGCGATGAAGCAGGGCGTGACATTGGCGTTAGTGGCGGTGCTAACGATGTGGTGTTTGGTGGCGATTGCGGCTGTTTGGCTAGATTCAGAAACACCTTCGTTGCAGACGACATGGGCAGGGCGCTGAGCCCGCCGACACACGAAAATACATGCTGCAGGTGTCCGCGCAGCTCAAACACCGCCTGGTCGTATTGCCGCACTTGCTCGCGCAGCGTCAGCAGCTCGCGATGCTCGGATTCAATGAACTCGGCGAGATCTGCACTGTCCACGCCGTCCAGCAGCCGGAGTAGGTCAGATATCGGGTCGACAGTTGATGAAAGGGATGTCATGATGGAATGTGTCAAGGGGGATTCTCGATATGAAACTAAAAATATTGATATTCTGTTATTGCGGGTTGGGTGTGGGAAGGAATGGCAGAATTGTGCAGGTCCATCCCCTCACACCCTCCCGGCCGCATCTTTTTTAAAAAGCAACCTGGCATGCAAACACCCATCCGTCCCAAGGACGTCCACGGGTGGCGCCCTCCCGTCGCCTGTCACTGGGAGGGGGCAGTCTAAATGGCCAAATGTAAGCCGTTTACATATATTTTCAGCATTGTTGCCGTTTGGAAATGGTCATTCTGGACCCTAAAGATGCATGTTCTGCAGCCGGACAAACAAGACCATACGGCAGGCAATAATTGACGACGCTTGCGCTGGTCTTTCTCCTTGCAGACCGAAGCTCGCTAGCGTCAGTTGGATGCCATGTGTTTGGAGCGGCCGGCGGTTTTTAGCAGCCCGCTGGTATTGTTGACACTTCCGAAATGTCCCGCCCAGAGATTAGCCAACACACACTCACTATCCCCCCGCCGGTCCCACAGCCCTCAAGCCAAGAATAGCCCACGGCGGATACACCCGCCAATGGGTCAAAGCAACCAGGCTCACAACACACGCGGCCGCGTCTGCCCGATGGTCCAAATAGCTGATCATGGGCTGGCCAAGCTTTGCTGAGTTTTTCCGCGATCCTATTCGTGGACACAGTTTATGCCTCACGTGGTCTATTTAAGTAGCCACTGCCAGGATAGACTGGAATGGCAAAGTTTTTTTTTTTTTTCTCCAGTTGCGCAGACCAGCTCTGAAGAAGAAAGAAAAAGCAATCTCACCTTTCCAACACCTCCTTCCCAATTTCCGACTTTGCGTATTCTTTTTAGTGAGCAGGAAATAATGAACGCTACTAACCTCGCTGGACTCTTGGTGTACCGGATTTCGCAACGCCGCCCCACCGAGTACCTTCTGCTGCACGATTCGTATGAGCACCAACGTCACTGGTACCCGCCCAAGGGCCGGAAGGTTGGCGACGAGGATGACTTGCGGTAAGTGACATTGCCCATTTGCGACACTTGCCCGGGACAGTCCGCTGCCATAGTCTTGCCGGCCTGTCCTGGGGTCCCAGAAACGACGGTCCGAGCCATGGCTCAACTACAAGCGGGAATCCCGTTCCTGAGAAATTTTACCAGCTGAAAAATTTTCATATTGCCCTTTCCATACGATGCCTTAGGTGCGCTGTGAGAGAGACCGTCGATCTGACCGGACTGTCGGCCGACGACCTCATCACTGACGACGCGTTCCGCGCTGAGCTCCAGTATGTGGATGGGATCAAGCCAAAGAAGGTTGTGTACATTCTTGCCCGCCTCTCTGACCAGACGCGCCACAACTCGCTTAACTGCTATGGCTCGGGCATGAGGTACGATTGGTGCTCGCTGGACCAGGCGCTCGAGAAGGTTGTGTTCAAGAGCATGCAGGACATTCCTGACGCAGGCCGACGACTACATCGAAAGCATCCGCGGCGAGATCCTGGCGAGCACTGTGTCGCGCTCCAGCTGGCAGACTGTGACTGAGGAGACCTATCGCAGAAATCGCCGTCACCATGACAACAACGGCAATGGTAACTACAACAGCGGCGGCAACGGCTATGTGGGAAGCAATGGCAATGGATAATGGTCAGGCTGAGGGTGGCGCCGATGCCTGGCGTACAGTCCAAGGCGTCGAGAACCGTTTCCGCAACCTGACGATGGACGGCCAGCGTGCCGGCGGACGCGTCCCGACAAACGACCGCGACCAGTACCACCAGCAGCAGGCCGGAAACCAGTGGAGAGACCATCCCAGCGCCGGCCAGCAGCAACAGCAGCAGCAGCGTCGCCCACAGGACAACCCTCTGTACAAGACAAAGATGTGCGACAAGTACCAGCGTGACGGCGAGTGCCCGTATGGCATCAAGTGCGTGTTTGCTCATGGCGAGCATGAGCTGCGCTCACGCGAGGTCACACCGTCCAATGACGGCGGTATGCGGCCGGACGAGCGGCAGCGTGAGGGAATGTTCCAGCAGCGCATGATGCAGCACCAGCAGCCTCTGCAGAGCCAGCAGCCGTACCAGGGCCCGCCCGGCCTGCAGAACGCCTACCGGGCACAGAAGCCCGCTAACCCACTGTACAAGACACAGATGTGCCAGCGGTTCACTGAGCTTGGCGAGTGCCCGTACGGTGAGAAGTGCCAGTTTGCTCATGGCCAAGCTGAGCTCCGCAAGGTACCCGAGCAGCTCCGGAGAGGCCCCCGAGACGGCAACACCAGCCGCGACCAGATGCCCCAGCAACAGCAGCAGCAGCAGCAACGGACGGTTAACCAGGGATTCCATCGCGGCACAGCAAACCGGGTGCAGTCATGGAGGAGCGGCGGCGCTGGCAACAGCGAGCAGGATGCCCATGGACACAGCCACAATGACCGCTACCAGGTCAGGGATCAGTCGTGGGGCGGCAGCAACGCCGGCCCGCGTGGCCATACGCAGTCGCCAGGTATCAGCGAGAACGACTCGCTAGGGGATGCGCACTACACTCCATCGGCGCAGTCGCCAAAGGACAGCATTGGCAATGACGGAGAGTTCGCTGCGCCGCACGCCGCGCCGCTGGTGACCCCGGTCCCTCAGACGATCACCAATGCACCGGCCAAGCCCAGCGCAGAACCGAAGACCGGCAATTTCAAGAGCAACGGTGACTCGGCACGGCCGTGGATCAAAGTAGTCGAGGCCAGCGACAAGGAGCTCGAGAAGATGGGCAGCAGCGAGCAGCTGGCCAAGGTGAAGCAGGCCAACAAGCAGGCAGGACAGGAGATGCGTGCGACCCGGGAGCTGGACGGACGTCCTGAATCGGGCTCCGGAGCCCTCCATGCACGACATGTTCAAGGAGATCACGCACATTGAGTTCCGCTACTCGCTGACCAAGCAGCAGCTGTTGAACACAGTGATTACAGGTCTGTTTGCGCCGTGCAATGCCATGGGCGTGTCTGAGCAGGTTGGCAAGCGGGCGGAGCTGCTGAAGAAGGTGGTGACCAAGAAGCAGGACCAGATGCTGATGCTCAATGCGTGGGTGCGTCTGTTCAACGACGATGCGAACGCAGCAGCATGGCAGAAGAGGGCGTCCGAGGTTCTAGGCGCTCTGTACGAGGCGTCGCTGGTGGAGGAGGATGCCTTCACGGAGTGGTTCGAGGGCAAGAACTCGTCAGACTGCAGCGCCGGGGTTGCAGCCATGAAGCCATTCTCGCACTGGCTGGCCACTGCCGAGGAGGAGTAAAGGCAGACAATATACGAGGAGCGCCTGGCCAGCACGCCTAAGCAGCGGCCTCGCGTGCCCTTTGACATTACTTTGCATCCACACCTCATCACACTTATCTAGTCAAATAGGCTTATATCTGAAAATGGAGACCCTTCATTCCAGCTAAAAACAAACCTAAAGATCCGGATCCTGCTCTGCGGCAGCGACCTTGGCACGCTTGCGCCGGGCGTCGCCAGCCTCGGCCATGCGCTTCTTGTACTTGGTGTTCTTTTTGTGTTGGCGCGAGCGCATGTGCTGCTTGTACTCGTCGTCGCCGTTCAGCCAAACCTCGTATAGCCTCTCCGGACCTCGACTCGTCCTTTGCCTTTGAGCACACATCGCACCGGTACCGCTTCCATTCCAGGAATCGAGTTTGGCTTCTCCCTTGACATCTGTACAACAGCTTCTCAGCAGTGTCAGACAATGATGCTGGGTCTGGCAGCTCAGCATTGCTCGTGAACAGCTTTGCTATATCAATGCCCTTTTGCTTGACACTGGCGCCCCACGATTCGAGATCTGTTGCATCCAAAACGTAGGCACGAGCTTTAGTGGGTTTTTGCAAGGTTGCATTGCATTCTGGCAGGAGCTTGTTGCGAATCCATGTTATCTGTCGTTTGGCGATATCGCCGGGTCGCACGCTTCATGTCATCGATACCCTGCGCCTTCAGCTTCTGGCGGTCATCCTCGTGGTCGGCTTCCATGTACGGCTTAAATTCGCGGAACCCGATCGCCTGGGTCAAGCCCCTTGTGAAGTCATCGCCCAGTGGCGCCAGTGCCTTCGGATCCTGCATGTCCCTGTGTAGCTCCTGGAGCTCGTCGAACATGCCGCGCTCGATCATATCGTCAACGCGGTTATCCAGCCTCGTGTTAAGCACAGGTGTGTCGGCGTAAAGCCAGAACAGCAATGTCGGGAACCGCAGCGTGTCTGCAGTTTTGCGGGCCTGCTCGCTTTCCTCGACCCACGCGCTATGCCTTTTGCCGGTAGTGTGCAGAATCTCCAGGCTGCGCAGCACCTTTCGGCGGTTGTTTACGTGCCACTTCTCGGCCATCGGCGCATCGACCTTTTTCAGCTCCTCCCACAGCTCCTGATTAGTCCTTGAGGCATTGGTCGCTTCAAACTCGCGCTCAACCTCGGCCTGCGGCTCCTCAGCGTCGCGAGACATGGAGCTGACGAGCGCTGTGCGGAACATTGCCGACTGGATGTAGTAGTTGGTGCCGCCGACCAGCACTGGTACGCGGTCGCGCCTGTGGATCTCGTCAATTTTCTGCAGTGCGTCGCGCTCAAAGTCCTGCACAGTGTACTCGGTGCTGGACCCGATGGTACCCAGAAGGTGGTGAGGCACGCCAAGCATCTCGGCATCAGTCACCTTGTTGGTGATGATGGGGTAGCCGCGATAGACCTGGAGGGCGTCGGCGTTTATCACCTCGCCGTTGATTGCGCGCGCGATCTCGATTGCTAGCTGCGACTTGCCGACACCCGTGGTGCCGGTGATTGCTATCAGGCCGTTGCGCAACAGCGACATTGGCAAAAAAAGAATGCTTAGCGATGGAGAACGTGTATATTTGCTAGAATATACCAACAACCGAGTAGAAGCGAGCAAGGCTACTCCAAAGAAGACCGCCCCTGGAGTCTAGGCAATGACAGTTATAGGATATGTCGGCTATAAGCTGCACTGGACCTTGGTCCGGCTGTTGACGACTCGAATCGACGAGCCCTCCTCAATTACTACATGCATGCGCTGGGCAAACCTGCTGGTTTCACTCGCCTCCTCGCTTGACGAACCAATGCCTAATGTGTTGGCAGTAAACACGTATTCGCGACGCTTTGGCGCCATGGCTGCAATATTGAACTGCCCCAGGGCCTTCAGCACCACGCGCTGCTCGCGCCGATCATCGACGCTGGTCTGGCCAGAGCACACAAGCCGCTCTACAAGCCTGAGCTGATCCGGGAACTTGTGCAGAAGTGCAATACACCTGCTCGTCTGTACCTCAAGCGATTCAATGTCGTCGAGAATGGAACTGTATGCGGGGCTGTCAGGGTCAGCCGTTGCCCAGTCAACATCGCGCAGCATCTTGACCCCTAGAGCCACCAGTCGCGAGCGCAGGACAGGCAGGCGATGGATGATCGGCTGGCGGTACAGCCGCTCGTAGGCAATAGTAAATATGGTCGGCAGGAGGCCGGTGAACAGAGAGTACACGGGGACGCCTTCTAGGTAGTGCAGGGCCTTTTCAGCCTCCATCTCGCAGTCAAACAGCGGCTTTTGCAGCTTTGCGGGCACGCGCCTCGCTTCGCTCCACAGCTGCTGCCACAGATTGTTTGTGCTCTCGGACATGCGTGGGCTCAGACAGCCGTCCTGCTCCTGGCCGCCTTCAGGCACCAGCCAGTCGCGCGGCGAGTGCCACCGGACAAAGTCTGCCAGAGCGCATTTCGGATTAGCTGCCTTGAATGACTCCATATCGGAAATCAGCTCGGCGCACTGCAGGCGAGCGCGTTGCGCAGTGCCTTCCTCGGACGTGCCTAGGCCGATCAAGATAGCCTCCCGCTCACGCAGCATGTCCTCGGACATCACTGGTGGTTGCTGGATTTCGGGGATCCACAGCGGCTCGTCGGTGCCCAGAATCCGCATCGTGCTTGAGGCCATGAGCCCTCCAGCGCGCTCTCCATCTGCCAACTCGGGTTGAGGAGCTGGGCTGCTGGATGCACGCGATGGCTGTTTGATCGCTGGCGAAGCCGGTGTGGTTCCCTGACTATTAGTCATGACTGATGGTCGCTCGCTCTCGTGCACATTGCTGATATGGTGGAATCCAGAGTTCGAGTCCATGCTCGATGAGATTGTCAGATCAACATAGTTGGACGACTCGTGTGCGTGTCTCTCATTTCTGATCGGCATGCTCTTGCTGGATGAGTCGCTGGTAAACTGCACGGCATTGGGTGGCAGTCGCACAGTTCCAAACGACGACTGCATGTTCGTGTGGTCAGATTCAGTAGTTCGGTCGACGAACGATGCAATGCTGTTGCTCTCGATCTCCTCTGACTCACTCTGGTAATCTGCATCTTCGGCTGACATAAATCCGTCGCTGTCGCTGGCTGAGCCCATGGCATCATCAATATCCTCAAACCCATCGACTTCCGCTGGGGACCTGTGCACAGTCTCTGTTATCGACAGCCGATCGGCTGATGATCCCTGTGACGGCTCTGCAGCGCTGCCGTCCTGTGGACGGATTGACTGAAGCAGTCGGCCAATCGGGCGATTGAGGCGAGAGCCTGGCACCCAGCTGCCCCCTGAGGTAGCAGATGAACCAGCTGTATCGCTAGAAATGTGTTTGCGAATTTGATCCTTGACGTGAGAGCGGATCCGCTGTGCCAGGCTGCTGTTTGCTGCTGGATCCTGGTCGACACTTCCATCCCCTTGCGCCAGTATGTCTTCAGGCGGCGCAATCTGATCAGCAACAGCAGCTCGGGCATCGACCTGGCCGACATGCGAAGGAGACGGCGACTGGCGCACCTTCCGCCTCTCCTGACAGCAATTAAGCATCTCCAGCTTTTGGTATATCAATGCATACCTCAAATGCACATCATACTTGCTGGCCTGCTCGCCTGCCACAGTGCTAAGCCCCAGCAGACTGGCATTGGGTGTATCCATACCCGAGCTGGCCGCGCCATCCCTCGCCGCACGGCATTCGCTGGCACTGGCAATTTTCGGTATGAATTCTCTGTTCTCCCATCGCCAGCGCACTTCTCGGACAGTCATAGCCCACAGTAGCCGCAGGAAAGTCATGATCGACGGTGCGCGCCAAAAGTCCGCCGAGCGCTTGGCTGTGGTCACAAGCACAATTTCGCATAGACGCCAGAGCAGCGAGTGGCAGGGGACCGCGGCTCCATGTGGCATGCGCGCGATCAGCTGTGCCACGCTGAGTGGCCGTGGTGCTGTGTCTGCATATACCTCGTCCATGACCGTCTCCAGCCGTTCCTCGAGCGCACAGCGCCGCGCCGCATCGCTCTCGGCCTCCTCTGTACCTGGTGGCTGTATGAGCGAGCCACTGGCGGAGCCAAACAGGTCGATCAGCATGTCGCCAGTGACTTCGGCATGTGCCTCCATCTGGTCCGATAGGTCGAGGTGCCGGTGCCTGTGTGCATTGCTGGCTGACTGCGCCCACGAAGCAAAAGCGTCCTCGAGGGCCTCAGTCAGCATTGTGCGCTCCATGTCCGCTGGTAAGAATTGCACGGCTAACGCCCAGGCTGTCGCCGTTTTCAAATACAGCCGATCGCGACCAACAGCCTGGGGGCTAATGTATGTGCTGCAGGGAGCCGGTTGGAAGCAAGCACTTAGTCGCATAGTTCGCAGCGGGTCGTTGGCTGGCCCCACGTTGAGGTCGCCTTGGCGGTAGTGAAAGTCTGCCGACTGTCGGTTCCAGTCGCGGTTATACGTGTTGGTGATATGGTAGGCATGCAACGCGGCAAGCTGCACGTTGCTAGCTAGAATGGCCCACTTTTGCTCCTCTGTCTGGGTACCGTTGCTGCCGCCGAGCTGCTTGAAGTATGAAGCCAATTTGAATGACCCAGCAAATAGCTCCAAGAGCCCGTTAAGCTGGAGGTACGCAGACGGAGCCTGGGCGAGATAGATCGAGTCAAACTTTGTGTCGGCAACCAGGGCGCCGCTAGGTTTGCCGTCCTTGGCAGACACGCTCACAGCCTTGTCGAGTGACCGACCAGTGAACAGGAACCGCCATGCGTCGCCCACAGGCACAAACATCGGCAGCCGACATCGCACATTCCGCGCCGCAATATTCAACGACGACATGAGAATCTTGGCAGTGTCCAACGACACGCTATAGTCTCCAGCTGCCGATGGACTGCCCTCAGAAGCATCCAAGAGATCGTCGTCCCAGGCGCCGTCCTCGTCGCCAGCGTATGCTAGAAACACAATCATGCTGCTGCCTGTCCAGCGGTGCATCGGATGCCATGTTGGTTCTGCCTCTTTGTAGCCGCGGTCAACCTCTAGTTCTGTCGCATAGATGGGCGGGAACAGCCCGTAAAATCTGGTGGCCTTTTCCGCAGGGTTCTCTGTCTGTGGGGAGGCCAAGAGCGGGTGCACCGATAATGTCAGCGTATATGCAGTGCCGCGGAAGGCCACGCGCTGGGTGCGTGTACAGAGCTGAGCAAGCTCTGTGCGTACGCTGTCCCGGTCCTGTCGCCGCCGGACTGTCAGTGCTTGGCATTTCTCCCGCAGCTGGTCAATGTCAAAGCTGCCTGTCTTGCCGTCACCCAAGTCCCACTTTAGCAGCGTGTCTTCAAGTGCTGCAATGAACTTCTCCCAGGCCGACGCTGCAGTGTAGTCGATTATCTCGTAGTTCTCGTCGTCCATAGTAAAGTCGGCAATGTCCGATGAGGCTAATGAAGCGCTAAGGGGTTTATGAATATCGAGCGAATACTTTAGTGAGCCAAGCCCATGTGCAATGCCAACCGCCTAAGGTCCACCAAGACAAGCACCGATCGGGATCAGTTGATCAGCATGGACGATTAGCATGGACGCGAAACGGCTTGGTTCGCGTTGGCTGCGCCTTTTTTTCTCCCGCCTCTTCTTGCCTCTGCTCATTCCTCAGATCTTCAATTCCCCCGCTCTCTCAATTTCATTCTATAAACAGCGAACACGCATCTGATAATGGCGCTCTGGGTTGAAAAGTACCGTCCATTGACACTGGACAAGCTGACGTTCCACACAGACCTGACCGGCCACCTGCGGCAGCTGGCGACAACCGGGGACCTCCCGCACCTGCTGGTCTACGGGCCCACTGGCTCAGGCAAGCGCACGCGCATCTCAGCAGTGCTGCGCGAAATCTACGGGCCAGGTGCAGACAAGCTCAAGGTGGACCAGCGCGTATTTGAGACGCCGAGCCGGCGCAAGATCGAGCTCAACGTGATTACCAGCTCATACCACATCGAGCTAAATCCGAGCGACGCCGGCATCTACGACCGCGTAGTGGTGCAGGACATGATCAAGGAGGCAGCGCAGACGCAGCAGGTGTCAGCATCATCTACGGGCCGCAAATTCAAGGTGGTTGTGATCCATGAGGCCGACGCGCTGACACGCGACGCGCAACACGCGCTGCGGCGGACCATGGAGAAGTACATGAGCAATATGCGGGTGATTCTGTGCTGCAGCACGACAGCCAAGATCATCACGCCGGTGCAGAGCCGGTGTTTGCTGGTGCGTGTTGCTGCGCCCACCTCGGACGAGGTCGTCGAGGTGCTGAATGCAGTGGCTAAGAAGGAGGGCATTAGTGTGCCGCCCGAGTTTGCCGTGCGTATTGCCGAGGCATCAAAGCGCAACCTGCACCGGGCGCTGCTGATGCTAGAGGCGGCGTCTGTGCGCCAGTACCCGTTTGACGGCGCACAGGAGATTCCGATTCCCGAGTGGGAGGAACACCTGCGGATCATTGCCCGCTCGGCATTGCACCAGCAGACGCCAGCGCAGCTGATGGCCATCCGTAAGCAGCTGTACGAGGTTCTGGCGCACTGCATCCCATCGACGACGATCCTGAAGACGGTGGCATTGCAGCTCGTCGAGCATGTCGACCAGGCGCTGAAGCCTGAGGTCATCCACCATGCGGCATTCTACGAGCACCGCCTGCAGAGCGGACAGAAGGCCATTGTGCATTTGGAGGCCTTCATGGCTCGGTTCATGAGCATCTACAAGCGCTACCTGATGGAGCTGGTCTGATCGGGTGTGTCCCCGGGTCCAGGCATGTTTATCTGTGTACGTGTCCCTTTTGGCTTGGGGGTGGGGACGATCCAAATTGAACCTGTTTTTAGACCGGCTACAGAACGTTTTCTAAACCCCCACACTTGACACTCTCCCTCCCCTCACATGCAACGAATCACCTTGCTTCATGCGCACGCTAGCTCACGCACACCCCGAAATAAATTTTGTAATGCCACGTAACAAGCTGCTTACCGATGCGAAAGATAGTGCACCAGCGAGGAAGTCTACGCTTAGGCCACCAGCCCGCATTTTGATGGTCTTGATTGGCTGGCGGAAGTCCCACCCAAAAACCCCCCTTAAGGGAACTGCTGCTCTCAGTCAGGACAGCGCTTTTCTCCAAAAGCAAGTCCGCCAAAACGATACGCCGTCCCAGCTGCCACTGCTTCTCTTTTCTTCTCTTGACCCCTTATCTCTACTTCGTTTTTTATCTACACGCTTTTCTTTGTCTTCTACTCGTACACTCTAGTACAACCATGCAGTCGCGTATGTCGTTCCAGCTCGGCAGGGCTATGGCTCCGTCCCTCAAACACACCATGGCCGCCGCCAACATGACAAAACTCTCTGGCGCCCTTGCCTTCAAGCACGCACAGTAAGTATATCTTTCTGACTAGGAGTGACGAATTCGAATTCAGACCATTCCAACGGCTCAAGGGCCCTTTTATTCATTTCGGCCGACTGATTCGGAGTATTTTCTGCTTGTTGCGTAGGTCGGTCTTTTCCAAGCAGGGCGGAGCTATGCGCTTCTACTGTAAGTACCCACCCCTTATCGCTATAGCAAGAAGCGAAAAATTTTCATGTCGCCTTCGTCTGGTAATGCGTGGCTTCCCACAGCCACCACCTGGCACTGGCTGATCCTGCTATCTCTGCGCAACCCACCGTTTCCCACACTTAAATCCCCGCTGGCTATGTAGCTGACGATAAGTTCAAGATCATCAAGGTCCCGCACATGGCCGACTCGATCACCGAAGGCACGCTCAAGGCGTGGGCCAAGCAGGTCGGCGAGCAGGTCCAGCAGGACGAGGAGGTTGCGTCCATCGAGACTGACAAGGTAACGTACCAAGTTGGAGCTTATTTTTGAGGTTACAGGGTGGAGCAGAAGGCGGCATTAATGCCGCAAAGGGGAAAACCAGCGGGCTCTGGCGTTGCACAGAGACCGCTCGTCTCGCTTGTTCCTTTTTGGATTCTATGCGCACCTGAGGTGCATGTGAGAACAGAAGGAGTGTGAGGTGGTGTGGATCGACGTAATCGGATGGCTGTTGGCAAAACATTTGACCCGCGCTCATCGCCCCTGGCACTATTTGCGTCCTTTTACGTCACGTTTTCTGCACCCGACACCCAGAACATTCTGAACTGAATACCTACTGCTTCGGACAATCACGCTTTTTAGGTCGACATCCCCGTGAACTCGCCCATCGCCGGTGTTATCCGGGAACTGCTCGCTAACGAGGAGGACACTGTTGTTGTCGGCCAGGATCTGTTCAAGATCGAGGAGGGCGCTGTCGCCGAGGGCGGTGCTGCCCCGGCCAAGCCCGCAGCCACTGAGCCCGAGGCCGCTGCTCCGGCTGCTGCTCCTACTCCAGCCGCGCCCACCCCGGCAGCTGCTGCACCCACTCCTGCGCCTGCAGCTCCGGCTCCGGTGGCCAGCAAGCCGGCGGCAGCCTCGGCTCCCAGCCCGGTCACATTTGGAGCGCCGAACCGTTCGGAGCGCCGGGTGAAGATGAACCGCATGCGGTCGCGTATCGCCGAGCGGCTGAAGCAGTCGCAGGACACGGCGGCGTCGCTGACGACATTCAACGAGATTGACATGACGAATCTGATCAACCTGCGCAAGACGTACAAGGACGAGGTTCTGAAGACGCACGGCATCAAGCTGGGCTACATGGGAGCGTTTGTCAAGGCCAGCACGCACGCGCTGCAGTCGGTTCCCGAGGTCAACGCCAGCATTGACGGCGACCACTTTGTGTACTACGACTACTGCGATGTCAGCGTGGCGGTGGCTACGCCCAAGGGCCTGGTGACGCCGGTGCTGCGTAACACCGAGGCGATGTCGATTGTGGATGTGGAGCAGGAGATTGCCAACCTGGGCAAGAAGGCGCGCGACAACAAGATCACGGTGGAGGACATGGCGGGCGGTACGTTCACGATCTCCAACGGCGGAGTGTTTGGCTCGCTGTACGGAACTCCGATCATCAACATGCCCCAGGCGGCGATTCTCGGCATGCACGCCATCAAGGAGCGCCCCGTGGTTGTCAACGGCAAGATCGAGATCAGGCCCATGATGTACGTGGCGCTGTCGTACGACCACCGCATCATCGATGGCCGTGAGGCTGTGACCTTCCTGGTCAAGATCAAGGAGGCCATTGAGGACCCGCAGCGCCTGCTGCTCAACATCTAAGCTGGCACGCCAGTTTTCTTTTTTTTGTTTCTCACTTCGTTTAGAAAATCACCAGCCCAAATCAAGCCACTGTTTTTTTAGAGATCCTCATCCTCGTCAATCTCGTCGTCCGAGTACTGTGCTGTCCCTGTATCTGCCTCTTCGGCTGCCTGGGACGCCACAGCCTCCTCGTCTTCGCCAATGGTCCTGGCTCTGGCCTCGCGCAGCTTGGACTCATACTCCTCAACCAGCGCCTTAGCCTCGGGCTTCTGCGCAGCCTGGGACTTGGCCTTGGCGACAATATCATTGAAATACCTGTACACCGCATCCTCGGACAGGCTCTCCTGGTATCCAGGAAGGCCATCCAGTAGCCTGCGCACGCTGCGCTCAGACTTGTATGGCAGCAGGGCCAAGCAATAAGCGATATCGCGGCACTGCCTAGTATCGGTGGTGTTGCGGAAGCGCTGGCACAGCTTGTCGACCACATTGTCGGTCTGGCGGTCCTTCTCCTTGATGAAATCAAACAGGAACTTCATGATACGACCGAAGCTATCCTCATTGACGGCGGCGGCGCCGACGCTCAAGCTCGAGATAATGTCGGGCAGGTTGTTGTAGACAGCATTGTCCTTGGTGGACAGCTCGGCGAAAAACAGCTTGGCCAGGTCGGCCACGTGGGTGTCCTTGTCCTCCAGGCACTTTGCCATCTCGCCCAGCTGGCCCTTGACCTTGACCATGCCGTTGAGAATCAGATGTGTCAGCACCATCAGCGTGGTTTTCTTGACCTTGGTGTTTGAGTCATGCAGAGGCCCGTACAGGTACTGAACGTTCTCGCCGATCAGATTATTGAAGCACACGGTGATGTCGCCCAGTGCAATGGCGATGTTGGCACGAATCACCGGCGACCGCGCACGCTGCAGAAGAGTCAGCAGCAGCGGCAGGTGCTCCTCGCAGAAGCCCGACGAAATGCACATGAACTTGGCTAGCGCTGCTGTTGCATGCACAGTCAGCAGGCGGTCGTTGAACTTGCCCAGATTCTTGCAGATATGCACCAGCAGCGGGCCAAATAGCGCCAGCAGCGACTTGCTGCCGGACAGCAGCTCGCGCTCGCGGATGGCCGCAATGATGTCGCCTATTTCGTCCTCAGTTGACCCGGCAATCTGATTGAGCTCGTCGTCGTCGTCGCCATCCATGGTGTCGTCGTGGGGGCGGCTGTCGGTCGCACGGCGCTTGCGGCTGGGCTCAGCCTTGGCCTTGCGGCGCTTCAATTCGGCCTCGATGGTCTCCAGCAGCACAATCTCCTTGATCGCAATGTGTCCGACAATGAACAAAAGACGCGTCAGGTCCCACGGGTCAACGAGCGTGCTAGCTGGCTGCTGTGATAGCGTCTCAGTCTCGTCGTCATCAATGTCCATGGCGTGCTCGTCAGCTGGCGTCTGTGACATGCTGGAGCTGGCCAGCAGATCCTGCACCAGCCCGCGCCTGCTTCCGGACAACACGCACAGCAAACGCATCGGGCTTTTCACCCAGTGCATAGATTGTGTTCAGCGCCTGCTCGGCGGCTGGGAACCACTCCGGGTCGCGCCGTGGCTCCTCGATGATCCTGGCCAGGCCTTCGAAGATTGGGTTGTCCATCGGGAACCGCTTTGTTCTCTGCCTCATCTATAGCTGCCGCTGGGCCCGGCCGCTTCGATCGCCGCGCGCCCAGACACTGCAGGGCCATACACGTGTACTTGGCGATGGTTAGATCCTCGTGGCCGTAGCGGCCCAGGCCGATGCGCATATACAGGTCGATGTCGTCGGTGACCACGGAGCGTCGCGCCTGTGCCATCATGCCCAGCACAATTATTGCCCCGCGGCGCTGTGCAGGCGGCAGGCGCTGGCGCGTATACCCGTAGACGCTGCGTAGTTTGGCGATGACATCGTTTCCAATGAACTGCTCGTCCACCAGCGTCCGCACAAGCTCCTCCAGTGAAATCAGCTCCGCCAGCGTCGCGCCAAACGTCAGACTGATCAGATTGCGCGTAATCCGGCTCGTGTTTTCCGATGCGCTGAGCCGCTCGTTCGGCTGCAGATACAGCTGCTTGTACGACTCCAGCAGCTTCGCCCGCACCCCGCGCGCCTCCTCCGGGCTGCCTGTCGATCCTGCGTGCGAGGCGCTGGCACCGGTCGAATTGCTGGTCGATGGCACCCAGATCAGATGCGCCATCCGCCGGATCCCGCCCTGTGCTCCGTCGACGCGGAACCGCACTGCCGTCACGAAGAAATCCATCGCCTCCATGACCTCACTCTTGTTGGTTGCACCCAGAAGCTGCACCAGCAGCGGTATTGCCTCCTGCAGCTGCCGCACAAAATACAGCGCGTCGCGGTAGTACCGCTGCTGGAACTGCAGGTGCATGGCCTTGGCTGCCATCTCGGGCGTCAGCCCTGCATTTGAGATGTCCGGGACGCTGCTCTTGTCAGCCTGCTTTCCAGGATTCTGCGCTGCATCATCTTCATTCACTGTCTCGTCGCCATCAGCCATCTCGGCGTCAGAATCTTCGGGGTCTTTGCTCACTGTCGGCTTCTCTGCTGCCACGCCCTTGGCCATGCGCGCAAGCTCGCCAGTGATCTTCTCGAGGCTGTCCTCAAGTGGCTCGCTGGCTAGCTCAGCGCCATCAAGCGCAAACGGATGCGACTCCAGAAGAATGGTGAGTGCCCGAATTGCATGCTTACGCACATTGCTTGCCTTGTCCTCGAGTCTCCCGACAACCAGGTTAATGAGGCGGGGCCGCCGCTTCGGGAACTTTGCCGGCCCACTGCAAATAAACTGGCACACCTGCATGACCTTGGCGCGGACCAGGTAGTGGTTGTCCTGGAACCGCTGTTCGACAATATCAAAGTACTCGCCCACCTGGTTCTTGATGATGTCCGTCTGCTCCTCCTGCGTGGCCAGGTACATGATCAGGTGCCCAATTGCGTCGACCATGGCCGACCGCATAATGTGTGCTTCGCTGTCAAGATGCCGGATCAGCAAGCCCATCTGCCGCAGCAGAGCCTTGGGTGCAAGCTGCGAAAACTTGATAATGAACCGGGCAGTGTTTTTGGGCCCAGACTTGTCGTGCACGCTGCTAAACTCCTTGCCTGCGACATCCCGCAGCACCTCGTCCGCCAGCTGCGCACCATCATATTTCTCGTATGCCAGCTGGACGAGCTGTGCCATGGACTCGCTCAGATGCTCGTAGTGCTGGATGTTCTGCGTGATCAAATGTGACTGCACCGTACAGTCCGTTGTATGTCTGCACCCATTTGCACATCACATTGAACAGCGCCATCTGGAACTCGCTATCACGCCCGTACGCTGGGTTCTCCAGCACCTTGTGCCCGAGACGCATAAACACCCCAATGAATGAGTCACGCTCCGGTACTGAATTCCAGATCCGCCCCAGTGGCAGCTGGAACAGCTGCTGCAACAGCAGATACAGGTCCATGACCTTTGACTTCCAGCCGGGCACAATCTCCGCAATACTCGCTGCCTTGGTACTACCTGGCACGCTGCCTACGCCCTTGCGCCGCCGGCCTTTGGTCTGCGCTGCTGATGTGCGGATCTGCGATGCCGACGACTCGCCTCGCTCGATGATCCACTGGAACAGGTACGCGTAGCGGTCCAGTGTCTCGGCATACTGCGTCGGGTCCGAGCCCTGTGTGGAAAGTGCGTTGGATGCCTGCCGCACCACGCTCTCGAACCCAGCTACCAGCATGTCGAGCCCGCGCGCAATCAGCTTGGGGTCTACTGCGTGCAGGTCACGGGCAAACGCGCGCAGCGTGTCAAATGCTATGTCATCGTTGATGGCCTCGCCGCTGACCACCAGCTTGTCTGTCAGGCTGTTTATAGCTCGCTTGGCTACAATTGCATCGATTCCTTCAAACGTAAAGTCATTGTGAATCTCCACCTCGCCCTCCTGCAGCTTTATCAGCTGCTCGTGCAAGTTGAACATTATATGGAAAGGGGCAGGGGTGTATATGAATAGCTTGAAAATAGTAAAGCGCGAGTTGGCAGCCAAGAGCAAAGCTGCTCAATGCACACTAGCCTTGCTTCTTTTTTTCTATGGCCATTGGCTCGTGCTGTTTACAAACCGCGCCAGATTCCCTGTGATTACTAGATTACTAGATTCTTGATCGGCATTTTGTGCGGTTCGCTGAGAAAAACGGCAGTTCCCACACTCCAAAATGGGTCGTCATTGCCAGAAATGGGCACGGAGCAATGTTCAAAGCGTCCTTCTCCGACGTTCTTTCAGCCCGCATACCACCAAGTCATGCGTCCACTCGCAGTGCATACCAGTGCATCATCCCTCGCAAGGCCGTTTCGCCGGCATCTGTCGGCTGCCGCGTGGAAATGGGGCAGCACCAGCATGTATAAAGCCCCTTGTCCGGCCATCGCTCGTTCCCACACATCTCTGCTCTGCAAGCAAAACATTCTTTCTCCCCTCGTATATTCACACCTTTTTTCTACTAGCACACTTTTTCCACCCACGATGGCTGACGTTGAGAAGTACTTTGACCTGGTCAACCAGGACCAGCAGGCGTTCATCGAGACTCTGCGCGAGGTTGTGGCGATTCCGTCGGTCAGCGGCGACGCCGCTCGCCGTCCCGACGTGGTGCGCATGGGCGAGTGGCTGCAGGCACGCTGGGAGGCTCTGGGTGCGACATGCAAGCGCGTCGACCCGGGCAAGCAGAACCTGCACGGCGAGATCCTGGATCTGCCGCCGGTCATCCTGGGCCAGTACGGCAACGACCCGAACAAGAAGACCGTGCTGGTGTATGGCCACTATGATGTGCAGCCGGCGCTGATCGAGGACGGCTGGGAGACTGACCCGTTTGTGCTGGTTGAGAAGGAGGACGGCCGCCTGGTGGGCCGCGGCTCGACCGACGATAAGGGCCCAGTGCTCGGCTGGCTGCTGTGCGCTGAGACGCACAAGAAGGCCGGCATTGAAATGCCCGTCAACCTGAAGTTCTGCTTCGAGGGCATGGAGGAGAGCGGCAGCGAGGGCCTGGATGAGATCATTGTCGAGGAGGCCGACAAGTGGTTCAAGGGCACCGACGTCGTGTGCATCAGCGACAACTACTGGCTGGGCAAGAACAAGCCGTGCCTGACCCACGGCCTGCGCGGCGTCAGCTACTTCCACCTGCAGGTTGAGGGCCCCGGCGCCGACCTGCACTCGGGCGTTTTCGGCGGAACCGTCCACGAGCCCATGACCGACCTGGTCCACCTGCTGTCAAAGCTGGTCGACGTCAACGGCAAGATCCAGGTCCCGGGTATCTACGACCAGGTTATGCCCATCACCGACGAGGAGGAGGAAACCTACAACAACCTCGAGTTTTCGCACACTGCGCTCGCCAGCGATCTCAAGAATGATGTGCTCATCCATGCCGAGGAGCGGGACACCCTCAAGCACCGCTGGCGCTTCCCCACCCTGTCCATCCACGGTGTCGAGGGCGCCTTCTATGCGTCCGGCGACAAGACCGTCATTCCTGCCAAGGTCCGCGGCAAGTTCTCACTGCGCACCGTGCCTAACATGGAGCCGGCCAAGGTCGCTGAGCTGGTCACAAAGTACCTGAACGACGAGTTTGCCAAGCTGGGCAGCAAGAACAAGATGCAGGTCATCGAGACCCACGGCGGCCGCTGGTGGTACTCGTCGCCCAAGCACCCGAACTTTGTCGCCGGTGCCAAGGCCACCGAGAAGGTCTATGGCGTCAAGCCCGACCTGACCCGCGAGGGCGGCTCCATCCCCGTCACCCTGACTTTTGAGGAGAACCTCAATGTCAATGTGCTGCTGCTGCCCATGGGCGCCAGCGACGACGGCGCTCACTCTATCAACGAGAAGATTGACAAGCGCAACTACATTGAGGGCATCAAGCTGCTCGGTGCTTACCTCCATGAGGTCGCCAACACGGACCTCAGCGCCTAAACCACATCTCTTTCTACAAAGTGAATACCTCTTCACTCCTCTTCTCTATTTCATAAAATGTTATAGTCCAAAACTGTCCAACCGTCCGCTAGAGTGTTTTTATTGACTGGAAGGACCTATACTCCTCCAAGTCTCACAGCGAGTATGCCTGGCTTGCTCTGTGGTCTCCTAAAGTGACGATACTCTCTTTTCGCCTATGGATTCAGACCTGAAGATGACGAATATGTATCTTAAAAGTACTGGTAAAATCGAACTTGGAACCATATATCAAAGCGCCGTTCGTCGTAGCTCCTTCATATTTCGTAGATGCAGTAATGTAATAAGCAACCCAGTCAATTCCCGCATCCTCAGCACTCGGACTTGGAGCCATTGAATCACTGGCCAACACACATCCTACATAGAAATGCGGTCCCTCCTGCGCCATCCACCTTTTCTAATACCTCACCCTCTTCCACATATTCCGACTTCCGTACAACCCCCTTCTTTACATTCCACTATTTAATCTTCGTGGCCGTCAGCCGTGGCATACCTCGGCGTGGGGTTCGGTTCGGTCATGTGCATCGGCAGCCATTCGATGGATACATCTGACTACACAAGAACCACCTTCCCTGGACAGTGGGATGAGAACACGCTTTTGGTCTGCAACCTTCTGCGACAGACCATCGCTATACCATACCTATAGGCAGGTTGCGTCGAGCTCTCTTCCTAGGAACATACCTCCTGTTGTGTCAAACAGGCGAGGCTCTTGCAAGATTTCTCTACCGACCCCGCCCCTGATGGCTCTGCTGCCACCCAGACTGCAGGCAAGCAGGCCCCCAGAACGAGCCCCTAACAGGTGTGGTTCTTTTTGAATTTTCTGGACAGTTTATATATCTGCCTTGGACTGTGAAGCCCCATGGTAGATTCCTTGCCATACTACCGGCTGTCTAAACCTTAGTGGCTAGCTGAGCTCGCATCGCAAGCTCCATAAGCGTAGTAATCAGCTCATCAATCAACCATCTCAACGTGGCGCCACATGCCTTAGCAGTGGCCACACTGGCATGTTGGACAAGGGTTCAGGGAACCTCATCGAGTGTTCCACCACTGTGCTTCCCACACCTTTCCTTCGCTACCTTTTTTTTCCGCCCACTACTAATTCCCTCCAGAATGACCAGCTTGGAAGAGACCTTAGCCACGACCGTCGCCCAGGCGACAGAGGCCGCCACCGAGGCCGCCAATTTCGACCGTCCCTCATTAGCACGCTTCCTGGCGCCCATCAAACCATCGCTGGAGAACCCGACGCATCTAATCCTGATGCTTCTGGCTTTTTTCTTTGTGACGCGCAGCATCATCGCCTTCCTGTCGCCGGCGCGCCAGCCACGCTTCACCATGAACGATGTCGTGCCGAAACCCATCCCGGCCAAGCGCGACTTTACGCCGCGCGAGCTCTCCGAGTTTGATGGCCGCGACGAGAATACCCCCCTATATATGGCCGTCAATGGCACCGTGTATGATGTGTCGAATGGCCGCTCATTCTACGGGCCAGGTGGTCCCTATGCGAACTTTGCTGGCCGGGATGCGTCGCGCGGACTGGCGCTTGGCAGCTTCGACAAGTCGACGCTGACTGACCTGGATGCCCCGCTGGACGACCTCAAGGGCCTGGATAAGACCGAGGTTGAGTCGCTCAATGAATGGGCCACGTTCTTTGCTGGAAAGTACTTGCCCGTTGGTAAGCTGGTGCCGAATCCCACTGCCGAGGAGAAAAAAGACAACTAAATCCCTTGTTTGCTTCAATATATTGAATATCTAGCGCAAATGCTGGTATGTCACCATGCCGACAGCCCACAACCATGTTAGGTGCAAGGCAATCAGCGCTTTGACTTTGATGCGAATGGCAGTGACACATGCCCAGATCTTTGGCATCTACAATGGCTTTCGCCCCCTAGTGCATCGCCTTCATCAAAGCGGTGACGCGATGCTACCCTGGTGTTAAAAGCCAGTATCCCAGATATTCAGCTTGTTCTCTTTTCTTCAGTTTCATCTCACAAGTATTTCCCCGATTTTATTAGTTCGAATTTATGGCGTTTTGAAAATATAGACATCATTTTCGGCTAGCTCCTCACGGCTTCACTCAGCAAACCTGGTCTGTGGAAGGCTGCATGCGCTGCCCCGACGAACGCAGTTGTTCCGGTGAACCTATGGTCTGCCAACATCTGGTTTGCTTGGCTACTGAGACGGCTCTTCGCTGGGCTGATGAGTACCTCACCCGTGACGCCTGAATCGGTGTAGATCTTCTAGCGTGCGGAGCTTCTCCGCCCACTCCTCTATATTAATCTCATCAAGGCTGCCGCTAAACATTGGTATGGTTTCCGCCGTTTTTGTAAGCTTGTTACCCAGGGCAGCAATACCATGAAGGTTTACCGCACACAGCGTCGCTGAGGGGTCTGACTATTCCTGTCCCACTCCCAGGGGCTCGTCAGTCACAACCAGACTGGTCGCTTCATCGGCACCGCCTACCTTGTCTCGGGTGTTCATATTTTAAAATAAAATGAATTAAAAGACCCTAGGTTTTGAAATGGGATTATTGCATATAGAAGCAAAAGTAAGCTACAGAGGCATGGGAATGGCATATATATTGGCCATGGCACAATACAGGCGGGCCTATTCGTCTCGACTCTTGAACCGTGATCTCGCAGCAGTTCTAAACTTCAGACTCGTTTTCCAGTCACTCTGTAATTCAGGCAATATTCCTGAACGGTTCCGTCGTTCTACGGCCATTGCTGCCGATGCTTCTGGCACCACCCCTGCAACATAGAGGCTGCGCAAGAGGCGTGCAGCATCTGCAGGCGATTCTGCTGCCAGCAGCAGCGAACCAGCGCTGAAGCGCCTGCACTGAGAAGGCCACCAAGATGGGAGATGTCCAGGATCACCATTGCACCAACAACCATCCGACACGTTCAAATGATCGGTTCACCGTGATGCCCTTATCGACGTGTCAACCCATGCTGACTAGCAGCCGAGCTCGCATCGCGAGCAGAGCAATTCTAGTAGATAAGGAGAAGATATCGATAAATGTTTGTATCAGCTATGAAATGCAGAATGAAGCACACTCACTTGGAACACACGGTTATCATGGCATCTTTGTTTTATAATGAAAAACCAGAAAAGGAATAAATGAAGCAAGAGCACTGGTTAAAATATTGGCATCAAACACCTTCATTCCTGGCATATCGGTGATACACATTGTAGGGTGGCCAGTAAAATTGCCAACAGCTACAGTCCAAGCAATTCAGCTCATCCAGTTCGGCGACCATTGCAACAAAAAAAGTATGCAAAAAGCTGAGAAGAGTGGGATTCGAACCCACGCCAGTGATACTGACTGCGACCTGAACGCAGCGCCTTAGACCGCTCGGCCATCTTCCCAGACAACTCGCTGATTTCTGATCACAACCAGCCATTGATAATATTGATGAAAAACCGGTCGACTCTTAATTGAAACACCCTTTCAAAAAGCTACATATTGGTGAGACATCGAGTATAATGTGGCAGAGTCTGCTTGATTGCTGACCATAAATTCAGGCAATGCTAAACTATTGATCACCAGTGCAATATACTACAAGCGAACCGTTTTGCTGAAGAGACTACTGATACCTGACATGAAATACCAATTCCGTGTCAGTTTGCTTTATTTCTGTACATTGATGTCTACAATGATTTGAACTTATTCCTTAGGCCCAGTCGCAGATAGCGCTGCCACCCGAGCTCTTGCACTTGGTTCCAGCAGGGCACGGAATTGGTGGGTTCCAGTTGCCGTACACACAGACCTTGTAGCCCGAGTTTCCAGAATCGCATGCCATGGCACCGTGGGTGCACGATCCAGATCCCGAAGAACCAGTCGGGGCAGGAGCGGCAGGCGCAGAGCTCTTCGGGGCATGCGGAATGGGTTCGTCCTTGGGCGGCTTAGAATCACCCTTGGGCGGCTTGTCATTTCCTGAGTCGCTAGGAGCAGAGCTCGAGCCACCTGGAGAGATGGTGACCTTCGGGGCGTTATTGTAAAGCTCAATGCCTGTGTCATAGTTGCCGTTGAACTCGGCCATAGCCGGGTATCCAGGATAGTTGACAACGGTCATCTTCTTTCCGGTGTATGACTTGGACTTTCCACCCTTAATTGCGATATCGGCACAGTTCATATAGAATTCGCGGTTCCCTGACGCGTTGGCCCAGGTCCAGGCAAACACAGCCTTATCGGAGCTCGGAAGATCCTCAGGTAGCTTGAAGGTGTAGCTCATAACGGATGCAGTGTTCGTTACCGATGCTGGCTTGGACCCAACAAACATGTAGCGTAGAACCTCGTGGACGACAGCGAATGTCTTACCGTTGTCGTAAGAAATCGAGAACTGGCCGTGGCCGCCTGTGTTGTGATACTGGTAACTTAACGTGGTATATAACTAGTGACAGTAAAGAAACTAAGGAGGGCTGCTGACGCGCTGGCGTGTACTGAACTATATAGTGGGGCCACTATACTCTTGCGTATGCACTGTGGCGTGGATCTAAGGATCAGGATCAGTTATGCAACATCCTTCCCTTCCAGCCTGCACCTACGGTGGGTGGACTGAGCGTTGATATGCCCGCAATGTGCGTTGTGCATGCTTCAAGTTGTCTGCGGATATCCACTCATCGTGATCCCGTGTGTAACCCTTCCAGCGAACTAAGTATTGCCGCCCCTTTGTCCGGTGGTCCCGATGGTCTATGATCCCTTCGATCTCATGCTCACCCTGACCATCGATTGTACTCACGGCCGCCGGGCACCGCTGGTCCTTCCTGCGGAACCTTTCCGACTCGATATACTTCCTTACTAGTGCTACTGACACCACTGGATGTATGCGCAGTTCTGGGGGTAGTTCCAGGCGGACTGCATTCGGTCCGACCATTTCCACTACGGTGTATGGTCCAATATATCGGTCCTTCAAGGGTGCTGGTGTCTCGGCCATATATTCGGGAGTGGCTAATCGTGCCAACAAGTACACTCGATCGCCCGCCTGTAGTGGTAGTTTGTCACGGCCCTCGTTGTAGTACTCTGCCGACTCCCTGTTCGCCAACTCGATGTTATCTCGGATCTCCCTTGAAATGGTTTGTAGCTCTTGGATGCGCTGGCTTGTGGTGGTGCTGCTGGTTGCTTTCTCTATCTGTACCCCGTTGAGTAATCTGGGCGTATACCCATAATTTGCGTAAAATGGCGCGTACCGGGTGCTGCGGTTTTTGAAGGTATTGCATGCCCACTCCACAAATGGTAAGTGTTTCTTCCAGTCATTTTGGCGTCGGTTTACCACTGTCCTAAGCATCGTTTCAATGGTCCGGTTTGCCCTCTCCGTCTGCCCATCTGTTTGGGGGTGGTGCGCCGTGCTCATATTCAGCCTTGACCGTAGTAACTGGGCCATTGTCTTCCAAACAGTCGATGTGAACCGCGGATCCCGGTCAGATACTATCGAATCAGGTACCCCATGTTTGCAGAATACCCTGGTGAGTAGTAGCCATGCAACATCTTCAGCAGTTGCAGACATCGTCGTCGGTATACAGATAACCATCTTTGTCAGCCGGTCTACCACAACTAGGATTGCATCACAACCATCAGATATGGGTAGTCGTGTGATGAGGTCCATCGATATACTTGCCCATGGCCTTGCTGGTACCGCTAGGCTTTGCAATAGCCCATGTTTCTTAGCCTCGGGTTTGGCACGTTGGCATACGTCGCAGGATGCTACATATTTGGTTACGTCTGCCAGCATACCTGGCCAGTAGTATGATGCCTGTAGTTGCTGATACATACGGTTGATACCAGGGTGGATCGCTGCCAATGTATCATGGAACTCCGACAGCAGCAACTTGCGTACACTTCGCTTGGCCACACATCTCTTGTTGCTCCGTAATAGGTATCCATCCTGTAGTTTGTACTTCTGCAGCTGTGTGTCGCTTCGTTGTGTCTCCATGCCTGTCCCATTCTCCGCAGCTAGCAGCTGTTCCGCGATGCGTGCCAGGTCCTTGTCGCCCTGGTATGAATCCTCTGGCTTGGCCAATACTGTTGTCGTTGCGGTTGATACAGCATTGAGATGACAGCTTGTACCAGAGGAGCCAAATCCCTTTTTGCCTCGGTCATGTTGGCCTAACTTGTCCACTGCTTGTACGGCTACTATTGGTAGCATGTGTGCTATCATCTGTGCTACACGTTCGCCCACTGCGACTGCATATGGTTCTGCGCTGCTATTCCTCAGAATCACCGAAACTTCCCCTGTGTACCCTGGGTCGATCACTCCTCCCTCCACTGTAATCCCTCGTTTGGCTAGACTACTGCGGCTTATCAGCTGCATATACATGCCTGGTGGAGGTGTTACTGCGAACCCCACTGGTACTAGTTCTGTGGTACCTGGTGGGATGAACACGGCTCGCACTGATGATATGTCCAGACCAGCATCTGTCTGGTGGGCACGGCTAGGTAGGGTTGCACGTGGATGAAGTAATTGGATCTGAACGCTGTTCCGCTCACCTGTCCCCAGTTGCTGGATGTGTAGGCTATCCAAATCTCTAGCTGCTTGGCCCCCGATTGCTGAGCCCATGAGCTGATCCTCGTTGCTGTCCTCACCGGCCCGTAGCGCTGTGCGGACTACGTCTGGTATAGATTCTGTGTCTGACTCAGATTCATCGTGTGCCTCCTGCTGCTCCTGGTACGATCCCTCAAACCATATTGGTGGTGGTGGCGGTGATGCCAGCATTGGTGCATGTGTCGGCTGGGTCTCCATGTGGGTTGGTTCCTCATCTTGCGATCTGGCTACCTTGTCACTTTTGGTCATTGAGGAAACCATACCCCCCCGCGAGGTGCCTTGGCTTGGTATCTCCGTCTTGTCATAGTAGTCGCTTGGCTGTTGCAGGTCGGTACTTGAGTTAATCGCTGGGGCTTGAGACAAATGACCGTCGTATGCTGTCAAGGGTTCTGATGCTCCTACCCCTCCTGGTGGTCGTGATAGAGTGTCTGCAACTACATTCAGTTTACCTTGGCGGTATGTTACAGTAAACTCGAAATCAGCCAGCTCATCTAGAAACCGTGCGAACTGGTTATTTACTCTTGACTGTAAGCGTAGGTGCTTAAGTGCACACTGATCTGTGAGTATCTCGAATCCAGGGTCAATCAGGTAGTGCCGCCAGCTCCGCAATGCCTGGATTATTGCTAGCAGCTCCTTTACATAGATAGCATGCTTCATATCTGCTCGTGATAGCCGCTTTGACAGGTATGCCACTGGGTGCCAGCCATCCTCGTGATGTTGGTGGAGGACTGCACCAATGGCATGGTGTGATGCGTCAGTCTCCAAACGACGTGGCAGTACAGGATCGAATGGCCGTAGTACTGGTTTGGAACACAGGGCCTGTTTCAGCTCCTTGAATGCGGTTTGCGCCTCTGGCGACCAGCGGAACACGCCATTCTTGAGTAGATCTGTGAGTGGCCTAGCGATGTGTGCATAGTTGTTAATAAATCGTCTGTAGAAGTTGCACGATCCCAGGAAACGGCGCACGTCTGTCTCATCCCGTGGTTGCGGCCAATCTGCGATGCCCTTTAATTTGCCTGGATCCATTTCGATGCGATTGTGCCCTACAATATGTCCCAGAAACTCCACGCTATCCATGAAGAACTCGCATTTGCTGGGTTTGCAGTACAGCTTTTCCTGGCGTAGCGTCTGTAGAACTGCGTCGACGTGCTGCTGATGTGACACCCTGTCCCTGCTGAATATCAGAATATCATCGAGGTAGGCCAAACAATATGCATGGTGTCCTGCTAGCGCTTCTCGTATTGCTCGCTGGAAGGTGGGTGGTGCATTGCAGAGTCCAAATGGTAACACACGGTACTGGTATGTACCATTGTGTGTTCTAAACGCTGTCTTGGGTTCATCACCTGGCCTTATCCTTATCTGGTGATATGCCGCATGCAAGTCCAGTTTGCTAAACACATTGGCGCCACGCAATTTGTCTAGCAACTCATCGATACGCGGGATCATAAATGCATCCTTCTTGGTGACCTGGTTTAGCCGCCGATAGTCTATGCACATCCGCATGGTACCATCTTTCTTTTTCACAAACAGTACCGGGGCACCCCATGGTGATAATGATGGCTCGATGTAGCCTTGGTCCAGCAGTTCTGCCAACTGTCGTTCGAGTTCAGCTAGTTCGCCAGCTGACATCCTATATGGCGTCTGTGCGTATGGGCGTGCCTCTGGTTCCAGGTCTATCCTATGCTCTATGTGTCTCTGTGGGGGTAAGCCCTTTGGTGGCTCACACAGTATATCAGCGAACCTCTCCCTGATCTCCTTCGCTTCCTCCCCTCCGGCCACACCTCGTCTACCCTGCTCTGTCGTAACTGGTGTGATGATTGCGATCGTGACAGTATCAATGTCCTGGCTGCGTGTGTCAGAAGCTAATGTCGTGCAGAGCTCGTTGACTGAGATCAAATCAATGCTCTTTTCTCGCTGTGTCCTCGGCGTGCGCTGTACTCCATGGGCTCGTACATGGGCCCCGTTGTCTGCGACGAACTCCAATGTCTTGTTGCTGCAGTGTACAGATGCCTTATGTGCTGCCATCCAATCGAATCCTAGCAGTATATCTTCACTGATTGGAACGACCATGCACTTGAGCAGCGTCTGTGCATTGGTATCTCCCAATATAATCGGCATTGACACCGTCCACTGTGCTCTATAGTGCTCACGTCCGTCGGCCAGGTGTATAATGACATCACGTTCCATACGCGTCTGTTGTAGGCCTAGCTCCTTTGCTAGCCGTGGCGATACGCAGGTACCCTGTGATCCCGTGTCCACAAGAGCATGGTAGTTTCGCCCTTTTACTGTGCAGGCCAACAGCAATTGGTTTGAGGCAAGTCTTGAAGAGTGGAACGCAGCATTTATTGAAATCTTCATGCTGGCCACTGCAGGTGCGGATCTGGTGCTTGCATGGGCGGGTCCGCCTACTCTTTTCCCAAGGGGCTCCCTGAGAATGAGTCATCAGACTCGTTACCATTCTTCATATTGAGCTGGTTGACTCGTGCTGTGTTCTTGTTGCCTGTTGCACCCTTTTGGCGAGCTACATCACACTGGCGAAGTATGTGTCCCTCATGGCCACATGCGATGCACTTGCGTGCCTTCAGGCGTGCAGTGAACTCGTCATATGTCACCCAGCCTTTAACGCGGTCGAATAGCATACTTGAGCCTCCACGATATCCCATGGTTTTCTGTGAGCGGGTCTTCGCTGCGCGCACCTTCAAGTTGTCCACCTCCATAGGCTCACCATCCGTGGCTGAGCCTGTGATGCTCGACCTTGTAGTGTTGTGCGTGGTTGCAGAGTGGCGAGCAAACTGTAGTTCTTGGAGTGCGGCCGCCTTCCTACTGATGAGAGACTTGTCCGAGCTCCGCATAACAGAGGTCCGCATTGCCAACGGTAAGCATAGGACATACTGGTCAGCTAGTAGTGCATCGCTCTTAATCCCTGCTTGGCGCGCCAGTTGGTCGAAACGTGTGTTGAACTCGTTTGTCGACTCAGCACCTTCAGCAAGTGTCAGCTGCTGTAACTTGCTCAGCGCAATCACTGAATCTCCAGATGCTGCCTCCCGAGAGTCGAGGAAATCATACAGGTCGGAGAAGGAGTCCTGTAGCTTCATCGTTTCATTTACGACGCCCGTATTGTGACTATCCTGGTATGACGCCCAGGCATCCCGTAGCTCTGGTGAAATCGTTGCACTGGCTAACTTGAACCGGTCTCTCTCATCCGTTACGCAAAGTCCCTCGAACATATCCATCATGTCACGCTTCCAGCGTGTCAGGGACATTGATACCTTAGTTCCGGTGAACTTCCCATTTGCTTGTGCCCAGTTGACCGCCGTATTGAAGGCCCGGGAGAAGTCGGCTGTAGATAGCTTCATCATGGCTATTACCAATCAACGCCGATTGGAGTAACGTGCAAAGTTAGGTGATGCTACCAGGTGTTGTGATACTGGTAACTTAACGTGGTATATAACTAGTGACAGTAAAGAAACTAAGGAGGGCTGCTGACGCGCTGGCGTGTACTGAACTATATAGTGGGGCCACTATACTCTTGCGTATGCACTGTGGCGTGGATCTAAGGATCAGGATCAGTTATGCAACAGCCTGAGTGCGCAGCAATGTTGTCATGGAACTTGACTGTCACTGACTCACCAGCTGTCCAGGTGGCCGAGGGTGTTGCAAATGGAGTCGTGTACTTGCAAAACGGGTTCTTCTGACCCAGCGTCATCGAGCTGATGGGCGCGTTGATGCCACTGTCGAGAGACTGGCCACCAGGAACAGCAGGGCAGTTCTCGCCAAAAGGCGAGTAGCGAGGGCACGGGTACTTGAGCGAGGCATGGGCAGCAACGCTAGAAGCCAGGGCCAGGAGGGAAGTGACGGAGATGATGGTAGCCTTCATGATTGAATAGGTTGGTTGATGAGTTTGCTTGATGATTTTTGCACGACCAGCGTGTGATGATGAGGATGAATGCAAGATGTGATTGTTGTTGTTGTTGTTGGTTTGAAAATGCTAAGATTGAGGAGACCCATGGGGTTTTATATGAAAAGTCTGGAAGCGGCAATCCGCTTGAACCAGTTTCCACGGGTTGAGCACCTGCAAAGGAACCCTTTAGGCTGACAGGACCTAAAAACTAACCGACCATCCGCGTGCATCACCTCATACAGGCCTGCGGAATGAATGAGCATGTAAATGCAGCAATCACCCTCATCTCAGGCTAGGGTATTTTTAGAACATTGGGAGACCCAGGGATGCAAAGGATGTAAATCCTCTTTTCTGGATCGAATTGCAGGATACCACTAATGTAAGAAAGAAGGTTGAGGACAACATGGGGCTATTTTTGGATGCACGCAATTTAACATACAGGAGGTCCCTATTGAGGCTACCCGAAAATAGGATATATGACGTACAATATATTTTTTGCTAATACTAGAACCACTTTGCTCGCAATGTGAGCTCGGCTGCTAGTCAGCATGGCTTGACCCGTCGATGAAGCATCACGGCAAACCGATCATTTGAAGGTGTGGGATAGTTTTTGGTGAAATGGTGATCTTGGACATCTCTTGTCTTGATAGCCTGCTCAGCATGGACGTTTTTGCATTGGTTCACCATTGTGAGGCTCAAAAGAGCCTGGATCCTCTCAGCCAACTGAAACTATTTTAGCAGACTGTCAAGGACTATTTGGACTACAAAACCTTATTTAATAAAAGAGATATGCTCGACGGTACAAATAAAGGACAGTGTCGATAACTGTACACAAAAGATAGCATAGCAGTAACAAGTGCAGCTAAATACGGGAATGAATTGCGAGATCTGAGCCATCTACAAGCTGGTCATGCTGTCAAATGATTTAAAATCTAGAGTATGAATAATCAGTATTTACATGCCTAATCTGAAGAAGCCCTGTCATCTTCCTGCTGATTCAAAAAATAGTCACTGAGCCGAATCCGCTTTCCTTTCTTGACTATCATGGGAACTCCGGTACCCCATTTATATTTGATCTCATGCGTATTATCGTCTGCATCGTCATGCAAATGGTCTTGTGCGTTAGCCCACCATTCCTGAGGCTTGCGTACCCTTCTGCCCGAACGAGTGACCGAGGAATCCGCCGATCGTTGTCCAGACGGTGATTTGGTAGAGGGATTTTTCTGAGGAGTAACCATTTCTTCAGCTAGCCGCTGCTTTTTGGCCCTAGGCGTAGCTGGCTTGCTTGTGGATTGTGTGCGTCTGGATCTCCTCTGAGCAGAGCTCCGCACTGGCGTCCTTGTTTTGGATCTAGTGGTTGGTGAGCGAATATGCGGTTCTTCACACGCGGAGTCGCCCCCAATCTCAGTGAGCCGAGCCGCCTTGGTCTGTGAAAGGTGCAAGGCTGCGGTTGCTTGCTGCCTTCTAGGGGGTGTCTTGACAAAATCGTCGCTGAAATGTCCATGGTTGTCTTCTGCATCGCTGTCACTGTTTGCTGCAGGGGCTTGCTGCGGATTTATAGATATCCAGAAGTTATTCTCATCGTCAGAGGCGTCCTTTGCGCCACGTTCAGCATCTGGATCAGCATCTGGATCTGAATTGGCGCCCAGTTTCAGTGGATCGAGTGGGACCGGAGTCGACACCCTTTGAACACCAGGTTCAGGGCTGGCCACCATTGTACTACCACTGCCAACACCACCGCTACCACGATCATCATCACTACCCTCTGTGTCCGCCTCCTCCCCGTCGTTGGTCCTCATCAGTGACTGCTCTTCCACACCGGCATTCTGGTGATGCATGTTGCTGACAACACTGCTGGCCCGAGACGAACAGTTGGTGTCTAATAACGCTGCAGCCCTCCTTATCGGTGCTGTGGGCTTTTCCGTATTCAATCTTCTGAACTCTGACGAAAGCGAACCAGAGGATGGCGACAGCGACTGGTCAGCCATAAAGAACTGTCGTGCGGCTCCATTACTGGGAGATCGAGCGTCAATTGGCGCATCATAGCCGTAGTATCCTTGTTCTGACGCTAGCAGCACCCGAATGTAATCACTAACCACAATTCTCCAGTTTACTGGAAACCCATCGGCAAATTCCTGGATGATCTCGTCCGGGAGACCACGCCTTCTCGCGCCTTCGACACTAATCGGCCCAGCTAGACTATACTCTCTCCCTTTTGACGACAGAACGCGCTGGGCGCTGAAAACTCTTCTGATGTCTGATGAATACCGGATCATGGTCTCGCCGGTTTCCTTTGTTGTCAGACCGCCGACCAAAACCGTGTGCTTGTATACATCAATGAACACAAACCACTCACGCAGCTCTATTACTGTGGACGCACCCGGAAGTGCTATTCTCGGGCTCATCGGGAGTATTGGCCGCAGACTCCTTGGCATTTGCATGTGTGGGACTGGGGTCTGCGCATTGTATAATCTGAGTGGCCGTAGAGAGGTTGGGTACTCCACAGGCTGAAAGCGGCGGGGGTACGGGCTGAACACCGGCGGTCGTGGGCTCATACCACCAAGGCTCGGGGCATACCTCGGTATACCCCCAGTTCTTGCTGTTGGCTGTCGAGAGCTGGGTGTTGTATTTGGCTGCGCAAGGTGCTGCGGGTATGGTGTCCTGAACACGCCCTGGTCTCTCATTCTGTTGAACAAGTTTGTCTGGTTATTCGGCGTGTCGCTCATTTTCAAGGAAAAATGGCAGCGATGCAAAATGCAAAATATAAATTAACAGCGCAAGAGTAGAAAAACTGGAAAAGAGTGGAGATCAAAAGGAATTGTCAAGCCGGGGTCTGGCTCTGATGTCACCTAAAAACAGGAAAGTGATCACTTGCATTCTGCTGAGGGGGTTTCTCAAAGGATGTATATTGTACATAATTCAGGCATGCCTTTAAAAAATTAAACATCGCGCTATCTGTGGACGAGTAGTTGTCAGGCCAATTTTTTGTTGGTAGCTTAGAGCTCCTGCGAAGCAGCGCCGGCCTTCTTGCTCTTCTGGGGGAGCAGAGTGTTGTGGATGTTGGGCAGGACACCACCCTGGGCGATGGTCACGTTGCCGAGCAGCTTGTTCAGCTCCTCGTCGTTACGGATCGGCCAGCTGCAGGTGGCGGGGGATGATGCGGGTCTTCTTGTTGTCGCGGGCGGCGTTACCGGCCAGCTCGAGGATCTCGGCAGTCAGGTACTCGAGCACGGCTGCCAGGTACACGGGGGCACCGGCCGCGATGCGCTGGGCGTAGTTGCCCTTGCGCAGGTGGCGGTGGATACGGCCGACGGGGAACTGAATTCCAGCCTTGGACGAACGCGACTTGGGTCCAGCAGACGACGAGATACCGGCCTTGCCTCCAGACTTGCCTCCAGCCATTTTGATTTGGGTCTTTGTTTTTGGGTGCGTGGGTGCGTGTGCGTTTAAAAGCGACGGGTTGGGTCTTTGCTGTGGTGGAGCAAGAGCGAGAGAGAGAAAGTTATGTGTAGAGCGAGACTAGCCTGGCAGTCGGTGGGCTGTGTGGCATGCGGGCCTTTTATACGCACTGGCGCCGGCCTGCCCAGGAAATTCGATTCTGCCAAAATCGGGCCCGTGGACTGTGCCTCGATTCCAGCCAATCATGCACGCGGCCCATTTTCTGCGCTCTTTTTTTTCTTTTTTGTCCAGGGCGCTGGCGATCGGAGAAGCCAAGTTCGGCACGCCAGCACACTAGCAGCAAAAGGCCAGCAGAAGGCAGCAGAAGCAGCAGAAGGCCAGCAAAAAGCCAGCAGAAAAAGCAGCATGGCTGCGCTGGGTCCTCTGGCTGCAGCTGTGCGTGCTGCCGGAGCAGTGCCCTTGCTGCAAATTGCCCCGCTGCGCATTGCCACACGCGTCCACACGCGCACTGCTCCGGCAGAAGCCCTCGCTGCACCCGTCCCGACAGCGCCGGGCATGGCGCCGGGCATGGCGCCTCGATCTGGGCGCAACAAAATCACGGGTCAGAGGGCTGGGATCAGCCGGGCCAATCATCAGGCCCCAATCGAGACGCGCCTCGCTGGTGGATTTGTCTCGCATGGGGCATGGGCTCGGCGAAATTCTTATAAAAGCACGGCCAGCACCGCGCCTCGCTCCGGGCAGTGCTTTTCTTTTTCTAACTCCACGTTACTTTAACACACTCGCTACACCCACCACCACACGAACAAAAGACAAAATGGCTCCCAAGGTTTCCGACAAGCCCGCTACCGGCGGTAAGGCCCCCGTCAAGTCTGTTGGCGAGAAGAAGTCGCGCAAGGTCGTCCGCAAGGAGACCTACTCGACCTACATCTACAAGGTGCTCAAGCAGGTGCACCCCGACACCGGTATCTCGAACAAGGCCATGTCGATCATGAACTCGTTTGTCAACGACATCTTCGAGCGCATTGCCTCGGAGGCCTCGAAGCTGGCTGCCTACAACAAGAAGTCGACCATCACCTCGCGCGAAATCCAGACTGCCGTCCGTCTGCTGCTGCCCGGAGAGCTGTCGCGCCACGCCGTGTCCTGAGGGCACCAAGGCCACCACCAAGTTCGTCGCCGCCTCCAAGTAAATACTACCGAAGCGCATTTTGTCACCTTGTATGTAATAATAAAATTGCTTTGAAAAAACAACTTCCCAGAGGCGGTGACATTGGCATTTGAGACCGCGAAGGCGTGTATGCCGGCAATCCGATGGTGATTCCTGGGCCAAGGCAGCTTGATTATCCGTGGCTCGGTCCGTTTTTCATTGCTTACCGAATCACCGCCGGTGACTTTTTTTTGCTGATGGGTTGGGCCTTTATCAGCACTGTTCTTCCGCTGGCTCTCAATTCGAACTCTTATTTTTCCCTTTCTTTCCTTTCCTATTCTACACCTGTGTTCTAAATGTACGCGCTTTCAGGAAAAGTCAAAGGGAGCAGGACGCTGACGCAGCTGCACTTGGCCCGATCTACTACGGTGCGGCTTTACTCGGCGCCAACAGAATATGAGCGTGCCCAGCGGCTACGGGCGATGCTGAAGGCGCGGAGCACAGCCAGCAAATGGAACAAGGCGCCAGTGCCTCATGCTGACTCGCAGGTCCGATCCAACCGGCCGATCATTGGCGGCAACGCACGGAATCACCTCAAATCGGCGCATTCGGGTCCGATCTCTGGGCTGAAATCGTTCTTCGAGCAAGAATCAGCCAAGGCTACGGGCAAGGCAGCTGAGCCAGCAGCAAAGGCAGCGCCGACAGAGCCGGCAAAAGAGCTGGCCAAACCAGAGCACAAGGAGAAGCCCACGGCGACAGCTAGCTTCTTCTTCATGGGTAAGGGGTCAGGGGCGAAGACCGACGTGCTACCGTCGGCAGCGTGGAAAGAGAAGCTCCGGAAGCAGCAAGCGGAAGAAGCTCTGAAGGCAGCACGGGAGGCAAAAAAGTTTCCCAAGGAGCGGATGCCGCTGGGGACAGATACAGCGCCAGTATCGGACCGATCCAAAGGATGCGGTTGACGAGCATGCAACTGCAGTGCCGAAGAAGCGGCGTGAGTTTACAAAGCGCGAGACGCTGGCAGAGAAGAACAAAATGGCAGGCAAGAAGCCGCCGGCGCCACAGCGGCGAGAGCGGCGGCATGTGAGCAGGGCCACGCTGGGGATGGTGAGGAGCACGATGGCCTGGAGTTTGGCAGCGGAATTCTGGCGGCAGATACCCATGACGGCAGTCGGCAGGGACCGCGCAGACGGCGGCCAAAGAAATACAAGATGCCCAAGAAGGGCCAGGAGGTTATTCTGCCGCTATCGCTTACTGTCGATGGCCTGGCAAAGCTGCTGGACGTGCCAAACGACCATCTAATAGATAAGATGCGGGGTCTGGGCATGACGGACAAGCTGGCAAACGACTTTTTGCTGTCCAACGAGGAGGCAGCAGAGATTGCGCTCGAGTACGACGTGGTGCCGATTATCCCCGAGAACAACGGACCGGAGCTATATGCCCAGCCCGAGCCTGAGGACATGTCGGTGCATCCGCTGCGGCCGCCTATCGTCACAATCATGGGCCATGTAGACCACGGAAAGACCACACTGCTCGATACCTTGCGCAACTCGAGCATCACCGCGACTGAGGCTGGCGGGATTACACAGCATATTGGCGCGTTCTCGGTAGAGATGAAGGGCGGACAGCACATCACGTTCCTGGACACGCCCGGCCACGCAGCGTTCAGCGCGATGCGGGCACGCGGGGCCAACGTCACGGACATTGTGGTCTTGGTGGTAGCTGCTGCTGATGGAGTCATGCCGCAGACCAAGGAGGCGATCCAGCACGCACAGGAGGCGGATGTGCCGATGATTGTGGCCATCAACAAGTGTGATAAGCCTGGTGTGGATCCGTCGATAATCAAGGAGGAGCTGCTGCAGTATGGCGTGCAGGTCGAGGACTTTGGCGGCGACATCCAGGCAGTCCAGATCTCAGCATTAAAGGGGACTGGTGTCGATGAGCTTGCCGAGAACATTGCGACTCTGGCTGAGGTTCTTGACCTGCGTGCCGAGACAGACATCCCGGTGCATGCGTCGGTGATCGAGTCGCAGCTGGAGAAGGGCCGCGGAAACGTTGCATCGGTGCTGGTGAGCCGCGGAACGCTCCAGGTGGGTGACGTTGTTGTGGCTGGATCTGCGTGGTGCAAGGTGCGCAGCATGACCGACGACCGCGGCAAGTCGGTCAAGAAGGCCGGGCCGGCATCGGCGGTCAAGATCATGGGGTGGAAGGAGCTGCCCCAGGCAGGCGACTCGGTCCTGCAAGCCACAAGCGAAGCGCAGGCCAAGGAGGTGGTGGACAACCGCGTAGAGAAGCGCAAGAACAAGGAGAAGCTGCTGGAGCTTGCGGCAATGAACGACCGGCGGCGGGAGAACCACGAGCGCGACGATAGCGAGCGGGCGCAGGAGAAGGCGTTCAAGCTGGCTGTGTGGGAGTACCACCAGGGAATCAGAGCCACATACCCGGACCCGCCTGTCCGCAACAAGAAGGGCGAGGCCCAGGGTGAGGCTGCAGCGCCAGAGAACGACAGCGCTGCTAGTGCTGAGAGCTCGGTCAAGGTTGTCCCGGTGGTGATCAAGGGCGATGTGTCGGGGACAGTCGAGGCAGTGTCCGACTCGCTGAAGCAGCTGCCGGACAAGAAAATCAAGATCAACGTCGTGCACTCTGGCGTTGGGCCGGTCAGCGAGTCGGATGTGGTCATGGCGGGATCTGCCGGCGAGGGCCTGGTCATTGCGTTCAATGTCAAGGCAGACAAGAAGATTCAAGCGGTGGCCAAGCGCGAGGGCGTCAACGTCATGACATTCCGCGTCATTTACAAGCTGCTGGAGGACATTGAGGAGCTGCTGGCGTCCAAGCTCGAGCCATTGCTGGTTGAGGAGGTGCAGGGCGAGGCGGTGGTGCAGCAGGTATTTGAGATCACGCTCAAAGGCAACAAGACGACGCAGATTGCTGGCAGTCGCGTCACTATGGGCTCGGTGACGAAGAAGGCCAAGGCGCGCGTCATGCGCAAGGGCAAGGAGATATTCACAGGCGACGTCGAGTCGCTGAAGAACGTCAAAAAGGACATCGCCGAGGCAACCAAGGGCCAGGAGTTTGGTGTCTCGTTCACTGGGTTCGAGGACCTCCAGGAGGGCGATATTGTGCAGTCGCTGAGATTCAAGGAGATCCCGCAAAAGCTCGAATAGAAAAGTTCTGAGATGCGTACTTTTTTCTTTGGAGGTTATTTACACGGCGACAGGAAGGAGCCGCATATTCGCATAAAGCGCTCACCGCAGAGCCGCCACCGATGCAATGCTCTTTGTCTCCTTTACTATCTCTTTTGCACAGCACTCTTTTCATTAGAACGACATCTAGATACACAGAGTAACTCGCAGCATGACAGGTAAGGTTCCGGACGCAGAATGCGCTGTCACAATTAGGGCTCCGCAATGTACCAAAAAGGTCCTAGACCCCCCACCACACATACGCCCTGTAGACAGCAACAGTGGCGCTCGCGGCGAAGAGTCTCCGCTGTTGGCGCAGAGCATGGCATCGACGGGCGCATCCGGCGGGTACATTCTGCCTGCACCAGCGCGGGCAAGACAGTCACCGCGTTTTGCAGCGGCGAACCAGGGGCTGCGGTGGAACGGCAGTGTGCTGAGCAAGCGGTGGTGGTCGCGGCGGATCCGCTACTATGTGCCCATCGTCGGATGGCTGCCCAACTACAAGATCGCAAATCTGGCAATAGATGTAAAGGCCGGATTCATGGTCGCCTGCTTGCTGGTGCCGCAGGCTTTGTCTTATAGCTCTCTGACGCACTTGCCACCAGTCAGCGGGCTGTACACTGCTTTGGTACCGGCGCTGATCTATGGCATGCTGGGCACGTCGCGGCACTTGTCAATGGGGCCGGAGGCGCTGGTATCGGTGCTGACAGGTATGGTGGTGAAGAACCAGCTCAAGCACCTGTATTCGGCATATAAGCCGCATGCACCGCCCGAGAGCGCGGTGGATGAGTTTGCGGTAGCTGTGGCCAGTGTGGTGGCCCTAGCATCGGGCATATTCACGTTTGCATTGGGCATGTTCCGGTTTGGCTTTCTGGACTCGATGATCTCGGAGTCATCGTTGCGCGGGTTTATTAGCGGAGCGGCCATTGTTGTGCTGATCGGCCAGATGCGCATTGTGCTTGGGCTGCCCGCGCCCAGCGCCGTGCACTCGACGCCTTGGCACGATCTGAAATATATGCTGTCACATTTGGGCCAGACGCATGTCGCCACAGCGTTGATTTCGCTGGGCGCACTGATGTTCCTGCGGTTCTTGCGGGTGACCAAGAAGCAATGCAAGAGCGCACAGTGGCTGCAGAACGTGCCTGATACCCTGGTAGTAATCATCCTGACCACGATAATCTCTGGGATACTACGGCCTGCAGGCAGACTACGAGGTATCGGTGTTTGGTACGGTTGATGGCGAGCTGCCGAGCTTTGCAATCCCACAGATTCCACAGTACGTTGACGCCAAGGATGTGATTTCATCGGGAATCACCATTACTATGATCGGTGTTGTTGAGTCGGTTATTGTTGCCCGCGAGTACGCAAGCCGCAACCACTATGCAGTGTCGTCGAATCGCGAGCTGGTTGCCTTGGGCGTGTCGAATATCTTGGGGTCGGCGTTCGGTGCGTACCCGGCGTTCGGCTCGCTGGCCAGAAGCAAGCTCAATGACCGCGCCAAGGCACGCAGCCAGGTGTCTGGCATTGTCGCAGCACTCCTGGTGCTGGTTTCGCTGCTTGGGCTGCTTCCGTATCTGTATCATCTGCCGCTGGGTGTCTTGGCCGCAATCATTGTCGATGCGGTGATCTCGCTGCTAACCGCTACTCCGCGTGCGATCGTGTTCCTGACGCGCGTGCAGGCGTGGGCAGATCTGTTCCTTTTGGTGTTTATCTGCGTGTGCAGCGTGGTTGCGTCGGTCGAGGCTGGCATTCTGCTGGCGGTGGTCATCTCTTTGGTGATGGTGATTAAGCGCTCCAATATGCCCAAGATCAAGCTGCTAGGCCGGTCGACCAGCAGCTGCGAGTTCCGGCCAATTGACAGTGCATCGGCGGTGGCCACGCCGCGTCGCCACGACTCGTCTGCGGATATCACTGGCCAGGCACCCCACGATGTCGAATTTGACGAGGACGACGAAAGCTACGAGGACGACGCACGTGTCGAGCACGTCGAAGGTGTGCTTATAGTGCGTGTCGAAGAGCCCCTGTACTTTGCCAATGCTGGTCAGCTCAACGCCAGATTGAACCGCTTGGAGCTGTACGGCGACATGCGCGTGCATCCCTCGGAGGATCCGCGGATGAAGCCTACGCGCGCCGTGATCTTTGACGCAGTGGGCATGTCGGATATCGACGGCAGCGCTCTGGAGATTCTGCTGAGCATTATTGCCGAGTACGGCCAGCGCCAGGTGCGCGTCGCCTTTGTCCGGGTGTGTCCGCATGTGCGGGTTCTGTTTGAGCGGGCCCGCATGGAGCAGAAGGTGGGAGGCACGTACGAGTTTGACGATATCAACGAGGCATTAGCATATATGGAGGACCACATTGCAGGGCCCAACTAGTATTGACAATTAAATATATATAGACTCTAGTGTGTGGCCTTGTGTGCTGACAGGTCGATGGCCTCGTTCTCTTTCCAAACGCCGGTGCCATCATCCAGCTGCTCTTTCTTCCAAATCGGCAGGCGGGCCTTGAGGCTGTCTATCAGGAAATGGACCGCATTGAGGCCATCAGCCCGGTGCGCCGACGATACTGCGATAATCACGCTGGTCTGGCCAACCCCGACCTCGCCGATCCGGTGGTGCATTACTGTGCCGAGCAAATGGTACTTGCTGCGGGCCTCCTGAACCACCTTCATCCATTCTTTGCGCGCCATCTTCTCGTATGCTGTGTACTCGAGCTTCAGTACTCTCTTTCCTACAGGCATCCACAGCAATGAGTCACCGAATACAGGCTAGTTGCCGGTGGCAATTGTCTGCTGCGGTCGTAGAACGTCTCCTTACCGTTGAATGTGCTGCGGGTTGTTCCCTCGAATGTTGATATGGCACCAGCTGCGTCGTCGCGGACCAGGTTGCAGGCAGTGTCGAGGCTCAGGGGCTCAGACGATATCAGGAAATGGTCGAATTCTTCGCTCGCTTCTTTGTGGTGGTCCGGCACGTATCCCTCGGGCAGCTGGTGGCTACAGCAGGTCATAGACTGGTGTGTATGCGACGACATGGTTGTAGAAAAAAAGCGATAAGAAATAGCAAGCAGAGAAAAAGAGCAGAAACAGCGGGCTTCTTGCTTCGCACGAGTCTGGCTCCGCCCATTTTATGCACAGACCCGTGACCTGCCAAAGCAATTGGCTGCGAGTTCCTGAGATCCACTGGCTCATGCAAGCCCGCCAGAGCGGGTTTCAACGGGGAATTTTTGTGCTGATCTCTAGAAACTATCTACTGCTTGACGCTATCGTTCAGGCCTTCCTTGTTCCGGGCAACCTCGACACAGTAAAACTGGGTCCGTGTGACAAACATCGAGTTCTCCTCGGTGTAGTCTCCCTTGCAGTCAATGCGCACCAGCGAGCCAAAGTTGAAATCCTTGACCCTCTTCTCGTACTTGTTGATAAAGTCGCGCCATGCAGCCTTGGCCTTCTCGGTCTTGAACTGCGCCTCATCCAGCACGTCTAGCTTGAGGTCGGGGAAATGCGCCTTGAGATCCTCGTAGAGCTCGTCGTCGATGGGCGTGAGCTTGAGGTTCTTGCCGCCGACCGCCTGCAGCAGCTTCATGTAGGTCTCGGCGTGGTGCATGGCCTTGACAGCCCACTGCATCTCCATCTCCACCATGTTGGCGGTCTCCTCGGCCTTGGGAAGCGACATGATTTTTTTTTTACAAGAGCGTTAGAAAGATGCTGAAAATTTTTTGTTTGCACCCGATCAGACTTGCAAGAAAAGCCGGTTCCCCAACCCTCGCGGCAGACTGATCCGGGTTGGGTTATGGAGTAACAGAAGATATTTCTGCTGCAATTCACTGTAGTGCAAGGCGCCTATTGTAGCCTCGACTATTCTGTGGCCAGAAACCGCGGATGATAAAGTGCCACGCGGCTGAAATTGGGCGTTGAATCAGCCCTGCGCTCTACACAGGGCAGTACATGCTATGTGACTAAAAAGAAGACTCCAAGGCCCTTTGGAGACAAACCGCAGCACCAGGCGCCGGACCGTCTGCTCTTCGCGAGACTTTCTGCTAGGTATAGCGCGCCAGCAATCGGAACTCCCTTTGGTACAGCATATCGATATGCTCGTACCAAAGCACGCCAGCATGTATTGACTTGAGGTTATAAAAAAACCATTCAGAGAGAAGCGCGGCCCCGTCTAAAATTAGCACAGGCATTTATTTTCGCTGTGCTCCACACACCAGCCGAAGATCATGTGGACGAAGGAATGGCCCCTTGCAATTGCGCTCACAGCGAGAAAGCCTCTTGTTCCGTCGCTGGGGATTTTATAATCTCTCTCTCTCTCCTGTATTCAAGCAAAAACAGTTATTTTATTCCTCCCCCTTTCCCTAATAAGCCTTTCGGAAGGAGCACAAAAAGAAGGGACCCAGACACTGCAGCCCACCTCTCCTTTTCCCTTATAATTCTTCTCCTCTCTATTAACCTCTCTTCTTCAAATGGCCACCCCCGTGTTTTTGCCACCAAACTTTGCTGGGAGCATCGCGTTTTCCAAGGACACGGACCGGAGCAGCAGTAACTCGACTCCCCAGCCCACCAACGGGACCGGAGCCCCGCCAAATACGCGGAGGGCAGCGTCAGCCGGCCCCCCTGTGGTTAGCAGCGACAGCACATTGACCACGGCGGAGCTGGACAACCATCTACGACAAGCTCAGCACAGTATCCAAGACACTGAGCAAGCTGGACCCAACACTGCCGCCCGAGGAGGTAGAGGCGCCAGACCAAGAGCCAATCACAGTAACCACCAACCCAGAGGACTCGCAGACGCCGCCAGAGACTGACGCAGGCTGGCTGTGCCAAGGACTGTGCGTGCCACCAGGTCCTTACTATAGCCAGCCCTGGGGCCTGTGGCATCTGCGGCGGGCGGCCTGAGATCCTGGCGTCCCTCCACTCGCAGCGCACGGCGGTACAGGACGACCTTGACGTTGCCACTCAGCGCATCAACGAGCTGGCGCTGGAGAAGGCACGGAACGCCGACTACATTGCAGATCTCGAGGCACGTGTTGCAGCGCAGAGCAGGACAATCGACGAGCAGCGGGATGTGGTGGCAGGGCTGAAGAACGATCTGTCGGCGATGAATGACAAGTTTGTGGACCAGGTCAACATGACAGCGGAGATTGCACACTCGCGTGAGCTGGTGGAGGCGGAGCTGGAGGATCTAACGCAGAAGCTGTTTTCTGAGGCCAACGAGATGGTGGCTACCGAGAAGAAGGCCAGATTTGAGGCCGAAAAGACCAGTGCCCATCTGCGCAACATCATCAGCGATCTGGAGACGCGCCTGAGCAGCGAGACCATGCAGTCGCAGGAACTCAAGGAGCGCATCGAGCAGATGAGTGCCGAATACGACGACATGCTGATGCGTACGGCTATGCAGACCAGCCGCCGCGGCAGCATCGGCTCGCACGACAGCGAAGCTGCCATGTCAGTGCGTGAGGCAAGTGCTGGCCCGTCTTCGGCCGGCATGCCAGGCAGTGTCGTGAGCGACGGGTTCCGGCTCGCGGTTCACACAGCGGCAATCGTCAGTAGCACCCGGTCGATTTCCGGTTCGCCTGTGGCATCAGCGCCGATCCGCGTGGACGACGTGCTTCTGGGCGAGTTTGAGGAGTTTGCCAAGCTAGCGCAGACCCCGCGGTCGACAACGTATATGAACACGGCGTTCATGAAGCACGTGGTGAGCGAGGACATTGAGCCGTGTCTGCGGTTCGGTCCGCACCCGCGCATCTCGTCGCACAACGTGCTGGAGGCGATCGTGTCGAACAAGCTCCAGATCGAGGAGATGACGCCGCAGGTGGCTGCCGAGATGCGTCGCCAGCAGCTGGCAGTCGAAAAGACCAACAGCAACCGGCAGGCTATGCTATGGGAGCGCTTCCGGGGTACCGTGGCCGTCAACCCGCATGGGTGCCAGGCGTGCGGCCGCGAGGCTCAGTGCACATATCGCTTCAGCATGGGCCAGCGCGACGTTGAATGGATCCAAGTCGACTCGTACTGCCGCGACCGCCTGGTGGCTGTGTGCGAGTTCTACGGTTTTGTGCGCTACCTGCGCCAGGGCATCTACGCGTCGCGTTCCATCATGGACATGTACCAGGAGACGATCCACCGCCGCCTCTGCATGTTCTACGCGCGCGTCGGCGCCTACGCGTACGCCTCCAACATTGACCCCTCGCTGGTCGAGTCTGTGGCCATGGCGCGCAGCGCCCAGCTGGCCGGCTACTCGCCGCAGCAGTTTGCCCAGCAGTCGCCGAGCCTGCACTCCATGTCACCCATGAGCGCCCCATACCTGCACCAGGGCAACCACACCGGCAGCACGCCGAACGTGAACCGCCTGCCGCCGATCAGCTCGCCGCCGCAGTTCCCGACCGATGCTAATAATAACCGCCATCGCAGCCAGTCCGAGGTCGTTTCTGGCTATGCCCGTGCCCCCGCTGGAGGGCCTGGACAGCAGTGTTGCTGCTGTGTCGCTGGATCCGCTGCCGACGCATACACAAAAGAACGAGCTGTCCACAATATCAGAGAACGAGTCTCAAAACTAATGTCGTACTTTTAGACTTTCAGCTAAACCCCCCATACATCACTTCAACAGTACGCTCAATGCATGTACATGGCACATTATACACAGTGCCATGCGACGAGACATCCAGAGCATGTGTCGGTTGAATACAAAGACCACTTGAATAAAGTGCATTTTATTGTTGAGAAGCAATTAGAAACGCGCTTTAAGCCGAGAGCACGACAGCACCGCCGGTGGCCTTGATCTTCTTCTCAGCCAGACGCGAGACGTAGCGGGCCTTGACGATGATGGGCTTGCTGGGCAGGCGACCGTTGGCCAGGACCTTGGCGTAGCCGCCGCGCAGAACATCGACAACCGGAGCGAGCTCCTTGTTGGCGGCAACCTGGGCCTTGGACTCGCCATCGACAAGAGTCCACAGCTTGTCAACGTTGATGACCGGGCGCCACAGCTTGTTCTGCGTCTTGTGGAAGTAGCGCATACCGACCTTACCGAAGTAACCCGGATGGTACTTGTCCATGTGGATGCGGTTGTGGTGCTGACCACCAGCCATACCGCGACCACCAGAGTGCTTGCGGTGCTTGCCAATACGACCGTGACCGGCAGAGACGTGTCCACGCAGCTTGCGATTGTGGCTAAAACGGGTCGGCTATAAAAGTAAAACGCAACGAGTGTCTTTGATTAGCAAGCCTTGTCAGAGTTAGCGCAGCGGTCCATTCCGCCCGCCGAGATTCGGGTCTGAGAGGGCAGAGGGGTGTTGTGGAGGGAGACGGCAGCAACTTGGCGGGCCATTCCAGCCCAGTCCGAATGCTGAAGCTGCGAATTTCTAGCCCCAAAATTGGGACACATCCCGCCCGCCCGTTTGACCGATTTCCCCCGTATCCATCCACCCCTCGTTGAATCCGTCGCGTACTCAGAAGTGCGATTCGGTTGTGCATACCATTTTTCGAGTTTAATTTCGTTCCGGAAAGGATAATGCTGAAAAGAGGGTGACCCAGCGCCTGTCTGCCTGCGCGCGCCAAATACACTGGCGCTCTTGTCGCATCGAAAAGCACACGCTGCGATCAGGCGGAAAGAGTACGATTCATATAAAATCTAATTCGGCGTGATTGCTCTGGTGATTTTATCAGGCCCAGCAACCATCACTTTTTTTTGCCGAAAGTTTTTCAATTCTAAGCGCACCAGTAGTGCCAGCAGGCTTTCCCCAGCACCGTCCTCGCCCCTTTTCGCTTGCTTCTGTACTTTCCTCCCAACCCCCTCCAATTCCACCACAATGAGACCCCTGACTGACGACGAGACAAAGGTGCTGTTCGAGAAGCTGACCAAGTACATTGGCCGCAACATCGTGCACCTGATCGACCGGCCGGACGAGCCGTACTGCTTCCGGTTACAAAAGGACCGCGTATACTATGTCTCCGAGAGCATCATGCGCAAGGCGACCTCCGTGGGCCGCCACAACCTGATCTCGCTCGGCACCTGCTTTGGCAAATTCACAAAGACCGGCAAGTTCCGCATGCACATCACCGCCCTGCCGCTGCTCGCACAGTACGCAAAGTACAAAGTCTGGGTGAAGCCCAACGGCGAGATGCCGTTCCTGTACGGAAACCACATCGTCAAGGCGCATATTGGAAGGGTCACTGAGGATACTCCCGAGCACCAAGGCGTGGTGATCTTTAATATGGCGGATGTGCCCCTGGGCTTTGGTGTCAGTGCGCGGTCTACTGTCGATATGCGCAAGGTCGACCCGACCGGCATTGTTGTGTTCCACCAGTCCGATAACGGCGAATATCTGCGTGAGGAGGACGCGCTGTTCTGATAGATTATGTGAGAAGAAATACATGCTGAGCGGAATTTTATGCTACAAGCGCCACCTCTTGATGTGGTGGGATATGCGCAAGGCAGTGGCTGCGCCATGATGCGCGTGATGCACATGGGTGGAGAGCCTTGGCTGTTCTAAATTTACAACAAAAGAGCGCGGGGTGAGTTCTGGAGGAATAAAACACGCTCGAATTTAAAAGTCTGGAAAAACAGTAATTTTTGGCCCCTACTGGGTCTTCTTGGCCCTGCTGGCAGCCCGCTTCTTCGAGTATGTGCGCTGGAAGAACTGGATGAACAGAAGCAGGTACGACGACAGCAGTGCGCAGCCAAAGATCGCAGCCTCCTCAGTTCCCTGGCAAGTGCCACGGTACGGCAGCATGCTCGAGTAGTAGCGCGAGGCAATGAGCTGGTACGTGCAGTAGTAGACAAAGCCAAGATCAATGATGAACTGGACGATCTGCATGGTCGTAACATACTTCTTCCACCACGGGTGGATGCCGCACGACGCAAGGAAGTAGTAGAAATACATGACAACGTGCACAGCCAGATTCAGCGTGATGACAACCCACGACACCGACGTCTGTCCGTTGAGCTGCGTGAAGCACAGAACCATGGTCAGCGTGTGGTGGTAGACGTGGAGGAACTGCAGCGGCTTCTTCTTCAGCGCCAGGAAAACAGTGTCAGTGAACTCGAGCCACTTTGTCAGATAGTTGAGGAAGTACAGGACCTCGAGCTTCTGCGTCCATGCCTGCTCGTCGCACACCGAAAAGAACAGACCGTGGCTGGCCAGCATGGGGGCCAGCTCCTCGACAAACAGCACAAGGAGGACGAACGACGCTGCAGTCAAGAACAGGTTGTGGATCTGCGCTGCGCGCTGCAGCTTGAATGCCTTGCGCGAGCGCATCAGGAACTGGATACCGAAGATGGTCGTCAGGTAAACTACCATGCCGATGCCGACCTCCTTCCAGGTCGAGAGCGGCGTCGAGCCGTTCACCCAGTGCCATTGTGACTTGTCAACACCAAATGCCTTGTACGCTTCGCCCAGCCATGCGTCTGGACTGTAGACGTTGAAGGGAGCTGCCACAAGCTGCTCTGTGGGAATGCCGCTGCTGCTCATAACTGCGCTGAAGGGATAGACTGATCGGGCTCTATGGAATAAATAGGTTTGTGCTTGCTTGCTGTTCAAGGAGCGTAGCGGGAATTCAGCCTCTGAACTGGTAATTACTGCAACAGATGAGAGAAAGGTAATATGAGCTGGTGCGGGGACGAAGGGGAGAAGCGCTTTCGCCAGGTAACAAAATAGGTTTGAAAGTGCAGAGGTGCGACTGATGCCTTTCAGGTGTATGTTGGGGGGAGTGGGAGAGGTGTCAAGGGGAGGTTTGAAGGCGACGGGACGGTGCTTCTATATAGACAGACCGGCAGGTGAGGCGGGTGATGAAAAGCGGGAAGAGGTGTATGAGAAAGCGAGGCGGGTGTCGGAAGACAGTAGAGAAAAATTATAACCACCAAGAAGCAGGAAGCAAGAAAGGACTGGTCAAGGGAGAAGCAGAAATTTATGTAGTGGACATCTTGCGGACAACTGGGGCCTGATTTGTCGCGGCACCTTTCTATACGGCTCAAAAAAACTGCTGTCGAGTAAACAAAAGATTTTTTGGCCAGACCGCGTCCACCGCTCCCCCAGCCGGAACGAGACAATAACCGCCTACCGGTGGAGCCAATCGGCGTGGTGGCTGCCACTCGCGAGCCCTTCGCATGCCGATTATTTCTCCTACATGAGCTCCACCCGATAATCAAGCCTCTGCGCGCTTGGTGCATTGACGCCTTGCTGATTGATAGTCCTCCCAGGACATCTGTCGACCAACAAATCCGCGCATAGAATTCGGTGCTCAGGTACAAGGCTGACTCCCCTGCTGGGCGCACTTGAGCTGCACAACCACCTTATTGCCAATAGCGTTGGGGGTACATGGAAGGACTGTCGCTGCCACCTGGTCCCAACGAGCATCCAATGCAGCTCACGCATGTGAAAGCGTATTCCTGCTAGGCACCTGTCTTTCGCAGTATTCTGAGAACCGCACGTGATTTACAGTATGATAGAGTGGGCCATGATGGCCCTTAGCATTGTGATAGCCATATCTGAACTGTGACGGCTCTTGAAAGGTGGTAGCAACGCCAGCACACTCATTCCAAGGGGTTCCTAGAGCTCGCAGATAAGCTGCTTTTTGTTGAGCCAAGGATACGTGGAGCTTTCCTAGCAATTAAGAGAATTAATTTCTTCACGAAAGGAATGCATGGGTTGTACTGCTAGATAAGATAATGGAGATGTGGTTGCGATAGCAGCAGGAAACTTCCACGTCAAATATTGGCATGGAATAATAGGTAACATTGTCGCTGCCACTACATCTGGCATGGAACATACCTGACAACCCTTACTCAAGGATACCAGTATGAGCTCGGTTATCTGGTGTTTTTGAGGATACTGCTGGGTTGGTCGATTGGTCTATTCCGAGCCGGAGCGAGCCACGAGCCAGTTTGCAAAATAGGGAGCCATCACGACGTTTCGAGTTGAACAAAAAGCGTTCATGCGCAAACTCCTAACTGCATATCCAGAATTGGTCTTTCGTACATGGCTCAAGAAGGCGAGTGGGTTATTTTTGAAATGTATAATTACATGGCAAACTCAAGCTGTTGAGAAAAAAGCTAATCGCGTAAAGGTAGTGTGTGATTAAGATGGTCCAACAAAAAGACGACGCGCAATTCTTCAACCGTTCCGCGTTTTTTTGCGTTCCTTGCAGTTTACTTGGAGGCGGCGACGAACTTGGTGGTGGCCTTGGTGCCCTCGGACACGGCGTGGCGCGACAGCTCTCCGGGCAGCAGCAGACGGACGGCAGTCTGGATTTCGCGCGAGGTGATGGTCGACTTCTTGTTGTAGGCAGCCAGCTTCGAGGCCTCCGAGGCAATGCGCTCGAAGATGTCGTTGACAAACGAGTTCATGATCGACATGGCCTTGTTCGAGATACCGGTGTCGGGGTGCACCTGCTTGAGCACCTTGTAGATGTAGGTCGAGTAGGTCTCCTTGCGGACAACCTTGCGCGACTTCTTCTCGCCAACAGACTTGACGGGGGCCTTACCGCCGGTAGCGGGCTTGTCGGAAACCTTGGGAGCCATTTTGTCTTTTGTTCGTGTGGTGGTGGGTGTAGCGAGTGTGTTAAAGTAACGTGGAGTTAGAAAAAGAAAAGCACTGCCCGGAGCGAGGCGCGGTGCTGGCCGTGCTTTTATAAGAATTTCGCCGAGCCCATGCCCCATGCGAGACAAATCCACCAGCGAGGCGCGTCTCGATTGGGGCCTGATGATTGGCCCGGCTGATCCCAGCCCTCTGACCCGTGATTTTGTTGCGCCCAGATCGAGGCGCCATGCCCGGCGCCATGCCCGGCGCTGTCGGGACGGGTGCAGCGAGGGCTTCTGCCGGAGCAGTGCGCGTGTGGACGCGTGTGGCAATGCGCAGCGGGGCAATTTGCAGCAGGGCACTGCTCCGGCAGCACGCACAGCTGCAGCCAGAGGACCCAGCGCAGCCATGCTGCTTTTCTGCTGCTTTTTGCTGCCTTCTGCCTTCTGCTGCCTTCTGCTGCCTTTTGCTGCTAGTGTGCTGGCGTGCCGAACTTGGCTTCTCCGATCGCCAGCGCCCTGACAAAAAAGAAAAAAAGAGCGCAGAAAATGGGCCGCGTGCATGATTGGCTGGAATCGAGGCACAGTCCACGGGCCCGATTTTGGCAGAATCGAATTTCCTGGGCAGGCGGCGCCAGTGGTTATAAAAGGCCCGCATGCCACACAGCCCACCGACTGCCAGGCTAGTCTCGCTCTACACATAACTTTCTCTCTCTCGCTCTTGCTCCACCACAGCAAAGACCCAACCCGTCGCTTTTAAACGCACACGCACCCACGCACCCAAAAACAAAGACCCAAATCAAAATGGCTGGAGGCAAGTCTGGAGGCAAGGCCGGTATCTCGTCGTCTGCTGGACCCAAGTCGCGCTCGTCCAAGGCTGGAATTCAGTTCCCCGTCGGCCGTATCCACCGCCACCTGCGCAAGGGCAACTACGCCCAGCGCATTGCGGCTGGTGCCCCCGTGTACCTGGCTGCCGTGCTCGAGTACCTGACTGCCGAGATCCTCGAGCTGGCCGGTAACGCCGCCCGCGACAACAAGAAGACCCGCATCATCCCCCGCCACCTGCAGCTGGCGATCCGTAACGACGAGGAGCTGAACAAGCTGCTCGGCAACGTGACCATCGCCCAGGGTGGTGTCCTGCCCAACATCCACAATACTCTGCTCCCCCAGAAGAGCAAGAAGGCCGGCGCTGCTTCGCAGGAGCTCTAAATCTCTTACTAAGGCTACATCTGAAAGCGTTATCGTATTTTTCCACATAAATTTCATTTTGTAATATAAAAATTTTGGAAAATCAGTGCTTGTCCAGCGGACGGTTGAAGCCGCCCTTGCGGTTCATGTATTGCCGGAACTTGCGCTGCTTTTTCACATTAGCTGCACCATCCGAGTTGCCTGCAACGCTCTTGCCCTTTGTAGAGTCGAATCCGCCGAATCCCATCAGCGCCATCATCTGCTCCTCTTCGGTCATGCCGCTCAGATCTTTGGTCTCTTCATGCTTCGGCGAGGGCATTGGCGTCGGTGTGCTGCTTCTCGCACGGTGCCTGTGCGCTGATGGCGACCGTGAGCGCGATTTTGTACGTGATCGTCCGTGGTGCTGCTGCTGCTCTGGCGACATCCGCGATTCGTATCGCTCGCGCGATCGGCGACGCGTCGGAGACCGTGATCCACCGCGTCGGCGCTCGTGGCGACTGCGGTCACGGTGCCGGTCATCGGAGCGCGTGCTGGTACGGCGCCGGCTGGGCGATGGCGACCGGCGGCGGGAGGGGGATCTGGACCTGCGGGATCTCCGCCGGTCGTCAGGAGACCGGGAGCGTCTGCTGCTGCCCCGACCCATCTTTTAAAGAAATGCCTGATGTCGTTGTATAGAGGGGACGCCTACTGTGGATTGAGTTCCAATTTTCGCGTGTGTCTAGCTGAAAACAAAAAGAAAGTCAGTTGTGAGGCAAACAGTGGGGTCGAGAACGGGATGAGTTTGCGAAGCGCTGCTCCTCGCCTGCCCTTTGGCAATTGGCCCGCATTTTGGGCCACTGTCATGTATGGGTGTGAGTTGCGATGGTGATGATGGCGGCACTGGAGCAGGGACGATTTGAGCGGTAAGGCCCGCACAAGTGTTTTTTTTTTTTTGAAACTCAGACGGGTCTCGTCTGTTAGGAGAGCGATTCATGCCTGGCTTCTCAATATATATTTCATGAAAACACGTCAATAGTGACTATATAGCATGCCCCCCATAATACTGTCAGATAGTACTGGAAAGCCTTTGGTGTGCAAATACCGCCTTCAGCTGAACGCCTATGTTGCCATACCAGAATTTGTATTCCTCTCTCCAATCTTACCTCTGCACCATTCCAACGATGGCCTCTGTTACCTGCCAGATTGCCCCCGAGGTGCTTTCGGATCTGAAGAAGCTGCGGTTCAGCAAGCCTGGCACGGATTCGGCTGTCTATATTGCCAAGATCAACCGCAAAGAGCACCTGGTTGTCCCTGACGAGTCGTTCGACAGCATCTCGCTCGAGGATCTCATCGAGGAGCTGCCAGACGATGAGCCCCGGTACGTGGTCATTAGCTACAAATACGAGTACTCGGACGGCCGTGTTTCGTACCCGCTCATCTACGTGTACTACTGCCCCGAGACCACGGCACCGATGGCTGCCATGCTGTACGCCAGCACGCAGCAGCTGCTCGAGAAGGAGGCACAGCTTGGCAAGGTGTATTTGCTGCGCAACAAGGAGGACCTGACTGCTAACTGGGTCAACGAGAACCTGGGCAAGTACGCTAGCTAAAGTGCACATGCATCTATTTTCCTTGGTTTGCAAATACAGCTCGCTTCCAGCATCACATTAAAAATCCATAAACATCTCTGCACCCAGCTGGTCCTCGTCCTCGTCGATTTGCGGGTCCTGGTTCACTGTGCTGCCTATCGGGTATGCGTCACGACTCCAGCCCAGCTCCTCGTCGCTCGGGTACTCGTCCATAATGTTTCTGTTGCTGTTGCTGTTGCTGTTGCTGTTACTAATGGCGGCCTGGCTAGTACATTCACTAGTGGTTGCTTTAGCCTGGTTCGCCATGGGTGCCTCCTCGTTGCTGCTGCTAGGTCTGGTATCCTCTCCGGCACTGGCCTCTGCTCCATCTTGTTCCTGGTCACTCTCGTTTGATGCATGCAGTGTAATCAGATGGCGTGTAATGACGGGCTCGACCGCCGTGCCTGCCTTTGACGTCTTCAAGAAAGCAAGCATGCACTCCATGGCTAGCTTATTGTTGATGTCCTCTGCCTTGAACTGGTGTGTCAGCGCCGGGCTGCTCAGCACCATGCTGTACTGGCGGAAGATCCACGCTGCCAAGTCAATCAGCTCACCACGTCTCGGATACGTGTACTTGTCGTCAAACAGAACCAAGAGTCGCAGCATGACGGCGCGCTTGAAGAACAGCTGCGGACGCTTGTGTGTAACAGCAATGCGGAAGAACATGGGAAGCACATACTCGGTGCCCAGCGGCGGCGTGAGCAGGAAGCTGTAAGCCTTGACGACCTCGGCCGTGGCAAATGCGCGCTCGTATTTGCCCATATCAAATACTCGTTCAACCTCGGCATACTCTGGCCTATTGTCGTCCCCATCACTGTTATCAACGTCTTGCTCTTCGTCTCCGTTGCCTGCCTCGGACTCTCTGGTTGTTGGCTCTGCAGGTTCTGCTGGTGGTGGCGCATTGGTCTCCAGCTCGTCCGATGCGTTGCCATCGTCTTCGTCTGCTTGTACCTTGGTGCTGTGCTTTCTCTTCTTCACTCTCTTGCGCACAAACATGCTCGATTTGGATTCTGCGTAGGCACGCAGTGTCGACAAGAATGCCTCGACAGTCTGCGCAACCTGCAGCAAGAACTCGCGCGTGTTCTTGGTTGGCTTGAAGACGCGGCACATCTTGACAAACAAATCCAGGGCATCGCCATCGTAAAACAAATTTCCCAGCACGTTGTCGCTGAGCGCGTCCAGCTTCGAGCCGCGCATCTTGGTCAGCGACGTTAAAATCTGCTGGATGCAGTACATTGCCGGGTCCAGCGCCGCCCACTGCCGCAGGTCCAAAAAGTCGTTGGTGCAGCGCATTATGAGTCCAAATATGTGCGACTGGACCAAGGCACAGATGCTGCCCAGGTCGATGTTGTCGTTGGCCAGCGAGATGTCGACAAAATAAGCCGAAATGTAGAGGAGCCGCGGCATCTGCTCCTTCATCGCTGTCATGTTGGCTTTGACATCCTCAAACAAGGCGCTGACGAACGGGTTGAAGCAGCTCTCGATGAACATAGCCGCGATCCTGCGCAGTGTCGCCACACATTCAAGGTCGATTGGCCGCCACTGCTTGTCGACAGTTGTGTGCTCTGTCGCCTTTGGCTTCTGCACGTGTGCTGCCTTCCTGAACAAATTGGCGAACGGCTGTAGGGCCTCTTTGGCACTGAAAACAGGCATGACAATGCCATCACCAGTGGACACCGCGTAGACACCACCAAAGTTGTTGTGCCGACCGATCCGCGCGTTTGGGTTGGTCCCCTTGAACCATGTCTGCGGCCTGTCGAACAGGGCCGACGGCGGGACACGGTAGAACAGGTAATATATAATATCCAACAGGGTTGCCCGGAGTTCTTTAAACCGCGGCTGGTCGGCTGACGACATCAGCGTCAAGAAGAAGTCGACCGCCATCTCCTTCTCCAGGACAGCAATCAGTCGGTCCTGTACCTCGATCTTAGTCAGACCCTTGGATGTCGGCGAGATCAGCGGGTCGGGAATGGCCAGGATATTGCGGAATACATACAGAATGCCCTTGATTAGCATGCTCTCGCGGCTTGTGTAGTGGTTCTTGCGCAGGTACATGACAACAACCGCCATCATGCTCGAAATGACTTTGCTGTCAGCAAACATGGCCTTGTATGAGCGCAGAATTCGGATAAACCGCGTATATACTTCCTCAGGCTCTGACTCCATGCTCCATGTCAGAAACACAAAAAGCTCAACGCACATCATGATGGTCTTGAGCAGATAATCACGGTCTGGCTCAGATAGCCGCTCCTGGCCTGCCTGGTTTGCCGAGTCACTCATCAGCTTCTTGACACTCAATGTGAAAATAGGGATAATGTCGGATTTGAGAATACCCCACTCACCAAGCCATTGCAAGACCAGTTTGCCATCACCCCGCTCGTCCATCTGGATGTAGCGCTTTATATCCTTCAGAGATGCGAGACAGTCGCTGCTGGGCACGTATTCCATCTTGATTTGCTCCTGCCCTGCTTTTTCCTTGGGCTCCTGGCCGCCCTCCAATGGTTTCTCGGTCGCTTGTGTGGCCGGGTCATCTTTGTTAGCCGCAGCTTTAGGAGCTACTGGCTGTAGGTTGCCAAGTGACGAACAGGCCGACAGCACAACGTTGCGGTACCGCTGCAGCTCCTCGCTCAGCTCCTCTTCAGTGAATGCAGGGCCATCCTCTCCCTCCTCGTGCTCTTCGTCCATGGCCACGTCGTCAATAACGTCCTGCTCAAGCATTGTTGGTGTAGCAAAGTAGAAAGGGTGGCGAAATAAAAAGAAAGCAGAGGCGAAATGTAACCACCTGCAGTTCCTGCAAACAGTCTTAAAAGAGTACAGAGAATAAAAAAACGCGAAAGCGCGTCGCCCTTGATCTGGCAGCGCGAAGCGTTGTAACAAGCTAATCCGCGCACAGATATTTAAATTTTTATGAAATTTGAAACGCAGCAGAGGGAAAGCGAGAGAACCTATGTTCATTTTTAAAAAAAAAACGCTAGGGCTTGCACGCACCTGCTTAGTGGGCAACCTTCTGGTAATCGTTGGTCGACTCGTTGACCAGGGTCATGATCATGCTGTACAGGTAGTAGAAGAAGCACAAAAGATAGAACGCAACCTTTGACAAAGTTTTCCCGCTTGTGCTTGCCCAGCGTGCGGAACACTTCGGTCGCATCGTAGAATTGCCGGTTGTTGACGACCCTAGCAAGTAAAGAGCTCAGTTAAGTGCATGGTGGTGATGGCGATGATGACGTTTTGAACGTGGAGCTATGCTATACTTACTTGACCACGTTCCAGGCGACTAGTGGGAGGTTCAGCAGCATCGAAATCCATTCGCCGATGAGCAGGAAGACAAAGAACAGCGCAAACTGGGTGCCCATCTCCGGCATAACGTACGTGTTGAGGTTGTTGGCCAGGTCAATCGGGTTGATGTAGTCGCATTCCAGATCAGTAAGCATAATTACCTACAACCATGTGCTGTGTTAGTTTGCAAGCTTGCACATAAGCGTACGCCCAGCACCTCACATCTCGCACAAATTCAGTGCACTTACAAAGTAAACCGCGCCAAACAGGAGAATGCCAGCCAAAATCAGGGCCAGAATGTAAATTAGAGCTGTGTAGGTCATTGTCGCTGTGGTAGAGCCTATCAGTTTCCGGTTGCAGTGCAAGCAAAGAGGTACTCGGTGTTGCAGTCGTGTCTGCGAGGTTGTAAGATAATAAAGTCTGAAGAAATAAATTTAAACTGGAAATTGGACGTCGAGAAGAGAGAAAAGACGGGGAGAAGTGTAGTAAACCTCGAGGCGTGGGGCACGAAGAGTTGTGCTGGAGTGGGGGGCATACGGCCTGGCAAGAGCAATTGTGCTCATGATTGCCGAGATTGGCGCCAGTGCTCAAGGCAAAAAGGAGCCGCTGTCCATCCTCTCCGTCCCACTGATCATCGGTTCATCTACTCAGAGGGCTGTGCTGCTGTCGCTGATCCAGCCAGATACTCATCGACCCAGGTGCATGTCTCTGTGTCCCTCTCAATGCTCGGCGCGCCCTGCAATATGCCTAAGAGAACTGTAGAGAATAACGCGACCAACTAGCAAAAAAGAGTACAAGCCGGAGGGCATAGCTCGTGCTTGGGGTTTTTTCGTTCACAAGTATATTTTTCTTGCCGACCTGGAAAGGGCTGCACAGGATGTGGCCGGTATCTGCAGCAAGACCGAGTAAAATCCGACAGTTCAGCGATGCAATCAATGATGCTAATAAAAATTCATTTACTTCGCACCCAGTACAACCAAGTCTGGAGCCGTTCTCCTTGGCAAACTCATATGTCGTATATTTAATAAGTCCAGGCCATGTTATGGAAAAGTTTCATAGCCAGACAGTCGCAATGAGCCGGCGCAAGCTCAAAATGTTTTTCTTTTTTGAACACACTCCAACATTTGTAGTTATTACCAAGCGGGATACCACTAATGTCGAGCCCTGATGACAGGACGATAAATCTTTACAGCGCAGCATCTAGCACCCTGCACCACTGGCGACAGGTTTGAGGATGCGCTTACCATCACTTGCAGCATTACTCTCTTTATGTCGTTGCTTGCGATAGGAGCATTTTTCGTCTTGCTTGCCAACAATCCTTCTCGTATGAGCATACCTCTTTTGAAGCTCACGACCTCGATCCAGGCAGTCAATGCAGTTGCCTTGATTATCACAATGGTATTGGGTGAAGTAGAGATCCGAGCTGAGCTTCTTTGCAGCTCACTGCGCTACATGCTGTATATTTGCTACCTGAGCTCAATATTCATGTCCTGTTCAGTGACTATACACCTCTGGCTGGTTATTTCATGCCACAACCTCGAGAAGGCGAAGCGCAACGAGCGCTGGTACTACATAATCCCATTTGCCCTCGCGTTCACACTGTCTGCCATTCTTGCCTCGCTACCCAATAGTGCCTATGGAATGATAAACCGATGTGCTAGCCCTTCAATTCCACAAAGAAGATATCTAGTAGTCAGGTGGTGTCTATACTATTCTTGGTTTATTATATCGGCGATCATATCTATCGTGTGCATGGTCAGCGTACTTCGGTCGGCCAGGCGTCTGACGCGCGTCACATTTCAGCACAGCTCCAGGCATGCCGTGACTACAGACGACTACCGCGACGAGGTGAATACACGTGCAAACAGCAGTCGGCTGCGCTCACTGGTGGTCTACACCATTGCGTATCCAGTGATAGTATTGGTATGCAATATTCCGCAGCTTATCTACGAACTCTTGTCAACAGTGGCGAAGAGGAAATATCCAGGGTTCTTTATCGCGTCGCGAGTGATGCTATACAGCCAGGGGTTCTTCTTGTCTTTGGCGTTCTTTGCATTACCCGCAGTACGGCATTCGGCGAAGGAAATGAACCATGCTGCAGTGCAGTACTGGGTAATCGAGCAAGAGGAGTTCTGGCGTATGAAGAAGAATCCGATCCATCGGGGCTATGCCAATATACGGCAGCAGGAGATTGGTGACTTCCCAACGGACGAGCAGGATGAGCACAACTTCACGTCGTTGCGTGGAAGATTATATCATTTCTTCCTATGCCAGACACCAGAAGGTCGGCTGGCACGCACACTGTAAAACACAAGAAAAGCAGCCCACAAATAAAAGGATATAGGCGTGTATGTCATGTAAACTGAAGATTACAGGAATCATTCTAGGACACCGAGAATATGGGGGAGTCCCAGATCTGGAAGTCTGTCTGCTTGCCGGGGTCGCCGAATGGCCGCAATGCCTGGAGACGGACGCGATAGTTGCCAGGCGGGACCTGCACAGGCTGGGTAGCCTCCTTGTCTTCGAAAACCGTTCCATTGATGATGGAGTACGAGATGAACGAAGATGGGCCCTGCTGATTGCGAGGAACATACTCTCCGTAGCCCTCTGGAAGGAATCCCAGCGTCTTGTTCTCAGGATCAAGAAGGGTCAGCGAGATCATGCGCGTTGGCAGCTCGAGGCGGAAGTTCGCAATTAGCGGCTTGGATCCACTGACGCCGAAATTGTTGAGCTCGCTGACCGGGTTGCCCTCGTCGTCGGTCAAGATAGGCAGCTCCTCCTTGGGGTCTGACAAAACATCCTGTTTGCGGTAGTTTCCGTTGAAACCGGCATACGGAACTGTGTATGTCTTGGGTGAGTCATCTTCGCCATCCCAGGTCAACGTAAAGTTGAGGTATCCACCGTAGAAGAAGCGGTCTTCCTCTTTCAACCCAAATGGCGAAACAATAAACACTTCAAGCTCGCGCTGCTCTCCTGGGGCAAGCAGGTTCGATCCAAGAAGCTGAGGGGCAAACACCTGTGTGAATATCGACGGGTTGGGCACCGGATCGAACGATTCTGGTGCAGTACGTGGCACTGCACTGAAGGTACCGTTAGCAAACCACGACGAGAGAGATTCCGACGCTGCGTTGGTTAGCGCGATCCGCGCTGACTTGTTGGCGTCCAGGTTCTTGATGGTCACCGAGCTTTGTGCCCACCGCATACCCAGCTGCATGAAGTTTCTGGTGTCTCCATTGGGCAGGCCATCGGTGGTATCGTTGATGGAGAGCACAGGCGGGAAGAAGTGCGCGCGCGCGGTGATGGCGTCGTAAATGTTGACCAGGCCGCCGCCGCTCTTGTACGGGTGGATATTGTAGCCAGTAGCCTTGCTGACCCTAGGCTTGGCTGAGGTGATCAATGCACGGCGAATCTGGCCGACGGTATACTCGGGATGAGCTTGTTTGAACAGCGCAATAGTTCCGGTGATGTATGGCGTGGCCATGGAGGTCCCTGAAAGTGATGTATAGCCTCCGAGTTTCAGCGGGAATGTTGAATAAATATTGCCACCAGGACCAGAGACCAGAGGTGCGATATCGAGTTCTGGTGAAGGGCCAAATGAGCTGAAGGGGGACATCTGGCCGCCAGTTGTGCTCTCAACAGTGATGATATCCCTTTGGGTGCCTTCACTGTGGCATTGCCAGTCGAAAGGCCATCGAGAGCGAACTTGCCGTCGGCCTCGGCAATGATGACGACAGGGATGTTGATGGTGGGGTCGGTGACTGACGGGCTCAGCATACCCTCTACGTTGTTGTAGATGATGACACCCACGGCTCCTGCTGCCTGAGCATTGGCAGCCTTCTTGTCAAATGTGCAAACACCGCGCTTGATCAGCGCAATCTTGCCAGACAGGGACTGGGTCGTGTTTGTGCAGCCAAGATCGCTGTCCGATTCATCGTTGACCGCAACCAGCTGGGTCTCCTTATCAAAGAAAAACGGGATCTCCTCGTTACCCGGGGTCGAGCTCATGATGGACTTCACGCTGCTCTTGGTAGTGATGCTGATGGCGCTCCCGGTGTTGTTCCAGTTGTCTACTGAGCCAACGCTGATGACGCCGCGGCCCAGGGCGGGTGATCCGGCGGTGAACAGACCTGAGGTGCCCTCGTTTCCGTTGGCGGCAACAACAATTACGCCCTTCTTGACCAGGTTCGAGCAGGCAACAGCTAGCGGGTCTTCAGGCCAACCACCACCCCCCAGCGATAACGACAGGATATCGTGACCGTCCTTGTAGGCGGCCTCGACAGCCGACAGGATCACGTCGTCCGATGACGGGTTGTGGCCGTTCTTGGGGCAGCTAAAGACACGGTACATTCCCATCGTCGCATCGGGTGCCACGCCAGTGACCTTGGGGCCCTGGGCAGCGATGATTCCAGCCACATGAGTTCCATGACCCATGCAGTCCATAGGGCGAGGAAGGGGGTTGATAATAGCATGCGAATCTCTCGAGTCGTAGTTGTCTCCGACAAAATCAGCACCATACTGCCACATGCACCCAGGCGTCTTCCAGCAGTTTCCAAGCTCTGGGTGGTTGAAGTCGACGCCGCTGTCAATGATGCCGATTTTCACGCCCTTGCCCGTAAAGCCCAGATTCCTGGACTACGCTGTTAACACCCGTGGCATGGTGCAGGTACGGGTAGGTAATGTTGGCGGTGCTAGGCTCGGCAGGCATCGTGCGCAGCTTGACTGGCCACACCCGCTTGACACCTGGCAGGGATGCGAGCAGTGCTGGGTCAAAGTTTTCGTCAGCATTGACTGAAAACCCACTGAACAGCAGGTGGTACTGCTTGCCGATCGAGAATCTGGCTGTTGACCCGGACAAGTTGGATTTGGCGGTGTTGGCAATGGTGGCGACGGCCTGGGCGCTGTGGCATACCGGGCTCTCCATCGAGCTCGACAATGAAGGAGCCTGGCTTGACGTCGATATGGGGTGGGTATTTAACGACCATCTTGATTGCATCCCTCATCTCACTGCTCAGAGCATTGGCGGTCTGCTCACCCAAGAAGGCTAACGCCAGCAGACAAAAAGTAGCGTTGACTTTCATGGGGGTGGCGGCGGCGGTAATGGTGGTGGGTTAATGAGAGGGAAACTATAGGTGCAAATAAACAAGGGGGTGGTGGAATTATATGGGTGTTGCTGAAGAATATAACAACAGAGATTGAAATATCGAGAGAAGGCACAAGCATGAATGAGTACTGACCTGCAGATAGCTGGTATATATATATGAATTGCCAGAATAAGCGGATGGAACGCGATTGCATTGCGAGGTTTATCGAGAAACTAGTCCTGCGTGGGGGCGACACATCACTCCAATCATGCTCGATAGAACAGGATGTTGAAGTGTGGGGAGCATATTCGCCCACTTGCTCCCCGCATTTGGCTTGTGTTCAAAGCAACGCTGCTACCTGCAACCCAATTGCCTGTACATGCGGGGTTAAGTGCACAGCTACGTGATGTTGCTTAAAGGAATAAGAAAACCGATCAGGTTGCAAGCTACGCTGTAAAAGTTGCGCAGGACAGTGAGGGTGGCTATACAGCCGCTGTTGGAGATTTTAGTATCGGCAATGGTGGCCATGTGCACTGAAATCTCAGGGCAGTCTGCTAGTGCGGCATATGGGCCGATATGCCTATTGACATGCTGCGGCAATGGCCACCGGGGTTAGTACTAGTGCAGAAGAGTGCAGCTGTTGTGGCTACGCAGCTCAGAAAAACGCTGTTGGATTTCATGGCCTGACTGGCAAGGTTCGCATTGGCTGTGACGTGTATCCGTGATCCTGATATGCATAGATATGATCTGCTGATAGCCTCTGACTTGTGAGTGGCGATTCTCCAGGGCACGAAAGGGGGGTCATCAGTGTCTGACGTGTATCGCTTTCTGCCACCCTTCTTGTCTCTTTGCATACTTTCTGCACTTTTCCAACACAGCAACCACTTTTTATGAGGACCAAAGTAAATATGTACCATCGCGACGGTCGGCGTGTCAGCACACCGCGCAACCGAACTGGCACTGCCGCTGCCGCCCCTCCTCGCCCTGTGGATACAGCCAGTTGGCTCCCCATGCTTACGTTCACGCCCAGCAGCATCGTGGTTGAGCCCAAACCGAGGGGTGAGGTAGCGGGTGCCGAAGAATGCGCCGCCGCTTCTACAGCAAACATCACTGTGCCGGACTCATCCAAGCCCGTGGTCAGCCGAGTAGCTAGCTCTCTGGCCAGCCCGGCAGCCCGGCAGCCGAGATTGTCCGCCACCACGGAGATGCCGAGCCCGTTTTCTGACAACGCATGTGCGGTAATGCTGCCGGTAACCCTGTTCCCTCGTGGCGATGAGCTGGCAGATGAAATGGCTAAGATGGATCTCAGCAAAAAAAACGGCTGCGCCCAGAACCACGAGTCAATGGATCCGCAGACGACCGGGACACGCCTTTTTTCCACCGACGATCACAAATCTGTCGACAAAGGAGCGCGACGCAGTGTTCAATGTGCTCGAGTTTGTGATCGACCACGCCAGGCAGCGCCTTGGTCGGGCGCCGCCCAACGTTGCTCATGGGCTAAAGCGCGACGAGTACGGGAACCTGCAGGTGCGTGTTTCGTTCTACTTTGGGCAGCTCGACCAGATATGCGTGTTGGTGGCGAAAGCCGCTGAAAATGCACGGCAGGACGTATACGTGGACGACGCTCACTAACGAGACGCTGGTGCCGCTGTCGTTTCAGGCACCATCGGTGCACATTAACACGAGCCACATCAACGCCGGTTTCCAGGAGTATGGGCTGGTGCGCAACCTGCGGCCGATTATTTCCAAAGACGGCTGCAATTACAATGGATGGAGGTGCCTGCTGACGGTTAGGACTGGTGCCAATGTTCCAGAGCAGATCACGATTGTGGACAGGAACTTCCCAAGTGAAAGTGCTGTGCAGCTCGCGGTGGCCGACGATCGCACGTACTGCGACAAGCACTACTATATGCTGCCTAGTTTCTGCGGTTGCCTGTCAGGCGAAGCCAAGACCGAAGCCAAAGCTAAAGCCAAAACTGAGAGAGGGGAGGCCAAGACCAGCGAGTGATCCGGCAACCTGCCAGCGCATGCAACGCGGCAGAGATCAGGCAGCAGGCTGGAGCCGCACCACTATGGATAGCTATCTCAATATACTGGAATTTGTACACTACCATCCCGTGGTGCCCATGTATCCCTTTGCACAGATCCAGCCTCCTTCGTTGTATCACGGGAAGCGCGTGCTATGAGGGGCATGGCCAACCACCACGGCATGCTATGGCCCGCACCGCCCCTGGGCTGCCAATCCTGCGATTGCAACCTGGGTCACACGGGCCCTTTCGACGAAGGAACGGCTGAGAACTGCAGCCGCGAAAACTGTGTGCGCCCGAGACACTGAGGCGAACTCCGCGGGGGAGGTCGTCCCGGACTCGGTTTAAAAATAGTGCGGCCTTGTTTCCACAAAGATCCGCAAGAGCAGCACAATGCGACCGAGACAAACAAAAAATATGCCAGCGAAAGGGAGTATACCCGGGTCGACCTGCTGTGAAAATCCAAGCGGTTCTAAAAGCAGGCTCCGGCCAAGGCATGTGGAGGGAGACCACGGGCTCTGCTGTGCCCTGTGGCGTAAATGAGGCGATAAAAATGTTGATTTCAATTTACAACACCAGGTACTAAAGGGAGAATATAAAACACTACTAGGGCCGGCTGGGACAACGGGGACGGTCTCACGGTCCGCGGTCCAGAGAAATGAGGTTCTTGCCAGGCAATAGAGAAAAAAGGAAGCAAAGTAAAACGGCAGAGGATGCTGCGGTTTTAAAGAAAAAAAGGAAGCCTGGGTCTATCCGCTTACTGCGAGAAGGAGGGGGTGGGGAGTTGTGGCGAGGAGCGCACGCACATTCCCTCGTATACAACGTGCCTCGCTTTGCCCGACTCCTCTCACTCGCACCGACGTGCGTTGTTTTGGTGGATAATGAGTAAAATGCAGAGGATAAATTTTTGTGATGCAGTGCTGAATGGGACATGAGCGCCGCCGCCTCACAGCGGCAAGAAAAAAGGTGCTGCATACAAGAGGCAGAGGGGGCACCCATTCAGTGAATGGGAGAGGGGGAAGGGAAAAGAAGGGGGGGGGGCAAGTGATAACGAGTGGGATGTTGGGAGGCAACACAGAGCGGCGACCACTGAGGCGAGTGTTGGTGGCAAGCACAGTGGAACAGAACAGAGTGGAAGAGGAACTGGCACAGCCAATATTGTGCCAGGTAAACAATAGCCTAGCAGGGCATCTTGCAGGTGCGCAGGCTCATCAGAATGCTGGCGGCAGTAAAAACATCCTCTTCGCACATGTTGCGATCTGCCTCTGCCGCTGGTGTCGAGGCAAACGGCGGCTGTTGCACATACTGCTGGTGCTGGCTCTGCTGCTGATGCTGCTGGTAAATCGACGTCCGCTTGTAGGTGTGGTGGATCGGCGACACGCGGCTATCCATCAACGTGCCCTGCGACGAGACTGACGAGGCTGACTCTGAATCGCGGTGGTAGCTGAGGTACTCGGTGGCCATCTGTTGCTGCTGGATAGCCCGGGCGCCCGGAACGTCGATGGCAAAGACCTGCTGGGGCTCGGGGTATGAGCCAAACTGCTGTGTCCGATCAACCTGCATAATCTGAGTCGTGTACGGCATCGTGTCTCTTTGCGTGCGTGCAGCCACCTAAGCGTAAAAAAGCCAGAAACGAACAAAAAATGAGTATTCTCTTTGTAGAGGAGAAAGAACAGAAGACAAAGGGGCGAGTTGGTGGGGCGGGCGGCCAGGCTTTATATACGGATTTCCAAAAACATCCGCAGGACAATGGGCGGTGCGGGTTAGCTCATGGAAACAAATTAGAGGAGCGTGCGGGTTTTGAACGAGCCCAGTTTCAGTGAGAAAAAGGTCAAATATGGCAGAACCGAGCTGCACTTTCCACGCTTGGCGTAAAACAGGCCATAGGTGCTGTGACAATGCTAGCAGAAATCGCGTGACCACGGCAGGGCTACTTTACCTGAACACTGCTGCTGCTTGCTGCGTCCTGAGGCGTGAGTAGTTCTGAGACCGACGGCAGACGACGCGGTGCAACGGGGTAGGCATCGGCCGCGGGCACAGCTGAGCCAGGACGCTGCTGCTGCTGCTGCTGGGCGTAGGCCGAGTACAGCGGCTGGGGGTCGGCAGTGTGCTGCTGGTAGTGCGCCGAGGGAACGCCCATATAGCTATGGGCTCCGGGGAGAGTCGGGTGTGCGGGGCGCTGAGAAAACTCCATTTTTAATAAACGTTTTCGAGAGAAGAGAAAAGCAGCAAGGGTTAAAAAAGAAATAGAGGGCAGACGAGAAGACAAGAGAAGAAGAGGCAAAGGATGGCGGGTGCGCGGTTAGCTCGATTGACAAGGCCCGAAAAAAGGAAATAGCAGCGAGTTGTTTGTCTTTTTTGTTTCTTGTTGTGTGCGTGTGGCCCGGGTAGGATTTGCTGCAGAGTTCTGCTGGTACTATAACTGTGCAGGAGAGGGTATGGAGCAAGCGTAGGAGCAAAAAGTGCGTCGGTAGGCGGCAGGGGAAAAAAGCAGAGCAGAAGAGAGTCCGAACAGGCACACTGGAGGTGCGGGAGAAATAGCCCTTTTTAGCTCAAGGTGCTCAGCTGCCCAATCGGCGCGGCCACCACAACCACCGGCCCCAGTGCAAGCGTGCCCAGGGGCTTATTTAACACGTATTTCGAGTAGCACAAACTCCGAAGAAACCACCTTTGAATGTTCAGCCCGCGTGTCTGCCCATGATGCAGAATGTATTAGAGGCAGGCAGGTCGTGTCTCCGGGGCAGAAAAGAACGCACCTTCTGCATGTCCGCACACATACATAATTATGACAGCGATTCAAGTGCAGCAACCTGTTTTTGTTGCGCGCACAATTGCCTGATGGCTTCCATGCATGTGCAGGCCATTGTCGCATGCACGCTGTCGCCTCTGGCAAATAGCCATCCTTTGAGCATAGCAGCTGGCTGGTTCCTAATTGCAGGATTAGTTCAGTGCCAGTGCCGGTCTCATCTCGTGGCCAGCAACTGGGGCTGCAAACACTCAATGCAAACACTCAATGCAAACACCCAATGCAAGCCTGCAGGCTGGTGGTGGAGACTGGGCCAGGCCAACAGAGAAGACCACCGTGGCCTCCTGGTAGAACCGCCAGAGTGCGACTGCGGACCTGGTTGTGCCCATGCATCTACTGTGCTCTGGACTGCTGATCTGCTCGATCCCCAGCATTGAGCACGCATCGTTCCTGAACGCCGGCCGAATCCCAAGATCACCGCCGGTGCGGCAGATCCCGGGGCGGTCAGCCAGTGGTGCCCGCATGTGGTGCCTGCGAGCCTGTGGCGATATCCAGCGGCATATCAGCCGCAAGACGGGGCCGAACTGTAGCGTCGATGGAGAGCCGAGTTGAGCCAGCACACAGACCAGGAATGGCGCTCCGTTCCCACGATTACAAACGGGTTTTCCCACCCGCCATCCTGGCCGTTTCACGTGTGGTATAAATGCTCCGACCACGGGGCATGCACGGCGATAACGCTCCTGCCCTGTTGACCTTATCTCTCCCCCGCTCTGTACTCTCCTATCAATCCATTTTATCTGCACTGTACAATGTCTACTCGCAAGCTCGCCGACGTCGTCATCGCCTCCGCCGTGCGCACCCCTGTCGGGTGCTTCCGCGGCTCGCTCAGCAAGTTCAATGCCTCTGATCTCGGCTCCTTCGCCATCCGCGGGGCACTGCAGAAGGCCAACGTCGACGCAGCCCACGTCAAGGAGGTCTACATGGGCAACGTCCTGCAGGCCAACCAAGGCCAGGCGCCCGCCACGCAGGCGCTGATCAAGGCCGGTCTGTCCGAGTCGACACCGGCAACGACCATCAACAAGGTGTGCGCATCCGGCATGAAGGCTGTGATGATGGCCACGCAGAACATCCAGCTGGGCATGCAGCCGGCAATGGTGGCCGGCGGGATGGAGAGCATGAGCAATGTGCCGTTCTACTCGCCGCGCGCGCACGCCTACGGCAACACGCAGCTGAACGACGGCATCATCAAGGACGGGCTGTGGGACGTCTACAACGACTTCCACATGGGAAACTGTGCTGAGAACACGGCTCGTCGCCACAACATCACCCGCGAGATGCAGGACGAGCACGCCATCGAGTCGTACCGCCGCGCAGCAAAGGCGTGGGAGGCCGGGGTGTTCAAGGAGGAGGTCATTCCGGTGGCCGTCAAGTCGCGCAAGGGCGAGACGCTGGTGGAGGTCGACGAGGAGTTCACCAATGTGCGCTTCGACAAGATCCCCGCCCTGCGCCCGGTCTTTGAGAAGAACGGGACCGTCACGGCTGCCAACGCCTCGACGCTGAACGACGGCGCCAGCGCATTGCTGCTGATGAGCTCGGATCGCGCCAAGGACCTCAGCGTCAAGCCGCTGGCCCGCATTGTGTCGTTTGCCGATGCTGCCACCGCCCCGATCGACTTCACCATTGCCCCGTCGCTGGCCGTGCCCATTGCGCTGGAGCGCGCGGGTCTGGCTGTCAAGGACATTGCGCTGTGGGAGTTCAACGAGGCCTTCAGCGTTGTTGCTCGTGTCAACGAGAAGATCCTCGGCCTGAACCCCGAGACCGTCAACGTTGCTGGCGGTGCCGTCGCCCTGGGCCACCCGATTGGATCGTCGGGCTCGCGCATCATCGTGACGCTGACCCACCTGCTCAAGCCGGGCCAGTTTGGCTGCGCCGCCATCTGCAACGGCGGCGGCGGCGCCAGCGCCGTCGTCATCCAGAGGCTCTAGGCTAGGAGCTGGAGGCAAATAAATTCTGAAGCTGTTGGATTTTGTTTGTAAGATGAGAAAGAAAAGTGGTCGAAATATCTCTACGCAGCCTGCAGACGGAAGTCCGGTAGCTTGAGCTCCGACCTCGGCAATCTGGCACACCTGGCACACGCTGCCGTTGAACTCGGGCGTGTACACAGCCTGGCAGTACGGGCATTCGACTGAGGCGTCGCCGCGGTTGATCGGCTTGTGGGACGCTGCGCACAGGCTGAATGGGTTGCGCGCATCGTACTCGATCGACAGCGTGTTGACGCTCTGTCGGTCGCACAGAGCGATGATCTTGCGTGCTCTATCAGCAATCTTTGGCGACGGCACCAGATCCAGCAGCCGCTGGGCAAACTCTCCGGCGGCAATGAAGCACTTGCCCTTGTAGGCAATGTTCATCGCCGACCGCAGCGCCAGCTTCTCGTGGTCTGCGCGCATCTGGCAGTGCGTAAAGTACGCCGCCAGCTCCACCACCCGCGTGTCGTTCTCCTCGCCCGCCTCTTGCTTGGCCAGCGCCGCGCGCTCCATCTCGACAGTGCACGCCAGCACGTACTCGCGCGAGATCTGCAGCAGCTCCTTGACTTCCTTGGCATCCTCGCTCGAGTCGACAGTAACAAATATCAGCGACAGCAGCAGGCGCCGGAACAGGGTCTGTGCGTCCTCAAACTTGCCCGCAGTCATCTCGCGATACGCCTGCTGCAGGAGCTCCAGCGACGTCGTCAGGCTGTAGATCTGCACCGGCAGGTACTCCGATGCCTGCGTGGCCTCGGCCTGCATTGCGCCGGAGCGGCACACGCATGGGCTCCGACGACGGCGTTGTGGTCAGCACCGCACGCGAGGCAGAGTAGATCTCCAGGAACGCTGGCTTCAGTGCCTCAAACGACACAATGCCGACCTGGTCGCGCAGCAGCTTCATCGCCTGCTCAAAGTTGCCAGCAGCGATCTGGTCGGCCGCAAGCTGGGAGTTACGCGACCACTGCTCCAGCTCGCTGGTGCCAGGCTGGGGTGCCACAAAGTCAGCCGCCGCCGCTGCTGTGGCCTCGGCGGTCAGCTCCGCATCAAGCTCGCCCTCGTCCTCCAGACCCCAGCCCTCCTCGGCATCATCGTCGAGCAGGTCCTCGTCATCAAACCGGCCAGCAGCGGCAGCAGCGCGGCTATCGCCCGCGACATCGTCATCCTCATCAATGCCCCAGGCTCCGGCATCCTCCTCGACATCGTTGCCGTCGGCGGTGGCCAGGTCAGCAACACGCGACTTGCCTGGCTGCGGGCCGGCTGCGCCCTTGTCGCCAAAGTTGAACTTGCCGTCAAAGATGCCCTTGGAGACGCGCAGCTGCGGCCAGTCAAGGTCTGCTGCGGGCAAAATCGGAGTGGCTGGCTGCAGCAGGCTGGACTTTGTCGGCACGCCAGTAATACTGGCCTCATCGATACCCGCCGCCTCGCGGATGGCCTCGGCCTCCTCAGCCAGGCCATGGGTCTTGGCCGTCAGATACGCCAGTGACAGCTGTCCCGACTCACGCAGCACGCGCACACGTTCCTCGGCATCGCCCAGGTACAGCGCGTTCTGCAGACGGGACTGCAGGTCGTTGCGCATGACTGCGATCTTCTGCATCTTGCCCAGCTTGGTGATGTTGCCGGTGACGCTGTACAGGAACGACAGGCGGTCGTACGCCTTGTTGCGCTGGTAAGCAAGCTCGACCATCTGCACGTGGCCGCGCCGCAGGGCCTCCTGGCTGAACTTGTCCCAGTACGCCGGCTTGTCAGATGGCTTTGGCTGTCTCCAGGGCAATGTCCATGTTGCCGCACTCCAGAGCAAGCTCAAACCGGGCAGTGTCATCGCGCACAAAGTGCAGTGCAATCTCGGGGTAGCCCTTCTGCTGCAGGTACGCAATGATGGACTGGCCAACCAGGTTCGAGTTGCGGATGAATGGCCACCACCTCCTCGTAGTTGCGGTGCACGAGCGCCAGCTTGAACCGGTACTCGGTCGGGTCAACCTTGATCACCTGCACCTTGCCCTCGCGGTCGAGGCAGTGCACATCACCGCCCTTGACGCGAACCAGGTAGATCGGGTTGTCGATGGTGCGGATGGTGCCCGTGTCGCCCTGGGGCAGTGCAAACTTGATGTGGTTCAGCGTGGTGTACAGCAGCACACCCGAGTCGTCCCACACCGCGCTCTTGATGCGGATAGTCTCGTGTACCTGGCACAGCTGCTCAAGGTGCTTGTTGGCCAGCGTAATCGTGTGCTTGCACAGCAGTGCCACCGACGACATATCGCTGCTCCACACAACGTATTTGACCGGGGCTGCGCTGATCTCGCCCAGCATCTGGCGCGTCTGCACGTCGTATAGCACCACCGAAGTGGCAGTGGCCAGCAGAATCTGCGATCCCGGGGCCGGGAAGATGGCCTCGACGGTAACTGGCGGCTGGATAGTCTTTGTGGTCTGGTTCGTCAGGTCCTTGATCAGGATCTGCTGCTGTGCCTTGTCCAGCACGGCAAACCGGTTGCGACCCGTCCAGATGGCACTGGTTCCGGTGCCACGGCGCGCCTGGACCGGCATCAGCGAGCTGTCCGTTGAACTGGCGCGGCAGATTGTACAGCTCGTAGCTGCCTCCGTCAGGCATCGCTGGTCAAGAGAACAGCCTTCTCTGCCGGGTTGAAGCTCATCGAGCGCGGCGGCGGGAGGTACTGCCCAGCGGGAGCCGAGCGAATGGCAATCATAGCCGCGTCGTTGTTGTTGGCGAAGTCGTGGATGCGGATCTGCGATTCGCGCACATACAGCAGGTTGTTGTGGTGGCTAGCCGCAGCCGGGCGCTCGCGCTCGAGCTTGAACACAATCAGGCCGTTGTCGTGGCCTGCAGCAAACAGGTTCAGCTCCGGGTGCGCCGTGAGGCACCAGAACCGGTCTTGCTCGCGGCGGAATGTGGCCAGCAGCGTGCGACGGGTTGTGTCCCACACGCGAATGGTCTTGTCCTCCGAGTCCGACAGGATGAACTCGCGCTTGGGGTGGAACAGCGCCGAGTTGACGTTGTTGTAGTGTCCGCGGCACGTGTCGACTTCCCAGGCCCGCGAGTCGTTCATGCGCCAAATCTTGATCTGCCGGTCGTCGCCGCACGACAGAATCAGGGGCATGGTCGGATGGAACGTGGCCCAGTTGACACCGCGAGTGTGGCCCTCAAGCACAAACTTGACCACGACGTCAGTTGCGTTGAAGAAATCGCCCTGGGCACCCATGCGCTGCGAGGCCAGCGGATCGGCCATCATCACTGGCTGCGCGCCAGCAGCGCTCTTCTGGCGCAGACCCGAAATGTCCCATACACGCACTGTCTGATCCAGGCACGCCGACACGACCAGGTCCTCAGTCGGGTGGAACTCGGCGCTCATGACGTAGTGGTTGTGGCCCGTCAGCACCGCGATACACTGGCGCGACTGCCAGTTCCAGATACGGATCGTCTGGTCGTCCGACGCAGTGATGATCCATCGGCTGCTCAGGGATGGAAGTACGCTGTGCGCACATAGTCCAAGTGGCCCTGCAGCGTGAACAGACAGCGCCTGGTCCGGTAATTCCACACCTTGACCTTGTAGTCGTCACCACCGGATACAAACAGCTCCTGCGACGGGTGGAACGAGATCCCACGGACCGGTCCCTCGTGCTCCTCGAAGCGCTCAAGCAGAGTGCCCATTCGGTAGTCCCACAGCTGAATGCTGCCATTGTGCAGAGAAGCCAGAATCCAGGGGCGCTTCGGGTGGAACGCAACGCCCTTGACGCGGCTGCTCTTCGTCTCAAACTACAAGAGATATGTGTGCTAAGGTTTAGAACACGGTGTGCATTCGCATCATCTCCGCTCCTGCGACGCAATCCAGGACCTCATACCTTTGTTAGCATCTGCATCGTGAATGAATTTCTCCTCGCCTGCTTTGCAACTTGAAAATCTTATATAAATTGGAAACAGCGATGCAGAGAGAAGAGGAATAATATAAGAAGAGGGTGTGTCGAGCTAGCTTTGCAGAGTTGGAAGGAGGAGTAAAAGGCTGTGTCGTCGCTGACCTGCGACGCGACAAGCGGGTCCTCAAAATGCATGCGTTTGCTCTCAAGCCCGTCGAAATACCGCTGGGCTGGTCTGATTGGTGGATTGCTGGCTGCAACAATGTGGTGGCCACCATGGCGGGTTTATACTGGTCGAACTTCTACTCCATGCCCGATATATGCGCCTAGATCCATACGCACCTCACGCATGCATGTCAACGAGGAAAACGACACCGCAACTGCATACTCAGCGGCTGGTCTCAACAGCTTCAACGGCAGCAGCAGCAGCAACAATAACACCGCCGAGCTGCCAGACGACATCTCTGATTTTTCGACATCTCTGTCAACGACATCAACCAAGCGCAAGCGATCTATGCAGCCGAGCCCGCAGGAGGACGACAGTAGACATCGACTCTTTCATCGCCGACATGATAGCACAGCGCAACCAACTGCGTGGACGTTTCAAAGGTAGAGTCAAGCGATCCAAAATGAATGTGCAAAGTTCTCTTAGGATGGATGCTAAACCTCGAGCTGCAGAGTGGGCTGATCAAGTCGAGTACACGGACCAAGCGGCTCAAGAACATAACTGACAACGCCCTGGTCAACCAGAGCGGGCGCCTTGAGAGGATCCTTGACGAGGGCAAGAAAAAGGTCGACGGCATCGTCGGTGAGCAGAACCATATCCGTGTCCAGCTGTCAAGCTTCATGTCGCTACTGGCCAGCGCCCAGGAGCAGGTCTTCAACAAGAACGGCACAACAAAGCCAAAGTAGCGCATTCTCCTTTTTTTATTGAAACAGAATGGATGTGGGGTGTTGCTTTTAGACCGACGCTAAGCGTCACGTCAATGTTGCCCCTAGTGGCACGGCTGTACGGGCAGATGGTGTGGGCCAGATCAACGACCTTCTGGGTGGTAGCCTTGTCAAGTCCAGGCGCGTTGACGCTGAGATCAACAGCCAGACCAAGACCACCCTCAGCATCCTTGCCGATGTGGACCTTGCCAGTAACAGTGTTGTTCTCGGGGAGCTTAACATGGAGGCGGCTGGCAGGCCAGACCCATGGCACCCTGGAAGCATGCAGCGTAGCCAGCAGCAAACAGCTGCTCGGGGTTAGTCTTGCCAGCAGCACCAGGGCCGCCCAGCTCCTTGGGCAGAGTAAGGCCGACAGTCAGGACGCCGTCGCTGGACTTGGCGACACCGTTGCGACCACCGGTAGCGCTGGCCTCGGCAGTATAGAGAGGCTTTGATCGAGATAAAGCGGCGGCTGGCGGTGGAGAAGGCCGGGGTGCGGGCAAGGCGAAGGCCGGTACGGGCAATAGCGAAGACCATAGTTTCAATAGTGATGCTTATTTGATGAAAATGGAGCGGAGAATGATAGAGAACTGAGGTGCGCTGCACCAGATAGTGAGGATATTTGTCTGCCACGTCAGCTCTGCCAGGGATAGAGAAACACCCGCTCCTGCGATCTAACTAAATTTCTGGGACTGTTGATCCGGGGCTCGAGGAACCAGCTGGTCGGGCACGCCGGCGCCTGTTCTGCAGCAGCACGTGTCTTCTACGGTCGCTTTTAGCGCCCGTCCCACACGCTTTTAAGCAAGTCCGCTCCGTGTGGTCTATCTGGCTCTTTTCTCTTTCACACCAAGCTCTTATTCCTGCGCCGCTTGCCCTTCCCCCATTATGACTGCATTGATACTGCACCCAGCGATTCGGAAGCGCATCGATTCCTACACCGATCTTGTCCCCGCGAAGCTGCACGCTTTCTGGCCACACGTCGAGACGCAATTCGTCAATAATCTCCTCAACGATGGATACATGGCATCGCATAAGCAGTTCTTCTCGCCACAGCAGCACCGCTTTGTCGGATTTTGGCACTTTAGCCGGGACAGGATCCCGGCCGACATGGCAATTCCCGAAACAGCTTTGTACTCGCTAGGCGACGATATGACTGCCGAGCTTGCGACATGGATTGCAAAGAGCCGCCCGCAGGATAACGAGAAGAAGGGTGCCGGTGGATTCACAGTGAACTTGAATATCACCAAGACTGGAGAGTCACCGCCCGCCCGCTCGTTCTTTTTTGAAGCCTGGATGTCCTCCAATACCGACAAAACTGCTGTCATTGAAGCTGCAGTATTTGACGCTGAGACCAACGTAAAACTGATCGTGGTGCGCGGGACGTTCCTGTCAGGTCTCATTTGACATGTCTATCAAGAAAAGCGGGATAGCCACTGGTGCTGAGCACACAGTCCCGTCGCCGCTTCTGGATGCTCCTGATGCAGAGAGCCTGTCCAAGGCAGAGCTCGCAACGCTCAGCCGTTTGATGGATTTTTTGCCACACAATTCCGTTACAACAGACCGTGGAGCGCTCAGTCGGTCAACAAAATGTCTGGTCACGACATTGGGCTTTGGACCGAACCTGACTGGCCCAGTCATCTACATTCATGGCGGTGTGCTGGGTACAGTACTGTACAATGCAGCTGCAATGCTGTTCCAGCTGCTCACTGGCAAGGACCCCAATGCGGTCAACTGGGACATCACATACAAGAGCCCGGTGCCTATCGAGAGCATCGACAATGTCATCACCGCTCAGGTTAAGAGCGAATCTACTCAGTCGGTGACAATATTCTCCAAGATTATGCGCGGCAGCAAGGTCTTTACCACCTTGACGACCGTATTCTCCCTGGGCAAGCTGGAGGTCGAACAGAGCAACTATAGAATATGTATTTCACATGCCTGAATGGCGTAATGTAATGACATTTGATGGTTTTTGGCATGTGCGGTAGTTTCACTCTGTCAGAGCTGGTGTGGCTCGTCTTGGCTGGCAGGTGAAATGATGAATTCCGGAATTCGAGCCAGCTGGAAGTTAGGGTTCCTCAGCGGGTGGTTCATTCAAATGCGTTCTGGTAAATGCGCGATCTGCAATCTCGGATTAGTCAGTGCGCCAATAACAGCATTTTCCGATAAAGAAATTCCGCCGGGGGCATGTGCTGTCCGTGCCGCCCGTGCCCACCACCCAGCAAGAAAAACTCTGGCTATGGCTGGGTCCATGTTCCAGAAATCACTGGCAGCACAGCCTGGTGCATGGGTATGGAATCCGGGAAACGTGTTTTCCCGCTGGGCTATTTAAGCTAAGCAACCTCCGCTTCTGGACTCAGAGCTGCGTTTATCTCTCTTGTTATCTCTTTGCTTCAGCTTACGATGGACACACACAACTTGCATCCGGCGATACAGAGGCGCATTGACGCATACACCGACCTAATCCCCGCCCCTTTGCACTCACTGTGGGGGCCGAACGACGCACAGGTTATCGACCGTTTCCACAACGAGGGATTCATGCATACACACAAGCAGTTTTTCTCGCCGCAACAGGAGCGCCTTGTTGGCATGTGGAATTTCAGCCGGGACAAGCTGCCGGCCGATCTGGTAGTTTCTGATACGACGCTCTTTACACTGGCTGATGATATGGCAGGGAGAGTTCTCAGAATGGATCGCAAAGCACCGCAGCCAGGACAAGGGCGCGAGCATTCGGTTTACTGTCAATCTACAGATCACAAAAACTGGCGAGTCTCTGGCGGGACGCTCGTTCTTTTTTGAGGCAAAGATCGAGAGCTCGTCACAGAACACGCTGACTGTCCGTGCCACAGTTCACGATGCCGAGAACAATACCACAAATCATCGCTGTTCGCGGCGTGTTTGTCACCGTACTGGTTGCAAAGACTAGCATCATGAACAAATCTGCTGCCTGAGCCGGTGATTACTGTGCCCTCACCGCTACTGGGTGTCCCTGATGCTGTGAGCCTGGAGGCTGCCGATCTCAGCGACCTTTGCTCCGTCATGAATTTTCTGCCACACAACGCTGTCAGCACAACCTGCCGGCTCACTCAGTCCGCTCTGAAAAGTCCATCGCCACTGTACTGAACTTTGGACCTAAACTCACCGGGCCTGTCGTTTACGTGCACGGCGGAGTCCTGGGTACTGTCCTTTACATTGCGTCAAGGAAGCTACTCCAGCTACTGACAGGCCAGTCTATTAGCGCAGTGCATTGGGACATCACGTACAAGAGCCCAATGCCCATCGAAAGTACTGGATAATGTGATCTACGCTCATGTCGAGAGTGAAGTCAGCCAGTCAATAACTGTCTTTGCAAAGATCATGCGTGGAGACAAAGTCTACACTACTCTCAGATCGGTGTTTTCATTCAAGGCCATGGCTGCCGGACAGAGCAAGCTGTAGACACACTCAGCGTACGTATCAATCACTTTCCAAACCGTGTGTGCTGATTAAATGCAGATAGTAGAAATACATTCATGAGAGCAGTGGTACCACAGTTGGACTAGGGCGTCATTCGAAAGGGATTTTCATGTGCTATGCATACACTTGCAGTCTCCCAAACACTACAGTTTGCATCTCATCTCCGCTTGCTATCCACACTCTTCGAATTCTTGCATTCATGTCGGGCTTTGGACACCTAGACAAGCGTACACTCGTTAGAGTATTTGCAATCTACCTCAACTCTATTGGAGATCTTCAGAAAAATGGAATCCTCCGCTACTATGTGACGGTATATCTCAGCAGAGTCTGTCGGCACTGGAAACACTGTGTGCAGAGCCTCCTTGGAAACGCAATATACATCTTCTGCTATTGCCCCTGGCCGAATCTCCCCTATAGATTTATGAAGACCTCCTCGACCAGCAGACTTCTGAGAAAAGGCAAATATTTCCAATATAGCCTGAGCGACGTAAAACTGTGGAGAACAAACATTCCGTATATTGTCAATGCTGGCCTCTATTCCAAAGTCGACCGGGTTTACATCTGGGCAATGGGGTGCTCTATTAGTGTTGCCGACATCGCCAGAATATTACAGAGGTTTGAGTTTTGGCAAAGGAGCCTGGCACTCAGTTTCTGATCTACACATTATTGAAACTCCCCCTCCTCAACCATCCTCAGCTTCCATTCAGAGCGAAGCTTCAGATATGGACACTCTAACAAACGACACTTTCACATATATCACACAGCATCTCCAAAGTATTTCCTCGCTTGCTTATGATTCAACTAGTGCCAATCTTGGTCCTGAGGTTAAGCATCTACTTGAAAGGCTGATGGATTTCTACATGCCGCGCTTAACCGCACTGAGTCCTGCCATCATTTGAGCCATACAGCTTTTCACATACCTCATTTGCGCCTTATCTTTCAGCTCTCTATATGAATCTTCAAGGAAGAAGCCTTTCTTCTCTTCCAAAAGTTTTTGCACCCTCTCTTGTCAAGCTGACAATTTTCAGTCTTGAGCTAGACTTTACATGGGACATCTTTCAAGGCGCCCTTCCAAGGATGGTGATCTTTGAAAACCTAACTCAGTTGAAGGTATACTTCAAAAAATCGACCAAACTGCCTGTTCAACCAGCATATAACGGCAATACGGAAGTGGGGTTTCCCAAGCTTCGTGCCCTGCATTTCGTGAATCACCCTTATACCAGCACTTGCCTTTCCTCCATTTTTAAAGACTCGCCGGTCGATGAGCTAGTCATTTCTTTCTTTTTCGAAAAACTGGATGCATTCGATGCTCCACTCCTCTTAAACAAACCCCGAATCACGCTCTGGGTCTCCACCTACACTGGTACTGCTGAGGAAAACAGCTTCGTCAGAAATGTTGCCATTAGAACTATTTTCCCAGCAATCCACTACTCGCTATGCTGAAGTGGTTATCCCAACCAGCCTTCCAGTCCGGCTTCCAATGTACCCTCGATGGACAAAACTCGAGAAGCTCTTCCTTCGGTTCCCAGTGTATCTTTCTGAACTCGTTCGTATATTGCCGCAGCTACCACTCCTTCGCTGGCTAGTTGTTGGAGCAATTTATCGCTCTGCACCAGATTCACTTTCCAGTATGCCTGGCTCTCATATCTGGAGCACTAGCATCAGGGTGCTGTGTCTGTTTTCCAGTATAACAGCAGTTCCAACTATCCCAGATTTCGGCTCTATGTGCATTCTTGTCTCCGGCCTGCCATCGCTTCAGAGGCTACTTGTCCCAGATGGGATGCTCAGCGATGTACGAGCGAGGTTAGCGAAACAAGGGCTGGCCCGATATATGGATAAATCTGCATCCAAACTACACAAGCTGGTGCGACAGTTGCGCACAGATTTGGCTCATTTATTGCTAATGAGAGACTCAAAGATGGTCACCGAGAATGGCTATTATCGATATCCTAAACGCACGAACTCGGAGTTAAATATCACGCAGAGGCTTATGTGGAAACTCTATACGCAGCCCTTTAAACGTCGCAGGGCGCTAATCCCAACAATTAGACGTTGTCAGCGGAGCCTGTTCATAGACACTAAGGAAGGAGGGCATGGGGTAGTGGAGTTTGACCCATCCAAGGCCATGTCGTTTTTGGATGAGTTTCCTGTGCTAGAATACTCTGTGGATTTTGTACCAGTGTCTGCAACTCTCTTCTGGCTGGCTCGGCATCAGCAGGTTTGGCAATAAATCCTTGATTGCAAACCAGCTAATAATATCACTGTGTACGCTACAAGATTTGGTCAGCGGCAATGTGGCAAACACCCTCTCCATGACTTCCTAATCCCTGGGTGTTGGTCGTTGGCATGGGCTGGGGCTCCTTGGTCATCAAGCAGGGCTGCATCATGCTTGGTGGTACTGACCCGAAGAACTCGGGCACAGGCACCATATGGAGCGACTTCTGTCCACTTCAAATCCTGAGCGCTTCAAAAAATGCAGCATCAGCAGGGTCGCGGCCCAGGAAGGCGCGGAGCGAATCGGCAGCATCGCGGGTGGCACCAGGCTCAAGGATCTCGCGACGGTAGTCCCTGCCAGTCTGTGGGTTGTCGATTCCCTCCTTGGCAAAGCGCGCAGCAAACATGTCGGCAGAGAACACCATGCCCCACATGTATACATAGAACTTGGCGTCATATCCACACATCATGTGGTTGAAGATGCCAGCTGCTGGGAGAACAAGGTCGCCGGTATCGAGTCTGCCAATGTCGCGGCGCAGATCTGAGTACAACTGGGTGATATCAACCGACTCCAAATCGGTGGTGTTGTGGATGGTCTGGTCAAACCGGCTCTGGTACATGCGGCGTAAGCCATCAATGGGGGCACCGACGTTCTTAGCAGCAATGACAGTATTGCAGAGACTGTCAGGCAAAGACTCCCCGGTCTCATAGTGCCTGGAGAAGCGCTTCAAGCTCTCAGGTTGCCATACCCAATTTTCGAGCATTTGGGATGGCGTCTCGATGAAGTCGGATTCGACAGACATGAGTGAGAACAGAGCGTATTTGGATCTCAGGCAGATGCCATGGAAAACATGGCCAAGCTCATGCAGAACAATCCTCAGGTCGTTGTGAGACATCAATGATGGCTGTGAGCCAGAGCCCTTGGACAGATTGGTGATCAGGATGGCAGCAGGGAAGTGGTGAGTACCGTCAGCATTCACAAATCCAGAGCGCATTGCCATGGTGCACGGGTGGTTCTCCTTGTCCGGCCGCGGATAGGCATCAATGTAGATATGGCCCAGGAATCCGTACTCGTCGTCAGTCACCTCGTAGGCGTCGACTGACGGGTGCCAGACAGAAATGTCTGCCTTTTGCACACGCACATGTAGCAGCTTTTCGTAAAAGTCCAGCACCTGGCGGATAGTGTGTGCCGTAGGGAGGTACTGGCGGACCTTGTTCTCATCGACGTTGTAGCGGGTCTCCTTGAGCTTGTTGAGATAGTAGGGGACATCCCAGGCAAGCACCTTGGGGCTATCAGGCGAGTCCTGGCGCTTGAGCTCAGCGATATCCTCGATTTCTCTGTCACCAGCCGTGCTCAGACGGTTGAGCAGGCTAGCCTCAAACTCGGTGACGCGTGCAGGCGTCTTGGCCATGCAGATCTCATGGGCATACTCGGCATTGGTCTTGTATCCAAGCAGCTTTGCGGCCTCAATGCGGAGCCTAGCAGCGTCCTTGATCAGTGGGATGTTTGCCGCGCCGCGCTCGTCGTTGGTGACAAAAATGCGACGGCGGGTCTCGGCAGAATGCGCCTTTTGCAGCACGGGCTCCACATCAGGGTACTTTGTTGTGACGACAAACTTGTCGACTCCGTCCTCGGTCTTGGTCTCGCGGCCGGCGAAAAAGTCCTCTGGCAAGCCAGCGAGCTCCTCGCGAGTGAACAGTTCCTGGCCCTCAAGCTCATTGAAGTTCTTGGCAAACTGCAGGTTCAGTTCGGTAAGCTTGTTCTTGACTGCCGCCAGCTTCCCCTGGTCCTCAGGGGACAGCGCCAGGCCGTTGCGGCGGAACCTGCGGACGATGTACCCGACCAGGCGTGCATCCTCGGCATCGAGCTGGGACATCTCGGCCTTACTTTCAAAGACGGTGTTGATGGCAGTGAAGACGTCGGCACGCATGCCGGACCTGGTCTCGAAATCTTCCAGCAGCTGGCCAGCATCGCTGCTAGCCTGGCGCACGGCAGCGTCGGGCGAGATGAACCGGAGGTTGGAGGTAGCCATTCCCGTGTCGAATTGATTTTCGAACTGCGCAAATGGCACGACCACAGTGGCAAAGGTGGGGTTGGGCTCGGCGGCTATGGCACCATAGACTTGCTCACCCTTTGCAATCAGGGACTTGGTTCCGTCAATGATAGTCTCAGGCGTATACGCAGCGAAATCAATGGCAATTGTGTTGGTAGTAGCGGTCATGTTTGGTAATTTGGATGAAAGCTAAAGGAAGAGGCGTGAGAGCGCAAAATGGAAAAGAAACTGGCTTTTTATGTGGGCGAGTTAAGCGCTGATGTCACCTACCTCGTCCATGCTCTTGGCTTGTTTTGGCCCGGTTCTTTCAGCTGGTGCATTGGCGCATCTACTGTCCTCATATCGAGCGACTACGGCTGTGCAGGCATATGGTTCAACAAATGGTGCGTAATCCTCTGGATCAAGAGTAGAATGCTCCTCTTCCCAGGCCACTTATTGCCCTTCAAACCTGGTATACTTTTTCATTTCGCTTGGCTTGTGGTTATCAAACTGGTGGCCTGAGATGCATATGTGACGCACTGCAGGCGAAGTTATTTTATTATCCTTTTCAGTTTATCGATATGAAGTGGTTATGGATGGAGAGGCGGATCTATATGCCTCTGCCAGTTGTACTTATTTCTTGTCGAATAGTAGTGGCACAGCATAGCTTTTTGAAAAATTACGTGCCAGACCATCCATATCGTGTACAGGAATCCGATGCCCAAAGGTGAACCTGGACACATTCCACATTTGGAGTGATGCTGAGCATTTCTGACATAAAACCTGCTTCTAACTGGGATTACGTCTGCTGTAGAAGAACTAGATTCATGTAGCTAATACCATTTTGGTTTGGTTCCTAGCGTAGATTTAGCGCATATTCATCTCACTCAGTTCTACAGTAAAACAACAGAAGATCTATGCAATTCTAGTGGACCTTATATATTGGGCCTATGCCGGCAAAAGGCAAAATGAATAAGGTTATTGTGACCTCAGTTTTGCCTCGGTCGCTTTGAATGCCTCTAGCTGCTCAAGTTCGCAGCGGCTCATAGTTGTTGGCCCGGAATACATCGTAGGAATTAGCGGGGTGTTGGTAAAGCGAATGTCGGGGCAGAGTAATGCCAGGGAAACAATAGCTCTGGCTGCCTGCATCATGCAGCTGCCCAGCATCATGTGCGAGACACCCACAGTTATTGAGCGGGTCGATAAGGGGTAGACTTTCTTGAACATCAGTTCTATATCGCCAATATCCGCACAAATGGCATCGATGTGGTGAACGACAAAATCGAAAATCGATATCGGCGCAGACCACCAATTGCTGTCGTCATACAGGCCAGTCCCTGCGGTGCACTTGCCAGCGCAAAAGGTGTGCGGGCCATTGAAATCTGCAGGGTTTCTAGACTCCTGCATGCCGACTTGAAGCCTGCGAAGGGAAGGCAGCATTCTGATAAGACGGACAGTATCCTCAAGTGTCAGAATCAGGTCACGGCAATCGATTGATTGTATGTTCTGGCTGAGATAGTTCAAGTCAGTCTCAACCGCACCAAAGCCGACATCCTCATAACCGGCAGAGACAATATGTGTGGCATTTCGGCCCATCGTCAGAGCAGCAGTGATAGGGTGGACACTGCATTCCCCAGACAGGTTCTCGCAACTTAAGTCCAGGTGTTTCAGTGCTGGGAACCGATCGATGTCGAATATACCGCGCTCCGAAAGTGTGTTCATATCATCTGTATCCAGACGAAGCGCCAGTTCCCGAAGTGTTGCACCGTTTCCTCTCAGTGTGATTTCCTGCATAGGCAGCTCCTCCACGCTGTATTTGAGTCTCTCGAGGACAGGGAATGGCACACTGTCTAGATTCTGCAGCTTGTCAGATAGTGGTGGACTGTATGAGTGGCCACCCTCGAGGATCAGAGTTTTGAGTTTGTTGTAAACAACAGGCGACCCGTTGCTAGATACCAGAATATCCTGAAGGTTGGAGAGATACTCCACTGTGAGCTCCAGGTGCTCTAGAGTTTCAGACTGGCAGCGAATGGCTTCAATGCCTGAGGCAGTAATCTCAGTGTCCTTGAATGCAATTTTACGAAGTGAGCGGCTGCTGCTAGATAGAATGGCACCGGTATCAAGAGACAAGTCGTACATCGTATCAAGGTGTGCGAGAACAGTATCTGCCTTCTCCAGCAACCCTGACAGGAGCGTTGACATGAACGGGCAAGTCATATCGGTACCACATGAAAGAAACCCTTGGAAATCAACAGTTGTCGCGTTCGGGAACGTGGAGTGTATCGCCTGGCAGAATTCGCGAGCTTTTGCTGCTGCGCTAGGCGAGTCTAGTATACCACTCCCCTCGCCGAGGATGAAGGTGTAAGAAGCAGCCTTGGTTGCGTTTAGCACCTGGTTTTCCAGAGTTCCAGCTTTGAACACGTCAAGTGCACGGCCATTGGCGATGTCGTCAAGACTCCAAATCATCTCGACAGACTTGATGCTGTTTTTGGCACCGGCCTTTAAAGCATGGTCCATCGTGTTGAACTGGGTATATGCGTCTGCAATCGAGTCCGAGTCACCAGTGTATTCCAAGCCACAGAGCGAAGCAGTGCTGAAGAGCAGACTCGTGGCTGAGTACCTCCATTGCTGACACACCGCCATGAATACCAGCAGGCTGGTTTGGCGTGCACGGCTGACGTCCAAGGCTGACTCGTAGTCATTATCAGAGAAATTCACGGCGTGGTAAAAGGTCTGTCTGAGGACAAGCGACGGGAGATTCTGAGCTAGTGCTGGCATTATAGAGAATAATAAAATGGCGATTGTGGCAAAGATGCAGACGAAGGAGCGCTTGGTCCGCGGCTGCTTTTATAGCTGGTGGTCCCAGGAAAACATACTGCACCCAAATAGCGGAACATGAAAAGGTAATTCTCTGCCTTCCCACATGGCAATCATCGTTTCTCTTCATAGAGATAGTTCTGAGTCACAGCAAAGGCTCCAGCTGCGGTTCTGTGGACCGCATCAATGCACACTGACGTATCTGGCATATGCCATACATTGCACGCACACTGGCCAGTAGAGCCCAATAAGATACGGTTTTTGGTAGTGACATAAAAAAGAGGGGGTGTAGGAGAGTCTACTCTGTCGGGCAGCTCAGACAATGCGCTCAAGCTCCCGTGCGTAGCTCAACGTCTGGTGCATGATGCTCTCGCCCTGGAACACACGCATATTCTCGACGTGTGACGGGAACGTAACCTTTTTCTCCGCGGGGCTGACATCCCACCCGCGCTCCTGCGCAAATGTCAGCAGCTCATCCATGTTCGAAAAGAACAGCACCGTCTTGGCGTCGTCCAGCGGCAGGCTCGCGTAGCTCTTTTCTGTGCACGACGCAACCTCATTGCGAATAGTCGACATCAGGATGTCCACAAAGAACAGGTACTCAGGCGTCGGGACCTCGGCGCGCGCCTGCCACACCTTCTTGTAGCTGCCCTCCATCAGCGCCTGCTCCAGCTTCACCGGGTGTGCGACAAACTCGTTGTTCAGGATCTGGTTGAGGTCAATACGCTCCAGTGTCGTATGGAAGTCTGCGATCAGGTTCTCCGACAGCATCCGCAGCAGGTTCAGCCCGATCAGCGGGTACATCACCTTTGACTCCTCCAGGCCCAGGTTGTCTCCAAAGTAGTACGACTCCAGCTGTGCCATGTAGCGCTCAAACGCGGGGATATCGCCGACCTTTACTGAAAACTCTGCGCCCAGTTCCAGTGCACTGCCTACACGCGAGCGCAATATGTTGAATGTACTGTTTGTGGCCAAATGCAGTGCATTGGTTACGCTCATTGGGTACACTTACGCTTTAGAAGCAGGTACGAGGTGTCTGTCGCCACCTCGCTGTTCTGCATGGCAATTTGAACCAGCCCCACCTTCAGCTTGGACAGCTGGGACCGGAGGGTGTCGAGATTCGGGCTCGGCGAATCCATAGCGGCGCGCGTGCTCTCGTACAGCGCGGTGAGTTCCTTTGCGCTCAGTGCCCTTGACATTGTAACTGGGTGTGCGTAGATATGTAGAGTAGGAGTGCTGTGTGTATGTGTATGAAATTTGAACTGTCAGCCAAGGCAAGAGGCTAAATGCGACGGGCTGGCTGGAACCGCGAGTAGCGCGCTGCATGGAGCGTACGTCACTAATTGATTGCGGATCAGATTGCGGATCAGGAATTGCGGGATAATTTTCCTCATGCAATTGCACCATCGCCGGGCCGTAGCGGGCCGCTGGGCAATCCAGGCGGATTAGTCATAAGATTTTTGTTCTGTCCAGCGACCCGGCTCTTTCTCTCTCACACCGCATTCTTATTTTTCCTCTACTCTTACACATACACACACCAGGATGTCCAACGACAACATCATCAAGCTTACCGAGGAGACACAGCTGCGCTCAAAGCTCGAGGAGAATGCGCAGACAGTCGCCATTTATTTCTGGGCAGACTGGGCAGTGCAGTGCGAGCAGGTCAACGGCGTCATTGACGAGCTGGGCGCCAAATACGCAAAGACCACGTTCTTCAAGGTGGAAGCCGAGGAGTTCCCGGAGATCTCCGAGGCATACGAGATCTCGGCGGTGCCCACAGTGATCATTGCCAGGGGTGCAAAGATCCTGGGGCGCGTCGACGGCGTCAACGTGGCCGAGATCGTGAACCAGGTGGCCAAGAACTGCGCAGCAGCCAACGGCATCAGCGCGCAGGCAAGCAACAGCGCAGAGGCGCCGGCCGAGATCAAGCAGGATCTGAACACACGGCTGAAGGGGCTGGTGGAGCGTGCGCCTGTCATGGATGTTCATCAAGGGCACGGCAGCGCAGCCCAGGTGCGGGTTCTCGAAGAAAATCATTAACATGCTCAATGAGCAGAACATCAAGTACGGGTACTTTGATATCCTCAGCGACGAGGAGGTGCGCCAGGGCCTGAAGGAATACTCGAACTGGCCCACCTATCCGCAGCTCTACATCGAGGGCGAGCTCGTGGGCGGCGTCGATATTGTCACAGAGATGATCGAGTCTGGTGAGCTGGCCGAGATGATCCCGGCTGGTATCCAAGGCCGACTAGGCTGGAGGCTAATGTACGCCGTTTTCAGACTGTCTTTATAATGCAACATGGTCTACTTTTGACTACAGAAAGCTGGTCTTAGTCCTTGGGCACTGCGCCGCGCATCTTGCGGTCGTGCTGGTTTTTGCGGTGGTGGTTGGCCACCTTGGCCTTGTTTTTCTCTTTCCTCCGGCGGTCTCGATCAGCGCTGCCTGCAGGCGGACCGCTTGCAGGACCGCTGCTGCTATTCTGCTGCTTCTTGGCGGATGCCGGCACTGCTGCCTGCTCGCCTTGCCATCCAAAGCGGTCAACAGCCTGCTGTCTGCGCGGACTGCGCAGGAACATGATGTGCCACCCTTCGAGCTGCTCGTCAGACAAGCCCGTCTGCGCACGCAGGCTCTGGCGTGTCTTTGACGTGCGCGCCTCGCGCTTCCGCTCAAACACCGACGGGTCAGAGATGAACTGGCGCACCAGCAGTTCTTCCCAGGCCCGCGTCGGATCAGCCTGGTGCGCCATCGCTCTTGTGCGCTGCTGGCTCAGGCAGCCCGCGCTTCTTGCTGGCATCGATGAACTCGTCGGCGTCCTGTGCATCGTTTACGGCGTTGTCCTGGACGGTGTCGTCGTACGTGTCGTCGTACTCGTCGTCCTCTTCAATGCGCTGCACAATCTCCATGATGCGGCTCTTGACAGCATGGTCACCCGCATTGATGTCGGTCTGCTCATCGGCTTTCTTGCGATGCACGCGCGACCAGTCGAGTGTGTTGCGCCGGAAGATGTCGAATTCGTCGTTGTCAAAGATATTGCGACGCGCATCCAACGCGCTGTGCTCTGCCGTCGGAGCATCGCTTTCGGCTGCGGATTCGTCGGCAACGCTTGCTGCGGTACTCGGGATTCCTGTGGTGGGGGCTGCAGTAGTGGCCACTGGTGTGTCGGCCATCGTCCGGTCGAGCCCAGCCAGCGACGGCGGCAGGTTGTCTTCCAGAATGGCCATGATAACTGCCTCGGGGTTGAGGTCGTAGTATGCAAGACATGCGCGGACAAACCCAGCGCCCAGATCGGGGATCAGCTCCTGTACCTGCGCAACTACCTCGGCATCAATAGCGCTATCGTTTGCTGTAGCTTCTGTGTCGTTACCCGAGGACCACTGCGCTCCTGCATCCTGTCCCATAGTCAGCCACCGGCGCTTGCGCATCTAGGATCCGCTGCTGCAGCGACACCAGCCCATACCGGTATAAGGGGTCGGACATGTCAACTGAGCTGGTCGATCGACATGATGATGTAGTCGAGCTGTGCCTCGTCAAAGTCCCCCGATGACCCCGCAGCATGCCGGAGCATTGGCCGCAGTCCGAAGCCAAACTCGATATCGAACAGGATTGGCGCATTGCTGAATGGTACTAGCTCTGTAAACTGGGTCTCCATGCTGTCCAGCAGCTCCATGAACACAGCCGAGCCGCTGGCCACCGACAGCTCAGCCTTCACCTTCCGGTGCTTGGCCTGCTCGCCGGCCGGGTCGAGCAACAGCCGGCAGATGTGGAACGCCAGGCTGCACCACTGCCACTTGAGTTTCTTGGCCAGTTCGACAATTCTGCCATATGTCTCCTTACCCTCGGCATCCATGGCCTTGCGCTCCAGGCCAACCACTAGATGTGTCACTGTGCCGTATACGCGCGATAACCGCAGCAGACACTGCTTGTCCTGGGCCAGCACCATGACCGCAGCAATGCACACCTCGGCCAGCCCTCGCCAGCTCTGCGCTATTCCCAGGTGCAGCTGCAAATCACGACAGACTCTTTCGAGGGACTCTGGCAGTCCTGAGCCCGTGTACCTGCGCTCAAACTCGGTCAGCTGCTCCATGAGCAGATCATATGCGGCCTCGATCTCGGACAGGAGCCACGGTGCATTGGCACACAGCTGGTCCAGGACGCCTTCGACCTGCTGCGTCTGGGCGGTGCCGAACACTCGGGCAAGATCAAACAGTGTCGCGCCGACCAGAATATACCGACTTTGCAGCATGTGTATGTAGTCTTGTGCAGCTGGGTCACCCAAGCTGTTGCTTAGCTTGCCGTAGATGTCTAATACCAGCTCTTTGGCGCTGATCTGGAGCCGTGCTGGCACTGTCCAAGAGCACGCTATCTGACAGCGCGCCCATTTTGGTTTCCTCATCGAGCAGCCGAGCAATGAAGTCGGCACCGCTATGGTTTTTGAGAGCGTCGTCAATTTCCTGTAGCATTGTTGTTCGGTATGGTGACCTTTTTTAACACGAAAAGAGGGTGAGATAGAAAGGGGGTGGAATGGTACAGGGCAGAGAGGGGATTTCGAAATTGGCTTTGGCCCTTAAAAAGACCTGGTGAGGGAGTTTTGTGTGTGCCGCAGCGGGGCGGGCAGGCTTTGATGTCCTTGAGAGCGATCCAGAAACACTTGGGCCCATTAATTACTGCAACCAACTCCCTGTTTATCTCAACTCCAAATTTTTATACCAACTCGTTTTTGCGCTCCATTCGAAATGTCAAAGTACACCGGAAAGCTCGGCGAACTATACAAGGCGTACTCGCGGGCAGTCAGTCTGTGGCCAGCCGACAAGCTGCGCCCGACACACAGCTACCGCGACGTGCTGAAGCGGCAAATGACCAACAAATTCGACAAGCTGAGTGCGCTGCACGGCGACCAGCTGAACCAGGGGACTTGCTGTGGTCGAGAAGGAAGTATCGGCGATCGAGAACCTCGTGTCGAGTAAGTACCGGGCCGAGAACAAGCTCTCGGAGGCAATCACCGATCCGGTGTCGAACAAGGGCTACTACACGAAGCTGATCGCAAGCATCGACGACGCAGTAAAGCAGAACAAGAAAACGGCGCTGCGGGTGGACTAGGCTGCTAGTGTGTTGTAGGATGGGTGAGGCTAAATATACGATAAACACTAGCTTGGTGATGAGCTGTGGGCCAAGATGGTGTCGAGGACTGGTGTACGAGGAGAGACACTTGTGATCGCTGATGGCGTTTGTGGCTGAGATCCTGGCTGTTGCTGCTGCTGTTGCTGCGGCTGTTGCTGCTGCTGTGTTGTTGCTGCTGCTGCTGCCGCTGTTGGCCGCCTGGAGCTGCTTGATGACCTCACGCATATGCTTCTCTAGCTTGAACGAGTACGCATAGTCGACAGCGGTATACCCCTTGTGATTCTTGAGCGAGGGCTGGGCACCGCGCTCCAACAGCAGCACGGCGGTCTTGAACTGATTCCACGACGCAGCATGGTGCAGCGGTGTGTTCCCTTCGATATCGCGCTGGTTGACATTGCCGCCATGGTCCAGAATAAAGGTGATAACGCGGTTCATTCCGTTTTGAGCTGCCTCGTTAATTGCACTGCTGCCATCGCGGTTGATCTCCGACATGGTCTGCGGGTATCTGTTCAAGTACAGCAGGCAGATCCCTTCGTGTCGGTACTTGGCGCTGACCATCGGGATTGTGTTGCCTGACGAGTCTGTTGAGATCACTTCGTTATCGTGGTCCAGGCCCAGCAGGTATTTTACAATCTCCTTGTGGCCCAGGCGTGCTGCCAGCATAAGGGATGTCCAGCCGTTGTCATCGGCGCTTTTGTTCTGGATGTCGGTTATCTTGTTGTTGTCGATTAGCCAGTGCAGTGTCTGCAGGTCGTTCTCAGCCACAGCCTTGTGGAGCCGCTGTGCCGGCAAGAGACGAAGTTCAGTCATCATTGTCGCCATCGCGGATATGTCTGAGTGATGCGAGCTTGGTTAAATGGAAACAGTAGTACAGGGGATGTGTAGAATGCACAGGAGAAATGGGGTGTAGGATGAGCAGCGTTTGACCACTCGACAGGCCGATCAGCAATAGTGAATACTTTCAGATTGTAGTACATGGCTTATGGCAAATGCCATGCATGCCTGGAAGGCTGGGCAAGAACGGTGTGAGTGCATAGCCTGCCTATTGAGTCTGTTTGCAATGGTGTACCTGGTGTATACTATTTTTTGAATCGCAATGTCCTAGGCAGATGCTCCAGCTGCATACAAGGTAGTTCTTCGCTATATGTCTCTACTCTTTATCTCCTGATGAGAGTGATTTGTGGTTCACCTATAGATGCGTCAGCTACACATTGCTGTGCCACCTGGAATCCAAAAGGGAATGCCAATCCGACAATATATGATGGGCAAATATGTTGAAGTCAATAAAGCCACTTGGGGAGGAATAAACATTACTAAGGCTTTTTCTTAAGGTGGTGGTTGACGAGATCAGTTAGCGGCACTTGCTTTGTGGCTTCGGCAACGACCGCAGGCGCTGGCAAATCCAGTACAGCGTACATGAGGGCAACAGCAGTGTGGTCAGAGTCGTCCATAGTCGACGCGGCATCGGGACTCGACCAATATGTGGTCAGGGCACGAGTCGCATGCTCGGACATGGCAAGCTTGTGCACATTCGCGTAGATATCGGCCCAAGCCAGGATAACGCGTTCTGGCCAGTGGAACACATCCAGCTCCGCACAGCCCTTGCGCAAAAGCGCAAAGTTCGGGTGCCTGGCCGCCGCAACGCAGACACGCAGCTGGCGCGCATTCTCCAGCACATCAACGGCCGAGCCCGCATTGGCGCCCTTGGCAAGGTTTGCGGCAAGCGCACCTACGGCCTGGGGGACTCTGCTCAGCCAGCGCTCGAAGCGCAGTGGCGTCAGGCCCAGAGGCGGCAATGGACGTGCCAGGGGCACCACATACAGCGTGCAGTGCTGCATCAGTGCGTCCCTGGCCGCCGGCTCATGGCTGAAGTCAATATCTAGAGGCAAATACCCGGACACACGCACCTGCACCTTCTCCACATCAGCCAGATCCGGGATGCGCCGGCACGGCGCCATTTCGCCATCCCTGCCGGCCACGGCAATCTCGGCGTTCCGGCACAACTCGCCGGTGCCGGCATCGCGCACCAGCAAGACCCGCACCCTCACACACAGTGGCCAGAGATGCCGCCACGCCTGCAAATGCTCGTAGTTGTCGGCAGGCCAGCGCGGGAAGCGCGGGAACATGGCAATCAGCAGCACTGCCATGCTAAAGTCGCTGCAGTGACAGTGTCAGGCGCGCGCCGCCGCCCAGAAACAGCAGGCCCAGCGCCATATGCGATGCCATATGGTCGCCGTACGAGCGCATGGGTGTGGCCGCGTGCAGGCAGCGCAGGCGCCGCATCACTTCGATATTGCCACTGCCGGCCATCACCAGGGCGCAGGAAATGCACAGAATGTTCAGGCAGGCTTGCGCCGAAGCCCGCGTCAACCGGGCTTCGTAGCCGGCGGCTGGGCGTTTGGCCAGTGCGTGGAGTTGGTCGAAATACTGCAAAAGCGTCTGCAGTGCCATTGCATCCTCGGAGCCCGCGTGCTTGATTGCCAGCGCAAAGCAGGCGGCAGAGGTAATGTGCAGGCGCGCGCGCACCAGATCCGGCTCCGGCGACTCTGGCATGGGCACGGTTGATTCGATCCAGGCAGCAGTGGGCGTGATTGCATCGGCCATGATCAGGCAGCGCATTAGCGTTTTCCACAGCAGCACGAAGGGATCGGTGGTGCGCAGCAGCTGCAGCGTTGAAGGCAGTGCTAGGCGGTGGGCGGCCGGGCGGTAGTTTGTGCCCAGGAATGCCAGCCCCAGGGCGGCAACCGGGCCGAGATCCGATACGCCAGGCATAGCATGCGCGCTTGGCATTGCGCTGCCTGGCCGGCCGGTGCGCTCGCTCTCTGCGCCCACAGCGCCGACGGTCCGGCCAACCATGGCCGAAAGCGTGTCGAGCAGATTCAGGTCAGCCAGGGTCTCGGTCCTCTGGCCCTGGCCAAGCACCAGCAGGCCCAGGGCAAAGCCAGCCGACAAGGCGTAGCATTCGCGGGAGCTCTCAGCCGGATCAGCATCATCGAGACGCGCCGAGTGGTCCTCGGCCGGGGCAGTGCGGCACATGGACAGTTCGCGCAGAGCAACCTCGACCATGCGGCGATTCTGCGACCGCGCATAGACCAGCCCCAGGCCGAGCATGGCAGCAGCACGTGTGCCATGCGACAGCAGCATCAGCTCAGACGCCCCCGCTGGCAAAAGGCTGGGGATATGCAGAGACAGGAGCTTGGCAGCCTGCGCGTCGCCGGTGCCCTGGGCAGCGCAGGCCGTGCCCAGCAGGAAGCCGACCGACGTCAGCCCGTCGCGCGCGCTCAGGTACTGGAACGCCTGCCATGGCGGCAGGGTGCGCAGCGGGCCAGCGCCCGCCAGCCCCAGGCCGAGCAATACGCCCGCATGCGAAGCACGCAGAAGCCGGTGATCACGCACCTTGTCTTCTTCGCCCGGCAAGCCCACCGGCTCATCCGCGGGGCGGTTCAGCAATACCCACGATGCATGCACCCTGGCGACCTGGTCGCGGTCCAGCGCCAATGCGCTGGCCACGCCATTGTGGAACTGCGCCCAGCACAGGTCCGGTTCGGCTGGCGTCCATGTGCTTTTGATGCGATTGCCGCGGAACCGCGCCGACACCACCACTGGGCGGACCGGAAGCGCGTCGTGCTCGTTCAGCGGCTGCGTGCTGAACACCAGCAGGGCCTGGGAGACTGGCAGGCCGAGGGTGCGCCTTGGCCACAAGCCCCAGGTGAGTATCCTTGGTCTGGCGGATCTCCTCCGGCGACTCGAGCCGCGACACGTCCACTGCCAGATCCACATCGCTGTGCAGCAGCCGGCAGACTTCGTCTACGCGCAGGTCGCGCGCAAACCACGCGCTGGCAATCTCCTGCCTCTTCACCGCCATGATCATGTCCTGCTCCGGCTCCTTGCCCTCAATTGCGCGCTCACACAGCTGCGCAATCGTCAGCAGCTCCTTCTTCCGGATCGCAGATGGCATGTGCGTGCTGGCAAGCAGAATCGTGGCGGCCCAGCAGCTTGAGGAGGTCGTGGCGGCCCAAAAGCTTGAGGAGCTCCGGCGGCCACTGCATCTGGCTCTTCTGGCGCGCCATCTCCAGCAATGCGTCTACCAGCCACTGCAATGCTGGCGCCAAGCGTACCGGCGGGGCAGTCAGCGGCGCCAGAGTCACTGAGAGATCGCCTTGCGTGGCCATATGCCACAGGATCTCGCCGACTGTCCGCAGCATCGCCAGCGAGTCACGTGCGCCAGCGACTGGCTGCGCATCGGAAACAGAGATCGCGTCTAGGTCTGGATACCGCTCCATGGTCGGACTGCCATTCAGCAATTGCACTGCCCAGGATGCGAACCCTGGCACAGCCAGATGCCCGGTATTCCGCATGCCCAGGTGCACTAGCCCACGCTCGAGTCTTTGCAGTCGCTGGACGCGGCTCAAATGCATGCAGTCGCCATGTCCTCGTAGACCAGCCACATAACAGCAGAAACAGCAGGCACATGCAGCTCGTCATCAGCAAGCACCTGCAGCAGGCCAGTCCAGCTCGTCATCGGCAGTCCCGGCCTCCTGCAGGACAGAAAGCATCGCATGCCGCAGTTTCGCGTAGACTGGACGCGCAAGCGCAAACGACAAGCGCGTCAATGATGGAGCGCGACAGGCGCGTCATGGAAATGGACACTGGCGAGTGCTGCTTCCTTTCCATCCGCCATCTGCACCACCACCACCGGGCCTTCAGCACGCACAATCCGCGCAATCCCCGCTCCTGCCCGGCACTACCAATGGCTCCGGTCCACCGCACATAAGCATGAGCCGGCCATCGCTGACCACGGCCAGATCGTCCATACCGGGCCTGGTCGCCTCGACCGCCGCCATGGATGTGGCCGGCACACGGAACACCTGGCTGAACCTCCTCGTGTCCAGCCCGACTGCCAGCCCGCGGCTCATCACGCACACGATATCGCTGCCGTCCAGCGCCTGCACAACGCACATCTGCGCGTCATCCGAGCCGCGCCAGCGCCAACACAAATGCACCACGACCTCGGCGCGCATCTGCCGGTGCTCCCAGAATGCGTCGAGCTGCGCGCCCGGCGACTCGCTGACCGACGCCCGTCCCAATAACGAGCTGCGCCGATCGCTGCGGAATCGCCAGGCTCTTGCGTCTCACCGCACCGACCCTGCGCCCGGGCTCATCGTCGGCCGCCGGTGACGCATATGCGGCCGTGCACCGGTACAACAGCAGCTTGTCCGAGTCAAAGCACAGCACAAACTGCATCGAGCGGTCGGCACGCGACACAGCAGTGTCCAGCATCGTCTGCGTCTGGTCGGTGAAGCCCGTGATCTGGCCATTCTCGGTGGGGCTGAGCGCAAACGAGCGCCGCATCTGCACGTGCATGGAGCGGCTGAGCCCGAGCATGGTGAATTCGCCCAGCGGGCTCAGCAGGACTGAACACCATTGGGAGCCGCACGCCCGGGCTCTCTTTGCGCTGCACCAGCACGCCGATGTGCAGGGCGTATGCGCGCTCCACGGCAAACGGCAGGGCCACCACGAACTTGTCGCCAGTGTGAAGGTTGATGTGAAGGAAGTCGGCGCGGAACACGCATAGCGCTATGGCGGGCGCCGTGCTGCTGCTGCCGCGGAACCGCGCAAACAGCACATGGTCGATGGGGGCGGTGCTGGCGCTGCTCAGCACGCTGCTGTAGCTTAGTCGTCGCTGGAACTCTCCGTCCAGCGTCCACCCCACCGAGTGTCCCGAGAGCGTCGCCTGGTGGATGCGCCCTTCGTCGTCTGTGATTGTGGTGATCATGGGTGGAAAAAGGAAGTAAAAAGTGGGATCTAAGCGGCCATGCACCTTTTGCAGTTCACAGCCTGGTTCTGTGAGCGTGGGGGCAGCTAGTGTAGAAAATCCAGCCGTGTTTTGTTGTGAACTTGATGGCTAGGGTTTCGGGAATATGGAGCCCAGGCTGTGACCGATGCTTTGGGGGGAAATGGAGGCATCCGTTGTCGAGCAGCCCTTTCTTTCTTTCCTTCTTCCCTTCACTCAACCCTCCTTTTTTCACTTGGCATTTAATAATTCGCACCAATTATAGAGATGGCTGACCAGACTTCTTCGGGACGCAAGCCTGTCCGGTAAGCTTTTCGCTGCTAGCTTTGAGCCCGCAAAGAAGCGTGACAGGCAGACTAACCTTCTTGCCGACTTGGTAGCGTGTGGGTCGACGGCTGCTTCGACATGATGCACTTTGGACACGCCAATGCGCTGCGCCAGGTAAAATAAACGAGTAAAGATGGGCTTATCGACGGCCCTAGGAAGAAAAAAAAAACAAAGGACCAGGCTTAATATAGTCCACGACGTACTTTTTGTAGGCGCGCGCCATGGGCGACTATCTCGTAGTGGGAGTGCACTCGGACGCCGAGGTGGAGCGCAACAAGGGTCCGTGCGTAATGCGCGAGGACGAGCGGTACGCGGCGGTGGCGGCCTGCAAATGGGTGGACGAAGTGGTCAAGGACGCGCCATACATAACGGAGCTGGCGTCCCTGGACGAGCACAACATCGACTTTGTAGTGCATGGTGACGACATCACCACAGCGGCCGACGGCACCGACTGCTACCAGATAGTCAAGGACGCCGGGCGCTACAAGGAGTGCAAGCGCACGGCCGGCATCTCCACGACCGAGCTGGTGGGCCGCATGCTTCTGGTGACCCGCGACCACCATATCCGCGGTCCCCGCAGCTCGCTCACCATGCAGGGCGTGGATGAGTCGCGGGTGGCCGATTTCTCGCACGGCTCGGCGCCTGCCGGGCCCCTGACCGGCATTGCGCATTACCTGTCGACCAGCAACAAGATCATCCAGTTTTCGTCGGGTCCGCGAGCCGAAGCCCGGTGACAAGGTGGTTTATGTCGACGGCGCCTTTGATCTCTTCCATGCCGGACATATTGAGTTCTTCAAGCGCGCGCGCCAGCTCGGCGACTACTTGCTGGTCGGCATTCATGACGACCAGACGGTCAATGCCGTTAAGGGAGGCAATTTCCCTGTCATGAACCTGCAGGAGCGCGTGCTGGGCGTCCTCCAGTGCCGCTATGTCGATGAGGTCATTATTGGCGCCCCGTTCAGCGTTACCAAGGATGTGCTGGAGTCCGTCTACCATGTCAGTGTCGTTGTCCATGGCGCCAGCGACCAGCCGCTGGACATTGACGGCACCGATCCGTATGCCCTGCCCAAGGAGCTCGGCATCTACCGCGAGGTCGACCATCCCGCGCTCCACATGACCACCACCGCCATTATCGATCGCATCATCGAGAGCAGGCACATTTACATCGAGCGCCAGGCCCGCAAGGCCAAGGAAGGCGCTGGCCGAGGCCGAGGCCGAGAAGGCAGAGAAGGCCGCCAAGGCTGCGGCTGCCAAGGCTGCCAACTGAACCCGCTGGCCACGTTCCCAGGGAGCGTTTGTGTTTCCTAATTAAAAGTCTCAACATATCTACTACATCATCTGCTGCTCGTAGAGCTGGTTGACAATCGACAGGATGCCGCCAAACCCAGCCGGCCGGTCGCCCGCATACATTGACATGTTCAGTGAATTGCCCAGCTCCGGCGACGCAACCAGCGGCAACGCCGACAATTCCAGCCGGTCCGCAGCCTCCTGGTCCTCTGGCTCCTTGCCCTTGCCCTTGCCCTTGCTCTTGCCCGATACGATCGGCGCACCGCCCAGGGTCGGGCCAAACGGCAGCATGGCCTGCGATGCCATCGTGCTCTGCATGGCGTTCTGCGCAAACGCCCGGAACGGATACTGCGACCGCCCCTGCTGGCTCGCCTTTGGCCGATAGATGCTGGCGCCCGTCGGGAACACCGACCCGGCCATGCGCTGCTGCTGCAGAAGCCGCGCCTGCCACCCGGCCCGCCAGAGCTCCTGCTGCTGCGCAGCCGCGTTCTGCGCGCGCTGCAGGTAGATCGAGCCTGCCTGGTCGCGCGGCTCCCAGTCCGGATACTCGGCCTTGAAGTGCAGGAACGACTGCTCCATTTTGCCGTTCTTCGAGGCAAGGTTTGCGTTGGCTGTGCGCGTGGGCGCCGAGAAATTGACGTTGCCGTTGCGCTCAAAATCGAAGATGGCGAAGCTGCAGACGTACCCCAGGTGGTCGACGTGCACCGAGAACTCGCGGAACAGATCCACTACCTGGCCAGCGCTGCGCGGCAGCGACACCAGCATGACGAACGGCGCCGTGATGACGCCCAGCAGCTCGTGGGCAAATATCACCAGCCTGTAGTCGAACAGCCGCTCGAACTCGTGGCGCACCTGGGTCGTATCCAGTTTGCCGCGCCACCCGGGTTCCATGTACTGCAGGTCCTCCAGCGCATCATGGATGATCCACGCCGGGTGCAGCTTCTCCTGCTCATCGTCCGGGCACCATCCCACGCGCAGCCGCCAAAACCGTACCAAACAGCCCCAGGTAGAACAGCACTGTGCGGTGCCGCGTGATCTCAAACTCCAGGCTCAGCTCATTGTCCACCACCGTGAACAGAATCAGCAGCGCCGTGACCGACCCGGCGATGAATGTCACGAATCGCGCCAGGCTAATCACCGCCTCGTTCTTGAACTGCGCGAGATACAGCGTCGCTTTAGGGTGCGCCATGTTGACCCGCCGCCGGAACGAGTGCGGCACCTCATTGAAGTTGCGCACCCGCCATTTCGCCAGCGGTGTGAATGCCCGCGACATGATGGTGCCGGGCTCGTGGTACACTTCTTCAAAGTACCGGAAGAACCCGTACAGCACAAGGAACATCACAATGAACGGCGCAAACACCAGGTTGATCACTGCCATGAACTTGAACCGCCTGCGCAGCCCCTCGCTGAGAATCTCCCGGTTCGACTCCTTCAGGAACCGCCGCCGCACCTGCCCGCGTTCATCGAACACGTAGCTCATCAGGCAGAACGACAGGTTCCACTCCAGCGCCTTGGTCAGCACCGGCGTTTGGCCGAGGCCCGGGATCCGCAGGTCCAGGACATCCTTGTTGAACAGCGCAATCATGTAGTTTTCGCGCCGCATTATGCGGTTGACGATGTTGTCGGCCGTCAGCCGGTAGTTGAGCACACGGCTCTTGGTCATGTCCTTGTACTGGCTGATCTCCGCGTCACGCAGCTTGACCATGCGGCTGACTATCTCGTGCCATGCTACTGTATTGATGTCTGCAGGCGACACGTCCAGCGCCTCGGTGAAAAATGCCCGGATCTCCAGCAGCGCAGGCACCTCCATGGCGGTCCGCACCAGCTGCGCCAGCCAAAACACGGCAAACCCCCACAGAAATGCGGTCGCCGGCCACGAGAACTTGCTGGTGCATTGCGGAATCACCACTGCCGCCAGCGACTTTTGCTCCCGCACCAGCTTGTGGTCCACGCACCCAAACACAAACGTGCTCAGTGCCACAACAAACGCCAGCGTTGCCAGGTGCAGCACCCGCGACAGAATTATGTTCAGCGCTCCCTTGCCGATGTAGTACGCATACACCCGCCCAAAAAACTCGTCCAGGTGCCGCGAGTCGCGCCATGCCTGCAATGCGCGCTCCTTGTAGCTCAGCTTCTTGTCTACCCGCCGCCTGCCCCTGCGCCAGGCACTTGGCTGCGACTGCGGCTGCTGATGCTGCTGATGCTGCTGCTCCTCTGCAATCGAAAACATCCGTCCGTCGCCAAATGCCTCCCTCTTCTGCCTCTGCGTCGGTCGGCTCGCCCTAGCACGTCTTGAACCCCCGACACTGCGCTGTGCTCGCGACCCTTTAGCCTTTCCTGGCCTAGCCTGCGTCGGTGAGCCGTCGTGCACTTCGATTAGGAACGAGTCGGGGGGTGGCGAATCATCGTGGAGCTCCGAGTCCATTGCATTGGTCGCCTGCTGCTGCGCCTGCCACTGCCCTCTACTGTCCCGTCGCGGCGGTGTGCTGGTGAGTATCTGCGACTCGTACATGTTGGAGTATGCCCGCGAGTACGGGCTGTCGGTGTCGGGCGCCGTGCTGGCCGGTGATGACGACTGGTACTCGTGCGCAGCCAGCGACTCGTGACGCTGCCGCCGCCCGCTCAGCGTGCTGGTTAGCCCGCGTGTATGCGCTGTCACTGGCGGTGTCTTTGGCTTACTATCCTCTACCGAGCTCTGCGTAGCCTCGGTAGGCACCGTCACCGCTGCCTGCTCCTCGTCGCCGTCGTTGGCCTGCTTGCTGGAAATTGTGGTCAGCACAGTAGACCACGCATTCTCCCCGTCAGGACTGCCAAGCTCCATTGTGTCGTAAAATACTGAAATAAAATTAAACTAAAATAAAAGAGAGCAAAAAAACAGAAGCGTGCCTTGAACGTCATCCGCAGAGCACCAGGTAAAAAAACATCGCTCGGCCCACATGGCCATCAGGCAGTGCCTTTTTTGACCATCCGTCACGTGCGCACCAGCCTTTTCATTCATGGCGAGCATGGGAATGTCTCAAAGTCGAACCGCGAGATATCCACGTTGCCCAGCGGCAGGTTCATGTCACGCCCAAACTCCTCGATCTCGCTCAGCGCCCGGTCCATCTCGCTGTCGCTGAGAAACGGCGACGCTCTTCCCTGGGGCGACCCTTCGGCGCCAAAGATCTCCCCGCACGCCAGCTGCTCGCCCCTTTGCATTGCCCGCGAATGCGCCTGCGACAGGGACGACGCCGGCGACGGCAATTGCTCTATGGTTGTGTCGATTTTCAGCGCAATCGGCGTCACCGCTGTTGGCCTGTCTGCCGGCGCTCCACGGGATTCTGCGCCACCCTCTGCTGGCCTCTGCAACCGGTCCTTCAGCGCAATTGCCCGGCCCGGGCTGTCCCGGCCCTGCTGGCGCCCGCCAGGTATTGTCGCTGAATCGCTGGCGGGCCCCGCGGACATTTGGTTGAACTTGCTGATTAATCCCGCTGCCAGGCCCCGCGTCGGAATGCCATCAGGTCCAGCCCGACGGCTCGTTGGTACGGTGCTGCCGCGCGGAACTCTGACTGTCCCCGATGCTGGCCGATCCGGCTCGGCCTGTTGCTGTGAGAGCTGCTGGATACGCGCACTTATCGTCCCAGTCACCATGAATAGTGCACGAAATTGAAGGAATAGAAAAGGGGAGGGAGAGGAGAGAGAACAGGGAGAAGGATAGAAGCGGATGTCTAATGTTTATAAACACGATACTAAAAAAGAACTGCCAAATTGGAAGCGATGGGTCGAGCTGGGGAGATTGTTCAAACATACCGTCCAGCATCAATCAAAAAGCGACCGATTGTTGCTCTGTCAAAAGTTGGGACCACTAGGATAACAATCGGGCCCACCCTGTGTGCCTAGCGCATGCCAATGTCCCAAATTAGAATGCGCGCACTCCAACATGGTGCTGGTCAAAATACATTGACGTGCATTGTGGATTTGCCCGTCTCCATGCTGGTCTGGGCAGGGCAGGGCAGGCGTGACGGGGAGAATGTCTCGTTGACTATTGTTATGATTGCTCTCGCCGATCTGCTTGAAGCTGTTTTTGCAACTGCGTAAAAGCGGTGCCAATCGCTGGATCAGTTATTTTGTTTTTCGTAAACTCCCCCAGGGCAGTAAAGGTTTGGAATGCTGAGGCTATTTAAAAACTGTTGCCAATGAGATAGAAAAAAATAAAGGAGCAATATGCGTGATGTGCGGTGGTTGGTGCGCGGCACCAGATATACCACCTAGAAGCCTCACTCCGTGCTATCACCACCGTTGGCGCTCTTGTCATCCCCCGCCGCGCCGCCGCCTGTAGCAACATTGTGGTTGGACAGCGTGTCCTCGTTCGACACCAGGGCCTTGGGCGAGTTGTGGCTAAGCGCGCTGTTGAGCTCCAGCAGAATGTTGTCGCAGTACGCGTCCAGCGGCAGATCATTGGCGTCGTATCCGAACGGGTTCTGGATCTCGCGCGAAATCGAGTCAATACCAATGAGCATGAACGAGATGATGAACTGCAGGACAATGGTCTTCCACAGCGACCCCATGCTGCCGAGCGACCACGGCAGGACAAGCAGGTACAAATACAGGGTGTGGGTCAGGTGGATCCGGTACGCCAGCGGAATCGGCGTCGACAGAATGCGCTCGCAGCCGCCCAGCGACGCGCTCAGAGTGTTGATTGTGGCAAGCATGCTGGCGTAGAACGGCACATGGCACAGCTTGTTGTCCATAATGTACTCGCCAAACTTTTGCATCTCAAACAGCAGCAGCGACGGCAGCGGCACCTCGCCCTGGCGCTCCCAGCCCTCGGTCAGCCGCTGCGCGTGGAATGTCGCGCTGGTGGCCGCCAGTCCGGTGCGCGAGCCGCCCATCGGGCTGTTGTTTCCGGCGCCGATCGCCCCGTAGTTGTACGCGTTGTTGTTGGTTGCAAGCAGCAGCCGGAACTCGGGTGACAAAAGCCCGTCGTAGTCTGCGTAGTCCACGCCGTCCTCGCCGCGCAGGTAGTGCTTGACTGAGATGACGAAGGCTGCGACGCTCTTCAGCGCCTGGCGCTTCTGCACGCTGTCCTCGATCGAGTTCTCCAGCACTCCGCACCACAGGTTGCGAATCAGGTTGCGCGACGTGACCTTCAGGTCCTGCCAGATCTTCCGGCCCTCCCAGTACCGGTCGTACGCAGAATTGGTGCGGAACACCAGCAGCAGCGAGAGCACAAGCGACACAAACGACATCACCGACATGTTGATCGCCAGGTCCTTGTGGTGTTGTATCAGGAATGCAATACCAACGCCGTAACCGGTCATGGCCGCTACGTAGATGAACGAAATGCGGATGACCGACCCGCGGAGCCGCAGCGCATCAGGCCACTCGAAACCAAACCCCGAAACCACATTGGACGGGTTCGCCGTATCGATAATCATGCTAGGCGTGTCACCAACCTAAATGTACAATTGAAAACGAGGAAGACTGGGCAAGCAAATGCAGGCTTCTTATATGCCGCGGAGTGATGGACGAGAATTGACAGAGTCTGCTGGCTTTCTCTGTGCAGGCCCGGAAAGGGTAGAGGGAATAAGATAAAGAAGAAAAAGACTGGCAAAAGAGTAGGCGCTAGGTGCGGAGAGAGGGGCCGCCCTTCTTTATATCGTGCCATTGCAGCACTCTGCGTATTTCCCAAGAGCCTCCCCAAAAAGCTCGCAGATAGCGTCTCCGAGCTCACAAATTTCGTAGCGGCTGCAAAAAGAGCACGATTCCAACTTTCAAACCGGCCAGATGCGCATCATTCGCACCTCCTCTCTGCCTTTAGAGCACCTCCCCGTGCGATCTACATGCATGCGCTTATTGTTCTCTGGCCTAAACCCTTCCAGTTGGGAGCGATGATCGGCAGCAAGCCGATGCAATTTGTGGACAGCTCAAAGACGGCTCTTTGCAGCGAAATCACGCTGGCTTTTGCGTATTTAGCTGGGCATCGAGCAAGAGCCCGATCAAAATAAAGCCGCACCTCTTCCACATAGAATGCCTGCTACATGACAACAGACATGTGCAGTGCATCACATACCGGGGTCCATGGCATTTCTGCAAGGCAATGTGGGTCACACATCTGGCACCGACAATATCGTTCAGGTGATCACAGCAGAGTATGCGCTGTGGATGCTGGATTTGATGCGCGCCGGCGAGCTGCCCAAGCTATAGTGCAGCAGGATGAGCGCCTAAGAGGCTATGCACTGGCAAATTGGAGGGTATGGTGTGGTAGCTATGTGGCAATGCGGGGGCGTCGAGAAAGCATGTGTCTCAGCAGCAGGGCAATCACAACACCTCCCACTGCCTCATTCGACCAGCTTGCCATAGTGGAGGAGAGCCCTGAGGTCCGGGCACGGACTGTGGAGTGGGAAACAGCGAGCGGATTGGGGGAGAGGACCGCCGCCACCCAACACCGGCGGTCTCTAGCGCAAAGCTAAAAATACCATCTGATTTCTTCCATTAGCAGAAAATAGCACGCCAGCCAGAACATTGCAAACTAGTGCCGTTGCCCGAGATGTGATTTCCTTGCCAAGCTGCCAAGGCCATCCAGTCCCACACTCGCAAGAAGTCGAGTCAGCGACCAACCGCCTGGCCGTCGGACCGCGGGTCAGAGCCGGCAATCAGCACTTGCACTCCGGCCGCCGCATCCACCGTCCTGCGAATGACCTGTCCGCGGCCAAACATCGACCGCTGCAGCCCCACCTCGACCTTGACATTGTGCCCCATCTGCCTCAGCCTGTCGACGACCTCTCCATCCACCCCTTCCTCGACCGCCACCACGCCCTCCTCGTCAACCAGGATGCTGATCCTCGGGCTGTCGAGAGCCTGCTGCGGATTCATCCCAAACACCACCATGTTGAGCAGCACCTGGACGTGCGCCTGCGGCTGGTTATACCCGCCCATGATCCCGTACGACATGAACAGCTCGCCGCCCTTGGTGACCATGGCTGGGATGATCGTGTGATATGGCCGCTTGCTCGGCTCCAGGCAGTTCGGGTGCGTCGGATCGAGCCGGAACAGCGCGCCGCGGTCGTGCAAGGCAAACCCGCAGCCTCTCGGCACGATACCCGATCCGAAGCCATGGTACAGCGAGTTTATGAAGCTGCACGCATTGCCGTCCTTGTCAACAACCGTGAAGTACACCGTGTCGGAGCCGCCCAAAGGCGATCCATGCTTGACGTCGACGGCTGCCTTGGACGGATCAAACAGCTGGGCACGCTGCTTCAGATACCCGGGGCTGAGCATCTGCTGCACAGGCACATCGCCAAATGCAGGGTCGCAGATGAACTGGCGTGCATCGGCAAAGGCGATGCGCAGGATCTCGATCACCAAATGCAGGTACTCGGCCGAATTGTGCTCCATCTCGGTCACCACGCCCTGCGCTTCGAGCTGCTCCAGAACGCCCAGCGCAATAAGCGCGACCAGCCCAGACCCGTTGGGCGCGCACTCGTGCAGCCTATGTCCCCTGTACTCGTACGAGATCGGCTCGTCAAACGTGGTCGTGTGCGCAGCCAAGTCCTTGTGTGTCAGAACCCCACCCTTGCTCTGCACAGCCTCGACGATCGCATCGGCCACCGTCCCCTGGTAGAACCCCCTCTTGCCCTCGCTCGCCAGCCTCCTGAACGTATTGGCTAGCGTCGGATTGCGGAACACCTGTCCTGGCAACGGGCCCTGCCCATGAATTAGCAGCTCGTGGGCATGGGGCGACGCTTTCTTCAGATGCTCAGCAGCATCACGCCAGAACGGCGACGTCAGCTCGCCCACCGGCACCCCCTCCTCGCACATTTCGATCGCTGGCTGCAGCACCTCAGCCAATGTAACCTTGCCCGACCCGAACGCCTCGACTGTATCAACCCAGCCTGCAGCAGCACCCGGCACTGTCACTGCATGGACGCTCCTGGCCGGTACCTCATCGCCGGTGATTCCGAACCGGTCCTTCAGAATGTCAATTGTCAGGGCAGAGGGCGCGCGCCCGGACCCATTGAGCCCGCGGATGGTCCTGTCTTTGGCGCTGTAGAACAGACAGAAGCAGTCGCCGCCGATGCCTGTCGAGAACGGCTCGGCCAAGTTGATTGCTGCTGCCACGGCTACGGCGGCGTCTGCGGCGTTGCCTCCTTGCTCGAGAATCCGCACACCGGCCTGGTTCGCCAGCGGCTGCGTCGAGGACACCATGTAGTGCGTGCCGTAGACGGCCGAGCGTCTGGATGTGTAGGGCACGCTCTGGTTGTGTTTGACTGTCGATGCCATTGGAAGACTGAGGGATATCAAGGCAGACAAGTAGTTCCTGGGAAATAACGAGAAAGTGGTGCCCAACTCCCCGCGCCCAGCCAAGTCGCTGACTTTATGCGTCTTCGCTCCCTTGCCGATCCACTTCTGAGGTCCAGGGCCAGACTCCCTTCAGATGCCACTACCACACGGCACCGACGCTGCTGCTGCCTCCGCCCTCGTGTTGCATAGCGGCCAATCCGCAGTGAAAATCTGAGAACCTTTCTATTCAAGACATGAAGGATAAACGTTGAGCCATTTCATTTGGCGGGGGGTTGTAAGAGTGAGATTGGGAATTGTACAGAGCGTCGCAGTGAGGGAGTGAATGGTTCCAGGGCAGAGCGGGCCTTAGGCCGAAGGCGTCGTGTCCGGACTCACTGTCTCAGAGTCGCCAGACGCCTTGGGCTGAGCCTGCGCCTGTTCCTGCAGATCGCTGCTCTCAGACCCCGACCGGCTGGACTCGGGCATCCCGGTCTGCTGCTTGTTTCGGTATTCCGCTACCGGCTCCAGATACGTGGTTCCGGCTTCGAGCAGCTGCGCAGCAATCGGGTCCTCCTCCTGGTACTGCGGCGGGTGATGGCGGCTGTGGCGACGCCGGCGGCCGTCTCGCCGATGTGAAGAACCCGCGGCCCTGTGGGAGCCCGACGCTGCAGATGGAATCTGGATCCCAGTTGCCTCCCGGCCAGCACTTTGGCTCACATGCGACTCAACTGCGTTCTCCATATCGATAAGCTCATCCTGCCGCTGCGACGGCGCCTCAGCCTGCCCCTCGCTGCCTGTGCCTCCATCGTCTTGGTCGCTGTTTGCGCCATCCGACTCCTCAGAGTCCTCGGCAGCCTCCAGCAGGATGGTGTTCTGGTTGGCGCCGTACACGGGCGGCGGCTGCACCACACCCTCGATGGGCGCGAAGCCCCAGCGCTTGACGTTGGCCTCGATAAACACGTACCCGCGCTGGCCAATGTTGGCGCTGAAGGAGCACGGGCCGTCGGCGGAAATTGTTGGAAACACGTCGTACAGCATCCCCGAGGCAATGGCCTTGTAGCGGCGGCCGTTTCGCGTGAACCACACAATGCCGCTGCGCGGCTGGTACCCTACGCCGAGAATGTCGCCCACGTACAGCTGCTCGCCGATATGCTGGCCCTTGAACGGGCTGTTTTGGTGCAAGTTGCCGTTGTTGACTGAATAGCCGACAGAGTACTTGTTCCAGCCTACATAAGCAGCAAAAATGGCAATCAATGGCAGCACTGGCCGAGCAGCAGACAACAACTGAAACACCGACAGCGAGGCCAGCGGCATCAAAACAACTCCTAGCCTTACCTGTCATCCGCCACGCCGGGTATGGCTTGGTGGCCAGCCCAATCCACATGTTGACGTCAGCTGGCTTCTCGACGATCTTGACCTCAAAGTAGTACACAGAGTTTGTCTTTGGAATCGGCAGGTTTGTCTGCACGCAGTTCTCGCCGCCCATGAGCAGCACATCGGTCTTTGTCTGCAGCATCGCATTGACATCCAGGCCCACCACAAACTCCCATGCGTCCACGCCCTTCTCCCTAATCTGCGTCTCCTGCTCTGTCGTCAGCTGTGTGTCCACGCTGCCGTACGGGTACTGCCGCTCAAACGCCCGTCCCAGCTCGTAGCTCTGTCGCGAGTCCTCGTCCGGCAGCAGCTGCTCGCGCTGGCGATCGGATATGCCGTCCTCGTCGATGCCAAACACCGACCACCGCACACACCGCACCAGCTGCGCGCACAGCATAAACACCATGAACAGCACCCCAATACCAATGAGCGTGCCGATAATGGCCACAACCAGGATGAGCAGCGCCAGCACCTCGTCGTCGTCCATGTCTTCGTCGTCGCCGCTGCCTGGATACCGCGACGGCACCTGATTGGGTATCTGTGTGGCACTAGCCAGCTGTGCAGCGAGTCCGACACTGAGCACAGCCAGCGAGCAAAGTTCAATGCCTTTCATTACTCTGCAGAGGAGGAGGGGATAGCGGTGATAAAGGAATAAAGGAAAAATGCAAATTTTAAAACCGCAGGAGAGGAGAACAAAAACAGCCGTGTAACAAAATGCGCCAAGCAGAGGGCGGTTTTTTTTGCAAGTGTGGAGGCGCTGCCGGCCAATTGAACTTGGCTCCCACCTCCAGTCCGTGTGCGGGTTGCGTCAGCCAAATGTGCGGGTGGGATGTGCACACTGGTCACGTTGTCGGGTCAGTTGCGTGTGGGTATGCGGGGAGATGCATGTGCAGTAATCGCCGCTACATCGCCAGCGGTCTCTGTCAGGGGAATAGGTCGGATACCAGGAGAGGCCGGGCATGGTGTGGGCAGAGGCGCTTTCCAGACATGCCCGCGGAAACTCACAGTGCAGGCCCGCGGTCTTTCAAATGCACACATGCACTGGAGAGCCGCCCATGGCCGCGATCTGCTCGAAACAGCGTTCGCAGCTGGCGGTCCAGCATTCCCTCAGCAAGCAGCCGCAGCACCTCCAAAGCGCAGCGCAGGATACTCGGCGTCGGTTTGTTGAGCGGGCAGCGTGAATCACATGCAAGGGCTGAGCGGTATCCACCAGCCTTCTAAAAGCAGGCATTTTGCCGACATCGGTGGTGGGGGCTCGACCACACCCGTTAGCGCAGAGTGAAGGCGTGCTCAGCCCAGACGGCCGTGTCAGCTCAGCTTGCTAGATTCACAGGCTTTCAGGAGCTTGCCTGTGTTGTCTCTTTTGGAATCGGCGAATATCGAGGGCTGATCCTGCTGGTCCCCAAAACAACACCAGATTTCACGAATATTTCCTCACCTTTTTCGTTCTCCGTTAATCAAGTCGCTCTCAAGCTGCTTAACCTCCTTGCACAATCCTTTCAATCCAACCCTCTGTGTATGGCGGCCGTGCAACCTCGCATCCAAAGGGCCTATAAATGGGCAGCCTCCCTCGGCCCATCTCTCTTTCCAACTCGAGTTTTTCACAAGCCCTTTTCTGCTTCCCCCCGACTTTCTTCCACAGCCTTTTCCTTTCAACACCACTACAGCACCACCATGACGGCACCCAACAAGGTTTGCATTCTGGGCTCAGGCAACTGGTACGTACTGTGTTTCTCGTCTGAAGGCGGAGTGCCCAAGGCGGTCTGGCCCCCTCCCTCGGGGTCAGGGGGCTGGTATGCCATGGCCGATCCGCGCTGCTGGATCGCAGGTGGTTCTACAGCTAACGGCACGGCCTGCTTGTTGCATGTGTAGGGGAACCACCGCTGCCCGGATCATTGGCACCAACGTACAGAAGCTGCGCAACTTTGACAACGAGGTCAAGATGTGGGTGTACGAGGAGATGGTCGAGGGCAAGAAGCTGACAGAGATCATTAACACCCAGCACGAGAACGTAAAGTAAGTGTGTTTGTTGACGGCACCTGCAAATCCTCACCGGTGGCAGTTTCTGCTTTGCTGCTAATACTACGCTACTCTTGCATAGATACCTGCCCGGCCACAAGCTGCCGGCCAACGTCATTGCTGTGCCAGACGCGTGTGAGGCTGTTCGCGGCGCAACGCACATTGTAGTGGTGATCCCGCACCAGTTCATCGAGCATCTTCTGAAGACCATCCACGGATCGGTGACACACGGGGCGCGCGCAATCTCGCTGATCAAGGGAATTGCCATCGACAAGCACGGCATGACGACCATGACACAGATGATCCACCGCGCCCTAGCCATCCCGGTGTCGTCGCTGAGCGGCGCCAACATTGCCAACGAGATCGCCGAGGAGAAGTACTGCGAGACGACGATCGGGTGCGCCGAGCCCGACGAGGCCATCGTGTGGCGGTCGCTGTTCAACACGCCGTACTTCCAGGTCAACTGCGTCGGCGACGTGATTGGCGTCGAGTTCTGCGGTGCCGTGAAGAACGTGGTTGCTGTGGGCGCCGGCTTCATCGACGGCCTCGGCCTCGGCAACAATACCAAGGCGGCCATCATCCGCATCGGCACGCTCGAGATGCGGCGGCTAGCGATGCACATCTCGGGCGCACAGATCCAGGACTCGACCTTCAACGAGAGCTGTGGTATTGCCGATGTCATCACCACGTGCTACGGTGGCCGCAACCGCAGGCTGGCCGAGGAGTTTGTCAGGACCGGCAAGCCCATGGCACAGCTCGAGCAGGAGATGCTCAATGGCCAGAAGCTGCAGGGCTATCTGACTGCAGGCGAGGTGTACCAGTACATCTCGAGCCGCGGCGTGGCCGACCACTTCCCGCTGTTCACGCGCATCTACAAGATCTGCTACAAGGGCGAGCCGCCCCAGTCGATATTCGATGGACTCAACGTCGACTTCTCCCGCGACAGGAGAACGCCGAGCCCGATGCTGTGAGGCTTGCCAGACGGCTGCTGCTTCCTCCAAAAAAACGTGTTTAAATGCTTCTTAGATTTCAGACATGTGTCATGTGAAAAATACTCGGATTTAGAACTTGAAGACCTGGTCCTCGGGCTTGGAAATGATGCGCGCCTTGTCGTAGCCGAGCTCGGTCAGGTTGGCATCCATCGCCTTGACCATGGGCGGCGGGCCGCACAGCAGGACCTTGATGTCCTCGGCAGGCGCTGGCAGGCTCTTCTGGATCATGTCCTTGGTGACAAAGCCGACGCCGCCGGTCCATCCCTCAGGCGGGTTGTTCAGGACATAGCTGATCTCAAAGCCCTCGTGCTCGCTGGCCCACTTGTCGAGCTGCTCCTTCAGCAGGATGTCGTCCTCGTTGACATTGGCGAAAATCACGCTCACCCGGGTCTTGTCCTCGGGGTTGTCCAAAATGTGCTGCACGATCTGGTACATGGGCGTGATGCCAGTGCCGCCTGCAATCATTCCGATGTGGCGGACCATGTTCGGCGTGTAGCGGAAGGCGCCGCGGGGACCACGCACGCTGATCGAATCGCCAATCTTCAGGCCCGCCAGGTGCGACGAGATCACGCCCTCCGGGTATGTCTTGACGACCAGCTCAAAGAACCCCTTGTCGTTGTCCGTCGACGTCGGCGTGTAGCTGCGCGCAACCTCCTTGCCGCCCACCACAGTCATCACCTGGATGTGCCGTCCAATCGGCAAGCCCAGGGCAGCATCCTCGCGAGGCAGCGCAAACCGGTAGCGGGCAGTGTTGTGGCTCAGCTGCACCTTCTTGACGAGCTTGAACTTGCGGTACTCGACAGAGCTCAGGACTGGGCCGGCCACGGCGGCCTTGCTGTTGGTGAGGAACACGTAGGCGAGACCGGCGGCGACCAGGAACCCGAGAATGTACACGAGATTGCTAGACTCGGCTGCCATTTTGCTGAAATTCGTTTATGTGGAAAAGGTGAGCAAAGTGAAGATAACGGGGGAGGAAGAAGGCGTAGAGAGGAGAGCGCCTCACATCTGCCAACATGTCGCTGTCCCAGGCTCTGTTCGGACTTTGCAGATTGTGAGCCGGGCAGACCATTTTGAGAAAAATTTCCAGCAAACAAGATTTGCGCTCTGCAGTCCCAGTTGAAACTCTAGATGGGGCTCAGTGCAGCCAATGGATATATTGAAGTCGGTGGCAGTCTAAAGCTACGTCGACTTCGCATAGTCGTTGACCTGGTAGTAGTCCGGGTACTTTTTCAGCAGCGCATCGATCTCGGCCTTCTCGCGCACCAGCTCCGGGATCATCTCGTCGTAGACATCCGTGTACATCTCGCTGACTGCCGGCTTCTTGAGCTTCTCGGCGTCAGCAAACGCCTTGAGCACTGCCGCCTTGGCTGCCTTGGTGACCTCGACATCCTCGCTCTTCTCCCACCACCCCTTGTTCATCAGCCACGCACGCATGCGCGCCAGCGGGTTGTCGCGCTTGCTCCAGTCCTCGACCTCCTTCTTGGACCTGTACGCCGACGAGTCGTCCGATGTGCTGTGGTGGCTGACGCGGTATGTCATGGCCTCGATCAGCACCGGCTTGTTCTGTTCGACAGCCAGCTTGCGGGCCGCCTTGGTGGCCTCGTAGATGGCCCAGATGTCGTTGCCATCGACACGGATCGTGTCAATGCCGTAGCCAATTCCGCGACTGGCGATTCCGTCGCCGCGGTACTGCTCGATCGAGGGCGTCGAGATCGCATACCCGTTGTTGCGGCAGTAGAAGATCACCGGGCAGCCCAGCGTCGCCGCCATGTTGAGGCCAGCATGGAAGTCGCCCTCGCTGGCAGCTCCCTCACCGAAATAGCAGACAACACACTGCTTGTTGCCCTCACGGCGCATTGCGTATGCCGCACCGGATGCCTGCGGGATCTGCGTGGCCAGCGGCGACGAAATCGTCTGGAAATGGAGCTCCTTGGAGCCGTAGTGCACGGGCATCTGGCGGCCCTTGCCCTGATCCAGCTCGTTCGAGTAGCACTGGTTCATGAACTGCTCAAGGGTGAACCCGCGCTGCAACAGAACCCCGGCTTCGCGGTACTGCCCAAACACATGATCCTTCGGATCCAGCGCCGCAGCACTGCCGATGAGCGCCTCCTCGCCAAAGCTGGTCATGTAGAAGCTGATGCGGCCCTGGCGCTGCGCCTCGTACAGGACAGAGTCCATGGCGTTGAGCGTCAGCATGTTCTTGTACATGGTGCGGGCGTCCTCGCGCGACATCTGCGGCTCGTGCGCCGTATCCAGCACCTTGCCGTCGTTGTCCATTACTTGGTACGTCGGGATCGACTCGACGTTGGATACAAATTTGAGCTCGTGCGAGTAGGTCGAGTCAAGGGCGCCCGGGAACATCACCTTCTTGCGGTGCATCGCGTGTGTGGTCGAGAACGACGCGGTCAGACGCGAGCGCACAAGCCGCGATGCTGTGGACGAGCGGAGCAGGAAGCGAGACATAGTATACAGTTTAGCAAGTGCGTTGTAGATAGAGAAGCAAGAAGCAGCAGAGGAGGCGCCTGCGTCTGCGTGTTGTCGCTGGCCTCTGCGTCCTTTAAGAACGTGGGCTGGCCGGCAAGACACCTGTGAGAAACTTTGATCGTGGGAACGGAGCGTGACCACATTCCGCTTTCGAACGATCCGTGCGAACTACGGCCTGATCTCGGATCAGCGATGCCGTGATCTGGTGCTGCCACTTCATATGCTGTAATCATGATGCACAGGCGGTGCCATGGCTCTGGTGGCACGTGCAGGCTTTAGTGTTTTAGTACCTCACCAGTTCCTCATTTGCAGCGCGCGAAGCACCAAGACGTGGGCAAACACGCGGCCATCCACCCCGCAAATACCGCAGGTGTTTGTGGTTGATCGGCCACTAGGCATGAACAAACAAACTTGCACTTGCGCATACGCTTGGCCCGCCATATTTGGAGTATATGCGCGATCTGTAGTGCGCAGCGACCAGACGCCGGGAATAGAACGCGCGCCTCTCGCCCCAATTCACGTATGCCTTGCGCGCTATAAATGGCAATTTGTACCCCTTGCCCAACGCTTTTTCTCTCCAGTCATTTCCAGCACCCTGCACAGCCCACACAAAACCTTCGTAAAGCCCCCCTTCATTGCCGCACGTTCCTCTCCTACTCTTCATTTTACCCTACTCTTAATCATGGAAACGGAGCTAGTGCAGGAGAATGAGTTGAGCAAACACACCATTGCGGCGATCGCAACCGTCTGCGTCGTTGTCTTTCTCGTCATTGTCGCTCTTGTAGTATACTACTGCTGCTTTGCCAAGCGCAAAGGCGCACCGCGGTTCCAATGCTGGCCATGCAAACTGCCCTCTCCCACCTGCTGTCTGCCGTTTCGAAAAAAGGCTGCCAAAAAGCAGCAGAAGGAGCAGCGCCAGCGTGAGCGTGAGCGCAAGCACGAGGAGATCCAGGCACTGTCGCGTGAGGATACTCTGAAGGAGCTAGAAGGCAGTCGGGCGGCGCAAAACTACGAATACGCACTCGACTACGTCAACGAGCATCCACCAGACGAGTCCGAAGGCACACTGGCAGAGGACGACACTGAGCATGTCATCGAGCACGGCGTTAATGCATGGGAGTTCATCCCGTCGTACGACAACACCAACATCACTGTGCTGGATAACACTGATGTGGAGTTTGTTGGCGGTGAGCAGAGCGTTATGACCAACCTGCAGTTCCCGAACGAGCAGCGCGTATACTATTTCGAGGTCCGGCTCGACAGGCTGCCTGAGGGAACGAACGTAGCTGTGGGTGCTGCAATGCACGGGTACCCGCCACTGCGGATGGCTGGATGGGCAAACAATTCGGTCGCATACCATTCGGTTGATGGGCATGTCTACTACTGCCATCCATTGGATATTACCCGCAAAACCACCACAGCTCTGCAGAGCGATACATTGGGTGTTGGCTGGCGCCCGCACTCTGGCAAGATGTTTTTTGTCATCAACGGCGCAATCATGGCCCATGTGCGCACACCCTGGATCAACAAGAGGATGTATCCGATTATTAGTGCCGACGGACCCTGCAATGTCAGCGTCAACCTAGGTGCCCGTGCCTACGTTCTGTCGCACGCCAACATGCGGTTCTGGGGACTGGCGGCTGCTGAGGGTGTGCGGCCACCGCCGCCCATGTACCACCAAACCCAGGACACGACACTGGTGGCATCAGCTGACAACGAGCACGCAGGAACACGCTCTGGATGGCGCAACTCGCTGGGGCTCCGTCCGCCGCCAGCATACGAGGATTCTGCAAGTGTGTCAGATCTGAATAGCATTTTGGCCAGCGATGCGCCTACCCGACGATCAACTACCGAAGAGCTATCGTCTGACAACGGCAATAGCAGACAAGGCAGCCAATCTTCAAGCGGTAGCAGCATGTCAGAGGCTCCACCATATGTGAGCAACGCGCCTGAGGTCCCTCCGGTAAATATTGTGCAGGTCAATAGCTACATCCAGGACGTTAGCAGCAGCAATGGAGGCCCGATGCCGTCCTATTCTGTTGGCCAAAGTAACCTTCAGAATGAGCCAGGCATCGGAGATAGTCCAGATGCTCAGACAGATGAAGTAGTTATCAATATCTCTCCATCCAGACTATCGCCACCACTCCACCGCAACACAACACCCAGGCACCCTACTTTTTGTTAGAACACTTTAATAAAAATGCATATAGCATTAACTTCATCGGAAGTCGCATTTCAATGTTTACATTTACAAGCAAACAAGCAGCCTTAAAAGGCAGTGCAAACAGAACGACCTTGCGCCTGTCTGTTTATTACAAAGACAGGAATGTTGCTTCAAACCATTCACTACTCTGCTGGCTGTGGTTTAGCGGGTTTATTGGATAAGAATTGAGACAAGGTCTTGGTTCAGATATCACATTACTGATGAGAACTATCGAAGGAAAGCCTGAAACTGTTCCAGTGTTCGTGTGCGCATGGAGTGATATCCAGTAGCCAAGAATATATCAAGTCAGTTCAGAGGCCACCTAATTCACCTGTTTTTTCATACTCGTCATTCCTTGAAACAGGTTTAGTGATTTAGAGACCATGATATCGCCTTCCTGAATGACGAGGTACTACGAAATTTCTGAACCAAGGCACAGAGAAAAGATAATGAAGAGAAACCCAAGGATGCAGTTAGCAGACCTCAGCTGAAAGATCAAAATTTCGCTTTTTATAGACCCTGGTGTAAGTTGAAACAGTGCTGACAAAGCCTCAGACAACGCTAACAACCCTCCGAATCCTAACCCTTACACAGGCACACAGCTCTTATTAAGCCTTCAATCCCTCTACAGGCACTTGGTAGTGGCCATTGACAAAATAGATAATAATAGCCAGCTATTGCGAAAATACTTTCTTCCCTTGTGAAATGAACCCATTGCCACCAGTCTGTGGCACAGTTGTTCATAGCATATATAGGGTTTCTAAAAATGAGGCAAGGCGGCCAAAAATGCAGAGCATTCAGTCTCCACTACATGAATGTACTTTCAAATATGCCAGTGAATTAGATGAGGTTTGGGTAGAAGGACGAATGAGACTGCTGATTGTTGCTTTTGTACTCCACAGAAGCGAAGATATCTGCTCTAAATACTCTAACCGAGCCGAGGGTCGATGTATACTGCCGCATAAGCTCCAGTTCACTTGCTCTATATGGCTTTATCAGTTCAGTTTCCGAAATTCCCATGCATTGGTCCGCCTTTTAAGTTATGAAACAGGTTGAAGTAGTGCTGTTTCTGCATAAGCAGACTGTTATTGAATTTTTGTTTTGACCATATACAACAGCCACTTTCAGGTGGAGCTGCACTCAACCAAGAGTAAACGGCAGGCTTTGGTCCTGGGTAGCGTGTTTGGTGTGCTAAGCCTCATCATAGCAGCACAGATGTCACTTGCCTGTGGCTCAATCGGCTCAACAGACAAATATCTAATATAGGTAAGCCAAACAACATGCAATAAAATACATAGCATGACGCTACCTCTCGTTGCACCTCATGTATTGTTCATATGTTTCGCTGTTACTATCTACGAAGTTAGATGTAATTGGCAAGCGAACATCCGGAACACGGTCGACTAATGGTGCTGGCCACTATATAGCAGCCTCTCAGCTCCAGGCATCGATTATTGAAGCTGAAATGTAAATAATAGTGAGTGTGAAATTAAAAGGCGATAGCAATTCGTAATGTGAAAAGAGGCAGGGCTATATAGTCGAGGAGCCAACTGCGTTTTTAAATTGGCCGTTATACTTTGAGTTTACCCTCAACGAACTACCACGGATCACATCAAAACTGGATTGAATGATTTCCGTATGAGGAGAGCAAAACAGCAGATATCAACCCACTGCAGGCTTCCCTGTGGTAATGTCTAGCAGAAGAACAGCATGTATTAGAAAATGAAGCCGAATATTAGCGATATCAGTTTGTGGTACCGATATGCTGTAAAGTGCCTGGTAATTTTTAGAATCCTCATGGCTGTCACTGGGGAGTTGGATTATTCACTTGTTTCTTTTGCATGTTAAAATCATGGTTGATATTATGAATAATAATTAATACTGAAGAAAGTCAATAGGCACATAGTAGCTGTAGATGTGGATGTGCTGCCTTAGTTGGTAGTGCCTAGTCAGCAGCCGATTAGCCTTAGTGGCCTGTGTGCCATTGATTGCACAGCTTTCGACACGCGGCAAGCGACAAAGGAGCTGGCAGAACCCATCCGCGTCAAATGCCTGGTCAGAGTAGAGGTCAAACAGCCTCAGATTCCAGCTGAGTACTTGGAATGGATTCTCATTAGCATAATTCTTTTTGGTAATCACTCTGGGTCCCTCCGGGATGTTCACTTCGTCAGGATAAACCGTATCGCAGGCGACATTTGCATCCATAGATACGCACTTGATATGGAGTTATTCCAACTGCGGCAATTGTGCCACCATGTTGCAAAGCATACCCTTGTTTGCGATGGCCACTGCCAGGTCGAGCGAGACTAGGTCGTGCCAGTTGATAATGTGAGGCAGTGTGTAGTAGACTGGACCGAGCATGACGACGTTGCGGACTGTGGACTCTTGGGAGAACATATTCAGGATAGTATCTGACGAGTATCTGCGCTTGTAGAACTCTCCTGTAGGATGATCCAACTCGAACCGCTGCGAATTCTGCAGGACATGCCAGTCGATGTGCTCGAAGGTACTTGGATCGTCTATGACTACTAACTTACTAAATACGTTAGATGTAAAGTGTGCGTAAATATCACTGTACACACCCATGGCGTGGTGATACTCATCGAGTTCAGCACTGGAAAGATGACGGGATACTGGTATCCGGGGAATGCGATCTTGTTTTAGCATTCACAACAGATTCGAAATCTGCCTGTTCCAAACTCTGAAAAACCAGCTGTCCTTGGGTCAACTCAAAAATATTCCAAGTGGATGGCAGCGTCAATCCAGAAGCAGGTAGAGAATCCGCAAACGACGGGCAGGAACCGGCTGTAGTTTGGTGCCACCAGGCGAATGTGCTGGATGTTTATCGACAGCGACGTCAACTCCTCACAAAATTTGTTAAGCTCTAAAGGCGTCGTGAGGTGCAGTTGAAGCGCTTCCAGCTGGTGTACATATTTCATGAAAGTCCGCTCAAACAGAGTGCATGCGTCGGGTGGTAATTTAGTGTATCCATGAGATATCCCCCACTTGCGTTGCAGATGGTTCGTGAGATCGCTCACATTGGGGAAAAGCGTGTGGATTAACTTAGCAGCAGCTTCAGCATCCACATTACTAGCCTTCAAAGCACCACTGCCCACTTCGACTAAGCCTTCGCCAAGGAATAGTATCTTGCGCACGGCTGTCAACGGTCCGCCGAGAGAACCCGCAAGTTCAGTTAGCGCCAGATTGAGGTCCGAGGGTCTTCGGGTTCACGTCGTGAGCGATGACTCGGAACTCCCTAATCAGATGATGCTTCTTGAGAAGGTCAATTGTACGCAAATTCGAACGCCAAATGCGTTGATGTGGTTTTTCGCACAAGGGACTTGTGCAGTGGCACGGGTTGTTGCTCTCCAGGAGCAGGATGGTGAATGCTACGTCATTCAGCTTGTTGACACGGTCTGGATATGTCTTGGCGAATTGTTCCACGTAAAAGTAGTCGTTCATTGCTGAGACGGGGCCAACAGAGTTCTTGCTGACCTTTCACAGGACAAAGAGGCAACTCGAAGCGCTAGTCACGACCATTGCTCCGGTGAGACATGGTGAAGAGGGGACGATGTAGAAGCTTAGATTGCGTTGGAAAGGGCGGTATGCTATAGTAAGTTGGGATGGAGTAGCTAGGATGTTTGGGGATAAAATAGGCGATAAGGAACAGAGACGAGGTGGGTAACGCTTTTCCCTGAGCATTTATACCTCTTTTGAAATGTCCTGCACACTGCGTACTGTTTTTTTGACAGCACTTGCCAACGGCATAGTTCCTCGCTGTGAGGGAGACTGCAAATGTACGGAAAAGCGATATCCGATTACGCGGCCACCTGGTGTGCCCATATCAAGACATTAACAGCCAGTACTATCCTGGCAAGCCAATAACATTCTGGGAGGAGGTTAGAGCATCTACACAGACAATGACACAGGAGCACAGGTGAGCAGGTAAGCCACCGCTTGGAGAAGCGCAAAAATCCACTCGGCAGGATTGCAGCTCGTTCTTCTGTCAGTTCCCCTTGTTGCAGAGTGCGCTGGGTAGGAAATGTGCAAAGGTGCTTGTCTCTCTGCCCTGATGGCACGGGGAGTGTGTTTCTCCACCCCTGTTTTCAACTGTAACCTGTACCCAGTTTCTTTTGCTGGCGATCTCAGTAGCAAACAGCATGCGCATACATGCTGCGGATGTCATGCCAATGCGAGACAACCTGCATTCTTACTTTTTGCGCTGCTTTTTGCGCTGCTTTTTGCGCTGTTTTGGCAACAGCAGGGTGAAAGGCACCAGTGGCGAAGCTGGCTATATCCAGGCAGTGCATTAAAGTGGGTTCAAGTGCCCTTTTTACAAATAAAACCAAATGGCATTCTATTACAAGCAGATGTAGTCTTTTGCCTCGAAATGCGTTGTAACCCGAGTGAAAAACTCGCCTGAGGGTGGAAAACTAGATTCTGGAGAGGGAGCTAGGCTCGTTGGAGGCGGCACAGGTTGACAAGAGTTCGAAAAAGAATAATGGAAACGAGGGATCGCACAGGTGGCATGGTGCATACATGTCAACTTGTCCGCTAATAGAGGGCACGGATGTGCAGCGGCTAAAGATAGCCTGTCCCAGCAGCCGTTTCCAAGGCTGTTTGTCGCTATCCTGCCGGTTTTGTTTTCCTCCATTGCTGGCTATGCCGCTCTAGTCTTGTTGCTTGAAATAAGGAGCTGGGTCTTCAGCGATTCAGTCCGAGGTTTCTCTGACCATGGCGGGATACACAAACGGTGCTCTCACCAGCCTTCCTCTGCAGTCCTCTTCAATACCTGCCGCTGCGACTTAGCTGTGCCATGCATATCTCATTTTCCTCTTGGTGGTGAAGTGGTTGTAGCATTGCTGCCATGCATGTCCATTGGAGCAGCAGCCTTGGAAACACCACGGTTGTGGTGCAATCTGCACATACTAAGCTTGCGCTATGCGCAAAATGCTGCCGCTTTCAAAGGTGGAACATTCTGCGTGGTGCGCGCCCCTTTCTGTTGAGAATGGCCATGGGTTTCCGCAACTTTCCCGGCCCAAATGCGCTGATGCCGCATCATTTGGGGACGAGACAAGAGGCAACAGCGGGCAATTGGCGTGATTTCTGCCATTTTTTATCTCTAGGAATGCGCCCAGGGTTCTCCAAATTTTTTGTTCGAGTGACGTCCCCCACTCTTCCACACAGCTTCATGCAGCTGCTCTTGCAAGTTTGTTTCTTCGCTCCTTGTTCATACACGCTGCTAGTCTTATCTTTTTCTTCTTTCAGTTACACTTCCCTTTTTCAATTAGAGCTATACATAGGGCTGGACACTATTTTGTATTATGTTAGACGCGGCCGAAGTAGCGTCATTGTACCAACGCACAGGCGAGCAAATTCAGCAGGCAGTTACAGCCGACAGCGGCGGACAGCCATTTCCAGCATTAGCGCATTACAATGCAGCTCTCAAGCTCATTGCCACACTACTCGAGGCCGACCATGGCGAGAAGCGCGACGCCCTGGTATCCAAATACTGCGAGTACGCGTGCCGCGCCGGGGAACTCCTAATACAGCTCTGCGACAGCCCAGGCTGTAGCAAAAGCCTGCGAGCAGGCAACGCTGCACTGGTGCAAGCGCGCAGCCTGCGCTCGCAGTGCAGCATCGGGGAATCCATAGACGCTTACATCGAAGGGCTGGGGCACTACCAGAGTGTACTGGCACAGAGCGAGGCGCGGGCAAATGGTAGCAATGGTGTCAGTCCAGGTGGCATGCAGGGCGATCTGGCGCGGGAGCTGCGAGCATTTATTTTGCTGGTGTTTAGCGAGGCAGAGGATACGAAGCGGATGAAGCACCGGGGTAGCGAGAGTTCAGACTTGATGGAGTCGGTGCCAAAAACCGTGACTCGGTCGATATCGTCGCCGATGAGTTCGGCAAATGGCTCATCAGCATCAGCCCGGCCGCAGCAGCAAATCCAGATCCAGGAGCCGCCACAAAACCATGAGCTGCCAAAGGCCCGGAGGCACTCGGAGAAGAACATTGGGTCGCGGAACACGCGCCTGGGACCATTGGCACACTCAATATCGCAGTTGTCGTTGCGTCCAGCATACCCGGGCCCGCCACGGGTACGTACGCCGATGGACAGGCTGTCGGGCGACGAGTTGGAGGTCATCAAGTGCACGTCGCATGTTAATGGGCTGACGTTTTTGCCGTGGATGGACAACGATCTGGCGAGAACTTTGCTCTTCAGGAGTATTTCACAGACAAGGACGGGCTGCTGCGGCTGTCGGCGAAGCAGCAGCGTAAGCTGTCGAGGTGGCGACGGGCAGGCCAAATCTACAGGAGCCCACGGGTATTCGAGGAGATCGGGTGTGCGCATATAGTGCAGGAGACAGTTACCGACTGTTCGTTTGTTGCGGCCATGTGTGTCAGCGTCGAGTATGAGCGGCGGTTTGGAAAGCAGCTCATTACGCAGCACATCTTTCCGCAGGGGCCGACCGGTATGCCCATTTTCAACCCGTGCGGCAAGTACATGATCAAGCTGTACATTAACGGGTTCTGGCGACGCGTAATTATCGACGATCTGCTGCCTGTGGCTGAGGACGGCAAGCTCATGTGTACGTACTCGTCTGAGGGCGACGTTGGAACAAGTCTGATTGAGAAAGCGTACCTGAAGCTGATGGGCGGCTACGACTTCCCAGGATCCAACTCGAGCACCGACTTGCACATTCTGACGGGATGGATCCCCGAGCATGTTTTTGTGCATGACCAGACATTCAACAGCGAGCGCACATGGCAGCGAATGTACGATGCCTCGCGCAATGGTGATGTCTTGCTGACAATAGCCACCGGCGAAATGAGCAACGACCTGGCAGGCACGCTGGGGCTTGTACCGTCGCATGCCTATGCGGTGCTGGACGTGCGTGAAGTGGGCGGCAATCGGCTGATCAAGGTCAAGAACCCGTGGAGCTCCGTGCGATGGACGGGCAAGTTCAGCCACACGGACCGGACCAATTGGACCACAGACCTGATGCGCGAGCTGTGCTATGACCCGGTGCTGGCCGAGGACAACGACCGCGGGATATTCTGGATTGACTTTGAATCAGTGTGCCATCGCTTCGACGCCATTCACCTGAACTGGAACCCGGAGCTGTTTCTGCACCGTGCCGGTGTGCATTTCGAGTGGAAACTGAGCATGGGTCCGCGGCAAGCGCTCTATGATTTCAGCGCCAACCCGCAGTACACGCTGACGGTCGATGGGGCGGGATCCAACCGGCCGCTCGTGTGGCTGGTCCTGAGCAAGCATGTGCAGAAGACCGAGGAGAACCGCGACTTTATTGCCTTGCACGTGTATGACAACTGCAGTGGCCGGCGGGTGTATGAGCCGCGGTCGGCCATGCGCATTGGTGAGTATGTCAACAGCCCGCACGTGCTGGTGCAGTTCTCGGCCACGCCTGGCACCCGCTATACGCTGGTGGTTGCGCAGCGCGAAAAATCGAAGCCGCTGTACTTTACCCTTCGGGCATTCTGCGATGCGCCGATCTCGCTGCTGCAGGCGCCGTTTCCAAGCTTCGAAGAGGTTGTGCAGGGCCAGTGGGGCAGCGGCTCGGCCGGCGGCAACCCGGCATCGCCCCGGTACCTGGACAACCCGCAGTACAAGCTGGTAGTGCGCAATAACGGCAATCCGCGGGCCAAGTTCAGCGGCATTCTGTCGCTGGAGTCGAAACAGAAGCATCCGGTCAATGTGCGTGTGTTCCGCGGCGGGTTCCTGGTGACGCGGGTGCTGGAGATCAACACTGTGGCCAACTCGGGCAAGTACCGGCCGTGCTTCTGCACGTGCTCGCTGGACGGCCTCGACGAGGGCAGCTACACGGTCGTGGTGTCGACGTTCCAACAGTTCATGTTCTCGCGCTTCCGGCTGACAGTCGGACTCGACTCGCCGTTTACATTGACGCCGATTCCGCGCGAGGGCGCCGGCATGCGCATGCGCGAATTGCACGGCAGCTGGACGCCTGGCACCGATGCCGTGGGTGGACCGGTCAATTCACAGACCATCCGCAGCCCGCGGTTCGTCGTGCGGACCGGAAAGCCGACAGGCGTGCTGGCACGGCTGCAGACGCCGCAAGTCAATCCGCCGCCATTGGTAAACGTGTCGATTTACAGGTTCGACGGCGGCGTGGTGGGCGACCGGGTTGTGTCGTCGGGCAACTACACGAATTCGCCACAGGGCGTTGCGACCCATCTGGCCGAGGTTGGCAGGCAGGACGAGCTGGCGCAGTATCTGGTAGCTGCGTCGACGTGGGATGCCGCCGACAGCGCGCCGTTTGTTCTGTATTTTTACTCGGAGGATCCGGTTGAGATCGAGTCGCTCACGTAGGCACCGGGACCAGGCCCAATGAGCGGGCACGGGCCAGCAAGCAAGGTCACGCGGCGGCAAAGGCACGGATGCGGCGAAATTCATTAGAGCACGGAGAATTTAATCGCCCGGGCTTGCGGTTTTCCAAGGAGGCGAGGGCAGCGATTTTAAAAACATAAGGCTTACACGCTTTCAGCTGCTTGCCAGTCACTTGGCCTCCTCCCTTTCTCCGTTATCAGACCTGTTTTTCGCCCCCTCTCTTTTTACGAATTACAGCACTTTTTTCACGCTCTATTTTCTAGCAGCGGTTAGCACCCTTATATACAAAGCATCTAATACAGTATGCCAGCGGCGTTGACTTCCAGGCCACCTCACTTTGGCATGCATGCGACAACGACAGCAGAAGCGACAGGGATGGGCGGAGCCACAGAGCAGGCAAGCGCCGGCCCACCAACTACAGCGCTGGTGGCACCGTCCAAGGCAATGGTAGACGGACGGCCTCTGATGGCGCACCTGCGTACGCTGCACCAGAAGGCATCGCGGGCACTCATCCTGGGCCAGGGGGCAGCCGCCTGGAACCTGTGCCGCGAGGCCATCCAGTACTGCAACATCGAGGGGCTCACGGAGGAGTATGGCGAGGAGCAAGCGCGCCAGCTGAGCTGCCGCCTGTGGATCCTGTACATTTGCGTGCTGAGCAGCCTGACGGAGCTGGCAGCGTCAGATGGGCAAATCCAGGTCAAAGCGCACCAATAAGGATGCGGCGACGCTGGAGAAGCTGCCCGGGTCTGTGCGCCAGGTGTGGGATGCGATTATGCGTGCGTTTGGCGGTTACGCGGGTAACGTCGACAGCGAGGTGCTGGTACCTACGGTGCTGCTGTGCCTGAAGCTGCGGGACGCCAAGACAGCAAGGGATATTGTGGAGGCGTGGTTCGCGACGCTGTCGGACGACACAATGTATCTGCTGCAAAACGGCAACAAGGGTGCAGGGAAGATTGTCCAAAACAGGCAGCAGCGGGCAACCATGGTGCAGGCATCGTATATGCGGGTGTGTGAGCTGTACACGCTGCATATCCTGCCGCAGCTGAACGACTTTGACAGCGCGTACACGTTCCTTGACCTGTCGACTGTGGTGTCGGCACACACCAAGGATGGGTTTGTGAAGCGGCTCGACTCGCTGCGCAACCCGACCCCGCCCAAGAAGCTTGCAAAACAGCATCGTAGCAAGGCGAAGAAGGCAAAAAAGGCCAAGGCCAGCAAGGCGCCAGCTGTTGAAGAGCCCAAGGCTGAGACTGCGAGGACTGCGGAGACTGCCGAGCCCGCCCTGAAGGCTGCTGCGGAGACGGCTAGCGACAATGCGGCAGCTGGCCCGACGGCAGTAGTGGCCCGGGGCAAGCTGCCGAGCCTGGCTGCGGTGCAGTCGCGGGCGACAGCCACCAGCAACCGGACCCGCACGCGGCCCGCGGTCAAGACGCGCTCGCTGGTGCGGCGGCCGCGCGGCGTGGTGCAGATTGCGTACGATGTGGTGAGGCGGCTGTTCTCGCGCTGGGGGTTCACGCTGTTCACGCTGGCGATCCTGGCCGCGGTGCTGCGCCTGGTCATGCAGCGGTTCCGGCTACCGCCCATCCTCAATGCCATTACGCGCAAGCTGTGGAACACATGGAAGATGGGCACACAAGTCACGTACATCTAAGACATCTTTTTCCTATCCAAGACATGTATTTTTCCCCTCCTCCCTCCCGCTCCACAACCCCCATGTCAGCTAGAAGCAGAAATCTCATTAGAAGCGCCGAAAAGCCGCCTAGGTCTTGCTGGATCCAAAGCCCGAGAAGCCCATCATTGCGGCCATCGCGGCTGCCTCCGGATCTTGGCCATCCGCCGGGTCCGTGGCAGATTTGGCCTGCTTGCGCGCATCCTTTGTCCGCTTGCGCCGTTGCTTGCGCTCCTGCTCCATCAGCTGCTGCACCCTGACGCGCTCAGAAAAGTCATACTCGGTGTGGTTTTGCTCGGCCAGAATCAGCTTTTTGCGGCGGAGCTGCTCGAGCTTCGCCCTGACATCCTCGACCGTCTCCGCCTTGACCTTCATCGACCGGTTCAGCATGCGCTGGTGGTTCTTGCCGTTGATGTGGTCGAGGTAGCTGAGACTGTCCTTGACCGTGACATCGCAGACTTTGCAGTAAAATCCGGGCTGGCTGGACGCGCCCGACGTGGATGCCTGGACGATCTGGGTTTTGCCCACCATTTCGGTCAGGTTGATTTGTGTGGTGCGCGCTTGCAAAAGATCGCGCTCTTCCTTGGGCTGTTTGGGGTGGCCAGCGGCTTCAGGCCCTTGCGCTTGCGGTCGTCGTTGATGGCCTGCTGCTTGGCCTGCTGGGCGCGGTCACGCGCCTTTTGCGCATAGACCTCGTCGTCCCATGTCCGCCGAAAGTCGCCGGTGCCCTAAAGGCTCAATAAAAAAGAATCAGCTTGTTGGTGCTAGAGAATGAGCGCAACATACATGCCACGGTAGGAAGGCATTACCTTCTTGTCGCCATATGCGTTCTTGTCCATGTGTAAGCAGGGTGTGTCCAACAGCAAGTGGTGTGTGGGTGACGTCGATGGTGGGCATGTGGTGGAGAGGAATCGACATCTCCCGTCGTGCAATTCTGGCACAATATGGCTCGGAGCCACTTTGAGCCATGATGAAGCCTGATTTGCCAACCTAGAAATAAACAAAAATTTTCCTGGCTTCGCGAGCCGCGTACTTTTTCTCTTCCAGCACTCTGATTTTTGCTGCTCTTCCTTTAATTTACAAGAACATGAACACTCCAATGCGCCGTACAGGCAGGGTCGGCGCGCCGTTGGCGACTCCCTTTAGAACACCAGTCAGATTCAACCGCTCAATGCCCGACACGCCAATGTCGGACGACCAGCAATTCCACACGCCCAGCGAAAGGCTGGCGACGCCCAAGGGCAAGTGGATAAACCCAGACGCGCAAAAGGTGCTGGACGACCGGGCGCAGCAGCCGGGCGAGGCGCAGAGCGCAAAGCGGCTGCGAGCGAACGTGCTGTTCCTGGCCGGGCTCGGGGCTCTGTCGCACACGGGCGCATTGGGCAGCCTGAAGAGCTGGCTTGGCGGGGGCACGGCGGTTGAGACGGTGTGGTCGGTGGTGAAGTGGGTGGTGCTTACTGGGCTGGCGTACAACATCGGGGAGGCGATGTGGTATCTGATGCAGCCAAAGAACGAATACACAGGGCTGGCGATGACGCCCGCACAGCGGCGCGGCATAGGGCTGGATACGAATGTGAAGGGGATGTCTGCTGCGCAGCCGGTGAGGGCGCCACAGATGACCCCGGCGCGGGTGATGCCTATGGGGCGCGAGCCAGGCACCGGCGTCACGGATATCGAGACCGATCAGGCGGCTGCCGAAGGGGCTGGGGCAGAATGGAACAGCTCCGCTGACGGTGCGGTCGCAGCCGGCAGTTGCACTGCAGGCAACTAGGGAATGCCGGGTACTCGACCGATGCGGATATGGCCACGCTGCTGCAGGTACTGAATACAGGCGCCTAAGCAGAGCACGGTGGGCAAGGGCACGGCTAGGGATATATTTGCTGACGCTAGCAGCAACCTGTTTGCCAGCCGCCCTGCTCCAGCAGCAACCGCTCTGTTTGCGGGTGCGTCCTCAGGCATGTTTGGTGTTGGCAGGTGCGTCGTCATCGTTGGCGCCGGCGCAGGCTCAGCCGGCGCAGGCAGCGGCAATTGGCGTATACCAGACGGCGCCGCCGGCACTGCGGCCCAAGGCCAAAGACGGAGCCAAGGGCAGCGGCAAGGACAGCGCGGAGGGCGATCTGGAGTACCTGGAGCCGCTCGGCGTGCTGGAGTCACTGGGTGTGGAGCACCAGATCACGGACTGGGTGGAGAACATGCACGTGTGGTTTGTGCGGCACCTGCTAGCGCCACTGGCCACGCAGATGGCGGACCTGGACGCTGTGTTTGAGCAGAACGCCATGGGCCACTTGTCCTGCCGCCAGGCGGTGATGGACTATGCGGCACTGGAGCAGGCGCAGAGCGCAGTGGCCAACCCGCCGGCGTCGCGGTTCATTGGGTTCCAGAGCACCGCGAGCCAGCCGCAGGGGCCGCCGCAGACCCTGGTGGACCTACAGATGCGTTTTGGCGAGACGCCGCTGGGCAAGGAGCGGCTGGTGCTGGAGAAGTACCTGCAGGTGCCTGGCGCCAAGAGCCGCGAGTACGTGGTGAGCCGCGTGCGCGAGCTGGCGCAGAGCGGCGCTATGCCCGCGTACCGGTTTGACGGCGGCGGCAGCTACACGGACGACCAGGGCGTCGAGCACGCGTGGAATCAGTCGCTGCATCCGACCGACGCGCAGCTGCTGTTCCACCTGTTCTGCACGTTCCTGGACAACGCCGTGTCGCCGGTGCAGAATGTGCGGCGGCCGTTCACCGACCGCTACGTATTGGATATCGCGACTAACCAGCCCAACGCGAATCTGCCTGCGCAGATCGTGCAAGTGTCGCGGCGCCGCCCGCACTTTTGCCTGGTCGTCAAGAACGTCTGCTGGGACGTCATGGCCAGCCGCAACAACCTGTTTATTGCGCTGGTGTTGTTTGTCATCCAGATCGACCGCGAGTGCGCTGGGTTCCTGGGCGTCACCAACCTGGGCGGCAAGTACGTCGACTTGGTGTCGGTGATCAGGAACTGACGCGCCTATTCACGCAGGTTGTGTTTCAGTTATCATTGAAAAAGCCAAATAAAAGAAATCCGTCGTTTGTAGTTTTTTAGTTGGTCCGCTTGCGTGTCTTTGACGGCTCCTGCTGGGCAGAGTCGGGGCTTGCCATGGCGCGTTCAAACGACCGCGCGCTGTGCTTGGTAGCTGCAGCCCGCTTGCCCTTGGCTGGCTTGACGTCCTTCCTTCACCACTGTCACCGGGATCTCACTGCGCGTGCGCAGCTTGTATCTGGGCGGTGACGTCACGTCGCTCTCACCACTGCTGGGCCTGGTTCCTTGCGCGCTGGAACGGCGACTGCTTGATATGGTCGGTTTCCGGGAACTGGCCCGGCACCGAGCCCTCAATCGCCGGTGAATTGGGGCTTGCTGCGCGCGCCAGCACGTAGCGCCCGGGCGTATGCCCTGGTCTGCCGGGAGTCACCGGTAGCGGCTCTGGCGACTCCTCCACCTGGCTGTCCGCTGGCACATCCTGCTTTGGCGTGGCCGGCGGGCCTGAGAACGGCACGCGCACAGTGGGCGACCCGAGCGTCGACGAGCGCTGCACAAACGACGTTGCGGGTGTCTTGAACTGTGGCGAGGCTGTGCGCTTGGGCGTTGTCACGCCCTCGTCAATAGGCTGCGGCTGGGCCGCCGCTGGTTTGGCCATCTGCTTGACCAGTACATGCAGCAGCGCATGCGACGGATCCTGCTGCCCACCATGTGTGCCCACCGCTGGCCGCAACCAGCCGCGATGCCTTGGATGCGCTCAGCGGCACATCGATCGTCACCTGCTTGCTTGCCCCGCTGCGCGACTCAGCCTCAGGAGGTACTGCTGCTGTCCACGTCCATGCTGCTTTTGGCATGCGTGGGCTCGGTAGACTGGAAGGCGTCCGCGGATGCGTGCAGCTCCTGGACAATCCAGCGCTGTGCCTCAGGCAACAGCATCAGCAGGTTCTGCACCATGGCCTGCCGCTCGATGCTCTTGCGCTTCTGCACCATGTTCAGCATCACGCCCTGCTCACCCTTGGCGATGGCCCGGAACACCCGAATGGCCTCGACGTAGCGCCCGCAGTTGACGTAGTGTAGCGCCAAGAAATCCCTGGCGCGCACAGAACTCGAGGTTTGCACGCAGTACGCCTCCAGCTCCGCCTCCTCGGTCTCGTCCAGCGGCAGTGTAGCGAGCTGGTCCGCGATCGCGCGCTTGGATTTGGCCGACAGTCCGAACTCGAACAGTTGCGTCAGTAGCGCACGCCGCAGTTCCACGTGCTGCGACTGCTGCCGCTGGAACGAAAATGCCTCACGCAGGTCGCAGTGCAGCAGGATGTCCATGATCACCGGGGCCTCGCTTGCTTGGTCCTCCAGCCGCGGCTGGAAGCTCGATGACGTTGCTGTGGTGCTGGTCAGGAACTGCCGCGCCTCAAAGTAGTGCTTGCTTGTGACTGCTGTGCGCAGGATCTTGGGCGCCCAGTCTGCTACCACCGACGGGTCTGACAGGATACGACAGACCAACTGCAATCTCGCCGTGGTCCATCAGCCAGAATCCGCGCACCAGATACACAAAGTGCTGTGGAATCAGCATATCCTGCGCGTATGCCTGTGCTTCGCTGCTCATAGCCGTTGTATCCTTGTGCTGCTCGACAAACGTGCCCTGCGTCGCTGCCATGGCTGCCATCCCTGTGTCCAGCAGGAAGTAGTACGCAATCGAGTGCTGCTTAAGCCCGTCAATGTCGCTCTGCCCGATAGTCTCAATAAACTGTCGCTCTTCCGCAGGCGTGCGTGGCGGATATGCGCTGCTAGACTCTGGCCCAGTGCTGACCCCTGCCATACCCAGCAAGAGGTCAATGAACAGCTCAGCCGCCCATGCGCTGCCGCTGCTCAAAAACTGCATTGCGCACCGCCTGGCGTGTATGGGAACTGTTCATCGATATCTATGTAGCCACTGATGCTGAGAGGGACCCCAAGGCCAAACTGGGTCGCCGGGTCTTCCACAATCCCATCCGACGATAGGATGTCACCCGCAAGAAGGTGCCGGTCAGTTGCCACCTCGATTTGTACATGTTGGCCCAAGGTGCGCATCCCAAGCACGCGCTCAGAGCCAACCACGACTTGACTTGCGGTATGGCACTGGGTAAGCTGCTGATCATCAACCTGCCATGTCGACACTGCTGCTGCCACTGACACTGCACCGGCTCCAGGATGACCACGATTCCGCCGCAGATACGTAGAGCTAGATAGCTGTCCGCCGAGTGGCACGCTGGCTAATGCCGACAGGAACAGCCCGCCTGGCACGGCTTCTCTGTCAATTTCAACAAAGGTCATATCAACCACCGATGCATTGGCAGTCAGCTGGTTTTCCAAATCCTGCGACACGTCTTCTTCGATGTAGCTCGGAATCCGCACTTCTGCTGAATCGACCTTTGAAACTGACACCTGCTGCCCCAACTGCTTGCGGTGGCCAAGAGAGAGCAGGTCGACCGACACTAGTCGCCGCTGTGCCATGTGGGCTCTTTTCATGGGCCGAGCCAACAATGATCTGGCTGTTAGCCATCACCTGGGTCGTAATCTTCGTGACTGCCCCTGTCCTTTGCTTCCTGTCGCCGATTTCACATACTACTCGTGTCGTATGTGGGCTGAACGGGCTGTATTCAAGCGCCGAAACGCAGCCGTCTTCGGTTCCAACAAGCACCAGAACCGCGCCACTGCCTCCAGGTAGCTCGCTGATAGTAATTGCTGTAACCTCGTTCCCCTTCGCACCAACAGCATGCGTCTCTTGCGACGTCATCTGCGCAATACCGTCTCTGACTGTCAGGCATCCCAGCATGACCTTGCCTCTAGGCTTATCCAGCGCCACCACCGAGAACTGCCACTCGGCTCCCTTCGCACCCGTATCAAACGGCACCGATACTGCCAGAGATCTCACCGTGCTGGGTAGCCGCGTCGGCACAGGGGAAATCACCAATGTAAACGGGTTGAACACGGACAGAATCCCCGTATCGGTTGCCGCGTCGCGCGCATACACCAGAAAATGGATGTTGTCGTCAAACATTATTGGCTGAACACGTGCCAGGCTCACCTCGTCTGTGTCGTTTATCTGCAGCTGTGCTGGCGCTGAGCGTTGCAAGGGCCTCTGGCTGCGAGGCTGCCGGCAGTGCTGTATTGCGCACCTCTAGTACGCGTGTGTTGTAGCGGTAGAGCATAGTCACGTCAGAACTAGTTGTCCCCGCCAGCCCTGTCGCAATTCCCCCCAGCAGCGGCTCGTTTGTTGCCACCCCAGGCAGCGGAGCAATGTCTGTCAAAAAGTCCATTTACAAGTGCACTTGAATCGCAAGGTGGATAGAATGAAAAGCCTTTGCTGCTGAGAAATGAACAGCAAAGCCAAGACGTAATTGGCGGGCGTGTTCATTCCTCGAAAATAATTTATGAAAGACAGCGTCTGATCATGTAATTACGTTAATCAAATTTTCAAATAGCAAAACATACATGGATTCAGCGATCCAGCATCTCCTCCACATGTTGCCTCCACGCAAGTCATGAATAGCTGCCATATGACATTTGATGCCATAGCTGCACTTGTTGCTGTTGACATTTGCCCAGCTGTCTCCAGGTCAATAAGATCGCCAGCTGCAAAAAGAAATCTCAGCAACTACCATTTTTAAATATGCCTTTTGGAGAAGCTTTTGCCAGGGCAGTACCTATAGGAGCTTCAATGACAGTGCATACTAGCTTCTTGCATAGCTCTTAAAACCAAGCATCAATGGTAGATCAATTCGTGTCCTATCCACAACTGAAATAATAATATTCTCTTTGTGCGCCTGTTGGGTAATCGCTAGAGTCTAAACATACATGCTCTAATGGATAGTATAAAAAGGCCTGGTTTTGGAAATGCTACCGCAGGCAGCTCATCTGAGCTCGTTTCTTCTCAACGAAAATGTCTGCTTTTCTGCCTTTCTTTTTGCTTGGCAGCTCTGTGGTGCCGCCGTTCACTTCCTTTGGCAAGCGTACCATTGGATGTGTAACAGTCTCAGGCAACATATGCGCTGTATGCAGTCTGTATTCGAATCCAAAAACAAGAGGAGTTGCTGATTGACTTGTAGTGTCATGATTCTCTCCAAAAACTATATTCGTTACGGCAGGACACAGCGTCAGCGCTGACGAATCCCATCAGGACATGTAACCCAACCCACTACAGTTCAGCCTGTTCTATGGTGCCATAGAGACTGCGAAGCAGCCGCATGGTGCTGTCAAGAGCCTTTGTGTGGTACATTTCTGAGGATACGGACTACTTGTCACGATATTGCAATTATTGAGGCTGCTGTTATGCCGGCTCGACAGCACCAAAGCTATACCAATTCAAACGTTATATTGGTCAGGTTGACGAGGGAATGCAGATGACTGCTCTTGGCTGGGGTGCAATCATCTCGAAACACGATCACAATTCTGCATCCAGCTCACTCGATGTTATCAGCATTACCATGGGTAAGCCTGAAGGATACCAGAAATTCGACGGTATGTATCGATTGGCCAGCTGGCAGTGTATGTGTGCTGGGAAAGGACAATGTGGGCTATGCCTGTCAAGGTGACTGCGGCACGGGGACAAAGGTTACACTCAACAGAAAGCGCTTGCTTGCAGGACTGGTCGGCCGCGGTGGTCGCTCACCAGAAGATAGCCCTTGCGGAACAGCTGAAGGGTCTGCCATCTACTTACACGTGGAGTACTACATGGATTTTGTCCAGAAAGAAACCAGATTGAAGCTGAGCGACTTGGCGGGTGTTGGGGTGTAGGTTCCTTCTCACCAGTTTGGCTAGAATATAAAAAAATTAGTTTATTTTTTTCTCGTCTTCGACTGCAAAGCTCAGTTTTTTACGATTGACTTTTGAATGTTAAAACAAGCCCACTCGCCCATCCATATCCATAGCATCTTAAATGGAAAGGGCATGGTCAGCTTGCAAAATGCCTGCCAATGAGCACCACGAGAACAAAAACAGCTGTTCGTGTGATATGCACACGTTCGTACACACAACATAGGCCCTCACCAGGACATGCGAAATGGGGATTTTGAGGGTGTAGCGCTGGGAAGTAGGATTGTGCAAAATGCTTGCTTGCCACGAGAAACCAGGCATGTGTCGGAAAAAGTATTTATAAACAAAGAGCGCTAATGAAGCGTGCAAAACTTGTGAAATGTGCACCCTCTCCCACTCTCCAGAAACCATGGTTCGGTGCGCATTAGACTTTTTGTTTTTGTATGTATTATAATATTCCCCTATCATTTCTCTGTCATTGTTGTCTGTCACTGCCGCAATGGCTCTCAGTGACAACAGGTTAGATGTTCAATATATGCATGCACAATGACATCGCCACCTATCCTTCCAAAAAAAGTCCCCTCAAGTAGCCTCATGACCTTATCTCTCAAATTCTTCTCCCTCAGCTCCTCTCGTCTTGTGAACTATCATATATAGTTGTTTTTGGTAGGCTCCACTTGCAACAAATCTTAAATTGTCCCAAGCCCCCTCTCTTTTCACCACCATTTCTGGCTCCCAAATTCTTCCATTACTCTTAACATGTATCCTAACTTAACAAATAGGATAATGATGCTGTGAAGTTAACAGTGAGAAAACACTGCATCATGTCAGGAGATGAGCGGACTTACCTATATAGAGGTCAAGGGGATATCACTTCAACATACTTTTGTACTGTGTCGAAAGCCTACATGTTACCCGCGAAGCTTCATACTCAGTCGCTGCGCCTCAACAGCAAATCCACACCCTCCTTGCCCCCTCCATGAAATGTGGGATAATTTGGTTCGTCATTTTTGCGGCACACACCTATCATGCCAAATTAGCCACACCCAACCGCCGCCCGCTTCCCCACATCTGCCCGTCTTCGGACAGGAAATTTGTGATTGGTAGGTATTGGGAGGCGGTTGCAATCTAAACGAGTAGCTTACGCCGCTGATGGAGCTAGATAGGGGGTGTGAGTGCCCTAGCATTTGTGAATTGCTGAGTCTGTCACATTGTACGCACATGTAGGGGTGCTGCACTGCATTTTACTTTCCAGCCCCTTCATTTCCGCTTCTCCAATGTACGTTACAACCAGATATCTCTGTGAGCAGCCGTTATTGGGAGGGCAAGTTCCATATAGCCGCGAGTCACAGACCTGTTCCCCCATGGCGTACTGGACCTGCAACTGGGCATAGTGATTAAGAACGGAATTTGCGAGACGTGCAGACACCACATGCCAGACCGTATATGCCACAGATGTTCGACCGATCTGTGGGTGGCCATATTCCACACTGGTACCTTCAAAATGGCACCGACGATCCTGAAGGGTAGTCTCAAGATATGTGCACGCATGGTGTTTGAAGAGTCAGGTCGGTGCATGCTCTTGCGTAGGCTGAAGGTCTCGGTAATCGACAGCAAGGAGATGCGCTTTATTTTAATGGAAGCCAATGATCGGTGCAAAAAGGTTACATATTGTCCACATTGCCTGGCGACTAATTGCGTCGTGACAGAAGGCGATTCACTGAAGTATCATGCACGGCAAGTACCACCGGAAGCCCATGGCAAACAAGTGGGATGGCTACTAAAAAATTCTCGCGAATGTGGTAAAAGCTAATTATTGAGGAGGCGCAAACAAAGGGGATAGCTCCACTACGCGTGTACCAACTGTTCAAAGCCATTTCGAACGAGTGCTACAAGTTCATGGGGCTGAACCTAAACAGTGGCTGTTCAGAGGTGTTTTGTAGGCCAGCGTGTCGGTTATCTGGGGCGGTATTAGCAATGATAATGATTTGGCTGTCAGGCTGTTTGAGATTATACTTACTAACGCGCTTACAGAGGTTGGCGTAAAGCGTTGGGACTACTTTGACTAGGCCATCGCCATGTACATTAGCAGTGGCTGTATCATCGTTTCTCAATTCCAGCATGTGCATTGACAGAGTGCCAGTACCGCAGCACTCTGCGAAAATCCTGGCCTATCCGGAGCGCGTCACGCTGCATAACCTGAAGCGGCGCCTAAAAAAACGTGTGCAGCGATTCCGATGTGTATTTAAGTCCTGATTTTTTTTCGTCTTTGTTCCCAGCAGCAAGAGGCATATACCTCGATTTTTTTGTAACAAATGGATAAAATAAAAAAGGCTTAATAGCGGCAACCCCATCATTTTTCTGCAGCGCATTCCTATGCCCCATGCACAAATCAATTTGCGGCGGATCCGCAAATTGTGCCGAATGTACTGAATTGGAAATAGGGGGTAGGACCTGTGTATTTAAATTGTGGAGCTGCAACTGCAGCTCCAAGAGCAAAAACAATAATGCCCAGCCCCATGTGCCAGCAGGGCAGATGTTTAGCGATATCTGCCGCGAATGTGTTTTTTTCTGAGCAAGGAGCTAGGGAAAGGTGCCTTTACTATATATACATGCGCCCGTATGCAATAAAATCGCCTTTCTCCACATCTTCATCTCTTAGTATTTTTCGCATATTTCTAGCTCAAATGTATCATCCATATAAGCTTACCGAAAGCCATGTACGCAGCACATGGAGGGGAATACAGCCGGCTCCCCAGCGCTGGCCCGAACCACGGCAACAACGGCCGCAGCAGCCGCAACAGCCGCAACAGCTGCAACAGCTGCAACAGCCGCAACAACCGCAACAGCCGCAACAGCCGCAACAGCCGCAACAGCCGCAACAGCCGCAACAGCCGCAACAGCCGCAACAGCCGCGGCAGCAACAAAAGCAACGCGTACTTTTCCCCTATGCATTGTTCAATATCCTCAATGACGATAGCAACGCTAGTTGGGTGTCGTGGGATATAGATGGCGGTGCCTTTTCAATCTGCAGCTGGCAGAATCTTATTTCCTGTCTTAATGAGCACGGCTTTGTGGCCACCCAGAAGGCGTCTGTAATCAAGAATTTGCTTGGTTACGGCTTCAAGCGCCTCAGAGATGGGCGCAGCCGTGTGTCAGATAGACATGGCAATGTATGGTCGTCATACCGACATGAGCACTTTCATTACGGAGATTTTGATAGTCTTGTTTATATTGAACGAGTTGGAAGAGGCCCTGGTAATGGCCGCCAGGTCCCTTCGACTTCTTCCTCATAACTTTTCCAATAGCTGTAATTAAAATAAATTGACGCGCTCTATGCGAAGTTATAAAATAATTGAGAATACTAAGCGGCTAAACCGATGAAGAATGAATGAAAGAAATAAAATTGTTCAGAAAACTCAGCACCATAGAGTCAGTAAGTCGGTGACATAGGATTCTCCTGATGGACTTTGACCACTGACATTTCACTTTATTTTCTTTTGATGAGTCGATTGCTTTGCAGTAGGTTGACTTTCTCCTGCTTAGCGCTATTCATTTTTCGGCCATATATCTTCAATATATCGTCCATATCTCATTTTCTCGACATATAAGCACTATCTCCCTTTTCACCTTTCGTCTATTTGCAACATTTCTTACCACAGCGACTTGCCGATTTGGGACTAGCAATGTAGTCCATCGACTAGTGCCCAGCAGTAATCGTAGTCTTCAAACGAAAATGTGTATTGAATAATGAATAAAAATGTGCGGACTAAGCAATTTTGCTCTGTCAGTTGCAGAATGTGAAGCCAGAGCCGTCCTCGCCCCAGCTGGCCTAGCTACCATAGCTGAGGTTGTTGATGGCACGGTAGAGCGCATGCAGAAAAAGCATTGGCTGTTGTATCACTGGCCAAATGCCTCTCTATGTGCTGCATATATAGGATTTCTTCATAAAAACAAAGATATAGCACGTAAATAAAAGGTTTACTTGTGCAATGTAGGAACGTACATACTATTTCCCAATCGAACCATTCTCCCTGCTCTGCAAAGAAAATATGCACATTTGCGGCAGATAACGCCAAATAGCTGCGATACCATTACAAGGTGCCGAGGTCTGATTAGTTTCTATTTATTACTCGTGGCCGAAGCTGCAGTTCCAAAATTTATCGCTGCAGGACTCACTTCTATTCACCACTCAATATATCCGACACATAGTGCGGATCCGTAAATTGGCTTCTGAAAGATACATGCCAATGAGCTGCCAGCGAATATGCCGTTGTCTCTATCCAACTTACTTGGCTAAATGTATTACCCCAGGTTTCTGCGCAGCGACAGTTCTCTATTTTACTTGAACATTTAGTGTAAGAATCAGAAATCATAAATATACCAAGCTATACGAACAGCAGAGTCTGACTGGGCAACTAGCTGCTCATCAGAAGTCCCGATCATAAATCCCAGCAGCTGGTGGATTGTATTGTGAGCAGTTCTGGGACTTTCAATAATCTACTTTCTGATGCATAACAGCAGGGGAGGGAATATAAATCCAGCAGCGTCCTCATTCCCAACAGTGCTGGCTCTTCTCCTCCACTCCTTTCCCAAAAATGATTTTTGACACTAGTTATTATCACGAAGCCGTGACCAACACGATTGCAGCTGCAGTGAGTTTAGCAAACGAGCAGAAACATCTTAAGGTAGAGCCTATTCCTTTGATGTACGCGCTCTATAGGGATAGCCAGGGTGCCATTCATGCCATTATTTCGAACACGGGTGGCACCAGCGATAAACAGAGCGAGTCTGTGCTTACAGCAGTTGAAAAACTGGACAAGAGGGCCGGGGGTGTTCCTGAGGTAGAGGCTGGTTTCGCTTTCTTGTACATTCTGTGTAAGGCGATGAAGGGGAAAGAGAGGCGAGGTGAAGGGATTGTCGATGGTTGTATGTTTCACTACGGACTGTCCTTTGACTTCACTGTTGTTCGCATGTTTGATAAATGCCAGGTACCTATCCATAAACTCCGAGAGGTTGTCGGTGGCCCGTGTATTGAGCAGCCTATAAGTACTGCGCCGCCACGACAGGCCAAACCAAAATATAACACCAGTCCACTGTTTTCTGGCAAGCGTGTGTCGGCGTTCACAGACGATATGATTGCGCAAGCAGGAAAGAGCGCACCAAGCTCAGTTATTGGCCGCGATGAGGTGATTCAACAGATGGTACTTGCCCTATGAAGTCATAAAAAGCCCAGTGTAGTGCTCACTGGCCCGTCTGGCACCGGTAAGACATCAATCGTCGAAGTACTTGCGCGCAAAATCGCATTTGGCGAGATCCGGGGTTTAGGAAGCGTTTCTCCAGTTGCTCTGGACATTGGTAAGCTCCAGTCTGGGGCAATGTATGTCGGAATGAAAGGGGTGGATGCAAGGTATTTTGGATGCGATCTACGCACGGCCAGAACGTACCATCATTTTCATCAACGAGATCCATACCGTGATGAAGATTGGCCATAGCTCGAGTTTGGTGCCGCTAACAGATTTGCTGAAGCCGGTGCTGACTGACGGATGGATCTCGATCATTGGTGCAACGGACCGACAAGGAGTACAGCACGCACTTTGAGACTGATACGGCGTTCGCACAGGTTACAAAGAGTGCATGCTAGCGAGCCAACGGTGGAGGCCAAGCGTGCGGCACTGAGGTACGCAAGCGGTGAATCAGCAAAGAAGCGCATAGCGGAAGTTGATGGAGAATTGGCCAGCTTGAGGAGCAGTGTTTCTGTGGAGGTACCGACATACGAGTCCATCAGGAGGGTTTATTGACTGTCACACTGGGCTTGAGTTTCCTTAGCCAGATTGCCAAAGGCGATGAGACATGGAGGGGCGCGTTTTACCGAAGCACGAACATCCCAAAGTTAGTGGATCGTATAGCAGAGTTGGGCGATGAGCCGGTTGACTTTGAAGGCAGCAAAGCAGCACATGTGGCCTTGGGGAAGAAGAAGGCGAAGTCAGTCATGGCTGACCACATCGCCGAGGTCATTGATTCGGCTCGACATGTCCGAGTACATGGAGAGGCACCAGATGTCGAGGCTGATCAGGACATCCAGCGGCTACAGAAACTGCGAGGACGGTGGGCAGTTGGCCGAGGCAGTCCGCAACCAGCCGTATTCAGCTGTACTGTTTGACGAGATCGAGAAGGCGCATCCGGATGTGCTCACCATTCTGCTGCAGGTCCTGGACGATGCACGGCTGACAGACGGGCACGGGTGCGTTGCTGATTTCAGCAGCAGCATTGTCATTCTTACGTCCAATATCGGGCAGGAGCATCTAGCCAGGAATATCTACGCGAGTAAAGGTGATATTGAGGCAGTGCTGTGCATAAGGGCGTTATTGGCAAGTTCTGGGAGAAAATTCGGCCAGAGCTGGCGAACCTGACTGGACCAGATTGTTGTGCTCAACCCACTTGGCCACAGTGCACTGCAGTATATCGTCCGGCTTCGAGTCAGGGAGATCGAGCAGCGTCTGGCTGACCGGAACATAACGATAACTATGGAGGACACTGCCATTGATCTTGTTCTCAAGAAGAGGTATGACCTGCTGTTTGGTGCGCGGCCGATTGGTCGCTACCTGGAGCAGCACCTGGTGTCGGAGCTGGCGGTGGCAATTGTCTGTGGTCGGCTGAAAAACAACGAAAATGTGATGGTTGGGTGCCGTGATGACAAACCTGCTACCAGTGTCGTGAGGTCGGCAGCTTGACATTGCAAGACACAAACTAGCTGAATGTTCAATATATTAGATCGCGTCCTTTCTAACTGCTCCGGGTGTCGCAGGTGTTGGTTCATTGTGAATCAAACAGCGGGCCGTGGCCATAATGAACTGCCGGTGCGACGGGAGGGGGAAACACCAAATCTAAGGACTGCCAAAAGGGGGCTGGCGGCTCTCGGCTCCTGTCTGATTTCGCGCACGCACACCCGCTTTCCTTTGACATTTTTTCTTTTGTAAACACCATGTCCGAAACACCCGACACACACAGCTCGCCGGACAGTTTTGATCCGGCGCCACATGGTCATAGATCTAGCGCTGGCGAACATCCTGAACAAGGACAAGGACCTGGAGGTCCTACGGCAGCAAAACGACAACCTGCGTGTGCAGCTCAGCCTTCTGCGAGAAGAAGCAGACCTCTGGCGGGCCTAAGGCCGAGAACGCGCTACAGCAACTGCATGCAGGCAGCGTGACGGAGATCCCGCGGCCCCACGACAAAGAGCAAAAGGAATACATTGAGCGGCTCTTTGACGAGAACCTCGGCCAGTCGCCGTACTACGTGGGCGCGCATTTCTTCAGCTCCGTCGTGGTTGCAGCCACAGAGGTCATCAGGGAATGCTGCTCAAGGGGCGGTGTAGCGCCGGATGACAAGACGTGGATCGGTGTTGCCGGCGAGCACCGGAGGGCGATGGGCAGGGAGCTGGTGAAGAAGGTTCATGGGTTCTGCCCGATCATGGCCCAGGCGGCCGGTAACTGGATCGCAATGTGGTTTTTGAAGGCGGCGTGGGGTGGGTGCGGCGAGTGCAGTCGGAGAGAGCAGGGGGACAGGGGTGCTGCGGATGGCAGTCAGCTGGAGTACGATCCGACATACAAGCCAGAGGCAATGCGGGCAGAGATTGAGCGCGAGGCAGTGGTGCGGGATGCAAGGAGCGCTGACATGGAGGAGGCACCTGCAGGCAGCAAGACCAAGCGACGCCGCACGGTGTCGCCCAAAAAAGTCAAATAGTGAAGAAAAATATATTAAACTCGCTTATCCTCAGTGCTTTGCGTAGGAAATGGCGACTGGTGCTTCGCCCTCATTCCGTGTCCACTCCGACTTCAGGTCGTCCTTGGCGGCACCCTGCCTGGACATCGCTCGTGTACTCGACAAAGGCCACATCGGGCTTGACCGACACCCAGCGGACCTCGACAAAGCCCGGGTAGATCTGGAACACCTGCTCAATCTCCTCGGGCCGAATGCCCTGGGGTAGGTTCTCCAGGAACAGGATCTTGTTCGGCAGCTCGACGCCGGGAATCAGCGGCACGGCATCCATCCGGCATATTCCGGCGCTGCTCGAACATTTCGTCGCGGCGGCGACGGCCCTCCACCCGGGACTTTATGTGGGCGTCCAGATCGCCGCCCTCGTCCTTGACCGAGGCATCGGCGGGGGAGCGCGCAAACTCAATAAACATGGGCTTGTCGAACAGCACGAAAGCCCTGGACTTCGCGGTGCGCGCGCACCGCGTCGGCTTCGCTTTTGAATGTAATGAAGGCCTGGCCGCGCATCCGCACGCTGTGCCGGGCGCGCACGTCCAGGAGCTCCCCGTAAGAGGCGAACAGCGCACGCAGGGCAGCTACCAGCTGCTGAGGGCTTTTTGCGCTCGTTCAGGTTGCGCACATACAGGGTCTTGTTGGGCTTCAGGCAGGGCGGCCGGTTCGGGTGCCGCATGCGCGCGATCGGTCCGACATTGTAGCCCATGGCGGCCAGGGCCTGCGGCGGCGGCGGAATCCCCATCGGCATGCCCATATAGCCCTGCGGCATGCCCATTGCTGGCGGTGGCGGCATGAACGACGGGTCTGGCATTGGCTGGCGTCCGCTCATTTGCAAGTACAGTTGAAGAAAAGGGTATGGATTATCGCGGGGTACTTTCCTGTGCCTGGGGCGAAAAACAATCAGCGCTACCATTTATACAGGTCCCATGAGTATTATGGCATACACAAGACCAAGCTTTTCAGACTATGAATTCCAGTATCTTTGAAACAAATAGAAACTAGCACTTTTAGTAGACCTCCAGAATGTAGCGCTCGTGCTCCTTCAGCTCCTCGATGACCTTGTTGGCCTCGCTGGGCTTGACGCCGCCGATCTTGGTGAAGGCACTGACCATGGCGTCCTTGACATCGCCGGTGGGCCAGGTGGGGCCGCATAGGTAGAAGCTGCCGTCCTCCTTGAGCATCTGGGAAGCCAGCAGCTCCGAGTCGTCGCGCATCAGGTGCTGGATATAGACCTTCTGCTTCTGGTCACGCGAGAACGCCAGACGCAGATTGGTCAGTAGGCCGCCGGCGTGGTAGGCCTCGAGCTCCTCTCCGTACAGGTACTCCATTGGCGCGGTGGCGCGAGCCCATGTACAGAGTCATCGGGCCTACAGCATGGCCCTGCGCAGCACGCACCGCGCGCTCCTCAATGAAGGCTCGGAACGGCGCCATGCCGGTGCCCAGACCAGCCATGATGACCGGCTGTGAGTCCAACGGCGGCAGCTTCATCACCGACGGCTTGACTGACACAACAACCGGAGTGCCAATCTCCAGCGCATCGAGGAAGCGCGTGCACTGGCCGGTGCGCAGCTGACCGCGGCTGTTCTTCCACTCGACAATGACCACACACAGGTGGACGTATCCGGGATGCATCTTGGCCGACGATGCAATCGAGTAGTGGCGCGGCTTGATTGCTGGGATCATGTCCACCAGATGCAGGATCGACGGCCGCGCTGAGCCAAACTCCAGCAGCAGATCGGCGTACGTCACGGTGTCGGCCACGCGGTCCTTGAACTCCACCGCTCCCTCGCTGGTGGTCAGCCAGCGCAGCTTGTCGGCCTGCGCAGTGTCGGTGGCAAAGTCGGCCAGTGCCGCGTAGAACTTCTTGCTGGGCCGGCCAAACAGATCCAGCGCGTGCGTCAGCCACGAGTGGACCGACCGCGTCTGGCTCTGCCCGTCCTTCAGCGCCGTCACGTACTGCGACTGGTCCAGCCCGTACTGCGCGCAGAAATCGCTCACCTGCGATGCGTCGTTGTAGCCAAACACACCCAGCGCATCGCCGATCTCGTACGTCAGCCCGGTGCCGCGCGCGTCGAACTCAATGTGGATGATGTTGCGGTCGTACGAGTCGGGTGTCATGCGGTACTTGGACGACACCTTCACCGTGAACGTCTTCTCGCCCGGCCGCGCAGTCACCGCCGTTGCAAACGCCTCGGGGAACGCCAGCCGCTGCGCAATCGCCAGCGGGCTGTCCACGTACGCCTGCGGCTCAGTGTCCGCCAGCGACACCTCGCCAGCCTCGGCTGGAGCCGCCGCTTCCTCAGCTGAAACCACCTCCGCCTCCGTCTCCGCTACAGCCAGCGGCTCGAGGCCAAGCGCCTCACGCACTGTGGCGATGACATCGGCCGACGCCTTGCCGTAGACGTTCACGCTGGTGGCTCGCACCGGCGCCGCGGACGCGCAAGGAACGCGCCGGTCGCAATATCCGAGAACAGCGCGTCGGGGGAGATGTCGTCCTGCGCGTCGCGCAGCACTACCACGCGCGCTGCCGTCTGGGGGAGCTGTGCAAACAGCACCTGTGCGTCCCACGGCCGCAGCGCACGTACCGTCAGCAGACCGATGTCGGCCTCCTTGACCAGCGCTGGCAGTGCCGCCTGCACTGTGCTGGCCGTGCTTGCCGATGGCCACAACGACTGTCGAAGCGCTGGCGCTGCCCTGTATACTCGAAGCTCTGGTACGTGCGTCCGAATGTCTGGGCGAACTTTGCAAAGGCTGCCGCCACTGCCGCCGCCGCATTGGCCGGAGCCTGCTGCAGAGACCGCTGCCACAAACCCGGTGAGCTGGGTGAAGCTGGCCACACTAACCGCCGCAGCCTCAGCAGCCTCAGCCTGCGCCATTGGTCAAGTGCACCACTGGAGTTCCAGCGGCCTGGGCCACAGCATGGGCAATCAGAGCCATGTCGTGCGCCTCCTGCGCCGATGCCGATGCCAGGAACACGGCGCCCGACTGCAGTGCCACAAACGCATCCGAGAAGTCGGTCTGCACATCGGCCTGGTTGTCCAGTGACTGAGCCGCCACGTGCAGCACTACCGGCTGCTTCTGGGCCTGTCAGCTCCGCAAGCACCGGCAGCATGTATGGCAGCGATGGAGCCGCCGCCACTGCAGACACACGCGAGCCCGCCGCCAGCGAGCCCCACAGCGCGTGGCCGGCGCCCTGCCGGGTCTGCATGCGCAGCGCCGACACCCACTCGCCGTACGCGTTCTTCTCAGCCTGGCCGCGACCACGCCAGTGCCGCCTCGCCGAGGTCCTGCTCGCGCGCCGCATACACAAAGCACAGATCGCTCAGCGCATACGCCTACGTAGCTGGATGCTGCCTGCACATCAATCGTCTGTAGGGCTCCGCTGGCGCTCAGCGCTGCCAGATCGGCCACCTGCCGCCTCGGCAACCGAGCCCGGCGATGACAGCGGGTGGACCGGCGTCTGCGCCGCCGTCACCGCCGTGCTGATATCCTGCGGTGTCGCTGGTGAAACTACTGCCTTGCTGCCAAAATCGAGCTTGGCCAGGGCCGCCGCGCGCTTGCGCTCAGGTCTCCTGCGCCAGGTAATTGAGCTGCGCGACCTCCTTGAGCTGCCCGTCCAGACCCTCCGGCAGCTTGCTGACGATCTCCTTCAGCAGCTGGCTGGCCACACGCGGCGCCACGCCGTTGGTGGTCACTGCCACCTGCAGGCTCGACGACCCGCGGTACGTTGGCAGCAGCGAGAAGTCGCTGAACTCAGAGTCGCCGGCCACGTTGACCGGAATTCCGATTGCATGCGCATCCTGCGCCACCGTCTGCGCCAGCGCTGCGTCGGTGACAAACACCACGCTGAACCCAGCCAGGTCCGACGAGCTGTACTTGCCTGTCGGCACAACCGAGACACGCCCGTTGTCGATCCACTTGCCGAGTTGCTCGGCCACATTGCCGCCGTAGATGACCACATCGGCGCCTGCGTCGAGCGCAAACACCGCGCGGCTGGCTGCAGGACTGGCCCGAGCCGAACACGGCTGCGCGCTTGCTGTTGAGCCGGAGGCCCACGATGAGCGACGGCGTCGGGACTGCTGTGCTGGTAGCCATTAGAAGATATGTAACAGGAAATGTGGGCTGATTCTAATAGTGAGAGGAAAGGGGAAAAGGGGCCAAAGTACACATACGAGAATCTGTGCGCAATCCCCCTCTGTGGGCTCAGCTCCCTCCTTTATACAGGACCACCTCCGTCCTTGCGTCTTTTCTTCACCAGCTGCTCACAGAAGAGACTTTGCCTTGGGATCTTGCACGTCTTATTATCACGCTCCTAGTGGCTGCAATATTGGCTGTTCAAGCAGGGAGGGATCTGGCATATATTGGTCCCAACGCGCCAATTTGGCGGGAGTGACTGCCACGCCCTGCCAATTGGGTACCCCTGCGATGGTGCAATCTGACCGCGGGATGGCACAGCCTCTGCAGCAGCCCGCGCTTGCATGAACGCCTGGAAATCACCGTGACCATTGTGACAAATCGGCTGTCTGTCCCGCCCTCGCAGCAGCAATCGCCTGCTGTTACTAATCGTCCTCGCCGGGTCGCGGGTCAGCCAGCGCTCAATCTTTGGCGTAGACAGTAGGTCAACAGCCAGCACCCCAGAGTTAATCGTCGATGCGGACTTCGCCTCTTCCTTGATCTGGCTTGATCTCGCTGTACAACTCTGCCAAACGTCAAAGGCCGCCAGCTTGCTTTGTCACCCAGACAGCTCGGCCACGCGCAGCATGCGTAGAACACAGGGCTGGTGGTGTGAGGAGTGCCCCGCCTTTCTGGGCTTCTCGGAGGGTTTGCTCTTTGGGGAGGCTGGACCGACGGCTCCTCTAACCCGAACCGTTCAAAAAGAGGCCCGCCCGTTCTACACAGTTTGCCCTTTTCCTCTTCTCCATATTACACACTAGCCACACTCTTTTACCACTACTGCTGTATGCCAATGCCTCCCCAGAAACTCGAGACCCGCCCCGACCTGCAGTCGTTTGTGGACCGCTACGACACGTTCCTGTTCGACTGCGACGGCGTCATCTGGCGCGGCACCACCATTCATCGACGGCGTGCCGGCCACCCTGGACATGCTGCGCAGCCTGGGCAAGCGCCTGATCTTTGTGACCAACAACAGCAACACGTCGCGCAAGGACTATGTGAAGAAATTCGCCAAGCTGGGGATCACAGCCGCCGAAGAGGAGATCTTCAGCTCCGCCTATGCCACCGCCGTCTACCTGGCCGATGTGGCCAAGTTTGGCTCCAGCAACAAGTCGGCGTACGTGATCGGCGGCAACGGCATCCGCGCAGAGCTCGAGGAGGTCGGAATCCGGACGCTGGGCAGGGAGGACACAGGCACAGATTGACCTGAGCACCCTCAATGAGGTCGAGCCCAATCCCCGATGTGGGCGCTGTGGTGTTTGGCATCGACTACGAGGTGTCCTTACCGCAAGCTGGCCAATGCCCACGTCAACCTGGTGCATAACCCCGACTGTCTGTTTCATTGCCACCAACGATGACCGCACGCTGCCCGGCGGCAAGTACATGTATCCAGGATCCGGCTCGCTGCTCAACTCGCTGGTGTCGTCGACGCAGAAGACCCCCATGGTCATGGGCAAGCCCAACCAGCCCATGCTCGACTGCGTCATGCGCAAGTACCATCTGGACGCGGCCCGCACCTGCATGATTGGCGACCGCCTCGATACCGACGTCCAGTTTGGCATCAGCGGCGGCCTATCGACGACTATGCGTGCTCACCGGCGTCTCCGACGAGCAGTCCGTGCTGGCCCCGACCGCGCCCCAGGCAACCTACTACACATCCAGCCTCGGAAACCTGGCCCAGCTGGCATAGACCCCAACCCCTTTCTCTATTTATAATGCAAGCCATAGAACGCGAGCCTAACCTCCCCCGCATCTGCGTCATCCGCAACACCTGTGGTGTGGAAAGAAAAAAATCGATTTTTTTTATTTTTAGGTCTACTGCCCAGCAGCCTGTTTGCTCAGGGGCTTTCTTCACTGCCGCCGTTTGCTCCCGGGCGCTTCACTTCTTTCCTTCTCTCCTGCCCACTTAGCAAATTCACAGCCGACTCGTAGCGTATATTTATCTCTAACTCCTCTGAAGCTCAAACACGTCTATTGCGTCAGACAGCACCCGCTCTCTCTATTTAGCCTTATTTCACCGTCTATTTATATACCCTCATTGCAAACCCAGTCTGCTGGACCCACGATAATGACCGACACCCCCACTACCGCCGCCGAGGCTGTCAACGAGACCCAAAACAGCAATATCATAGCGCCAGGCCTGACCGACGTCGCGAAGCCAGCAAGAACCGCCGCCGTTGCCGTCACTTGCTACTGCGGTTGATAAAGATGGAGCCGATGCTGCCGGGACAACACCGACAGCGATTGAGCTGCGCGTGACAACCAACATTGACGATGACGGCGAGATGCAGGAGAACAACAGCTAGCACCCAACAGCCGGTACCAGTGACGCAGACCGCGTCGCTGCTGAGCAACGGCACCATCGCAGCCCGGCCAAAAGATGCAAGCGCAATCCAGTGCCGCCGCCTATCGACACTGAGAATGCCAACCGGGATGCGGAAAACAGCCTGCGCTCGAAGCTGCTGCTCGAAGTCGAGTCTGGCCGAGGTCATTGTCGGGCAATACTGCCGATACAGACACAGTGGATGCGGCGGCCGAATTGCCAGCCGACGCCAGGCAGGGCGCGCCTGCAGCGATCAGCAATAACGCTACCCCACACCAACAGACAGATCCTGCGACCTGATGGTGCTGAGCCGGCTTTGGCACACATTGGCGTGTCGTTCAACAAAAACCGGCGCTACCGGCGATCGAATGGAGGACGCTCACTTTCCACCGGTACGACTTTGGTGGCGTCACCGGGCAGGCTCTGATGGCCATTTTCGACGGTCACGCGGGGCGCCAGGCTGCGCAGTGGTGTGGTGACAACTTTGAGTCTGTTTTCATCGAACTCTGCCAGGCAAACCCGGAAACCAGCATCCCCGAGCTCTTGAACAACGTGTTTGTCGAAACCGACAGGCGGATTGCCGAGCTGTATAAGCAGTCGGGAACCACCGTGGTCGTATGCTTTCTGCAGGTCGCCGAGGACAATACGCGGACCCTGTACACTGCGAATGCCGGCGACGCGCGCGCTGTATTGAGTCGCAATGGCCAGGCAATGAGACTTACATATGACCACAAGGGCGACGACAAGCGCGAGGCTCAGCGCATTGCCGGGTCAGGCGGCTACTGTCTTCAATGGCCGCGTCAACGGCGTGCTGGCTGTGACACGGGCCCTGGGCGACTCAACCCTCAAGCCCTATGTTATCAGCAATCCGTTCACCACAGAGACTGTAATCGAGGACACCGACGACATGCTGATCCTGGCCTGCGACGGCCTGTGGGACGTGTGCTCGGACCAGGAGGCAGTGGATTTGGTGCGCGACGAGAAGGACCCAGTGGATGGCGAGCCAGGTGCTGCTGGACTATGCGCTGGACAACGAGAGCATGGATAATATCACCACCATGGTCTTCCGTCTGCCGCACCCGCCCTCCACACCCTCAGACACGCCATCGCCTGCATCCGCCCTGCCTTCATCGTCCTCGTAGCAATATCTCTCCGTCTGTTTCCAAGTCTTGCTGTCCTTCCTTCGCTGCTTTCTTCTTCCCCTCCCCGTTTCATTTTCATGGTTAAACGATATGTATTACCACAACCACACCACCTGGCATGAGCCACCCATGATGCACACGCCAGTATATGTCCGAGGCATCGGCCACTGGCAACGTCACATCACGCCTGGCTGTAAAGTGGTGGTGCTGGAAACTGTAGGGTCGCGCGAATCACGTGGACTGATCTGCGTGATACGAAAAGTTTTGATCCCAGCCTGGTTCCTGCGAGGAACCTGATCACCGCGCGAGATTTTTTTTGCCGTCGCATACTAGTGCCGGTGCTGGGCCGGCCAGGCCAACCGAATCCTTCTCTTTTTCGCTCATTTCGAGAAAAAACATCATTTTCACTCCCGTCCTTTTTCGGTCACCGCTGTGAATTTCACTCTAACAGAATACTAAAAATGTCGCAAGTCGCCAAGAAGGCCGGTTTCGAGGGTGCCCAGGAGGTCCAGATCCACCGCATTCGCATCACTCTGTCGTCGCGCAACGTGAAGAACCTCGAGAAGGTGTGCTCGGACCTGGTTCTCCGTGCCAAGGACAAGCAGCTCAAGGTCAAGGGCCCCGTGCGCATGCCCACCAAGCGCCTGGCCATCACCACCCGTAAGACCCCTAACGGTGAGGGTTCCAAGACCTGGGACCGCTTCGAGATGAAGATCCACAAGCGTCTCATTGACCTGGACTCGCCGTCCGAGATCGTCAAGCAGATCACCTCCATTGCCATCGAGCCCGGAGTCGAGGTCGAGGTCACCATCGCCGACAACTAAAGCGTGTCCTGCATGCGGATTTCTGGACTCCTCCCCTGTGGTCCGTTTAGACTAGCTTGTGCATAGCCCCCCTTTTGTTCGCTTGTGAAATAAATGGCCATGGCTGCTCCCCTGCATCGGGGGAGGGCGTCCCTCAACTGCATCCCCATGTGCATGTATCAGTGAAGGTCGTATATTGGAATACTGAAATCATAAATGTATTTGGTTTTACTGGCCCGGCGGTCCACGCGGTGGCCGGGCTCCAGGCCGAGGCGGACGGAATCCAGGCGGCGGCTGCGGCGGGAAGCCTGGTGGCGGTATCCCACCCATTGGCATACCAGGCATGCCCGGCGGCGGCTGGAACCCAGGAGGCGGCATGCCCGGTGGCGGCCGGAATCCTGGCGGCGGCATACCCGGCGCACCCATCCCCGGACGCGGCGGTGGCGGCCGACCATACGCAACCGGCCGTGCCTGCATAACGCCAATCGCCGGACCGCCCACGCCCCTGACCGGGCCCTGCCAGCCCCTGCGGCGCCATACCAGGCGGCGCAACCGGCATACCGCGGCCCGCCTGGCCTAGGCCACGCCCGGGCCCTGTCGCCATGGCTGCACGCGTCTTCAGCGCGTCCGTACGTGGCGGCGCGCCATCAACACTAATGGAGATCACTGACTCGCCGCGCAGAATCACCAGGCCAAGTGTGCGCTTGATCTGCTGCGTCTTGCCCTTGGAGCTCTTGGACTTCACCGTGCGGAACTCCTCGCAGTCGCCAAGCACCAGGTTCATGTGTTTGTCGAAGGCCAGCATTTGGCCCGTCATTACGCGTGTGTCTGCCAGCGTCAGGCGTAGCCGGTAATTGAGCAGGCTCATCATTCGCGAATTCTTTGCGATCGTCATTTTTGTGAGGAAAAATATAACTAGTGAGGTGAGCAAGGCTGCGAATACATTTTTCCTTAGTGCCAACACTTCCGATCTTGAGGCGAAAACTGGTGCTTGTGATTGGGAGTTGTGGGTTCCAAATCAATATGCATTTTCAGCGTTATTGGGACATATTGGAAAACGGAAGGAAAACCACGGCGAAATACGCAACAGTCACTACCAACACACATTCTGGGCATTATACCTGCTAGAGGCTATAGCCAATTGCTTGCGTCAAGGCAAGTACTCATTTGCTTGGGTGCCGCTGAAATCAATAGCGCTATCGAGATTGATTAGTAGCATGCGAATCGGTTTCCCCTGTTCGCCCACAGTAAGGACGTTGTTAGATGAAATTCCATAGCAGTAGATAGTTGCATCAAGCGCATAGGTATCATCCATCGAACCTGCTTTGTACCTTCCAACTCCTGCAGTATGCTCATCCAGCGACTTACACGGAGTCCATATATCAGCCAAGTTGACGATACTGGCCATTCGCTTGTGTCCGCGAAATGGTATTGGTTTTTCCGATCCAGACGCAAACATGAGAATAACGAACCCAACCCCCTCTTGGTATTGTCCACCACCCAATACTTGTCAAGTTCCTCAACACGGACATGCCCGCCAGCACCGAACTTAGAATAAGCGATATCTTCGAATGTCCTCTTGTGCAAACTCGCTGAGGATATCCAAATTGATCGTCTGATCGTAGAGAGATTGATGTAAAGTTTAATGAATCGATGATAGCCAATTGTAGTCGATAATGTTGACATTCAGGGTCCGGTGTCCCCTGCACCGCCGATGGGCAAGGCTGAACTGCATACGTACAAAGGCCCAGGCAGATTATCAGTCCTTCCTCCTTCCCCTCAGTCATATTCTTGGAGAAACCATTTTTCACACACATATATACCCGATAGCATTGCATCTCCTAGGTTCAACACTGGCACATCCATGCCTCAGTTATGCCAGCTTATCAGCATGTGGCAGGATACATACTGTGGATCCTAAGCTATTTCCTTGGCTTGAAACTGCGGTGTAGTGGCAGGACTTCTGTCTGCAAGCGTTATATCCAAATGGCCGTTCCCTACGCTGTGTATTAAGCGTGATGAAAAGCAGCCAAGAGCTGATGTGTGAATTCCAGATGCAGGGCCAGCCAGTGGCCAGTATACTCCTGTCGCTTGACCTGTATCGATAAGACTCTATGAGTTGGCATTCTTTCGAGCCAAATTTGGTTCATGGTTCCGCCGTAAAACTACAGTCTAGTACTCGCTATGCTTGGAATATCCATATATTCAGACAGTATCACCATAATGGTCCGTTGCAATCAGTATATATATATCGGATGATATGACTGCAACCAGGCATTGGCTAGCAGCAGGAGTATGGATGCTGGAAATTTCTTTAAAATACCCTTGGCTCTCAAGCCTATGTTTTATATCGGCACGAAAAAGGTTGCAGTCAACTCTATTGAAATCTCTAATTTTACAAAAGGGTGCAGGTTTGAGTATTTGACGATGCTGAACTGCGTTATGTTATTCACAAAGTCACACATTCAACATGTGATTGGCCAGGGTTTGTAGTAGCATAGGGTGTGCTATCGTTCCATTTGAGACGCTGCCTTCATCAAATACAGTATTAGGCGCCTTTTTTTGTTCACAGGTGAGATTATCACTGGAATCAATCTCGGTGATTCTGTTCTCAATGATCTCAGGGTAGGATGCCCAAATCTCCTCAAGCAAATATGCTACTCGTAGGTTAGCTTAAATGCTGCCGAAACATAGCAGTAGCCAGAACCCCGGAGAAATAGACTAAAAATGAAGCTATTCTCGCTTGGACTCTGTGAAGAATAGTGAGATGAAATGTATGGAGTGCTTGAGCTTGCGGTCAGAACAAGTCCAGTATTTGTTGGATCCCGACTTGGGAATACCTTTCAGCAGATTCATAAATGCTCCCATACCGCTGTTTGCAATATTTGTGGATGAATATACTGGGAAATTACAATATTGTTTATGCCACGGAGAATAATGCCATATTGTAGATTTCAAATACTTGACAACTGTTTGCGTTGTGTGTACGCTATAAAGAGTTGGCAATTGTTAAATGTCTAGTATTGTGTAGATAGTTGTATATGGTGTAGTAGTGCTTGTGTTTGTGGTGTGTATAAAATATGCCATCCTTTAAGGGGTACGTTTTGTACTGAGGGGAATGAGAGCAGAGAAAATGTGTGGTATGCGGCCGCACCGATGTGCCACTATACCTAGCTACTGTTACTCCCCTACAACGATTTGCAGTCCTGTGGCCAAACATATAACCTACTGCTGACATGGCTGCGTACACAGCGCATCAAACGCTGGTGGACATTTACACTGTGCAAGGCTGCAACGGGGCTTGCGTTGGCGCCCGATTCGCCATCACCTGAGTCAGCTGCTATGCTAATATCAGGGATGACCATGCCGAGAGCGCAATAATATTATCCTGGCATAGATCAGTAGAATAACTAGGGTAGTTTCATAAATCAGAAGCAGGTTGCATAGAGCGATTGAGCGTAATGGTGAGTTTTTTTTATTCTAAATGTAAAGGTCCGATATCTGAATATTGGAAGATGGTGCGACTGAGCTAGCGGGATTAAGTGATTGGTGATGAATGGATATCATTCATCTAATTAGCATTAACGTTGCTGGTATGCAGAGTGTTCTCACTGAAATTGGTACGGTTCGAAATGCGATCGAATTCGTTGTTGAATGAGCTCACCAACAAGAAGCCCCAGCCCCAACTGCAATGGGCAAGAACAAGCTCGTAGCGCGGAAACAGGCCCAAAATTGGGCTGATGGTGAATTATAAGATAGGTGTTGAAGTAAATAGATGTTGATGTTGATGTTGATTAAGTATAGGAAGCTGGTTGTCAGCCGCTGGTTTTATAGTCCAGGGCGATATGTCACTTGCATGTATCCATCGATCTACCAGAAATCTACTGATCCCATGCTTTCGACATGCCAAGCGACATCGCGTCTGCTCAAACAGTTTGTGCACGTTACCTGTTGTCTTATACACAAAAGAACAGACACATTTTTGTTAGAGGCAGGAATTCTATTCATCGAGCTGGTAACGGTCTTGGCTGAAATCTAGAAGCACGCTCCAGACAGCAACCGAGGAGACGCTTGCTCATGGCTTTGGTCAATTGAAGTATCAGTATGGCCCTTCTGTGAGGGCGCATTTTATGATGCACTTCATTCTAGAGGAAACCCTTTTGCATTAACCCCATCTGTGTATCAAGCGAGTCAATTTTCCTGGACTGATGTAGAAAACACGCGCAAGTCCGGCTACCACTGTGTAGTATCAAGAGAGATGACTATGGAGCGATATAGCTAGATGCTGGTGCTAGAATTTACTTACAAAGCTACGAGATTCAAAAGCAGGCCTTAATCAGAAGCCACTCGAAGCAGTGGACTGCTTCTATATTTTTTGCCTTCTAAACCCCTTCAGACTCTGAGGCATAGCCATACTTAGCTTTCTTGGCCTCATACTCGGCCATTTCGTCGATGTACTTGGCTTTATCTCCTTCGAATCGTATCTTATCTTCCTCATAACGCTCGATGTATGGCCTCTTTTTGTCGTCTGTCAAGCCACTCCACTCAGAATGCAAGAGCTTGCCAATCAAACCAAAACGAGCGTCCGGGTTCGCTTTACGGAGACGGAAGCGGTTAGCTTGAGCATAGAGCATGGAAGGGAGACAGGAACACCCTTGGGAAATGCCGGTTTCTTTATATTGAACTCACTTGCTGTTTACAGCCTTTTTCGACAGATTCGCCAGACTTATTTGTGGCAGCGACGGAGGGCATATCTGGAATGAAAAGTAGAATGTTTGAAGGTGTACTGAAGAATAAATTGTTAATAGATGTAGACATGTGGAAGAAGGAGTCGACATAGCTCAGCTTTATATTCAACGACAGGCAGCTGAGAAACCTGTGCACAGCTGCGTGATTTTTTTGTGGAGAGCATGAAATCAAGCAGAGCGACGAATTTATAACCTGTTCCCAGCAAGTGCAGGGTGGTCAATCCTTTGTGCTCCGCTTTGTTTTGTGGATCTCCTGATAGCCTCCCTGATATACCATCACCTTCCCTTTCGGACATATGTTGCTTGCAGACTGTTTAATCGAGTATTCAATCCAGTTCGTGCATGCAGGAGGCAGGGACTGCTAGACCAGATTGCATGGCTATTTGAAGTTGCCATAGCACATTGCCTGGCCAATTCGAGTGTCAAGCATACCGTCTTGTAATGGATGTGGATATATGCCTATCTTACAGCATGGGTGCGGGACCTTGTGCCAAACAAAGCTAGGGAGCGGGTTTACAGCAAGCACTCTTTGAAGCATGTCGTTTCTGTTGGTATTTGGTTGTCCTTTTCCACAGCCTGCCCTGATGCGCGTTGGGTTTTGCTGGTAGACCCGGCCCCCGAGTGGCGAGCGGTCTACCAGCTTGTGGTTATGGTGTTATGAGGTTGGCCAATGTCTGGATCTCCTCTCGTGTGTATGCCTCCTGCCCTTCACCTTCCGCTCCCCAATTTGTTTGTACAATTTCTACTTTTCAAATTTGTGACCGAATGGAATTACTCGAGCCAAGCGAGAGCGTTAGGAAAAACTGGCTGGCAGCCTTGTGTATTTGCTCTGGGACGCTGTGTGCTGGCAGCCAGCGGTCAGGATGAAGGCGCTGAGTGGAACAAGATGTTTACACAGAGCGTCATGGCATGGCTACAGGTCCCCGGACCGGACCGCCAAGACCTAGTGACCCTACCGTACGGCGAGTCAGCCAATGACATGATCCTGCACATGCTACGGTGCAAGCGGGCTGACGAAGAGGCTGCTGAAAAGGATAAGAAGGGCAACACCTAGCGCCTCGCTGGCCATCGCTACAACCCCAGACACGTTGTACTCGGGCCTGATACTGACATGCCTGGGTATCAGCAACAACCAACTACAAGTGCTAGGCGAACAGGCACAAGAGGGTGCACAGGAGACAGCGCAGAAGGGGATGTCTGCGGCCGTTCGAGTATCGACTCGAGGTCGCGTGCAGTTGCGTTTGTCATCAGCGAGTGGCTTGATATGCCGAAGGCAGTTCATCAGCACATACGAGCGGAAGCTCTCGCAGGAAGCTCGAGCAGGTGGTGACGGACAGTATGAAGCTGGAGAACGCTGGAGCCACAGCACTGGAGACAGAGAAGAAGCGCAAGTGGGGGTGGAAAAAGTACCTGGCCACAGGCGCCGGTGTTGCCATTGCTGGCACACTAGTTGGTGTGACTGCCGGGATTGGCAGCTCCCCTGATCGTTGCTGGGTTGGGCGCTGTCGGCGTCGGTGGACTCGGCTTCCTCGCGACAGCTGGTGGCGCAGCCATGGTTGGATCACTACTAGGCGTAGCCTGGCGGTGGACTGGTTGGGAAGCGGTTCAACACGCGGCTGCGCGGTCTACACGAGTTCTACTTTATGCAGTTGCGTGCCGTCAACGGGGATGCGACGCACTCCGGCGCCCTACATGCAACAATATTCGTGCCGGGGTTCTTACAGGCCGGTGCTACACGCAGCCCGTTTGCGCCCATAGGCGACGTCATGGGACTAGATGTCGGTGACGCCTACACGCTGTACTTTGAGACCAAGGAATTGATGGAGCTGGAAAACGCCGTGTCACAATTTGTCGAGAACACAGCCAAGGGTGCTGCGACGACGCTGGTGCTGCAGCAGACGGTTCTGCATGTCCTGGTGGGCGCGTTTACGTGGCCACTGGCGATCCTGAAGGTTAGCCAGATCATTGACACGCCTTGGTCTGTTGGTCTGGTGCGGGCCAGGCGCGCCGGCAAGATGATGGCCGAGGTCTTGCAGAAGCGTGCACACGGCAATCGCCCGGTGACTCTTGTTGGGTACTCGCTTGGTGCTCTGGCGATTTTCACCTGCCTCCAGGAGCTGCACAAGCACAAGGCACACGGGATTGTCGACACTGTCGTGCTGCTGGGTATGCCGGCAGATGGGTCTGACAAGAAGGCATGGTCTGCATGCTGCCATGCCGTGGCCCGCAGAGTCATCGTCGGGTACTCGAACAAGGACTGGATCCTGGCCTTCTTGCTGCGCTGCCAGCTCGTTCTGCACGCACCTGGCCGGTCTGACAGGGGTCGACTCCGGAAAAGCTGTTCCCAGACAACAAACTGGTCCAGCGCAAGATCACAAATGTGGATCTGTCTGGCTATAGTCGCCCGGCACCTCGACTACCTCTATTCTATCGACGATATCATGCTTGAAATGTCGCGTGTACTGTAAGCACATCAAGAAAAACACTGATGCTTATCTAAAGAGAGTACGGAAACGAACATGTTTAGAGACCAAGGTCCTTGGCCACCAGACGAGTGCAGATCGGGTGGTAGAAGCTGCGGTGCTTGGCGAATGTCGCCTCGGCCAGCTCCTTGCCCTTGGAGCCCGACTTGGCCAGGGCGCGGTACAGCGGGCGCGTGTACTTCATCCGACCCTGCTCACCAAGCATGCGAACGGCGTTGTCGAACTCGGCCTCGTAGTTGTTCTTCAGGGCCATCGACAGCCAGGCCATGCGCACCTCGCAGTTGCGCGATCCCGACAGACCGTAGGCCTTCTCGACCTCAGCCAGAGCCGAGTGCGGCACCTCGCCCTTGTCGCTGAGGGTCTGGATGAAGATCACCTTCTGCGTCGTCGACATATCGCTGAACTCCTTAGCATCAAACTTGGTGTGTGCGTCGGCAACGTCACGGGCGTCCCACCAGCGGCGAGCCAGATCGAAGGCAGCCTGCTGCGGCGCCTCGTCGAATTTGAAGTCGACCGGCGGCATTCCCGGCTTGGTGAACCAGGCATCAAAGTCGATCGCTGCAATCTTCGCCTCATCAGTAGGGTCCAGGTAGTGGTGCACATACCGCAGGATGAAGTTGTGGAAGTCGCCAGTGTTGATCGACTGGCCGGCGAATTCGCGCACATACATGGTGGTGATGTGATGGAACACGACCGGGCCCAGCTGCTGCTCGAGGTAGTACAGCAAAAGGGCGCCCTTCTCGTACGGCACACGCGAGTACGAGTCATCAGGGTCCACGTCGTCGAGCTTCGGGACCAGCGCGGTCAGCTGGTTATCGCCGCCCAGCAGCTCAATGTCGGCCTTCAGGGCCTTGTAGCCGAGCACGTGGCTCAGCTGCCGGGCATCCTCGCCATGCAGCGCAGCAACGATCTTGCGCTCGAGGAACGTTGTCCAGCCCTCGTTGAGCCAGAAGTGCTCCCAGTTGCTAGTGGTAATCAGGTTGCCTGACCAGCTGTGCGCAATTTCGTGCGCGACAACGTCGGTCAGTGAGCGGTCGCCAGCAAGCAGTGTCGGCGTCACAAACGTCAGGCACGGGTTCTCCATGCCGCCGTAGGGGAACGAGGGAGGCAGGATCAGCAGGTCGTAGCGGCCCCACGAGTACGGCGTCACCAGCTTCTCAGCCGGTCTGTACAATCGTTTCCATCTCGGCAAACTCCCATGCGCACGCCTCGATGCCCTCGGGCTCGGACCAGACAGCGCAGCGGTCGCTGATATCCGACTTGGCCAGGTTACCGATGGCCATAGCAATCAAGTACGACGGAATCGTGATCTTTTGCTCGAAGCTGTACACCTGTGAACTCACCGTCGTCGCGCGAGCTGGTCGAGATCGCGCTCATCAGAGCAGTCAGCGGCTTGGGCACGCGGATGTCTGCAGAGTACGACAGCTTGATCGACGGGCTGTCCTGGCACGGCAGCAGGCTGCGCGCGTGGATCGCCTGGCACTGCGTGAACAGGAACGGGTGCTTTTTGCCCAGTGTCTGCTCGGGCGTCAGCACTTGGATTCCAGCGCTCCCCTTGGTCGTCTCGTACTCGATCTTGACCTTGAACTCAGCATCCTTCTTGGCGTCCTTGAGCGAGACATTCAGCGCATGGCCAAACACGGGGTGAGCCTCGCTCAGCGTGTACTCGGCGGCGGCAAAGCCCGAACCCTGGTCGACTGATACGCCCTTGATCACAAGGTGGTTGGTATCGACGGTAAAGGTCGCAACATCGTCCCTGAGGGCCGATCCAGTCCAGTGTCGCCGAACCAACCAGCACGGAGCGGTCAAAGTCGATGCTGAGGTCCAGGTGAATGTGCCTGGTCGTCGTCTCGTCGAGATTCGCTTGCGAGTTAGGGGTCAATAGCTGTCACAGGCATTGTTCAAGCACAAAACTGAATTTATAAAAAAATTGGTGGAAGAGTGGAGAAAGAAGTGGAATTCAGCCCAGTCGGGCTGAGGAGAGCGGATTTGCTTGGGGTTGCAAGCGTTGTGTGTCTGAGAAAAAAAACACACACTTTCATCATGGCCGGAATGGACCAAAGTCCGGTTGGTGGTGACGTCGTCTGGCTGGATGTTTTCTCACGGCACTTTTTCTTCGCTGCCGATCTTCATTACCACACACGGCATTCTTCAACCAGCGACAGCGACGCCTGCACAGTTGCATAGATGCTGCTGTCCGCTGCTGATCCGTCGTCGCCATCCTCTGGTTGCGGCAGGTTGAACCCAGCCGGCACCTTGAGCCCGATGCCCAGCACCAGCGGCCGGGTGTCGAGCGGGTTCTGCCTGTATCTGCTCTGGGCAACGTGCATGGCGCAGATCTGGTACAGCGACGCTGCCTTGGATGCATTGGCATTGCCCAGCACAAACTTGATATCAACAGGCACGTCATCCACCTCGACGAGATCACCGAACTCGCCGTTATTGTAGGAGACTCGCGACGTCACTGCTTGGATTATGCTGCCGACCGAGGCGAGCTGCGTGATCAGCACAACCACGCAGTTGGCGAATCCAAGAACGGCGACGTCGGTGTGCACGTCATCTATAAGTGCAGCAGTCACATTGACATCGACAGGAAAGCTGCGCGACTTTGTGGTGGTCATATTTAAAAAATGAGAACGAAGCTGAGAAAATTGCTGTCATTTTTTCTCGGTGAGCATTGCCTGATTGGTCAACACCACGTTTCCGCTGACATTTATGGATAACAGCTATAAAAAAAGCTGAATGACAAGTTGATGTATGATACGTCGCTGAATGCCTCAGCACTCGGAAACAGAGCCTGTATTGCTGGCAGGGTATGCAAAGACATATAGCTGAGGTCACATATGGTGCCAGGTGATACCTACACTAACATCGACATGCTGATAGATCAGAGGCTCCCTAAGGCTGTGGACCAACAGAGGTATTTCGACACAAGCAATAGAGTCTGCCAACTATGGAACAGCAATATGATAATGAACCAGGACAACAGCACACCACTGTGCCATCCACTGCTCCAATATGCTGCTACAAGCGAGACGTTGCCAACACTGCCTACCACTTGATCCTCGCTCATCTCTGATCGCCCTGTTGCACGCGTACACTCATAATCTTATTAGCGGCTACTAATCGGCTATTTCTGCGCAGCCAGCTTTTTGCGGGCTTTGCCCCTTTCTTCTCTACCTTTTCTCAAATTTACAATTTCGCAGTCCGCAAATGCAGTTGGACGAAGGAATGCCGACTCGTGCGCAGACCAACGAGGCTGACAACCTTGCATTCAAAGTCAAGGTTCGACGGTGAGGAGCTGCTCGACATAAAAATGCACAGCAATTCAGACACCTCGACCATGAGCATTGATGATCCGAGTGTCCACCCGTGGACCGTGCTCTTGGGAAGGTGTATGAACGAGGAAGGCCAGGCGAGTGGTATACAGGCCTAGGTCCACAGTGGACTTGCTAGTCCGGCCCTATGAGGAGCCAGCCAAGGATGCAGAGCGCACACCGAGCACGACAATCCAGCACAGTAACCGTCCCGACTGCAGCCACACCCTCTCAGCAAACAGAAATGGGTGCATTTATTGATTGCGCCCTCGATGGAATCACCACACAGAATCTATTCGAGGGGCTGGACGACCTAGCGGACGATATTGACCCGCCCAAAGACACGCTGGCCGATCTGGTGAAGACCCTAGGAACTGACCCAGCAAGCAGCGCTGGAGAGGACACTGTGGATGAAAACGAGCTTGAAGACATGGCTCCTGAGGAAGTCGACAAGCTGATGCAAGCACATGGCGGGTTTGGCAGTGCATGCAAGCCGGAAACACATCCCATTACGCCTGCTACCAGGTCATCAGCCCTGACGACACCTACAGCCGTGAGCTGTCCCAGCGTAGATAGTAGTGAAAAGGAGCAGGAGTTACCAGACATGGATGATGCGGAAGCCATGCAGATTATTCAACAATGTGGCGGATTCGCTAAGCCCAGCCACCAGCCAAAAGCGGCGGCAACAGTGGCACCGGAGAAACCGGTCGATGAGCCAGCAATGCCCGATATGAGCGATGAAGAGGCAATGCGGATAATCAGTCAGCGTGGTGGGTTCTCAAAGCCAAGAATTGAGGGTGGAAAGGCCCTGAAGGGGAAAGAGACCGCTGGTGCCGGCGATACCAAAGAGCCAGAGCTGCCGGACATGGGTGACGAGGAAGCACAGCGGTGGATCAGCCAGCTAGGCGGGTTCTCCAAGCCCCAAAAGACGCTGCAGAGTCAGGCCCACGCACCGCAGCACTCGACGCTCAGCAAGAGCAATTCAGCAAATCCAACACCGGTCTCGACACCTATTCAGTCGCAAGTAACGCCCGTGCAAAGATCGGCAGAATCGGGTCCAATAACAGCGGCGTCACCAACATCGTTCCCATCGCGCAAGGAGGTCATGTCGGCAAGACGGGCACTGATGTCTGATGGACGCTCTCTAACTACCACGTTGAGTGCGTCCCTGAAGACGCCAACACGCAGACTGTCATTCAGATCACCTAGATCACGACCGCCACCACAACCAGCACTGACACCAAACACACCTGAAACACCGACGTCAGGCTTACGGCAGCTCACATTCAAGTCGGTATCAATGAAGCGGCCGGCTTCTCGGCTTCCGTTTAATTCGCCATCAAAGCGCATAGCCAGGGATCGATCGGCATCGGCGAATGGCGAGCTGCAGCGACTCCACAATCCACCACACCTGCCCCGCCGCTCGTATGCGACGCAAAACTTTACGTCCCCGCAGAGGGTACCACCTGGGACATTCAATCACCAGCACAAGCCGCCGCCTAAGCTGCCACCGGTCACATCGAGAGCGGCTAATCCGATGCAGTCTTCAGCCAGTAGATCAGCCCAAACAACAAAGCAGCCTCCTCCGCCGCCCTGTATGTTCACTATCGACAGCCTTGGACCACGGGTGACGCTGCAGTCAGTCGCTGACCAGATCAACACAGGAGATACCAAAGGAATCCCCGACGATGTGCTGGGTATGAGCGCCGACGCAGCGCGCATCTACCGATTTTCGCTCGGGTTTGGCCAGGGGTGGGGGTGGTTTGAGGCCAGACAGGTGCTGCTAGCTCGTGGATGCAGTCCAAGTGTAGTGACAGAGGAGTGGGTGCAGAATCACTTTCGGTGGTGCGTGTGGAGCTGTGCCAGCTATGCACGGCGGCTTCCATCCCGGCTAGGCGAGTTCTGGTCGGTAGAGGGCATCATCAACCGGCTGCTATACCGGTATGAGCGCGAGTATGTGCGCGGCGAGCGGTCGGCATTGAAGCGGGTCCTGGAGATGGACTCATCGTCGCAGCAGCTGATGGTGCTCTGTGTCGCGTCGATTAGCCAGAAGGACTCGGTGACGACTCTGGAGGTCACAGACGGCTGGTACAGCATTTCGGCGCCAGCCGACTCTGTCCTATCAAGAGCGGTGGCCAGAGGCAGGCTGCGGGTCGGTGATAAAGTTGCCTGCGCTGGCCTCAAGCTGTGCGGAATCACCGAGGGCGCGCCTCCATTCTCGGCAAAGGCCGAGGGGGCATCGTTGCCATTGCGTGCAAACTGTGTGCGGCGTGCTCACTGGGACGCCAGGCTTGGGTTCCAGGCATCTAAGGCCATGTACATGTCGCTGTCTGCGATCTCCAAGGAGGGTGGGTACATTGGAGCGGCTCTGGATGTGCTGATTGTGCGCAGCTACCCGGTGCTCTACATGGAGACGATGCCCGACGGCAAGCGCGTGGTGCGGTCAGAGAAAGAGGAGCAGCGTATGAGCGCCAAATTCGAGGGCTGGCGAGCAAACAAGGCCCTTGCCATCGCTGAAAACATCAAGCAGGCGTCGCGACAAACCCCGGTTGCTGGCGATACCACTGCAACCATTGGGGTACAGTCTGACGGCGAAGAGCTCTACAATTTCGTCATGAATGGGAACACAGACCCGTCAGATGCTGGACAGCAGCTTACCGACGAGCAGAAGAGCAGGCTCGAACAGTATGTGCTCGAGAGGCGGACAGAGGAAGAGTCGGAGATTGCGAGGCGACTCGATGAAGAGCAGCCACCGCGGCAGGTGCGGGCGTTTTTCCGGCTGCGCGTGTGCGACTACCCAGCGCACCAGTACAAGGGCGGCGAGGCCCGGCAGAATAAGCAAGCTATGGTCACGGTATGGGGGTCGCGCAACCTGCAGCCTCCTGATTTCCCTGAAGGTGCGCGGTTTGTCATGACCGGACTGACGGTGTCAGCTGCCCCGCAGCGGCAACCAAGGAGCCGGGACGGGTGGCGGGGCACAGACGAGCAGCTTCTACGGCTGAACTTCAATGCGTCGAGTCATGCGCAGCCACGCGCGGTCGATCCGGCAGTGGGCAGCCAATGCGAGTACTTGGAGCGTGGCGTGCTGTGTGTGGATGAGCTGCGCCATGTCGACAAGGGCCAGGAGGTCGATGTGCAGGGGTCTGTTGAGCAGACGGTTGAGGGAACAGCAGGCCAGAAATCGGCGGTGCGTGTGACCGGCACCGACGAGGCCGGGCAAAAGTACTCGGCCAGCATTGAATTCCCCCAGCTCACGTTCGGCAGCATGGCGTTTGAGCCTGGAAGGCAGATCACTGTGCGCAACTGTCGGTATGTGACGTACGACGAGTATACACGGACGTACGTTGTTGATGCAGGCGACATGGCTGAGTTTGTGGTGTGAAGAGACATGCGCTTTATTGGAAAGAAGAATAAATGGCGAGAAGGCGACGTGGGCCTCCTCTTTAGCCAAGGAAGTTGGCGACGACGAAATGCAAGAGAATGTGGCAGAATACAAACTCAGCGAACGCGCTACAAGAGCAAAAATGAGAGTGTTAGCCATACAAGCTGTGCATGTACATAGGGGGAGCGTGTGCAGGGGAGAGATACGGTACCCTTGAGGCGAGCCCGAGAACTGGGCGGCGTTCTTTGGGTTGGTTTTTGATGCGCAGGTTGGCGGCGAAGACAAAGCACGCGACAGCGGATCCGAAGCCGGCCAGGAACGCGTTGTAAGGGAAGGTGCCGACCAGCACACAGTACAGGAACTGCACCAGGCCGGTGACGACGCAGAAGACCATGTACGAGTCAATGAGCTTCAGCTTCTGCGGAGTCTCATCTATGTAGTCGGCGGCCAATTTGGACACGATTTCTGCAGCGGAGCTCCCCGACATTGTGGACGAAAGAGAAAAGGGGCGGTTTTTGGAAATAAGAGGCGAAAATGGCTGTGGTAGTCACAGAAGTGGATATGAAAGCGAAGTCTGGGACAAGATTGTCACGTAATTTTTTTTGCTTTTCTCCTCAGTAATTTCAGCGCGCCTTTTATTTTCCTCCTCTACACATAAATGTCTGGCTCGCCAATCACGTCGGTGTCGCAGAACACAGCCTTCCCGCGGCCCAGCGGCGACTCGCTCAGCGAGTACTGGCCGACGCGCGTGACGCTGAACGTGCGCGGGCGGCGGTTCGTGCTTGACCGCGAAACCATCAACCATCTGCCGGACTCGCTCCTCAGCACCATGTTCCCGAATGGGCTAGTGTCGCTTATCCGCGGCTACAACGACTACTCGTACTACCGCGACCCGGCGGCAACCAGCGACGATGAGGCCGAGCACGCATGGGTGGACTTTGACCCGGACATGCTCGAGTACATCCTGCACGCATACTCGACCATGCTCGAGTTCGACCTGCTTGCTGACGACAACACCGAGCAGCAGCCACAGCAGGCGCCGCAGGACAGCGCCGAAGCGGCAGCGCCTGCGGCGGAGCCCACCGAGGCAGCGGTGCCGAACGACTCGATGTCGTCGTTCTCAAGCGGCTCGCACGCCAACACCCAGAGCACGTCGTCGTCGGCCGTGCTAAACTACATGCGGTTTGTGGCAAATGCCGGGGCGCCCGCACGCACACTGCGCACGGCCGTGTACTCGGACCGCAGCCCACTGGTGGTGCTGCGCGAGGAGCTGGACTATTTTGTGATTCCCGAGAGCGGCCGCACGTCGGGCGACATCAGCAACGTCGAGGGCTTCACGCTGGACATGGCCAAGACAAGGTGCGCCGAGCTGCTGGTCGAGGACGACAGCGTGTTTGAGCCGCTGGAGCGCACCATGCAGCGCAATCTCGAGAGCTGGCGCGCGCGCACCCACCACGAGGGCGCCAGTGAGCACACCCAGGCGCTGCAGTCAGCGTCGGTCATTGAGCAGCAGCTCATTGACATGCTGTGCCTGGCGGGCTTTGCGCGCGACTCGCGCTGGGGCTGCCGCCGCATAGAGCCGAGCCGCACCACTGTCACCAGTCTGCTGAGTGTGCCGCTGGACGAGACTGCCGACCAGGCCAGGATGATTGCAGCCCAGAAGCTGCTGCTGTTCTACAAGAAGCCTGCGCGCAAGTGCTGGTGGGAGGGCGAGGATGTCAATGCTGGCGACAATGAACACCAAATTAACCTCAAGCTGTGGTGCAGGCGCACGTGGACCCTGGAGCTTGTTCTTATCTAACCTCTCCATGCCACATGCCCTATCTGACCCGCTATGTTAATGTAACCCTGCCCCACCACCTCACCCTCCTTACTCTACCACCACCCCACACCACCACCCGCACTACAACATCCCTCACACCCTTCTCTTTCTCTCCCCACTATACCTCCTTCCACATCTAAACCAGCTCTGTTTTTGTTTTGTTTTTCTATCTGTTGTTCCCTATCATAAAAGAAGAATAATGTCTTACTCCTCCTCGCTCTCGTCGTCCTCGTCGTCGTCCTCTTCGGACTCGTCGTCAGACTCCTCGAGCCACTCGACCAGCGGCTGGATGACCTGAACCAGCTCCTCGCTGACTGCCTCGGGCCCAGCCCTCCCTGCCTTGTGGTTCCACGCCAGCACGGTCAGATCCTCAATGACATCAAGCTCGTACAGGAACTTGACAAACAACGCAAACAGCTTGGCACGCTTGTCATCTGGCACAGCCTCAGACAGCGCGCAATGGCGCTCGACAATGTCAACAACATTGACCTGGTCGCTGTTTGAGTAAATGTTGCGCTTGATCAGGTCGCCCCACTTTTGCAGCACCTTCTTCAGCGAGCTGGCCAGCGCCGAGAAGTCGGCCAGAAGCAGCACCTTCTCAACCACAATGCGCCGCATCTCGTCGAGGTTCCCGTCGAACGCCATGCGCAGCGTGTTCATCTCCAGCGCTGTCACCTCCACTGCGTGGTTCTCGGACAGCGAGCGGTCGAGCGTGAGCTCGAGCTCGCGCCTAAAGTCCTCCTGCATGGCGCGCGACTTGCTGGAGCTCGGCTGCCCCAGGTGCACGCCCGCCAGATCGGATGCCAGGGCATCGGTGTTGTCGAGCTCCAGGATATCTGACTCCGAGTCGGACACCTCGTCCTCGGACGGCGGTGCGTCGCGCAGCTCAGATGCAGTCAGAACTGTGTCGCTGTACCGCGAGCCGATCCAATGCAGGTGCGCGTTGCGCGGGTCCTCCTCGGCGTCGTCGTCCTCGTCCCAGTCATCAGAGTCGACAGCATTGGCCTCCCACACGAATCCGATACCACGCTCGCCGAGGATATGCGTGTCGTATGCCTCACTGGCCACCGAATCCGCCGGCTTCCCCACAGTACCAGCCAGTGCGGCATCCGACTGGCGGACGCTGGCATCATCGAGGTCCTCGTCGTCCTCTTCGTCGGACGAGATCTCCACCTCGGAATCGCTAAAGTCGCTGTCGTCGAAGCTCTCGCTGGCTAGCGGCTTGCGGCGGGCAATGCGCGTGAACGCCTTGATCCGCACGTTCGGTCCGATCGTCACATCGTCGCCGATAATACAGCCGCGCTCAATCACGACATTGTCCAGCACAGTGACGCGTTCGCCAAGCATGGCACGCTCGACTACCGAATTCTTGCCGATAGTGGAGCCGGCAAACAGGTATGAACCGCGCACCACTGCGCCCTCATCAATGCGGCACGACACGCCAAGCACAGAGTCCGAGACCGTAGCGAAGTCTGCCACATACGAGTTCGGACCCAGCACGACGTGGTGCTCAACGCGGCTCTCGCGCCCAAGGAACACCGACGATGCCTTGTAGACTGCGCCGCGGTGGTACGTGTACGACGGCCCGTCGACCGGGTTGCTGTCGGGGCACAGCGGGTAGGCCCACCGCCCGATCAGATCGCGACTAATCGCATCGTAGGCTGCCGTGTCGGCGATGCCGGCAGCGTACCCGTTGTGGTCCAAAAGCATGATTCCGTCTTCGTACAAGTCGTCGCCGTCACCAGCCCCGCCGGCCGCAGCGCCGGGGCACCCGACCAGCCGCCAGAAGCAGCTGGCCCGCTGCTGGCGTTGGCAGCAGTAGCCTCCGACAGCACGCAGCTGGAGCCCGACAGAATATGCGCGTATATGGTTGAGCTCAGCAGATCCGAGGTCAGGATGCCGTGCACAAAGTCACGACGCATTGTTTGGTAGTCAAAGTTCTCAGTGAACAGCGCCAGAGCTTCCAGCGAACAGATAGCAACACGCGTGTCGACCAGGTCCATGCGCAGCTCGACCTCATCATGCTGAGTGATGACCTCCGTCTGGATACGCATAAAGTTCTGCCGCGGCAGTGTCGGCGACGAGTGGATTGCCAGCAGCTTGTTGCTGCTCGGGTCCATCACATACACTGATTCGTCGCTCTTGTCGTGCAGACGATGGCTAGGCGATGCCTCCTGCAGCAGCATGGTCATGATCTGGTCCCGATCCTTCTGCTTGTTTGCCATATGCGCATTAACAAGACCCGACAGATCCATGTTCGACACAACAACGCCTGTGCACAGAATAAAGTCGCTCCGGATAACCGAGCTGCCGTCAATTTCGCGCAGTGCGTCACCAACCGAGTTTGCCCCCTGCACCACCTTGGTCACCACCTTCATGGGCGAGTATCCGCGCGCCCACTTGGACTGCCGGATATATGCCTTGAGTTTATCTGGATACGCTTGGCACACGATGTACGCTTCGTCCACGCCTGAGGAAGACAAGAACTCGAGTGTGTACTCAATCATGGGCACATTGCACAGCGGTAGCAGGCACCGGGGCTTGTTCAGCGACAGCGGCTGGAAGAGCTGGTCAAACGAGTCCGCCAGAACCACTGCCTTTAGTGTCTCCTCTCTGTCGACTTTCCCGCCGTTTCCCTTGGGTGCCATTTTCTTTAATTTAGCCTAGGCAAAGTATTGTTCTGAATTGAAAAGAGCTGAGATTTCTGCAGGCTAAAAATGCAGGCAGACCAGCTTTTCTGGAAACGGCCCGATCCGGTGATCTGATCACATTTTTCACTGTCGCTTCGATGATGTGGTGGGTTGTAAGCAAAATCCGATGTGAAGCCTGCTGAGCAGCTTGCTGTCTGACTCTATTCCCGAGAATAGGACGCGTCAATTTAAAGCAGCAACTGAGTGATATAGCGTTGTCCACTTATTAGTTAGTCTGCATTGCTGTGCTAGTAGACAGGAGCCCAGCCATAGAATGACCTGCTAGCCATCTGAGCAAGCTACCCTTGTACAGTATGGACGATGATGCGGATTGGTATCAATAAGGATAGAGGTGATGAGGAGTGGCAAAGCTCTCCACGTACATGTCTTCAACCCCAGCAGTAGTGGCACACAAGTGCTGGATGCAACTGACGTTATCTATGTAAGTGTTCTGAGAGATACATATGTTAACTATTTACAAGGCATGTGTGGAGATTGAGATAATGGAAGTTTTTGTTTAAGCGAGAAACATATCAAGAATTACCATTACATAAAAGAAGAGGTGTATTACTACACCCCTCTTCGAGCAGCCTGTGTCCCAGAAACAGTGAACATCAAACTCCACCCTTCCAGCATTGCTCACAGCCAGGGAAAGTGTACGGATCTCAGACACTCGCCCTCTCCAGACTTGGCGAAAACTGCGCCGAACAGCCTCGGGGGCTATCTTCTCTCAACCCTGGTGTAAAGTATTGGCAAGGACTCCTTCAGTAGTCACATATTTCCTCGAATATATCCTCAATAAGGCGATATTAGCACAATACAGCCTTAGCCTTAAAAGGTTATCCATACGATACACCATTGTGCATATCACAGCAGTGACCATCAGGTTGGATATTGCGTGCAACACAGGTTTGGTTTCTTAACTGTGAATATGGAGTTGTCCGAACCTCACCAAGACTGAAGTACCGGAGCCAATATGTGCACTTCGCACTTCCGAATCAGCAGGTTCCATGCAGCCAGGCTTTCCATTGGTCTCAGGTGAAACTCGGCAACTGCTGAGTAGTGTTGAATTTTAATATTGTATGCATGCAGAAAATGCAACAAAGTTTATTTTTGCCTGCATGCATGCCATTTCTGTGTACAGTACCATTGTCAGCGAGTCAGTGCGCGCAGCTCAATTTTCGTTCCGCCAAAGTGTGTCTGGTAAAGCAACCATGGTTGGTATGTTGTCCTTGGGTAATGCCGCACCTAAGGAAAACATTTTCTCCTAGTCGGGACAGAAAGATATATTCGGGATTTCCAAAAATCGACTGCAAGCAAAATTATGCGATACTAGAATAGAATTGGGATATCATAGCTCAGTGGACAGGGAAACTATGGCATTTTGGAATGTCTGGCGCTATCTCAGTGTAGCTATGAGAGATACTGATCCCTGCAAGGTTCAATTCCTCTGCTTTGCTGAATTCACTTGCCGCCCACAATATTTTTGTGTTTTCAGGATATCACGTGAAAACACCTATAGATAGTACGCACCATTGCTGTGCAAGCCAGAAACAGTGGCCACCAGTTTGAGATACTGAGGTTCTGTGATGTATCACTTCTTAGTTCATTATAGCAATAATGAAATGGTAGAGGAAGACAAGAAAGCCAGTCTGATAAATTAGTATGCACTGTTGTATTGATACGTAGAAAGAGCTTTGACAAGATAGTACCTACTTGGCTTCTAGCGAAACTCCTCTTGCAAACCCTGCAATATTAAATAATTCAGAAATGATAATAACTTTTGTGGTCGGGATGTGGATACCTATCTGCGGTCGGGAATTCAATATCTCCTGGAATGGCTCTCAAGCATTGGATGTATATGTTATTTATGTACATGTTAAAAATATGCAAATTATACCTATTTGCAAGGACTGTTGACTGGAATGGAGGGAGTAGAGATGCTGCTTGAAGCGAGAAACGAGCTGAGTATACTCTAAACCTACTCAAAATAGTGCTCTTTTACACCACTCTTCGAGCAGGCTGTGTCCCAGAAACAATGACCAGAACACTGCACTCTTCCTGTATTGTTCACGGTCTGGAAAAAGTATACAAATATCAGACACTCGTCCTCTCCACACTTTGCAAAAGCTATACCGAACAGCCTTAAGAGTCATGCCCACTTTGGTTCGGCTATAAGTATACCCCGGATCCTTGGGTTGGTCACAAAGTATCTCTCATATATCTCTACTAAAGTGCTTTACTGCATCGAAGGCTATGCTCTAAAATAAGACTCATGATATATCATTGCACGTATCAGAGCGGTGGTCGCCGAGTCAGATATTCCGTATAGAACTCTAGCCTCTTAAATGCGAATGCAAAGTCCGAACTTCACCGAGACCAAGTTGCTGAAACCAAGCTGTGCACTTCGCACTTCCGTAGCAGCAGACTCCGTGCAACTAGGCTTTTTCACTGGAGACAGGAAGAGCTCTGCTGCAACAAGAGCAACATCGTAGGTTTTAATATTGTATGCATGCATAAAGTGTTCAGAAAGTCAATCACTTGTCGCATGATGTGCACAAGCTCGGCACACACCGCCATTGTCGGCGCGTCAATGCACACAACTCTATTTTTGTTCTGCCGAAGTGTCTGGTAAAGTCATACTGTTTCAAACATTGTCCCTGGGTAAGGTGCTGCCCTTGATCAACACTTTTTCCTAGTCAAAACTGGAAGGCTTGCTCGGCTTTCTCAAAGAGTTCGCTGAGAATGTGATTCGGTGACACTGTAAATTCATTGCAACATCATGGCTCAAAGGTCATAGTCTCCGTACCATATTGGAGTCCTTGACGCTGGCTCAGTGTCACAGTGAGAAACACTGATCCATGCAAAGTTCAGTTCCTCTGTTTTGTTGAATTTACCTGCCGCCCACAAGATTTTTGTATTTCCAGGATTGCACCTGTAAGGTCCTGAACATGGTATATGACATCAGTGTGTATGATAGCGGAGAGAGCGAGTATTTGGGATATTGACGTTTTGGGGTATAGAGCATCCTTGCTCATTAAAGAACTATATTATAAATGTTGAAATAAAACTGTCTGAAAGGCTACAGTACGGTTAACCGCTGGCTACAACACCCACTACCATATTACTAGTCTAAATGGGAGTCCTAGAAGGAATTCTTCATTTGACTCATAGCTAGGCATCTATTGCTAACTTGGAGTAGTGGAATGACTTAATCCCACCAATTCTTGCGGGCAATTCCAAACGTATCATAGTGATCCCCGTTCTGGCTTTCAGCCTCGGTAGTAATGTCACACAAGCGCTGGATGCAATTGGCGTTATCTATGTACATAGTCAAAAATGCAACTACTGCAGATTTACAAGGAATGCAAACGGAAATAGAAGGAATAGAAGAGTTTGTTGAAGGAAAAGAGGATGCCAGACCTGTGCTTTGCCTCTTATAATGGCTTTCTTCTGAGCCACCGTCGTCTTCAGACGGTTTTGTTCCTCTGAAAACAATCCAGAATGTTTCCGTTGTCTAGATGCCAGTGGCTTGTGAGAAGCTGCAATACCAGTTTTTGTTTTTGCTCGACTGTCCTTGCGGAGAGCAGCCCGTGTACTATTCAAGTGAAAGCTGTATCTAATTGCTCATTCGGAGGGGTTGAAGGACTTTGTGCGTCTCGGTGTTTCGCAACAACCTTTTTTCATATCCAGTTTCGAAACCGCTGAAAGTCCACACACAAGGGATTTTTCGCCTGTGTATTACTGAAGTGTCTGAAAGGGAGGCTTATGTTCCCGCTGAAGCCGACCAGAAACTCGCAGCAATCTCATGTAAAATGCGGCAATGTGTAAAACTGGCAATATTTTAGAGCATCGATAGCGACAAGTATTTTCCCAATATTTTTTCGCATTTTGTGTGCAAGAAGCAATAGTAAGTTCATTGGAAAAACACAGAAAACTACCCGTCGATTGCTTCGATGTGCGGGTTGAATCCACACACCGTTATCCCACTCCGAGACATCGACAGCGGAACCTCATCCAGTGAATTAGGGTTGAGGCCGAGCTCCTGCAAATAAGGTAGTCTCCCCACAAGCCAAAGAATTCCGTCCACATCGAGTCTTTTGTGAGAGAAGATATGTAGTTTCCTAAGAGCCAGCCCAATACAGGTGTGGATTCTGTCGACAGTTGTGTCGACCCCTGAGAATATATCGTCCTGGTCAGCAAAGTCCACGCCTCTGGCGGGGTCGTTCAAATCGCCCCTGTCCATTGAAAAGCAGCTAAGGTAGAAGGTGTGGAGATGTCTGAGCTGATGTATGATGTTACAAATGCTCTTCACATCGGCGATATTGGCGGTTATGTCAAGCCATTCGAGACTGATCCAGTTGATAGTTAGTGGAAGTGGGGAGGGAATATTGTCAAAACGTGCACCAGTAATCCAGTTATTATACCTGGCGTAGAGCGAATATATCCCTTGGCAGTTGTATCGGATATTTGGATCGAGGCGCTCATCTCGATAGGAGATATGTACGGAACGCGCACACTTCAAAATGTCCAGATTAAGGGACTCAAAAGCCCTAGGGTCCTCATAAATCGATAGTAGCTGGATGGAGCGAGGAGCAAAATATTTCTGGAAGGCAACATCGGCATTAGATAGTCCTGGAACTTCCACTCGGATATCTTCTGGGAATATGGTCGTGAACTGGCTGTTTGTGGGCTGCACACTACTTCGGTCAGGAGTGCTGTACTGCAGGGTGATCTTTTCAAGACACGGGAAAACAAGTTTGTTACCAGGGGCTGTCTCAAAGATTCTCCAATTTGGCACACGCTGAATACCGTATATCTCGACGCGGGTAAGACAGTCAACTGGAATCCTCGGCAGATGGGTAAGTTCAGGAATAAGGGCGTGATTAATAACTAGTTTCGTCAAGTTCCAAGCGAATGCCATGTTTGGTACGTTCGGGAACGGGCGGAGGATTTGAACGGCTGTGAGGCGAGGTAGAAGAGCAACATAGAGCCTTTTAATTATCTCAAATCCGACACCTGGAATATCTCGAATAACCCCCGCAGATGAGATTAAGGTGTGATGAGTATTGTATACCAGACTTGTCGTATTCGGACAGACACTGAGAATGTGTTCAGCAGTGCGTGTGGCTTCAGAATCAGCCAGTGCCATCGGCTGTGACCTACTGGCCTCGAAAATGCCTTTTCCAATAAAAGCAATCAATCGTACGTTTGAAAGAACAGATCTGTGCATACCGATTCTCTTAAAAATCGCGTCCATGTTAAGGTTGCTAGGGCACTCGTTGAGCATCACAAATCGAAATTCAATAATGTGATCCAGTTTTTGCAATGTGGCAAGAAAGATGAAATTTGTGAACCACTGCCTCCCATGGTCCTTAGCGCATGAGCCCGTGTTGCACCAGCACTCCACAAAGCACTCCAAAATAAGGACGGTATACATACAAATGGGAATGAGGGGCCGGTACTCTTTAAAGCTGTCATAGAATTCGATAAATTCGTTGTAGGCCCTGGCGGTTGAGGTGGGGTAGAGCACCTTCTCACACTCCTTCTCCACGAGCGGCTTCATCATCTCCGCAGGCTTATTGTGATAAAAGTCGAACATAATATAGCGCGAGTAATATAAGCGACGGGCAGTACCGAAGATTGGCAGGCTGCGAGTATATGTGGAATAAATAAGCGCCAAATAGTTTGAAGAAAAGTAGGGATGGAGGATTTTACCAGAACCCCCTTCAGAGACCTCATTTAACCTTTCAGGAAAGCGAGGGTTGTCCGAGTCCACCTGGGGCGCCTCATAGTCAATTTTCTGCCCCTTCCAGCAGCTAGATGCTTGCATCCTTCTCTCCTCTCCTGTATTTTGTCTGCCTGCTGACCACATGATATGGCACTCGTGTTCAGCAGCTGCACGGGAGGTGTTTGTTCTAGACCTGCAGACAGATTCTCGCTTGCAAATTGCCCACTCCTCTTTCCTGCAGTCTTGCATCGCAGCATCTGCAGCGCCAAATGCCATGACCAGAGGAAGTGCCCATATGACAGGTATGCTGCCAGTGCTGAATTGAGGTGCAGCAGGCCACAAAAGGCTGATGTTGAAGTATACTTTGTAGGTGGTCGCAAAAAAACAGTGTAGTTAATACTTTTTACCAACCACTACTCTGATGAGCTTTTCTGAAGGCCGGCTTTGCAATGAGCCAAATACTGCCTATGTTATATATGGGTCTGACCTCTCTTCCAAGCTAACGATTATCACATAGCCCTTGGATACCACCCCTTGCTCTTGAGAAATAGCTATCAGCAACTCTGACGAGCACACAAGTTCTGAATAAAGAACACTGAGATCACATCCTGTATGTTATGAGCAGCCTTCACCCACTTCCCCTTGCTTCTGGCGGTTGCTGCAATCATATTGTCAACAATATTAACTGGCTGCATCTGGATTGGCAGTTTCCCTTCTACACCGAGCTCGATCATGGCCAGACATTCTGATGACCTCTCCCCATTCCTGTTTCTCCTTTGCAATAGCAAAACTTCAACCAGACATAGGGTTGGTGAGCCATTCTACTCTGGTGTCATGTGTATCGCTGCATTTTGGTTTCCAATTATCATCCAATTGTCCTTACCCAGCGAGATAGAGAGAATGTCAGAGTGTGGAGATGGGAGAAGAAGAGGGAGGAGCGACTGCATGCCCAAGAGCCAACTAGTTCCCCTACCAATCCTAAATGACAGGGCTTGGATGAGGGGAAAGGGGGTGTTGCATGTCGAACACACCTTATGTTGACTGACAATGGAAGGGCAATCGTGAACGGGATGTTTTCATCCTTTTCGCTCTCTTTCAGCATATTTGGTGTGATCAAAGTAAACAACCAACTTATGCGTTCCTAACTCAATGTTGCACACTGTGCTTTTGGATTCGCTAGCTTTTCTGGGACATTCAAGGCAGGTAAACAACGTGTGCGGTATCTCTATTATATCTTTCTACTTCACTCTCTGTACAAGATTTCATAGTCCAATGTGCCCGATCGTCTGCTAGGACGTTTTTGATTTGTTGAAAGGATACATGCTCTTTTGAGCCTCACAGCGAGTATGCGTGTCTCGCTCTGTGAATGCCTAAAATAATGTCCTTTCTTTTAGCAAATGGATTCAGATCTAATTGTCAAATATATCTTAAAAGTGTTGGTAAAATCGAACCTGGAACCGTATATCAAAGGGCTATAAGTCTAGTAGCAGGATACAGTATTATTCGGCAACAAATTAAATATAACTAGGATTTAGGGTTCGTATCGGTCTGCTGCTGGTACTGGGCTGACTGAACTGGTGGCTGGCAACGACGCGGCATATCTAAAACCACCCATGTCAATAGTACCAGCATGCTCAGCATCGGGTCGACACAGTACCAGGCAGCTTCGTTGGTCACCATAAATGTGACCTGCGGGCAGAACATGGTAACGAGCTTGAAGATGTTGCGCAGCAAGATCAAAAATCCGCCGATGCAAATGTTTGCATACCATTCTGGTTTTGTGCGAGCCTCAGCGTACTTGGCCAAGAAGAAGTTGGTGGATAGCACCACCACCGCATTGTTGGCGACTTGTCCGGCAATACTAGCCTTGAGCAAGTTTGATGCAGTCTTGAGCTGGTCTAGAGACGCAGTATCCTGCATTAGCCCAGATCCGGCTCCTGACAGTGCACTAAAGGTTACCGACATGACGATGGCAAACACGCGGAACCCAATTATTGCCTTACGGGACGGCCCATGGACCAAGGACTTGAGCATATTAACCAGCAGAAGGCAGTTGACGAGATTGATAAAGTTAGGAGCAATGCTGTTGAGCACGCTGAATGTGGTGAATGACTTGGCATCCCGCATCTGATTTTTAATGAAGATACCGCGGGCGACAAAAGCACCTCCCAGCATCATTGCAATGAGAACACCGATGCATGTAAGACGATGTTTCTGCGCGCGCCGGCCCTCAAATAGCAATATCAAGCCTAGGACGAAGAATAGTGAGGCGACTCCGTACGCTGCACCCTTGCTTGGGTAATACTGTGGGATGGAAACTGCAGTTCCAAACGAGACATCAGTCATTCTTTGATTATGTAGAAAGCTGCTGAAGAAGGATAAATGCTGGGTGTATGAAGGGAAGTAGGAGGTGCTGTGTGGCAACAGTGGATTTATAGCTGGCTGGTGCTAGATGGAAGTCTGCCAAACGCACCCGAGCTGTGGAGCAGCGCCTCTGGAGATTAGTTCCAAGAAGATCGAGAGGTGGAATGCACTGTTTGGAAAAAGTTTTGTTTGCTTGTGCACATATGCGTCGGCACAAATCAGGTTGAATAGTGAATATTTTTTTGAAACCCAAGGTGTAACAGGCTGGCATATCAAGAGCCTTGGCAATGAAAGTCAATGCCAATCAAGCGGAACGCTGTGGCTAAACACGGTAGCTAGATCGGTTAATTTTCCTTTTCGGCTGGACTGAGAACGGCTCCCACACCCTCAATACCCAGGAGCAACGTGGACGAGGGCTTGGCAAGCTTGGCTTCCTCGTCTCCACTACTCCGGCAAAAACTCGGAGAAAGGAGCAGTAAGGTTGGAAATTGTCTGGATCACAGCAGTGCAAAGGTACAGCTGAGCTTGAAGTCTAAAGGGGGATACACTCATGCAAACTCCATATCCTAAGCTTCACTGACGCATGGAAATGTGAGCCGCGTTGCTGAGAAGAATTGTCCCTTTCTCTAAACAAAATCCCTTTGGAGAGAGAATCTAGCAACCTCCAGGATGCCTGACATTCGCAGATGTATGGTGTGTGGTTGTTCCCCACCGTGTAGTTTGACAGCCAAGGATGGCGAGTCTGTGGTTCCTACTGCCATCACCAATCTGTGTCTAAGAGAGCTAGTGCACAACAGCAAGTAGGCGCAAGGGGTGGCCTATAGAGTGCGGCATGGAGCCCTTTGTCTCCTTGGTGTGCATCAAAATGTGTCTCCATGACTACCAATGCATTTAACGCGGATATGACCCAGCTTAAGATGCAGGAATACCCAGGTTAGTAGTTTCTTGGGGTTTGCATAGCCATATCATCTCATGATCAGCTGGACATTCCTGGATTAAGCAGCCATCACCATTCAGCCTAGTGCGATATATTCGATGACATCACCCATCTCTGGACAGTCGCCTGCCATATAGACACCATCCATCAGCATTGCGCTATCTGTGTGCATTAGGCAAGACGGGAATTACAATCATGTGTAAATTGCGATAGTTTCTATTGAACTAATTAGACTAAGTGTGAGCGCAGACCCGCCAGCGACCCACACAGCCGTTATTCTCCAATCAGAACACTGATTTCCAGCCTCTCCGCTTACTTGTTGTGCCACAGCAGTGTCTTCAGCGACGTCCAGCTGTTCGAATCCTCATACAAATATGTCATCGAGTTCTTCAGCGAGTTCTGCAGTGTCGACTTGTCGCGGCGGAACAGCACCATGACAATACCCCAGCACAGCGCTGCGAACAGGGCAAACGACTTTGGCGGCGCCTGCGTGTTGGTGTTCTTCATGATTGTGTTGACCAGGCCCATTGCTACGCGCGAAAACAGGTACAAGATGATTTGCTGGTTGACGCTGGTCTTCTCGCCAAACACAAAGTAGCCGCCAATGAACCCGGCAATAAACGTGTGCAGGTCGGTATTCTTGCCCGATGCCGCCATCTTGCGCTGCAAAAGCATCAGCGATTTGTAGATGGTCACAAAGAATGCGAGTCCGCGCGCGTGCTGCCTGGTGGCACTCAGGATTGCTACGATCTTGTCCTTGGCGCTACAGAGTAAAAGCACAGCGCGTTGATTTAGCGATCAAGGCGTTATCACAGAAACCCTACGGCCTCAGCAATGGCCCGCCTGTTAGCGTGCGAACTCTGCCCTGGGGGCAACGTGCATAAAGCACCTACCTGCCGTTGCGGAACAAAAGCGTCATGACAAGGGCATGCGGGAACCGGACTTTTGTGCCGTAGACCACGCCGTTTCTGAAACCCTTGACCAGGGACAGCACGTCGTGGAACCGCGGGTCGAGCACAAAGTTGTTGAGAGCGTCCATTGCTTATCTTGCGTTGGCGAACGGGAAAAATAGTACAGGCTCTGCGCGCGACAAGAAGGGGAAAAGTACAAGAAGAGAGAAAAGATTATTAACAGAAAGTCGACAGAGATAATGAAGGAAAAGGGGGCGGCAGCGTTGTCGTCGGGCAGGCGTCTCCTTTTAAGAAGTCGCAGCGTACGGGAGGACTGCGTTTTTTTTGCCACTTAATAATACCACGCTTGGGCTGCTCAAGCATGCCCATGTGACGATCCTGCTGAGCCCATCGAGAGAAGGCGGATTTCGCCGCATGTGAAAGGCCACTCAGCGCGCGACCGCTCAAGTCAAACATGGGAATTCCTCGGACGAGATCGACGAGCTCCGCTCACAAAACTGACTCGCTGGAGCCATACGACCCGCCGCGCGGTTCAATGCGTCCCGGCCGGAGCACGCCAGGCACCCGGGTCTCCAGACAGCCAGGGCATACCCATTGGGGCGAGAAGAGATGAAATCAGAGTTGTTTGTAATAAGATTCATAAGCACAACCAACCAAAGAGACTACTACACTTGTTATGGCGAGCAAAAAGGCAACGGCGTCTTTTCCTTCTTACATCGCGTACTTGCGGGTCCATTCGCGCGCAGTGGCCTCGTAGCGAGCACGATCGGTCTTGTAGATGTGGGCAATCTCGGGCACCAAGGGATCGTCGGGGTTCGGGTCAGTCAGCATCGAGCAGATAGACAGGAGAACTATAGTGCGATCGTGGGTGGGTTAGTATGCAGCGACCAGATAGCAATGGCAATGATGTAACACACGTAAAACGCGATGGGAGGCAGGGGGCCGGTTCATTCTGTGCTTACCTTTGGAAACGGTCAGGGCTGGCGACCATTGATCCCTGAGGATGTCGAGGCAGATGCTGCCGTTGCTGTTGATGTTGGGGTGATAGATCCTGGTTGTGAAGTTGACCTTTGGCGGCTTGAACGGGTAGTCGGTCGGGAAGTGGATGTTCAGGAAGTACACTCCTCCTGAGTACGGGCTGTCGCTCTACAGGTGGAAAGGGACAAGGCGAAAATGGGTCGAGGGTCACGGGAGTGGGCACATTAGTAAACAGGCGTCAGACGCACTCGGCACCGAAAAGCCCACGGCCGTGTCAAAGCGACGAGGCGACGTGAAGCTGCCAACACTTACCGGGCCCATGATGGTTGCCTGCCAGTGGAAAAACTCGCCATCTTGAATTGGTCCAGCACTGCACGATGAGGGTGGGTCGCGGCCGAGATCCTTGAGTTCCTACAGTCATTGCATTTGGCACATTTTAGGGCATAGGGAAAAGTGCTCGGGTGCATTGGTGTCGGGGCCTGCCACTGCGCGCAATAGGAATAGTGCGAAATTGGCCGTGGGTGGGGCAGCATGCAGAGCTGGATTTGTAATGGCCCGCATCTGCGCATTGGAACACTCGGCGGTGTTCTGCAGGGTTCCAGCGCAGCATGCTGAACTGAATGTGGAGTAAAGCGCAATGCTTACCTTGTTAATCCGCTTGAGAGCCATGGTCGATTGGTGAAGAAAAAGTGAGTGGTTTTGGTAACTTTTTTGTCTACTTGAGAAAATGTGGAAAAAAAAGCAAATGAAAAGGAGAAAACCGCTTTTTTCCACCCGGCGGCGCCCTCGCAGCCTGTATGCCCGTCCGGCGGCACACAAGTCTGGGCCAGTCATGCCCCTGTGCTGATCTGGTGATTTTTAGCCGCTGCCCACAATTTTCCCGCACAGTGCTCAGGCAATGGGCAGCAGGGCAGCAGGGCACCATCATTCTGAGCCGTTCTATGCGCACAGGGATAGTCGCTCGCCACCAACTGTTTCCATCTCTGACACACACAAGCTTTCCCATGGCCATGGCAGACAGTCGCCCGATACCCTCCAACGGCTTGGCCATCCGCAAGATCGCCACATTCCAGCAGTTCGCCGCCCCGCTAGTTGTCCTGTCCGAGACGGCGCAGCAGACATCGCTGGCTCTGCTCGAGTGCCTGGTGCGCGAGGGCCTGGACCGTGGGCTAGGCGTAGCCGCGCTCTGCCTCGAATCCTCGCTGAGCGACGATATCGTGCACTCGCCGCACACTGCCATCATCGACAACCGGCCGTCACTCGAGCAGTTCCTCGCCGGACAGGAGAGCCCGGGCCAGATCGACTTTGCTGCAATCGAGCAGCGCATCCGAGCATCAGTCGAGCAAGTCGGCCGAAGCTGCAGCGGCTGTCTTTTGGTTATTGACAGCCTCGAGCAGCTCCTGTGGGCGTCGACATCAACGACCTTTGTGATGCTGCGCAGCTTGCGCAAACACATGGCCAAGACATTTGGTAGCGACACGAACCACCGCATCCTGGCACGCTACCCGCGCGACACCTTCGCCGGCCACGTCGAGGACGGCAGGGAGCAGAGCGGCTCGCCGATCCTGGCCAATTCCCTGGGCTATATCGCCGATGCCATCATCGACGTGTATCCGACTGATGTGCTGCCGTCCTGGTGCCCCGGGTGGTTCTCTGACGGAAAGCCGAAGCCATTCCTCGCCCTCACGCACAACGACCCGCACCGCTGCCTGCTGAGGTTCGAGCAGCGGAGACAGTCGGGCAAGGTAGGCGTCGAGGTGGTCTCGTTCGAAGCTGTAAAGGGAAGGCCGGTGTTTGCCAATGTGGATGTGTCGGAAATTGTCAACCCCGCGCTGCCTGAGCCTATCGCAGCGCCACTTCCGACAAAGACACAGACTACCACGTCATCGACAAAGACGGCGCCTGCAAAGGAGAAGCAGAACCACCACCAGCAGCAGCAGCAGCAGCAGCAGCAGACGGATCCGACTGCGAACCTGTCGTTCAACCTGACACTGACAGACAAGCAGAAGGAAGACAAGGCCAGCGTCGTGCTGCCGTACACTGACGCCCAGATGGACGAGGGCAGCTCGGGCGGCGAGATCCACTACCAGCTCGACGACGAGGACGACTGGGACTCGGACGATCCTGACGACGACCTGGAGATATGAGTGAGCACGGTGGATATGTTTATTTCTGTTGCTGCTGTAGAAAGAGAGAACAAAGAAGAATAAAAGCTTCGGGCACCCGGAACGGCCATGCTCGCCAGCATTACCCAGCACGCGAGCACGCTTCCAGGGTGGTACATAGGGATGATAACGTATACATACACAACAGCCTGCACTTAGTCCTGGAACTTCCACCTGTTCTCCTGCAGGCCCTGGGCGGTGTCGCGCAGCAGCGTCTCCCACCGGGTCTTGACGTACTGGGTCTTGTCAATGATCAGACGCTTGGCCTCCTCAATAGTGCGCTCGTGCACGGGGTTCTCGACCAGCTCGTTGAGCGTCTCGGTGGCCATCTCGAGGTCAGACTGGTTGTTCTCAAAGATCAGCTTCTGGTTGTCGGACTCCATGTAGTAGGCCAGCACGTACGACCATTTGAGGGTGGCGCGGCAGGCGCTCAGCATGTCGACGGCAGCGCTCAGGAACTGCACCTCAATCCAGGACATGGACGAGTTGCGCTGCATCTGCTCCATGTTGGTCTCGGTGGTGGTCAGCAGACGGCGGGCCAGCTTGGCGCTTCGCTCGTGGTTGCTGAAGCGCGAGTAGTAGTGCAGGTAGCGCTCCAGCAGGGCGCGCGACTTGGAGATGGAGTCGCGGGCGTTCTTGCTCGAATCCTCGTTGTAGCGGTTGCACTGGTAGTACGCCTGCTGGTGCTCGGTCCACGGGCCCATGCATACCCAGCAGAACTCGTGTGCACACTTGCGGCACGTCATATGGTTGCAGCCGCCGTTCTTCTCGATGGTGGCCTTGCACTTGGTGCACTCCTTTGTGTTGGCCTTGAGCCAGTTGGATGTCTCCGAGTCGTCCTTGCACTTTTGCAGCCACTTTTCGACGAGGAAGCACGGCGCCGGCATATGGTCGTCCATATTGCACCCGAAGCAGAACGCCTTGCCGCACCGGCAGTGCACCGTCGGCACGATCGTCGCCCACGCCGACTTGGGTACATGACACTCGATGCCATACTCGCAGTTTGGCGCCGGGCACCACGTGAACGAGTCCAGGTCGTTGACAAAGCTGCGCGTCAGGTTGTCCTCGTACCGCTCCAAGATCTTGGGCTCATTCGCAAGCAGTAGCCGCGCCGCCTGCTCGCCCACCAGCGCCTTGCACTTGGCGCCAGGGCAGCGGATGCGCCATGACATGCCCTCGAGGACCTTGCCGGTCAAGTATGTCACGTAGCAGTCTGTGCAGAATGCATGCCCGCAGCCCAGCCCCAGGTACACTTCCTCAGGCCCGTCGCAGTAGCAGATTTCGCATGTAAAGTCCTCGTTACCTGTCTTGAGTTCGGGCGCGGGCGCATTTGGGAACATGCCAGCGTCGCGAATGGTCTTGTCGGGGTCTGACAAGTAGCGCTCGACCAACGACTCTTCCTTCCACTGGCTGTTGCGAAGCAGAATCGTCGTGATGTCCTTGGACACCGACAGCACCGGCACCAGTCGATTAATCATAGCCTCCTGCTTGTCGTGCAGACCATGGGCGTCATGCACATGGTACTCGACCTCCCAGGGCTTGCGCTGGTCGCGGCTGCTCACCACAGGCTCGAATCCGCTGTCGTCCATGCCGAAGAACTCGTCGTCGTCGTCAAAGTCGTACGTATCGCCGTAGTCCTGTGTGGCTCCATCCTCGTCGTCCGCCGTGCCCTTGCCCTTGTCAGGCTGGCTCTGGACACCGCTATCGCTGCCGAGGTCCTCCATGTCGTCGTCAGAGTACTCATAGACGTCAGACTCGTAGTCCATATCGCCGTCAGATTCGTAGCTGGCCATTGTTTGAGAATGAGGTAAAATAGTGTATCAGTGGGTGTCCGTAATAATAAACCCGGCAACAAAAAAGCCTTGAAATTCGGTGTCAAGAAAGAAAAATCACAGAGAAAAAGATGCAAGATGGCTGACAACCCTTTTATACCAAAAACAAAGTGAGGCGAGCGAAAAATGCGAGCGCCGGCCATGCTCCCTCCGGGACGTCTCGTCGCAGAGATCCGCAGCAGCAGAGCCGCCTAGCAGCCACTGTCGCAGTGCTCCCTCCCCGCTCCACCAGGCCGGCGATCACCGGTTTAAGCCAGCCTGCCAGTTGGCGAGACGTGACGAAATCCCCCATTCCTCTTTTTTTTATTTAAAAAAAAAAATCTTTTCATATTCCTGTGCTAAAAACCCGCCCTGTGCGCACACGACAGCAATGGCGAGGACATGCTACTACGAGCTGCTCGGCGTCGAGCGCAGCGCAACCGACGCCGACCTGAAACGAGCGTACCGCAAGCAGGCGCTCGTCTGGCACCCAGGTAAGGATCGCAGAAAAGCCTTGACGGACGCTTCATAGTCACTCCCCCATGCCGCAGACTAATTCGTCCAAATTCAAACGCTAGACAAGAACCACACCAATGCAGAGGAGGCGACCGAGATATTCGCCCAGATTCGGGAAGCGTACGAGATGCTGAGCGACCCGCAGGAGCGCGCCTGGTACGACAACCACCGCGAGCAGATCCTGCGCGGCGACGAGTTTGGCGTGACCGCAGCACCCAACGACGGCAACCAGAGCGCCAACGTCGACTACACGTCCACCGAGACTCTAATGCGGCATTTTAGCGTCTCGTCGTTCCGCGGCTTTGACGACTCCCCTGCAGGCTTCTTTGCCGTGTACCGCAAGCTGTTCGAGAACCTGCGCGACGAGGAGCTGCAGATCTACGATCCAGACTCTGAGGAGCGCCTGGACATGATCTATAACCTGGACTTTGGCGACTCGCATACCTTGTACGACGAGGACGCAGAGTACGCGCGGTCACAGGGCAAGAAGCGCAACACGTCGCGCCGCGACGCCTCCGGCACCACGCTGAGGGACTTTTACAACTTCTGGACCACCTTCTCCACCCGCAAGTCGTTCGGGTGGTTCGACAAGTACCGCCTCGCCGATGCCGAGAACCGCCAGATCCGCCGCCTCATGGAGAAGGAGAACAAGCACCTGCGAGAGAAGGCACGGCGTGAGTTTGTCGACACCGTGCAGAACCTGGCCGCATGGCTCAAGAAGCGCGATCCGCGGTACAAGGCCTTTGTGGAGGAGCAGAGGGTGCTGCAGGAGGAGCGCGAGCGGGATCGCAAAAGGCGTGTTGCCGAGCAGCGGGCTGCCCTGGTGGACGACGCCAGCACCTATGTGCGCCAGGCGTGGGAGGAGGTCGACTACTCGAACCACCTCGACGAGTACCTGAGCGAGCTTTCTGACGCCGAAAAGGCGCACAGCGATGCCGATGGCCAGGAACCAGACGACGATGGGGCTGAGCGCGATCTCAGCGAGGGCGATGTGCTTGATCCTGAAAACGACCTGCTGTGCATTACCTGCGACAAGGAGTTCAAGACGCCAGCGCAGAAGGCCAACCACGAGAAGAGCAAGAAGCACCAACGGGCCGTGCGCGAGATCCGCCGCGAGATGATGCGCGAGGAACGCCGCCTGGCCAAGATGCAGACCAACGGCGATATCCCGTCGTCAGCTGCCAGCAACAACGTATCGGATAATGAGTCGTTTGCGACACCGCCAGAATCGCCGGTAGAATCCGCAGAGGAGCCTGATCTAGAGGAGGAGGAGGAGGCAAACGAGGATGATGTGCTTGCGCAGATGATCCGCAACCTGAGCACAGCCCAGGCCAGCGGCGGCAAGAAGAACAAAAAGAAGAAACGCAAGAACCAGATCAAGGCCCAGCCTACCGACGATGCCAGCGACCTGGAGAACCCACCCAGCGAACCAGCCGAGCCGGAGTCGGCGCCGGATTCAGCCGACCCAGAGTCAGCGCTGGACTCACCGGCTGCACCGAGGGTATCCAAGAAGGAGCTGCGCAAGGAGCGGCAAAAGAAAAAGGAGCTGGCCGAGCTCAAGTGCAATGTATGCAGTAAGGACTTTGCCTCGCGCAACCAGCTCTTTGACCATATCAAGGATACAGGCCACGCCCTGGCCAACAATCTGCCAAAGCACCTCGCCGAGTCCATCATGCAGGAGCGGGCGGCCAAGGGCAAGAAGGGCAAGAAGAGCAAGAAATAATAAATCCCGATCTTTTTTTTTTTTCTCAATAGAACCGGCTTTTTCTGCTCCACTCTGACTCCAATTTCGTAATAATGATTGCGCTGTCGAAATTCACCACCGCTCTTGCCGTCAGCCAGACACGCTTTGCTGCCTCCGCGCCCCTGCAGGTCCGGTTCCTGTCGCAGAAGAAGAAGACTGTCGCACTGAAGACCAAGGAAAAGGTAAGGCGCCCCTTGATAACACCAGGACGTAGCAGTCACTAGAGCACAGAACTAACCGCCCCTTGATGCATTCCTCTCGTGTAGAGCAAGCTGCGTCGGCTGCGCGTAAACAAGTCGGACGAGCCTGTGCAGGCCAAGCGCAACGTGCGGGTATCGAAGCTGTAGAGCAAGCTTTTCTCAGTATCAATAGATCTCAGCACGTCTGTTCTTTTAAAATCGATGATTTAGTTCATTCCACCCAAGATAACCGGGGCCACCGATCTCGTGCCTGAAGTCTGTAGGGGAACCAGCGCCCGCTTCCCCCGCCTGCTCGGTACAAGACGACACCGAGGTAGATCCACCTGGCGCTGAGGCATCTGGTCTCCCCGCAGCTGGGCCCAAGACTAGCCTTGTCCCTGCCTCGGGCCAGATTTTAGTTTTCTGCTGTACTCTTATCACAGGATTAGCCAGGGATGAAATCAGCCTGCCATGTGCCAGTGGCCATGTGCAGGCTCAGAACACTGTTTGCAGCATACTCAGCATTGTCTGGCTCAGGATATGAACTAGTCTATATATTGCAAAAGGCACGGCTATCCCGCAAAGGTATGGACAAGAAGAGAGCTTAGCACTACAACGAGACATATAGTACGCGGAGCTACTAATCCATGGATCCGGTGCAGATGTTGCAGAGGCTTCTTTTATCCAGGTAGATGCCGTCGCTTGGGATGCTGGAAATAACTGAGGCATGCATTGGTCGACTCAAGATGAAGAAACAAAGGGAAAGGTGAATTTCTTTGGCGCTCGAGGAGTATGGAGGATGGAAAACTGCTTTTTCTTCCGGAGGTGTATAGTGAACACTATGCTTTTGGTTTCAGCCTGGCAACCCTGCCCACATGCCGACAAGCGGACCTCATTTCCTGAGTCTCCTGCAAAACGAAATATGCACTCATTCTGTTGCAAAAGAGAAGGGCGAATCCGCCTAGCATTTGCTTCGGTCAAGAATGTAGGGGCAGCTGTGAGGGAAAGGACACACATCCCCAGCACCCTTGGTCGTCCTTTGATATGCAAGAAGCTAATTTGCACACCACATACATGCCGATCCTGCCCACATTCTGCCTCTTGTTCTAAGCCTAGCTGCATGCTCTGCATTTTGGCGTAGAGGCGAGCAGCATTGCTTTTTTTTTTTTTCAGCAATCCAACTCGGAGAAACCCACATTGAGGCTTTGTACCAGGACGACCCACGGGGGATCCGCCTCTGGCTGCCTAGGATCCGCAATATCTGAGCAAATATTGTTACAGATGCGCACCGAATTTTAATGAACTATTGAGATATGTGCCAGCATACACCTGTACTGGTGCTCTCGCTCACAGTACCATGAAAAGGATTCAACGGGGTTCTCCATCACACTCGAGAGCGGCTTTTGCAAGGGCCAATCCTTATTGACGACAAGGAGCATTTCGGCTTCCCTTTCTTCGTCCGCCCACATTGTGTTGAAAGGCAGCTTGCATGGAGGATGCAGAACATTTTCAGCAAATGGGAGGTCACTAAGTTCGACCATGAGAGCTTGGAAATCATGCTGTCACAAATTTTCAGAACGCACAGCCACAAATATCTGTTGGTCATGCATTTGCATATATCAGGCACCTCGAAGGTTGTCAGTTTTTCTTTTCAATAGGAGCATCCCCAGAAGAACTGAAAGCCACTCTCACTATGAAGAGAAAAGGCTGTTTAAGATAATTGCTGTTAGGGTTCAAATGAAAGGCAGCACCCCACGTAAACAATATTGCCAGATACCGTTTTTGCTGAGTGAAAATAAAAGGCAACAGAGCGCTCACCCTGGTCGCGACTCGATACTCTTGGTACATGCCCACAGCTTTCTTGGTGGGTGTCTGCCCTATCACTCTCTTTGTGATTGACATGCGGACAAACAGGTTGCTTCTCTGCATGGTGCATCTGGTGTCCCTCTCCACTTGCTCTTGACCCACTTTTACAGATAGTAGTGAATAAAAAATTAGGTACCATGTGCATAATCGGATATGCATATCTAGGGACAACCATTGCCGCTAAAGAAGAAACCAAAGAAAGAGCCGCTTGTGAAAAACAGAACTAGACCTGCTCTCTCTTGTCGCCACCTGGGGGTTGCAATCCTCCCATCCTGCATCTCACCATGGGATGTGTTCCTTCCCCCAGCCATTTCCCTCACTCTAGATGTTCTTGGCATCATGAGATCTATTGTCCGTACCACCAGACTTGAGAGCTGAAAGCCAGACCCAGCTTCCGGGCATCTATGGGTATTGACAACTCCTTTGAGTAGCATGTGTCTACCGCCATGCTGTGCAATACTTTACAATTCACCAGGACATGGCGAAAGGTGCTGAAAGTTGGTGTTTTCACCCTGTACTGTCAATATGAAGTGCTGTCAACTAGTTGGCACCAACAACGTCCATTCAAAAAGTATTTGATAGTCTTGTAACAAAAACTGACATGTCGGAATAGCCGAATGCCGAGTGACACAAAGCAAACCTGCATACATCCACCGCCTTTCCCATGCCCCAGCGAGAATGGCTGGGCGAGAACACTACTCTCTTGCGTTATTGTGCGGCAGTTGTTGGTTGAGAGTGTGCATGGAAATCCATTTGTCTTACTCTCACTGACCGGCTTTGTCGTATTTTGGAGAACAGCAGGTGTTTTTGGATGCAGTGGAAGCCCCTCCTCACACCCTCCATGAGGTTCGTCAGGTGGTGGCAAAATAGCAAATGCGAATCCGATATCAACTGCTGTATGAGCGATTGGTGGAGGTTGTGATCTACAAATTGGTTTGGAACAGCGGCTTTGTCTAAGCGAGAAGGCGTGGGTAGTAACTTCAGAAGTAAAAAAACAGGGCAAGCTTCCACATCCCAGCACATACCTACCTCCTTTCAACACAAAAGAGAGTCCCGGTGTCCTGTAGCAACAGTGATCTAAGGAGACATATAGGCACTTTTCCTGAGAGGTTTTACATCAGCAGGTGGAAGGGCTGGTAGAGATGCGTGGGGACACCATACGAGTAAGGAGACCTTCCTCTCTTTTTGGAGCATGCGAACATGCCATTTTCTTGATAATCTTACTGACAGGCAAGAGACTATGAGGTAAGGCAAGTGCCAATCGTCTTTATATGAAAACACACAGTCTTTGCGTTATATAGGCAATGTTAGACTCATTTTGGAGTAGTGCGCTGTGCCTTTTGGATAGAGTATGCAACTCTCAACTTTAGTTTCTATTGAAGCGGTATATGATGCTATCAAAACCAATCTCTGTGTAGATAAGCCATCAGCGATCTCTGCCCACAGGAGGCACCATGCCTGTCATCTGCTCCCTCCCCTCATGACATCCAGCGCTGCAATTGCTGTGACACAGATGTGCATCCAAATTGAGTTGGAGAAGAGACAAGAAAGCCGCTGCTGTTTTTTGCGCACCTGCCTTGGTGCTGATTTTCCTTGCCATGCAGGTGGCAGAGCAAGAAATAGAAGGGATATGCAGACCTACTCATGCGCTGTGGATGGGAGGGTTGGGCACTGGCCAGGCTAGGTGAAACACTGCTACCCTTCGAAATCGTGACGGTATTTAAAAGCAGGGCAAGAGGGCCTTGCAAATTCCCTTACCACCCTCTGTCAACCACTAAAGTTAATTCATTTTCAAGCACAAAACACTGGATAACTCTTCCACCCTATCCTTCCCAAATACTGTTCACAATGTACTTCCACGGTATACCCCATGGCAAAGCTACTGAGCTAGTAGCTCCCATGATACACACAGCCTTTAATAAAGCATGCCACAAAACGTCCACTGTGGCGGACTTCGACCAGATAATCGCCTTCCACGACGAGTACTTAGAGTATTCCCTGTTTGTCCGGTCGCTCATGGGCAGAGTCCCTCTTATCCTGGAAGCAACTATCGAGAGTTCGTATGATGACAGCAATAGCGATATAAAACACTGCCGTCGTTGGGTCAGCAACTGTGAGTTTTTTGCACAAGCACAATCTGCTTTCTCTTGTTTCAGAGGTCCGCATAGTTCAGTTCAACAAGTGCCACCAAGAACTCAACCTTGGTCCAGGCAATTGAGAGTCTCGGTATCCCCCTTGGCGCCATAGCCAATACCAGTCTCCTAATGTTCCTTGGTTCTGGTTTGTTCACCGCTGGCAAGAGGCAAGATTTGGAAATGGCGAAGGCCGAGGCTATGGATACAGTAGATACGATTCTCAGCCTCTGCCCGAATGTTACCGGTCTCTGGCATCATGGTCATCGCACTTGGAGCTCGTCGGCTGGGTTTGTTAGGGATATTCCTGGAGTGGGAGGCGAGATTATGCTGGAGCTTCATAGGAGACTGCACTCCCAGCTCACCATGATGCAGGTGATGCGTCCATTTCCAAAAGACATTGCTGCGCCATTTTCAGAGAATTTGCAAGTCCTTGTATTGGACAGCAAGCTGATTCCTGAGCTCGTTCATTTGCCCAAGGATTCCTGTCAGCAACCTGCGCGAACTCGAGATACAGCACAATAGCCGCTATGTTGACTGGACTCTGTTTCGGGCTGGGGCCGACGGGGCACTGAATCTCAAGCGGCTTGACAAGCTTGCCTTGGAGTTCGACAAGCCAGTCAAAGGTATGGCCTACTGCTCTCCATGCTTCGTTGATGTGACATTTCCAGCTGTGACACAAGTGAAGGTTAAAGGGCTCGAGCACTCCATCGTGGCCATGGAGAACTATCTACACACAGCTCAGTGCCGCCCTCTGACGCTTGTCACAGAGCCATATGGGCTTGAGAGAATGGGTCTCCCCATCCTACGGTGCGCTACACTGCTGGCTGTAAACATCAAGGATAGGCATACACATGCTGGACAGGCCTGCATGACTAGGGGTATATATAGACTCTTCAGGCATGGCCAGCAATACTTGTCAGGGGCACGGGTCACTGGCATGTATCACCCAATGCCGCCCTCGATCAAGTGGCCGTGGCTGCACTGGCTTCACTTGACTCCGGTTGTAGCCTGTGCAAATAGCATGCTGAACGTCATCGGCATGCTCAAGCATCTGCATGTTCTCGTCATTGACGCCTATTCCCTTGAGCGCAAGCACCTGATGGTAGTGGGAAGCAGCAGTTTCCTCAACAGCCAGAGCAAGGCGGTTTCGGATATGGACGATGCTGTCAAGGGTCTTGGAAGATGTGTCAGCGACCAAATTGTTCGCCTGGACATTCGGTCGTGCAAGCCGCTATGCGTTTCCACCGTCGTAAAAGTAGTCTCGCGTCTGCCTAACCTGACTAGCCTCGGAGTTAGCCCTGGGTATGTCGATGCTGTGGCCCAGGCGATTGGTGGACGTGCATCTGGTAGCTCTGAGGCGGGCTTTCGTGTGATTCATGTGCGCGAGTACTCTTCACACATAGGGGTCTTCGACGGGTAGCTTTGCTCTATTTCTTTCCTTGTATCCTTCTCCAGATTCGTTGATAGAACGCCAACAGCTCGAGCACCCGATATGCTCCTAGTAACGTCAGTAAATACGGAATGTAAATAAGATGTGCAAACATTGTCAAAATGATTAATCGCCTACGTTATCAGATATATGGCATCGACTAATGTGAGGCATTATGTGTGTACGCAACAAGCAGTGAAAATGTTGAAATGCTAGGATTACTCTCTGTCAAGAGATGAGGCAGGTTGCTCGGGCATCGGGGGTGGTAGAATGAGTGGCGCCCTTGCATGTATAGTGTTTCTATTATTGCCATTCGTGGAAATTGTCAGACACGCATTATGGAAGGTGTCACGCTTAGGCCATCAAGCAGAAGCAACAATGTCGACTTCCTGGTTCAAGGCAGGAGGAATGGTATGCAAAGGAGTATATAAAGCCACTTGGGTGGCAAGTGTGGTTGAAATGGACATTTTGGAACGACGCCCATTTCAACCTTTCCATTTGTATCTTTGATTTAGTCTTTCTTCGTCGACAGCGTTTTCACAATTATGCTCATCATCAATGTTCACTGCCCACAGTTTAGCTTCCACAGGACTCTGTTTGAAATAGAAGATACGAGTCTCCCATCTAGGCGAAGACGAATGGTAGTGCGAGTTAATAGTCCATTTTCCTATCCAGAATACTTTTAATTGCTTAGGAGGTTTCTCCCTATTTCGAGATTACAAAACACGACATCTTTGCAATATATTCGTCACTGATCATCTCTCCGATACCTGCTTCTTTACCGCTATATCATTTGCTAGTTTCACTTGCAGTATTCGGCTTACCTGTCGGCCTCAGGTATCATTTGGTACTGAATCAACTATCAGCCGCTGGTTTTTGTAGTAAAACCAACTGTGGTTCCATCTCGCAATTACGCTGTATAAATCGTCTATTTAAATCCCATTCCAATACAAGGCAGGCAGTGTCTCTTGTGAGGCTTCACCCATTGTCATATGGTATTGGTTTGTAATTTAGGAACGTCAGATCGCGGTGGAAATATCCTCCACCTCAAAATAGCAGCAGGGTCCTAACTAGCACATTTGGCCACCAAGTGGTGGGCAGCCTACTAGTCAACACCATACAAATCCTCATTGCATTAGTGCAATCCACGTGATACCCATACCTTACCGAAATTCTGATATGCAGGCTCTGTGGGGAAAATTGCCTGGCAAAATCTCAACCTCTCAGATCCGCACTTCCACTACCTTCTCAACACAACCTATCTTCCAACCATGAGGACTGATCACACACAACATGCTCAAGTGCAACGTCCGGAACTGCACCGACCCGGACAAGCAGTACCCTCTGCGGTTCGAGAACGCCGAGCTGGAGCAGGTCGAGGCGGAGCGCAACGACGAATTCCTGGTGCGCATGATCCCGCGGTTCGACTGGAACGCGCTGGTCAAGACCGCCACCTCGCTGGGCCTGGATCTGCCCGCAACGGTGCCGGCGAACCCGGCGGATGACGAGGAGTTTTTGCAAAAGTTCCACACGGTGGTTATGGAGACACACGTCAAGGAGGGCAGCATGGTGTGCGATGGGTGCGGCCACGACTTCAAGATCGTCAAGGGCGTTCCCAACATGCTGCTCGCCGAACATGAGATCTAGAGAGAAAATTTTTTTTCGGTTTCAAAAAATTTATATTCTAGTCCATCAGGGCCATTAGCATTTTTGTGTACTTTGCAACGTCGAACACGGCAGATGTCAGACGCTGCTTGAAGGCGGTGTCGCCAAGGAGCTCGGTGACGACGGGGTTGTCGAGCTGGTTGTCGTCGGCAAGCTCCTGTGCCTCAACAATGTCGTTGAGCTGGTCGTTGAGCTGCAGGTGGCCGCTCTCCAGGCCCTCGAGCACCTGGCGCGCCTTGGCGGAATCGTACGCAGTGGATTGCATGTGCGCAGCGAGCTCCGGGCTCTGGTCGATCTCGCCAAACGCCGGGGCACACGCATCGATGATGGTGCGGGCCGACGTGATGACCGACTGCAAGGTAGCGAAGAGCGTTTTTGGGTCGGGGTTGGTCGCGCGCACAATCCGCAGCATTGTCTGGATGCCTTCGACAATTGTGTCTGTTTTGTCCTCCAGGTTTATCCTGAGCATGTCCATCTTCTGCGTGATCGAGATGTCCTGGCCGGGGAGGCGCGGCGGCGCACGGTCGTCGCTGCGGCACACCTTGAGCATTTTGACGAGGCTGACCACGGAGGTGGTTAGATGGCTGGCAGCCGTTTCCAGCAGCGAGATCGGCGACACGCCCATGCTGTCGAGGTGGTTGCTGATAGCGATCTCAAGACTCGACAGGTTCTGCTCAAACGACTCCATGGTCTGCGGCAGCAGGCTGTGCCGGATGTTCGGCGCCAGCGGCCAGCGGGCGGGATCTTTGTCGTGTGCAGCCTCGTAGGCGCACACGTCGGCCCTTAGTTCGCCGCACGCGCGCTTTGACGGAGCTGGCCGCCAGCGTCAGATCGCCGTCGACGTTGTCAGACCGTGTTGCAAGCAGCATTTTGTCGACAGCCTCCTGGAAGCCGAGCACCGAGGACTTGCGGATCGCACCCTCGCTCATCATGAGCTTAGGAGGCGGCTCCAGGTCGGTCTCATGGTGGTCGCGAGCAAACACCGATGTGGTCTTGTACTTGCGGATCTTGGCCCGGGCGTCGTCGAGATCGCGCTTCAGTTCGCGCTCGCGGTCCACCAGCTGTGCCTTCTCGCGACGCAGGGCTTCGTTTTCGGAGCGCAGCGCCGGGACCTCGGCCTTGGCGGACATGAGCTGGTCGCGCAGGATTTTGATGTCGTTTTCAAGCCGCTCATTCTTTTGTGTCAGCACGTGGTTCAGCTTCTCCAGATTGTTGACCTCGTCGACTTTGCTGTCGGGCGAGTCGTTCATGCGGTAATCGAGCATCTGGCTCTCCGAGCTGCCCGATCCGCTTGCGCATGGCCGCCAGCCGCATCTCGTATTCGTTGCGCAGCTTGTCTGCGTCACTCATGGATGTGCTGCTGGTCGTGGAGGCATTGGTTTGTGCGCGAGCGGTGCGGTTGTCTGGCGTCGAGATCCGGCCCGAGCCGCCTGGCTGGCTGATCTGGATTGCGTGGTTGAGGTCGCTGGCAACGCGGTCCACGGAGTCCATCATTGTGCTGCTGCCGGGGCTCAGTGACCGCGACTCGTGGCTGCCGCCATACGCGCTATATCCGCCGGTGCTCTGGTGCTGGCTGCTGGCGTGCTGCTGATGGCCGTAGCTGCTTGTCGTTGTTGTACCCGCTTGATGGCGGCGATCGGTTGTACTGGCTATTGTACCCTTGCTGCTGGTGCATGATCTGGGATCCGCCTGGACCGCCATGCCCGTTATTCCGCATAGGCGGTTTGCCATGATCGCCAGGACCTTGCGGCAGCTACAAAATCCCACGGGAAGCTCTCAGTCAGTGAGGAAAAAACAACGCATGCGTTTGTGCCGATCCTCTATACGTTCATTTGGATGCGCGACGATGAGAGCGACTTGCAAGCGCGTTGGGGACAGGAGTCAATCTGAGCTCGGCAGTCGGCCTGTGAGCGCAGCTGGTGGATACGGAGCACCAAAGAGCACAAGGGCCCCTTGCAAGCGGATCCCGTAGCCAAGCCTTGCTCGACACATGGCACACAGGAACTGAGCCTGTTTTGGGCATCGAATCCTTACCTTGCTGACAACCTGGTTAGGGAACCGGCGCCTCAGCTCCGCATTCACGTCCTGGACAAGGTCTACAAACTTTGGCCGCGACAGCGTGGCCAACTTCTGCCGCGCCTGGTTCCGCTTTGGGTGGTAGTGGTCGCGGACCGGTAGGAACGGGACTACTGGGGGTGGTACGTGTTAGCGCCAAGAAGTAGCCGCAGGCCATTGGATACCAGCACAGCCAGCCTCCTCTTACCTTCATGGGCCTCGTTCATACGCCGGTTGAGTTCGTCGTACACATCTGTAGCCAGCTCCTGGAATTGCAGCTGCGATAGCCGTGCTAGCTTCCCGGGCTCGACGTGCGACATGTTGATTACTCCATGCCGAATTTCCTGTTCAATGAAAATGCCCATCAGGCGGCTGAACTGGCCTGCTGTCGACTCCATGGTGTCGCTAGTGTACTCGGAAAGGAAAAGCAAGGGAAAATATTAAAGTGGAAGCGAAAGAGAAGCTGGTGGTTTCTACAAACAAAACCGCCCCTTACAGCAGGCAAAAACAGGTGCAAAGCGCCCTGGGCGTTCTTTCTGGGGTGGAAACCGGGCTTGGGCTTGGCCATGGCGGCCAGTGCTCAGCTGACGGCAGTCCGCAGAACCAGCGATTGTGAGCTCCCGCTTTATTGCATGCGCATTTAGACTGTCGGCAGCAACAGAAGAAGAAGAAAAAACTGTTTTGTGCAAGTCTCTCCAGGCCCCTAGATATGGCCAAAAAGGGCGGTGCCGCGCGTATCAACTGCAACACTTTCTCCGCAGCTCACAGGCCGAGGTCTTTCTCAACCATGCGCGAGCAGATCGGGTGGTAAAAGTTGCGCAGACGCAGGAACGTCTTCTCGGCCAGCTCGCGGCCCTCAGGGCATGTGTGCAGCAGGCGGAACAGCGGCCGCGTGTACTTCATCCGGCCCTGTGTCGACAGCATATCGACAACGGCGCCTGCCACATGCATGTAGTTGGACTTGAGCGCCAGCGCCAGCCAGCTGAACCGCACCTCGCAGTTGCGGTAGTTGGTCAGCTGGTACACGTCGTCCAGCGCCGCCAGCGTCTCGTGCTTGATCGGCGAGTTCTCCGACAGCCGCGTCAGGAAAATCACCTTCTGCATCGTCGAGAAGTCCTGGATGTCGCTGGTAGAAAACTGCGCATAATCGCCGCTCTCGGACGCCTTGAGCCAGCGGTCAGCAAGATCCAGACACACCTTCTGCGGCTTCTGGTCGTAGTTGTTGCTGACGGGCGGCATCCCCGGCGCATACAGCCACTGGTCCCAGGCCACCTTGTTGAGCAGCTCGACCTTGGATGCGTCGTGCTTGCTAAAGTAGCTGAACAAAAAGTCCTTCCAGTCCTGAGTCGTGATCGACTTTCCGGCAAACTCGGTGATGTATGCCCGCATGTACGGCTCAAACACAGCAGGCCCGCCCAGGTACTGCTCGAGGTAGTACAGCAGGTGCGCGCCCTTGTCATACGGCACTGTCGAGTATGCGTCATCGGGATCGACGCCATCCAGCTTAGGTACGAGCGATGTCAGTGCGCTGTCGTGGCCGTAAAAATCGACAGCCTCGGCAAGATCGCTCTCGCCAATGACGCAGCTCAGCTGCCGAGCATCCTCCCCATTAAGCAGCGCGACAATCTTGCGCTCAAAGAACGTCGTCCAGCCCTCGTTGAGCCAGAAGTGCTCCCAGTTCTTGGTCGTTACCAGGTTGCCTGCCCAGCTGTGCGCAATCTCGTGAGCAATGACATCCGTCAGCGAGCGGTCGCCGGCAAGCAGCGTCGGCGTCACAAAGGTCAGGCACGGGTTCTCCATACCGCCGAACGGGAACGAGGGAGGCAGCACCAGCAGGTCGTAGCGGCCCCACGAGTACGGCACCACCAGCTGCTCAGCATGCGACAGAATGGTGTCCATCTCAGCAAACTCCCATGCGCAGTCCTGGATGTTCTCGGGCTCGGACCAGACAGCGCAGCGGTCGCTGATGTCCGACTTGGCCAGGTTTCCTACAACGAGCGCAATAAGATACGACGGAATCGTTGTGTTCTGCTCGAAGCTGTACACCGTGAACTCGCCGTCGTCGCGCGAGCTGGTCGAGATCGCGCTCATCAGAGCAGTCAGCGGCTTGGGTACGCGGATGTCCGCAGAATACGACAGCTTGACTGAGGGGCTGTCCTGGCACGGCAGCAAGCTGCGCGCGTGGATCTCCTCGCACTGCGTGAACAGATAAGGGTGCATCTTGCCCAGCGTTTGCTCGGGCGTCAAGAACTGAATGGCGCCGCCACTGGGCGTCGTTTCATATTCGATTTTGACCTTGAACTTGCTGCCGACCGACACGGGCTCTGGCAACTTCACCCGCAGCGCTGTCCCGTACACCTTGTGCACGGTGCTCACGTCAGTCTCAAGCGCTGTGGCCGGTGCACCGTCAGAGCTGAGCAGCGAGGCGCCATTGATGACCAAGTGCGCTGTGTCCAAAACGACCTCCTGCGTATCTGCCAGGGTCTCGATTTCCAGCGTCGCTGTTCCCGCCAGGCTCTTCTTGACAAAATCCACTGTGACGTCCATGTGGATATGGTTGGTGGTTACCTCGCCCAAATTGGACTGCGAATTGGGATCGACCTCGAACATTTCAAATGAATAGGCGCTAGTGCTGATAAGAAATAATGGTTTGCTATGTAAGCGGGGGAAAACGGTAAAAGTAGCAGCGTGCGGAGGAGAAAAACGAGTGCAGCACGCATCTGCAGAACCGCTCTAGGCCGTTAAGCTCCGGTTTTTTCTCACGACATTTTTTTTCGGTAGGCCGAAAATGCCCGTTAGCCGCGGCTCAGACGATCAGTGCGGCCCCCTGAACCATTTGCGTGATATGGCACCACAGACCATTTCCAGAGGACTGAGTCAGATACCTGTCCAACCATCTCCAAAGACGCATCTGGAAACGGCAGTGGGTGCTCTTACCAAATAAATCGAGGCATTGCGTGGCCGCAGATGTTATTGCTGGCACATCAGATTGCAAAGCAACCCCAAGCTGGCTTTTGAGGACTTCATACCTAGCCGGCTGCCATTAAACCCCCCTTCCCGACCTTCTGCCATTCAGTTCCGTGACAGGCGTAGAGGGTATAAAGTTAATGTGGCCATGAACCCAATGGTGCGATATTTGCTATCAGCATATTGCTCGTGAATAAATCCATGCCTGATTGCGCTTTCACCAAGCATCAATAGGTACAATATGTTGCCATGTCTTTTAGACTAAAGGAAATATTGAGTGTGGTGGGAGACAGGGTAAGATGCGGGGTAGCATGGCACCACATTAAAGTATTGCCACCTATAAACATGACAATTGCACACACAAGACAATGGCCTCTACCATCGTCGTTTTTTCGTGACTGCTCTGTATCAATCGCTTACTTTTGTTAGCCACTCACACCCAATTGACAGAGCTGAGTTATTCAGCTTGTGAGGCGCCTCTCACCACATAGTCCTTACGATTCTTCTGGCTCAATAATTAGCGACGCTCAGGCTACTCACTACTTTGTATCGTGATGCAGGCGGTAGGACCCTCACTCTTTTGCTTGTTGAGTGAGTCCGTGTGACGAGCGTAGATTCCCAATAGAAGCTGACACTTTCACCTTGCGCCTAGTTTCCTGAATCCTCTCATTTCTTTGGTTTAGTTTCAGCTCCTCGCTTCAGCAATGTCTTTTCGGCCCACTTCTTTTAAGCACCACTGCTTTTTCCTCCGTATACCGGCTCTTGCTAGAAAAGGCGCTATCATGTTTCTAACACCACTAAATAACCTCCACATCTTGCTTACCAACCAGTTCACTTGCAAATAGATAATCGGTTGTGTGTCTAGATCCGGCTTCCACATATCTCTACTCGCCTCTACACTGCCTACCATTTATCGATGTCCTGGAACATGTCAGGCAATATTTCTGGTGGTTCCAGATGCCCAACAAGGGAATCTGTGCCTCGCAGCACACTCACAAGCTCTAACCGATACGCTTGTGAGGTGTGTGGTGGAGCATTTCATGCAAGGAGTAAATGTACTTTGCACCGTCACACACTCTGCAGTAAGCTACGAGTCATCATTCTAACAGTATTGTTCTGGCGGTAGAGAAGCCTGGTCCGGACAGAGCTATCTGTCTACGTGGCAAGGAATATGCCATTTCTACTATTCTCTGCACACATGGATATACGTGCATGATGCTATGGGATGAAGCTCTCCGAAGGATTTCAACCACGAGCCAACGCCCGATACTGCCCAAACCTGAGCTACGCCAAGAAAAATGATGCCAGATACACTATTAGCAATGCCAGTGATATACCACTGAACCCGCCAGCTACCAGTTCTAGTCCAATGCCAACTACATCGGCCAACATGTGCCGAAAGTATCATTTAACGTGTCATGGTTGTACTGGTTGTACCTCGTAATCAATGGACTTTGGAGACAAGCAATCCACTCGAGGTGGTTGGACTGTTTGTTCATCAGCCAGCTGCTTTACTCATTTGTCGTATGTGCAAACAGACTGTCATTGGCTTCAATATTCCTGTGCATTTTGAGTGGCGTGCAGCCAGCACAGATCCATCTAGAGGTCATGCACCAGACGACATTGCTAAGCGGGTAACAGTTCAATACCTACTCACCCATCCGGTCAGAGTTTACACCTACAGCGATGCCAAACAATGGACCGAATCGTGCAGAGGACAGCCTGTTCCGAAGCTTCCTGTCGTACCTGCTATTACAGCACGCAAATGCACCGCTTGTGGATTTCTGGCACACAACCAACACCCAACGAAGGGCCATTTTGGATATGAACATAGAGAGCATCACCGAATTCTAATAAGGTTGCTGTTCCTGCGCAGCATGTTCTCATTCTGCGGAAACTACAAAAGCTTATAGAGGGTTCGGATGACTAACACTCAGCCAGCTCTGCAGGCTCAGATGAGGGGCAACACAGCAGGTTGCTGCATGAGCTAAGGGGATTACTTGTGATACTCAGGAGCTGGCTGCTGGTGGCCATGTGGAACTCCAGTAGGATTTCTGGTAGTCTCCTGGAGGACTATGCCCTGTGTCGGTTGCAGAGTGCGCTTGGAGGTTGGACATTGTTCTTTTTCCAGTAAACTACCAGCAGGTCAGGATAAGCAACTGACAGCACCTTTACCTAGGGCGCTACAAATACCAACGTGGCTCCCAGGCTCATTGTCCAGGCAACTTTAGGAAACACGCTTCCTATGCCAATGGCCAGTAAAGAATCTGTTTCCTTCCCAGTCTCGATGTCCAGCTATACGCCATAGCAAGGTGCTTGAAAGGCTAACGTGCAAAACAGCTGTTAGAGGCTGTCTACCCAAGTGCTCTGTACGTGAGATATAGCGTTCAGAAAGTGTTTTGGTCGACAAAGAGCAGCAGAGGAGCTCGGAGCGCAGATTCATGTGTACCATCAAATATGCTCAAACCCCACGCTAAACACCACCGAGAAGCCATGGTGGTCAGATACTGCGTGAGGTGGTGGTGCCACCATGGCAACCCACAAGAGTAGGCTTCGTCAGGGCCATCTTGCACCAGTACGTGCTGCCGCTGCTTTAGAGAGCGTATATGGCACTTGGTCGTCTTTAGATTCACCGGTCACAAAGCAGTTCTGCCACAGGAGAGTGCGACAGCGTTTGGTGAGCAGACATTGGTGGGGTGCATGAGTCTACTCCGCTAGACAATTCCATTCATAGTCTCACATGTGCAAACCACAAGCCGCCTACCATGGCCAGCATCACATTTATGTAGTCGGCATTCATTAGCAAGAGCCCAGCAAGTATCGCATGGGTATATTCATTTCACTCAGCCTTCTTGTTCAAAAGATTCTCAACCGCCACGGCTGCCTCCTGCTGGAACTTGTCACCGGCAAATTCCCCATCCTCATAGAACCAGGTCGCGGAACGGGCGCCTAACCTCGAGCGGCTTTGAATTAAACACAGGCGGATCCTGGCGGCTGCGAATCAGCATGTGTGTCAGCACCAGCCTGCATTTTGGCTCGGCTGTACTCGCAGCTTGCAAGTACGCGGACAGGGTTTGGCAGCCTCCGTGACACATGTGCCGTCACTGCTGCGCGAAGCGTCAAAGGGTTCACTTTCCGATTGAAAATCCTCGTGGCCGGCTCGACTGACTCGGAAGCGCTTCCCTGAGCCGGGACTGGGTTTAATAGCTCTCCCCATGTCCGGCAGCTTCGTCCAGATTGCTCCACAATGGTTTAGGCAGTGCTCGAAATCGGCATGAAAATTTTTCACAGTGACAGAGTAGACGCGGGGCAGTCTCATACCCCCCGGCTTACGAAACCCGGCCCCGGCATTATCCCCTCCTGTCTTCTCTGGACAAATTTCGCACTTTTGTTTTCTCGTCGACAAATCTAACCACTCCAAAAACCCCCCCAAAATGAGCTCCGACACCAAGGCTGACACCACCATTGCCAACAACGACGTTGTCACAAAGTACAAGGCCGCTGCCGATGTCACCAACGCTGCCATTCGCAAGGTTCTTGCCGCGTGTAATGAGGGCGCCAAGATCCTCGACCTGTGCAAGCTCGGTGACGCTGCCGTCGAGGCTGGTCTGAGCACTCAGTACACCAAGGCCAAGAAGCTGAGCAAGGGCCTTGCGTACCCGACCAGCGTGTCGGTCAACAACGTCGTGTGCCATTTCGCGCCGCTGGAGAGCGACCCGGGAGCCGACAAGACCCTGCAGGCTGGCGATGTTGTCAAGGTGCAGATTGGTGCTCACATTGACGGCTACGCCGCGGTTGCCGGTAACACCGTCGTCGTCGGCTCGTCGGAGGCCAACCCGGTGACGGGCAAGGCTGCCGATGCCATTGCTGCGGCTCACTACGCGGCCGAGACCATCCAGCGCATGCTGAAGCCCGGCAACAAGAACATGGTTGTCACGGATCATGTGCAGAAGGTTGTCGAGTCGTTTGGCTGCAAGCCGATCGAGGGTATGCTGTGCCACGAGCAGAAGAAGGACGTCCTGGACGGCGAGAAGCAGATCATCCTGAACCCTAACCCCGAGCAGCGCAAGCAGTTCCAGGCGTGCGAGTTCAACGAGCACGAGGTGTACCTGGTTGATGTGTTTGTCACCAGCGGCGACGGCCGCACCAAGCAGTCGGAGCTGCGCACCACCATCTACAAGAAGACCGGCACCAACTACAAGCTCAAGATGCAGTCGGCCCGCTCTGCGATCTCGGAGATCACGAGCAAGTTTCGGCTCGTTCCCGTTCTCCCTGCGTGCCTGCGAGGACGTGCGCAAGATCCGCATGGGTCTGATCGAGTGCTGCAAGATGAACGTTGTCCAGGCGTACGACGTGTTTGAGGACAGGCCCTCGGAGGTCGTGGCCCAGGTCACGTTCACCGCCCTGGTCACCCCGAACGGCGTTACCCGCATCACGCAGGGCCTGGCGTTCGACGAGAAGGTCATCAAGACCGACAAGAAGATCGAGGACAAGGACGCCCTGGCTCTGCTGGCCACCAGCACCAAGATCAACAAGAAGAAGGCCAAGAAGACCAAGGCCAAGACCGAGTCTGCGTAATCATATTTCTTTTTGTTTTTATAGCTAAGACAAGAACTGGTTGCTTAGGCGTCAATGAACTTCTTGAAGTTCTGGAGCCAGTTCAGGTACTCGTTCTGCTCCTTGTACTCGATGTAGTCCTGCATGAACAGAGTCAGGGCAGTGTCGATGCCGCGCTCGGTGAAGAACTCGTCAATGTTGTCCTTCAGGTCGTCGCTGAGCTGCCCATAGACCGGGCCAAAGTACGCCTGGCGGCGCGCCCAGTCGGCCTCGACGGTGTCGGCCACAGCGGCCTCCTCGTTGCGCAGGAACATCATGTGGTTGACGCCGATCTCGCCCTCCTCGGTCTCCAGCTCCATGTGCAGCACGGGCGCGCCGGGCTTCGAGAACGTGGCGGTAAAGTTGATCGGGAAGTCCTCGGGCGTGTCGGCCGACTTCTTCTCGGCCTCCTTGACAGCCTCGCCATCCTCGTTCTCGCGGTACACCTCGATGTCGGCGATCGGGTCGTCGGCGTTCAGGATCTCGCTGGTGTCGAACGACACAGTGACGGTCTCGCTACCAAACTGCTTCGTCATCATCACCTGGTTGCTGCCCACGGTGGTCTTGAGCTTGAATCCGGTCTTGTTCGAGAACGCCTGGATGAACTCGGGCACGCCCTCCTCGGCCGCCTGCTTGGTCTCGTAGTCGATCTCCTCGGCCAGCGTGTGCGACAGGTCGCTGTCGACTGAGCCGTTGCCACGGGCAATGCGCGTTGTGCTGAGAGAGCGGATCGCGGGTGTGGTGCGCAGCGCCGAGAGGGTTGTGGCGGCGCAGATGCGCGAGGCAGGGAGCGCCGTGCGGGCGGCGAGGATGCGCGAGGCCGGGGCAAAAAGACGGGTAACGCTCTTCATTTTTTGAATGTTAAAACTGACAATTGGCAGGAGGAAGCAAAGTGTTGACAGCAGAGAAGAAGAGGTTTGGTGATAAGGGCTGGTCTGGGGCTCAGGTGCGCTTTGCTCCAGTTTTTCGCTTGACTGCCAAGCCGCACCCAAGCGCCGCAGTGTTATGCTCAGCAAGAGGCAATTTCACTTATTTTTTGTTCTTAATTTTGAATGTCCGCCTAAGGCGCTAGATTAGATCAGTGCGCTGGCCTAGGTGAACTTGACCTGGATGCCATCGGCGCTCGACGTAGCGGTGCTGGCAGCGAACATCTCGCCCTTGATATTGACAGGCATTCGGGATCGCAACCGACGCGCCGATCTCGCAGTCCTTGAGCTGCGCCTTGTCGCCAATCTTGGCTAGCTTGCACACGACGCACGACTCGAGCTTGACGCCGTCGCCAATGGTGACATGGTCCATGATCACGCAGTTTGTGATCTTGACGTCCTTGCCAATAACGCAGTGGGCGCCGACCATCGACAGCTTGACGGAGCAGCGTTCGCCCAGCTTTGAGTAGGCACCGACCAGCGAGTCGGTGCCAACCTGGATCCGCTGCGCCTGGTCGACAGACTCGTCGATGCGCGCATCGGTTGACACACGGGTGACGACGCGGTTCAGGTCGCAGTACATGGGGATGCGGTTGGCACGGACCAGCAATGCCGTTGCGGCGCAGGTATGCGAAAACCTTGAGCGGATCGTCATTGTCGACCTCGTCCAGATCGGTGCCGTCGGGCAGGCCAAACTGGGCCGACGTGTCGTTCTCGTCAATGTGCCTGGCGTAGCGCGGGCGCATAAACTTGATAATCTGTTCGCGTTCAAGCAGCTGTGGCTGGCTCTGGGCACGCACCAGCATGGGCAGAAGGTCGTCCTGCAGCGAGGACATCTCAGGGTGGGCGGCCAGGTAGTCGAGCACCCAGCGCTGGAACACATAGACGTGCGAATCCTGCATCTTGTTGGACATGGCCAGCGACGGGAACTTGCGCACCAGCGACATGCGCAGCTCCACCTCATCGTCGTCCTTGTCCAGCGGCCGGAGCATCACCAGACGTGACGTTGGCTGGTCGATGCCGATCAGCGGCAGCTGCACAGCAGCCTTCGACGTGCCGCCGCCGCCCTTGGGCCGCATGGTCTCAAAGAACATTGAGGCGACCGAGGGACGCCGCAGGCGGTACATGTCCAGGAAATGCGCAGCCGGCACATCAATGATGAGATCGCATGGGACCACAATCACGTCGGTCTTGATCTGCGGCGCCACCTGGCGCAGGGCGTCGGCGGTTCCGGCAGCGTCGCTCAGCACGCGGACCGTGATCTTGGCCATGCCCTCGTAAACACCACGGATGTAGTCGGAGATATCGGGCTCGCTCTCGCGGACCGTGACAATCTCAATGTCCAGCACACCGCCCTGCTCAAGCCATTGCAGCACATACCAGATCATGGGCTTGTTGGCAATCGGCAGCAGCGCCTTGGGCGTGTTCTCGCGTTCTGTCAGCGGATACAGGTCATTGCCGGGTCCGGCCAGAATGATTGCCTTGAACTCGGGCGTCGCGACATCGAACCCCTGTGCTGTGTTGCCAAACATGCGGGTGTTTTCTTCTGTTTTTGTGAGAAAAGAAAATGAACGTTCCAAAAATAGGTCACTTTCTTTGGGTATGTACAGTGCCAAGAAAGATATCGGGTACCGCGTGGTGCCGACTAGTATGGAGGATATTGGTCGAGCGAAGGGTAATGAGCGAAGGCGGGAAAGAACAGTGACTCTACTGCAGACAGATGGCTAAAGTAGAGCTGGGACGTTGCAACCTGGCTGCCGACTGGCCCTTACTATGGCACAGAGAGCAATGTGTCGATCGCTTTTACCCCACTGATTTTCTGTGCGGATGCCCGCATTGGTAGCTGCTGAGAAAGTTCAGCATTCAGGCTCCTTGCTTTACTCTTCCATTTCAGCTTCTTTTTTTTTTCTCTTTCAATTGCTAGCTCTCCTTTGCATCAATCGAGGCTCCATTCTCTTTCCCTCCTCCTCCTCTTGTTCAGCACCGCATATCATCTTATTCAGCACACCTCTCACGCAAAAGGCGCTTCGGTCCCAGCACAGTTCCGTATTAGTTCTTGGGATACCAGAAACGCACTTTCAGCATAATTTTTGTTGCCTTAGCGTGCAGACCAACACAGACGGCTTTTTTTGGTGTTTGCTAGCTGCGAGACCAGACTGGTCCTTTGGCCTGTGTTGCACTCTTTCCGCTTCTCACAATTTCATAAACTCAAATTCGCCGTTGCAAACCCAGGGGTTTTTCCTGGCAGAGACACGCACGCCGGGCTTCGCTATTTCGATAACAGTATACTGTCTGGAGAGGAGAGGCAGTAAGCGCTGGCCAGCAGACGTATATTTCTCCTTTACTCTCTACTCTCTTCCTACTTCCGCCCCCAAGCGCTGCAGCCCTTTATCTGCGAGCAAAGCTAACGGAACATGGTCTCTCTGCTGCAGAGCGATATCGATTTCACGACGACCGCCGACCCTGATATTATTACATTGAGACCTCTCGAAAGCGACCTTGCAAAGCTGGGTTTGGAGCAGCAGCAGCCCATTTCACCGCCATCGTCCCTGGAGAAGTCTAGCAGGAGGCCACCAGGCGCTGACGACAGCTCATTTCTCATTTCCGGCCCTCTGCTGCCCATCCGGCAAGCCAGGCGCGGAGTGCCCAACAGCAACCGCAACTACAGGATTATTGGGACACACACATTCATGGCATCAGCAGAGCTACAGTCGCAGCAGGCTGACATTGTCACGAGCATGCTGGATAGCAGGTTGCGCGGATTGTACGCAAAGCGAGATGGCCGACCCCGAGATGCAGCAGCAGCAGCAGCAGGAGCAGTACCATCCGCATGTCGACGAGCCGGTGCCGAGTCTGGTGGATTCGGGCAGCAGCAGCAAGTCGTCGTCGGCAATGACATCGATGTCTGTGCAGAGCGAGAAGCCAGCGGCAGTACCGCCATGTCCACCGCGGTAGCCGCGAGCGCCTGTATGACAAGCACAACCCACGCGAGGTGCCTGAGCTGCCGATGCAGCACATTAGTCTGCCGGCAAAGTATAGCAACCCGCAGCTAACCATCGGGAAGTCGGACAGGCAAGCAAGGTGGCAGCGTCGTATGCACCCTACAGCCAGGCCCACGGTCTTGAGCTCGACGGGCGCAGCGGCTACAGTCAAGGTCAGCTCACTTTTGCCTTCCGCCCGCCCATCCCAACCTGCCAATGGCGAGCCAGCAGTTCCTTGTGCAACAGATACCCAACGGTCGGTCGTCAAGGGAGTACCGGAGCTCAATGTCGGCGGAATCGCTCACCCAGATCCGGCTAGCGAGCCCGGAGATGCGGGCGCGGCAGCTCCAGCATCAGCAGCAGTCGCACCAGCAGTCCATATCGCCAGGTAAGAAGCCTACCAATGCTGTTCCGTTTGCTGTGCCCACTCTCGAAGCGTTGTTTATGTGCGCCACGCGCCTCATGCTGGGCACAGCCCGGTGCTCTGACGTGCGTGCGCACAAATATGCAGCGCGGAGAACACCTACCGCCACTGTGTTTGGAAAACAAATGCCAGCTTGCCTCTTGCCACTTCTGAACCTGGGCGCGCAGTATCCTTGGCTGCCGATGCTGCCGATGCTGCTGCGCCCTCCCTCTCCTAAATTGCCGGCTGCTCGCATGACCCAGCCCACCACGAGCACGCCGGCGATGGTTGCTGCCAAGCCTGTTTTGCTGGCTGCCGTGAAAGAGTCGTGCGGAAAAGGCGCGCCGTCCCTCCTTTTTGTGCTGTCTCCGATTTCCCCACTTCAGGCAGCTGACCGCAACTCGCATTATTAGTCGAGTCTCAGATAAGGAGGTGGGCATTATTTTCCCGAGCTGGTTTCAGGGGTGTTTGCTCTTGCCTGCTCTTGGGCGATTTTTCTTTTCTGAGCCAGCTCTGCCCCCTTCTTTATTCTCTCGCCTTCCTTGGCCACGCTCTGCATTTATTTTTAGTGGCCTCATTCGTGCACACCGGCCTTCTCTCCTCTCTTTATATCTTGGCACGCTGCATCCATTTGCTATTGGCATTCTCATACTACAAAGCGCTGCTGCCAAATCGAGCTGCAGCACAAAGGCCCTTTCACTCCTTGTTTTCAAACAATTGTGCCATTTCCCGCCATACTTTGGACATCCGACAGCGACCATCTTCAGTATCCTGTATCCAGAAACACTAAATTGCGTGCATAACCGCTTTTCCGCTTTTCTACATAGACCTTCCATCGCTTGCCGACAGGTTGACGAGCCACGACAACATCCAGACAGGCGCTGCTCAGGGCGATGCACCAATGTACTATGCCGACTCGGAGACCGAGGGCTGCCACGGTGCGGCCCTGACAACCTCCAGCGACCTTACAGCAGCGAGCAACACAAACATCAACACCAACAACAATAGCACAGGCGCGTTTGTAATAGCAGAGTCCAATCTCAAGGCACGCAGTATCAGCGAGGTCAGTCCGTGCGTCGTGGAACGAGCCCAGTGACAGCGAGGGGTCGCACATGTCGGAGCGCCAGCGGCGGCGCCTGGCTGTGCGCGCATCGGTGACCACCGAAAAGTATTATGTGCGGTCAGTAGCCCCTGGTGCCATGGCGGCCAACGGTGTAGCAGCCTCGAACGGCTTCAGCGGTGTCGGATCTCCAGTCTCTGTGGGTGCAGCAGCAACAGCGGTGATGCCACTGTCGCCGCTGACAGACATTGCTAGCGAGCTGTACGAGGAGTCATCGGCAGACGACGAGCCGGTAGCAGCGGACTGCGACCTGGTTGCCGCTCAGGCCGAGGCACAGCGTCGTCAGGCCAGCAAACAGTACTCCCTGAGTCTCGGAGCACCGCGCCAATTCGTTCGACTTTGGCCGTGCTCGGCGGAGTATGTACAGCGACGACGACATGGACGACATGGACGATGGCCACGCGCCGAGACATAGCACTGCAGCAGCAGCAGCAGCAGCAGAGCATGACTGAGCTGGCCCTCACAATGTCGAACCATGTCGCCTTTGACGATGAGTCGAGGGCATCGAACCGCTCGTTTGGCCGGTCCAGCACGCACAGCAGCATGCGCAGGGCACGCGAGTCGGAGAAGCGCGCGCGCAGACCAGAGATTGAGGCTGGGTACGACGGTGACGTCGAGGGCCTCATGCGTTCAGCCGGTCGCGGGGTTCCGATGACCAGGCGCAACACAGTCGCCGGCGACAAGATTGATATGCTAACTGCGTCACGGTCATCGACCAACATGCGGCCGCCGCGCAATACGGGTGACTTCTCAGACATGACCCACGCACGCGACGAGAAGCGGACGCTGCGCGGGTCGCGGCGTCGGTCGGCAGTGCAGGCATTCATACCGATCGGCACGCAGATTGCGCCAGGCCACGTCAACTACGTGCTGATGTACAATATGCTGACTGGCATCCGTGTGTCGGTGTCTCGGTGTGAGTCCAAGGACGCGCGGCCGGTGCGCCCAGAGGACTACATGGCAGCACACAAGTACTCGTTTGACGTTGTGGGTGACGAGATGACGCCGTCGTCGCGCTACGACTTCAAGTTCAAGGACTACGCGCCCTGGGTTTTCCGGTGCATCCGCGAGGCGTTCCACCTGTCGACAGAGGAGTACCTGGTGTCGCTGACGGACAAGTACATCCTCAGCGAGGTCGGGTCGTCGGGCAAGTCGGGCTCGTTCTTCTACTACTCGCAGGACTACCGCTTCATCATCAAGACGGTGCACCACACGGAGCACAAGTTTATGCGGCGGATCCTGGCGCAGTACTACTGAGTTTGTGCGCGACCACCCGAACACGCTGCTGTCGCGGATCTACGGACTGCACCGGATCAAGCTGCCGCAGGGCCGCAAGGTGCACTTTATTGTCATGAGCAACATCCTGCCGCCCAACAAGGACATCCACGCGCAGTTTGACCTCAAGGGCTCGATGCTGGGCCGCGAGCTCAGCGCCGAGGCTGCAGCCAAGCCGCGCGCGTGCATGAAGGACAAGAACTGGGTCAAGATGGGCGAGCGCCTGCGCCTGGGGCCGCACAAGCGGCGCGAGTTTGTGCAGCAGCTGATCGAGGACGTCACGCTGTTGATAAGGCTCAACATCATGGACTACAGCCTGCTGGTTGGCATCCACGACCTGACAAAGGGCAACAGCCTCCAAGCTGCGCGACACGACGCTATCAGTGTTCGACCCGCAGACCACTGACGTGCAGCGCCAGAACCGGCTGACGCGCGCGCACACCATCCGCGATCAAGGTGCAGCGTGTGCACCCCGTCGCGCTGGACGCGTTGCCGCTGGGCTCGGCGCCGCCGCTGCCGCAGTCGATGTTCCGCGAGCTGCGCCACTCGGTGTTCTACCGCGAGGACGGCGGTATTCTGTCGACCAGTGAGCGCGACGAGCCGGCGCAGCTGATCTACTACCTGGGTGTCATCGACATCCTGACGCCCTACAACATGGTCAAGCGCACCGAGCACTTTGTCAAGTCCATCGTCCACGACGGCAGAGAGATCTCGGCGGTGAACCCGCGCAAGTACGGCCTGCGCTTCCTCCGCTTCATGGTCAACTCGCTCGGGCAACTCGGCCGACGTCTTGCCGCTGCTCGAGCAGTTTGAGCGCACAACGTACCAGGAGATCTGCCGCGAGCACAGCATGATCTAACCCCCTCGCCAACCACACCCACCCCACCCTGTACACCTTTTACACTTTTATAGCCGCCTTGGCCCCACTGCCTCTTTTCTATTCTACACTAATTCTCAAAACAGCCTCATCTCATTTCGCTTGCAAATTCGGAGCCATGCCAAAGTCAAAGGAAATCAGCTAGCAAGAGGCAGCAGCAGCAGCCCGCCAAAGCAGAGTCCTGCCGATAATGCGCCGCGGCAACGCAGGCAGCACAAGCAGGAGCAGCCCAAACGCGGAGATAGCCGCAATCGTGCCTGACAGCGACAGCGACAGCGACAGCGACGCCGATGGCGACGACGGGTTGGCTGTCCGGCACACCGCGCGTGCCGTCGCATGTCGTGCGCAAGCTAGTGGCATTCTCGCTGCTCTTGCTTATTATGCCCATCATGGTGTACTTTATGACGCTAAAGTACGTGTTTGCTGGGAAGACAGCGGCATCGGCGATCGCAGCCGTCGTGGCAGCAAACCTTGTGCTGGTCCGCCTTCGTCTACGCAGCATGGGATCGAGGAGCTTGAGGACAGAGAGCAGGACAGCAAGGCAAAGAAGCAATAGATCTTGTTTGGCCGAATGGCTTTTTAAAAGAGTAGAGACACTGAGAAAGAAATGTAAAAGGTAGAGCGAGGGACCGACTTGAAAATGCTTAGAGCCCATCGTCCATCATGTCGTCGTCGTCCATTCCGTCGTCAAACTCCTCGCTGGCCAGCTCCTGTGCCAGCTCGCGCTCGCGTCTGACTGCATCGTTGACATCGGCAATGTCCTTGCGGTGATCCCTGCCCGGATAGCGCATGGCAACCACCGACTCGTTGTGCAGGTTCAGGCAGAACGCAATGCGCTTGTCGAACGCCTGCTGCGGGTCGCTGGTGCTGTACACATCCTGGATCTCTGAGCTCTTGACAAAGCCCCTCTCATGGTCAATCGTCGCATCAATGACGCCGTCGCGGATTGCCTTGGCCACAATGTACTCGGCGTCCTCCTCGCTGTCCAGGTGCAGCTTGTAGCAGATGTCCCGCAGCGAGATCCGCGAGTACGCAGCGCTGATGCTGCGGATACCTGCCTTGATCACGTTGTGCCGCAGGCGCTGGATCAGCACCAGCACCTGGTCCTGCAGGAACTTGTCGCGGTACTGGCCCACCACGCTCTGGAACTGCGCCAGATCGCCGATGCGCACCGCCTGCGTCAGCTCCAGGTACGGCTGCAGCGGCTTCTTCAGGATCGCCTGCCGGAACAGCGAGCGCTCCGGAATGTTGCCCATCAGCAGCTCCACAATCACGTACAGCTTGTGCACCGTCTGCTGGAACCCGGCCGTCGCCGCATTCGATGCAGCTTTGCGCGTCGCCTCTAGCAGGTGTGTGTGCGCCACCGTGTAGTTGAGCTGCACGGCCTCGATCCGTCCCATGTAGTACAGGTACCGCGCCAGCACACTGTTAGGCGCGTCTGTCGGGAACGCCGTCTTCGCCGCCAGCCGCTCAGCCTGCTCATATAGCCTGTAGTAGATGTAGTTGCGCAGCAGCAGCGTCAGCAGCGTGGCCTGCGACTCCTTCATACCCGTCAGGGTTGCTGTCTGCAGCGCGCTCAGCAGGGTCGGCCGCGCGTTGGCCAGCGAGTTGCCGACCTCGTAGAATCGCGAAAAGTAGAAGAACACGCGGCCCGCAATCGGGTCGACGGTCCGCCGCTGCACACTGTTCACAACCCCAATCAGCGCATGCGAGAGCTCCGACCCCTTTGCATATTCCTTAGTGTCCAGAAAGGTGCATCTGCACCAGCAGTCCAAAATAGAGGGCTACCTCTGGCACGCACGCCTTCACCTCGCCCTCAGTCTTGCCGCCACTGGTGCCTAGGGCTGCTGCCGCAATCTCGAGCGCCTTGGCCACGGCCGGGCTATCGCTGCTGCTGTACTCGGCAACTACCTTGCCCAGGACCGGTGCTCCAGGCGCTTCCGGAGAGCAAATGTAGTGCGCATCGCACGGTGGATATAGTGCACCTCTGACTCGCTGGCCCCCCGCTCCAGGAATTTGACATTGCGCACGAGATCTACCCAAATGGCGGTCAGTACGCATGCGTGCAGCTGCGAAATTGCAAGGACCTCACCCTCATAGTATCTTTACCTTCACGTAGAATGCGCTGGGCCTCGGCCACCTTCTGCTCCTCAGTCAGCTCAACCTCCATCGATGCAGCCTCCTCGTTGTTCGTCATTAGTGCTCGGGGAATTTCAAAAAAGGTGTGAAATTTAGGAATATGTGTGAAAAAGCGATGTCAAAGAAGAGCTGCTTGCGTCAAATGTCTGCACTGCACCCTGCCATCGGCTCGGCTGCATACGTTGCCTCTGGAAACTGAAGGGGCTTTGGGCCACGTCAGTAATCGCCGATCTAGGCTACGTGATTGATCAGTCCCTGCCAAGCCCGTGCCGAATCAATTGTGATTTTCAGCACTGACGGTTGATCAATGCTGGTACCATGCCCCTATTTGCAAACTATAAAAGGCACCAGATGCCTGGTGTGCGCTTCTAATTGCTCATAGCTTTATCTTTTCTTTCTCGCACCCCAATCCCACATTGCACAAAATAAAACAAGGCTTTTTCGCTTCAATTGCCAATGATACTGATTCCCCAAGTCCCCCTCGGCGAGAGCGTACCGCCCAACACAAAGTATGCCGTGTCCGTATCACTTCCGACATGGGAGGACAATGTCGACTACGAGAAGGGTGACCCTCGCGTTGTGAACCGCATGGTCAGTGGATACCCACGCTTCTTTATCGCCATGCCCATCCAGGCACTAGTAGCCAATGTCAAGGACCGCTTCGCACTGCCCAACGAGACTGCAATGCTGTTCCCCTCCCAGGCATGCGCAGACCGCTGTGTACAGTTCATCTACGACCAGGCACCCAAGCAGCAGGGCGCCAATTCCTACGCGCTGCCACACCAAGGCCAGGTCCGGGTTGTCCAGCATGTCGTGGAGCCAATTAACAAACAGGCCGCGGCACTTGACACCATGGGCTCGGTATTGAAGAGCGCAGTCACCATCTACTGCGTGCTTTTCCCCGAAGACTTGTTCCCGCTGGCCAAGCAGTACTGGCAGCACACAGGCGACGGAATCTCGGCGCGCTTGGCCGACTATTGCTTGAACATTGCGCGGATTAACGAAGAGTATGAGTCGGCGACCAGCCCGTACACCGCAGTGAACGGAGCGAGCGCAGCGCGCCGCGGCAGCAAGAGCGGATACAGCCGTGGGTCGGTAGCACAGGGCCTGCCATCAGTTGACGCTGCCCTCGAGGCCGACACCTACCTGGAGGAGCGCTTTGGGCGCAACTTTGACCTCAAGTATGCGGCGGAGATGAAGGAGGCACTGCGGCGCCGCATTGCTGATGCCATGGGCGAGCATTCGCGTGCAGATGGCGCGGACGCAGGCGCCAGCAAGGCGGTGGGATTGAGCTCTGACGATGTCTACATTGTGGCGACGGGGATGAGCGCTGTGTTCCACTCCCACCAGGCGCTGCTGAAGGTACGCCAGGGAAAGAGCATCTGCTTTGGATTCCCGTATACTGATACGCTCAAGATTTTGCAAAAGTTTGGTCCTGGCGCATACTTCCTGGGCCATGGCGAGGGCGACGATTACCTGGAGCTCGAGCAGATCCTGGAGCGCCATCACCAGGAAAACGACCCAATTCTGGCCATCTTTACCGAATGTCCGAGCAACCCGCTGCTGAAGACTGCAGATTTGCCGCGCCTGCGCGCTCTGGCCAACAAGTATAACGCAGCACTGGTGGTCGACGAGACGCTGGGCAGCATCGCCAATGTCGACGCGCTGAGCTGGGCCGACGCTGTGGTCTCAAGCCTGACTAAGGTGTTCAGCGGCGACAGCAACGTCATGGCTGGCAGCATTGTGCTGAACCCGGGCCAGCCGTTCTACGGCTCTCTGAAGGCATCGTTCGGCGCGCTGTATGAGGATCTTCTGTGGTGCGAGGATGCCATTTTCCTGGAGCGCAACTCGCGTGACTTTATGTATCGCGTTTCTAGGATCAACGACAACGCGCTGGCCGTGGTTGAGCTTTTGCGCGCCAGCGACAAGGTCGACCAGGTGAACTACCCCAAGTACACGACCCCCGAGTGCTATGCCAGGATCCAGCGCTCTGGGCCCGACGCTGGCTTTGGCGGCCTGCTGTCGGTCGTGTTCCACGGTGGCGAGGAAGCTTCGAAGGCGTTCTACAATCACCTGCTCTGCTGCAAGGGACCATCGCTGGGAACAAACTTCACGCTGGCCTCGCCCTACACCATCCTGGCCCACTTCACCGAGCTCGAATGGGCTGCCCAGTACGGTGTGCGCGCTGATCTGGTGCGCGTCAGCGTCGGGCTCGAGCCCCGACCCCAGCTGCTGGCCATGTTCCAATCGGCACTGGACGCAATCCCAGCCCCGGCTTCACAGTAGCTAAAGTTTTAGAAAATTTTGCCCACTCCCCACAGAAAGCGAGCTTACCATCAACTTTCGGTTTTTTTTTTTTTTTTGCTAGGCGCCCAGTACTGATGATGACTCCATGCACGCGTGTCGGCTTGCTTGCCGTCCCTCTCTCTTCTTCTCGCACTTTTTTCATTGAATTTTAACTGAACTTTTTCGACTCGTTTCTTTTGTCGCAGCTACTTTTGTTCTCTAACTTTCTTATTAACACCGCAAAAACCAAGCGCGCACTACGCCAGGCCAAATCTATATTTTTGACGCCTGCTCGATTAGAACACTTGACCACGCATCTCAGCTCACCAGCAAGCAACAAAATCAGCAGACGGTATCTCAAGCGAGAGCCCAATTCAAACGCCCTTCTGCTCTTTGCATCGCCTATACTCTCCAAAGCAGCACTAGCCACCTTTCGCACCTTGTCTCTTTCTCTGCTGCTGCTGCTGCTGCACTAGCTCTCCCAACCCAATAGCCAGAGCGCCTCGCTATTTCTTATTCCCACTGCTCTCCTCTCCTTCACCTACCTTTATTTCTGTTGTATTATAGCCTTCGTTACAAAGTATTCTCTTCACTTTTTCGACACTAGCTTACGATGGCCAATTCGCATCTGCCGAACAGTAACGAAGACTGGAAGAAGTCGCTGAATCTTCCGACCAAGGACACGCGCCCCCAGACCGAGGATGTCACGGCAACCAAGGGCAACGAGTTTGAGGACTACTACCTCCGGCGCGAGCTGCTCATGGGCATCTTCGAGGCCGGCTTCGAGCGCCCGTCGCCAATCCAGGAGGAATCGATTCCGATTGCCCTGACAGGTCGCGATATCCTTGCTCGTGCAAAGAACGGCACAGGAAAGACTGCTGCGTTCGTTATCCCGCGCTGGAGAAGGTCAACACAGCAGTATCCAAGATCCAGGCCCTGATTCTGGTGCCAACCCGTGAGCTGGCCCTGCAGACGTCGCAGGTGTGCAAGACCCTGGGAAAGCACATGGGTGTCCAGGTCATGGTGACCACCGGTGGCACCACCCTCAAGGACGACATTATCCGGTTAAGCGACACTGTGCACATTGTGGTTGGCACCCCGGGTCGCGTGCTGGATCTGGCGGGCAAGGGCGTAGCCGACTTTAGCGAAGCCGAGACCTTTATCATGGATGAGGCCGATAAGCTGCTCAGCCCCGAATTTACGCCTGTTATCGAGCAGCTGCTGTCGTTCTTCCCGCCGAAGCGCCAGATCCTGCTGTACTCGGCAACCTTCCCGCTGGTGGTGAAGAGCTTCAAGGACAAGCACATGAACAAGCCCTACGAGATTAACCTGATGGACGAGCTAACCCTGCGCGGTGTCACCCAGTACTATGCTTTTGTTGAAGAGCGCCAAAAGGTCCACTGCTTCCCCGTATCTGACCACCAGCTGCTTACTTCGGAGGGCTGGATGTTCTATGAGGATGCCAAGACGCGCCTGGCCGAGACCACACGCGACCCACTCCTGTTTGCCTCGTACGATGTGTCGTCCAAGGCGCTTGTGTACGAGAAGCCGAATGCGCTGGTGTACAACCCCACTGAGACCCAAGACTTTGTCGAGTTCTCGAATGCTGCAGAGGCCAAGCGCTGGTCCCCTGATGCAGACAAGTACGATGCCGATGAGGACTCTGGCTCTGAGCAGAGCCACGCCCTCTCGGTGCTGGCCACGCCTGGACATGACATGTACGTGCAGCTGGGCCATGCCACTCCATCCGACGACTCGCAGGTTGACTGGACAAGCAAGGGCTACACCAAGGTCAAGGCAGATGCCATTGTGGATGGCGCCGAGAATGCGGCTGTGCGCTTCCTCGCGCATGCAGCAAACGGCATCAAGGGGTCCAGCGCTGCGGATGAGCCTGTGAGCGAGGCTACGGCCCTGCCACTCATTCGCGAGCTTGTTTGTGAGCTTGGCATTGCTGCCGAGAAGCAGGTGGACGCTTTCTTGGAACTGTACGGCTACTGGCTCAGTGTGGGTACCATCCAGGATGCTGGCGCGGCCAACGAGGTGTCGGCCATTACGCTTACCGTGCGCAAGCCTGCAGACCAGAAGTGGATCGAGGAGCGTCTGGAGACGCTCAGCCTCGAGATGGGAGAGGACGTTGTCGGCTGGCACGACGAGGTGGTCGACCAGCACCACTACCAGATCAAAAACCCTGCCTGGACTGGCTATTTCGCTGGCCAGTCTGGTGCTGACAAGACTGAGAACACGGATGGCGCCAAGCGTCTTTGGAGCTGGGTCTGGTCCGGCGCGTTCCAAGCAGGGCACGCACGCGCCATTCTCTCCTGGGCTGTGCAAGGCTGGCGGGTCGGAAGGCTCCTCTACCAAGTCGAAGTCGGGCACCACCTTACACCTCCTCAGCGCGTTTCCGTGACGAGCTGCAGACTCTGGCGCTACATGCCGGCTACTCCTCGTCCTTCCGTCTGGTTCGCGGTGCCAGCTCGCCAGCGTCCTCTGAAGGCGATGCCACTGCGGTGGCCAGCCCTTGACCAGTGGGCGGTGGACTATATGGCCGACCCGCTGCCACCCACGGCAGTCGAAGCACCGCAGCGATGTCAAGTACACTTGCCGCACTGACGCGTCGTGGTGTGCGACAATGCCGAGCGGATTCGTGGTTGTGCGCCGCGCTCTCCTGGACTCGAAGACCCAGGTTGTAACGCGCGCATCACTGCCCACCATTCAGGGAAACTGCCTCAACACTCTCTTCTCGAAGCTGCAGATCAACCAGTCCATTATCTTCTGTAACTCGACCAACCGTGTCGAGCTGCTGGCTAAGAAGATCACCGACCTCGGCTACTCGTGCTTCTACAGCCACGCCCGCATGCTGCAGTCGCACCGCAACCGGGTCTTCCACGACTTCCGCAACGGCGCCTGCCGTAACCTGGTGTGCTCGGACCTGCTCACCCGTGGTATCGACATCCAGGCTGTTAACGTGGTCATCAACTTTGACTTCCCCAAGAACTCGGAGACCTACCTCCACCGCATCGGTCGCTCGGGCCGCTTTGGCCACCTCGGCTTGGCCATTAACCTGATCACATACGAGGACCGCTTCAACCTGTACAAGATTGAGCAGGAGCTGGGCACCGAGATCCAGCCCATCCCGCCCGTCATCGATAAGCGCCTGTATGTTGCCCCCAGCGCCATGGACGAGCCGCCCCAGCAGCGCCAGCTCCCTGCGGCTGCCAACAGCAACGCCCACGGCCCCGTGCCTCCTCCGGGCCTGCAGCGCGATCAGCAGCGCCAGGGTCCTCCGGGCCACCACAACAGCTATGGCGGCGGTCCCCAGCACCACTAGGCATGACGTGCTGTGCTTTAACGACACCTCATCCGTCTCATCCCCTTCCCGCTTTTGATGACAATATTCATCCCTTTCCTCAAGCCCGCCAACCCACCACCTGATTCGCATATGACGGCGCCAAAATATTTGTTCTACGGGCGCATCCTGCATACGCTGGGGTGCGCATACACGTTGGGAATAAATATATTGCTCACAACATCGCATTCTAACGTGCAGCTGGAATGACATTGCCGCTGGCGTACTGTCTGATGTCGTTCATGCAATCCCCATCCTGTAGCATGCTTTCGGTAGAAGTCGTCAGCGCAGAGAGCAGCGGATGCCCCATGCCGAAGTCGCGCCAGCGGTAGTATCTGTTAAACTCTTGTGTGCGCGGCGGCTCCAGCCCAAATCTGTTTCCAAGCAGATGCAGTGGGCCAGTGTACACCAGCCCAGCAATCTCTGCCACGCCAATGTACTCTGATCCTCCATATGCTGGGCCTGTGTTGTGTGCATCGGCTGCGCGCAAGAGGTTGTCGATAGTCCGCACCCATTGCCACAGGCGGCTGCGCAAATATAATATGCCGGCCAGTCCGCCATGGTTGATAGACCATGTCTGTAATCAACCGCAGCGTGTAGCTGTACATTGCCAGCAGACTCCCGAGGAACCGCCCCAAGTGCTGGTGGTCGTTTGGATGGAGTGGAAACGGCAAGCGATTAGTAGCCGTATTCAGGTAATGCAGAACACCCATGGTGCCAGGGATGTGCATTGGCGCTGCTTGCGCGCGCTGCTGAGGAACATATAGGTACGGGTACTCGCGGGGGCAAAAGCTACACCAAACGCAGGCATCCATCCACGCCGGTGGCGCAAATGACGGGATCTTGACTTCAATATGTGGAATATCTAGCAGTGCAAGCGCAATGACGGCGCAGCGGGACGGCGGGTAGTACTTGTTAGTGAAAATAGTGCACTTTCCCTCTTGGATGATGCCGCTAGGAATGCAGGTTTCGTAGTGATTCTTTCGAGCTGGGTCAGCCATTTCCAAAGGGTAAAGCAGAGGGCGCAAGGTGATGAAGTTCTGGAAGAATAAAGAAAGCACGCCTGTCCTGTGCAATCGATTTTTGCCACAGCATCATTTTATAGATGCTGCGGGGCGCCATCAAACCCTGGCCATGTTGCGGTTGATATGTCGCACGCAGTCCATTGCAAGGCTCGATATATACCCTCACATTGCAAGTATGTGATAAATCGTTAGCTTGAGCTAATATCGCTGATGCTTGCCCCAGGAGCACTGGTGTCTGCTCTGTAGCGCTACTGCCATGACGCTCTAGAAATAGCGCTGGTATGTATCAGAGCGCTTTGGATGCACTGTGGGCTCAGCACCACGCAACCCTGTCAGGGCTGCTGCAAAAATCGGCCGGAAATAATGGCTCTGACGCCGCAGCTTGCCAATAGCCGGTGACATCTAGATATTGCTATAATCAATTGCTATCATCAATTGCTCCAGTCACCCCAGGCGACAGTGGTGACGCAATATGAACCTCAGACTACCGGTTCTGATCAGGAGCCGAGCCGAGCTGCCAGCTGGGCATTTGGTGCTAGGTATTGGCTCGACCACTGAGCGTGTGCCAGGCAATCGCAGCCTAGTAATCGCCAGCGCAACATCGTTTTTCAGCCGCCTGACGCTGCCTTCTCCAGTTGTGCGTTATTATTCTGACATTTTGGAAGTTTTGTTTTCTTTGGTATTTTCTTGCCTCTCATCACAATTCCAAATGACAGCGACACAGCAGACAAACAGCAGCGGCCGCGTGGTGGTCAACACGTCTAACCTCAGCGAGCTGAAGACGACATGCGACAACTCGCTGAAGGAGTTTCTCAAAAGCAAGGGCTACGACGAAATGCACACGCACACCGACGTAAAGCTTATCCTGGGCTACGTTGGAGTAATCTTTTGTGCTATCGACTTTGCGTACAGCTGGAAGTACCCCTTCAGCCAGACAAAGTGGTTCTCGTACATTAGCGTGTCCATCTATGCGATAACATCGGGCCTGGCGCTTCTCTACTCGTACTTGGTGCAGCGCGACACGTTCTTTGTTGGGTATAACAAGGCCAAGGGCCATATTGTGTCGGCGGGTTCATCGACTAAGCGCAACGAGCCGGTGTACAGGCTGACGCTGACGACAAGGCCGATTCGCGGCCGCCAGGATCCGCCTGTGTTTAATTCAAAGCCGCTCGAGGTTAGGCGCCCGTTCGCGACCTGGTTCTATGAGGATGGGGAATTTGCCGGTGACAAGTTCCAGCAGGAGGCAGCCGTGGCGGTTGAGAATCTTTTGAACAAGAAGGCTGAGTGAAATGAATATACCCATGCGATACTTGCTGGGCTCTTGCTAATGGATGCCGACTACATAAATGTGGTGCTGGCCATGGTAGGCGGCTTGTGGTTTGCACATGTGAGACTATGAATGGAATTGTCTAGCGGAGTAGACTCATGCCACCCCACCAATGTCTGCTCACCAAACGCTGTCGCACTCTCCTGTGGCAGAACTGCTTTGTGACCGGTGAATCTAAAAACGACCAAATGCCATATACGCCCTCTAAAGCAGCGGCAGCACGTACTGGTGCGAGATGGCCCTGACGAAGCCCTACTCCTGTGGGTTGCCATGGTGGCACCACCACCTCACGCAGTATCTGACCACCATGCACTTCTCGGTGGTGTTTAGCGTGGGTTTTGAGCATATTTGATGGTACACATGAATCTGCGCTCCGAGCTCCTCTGCTGCTCTTTGTCGACCAAAACACTTTCTGAACGCTATATCTCACGTACAGAGCACTTGGGATAGACAGCCTCCAACAGCTGCTTTGCACGTTAGCCTTTCAAGCACCTTGCTATGGTGTATAGCTGGACATCGAGACTGGGAAGGAAACAGAGTCTTTACTGGCCATTGGCATAGGAAGGCGTGTTTCCTAAAGTCACCTGGACAATGAGCCTGGGAGCCACGTTAGTATTTGTAACGCCCTAAGTAAAGGATGCTGTCAGTTGCTTATCCTGACCTGCTGGTAGTTTACTGGAAAAAGAACAATGTCCAATCTCCAAGCGCGCTCTGCAACCTGACACAGGGCATAGTCCTCCAGGAGACTACCAGAGATCCTACTGGAGTTCCACATGGCCACCAGCAGCCAGCTCCTGAGTATCACAAGTAATCCCCTTAGCCCACGCAGCAACCTGCTGTGTTGCCCCTCATCGGAGCCTGCAGAGTTGGCTGAGTGTTAGTCATCCGAACCCTCTATAAACTTTCGTAGTTTCCGCAGAATGAGAACATGCTGCGCAGGAACATCAACCTTATTAGAGTTCGGTGATGCTCTCTATGTTCATATCCAAAATGGCCCTTCGTTGGGTGTTGGTTGTGTGCCAGAAATCCACAAGCGGTGCATTTGCGTGCTGTAATAGCAGGTACGACAAGGAAGCTTCGGAACAGGCTGTCCTCTGCACGATTCGGCCCATTGTTTGGCATCGCTGTAGGTGTGAACTCTGGCCGGATGGGTGAGTAGGTATTGAACTATTACCCGCTTAGCAATGTCGTCTGGTACATGACCTCTAGATGGATCTGTGCTGGCTGCACGCCACTCAAAATACACAGGAATATTGAAACCAAGGACAGTCCTGTTTGCACATACGACAAATGAGTAAAGCAGTTGGCTGATGAACAAACAGTCCAACCACCTCGAGTGGATTGCTTGTCTCCAAAGTCCATTGATTACGAGGTACAACCAGTACAAGCATGACACGTTAAATGATACTTTCCGGCACATGTTGGCCGATGTAGTTGGCATTGGACTAGAACTGGTAGCTGGCAGGTTCACTGGTATATCACTGGTGTTGCCAATAGTGTATCCGGACATCATTTTTCTTAGGCGTAGCTTAGGTTTGGGCAGTATCGGACATTGGACTCGTGGTTAAAATCCTTCGGAGAGCTTCATCCCATAGCAGAATACACGTATATCCATGTGTGCAGAGAATAGTAGAAATGGCATATTCCTTGCCACATAGACAGATAGCCCTGTCCGGACCAGGCTTCTCTACCGCCAGAACAATACTGTTGGAATGATGACTCGTGGCTTACTGCAGTGTGTGTGACAGGTGCAAAGTACATTTACTCCTTGCATCAAATGCTCCACCACACACCTCACAAGCGTATCAATTAGAGCTTGTGAGTGTGCTGCAAGGCACGGATTGCCTTGTTGAGACTCTGGAACCACCAGGAAATATTGCCTGACATGTTCCAGGACATGGATAAATGGTAGGTAGTGTAGAGGCGAGTAGAGATATGTGGAAGCCGGATCTAGACACACAACCGATTATCTATTTGCAAGTGAACTGGTTGGTAAGCAAAGTGTGGAGACTATTTAATGGTATTAGAAACGTGATAGCGCTTTGCATGCTGTGTCCAATGATGCTTATACACCTCAGGTACCTGCTTGAGAAACTGAATGGCAGAGGCTTGGCCGATGAGAGGCGAAATGACATTGGGTCGAAAACGATTATCTATTGGGCTTATTCAATGAGTAAACCAACGGGATGCCACTGTACATCGTGGCATACTAAATGCGGTGCCTGTAGATAAATGCTCATATAGCGGAGGACATATGGCTGGGAGTCGTTGTCAAAGTCGATCACAGAGATATCCGTGCTTGTGTTATCAAATAACCAGTCTTACCACTGCTTGCAAGCGACAGACCGTGATACTAACTTCATGTTCTCTGGTCACGCGCATGGTCTCGAAAGTGGGCTGAAATCAATCAGGAGAGGAATTCAGAAGCACCATTTAATTGGTTCAAGCTAGGTTGATAATTTTTTCTCTTCCGGCTGCGGTCGCCAGGGCAGCACATTTTTGCCTTCTCTTCCAGGCTTTCCTCCTCAATTTCAGCTTATCTTCTCTACAATTCCTCGCCAAGAAGAATGAGCACTAGTTTTGTTATTGCGTGCGTTGGAAAGCCGTCGGCAGGCAAATCGTCGTTTCTGAATGCGGTGACTGATGCGACGGCGAAGGTGGGCAATTTCCCGTTCACGACGATCGAGCCAAACCAGGGCATCGCATACTACCCGGTGGACTGTCCGTGCAAAAAGTACAACAAGGCAGACCGGTGCAAGCCGCGGCATGGGTGGTGCAAGGACGGCAAGCGGTTTGTGCCGATCAAGCTGCTAGGACGTGGCGGGGCTCGTGCCTGGCGCGTCAGAGGGCAAGGGCCTGGGCAACCAGTTCCTGGACGATCTGCGGCATGCTGATGTTCTGATCCATGTGGTGGATGCATCGGGAACCACAGACTCGAACGGCAAGGAAACGAAGGGATACGATCCCATTGACGATATCCAGTGGTTGCGTAGCGAGGTGCATTCGTGGATCTACAACAACCTGCACAAAAAATGGGCAGGGACTGTGCGCAGACATCCTGGCAGTCAAGGCGACGGCGGTGGAGACGCTTCATGCGCAGCTAGCAGGATACGGGACATCCAAGGACATAGTGCAGCGCACGATGGACAAGCTGAAGATCAAGGAGGGCCTGGGGCAGTGGGATGACGAGCAGCTGGAGAAGTTTGTGTCAGGGTTCCTTGACGAGCGGTTCCCGACGATTGTGGCTCTGAACAAGATCGACATGCCTGATGCGGACAAGGGAATAGCGTCGATTCTGCGGCGCTACGGCAACAGTGGGGCGCGCGGACAGCCGGTGAAGGACGGGGTGCGCGGGGACAACATCGTGCTGACGTCAGCACTGGGCGAGTGCTTTTTGCGCAAGATGGCGCAGCAAAAGTACATCAGGTATGAGACGGGCGACGACGACTTTATCACCAAAGAGGATGATGCTGACGACGAGTACAAGCTCAAGCCCACCGACGAGAAGGCGAAGCGGCGACTGGAGAACATCCGCGACCTGGTGCTGTTCCGGTACGGCTCGTCGGGAGTGCAGGATGTGATTATCCGTGCGGTGGAGGTGCTGGGCATTGTGCCCGTGTTCCCGGTCAAGAACCTGTCGAACTTTGGTGCTTCAGGCAGACGGCTCCAGCGCGGCTTTCCAGGACTGCGTGCTGGTACGGCCGGGCATGACAGTGCGCGAGTTCGCTGGCAAGCTGCACAACCAGCTCACGCAGAACTACCTCGGAGCTGAGACAGTCGGCAATATCCAGCTGGGCGAAGACGATGTCATTGTGGCCGGCAAGAACAACATCATAAAGTACGACACGAGCGGGCTCCCGACTGACTAATACGGCGTGTGGCTAGCCGAGTTCAGGAATTGCCCGAGGGTCTGTGTGTCCGGTGGGCCGATGGCACCACTTTTGCGTACCAGTAGGCATGCATTTGTAATCGAAGGGGCGGGGCGTGTAGATCTCCAAATATTTTACACTGATAACAGGCTGCGCTACATGGGCGGCTGGCTAGGAATATAAAAAAGCGCTGACTGAATGCACTGCTGCCCAGCTGAGCTCTTTCACTTGTTCACCACCTGAATTCACACACTCTTTAGCTTTAGTTTTAAAAAAAATGTCACCCCTTGCAACCAAACTCTTCGACTTCATCGTCATCGGCGGCGGTAGCGGCGGGCTTGCCTGTGCCCGTCGTGCAGCCTCGTACGGCGCCAAGGTCGCGCTGGTCGAGGGCAGCGGACGGCTAGGCGGCACATGTCGTCAACGTGGGCTGTGTTCCCAAGAAGGTGATGTTCAACGGGGCCAGCATCATCGAGGCGATTGAGGACGCCAAGCACTACGGCATCACTGTAGGCAGCCCGTCGTTCGACTGGGGATTCCTGAAGAACGCGCGCGATGCGTACGTCAAGCGACTGAACGGGATCTACGAGGCGAACGTGACCAAGGACAAGGTCGAGTACGTCGAGGGCATGGCCAGCTTCATCAGCGACACCGAGGTGAAGGTGAACGACAGCGTGCTGACAGCCAAGCACATTCTGATTGCAACGGGCGGTCGGCCAGTGATTCCGGGCGTCGAGGGCGCCGAGCTGGGCATTGACAGCGACGGCTTCTTTGAGCTGGAGACGCAGCCCAAGAAGGTGGCGGTGGTTGGCTCCGGCTATCATTGGCATTGAGCTCGCCGGAATCTTCAAGACGCTGGGCAGCGACGTGACGGTGTTTACGCGCACGCCGACATATCCTGCGCCATCACGACAGCATCATCGGCGACACGATGCTGGAGGAGATGAAGCGCATCGGGATCAAGTTTGAGCACGACTCGCAGGTGCTGGGCGTCAAGAAGAATGCGGGCGCCGAGCTGCCGCTGGAGCTCAGCTGGAGCACCAAGGGCGCTGGCAACTCGTCAGACGCATACGACTGCGTGCTGTGGGCCGTTGGCCGCAAGCCCAACACCGAGAGCCTGAACCTGGCGGCAGTGCCGGGTATCGAGCTGAACAAGACGGGACACATTGTGGCCGACGAGTACCAGAACACCGGCGCTGGTGGCATCTACTCGCTTGGCGATGTGTTTGGCAAGTCCGAGCTGACGCCGGTGGCCATTGCTGCCGGGCGTCGTCTGGCCGACCGTCTGTTCGGCGGCTCGCAGTTCGCCACGTCGAAGCTCGACTACGTCAACATCCCGACTGTGATCTTTGGACACCCTACGGCCGGTACCATTGGGCTGTCGGGGGAGGAGGCCAAGGCCAAGTATGGCGCTGAGAACATCAAGGAGTACCGCACGCGGTTCACCAACATGTACAATGCCATGACGCCGTACAAGCCGCCGACGGCCATGAAGCTGGTGGTGGCGGGCGCCGACGAGAAGGTCGTTGGCCTGCACATCATCGGCCGCGGGTGCGACGAGATCCTCCAGGGATTCGGCGTCGCCGTCAAGATGGGCGCGACCAAGAAGGACTTTGATAGCTGCGTGGCCATCCACCCGACCAGCGGCCGAGGAGATTGTGACCATGCGCTAAGCGACTTTTTATTGTGTCTGCTGAATATAATTCCCGTTAGCTGGATTATGACACCCCCGGGTTCGGGTTTCTCTTTGTGCAAAGCGTTCTTCTTCTCCACACGTTTATATCCTTTACTATCACGCAGCCTGCTATCTCTTTTGCTTTCCACAATTACACTACCACCATGCCAATTCGCGGATTTCGATGGTACTGTGGTAGGGCGTCATTTCGCGTGGGGGTGCTGCAGATGCACTGCTGAATTCACATCCCGGCCAGGGCGGTATTTTGAACCAGTCTTCCAGACAACTAAACCACACGATACCTTGTAGTTTACCTGCAGCAGGCCAGTCTCCTCCAGGAGACGCGGCTCAGCGCGCTCAATAGCACGCGGCTAGGAATCGAGGGCCACAACTGGCTGCGGCTATTGCTGTCGGATGTGCGCTCGGGCGAGCCCACAGCAATCGGCGGGGTGCCGCAGGCGCTGGAGAATGCAATCAGCAATGAGCTCGAGTTTTACAGCCGACACAAGATCACGCCGGTGTTTGTGTTCTCTGGGCTGGCGATCAGCCGCAAGGACAACCGGCCGAACCTGCGCGACGACCGGCGCAGCGAGCAGCGCAACGAGGCGTGGGCTGCACTACTGGAAGGGACACCAGGAGCAGGCAATGTACGGGTGGAGCACAGCGGGGATCCCGGCACAGGCCGACATGGTTCCGTATGTGATGCATGTGCTGCAGAGGCTGGGGGCGGAGTGCATGCGTGCGCCGTATTCGGCGTGGGCGCAGCTGGCGTACCTGGTCAAGCACAAGACGCAGCCGATCCACGCAGTATACTCGTCGACAGAGATCATCATGTATGATGTGGACCGCGTGGTCACGGCGGTTAACGCGGCGAAAGGGCACGTTCACATGGGTGCTGCGCGACAGCCTGCTGACAAACTTCAACCTGCCGTTCGAGCATCTTCTGGATGCGTGTGTGCTGGCTGGCGTCGAGGGGTGCCCGACGCTGCCGCCGCTGACGACCGAGATGGGCTTTACATTCCGGTCGGCCGTCGATGCGGTGCGGTACTACCGCGGCGGGTTCGCAACCGTCCAGGCATATTCTGACCATCCGCAGGTCAAGCCGCTGAACTACGCCTGACCTGTACTGCCGCACCCATGCCGCCATCCGCTACCATATTGTGCTGCAGCTGGATGGCTCTGTGGCCCCGCTCAATGCCGAGTATGCGCCCAATGACCTACATGACATCATCGGGTACCGGTTCCCGAACATAGTGTACCAGCTGCTGGCGCGCGGCGTGATCCACCCGCAGACGCTCAATGTGCTGGTATACGGGTCTTGGCTAGAGTTCCTGCCGCTGGACAATGGCGAGTCGAGCGAGATTCATGGGTTTGTGTCGCAGTGGATGCGCCGATCGGCCACGGCCAGTCTGGATGTGCTGTGCAGCGCGCTGGGCCCCTTCTTCCGCCAGCGCAAAGATTTCCATGTCGACGTGGTTCGATCCGGCCAACGAGATGCTGCTGCACGACGTCAGCCCGGTGCCTGGCCACAAGCCCATCGGCGCGTCGCTGGCGCGCACGTCGGCAGGCGATATGGGGACTGATCTGGCAGCCATTTTGCAGCGCAGCGCCGAGACATCGTCGTTTGTCAGTGCTGATCCCAAGGCACAGAAGACGGCTAGCGCCGAGTCTCACCACCGATGCTTTCGTGTCGACGCTGGCGCTGCTGGGGTTCATCAGCCGGGCGGACGGCAAGCTCACGCAGCTGGGACGGGCTCTGCTGGCCGGTCTGCAGGCACTGCCGGAGCAAAGCACCGCTGCCACGCAGTGGGCGGTTGTGGTCGCTGTGGTCCTGCTCGACCAGGGGCTGCTTGTCGGGCAGCAAGTGGAGTCGTTGCGTACGAGGACGCGCAGACGCCAGCTGGCACCAATGCTGCGCAGCAGAAGCACATCCGGCTACTCTCGCGCATCGCATCGCTGCTGCCGCTGGCGGGCCGCCAGGGCCAGCTGAAGGTGCGGTATAACCGGGATCTGCTGGCATTCAGCAGCGCGGCGCGGCTGGCGCAGAAGACATCGCTGAATGTGCTGGAGTCGGCCATGGCGGTGCAGGCGCTGGGGGAGCCCGAGCTGTCGCAGGCGCTGGTTGGCAAGCTGTGCGAGCTGCGCAATGGCCTGCCGTATGACTTTGCAAGCACTGATGCGTTGGGGCTGCTGGTGCATGCGCTGCTGGCGAGCTTTGCCAGGGACGGCGGGGCCGGGTGCTGGGCGAAGTTTGCCCAGTCTCTGGGCGACAGCGTGGCAGACCCGGCGGCGGCCGTGGGCAGTGCGTGGGCGCTGGCCAATGCAGTGCTGGCAGCTGGCAAGGTGCTTGGGGATCAAAAGGCTGGAAAATCGGCGGGTGCCGGCAGATCGTCGGCTGTCGCGGTGGCTGGCGATCTCAAGGCTGCGTGTGAGTGGGCGCGGCCGCTGTTTCGCAGCGTGCCAGGTGGCAAAGCGTAGCCTGTCTTCTGTTTTCTTACAAAATACAGCATGCAGATCTTGTTCAGCCCACGGCAATAGTCGGGCACGAGAAGAGGCTCTGCGCCTGCCTGGTCTGGACATGTACGCCCGAAAACCAGCCAGAGAAACCTGCAACAGAAAACCGTCAACAACAGGCCGTGTATATTGGCAATCTCGCGGTCTCGCAGACAAAAGTGTGCTGTTTCCTGTCCCTTCTTCTAGCGTGTCTATTTCTTATTCCTCTTCTCCCTTTAATTTACACATCTCCCTTTCGAATTCCCTGTGCATCCCGTTGTCAGACTTTTAGGTATCCTCGGTATATTTTACTCGCAGCCTATCAGTCGCACACAGCGTGGATATATTTTCACTGGTATCACCTTGGAACTCTGTTGAGTGAGAGAAGCACCTGTCCCGATATCACGCCTACAAGGGAACACAAGGTATGTCGCGCTTATTTGCACTGGTTCTGGCGATGCTACTGCAGCTGTCACGACCCCTTTGGTCACTGTGGGCATCTGGGGGAGGTGGAGACTGACTGTGGGGTCGAGTTCCGCATACATGTTCCCGGATGCACTACTTTTTTCTCCCTCAATGTTTCTACCGTCTGGTAGCCCGCCCCTCATTCGTGCCTCCCTGGTTCTTGATGATGATGGTGATGATGCGAGCTGCTCCCAGCCATGTCGAATTCTTTACACGACAACAAACAGATGAAGCCTGAGCTTGGGAAAACAATGCAGCTCTTTTTTTCTACCATTGCGTCAGGTCCCAAATACGCTTTGCACTAGGGAGCCATGTATAAACATGCATTGTGCTGGCTCTCTTGCTGAACGCCAGCGCAGTGCGAGAAAGAGTCTTTTCCAGCATGTGAGCTGGGTCCTTTGCCGCCCCTTCCCCAGATCCCCTTCCCTTGGAACGAGGAGCCAGTGTGGAGAGGCGCAATCCAGCACCAATTTGCAGCAGTGTTTGAGAAAGAGCAGCGCGAAAAAAAACCTCATGCAGATCCGTGGTATTGCAGGCGGGCTGTTGATCCCTTTTCTTTCTTGGTGGTAGCGAAAACAAACCGAAATTGCAAGAGAGGAAACGGGTGTGTTTTTTGCTGCCATCTGGGCATAGTCTTTTGAGGCGAAAAAGCTGGCTGCAGCGGGTCGTCCCTCTGGCTGCCTTCCAGATTCAGCATGGGACGAGGCGAAGGCGAGAGAAGAGCGAAACCCCCGGTGCTAATAAAAGAGGAGGCTCGGGTTAAACTGTCGGCCTATCGGCTTCCATTAATGGCTTTGTATCAATTGGGCCTCACTTTATATTTTTCGCTTCCTCCATATCCCTGTGCCCTTTTCTGCTTTCCTTGCTTCCTCCGTTCCTCAGTTGTTTTCTGTTTCGTATTTCCCGCTCTTTCTTTCAGCGTCGTATTTTAGCTCATAGTAGCATTATATATATCATTCTCGGGAGACTACTTCAACAATCTGCTCGGCTCTTATCTGGCACACGCACATACAAAGCAAAGCCGTTTATCAGCGCTGGTTGTTTGCAGAGCCCACTTTTATTAATACCGCACTCTTCTACAACGTGTGACGAGCCCAGGGGGGCAATTTTCTTATATAGCAAACCTCAGCAAAAGCAGCCTTTTTGAGGTTCATTTATTGGATACGCAGAGCCCCGCAGAGTAACAGGAACTGATGTCGTTCTTTGTTCGAGCAGTGTACGATTTCACGAGCCAAGAGACCAGCGGGCTGTCGTTTAGTCGTGGCGACGTAATCGAAGTGCTTGCGCGGCTGGAGTCGGGGTGGTGGAACGGAGTCAGCGGCGAGAACCGCGGATGGTTCCCGTCAAACTACGTCGAGCTCCTGTCGCCTGAGCAGGTGCAGGTCCTGCTGCAGCAACGAATGCTCATGCAGCCAACAGCAACAGCAACAGCAGCAACAGCAGCAGCAGCAGCAGCAGCAGCAACAGCAGCAGCAACAGCAGCAACAGGAAGTGGTGGAAGAGCAGGCTGTGGTGCCAACGTCTCCAGGTACGAGCAACGCTTTGCGGGCTCAGCACGACGGGGCGGCGCCGGTCGAGGTGGGGGCAATCCAGGGCATGGACCATTCGCTACTGACAGCGGCAGCTAACGAGAGTATCTACCGGCGTGGATCTATTGCGATTGTAGATGGCTCGCCAGGCGTGGCATCAGCGGTGCCGCCGAGGCTGCGCATGAACCGGCGCGCCTCGATTCCGTACAACCCCATTGCCGAGGACAACGAGCCAAGTGAGCCAGTGCAAAGTACCAGCAGCGGAGCCGTGGTGGCGACGCAGCAGGCAGCAAGCGTGGCAGGCAGCGGCCACAGCCTCAAGACACCGCAGGTGAGCGGCGACGCGGAGCCGCGCATGGCGCAGTGGGAGAGCCGCATGACGATGGACGGGCGGACGTACTACTGCAATATCTTCACCGACAGAACCGCGTGGACGGTGGACGACGATGGAGCGGCAGCGGATGCAGACCGGCGGAGTCCGGCGCTGGAGCTGATCGGCGACGAGATCACGCTGGTGCATGTGTCGACTGCTGATGGGGCAGGCACGCGAGGGCGGCGGGCGCTCGCACCAGCGCTCGCTGTCGCACCGCAGCGGCCAGGGGCTGGCGGCGGGCGGCGGCGCCTGGGAGCAGCTGTCTGCAGGCGTCTCGGCGGCGGCCTTCAATCTGGCGGCAGCGGTGGGCGCGGGCGCCAAACACGAGTTCTTGCCGCTGGTGGCCCAGGCAGTGGCAGCAGTCAAGCGGCTTCTGCTGGCATCGGCGGGTGGGCCGGCGCACGACGGGCCGGCGTTCCGCACGCACCGGCTGCTGCGCGAGCACCACCGCGCCATCACTCACGGCGTCTGCGCGCTGACGCTGTCGGCCAAGGTGGCCGCCACAGTGTGGCCGCCGCCCGATGCCGCCGATGCCGTCCATGCCGACGTTGCCGGGCTGGTGCGCGCAGTGCGCCGGTTCATCGTCGAGGCCGAGAGCGCTGGGATCCCTCTGCGCGCACCGGCGGCGGCCGACGAACAGATTGACTTTTTGCCGGGCATTGCGCCGGAGGCTGCCGGGCGTCTGCGCGGACTGTCCGTGACACAGACGGGCGCAGCGCCAGGCCACGGACGTCGGGCTAGCACGGTGGTGCGTGACGAGCACACGGGTGCTACTACACTGGTTAAGGACCGCACCGACGGCTCTGTGGGTGAACCGGTAGCGGCCAGCTCACTGTTCGGCAGGGACGAGACAGGCATCCGCCAGCGGCTGCGCCAGCACCTGGCCGAGCATCCACCAGCGCAACCACAGCCGCGCGACGTATGCAGGAGCGCTGGACGACGGCAGCGCGTCGGCACTGGACGGCGCATCGGCGACAGCTGATGTGCTGCTGCAGCTGGACGACGGAGCGCGCGAGCTGGCGCGTGTGATTCTGGCCTTCGACCGGTACCTGCGTAAGGTCGAGCGCTTCTACAGCGACGAGTCGAGCGGCGACATGCCGGTCTCGCCGGGTCGTGGGCCGGTGCCGCACCGCGGCTCGGTCAGCTACATGCGCGCGGCGGCTGATGCGCGACTGATCGCGTATGCCAAGGGCCTGGTGGCGGCGCTGGCGGTGTTCCTGCAGGTTGTCGATGACTTTGACGCGTTCAGTGCGGCGGTGGTGGGTGCGGCAGCCAGTGACGACGAAACGGCACTGGAGACCGGCCCGGCGTCGCTAGTCGCGTCGTCCATGGTGGGCATGCGGACTACACGCACGCAGGTCAGCGAGAACGTCGGGCTGCTGGTGGCTAGCCACGCAGGACTTTGCTGAGCTGGCGCACCGACTTACCGGCGGCGCGGCCGAGCCGCTGGACGACCCCGAGTTCCCAGCGTCGGATGCCGAGTCGAGCTTGATCACCCCGCCGCTGCCTGAGCGCATCCTGCACGTGCTGGTGCAGGTGGGCGAGTCGCTGCAGGCGCTGAACCACACCACCATGGCGCTGCACATCGCCGCCAAGCGTGTGGTCGAAGCATGCGACGTGTGCGATCTGCGCGTGCTGTGGCTGCGCGTGGCCAAGCTGCACGTGCCCGCCGACGCCCTGGCCAGCGTGCCAGTTGGCCCGGCAGCTGCCGGTCTTGCACTCGGCCCTGGTGCCGCGTCACCGCACTGCACTGGGCTTCCGCCGGTCGATCTCGCTGCCGCACCTGCGCCGGGCTGCGCTCGAGAGCGAGCCATCGGAACGAACACTGCTGGCGCGGCCACGGGCCGACACTGTCGATGCCGCCGATCACTTGGCACTGCAGATGTCGCGACGCGTCGACAGCGCGCAGCCGCGTGGTGAGAGCAGTCGACTCTTCGGACGGAACGCCGCAGGCGAATGCCACTGTACGTGATGCCCGCGCCAAGGACAAGCTGAGCCGGTTCTTCGGTGACGACGCGGCGGGCGCGGCCTACCGCAAGACCAAGCGGCCGTCGCAGCTGTCGGACATCACCATTCCGTCTATTGGTGGTGGGTCAGCCGGATCGGTGAAGACGCCAACCAAGGCCACCGGCGCGTTCGGCGAGGAGCCAGCGGGCGGTGCGGGTGCGTCATCGATCGGCCATGCCCACTCGACGATCTCAAGCCGCGCATCGGCGAAGATGTCGGCGAGCGGCGGGCTAGCGTCGCCAGCGCCCGCAGACCAAATCCCGTGGTATCTGACGTACGACTCGTCGCCAGAGGACCTGCTTCTGAGCGCCGAGGGCCAGGTGAAGGGCAGCACGCTGCCGGCGCTGATTGAGCGGCTGGTGGCACACGACGTGTCTGACCCGAACTTTGTGTCGACGTTCCTGCTGACCTATCCGGTCGTTTACGACGACGCCGGAGCTGTTCGAGGGCCTGTTCCGGCGGTTCCTGATCCAGCCGCCACCCGGGCTTACGGACGCCGAGCTGGCAGACTGGACCGAGCGCAAGCAGAAGCCGGTGCGCCTGCGTGTATTCAACTTGTTCAAGACGTGGCTGGAGCAGCACTACGTGGAGCAGGTCGAGGGCGACCCGCTGGGGCTGGAGCTGCTGCGCGAGTTTGCCTGCACCACGCTGGCCGAGCACATGTCGGCGGCGGCCGACCAGCTGGTGCGGCTGATTGACAAGCGCCGCGCGTCGCAGGGCGGCCTGCGTCGCATGGTGCCGAATCTGCCACATGCGGCGCCGCCGCCGATTCCTGCCGCGGTCGCTGAGCCGTCTGCGTCTGATGGACATCAATCCGCTGGAGCTGGCGCGGCAGTTCACGTTGATCGACTCGACCATGTTCAACAAGGTGCGGCCGATCGAGTGCCTGAAGACCGCGTGGTCGAAGAAGCCCGGCGACCCGAAGGCGTTCAATGGCCTGACCGTCGAGATTGCGGTCAATGTCAAGGCCATGTCGACGCTGAGCACGCAGACCACGCTGTGGGTGACGGCCAACATCTTGCTGGAGCACGAGATCAAGAAGCGCGCTGGCGTGATCAAGTACTTTATCACCTTTGCCGAGTACTGCCGCGGGCTGAACAACTTCAACACGCTGATGAGCGTGCTGGGTGCACTGACGTCGGTGCCGGTCGAGCGCCTGACGCGCACCTGGCAGGCGGTGCAGCAGAAGGCGCTGGGCACCTACAGCCAGCTCAAGCAGATCATGCGCACCGACCGCAACTTCTCCGAGTACCGCGATGCCCTGCACTCATGCAACCCGCCGGCCATCCCGTTCGTCGGCATTTACCTGCAGGACCTGACCTTCATTGAGGATGGCAATGACGACGCCATTGCCAATTCCCCGCACCTAATCAACTTTGCCAAGCGCCAGCGCACCGCCGGCACCATCCGCGATCCTGCAGCAGTTCCAGAACGTGCCCTACAATCTGACGCCCGTGGCCTGAGATCCAGGACTGGCTGCTGAAGCGGCTCGAGGAGCTGTGCCCGAACGGCCAGAGCTCCGACCGCCTGGTCGAGGAGTTCTGGAAGATGAGCACGACGCTTGAACCCAAGGAGAAGGAGAGCGAGCGGGTGCTGCGTCTGCTGACAGGAGTCGGGCTTCTTGTAAGGCCTCCCTCCCCTGAGATGAGTTGGCTAAAAAGCAACCGGCTGCTTTGCAAAATATGATTGCTGTTCTTTCGTTTCTAAACCCCTATTTTCTTCTGGGCTCATCATCACCGCCACCCTTAATCCAATATTCTTAATCCAATATTACCAAAATTTTCTTCTACATCTGGGTTGAAAAAAAAAAAACTGTCCAAAAGGCACGCTCGCCGCTCTCAGCTTGTTGCTCTCACTTTATTCCAATTCAACTGTATTCCCCCTACCTTTACTTTCGCTTCTTCGTCTGCGTTTCTGTTCTATTTGGCATCGTACGTTTTTGCTCATAAGGGAGAAATAAGGGTCTCAGCAAAACACAAGCAAATAGGTAAGGGTGTCTTTCTACTCTCGATCCTTCGCACACTGATCGCCAAACAACGGCCAGCGGCTCAACCCCCGATCCCCACTGCCCTGTAGACGAAAAACACCACTTATACATATTATCGAAAAAGAATGGCGGGAAAGGGCGACAAGAAACACAACAGCAAGAAGGGCGAGAAGAAGGCGTCCAAGAAGATCGCAACGGAGGTCGAGGATTTCCCGCGCGGCGGCGCCTCCGGGCTCACACCGCTCGAGTACCGCGAGGTGTCGCGGCAAGCCGAGCGCGAAGTGCTGTTCTCCGACGGCGTTCTAGCGAGCGACGTCGCCGACAAGAAGAAGCAAAAGAAGCACAAGCGCCGGTCCAGCGAAGACGGCGGCAGTGTGGAGAAGAAAAAGAAGAAAACCAAAAAGTCCCAGCCCACGGAGGACGTGGAGACGGAGACTTTGGATCAGATCATCGACCGTGCGGCGCCAGTCGAGTCGCTGTCGTACAAGCGGCTGACCAAGGGCGCTCTGGTGCTCGGGTGTGTTTCGGCAGTGCGCGGGCTGGAGCTGACGGTGGATTTGCCGGGCGCCATGACCGGACATGTGCCGATTACTGCGGTGTCGCCAGAGCTGACACAGATGGCGGAGAAGATGGCGCAGGGCGATGATAGCGACGATGAGGAGGATGGCCTTGATCTTGGCTCGCGCTTCTACGTCGGGCAGTACGTCAAGTGCGTGGTGGCGGAGATCAGCCAGACGGATGCATCGGGGAAGGCCAAGACGCGCGTGGAGCTGAGCCTGATGCCAGGTGATGTCAATGAGCGCATTGACGTGGACGATATCTGTGAGGGCCTGGTGATGACGGCCAGCGTGAAGAGCGTGGAGGACCGCGGGTACGTGCTGAACACGGGTCTGGCGACCAGCAAGATGGCGGCGTTCCTGCCGACCAAGGAGGCGCGCAAGTGGCTCGAGCGCTGGATGCCCGCGCAGGGCGAGCTCAAGGTCGGGCAGGTGATTGAGGCGTGTGTGGCGAAAATCACCGATGGCCGGCGCTCGCTGCAGATGACGCTCGACCCCGAGTCGGTGGCTGAGGCCTTACCCAAGGACACGTTCAAGACCATGGCGTCGGTGCAGCCCGGACAGCTTGTGTCGGCCACGGTCATGAAGGTGTGGGACCGCGGGCTGTCGCTGCGCTTCATGGGATTCTACGACTGCTCGGCCGACCTTGTGTCGATTGGCCTGACGGGTGCGCTCGACAAGAAGGATATCGCGCAGACCTACGATCTCGGCAAGATCGTCAAGGCGCGCGTCATGTACGTGTCGCTGACCACGGCCTCCAAGACTATCCTGGTGTCGCTGCTGCCGCACATTGTCGAGATGTCGCCGCGTCCCGGCATCACCGGCTACGAGACACCGGCAGCCGCCCAGCTCGTCACTGGCTCAGCAACGGGGGCAGGCACAGGCAAGTTCAGCACAATGGATGTGCGCAGCAAGTGGCCAATTCCCTACGGCACTGTGCTGGAGGAGGTGGCGGTGGTGGGTGTCAACCCGCACATCGGACTGACGCTTGCGGTTCCAGGTGTCGAGACTGTGCGGTGCCTTGCGCGCAAGGGCGATCTGGTGGACAACAAGGACCTGGTGCCAGCGCTGAGCCGCACCGCAGGTGTATTCCAGCTCGGCTCGGTCCACCGCGTGCGTGTTCTCGGGTACGAGGCAATGAGCGGGCTGGTGCATGTGTCGCTGAAGCCGTCGGTGGTGGACGAGCCGCTGTTCCGCATCGAGGATGTGGTGCCGGGCGCAGTCATCACGGGCACGGTGCGGCGGCTCAAGGACAGCCGGCTCGTGGTGGCTCTGTCGGGGCGGCTCACGGGCACCGTGGCTGGCGACCAGCTGTCGGACACGCACCTGAAGCACCCGGAGCTTGTGTTCAAGGCCGACCACCCGGTGGCCTGCCGCGTGCTGAGTGTGCATGCGAAGAAGAACGACATCAAGCTGACGTGCCGCAAGAGTCTGGTCCAGTCCAAGCTGCCGGTGGTCACGGGATTCTCCGCCGAGCGCGGCGCCGTGCCGGGCGTCATCACGCATGCCACAGTCGTCCACCACACCAAGGCTGGCGTGCTGGTGTCATTCTACCAGGGTGCTGCCGGTATGATCCCGATGGCTGACATTTCTGCCAACACCAAGGGCGCCGGCAAGATCCCGAAGCAGCTGGAGGTTGGCAAGGTCGTCAAATGCCGCATCGTGCAGGTCAAGCCGAAGCAGCGCCGCATCACCGCCAGCCTGAACGTCGATGCCGACACGAGCATCGAGGACCTGCAAGCCCGACCCGCCAAGGCCGCAACATCGGCAATCAGCAAGGACCTGTCGCAGGTCAGCCCCGGGCAGATGGTCAGCGGCTCAGTGGTCAAGGTTTCCAGCGACCACTTCACGATTCGCTTGGACGGCAGCGATCTGCTGGCGACCCTGCACAAGGGCCATCTGAGCGACCACACGGGCTCTGTCCTGGACCGCATGGCGGCGCGGATTGCCGTGGGCGTGCGGTTCGATGACCTGGTGGTGGTCGATCTGGTCAAGAAGCACGGAACGGTCAAGGTCAGTGCCAAGCCGGCCGGTGGTGCGTGCAGCCAAGCAGCAGGTGCTGGTAACAGCCAGCGAGATGCTCAAGGTGGGCAAGACCGTTGTTGGCTGGGTGGACGGCACGGCGGCGTTCGGCGTGTTTGTGCGGTTTGCTGGCGGCGTCACCGGACTGGCGCCGATCAGCGCCCTGGGTGACCGCTATGTGGCATCGACCGAGGGTCCTGTTTGCGGTTGACCAGACGGTGGTTGCCTCGGTGGTCAGCGTCGAGGACAACCAGACGAAGCTGTCGCTCAAGGGCTCGGTGGTCGATCCACTGGCCTCTGGCTGCATTGCTCCGGAGGACTTTGTCGCCGAGTATTTCGCGCAGCTCGAGGGCCCGCTGGCCGAGCAGATCGGCGAGCAGAGCCTCGTTGTGGTCAAGCAGAAGCAGCCGTACGGCGTGTTTGTCGAGCCGGCCGCCTCCGAGCTCTCTGTGTTCCCAAGCCGGCACGTCGGGCTTCATTACTACCGACCAGGCCAAGGAGCGCCTGAGTGCGTGCAAGGACGGCGCTGTTCTGGCTGCCTGCGTTCTGGACGTCGATTCTGACAAGAACATCGTCGATTACTCGCTCAAGGCCACGCTGGTGCCGGACCGCAAGGCCCTCGAGTCGCTGGGCGCCTGCCAGTGATGCTGAATCTCGGGCCACGGCCGAGCAGAAGCTGGCCGATGCACGTGCTTCTGCCGAGAAGAAGCGCAGCGAGTTCCGCCGCGCACTGGCCGAGCTCAGCAGCAAGAAAAAGACTGGTCAGCGTTATTGTCGAGGTGGTCAAGGAGGACTACCTGGTTCTGTCGATTCCATCACTGGGCCACCAGATCGCGTACGCCATGACTAAGACCTACAATGACCGGTCGAAGCCGTTTATGCGCTACAAGATCGGCCAGCGCCTGTCGGGCACTCCGTACCAGTCGGCCGGCTCCAAGCGCACGTTGGTGTACTTCCAGTCGCGCCACAGCGGCAACGACGACGAGACCCGCCGCAAGGCCATGGAGCCGGTCGATCCGGCGCTGCAGTACTTTGAGGACCTGCAGCCTGGCTTTGTCACGCGCGCCAAGGTCACCGGCATTTCCGGCACCCAGGCAAACCTGAGCATTGCGGCCAACATCAAGGGGAGGCTGCATGTGACGGAGCTCTTCGACGACGACGACGTCGCCGATCTCGGCGTCAAGGACGCCAAGGCGCTGTTTGCCTGCAGCCGGAGTCGCCAAGGGTGAGACGATCACAGTCAAGGTCGTGGGTCTGCATAGCGCCAAGGTATACAAATACCTGGCAATCACGCACCGCGTCTCGCCGCTCAAGTCGGTGATCGAGATGACCGTGCGGCCGTCGGAGCTGGCGGCATCCGGCACGCTTGTGCACCAGGCCCAGCGCCAGATCAAGGCTGCCAGTGTCAAGCCGGGCCGCGAGTTCAATGGCTTTGTGGCCGAGATCACCCACCCGCAGAAGGAGGGCCATACAGGCGCGCCGTTTGTCAGCGTGGCGCTGAGCCCGAAGCTTCTGGGCAAGTTCTATGTCACCCATGTCACGGGCTCGTATGACGTGGCAAGCCGTCCCGAAGACCACTTCTTTACTGGCCAGCCGATCAAGGGTGCAGGTGGTCCGTGCGGCGCGGGACGGCAAGTCCCTGGCTGTGCAGCCCGTCGGCGCGTTGCCCGGCGTCCCGCCGCTCCCGGCGTCTGCGGAGGACCTTGCCGGTGGGTACGCGTGTGGCCGGCACAGTCCATACGATCGGCGATACCTCAATGACGGTTCAGATCAACATTGCCCAGACAGCCACGGACAGCGACTGAGGGCAAGTCGCGCCAGTTCATCCGCGGCTTCGTCAACCGCTTCCAGGTATCCGACACATTGATCCGACAAGCCCTTTGCTTCAGTTTAAGGTCGGCCAGCTCGTGGACGCCGTGGTGGTGCCAGCCGGCAAGGACGTCGAGTCCGCCAGCAAGTTCAGTCCTGTGGATCTGTCGCTGCGTCCGTCGCTGGTGCACCCCGAGAGCACACAGCCAGGTGATGTTCTGGATCCCAGTGGTCATGAAGGCGTCGGATCTGCACGAGGGCCAGATTGTGCATGGCGTGGTTGCGCGGACCACCGACGTGGGCTGCTTTATTGAGGTTGGAAACCACGTGCGTGTCCGTGCTCTGATCAGCGAGCTCTCGGACGAGTACATCCGCGACGTCAAGGCTGCGTTCCCGCGCGGCACAATCGTCAAGGCCATCGTCACCAGCGTCGATAAGGCGCAGGACCGCGCGTCGGTTTCGCTCAAGGCCTCGCGCATTGGCGGCGACACGGCGCACCGCCGTCTGGAGCAGGTCGAGGTTGGCGAGAGGCTCAAGGGCACGGTTACACGGATCGAGGAGTACGCCGTGTTCATTAAGCCCGACGATGTCTATGTCACGGGTCTGTGCTACGACAAGGAGATTGCCGATAGCGAGGCTCCGGTGGATCCGCGCCAGCTGTATGAGATTGGCGACCGTGTGCTGGCCAAGGTCCTGCGTGTGGATCTGGAGAAGGGCAAGCTGAGGCTGGGCCTCAAGGCGTCGTATTTTGCCGAGGGTGCAGATGACTGACGAGGAGAGCAGTGATGAGGAAAGTGATGGAGGAGGAAGAGGAGGAGGGTAGCGAGGCCGGTAGCGATGCTGATGAGGATGTCGAGATGAAGAGCGATGCCGAGGGACGCCGAGGAGGATGCTGAGGAGGATGCCGAGATGGAGGATGCGTCCTCTGATGAGGAGGCCGATTCTGAGGAGGAGGAGGAGGCCGCGCCTGCGCTCACTGTCTCCAAGGGATTCCAGTGGGGCGACGCCGAGTCCGACTCTGAGGCCGCGAGCTCCGACAGCGAGTCTGAGGCCTCTGACGCCGAGCAAGACGCGCCGCGGAAGAAGTCGAAGCGCAACAAGTCGAAGCTGCAGACCGTCGACCTGACCGGCGACCTGGCTGACCAGGCACCGCGGAGCACGGCGGACTTTGAGCGGCTGCTGGTGGGCTCGCCGAACTCGTCGTTCCTGTGGCTGCAGTTCATGGCGCACTACCTGGAGCAATCTGAGGTCGATCAGGCCCGTGCCGTGGCCGAACGCGCTCTCACCACCATTTCGCCGCGCGAGGAGCAGGAGAGGTTCAATGTCTGGGTGGCACTGCTCAATCTCGAGCACCGCTTCGGCACCAAGGACTCCCTGGACGGTGTGCTGAAGCGCGCAATCCAGTACATGAACGCCAAGCACGTCTACCTGCAGATGGCCAAGATCTATGAGCGCGCCGGGCAGACCAGTCCGGCCGAGGCCATGCACAAGACTGCCACGCAAAAGTTCCCCGGCTCCTGCAAGGTCTGGGTACTGTTTGGCCTGTTCTATTTGAAGAACGCAAAGGTCGCCGAGTCGCGCGACTTGCTGGCGCGCGCCCTCAAGGCCCTGCCCAAGCGCAAGCACATCAAGGCCATTACGCAGTTTGGCCAGATGGAGTTCAAGCATGGCGAGCCCGAGCGCGGCCGCACTGTGTTCGAGGGTGTTCTGGGCACCTACCCAAAGCGCGTCGACCTGTGGTCGGTGTACTTGGACATGGAGGTCAAGGCCGCCGCGGACCGCACCGATGACGCCGAGGACCAAGTGGGGGGCCACGCGCAAGCTGTTCGAGCGGGTGACGTCCATGAAGCACTCGTCAAAGAAGATGAAGTTCTTCTTTAAGAAGTGGCTGGCCTTCGAGAAGGCACATGGTGACGATGCGCATGTCGAGCATGTAAAGAACAAGGCTCGCGAATACATCAACTCGCTGTAAGGCATTTGGGGGTGGTATTTTATTACATCTTTTTCAAAAACACACACATTCCCTCTTGCTTTTGTCGCTTGCGTGCAGCACAACACCCAGCTCATGCTGACCATGAACATGTGTTGGTTTTTGCGTCACCAGCGATTTTTGCTTCAAAGATCGATCGGTCAGGTCCCAAATAATGGATGGCAAGAGCGCTTTTGGTAGCCGGAGCGGGGAAGGAGCATTTCGATATTCAGGCAATAATTGGCGGCAAGTCGGCATAATACTGCTGGGCAGAATGCGAGGTGCCGCTGGTACACTCTCCCCCAGACGCCTGCGTTTGGCGACCCCAGACAGTGGCTTCTCGATTGCCCGCTGTCTCAGCCACCTTGGGCAGTAAGCGCTGGTGATATCTCTGCCCCTACAAGCCCAGGATTCATCCATTGAAAAAATAGTGCCTTTTTGGCCTTCCAGATGCTTGCTCCTTCCCCCCCCCTCAAGTTTTTCGCCTTTATACTGACCCACGCGCTTATTTAGGTCTTTGAAGAAAAGAAAAAAGTTTCAGGCACTTTTTGCGTTCTTGTTTGAGCACGCCCTTTATTCTCTTTATTCCCCCTTCAACACCCAGGACTTTTTTCCCTCTACCTTTTTCGCAAATAATTGCCTTTCTTTCTGCCCTTACTAAAATACCAGAGTGCAACGCAACCAGACCGGTTTTGCAGCCCTTTGATTTTTCTGGCCCTGGACACAAAAGATCGGAACACTATTCTGTCCAAGGTTTGACAGGCTTCTAGGACCAGACCGTGTGATCCGGTATCCCTTCTGAATATTCTCAAATAGCCAGTCCCAGGAACTGTAATTTTTATCGCCTTTCTCTCCCTCTCTGGACCTTCCTATTTCACCCATCTCCTGTATAGCCTCATTAATATCCGCCTCACCTATTTTCACAGACAATGCCCATACAAGCAGCACAAAACAGCAGATCCACACATGGCGCGCACGAGCGGCCGAGCACGGAGACCCAGGAGAGCCCGCATGTCATGGATATGCTAGAGGCGATGGCCATAGATCCGACGACAGCAGCAGTGTATCAGTCGGGCCAGTTATTGCAGTACCGGCGGAAGGCCATCCAGTATACGGCCATCCGATCCACTCCACGAGGTATGTTTTTGCTCATGTGCCGTTGTTTTGTTTTGATGTTGTTGTGGTGAGACTCCCCCGAGGAACAAAAAAACTCCCCGGTTGCCATGGCATTTTTTAGCTGGCAATATATCCCCCGGTATTCACGCCTTGCTGCACATTGCTCTTGCCCCTACTCCCCCAAACTCACTTTGCACGATGAGGGGAGAGGACTGAGGACTGGCCATCGTTGGTAGGTATGGTGGCATTGGCGGGGAAGGCATGAAGCAAGCGCCTGTAGATTATAACTGCTCTTGGGCAACTATATCCTGATGTGGGTTAATGAGAGCGAGAGGATTTGTAAACAGATTCCTCGAGCGCCAAATATTGCCGGTTGGGCTTGCAGTACCAGGCAGGCACTAGTACTAGAGGCTTTAACTAGCCCAATGGCTGGAACTACTGCTTTGCGTGGTCCTACTATATCGCTGACATCCCTGTGTTTTTTTTTTCACGCATTGCGCTTGTAGATGGCACAGTATCAGCATTCGCACAGCCACTCCAGCACCATCAACAAATCCTTGACAACGATGGGATGGACACGGCGAGACTGATCATTGATTCACCGCAGCTGCTTGACAGTGCCCACAGTGCAGCGGGCAGGGCGGAGACCGGCTGTGCATTGGAGTGCATGGGCGGGATGGAAATGGCGGGCGATCGCAATGGTAATCAGCACGCGGTGGTACAGCATGCGCAGGCTGGGGATGTGGATGATGAGCTGTACCTGCGGCGGGTGTCGATTCTGTACCATGAGCTGTGGAGCGGCGAGTGGGCTGATCGGCGCGTGTCCAGAGACGACGACGTGGCGACCCAGAGCGGCCCAGACAATCAGACGCAAACAAACCCAGTGCCGGGCCACAGCCGCGTGCAGTCGGCGGGAGGCTCTGCAAGCCATTCGACAGACAATGGCGCGGATAGTCCTAGTGTATCGGCAGGCGACTCGGCAACGCCCCGGATCTCGCTGGACGAGATGGCAACAGCAAGCCCGACCATCAACCGGCAGCAGTTGCTGGCGCAGTTCACGCCGCCGGACCTGGCGGATGCGCTGACGGGCACAATCCACCGGTTGGAGGACGACCACATGCTGGTGCGGCACAAGCGGTGGAGCGTGGTCAAGGAGCTGGCAATGACCGAAGCGCAGTACCTGCGCGACCTGCTGCTGCTGCGGACGACCTTCATGGAGCCGCTGGCGGCAGTGATGACGGCGGCAGACGTGCGGCTGGTGTTCTGCAACCTGGACCAGGTCATCGAGTGTGCGCGCGCCCTAGTCGAGTACCTGACAGTGGCCGTGGTGTATGAGGGAAACCGCGAGCGCAGCAAAAAGCACCAGAAGGACGACAGCTTCGAGCTCGACCACAAGCAGTGGCAGTGTGCCAGCCGCCCAGTGTCGCAACCCGAGGCGCCGCGTGCAGTGGGGGCGCCGGGTGCCGGGCTGCGCAGCAGCGCCTGGGCGGACATTTCGCTGGCCCGTGCGTTTTTGCTGATGGCCCACCGCATGGAGCGCGTCTACACAACCTACTGCCAGAACTTTGACGCAGCCAGCCAGCGCCTGATCGACCTGAAGCGGCTGGCGGCTGGTGGACAGACGCCGAACACAACGCCGGCCACACCGCACATGCCGTCGGCAGGCAACTCGCCGTTCACCGACCACGCTAAGGGCTGGCGGCAGTCACACAACGAGGATACCGACTATGCAATAGGCGCCCACCAGGTCATTAGCGACCAGGCGCAGCAGCTTGCTGGTAAGACCACCAGCTGGGACCTGGCGTCAATGCTGATCAAGCCGGTCCAGCGCGTGTTAAAGTATCCGCTGCTGCTACGCACGCTGGTCAGTCTGACGCCCGCAGGCACGTCGGACCGTGCGCAGCTGGAGAAGGCTGCGCAGGGCATCGAGTACATTGCCGAGGCCATCAATGCTGCCAGCAGTGGCTCGGGCAATATGCGCGTGTCGACAGCGTCGGCCAGCTCAGCTCCCCACGACGACGGCCACGGGCGGATTGCGCGCGAGCTGCGGCGCGTGCTGCGTCGCAAGCCAGGCGCCTCCGGCCATCTGCGCTCCAAGTCCAACTTGGAGGGAGTGCCTGGCAAAGTGCTGATACGGCGGAAGGTCAAGGACGTGATTGACCAGGCGATAGACGTACGTGACCGGGTCCCCCAGCTGCCGGTGCTGGCAGCCGCCTCGCCGCTGGCCGAGCTAGGCACGCAGATCCAGCGGCACGAGACGCAGCTGGCCGACATGATCCACAGGCTGCGGCTGTGGGAGCAGGAGCTTGGCTCGGCGCTGCTTCGCCAGTGCACCCTGGTTGCGCGGTGGCGCGACCTATACATGCTCAGTGGGCCGGATGTCAGTACCGACTCGGGCGGTGAGAGCGATTCCGAGGGACTGCTGGACCGCGAGTACCAAGCGTGGGGCGGTTTTGATACTGACGAGTGCCGCCCACGTGCAGCACTGGAGAGCCCGCGTGGCGAGCCCATGCTGCGGCCGAGCAAGTCGTACGGGTCGCTGCGGCGGCCCGGTCAGATCCCCATGTCGCGCCTGCCCCATGCAGCTGTGAACTGGACGCCGCGACAAGGCATGCTAGCCAGCCATCACTCAATCATGGACCTCAAGGCGTCCGATCTGCCCGAGACCCCCTGGCAGGCGCAGCGCAAGGCGCAGGTGGCCAAATGGAGCGTGGCCATGGAGAACATCAGCAAATCGTTGTTCCCGGATCTGATCACCCGGCCCCTGCAGGACAGCGTGTATCCGGTGCTGAGCTCGCTGCTGCAGGCGTACCGCGACGGCCCGCGCCGCATCCTCAACGACATTGCGCGCATGTCCAATGGCTCGAGCACCGTGAACAGCTGCCGCAGCTCGCTCAGCGATTCTGCCAATGAGCCGTCCGAGGCTGCGCGTCGGGAGAGCCAGCTCGCCACCGAGCTGCCGCAGATGTTTGAGCACGAAGCCGAGGTCGTGCATCTGCTAACTGTGCGCGTGGTCGCGCTGGAGCGCGAGTTCCTGAGCCAGGTGCTGGCCGAGATGACGTGTGCGTGCGTGCAGCCAGTCAGCTCCCTGCGTTTGCAGTCGCCTTTGGGTCGCCAGCAGCAGTACTGGATTGACACCCAATGGATTCCGCGCTTCACGGCCATGGCCGCTGTGCCGCCACTGCCAGCCAAGAGCAGTGCGGTGTCTCCGCGCAACACCACTGCGTCATTAGGAGCCGAGTCTGCCAGCTGGGCGAAACAGATTGCCGACGAGTACGAGCGCCGGGCAGCCGTCGGAAATGTGACTGTCAGCGGCCCGCTGTCACCGCCGGCGGCGAACGAGTGCCTGGAGGAGATTCAGACGGCTGTGAGCATTTTTGGCGGGCTTACCGGCGGGTCGCAGCGCAATAGCGGCGACAGCGCGCCTGTGGAGACCGATATGTGGACGTCGGCGGTTGCGAATCGCTTTGGCACGGCTGAGGACAATTTTCTTCTGGCCACTGTGCCCACCTCTGCCTCCGACACCACGGCGGTGCCTGCCCGCTGGAATCACAGCGAGTCGCCTGGCAGCACCTCAGGCAGGGCCAGCCCGAAGAATAGCAAGCTCCGGCACCTGCGCAAAAAGTCTGGCGGATTCAAGGACAAGCTGTCGTACCTCAAGACCAATATGCCGCTGCCGGAGCATCTGCGGCTCAGCAGCAAGCGCGGCTCGGGGCGGCGGGTGGCCGAAGAGCTGGCAGATCAGGTTAAGGCGCGCCCGCCGCTGGGGCTCGCCATCGATGTGCCCACAGAGACTGCAGAGGGCAAGCTGGCGTCCAGTGTGCCCAACCATCTCAAGTACGATCCGCTGCCGCACATCAGCTCCATCCGCTTCAGCCGCGGATTCATTGACAGCGCATTCATGAATACCAGCGCAGACTCTGCGCCCGCAACAGGCAGTGATGGTGACATGGGATGTCTGGAGCCCGACGACCACGCCGTATTGGTCGACCGTTCACTTGCCTCTCCTCAAACCAGCAGCTACCTGCAAAGCCCATCGAATGCGGGCAGCAGCTCGCCTTTCGCTAAGACGTTTTACTAAGTCCTGCTTTACGATTCCCTTCATTTCCCTATGACCCTAACCTTTTACCTGCTGCTTCTGTATGGACGCACATGTCAGATCCTCAATTCTCGAATATATTTTTTCATATCGAATATCCGCAAATCATTGCTGAATATATCTCACATGCCGGCGAGCCATGTGGAAAACAAACATTTATATACGTCTGTTTCCTATCGCATAAATAGCGCGGTCATTCCTTAGCCAGCCCTTAACCCGCCCATTGCACCGGGATCTGGATGCGGGGGAGAGTGAGGCATTTTGTCTTTATTTTCGCATATTCTACTTTGACCCACCAAGCATACTGCGGGCAGTGAGCTGGTGCAGATCAATGCCAAGATAGTGGCGTTTGTATTTTCACCTGCAAGCACGCTGATATCCGTGTCTAGGACAATGCCATTGACAAGACGCCACGGCCTGCATCTATTTGGCTCACTATACCGCCATTATTGTGTGCGGCGCATTCACCTATTGTATTCCCACCCTGTACACTGGCCTCGTATTGCCAGAATACGTGCTGCCGTTCTGCCAAGAGCAGATTTTTTTCCATTCGATAGTATGTGCAAGCAGTAGAGCAACCGACTGCAGAAGAACTGCACGGATCCAGTGCCGCAGAAACTTGGCAGTATACATGGGCGCCATGGAGGTCTGGTCTTGGGATTATGCCACAAGCATGTCTTGATGTTTGTTCCTGGGTTGCACGCTGGAACAACATTGCGCAGTTGGGAACCAACTCAGGAAACACGTACTGCTATTCAAAGACAGCGCCTGTTGCAAGATGTGGAGTGTTTCCGGTGAATATTCTCTGCATGGTCTAGATTGCTGGGAACCACCTCCTCTATTCGCCAATATGAAATAGCGAGCAGAGAATCTGAAACACGTTTATTGTGTGAGCATCAGAGCTAGTACTGGCAGATTTACCTGCTGCCGAGAAACTGTGCGCGCTGCCAATCTTATTTGGTCGATGAAATCCAATATAATATCCATAGCCCGTGTCTAGAGCCTGCCTACATCTTCCCAGTGATAATCAGTCCAAATGTAGATGGCACATTGGGGCAATACGGAGCATCGTGTGCCTGCCACCAATGTGGGCATGCTGTTTGCGGGGAGAGGCGGGTATAGCACATCCGCCTCTGCCTCACTGCTCAATGGCTTCCACGCTCGCCTGCCGGTGAGCCAGTTTCCCAAGCAGCGCGCCCTTCTCCGCAAATAATAAAACAGTGTTATATATTCCTCCGAGTCAGCCAAACTGCCTCTGCTGAGATTCTTTTTGCAATGTCTATTCCCCTCCCCCGATGCACTGACCCCTCTATTTTTAGCACTTCACACTCGTATTCTCTCATATACCACTCCTTGCCGCTTTGCATACTAACGGTGCCCTATTCACTGCCTCAATTATTCTGCATAACTCTATTTCATATCTTGTAACTTGCCCCCTCCCCTCCAATCTTTGGTTCCAAGCGGAGGCTGTTGTTGTTCTATAAACATCCGGCAACAATTGCCTCAAAACGCCTGCCCCCTCCGAGACGCAGTAGGCTGTAAAACCTCACAAAACAGGGAGGCTCCTCTGACCTATTTTTCTGAACAAAAGAAGACATTCTCGTTTTGGCATATTTCCAGGCACTGGCATTTCCAAGCTCCGTTTATTATTCAAGCCGTCTCCAGCCGCCCCCTCGCTTCTGGCTTCCCAGCCTGATATCAACGCACTTCCTCGCCCTCTTCTACTACGGCCCTCTTCCACCGTATTTTTATTCCGCTCTATCTTACCCTTCCCGCATCAACGTCTTGCTCCTTCCCTACCTCTCCGACCTTATAGACATACACCTCCCTCCTTTTTTGTTTCGCTTAAATCATGACACAACCTGACGAAAAGACATCGCCGTCATCACTGGGCTCGTCAACGTCGTTCTCGCCAATCCAGGATGCACAAAAGCCCGAAGAGTCACAGCGCTCGCATTACCAGCGTCTGAAGACACCCACATCGCAGATACCAAGCGGCAGCAATGTGGGCCAGACACAGCGCAGACACCTGTTCCCGCCGCTGTATCCGTGCCACTTCAAAGATGCAGCGTGCAGGCTTCATGGGTGTGTGGCTGGGGGCGCATGCAACTATTCTTATCTATTTTCTCGTGAAGCACTCGCCGCACGACTTGCCTGAGGGGCTAAACCAGGCGACGCAGTACGGCATTCTGACATCCGTAATGGCCATCCTGGTAGCCATGTCGCCGACATTTATCGGCTTGCTGCGGCGCACGCCACTCGACAATGTGTTTACGTTCGAGAAGCGCGTGCATGCGCACAAGTTCATTTCGTATATCCTGTTCTTGTGGACCATTGCGCATGTGTCGCTGCACTACTACACCGGAGTCGGATATGCTGAGGAGATCCATGCTGCGCGCTGGTTCGTCTTTTGGGGAGACCGCCTTGGAATCACAGGCCAACTCATGTGGATGTTCTACTTGTTCCTAGGAATCGCGGCGCTGCCTCCCGTGCGCCGCGCATACTACGAGGCTTTCTATTACCTGCACCACTTGTTCTTTGTGAACATTGTCATGCTGTATCTGCACTCTGAGAACGGCAAGGCAGAAAAGTACGTGACTGGCCCTTTGGTCATCTTCCTGGCCGACTACCTGTACCGCGCCCTACGCAGCTACCCGGTTATCTGGAGCCGGCGCGCCCGCATCCGCTATGTGCGGCTGCATCAAAGTGACGTTGTTGAGATCGGATTCGACCGCAAGGAGCTATGGCAGCACACGCGCACCGGCCAGTATGTCAAGATCTGCGTTCCCGAGCTTGGCATCTTCCAGTGGCACCCGTTCACATTGACAGCGACCCCCAGCGAGTGCAAGGTGCTGGCTGATGGCAAGTCGCACGAGCTCTGGCGCATCCACTTCAAGGTCGTCGGCAACTGGACCAAGCAGTTTGCGCAGCGTTTGCAGAAGGTCACGGCGGGCGGTGACATATACAATAACGCATATGACCAGGAGGCCCGCATCGGCCGTGTTGTCAACGACGTGGTCGTGCCTGAGGTCATGCCGATTGACTGCGACGAGGAAGATGCCGAGTACATCATGGCTATTGCCAACCGCATCGATTCGGGCGATTCGGGCGTCGCTGTGGCTGCCAATGCCAGTGATGCCCGCATGCTTGGCGGAGAGCAGGTCGCAGTTGAGATGGAGAGCGCCATGCTCAGCACAGGGCATGTGCGGCGTGAGGTTCTGGTGCCAAAGAAGAGCGCGTTTGACCCGATGTCTCCGTCCAGCAGTAGTGACAGCGCGTTTGACCAGGCCTGGGGCGAAGCCACATTCTCTGGCACCCAGGCACAGGCGCTTCTGCCGACCATCCTGGTGGACGGGCCGTACAATGCGCCGATGGAGTCTTTCTTTGAGCAGAAGGCCAGCATCATCATTGCAGCCGGAATTGGTATTACACCAGTACATTGCAGCGCTCGAGCAGGTGCTTGAAATGTGCGAGAACCGCATACCTGTACGCACCACGCAGACAACGCGCGAAGACCTGCTGCCGCAATCAATCTACCTTGTGTGGGTGTTCCGAGACATCAGCATGATCAACATCCTGATGGACACGCTGAAGCGGCTGCGCGACCACCGGCGCGCACGTGACATTGTCGTGCCATGCCTCTACGTCACTGGCCAGGTTGGCTTCGGACTGCGAAAACACACGCTCCGATGTGTTTGGCGCCCAATGGTGCGTCTGAGCAACGGCATCCGCTTGTCGTTAGGCAGACCGCCTCTCCGCCGCATGATCCCACACATGGCAAGCAAACATGAGAACAGCAGGATTGGCGTGTTCTGCTGTGCATCCAAGGAGCTGACATCGCAAGTGCGCACCACCGTGCACGACACCAATGCGGCCATCTCGCACCTGGGGACCGACATGGTGATGCGTGCAGAGTGCTTCTCGATGTAGTTTGCTCTCGACCACCTGCCCAGCCCCCAGATCTCCCCGTAGTGCCAGTGCTGCTGCTGCTGGTGTTGCCTGCTGCATCGGGCAATTCAACTCGACAGCCCACCCTTCGCATTGTTTTTCTGCTTAACATCCTTTTTTCCGTATTACGCTGTGCCAATAGATATGTCCCCAATATATCCTTAATTTTCCGACGACAGCAACGGCGGCGGCGATCATGAGCGCAAACTTACACGGGTCCCGGCTGTCAATCCAGCACATGCGTGCGCATGGGCATGAGCGTGCGTGGATGAGGGGCTACATTTGATGATGTAGATGGAATAGTCCTCTAGAACTATATGAAATTATCAGCTTTAGGCGGGTAATTGGTCTCTCCGGCACTTGTCGGATATGTGGTGGACAGTGCGGTCCCTAAGACGGTCTGCGTTCTGGCTGAGGCTTAATGACTGATACTTCCTATTTTAGCAGCCAAGCACAGAACCGGGTCAGCATTTGCGTGCTGGCCAGGAAATTACTGGAGCATTTCGGTATTCCACGCACAAAAAGCCAATAGCCGCAGGTACCACCACGCTTGGCTAAAGCTGATTTCGCTGGTAGCAATTCCAGCGGGCAAAAGATCACAAACGGGAGCTGGCTCCTGGCCACACACGAAATTGCCTTGGGTGATGCTAATCTCCAACACGCTTGAAGGCTTTGCTTGCCGGATATATTGCAGGCTGTCGATCAAGCTAGCTAGGAATTTTCCCGGCTGGCTCGGTTGGGGCGCTAGAAAACCAGTTTGGCCGCACTGACTTTTTCCCCTTGCGCGACAGGCTGCTGCAGACGATACGAGAGGGCCAATGGTGGGGAGCCCTCTGCTGTGTGCTCGCCTGTGGCAAGTGTGAGCACTTGGTAGACGCAACTTTGCGCGCACTCCCCAACGGCTTGTCCCTCTCCTTTACTTCTTGCCTGCTGTCCTTTGCTCTCAATTAATTTAAATAGTACCGTCCTTGGCCGGCCATTGGTATTGAGGTCTCCACAGAAGCCCTTTCGCGCACACCCTTCCTCTTCAACAATAATCCCTGGCTATAATGGCAGACGACTCTTCTGGACCCAAGGTCTCGGGGCCCGCGGCTAACGCCCTTATCTATGTTACGCTTATCCTGTTCCTCATCCTCGGGATATTTGCTGGCTGGCGGTCGCACCGCAACTCGGGCCTGTTCTTAAAGGCAACCAGATCGCAGAGCAAGTGGTCTCTGGGCCTGAACTTTTTGGCAATTAACATCGGCTCCGGTATCTTCTACAGTCTACCCGAGGTCGGAACGATCGCCGGAATCACTGGCGTGTTCGCCTATGCGTTTGGAGCAGCTGCCCCGCTGTTTATCTTTGCAATTGTCGGCCCCATGTTCCGCAAACACAACACGCGGCAATGGTCGATGACGGCGTTTATCATGGAGCGCTATGGCCGCCCAATGCACATCGTCTATAGCGTTATCTGCACTCTGTTCGTCGGCATGTACATGGTCAGCGAGCTGACAACCATTTACGGTGTGTTCGAGCTGCTGACGCCTTTGAAGCCGCTGCCACCGATGATCATTATCTGTGTTATTACCACAATCTACACCGCGTTTCGGTGGTGTGTTCGCATCGCTGATGACTGATGCAATCCAGTCGATCCTCATCTTTATCTTGATCCTTGATCGCTGTCATTGTTGTCGGCGTCAGCGTCCACCCGTCCAAGGAAGACATTGAGCGCGTTGGTCTGGTCAAGCCCACCAAGATGGGCGGCGAGCTGTTTGTCATCCTGACGCTTGCCATTGGATTCTCGGACATGTACCACCAGGGATTCTGGCAGCGCACGTTTGCCTCGCGCAACGACAGCGATCTGCGCTGGGCCACTCTGATCGGCTTCTGCCTGGTGTTTGTCGTCACTACTCTGATCGGAATGGCTGGACCCTTGGCTGCCTGGGCTGGGACGTGGTCTTTAGAATCCGGCGTACCGGGTTCTAGCGCATTCTTCACACTGGTGTCGTCGCTTGCTGGCTGGGTGTCGGGGCTTGTGCTGGTTACCACAGTTTCGCTCAGCTGCTGTGCCATTGACACCTGCCAAACAGCCATGTTTGCGTCGCTGTATGATCTGGTTGAGCAAAAGGTCAACATTTGGGTTGTGCGCGCCACTGTGATTCTGCTTAACGTCCCCGTCATTTTCCTGGCCATGCGCGCGCCCGACATTCTGCAGGTCTACCTGATGGCGGATCTGCTCGCGGCGGCAACCCTGATGCCAGTACTGTTTGGCCTTATCAAGCGCCTCAACTTTTTGCACTGGACCGATGCCATTGTCGGCTGCTTTGGCGGCATCATTACCGTTGGCATCTTCGGTCAGATCTACCTGGGCAACCGCCATGACGGCTGGCGCCTGCTGCTGATTGAGGGCGGCCTGTACACCACTGATGAGCGCGTGCTGGGCGCCTTCTGCCTCGCCCCAGTTGGCTCGGTCGTCTTCACGTTCGCCTTTGCCTACGTTCGCAGGGCTTTCACCAAGCTGCTGGGCCGCGAGCAGTACTTGTATGTTAACACTATCCGCACTGACGAAGACGACGAGGACAACGACTCGGCCAAGGACCGCGCCATCGACCAGTCCTCCAACGATGACACGGCACATCACCAGTCACCCGAGTCGGACCGCGACGACCAGGCCAAGCGCAGACTGGCTGCAGCCAGCCACTGAATTAGATGTGGAATCTGGTCTCCAATTACTCTCTCCTTTCTGATATGGACGACTACAGTCCGAAGAGTATTTGCTGAATAGCTCTTTTGGTTTGTTTCTAATATTCAACTCCATTGTCCTTTCATCGGGAGCCGGAAGCAGGTCCGGCGGAGGCTATTGTTGGTGCAGATGCGCTGGGCCTGGGTCCCGACAGTGTCAGCCTTGTCCTCCATCGCCCAGTGCTGACGGTGGAGAGGCGAGGGCAGAAACCAGGCACACATTTCAAGTCGCTCAAATCTGTGGGCAACCTCGCTGACAGTATCTGACAATCACCCTGGACCCGAGTTACACTAGCTCCAATTTGGCTCGTAGATCAGGTCCGCCTTTTTCTTTTGAGGCGTCCGCCAGTCATGGCATTGGTCAAATGCTAGCAGAAAGGGTTGGGCCTGCTAAGCCAAGACTCGCTGGAACAGTGATGGTGGTGGTCCAATTTATAGCCACGCCGCAGGCACAATACCACTTTCTATGCGTGGACTCAGCGTTGGGCCGCGGATCTATTTTTGGACTGGAGCTGGTTGCTCTTGACTGCCAGCAAGAATTGAAGCATGACTGCTGGTACTCGCAGCCAGCAGCTATAAATGTCTGCCAGTGGCCTCTTTGTGTGGTCTCGCTTCTTTCTCTTTCGTCAAAATACCCACTTTTCCCTTGCACGCTCGTACATATACACGCATACACCCCCGCTTTTCCGTATACCATGAAGTATTTTGCCTTTATCACCGTTGCTGCTCTAGCCATGGCCTCGGCTGCCGCACAAAACACTCCGGATATTGGTGACGCCCTGGCTGCCAGTAATAGTGACGCTACAGGCCAACAGACTGCCAGTGACAACACGGCCGTTGCGGACAACACGACTGTTGCGGACAACACCAGCTCTGAGAAGGCCGGTACATCGGCAACCCCAGAGTCAAGTGCGCCTGCAACCTCGCCCACATCAGGTAAGCCCCTTCTTGCTGCTCTTGCCCTATTTCTATCCTATCTCCTAAGCGAGTAGTCTAAAGCCAGGGCGTAACCTTGGGCATTGCCCTGGCTGCTGCTATTTTTGCGCTGCAGATGTGCTGCCACATGCGTGGTCCTCTGGAACCCCGCCGTGAACATTGATTTCCTTGCACATCTCGGCCATTTATTTTTGCTGATGTCCCCAAGCAACACCTACATTTCCCCTTCCCTTCATTGCCGTGCGTGGAACGGACACTGCCATTGCAAATATAGAAACCGCCGCCAGCAGCGCCTCCACGCATGATGCCGCCCCGACATCGACCTCCGCAGAATCCACTGAGCCAATCACCTCAACACCTTCATCTGAAACCGCGAACACCACCATACCGATAGATCATAATTCGACCCCCACCACCTCTACCCCCGATGACGCCACATCCGACCCGACAACGGCCTCTGATCCAACAACCTCCTCTGCCCCCGACTCTACTTCTGTAGACCCAACCACTTCGTCAGACAAGGCAACGCCGACATCTGAGACCAAGGCTACGCCCACCTCGTCGCCAACCAAAGAGACCACGCCAACCAAGGAAACCACGCCAACCAAGGAAACCACGCCAATCAAGGAGACTACTCCGACCAAGGAGACTACACCGACCAAGAATACTACACCGACTACAGACCACCACACAACACCAACCGACACATATAGTACGCCATCGGCATCAAAGCCTGCCTCCCAGACCTCGACTAGGGGCAGGCATACTGTGGTTCAGGTTGTGACCGCCGTGGTTAGCGGCAAGACTAGCGTGTCGTCAAAGACAACAGTTATCGATGACGCAACCGCGACCGGCGACAACGAGTTCTTCACATCCACTATAATTGAGAACGGCAGCACAGTGGTTATCACTGGCTCCAACCGCGACATTTCGAAAACCTCCAGCGCCTCATCTATTGTGAAGCGTGCCGGCGGTGGCGTAGTGTTTGGTCTGACCGCGCCAATTGCCGCTCTTGCGGTTGCCGCTCTCATTTAAACTCCATGAGTATATTCACCCGGGCCGAGCTATGGACTAACTTATACTACAAGCTATCAAACTGTTTCTTATACTACGCAACTCTTTAAATATACACTCGCTTGACAGCATCTACTTGACGTGGCACATTTGTGGCGGTATTTGCAAATGCCAGAGATACGTGCTGCGCCGTGTGGGACTGGGTGTCTTGTCTCCTGTTCACCGCAGACATACTAGTGGGAAGCAGGCAAGCAGCAAGGGATACCAATAAATACAAGATAGAGGAGACGAGAAGAGTTCATATAGCCAAGCTCCAGACACCTTGATACAGCAGGATAAACCATTTTCTTCTTCCACTGACATATCTACACATAAAGCCACTGCATTGCAGTAGCATCATGCTATCCAGTTTCCTATACTCGCTGGCTGTGTGCGCCTGCATCATGTCTGTATCTGTTGTCAGCGCACTGCCTGCCCGCGACTCCACTTTCCCGATCGACTTCCATGTCGAACAGCCTCTGCCGAGGCGAGACATAATTTTTGTATAATCTCCCTTGTTCAATACTGATAGGAAAAAGCAATAAATACTGCTACTCGCTGTCACACAGCCTGAATGTGGCCAGAACATACGGGTATCCACGCTGGTACCAGTTTCGGAATGTCTGGCGGAGTGCCATGCGCGGGTGAGTTGCATAGGAGCCGCCCTTGACCACATAGTGCGTCGAGTCGCTCTCGGCGGCCTCGGGTGGATCAAAGAAATCTGCCGAGTATCCCGGGTACATTGGCGAAGCTTTAAAGCCATCAAATGGGCGGAACGGCGTCGAGGTCCATTCCCAGCCATTGCCAACAAAGCATGCATCGGGGATTCCACCGCCTGATTCATACACGGATGGAGTCGGATGCCAGTGGGCAAACCCGACATTGGCGCTGCTCGGCACAAACGCATCGTGGGGATGCGACAGCACCGTGCGCAGCTGGTCGAGTGGGATAAGCGAGCGCAGGTGGCTGTCGACCGGCACACCACTGCTCGCCTTGGTCGGTGCCGTCTCGTCGAGTGCGCGTACCATGTGGTACACACGAGAGGCATACGACCATTCGGCCTCGGTTGGCAGGCGCTTCCCCTTCAGTTCGGCGTACTTGCTGGCCTGGCGCTGGCTAACAAACACCGGCCACAGCGCGGCCACAGTTTCCGTGACTGAGGGTGTGCCGTGGACTGTGCGCACGCCAAAATCGTCGTTGTCCAGTATGACCCAGGATTTGGGCACAAGCGACTCAAATTCCTCGGTGGGCTGTGACAGCAGAAACTCGAGGTACTGCTTGTTGGTAACCGGGTGCGTGCTGACTGTGAATCTGCTGACTGGTGTGGTCGTAGCAGGGCTCTCATTATCCCAGCCAAAGACGTGGCCATCATGCAGCACTGAGTCACCCAGCTGCTCCTCGCTGTCGTTGATAAGCCCCATGGTGACATTGCTGTCGCCAGCAAACCTCAACCACTGGTCGGCAGGGTTCACAGGTTTTTGCCAAGTCCGACAGAAGCGCAAATGAGCTCTTTAGCGGTGGGCTCATGCTTCCTGGCATCATCTGCAGCACCATGTACAGCATGGTCTCGGTGTGCATGGCCTCGTGCTCAAATGCCATCCACACGTGTCTGGCAGCGCTGGCTGACACCGGTTCCAGATCGCCGTCCATGGAACCTGGTGACCCAGCTGCGGACCCTAGCACGCACGCGGTCGCGATAAGCCAGAATATCGGCCACGGGTGGCCACTGATCAGGGACCTCGGAATGGTCGTGGCAGATCTCTGGGTTCTCAAGGTTCGGGTCGATGCCGCGCTCAAACCACACTGGCATACTGACGCGGTTCCGTCAGCGGCGCATGCTCCGCAGCCGCCAAATGGATGTCGGCGAACACCGGCAGGTGGCCCAGGTAGAATACGAATGGGTGCCGGCAGATCGATCGGCTTGTCGAGCAGTTTGTCAGCAGGAATGACGTGCAGTGACAGCGTGTCCCATGCCTTCCAGAGCTGCTCCCACTCAGCGATGGGCGGGATTGCCGAAAACTGCATGCTGCGCGACAGGTCGAGCACACGCTGCGCAGGCTCACTCCACCCGCCTAGGCTGGCTGATTCGACTGCCAGCGGCAGACCATCGCCCATTAGGGGCAGAGACCAAGAAAAGCGCGGTTTGCGGAACAGGTTCAGGCAGTAGTAGTCCCGTGCCTCTGTCCAGCTTGCAGTGTGTGACAGGCCAGTTGCCTTGGCCAGTACCTCGGCGGCATCGGCGGCGTACTTGTACGACGATTCGATATAGATGCGCTCGCCCTTTACAATAGGCAGTGTTGTTGATGTGCTGCCGGTAATCTCGGCGACGTCAGCCATCACCGCATCGGGCCACTGCACCACAGTGTCCTCGGTGCACTCGATAAAGGCGTCATGGCGGCCGATCACCTGGTCGTACTTGCCAGCATAGCGGAATTTGCCGACATCAAACAGCTGGGCTGTAGTGCCATTGCCTGCGATGCACCCGCTTACGTAGTCAGCGAAAATGCGGTTGGCATGGGCCAGCGCATTAAGTTCGAATTGATCAGTCAGCCCTGGCGCATCGTGGTACGCATCCATGATGACTTGCTTGTCCTTCTGCTTATCCATGCCGATCACGATGGCATCACCAGGCAGCAGCGCGTTGGACGAGATCCCGGCAATGAAGGTGGTGGCCTCAGGCAGCGTGGAAGTTGCCAATAGACGAGCCCAGCCAGAGCACGGTCTTGGGACGCTGCGACTTTCGGAAATGGACCAGCACCTCGTCGTAAGTGCCGCACAGCGCAGTCAGCGAGAGGTTCGGGAACTGCGGCGCCAGATCGCCCATGGATTCGTGCAGCGGCGCTGGCATCACGTCAATTGCATAGTAGTTGACCCCCACACGGCGCTCGTTGAGTGCGCGCAGCAGAATCTCAGTCTTGCGCAGAGAGCCGCAGCCAAGCTCAATTACGTCCGAGTCGTCAGGGATCTCGTCGACGATTTGAGCAATGTTGCTCTGGAGAACCTCGATCTCGCACGAGGTCAGGTAGTACTCGGGCAGATACGTGATTTGGTCAAACAGATCCAGCCCGTGGTTGTCGTAGAGCAGCAGGGTGGGTAGGGAGCGCATCTCCTGCGTACTACCAGGCAGCGCCTTGTGCGTGGTCAGCGACTCGATGATCTGCCGGGCAATTGCCGGGATGCGCTTGTGGTTGTGGTCAGGGCGAGGCTGCAGCACGGTAGTCGATGAACTGGTACAGCTGGGGAGAGCCATCGTCGGAGCTGGACTCGATGCTGACCTTGGTGTCCAGAAGCGAGGTGTCAGCGAGCAGAGGTGCTGGGGTAACTGTGGTGTTGGGCTGTTTGCTTACAAGCATTGGGGCTGGAGGTTGGGTTCTTGCGGAGAAAAGTACTCGTGGTTGTGAAGAGAGCTAGGAGCTACACGTTTGCGTCTGGCGTGCTGCATTTATAGTTTCACACAGCATCCCAGGATTGGTCCAGGCGCACGATGATGACACGCACCCCCAGGGGCGCCTTGTCTAGCCGCCTGCCACTAGTAAACATTTCATGCACTGAAAATTGGCTTTCGCAGATACATGCTGCGTGCGGGAAATCAGTCAGTGAGAACGAGTTCGCACGCTGTCGCCTTTTTAGCCAAGCAGCCCACAGTGGCGATTGGGTGATTTGATCTGGCGACACGTCACTGCCGAGCGAGAATCAGCATCTGGCGCAAACAGAAAAATGGCGGCGCTCTGTGGCCTGGCTGTTTTTTCTTTCTCCTGTCAACAACGACATTTTACGCGTTTTTCTATCATTTTCCGCACTAACAAACAGCCAAAAAGCACGATCATCACCTAGGACACCATGGGTCGCAGCGCCAAGAGTACCAACAAGACTAGCCGGGGCAAGGTGACGCCATACCGGATCTTCTTCGACCAGGAGCTCAAGCGTCTCAAGGAGGAGAACCCGAGCCTCTCGCACAGGGATGCCTTCAAGCAGGCCGGCCTCAACTGGAGGACCAGCCCACAGAACCCCAAGGTCAACCCTGCTGCTGCTGCTACCTGGGAAAAGACCAAGACCGAAAGCCGCTCCTGCTGCTACCACTGCTCCAGCTGCTACCGAAAGTGCAGCCAAGGAGAAATCCACAGCTTCGGAGGATACAGCTTCCTCTACTAGCAAGGCGACTGCTGACAAGGCAGCTACCTCCAAGCCTGCTTCGGCACCCAAGGAACCCAAGGAACCCAAGGAACCCAAGGATGCTGGACTGACCTCGATGGCGGCCCACGCGGTCACGGGGGCGGTTGCGGCCAAGTGAAACACAGGGACGCATGCACATCTGCTCCGAGCTGTGCAAATAATTGTTTTTTCTCATTCCGCTTTCTGAATCATTCTAGCGTATGCATGGCGTTTAGAAATCTGGGAGCTCAAATCAAATATCAGAAAAACCATTTGTCAGAATCAGCTGTTTCATTAATGCGTGTGTCAGATTGTCCGCAGAGGCAAACGAGAAAGGGGTGACCTGGACCATGTCTCATGCAGCATCTACATGCGAACCGATCCTGTGTCTAGGCTAAACCCGCTGGGCTTGGGTGCAGCCAGTGGCAGAGTTTGACGTGAGGTTTTGCAAACAATGTAGTATATGCTCTTCTCGTTTGATCATATCATGCTGCAATATTGCCAAAAACAGGTAGCTTGTGTGTACGTGCTTTTTGTGGGCGATCAGCAGTTTGTGATGCAGCTTTTCTTTGACCAAGACCTTTTGAGCCATGACCCCTTGTCCTGGGTTTAAAACGAACGGATTTATAGGCTATTTATCGCAGCCGTTTATCGCAGGGGCGCAGTGGATAGCCATGACGCGCTGACCCTGCCAGGATGGCATGTGGTGTGTGTAGCCGTCCCCAGCTCCAAAACCCTTACCACAGTTGGCGCACTCGATACACGGCCGCATTATTCGAAGGTGGAGCAGGTCAGTAAAAATATGTGCAAACCGCTTGAGTGCATGAACACGGCAGGGCTTGAGTATCCAGCGGGTCTGCTTTGACGGCATACCAAGGAGTAAGGGGAGTTGAAAGGAGATGCCAGGGTGTGGGTATCTTTTTTTTTGGATACGCGGTAGTCTTTGAGGACTTGTAAACTGCATTCTGGCCCCTCTGTCCAATAATGCAGACTGGTGACCGCATGCCGTCGCAGTTCAAAACTTCGCATATAAAGAGCGCATTTGTATATTGCCAAGCCCCTAAAACCATGCGCTACCGCGTCTGGCTTCCTACTCGAGTCTGTCGGGCGGCAGTGCGTCCTTTTGATGCGCCCCGATTCACATCGGCTGTTTCTTTGATGTGTCTTCTCAGCGACTTGAGCTCACGGCGCGATGGTGATCCATTAAAAACATAATCGTTAGCGGTCACGTCGATCGACCCCATCGGGCAAGCGGCAATCGGTCCAGATATTTCACCTTTTGCCACGTTGTGGACAAAGTCCGAAGCATGGACAAACAGAATGCCTGAACTATTGTGCAAATCCTGGGTGTTGGCTAGCACTGCGGGTTTTTGCTCGGGGCGGTGATGCCGACTGTGGAATATGGCTTCTGCAAAATGGTGATGCCGGTGATGGCTGTGGTTATTTGACATCATTCGAGGCTGTAGACAGGCAGTGGTGGCAGTTGAAGGTTGTGTTTTTTTGGGGAGTCAAGCAGTTGGGAAAGAAGGTGGTAAAAGGTGGTGAAAGCAGATCGCAGGAAGGCGGGCGGGTGAAACAGGGGTCCAGGTGTGGCATGATGTTAGTCTTGCGTTCGCTGCAAGGGGCGCCGCGTCACGCCCAGCGGGGTCGCATACAGCCAGGCATGGAGAGGCGAGGTAGTCTGGGAGTTTATTTATGCGGGCAAGGGGCTAGGAAATTCGTTTATGCGCGATCGATTGAATCGGAGTGGTTTGCAGTCCAAAATGCGGAGGTCCGCTCATCGCGCAGCACATCTTTGCCCGCATATGGCGATTCCAAGGATATTGCCTGTGGTGGATATGGAGGAGGCGGTATGAGTAATTAGCGGCATGCAGAGAATGGTAACTGCCAGTCTGAACGAATGCCTCAGCGCCTTATGAGCCACGACTGGCGCCTGTGCGCCGACCTCCTCCCCCAAACACCATGTATAGTCACCCACCGGCCATGTGCAGGGAAAGGGGAGAGCGATTGGCGGTTTATCGGCACGAATCAATTTCGCAGCGGGACACCGATTTCCACCGAAAAAGCCGGAGCGTGCAGGCACTTTCATGCTGCTATCGATCACCTTCCCGCCGGTCCGCTTTTGGTAATGGCGTCGCTGTTGTGTGGGCACAAGCTGGGAGGAGTGCGTGCTGGGGACAGCCAGCAAGCCACCAGCTAGGTAGTCAATGGGACAGGTTATGAGTAGAAGCTTCCAAGGAGTCGGCGCTGTTGTCAGTGGACCATTCAATGGCCTGTGTACTGCACTCGTGTTGTTCGGCAGAGAAGGCGGCGGTTGCCTGCTAGGAGTCGTCAATCATGAGAGCCCTTCAGCCGGGTCTTTTTTCCTGTGCAGCCAAGGTCGTTCCTAGTAGGCGAGAAAATGACGAGTTTTCGCTGGCCAAAAAAGCGTTGGGATTGCCCCGGAAATAGTCATCCCGGAATCGCAGCGCCGCCATTGGCCACCGCGGCGGGCAGCTCGGGATGGGCTGGGCGGGCGGGAAGAGTGGGCACGTAGGAAAGCGCCCGGCAGGCTTCTTACTGGCGGCAGGCTGGTTCCCACAGCCACCCCTGTTTTCAGTACCTGGTAGTCAAAGTACCTCGGCGGAAGTAGAGTACCCCCACGCCGCTTTTGTGACGATGGGTATAAAGACTGAGGCGCCTGGCGCTGTTGTTCTTGCCATGCGTCTATTTATTTTCCGTACTTTCAGAAAGCATTCATGTCCTTTCTCTGACAGCCAGATTCCGACCTTTTCTCTCGACACACGCTCTTTCTGTTTGTTTGAAGCCTAGATCTCTCTTTCCTCCACATACTTTGCAAGAAGCAGCCCGCCTTTTCGATATTCAATCCGACATGTTCTTCAGCAAGACCAGAGCCGCCAAGCGCACCAACTCGGGCTCGTCGACCAGCAGCCGCGGCCACGGCGCCCTGTACGTGAATTCGTCAGAGTTCATCAACTATGTCGAGAAGAGCCAGATCTCCGGGCCCATTGCTGCCCAGCCCATGGGTGCCATGGACATCACCGCCTGCGACGTGATCTGCCGCGGCGTCCCGTCCAGCGACGAGATCAAGCTGCTCCGCCGGCGTGTGCGCCAGACGGCATCGGTGCTTGGCGCGCGGGTAAACAACAGCATCGAGCAGAGCATCTCGCTTTGACATGATTGTTGCGGAATCCCGTACATACACATTACAACCCCTCCCCCTTTTATTCGCCCTTCCGACGCCTTACGCTGTTTCAGACCTGCAGCCAGGCCCCCATCCCGGGAGCGTTTCCGGCGTCTCCTGCGTGTGGGGGGAATTGCATCACGTCCCAACCCCCTCCGCCTTCCCCGTACTTTTACAGAATTTGCTGCAACGCTTGACAGTTTTTCCATTTACCCCTTGTAATATAATTATCGCAGCACTTTACCAAAGCAATTAATAATTGGCGAGGCTTTCTTGGCTCCTTGGCAGGTTTTCTAAAGCTGCTTTTGATGACTAAAGTGCATGAGGCTGATGATGCACCGGCTCGGTATTCGGCCCTTCAACCTGCCGGAGAAGATAGGCTGTTGGCGAGCAGAATACCAGCAGCAGTGCCATTTTCCGAAGCGCTACTGGTACGCCAACGGGTGGCAGGTCCGAGACTGCTTGCCAGGGAAGAATTTGCGCGCGTCAGTCATGCAGACCTGTCAGGTCACTCTCATTCGCGAATATTCCCGCCGGACAGGCGCTTGACAGAGCGCTCAGCTGCAGCAGGGAGCTGTCGTGCATCTCCATGCATGCGGCATGAAACCCCTGTACATACAGCAGGCAGAAAGTGGCCATTGCGTCTGATGAGCCGCAGCCTCGCCGCCGATACGCGCTGCATTGGTGAGGTTGACGTCGGTATGATGTGTGTAGGACAGCAGGCAGTGAGCCGGTAGGATCCACGGGGTTGGCGGGTACTTTCTGAGCTGATCTGCCAAAAGAGTGGCCCCGGCTTAAAATCTTACGTCTGGCTAGAGTGTGCGTGTGACAGGATATGCATAGAGGAGCGTACGTGCATCCACCATGCAACGCACTTTGTGGTAGTGTGGCCCGTCTGCCAGTGAGGAGACAGGAAAAGCGTAGGTTCCTCTGCACTTTTTGGGCACCGAGCTCCGCCCATGCCCAAAACCGGCCCAAGCGTGTCACATTGCCCAGGCGCTGGTGCGATTCTCACAGCGAGATTCTCACGCCAGCAGCAGCCCGATCCTCATGCACACGCAGAGACTTGCATGGTTCTGGAATACCTGGAGGAGAGCTTCCTGTCTAGCCGTAGCGGTGATAGGCTGCAGCCGAATTCGGGTGAACCCAGATGTAGTCCAGCCAGTAGGCCAGCCCTCCTGACATCATTTAGGTCTGTGAAAAAGCAATAGCAACAGCAGCTCTTTGGCGTGGGCCCTATCAATGGGTGCCTGAGGTGGGTGAGCTTCGGCTTTTTCCCTGGCGGTATCCCGTTCCACAAATACACCTGTCACTTGCGATCACACTTCAAATCCTGTGGGCCAAGAAATGGTGTCGGACAGCGTGCCGCTGACTAGCAGCATGTCTTTTGTCCGCACTTTTTTGCTTTCAAATTTCCACTGCGCCCACGGGGCTAGCGGGTATGTGCAAGCCGACGCTCCGGCCTTTGGCCATGTGCTGCGTATGCACTGGCAGTGACCCGACTTGTTCGTGGTGGATCCACTACCCTGTGCGTCTTGCCGCCTTTTAAAGCGAATGGCGATAGGCCAGGCAAGTATAGGGCCGCCGCATACTCCTGGACTAGCAGTGTCAGATTATAAATAATCTCCAGCACTACGCTTGCTGAAAAAGAGGGGGAGCCACGAGTGGTGTACGTGATCTGTAAAGCACACTAGCCCAGAGCACGCCACTATGCTTGCCCAATGGCACCCAGCTATCATTGGTCTAATGGTGGGCGAGCGAAAGTGGTCGGTTTATTATATTCCCTGCTGAGCGCCCAGTGTGCTGTCTGCTCTGGCTGCGGTGGAGCATGTCAGAGACAGATGGACGGACATCACGGGTTGCGCGCAAAGTGTAGGGACAGGGCAGCGGAAATACGAGCACACAGGTGCAGTATCCTACTGCAACAGCACGATTATGCATATCGTCGACTGTCAAACCAGCTGTCGCGCTGTCTGTCCATGTGGACTGATCGCTCCTGAATATGCGTATAAAAATAATGTGCCTGGCGCCAGGCACCCTCCGCTCTCCTCTTCATCCATCTCCTACCACAAATTACTCTAGCCATTTCTACTATTCATCAACAAGCACACAATAAGCCCTAGTGCCCCTTATTAAACTTCAGTAAGCACATGTTATTATGACTGAGACCAGCCCCAGCCCTGCCATGCTCAGCGGCTCTGCCTCGAGCCACAGATCCAACAGCTTCAGCCAGTCACCGCTCATGTCGATGTCGCCGCCTGCGCAGGGTTCCTACACGACCAACATTGTGCGGATGCCCGCACCCTCGACGACGCCCGGGAAGCCATCGCCGTTCCCCTCCAAGGTGACTGCTGATGACGGCACCCGGAAGCAGTCTGGCATCGGTGGCCCTGTGAAGCGCCGCGAGAGCCTATCCGGTATCGGCGCCAACCTGCGCAGCGCCCGTGTTGCCGGCATGGGCCGCGCTGTCAGCAAAGGCGTTGCCGACGAGCAGAAGCCGTCTGGGCTCTCCAACCTCCTGCGCCGGGCCAGCACACGCAGGACCTCAGGGGCCACATCCAACATTCCGTCGGCACCCACAACAGTGCAGCGCCGCGGCTCGGTCAGCTCCAGCGCCGGCCGCCATGTCGACACGACCACCAAGCATGCTGGCGTCACAGTCGCCGCGACCTCCACCGCATACACGGAGAAGCCCCGACTGACCCGCCACAACTCGATCAGCGTGCGCGTCGACTACCCAGACAACGCCTCAAACCGCCTGAGCAGCTCGGCCAGCCCGCCGCCTGTTCCTGCTGACTCATCGAGCCGCAGCCCATCAGCCATTCCAGCCATGGGCTGCCATCGGTCTACCTCGCAGGCACAGTCCTCGTTCGACTCCGGCCCGCTGAACATCCGCATGGTGCGCCATGGTGATGATGCCGCAAGCGCCGGATTCTCGCCAGTCAGCCCACAGGCATCATCCAACCCTGGCATGACCGTGGGGTCCCCCAACGCAGGCAAGATCTGGGATGTTGTTGGGTCCCCCACAAGCCCCACCGTCGTCTACGCACCCATTAACAAGCTTGCAGGCATTGGTGGTGTGGCCGGTGGCAAGAAGAAGATGCAGGCTCAGGGCGCTGGCATCGGCGGCACATCTGGCAAGGACTGGATGTCGGACCGTCCCTCAGGAATTGGTGCGCCAGTTGCACACCGCTCGCTGCCCAAATCCAACCTGACCCAGGCCCTCAAGTCCCTGGTGATTGATCGGAAGCGCAGCGAGTCCAGCACCGGCAACTCTGCTTCGGTCTCACCCAACCCTGCTGCTGCCACCAGCACTTCACCAGACGCAAACTGAAGCAACCCATCCTTCGGCCTACCACGTCTGCTTCTGCTTGTTTCTCCTCACTCTCTCCAACCTCCTTAAAACGATTATGTTTTGTAACTATGTGATATTCCCCCGAACTCAAAAAGACTATTTTCTAACATGTTTATCGAGAATATATTGAAGACATTTGTTCCCATTCTCCGGCTGGCCAGCGCTCAGGCTCCATACGAGCATATTTGGGCTATCGCTAGAGCAATCGCTCAAGCAACAAAGACGGGAATGGCGAACAACAGACAGCCAACCTTTCCACAATCAGGATACCTGCTGTTTTCCTTTTGGGGAGTATCATGGAAAAGCGAAATGCATATCTAGATTTCATATTGAAGATCTCATTAGCTGGCATGCATATCTACACAATGTTCGTGTCAGTTGCTGAGTTAAGCGCCTTCATTTTTCTCTATGAACAGGCTTTTTACTAAACTAAATAACTTATCTATGCAACTGATATAACCGAGAAACCAATTTTTAGAACAGAGCAGCAATAGCCAGAGCAGCAGCAGCCGACGAGAGCAGACCCGAAGCACGGAAAGCAGGCAGGGCACCCGATGTGGCGGTGCTGCTACGGGCACGATAGCCGGTGACAATCTTGGTCTCGCCATCCTCGATGTAGGTAGATGTGTACGGGTCCCCGTTCGACGTATTGGCCTCGTCGTCACCGTCGACTGAAGTGCGCGTGCCCACAGTAGTCCTGCCGTCAACAATAGCGGTGACGACCGGCAACAACAGTGGTCTTCTTCTTCTTGGAGCTGGTCTTGGCGGTCGTCTTGTCATCGTCAGTCGTCGTTGGGGTCGGACTAGACGTCGCGCGAGACTTGGTGTCTGTCGACGACGATGAAGTGGGAGTGGTCTCCTCAGTGGTATCATCCAGTGGTGTTGCTGGTGGACTCTGCGGTGGTCGAGTCTGAGGACGTGGTCTTCTGAGTATCGGTGGTGCGCTCAGTAGTTCCCGAGGTGTTGGAGGAGCTATCTGAGGTGTTGGAGGAGGTATCCGACGTGGTATCGTCGGTATTTGTGGTCTGCTCGGTCGTCGAGTTAGTGGAGCGCGAGGACCTGGTGGAGTCCGACGTCGCACTGGTGGGTTCATCGGATGTCGAAGGGGTGGTATCCGAGGAACTGGTGGTCTTATCAGTAGTCTTATCAGTAGTCGAGTCGGTTGTTTTGGTGTCAGAGCTTGTGGTGAACGTGGGCACCGATGATGTTACATCGGTGTTATCCGTTGTACTGTCGGACGTGCTGTTCGAGGTACTGTCGGACGTGCTGTCCGAAGTATTGTCCGAGGTGCTTGACGTAGTGGCTACAGTTGGCGAGTCAGCCGAAGACGAGTCAGTTGTCGAGTCGGCGGAAGGTGAGGCGGAAGTAGAGGAGCCGGAGGTTTTTTCGGTGGTGGACGGCACATCTGAGGTGGTGGACACGTCGGAAGTGGTGGGAGCATCTGAAGTGGAGGAATCAGCGGTGGACGAGGAAGAGGTCGTATCAGGTGTGCTGTTGGTATTAGTATCAGATTTTTCAGTGGGGGTGGTGGATGTGGGGGTGGTGGGGGAGATAGAGCTCGATGTGGACGCCGATGACTCAGTGGTGGACGAGACAGAGGTGGTGGTATCAGCTACTGAAGTGGAATCAGTGGATGTTGTGGATGGTTGGGAGGCGGAGGGTGTGGTGTCGGCGTTAGTATCAGCAGTTGAGTCAATTTCGGAAATCGTCGGCGCATCAGATGTAGTCGCGTCGGCTGCCTCCGTCGTAGACGGCTCAGATGTTTGGGGTGTGGTGGTCGTATCGACTATATCGGTCGTTGGTAGATCGGTCGTGGTAAAATCAACAGATGTGTGGAGTAAGGTGGTGGAGGTGGCGGTGGAAGTCACTGAAGTATTAGTACTAGGTGTAGACGAGCTGGTCACTGGTGCCTCAGACGTAGTGGGCGTGATTAGCTCTACTGCCGAGGAAACAGGCGTGGTGGCAATAGACGATTCAAGTATGGCGGTGCTACTCAAGACTGGCGCAGTCAAAGCGCTGCTGGAATTGCCAGTGGTTTGAGCACTACCTACAAAGCCCACAGGCGAGAGCAGATTCCGCGAATACAACCACCAAAAAAGATGCGAGAAAGGGGTCCACCAAGAAAAAAAAAGTCAGACAGCTATCTTTAACTACCAGTTCATGGATATTGCAAAGGGGTGTGAACAACAATAGGCGAGGTGCTTACCATCGGGAGTAGTGTTGGCGTCAGGCGATGAAGCCGTCGCTGGCGGCTCGGATGTGGTCGGGTCGGCATTGGTGCTGGAACCAGCTGACACCAGCGAATTGTCGGTACTAGCGCCGCCGTCCTGGGCAAGCACACGCGGAGCGGCCGAAAGCGCGAGCAAGCAAACAATGCCGAGTGTCTTCATGATGTGTGGGGACAAAAAAGTGCCAGATATCCTGAGAAAGAAATCCTGAGGTGCAGAGCTAGGTGTTGGTTTAAACTCTTATTCCCACTAGAAGATAGTATTGGGGAATAGTACAGGTATATTGTCTTCTCGAGTAAAAAAGGCGAGAAAAGAACGAAGGAGAGAAAGCGGTGCAAAAGAAACCATGCGACATTGCGGATTCCGCCAGAGGCTGCTATATAAAGAGCCCAAAACTCCCTTCCCCTGGGCGGGGTTTACAAACACCCACCCACTCTTGCTGGCATCGCTGCAAGCTCAATGGATCTAAAAACAGAACCACAGTGGGTCCGTGAATAGCAGAGGCCCGTGAATTCCTTGAGACTTGGCTCCCAAAAATCTAGCCATTGTGCGGCGTTCACAGGGATTCGCCTTTTGCTGAGGCAGTTGCGGTGCGACCATACAAGTCTCACAAATGTCCCATTGTGCTGCCTTCTATTTTAAGCGCGCCTGGACACGGACAGACTGTGCTGGACGAGCCAGGCACAGTGTCGCGATTGGCCTGAGCAGCAGGCGAGAGGTTGTGTGGAGATATGTTGGGAGCATGCCTTGGTTTGCGGGATAGCAGCCAGGGAGTGTGTCAGTTTGCCAAGTAACGTGTAACCGGTATGACGCACAAGCACACCTCTCCAGGAACTAGAAGCAGCTCCCGCACTTCCACTCCTATAATACACAGTCTACAGTGATACATTTTGCGCAAAAGAGGAGAGATGAGAACGGTAAAAATAGAGGAGCTCAGGGCGAAGGCTACTAGCAGAGTTGGCTCGGAACACATCTCGGCCAAATGGGATTTTTGGGGTGGTGATGGTTGTGGTGGGCATTTCCAGCAAACAAGAACGCCGGACACATCCAGACCAAGGGCTTCCTCACGTAGCAGAACGAGCCATTGTCGCACGCGCCTATTCCAGAACAAACAGAGGCCAGTTGAAAGCGAAGCAACCAGCCTACTGTCTCTGCGGCGGCGGAGGAGGCAGCGGCCCGCTGGCGCTGCCCATTTGCTGCGGCTGGATCGAGAGACCCCCACGGCTGTGCATTGGCGGGGGCCCACTGACGGCGGGTGCTACTGACATCATCAGCTGCTCATTCGACAGCGATGCAATCGATATCGACGAGCCGCTGTGCGGCTGCATTGAGGTGTTCGGCTGCACCATCTGAGACGGCGACAGCGCCTTCGGTGGGTGCGGTGCGTGGGCGTATTGGGAAGGCGCACCCGGCCACCCGCGCTCCGGCGGCTGGTGAGGGTCGGGCGCTGAGACATTAGGAGGCGCTGGTGGAGCCTGGTGATGATGCGGTGCATGCTGCTGCTGTGGTTGGTGTGACTGTGGCTGCTGTTGCTGAGCTGGCGCTGGCTGAGGCGGCCTAGCCTCTGGGATCGATGCTGGCGGCGGCAAGTCATAACCCTCGATCACACGCCAAGACTCGCGGATCTTGGAGATGTGCTCGGACACGCGCCAATATGGGGACATCTCCTCCAGAACCTTCACCAGCGCTGTGACACCCTCGCGCGCCTGGTCGGGCGTGCAGGGTGGCGGCGGCAGCGGCGGCGGCAGCGGTGGTGGGAGCACGCCGATGTCGCGCGGGTTAGACAGAAGCCCCATCTCATGTGCTGCTGCAGAGCCACTGGGTATGCCCCCGTCGCGTGCAATTGCCAAGGAAACACCGCCCACGGCAGGGCTGCGCATGTCAGCCACACCGGCCACGGCCTCGTTGTGGCGACGCAGCGCCTCCTCCCAGCGCGGCGTCAAGCGCAGGTTCTGCAGGTGGATGCGCGCTGCTACATACGTTGCTGAGCACGTGAACATACTGAACCGCATAAAGAACGTGGCATCGCCAGCAACCTGCCCCGGGCCGCTGGCCGAGTCAACAAAGCCGCTGGCGCCGCCGCTCATCGACACATTGGGCGAGACGCTGGGCTGCTGCAGATACGGTGACGACTGCGACTGCGTCGGCTTGTGCCGCGACACAGCCGGGTGCATCGCGCTATCTCCTGCGTTGCCACTGCTGCCACCCGGCACGCCTGGCTGCTGGGGCGACGCACGCATCTCGCCAATGGTCGGCGTCGGCCCACCGCTGCGGTCATAGCGTGACGACGACATCGACATTGACGGCCCGCTGATGCGGCTGCTATCACCATACGACGTGCTTGTGCTGTGGCCGTCGCCCGATACCACATCGCCACGGTAGGGCGGCAGCACCTGCGGGCGGAACGTCGGGTCGTAGTAGCCGCTGACTGGGTTGGACGACGCAACACGACGCACCTCAGTAGCTCGCTTTATCGCCGTTGACATGGCGATTGCAGCCTCGGTGCAACGGCGCCAGGCAGCCTGAACCATACGCTGCAGCTCCTCGCGGATGATCTCAGGGCTGTTACCGCCCTCGTCCATTGGCGTCAGCCCGTCGACCTCGTCGTCCTCAATTCCCTTCGCCAAAGGCGTCGCCACCGGCACTGTATGACCGGCGAGACGACCAGCTTGAATGCAACCCACCAAACTGGCGGCGGCGTGACGCATACGGGGAGTCAAAGACCTCACTGGTATCCCGCATATGGCGCCGGCCACGGCTCTCGCTGGCTGGCAGACTATCGGACTCGATCTCCATCAGCGAGCGCCACAGTACATTTGTCAGCGCACCCAGGCCAAATCCCAAATCTGCGTCGGCCGCGCCGGGCGATCCAAAGGTAAAGCCGGCGGATCCCGGTTCGTCGACACAGTCGGGGAGCAGCAGGCCCTGCAGCATAATAACCAGGCTCTGCAGCTGGATGACGCCGCCGTAGTACATGATCTGCTGGTGGAAGTACGTGATCCGGTCCTGCAGCGGCAGTTGGCTGTACAGATACGGCTTGCGCGCGTACTTGGCAATAGGCAGCGACGAGTACCAGTCAGTGAACTGCCGCTCCAGGGCCGCAGCACGCTCCTGCACAACACGCATGCGCGAGCGCCAGTCGGGCGGCCACGCTGAGCTGACCGACGCCGACATCCACCCGCTACGGCTATTGCGCGCAAACTGGTTGCGTGCCTTGCGCGATCCGAGCCACAGCGCTGTCGCCGGCAGCTTGTGGTCCGACATCGAACCCGATCGCCCACCACCGGCGCCGCTAGCCATGTTGACCGACGCAGGACCATAGCGACCATAGCTACCGCCCTGGCCGTAGGGTGCATGCTCTGTGGTCTCGCCATCCTGCTGTTCTGCCAGCAGCTGCGCCAGCAGCTCCGTACCCTCCATGGCTGGAGCCGATGCCAAAGCGCGAATATCGTCACCAAAGTCCACCACGCTGTCCAGAAGACCTGCCAGAACTGCCGAGTACCGATACACGTTCGGGTCGTGGCTGGGGGTCGCGGCTATCTCATTCGCCGCCTGCTCAGACAGAGACGTATGCATGACTGCCTCTCGGAACGTGCGCACCATGAGCCCAGACTGCTGCGAGTTGCTGCCCAGAGTCGCCGAGGACGTGCTGGGCGACACAGGTTGTGGGCTGTGCGTGCATTGAATCCCATTCAAGGTCGCTGCACGGCAGGCGCACGCGGAAACCCGAGATGTGAAGCATGCGGGGCGACCCAGCACAAAAATAGTACATGCGGTCGAGGATATACATCGACCACCACAGCCGCCGCAGCGTCTCGTTCTCAATCCACTGCTTGCGCAGATCAGCCGGCGACGTGATGTTGACGGCAGCCGCATTGTTTTCGCCCGGCGGTGGCGGTGGCGGACCGCACTCAGTGCCCTCGTGTATCCCAATGTTGTTTGGGCCGCTTGGCAGAGGGGCTGGCCCAGACCGCGAATGTATGGCCTTCCATTGGGACGGTCCGACCGACGGCGATACCATGTCGCGGGCACGCTTGCGTTGCTGTTTGGCCGCACGCGAGTTGAAAATTCCGCTGACATCCTGCAGCTTCGTCGGGTCGTCCATCAGGTGCAGTCCGATCCGCTGCGCGATCCGCACTGCCGTTGCGTGTGTCTCAACAGCGAGCTCCAGCTCCCAGTTCCCGGCATAGTAGATACTGAGCAGAATGTACGACTGAAGCAGCTCAATGACCTCACGCTGGCACAGGTCCTTCTCGGCTGCGCTGGCTTCCTGCGGCGCCCCATCTCGTGCAATAACCATCCGCCCGCGCTCGTTTCGCGCCCACTGTGGCCGCGTCTGCCGGTGTCCGAATCGGTTGACCAGCATCGCATGCGCTTTCTCTGCATAGATAGCGCCTACGGCTGTCGGCCCACCGCGCTGCAGATGTGGTGGCAGGTGCATCTGCTGTTGCTGCAGCTGTTTGTTGCCGTGCTGCGACTCGAAACGCGCTGATACCGCATGGATTGCGAGCCATAGTGGTAGTGTCAGCGACCGGTCGCGGATATTCTGAACCAGCGTCTGCCGGTGCACGACCGGGAACCCGGGCGTAACATACTCAAACAGATCCAGTACAGCCTGATCCACGCCCAGCGGTGGTGGTGGCAATGACGTTGGGTCATAGGGGCCTCGACCTACATGGTGTGCTCCAGGGTGACCATGGCCACCCCGGCCAACCGCATAGCTGAGCGGAGGGAGTGCTGGCGACGCTTCGTACTCGCTCTGCGAATACGCTGGTGTCGATGCGCCGCTCATATCACCCTGGGGGTAACCAGGCTGGCCCGGCGTCCAGCCTGCATACAGCGGGTTCCCATGAGGTCCAGGCTGTCCGGGGGCGTTGGGGGGCGGGATCATTGCGCTGGCGTTCATGTTAGCCAGCCCCTGCAACTCTGGCGGCAGCGGCTGGCCCGGCAGCGCAAAATCAGCAAACGTGTACATGCGGGGCGGGCGCCCGCGCTTCCTGACCTCGGGGTAGATGCACTGGATGCCGCGCCGCTGGCAGTTGGAGCAGCTTGGATGGCTACTGTCGCAGCGGATCTTCTTCCGTCGGCACAGTAAGCACGCCTGATTTAGCCGCCTTTTCTGAGACTGGTGGCTACTGCTGTTCTTGTCACCACTACTGTCCTGGCCCTGTTTATGTTTTGGATCAGACTCCGAGTCCTCCGCAGCATTGTTGTCGTTGCCTGTGGGCGTCGACGGGTTGATCGATCCGTCCCGGTTGGTGCCTTCGTTCAGCGTCTCCTCACTTGTTGATCCGACTCGCCGCTGTGGTGCGCCATTCGGGTTGTTGCTGCCATTGTTGTTTTCGTTTGTGGATTGGATCGGTGGCAGGGTCACGCCCGCGGATCCATTATTGTGCATGTCACGAGCAGTGCCTGCTGCGGGCGGCACAGGCGACACTGACAATGACGATGGCCGAGCCTGCACAGCGGAGGTGGAAACTGCAGGGGCAGCTGATATGGGGGGTGCCTGGTCCGCCCTTGATTCCTCAGGAGTGTCGATGAAGACTGGAACATATTGCCGCCGGTACTGAAGTGATTCGAATCGACCTGCCTGGTTTGTTTGCCCTGGAGGCGAGACCGGGTTGTCTGGTCGGCTGGAAATAGCCGTGTATGCTGGGAAACGAGCGCCGCCCGCATGTGATTGCTGCTCCAAATCGTTGCGTGCCCGCTTGGCACTCTCTAGGCGATCAGCAGGCGATAAGCGCCGAACAGCCACTGCATTGCCCCCATCGCCCGCCTGCGATTGTCGCCCATACCAATCGCTGCTGTCTCTACCAGTCCCCGGTTGCGTTCTCGGACCCCCTGCTCCTGCTGACGGCGGCAAAGGGTACTGCGTCTGCTGCTGAATCCCCCGAGCATCTATGGCTGATACTGGAGCTGAGCTCTGCGGGAGGAGTCGCGCCAGAGGACGGTCCTCATTTGGCAGGTCGGTCGACTGCGACATTGATATTGCTGCCACGAAGAGTATGAAATATAAACCGAATAGGTGCTTGTGTCTGGCTACAGAGGAGAGAAGAGACCTGCCTCAGTAAAGTGTAAAGTGCAAAACGACTGACAAGAGAATGAGCTGTGAAATTCGCATTAGCCAGCCGCTTTTATCATTTGTGTCCACCTGTAGAAGAGGGTGTTGGAAGGAGCGAGCAGGTGGAGTTGGCGATAATGCAGGAGGGGAAGCCCAATGTTTGCTGCGATGGAAGCTCTGGTCCTGCTCGCCCACCCCGCACCAGGAAGGACAAACACCAGGGCTCAGAATAAAGCAGCGTGAGCAAATTAATACAGGGTTCGCTGGCGATAAAGAATAGTACTGCACAAACGTACGTTCTACGGCTATTTCGTTCCCGTTCAACCAGAATAAAGCGCTGGTCGGTAAGCCTGGTTCGAGGAGATATAAGACAAGTACTGCAAACTAACAGAAAACAGGGCAATTCGCAAATTGGAGAAAAGGAGAAGAGAGGAGAAATGAACGCAAAAAGTGTATGTGCAACAAAGAGGGGGTTGATGCTGTAAAAAAAAGTTCTAGGATGCCGCACCTGGCTCGTTTTATAATTTTCGCTGGCGCCAGCAGACACTCGGGACGATTTAAAATAGGAAGATATTAATATAGGGCGCAACCCGCGAGGGCTTGTTGCTGTACAGGACAGGGAAAAAGGCAAGAGTTCGGAGGATAGAGAGGAGAGAACAGGCTGCCTGGCCCATGTCCGAAGGTTGGCGAAACAGCCGAGCCGGCTTTGGCCATTAATGTGCAAATGATGAAAACAAGATGCCACTGCAGGCTTGCTTCGAACCCGACGGGCTTTCCAAAAAAGCCATTTTCCTTCTCCGGTCTGCCGCTCTTGAGCCATACAATCCCAGCACCACCTTCATCCACTGCCTCGCTCTACACTTTGCCAAACATGGCAACCCAAACCACGCTGTGGTCAAACCTTTCTTCCTCCTGCCCATCAAAAGCCATTGATAAAATAAGCCGGGTCGGAGAAAAACGCGGGCCATTCTTGTGCCCGCTTCGCCAGCCAATCGCGGCAATTCTACAGTCCACAAATTCACGCGCTAGCCGGGAATGCCTCGACGATCTCGTCTGCGGGTCGTGCTTGCCCTTCCTTTTGTGGGAAATATGGCCAGTGCTTCCGAAGGGTGTCAGCCTGGTTGCCATGTGGCCCGTATGTTAATATACGCTGCCTGAGCCAGCCTTCATGGTCGGTTTTGCGGCTTGCTGGTATATTTAGGTTTTTTTAGCTGCGCCCTGGTGCAACACTGGATGATCATCATAGCCCTCAGCCTTCAGCTAATTTTCCACACTTGCACCGCACCCACTAACACATACAGACAAAATCCAGATGTTGCATTTTCTCTCCCACTCTTCACACAACAGCCTTTGCGGCATCCACACTTTCTTGCCTTTTTTGTTTCAGTATGGCGTTTGCTGTTATGCAGCAAATCAATATCCATACAGGCGATGACGATTCGGCCAAAAACGCACAGACGCATACTCTATGCAGCTGAACTTCATTAATGACAAATGTGCGATTAACCTTGGCAGAGCCGTTAGTATTACATTCCTCATTTAGACGAAGCGCTCCACACATAAATAATCTGGTCTGATTTGTGGCCGCCAGGATCCGCCTGTGTTTAATTCAAAGCCGCTGGAGGTTAGGCGCCCGTTCGCGACCTGGCTCTATGAGGATGGGGAATTTGCCTGGTGACAAGTTCCAGCAGGAGGCAGCCGTGGCGGTTGAGAATCTTTTGAACAAGAAGGCTGAGTGAAATGAATATACCCATGCGATACTTGCTGGGCTCTTGCTAATGGATGCCGACTACATAAATGTGGTGCTGGCCATGGTAGGCGGCTTGTGGTTTGCACATGTGAGACTATGAATGGAATTGTCTAGCGGAGTAGACTCATGCACCCCACCAATGTCTGCTCACCAAACGCTGTCGCACTCTCCTGTGGCAGAACTGCTTTGTGACCGGTGAATCTAAAAACGACCAAGTGCCATATACGCCTCTAAAGCAGCGGCAGCACGTACTGGTGCGAGATGGCCCTGACGAAGCCTACTCCTGTGGGTTTCCATGGTGGCACCACCACCTCACGCAGTATCTGACCACCATGCACTTCTCGGTGGTGTTTAGCGTGGGTTTTGAGCATATTTGATGGTACACATGAATCTGCGCTCCGAGCTCCTCTGCTGCTCTTTGTCGACCAAAACACTTTCTGAACGCTATATCTCACGTACAGAGCACTTGGGTAGACAGCCTCCAACAGCTGTTTTGCACGTTAGCCTTTCAAGCACCTTGCTATGGCGTATAGCTGGACATCGAGACTGGGAAGGAAACAGAGTCCTTTACTGGCCATTGGCATAGGAAGCGTGTTTCTTAAAGTCACCTGGACAATGAGCCTGGGAGCCACGTTGGTATTTGTAACGCCCTAGGTAAAGGTGCTGTCAGTTGCTTATCCTGACATGCTGGTAGTTTACTGGAAAAGAACAATGTCCAATCCCCACTCCAACCGACACAGGCATAGTCCCAGAGACCGGATCTACTGGTTCCATGGCACCAGCAGCTCCTGGTATCACAAGTAATCCTAGCACCAGCAACCTGTGTTGTCATCGAGCCTGCAGAGTTGTGAGTGTTACCATCGACCTCTTAATTTTGTAGTTTCCGCAGAATGAGACATGCTGCCAGGACATCACCTTATTAGTTCGTGATGTCTCTATGTTCATATCCAAAATGGCCCTTCGTTGGGTGTTGGTTGTGTGCCAGAAATCCACAAGCGGTGCATTTGCGTGCTGTAATAGCAGGTACGACAGGAAGCTTCGGGACAGGCTGTCCTCTGCACGATTCGGCCCATTGTTTGGCATCGCTGTAGGTGTGAACTCTGGACCGGATGGGTGAGTAGGTATTGAACTATTACCCGCTTAGCAATTTCGTCTGGTACATGACCTCTAGATGGATCTGTGCTGGCTGCACGCCACTCAAAATGCACAGGAATATTGAAACCAAGGACAGCCTGTTTGCACATACGACAAATGAGTAAAGCAGTTGGCTGATGAACAAACAGGTCCAACCACCTCGAGTGGATTGCTTGTCTCCAAAGTTCATTGATTATGAGGTACAACCAGTACAAGCATGACACGTTAAATGATGCTCCCGCACATGTTGGTCCGATGTAGTTTCCATTGGACTAGAACTGGTAGCTGGCAGGTTCACTGGTATATCACTGGCATTGCCAATAGTGTATCCGGACATCATTTTTCTTGGCGTAGCTTAGGTTTGGGCAGTATCGGGACGTTGGCTCGTGGTTAAAATCCTTCGGAGAGCTTTCATCCATAGCACCATGCACGTATATTTATGTGTACGGAGAATAGTAGAAATGGCATTGAGTCAGTACATACCTATTGAACATGTTCAATGAGAGCATCACTGGGATGCCACTGTACAGCCTGACTAACTAAATGTGGCATTTGCAACAGCCAGCGCAGTGCATTCACATATATTGCTCAATCTGATTCCTAGACCCATCCTTGGAAATGGCTGTGTTGGTATGTAATGCTGGACTCCCTGCCTCTTATCCTGTCCCTCTGGGTCCACCGGGTCAAATTGGCTGTGGTTCCATGATCTGATCTGATCGCCATCCGGCGTGAATGTGATGTCGTGTCAGGGCCAAGCCCTTTCCTCTCCTGCAGTGCATACTCGCACCTCTCAACTGCCAGCTGCTTCCCTTTCATTTCCCGTCGTCGGCTACACTTTCTAACCACCTTCCTGCCTTCCATTTCCACGCTCTGTTCCATACCTTCTTTCCTACATCCTTGACATCATTAGAATAATGAGCCGCGACGAGAACTTTATTGCCACGGACGATGACTTTGGGTTCGACAATGGCACAACACCAAAGGCCGATTTGAGCGGAAGCATCGGCGGTCGTGTGGGCGAATCCTCAGTCGGTCCGCAGACGTCTTACGCCTCCAACACACTTCCGGGCGGCTACCACAGCAACACGCTGGACGAGCCGATCCTGACGACGATCGGGCGCGACTTTGGCAAAGTTGGCCGCAAGACCATCCAGGTGCTGTACCCGAAGGGCCGGGACAATGCATTGCGGGAGTGGGATCTCTGGGGCCCGCTGTTCTTCTGCCTGTCACTGGCGGTGACACTGAGCTTCTTGGCGCCTGGACAGCAGGCGTCGGCAGTGTTCACGGGCGTGTTTGCGCTGCTGTGCTTTGGCTCGTGCATTGTGACGCTGAACTGCAAGCTGCTGGGCGGACATGTGTCGTTCTTCCAGAGCGTGTGCACGCTTGGGTATTGCGTGTCGCCGCTGGTCATTGCCACCCTGGTGTCGCTGTTTGTCCACCACATCATCGTCACGCTGCCTGTGGTTGCTGTTGCCGTGGCGTGGAGCATATCCGCTGCTGTCGGGTTCCTGGCAGGCGCGCAGCTGGCCAACCGCCGTCTCCTGGCTGTCTACCCGATCTGCCTCTTCTACATTTGCATTGGCTGGATCATCATCATCTCTTGAGCCTTCGTTTTAAATAAAAGATATGCTGTCGCTAAACTCGTTGTTCACTCGCTGGAGGCAGGCAGCAGGTCAGGCCGCTTGGACCGGAGGAAGTTGGCGAGCCGTTGCTGGTGCAAATCGAGTCTCTGGAGCAGGTTAGGCGACGTGCGCTGCACAAACGGCGCCTCCCAGGGCTCCGGGTCCTCCTTGGTCGAGCACTTGGCGCGCACTGCCTCGATCATGCCAAAGATGGTCTGCACTGTTTCGCGCTCCAGCGGCAGTTCCATCTGGACATCCATGAACTTGGCCGGCGGCTCCTGGGCCTCATTCTTCTTGAACAGAGAAAACAGGCCCGTCAAGAAATACTGGTCGTTGTGCTGTAGCAGCCTTGCGCGCTTCGGTCCCCCATCTGGTCCGCTCCTCAGCATCCTCATAGCGCCCAATGACCATGTCCATTGCCTCTTCCAGGAACCCAGTACGGATCAGCGCTTCCAGCAGGTGCCGGTAGTTTGCCATGTTCAGCTCCAGTCCGGCCTCCTGCAGCTTCCTTCAGCGTCGAGCCCAGGTAGTGCAGCTGGAAAAACGGCATGCCTGTGTAGACATGGTCCTCGGGCTCATTGCGCTCAACAAACTCGCTCTGTGGCTGCATATCCTCGGCCCAGTGGACCCGCTCGTTCCACGCGCATGTATCGATCAGCAGCGATGCCGTGATGTTATCGGGCTTCACGCCGCGCTGTCGCATCATCTCCCACGCCTGCAGCGCGCGCTCTGGGCTGCCGACACGCCCGTATGCCTCGATCTGGGCATTGAAGTAGGCAGTGTCCAGCGGCAATGGCACTCTGCTGCTGCCATCCAGTCCATTGGCATGCATATTGTTGTCGACATTGGCCAGAGCGATAATGAGCTTCAGACCGTCGAGACTCCGCAGGACTGCTCATCGACTTGAGCAGCGTGGTGTATGTCTCAGTTGATGCGTGGACCTTGTGAATGCGCATTTCCTCTAGAGCTCGCAGAGCCTCGTTCGGCTGCCCGTATGCGCAGTATGCCTTTATCATACAGCTGTATGTCTCCCGAGTCGGAATCTCGGCATCCCCGTTATCGACGCCTTCCTTGACAATGGCCCGGATGCGCTTGCTGACCGACACCGCTTCTTCAAAGTCCTCGGCCATCACATACACCTGGAGCACCGACGACAGGATCTCGAGCGTAATCTCGCTAGTCTCTGCTCCCTGCATGCCGGCAAAGAGCCCCAGGGCTTCGTTGTAATCTCCAGCGCGACCGAGACCGAGGATCAGCTCGGCCAGGCTCTGGCTAGTGATCAGGCCGGGGCGGTCGGCACTCCACAGCTCAGCCAGCTCGCGCGCCCGCGTGATCTCTCCTGCCGAAATAAACGCACTGACAATGCTGCGACACGGTTTCGTCCGAGATTGCTGCTCCGTTATCGGCTGTCCACGAAGTTGCTGGTGAGTCAGCGCCGGGGAGACCTGCAAATCTGCAGTGCACACTCGTTGCTCTTCGCGCCTGGGTGCTGCAGCAGAGCCCGGATAAGTGGTTCTAGGATATCTCCATTGGACGACAGCACGCTAGCACCTCCAATAGTGCTCTTGAGGCTAGCAAGCGATTCGTTTAGCGTCGCTGGCTGGGCGATGCTCTCTAGATACAAGCGGTAAATGTTCTCTGAGGGGGTCCACTGATCACCAATAAGGTCGCCTATAACGCGTTCCATCAACCATGTCTGTTTGATGGTCCCAATCGCCTGCGCAACGCTGCACCAGCTTTCAAAGTTCAGCTTGTGCTGAGTGTCGTTGGACTGCTGGCTCAACTCGCCTTGCGGCAGCAAGCAGTGTATCGTAAAGAATCGCTGTATGCTCCACGTTGCCAGCATCGCAGTTGATCTTTAGCAAGCTGGCCAGCATCGTGGTCGACGGTGTAACCGATCCCTGAAGCGCTGACTTGGGGGAGTTGTCCGGCGACGGCACCTCGCTGATTCCAGAAGAAATATACATGCGGTAGATGCTCTCCGAAGTCTGCACACGCCACTGAAGAACTGCTGGATCCACTTCTGCCACCGAGCGCCCAAATGCCGATGCTGCCAGCGACTCGAGCTGCTCATTCGAAATCTCGTCTTGTGGGCCGTCCGGGTACACGCTGATATCAGCTGTCTGTGGATCCTGACCGACAGGCTACCAGCTGCAATACTTTTTCCACAGCAGCACGGCAGTTGTCTGAGTGCGCATCGCCTGAATATCTTTGTCTGAGCTGGACTGGAGCCAGGCATTGCCGGGTCGAGCACGGCGGCTAGATCGGGGTAAGGTCAGGTTCAGGATATCGCGGGCCTGCAGTCACATCTCCTGTTGCAATAGCGATGTCAAGTGCATCCTGCACCATACGAGGCGAGGCAGTCACACCGTCCTGTGATGCAGCAACAAACAACAGATGCACGATGCGCGAAACCGGGGAATCTTCGATGCTTAGAGCCATCTGCTCAAGCGAGTCTGTAGCCAGCACGGGCGAATTTCCTTTTGAGATATCCGACCTTAGCCCAGCCAGCACTTTGTCCAGAATGCACTCGTACTCGTTGGCCGACTTCAATCCCAGTCCAAGACTGCACTGCGACAATTCAGCCTTTCGGCTCAGTCCTCTTGCGATCCGGTATCCCTCCTTATCATCATAGACACCACGCACCGAATCAACAAACAGTTGCTTTGAGAGCAGTAGCGACCCTATACGATGCAGTCTCGGCCAGCCTCACCTCCTTACCCGTATCGACTGGATTGAAGATCGAGCTCGACGGCTGCTGTGCCTGCGATTCCGCCAACAGCACAATCAAGTCGACCAGGTCGCGCCGGGCCGCCTCGCCATTACGCGACTCAATGTTGCGCTGCCCGCGGTTTGTCTGGAACGCCCAGATATTCCACGCCAGCTCAGTGTTCTTCGCCTTTATCGGCACATAGGCAGGCATGCCAGCATCGTTTTTGTAGCCGCCCCTCCGCTGCCTCTCTGTCAAGCGTTTGATGGAGGGGACATTGGGCTTTGTCAGGGGATCAGGCACCTCCTGCGCGCTGGCGATAAGCTCCTTGATTTTGCTGCCAAAGATCCTATGTGCAACCGCAGTGCTGTGCATGTCGGCACGACAGAGCCGCTGGGCTGTGGTGATGCGGGCTGCCGATAGCCGTGCGCGAGAAAGAATCCGACTGCTCATTGGCAAAAATGAATCCGTAAGAGAAAATAATTGAAACTGGAAGATAAAAAAGAAGAAAGGAAGGCCACAGCGCAGATCGAGATCTGAGCCGGGCTCTAGTTCATCGAACTGAACCACGGTCCAGTCCAGCGTTTTTTTTTTTTTTTTCACTTGGCGGAGATCAAATTGCAGTCCTGTGCTGCCTCCTCCTCGCTCGGCACATACCGTGCGACCTGCTTGAAGAACCCGTCCAGCGTACACACTGATGAGCCCAGCTCGGTATGGTGTGCCCCCGCATCGCGGCAAGCAGGGAGCCGGATTTCCCGGTCATTGTACCAGACACGCACGTAGTAGCCACGCAGGGCCCGCGGGTCATGCTGGGCAGCACCCGTGGCTGTGCCACCGATCCTCTGGGTCGTCCAGTGGTACAAGTCGTCGGGGACGTTGATGGGGCGCACGCGGCGCTCGGGGGCGATCCTAGTCAGGTCGTCTGAGTGGTCAGCCTGTTCGTCCTCCCACGCCGGCCGCACCGTCGGGTACGGTGTCTTTGTGTCCTTGAGCAGCTCAATGCGTATGCTGGCCGAGAACGGCGGCCACAAGAGTCCCACTGGAGCCTGCACCGCGGGCCCAGTCTTACGGTCACCAAAAACTGACAGCAGTGGCCCGACAGTGGTGTCGTGGCCAGAGTAGACGCCCATCTTGGGTGGAGCCTTGGCCCCGTCGCGGTCCGCCTTTACAGCCGTGACAAGGTTGCCAACAAGCTCGTGGACCAGCGGCCCGATTTGCATGCGAGCCAGTCTCGGGGACAGCTCCAAAGAGTACATGTACTCTACTACAGACATCATCGAAAGGCGCGTCAGGATCTCGTCAGTAACGCCCTCGGGCATCTTCATGCCGTGGGCACGCATGGGCCACAGCGTATCCATGGTTGAAATGGCAACGCGATGACGTCCAGGATTGAACTCGGTGTCGAAGAACTCGCGCACAGCGGGAATTTTCTCCAGGTCGCGGCGCAATTGCTCGTACTCGCCAGCCCACAGCTCCAGCGACTTGTTGTTGAACTCCATGAACATGGCCGGCCATGTTCTTGCAGTCAAAGTTGGGGAACATGTTGTCGCGGTTGGCAGGCCGCACATTAACGCGGTAGGTAGGCGCGTTGGCAGGCAGATTGGGATACAGCCCGCCCAGCAGATGCTGCAAAGACTCGAATGCACGGGTGAACGAGGTGCTGCGCAGATACAGGTCCTCTGCATATCCGCTGTGGGACTGGGGCAGCGTGGACGGAAGGAATCCGAGTGTGTTCACGTACAGATCGCGCAGATGTGTGCCCAGCGCCGACATGCTCTGGCGCCCAACATCCGTGAGCTGCCCGAAGCTACAGGTAGCCGCCGTGGTTTTGGACGTGTCACTGGCGTGCTGGCCTTGCGACTCTGTGGTGCCAAACACCTTCCCGACATCGCGCTCGTCGCTCTTGAAGATGTACGACTGCCATGCGGTTGGCTTGCCGTCGCCGGTATGCGAGTCCACAGCCTTCAGAAAGTCAGCGTGCATTCTGTTGGAGTCGCCGCAATAGTTCCAGTTCCGGGGCGTGACATGGGGCATCTTGTGTGTGATGGGCGTGCGCTCGCCGTGGCGGTTCAGCACGTCGACGTGGATGACCTGGAGTCCGCTGGGGTAGTGTTTCTTCACAAACTCGCCGGTCAGCTGCGGCAGCCGTGCCTTGGTCGGGTTCGGGATGGCTGCGTCTCCGGTGGGCGCTCTGCTGGCCTGCGAGGGTGACATGACTAGGGTTGAAGAATAGCTGAAGCGGAAAAAAGAAATAGTGCAGTCCCTTCTGCTCGCCGCCTTCGGCGTCCGTTTTATACCCGCGCGAGCTCCATCTCTCCTGAGCACGGCTGGCATTTGAGCAGAATGGCTGCATGGCGAGGAAATCACGAGGCCAAGTGGCGGGACTGCATCGTCTATCCACGCCCGTCCAAGAGAAAACAGGTTTGCCAGAGATAACGGACTGCAGCTTCAGAGACAAGCACGTCTCGTGAGAACGAGCGCGGGGACAGTCTGGCTTGTGCGCGGATTACGGCCAGCGCCATCTCGTATAAGGAAGGTGACAGTTGGCAGTCACCGGCGTCCATTTATCGTAAGGATCGTCACTGCCATAGTAAGCACCGTGGCCGGTCGGGGGGGCGGGCAGCCGGGTGGGGAGTATCAAGACACGTTCGAAGGCATGCACTGTATTCACATGGAGCACGAATTGACATATGTCAAAAGCAGACCCTGGGCCGGCACATAAAACTGTCTACTGGCGCGCCTGCCGGAACTGCTCAACAAACGCAGTGATCTTTTCGACATTGTCCTCCATCTCATCAACCGTGTTGCTGGGCAGCTCCATGATGATCTCCTCATCATAAGACTCGCGCGCCTCGTCCAGCACCACCTGCATGATCTCGCTCTCGATATTCTCCGAAATCTTGTTCTGCTTGTATCCGCGCTCCGTCAGTCTGTCAAACACCTTGTCGGTGGTCGCACGCAGAACAACCACCAGGTCAAACCACCGCTTGGGGAAGAAGTCGCAGGTGTGGTAGTCGACGCAGACGCCGCCGTCCGCCAGCATGTCCTCCATCTCGTCAACGACCTTGTCCTCGTTGAGCCAGTACGTGTCGAATTCCTCGTTGTAGCCGTCGTGCAGGGTGCGCTCCTTGACTAGATCACCGACCGTGATCTTCTTCAGCCCAGTGGCCATCGCGACCATCTCTGCCGTTGTCGTTTTGCCCGTGCCCGGGGTGCCAGTGATCAGCACATTAGGGGTGCTCCGTGGCTTGCTCTGCGGCGCATCGTCACTGTTCATTGCGAATTATGTGTAGGAAAAAAATTGCGTACGTGGTGCAACAGGTGAAGGAGAGGAAAAGCGTGCTGAGCACTTGCTGCCAAAACCCAGACGCGGGTCAGATCAGCTTCCCGATCAACCGATTATGTGAAATTGATTTCTGGACTGTCTTTTTTGGGGTGGGGAGATTTATGCTAATGCCCCGCGCCAGGCACAGCGGTTCTGCGCTATCTCTCATCTGCGATCGGTGCCCGCTTTCATTTTTCTCTCCACAGCCCCCACACCACCTTTTGTCGAATTCACAAACAAATGCTGCAGTCTTTCCTTCGTGTTGGCGGTCGTCGCGTTGCCAGGCCGATCAACGCTCAGCGGCTGGGCCGTAACAGCGGCTCGCGCTGCCTGTCGATGCTCTCGGGCAAGCGTAGTGTTGGCGCCTTGAGCGGAATCAACTCGCAGAGATATACTGCCTCTAACGTGGCTGTTAGTACCAGGGCATCTGCTGGCATTCGGTTCTACTCTGCTGCTGCTGCAGAGGCAGAGACTACCTCGTCGATCGATCTGGGAGACATGATTCCAATGGACAAGATCCGCAACATTGGAATCATTGCTCATGTAGATCATGGTAAGACCTCGCTGGTGGACTGCCTTCTGAAGCAGTCCGGTGCCCTGGCTGGTTCCAGCGCGATGCAAGAAACCCGCGTCATGGACTCGAATGCGCTAGAGAAGGAGCGCGGAATCACAATTCCTGTCCAAGGTCACCTCTCTGGCGTACAACGACCACCGCATCAATATCATCGATACACCGGGGCACGCTGATTTCGGTGGTGAGGTCGAGCGCATCCTGTCGATGGTTGACGGTGTTGTTCTGGTTGTCGATGCCACTGAGGGACCGATGGCTCAGACCAAGTTTGTCCTGACCAAGGCCCTGGCCCGTGGCCTGAATCCCGCTCGTGGTCTTGAACAAGGTTGATCGCGCCACCAGCCGGCCCGACGAAGTCGACTCTGAGCTGCTGGAGCTGTTTATGGCTCTTGGTGCCAGCGACGAGCAGACCGCGTACGACATTCTGTATGCGTCGGCCAAGGAGGGCTGGTGCTCGGGTGACTTGGCCCAGGCCAATTCGTATATTGAGGCGACCAACGCCAATGGCAAGTCCGGACGGTAGCATGGTGCCGCTGCTGGACGCGATCCTGGCCAGGGTGCCGTCGCCCAAGGGAGAGCGGGACGATGTACCGTTCTCGATGCTGGTCACGCAGCTCGAGGCCAACTCGTACCTCGGAAAGTGCGCATTGGGCCGCATCACCAGTGGAACTGTGCGTGTCGGCGACAAGATCCGCGTTCTTGAGCCTGGGACCGGCAACGTGAAGGAGGAGGGCAAGGTCACCAAGCTGTTCCTGCGCAGCGGTGTGCAGCAGGTGCCCATGGCCCAAGCTGGTGCTGGCGATGTCATCACCATCAGCGGCGTGCCAACCGTCAGTGTCAACTCGACCGTTGCCAGCCCTGAAGTCACCGAGCCGCTCGAGTTCATCCCTGTCGATCCGCCTACCATTTCGATGACCTTCTCTGTCAACGACTCGCCGCTGGCCGGCCGCGAGGGCTCACAGCTGACATCGAGCATGATTCGGGACCGCCTGCGCCGCGAGGCTGAGACCAATGTTGCGCTTCAGATCGTCGACTGACGGCAAGTCCGAGGCGCTTGAGGTGCACGGCCGCGGAGAGCTGCAGCTGTCGGTGCTCATTGAGACTATGCGCCGTGAGGGCTTTGAGCTGTCCTGTCACTCCGCCGCGCGTGCTGTTCAAGCGTGATCCCGACAACCGCAAAAAGATCCTCGAGCCCTACGAGGAGATCACAATCGATGTCGACCATGCATCCTCGGGCACAGGTCATCGAGAAGCTGACCAAGCGCAAGGCCGAACTCAAGTCGTTCACTGACATTGCTGACAAGGCGCGCATTGTGTTCCACATCCCGACGCGTGGTCTGCTTGGCTACGCGTCCGAGTTCAAGAACGACACCCACGGCACTGGTGTCATGAACCACGCGTTCCTCCGCTACGGCGAGTATGCCGGCGCCTTCGAGAAGTCGCGCAAGGCCAGCATGGTGTGCCTGTCGTCTGGTACCGCTACCACGTATGCGCTGAACATGCTCGAGCCGCGTGGCCGTCTGTTCATTCGCAACGGCGAAGACATGTACCCTGGCATGGTTGTGGGCGAGCTGAGCAAGGATGGCGCCGATCTGGATGTCAACCCGACCAAGGCCAAGCAGCTGACCAACATCCGCGCTGCAGGCAAGGACGAGACTGTCCGTCTGACGCCGGTCAAGCCCTGGACGCTCGAGGAGGTCATCGCCTATGTCAACCCCGACGAGGCGATCGAGGTCACGCCAACCCAGGTCCGTCTGCGCAAGCAGATTCTTGATCCGATCAAGCGCAAGCAGCTGTCGCGCAAGCGCGTCAGCGATATTGATGATATGCTCGACTGAGCAATGTACACACTAACCAGGGGTGGGTTTTTTCTGTGTCGCAGAAGGAAACTTGTCGAATTGTATTTTTGAAAGATATCAGCAATAGACCGTTACTAAATCTGCAAACATGCCAAGCACTTGCCGCCACACTGTATGATGCCGCTCAATGTCTGGTAGTGATATGCATCAGTGTGCTTTTGTATTCGCCGATGGCTCATATAAATTTGACGCTGGGTGTCTCTGGCGGATCGAGTGTTTTCTCTTCCCTACATTCCACTTCAGTAAATATGTCAGTCAGATCCACTCATAGTGATAGCGGTCGCGCCACTACCAACGATGCCCTCCTTTGGTGAAAGCCTCGAGGCCCGTGTGTCTCGTTTCGAGGAGCACCAGGCGACCCAAGCCTACATGCAAGACAAAATCGAGCAGCTTGAGCAGCGCCTCGAGGCTATCGAGTATCACAGGAGCTTTTCCACGGGAAGCTGGACACCCGATGCGCAGGCATACTACTGTCCGTATCTGCCGCTGCCCAGCAACAACCTAAACCCGACGTGCCACGATCTGAGGCCCAAGCACCTGCACACCATGAAGGATCTTATGTGCCTCCGCCAAACCAAGTCCGTTGAGCACTATGCCACCACGTTCCAAGAGCTCGCCCAGACTCTCGAGCTAGACCAACCTATGCTGATCGAAATCTTCTACCTCGGTCTCAGGGAATCGATCCAGGAACTAATGGCGCCACATGGCTCGTTCATCTCCCTAGAGCATTTTATCGACAAGTGTATGGCCATCGAGGGGACCGTTGGCTACTCCAATGTCCACCGCGAGGGTCCGCTAGCCCCAGAGGAACGCCAGCGCCGCATAGAGTATAACCTATGCCTGTACTGCGGTGGGTTTGGACACAGGAAGCCGTAGCTGCGTCAAGGGCAGACGAGCTCATTTTCTGAGGAAGAAACATGCGAGCGCAAACGCAGCTGCAGATGTATGAGCTCCCAAAAGATAAAGATCGAGTGAGACCCCATCATGTCCTGCCCCACTGGATTGGACTCCCACGACCTTTGATGCTATCACTTCTCCCCCTGTTCCTACCCAAATAACACATACAAAAGACCCCCTTTAGGCGATGAGTCGCAGTGATACGTGTGTAGCTTCACCAGCAAAGAAGCCAAAGGAGGCAAAGCGCGATCTAACGAAACCGCCTGGAGCCGGCGAGAATCGCTGCCACCACTACGTTGCTGATAAGGGCAGATACTGTCCGTTCACGAACCAAAGCAGGCAGCAAGTACTGCGGCGAACACTCAGTGCTGCAGGATGGCCAGAGCCAGCGCGTCCCGTGCCCTTACGACCGGTCCCACTCGGTCGATATCCACAGGCTAAAAAGGCACATGGCCAGCCTGTGCAATGCGCGACCCCCTGCAGTCCAGCCTGCATATGTGAATCCTGATCTCAATGTGTCACTGCCACCGCCCAATTACGGAACAGGCACATTTGCTGAATGCGGAAAGACATGGAGCGAGGAAGGGCTAGCAAAGGCAGATGCCAGACTAATAGGTCAAGCCAGGCGAGCTTTTATATCTGTCGCCTGAATCCGACTCGTCCGATTGGTACGCGACGCAACACCTAGCAGTTTGTCAGCAGAAGCGATGGAGTCCCTTGATGCGGCCTATCATTGCCAAATACCTTGAGGGCGTGCCTTGTGCACAACTACCTGCTGGAGATATGGCAGCAGCATCGTTTGCAGACCTGCTCGATGCGGTCCATGTTTCGGCAGAGTTCAAAATGGATGTCACCTCACACACTGCAGTTGACCAGCCCAAAAGCTGGAAGCAGAATCAAAAATATGCCCGACAGCAGTCGTCGCTAGTCGGCCACATGGATCAGCGGGGGATGCTGAACCCAGGAGTTCTGTTTTGTCGAGTTTGGAGCCGGCAAGGGCGAACTGTCAGTATACGTCCATTCGGTGCTTGAGACGAGGCGCAAGGCCGGTAATACGAATCGTCCTGGTGGACCGTCAGAACGCACGCCGGAAGTTCCAAATCATTCAAGAAGATTCAGGCCAAGAAAAATCGGCGCACGACCATTTCCACCGCATCCTCATCGATATCCGGGACCTCGACCTTGGCCAAATCAAGGAGCTGCAGTTCGTTGATGAAGCAACTGGGCAAATTCGTCTGCGCCCGATAGTCGCCTACTCGAAGCACCTGTGTGGTGCTGCTACCGACCTGACCATCAAGTGCCTGGAAAACTACCAGAATGCTGGTGGTAAGGTGGTTGGAATGGCGATTGCACTTTGCTGCCACCAGGTGTGCAAGTACTCGATGATGCTGGACCATGACTATTTGTCACAAGCTATTCCCCGCACTCAGCCAGATAATGATAATGCATGGGACGATGGCCAGCGCGAGTTGTTCTATCGCCTAACCTCCATGTCCAGCTGGGCGATCAACGTGCCTGCGCAGCTGTCTGACGCAAAGCAAGACCCGTCGCTGTTCACACAAGACAGCCGCACCCGCATTGGCCACGCCATCAAGCGGTTTATCGACATTGGCCGTGTCCAGTACGTCCGCCAGCATCTGGGGCTGCCCAATGCTGAACTGGTCTACTATGCGCCGCGTGCAACATCCCCTGAGAACCTTATGCTGGTTGCAACTGGCGATGCCTGCTTCTAGCTAAATGGCAAGCCGATTTACCCACTACTTCTAATAATAGGCCTTCAATATAGTGATCGACGGCTGAATCTCTTCAAACGCGTGTACACCTGATTGTAGCTCGGTGCACAGCCATGCATCCAAAAGTGGTTTCCAATACGTCAGTAGTGTCAATCATTCCAAGACATAAACGACCTGGTGGGAGACCGCGGTCTGTTTACCTGTTCCCATTTCCAAATTTCGGTGCGAGGAGCGGCTCGCAGTGCGGCAGCCTGCGCATCCTCGGGGATGCAATTCCTTAAATCCTGTTGCTGCCTCATCTCTTGCATTGCTCTTTCACTTGACCACCATATCTCCTTCACTCTCTTCTCTACCTGTTCCCTCTACTTTGTGTCTTTCCCGCACCCTTTCCCGCACCCTTTACCCTAGATTCTCCTCTTTTATAACGAACACCCCCGCGCCTTTTTATCAAAGATGAAGTTCTCCACTACCGCTCTTGCTCTTGCCACCATTTTTGCTGCCTCCGCCGTTCAGGCCCAGAAGATTGATGCCGAGGGAGACACCCCTGCTCCCGCAGGCTCAAACGGCCAGATTGATCCTGTTGCTCACAACGGTGTCCTTGGTGAGGCTGTTGTCGTGACCAACACTGCTGTTCCCCCTCCCGCCAAGACCCAGAGGGCGGCTGCTGCTTCTGAGACCCAGCCAGCATCGGACAACACCAGTAACAACACCTCAAACAGATGCCTCAAACGACACTACGAACGACACCTCGAACACCAACAACAACTCGGATAACAAAACCCCGAACACTAACACTTCGAGCACCAGCGTCTCGAACACTAACAGCTCTTCGGGTTCTTCGAACTCGTCGGGTTCGTCGGCGTGACTTCGGTCGTCGGGCGCTGACACTTCGAGCAATAGCTCGTCAAACACTAACGCTTCGAGCAACAGCTCCTCGAACGACAAGGCTTCGAGCAACAACGCACCAAATGCCAACGCCTCGAGCAGCAACTCCTCGAACTCCAACGCATCTAGCAATGACAGTTCGAAGAGCAATGCCTCCAGCGGCAACTCTTCGGGCAGCGGCAACTCTTCGAGCAGCGGCAGCTCTTCGGGCAGCGGCAGCTCTTCGGAGAGCGGTAACGCTTCGGGCAACGGCTCGGGCAGTGGCTCGTCGGGCGCTCCTGCCGTCTCTGCTCCGGCTGGCTCTGCTGGTTCCTCCGGCTCCCCTGTTGCGTCGGGTGCTGCCGATGTCTCTGTCGCGGTTTCGGATAAAGGCTGAGGAGTCAGACGCTGCCAGCGAGCTGGACTCGATCGATGATGAGGAAGAGGGCTCTGCCTCGTCGGGACACTCGTCTGCCGCCCCCAAGTCGTCTGCCGCCCCAAGTCGTCTGCTGCCCCCAAGTCGTCGACCGAGTCGAATGGTGCCATGACTACTGCCCCTATGATGGCCCTAGTCTGCCTCTGGTTGCCAGTCGCTGTCTCTGGTGTCATGTTCTAGGACCCCACTCAAACTTTAATGTCTTTTTACAGAGTGTCTCTGACCTCGTCCCTCCCCGTGTCATGCTCAATGTCAATGACAACTGAAGGCCATTCCTTCCGAGAACAATGGTTAACCCATGTATTTTTGCAAAAAACTATGCAGACCACATGTCCACATAGCGCTATAATGGAACAATTTGCTGCCCACGCATTGCTTTGACGTGCATACAGGTAGTCAGCAGAGGTTTTGTTTACCACGCCTGAGTGTTGGACACACTCACGCGCTCGGTCTCGCTGGCCTGGGCATCGACAGGAACAACGCTACCGATGACATAGGCACTCTCGCCGCTCTGTGTCAGCTCGGCGACAACTGTATCGACATGCTCCTGGCCACAACCATCACCATGCCAATACCGCAGTTAAATGTGCGCGCCATCTCCTCAGCTGCAACGCCGCCAGCCTTCTTGACCCACTGGAACACGGCGGGGAACTCCCACTTGGATGCGTCCACCTGCACGCCCAGATGCTTGGGCAGCACGCGCGGGATGTTGTCAGGTGAACCCACCGCCTGTGATGTGCGCCATACCCTTGATCAGGCTCTTGTGGATCAGCGGCAGCAGCGGCTTGACGTAGATGCGGGTCGGGGTCAGCAAAGCCTCACCAACCGTGCGGCCGTCAGAGGTCCATGGGCACGTGCTATGGAAGTCGAGGCCAGCGTGGGCGAACGACCTTGCGCACCAGCGAGAACCCGTTAGAGTGCACACCCGATGAGGCCAGACCGACCAGCACATCGCCAGCCTGCATCGTGTCCATGCGAGGCAGGATCTCGGACCGCTCCACAGCGCCGACCGCAAATCCAGCTACATCGTAGTCGCCCTCGGTATACAGCCCAGGCATTTCCGCCGTCTCGCCGCCAATCAGCGCACACCCAGAGTCAAGGCACCCGTCGGCAACACCCTTGACAAAGTCGCGCGTCGCCTCGACATCCAGGTGCCCGCAGGCATAGTAGTCAAGGAAGAACAGCGGCTCGGCTCCCTGCACGATGATGTCGTTGACCTGCATCGCCACAAGGTCAATGCCAACGGTATCGTGGATCTTCATTTCGTGGGCAATCTTGAGCTTTGTTCCCACACCCGTCGGTGGCCGACACCAAGACCGGGTCCTTGTAACCAGTCGCCTTAAGATCGAATACGCCGCCGAAACCGCCAATATCGGAGTCAGTGCCCGAACGGCGCGTGGCCTTGACAATCGGCTTGATCAGATCCACCAGGCGATTACCAGCATCAATGTCGACACCGGCGTCAGCGTACGACAGGCCGGACTTGCCAGCCTCGCCCTTCAGATACTCAATCGCGCGGAATCCAATGTCTGACCGGTAGAATCCACCATCGAACTTGACAGTCTTGATCGCTGCATATCGCACGATCCAGCGCTCCCTGCAGCGTGGCATCGACGCCAGTGACCGTCAGCACACGGCCACCCGAGGTGCTGACAATGTTGTTCTCGCGCTTGGTACCTGCATGGAACACGACAGTGTTGTCCAGCGGCTCACCGAATGTGATCGTGCGGCCCTTTGGGTATGAGCCCGGGTATCCCTCTGACGCCATGACAACCGTTGCCGCATAGCTGTCCTTGAACTTGAGCGGCACAGCATCGAGCCGTCCCTCAGCACCAGCCAGGAATACCTTCAGCCAGATCGCACGAGTCGTCGAGGAGCGGCAGAACCACCTCGGTCTCGGGATCACCGAACCGGCAGTTGTACTCGAGCACCTTAGGGCCATTGGGAGTCAGCATGAAGCCTGTGAACAGGCAGCCGACAAACGGGAACCCGTCCCGCCGCATGCCGTCGATCGACGGCTGCAGCACGGTCTTGTGCAGCTCCTTCATCAGCTCCGGTGTCGCAACCGGGGCGGGCGCATAGGCACCCATGCCGCCCGTGTTGGGACCCTCGTCGTTGTCGTATGCGCGCTTATGATCCTGCGCTGCCGGGAACGACACGACTGTGTATCCATCGGAGATCGCCAGCACGCTGATCTCCTGGTCCGACCAGCAGCTCCTCAATGACCACCTCGTCGCCGGCCGCGCCAAACTCGCGGTCGACCATCACCGACTTGAGCGCATCCAAAGCCTCCTGCTTGTTCTTGGGGATCAGCACGCCCTTGCCGGCTGCCAGACCGGAGGCCTTGATCACAACATCAAACTCAGCCGTCTCGATGAACTGACGCGCCTTGGCATAGTCCGGTGAAGTTGCCGTACTGTGCAGTTGGAATGTTGTGCTTTTGCATGAAGTCCTTGCTGAACGCCTTCGATCCCTCAATGTACGCCGCCTTGCTCGACGGGCCGAACACAGGGATGCCAACCTTCTTGAACTCATCGGCCACGCCGTCAACCAGCGGCTGCTCGGGGCCAGGAACAACCAGTCCAACCTACAGTTTCGCGTGAGCAAGGCACAGTGGAATCTTTTACGACGGTGTTAGCTTGGGGATCGTCCAGCTGGGGTTTTTTTGGGGGGGATAAGGGAAACATTTGTGAGCATTTTCAGGTTAGCGACTTGCCTTCTGTGACTGAGCAAACTCAACCAGCGCCGGGAAATCGCCCTGGCTGTGTCCAATCGGGACGTTCTCGATCTTTGCGCTCGCCGTAGCGGTACCGCCGTTGCCTAAACGAGCAAATCCAAAGAGCGCACCTTGTTAACTCGGTTCCCACACTATCTACCAAAAGGGTTGCCTCTCTGTCTGTGATCTGGTACCATCACCGCCGACTGGCGCGACCGCACATCTCCCGGGCACTTACCTGGCGCAACAAAGACCTTGCTCACCCGCGCCGACTTGGCCAGCGCCCACGCCAGCGCATGTTCGCGTCCGCCGCTCCCAATAACCAGAACCTTCAGCTCTATGCACGGGATTCGATCTCGTTAGTTGGTATTTGATCCAGCAGAATATGCCTGCCCTCGGACAGCAGGGCTACTTACGAGAATCGGCCATGGATATATCGTTGATGCTCGTAGTAACTGTTGCTAGGAACACTTGAAAAGTGCTTTGGAAAGAAGAAATAAATCGGCTTTGTGGAGGAAAAAGATGTACGCTGACCTCTCCTTTCTTTCGATCCTGCTGCCTGGCCCGCCAGCCTGACTTTTTATAGCCCAGCCAGAGGGTCGGCAGGCACTCTGGCTGCTGGTCGCCCCAAAAATTATTCCGTAGTATTTTCCCTACTCTTTGCCACTGCGCGTGCTGGCGAAGTGGATCAGGGGACGGGGCTGCGAAAGTGCCGCACAGGAGATAAGCACGCTGGGATCTTGGTTTCTGACTCGGCTCAAACTCACACCCAATTCTGGAAAAGCCAACGACTTGACTTTCAGGGGGACGACGCTGCATGAGACACTGCTACATTCGCCACATGCACATGCCACACCGGGCGGATCGGGGCGGAGCCATTCAATTTGCATAGTGTAGGAAACGCTGCTATTGAGCATGGCCCCGAGCAAGTCCAGCAGCAGCATCCAATATGTAGGGTTCCCAAGGAGGACTTGCAGCTCTCAGTCTAAATCATATTCAGAATAATGCCCCTGTTGCCATTAGGTCAGCACAGCTTAGCACCAGTTGGTCCACATATTAAAGCATTGCTCACGCCCCCAGGCAAAGGCTAGAAAGACATTCTTCCTAGGCTTCTTTTTACCCACCACAAGCTGTATACTTCATCTCGCTTGGCCAGCGGTCATTGAACTGGCAAGCGTAGGCATGCACATGATACATCGCAAGTGCTGGCATTGGATATTAGTCTGGTGCTGCCAGACTTCAGGTGCCGAAGGAGGGACAGGCATGGACTAGAGGCCCTAGCTTTTATGTGCTTCTATGAGCATGAGGGAAAATGCACGATTTTACCTTTTAATAGCCACGGCCGTTGCTCTTGGGTCTGGCACTTGGTGTCGCAGGAAAGCTGAACTGCTTTTCGAAAAGCTACGGCCACGCCAGTGCTAGACCATCCATATGGTAGGATAGAGTTGCAGAGGCGATAGACCCATGCCACTTATGTCATACTCGGCTCCTATCGTAGACTCTGCGCGTACGGGTTTCATTTTATTTGGTAATAAAACAGCATTGCATTGCAGAAACTTTCTTGGGACCCTATACCTGTTTAGTAGAAAGTCGAGGGGCGCTGAGCGATCAGGAGCGAGCGGTCGGCCTTGCTGGCAGGGCGCTGGACGCGGTGGGGCAGCGGGAACTTGAGGCTGCGGCTGACCAGCTGGCTAATGTACGGGCGGCGGACCTCCGAGGCCTTGACGGTGGCGACACGGATGATCTGGACCGAGCTGAAGCGAGCGCGGTGGCGGGCAGCCATGTCCTGGTAGCAGGACTCGACGGCGGCAGCGCGCGAGGTCTCACGGAACTCCTTGTACATGTTGTGGGTACCCGAGCGCGAGTCGTAGCGGAGCCAGATGCCGTAGTTCTTGACGACCAGGGGCTTCTCCTCGAAGATCTCGTTGATCGACACGATCTCACCGTTGGCGCGCTTAGCCTTGTGCAGCTTCGACAGGAAGTACCAGTAGCGGGACTTGGCAACAACCTCGTTGGGAGCGAAGATGCGCATGCGGAAGAGCTTAGGAGTGGGCTCCTGCTCGGTAGGCAGTCTGCGGCCGATAACCTGGTACTCGTGGAGCTACATTGAGTGGAAAAGGTACGCACGGGCAGCATAGTGTCCGGAATTGGGCGTGTTTAGTCTCTGCTGCAAATATGTCCTGTTACAACCCGCATTCATTGTCCGGCGGCCCCTTTGGGCCAATCTGGAATGTGGACCAGCGCATTTCTCCCTCAGCAGCATGCCCCTCATTGCAATTGTCTCGAATTTCGGGCTCACTGTCCAAGGACCGCGTTTTGGGGGAGAAATAGCGATTGTCGCATCCATTCTTCGATTTAACGCTGCATCCATCGCTAAGCTGTCCATCGATTCAGCAGCCATCCATTTCGACACCTACGCGAACCATTGTAATTTCCAAGGTAAATGAGAAATCGTTTAGAAAAGAGGGCAACACAGGCGTTTCGTCGTTTACCCGGTCGCTTTTACCGTTCGTGATCACAGTACAATGGTGATCTGGATATTTTTGATCTGGTGATTATCAGTGGTGATCGATCAAGGACGCATACTTGTCGTATCGCAGGTGTAGGCCAGGCATTGCACCGCCATGTTGCTCCCAAGTGCTTACAACGGTGCCATAGACATGGAATAACTTGAAACAGTGGGGTCAGGTGCATTAAATACTATGTACATTCCTACTGTTTTCATTGTGCTGAATGTAAATATATAGGTCGTTCATAATCGTCATTCATTACTATAAATGCCACCAATACGTGAAGCTGTATTTCAATAGAGAATAGCAATGAAGTGTTGCCTGCGTAGCATCATGTATCTAATCGGGAGTGTTTCGCTGTCACAGCACACTACATGCAGCAGCTGTGGGGTTGTTTTGGGATAGTGGTATGAATATATCCTGGTAAAGTCAATGAGAATCTATTTCACTTTTTGGCACACAAAACTGCTGTTTCTGTGCATGCATTTTACTATTGGATAATGTCTACGACGGTATCTTTCTCCCCCTTTCCATGGCTTGACCCTATGTATATTTGCTAGCTTTTTCCTGTTAGCTATCTTGGTTAATGGGTATGACGAGTGCCGGGCTTATTCTCTTTTTGCAAGTTTGCTACTGCCACAATATGAAATGAAGTCAGCTGGGATCTTCTCATTGCTATTAACGACAAGCTTGTGCTGTGTTGAACTCTGGAGAAACAAGGGCTGGAAAAGAAATATTGCAAATGTCACAATAGATCATAAATGTTCTGAACAAAATAACGTATAGGTTGCCGTAACAGGGGATGGAGCAGTCAGATATTTGATTTTAAAAAACACATATAATCCACACCCTGCTAGCCCCAATTCCACAATTGTAGCCATTCCGGTAGCCTTATCCATGTGGTGTTGAAAGCAGGCACCTATTAGTGTCTGGCTCGTTGCAGCGCCATGAAAGTGGGAAAGGACATATGTATGTCCCCACCCCCATACCCCCGTATCCCGTATGCCAGGAAGATTTCGTTACCAGCTTCCCTGTGCCCGCTCTAGTTTTGTGCTCTTGCCGAAACTTTAATTAATGAGTCCTTGCCCAAGTACTGCCCAGGATTCTGCCTGTCGGCTGCCTTGAAATCCGCATGACATTCTCAGCCAAGCTGCCTTGTCAATTTTTCTGCAAATCCTGGCTACTGGCCAGGGATGTCAAGGAAAGGAGCATGGATCAACAAAAGCCTCCCTGTGTGGCATGGGTTTCGCCCTTCCAGTCGTGGGAGTCTCTGGTGACATATTCATTCAGGCTTGCTGGGAAAGCCTAAGCTGATGCACGCTGCATGCTGCCAGAGGTCAAAAAAGTCATGGTAGCTTTTGCACTCATCTAACCGGGCGAAAACTACATGTGAAAACATATGTAATGTAGCCACAGGTCTATCCTCTGTATTGAAAAGCACTGCCTTTTCCAAGAAGTACTGCTGCAGCAATGGGGTTGATAACTGGGTGCTGTCTGCCGTGCAGGTTGTATGCTAGTGTGAGCACAGGTCCTGTTGCGCTTTTCACACATGCAGGAGCAAGCAGCTGTCATGTCGTAGAGCAGTTCTTTCTTCCTTGACAAGAATGATGCTGCTTGCCGGGGACAATTTTGAATTTAAGCAAAGGTGCATCCGCTGTGCATGTAACTCATGTGGGATGGGTTTGCTCCCCCTCCTTCACCAGAAAGCCCTCTACACATGATTTTGTGCGAAAAGAATCACCCTCAGCACTCCGATACACCCGGCCACTGACAAAATTTAGGGGCAGATGACCCTTTTGCACGCCACGCATGCGGACACTGGTCATCTGCCAGAAGAAAAAGATGCTGCGGGCATGACAAAGGCGGCCAACACACCCATTCTTATCTAGGCACATCACTCTCAATACATGTATTTGCATTGGTTGGTTGGCAGTGTACCTGTCTTCAACTACAGCGACCTAGTGTAAGTTGGATTGTGTGTCTGTGACAACGATGGCCAAAGCATTCCAGGTCTATCGTGACCGATGGATTGCATTGTTGCACCCGTCCTTAAAACAGGGTTCTGGTAGCGACCACTGTCTCCTTTCTACTGGGGACACAGTTATCACGAGGCAGTGCAAGGAATGTATGCAAAGACAGCAGCTTGTTTTGCTGGTGGTAGAGCCGCAGACATAATATTTGAAAGCAATGCCGTACCGAGGGTTGTCACAATGATTTCTAGCAACGGTAGAGTTGTATGGCATGGCAAACATTAGGGCTATTGATTATATAGAGAAACAATTTTGGAAATAGAGGCCGTGCTATACACTGTACGCATCTTCCTCGGTGCTTGGCATGTCTATAAGTAGGAACTCTGCCCGGTCAAAGCCAACGCTCTTGATCGAAAACTTTGTTCCCGGTACAATGTTGATCATGTTGATGCCATCACCGTTGGAGATGGTGACGTCGCCAGGGAGGTACAGCTTACCGCCGCCCCGACCAGCGATTCCGTCCTTGTCATAGGTGCTTGTGACATGGATGTATACGCTGCGCTTCTTGCTGCGCGCTTTGCGGTACTGGAGACTGTTTTCATGGTCACGCGACGTTTGGCGGTGGATACTCTCGGCTTGGATGGATCCGGGCTGCGGGAACACAACTCTGTACAGCGCGCGATGGTCAGCCTGCAGCGTGGTGGCCCGCCGCAGCTTGGTCATGTTGTAGGCAGGCGGCGTAAGGCCGCGCGACCCAGGGTCCTTGGCCGTATATTCAACGCTGGAGCACTGCGCCAGACGGCACACATAGATGTACACGTCGCTGTCGAGCTCAAATACGCCCGACCAGCTAGATGCAGACGAAAGATTGGGCTTCGTCACCAAATCCCGCGTTGTGTTGTACAATTTGTTGTAGTCTGGCATCGGTCCCGCGATTTGGCAAAGCTTGTTGTACCGGTCCGAGGGGCTGACATGCATGGTCTGGATCCATGGACCGGAGATGGGCGCACTGCCCTTGATCCAGAGCTCGGTGCCTGTGAACGCGGCAGTGTCGTTGATAACCTTGCAGCCGCGCTTGAGCCCGGAGCCAGTGTACAAGCATGTGATATCGTGTTTGCGCAGGGTATGCAGGTATGATTTCCCCTCAGTGACGATATTTCCCTCAAGCTCGTTTGCTGCAACCATGCCAATCGCAAAGAATCCACCCAATTTGTCGCATGGTGTCTCGCCAGTCCTCGTGAGCCAGACGTCAAATATGCCTTTGAGGCGACCAACGCCCTCGTCCTCCAGCGCAACCAGCGAGTTCGATGCGAACGTCTTGTAGATGCGGGTGTGGTTCATACAGATGAACTGCCGGTCGTGGTTGCGATAGATGTTTGATTGTATGAACGGGCCGTGAGAAGCCGATGCTGGCAGGCACGCAACCTGCTGCTTGCCGCGGCCTGTCTGCGGCTTCTTCTCGTCAGCCATCGGGCTGTCCCGGCGCGACGGCCTGTAGTTGCGGCGATTTGTGGGCTGGCTAGGGGTATCGCAGAGCGTGCTGCTGGCGCTGCTCTGGTCTCTGCCAAAGACGAATGAAAGGAGGCCGTTTCTGATCCTGCCCATCGTGAATAAAGCTGTGCTGGCTTGGATATTATAGAGCAGGTGTATATAAAAGTATAAAGGTGTGTAGCGAACTGAAGACGAGCGCCTGGGCACGACAGATGGGAGGGTGGCCTTCTTATACGGCAAGCGCAAAATTTTTTAAGGTTGGTGGTGGGCATGGGCGCCTTCCAAGGGAGCGCGTATTAATAAAATTCAGAACGCCCAAGCGCATTGGTGGACGACTGCTGTAATAAAATTTTCCTTCTTGGGAAACTTGTTCAGCGCATCGTCTTTTGCGGCACTCTACCACTCTGTCAGTAGCAGCCAGCTTCGCTGTCTCACCTTGCGCTTGTCGCCTGTTTTTCCGTGATTTTTGTTGGTGGAGGTCAGGTCAAACAAGAAGACTGTTCTCGACTCGATGTGAACCCGCAAAAATTCGTGTCGCCCGCGTGACATATGCCTGCCATCCAACTGCCTCGCCGTCCCGTGCTGGCGGTCTGACGTTTTTATTTCTGGAAATGCCTAGTGAATACTAGAAAAGCCGGTACATATCTGCCTCCAGTACGGGTAGTTCAAGGGGGAAATATAGTGGGTGCCTATATCCGCGAGGGCATGTTCATACCAATACCGTTGAGCGGCTGGCTGTACATGGCCATGAACAAGAACGGATCACACTGTGCCGGGGTCTGTTGCCGCCGCTGCACCGGCCATCGGGCGACGCCAGTCGCTGACACGGCTATTGCGGGCTTGTCCCCGTCAATAAGGGTCTTGTCTGAAATTGTTTCGCAGAAGCTGCTCCCGTCGCTGCTACTGCAAAAGTCGACGTCAGTGAGCATTCCTTGGCCGCTGTCCACAACCGCTCCTTCCTTTATAAACATCGTCATCACACGGTGCCAAACATGCCGGATGCCAATGGCCATTGCTCAAATACTGTACTGCGGAGCCGGATGGGAGTATATGACGGCTGAGTAATGGTCGGAATTGTACGGACTCAAGAAGGATGCTGCCAGAGAGTTGTTTTGCGCCCAAACCAGGGTATATTTAACCATGGAATCCTTCGATATAAAATCATAACAGGCAGATAACGCAAGCCCTCATAATATTTATTGCACTTGCATTCCATCCAAGTGTTGGTTACTACTGCCCAGGCGTCGGCATCTGAGGCACATCTGTAGGCGGCATTGGAGAATCGCAAGCCCCGCATCTGAGCAATGGACTGCCATACTCAGTATCGCCACACAATATTTGGCATGTTTGGGTACAGAAGGCGTACAAATGTTGACCATGCGCTACACACGACTATGACATTCATCCGCCACCTTGGATCTGAGACCCTTGCTTTTGTAAGCAGCGCTGTACTCTGCAAGCAGATCGATATCCGCCGTATTAATAATCTAAGCGCGTGCGCAGACAAGGTGCGGTGGACGCTTTGTGTGCACTGTTACATCCATCCCGCGTGTCCTCTCAGGGAGAGTTCAGAGCCCAAAACAGAGAATTTCCATGTGGAACCTTTCAAGCCAAAGCATACCTTCTACCCCTTCCTTGGTTATAGCACAGGTGTGACTTGGTTCGCTCCTGACTAGCCATTACAGTAGACTCTGGGGATTTTTCCAGCCGGGTTATTCCGAAGAGCGGGTCTGTAGCTCCTCTCCTGCAGCAACAACCCGCTAGAAATGTCGAAATGTCTAAATGTTTATTGCTTGGTAAACAGAACCGCTATTTTTGCACTGGAAAGGGCTGCGAAAGGGCGAATACCAATAGGACTTTAAGCACATTAGCTTCATTAGGAGTAGGACCATACTTGCTCGATAGTGGCCCTTACCTCCGTCGGTCCATGATGTCTGCCACCTGCAAAAGAAATATACGATTCCCCGTAGCCTGTGGAACACCATGCTTTTTACAATAGTACCTAGCGAATAGCTTCATGCGCTGTAGGTCCGCTGCTTTCTACAGCCACGCGAACAGAATATAAATCGACCTGGCTTTCTGTCGCTTTGTAAAAGGAATTTCACTATAGGATAATTACCGTTTTTCTTTCCTGCATTGACCTTTATTACACAGAGCGTTTTTCTTTCTAACAATAGCAATGCCTTCCCAGGTTCACCACTTTTTCAAAGCCGTGTCGAGTGCATTTCAAAGCATTCATATCTACACACGGTATCGCCGCCGAAACAAATCTGGCCATGCTGGAGATAGAATGATCTCGACCCAGTCTGGCAAGAACACTGATATCCAGAACTGTATCTGGAATCCGCAGAGCGAAACCTGCGTACATCGGGGGCATGAGTGCGGGTTCTCCAACTACGGGTTCTTCAAGCTATACAAAGCCTTTGCCTTTGGTCTGTTCGAGTCCACCGACCATCAGGGATTTGGGTCTCTGCGGATACTCAATCACGCATGGCTCACCAGCGAGGGCGTGGTGCCTCCACACGAACACGCCTCGTTCTACATTGTCGCCATTCCTCTGAGCGGGGAGGTTAATATGCGAGTGAGTAGGTATTGCGCACTTTTTGTCAGTAGCTTCTGCCACAGATTCCCCTCCACCGAGCGCTGCTAACAGTCGTATTCTGGCCGTGTTCAATTTTTTATTTTTAGAATTCGGAGACAAAACCTACAAGCACACTGTGTCGCCGGGGCAGATCGAGTGGACGTATTGCGGCGACGGGATCGAGCGGTCATTTCTGGTGGAGCCAGGAAAGCCTCCATTGAACGCAGTCGAGTTTTGGATCCAACCAAGCACTAACAACGGAGTTCCCGCAGTGCATCTGACGGAAGCAGCCGACGTGTTTACGCAGCCAAACAAGTTCCGTCCAATCGTAGCACCAGCGCCATCCTTTCTTCGGCGTGACAGCGACCAAACAGTGGTTGAGCCGTGCCATTCGTCTGACAAGTACACTGGTGAGCACTGCGACCCCCGGCGTTCGTCGGATGCCACCATACAGCCGCAGAGTGCCAAGGACTCAGATATGCCTCAGGCTGCACGGGTGCTACAGGTTGATTCGGACACACATGTTTGTGCAGCCCGGCTGACTCCAGGCGCCCGGGTGGCATACAGGACGGCCCAGATGGTGGTGGAATGCCGAAGCAGGCAGTGCGGAATGAGGAAACAGAAGTCAGCAGGCTGGCTGAGCTTTTTGTCCAATGACTCGGGCTCCCTTCGCAGTGCTCGGTCGGTGACCGAGACACCTGGCGAGGACAGGACAAAGCAGGCGGGTGCCAAAGGCGCAACACTGCCTAACCGCCGTTTAGTTTATATTGCGGTTATCAACTCTCTCGATGAGTTTGGCGATGCTGCAAAAGACATCGGCCGCATCGTCATCCCTGGCCAGCTTGAGCTCTCATACGGCGATGGCGCATATCTATCGAATGTGCCTTGTGGAGCAAAGCTCGAAATCTTCAACCGAGGCAAGGATCCGGCCAACATCCTCATTTTCGACATGGATTCAAATAGCGCCCTAGAGTGAGACCCAATGGCTGCTTGTATAGTGTTTATTTATTTTGCATGCCTCAGCCTTCATACAAATAGCCGTTCTCGTCTGCTGCGTGCTATCGCTGCACTGTGACTCAACTGGCCGACTGACTAGGAAGTACCTGTGTGCCGGTTAGCGGGCGGAGGTCTTGAATACTCGCCATCGAATTCACTGGGTTGCCCGAGTCATGCTATCTACTGCGCCCACTTACCACCATTGGTCGCCGCTGGCAGCACATTCACAGCCAGAGACAGCCCCTGGTCAGAGTGACAGCTGCAAAGTCACCAATAGCAAACGGAGGCGGTCATGGCTTTGTATAACCGTGCGAGTTTATCTTAGCGGCTTGCTAATTTATGTGGCACATGAGGATCCGTTCCTGTTCCTCGTAATTGTAGTTGCATATCAGGCGGTGCATTAAAAGCCCACTGTCTATATGGCAACTCAACACTGTATTCGCGGAAGAAAAAGGCTGTTGCCAGAAACAATGGCCAATTGAGAACAGTAGCTGGTGCGACTTGCTTCTCTGTGGTGGCTTCATATCCGGTGCTTTATCACACAACCGTACCACCTGCCGGGCAGTGACGACACAGGGAACACGCTACTTATCTCCAGATGATACTTGGGTGCTGGAAGGGCAAGCGGTGGCAGGAATGTGTCATTTGGCGGTCGTTGTTGTGATCAGCATTCCCAAATTGCGATTGTCAGACCATGCAATGGCAAGGGAGAGAGATATTCTAGGTGGGCTCTGCATCAAGGTCGCCCGCACTGCTTCTTTTTCTTTTGAAAGGCCGATTGACCACTCGTTCCCCCAAGATTACCGCAGCACATTGCTCTAAAGGATGTGTGTCATGAGCATGCTGTCTTTGCCAGAAAGATGACTGCGAATATCACGGCACTTTCCCCCTGGAAAGGCATCCACAGAGAATCCCGGCTATTGCATGATATTGGCTGAACAAAAGTGTGCCGTCTCCCGCATTCCGTGGCGCCACGGAGCCCATGCATACCTGCGCTTCCTACTCGCCAATGCCACCAGGCACCGAATGGTGCTCAGCAATATTAGCCGAAGCGCATGCTTAAATTGCCAAATCGCAGAGCACCAAGGTGAGAAAAAAGAGCAATACTGGCAGACGGGATCTATGAATGCAGCGATCCACCAAAAAATTTTTTGCAGCAGCATTTACCAAGGCTCGTTTGATGGATCTCATTTTGATCCGTGCTATTGGCAGTTTGCCAATTCGCTAAGCCTCAATACGGATAGCTCGAGAATACCCGTGCTATCCCTCCTGCCATTGTATCCCAAACAGAGAGAAAAAAAAGTTTTTTGATGGTGATTGTCAAAACACGCAAACAACCTGGTCGGGGATGCATGAAGAACAAGCGTATGAACATGGGGGCGCTTGGCTACCGCGAATGTGCTGTGTTTTCCTGGCGCCATGTTTGGGTTCTGGCGCAGATTCTGTGGCCCACACTGCTGATGCCCAATGGGCCGCAGTGGAGATCGGTGGTGGGGATCTAGAGCGGAGACTGCGCCATAGCATCGCCCTCTCTCTGACAGACAACGGGGCGGTTCTTTCGCAAGATATCCGAGGGGGTGTTCATGATGGCAACACATGTCGGGTCCAAACAGACATGTACGAAAGAAAAGCATTATATTGACAGATTATTGAAAGGGTAGAAAAGAACCCGTAACTGAGCTTCCTATGCGCTCACAGCGACAAATTGCTCATGGGCATCGGGAACGTATCGCTTTTGCGCGGCCCGGACGGACTCTCGCTAGGCTCGCCATGGGCATTCCGCGCCCGCCGCTTCGGATTCAGCTTGCGGCACGCACTCTTCAGTTTCGACGAGAACTCGCGCACCCTGCCAGCTTCGGCTGCCGCGATCTTGTACGATTTGGCGCGCGTCAGTACCTTGTGCTTGCGCTTGTCCGGTGGCGGATTCGCCAATTCCTCGTCGTCGTGGATCGCGTAGTTCTTGTTCAGGATCGAGTGCTGGCTGAACCGGCTGCGCACCTTGCCGAGCTGGTCCGATAGCCGGTTAGGGTCGGTCTGGTACCGCGTGCTCTGGCCCATTGGCAGCAGTGGCGACTCGCACCGGCTGGGCATGGACTCGATGGACTCGACCACAGACAGTGCGTGCGTCCGCAGTTGCGGCTGTTCGGTAGTGGAGGTGGTGGTTGTGGTTGTGGACAGGCTCATTTCGGAAAGAAAAATGTGGATAGAATATAAAAGCGGGATAAGATATAATTGAGAGAGAGAGAAAATATAAGGAGCGGGCAAAGAAAAAATACAGAGCGGAGGGGCAAAAGCAGGATATGAGTAGAGGGGTGGAGAGCGGCGGGGGGTGTCCGTCAACCGGTATTTAAGGCTGGGAGAGAAATTTGGGGGAGGTGACACTAGGGCAAAACAAAAACAGCGCTTTAGGTTTGTGGGAAACAGGATACTTGTGAGTCTGCTGGAAGGGGTTGGCAAGAGGAGAAAAGCCGAGTATCTTGAACACTTGGCAAAGCCTATTCCCGGTTGCCCAGCTATTTATTTCGGCTCCAAGGGCTGCTGAAGAGGATTGGTAGCTGCACCAGATGCGCTACACAGGGGTCACAGCAGGAACAACCTCACCTGCTTGCCACGATGCACACACGCAAATATGCACACACAAGACTGATACCCCATGACCAAAGAGGGTATGGCCAGCTAATGGCCATGGCGGCATAGGCTGCATATTGGCGCATGATCGCCACCGAGGCCGCAAAAACAGGCAGCCCTGGCAAATGGCAGGGTGGGGAGGGTTTGTCCAGGCTTTGTGGCAGGCCCATTCTACATTCATCAATCGCACATAAAAACTAGGTGCTGAAAACAACATTTGACGAAAAATCCTCCGACAGGCCCTCGTGGACAGGCCACGGCTCGTTGGCGAGCTCGGCGGAGATGTCGGTTGACACCGGGTCCTCGTTGGCCCACGGCCCGTAGTTCGACATGTTGCGCAGCTTGCGGCTGCACAGCACAAAGTAGTCGACGCTCATCCAGTACTTTTGCGACTGGCGCAGGGCAGTCAGCACAATCTCCAGACGGTCCTGCATGCGGCGTATTTCGCCCAGGGTCTTGAGGGCGGGCGGCGGCGACAGATCCTCCATGAACTCGGGCAGCAGCATGGCCTCGGCCTGCAGGTCGTGCTGCAGCGTGAACTCGTCGGTCGATGTGGTAGAGGCGCGGCGGGATCGGCTCGCCGGCCTCGCTGCTGCTGGCTACAGAGGCAGCAGCCGGGTTCGCCTTCTTGCGGGCCAGGATGAAGGCCGACATCTTGGCGTGGTGCAGGTACATGATCATGGTTTTGGCAGCCAGGAAGATAAAGTACGGAGTGCTGGCCAGCTGCATGCGGAAGGGATCCATGGCGGCTTCGTCAGGATCCATGTTGTCGTCGGTGGACTCAAAATCGACATCGACCTGATTCGGCGTAGCAGATGGACTGGCTGGTGACGCGCGTGTATGTCCTGGCCATGCGGCCCTGGCGGCGGCTGGCAGCGCTGGAGCCGCGGCGGACAGCGCCGGAGCCACTCGCCTTGCGGCGCATCCTGCGATCCTGGTGGTCGGCTGGGTTGCCCATGTCGCGCGCGTTGGCGTTAGTCTCGATGTGGATGTTGGAGTTCATGCTGGATGCCAGGGTCAGCTCGGCGCCGGCCTGCTCGCGCGACGCATCAGCGGACTTGATCACCGCCTCGAATCAGCGGGTGGTTGATCACCAGCATCGGGTAGGGCGGCAGGCGGTGGGAGAAGAAGACCTTGACGTCGGCGGCCACAGCGCGCTGGCCGGTGGCCTCCTCGAGCGGGTACATGCGCAGGTTCGTCTCGGCATTGATCTTGGCCTTGATCGCGTTCGGGGCGTGCCAGTCGGGCTTGATCAGCATGCGCATCTCGGGCTTGCTGTGCGGGCGCACGCACCAGTGGCTCTCGAGCAGATCCTCGATCTCGCAGGCCTGGCGCACAATCACCTTCCAGCACTCCTGGCCGTACTGGCGCAGCGACAGCATGGCGGCCTCGTCGGGCTGGTTGGGCAGGATATGGTTGGCCAGGGTGCGCTTGGCAGCCTCGTCAATGCCCGCTTCCTGGGTGGCATTGCGAATCTTGCGCTCGCGGCGCGTCAGACAGGCCTGCAGCTGCAGCACAGTCGAGCGGTTCTGGATCAGCAGCGCAGCCAGCAGGAAAGCGGTAGTTGGCGTACTCGATGCGCTCGCGGTGGATGGCCTGGTTCTCCTCGTCGGTGCGGCCCGAGCCCTCCTCGTGCTCGCGCAGCGGGAACATGGACTCTAGATACACGCGCCACTGCACCAGCTTGCTCTCGATGTCGCCGATCGTGATGCGCATGCGGCGGAAGCGCTCTTCCCAGGTCAGCACCACCGGGCCGGGCGCTCCGCCGCCACCGCCCAGATCAAGCTCGCTTTTCATGGGCGCCGCCCACCACGCCACCGCTGCTGGCCATCAGCTGGCTGGGCCACCGGCATGGGAAAAACAGACGGAACAGCGCCAGGCGTGCGCGCGTCATCTGGCCGATCACGATCGACGTGTGGGCGTTCAGATGGATGCGGTTCTTGCGACCGGCGCACGCTCACCAAGCATACTGGCCACACGGTTCGGTGTCACGCCTGCGCCTGCCTTCCACCGCGCGTATCGGCGAGCCGCTGGCCTTGGACGATCCCTGCGACGTGCTCAGCGGCTCCGTCCCCTGGGTGACCTTGGTCTCGGTCGACGCAATGTTGACAGCGCCTGGCTTGGAGGGCGCCGGCTCGACTGCCGACTGCGCAGCTGCGGCATCCACTGCGGTTTGATCGGATGTGGACTTTTTTGGTACGTGTGCCGTCGCTGCCGTCCTCGCCGTCCTCGGACTCGAGCGACTCGTTGGCGCTGTGCAGCAGGCTGGCAGCCCGGCTCGACGTGGCGCTGACGCTGGCAGTGGCCATGTCGATGCGCAAACTGCCGCCGGTGTCGACATAGTAGCGGCCCATGTGCAACATCAAGCGCTCGTACTCGGCTGCACGGCGCGGGTTGGGCAGCTCCCAGAGCGCATCGCTGCACGGCATATGCACCCAGCCAGCCTTCCAATGTCACCAGCGGCGGGTTTCCGCTGGCCAGGCTGTGTATGCGCTCGGACTCGAACAGCGCCCACCGCATGCGGCGCTCCATCTCGCGCTTGATCCATGTTGCGTTGTTCAACGTCGGCTTACGCATCTCGCTGGCGTAGTTGGCTGGACTTTGCTTACATGTAAGAGGCGAGATCGCCGACTCGTGCAGTCCCAGGTGCGACGTGTATGCTGGGAACTGGAACGCCTCGTCGGTCAGGTGCAGGTGCAGCTGGTTGAACATACGCACGGCTGTGCCCCAGTATGTGCTGCCCTCTAGCCAGTCGCCAGTACCGAAACTGGTGCTCACTCATCAGATAAAGCGCCTGGATCACCTCGATCGTCGGCGTCCGCGTGGCCTTGGGCAGCATGGCATGCACCAGCTCCGCGTGTTTCTTGCCGTACTCGTACGGCCGCGGTGCGCGAGCTATGCGTGTCTTTGGTGCTGCTGCTGGCGCCGCCTCGCCTACATCGTTGCTGTTGCCGTTATTGCTGCTGCTCTTGCTGGGCCGGCCCTCACCCGCCGGCGCCGAGGCATATCGTGCTGCAATGGCTTGCACCGCCTGCCACAGAACCTTGTTGACGCTGCCGTCGCGCACAGTCTGTTCGAACGTATGCCGGTGCAGGATTGGGTGCTGCGGGTGGAAGTACGTGAAATAGAGCTTCATGCATTGTTCAGCGTACGACGTCGGCGGCGCCTTTTCCGTTTTCTTCTCTGAGCCCTTGGCATCGCCGCTTGTGTCCACCGGTGGTTCGCCGGCGCCCCGCCCGTCGTCAGCCAGGCTCGCCAGCGTCGCAGGCGGCCACGCCCTCAGCCAGATCCAGATCAGCGCGGCTCTCAAGGATGCTTTCGAGGCTAAAGCCCGGGCCAACGTTGTCGGGCAGGGCGATTTGGACGATTCGACAGCGCATCGAGGTAGCCGGAGCTGGGGTCGTCGGCAGCCAGGCCGTCGGCGCTGTCATTGTCGGAGCCGTCGGGGCTCTCGCCTAGGTCCATTGGCGGATTGTTGAAGCGCTGCAATTTGCCGAACCGCCGGTCTGCGTGCTCGTCATCGGCATCGCTGACCGAGCCGAGCATAGAACGCGCCATGCCCTCGCCGGATGTCGACCGGATTGACGATAGGGGTCGGGCACGGGTCCGCCCCAGCGCATCGACATTGCTGGAGGCCACCGACCCAGCGTCCGACGCCTTGGACCGCCGCCCGCGCTTGCGGCCGCCAGGGGCTACGGGCTCGTAAACGCACTCGAACTTCTTGGTTTGGCAGAACGTGCAGGCTGGCCGCAGCCCGTCGCAGCGCACCTTGCGGCGGCGGCACATCTTGCAGGCCTGGTCGATGCGCGGCGGAGCAAAGCTCACAGTCGGCGTGTTGTGTGCGTCCTGGCTGTGGGCGCTCATCGGCCCGCGGCTCGTGGGCACCGCTGGGAACTGCATGCCCAGCGGCCGTGCTTCATTCAGTGCGTTGTCTGTGACGTCGGCCAGAAACCGGTTCATGCCTGAGCCACTGGCCATTGACGCGACGTCGTCAACGCCGGTCAGTGAGCCGATCCCACTGTTATAGTATCCGTCTAGTTGCTGGATCCCGCCTAGGCTCATGTTGTACAGCACGTTGTTCAGGATCCGTGCCCGCGCCGCCCGCACCCGCGCCGCCAGCTGCCCGTTCATGTCTGTTGGCTGTGCTGCCCGCATTGCCTGTTGCTGGCGTGCCTCTCCGGGCAGCAGCCCGGGCGGAAAGCCGGTCGCCGCACCCAGCCCTGGCGGCGCTCCACGGCCATACACGAGCGACGATGCAGTCGCATACGCCAGCGGGTCTGTGCGCGCCACAGTGTCCAGCAATGCAATGTCCATGGCCAGGTCCTCGGCGCCCATCTGCTGTGGCTGCTGTGGCTGCTGTGGCTGCTGCGGCTGCTGGTCGACCACACCCGGCACCCGCGCACCGACGTCCTGCTGCAGGCTGCCCAGCAAGCCCTGCTCGAGATTCGAGTATAGCGGGTCGATGCCCAGGTTGGGTGGAGCGTGGAAGTTGAATAGCGATGTCTGGTCGGTCAGCGGAAACGGAAAGTTCCCGGCAGTGCTGGCCATGGTCGCCGCCGATACTGCCCAGATCCATCAGGCTGAGCGGCTGCGACGTGTCGAGCCCGCGGGTGGGGTTTGCGATCCCTGTGTCTTCATCCATGACTGATGCGGCTGATCGTGGTTGCAGGTGCTCGCTAGTCATTAAGCAGCTTTTTAGGAAATAAGACTACAAATAGGGGAGAAAAGTACAGAGGAGAAGAGTCTCGGCAGTATTTAGCTGCTTGCCAGTGTGAGAAACACGCATTCAGAGCAAATAGAGAAACTTCCCGGGATGGGGCTGGCACGCGGCAAAAGGGAGCCTCTGTGCGATAAGACCGGAACAAGGAAGCTCTGGGCGGGTGTGTTGATCGGCAAGGCATAGGAGCCATGTATTTTTCCAGCTTAGGAGTGGTAGGGCGGGTGAGGCTGCAAAATTAAGGCTGGACAATGGCTAGAATGGAAGACATTCAAATAGCGGAGATTTATTGCTGGCAGTTCCGCAGACCGCAGGACGGGGCAAGGTATGGATTTTTATGCTGTCTGATGTGATTCAGCAGGCATTGGAGATACGGAGCCTTCACCGCGGAAGCGCCGGGCTGGAGGCAAGTCATTTCTATTAATAATTCACGTAAAAAGTACATCTCTACTCGATGAAGCTCACAGGGAAGGGAGGTGCATCACCCCTGGCTGCAGTGAGCTGGCGAGAGGGCTACGTAGGCGTGGGAGGAGGGACCTTACCTGCGAAGAACAGACGGAGACTGGTAAATACAAGGAATTGGAGAGGGATAAAAAGAAACAGGAGTCTCTGGTGGCAGCGGAAAAGAGAATAAACGCCGGTCTAAATAGGTTTACCGGAAAGCAAGTCATCGCATGCAAGCCAGTGCACTGGCAGAAGCGAGAAGGGAAACAACACCACGCACACGCTGCCCATCCCACCCCCACTCAGGCCGAAGAGGAAGTGCACAGGCGATAGGACTTGTTAGCAGTCTCATGTTTATTCAGAGGCCAGATCCATTGGCCGATAAAATTCGCGCGCTGGGACGCTTTGCAAATGGGCAGGCAGGCTCCTCTTTTTGGGACGCCCAACCCCGATGTGGGCCATGTAGGGACTTCCACTGTAGGCCGGAGGGGAGGGCAGTTCTGGCTAAAGGGCAATTTCTGGCGCCCTTCCTGCTGAACGTCTTTACCACTGGAACTGGAAGTACGGGGCGTGGTTTTGTAACCCGGGCCACTGCGTAGCTGCTGGACATTGACATTGCATACAAATCCCGAGATGGACGATCGAGCATTTACAAGCGAATGGGGGAGTTTCCTTTGCACATCTTTTTGCCAGCATTTTGTTTTGTCTGCTCACAGGGACAGCAGTCAGCTTTTTGAGCTTCATTTCGGCTCAGCAGCCGATCTGCAATAGGCGGGATTCTTTTTGGACCAGCTGCTGCGTGGGACTGTGGAGGTGTGGGCTTGAGCGCAGCTAGGCCAGTGCAGTTTTTCTACGGCAGCGGGCGATTGCACATCAACAGATGATCTCGTGCCTCAAGGTGATGCTCCTGGTGTGCATGGCCATTTGCGGCTCAACCCACGGGAAATGGGGATCATCGCACTGTTCCTCGCTCTTGCGCATGTGCGCTGGTGCGCGGGCGGGCGAGGGACAGGGAAGGAGAAGCGGAGCAATGCGATACTGCGCAAGCATCACAGGGCGGATTGTGATGGGTTCAGAAATGCGCACCAGGCACTACAGCAGGGGTTCTGTCCAAGAAAGACATTTGCGAGCTACTAGTTGGTCATCAGCACGGCGAGAAAAGCCTTCTTCTGCCTGGGGAGGCGTATTCGATGAAATTCTCCTTTTGGGCATGGTTTCGCCATCAATTGCAAGGCGGCAGAGCGAAAATGGCGCTTGGATATTTTTTTTTTATTTTTCGGTCGCTACGTCTTCGGCTGGGCGAGGAGTCGTGGGCTTGGTAGATGAAGGGCCAGCTTACAGGAGACTGGACGATTGGACCGCAGGATGGAAGCCGAAACAGGCAACTGGGCTTCGCACAAGAGGTGGGGAGGTTCCCGCCCAGTGGGAGCGGCAGGAGAAAAAAGACAGCATAAAATTTTTGGGGAGGGAGGCAAGGAGATAGGCACAGGGGATTTGGAGCAACAGGAGTCATTTTTGTATTCGCTCAGATAAACACCCGGTATATTCCACTATTACTCCCAATTCCACAAGACTTTTTGCACAAATGGTCGCGGCTTCGGACAGCAGCTCGCGGACAGACAGCAACGGGGCAGCGCGGGAGGGCAAAGCGCAGGCCAAGTGCCAGGCCTGCACCAGCTGCCGGCAGAAGAAGGTCAAATGCGACGGCGGCAAGCCCGCGTGTACGGCATGCCAGCGCAGCAGCACCGACTGCGTGTATGTACCGTCGCGGCGACGCGGGCGGCCGGCTCGCGCCCACCGCGAGTACGAGCGCCCGTATGCCAATCCGCTGCCGATTCTGCCGCGCCAGCCCAAAGTCGCCGTGCATAACCCGTCGGCTCAGACGCTGCCGACGCTGCCACACGTGCAGCCCGCCGGCCACGGCTCACTGCCGCCACCGCCGCCGCCGCCCAGCGCGCCGGCTCGCAGCGCTCCGGCAGTGGGCATGCTGCCGCCGATGCAGCTGCAGAGCCCACAGAGCCCCCAGATCCCCCAGATCCCACAGAAGCAGCAGATGCGGCGCCCGCAGAACCACAGCCAGCAGAGTCTGGCGCCGCTTGGCAGTATCTTGGCGACTGCGTTGTTCCCTGGCAGCCCACATTCAGCGGTATCGGAGGACGACGCGGGTACCGGGCATCGGTCGTCAGGCAGCGAGAGCCCATTGCCCCGTCATGTGCAGCCGCCCTCGTTCCTGGTACCGGCGGGCGAGCGCGGTGGGCACCAGACAATGGCACAGGCCACGCCGCTGGTGATCCCGCGGACGACGCAGCAGGCACCGCAGGCATACATGGACCCGAACGTAGTCGAGTTCTTCCACTACTTCAACGCACTGTTCCCGGTGGTGCACTGGCCGTCGTTCAAGGAGGCCTACGATGACGGCACCGTGCCAAACTACCTGATCCTGGCCATCCGCGCCCTGTCGAAGCGCTACTCCAAGCAGCCGTCGGTGGTGCTATCTGGCCAGCTGTATGCTGCTGGCCAGGACCTGGCTGCTATTGCCACGTCGCTGGCCGAGGTGGCCACGCGGGAGGACCCAAACACCTACCTGATCCAGACCTGGATTATCCTGTCCATGTTCGAGTTCGGCATGGGCCGGACCAAGCAGGCCGCCGATAGACGGGAGGTAGCAGTAAGGTAAGTTTTCATATTTTGCCCGTTGTCTCGCTTGCCCTCCTGCGCGCGTGAACCCGCAGAAAACCCACAGCGCCGATCCTCACAACCCACCCAGAGCCCAGCTCAGATGCTGGTCCGCACAGGCGTGACTTGCCTGCTCCGCCATTTGCTGGGCCCACCCGTCTGAAATGCCCCGAGAAAACAAAGGCGCCATGCTTCCTCTCGGACATGCTCTCTCCAATGGCATCCACGCGGGGCCTCGCCATGCATACCGGACCACACGTCTGCTAACACCTCTTTCCCCTGTGTGCTAGGTTGGCGTACAAGCTCGAGCTGAGCCACATCGAAGTCCGTGCATCGCAGCGCCGCGCGCGGTCGTTGATCGTAGCCGAGAACTGCCGCCGCGTCTGGTGGTCGCTGTTCTATGCCGACCGCTATTTCTCGCTGGTCTCTGGCGATCCGGGGATCTGTCCTGTGATCAACGAATCAACATACCGCGTCGGCTTCCCGCGGGTAATGCGCGAAGCAACGCCGCCGCCAAATGCCCCCGCGCCCCTGGACGTGGGCTTCCCGCGGTACATGGACCACGACGTGATCCTGTGGTTCCAGTCCGCAATCCCGCTATCGCTGATCATGGGCCATGTGGCCCACCAGTGCCGTGCTGCCGAGCAGCTCTTCCGCAACGGCTACGCCGAGCGGCCCGAGCGCGAGCTGTGGGAGGACCCGGCGTGGGTCGATGCGCTGTCCGAGTTCGTCAAGAACTTTTTAGTAATTGACGCAGAGATCACGCAGTGGCGCCAGCAGCTGAATGCTGCCAGCGGTATGGGTGCGCCGGTCGACGCGAATTCCCACAGCACTCGCGATGTGACGCTGTTCCACCGCGAGCTGCAGTTCCACGGCCTGGTGATCATCCACCAGTGTCTGGCCCTGTACTCGTACGAGAAGCTGCGCCTGCGCCTGACTGCGCTCTCGTCGGCCTGCACGCCCCTGCTGTGGCTTGAGAGCACTGCCACGCAGGCCTGGAAGAAGGTCGTGCGCTCGGCTGACACCATCCGAGCCCGCGCTGCTGCCCGTGCTGCTGAGCTCGCCACCGCCCGCGCGTCGGCCTCGGGAACTATGCCGATGGCGCGGCTCCCGAGCCCGAGTGGGAGCTGTGCGCTCCCCACATGCCCTTCCTGCTGTACCTGGCTGCCAAGGTCCATGTCTGCCAGTACCACTGGCAGAAGATTGCCCTGGCCCGCACCCGCGCCGAGTCACGTCGACCGCCACCGAACACCGAGCACCTGACGCCCGCCTTCGTCCAGCCCTTCAGCCAGCCCCCCAGCGTCGTCGCCACCCCCACCCCTGCCCAGGACTCCTGGGGAATCCCCGCCGCCCTCGCTCCCGCCGATCCCCCTGCATCGCCCGCCCCCGGCCCCCACACTCCGGTCATGACCACCATGGGCGCTGCCGCTCTGGCTGCCGCCCAGGCTGCCGCCAGCAAGCACACGACGCCGCTGCCGAGCCGCGGCAGCTCAACCACCCACCTGAACATGATGAACGGCTCGCACACAGACGAACCGCTGCACAAGAGTGTGTCCAGCGAGAGCCACCACAGCAACCCGATGCGCGACGAGCACACTATGCTGGTGGACGGCGACGATGACATCGAGGCCAAATTAGTGAAGCGCGTCGAGAGCTCCAAGGAGCGTCTGGAGATGCTTCTGAAGCTACTGGCCACCTGCCAGGAGTACTGGGCTGACCACGATTACGTCAGTCTTTTGCGCAACATGCTGGACTGGCCCGACGAGTGGACCACGTCCATGCAGATGCTCGAGCGCCTGCTGCTCGAGCTGCGCATCGACTAGCCCCACACCCCTCACAATTTGTTCATACACCTTCTATTTCTCGCAAGCCTCCCTATGCTTCGTAATAAACGCTTAAAAACTCCCTCCTAGCAAAAAGCCTTGGCTTCATGGGTTGATATTGGTGACCGTCCACGTCGTGTCGCCACGCCGCTTGTACAGCTTCCGCGTGTTATCCTTGAGATCCACTATATCCACCTTCGTGACGTCAACAAACACCAGCACGTAGTTCCTGCGCGCCTCATTGCCGTACTTTTCGCGCATCTCCTCGTCCTTGATCCCGGGGATCTCCTGCGGATACAGCGACGCATCGCCCGACCGCACGCGCCCCGGCGGCGGCCACGAATACCACGCCTGGATCACCGGCGAGTGATTCAAAAACGCCTGCTCGCGGATATACTCTGTATCCAGCTCCACCTCGCTATTATCCAGTCCCGCCTCCCGCTCGTCGCGCCGCCAGATCCGCTGCCGGATATCCAGCGACAGCGTCGAGTAGTGCGGGTTGTCTGGGTGGAACAGCATGTGCGCTTGCCCCGAGCACCGCACCTGCACCTGCGCGTGCGGGAACCAGTACAGGAGCTGCACGTCGCTCACCCCCACCAGCTCTTGCACCTTGATGCTCTTTGAGTGCGTGCAGAACGTCATCACGTCCGACGTCCACTGCCCGCCATCCTGCGGTGATAGCCGCAGAAAGTCTTCGCCTACGAAGCCGCGCGGCGTCACTAGCCGGGCCGCCGGGTGCCCGTTGCCGTCAACCGTCGATAGCACACACGTTGCGAATTTCTGCGGGCTCTCCAGCTCCAGCGCCAAATGCCTGTTGAATGCTTTCTTCCATTCCGGATCGCTGCTGGTCTCCACAATGCTCAGCTGGCCCATTTGCTAATTTCTTCTATAAAAACGATGCGCTGGTGCTGAAACTATAAGGAATGCAAATAAAAATTCAATGTGGAGCTGAAAGCGTGCGGCTACAATCAATGTGACCCAGATAGCTAGTATCAGCGAAAAAAAGACCAAGCCAAGGTGCCCGGTTCCCCTCACATTCCCCGCAGATGAACGCCCCTCCCGGCTGCCACTCACAGCATCTCCTCGTCCAGAATCTCGCCAATGGGCTGCGGGTCTGCGCGCGGATACGTCTTCAGCTCCCTGTACTTTTCTTCCTCAATGCACTGCACCAGCTCCTCAGGCTCTGCACACACCACAAACTCCCTGCCCGCTAGCTCCTCCGCAATCTCGCGCTGGTGGTTGTCCATCAGCCTCCCGTTAACCACCACAATCGCTGGCCGCTGGCTGTGCAGCGTCTCCAGAATCGAGCCCGTGCCGGCATGGCAGATCACCAGCCCCGCCTGCTCAATGTATTGCAGGGGCCGGTCTGTGTAGTCAAACGAGTCGATGCGGATTCCATGCTGGTCTTTAGCGCTCGGTGGCGGCCGGAATGCATCTGTGGACGACCCGTACTGGACGGTTAGCTGCGTGAATCCGCGCTGCGACAGCGCAAGCAGGAACGCCTTGGTGCTCACGGCTCGCACCAGCTCGTCGAATCCCGTTGATCCGACCGTCACATATACTGATGTCATATTGGCGCAAGAAGAGGAATGGAAGTACCGTATGCTGGAAGAGAAATAAAAGAAATGCGTGCCACCGACCATTGGTGACAGTCGGATTTCTAGCGAAAGCGCTTTGTGGGTGTGCAGGATTACCACTCTGATTAGGTGATGACGTAGGCTGCTAGCCTATATATTCCAGCTCGCGCCTAGTTTGCGCTCCTGTTTCCTTTGGAACACAGGAAGTCTACTGAGCAACACATCTTTGGTTCAAATTCTTGCCCTGCTTTTGTCATTGCTAGACATAGCGCGAAAGAATTCTGCACAGAAGCGTTTGTGAGCGAAACTGCACCACTCTGAGCTTTGTCTCTTCCAGTGTACCAATACACGATCCATAAATTTGACATGGCAGAGATCTGACGATTCTCTCTCCCAGCTGGCGTGGATGGTGGAGATATCTGAGAGGACTCGGCACTGAGCAGTCATGTAGGGCACTTCAGCAGTGCCCGTACTCTCTGTGGAACTGCTGCCTCCCCTTCACCTTTTCCTCACCGTCCCATTTATTTTTTTGCCTACACCTTCCTGGTGCTATGAGTCGGCATGTCTGGTGCCAACCTAAGCCATCTGGGCCGAGACATAATTTCGTCTAGAATGTCTCTAGCGTGCAACAGCATACTTGTGGACAGGTGCGGCATGCCCGAGTATGTCCAAGTGGCAGGGTTCGCGATAGTGTGCAAGATGTAGAATAGCTGCACCTTGCCTTTGGCTACCCACACACTTATTCTGGAACGCATGCTCATGGCTGGCGGCACTGCTGACGACTGTGCACATGGCTATGCGTCCAGCTGGATTTCAAACATCGACTACATTCGCACGCACAGGCGGGAGCACTTTGTGCGCAAAGTGCGGATTATTTTGGATGACGAGTGCCAGTGCACGCTCGAGATGACCATGACGCTTGTTAGCTTGCATATCTCTGATGTCTTGTGGAAAGGTATAGAATCCCTTAAGTTTGTTGGGCCTGGCATATTCCCTGCTAGCGCCTACAGCTGTCCGTTGATATACTGACCATTCCTTCGTTTGAGGGACCCATCGTGCAGCTATCAGACCTTCGGTACTGCAGGATCTATACACCAATGGACCCTGACAATCAAGACAGCACACGCTGAGAGTCTGACGGCCAAGAGGTTGATTCTGCCCACAATACCAAGGTGACACACGGGCAGTCCGGGCAGTATGCCAAGTATTCCACATCTGCTGCAAGGCGGAAACACCGAAAGCACATGTGCCACGACAAAGAGCCATTTGCCAGAAACACCCAGCCTCTGCAGTGCCGGAGGGTTGTCGGCAATCCCCAATATGCACAAGGTCTCCTCGCTTGATCAGGAACGCCCATCCCGCACTTTCCAGGGGATCGCCGCGTTCCAAATGCATATCCCCCATCCCGGCCCTCCATCCAACAGGCACGACAAGAGCAAGCTCCGGCTTGCATCGCTTTCCTTGCTTCTCTTCCGAGACTAGCAGCAGGGATGTCAATATCGGCTGGAAAGGAAGTGCTGGCCTCTTTCCACAGCATCAGCTTTCCACTCAAATCTTCCGCAGTTTCCACACCATAGACATCTATCCACGAATGATGGGCCCTTAGGACGTCTGATGCACCATTTTGCAGACCAGATTGCCACTCTAAAGGCAGCGCACACACTGTAAAACTCAAGGAGCGTATAATTTATCCATGTATCTGCTATGTCAGAAAAACGGGCACGGTTCTGCTGCTCACAGTGCTGCACATTCCATCCATGCCATGTGCCCTCTTGGCATCTCTACCCTCCGAGAATTGGCACGTACTTGCTGCTTTCACCAATTTAGAAACACAGTGTTGATTTCGGCACATCCGAATACGCTCTTATTGGAAGGCAGGTTTCTGTAGACCTCTTATGTCTTCTGTTGTGCCGTTGCAATTTGCAAGGATGGATCTGTGCGATGAAAATAGGTACAACCCCTCCAAAACCCATAGTGGCCACAACAATATAAAAGGGCAATTACCTCCCTGCTCGTGGATTTCTTCCCTATGCCATTTTTAATCCACATCAGACAGACATATACCAGTCAGGCTCTGCTAACACTACCACCATCACCTCGCCACAACCCCTTTATCTACCATGGATAGTCTTAATCTGCTTGGCGCCGCCATTATCTCTAGGGTTTTGGATATCGCAACGAACAACACTCTTCATAAACACTCCGGCATGGATGATTTTCGACATGTTGTAGAGCTCACTACTGTATGCAGGTATTGGAAAGACTGTATGCCACCATACGCTAGTGAGACGCTTATTGCAGAACGTTCATACTCGTGTGACGTGGCTCCTAGAGATAGCTGCATTCCTGGCCATGAAACTAAATGGTCTACCAATCTCAACTACATAGTCACTATGGGGAAACGAAATCTTGTGAAGGAGATGCGAGTGGTAATGCTAGGCTTGTGTGGGTGTAGATTACGTCTTACATCTGCACTTGCAGCATTAAATATTTCGACCGCGCAATGGACAGGGGTCGAGGAGTTATTCTTTATTGGTGAAGGGGTATTCTATGCAGGCATGAAAATTGCGCTCGTGGAAAAGGCTACACACTTGCACACTGACATTTCCCGTATGGTCTCCACATTCCCCGGTATCTGCTCTATGGGGTATCATGCATTCCAACACTCTTGCTTTAGTTCAGGGTATCCTTCGCATCCCGATGGTGCCTCTCCTTTTTATTTTACATTACAGCGTGCAATGCTCAATCGAGCTACCAAACTTTTATGTATGTTCCCATTCCCCTCTGATTCTCTTTTATACTTTACAGGTAAACTCTCCCGTCTTGACCTAAACATTAACGTCGTGAAGGACCTTGGCCGTGTGCCTCTCTTTGACCCGGACATTCTCGAGACTGTGAGGCTTTACGAGCTGACTGCAACTAAAGATCCTTGGTATTTGTTTAAACCCAGCCGCAATGGTGCCCTCACGTTTCCCTGTCTGCGCGAACTGGTTATACTTTATTACAAACGACTTGAACAAGCTACGCCCTCACTCTATTCTACAGGCGGACTCACAATTGTGTTCCCAGCCCTCGAAAGATTGTATATCTCTGATTCCACTAAGCATGTGGTAGGGTTCCACGGCCTGTTTGGAGAAGCACCATACCTTACAAATATCTCAGAGCCCATCGATCGTCTACCTTTTATTGATCCTGAAATAGTGAAAACTGCTAGCATTCTGAGGTTTTTTGGCGAAGAGCCAGTTAACCCTATTGAACCGCGGCCACCGAGGAGTAGGTTTACTCAGTTCTACGAAACACCATCAGTGGCTATTGATGCATTTCTAACAAATGCCACATTCCCGTTCCCTGCACTTACCAGGTGGTACAATCTCCGGGTCCTCGATTTCAGAACAGATGTTGCAACGCTGCCTGAACTCACCTGCCTCCTTTCACAGCTCCCAAAGCTCTGGTACTTATCCATTGTATGTCTGACCATGGATCGCCGCGACGTAACCAGCTGGCAGTGGGACCGCAGCACTATTGACGACGAGGCGAGACAAATCCCCATGGTCGACGACTTGGAGCCAGTCAATATCAAACTGCAGAGCCTACACTTCCGGTCAGATCGGTTTATTGACATCGAAGGTTTAGCGGAGCTGACCAAGTGGCTCCCCTCGTTGCTGGAATTGACAGTTCTGAATTTTTACGTCGACGAAATGAGAGAGGAGCTCAAGAACGTGAATCGGGAGGATGTCGAGGTCAGCGAGTTTCCGCACAGGGGTTGAGGACCAGTAAATTATATGTCGGTCCAATACGTCACTTAACATGTACTGTTTACCAGATATCATAAGCTAATGCTGCTAGTGATCGGTATAACTATGTACCTTGTAACGGGTCTAGGTGTGGCAGAATCTGCAGGAGACATTAGAATTAGGCAAAGAGATCAAGAATATATGTTAGTTTGGAGTAAATCCGAGTGAGAAGTTGGCACGGTTCTTGCACTTATTCACTCTGGGCTATCAGTATTCACAGCTAGCACTACATCCTGCATAAATGCATGCATGCGCTGCTGCTTGCAAAACAGCAGACTCTGCCCCGATTGTCTGCCTTGATTGGTGGTCAGGTTCTGTCCAGATTTCCACTCACATCGCACCCGTGACAATAAACAGGGGCCGGGAGCGCTGGCAGATAAAAGTAGGATAGGCGGCCAAATGCCACTCACAGTCGGCCATATATAGACAAGATGCTCGCCTTCGCTTGATCCTTTTCTCCTTAATCAATTCCCTGCTTTCACAGGTTGCTCTCCATTTTCTCTCCCCAAAATATTACCATCACATCGCCGCTATCAGCATCGCCCCACCACTGCTTTCATTTCACATGGACAGCATAAACCTACTTGGCGCAGCTATTATCTCCAGAATATTAGACACTGCAACCCACCAGCACTTAGGCTCAAACTCCGCTATGGATGACTTCCGACGCATCGCTGAACTCACCACTGTGTGCAAATTCTGGAAAGACTGCATGCCGCTCTACGCTACTGAAACGCTTGTCGTTGAACGCAGTGCCATTAAACATACAAACACTTCGAGTAACAGCCAGCCACTCCATAGCCACAAATGGGCCACCAATCTGAGCTTCATCCTCGCCATGAGCAGACAGCATCTTACGAGAGAAATGCGGGTGGTAATGTCCGGTCCTTGCCACAGCAAGCTACTCTTAACATCAGCGCTAGCAGCCTTAAATATTTTGGATACGCCATGGACTGGGGTTGAGCATCTATTCTTTCTTGGCCAGGGCGTCCATACCGCCGTTAGAGAAGATGAGCAGGCAGATGAGACTACAGATGTATACGCCAAAGTCTCACTACTGCTTTCCATACTTCCCAATATCAGTTTTGTATGGTATTATCTATATGACAAAGTAGGCTTTAGCCCTGGAATTCTTCAGATTGGTGACAGATATTCTTCCTTTTATCTTACTTTACAGCGCGCATTGCTTGCTCGTGCTACAAAACTCCAATGTCTTCTCCCATTCCCTTCTTATGACCTTTTAAATGTTTCAGGCACATTATCCTGCCTCGACCTAAACATTAACGTCGTGAAGGACCTTGGCTGTGCAGCTCTCTTTAACCCTGCCACTCTTCAGACTTTGAGACTTTACGAGCTGACTGCAGCTAGGGATCCTTGGTATCTATTTACATCTGACTGCCGTGGAAACCTCACTTTCCCTTGCCTACGCAGCTTGATTGTACTTTATGATCCTAGACAGGTTGAACCATCTCCAGCAATTTACTCTACAGACGGACTCACAATTACGTTCCCGGCCCTCGAACGATTGTATATCGCCGATTCCACTAGACATGTCCTGGAGTTTTACAAACTGTTTGTGGGAGTAAGACAGTCCAGAACAAGCTTTCTTGAGCCAGTCAATCGTCTTCAGCATATCGACCCTCATTTACTTACATTCACGCAGGCGTTTAGCATTTTCGCGCGGGACCAGGTTTGTCAGCCTACACAACTGTTGCCTAGACATCATGTTACTCACCTTTACAAAGCACCTTCGATGGCAACTAAAGCCGTTCTAACAAATTCCACATTCCCGTTCCCTGCACTTACCAGGTGGTACAATCTCCGGGTCCTCGATTTCAGAACAGATGTTGCAACGCTGCCTGAACTCACCGGCCTCCTTTCACAGCTCCCAAAGCTCTGGTACTTATCCATTGTATGTCTGACCATGGATCGCCGCGACGTAACCAGCTGGCAATGGGACCGCAGCACTATTGACGACGAGGCGAGACAAATCCCCATGGTCGACGACTTGGAGCCAGTCAATATCAAACTGCAGAGCCTACACTTCCGGTCAGATCGGTTTATTGACATCGAAGGTTTAGCGGAGCTGACCAAGTGGCTCCCCTCGTTGCTGGAATTGACAGTTCTGGAATTTTTACGTCGACGAAATGAGAGAGGAGCTCAAGAACGTGAATCGGGAGGATGTCGAGGTCAAAGAGTTTCCACACAGAGATTAGTGCTCGATACGTAATATATGCACCTCACCCAGAAAAATATGATTACATATCGCCCATCAAACCCTCGCCAATGAGTTCGTCGACTGCTGCATTTAGCCCCTGCTCGGCACGCTCAAGATGCCAGTTGGCAAGCTGCATCTGCCCGTCGGCCTTTTGCACACCCCAGTTTGAGTACGCCAGATCGAATCCAGACCTACGTGTCGCTGCTGTCAGCTCCTGCACACGCTTCGCCTGCTCGCGAGCCTTTTCCCGGGCCTCCAGCCATTCCGCAGTATCTGCTCCACGAGCAATGCATAAATCGCTGCCGATTCGCGTCGGCTCTGGCGGTGGAGGAGGCGGCAGCGATGTCTGCTGCTGCAGTGGTTGCTGTGCTGCATAGTGGCTGCTGTTTGCCCGATGCATGGCAACTGAGCCTGGCGACTTGGTCGCGCTGCTGCTGGTAGCCGTTCGGGTACTGCACACTACCCATGCTCTGCTGACGACCATGGCGCGGAGGCGGCGGCTGGCTATCGTACTCGTATCGGCTATTGTACGGCGTACCTGTCTGACGCCGCAGGGTTGCGCGACGAGTACGACCGGTAGGGCGCGTCAGGGTAGCTGCCGCTGTGGCTATGCATCGACTGAGAGTGAGGTACCATTGGAGGTGGCGGGGGTGGTGGGTTCGATGCATCGTCGGCAACATTGGCTGAGCGGCTGGGTGAGTCGGCGTAAGCATGCCGGCCTATAATCATCGGTATTGCGACGGTACACGCCGGGTGACCGAGACCGCGACATCGACCGAGGCATTTGGCGTGCCGGGCTTGGTCCGCGCGGCTCAGCATAATCGGCTGGTCTTGGCGGTCTGCTTCTACTTCCGCTTGCCTCACGCGAACGGGACCGGCGGACAGGGCTGCCAGCGCGTTCCTCAGGCGACCGTGCACCGCCTGCCTCATACCGATCATACCTCCCACTATAGTGTCGACGGTCGCCGCGGTACGGTTCAGGGCTGTGCGGTGTACTACCTATATAGCGGGATGAGTAGCCGCGATCATACCGGCTGTTGTAGTATCTGCCGCCGCGGTAGTCACGGCGGTCTGGATACTCCTCATAGCGTTTGTTGCGCTCATAGTCGCGGTATCCAGGCGCTCTACGCCCGGGGTCCTGTGACTCAAACTCGCCGTAGCGACCTCGGCTGCGGCTACGGTCGCGGAATGCTGGTCGCCCACGGCTACGGCTACGCGCCGAGTACATTGGGTCTCGGTTGTAGTGGCTCTGGCTATGGCTGCGACTGCGGTCACGGTCACGGTCGCGGATCACGGTCTGATCCTGACGCACGCACGCTGTATTGGGGCTCAGCGGGCTTTGGAGGTTCCTCATCCGCTACCCCCTCGACGTGCTCTCCTTCTTCGAGATCATCTGGATCCACTGCCTGTCCCGGCTCGATTGAAGGATTGGGTGCTACCGTGGGTGCGGTGGTAGTCTCCGCAGGCTTGTCAACAGTACTGGGCACTGCTGTGTCGGCTGCTGTGCTCCGAGGTGTTGGTTGCGCAAGCGGCGGTGCCCCAGCCGGCTCCTCCCGCTCCCCGCCTCTTGCGCGCACCCTCGACCTGAGTTCCTCAATTGCCCTTTCCTTGTCCATATCCCGTCGGGCCAAGTCCTCTCCGTCCGGCTCCTCCCTCCCGTACCCGCCCCGGTAGTACCTGCCTGCCTCCCTCCGGCGGTATCTTCCAGGATCGCGCTCAAACCGCTTGTAATACCTCGGCGCATACTCTCTGTCGTTATACCGACGCCCGCTGTACCCGCCCCGGTGCTCTTCCTCCTGGCGGTATCCGTCCCGCCGCTGTGCATCGTAGTACGCGCGCCGTGATGCATCACGTTCGCCAGACCGCGACCGCGACCGGTTGTCGCGCCGATAGTACTCGTCTTCGGGGCGCTGTGCCCAGCCTTGGCCAGGCGAACGCGGCGGGTAGTTGGCGTAGCGAGAACTGTAGTCGCCGCGTCGGCTGCTGCTACGGACGCTGCGCGAATCGCCGTTGCTGTCGCCAGCTATGGAGGGCTCACGCGTGTCTTGCACTGGCTTGCCTATGCTCGCACTTGAGGGGGGGCGCGAAGTTGCAGGCGGCGGCACAGGTGCTGCTGGTGTGGCCTCGGGAAGCTGGCCCGGGTCGAAATTAGCTTCGCCTTCTTCGCTCATTTTGTATAGGAGATTTGTGTAGAAACAGTACTGCTGGATGCAACGAATAGAGAAACAAAAATACAGGATGCGCGCAATTTTGGTTGAGAGAAAGGGCGACAGTAGGTACGGAAATGCCCCGAAATCGCTTGGTCGCTGCTGGCCCAAAAGCGCACAATAAAATTCGCCTGCCAATTTCCACAAGCCCAGTGCACTGATCTGATATTAATCCTAGTCCATTTGAATCACAGCCCTGGAGTTGTGCCGTTTTGGCTGAGTCCAGCCTTGGCTTGATTTCGTGGGTGTGTGCGGTGCGCCCTGCGATCCATCTTTCACCTGAGCTAGTCCAGAATTATTTCGGTAAGAAGAATGAATCCATCCGCGGCTGCAGGATGACGGGACTTTGGACGGGCGCGTTGATGGATGCGGCAACCGCAGGTTTTGGGCTCGGCGGCAGTTTGGAGGAAGGGCGATTTGAATTGAGAAAGAAGGCAGCGACCAATTCGAATTGGGGCGCTCTGAAATGCGAGTTCGCCAATGCGGTTGCCGTTGACATTTGGGTTCGAAACAGCCAGTGCTAATTCATAAGGGGAATCGCCACCAACATCGTGCATATTGTAGCTACCATGTCGAAGTCGAAGAACCACACGAACCACAACCAGAACAAGAAGGCTCACCGCAACGGCATTAAGAAGCCCAAGGCCAACCGGTACCCTTCGCTCAAGGGTGTTGACCCCAAGTTCCTGCGCAACCAGCGTTTCGCCAAGCGCGGCACCTTCAAGGTTGTCCACAAGGCTAAGATGGCTGCCAAGGCTGCCGAAGGCTGCCCAGCAGTAAATAGCCCAATGGCGCGTGAAGCTTCTTTTTTCTCGCTCATTTTTTTCTCTGCTCGGCGGGACATCTCTTTGCGCCAGTCTATTAGGAATGGCATTCAACGAGCGCTCTTTGGCCCGGGCGGAGTAGAAGGAAAAGTGTCAAATGGAAACTTTAACATGATAGTGAATAATGTGAGGGAACATGTACGTAACATGGTGCAAGAGGGGCTGTGTATGTGTATTGGGTGGAATGTGCTGTGCTGGACGTAACTGTCGAGATACATAGCATGGATGGGTCGGAGGCATCAGCAAAAGAGTGAACTAATTAATTATGTCGGCGCGCATCACGCCCTTGACCAGCGACACGTAGTCGGTGTTCGAGAACGCTGTCTGGTGTGTCTCGAGGAACCGCACGATCTCGGCCAGGATCCAGGTACGCGTGGACTGTCTTGCTCTCCTGGTTCTCCTTGGCCCACCACTCGATATTGTCGATGTGGATCTTGGCCGCGAGCAGCAGCGAGTACGGCAGCGTGCGGCGGTAGGACGCCAAACACCGACATGGCGACCTGGCGCAGGTGTGCCTCTTGGGCCTTGATCTTCTCCTGGAACACCTGTTTCATCCGGTCCTTGTGCGACAATGGCTTGACGGGCTCCGTAGACACCTCGGAGTCAACGTCCATTGCGTCGCTGTTCAGCGAATCGGGGCCATCACCGGGCACGTTGTTGGGCGTGTTGTGCGAGCTGTCACTGGGCTTGCGGATGCCCGCCAGCGCCAGAACCGACGGCGGGATGCCCGGGTACTCCCCGCGCAGGATACGCGACACCTGCTGGGCCGCCGTGGTCGTTCGCAGCCACAGGTCCTTGACGTACTGGTCAAACGCAGCCAGGAGATCCTTGTCCTCCTGCACGCGCTGGTCGGGCGCTGGCAGCGAGCTCGAGTACTCATAGTGGATCTGGAACACCATGCGGTACAGATGCATGTTCAGTGCCGAATACAGGATCAGCATGGCCAAGTAGTGCAGGTGTGGGAACTCGATTCCAGGCGCGTACACCTCGCAGTCGAAGCAGCGGGTCGTTGAAGCCGTTGGGCCGTGAGTTGCGTCGGCTGCTTCCGTCGGCTGCGCTGCTGTGGGTAGCCGAGCCGGGCTGCGAGACCGGCGTCCAGGGTTTGCTGTTTTGGTTGACTGGCGTCGCTAGCCGCTGCAGGTAGTCCTGGCGCACCATCTCGCAGATGCGCTCGACGCGCTCGACATTGGCACGCAGGGCCTTCATCTTGTCGGTCCACGACATCTGGATGTACATTGGGGTGTAGTCGTTACCGATAGGGCGACCGCGGGCGGAACAGCGAGCTCATGTCGGCCAAGAATGCGACCAGGTGGCTCATGGTGAAGCCGTACTCGATCTCAGACATCATGTACAGATTGTCGTTCTTGCGCAGACGCATCTCCTGGCCCAGAGTCAGCTTGTACAGGTCGTCGCTTGGCCGCGTGCGCGTGTACCCTCGCGCAGATACCGCGGCACGCGATCGGGTGCCTGATAGGTGAAGACTGGGCGGTCCCACTCGCGTGCGTTGCACGGGAAGTGCACAAACATGCGGCACTCGTCGACCATGGTCGGCAGCCGCTCGGCGATTGAGCAGAACCGTTCGTTTGTGAATAGCACCCACCACAGGCGCCGCCGCAGCTCGGCCTCCAAGGGCGTCAGCGCCAAGCGACAGCGGCACATACTGGCCAGCGAAGTCGCCGGGAGTCAGCGCCAGATCGTTGCTGTGTGTGCTGCCCTGCTTGGGCGGCTCGAATATCCCAAAGTGCATCCGCGTTGCGATTGAACGCGTTGGGGCGTCAATCACATGGAAGTCCATCAGCTGGGCCAAGCGTGTGGCCTTGCACCAATACATGGACGCCTCCTGCCAGCGCGGCGTTCCGTAGACAAAGAGGGAAAGCAATGCCAAGCCCTGCACAACCTCAACGCTGGGCCGGTTCAGCTCAGATGACAGAGCAGGCGTGTGCCTTGGTGGCAAAGTACTCCTCCTCGATGAGCACCTCGTCGTTCTGCAGCATGTGCGTGTTGAGGAATATGCGCGAGGAGAGAGCGCGCAGTGCGAACCACACAAAGTGGTTGACGGTGCCATCACGCAGCTGGGAGATGAATGTGGGCTTGTGGATGATTGGCATCTGGTGGTGCAGGAAGCAAAAGTAGTTGTGTACGGCCCTCTCTGCCAGCTCGACGCGGCGCTCCAGGCGAAGCAGCGACTCGTGGATTGGGGTGTGCACAGCCGTGATCTCGTCGGGATCCCTGTGCGCAGACGTTGCGACAGGCCTCGGCGGCTGCCTCTTTGGCATGCACCAGCGCATCCTGGCTGGCGCTCGAGATGTTCTGCGTCACATACGACAGGTGGTCGAGGGTGCTCTGCACATAGTCGGCGTTGGTGTCCTTTTTGGCCATGGCAATCGCGACGTTTCCGAGAGTGAACGATAGCGGCGTCGCGCTCCATTGCGTGGGGCCGCCGAGAGCTGACTGCCTGGAAGGCGGGGATAGGAGTGCGGCATCGTTTGAGGCTGCAGCAGCGCCGGCATTGGCGGTGGCACAGTGAGCGGGTTAAAATAGCCATGGGTGCCGCTGAAGCCAAATGGGAATGTGGTCGTTGCTCGGAATCGTCGATAGAGGCGGTACGATAGCACCCATATGGTGCATTCCCGGGTGGTCATCGCCACCTGGAGTTGACACTGCAGTCCCGCCGGTGATCGCCGCCGATGTGCCGGCTGCACTTCCAACTCCGGCGGAAGCAGCTGCCGCTGCCGCCATAGCCGAGCCGTCAAATCCCTGCAAGTTGGTGCCGAAGTTGAACGAAAAGTTCTGCAAATCGATGTCATCTAGGCTGCTGCGTTGTGGCGCATCGGGCCCGGTTGAGAACGAGCCAAAATAGTCAGATCCATGCACGTCGGTCTGGGCCGAGCCCAAGTAGCCCGATAGCAGCCCACTGCCCTGCTGGTTGAGCGAATCAAAGTCTAGGTAATTTGAATTGTTGTACGGCGCGGTCTGTGGCTGGCCCAGGTGGATAGAATTCGGCGCTGCGTCGTCGGCGATCGCAGGCTGCATCTGAGCTCCGGACGACTGATTGCCGAATGGGTGAGGCTGGCGCTGCTGCTGCTGTTGCTGCTGTTGCTGCTGCTGCTGCTGCTGGGATCTGAGTTTGCATACTGCCGGATAACGCCGCATTGCTGCTATTGGCAGACTGGTCGATTGGGTTTGCAATAGCGGGTGATGACCGCTGTTGCTGGTGGTGATGGTCCGCGCCTACCGATGTTTGTAAACACCCGCTGTCGACGGCTGCGTTGCCGTTTGTGTTAATGCTGTTGCTGCTGTTGGCGACGGGGACAGCAGTGGTCAGGTGGGCTGCAGCAGAAGTAGCGGCAACGTGCGACTGATTCAGCGGACCCGGGCCAGATCCAATCGACGACGAGTATAATGACATTGCATGATCGGCCCCAGAGAACGTGTGCTGTTGCTGCTGCTGGGGATCGATGGGGATTGTCGACGTGGTTATGATGGACCCGCTGTGAGCTGGATACTGTGCAGGATTGGCCGACGATACCCACTGGCTAAAGTACTCAGGGCCTGATACCATCGAGCTAGCAATCGACAGCGCCTGCTGAGCCTGGCCAACTGGGAACCCGGCGCTGGCAGGCGGGGTTTTGGGCCCAGTGGGGACAAAATGCGTGGTCGGTGCGCTGTTGCTCGGCCATTGTGACGGCTGCTGCTGACTGCTGCTGCTGACTTGACGACGGGGCGTAATACGGGATACCTGTCTGGCGCTGCTGGGCCTTGGGCGGGCGGCCGCGCTTCTTTTGTGCCAGGTACGTGCACTCTACTCCGCGGGCCAGACAATTGCCGCAGGTTGGTTGGACGCCGTTACAGCGCACCTTTTTCCGTCGGCAGCTGGCACACGCCTGGTTGACTCTATTCGCCGCTGAGCCCACATGCACCGATGCAGACTGGGAGGTTGGTGTGGTTGGGCTCGGCATATTTGCTGCGTTTCCAAAAACGTGCTGCGTAGTGTGGGTGGGTGGGTGGCCGCTGGTTGGCGTTGTCGAAGCGCTCATTCCCGATTCGAGGTGAAACCAGGTGGGAGTTGTAGCCGAGGCGGGAAGGGAATTGCGAAACTGCGATTCGTGAGGAGTTGAGGAAAAAATAGGGTGTCCAGAGTCGGCGGTTGAGTGCGGGGAGAAATAGGAAAATAGGTTAGGAGCGGTGCTGTTGAGGACTGGGAAAGAAGACAGGTTCGCCGCAGGAAGGGGCGAAAGCAAGGCTGGGTTTTTGTGAGCTGCTACCGCGTGGGTGTGTGCCACGGTCGCCTGCGAGCCTTGATTGCTGTTGGTCGAATGGCGGCGCGTTGAGCTTCCGGCCGCTGCCGCTCCTCCGCCTCTGTGAGATACAGTGATGTCGATCCCACTGGCAATAGCCCTGGGTCCTCCTGAGCTGCTGGCTCCTTGGCCATCAGACCTGGGGTCGGCCGCCTGCTGGACCTGGCGCTGGTGCCATGCGAGTAGCCTGTCGCGATAGCTGCTGTGCGATAAGCCCTGGCTATGTGCCTGCAGGTGGCTCCTGCTGCCGCTGGTGCTGGTGCTGGTGCTGCTGATCCTGCTGGTGCTGCATAGGGGTGCTGCTGAGGACAGATATAGTCGACGATAAAAATAGATGATATGCAGGCGCGGGCATACACAAGCGTCGAGATGCACGATTCTGGCCCCCTGCTTCGAAGTAGGCTCTACAAGAGATGACAGTGCGCTTTTTAGTCAAAAAAAGTTTTTTTTTTTTGCACGTATGGCGATTGCGAGCTGAATGATACGAGTCAAAAACAAGGCGCGATCAGCACCAGCGCTCAGTGAGAAGACAAGAAACTCTGGCGGATCTCCATTGACGCGCATACTGCGCCTGGCTAAAAGTGGAAGGGACGAGGCCGCAAATGTACATGATTTGCGATTGCTCGCTGCAGTTCGCTTGCTAGTCGGCCATTCGGCCACAGGGTAGTCTATAGTTTGTGCTGCCATCATTCTAGGCTAGTCTTGCTTGGCCGTTACCTGAGTGTGTGGGAAGTAGCGTTTGCCGTTTCTGTCTGGGCAAGTGCGTCGAATAGTCAGTGCGCGAAAAAGACAGCGTGGTTCAATGAGTAAGAAAATTAGTAAGGCGATGGATTCCAATGAGAAGAAAGGGGGAAATCCGATTGATTGGAATATCGCTGAGCGTAGGCAGACGGCTGAATAGGGGATGAAGAAAACAACAGTGAGGGGGGAGAAATGAACCAGCGCGAGAAAATGGGTGCCTTTTTATTTCCAGTAAAGATGGCGGGCAGGGGAGAAAAAGAGCACGTCTTGCATGTCTGCAGACTTTTATATCAAACTACCTGCGCAGGCAATATCAAAGCCAAATTCCGTTTTCTTGCCAGCGACTCTATGAATACTGGCAAAGGCAATTTTTGAGGGACAGGCGCGTGCCGTCTCGCAATCTCTTTCCCTCCCGGCAAACGCAGAATGGGTAGATTGTGACTTGCCAAGCATGTAGCAACTCCAATTTAGCAGCATCCGACAAGGGTCTGGGATACATGTTTTGCTCTACCCAAGCATAAACAACGAAAAGGCGCCCCCGTCCGATTATAGAATAGTCAGTGGGCTGGCATTGGAGTTCCCGAGTTAAACTTTTATTCAGCAGGCAGGGAGCGCATCTGTCACCCACACATGTATACTATTTTTGCACGCATGCGCGTATATGCATTACCCTACAGCGCACACCCCAAGGACATGGCGGAATTGCTAAAGACATTGGGGGTAACATTGCGACGCTGAACAGCCTCTATTTTTGTCGGCATCAGCTGGAAAGCAGATGTACGGGCCAGGTATCCTGCACTTGCGCAACAGCACCGGACATGGTGGGGGAGGGCAGATGCAAGAGTGCAGGCACACAATAAGACCACCGAATCACCTGCAAGCGGCATGGTGAATGAAGAAATCAGCACTGCTTGCCTCCACCTTGCTCCAGGAACGTGTCAACACTCGGCAACAATGCACTATCGAGAGCTGTGGTAAAAATAGCTCTTTGCATATCGGACTCCTATTGGGTCCTTTGACCTAGCGAATCTGCCAAAGGCACCAGCGACGGCAGCTCCCTGTCCGGGAGTTCTGCCTTGATTTGGTTCTAAAAGATATTTCTCCCGAACTTTTTTGTTGTCCTGCTGCAGTGTGGCGACCAGCAGAATCGACTAGGCTCCTGGGTTCCTGGCTGGCGCGCAGCGAATCGGTGGGCGTCATGCCAGTGTGTTCATGCAGGACGGGCAGTGTTTATTTGGGTTGCGGATCCTTGGTTGCTGTGCCGAACACAAAGCATCGCCATTTGTTTGCGTTAGGAACCCTCTGTCAAATTCATAGCCGTCGCCTGTCACCTGGGAAATAGACGCGTGCCAAGTGCCAGATGCCGGAGGGACAAGGCCAGCCACCAGCAATATATTATCTGCTCGGGATTACAAGGCATTGGCAACATGCACGCCACTGATGGTCATCGCAGAGGGAGGGAATAGGCTGGCCTGTTTTTGGGTTAGAATATGTGGGAAAAGATAGGAGGAAATGATTTACTTGTTGTTCTCGGGACGCAGGCTGCGGACAGTGCTGCCGGCGCGCCAGATCTCCGAGTCGCGGATCTCCTGGAGCTCGACCTCGAGCTGCTCGCGGTAGTCGGGCTGCGAGTTCTTGTCCAGAGCACGCTTGGTCTCAGAGCCGTTCTTGACCGACTCGTACAGCTCGTTGAAGACGGGCAGCGACGCGTCGTAGAACTTCTGGTGCCAGTCGAGGGCACCGCGCTGGGCAGTCACCGAGCAGTTGGCATACATCCAGTCCATGCCCTTGGCGCCGATCAGCGGGAACAGCGACTGGGTGGCCTCCTCGACGGTCTCGTTGAAGGCCTCCGAGGGCGAGTGGCCCTGGGCGCGCAGCACGTCGTACTGGGCGCGGAACAGACCCTGGATGGCACCCATCAGGACACCGCGCTCTCCAAACAGATCAGAGTACACCTCCTTCTGGAAGGTGGTCTCGTACAGGTAGCCCGAGCCGATGGCGACACCGAGAGCGACAACGCGCTCGTGGGCCTTGCCCGACACGTCCTGGAACACGGCGATCGACGAGTTCAGGCCCTTGCCCTCGAGGAACAGGGTGCGCAGGGTGGCACCGGAGCCCTTGGGAGCGCACAGGACGACGTCAACGCCAGCAGGAGCCTCGACATGGGTCTGGTCCTTGTATGTGATGGCAAAGCCGTGGCTGAAGTACAGAGTCTTGCCCGGGGTGATGAAGGGCTTGATGGTGGGCCACAGGTCGCGCTGAGCGGCGTCGGACAGCAGGTTGAGCACAATGTTACCCTTGTCGGCGGCCTCCTCGATCGAGAACAGGTTCTTGCCCGGGACCCAGCCCTCGGCGACGGCCTTCTTCCACGAGCGGCCATCCTTGCGCACACCGACAATGACGTTCAGGCCGTTGTCGCGCAGGTTGAGGCCCTGGCCGTGGCCCTGGGGGCCGTAGCCGAGGACGGCGATGGTGTCGTTCTTAAAGTAGTCCAGGACCTTCTCCTTGGGCCAGTCAGACCGCTCGTAGACCTTCTCCTGGGATCCTCCAAAGTCGAGGGTCTTGAGGCCGCGGGTCTGCTGGAAGCTCTACAAGCGGCATAAACAAGTTTTAGACAACGGCTTGTGGTGTGATTCGCAGGTCAGATCGGGGCTGTGCGGCCAATCACAGCCGCGCACAGGCGGCCGAACGAGAGCAGGCATTTTCTCCCTGTGCCTGTTTAGGCATGCTGGCAGCGCAGAACGCATTCACATGGGCACAGGAGCTGGAGTTGAAAAGAAGTCATCGGCTCGCCCCCAAAACCGGCGATCCCCAGAGGTCGGCCGATCTAGGACCTGGGTGCGCAGAAGGGGCAGGAGCTGAGTCACAACAGATCGAGGAGGATACTTACGGCAGCAGCAGGAGCAGCAAAGCGGGTGGCCATGCGGGGAGCAGCAGCAAAGGCGCGGGCGGCAAGAGGAGCGCGGGCAGCCATAGCGGCGCGGGCGAGGGTGCGGGTAGCGGTGCGAGAGGCCATTTTTATGATGTGCTTGCTTCCAAAAGAGACAAGAAAAAGAAATGATACAGAGAAGAGAGAGGCGAGAAGAGCGTTTTTGGTTCGAGTATTGAAATGGCCGTCTCGTCCTCCCTGCAGACGCCACGCTTTATAGGTGAGCCGCCCTCATCCCAGCGCGCTGCTCTGCTCGGGCAAAGTGGGGCCAGGAGATCGAGGGCGATTTGCTGAGTCACATTGCTGGGCGGAGGCAGGGCCATGGCCCGCGCAAAAGGGGAGCCTGTGCTCCAGACCACGACGCCGACATTGAGGGACTGCGAGATAGGCAGGTGCGAAATTAGCGCTCGACATGAGAGCCGATCCCTCCCGCCGAACCGCCATTGGGCACACACATGCCCAAAGAAGAGATAAAGGCAGGCCAGTCCCGCGATTATCGATCGATTTCGCTCTAGCCTGAGTGTGCTTCATCCCGGCGCTGGGCTGAGCCCACGTTGGTGACGCACTTAGCTTGCAGTGCGTCTGCAGTGGACGGACTTGGACAAGGTCCGAACCACGGCGAGGTTTGTTTGCGCGAAAGAGATAAGTCATAATCCAGGGGAGACGGACAGAGACAATGCGCTCTGCAAGCCGATGCAGACGCGTATTTCACAAGGACGTTCGAGGGGTGGAGGGGAGGTCAATACATGGACATCCATGCCTTCGCCATGGCAAACAGGCAGTCGCAATTTATTGCTCGGCTGGCGCCATCCCTTGTCCTCGCCACCGACCAACCTCTTCTCTACCCCCGCTACTAGTTCATTTCCAGACAGGATATTAGCGATGATTGCTCGCCGCTCCTTTGCAAAGCTGGCCACGTCGGCTCTTTTTACTGCGCGGTTCAGCACCAATTCCTACCGGTGCCACTCCCAGACTCCGCAGGACGACATGGAGTCATGGTACAACGACCACCCGACCGCCCTTGCCGTCTCCAACCTCATCAAGACGCCTGCCGCGCCCAAGGCCCCCAGCACAATCCGCACACTCAACTGCTTCATGCAGGACGAGCCCGGCGCCCTGACCCGCACCACCGGAATTATGGCCGCACGCGGCTACAACATCGAGAGTGTGGTCGTCAGCCGCACCGAGATCCCCAGCCTCTCTCGAATGACCATCACCGTCAAGGGCGAGCCAGCCGTGGTGCAGCAGGCACGCAAGCAGCTCGAGGACTTGTCTGAAGTGTGGGCGGTCGTGGATTTGACCGACACAAGAACCGTGGGGCGCGAGATTCTGCTGATCAAGCTATCGACCATGGGACCAGACCGCATAGCGTGCGGAGCCAACTCGTGCACTCCACGCGAACGCACGTCGCCCAGGAGCCATGAGAAGGCCGTTGAGCTGGAGGCTGAGCAACCGCAGCTCCAGATCCTCGAGAGCTGCGAGCGCCTCGAGTACATTCGCAGTCTGTCAGATATGTTTGGTGCCAAGGTCGTCGATGTCGGTGCCGAGTGCTGCATCGTCGAGCTGTGTGCAAAGTCGGAGCGCATTGATGCGTTCATGAAGCTGGTGGCACCGTTCGGGATTCTCGAGGCAGCTCGCAGCGGACGCATGGCCATGTCACGCACAGCGAAGCTGTCCCTGTTTGACCAAGACCCGCCAGAAATGCAAGATGGCGAGGAAGCGCAGGCACTGCCAGCAGCTGACTTGGCCAATCTGCCGCCCAGCTAAACCCGCTTCATAGTTGTTTCAATGCACATTATTAGCAAATGTTTTCTGGATGAAGAGACGCTATTTTTATTCTAAGCAATAACAGGTGCCTACGAGGGAGGGAGGTTGGACAGATCCGGCGATTCCATGACCAGAGCCTCCTCCTCGACAGCAGTCGCGTCGTGGTCCTCGAACAGCGACAGCCTCGCTGTGCGCGACATGGCCATGCGTCCGCTGCGAGCTGCCTCGAGAATCCCGAACGGTGCCACCAGCTTCATGAACGCATCAATGCGCTCCGACTTTGCACACAGCTCGACGATGCAGCACTCGGCACCGACGTCGACGACCTTGGCACCAAACATGTCTGACAGACTGCGAATATATGTCAGGCGCCGGCCACTCTCCATCATCTGCACATGGGGCTCACTCATCGACAGCGGCAGCTCGGCCTCCATCTCCTCCTTGCGCTCTTTGATCAGGTTCTTCTCGATCTTCTGGATCTCGGATGGCGCCATGGGCTGGCGCGGCGTACACGTGTTGACGTTGCAGATGATGTGGTCCGGGCCCAGCGTCGACAGCTTGATCAGCAGCACCTCGCGCTCCACTGCCTTGATGTTGGTCAGATCAACAACCGCCCATACCTGCGGCAGGTCCTCCAGCTGCTTGCGTGCCTGCTGCACCACGGCCTTCTCACCCTTGACCGTGATGGTCATTCGAGAGAGCCCGGGGATCTCGGTGCGGCTGACTACCACGCTGTCGATGTTGTAGCCGCGTGCCGCCATGATGCCCGTTGCGCGCGTCAGGATTCCCGGCTCGTCCTGCATGAAGCAGTTGAGGATATGCACGCGGTTCGTGGTCTTCTTGACCGTCGGCGTCTGGTACAGGATGTTGTACACGGCGTCGGCCGTCGATTCTGTGGTGTACCAGGTGCCCAGGCCGCCGCCCGTTGCCTGCCCGGCCTTGTGCGAGGCGATGCGGGTGCTGGTGCTGAACCGCGATGTCAGCGCAGCCGAGCGCTTGGCCATGCGCAGCGTGGAGGTGAGCGCGTGTCTCGCAAGCATGGGTCGATTCTTGATGGGGACTGGAGATAACACAGGGTGGTGGTGCGATTTTGCGAAAAAAAAAGGATGAAAGAGAAAAGGAGGGGGATTTGGATCTTGGAGAGCCGTCTTAAATCGTTTTGCATACGTGCGTCACAATCATTCGCAAGACCCATCCCCTGGCGTCGGCGGTTTTGTGAATCACTGCCGGCCATAGGCGCAGGCGCTGCCGGCCAGCACACAGGCACTGGCAGTCTCCTGTATATCTCTCTTCCGAATGCTCCGATCCGCATATGGCAAGCCGTATTTAAGCGTGCGGCGCCGTGTAGGCGACAAGCTGCTCGGCGACATCGCCTGGCATGTGCTTCCACCAGCAGGCTTTACGTGACTGGGCCGCACGATCCTGCATCGCCCCAGGCCAGCAGCACAGGCCTGCCACTGGTCATGCTGCCGTAAACCAGGGACCGGCCTGGCCAGTGAATAATGTCTAAGTGAGTCAAAAACATGCCTCCCCTTGAGATGACTCACAAGCACATCTGCGATATCTCCGGGCTATCTATCCATGCACGACCAGGGGGAACCACCGCAACACCAACCAGGCTCGGAACGAAGCCAGCTAATCCCAGTCCGGGCTCGCACCCCCAGCCAACGAAAAATGCTGGTAGGTGCGCTGTTTCGCTGTCACAGGCATATGCTTGGACAACAACTTTCCTTTTGTTGTCTGGACCCCACCACGCCTTCCCCCCAGTCGAATATGCCGGGTCTGTGACTGATTTGCTCGCGACCGGGGGCTGCATCGGTATTTGACCTCGCCTGGCTGCCAATTTGCCGTTTGGTATAAAGGGAGGCCCTCTGGCGCTGCTCTTCGGTGTGCCCAATCTCCCTTTAATTGACTCCAATATATTTTCTCCTTTCTCTCCCTTGCCTGGGATTATCAACCACCGCTTTAGCCTTCCAGCGTAATCGCGCCAACTGCCGCCTCCCAGCATTTAGCAACTATTACGGCGTCCTGTCTTGATCGAGCACACCTCCTAGTCTTCCTGTCTGGCCATACGCTGCAAAACCCAATTTCTTCTTATCGGCACACTCCCTCCTGTCGTTATTTCACTTCTGCACCTCAAAAAATACCTCGCAATGTCACTTGCCTCTGTGTCTAAAACAGCCATTGCTACTCGCACTGCCGCGGTCTCGTCCGCACTCGCCCGGAACGCGACCGTCGCCATCACTCGCCAGCAGCGGCGGTTTAAGGCCACCAAGCCGTAAGTATCCAAAATGAAGACTTCATGTCCCCGTGTCTGTGGTACCTCCGCTGCCTGGCACAGCGGGTGTTGCTGTCTCCCTCTCAAAGCACAGGCAATCACATTTTTTCGCTGCACGCCCAGCACGATCCTCGCATTCTGTGCACAATCAAACTGCTATCTTATCGATCGCACTGCATCGTCCAATCTAGCGCCTTTCTGACTGGCTGACTGGCTCTGCCACGCATTTTCTGCATTGCTTTAGTGTCCAAGATAACGCACAGCCTGCCGCCCCCAAATCCAGTGCTGCTGGCGCTACTGCCAGCAACCCGGCAAAAGCCCAGAACTGGGCAGCACAGCCGCTGGCCAACCGGGCCGAGAAGGAGCTCGACGACAGCTTTGTGGGCATGACTGGCGGAGAGATCTTCCACGAGATGATGCTGCGGCACAACGTCAAGCAGGTGTTTGGGTACCCGGGCGGTGCCATTCTGCCTGTGTTCGATGCAATCTACAACTCGAGCTACTTTGACTTTGTGCTGCCGCGGCACGAACAGGGAGCAGGTCACATGGCCGAGGGTTACGCGCGCGTTACTGGCAAGCCCGGCGTCGTTCTGGTTACATCAGGCCCTGGTGCGACAAATATCATCACGCCGCTGCAGGATGCGCTCTCGGACGGCGTGCCCCTGATCGTGTTCAGTGGCCAGGTCCCCACCGCCGCCATCGGCACGGACGCCTTCCAGGAGGCCGACGTGGTTGGCATCTCGCGGTCATGCACAAAGTGGAACGTCATGGTCAAGGACGTGGCCGAGCTGCCGCGGCGCATCAACGAGGCATTTGAGATTGCAACCTCGGGCCGGCCTGGCCCTGTGCTGGTCGATCTGCCCAAGGACATCACCGGTGGAATCCTGAACCGCGCAATCCCGCGCATCCGCTCGTCGATCCCGTCACGGCCCATCCACGAGAACGTGCGCCACGTCACCCCGTCCAGCGCGTCGCGCATGCACGAGCAGACCGTCCAGCGCGTCGCCGAGCTGTGCAACACCGCCAAGAAGCCCGTCATCTATGCCTGGCCACGGCGTGCTGTCGTCGCCCGAAGGCTGGAAGCTGCTGCGCGAGTTTGCCGACAAGGCCAATATCCCTGTCACCACCACGCTGCTCGGCCTGGGCGCCTTCGACGAGACAGACCCCAAGAGTCTGCATATGCTGGGCATGCACGGCAGTGTCTATGCCAACCTGGCCATCCAGAGTGCCGATCTGATCATCTCGCTGGGTGCCCGCTTTGACGACCGTGTCACCGGCAGCCTGCGCCATTTCGCGCCTGAGGCCAAGAAGGCCGCGCAGGAGGGCCGTGGCGGCATTGTGCACTTTGACATTCTGCCCAAGAACATCAACAAGACCGTGCTGGCCGATCTGGCCGTCGAGGGCGATGTCGGCGAGAACCTGCGCATGCTGCTGCCGCAGATCGAGCACCGCGACCGCAGCGTGTGGTTCGACAAGATCAACACATGGAAGGCCAAGTATCCGTTCCAGTACTCGCCCGAGGAGGACCCGTCGCGCGACCTGAAGCCGCAGTCGGTCATTGTCGAGCTCAACCGCCAGCTCGAGCACCAGAAGCACAACACCATCATCACCACCGGCGTCGGCCAGCACCAGATGTGGGCCGCTCAGTATTATCGCTGGCGCACCCCGCACTCGTTCGTGACCTCGGGCGGTCTGGGCACCATGGGCTTTGGTGTGCCCGCGGCCATTGGCGCCAAGGTGGGCCAGCCCGACAAGACCGTGATCAACATCGACGGCGACGGCTCGTTCTCCATGACCGCTATGGAGATGGCCACATCGGCGCAGTACGGCATTGGCGCCAAGCAGCTCGTGCTGAACAACAACTTCCAGGGCATGGTCAAGCAGTGGCAGGATCTGTTCTACGAGCAGCGCTACTCGCACACGCCCATGCGCAACCCCGACTTTGTCAAGCTCGCCGAGGCTATGGGTGTCCGCGGCCTGAAGGTCACAAACCTCAACGACCTGCCAGCTGCCATGGAGGAGTTCCTGAAGGAGCCTGGACCAGTTATGCTGGAGGCTGTCGTCGATGCCACCGAGCACGTCTACCCGATGGCCCCTGGCGGCAAGGCCCTGCACGAGATGGTGCTGGGCACTGGCCAAAAGGTCGAGTTTTAATGTGTTTTTCTAGCTGCTTCTACATCATAAACCATCAAATATCCCGTCTGCCATCCCTTGGCACTATGTCCAGTGTACTGGAAACGCGTATACCGGAGCGGATGTCGTTTGTACACGCTGCGTGGATGAACTGTGGTTATGAATATCCTGGCATATCCACCCACTACTGCTGCGGACTTGATGGGAATCTAGTGTGACAAGCAGTTGGCATTGGCCATACTTCATGCACAGATTAGGACGCCATATCCATCTTTGAGGCACTGCAGTCTTGATACCTGAACAGCTGAAGATGCAGCATTGGTCTATTTCCACTACGTTGCACTTTCCTATTAGGCTGCGCTTTTTCATTTGGATCTTGCCATAGGGTTGCCGTGGCTTGCCCTGATAGGGCTTGCAGCAAAAACAAAACTCGCTCGTGTGCAGGACGGAATTTAACCATCCTTTGCTCCACTTCCGCTCGGTTCGCTCTTTGTTGCTTTTTGAATTCGTTTTCTCCAATGTCGGGGCTGTCGAGCTATCTATATTCGACGCTGTCCATCGTCAGCAACATTAGCGGCATTGGCGGCAGCGGAATTCCCGACTTTCACTTTACCATAGGCGAGGCTATCGAGGAGTATGCGGGAAAGTCAATTTGGGAGCTGCATCGAGCAGTCAGTACCGTACGTTGGCTCATTTTCAAATTGCCACCGACTCATCCAGCCAACACAGCACCAGCTAAACCACCCCTTACGTGTAGAATGACAAGTCAGAGGCAGCAGTGTTTGTATTCGACAAGAACCGGGGATCAAGCTACACAGCTGTGGCCCAGAACACACTGAAGCGGATGCGCACGATCCGGCACCCGGGCGTCCTGCGCTACCTTGAGGGCACAGAGACAGCCGACGCAATCTACATTGCCACCGAGGCGGTCACGCCCCTGGTCATGCACCTTGAGGGCGATTATTCATCGGAGCTGAAGCGCTGGGGCCTGTACAAAATATCTGACACCCTGCGGTTCATCAACGAGGACTGCAAGATGATCCACGCCAACCTGTCGTCCAGCTCAGTGTTTGTGACGCGTGCGGGGGAGTGGAAGCTGGGCGGATTCGAAATCATGGATACGCAGGCCGGGAGTGAGCAGATTTTCCGGCATTACACCAGCGTGCTGCCTGGGTATGCGGCACGCATGGCACCCGAGTTTGAGAGCCAGGCATGGGACAAGGCGACAGGTAGCAAGCCTGGCGTAGTCGACGGCTGGTATCTGGCGTGCTTGATCCAGCAAGCATATAACGGTGAGGTGCACTCGGCAGCACAGATGAGCAGCCAGGGGAAAGATTCCGCAGCCGTTGTGGCAACTGTGCCAAAAGCTGCTGACGCCCAACCTGCGCCTGCGTCTGTCGCCAGCCAAATTCCTGCAGATGGCGTCGCGGCCGGGCGGTTTCCTTGACTCGCCCTTCATCACCACCAGCCTGTTCCTAGAGAACATCGCTGTCAAGGATGACGATGAGAAGGCAGAGTTCTTTGCTGGCCTTGATTCAGTCATTGAGGGATTCCCGCAGGATTTCAGCAAGTACAAGATCTTGCCTGAGCTGCTAAAGATCATGGAGTTTGGCGGCGGCGACGCCAAAGTGCTGAGCGGCATCATTCGCATCGGCCAGGAGATGGACGAGGAAGAGTACAACCAGCTGATCTCGCCCGCCATCGTGCAGCTGTTTTCGTCGAATGACCGGCGGCTGCGCTTCAGCCTGCTCGAGTATATGGGCAGCTTCATCCAAGCAATTCCGTCGTCAGTGGTGTCCAAGAAAGTGCTGCCAAATTTCCTCAGCGGATTCTCTGATGCCGCACCGGCGATCCGCGAAGCCACAGTCAAAGCGTCGCTGGCAATTGCGCCCAAAGCTGTCGCAAAAGTCCTTGAACTCCGATCTCCTGAAGCAGCTGGTACGGATGATTGCCGATCCTGAACCCGGTATCCGTACCAACACGCTGGTGTGCATCGGGAAGCTGATGCGCAGCCAAAGAGGGCGTTTTGGATCTGGACGGTGAGGGTGTCAACGACAACTCGTACAAGTACGTGATCTGTCCTGCCGTCATGCAGGCATTCCGCGACCAGTTCCCGCCTGTGCGCTCGGCTGCCCTAGCTGTGGCCAGCGCGTGTGCGGCCAAATGGGATGCTCTGGAGATTGCGCGCCGCGTGATCCCATCCATCTCTCCCCTGCTTGTCGACGGTGAACGACCGGTGCGCACGGCAGCGCTGAAGACTGTCCAGGCCATGGTTGCTAGGGTCGAGCAGCACGCGAAGGACATGCCAGATACGCTGGCCAAGAAACCCCCAGCACCTACTGTTCCGGCAGCAGCAAACTCTGCGCCCACAACGCCGCCACCGGTGCGCCCTACCTCAACTGCATCGCCAGTGGCCAAGACTAGTGTCAGTGGCCGCTCCCAAGCCCGCCAGCAGCGTATCGATGCCGCCATCGTTTGCGAGCAGTCCGGAAAAGAGCGGATGGAACGATGACGACGATGACCTGCTGGAAAGCGACGATGATAACGACGAATGATGGCGATGATGGCGGATGGGGCAACTGGTGAAGCGCCGGCTTGTTGAAGGCATTGATACTGCGTTTTGAATATATTTATGTATGCGCTATGTGTGGTCGTATATTGGACAAGGTATGCGTGGGACATATCTGTATGGATCAGTATAATGTTTCTTTGGAACTACCGGACGTTAGGATAAATAGCCCAGTGTTTCCTACACTCTTGCCCTCTATCTGTTGCCTTTGTACCTATCCTCACCCGATTCTATCCATTTCTATAGAATGCAGTTTTCACACGCCGCCGTCGCTCTGGCCATCTTCGCCGCTGCCATGGGATCCCCTATGCCGACGCAGGAATCCGGCTCCAAGCCCAGTCGCTGATGGTGCTGCCGCCGATGCCACGCCTGCAGCTCCGGCTGCCAGACCACCTCGTGAGGGCGGACTACTGGGTCTGGGACTTGGAATCGACCTGGGGCTTGGCGCTCTGAACATCCACCTCTAGATCAGTTTTTGCAGTATTTTCGCTATTAATTCTACGTTTCCATATGACCGAAACAATTTTGACTCAGGGAAACCCATGTGCATCAGTGGCTACTGCGGACCTTGTGTCCCTGGATATTAAGACCACGGTGTTTGAAATTCAATGCTAGCTGCACAAAAACGGCCCCATTGCCGTAAACCCATATAAACGTACAGAATTGGCCGCTGCTGCTCATTCACTATCGCCGACAGCTGCCAATAAAAAGTACCACACTCAACACCACTTACCATCATGCAGTTCGCCTACATAACCGCTTCTCTGGCTATACTGGCTGTCGTCCTTGCCGCTCCCGCCCACCCTCGTCCGCCTGTTCCCGTGTCCTCTGCCTCCGGAATTAGCCTCGGTCTTAACGTGGGTCTTGGGCTTGGTGTTCACCTCTAGCAACCTAAAACAAAGGTTGGCACTTGGCCACTCACGCTGCCTTGTGCCACTATTCTCAAGATTGACCGCACTCTTAAAAGAGCCACCAAGAGCCCGACAGTCCACCTTTTCTCTTCAGTTGATTATACATGTACTTCCCCATACATGCTGATAAACACACATTTGTCTGGTTGTTAGCAACAAATATTCAACATATTCACCTGTACTCAAGGATTCCCTACAAAGAAAACATAGAATATTCGGCTGCTACTGCCAGTCAATGCAATATTTTGTTCAATGTTTTTGCAGGAGCGGTGATTGAAAGGAGCAATCCACTGCACATCCGCCACGTCTTGCACTAGCTACTCGAGCTGAGTGCAATTGGTAAACATACTGGTGATATTTAATAAATGTAAAATGCCAATATATCTGGAGTCCAGGGCGTATATAAACTCCACTAACTTCAGCTGTGTCATCTCATTTCACCACACACATGCCACATATCTGACCTTTCATCAATCCCCAGACGAATCAGCACTCGAACCATGCAGCTCTCATTCATCAGTAACCGCTATTGGATTCTTCACTACTGCTCTTGCTACGGACGCATCCGATGTTAGCCACCCACCGCATCCGTACTCAGCCCTCCCTACCCATCCCATCGACCCGGCTCACCAGACACGCCCGGTGTTCCTAATTGTCCCGCTACATGCAACGCATACCGGGGACATTCCCGAACATACCGGACTTTATTGATATTGGCCTTGGCCTAGGTCTGGATCTGGGGCTTGGTATACATCTCTAAATAACCGTTGGTAGCCATGCTGGTTGCATTAATAATCAATACAGGTATCAACATCCTGCTGTACATGAGATGGATAAACACACTGCAATGACGCAATGATTATGTATAATACCATTTTACTGACAAATATAGTCCAGGCTATCCATCAGCAGGCAATAGCATGGCACATATAGCATTAAAGGAAATATTCCATAAAGCATCTGTACTGTAGTGTGCATTGTTAGTGGGACGTTCACCAGGATTGATTCAATAAACAATCCACTCAGTCAGTAATGGCTTGTCGAAGCTATTTTCAATGCTTCAACTTGCCAAGCACTCGCAAGTAGAATGTCTAAATACAATCACTCTTCATGATGCGCTTTTCATTCGCATAATGGCCGGGGATGATGCAGGTCTGCGAGAAAGGCGTGACACCGGCCTCTCGCCTTCCGACGTTCACGAATGGCGTTCGCGATTGTGCGGCCACCGCTCCGCAACTTGCATGCAGTGTGCGATTGGCATGCATATGCGTTTTTATAAAGCCTTTTCGGGATGGCCTGCAGCCACAGCCCACTGTAAGCCTTTTTTTTATTACAAAATGCGCCTTTGCCACTCCCCGTGTCTCCTACTCTGCTACGCATGAAGCATTCGCATTTAAAAGGGAGAATAGACGCATTTTCAACATGAAATAAATACACGAGGAAAAGACGTGGTGCAGACAACGCAGTGGACAGATTAACAGACCGCGCTCCATGGTAAAGAGATATGGCCGTTCTGGGCGAAAAATAAAACCGCATATTGTCGGAGTTTAAAAATCACGACCAAAGCTGTCTACACTAAAATCTGCATCCTGTTCACCTTGACACGGGGTTCCTTTTTCAGACACAGGCGTTCTTCACACAGAAAGCCCTAACTGGCATAATCCACTCTGGTCATAGAACGTTCCCAGTCGCACATTCGCAATGCACAACGTCCTCCTTTTGGTTTTACAGCTCTCAGTGAAAAACCAGCGGCAGCAGATATGCCCTTGGCCACATATCCGACTTTCTACAGGTATACGCAAAAAAGTATCGTCCCTCCTGCATATTGGTCAAAGACAACGATCAGCGGCGTGCATCCTGCACAATTCGAGTGACATTTTTTGTAGGACAAAGCAGCGGCTGTTGGGCGTGCTTGTGCACGGGCATCTTGCGAGGCAGGCCATTCCATACAGTAGGTGCACATTCGGCGGAAGGAAAAGCTATTTTCGCATACAATGGGCATATTGCTCTTAGCCGTTGTCCGCTTACTCGTTCCCCGTATAATCCATATCCCCAAAAGCGGCATGTCTGGCGTGCATGTTTTGAGCCAGCTCAGCCTTGTGCATCTCGCGAGAAACACCCGTACATTCCCACCCAAACATCATGAAAATGTTTAATATGTACTTTTTCGGGTGGATGTCATGTGGAAAGTGGAGAGGGGGCGGCCAAAGATGCAGCGAACATGCAAGTATTTTGTGCTGGTCGGGAATGGGGAAACACAGTACAGCTGCAGCAAAAAAACCCTCACCTTTATATAAACCAGGGCGGACGCGGGCAATCCTGGGCAAAAACACCACCCTTTTTCTTTTCCTCTCCCTTTCAAAAAAAAAAAAAAAACTCTTACACCTTCCACGTCGATAGCCATTCGCGCCTTTTACTTTATACTTTTCTTTGCTGATGGTGGAGATCAGGTTTCACTGAAGGCAACCAGCACAGCATCACCGGCACCAGAGGTAGGGTGGAGAGACAAAGTACCTTGCGTTTATTGAGCTTCATTGACTACTGCGAATACGCGAGATGCTTCTTTGTTCCAACTGACATACTTCTGCTTGTCGGGTTAGGCACTGACGCTCGAGTGCAAGGTTCGAATGCTCATGCAACCGGCGGGCATGCCCCAAGAGCCATGCGCGTCAGTGGACCACCAATTACAAGGAGCTCAAGAGGCGAGGTACGCTGAACCAGGTGGAAGAATTCCAGATAATCCTGCTCAATCAATGCCGGCGCGAGCTCAACCTCGACAAGGAGCTTGAGACAAACGGCCTGAGCGCAATGAGGCTGCCGAACGTGAACTCGCTCGTATTTCTGGGCGAAGGTGTGTTCACGGCCGGCCGGTACCAGGACACAAAGCTGTCCAACGCCGAGGTCAAGCGCACCGGCATCCACATCATCAGCATTTTCCCAAATATTACGCGGCTGGAGTATTTTCTCAGCCGCGACCGGGGCCCAGCTCCGGGAATCGCAAACTACTGCCCGGCATCGGCACCAAGATCGTGTTGAGCCTCCTGAACCACTTCATTTCACAGCTCACCACGGTCCAAATCCTGGTGCCGTTTATGGTCGGCCGGTCGTTTTCGTTCTCAAATAACCTCACCAGCCTGACAATCAACGACAGCTACCTGCGACAGCTCACGCCATTCCCCAGCATCCCCGTGGCGGCCCTGCGCAGGGTCCAGATACTGAAGATTGTCGATAAAGTGAACTGGGGGCCATTCGAGAAGATCAATGACAGCCTGATAGTGTTCCCGCATGTCGAGGAAGTGACATTGCAGTTTGTGCGGCCCGATCGCCTGGTCACGCTACCCGAGGCGCGCGACTGCGACACGCTGTTTCCAGCGGCTTAATGTGATTTCAGTGATGGGAGTGAACTTTTCCAGCATGGATTTCCTCAAGGCGTTTGGCGACAATGCGCAGTTCCTGCGGATCTGTGATAACCCGCGAGCACTTACGAGGGTCAGCTCGGTGCTGCTAGACTGCGCACAAAACCTACAGCTGATACACACGGACCCGCGACCGAGCGCGCGCTCGTACAGCGTACTGCATATGCGGGCGCTGTACGAGGCCGATGCGGGGTCTTTGTATGGCGCGCGGATGCTGGGGATCGAGTATCCGCTGCCCGAGACCATCAACTGGTCGTGGATGATGTGGCTACACATGACGGCGAGCATTGCAGACCCAAAGAGCATTGCGCATATGGTGGGGCAGCTGCCAGCCCTGATGACGCTGGTGTTGGAGTGCTTCTCGATGAACCGCGATGACCTGCTGATCTCTGACCGGAACGAGCACTTTGGCGACCAGGCGTACACGTTTGTGAAGGCAGATAGCAACTTTTACCGCAGCGACACGCGGCCAATCTCGAAAGGAGCTGATGCGGTTTGAGATTTGCTCGCACAAGGGGCCTGGATTTGGATGGGCTTGTATACCTGGTCGGGCGGCTGCCGAGCCTTGTGTCGCTGGGTGTGGACAAAGAGATGGTGGATATTGTTCAAGAGGAGATTGAGAACTCAGCCGAAAAGAGACGATGTTTCTGTGCATACCTTTTCTTCATACATAGCAGCAATTGACTAACATTATTTCTTATGCCCGATACCAATATTACTCCAATGTATTTATGCAAGACGGTCCCTATGCTATGATCTTGAATGGCTTTGCCCTGCGCATGTAGCGTGCGATTCCATATATGCCCGACGCCAGCCGCAGGCACGCCTGCTGGGACAAAGACTCTTAGTAGGATAGCTAGCATACTGGTACTGCTTGTGTCCATGTGGCATTTGTTCTGGAAGCGTATAATGCAGTACATGGTTGGTGACGGAGCCTGAGACATCAATACAGGCTCTGTCGCAGATACAGTAACGGTAGCCGTCGGCATATGGTCATCAGTCATGGCATCTGGAGCAAGGGCTTAGGGAGTTGTGCATGCCAATGCAACAAACGTCAAAAGTACTAAGCATATGGTGAACGACAATACGGGTAGTACGATAGTGAGAAGAAAAGAAAGTGATGGATGAAACACAGCTACAAAAGCAGCACAGTCCGATTTACGCTCCTGGTTTTCGTTTACTTGCGAACGTCAAGAACAAAATTCTGTGGGCTATTCAAAATGAGCAGGATATCAGGAGCGTACTTGAAAGGAGCCTCCATGGCCTGCTACAGTGGCCGATAGGTGGTCCGGAAATGCACAGCAATCGCATATGCGACATACGCCAGCGCCAGCACGCCCAAGGGCACAAGAATCGCCAGCATCAAAACCAGGATCCGTTGCTTGTGAGCGGACGATGTGTCACATTGCACACCAATGCAGTCGCCTGGCTGTGGCACCCCAACGGTAGATACTGTGCTCGTATGCTGATGCGTGGAACCCAATGTAATTGGCGATGTCTCGACCACAATGACAGGGCGTGTAGTCGTGCTTTCGAAAATCCATGCGGTGTGGGTTGCGAGAGCCATGGCTACGGATGACCCGGTGGCACTAGATGCTGCTGGCTGGGGACACACGGACCACGGCACGGCAAGTAGCAGGCAGAAGAGCGAGAGCATAGAAGCATACAAGAAAGTTATTAGACGACATAAGTGCTATGAAAGACGATAAATGCCATATGTAGTAGAAAGAGGCGGGGGCGCCACCATGTTCAGCACAATGCTGATATCCAAATTCGGTTCATCAGTGCCCAAAAATACATGCCAGAAATCAATGCAGAGCGCAACCTTGGCGCATACGCTATGCCTCGATGACCACAAAGCGAGCATGTAAGCGACATGTCACCCCAAAGGCAGTGTGCGCATTATGAGATGTATTTAGCGAGATTGAATTAGTAAAAGAGAAAGATAGTGTGGCGAGACCCCACGCAACAGCAGGGGGGAGACATCCTACAAAAATAAATTTTAATCGCGTCAGTGCTGGCGCCGGCTCTCGCGCCGCGATGGTCTAAGGCCGGTGCTCCGGGACTGGCTGCGGCCGTTGCTGTGCGATGAGGGTTTTTCCGCCGGCCGGTGATGGTGGTGGTGTCTGCTGGACGACACCGAGCGGTGGTCACGCGAGCCGTTGCTGCGGCGACGCGCCGCGCCATTGGCATTGGCATCGGCCATCGCCATCGGCGAAATCACCCTCGTCCTCGTCGCCGCGGCTCAGCGACCGCTTGCGGTAGCGCTCGGTGTCCTCGCGACTTCTGCTGGGGCTGACCGAACGGCTGCGACTACGACTCCAGCTGCGCCCGTGGCTGCGGTGGCGGCTGCTGGTCGGGCTGGCGGCAGAGTCCTGGTGCTTTGCGGTGGGCGACAGCGCAGGGGGCGGCGGGGCCGACAGGCTGCTCTCCTCAAGGCGCTCAAAGAGATGCACCAGCTTCTTGTAGTTGACGGGGCTACGCCAAAAGTACGTGACAAAGACCCACAGGTGGCGGTAGAGGCGGTCGACGTCCTCGACGGGGTCGCTGGCAGCACGCGAGCGCTTGCGCTCAATGACCGAGCGGATATGGCGGCCGATGGGCAGCAAGCAGTCGCTGATCAGCTTGACCTTGCTCTGCGACGACTTTGTGTGCTCGGCCTCGTCACGCAGACGCTGCAGGTAGCGCTTGACTGGGCGCATCAGGTCCTTGCAGGCGCGCTCGTCCATCGACTCGGGCTCCGACAGCTCGCCGTCCTCGACGTCGCCTGGCGGCCGCGCGTCCATCTCGGACTCGGGCGCCTGCTCGTCGTTGTTGATGCCGGTGCTGTTGGCGTCCGAGTCCTCGGTGAACACGCGGCGCTTGCGGGCCGGTGCTGAGCGCCGCGGGGTCAGATTCAGGGGTGCGGGGGTGCGGCGCTCGTCACCTTCACGCAGCACCTTAAGCAGGTACTCGCCACGCCGCACCAGATGCGTGGCCTTTGGTGCGACGATGCGTTTACCGGCAGCCGCGCCCGACGCACCGCGGACGGTTCCGCCGATCGACTGCACGCTGGCGGCCTTCTCGTCAGCGCTGGTCAGGAACAGCTTCTTCTGCAGGACCCAGGTCAGGGTCCGCCTGAATGCGGTCCCAGTTGCCGAAGCCGTGGCGATAGATGCCCACCAGCAGCATGGCGTCCTCGCGCTGCCCCCACAGGCACGACCAGTGGTGCACCGGCTTCAGTGGCACGCCGATGCGGAAGCTGGTCAGCTCGTCGCGCTGCCCGGGCTGCTGCAGCCGCCGGCTCAGCACCGCCAGATCCGTAGCGACGCTGGGCCACCACACCGGCGTTGACGCTGTGGACGCCGCGGAACGTCAGCAGGATTGCCTTGGCGTTGCGGCGGAATCCACCCACCAAGATCCTCGTCCTCACCGCCGCCTGCTGCCGAGTCGTTGGTGTCGCCGTTGGTGCCGTGCAGGTGCGAGCGCAGCGCGTCCTCGCAGCTCTTGATCAGCTCCAGCCCCATGGCCTTGACCGACTCGGCGTCCTTGCCCTCTAGCTCCTGCCTCGGCTACCACCTCAGTGAACCGGTTCTCGGGGCTGCCGAACTTCTGCACGCCACGGATCAGCGCCCGCACCTCCTTCTCGCCAAATGCCTTGGGGTCATTGGTGCGGCCCTCGTTGCGTCGCCGCGACGACCCGCCCTTGCGGCGCCCGCGCATGCTGCTGGCCGTCGATCCGTCCGAGCTGTTGCCGTCGGCCACGCTGCCGCCGATCAGCGTACCGTCCTCTGCATACGACACGCGTGCGCGCCGGCCGCCGGTACAGCAGCTCCTCCTCCTGCTTCTGCTGCTCCTCGAACTCCACGCGCTTGCGCTCGTCCTCGGGGATGATCTCGTCCCACGACATCCCCGAGCCACCATAGTCGGCCACCTTGAACTGGCTCAAGAAGTCGTCGGCCACGCCTGCCTCCGACGTTTCCGCCTGCTCGGCGTCCTCCAGCATCTTGTCCAGATCCATGTCGTCGAGCTTGTGCTGCTGCATCGTGACGCTGTCGTCTGCAAACATGCTGCTGGCTCCAAACTTGAGAATCGCCGCCAGCTCCTCGCGCGAAAACGACGACGCCCCAGAGCTGTTGCCCACCAGCCCGCCGCTCTTGCCCTGCTTGGATTTCTCGATCTGCTTGCGCTCTGTGTCCGTCACGTGCAGTCCCGATGTGTCCATGCCCTTGATGATGCAGTATTCGAGCACCATCTTGCGCTTGGCACGCTCCAGGATCTCCTCCTCGATCGTGTTCTTCGACACAAACCGGTACACTGACACCTGCTTCTTCTGCCCGATACGGTGCGCACGCGCCATCGCCTGCATGTCCGCCTGCGGGTTGAAGTCCGAGTCATACAGCACGACCGTATCGGCTGTCTCCAGATTGATTCCCAGCCCGCCCGCACGCGTACTCAGCAGGAACACAAAGTCAGGCGAGCCCGGTGCATTGTAGTGCTCGATCGAGCGCTTGCGCACCTCCGACGGAACCGACCCGTCCAGTCGCTGGTACGCGTACCCGCGCATCGCCATGTAGTCCGCCAGAATGTCCAGCATGCGCACCATCTGCGAGAAAATCAGCACCCGGTGCCCGCCAGCCTTGAGCTTGGCCAGCAGCTTGTCCAGCAGCACCATCTTGCCCGAGTGTGTGATCAATCCGCGCAGGACCTCGTCCTTGGCCTCCGCCTGCGACTCGGCGTTGGGGAACAGGTATGGGTGGTTGCTGGCCTTCTTCAGCTCCGCCATGATGTTCAGCAGCGACATCTGCACCGACCCCGTCGCCCCGCGGTTCAGCGCCGCGTAGTTGCGCGTCAGAATATTCTTGTAGTAGTGCACCTGCATCCCCGACAGCTCCACACGCAGAATCCGCTCCGTTCGGTTCGGCAGCGACTTCTCCACGTCCTTCTTGAGCCGCCGCAGCATATACGGCTTGAGTCGCCGGTGCAGCTCTGCAATCTTGCCCTCCTGCTCGGTGTCACCCGCCGTCACGCGGATGTCGAAGTCGTCGTCCAGATCCGCAAACCGCTCGGGGTTCAGGAACCGGCACAGCGTCACCAGCTCCTTCACCGTGTTCTGCAGCGGCGTGCCCGTCACCAGCAGCCGGTTTGTCGTGTGGAACGACGACAGCGCCTCGTGCAGCTGCGACTCGCTGTTCTTGAGACGGTGCGCCTCGTCAACTGCCAAAAAGTTCCACTTGATGCTGCCAAGCAGATCGCGGTCCTTGAGCACCAGCTCGTATGTTGTCAGCAGCACATTGAGCTTGACACGCGGTGGGTTCCCCGACCCGTTCTTGTAGAACTCGTACTCGCGCATGATTGCGCGGCTGCGGTTGTCGTCGATGTAGCACAGCGTGTTGAGGTCCGGCGCCCACCGCGCAAACTCGCGCTGCCACGCTCCGATGGTCGACAGCGGGACCACCACCAGGAACGGCCCGTAGATCTCCTGCGTGTGGAACAGGTACGACAGGAACGAGATCGTCTGGATCGTCTTGCCCAGCCCCATCTCGTCTGCCAGAATCCCGTTCTCGTCGTTGCACCACAGATGCGCCATCCAGTTCAGGCTCGTGAGCTGGTAGTCGCGCAGCTCGCCGCCCACAAGGTACTCAGGCTGCTTAGTCATGCGCTGGAACTTGGGCCGCTTGGCCTTGGCTGTCGGCGCGCTGCGGTGTGCCAGGCAGATCGACTGCTCGCGGTCCAAAAACGCGTCCAGCTCCACCTGCTCCTCGGGCTTGATCTCGTCGGCAGTGACCCACGAACACGAGCTGTACGGCAGCCGCTTCCATTTGACCAGATACTCCGTGCCATCACCGCCCTGCGCGCCCATCTGCGCATTCTCGCCTGCCTGCGACAGCCCGTTGCCCAGATCCCGTACCCGCCGCCCGGCTGTCGACTGCCGGCTGGCCACCACGCGCTCGATGTTGGTGTAGTCGCGCAGCGTGTCGCGTTCCATCTCGCGGTTGATGTCCAGCTGCTCGATGTCCTCGCGCGACACCTCGGGATCATTGCGGATCGCATAATCGAGTAGTACCGTCGCCTTGAAGTAGTTCTCTACCTTCTTGTAGCCCTTGAAGTCCTTCAGGAACTCGGCTGTGTCCCATGTCGCGTGCCGATACGACCAGCCCTTCCACTTGATGTAGAACTCCAGGTTCCCGATCTCGTTGCAGTGCTGGCCAGCCGCGCCCTCGCGCAGCCGGAAATCGCGCACCATCTCAATCGCATCGATGCCGGTGTCCTCGTCGATCAGAGGCTCCGCGCCCTTGCCCTTGCCCTTGCCTTTGGGCTTTGAGTCCAGGTCATCTTCAAAATCGACGCCTGGATAGTCGCCCTCGTCCTCGGCATAGTTCTTGACTGTGTGATCGCGAGTTGACTGCCGCAGGTTGCGGTAGTCCGACGACCCGTAGTCAGAGTCGCTGCCCAGAAAATCCTGTAGCTGTCTGGGCTTGGCCTTCTTGGCCTGTTTCCGGCCAGCCTTCTTTGGCTTCTTTTTGCCAATGTAAAAGTCTGACTCGCTGCTCTCCGAGAAGTACTCGGGCGACCGCTGCCGGCTGCTCTGTTGCGATTTCCCTGCACGCGAGCTACGCCCACTATTGGACGCCCTTGCACGCTTATTTGCTGCGGGCTTGGCCTTTTTTGTCTGCTTGCGCTTGCGCGACTTTACGCCCCAGTCGTCGTCGCTCGAGTCCTCGAACGCGTCCGACTCTGGCTCCTCAGCCGACACCTCAAAATCCTCCTCCTCGATCTCCGACATTGTAAAGTCGCCGTCGGAGCGGGCCGACGCCTCCGACTCCGACTGCATCCGATTCATACTTTGGCACTGCTGCTGCCGCCGCTACTGGCAGATTAGTGCGTGGCGCCTTCATTGCCACTGGTGGGTGCTTGGCGTAGCCACCAAAGTCGCTGTCATCGTCTGCTTGTGGCCGATACGCTGGCTCATCGTCAAGCGACGACAGCTCGCTGCCTGTATCGCTGACCACCCGCGCGTGCGATGGCCGTCCCTGCACCAGCCGCCTCCGGGGCTGTGGGTTCTCCAGCGACTCGTAATCGTCGTTTGCTGCTGTTGAGTTTGTGTCTGTGGTGTCGTCAATTCGCCGGACAAACCCTGACCCGTTGGTGCTCGTCTGCCCTACCGCGACCTGCCCCACGCTGCTGTTGATGCTTCTGTTGCTGCCGTTCGCCTGCATTGGTCGCTGATTTTCATGAGCCGCCAGTACGGGCGAACGAACTACTAGAAATATGAGAATGGGGGGATTTACACGGAGAAAGACTGTTAGCTTGTTGGATTCATCAATAGGCGCAGGGGATGATTCCGGCGATTTGGGCTGTTTTGCTGGAGCACACAAGGCGAAAAAAAAAACATTCTTTGCGACTCCGAATCAACAGATGATCGGTGAAGGGCGCTCGAGATCTGCCGCTCAACAGCAGCAGCAGCAGCTCCTGAGCTGCCCACGCGTGACAGGACCCTCCTAGCACCAATTCTCCACAGCCCAAACAACAATAACAACAACAAAACAACACAGCAGGCAAGCAGGCAGGCAAGATAAATGCAAACGACAGATTGGCCATGTTCGCTCAATCCCACCCGGACCATCCAGAGCAGGATCCACCACCACCACAGCCGCTTCGTAGGAGAAGCACCGCAAGCAGAGATATGGAGCAGATGGCTGCAGGTGCTGGAAAAACAAATGTGCTGCCCACATGCTCAAAGAACAGCCGGCACACAGCAAATCGTGCATGATAGATCCCATGCCCTGCAATGCCGTGTACTGGTCCCAAATAAGCGCAATAAAGAACACAGCTTCGCCAACAGGTTTGCATCTGCCCCCGCCTGAGATAATGCAGCCGCAGGTGAGGGGAGGAAAGAGGAGCAGGGCGCGAGCACGATTTAACCAATGGCCGATGATTTGGCTCCCAAACAGCGTGAGCACACGGAGCATGGAGGGCAATGGGAGGCTGACACCCATGCGAGGCAGAATACAATAATAACGCTCTTGCAGCCGCCGGGACAAGGTGGGGGAACGCCAGCAGCTCTGCAGCCGACGGAACACGTCAGCGAAAGAAAGGCAGGCCCAGAAGCAGCACCTGAACGAACGCGGCATTTCGACAGGCACACTGTGAGGAGACGCGCGACATTTGCGTGGATTACCCAGCTGACAAAAAATATCGCCAAATGAACAGGTGGTGTACCTTGGGTGTTATGAAGACGAAGGGGGAATGAATGTAGACAGCTGCAAAATGCCCACACCCAAATGTGCTGCGACGAACGAAATAATTACAAAAATTCTGCGCCGAATGAACTGTTGCAGCGTAGAAGGGCCGACTTTTTTTTTTTTTTTTTTGAACAAGACCGAAAAATACGTGTCGCGAAATTGAACAGCGATTTAGAGACAGGGGAATATAGTGGAAAAAATCGCGAAAAGAAGACGAGAGTATCCACATGCTCTGGGAAAAATAATCGGCTCAGCCAATACACCGCAGAACCCCAGAACAAAATTTTCTCCTTGGGAGCTGGAGCCAGCAAAAGAGCGTGTTACCTTTAGTATCCATGTATCGTCCGAGGAATAGTGGTGCAACTCCTTTGAGCAGGCCTTGGTGGTTACGTGTGCCTTACGTTATAGTGCAAAGTGCTGGATTATTCGGAAAGACAGGAGGCTGGTAGAGCTGAAATACAGAGCGCCTCTCTTGTCGCTGGGTGCATGGCGCTCACAGTTCAGAGCTATCCGAAATCCGTCCCATGATTGGCTGCGATGACAACGACAACGGCTCAGCAGGACAGAGACGTGGACAGCACCAGTAACAACGGGATGAGCTCTTTGTGCAAGCTCCATCCTCCTCAGCGATTTATCGCCACCGCAGGAACCATCCGCTGATGGCAAGGACACAGCGCCGGCTTATGCCGTCGATCCAGCAACGGCCCTCAGCCGACAGCAGTAGCAACACATTTTATTTTACAGTGATAAATTACATTGACGGCACCAGGCCAATGCGCACGTTGTGCTGTCTGGCTGCCTCGTCGTTCTCAGCGGCGTCAAGCATGCTGAAGATTGTTTCAGCGTCATCGTCCGCCTCATGGCTGTCGTCATCGAGACCCGAGCTGGTGTATCCGTCATAGCTGTCATCTATGTATGCAAGCTTTGTGCTGGCCGGGCCATGCGGGCTTCTACGGATGCTGGCCGCCAGCTCGTGGAACCACAAATCGGCAACGATCCTCGACCCAACATCCATCTCTGCAGCCGTGCCCATGCCCTGCACAACCACACGCCTCCCTGAGCCATGCATCACCAGCTTCGTGTGCGTTCCCAGCCGCATCCTGTCGACCAGCTCAAACGACAGCTCGCCCTTTAGCAGGCTCTTGCGCACCACGTACCAGCGCACCATGCCTGCCGACATCACGGCCAGCACCCGCCGGCTGCTTGATGTCTGGCGCGAGCACAGACGCACAACAGACGCCCAGATTCCGCCATTCTGCACGCCAGTCACCTGGCCGCCACGGAGAGGCGATTTGGCGGCTATTTTTGGCCTCCAGGAACGATACGTCTGCAAAGCCAACAACAATGTCATTGCTGGTGTCGCTGGACAGCTCGTGTGCGTGGGCAGACCAGGAACGCTTCAATGTCAAATGCCTCCAGGATGGAAAACTGCGGCTCCAGCGTGGCCGGGCAGGCAAAGTGCGCGTCGAGAGGCAGGGTCAGTGGCTGCTGGCAGTGTGTGCATAGCAGGGCGTGGTGGATGTTGGGTGTGACGAGGCTTGTATGCTGGCACGCAGTGCAGATCGCGGCGAACCCGCCTAAACACCGGACGCGGAATGTCTCCAGCGACGCTGTGTATCGGCCGCGCACAGTAACGGTTGTCCATGCTTTGAACGACATTGTAGGAAAGACGTAAGTATAGAGAAATGGCTGAAAGAGCAGCGACGGGAGGAGAGAAATGTGGCCCCGATACGGCAAATGGGCAGTGGAGAGAAAGAAAAACAGGCAGCTGAGCAGATTTGGCAACTCTCCGTCGTTCCCCGCATGGCCACATTTATATGGCAGCCATAGAGCAGGCAGAGTAACCCGGGAGGTCTAGAGACACACACTGGCCAGCGTGTTTGTTTGCAAGGAACAGCCCGGGCTGATTTCTTTGTGTCAGAGGGGCAGCCCCGGATGTTTTGTTTCCAGCAGTAAGTTTAAATATAGAGCACACCTGCTTGGCTCCTCAACCAGCTATCGAACAAGCCGATGGCGCGCCTGCCAAGATGAAACGGAGAGCAGGGGGCAGAGTAGAACAAGAGCCTGCACGGCCATGCATCACATGGGCATTTGGCAGCGCCTACTTTTTGTCTCAGGGATAACTGCGCACTAGAACATCTCCGCCCTGCTGCCGCAATGCGAGACCCAGTTCTCCTTGGCTGGCGGGGGCTATGGTTTTATTTTGTTGGCTAGGTCAGAAAGCGTTGAATAGAGTTGGATAACAGGAATAAGAGGTGTCGATATACAAGGAGGGAGATATGTGAGTAGAAGGAAAGAAATAGACTTGGGTTTATGTATATATGTTGCATCAGAGGCGACAGTGTGAGGGTGGGAGGAGGCGGTGCGGAGGCGTGTTGGGTGTTGGGTGTGGGTGTTGGGTGCGGGTGCGAGAGCTGGGAGGGAAGGCGGTGCGGAAGGGGGGATGTAAGGGCATGTGTGCGGGAATATATGCAAGACAAGTTCAACAAAGAACGTGGCCAGCGACACGCTAGTCTAGCTGGCGTTTGAACCCAATCAGGTCGTCGATGATGCTTTGCCAAGGGATGCTAACGAACGTCATGCTGGCCTGCAGCGCCTTGGGCGGCGGCGGCGGGCTGGTGGCCTGCGACAGGTTCTCGGCAATCGACGGTAGCGAGATCTTCTTGAACCAGGCCGACAGCGACGGCGACGACGGCGTCGAGTTAACTGCCGACCCCGGAATCGCATGCGGAGCCAGCGGAGGTGACGCCATGCCAGGAATGCGTGACGAATTGATGCCGTTATTGGCGCCAGCCGACATCAGGTTGCTGACTGCCTGATGCTTAGGCGACATGACCGGCGAGTTGAACCGCGCTGTGGATACGCGATCGCTGAATCGATGTCGTCGGTGCTGGGCCTGCCTGCAATTGCAACCTGCGCATGGCCCTTGCCCCCTGGTCCACGCATCATAATGAACTCGGTCGGGATATGTGGGCTTGCGTAGGCGATGCAGCATGTTGCGCGACGACAGCCGCTGCACATATGTGTCGATCAAGGCGCCAAACGACGCCGCGCCCTGGAACAGCACGATCTTGGATGTGCCTGATGCCGACGCTGATGATGTCATCCGGCTGCGTACCGAGTTGAATGCCGAGTTGGTGCCGTCGGGGTTGGTAGCCAGACTCACGGGCTTTTCGTTGCTGTCAAGCAGCGACTTTGTCGCCGCCACGCTTTCGGGCAGGTTGGGCACAGGAATGCGTGCCGACAACTCCACGCACAGGTACTCGCCCTTCTTGACAAACATGTCCTCAAACATGTCCTCGTAGTCATCTATCACATAGTAGATGTGCGGCCACGAGCATTCGGGCGGGCTGGTGCTGTCTTTGGGCCGGTCCATGCGCGACTTGTTGGGCAGCGCATAGACGCGCTTGCTCACAGTGCCTGCGCACCATGCTCAGTCCGCCGCTGCCGCGCTGGCCCGCTCCGCCCTGCCGTGATCTCCGGCGGCACACAGCCACCGTGAGCTTACACGGCATCTGCACGATCAGGTTCAGCAGGAATGTCTCTTTCCACATTATTATCTCGCTGATCGGCGGTAGGATGTTGGGCGGCGCCTGCTTGCGCAGCACAAACACTGGATCCTGGTCGCTGCCATTGCTCTCGTCATAGTCGTCGATATGCCGCACAAAGAACAGCATGTCGTCATGGTTGGCGTCCTCGCTCTCCACAAAAAACCGCTGCAGCATGTCGTTCCACCTAAGCAGTTGCAGCAGTACCGGGCATTTGGGTAAGCAACAGCAATTCGCACGTGCACCTCGAATTTTCCAAACAACATGGAAAAGCCCCTCTTACCTTGGGTCGCTCGAGTCGTCGACGTATTTGTCCAGCGCCTGGCTGTCTAGTTTGAGCGAGCCATCCATGGGCAGCGGGCCCGAGAGTCCTTCCTTCTCCAGGGTCTCCAGAATGGTGTAGACATCGCTCATTGCTGCAAAAAGGGGGTTGGCAGGGCGCGCGGAGTGGTTAATACGGGTGTGGAGGGGGAGGGGATGGAATAGGTTTCTGGCAGAGCGAGATTCGCAATGAAATAAATATGGAGGGCTGCTAGTCGTCAAATTGGAAGTAAAGGGGAAAGGCAGAATAGAGAAGTGACGATAAAGAGAGGGAGGGGAAAGGCTGCTGAGCTCAAAGCTCCAACCGAGAACCCCTTTTTCTACTCAAACACCCAATTCTTCGATTTTTCGAGTCACAGCCAGGAAAATATACGCTCGCTTGCCTTCTCGGAACTTGTGCTGGTCCCATGGCGGATTCCCCTCGCTAGTTCCAGCCTGAGAAGACTCACCGTCGCCAACCTGGCACCATTCCCCCTTGCCGCTCCTCCAGCCAAGCAGACCTGGCTGTAGATCCCCAGGCTTGAAGTGAAATCGTCCACGTCAAGCGGAGCGGTGCTGATCACGCAAATTTGATTCCGTCGCGATAATCAGCGCCGAGCAGGTCGGGAACTCCGAGGCTGTGCTGATGGAAGCACAGCGGGGCTGTGGGTGGGCGGCCGGGTGCATCTCTCCTCCCGCTTCTGTATTCCACTTCCTGCACACTCTACGACCATGGTCCAAATCGACTCGCTTCTGCACGCTGGCTACCACAACCCGACCACCCGCCCCTGGCAGGTTGAGCGCACCCTGACCAAGGGCTCGCTGATGTACCCCATCTTCATCACCGACGAGGCCGATGCCAAGATTGCGATCCCGTCGATGCCCAACCAGTTCCGGCTGGGAGTCAACCGCATTGAGGAGGTCATCGGCCCGCTGGTGGCCAAGGGCCTGAAGTCGGTCATGCTGTTTGGCGTGCCCAGCGACTCGGTCAAGGACGCATTCGGCACTGCCGCCGACGACCCCAGCGGACCTGTTGTGCTGGCTATCAAGGAGCTGAAGCGGCTGTACCCGGCCCTGCTTGTGTCGTGCGATGTCTGCCTGTGCGAGTACACGTCCCACGGGCACTGCGGGCACCTGAACCCTGACAACACGATCAACAACACCGCCAGCGTCAAGCGTCTGGCTGAGGTCGCCGTCAACTACGCCAAGGCCGGCGCCGATAACGTCGCGCCCTCCGACATGATGGACGGCCGCATCCGCGCCATCAAGCAGGGCCTGCACGACGCCGGGCTGAGCCACCGCGTGTCGCTGATGGCCTACAGCGCCAAGTTTGCGTCGGCCCTCTATGGTCCGTTCCGCGACGCGGCGTGCTCTGGCGCCCAGTTTGGTGACCGCTCGGCGTACCAGCTGCCGCCGGGCGCGCGTGGCCTGGGCCGCCGTGCCATCCAGCGCGATGTGAACGAGGGAGCTGACATGATCATGGTCAAGCCGGCCATGTTCTACCTGGACATCATCCGCGATGCCAAGGAGCTGGCGCCCGATCACCCGATCGCTGCGTACCAGGTGTCGGGCGAGTACGCCATGATCCACCACTCGGCCAACGCTGGCGTGTTTGATTTCAAGACCGCCGTGCTCGAGAGCATGACCAGCCTGCAGCGCGCCGGGTGCAACCTCATCGTTACCTACTTTACTCCGGAGCTGCTCGACTGGCTGGAGCAGTAGGTTTTGTTTTTCTTTTTGCTCCCAACCCACAACGGGTCCCATCATGCTGCATCTTGGTGGTCGAAAAAATTATTTTTGGTAGAATTGTTTCTAGCGTTTCATACGACCCTTACATCAAAAACTTTTCTGGAAGCAAAATGCAAGTCGATAGTGAGCCTATGGACGCCGGGGCGTCGAACATCATCTCGCGCATCGTGACGCCTGGCACACTGATCACCAGCGACAATGCATACATGCGCGGACACGGCACATTCGCCGAGCACGAGTCGATCTACTCGTCAGTAGCTGGCGCCGTTGAGCGCGTCAACAAGCTGATCTCGGTGCGTCCCCTGAAGCAGCGGTACGGCGGTGAGATTGGCGATATCGTCGTGGGCCGGATCACTGAGGTATCCTCGAAGCGGTGGCGTGTGGATGTCAACGCGCGCCAGGACGGCGTGCTCCTTTTATCGTCAATCATCCTCCCTGGCGGCATCCAGCGCCGCAAGTCCGAATCCGACGAGCTGCAGATGCGCAGTTTCTTTGCCGAGGGTGATCTTGTATACGCCGAGGTGCAGTCGTATTTCGCTGACGGCGCCCTGTCGCTGCACACGCGGTCTGTGCAGTACGGCAAACTGCGCAATGGCACTATGGTCGCTGTGTTCCCGCAGCTGGTCCCGCGCAGCCGCACCCATTTGCATCGGTTGCCATGTGGCGTCGATGTCGTGCTGGGTGTCAATGGGTATATCTGGATCAGCAAGCACGTGTCGGCCGCCAAGGTCGAGGCGAACGCAGAGCACATGTACTCGGATCAGAACGAGCTCATTTCGGATGAGGAGCGCGAGACTATTGCCCGGGTCGCCAACTGCATCCGTCTACTCAACCGCATGTATGTCAAGATCACTGAGACATCGATCAACTTTGCCTATGAGTCGAGTCTGCCGCACGCCGTCAAGGACTTGCTCAAGACCGACATTGCCCAGGAGTTGGCCGACAGCGTCAAGGCGCAGCTTCTGCAGCAGGCATAATGCTACAATACATTCTATATGGCAAAAACATTGGTAGCAATGAGCATGATAGTAAAGCCGTGCTATGCAGAGTACCGACGAAGGCATGCCTATTAAGCACAGCTGCTGGAATGTATAGTTGAATGGCGACTAGATGCAGTGTTGTCTGCTCTGGATCACCCAGCATGCAACATGGATCTCTGGACGACCACTGGCGGAAAGCGAGCACCATGGCATGCCAAAGTGAACCTGTGCCGCTTCTCCAGGTCTTTTGTTCCCAGGCTCCTTTTTGCAGCAGTTAGATTTCACATTCCCCGACCCGGTTGGGGGAGATTTGTCGGCATTGCTGAAAAGCGCCCGGAGCTCGCCGATCGCTCACAGCTTGCAGATTGAAGCACCCAGTCCTGGATCAATAGTGGGTGTGAGCTTACAGAAAGCCAGCTCAATTCGGAATGGCACCATCGCCGAGAACCGCAACCTGGAAGGTGCTGCATCGAAGCTAACAGCGCCTGAGCGCCACGATTCGCCAGTGCGGTTGACCTCTGTTGCCATTTCGATGCAAAATAACACCAAATCCAAGCTGCAGGGTAAATCCCCTCTTGCGAGGAGTGAGTGAATCTGCCTATCGCCAATTTCTTTCTACCCGTATCGCGTTTCCAGGTCACATCTCAGCGGCGGTATTGCGACCGGATGGGAGCATAGAGGCGTCACCGAGTCCTGCCAGCTGGTTATCGCTGGTTTTTCCAACAGGGCAGTCTGGCGGAGGCAGCGGTAGCTTTTCTGGTATAAATTGGCCTGCAGCCGCCGTTTGCCGCGCTTCTGGCTTATGACAAACTGTATATTCGACTCCTGTTACTATCTATTCTATTTTACTTTCGTTCCATCTCCAGGGAAGCGTCACAAGTTGCACTCCCTTATTGTTACTAATACCCACATATACACGAGCAATGGCATCCGATTCAACAACCACGCCATCGCTGGCTGAATTCGCCGACAGGAAGGGCACAGCGATCGAGGCTGTTGAGGGCAACGTCTCAGAAGATCTCTCACAGACGCCAGACGGCATCTCGCAAAGATCACTGTCTGACAAAAGGCAGCCAGGTAGCGGAGTGTCTGCCAAGGTCAAGCAGCTGTACGAGCAGAACAAGAAAGTGACGATCGGGCTGGTCTGGGTCCTGCTCACTGCTTACTTCATTGCGTCGCTGGCGCTGAAGAAGAAGACCCAGACATCTGACATTCTTCCCTTCATCTTCCTCTATGTGTTTATCACTGGCCGCATATTTTTCTTCTTTGTGCCGACCACCATCGTCTCTGGCCCGATAGGCAACGCTTGGGATTCAGCCATACAGCCAGCTGTTGACAAGCTGTCGCTGCGTGTGCGCTACGCTATCGGCACTGCCGTGCTGATCGCCCTAATGCTTTCGGTCTCGCTGGGTCTGCCGACAAGGGAAGGTGACAGCCGGCTGGCACGCATGCAGTCGTTCCTGGGCATAATCGTAATCACGGCGATCATGGTGTTGCTGTCCAACAACCGGCGCCATATCCAGTGGCGCACCGTCATCGTCGGTTACCTGATGCAGTTCTGCCTGGGCTGCATCGTGATGAAGACCAACTGGGGCAGCGACCTATTCCAGTGGCTCGCAGGCATCGCATCGAGCTTCCTGGGGTTCGCCAACTACGGGACTTCCCTGTTCTTCACCGAAGGCGCACTCACCAGCGGCGCTATAGCCGCAACCATGTTCCCGGTCATCATCTTCTTCTCAGCGTTCGTCCAGATGATGTACTACCTGGGAGGTGTGCAGTGGCTGCTGAAGCGCATGGGCTGGCTCTTCTACAAGGCACTAGATACATCCGGTGCTGAGTCAATTGTGGCCTCAGCATCGCCCTTTGTCGGCCAGAGCGAGAATGTTCTGCTGGTCAAGGACTACCTGGACCATATGACAAACTCTGAGATCCACGCGTGCATGGCCGCTGGCTTTGCCACTATCTCCGGCTCTGTGTTCCAGTCGTATGTGGCTCTCGGCGTCGATGCCAAGAACCTCATCACGGCCTGCATCATGTCTATCCCGTGCTCGCTGGCCCTGAGCAAGATCCGCTATCCCGAGACTGAGGAGCCGCTGACCAAGGGCAGGATTGTGTTGTCGAAGCGCGAAAAGGAGTCCAACGTTCTGCACGCCTTGGGCAATGGCGCCGCAACGGGAATCAACCTGTCGCTGCTGATTCTGGCCACCGTCATTGCGCTTGTGTCGCTTGTCAACGCTGTCGATTTTTTGCTGACATGGCTTGGCCAGTTCATTGCTATCCCCGACCTTACATTGGAGCTGATCCTCGGCTACATCTTCTACCCGTTCACCTGGCTCCTGGGCGTGCCCGGCCAGGATGTGCTCAAGGTGTCAAAGCTGCTTGGCCTCAAGCTTATCAGCAACGAGTTTGTTGCATACTCATCGCTAACTGGCCTGAGCGGCGGTCCGGCCGTCCAGGACAGCCTGTCTGACAAGCGCAGTCTGCTAATTGCCCAGTTTGCGCTTGCTGGATTCGCCAACCTGGGCAGTGTTGCCCAGCAGATTGCTGCGTTCGGCAGTCTGGCGCCCTCGCGCAAGGCCGACTTTTCGCGCCTGGCTCTCAGCGCCTGCTTGACCGGCGCTACAGCAACCATGCTCTCGGCAGCCATTGTGTCGATGATCTTTTAGAATAGCTGATGCGCCACTGATAATAAAACCGTCTCTCCGTTATCGATCAACTGGCAGACAACCCCTGTCCGAACTGGTGGAGGGCAAATGCGACTTTGGGTCCACGATGAGCGAATACCGATGGTCATGCATGGATTATTTGTGTCCTTGATTTGCACCTAGGCCCTTTCAGTGTCCATCTGCAAGCGAGAGACAATCCTGGGAGCTGCTTGTCTAAGTATCCGCGTGACGCAGCAAACTGCCTTCACCTGACTAAATAGTGCTGGTGCGGAGAATTTTGCGCCTGTGGGCATGCAACGGGATATGTTTGCTTTGCAGCTTGCATCACGAGCCAAAGTCCATGCGCGCCTGCTGTTAGAAAGCGGGCGCGTAGCCAGTTAAAGCGGCTGGAAACCCCGACAGCACATGACCGCAACGTGCAGCTCTATCCACCATTCTCTAGACGAGCGCAAAAGACGTATCTGGCAGCCAGCTTCCAAATGCCGCGCCAGGATGCAGTGACCCCACGCTCGCTATTTTTGCAGTTGTGTATAGCAGCGACGCTGCATGCGTCTGCATAGTCCTGGCATGATCCCGATTACACCCTTGGGAAGCTGAAAGGACAGGCAGAGATGGGGATGGGAAGCGCGAAATACAAGCCGGTCCGGCGATCTTCGTACAAGTAAGGCAAACACATTTTGCCCGTTCTCAGCTCGTTCTTGAATCCCACGCTGAACTAAAAGGGGACATTGAGGACTGCCACCCAAGTTTGTTTAGCTAGGCTTGTGCGCAAAACCAAGTGCTGGAGCAGCAAGGCACTGCCGTGCGAGGTAACGTGCAGCATATGCGCTCTGCCAGAGTGGCACAGGTGCCCAGGCTATCCAAGGCTTATTTGCTTGATCTGCTTCCCTAAACACCAGCTAGTAGTAGTAGTAGTACTGCAGCAGGCAGAACAATGCTTTGTGTCTGTGACAGGCTCGATTCCGTCTCCCACATGCCAGCTGCAGAACAGCAGAAGGGATCTACGCGCTCGAGAAGCGGCTGCCCATCAGCGAAGTTCTGCTAGCTGTCTGTGCAACTGCTGTGTGAGGGGCTAGCGCCTGTTGCACAGGCTGTCGTAAAGCGAAAACAATACCGCCCCGCTTTCGGCCACTTTTGCCAACGATCGTATCCCCATCGTCGCCACACGGCGAATCATCTAGCTGAACTGGGGTGAAGCTGTGAGCATTGGCAGCAAAAAGGCAACCGCCGGTGGTAGCTGCGAGTATTAGCGACGTGGTCCCAGTCGGCAGAATCACAGCCTGGCCAAGTGGATCCAGTACTGGCCGCACACCAGCTACAATTGCGCTCAGGCAGCTAGCACAGGTTAGACAAAGCGTGCCAGCCGCTGCTCCGTGCCGTATCTCAGGCCATCCCGCCCAACAGCAAATCCGAACGGCCGGGCTAGTGAAAAATTTTTTTATCCCACGCGAATGAAAACTGGGCGGAGAGTCCAAATGCACACTAATGCTAGAAAGGATTGCCCATCCTTACGACGCTCCTCGTCCCCCCGGCCCCTTTTTTCCAGTGTGCGCTTCAGAGGCGTTAGGCCGGCTGTAGGGCTAGCCGGATAGTATATATAGTCACCACAGACAGCCACCCCCCACTGCTCATTCTAGCACAAGCTCTTGTACTATTCCCACAGCCCCTCCATTTTTTATCTATTAGTTGTCTTCCTGGTTCCTAGTTTTTCTTCCCGGCAAAACTGCTACCAGAGACGTTAAAGAGACCTGCTAATATTCCATACTCCCTGTTACTTGGCAACCGCACGCCCCCCGCCCCTTCTATCCTCATATAGCAAGCCAACCACATCATTTAATAGCCCTAATATGCAGCCGAACGATCAGTCGCCGCACTCAAATAGCGCTGTGCTTAGCGGACCTGGCGACTTCAAGACAACGGCCGACCTTGCGCCCAGCGGCCATATGGGCGGTCCTCAGGCACCATACAGCGTCGACTCGGAGCCGTCTGGCAATGAGAAGCAGCAGATCCACGATGAGGGGGAGAGACGCGTAGAGAGGCCGAAGAGCAAGTTCGACATCTTTGGCGGGATCAAGTACGTCTGGCACACACACAAGTTCCTGTGCTGCCTTGCCATCTGGCTCCTGATTACTGCCTACTTCATCGCTTCTGTGGCCCTGAAGAAGAAGACGCAGCTGTCCGACCTGCTGCCATTCATTCTCCTGTATGCGTTCATCTCGTTCAAGATGCTGTTCGCCTTTGTCGATACTGCCCTGGTCACCAAGCCCATGAGCAAGATCTACGATTCTGCTGTGACCCAGCGGGTGTCCCGCATTCCGGTCAAGTTCCTCTACATGTTTGGCGGTGCTGTTCTGCTGGCTCTGATCCTCGGCGTGTCGCTCGGCCTGCCCAACAGCGAGAACGGCAACCGTGGCTCCCGCATGCAGTCGCTGCTGGGCATTGCCGTCATCACAGCCCTGCTGGTGCTCACGTCGCGCAACCCGCGCGAGATCCAGTGGCGCACCGTCATCGTCGGCTACCTGATGCAGTTCTGCCTGGGCTGCATCGTCGTCAAGACCAACTGGGGTAACGATCTGTTCAACTGGATCGCAACCCGCGCTGCCGACCTGCTGCACTTCTCGCATTACGGCACTGAATTCCTGCTCGGCGGCAAAATCGCGAACATCGAAGGCGTGTTTGCGATCTCTGTGTTCCCAGCCATCGTCTTCTTCGCTTCGTTTGTGCAGATGATCTACTACCTGGGAGGCATGCAGTGGCTGCTGAAGCGCCTCGGCTGGTTCTTCCAAAAGTCCCTCGATACCTCGGGCGCCGAGTCCATCGTAGCTGCTGCCTCGCCGTTTATCGGCCAAAGCGAGAACGTCCTGCTGGTCAAGGACTATCTGGAGCACATGACGAACTCGGAGATCCATGCCTGTATGACGGCCGGCTTTCGCCACCATTTCCGGGTCGACGCTGCAGGGATACATCGCGCTGGGCGTTGACCCTCGCAACATTATCACGGCCTGCATCATGTCTATCCCGTGCTCGCTGGCCCTGAGCAAGATCCGCTACCCTGAGACTGAGGAGTCGCTGACGCGTGGCAAGATGGTCGATCCGCCCAAGCGCACGGACGAGGCCAACATCCTGCACGCTCTGGGCAATGGCGCTGCTGTCGGCATCAACCTGTCGCTGCTCATTGCCGCCAACCTGATTGCCATCATCTCGCTGGTCAACTTGGTCAACTTCTTCCTGACGTGGTTCGGCCAGTTCATCACCATCCACGAACTGACGCTCCAGCTGATCCTCAGCTACCTGCTGTACCCCTACGCATGGCTCCTGGGCGTGCCCAAGGTCGACATCCTCAAGGTGTCGCAGCTGCTGGGTCTCAAGTTTATCACCAACGAGTTTGTTGCGTACATGAACCTGAACGCTAAAGATCCGCTCACTGGCAAGAGCATTGCTGATACCCTGACCACCCGCGGCCACATCATTGCCGAGTTCTCGCTGTGCGGCTTCGGTAACCTTGGCAGTATCGCCCAGCAGATTGGTGCCCTTGGCAGTCTGGCGCCCTCGCGCAAGGCCGATTTCTCGCGCCTGGCCCTCAGCGCGTGCATCACCGGCAGCATCGCCACCACCCTGACTGCTGCCATCGTCTCGATGGTTATGTAATCAATATTCATTTATTATTTTCCATTTTACAACAAGGCCATTCGAGAGGACTGCATGCACGTTGATGTCTGCAGAGCTTCACAGAAAGATGAGAAACAAAATTGAGTTACAGAACATGGGATGAATTGAAAGGGTGTGGTGGGTTAGAATCTTGACAGTGGGATGGTGCGAGTCGCCTTGGGCGAGGTGCTGCCGGCCATGTCAAAGCACATCATGCCGACAACAGTGCCGACGCCGAATCCGAGGATCGCGTACCCGGTGTACTTTACCAGCCTCTGCATGCCGCCGTTATTGCTATTGCCAGCGGCACCTGCATCGTCGTTGCCGCCACTACGCAACACGAGGATACCGAAGAAAGAAAATTAAAACTGCTCATGTATGTATATGGCTGGACGTCCATATTTCTGGATGTGCTGCCATTTGGCCAGACATCACCTCCTGCTGCTGCACCATCATTCTTACCTTAGCAGCACTGTCTTCTCCAGGCTGACAGATGTTCCACTGGGACACAGAATTGCCTGGTCCAGGGCCTCCTCGGCCTGCGCACGCTTGACTGACGTGGCATCCACGGACACCTGGCCCGTCGTTGTACGGCAGAATAACAGGCGAGATTGTCTGGATCGACGCGAACGGCGACCGCGTGTTTACAGACGATATGGATGCGAGCCGCGGATCTACCGGCAAGTAGTGGCTTGGTACAATGGCATCGTTCTCGCTGTTCATGCTGCCTGAGGTGTTTGTGCGACGGCGGAACGACAGCTGCTGCGCATTTTGCGCCGTGGCGTCTACCACTCTGTTATTGGTGCTGCTGCTGTCTTGCCATGCTTGCATGCCTACTCGTCCTGCCTGGCTATGGTATTCCTCATACGGCGGGAACATGGTCGGGTGCGGGTGCTGCGGTGGCGATGACGACGACAGCGCAATCTCCGAGAAATGGTCAAAATCCACTGTCGGCCGACGCTGGCCCGACGGATAGCACGGCTCGCTGACCTTTGACAGGTGGCTCGGCGAGCGTGGCACGTCTTGCTGCTGGTGCTGCTGGCGGCGGCGGTCAAACCGTGCCAGTTGACGCGAGTGTCTGCGGGCCGGATTCGCCGATGATGTGGCTGACGAGGAGCTCGAACCGGCGGTCAGCATGCTGGCAACGCTCTCGCGCAGCATGTGCACGGTCTGCGCCGGATCTTCCGGGGTGGCATCGAATGGGTCATGGGAGCTACTGGCTAGACGTGTGTATTGCGGCACTGGCATGCTGGCAGGTCTGACATCCCGGTACTGCGCATCGACTGGCACGCTGAAGCCAATGCCAAACTCGGATGTCTGGCTCTCCTGCGCCTGGCTCTCCTGCGGCGGAGCGCCTATCGCCGAGTCTGGACGGTCTTCTTCATTATCGCTGGATGTCAACGAAATGACACCGCTGCTGGCATTGCCCACCGCAACCCACTGGTCTACAGTTGCAGGTATATGTTGAGAACAGACACAGCCCACATTTGGCGAGGTGGAGGCAGCCGCAGAGGGAACAGGAGCCGGCAAGGGCGCATTAATTAAAAGGGAGTAGTGTCGGCCATTGCATGATTCTGCCAGGAACACCACGTATCGTTTGTTTATTTTGCGACTCATAGTCGAGCATTTGGACGCAACCAGCTGACGAGATGCGGCTGCAGTAGGAGTAGAGGGGCGGAAAGGTGTGATAATTTTTCCACTGCCTTCATGGCCAGGGCGCCCGCTTGCCAAGAAAGGCTCTTTGTATCTTACCTGTAGGCGTCAAGTGGCCACTGACACACACCGACTCTGATAGCGAGTCGAGCGGCGTGGCAGTAGCAAACACAGCATGGATATCGCGGTTGCGCTGGTCGTGGAGCGAATTGAGGTCTGCCAAAATGCCGGCGCCACCACCATGCTGCTGCCGAGATGCAGATGCGTCATTCGGTGGGGCTCTGGCGTTTCCCGCAGCAGCGGTGGTACCACGGCGTGCGGGATGACGCAGGCGGGTACCGCGCTGGGGTGGTGGTGGTTGCGACTGCGGCTGCCTTCTTGGATACGACATGGCGCAAGTGGGTTGAGAAATAAATGGAAAGTGGTGGGAGGGTTCACGTTGTATTGAATAGGTTTGAAGTCAGAGCACCACTGCAGCGTGCTAAGAGTGCGCAGTGATGAAAGAAAAGGGAGCTAGCTGGAAAGAGAGGCAGAAGAAATGCTGCGCTAGCCACCGGTGCTACTGTACGCGTGTATTTATACCGGCAGGGAGTATGTCAAAAGGAGCACAGATGTGCAGAGCAAGCAAAGAGAGAAGGAAAGGAGAGGGCTGGGAAGGAAAAGCTCATCGAAGGCTGCTTCCAAGAAAAAGCAAAAGCGTCAAGCACGTTGGTTCAGGTGACCGCTGCTTCACAGCCAGCAAGCCAACACACGCTTCAGAAAGGCTGATCAAGTGGCGAATCAAGTTTATACTCGCGATTGCGCAAGAGCAAACGCCGAAGGTGATTAATGTTACAAAAAGGAACCGCACATGCCGCACTCAGAGAACCGGGAGGAAGTTGCCAATGATGGCCATTGGGATGCCAAACAGATCGCGCTTGATGGTAAACGCAAAGGCGCACGGCACCGGCGTCCCGTCGGGCCGAACCAGGCAGCACTCGCTCATGACCGAGTGCTCCGAGTTCTCAAAGGCGTGGACAGCAAACTGCTCCCAGTACCGCACCGCCGACTCGGTGTCCATCAGCTCGAAGATGAATTTGCTGCCGGCGGTCAGCGTCTCGCGGTCCCACTGTGTCAGGATTGAGAACTCCTTGCCGACCAGCGCAATCTCGCCCGAGCGCCGCCACACCACCGTGGGCGTGCCTGTGAAGCCGATGAGTTTCTCGTACTCCATCAGCGCGCGCTGGAACGACTTTTCCATGAAGATCAAGTCGTCGCGGGTCAGGTTCCGCAGCAGGGCGACCAGGGACGGGCGGAAGTGCGCAATGGCGCTGCTGACACGTATAATGTCGCGCTTGTCCATGCTACAAATGTGAGTGGGAGGTTAGCAGGAGCGGATCGTATCAGCGCGATATCAAATGGCCGGCATAGGTAAAGGGCGATCAGCAGTCATGTGCTGATGCCTCAGATGTAGATACATACCGCCCTTGGATGTGTCTAAAGAAATAGTGGAAGCCGTTAAAGTACTTGTAGGGCTCAGTCACCGACGAGTACACCTCGGCTGGGCTCTGCGGGTAGACGGGGTTCAGGCCATGCACGGCGGGGCCCGAGGTGGACAGGCGGCTCAGCGGGCGGCCGTCTTCAGATGCCGGTGCATGCATGGTGGGCGGCGGCGAGTTCTTGATGATAGTGGATGTCAGCGTCTGCTGTGCGTCGCTGAGCATCGACTGTTGCCGCTGCGGGTCCCAGGTGTTCTGCTGCTGTGGTTGGACGATAGAGTCCAGCGGATTGCCCGCCTGCATGTCTTGCTGCCGCCCAATGCTCATCGCCGGCTGCTGCTGAAGTGGCGGTGCCCAGAGCGCGCTGGGAATCGAAATTGTGCCAGCTCCCGACGTAGGGCCTGCCTGCTGCATCGCTGGGTTCCCAGGCAGCAGGGTGCCAGACACGCCTGAGGACATGTCGGTGGAGCCGTCTGTGGATGGGGCCTGTGTTGAGCGCCGAGTTGGCAAACATTGGGTAGGCGAGCATGCTGGACAAAAAGTCGTACTCAAGGTTGACCGCCACCGATCCGAAGCCCACAGCCGACGACGTCGAGACGAGCGGCAGCGGGCTGGAGACCAGGCCGTTGGTAGCCAGGGGCGGAGCTTGTGATGCATGCACCTCGGGAATGCTTGCGACCGAGTCGTTTGTCGGCGTATTGGTCTGGGAAAAGTTTGGCAGCTGAGAGAAGACCTGCAGCGATGGCTGCTGCTGGACGTCTAGGAGCGGGCCAAAGAAATCCATTATCAGGAATGCAGGAGATACCGATGTTAGTAATTGCAGAGCGCCAGCCAGGGAGATGCTTTGGGGCGAGAGAGGGGAAAAGGGTATGCGGAGGACAGAATTGGAAACCTGAAAGAGAACTGTGCTCTCTGGTTATAGAGCAATGGGATGGGTCGATTTGCCCCTTTTAACAGGAGGGTCAAGGTTGGGCTGCTACCCGCTGGACGTGCGATGCAGAAAAGCTGATGTTCGTCGATTGCAATCCAAGAGTGTGCTGTGTTTTGGTTGGGCAGAATATGTATGTTGCCTGCCAAGTAGCGGAGAATATCGACGAAAACAGGAAGGCAGAGAGAGGGCGTGTGCCAGAACGTAAACAAGCAAGCTATATAAAAGCGATGTGACGAAAAGCAAGAGGTGCAAAGAAGGGGAGGGGGAGCGACAGGCAGGGAGCCGGTGGTTATATATACCGACGCTGGTCGGTGCACGCAAAGGCGGCCCAAGAGTTTGAGGACGAGCCACTCGGCTTGCTCCTATTGTGTGTGCTGGTAAAAGACAAACTTGCTGGCGAGCTGGTGCAGGAGTGGGGGATGCAATGTCTGCTGTTGCTGCTGCAACAGAAGGCTGCTGCTGAGAGGGGGTTGCTAACTCATGCTTGCCAGCGGCCGCAATAGGCCTGCTACAGCCGGCGAGTCCAAGCATGGCGATACATGGTACCAGAGGTGCCTGACTTCAAAAGAATGCCAGAAAAGAGTGCCGCGCCGCAGCTGACCAACACCAATCCTCGCTCATCTGTCCAGAGTCAGGCAAAGTGCAGAGGGGAAACCCGGGCAATCGCCAAATGAATCGCATCGAGGACGCGAAACAGATCTTGTCGATAGACAGGATAATTTCTCCTTATAGACGAGGCAGGTCACAGCGACGCATGGCTGCCAGGTTTTTTCTCCGAATAGATGTGCAGGCGGTCGCCTTAATTTTTTGGGGAGGAGGTAACAGAAGACAGAAGGCTTGCTCACAGATGCGTCAGCTAGGCTGTCTCTCGCCAATTGCCGGGGTTGCTGACTTTTCGCCATTGCGTCAGCTTGTCTGGAAACAGCCAGAGATTGGCGCGACACAGGACCAAAGCGGCACAGTGAGCAACGCTGCATTGGCAATTCCCAGAAAGGAAACAGACACTACTTACCATTTGCATCTATCCTGGTGGGTTGTACGTCTGCGCTGTCCTTCTTGCTGATCTCGGCGAGCTCTTCCGCCTCCAGCAGGTACTTGGCCTTCTTCCGCACGCCGTCCTCGCACGTCGCCTCGAGACCCTTCTTCACGCATCGTCCGCACGGGCGGTGGTCGTCGCATGTGAGGTGCGATTTCTGGCAGTGGATGCATGCACGAACCGTCTTCTTCTTTTTGCGTTTGCCTTTCTTCTCTGTCGATGTGCCGATCTCCTGAGAAGGTGCGGTATGGATCTGCTGCTGCTGCTGCTCTTGTTGCTGCTGCTCTTGTTGGTGCTGCTGCTGTTGGTGCTGCTGGGTGAGCGGTGCACTATTCATGTATGCGGTTGCTGGATGTATCGACATGCTTGATTAAATCGCAGACATGCAGCTGCCTTGGCCAGTAACCCCGGGTGGTTATGATTGCTGTTGGTCTTTGAATAAAGCCTCGGTGCCTCGGACCGGAAATGTAAATGGCCTGAATGTGCCAAATAGCAAGAGGAACCCGCCCAGATGGAAAGAGATGGAGGAAAAGTGCACAAACGCAAGGAAACGCCTCTCTCCTGCGGGCAGCAAGACAAGAACTCACGAAAACGAGGCGTCGTCCTTGCGATTCAATTGACTAAGCAGCGGGAGCTGCGCGATATGTGCCTCTGAAAATAATGGAAGGCAGCCCAGAGTGCTGGTTCGTTATCTTGGTGGCGATGACTAGCAGTGACGCGCGCGCCTCAGGGAGCAAAGTGAAGAATACAAAAGTGTGGAGAGTCGGTATGAGCAAGAAAAAATTCGGAGCCAACCGGGTGCGACCGGGAAAGGAGCCTTTTATACCCTAGGCTGAGGAGCAGAGCAGAAAATAGGGGGCAGCCGTAGTCTAGATTTCCCAAGGGGGATAAGCCAATCACTGCGGTTTCATGTGCCTTTTTTATCCCCCACAGACGCAGCAGACAGGCGCGCTTTATCTCTGGGCTGGAGCCCAAAGGCGGTGCCTACGGGCACTGGCAAATGGCGCCTTTAATTGCGACATGCGCTGCGTATTTAGCGCGGGACCATGAGAAAACCTGGGTCGTCCATAAAAGCAGTCACAGCCAATATATGCAGCAACGAAAACAGGGGTATGCGGTTGTTCCATAAATGATGCATTCAGTGCAGAGGGGACAAAACAGGGGTTAGGTTGGCCGAACCCCGCTCGGAACCTCCATATCACGCACTCCCACACAATGCCCATCACGAAGCGCGGAAAGAGATCGCGGCCCGGCAGTGCAGCCGACACGCCGAATGCGCAAACATCGGAGGTTGTCGACTCTGTGCCGCTCGAAAACTACAAAGACACTGGGCATCCACAACCTGCTGGAGGTGGCCAAGCCATTCAAGAGCGCATCATACAAGAGCCAGCGGCGGTGGAAGAATCTGAAGCAGGTGGTTGCGCAGGAAGAGCAGCGGGCAGAGTGGCCGGTCGAGTTTCCGACGTACTGGTCGGTGGATGCGCCGCCATCGCTGATGCCGCAGAAAAAGTACTGCGACCTGACTGGCCTGCCGGCAAAATACACAGACCCAAAGACCAACTTCAGGTACTGCTCGGCTGAGGTGTACCAGATTCTCAAGACGTTGCCGCCGGGCGCTGAGCAGCAGTACCTGGCGCTGAGGAATGCCAACGTCGTGCTGAAATAGCCTCTGCCAGCCAGCATGTGCGGGGAGGGGCGATGAAAACCGCTGCTTACCAATAAGGGTTGCAAATTTTTTTATCTCTTTGTTCCTTCTTTTTCACTTCACTGGTCAGCTCAAACGCACAATTTTCACGCTCTTCCTAGTATGCCACTGAACCGCCTGGGCCCGCGCTTCCGCACCAGCGTTGCACCCATGATCGATGTCACCGACCCATGCTTCCTGCGGCTCTTGCGCCTGATCTCGCCCACGCACAACCACCAGCTGTGGACAGAAATGATCCATGCCAACGCGTTCTCGCGCGGCCGCATCCACACCGACAGCGCCAAACTGGCACAGAGCATCCCACTGCACGAGCTCCCCGATTACTCGCATGGCGTAGTAGTGCAGATCGGCTCGTCAACGCCCGGGGATGCTGCGGTGGCAGTCCAGGAGCTGGGTAGGCTGGGCGTTCGGCACGTAAACCTGAACTGCGGGTGTCCGTCGCGCAACGTCCAGATGGGCGCGTTTGGAGCCGTGCTGATGCAGAGCCCTGAGCTGGTAGGGCAGATTGTTAGCGCGATGGCGGAGGCAGCCACTGACGGGATGCAGGTCAGCGTCAAATGCCGGATCGGAATCGACCACGACGAGTCGTTCGGGTTCTTACAGAGATTCATCGAGACGGTCAGCCGATCGACCACCCACCCGGTCAGCTTCGTGCTGCACGCACGCCGCGCTTGGCTCGACGGGCTGTCGCCAGAACAGAACCGCAAAGTGCCGGTGCTCAACTACGAGCGAGCATACGAGATGATCAAGGAGTTTCCACACACATCATTTGTGGTCAACGGCGGCATAGACTCGGTTGATTCGGTGCAGCAGCAGCTGGACAAGGCCGACGGTGTTATGCTAGGCAGGAAGATCCGCGAGGACCCGTGGTTCCTGGCGAGCCTGGACCAGCACATCTACGGGGTATCTGAGTCGCAGATCCCAGTCGCAGGAATCGGTGCTACCGCAGTACCTGCGGTTTGCCGACGCTATGCACAGCGACTATGCTACGCGGTACACAGTCCTGGCACGCCCGCTGTACGCGTTCTTCCGAGGCGGCAAGGGCAGGGCGTTGCGGCGGCACCTGGGCCATGCGATTTCGCAGGCAAAGGTCCGCAATGGTGACAGCGTCACGTATACGGTGCCGTTCAGCGACGTAGTCAACGGTGCTGTATACCAGGCCCAACAGCAGCACACGCACGCCACCGAAAACCCGGCTGTGCAGCAGGCTGCGCAGATGTAGTAGGGGGAATGTAGTTGTATTTATATTTCTTTGCTCTCGTCCTGCCACAAAAAGATGCTGGGCGACACACGGAACAGCAGCAGCTTGACGCGGTCCAGCATTTCCAGCATCTTGTGCTCAAAGTCGGCGTGGGCATGTGTCGACGCCACCACCTTCAGCACCTTGCGGACTGCAGACCTTGAAATGCCGTATGCCAGGTTATTGCATGATCCGTCATCGACTCTCCGGTACTTTAACTGTGTGCCGTGGATCGGGATGTCGTCGTGGTGCCCCGAGTCTGTCCCGTTCTGGGCCGGCCCCAGCTGCAGCACATCCCAGTCGGGCGGCACCTCCCTTAGCGCGCTGTATATCCTTAGCTGCACGCTGGGCCCGGCCACCACATGATCCTCGATAATCAGCGCGTCCATGTAGCCCTTGTCCTCCATGTCCCTGTATATGGCCAGGTGCGGGCGCCAGCACTCGCGCTGATGCAGCATGACCTGCATCGGGTCCACTGCGTTCGGCGCCTGCACTGGCCACGACTCGTACTCGATTCCCAGCTGCCTGCCCACTGCTGACCACCGCGCGCGGTGTGCCTCGGCGTCGCTGTGCACCGGCCGCTCCAGGATGTAAATATGGTCGAAGCCCAGGTGGTTCACACGGCTGCGCAGTTCCTCGGCAGAGAACCGGTGCAGGAACTGCTGGTATGTGTGCCGGTAGTAGAGGAGCGTCAGGGCGATGAGCACAAAGGTGGTGGTCGAGAGCACCGTGAGGACCCAGAACATGTCCAGGTTGCGCAGGCCCTTGACGCAGGTGCGCCATCGGGAGGTGCGGAGGCGGTGCCGCCGCACACGCTGCTTGCGGGCGCGGCTCTTCTCGGCATCGCTCAAATTGTCGTACTGCAGGGCAGTCTCCAGGCCGCGCGTCACCAATTCGTATGACGACAGCTGGTGGATGTCGTCTGCCAGCGAGGCCATTTCAGCAATGCAAAAGGATAATTGGTGTGGTTTTCTTAGAATACAACAAAATATGGCGGACGTGAGAGGCTGTCGATAAGCGCCACTGGTGATGGCTGCCTGTGGTGCCACGCCTTGAGAATATAGCAGTTGATTTTCCTCATCATGGGTCGAGGCTTTCTGGAACAGTAGAGCAGGCAACTGGGTGCTACAGTTAGGGTCGTGCGCTGAGATACAGCTCCCGGCTCACCGGCCCAATATAGTGCTGGCCGCCGAAGCCGCCCACAAAGTACAGGCTCTCGACCTTGAGCTCGTAGAACCGGAAGTCGGCCCAGTTGACCCAGTGCCTGGTGTCTGCGTGCACATCGACATACGCCTTCCTGACGGCCTCTCTGTCCTCTTGCTCGACCACCTTGAGCGTCCCAATCAGCGTGACTCTTGGATTCGTCACCAGCGAGCCCTCCGTTGAGCTGCTCTTGACCATCACCGAGGCGCCGTCGTGGTTGCTCAGATTGTGCACAGCCCGGCTCAGGTCAGTCATGCAGAGGATGACGTAGCCAGGAGTCAGCGGCGACTCGCAGATGTACTCGGGGATGCCAAAGGCGGTGCCGCCCGGCAAGGTGGTGGAGAGGACGCCGTCGGACACTGTCTTGAGCCAGTGTGCGGGCGATGAGGGCGGCATCTCGCTCAGACTCCTGAACGATGGCTGTGCGTGCGGGCAGCGGTACAAGCATCGCAAGCAAGGGCAGGTAAATGGGTGTTTAATTGAATAGATGGCAAAGCAGAGGCAAAAGGCAGGAGAGGGCTGCTGCTGAAGGAGCAGGAGTAGGGAGCAGAGGGGGTCATACGGGCAGTATTGAATGCACATTCGCAAGCGGCTGGCAAGGAAAAATGCGCAGGGCTCTACATGGCTGCTCACGACGTCAGCACGTCGACGCCATGGCTGGTGACCACCAGCGTGTGCTCGTACTGCGCCGACCGCCCGCCGTCCTGTGTCGCAATCGTCCACCCGTCCGGCCACATCACGCCAGTCGCCACCCCTTGGCACACAATCGGCTCAATTGTAAACGCCATGCCGGGCTCCATTGTGCCGGGCTCCTCATTCCAGTGATGGTAGATGAGCGGGTTCTGGTGGAACTCGCGGCCCACGCCATGGCCCGTCAACTCTTGCGAGACCGTGTACCCGAGCGGCTCTACCAGCGAGCTGATGGTCTCGCCGATAGATGCGAACCGCACACCCGGACCACATGCCTGGATTGCCAGGTCCAAGGACTCCTTTGTTATGTCCATCAGGTCTCTGCCTTGCTTGTCGACGGTGCCGACGCTGAACATGGCCGAGTTGTCGCCGTGGAAGCCATCCTTGTACACGGTCACATCAAGGTTTATAAAGTCGCCGTCCTGCAGTGGCCGCGTGTCGGGGATGCCGTGCGCAATAACGTTGTTTACGCTGGTGCAGATGGCTTTCGGAAACCCCATGTAGTTGAGACACGACGGATATGCGCCTTGAGAGATGATGTACTCGTGTACTCTCCTGTCAATCTCCTCGGTCGTCACGCCCGGCTTCACCAGGCTGCCGCCCAGCCTGAGTGCGTCGCGTGCAATCACCGATGCATGCCGGAGTCTCTCGATCTCGACTGCACTGAGGATCGGGATCTTGTATGGCCACGCGGGTGGAGTGCCAGTTGCTGCGTACTGAGGCCGCGGGATCTGCTCTGGCACGCTGTCGAACGAGGGCTCCTTTGGCGCGGGCTTGGTCTTGAGCAGCGAGGCAGGCACCAGGCGGCTGTACTTTCCAAACCTTTGCACTGACTGTTTTGACGACAGCGACGACGCCAGGGAGCGTAGGCTGTGCCGTGGCTGGTGCGCTGTTGCCGAGGTTGTGAACGAGCGTGCCAAGTGTCTGAATGGACCAGAAGCCGACATTTTGAGATAGCAAGTACGTGTTGAGATAGCAAGTACGTGTTAGAAGAGAAAAGGGGTGCAGCAGGGGCAAGCCAGCGATAAGGTCGACAGACAGCTGCGCTCAGCAACAGCTGTTTTTTTTTTTTTGGCTCAGAACTCTGCAATTCCCGCAATTTGATTTTCCATTCCAGCCATGACACACAAGCACAGCCAGGACCTCGACTCACAGCTCCTGCAGGTCCTTGACGGTGTGGCCGAGTATCAGCAGCTGCAGCAGTCGGCTGGCGTGACGCTGCGCAAGGCCTGGTTCGATCTGGCCCAGGCCCGGCGGTCTGCCGGCTACCGGTGGATCTCGCCCGACCAGTACAGCGGCAACATGCGGGCCACTGCCACAGTAGATCCCGAGACCATGCAGATAGTCCGCGGCGTGCCAGTTCCAGAGGAGAGTGAGGCAGAGTCGGAGTCTGAAACCAGCAAGCCAAAAAGCAAGAGCAGCAAGTACACGGACCCGCTGCACTGGTTCGGCATGCTGGTCCCGCCCTCCCTGCGCGACTCGCAGAGGGGCTTCCAGCTTTCGCTCGACAAGCTTGTGGAGCTGGCACAGCTCCAGCGTCACGTGATGGAGGGCCAGCGCAGGCTGGCTTCGGCGCAAAATTAAGGTCAAGGCATCCAGCTCACTGCCAGCACATACTTCTCCCCCGTCTCTGTATTCGTTGATACCTTTCTTGCTCTTAGCCGAAATTGACGAAACGAGCTTTTACAATTCGATATCCTGTACAGAATGGCCGACAGCCACTTCAGCACGCATGCGGCAGGAAGAGTGCGTGAAATTGGTCAGGAACTGCATGACCTCGAATCGCATATACTGTATACGTCGCCGCTGTCGCACACCACACACACACGGATGGCACACAGGCAAAGCCGCTCGGTGGTGTGCTGGCCTCACTGCTGACCAGCCCATCGCATGGGCTCTCGCTGCTTTGGACGAAAGAGGACGACATCACACCTAAGGCAACTCAGCACACGGCTATTTGACGCACAGACCGAGGCACTCGTGCGCGGCATGGTCTGGCTGTCATGGGCCGACTGCCATAGCCTCCTCGAGATATTCCGCCACTTTGAGTACGTGGACAGTCGCGGCCAGCCAACATCGCTGGTCGACGGATATGCGTCGCGGCTGACGGGTGGCGAGCGCAAAGCGCCAGAGACTGGCACGGGTAAATGGTGGTGGAGGTGGGGTGGCAGTAGCGAGAATGATGATGGTGATGAGGAAGGTGCAGTGAGACGCGCTGCATGGGACCTGGTCTCGAGCGTGTTCGCTAGGGCCACGGCGCTGCAGATTACGGCCGAAGCAGAGGAGGTGTCGGAGAGCGACGCGCAGGCGGTGCTGACGTGGTTCCCGCGGCTCGAGTACCTAGACATCCAGGGCATCCCGCGCAATGCGCTGCTGTTCTGGGAGACGTGGCTGCCGGAGCGCGCGTCGTGTCTTGTTGTGCGGTACGCCGGTGTTGATCTAGTGAACCTGCTTGATATCAGCGCGGAGGCGAAGCAAAAGTGGCAGCATTTGGTGCTGCTGGACTTGTCGGGAAGCCCGGGCATCAACCTAGCTCCGTTCAAAGAGCTGCTGGCACCTCAGCTGCCGCAGTTAGAGCGCCTGTCGCTGGCATCATGCGAACTGACGCAGATCCCGGGCACGCTCGCAAAACTCTACAAGCTGAGCTGGCTCGACTTGCATGGCAATGCAATTGACAACACCAGCGATATATCGCTCCGACTGGGAAATATCCGCCGCCTAAACCTGTCAGCAAACCGCTTGTCTAGCCTGGCAGGGATGCAGCGGCTGTGGGCGCTCGAGCAGCTTGATATATCCGACAACCTTATTGAGAATTGGGAAGCGGTCGCTGTGATGCGCAATTTGCCCTCGCTGCGGGCGCTGAGTGTAGCAGGAAACCCGTTTGCCACCCAAGACAGTAGCTACCGCGCAAGAATATTTGCTGCATTCGACCATCGTGATATCGGGTTGCTGCTGGACGATGCACCTGCCCAGCGTCAGTGAGCGCAAGGAGATGGCAACCGATCCCACGGCTGGCAACAGGCCATTCTGCTAGTACGGTGAGGGCATCTGAAGCGCCGGTGACCAAGGGGCGGCGACCCAAGGTTGCGCTGATCGAGGAGTCACCTGAAGGCGATGCCGAGCCTGATTCAGGCAATCAGGAACTCGTTACAGAACCGCCGGTCGACGAGATCCTGAGGTCATTGGAGAAGACGCCTCGCGTTCTGCGAGCCTCTGAGCTGCAGGCTGCCACGGTATCGTCATCCCGACGACGAAGCCATGTCACGGAGTCGTTGCTGAACTCGCCAGTAGCCCGCAGCATCCACGTCAAAGCGCAAGCAGCGCCGCCGGACCACGCTTGGCAATGGCCTACCTGCAAACAACATTTCTGATATCGGCGGCTTCGGTCAATCAGTACCGGCCAGGTACTCGCAGCGGCCCACCAGCCCAGTCCCAAGTGTCAGCGGCGCAAGCGTCCGCACCGGGTCGATAATGCGTGATCCTGAGCGCTACCGGCGCAGAGTTGAGATGATGCGTGCAGAAGCCGGGTCTTCGTGGCTGCGTGCGTTTGCTGAGCTGCAGGCCAGCTCGTCGGTAGTGCCACAGAGCCCGATCCTCGAGGAGGACCAGCAGTCGAGTGAATCTGCCGATGCTTTGTCCAAGGCTAGCGTCGAGGCATCGCCCGAAGTCGGTGTGGACATCGAGGTCGCTGAGCGGTCTGCAACGGCGTCACCGGACACACAGCTACCAAGCTTCTTGTTCCCACGCAAGCGCGGTGCCAAGAAGAAGGATATTGCGAGGCTGCCGCACTATACCGACCAGAAGAGGCCAGAGGAAGCCGAGGTCCTGAGCCCCGAGGATGTAGTTAGTGCCGCTCTGGATGCTGCTGGCAAAGGAATGCAGCCACTAGAGGCCTGCAACGGCGCAGGAAATGGAGGCTTATTCGGAGAGTGCGTCGTCGCGTGAGGTGCCAGTTGAAGAGGAGGCTGTGAGTGAGATCCAGATGCTGCTTCGTGGAGAAGGGGTTCGGACAGCTATCAGTAGCGTCAGCGTATCGGACTACAGGATCGCACCTGTCGCTGAATCGGCGCCAGCAGAGTTGACAGATGCTGCAGGCAGCAGTATTGTCCAGCGCTCACCAGCGGTTGTATGCACACTATACTTTACGCAAGATGATGTTGTCGAGGTTGCCGGTATGCATGGGACCGGTCTCCCTGATGCTGTATCTGGTGAGAGCGCAGATAGCAAGCGCATCATTTCAAAGAACCCATTATCGTCAATCACTCGTGTTGGACGAGTCAGCAGAGTAATTCGCACTGAACGCAAGGCTGAGCGGTTTCGGCACGCCTGTCTGGACCGACTACTGCGTTGAATCCACCGACGATGACGCAAAGCTATTCATGCAGCTGTCAGCTGCTGCTGACGCAAACAACGAAGCCGGCCTTTCTGAGAACGTCTTTAAACAAGCCGAGTGCCTGCGGTGCAATTGGCGTGGATATATCGACAGCGAGCGCGAGATCTTCGATATGCTGCAAAGTGAAATGACTGTAGTTAAGCCCACAGGCGAGTTGCAATGCCCGAGCTGCAAGCGCAGCTACCTGCGTGAATTCTATGCGGCTGACGAGCAGAACCTTGACGAGCCGATCCTCTGTGTCGCTCGAAAATCAAAAGGGACGACGGCATTTGGAAGCAGCCCTTCATGGCTCGTCGTAACCGCAGCAACTCAGCGTCGAAGCAAGCGGAGCAGGAAAGACATGCCGAGAAGGCTCGGCGGGCTCGCCACGACGAACACCGGAGACAGGCTTTGGAAGCCCTGGCACTTGATCTGCAGATACTAGGCGATGCTGCTACCGACGGCTTCCTGCCGTTCGCCAAGGTCACCAATGCAATCAGCCTGTTTCTGCAGCTCAGCGTATTTGAGGCCGACGGCGAGCGCCTGATGCAGTGGGTCCCGGCCGGCCTGGTCCGCCAGATCCGGCCCCTGGTCCCGACTGCTTCGGCTACTAACCGTCGGCAGAGCAGCGGCACCAGCAAGCAGGGGACCGGGAAATGGGGGCTCTCGTCGCTGCTGGGTACTGCACAGACAGCCGACGAGGGCAAGGCAGAGGAGGAGGCATTTGCTGCGGTGGAGAACAAGCGGGCATTTATCATTGAGCGTGGGTGGAAGGCCAGTGCTATGCTGGCACCCGAGTTGTCTGAGCAGGCCGTGTATTTGGCGCTGAGCTCGCATGCTGTCTATGTGTTTTCACCTACCTGGCACGCGCTGCAGGATGTGTCAGCAGCAGCAAGAGCCGAGATCGACTTGCAGCCCGAGCAGCACCTGGGTCCTTCTGTTTTCGATCCCGCTCACCTCCCTGGGCCGGATCGACATTGGCCCGAACCGACAGTATCTGGCGCTCCACTCGTCGTTACTCTCGCTAGACAAGTCTGGCGAACAGTGGTCGAGAAGGGAGCTTAGCCAGCTGCTCAGCACTACCCACCCGGCGTATCCGACGCTAGGGTACTCGCAGCTGTTGCCAAGCGAAGCCAAGGACTCAGTCGCGGCTATGAAATGCAAGGTGGCAGCACACCAGCAGCGGTTCTCGCTGTTCGTTGATGGACTGCGTCTCTTCATGTGTGTTTATGATCCGTGACCGCCTGTCGTGCTCGGATCTGCTGGACAGCCTGGTAGAGATCGGATACGAGACACGGGCACTCGACTCGCGTGCTGGCGAAGGCAGCGGCCGGCTGCGCGGAATCAACCACGATGTCGAGTGGGCCATGCACCATCTTGTCCAGCAGGTGTTCCTGCGCCCATCGACATTCGACCCGCTCGACGAGGCGCCGCTGGTGGGTGGTGACGAAGGCAGGTCGATAAATTCCGTAACCTGACAGGCTGATCCGCGATGACCATACTGCTGCGCTGAGAGAACTGCATAGCGAGCTGCTGCACACAAAGAGTGGGCGGGTTCCCGGAGCCATTGTCGACAGTGCAAGCGGCGACAATGTCATCGTTGACAAGGTCACGTACGAGTTCCTCAAACTCTATTTCTGCGTTGGACTTGCATCTCCCACAGGGATTGCGCCGGTCTCGCTCGTGGGCTCGCCGCAGTTCCTGTATCTAGTCCGCGAGCGTGTTGACGTGTGGCCACCGCCCGCCCCCGATCTGCGCGCACTGTACCGCAAATGGCAGCGGGTAGCACCGCCCACCATCGTCACGTCTGACCCCTGACACATACGACCCTAAGGCACTGGAAGAGGAGCTGCGCCAGCGGTCCAATGCGCCGAGCTCGGCCAGCTCCAAGCCGACGTCAGCTCGATCTGGCACGGAGGAACAGGAGGACGAGGAGACTGAAGAGGAGATCGATAACAGTAAGCTTGTAGCGCAGCTGATGTCGACAGAGGTCAACCAGTACGACCGTGTCCAGCACGCACGCCCTATCGTCGATCTGCGCCGGGTGGCATTGCTGTCGCGGCCCATTGCGGTGTTGCCAAAACTGCAAGCACCACCGCAGGCGTCTTCTGAGAACCTTGTGCAGCTGGACACATTTGGGTGCACAGGTACCAGCTGGCGCGCAATGCTGCGGATAGAGTTTGCCACGGCGGAGGGCGCAGAGCCGGGCTGGAATGTATGGTTTGGGACCAGGGCGAGCGCGCAAGAGTGCGTCGAGTCGCTGCAGGTGCTGGCCAAGAGCGTCGGTGCTGACGCGGACTTTTGCGAGCTCTGACGATCCGCGCTGCCTCTCAGCTGTGCTGCTTCAAGTGTGTGAAAGTTCGGTCTGCTGTTGGGTCGTTCTCTTCTTTCCGTTTATCCTAAAAAACATTTTCTGTGAAGATGGTTGACCCTACTTTTGCTAGTCTCGCGTTTCCCGGAACTGCAGAGCGACCATGTGCACCCGCTTATCGGCGGCGAGGCCAAAGCACGGCTGGTGGCGCGGCTCCATGAGCTCGGAACTACGCAGGCGTACCGGATGCTTGGGAGCATTCTGAAGCGCGACCCAGACGATGTGCCACAGGACGAGTTTTGGGCGCACACAAGGCAGGGCGTGGCCAGTGGACAGAGCGTGTGGGAAAGCGACGTCGATTTCATTGTGGCCCTGACCACGTTCCCTGGTCTTGGCTCGTCAGTGATGACGGAGGTTCGCGTGGCCATCAACAGCTGCGAGGAGGCAAGTGGCGAGACCATCGCGGCATTAACAGTGTTCTTCAATGATTTCCGGGTCTTGAGCCCCGAGCCCGTGTTTGTCATGGGAATTGACGAGTATCTGTACAGAGGGCTGCCGCTCACGTGCGAGGATGAGAGCATATGCGACGGGTACTCGATGGGCATTGAGGAATGGCGTAGGGCTGAGCCGCCCGGTCCCGTTCGATCAGTCGCCGGCTGCCCAGGAACTGGGACTGGAGTTGTCGCAGATGACTGCGGACGATTTGGAGGTCGTTGAAGAGAGCAGCAAAATCAAGTACCCACGCGAATATCTCGAGTACCTTCTCCCGTGCTCTGTGTGTATTCGGACGCAAGTCAGACCAGCAGATTGTTGCGTGGGGCATGGCACACCGCGACTACCAGCTTGGGCTCATGTTCACCGATCGACGCATACCGACGCAAGGGGCTGGCAAAGCGCATACTATTTGCACTCGGTGACTGCATCGTCGATACGTTCATGGAACGGATGCGGATCACCGACGGTCCATTCACGTTGAGCTTGGCCATTGAAGCGTATAACGAGCAGTCGCGCAGACTATTTGGCGGGGTTGGGTTCGTGCCAACTTCGCGGATCATGTGGGGAGTAATGTAGAGTAGACTGGAATATATTAGTTGTTCTCCACATATGTCGTGTTGCCCAGCTTGTCGATGACCATGCGGTAGAGGCCCTGCCGCACCAGCTCGGCCATCTTACGATCCTCGTCGTCTTCGTCGCTGACTTCTGGCTCCTCCTCTTCACTCTCCTCCTCATCGCTGATCCTCATCGTCAGACGGAACCACGTCGTTAACGCCATGGCGGCTGGAGTTTGGGTTGGCTGTCATCAGCTCGTCGTCTGTGTCCTCCTCACTGTCAATGCCGGCGCCAATGTCCGCATAGTCATTGACCTTTGACCTCTCCCTCTGCTCGTTCTCCTTGTCGATCATCGCAATCCAGTCGTTCTGCACTTTCAGCACCTCTTCGTTCGTATCGCATGCTGCGTACCGTTTCAGCAGCTCGGCGTTCAGCTCCTTGAATGCGTGGCCCCACTTGAACCGCTCCATCAGCAGGTCGCCGACCTCATCCCACCCGACAATGTAGAATGCTGCAGCCAGGGCCTCGACACAGTTCAGGCGCCACGGCTTGCCGTAGTTCACCGGGTTGGCAGCAACCAGGTATGGCAGCAGCCGGTTGTTGTGCGCCTTGATCCGGCTGAACGGGACCTCATCGACGCGTGCCCACGAGCAGTCGATCATGGCCGCGCCGTGCTGCTGCATTATCGGCAGATCGGCCTTCGACACCACCTGCGTGCCCTCGGGGCTCATCACAATGCCCTTGAACACCTGCGTGAGCTTGAACACCTCCACCAAGCCCATGCGGGCGAGCTTGCGGCCCGAGCAGCGCTTCGGATCGCAGTGGTCAAAGTCCCACATGCCGAGTGGCACGGGCGCTTTGATCGCGGGTGTCTCAGGGGCCTCGTCTGCAGGCGCGCTGTAGCCGGCCATCCGCCGGTCGCGCTTGTGGTTGTGGTGTGAGGCCTTGGAGTGGAACGAGCCCTTGCCTTTGCCGCCTGCCATGGGTATGTGTCAATGCGCTAATTGGAATGTGGGGAATTGGGAAAACTGTCGAAAGGTAAAACTCTGCCGCGGCTCGAGACCCAGACTTTTGCTGTCTTGTCTGCCGAGCCGAGCTGGGGAGTGCCTGGCCAGAACGGCTCGCCCACTGGTTGTGCTCAGCCGCTTGGCACAGGCTCTCCGCCGTTAGCTCACTTCTTATTCTGCACCTTGGCATTTTCCTTCAACACGCGCTACCTCGACAGTTTCCCTTAAGCAATGAGCACCGGGTCGCCATACTACCCCATCGCAGGCCTGACGCCCGATGCATTGTCGCCGCGGAAAGAAATTTGCAACTACTTTTCAAACTACCCTCTCTACTCCCTCGCATGGTCGCGGCGAGAAGACCGCAACAGAATGTTCCGCATGGCGCTGGGTACGTTTCTGGAAGAGTCCACCAACAAGCTGCAGGTTATCCAGCTTTCGCCACACCACGACACGACGCCAGCAAACGACACGCCCGGACTTTGGGCTCATAGCCGAGGCAGCGGTCGACTACCCGGTGACAAAAATACTCTGGCATCCGGTCAAGACTGGGTACTCATCGGACCTGCTGGCCACCACCGGCGACATGCTTGCGGATTTGGGAGTGCGAACAGACGGCAGAGCCCGCAGAGCTCGGTCTGTATAGATCGAATTTGAAGTTGCGCGCGAAGCTGACGACGCGCGCTGACTATGCTGCACCAATTACATCGTTCGACTGGAACAGCATAGACCCAACGGCTCATTATTACCTCGAGCGTCGATACTACGTGCACAGTGTGGGATATTGAGACGAACCAGGCGAAAACGCAGCTGATTGCCCACGACAGGGAGGTCTTTGACGTGGGCTTTGTTGCAGGCAGCCAGGACGTTTTTGCATCAGCGGGTGCCGACGGGTCGATTCGCATGTTTGATTTGCGGTCGCTCGAGCACTCGACGATTTTGTTTGAGGCACCGTCCACCACCGCACAGTCAGCAGCGGATCCCAGTAACTACAGCAGCACTGCTCGGATCACGTCATTCACACCGCCGCTGCTGCGCCTTAGCTGCAATGCTGTGGACCCGAATTATATTGCGACGTTTGCCTTGGATGCCCACCAGGTCAGCATCCTGGACGTGCGGTTCCCTGGATCCCCTGTAATCCAGCTTATTGGCCACCAGGCACCCATCCACTCTGTCGCATGGAATCCCGGGTCCTCCAGCCAGCTCTGCTCGGCAGGCGCTGACTCACGCGTTCTAGTGTGGGACATGCGCCAGGCGCTGGCAACGCGGCAGCACCAGCAGCGACAGGCGGCGGTGGCTCAGGCGCAGGCCAAGCAAATGACACGGCTCGGCAGGCAAAGACGAGTACGACGAGTCAATGTCGCCCGGGGCGGTGCAGGCAGTCGCTCAGGCTGCGGCGGTGCAGGCTGCGACACAGCAGCCGACAAACGCTGCGCCGTCGCTCACATATGCAGCACGCCTGCCTGTCAATTCGCTGGCGTGGCACCAAAACTCGGCCGAGTGGGTCTCCATTGCATTTGGTAATACTGTGCAGACGCTGCGACTTTAAAGCCTAAAATGCTGGGTTCGGTTGCTTTTATATTGAATGGCCTGTGTTGGTGTAATGACATGTAGCTTAATCATATTGGCAGGACATATAGAGCCTCATAGCCTAGGCGAGCGAATGATTTGGGAGCTGGAGCTGCATCAGTCCTCCTTTCGTTCAATTCAAACACTAGACCCGCCAAATTGATATAAACTCACTTGCTGGACGGGATCTTGGTCGCGATGCATGGAGCTAATGTGGAGGATACTAGCCAGAACTGCTCCAATCTTCGATTACCAGCTACCCACTCCATACCAGCAGGTGGATGCGGATTGTTGAAAGACGTTTCAGCAAGCCAAGGCGTGAAGGGTCTATCGCGCTGCTCTTGCCAGGTACCGCTTGACTGGGCAGGCAGCAGAATAGGATGGATGGATGGTGCCTTCACACTGACTGGAGGCTGATTCAAAAAGGAATTAATCTACTCCTATGACGAGGAGCGCGAGAGCAGCCGCGTTGTTGGACTTGCAAACTCAAAGGAAAGATACAAGTGGATAGGGGCTATTTTGTGAACTGCAGAATTGCGTCGGATGGAGAAGGACATTGCACACTTGCCTGAGAGATGCACATATGGATATGTTTCCGGAGGTGTTCCTTAGGAACAACTCGTTTGAAACATATGTTGACATGGCATACAAGAAACTGCTCCAGTAGCAGTGTTTCTGAAGCACCACGTCCCACTTAGAGCAGCAGCCTCCGTCGATTATGCCGATTGCACAGAGTATCAGACAATCGTGCTCTGGCCGCTGAATCCGCAGTCGGGCTAGTGGTGATTTTGCTCTTAAAGCGCAACACTGAAAATACTGCTGTCATCGTTTCTCTTTTCCACAACCTAAACAATTGCAATAATTTTTCTTCACGCCTCGTTTTAAATGAGCCAGCGAAATTCAGGATCAGTCAGTAATGAGCTGGAGGACCTGAGTAACCTGGGTGTGCAGGTCATAGACCAGGCAGTGCTGGAGCGCACGGTCCATGACCAGGCAAGCCGCGACATGATCGAGCGCGGCATCGATACTGAGCAGAAGCGCCTGGCTAAACTTGACGCAGCCCTTGCCAGACGGCGTCAGATGCTGGCAAAAGCTCACGAGACCATGGGCAAGAGCTCCCGGCCAACAGCACGTTACGCCAGCGCCAGCAGCCGTGCTGAACGGCTTGAGGAAGAAATCGACCAGCTGACCGACGACCGGAACCAGGTGGTCGAGCGACTGGCACAGGCGCAGGCACGGCTTTCAAGCATGCCGGACACAGCAAGTTCTGTCGATGCCAACGCCAACCATTGCATCGATGATAGTGCCCCAGCGGCGCGCTGCTGCTAAGGCCATGGATGCTGCCAAGTCAGACGATGAGGACTCGGTGGGCGCCAATAGCGAGCAGGATAGCCAGGAGGTGACCAGGAATGTGTCGACGGGGGACGACAGTGACGCAAGCTATCATGAGGAGGGCAATGATCTCTCTGACGGCCCCGACAGCAATGCGGATATGAGCGGCGGCGTGACCAGCCGTAGGCGGTCCCCAAATGTACAGCTGACAGGGTCAACACGGCTTGGAGTGCATGACTTTGACGACGGCAACGAACATGCCTACCAGGAGCGCGTTCATGCATGGTGTGTCGCCCGGTGGCACGAGCGCTGCGAGCTGGGTGACAGCGCCGATGTGACTGAGGGTAGTGACCCAGACAATATGTGGGTAGCCGACGATGGAGCTAGGATTCCGAGGACTGCGTTGGCCCAGGAGCCGTTTCTGCCGGACCCCGGGACCACAGACCACTTGATCAAGGCGCATGGACGCGGGAAGCCACCTCTGGCAGTCCCGATGCAGATATGGAGCCGTCTGCTCGAGTACCAGAAAGCAGCGCTGAAGTGGATGTACGTACTGCATGAGCAGAATGCAGGAGGAATTCTGGGCGACGAGATGGGTCTAGGCAAGACCGTACAGGTTGCTGGGTTCCTGGCATCGATGTATCACTCCAAACTGTTGGCCCGGCCAAGCATCGTTGTTTGCCCGGCCACACTGATGCGCCAATGGGTGCGTGAATTCCACGCGTGGTGGCCGACGCTGCGCGTTGTCATCTTGCACGGAACCGGCTATGCAATGCAGGCTGGCAACTCGGGTATGCCCGGCGAAGACGGTCTTGACGAGCGATTGGACTTGTCGAGTGAGCTGACACCGCAAGAGGAGGTGAGCATCTGGGAGGACTCGCGAGCTAGCGGTATCCACATAAGTGCAAGCGAAAGTAGACCAGCTGACCACAACGCATGGAGTTCGGCAGCAGGCTACAGCAGTGCCGATGAGTACGAATACGACGCGTATGGATCGCGCATTCGTCGCAAGCGCCAGATCCGCGGGTTACCCCGGTTCAGTAAGAAGCAAAAAGTGGCCAAGCGCAATCCGATATCGAGTAGGGCATCGCGTGAGAGCCGCAGGCGCGCCGAGCAACTGGTGGAGCGGGTGCACAGCAAGGGCCACATCATTGTAGTAACGTATTCCGGGTTGCAGGTATACCAGGACGCGCTGCTAACACGCAAATGGGGATATGCGGTGCTTGATGAGGGCCATATGATCCGCAATCCGGATGCCGAAGTGACGCTGGCATGCAAGCGGCTCGATACGCGGCACCGGATCCTAGTAACTGGCACGCCGATCCAGAATAACCTGACCGAGCTGTGGTCGCTGTTTGACTTCATTTTCCCTGGTCGCCTCGGCACTTTGCCAGTGTTTAACAACCAGTTTGCGGTGCCAATCACCGTCGGTGGATATGCCAGCGCAAACAGCCTACAGGTGCGCGCTGGGTACCGCTGTGCGTGCATTCTGCGTGACCTGATTGACCCGTACCTACTGCGCCGCATGAAGGCAGATGTCGCGCAGGATCTGCCACAGAAATCCGAACAGGTTTTGTTCTGCCGCCTGACTCCAATGCAGCGAGCTGCGTACACATCGTTCCTGCGCAGCAACGATATGGAAAAGATCCTTTCAGGAAAGCTGCAAATGCTGTTTGGTGTCGACGTTGCTCGCAAGATCTGCGACCATCCAGATCTGCTCCTGCTGTCAACCCTGTCAACTGCAGCGTCAACACATAACGAGGCACGGCTGAAAGAAAGAGATAGCAACGATAGCGATGTGGACTACGAGGCAGCAGCAGCGGGCATCCTGCCAGCTGACTATGGCGACTACCAGAAGAGCGGCAAGCTGTCGATTGTGCGCGCGCTACTAGATATGTGGCAGCCCCAGGGGCACAAGGTGCTTGTTTTCTCGCAGACCCGGCAAATGCTGGACATTATCGAGCGGATGCTGCGACAGATGCCAGCATGTGTGTTCCGGCGCATGGATGGCTCGACACCCGTGCAGAACCGCGCTGCGCTGGTCGACGAGTTCAACACCAACCCAGACATTTTTGTGTTTTTGCTAACTACCAAGGTCGGCGGCCTGGGCGTTAATCTAACCGGCGCTGACCGTGTCATCCTGTACTCGCCCGACTGGAATCCAAGCAGCGATATGCAGGCGCGCGAGCGTGCGTGGCGGCTGGGTCAGACTCGCGATGTGGCCATATATAGACTCATGACTGCTGGTACGATCGAGGAGAAGATCTATAACCGCCAGATCTACAAGCAGTTCTTGTCAAACAAAATCCTGTCGGATCCGAACCAGAAGCGCTTTTTCCAGGCGCAAAGCCTGCGCGACTTGTTTTCGCTATCAGGTTTCGATACTGGCGAAGAGGTCGTGGCTGGTGCCAATGCCAGTGCCGAGACACGGTTTGGTAGGTGCACCGATTCGACAGCTGACGACCAGAGACAGCAGGCTGACATGGGTTGTGGGGCCACTGAGACTGCTCGCATGTTTGCCAATGCACAGCTGCTCCCAAAGCCTGACGATGCGGATGACGCTAGTATGCCTGCAGATATCGTAAGAGATTGGCGGTGTTGTGCGGCTGGAGCCCTACCGGCCAGTACGAGATGAAGATGGCAGCAGTGCTGAAGTCAGTGATGCCGCAGGACCCAGCAACCGACGAGATCACAAACCAAATACCAACGCAGACAGCCCTGGGAAGTTATTCACAGGCAATGGACTGGAAGAGGAGGACCGGGTTCTCCAAAGCCTGTTCAAGATGTCTGGTATGCACAGCGCTCTGAAGCATGATGCAATCATCAATGGCAAAGACGTTGATGTAAACTATGAGCGTATTGAAGCCGAGGCCGAGCGTGTCGCCAGCGGCGCGCGCACAGCGCTGCAGGAATCTCGCAAGGCGCGGCGCCAGCTCGATATCAGCGTTCCGACATGGACAGGAAGCTCAGGCGAAGCAGGTATGCCTGGCGGCAAGCAGCGGTTTGGTACTAAAGTGAATCCCAATCTGGTTGCGCCCCCGCCCAGTGTCATCATGAGCAATGAGCTGCCCGACGAGTTCAAATTCAAGGGCCTGCAAGCCCTGGGCGGATCACGGCCCCGCAACCTGCCGCCCGCGACATCGGTAATCAGCGACAGCCTTGTGCAGAACGCCGTAACCATGGTGCGCACGGCAAAAATCGGCCGTGCATTGCCCGCTGGTCGCGCTGTATCATCGCTGAGCCTCCACCATAGCACCGCTGAGCGGAAATTGCACCAGTCCGCTAGCACGTCTGGTCCCCCCTCACGTTTTGGCAGCCACAGCACCTCGGGCATGTATGGCGGAACAGCACCATCTACGTCATCCAACCTCTTGGCTAATTTGCGCGCCAGATCCGACGGTATACCTGCAAAGAAAACCGGAGCTGAGCTTGCTCGAGTACCAACTCGCCAGGTCACGCCACTGGCGCGGCGCTCTGCACATGAGTCCGCAGCCAGATCACCTGGCTCCCGCGCGGCAGTGCACACAAACAATGGGTGGCCCGGAATCCAGTCGAGCGCCAGCCGCATGGTGCGTAAAGACACAAGCACCAGGAGCAGAGTAATGACTGAGCAGGAGCAGTCGGTTGTTGAGGCAATCCGCACGGCACTGGAGGATGCCTGGAGGCGAGATGGGCAGTCGGGAGCTGATTGGGCGGTTTGAGAGACAGATGCCTGAGGGCAGTACCGCCAGACTCAAGGAACTAGCCACGAGGGTTGCTGACTTGGTGTCGCGTCAGCCGCAGGGAGCGAGGCACACAGGGATTGGGCGTGTTGTGCACAAGGTCTGGGTCCTCAGGGAGAAATGTGCCGATGAGGGGCGGTGAGCCGATTCACATTCACATCAACCCTTTGTCACATTGTCAAGCCGTGGCCACTACGCCAATACATTCCGTAGGCTCTAATTGCAAGGACAAACTGCTCTGTTCGCTGATGTCTCGCCAAAAATGGCACATGGCACTTTGTTTATCTGTAGAGCGTTGAGGATGGAAACTTTGGAGCTGGAGCGCATGGCAGAGATCTGCTCCGGTAGAAGCATGCGCTGTGTCCGCATTGGACGCAGGAAGATGGATGCATCCCAATGTCGCCTAATTGCGATAATTACCTGCAACTGTTCCGAGGCCACACAGCACTGTATATTGTGCACGCACGAAGAAATCAAGAGAGCGGTTCCGGCATTTGGGTGGCTCCGTAGAGCAAGATAATACCAACCACGCACAGCATGAAGGATTGTCAGTCCGAGCTGGCACACCCGCGGCACCCGCAGTGCACGCACTCGACGGTGCGCCCTTCCTCGAGCTTTGCCTTGGGAACGCGGCAGATGCAGGCGGTTCCGTAATTTGTATCACGCGGCTGAATGCACTGCAAACAGCACAGCTTTTCGAATCCCTGTTTCCTCCATTTGGCAATCAGGTTGCCGTCGGCGTAGTTGCGCTTGAGGCAGTAGTCGTAGAGCTTGCGCGAAATCGCCTTGCGTATGTAGAACAAGTCGTAGATGTACCGCGACCGCTGGTGGTGGATGCGCATCACAGACCACGTCGACTCGACCCGCCGCTTTCCGGTTGAAGTCTCGTTCTCGGCTATAATTTAGGAGCTCTGACAAATGCTTAGCTTAGAATCTTGCCAAAAATAGAGAGACCCTGTCAATATTGCCTCCGGCCGGGACAGGGGTTCGGCGAATAAAGAGGGACCCCCTCTGGCGGAAGAAGAACGGTGCTGCGGGTTGCAAATTTTTGCACCGCCTGTCTGCGGCAAATGAGCACATGGCTCGGAGGCGGGGTGGATGAGGAGGGGAAGTGGGAGCATTTGGCTACGACGCTGGGAAAAAACGGCCCATTCAAAAAATAAGATGAAGCCGCACAACAACCAATGCTGCATGTGTACCAACTCGAGTTCCTGGCATATGATCTGGACTCGGACAAAAAAGATCGCAATTAGCCAGAAATGCACAATGGCAGGCACAGAAACGGGATGGTGGTATTGCCAGCTGATGGAGGCGGGATACGGCACTCGTAGGAGTGGCCGCTGTCCAAATGATTCGTCTCTTTGCTTTACAAGGCTGCACACAGCAGACGTCGAGGGCCGCGTGTAGAGATGGCACAGGGCTAGAAGGCAATGCGGGATCCATCTCTTGTAGCAAAACTTGTGACGAGTGCAAATAAAACTGTGCGACAATCGGCGCAGCCAAATTGGAAATGCTTCCCGGGACGTGTGACGCTTGGACAGACACTCCAATTCAGCTCAATGAACATGCTGCGAGCTGATCTTTTGCCGCCCACAGCAGCAAATTACACACTGCATATTTCGCCTCCAAGATATGCCAGCATGGGATTCGATGAAGTATACATCCACAGCGAGGTGCCTTTGCCGAGAGAGGGGCACCTGCACTGAATTTATGCAGCTCCAGCACCATTGTACTGAGCAGCATTGCATTGATGCCGCCAGAGTAATTCTCTCGCGGCCAGAGAAACGGTATGGAATTGGTCAGCATGCGGGCTGGGTCTGGGCAGAACCGAGCCAGGAGCCAAGATAAGAATCGGGATCTCGCACAGCTTCTCGGGGATATCGACAAAAGCCTGTCGTTTCCAAATGCCCACAGTCATGGCTCCATGCCTGTATCGGCAAAGAGGAAGTTGGGGCGCCTCCACCCCGGACTCGAGAGACATAGAAAGAAAGCGGGTTTGATTCAGGTCCAACCGGCAGGGCATAGCGGGTTGCGGAGTAAGGCAACAAGGGGCAGCACATCCACACATGCTAGAAAGCGCACCCACACATACAAGGCTATTTGTTCAATAAGGATCCAGGTTGACAACTGGCCCCTCCCCCTCCTACCCCTTCCGGGAAGTTTGAGCCCATGTGACCCCTACCATGCACGCACTGTCAGCGGTTTTGGTCCTGGCCGGCATAAATGCAGTCAGCAGGTCCCGGTAGCCATGGCAGGGGGAATCAGCGGTTTATGTCAAAACTATCGCACAGCTATCATATCGTGGAAATTGCGATAGTTTTTCCAGCGTGAACAGGTGTGATCCACATGCACACACATGTTCAAGGCTGTGTATCAGCGACTTACCGTCACGCATCTTTTGCTCGAACTCTAGCAGCGTTGGCTCGATTTCGTCCCAGCCTGAGGGAGGCGGCTTTGTACGTGACGTCTTAATTTTCGGCATGAGCAGTGTACGGGCGTGTCACTCTGCGGCTTTTCTATTCGACAAGTGCTGCGCTAGGAAAATGCACCAAGTTACAAAAGCTGGTGAGTAGAAATAGGGAAAGTTCACTGGAAAAGGACTCAGGAGCTGCGCAGATCCCACATTCACCGCCCAGCCTATATAACACGTGTTTCCAAGCGTGTGTTTTGGGAGACCCCGTGTGTATTATTTCTTGAATAGTAAATCACCTTCCCCTTGGCACATTCTTCAGCGCAGCCTGATGCCTGCCTTGAACAGCAGCAATGCTGGCGTCAGAAATAGCAATGTGTAAACGACCAGGATCGTATACGCCTTGGCAGTCCCGCATAGCAGCGTCTCGAAGAAAATGTTGGTGGCTCCGGTGAGCAGATTCGCGACTAGGAACGTTGTCAGGCTGTTTTTGTTGATGGCCTCAAGCAGCAACGGCACATCGTAGCCCTTGGGCCGTCCACTCCGCATCAGCAGTGGTGGCAGCTTCGAGTCGATATCCTCCTCGATGATCAAAAATACCCAGAGCATTGCTGTGTTGAATGCAGCAACCCACAGGCAATACGGTGCATTGGCGAAGCGCCGTGACACCTCAATGCCACAGACAAACCATACCAACACAAAACTAATGGCTGCTGTGACCCAGGATGCCAGCACAGCAATGATGCGCATCCGTCGGTTCTCCAGGGTTGACGCATCAGGTAGCACCTCCTTGCCTAAGCTCATACCCATCAGGAACATGGCCAGGTACCCGATGAATGAAAAGATGCCCTCGCGGTTCGCTGCGACCAGGCCGTCTTCACGGTCCGCACCCTCGAGCCATTTGCCAAATCCGGTCAGACTGATTGCACCCTGGTACAGCACCAGCAGTGCCATCGAGGTGACGCGCAGATCGTCGTACACATACAGGCCAAGCGGCACAAAGATCGGGAGAAATCCGAGCGTGAAGAAGAAGTTCCAGTGCGTGCCGTACTCGGACACATGCTTCTGGTATTCAGCAGATTCAGTCATGATGTAGCGGATAAAGCCCAGTGCCAGGATTGGAAATGCTGTCCATAGCCCAGCCTTGAGCTGGTGCGCCAGCGATGTCTTGACGACCTTGTCTTTGACATGTCGCGGCAAGAACGGCTTGGCACCCACAACACCAGCCGAGAACACGAACGACCCAACACCCAAGTCCATGACCGACGTTCCATTTGTCTCAACCTTGGCGAACTTTAGCGGGAACACCCAGAAGTCGACTGCCAGGATGCAGAAACACGTCATCAACATCATCTCCCCGCGGTAAATGCTCAGATAGGGCTTGGCCGTGACTCTGCCAGGCACATAGCTCTTGTCGAACTCCACTGCCCGCGGGTCAGGAGCCCACTTGTCGTGACGGCGTGGCGCGCTTGGGACCTGCCACCGAAAATACACACCGGCTGCAATCAGCGACAGGATCACCAGCACTGTGTGCTGCCCAGTAAAGGCTAGGAATGTTGGTACCAAGAATATAACCAGCTCAAACACCAGGTGTACTATGCTGCGCCCTGTAAAGCTCACAGGGTTACGGTGGTACTCGGCTGCGGTCTTGCACTTCCAGCACCAGTATGACAGGGCCAGTGTTGAGACCACAACGTGGATCTCGGTCATGCTGCTGCCTTCCAAACCCGACACGCGACTTTCTTTGAACTTCTTTGACGTATAGTCGTCCATGATATCCGATGGCAATTGCATTCAAGTGTGTTCAAATGCGTAAAATGAAAAAGGCGGAAAGAGGTCCTAGCTGTTCACAGCCAGGGCCCGACGCCCAATGCATCGGCAATTAGCCACAGGATCCGCTGATGCCAAAATATGGTACACGGTTTCATATCATGGTGTGAAGCCGATTTGTGACAGGATGATTTTTTCCATGTTGACAACAAATATACGGGAAACATATCTAGTAATACTAGTCGGCATCTACTCGCTCTTCTTCTCGGCATACGCCTCGGCCCAAGACTTCTTGACCATCGGCTTGAGGTCGACCTTGTCCTACAAAAGAAAATAGCAAGGCTTTCAGCGCTTATTTGCCATTGGGCAGGAAACCCTCCCCCTTTTGCATGGCACGATTCAGCTGACCTACCTGAGTAGCAGAGGCAAAGTAGAAGGTCAGTGCTGGGACGACCAGCCCGAATGTCACCAGTGCGGGAGCAGTGCGCCGGGTGAATTTGAAGTACCGGTGCGTGTTGTTCCTCATCCACACCCACTCCTCAATAGCGGGGTCCTTCAGAAGCGTCTCGTGTCCGTGTGCGCCCATGTCTGAATTGTGAAATAGCTGCGTTAATACAGGGCTTAGAAAATAGCTGAATTGGGGTGAGCTGAATTGGAAAAGGCCTCGAAAGCAGTCTCTGGCGTGCAATTGCCCAGCAATTCAAGGTTTGGGAGAATGGAAAGGCTGTCGAGATCGAGAGATGATAAGGCTGATCATCGCGTGATCGCGTGATTAGCTGTCTTTGCGGAAAGAGGTAGGCTTATACATGCATGAATCGGACTTTTATTCAATGAGTGCGGTACCGAGTGCACGCCTCTACTGCACTCCCCCACTGCCAGTTTAGCCGTTGGTGATGGGGAGCACTCGTCGCTTGGCCCCTCAACTGTGCCTCTCGGTCCTATGCTAGCACCATGTCGCACTGCCAATAGTTACATCTACTCGTGCACCAAGTGAGACTGTATTGTCGCCTTGTTGCAGTGTTGGGCAAATGCCGAAATATTCTAGAAGACTGCCCCCCAGCTTATGTTGCTTAAGTTTCAATACCACAAAAGCGAGCCCTTAGACCTTGTACCCCTTGTAGACAATGGCATGTTTTTTGCGGCAACCTCAATCACAAACACAACATTGGAGTCATATCGGAACTCACCCGCAAACAGAATGAAGTCCACCACCTTTTCTTACATTAGACACCCTTTCGAATGCTGGAGCAGGTTCCATAGAACTGTACTAGGATTTGAACCTAGCGTGTTAGAGAATCTGTTCCGTTTACTCCCTCACTTTGTTTAATGCCACTAAGCGGATTGGGTGACGAATTGGCATCCCGACTGCCATTTGTGGGCAATTGTCAGGGGCTACCAGCTCGGTCTGCACTACCGGCTACGTGGACTTGGTGTGCCAATAGGTACCCAGCGTGTTAGGAAAGCCGCGCTGTGAATCCTCTTCCGATTTGCTTACCTCGGCCGTAAAGTGGTGCTCACAATCCCAACCGTTGGTTTCACACACGGATATATTTGCGGCCACTTCTCTTTTACATGACATCACCTCTGCAGCTTTGTTTGTTCGCCTGCTCTCCCTTTCTGACCGGTCAGCGCTGATTGAAGGACGCCAGTATATGGTACCTTTGGGGGTAGGGTGGCCTCAGCCCATTGAGTTTGGGGGGGGGGCAATTGTCTGCCGAATCCCCCTTCCCTTTATCCGATCACCTACAACAATAAATCGCATTGACGAGTATGCGTGCCAGATGTCTGATTTCAACATACATACGTGCTGGTATGTCCTGTCAATTGTGGATTTCTTGCATTAATACAATGGAAACTATGCATGTCGGATTTGGATGTGGTTACTGTAACCTGGAGGTACCGATATGGCGAATGGTCTTTTGGATACCTGACAAGCATTCAGTGGTGATGGTTGCTGTAAACCAATAGACTACACCAGCTACCGATGGAATCGCCGCGGAAAAACTACGGACTGCAAATACATTAAGCACTGTGCCGCATTTTCGGTCTCATTGGAGTTTGTTTAGCACGGCCACATTGCCACCTACTTTTTGGTGACTATCATGCGGCCCGAGGCGAAGCTTGCCGAACAAAATTCGCATCCATATGAACTTGCCCAGTGAAGCCCCTTTGGCGCGCGCATGCAAGGAGTATGTCTAATTGTTACCCTACCACGTACGCTTCTCGGCAAAAGAATGCCAAACCATCGGGCAGTAGTGCCACACCAAGATGGACTATCCAACCTATCCTTTACATGTAGGGCGCTAAAACCAATATAACATTTTTCTTGGACGCATGACATGCATCTTTACACGCCTTGTGATGCAAACATATGCGCGGATCTACATGTGCATATTCCAGTATCCATGGTCTGCTAGCGAATAGGGATTGGCGTTGTTTCCGTGCTAGTACCTAACACTAATTGAACATACTTTTCTGATACAGTATGCGCAGGATAGTAGAATCTACCTCCGCAAAACCTAAACCCTACAGGCTTTTCTCAGTTGAGCTGCCGAGTTAATTATGTCAACAGGACCCAGGCAGCTATATTGCAATCTCCTGTGTGGGGAGGAGGTGCTGAGTGAGAGCGCGAGAGTTCCTTTTGGATCGCGGGCCAATGGCTATGTTTCAGACTCGCCCCACATCTCTTGTCAGCATGCTCTTTTTTCGGAGAGATGTGGGGGACAGTGCACATGGAGTATTGACCGTGTGGGCCACCGGGCACAGGCACCAACGAGGACCAGGGAAGAGATATGCAGGACGAAAAAATATGTGCGGGGTAGAAAGGACAAGGGTGTAGGCGTCAATGGAAGCATCAACGCAAGCGTCAACGCAGAGCTGCAGCACTGCGATAAAGAATGGCCTCATTCCGCCTTATCCAGCGAACACTGCATGTCACTCTGGTCCCGGTGCTCGGACAATGCCTGCTGGCTGTGACACTGGTCATCGGCCTAGTGATTTTACGCCCTTGCTACCGAGATAACAGCAAGGGCACATGCTGAATTTCGTCTCTCTCTTTTGATGGCGATGGCCGGCATCAAATCCGTGGCGCACCGATTTTCGTCCCTTCAGAAGAAGGAGAAGTCGAGGCGGTGGGCAAGCAGCAAACAGGGAGTGAGGCTAGGGTCAGCTACCCGCCCCCGCAGCCCATGTATTCGCCCACCCCTAGTGTCTGTGCTGATGTCCCTTTTCGCATCTCCTTGCTGGTCGGGTTGCTCCCCCTCCCCTCCCCCTCCACAAAACAACTAGACAATTCCACGCGCTTACGCGGTCGCGAAAAAATGAGGAGGCGTGGCAGCAGGCAAACACGCCTGGCCAAGCGGCTAGTCGGGCTTTGCCCGGCGTTTGCTTAAAAGCAAGTTCCTTTTCCTCCTCGCGCGTGCGGCGGCCCTGTTTTGCATATCCACATTTTCTCTCTGTCCCCCGTTTTCCTTTTCCTGTTATACCGCACACCTCTCGTTGCCCATTTGCAGCCAAGAGGTCCAACGTGCTGCATATCTCAGTTGTTCAACATCCGCTCGGAGAGAACACAGCATATTCCCCCTTCCTGCTGCTTGCCTTTTTCTCTATACGTGCCGCTTTGTAGGTGCTAACCACGGGCCACATCGTTTTTTGCAAAGGCCACTGGCTAGTACACCCATTTGGGCCCGAAGTGCCATTTGCTCGTCTATACTCCACTCGCTGTAGAATAGCGCACCTGACATAGCGCCGTACGGCCATTCAGCTTTGTTTGTTTGCGCTGAATCACTCCTTCCATCCTACCGCCAGCATTTTTGCCCTGGCCCTCGTAGAATACCAGTGGCTGCACACATATTAGGGCATTCCCCCTTTTGTCCTGTCTTGTGTTCTAGGTGCTGCCGTTACTCTGTGGCATCCAACATTTCGCCCTCCCCCTGTCGCAGGCTTAACAGGTTACCGGTATCCGATTTATCCCAGACTTCTTTTGCAGCTCCGGCTGGTCTGATCTTGCATACATCCCTCGGACTGTACGCTTTTTGCATTATTCCACGTCTTCCTGTGCACCAGGTGTCGGCAAAGCGTCCTCTGTGTTTGGTTGGATAATCTTTTCTCGACCGCGAAACTATCCGGCCTTTACCCTTCGGATTACCTAGCGTACCCCCTTTCGTTACCAGCTGCGCTATCCGCCCGGTTCTAAGTTCAGACATAAACCTCCGGCTTCCCGCACCGCGCCTTCACAGTTGTTTTCTTTATCCCCACTCATACATAGCCCTTGAAATTAGTTTGGCAGTTCTGGCCACCGGTATTAGCCCTGCTCATACCCACACCCCTATATCTTCCAGCTTCTTCTCCATATCTTTCTGCAGTAGCTTTCTTTTTGCGGGGCTGGCGATCTAGCTTTCTTTCTCCTTTCACACACTCGGCATCCCGCCTGTATCCCACTCTCGTCGCATACAAAATCTCTCCCACTCCACACTTTTCATATCGACGGCAATTAGCAGCTCGTTCTATTCTTTTTTCCCAGTTCCACGCAGTGTTCCTGCCCCCACTCACCCTCGTCAAGCACGCTGCAATTTTTATATTTACTGCCACTCCCAGCCTCCAAATTTGTCCTGGCAGCACTCCCCGCTGCTGCTTCTTGCCTATATTCCATCCTCCTTTTCCATCCTGTTTGGTCGTTGACCAGCATTTCCACCTACTCTTTCTTTGTCGTTATATACGCTTCGGATATAGTTCGGTTGACATTGCAATGGATTCGTTTCCACCACAGCTGGTGAACAGCTTGCTGTGGCAAACACCACAGCTGCAGCAGCATCTCCAGCCGCAGCCACAGCCCCCACAACCACATCAGCAGCAGCACCAGCAGCAACCAGCAGCACCAGCAGCCGCAAGCCTTCCATGGCTTTGGGAGCCAGCATCATCACAACCACCAGATGTCGCAGTACCCGCTGCAGCTTCAGCAACTGGCACAGATTGGCCAGCGACAAACTCACCTGACGCCAGCTTCCGACATCCAGCCTCCACAACTCTTCCCCCATGTTGACATTGGAGGCGGAGCGAGCTTGCCAATGAAGATCGACAACTCGGGCACCATCTCCTTTGCCTCCTTGTCTGCATCAATGACTGCTGGCCCGTTCGGTTCCGCGGCGGCGGCGCCTTTTCTCAGTGCCAACACGACCACTAGCCCATCGTTCATCCGATCAGCAGACCGCCACAGCCTCACCCGGTCTACGTGTGACAATACCGAAGGATCTCAATGGGCACAGTACTTCACACCAAGATCACATTTCCTCCGGCCTGGACAGCAGTACCTCGCCGGTGGATGCCGACGAGACCAGCAGCCAGTCCGGTGTTGCCACAGGTGAGGGCACTCATTCGCCAGAGCCCAGCGGCGATAGCTCAAGCAAGAAGCGTCACCGCCTTCGTCCCGATCAGACACGGCGTTTGCTCGAGGTGTTTGAGAAGACGACCAAGCCTGACTCGGAGATGCGCAAGGCACTGGGCAAGCAGCTTGACATGGCACCGCGCACAGTGCAGATCTGGTTCCAGAACCGCCGTGCCAAGCTCAAGCGCGAGAGCAACGCGTCGGACCCACTGAAGATGACCGGGTACTTTGGCTCTGGCATTTATGCCAACCGCGGCCGGCTTAGCTACAATCGGGCATACCTTGACCGTCGCCATATGGGAGGTCGCAATGTCTCTGAAGGATTTGACCACTTCCGCAGCGCACATGGATTTGAGCCTTACCCGCCCCAGGAGCCCTTCCGCGGCCTACCGCTCCAGAATCCGTCGCAGATGGCCACCAGCAACAGCACTACCGACATGTCCCCTCACTTCACGCTCCAGTCGATACCTGGTGGTCCGCCGGTTTTCAACCAGAGTGCCATGGGTATCCCCGCTGGCCAGGGCCCTAACGGCGCTGCTTCTACCCACCTGCTGTCGGGAGCCATGGCTGCATCTGTAATGCCGCACCATGCCTCGGCTCATGCTGCTACCACAGGCTACAAGGACCACACAAGCCCGCAATTGAACACGGCCCAGAACCAGGTATGTGTCCAGCCGGTGGCTCTGCAGCTGCAGTCAGCCAACCAAGACGGCTCTACACGTGGCCGCCAGGCACAACCCCACACCTCTGTCGATGGCAACATGGCTTGCGACGATTATATTGCCAGCATGGCCTTTGGTACTCAGCGCTCCCCGCAACAGCAGAAGCAGCAGCAGCCGATACCACACTCGCGTCAAACACATGGCTTCTCCGCATCAGCTGTCCCTTCCGCCGAGGTCCTTCTCCAGTCCCGCCGTCGCCACTTGCAAGACCTGATGATCATCAACCAAACCCATGCTGCTCGTGGCATCAACCCAGCTGCTCTTCCAACATCTGGCTCTGACATTGGCGACGGCGGTATGGGTAAGCCATTGCTATTTTCTGAGCTTACCCAGGCATCGCCGCTGGTATTGGCTGCCACCGAACCTGCATCGCTGAGTATGCCTCCTCCGCCGCTAATCACCGCCTCTTCATTTGTCGATGCGACTACTATGCCCCATGCTTTGGCGTCTGCTGCCGCAGATGTTGCGGCAACTCCCGCGCCGTCGTCACAACTGGCTACACTCCATCAGCCGGCCACTCTTGACAACGCTTCGAGCGCCGCCAATATGCACGGCACCCTGGGCTCGAATACCAGTAATGGACGATGGCGTCATGATGGCTACTGCTTCGCTGGATAGTCTTGTTGCTGGCAACGCAATGGTCGGTATTGGAGATGCCGGCCAAGGCGGCGGAGACGCCAATGCCCTTATTTCTGGCTCTTCACTGACAGGATTGACAGCTGGCATCACCTCTGTCGCTCAGACGCCATCGCTCGCCTCGGCAGCCTCTGCTCCTACACCCCACCCGGCTGGACCACTGCTTTCACCCAATTGTCCGGGCTCGGACACAGCAAGTCCTGGCCAATACCAGATCCTCAATGACCTGCTCCTTCAGTGCAACGCCTTCGACTTTCTGAACAACGCCGGGTTCGGCAGCAGCGATATGCAGAATAGCGTCAATGGCACTAGTATGGCAGCCGGCATTGTCCAGTTTGGGCAGCAGCAGATCCAGCAATCGTCAGATGAGCTCTCGCCATGCGCCAGCAGCGCGCCAGCGGTCCCTTCCGCATCTGGAGCCGAGTCTGCAGCTCGCGCCAGCTTTGACAATGGGTTTGGTGATATCTCGATCGCTTCAGCAGAGTCGCTGTTCTCAGATACATCGGCTCTTGCGAGTGCTGTTGCTGCTGCGTATATGCACAACGAAGATGCGCCCTTGTCGTCAGCATGCAGCACATCGGGTCCGCCAACGGATTTGTCAGTTACCCCGCCCTGCACCCATGTAAAGTGTGATGGCGCTGCTGCCACCGTACCTTCGTCTGCTGAAGACTCGTTCACCGTTGGTTCCATATCCTCGTCTTGTGCGATGGATACCCCGCTAGCTGCCGTCTTGTCTCAGAAGCAGAGTTCCAACCACCTGCCTGCTGCACAGTGCTGCCCAGACAGGCCTTGGGCCCGGCAGCATGCCAAAGATGGGGTCGAATAGCTCTGTCGCCGTGGTAACCAGCAAGCGCCTCATTCTGCAACGAGACCCCCTGATTGAGCAGATATACACCGAGAACCTACAGTTCTGAGAAGACAGCACCGCTACATCTCGTTATCCACACACACCCCTGTTAGCGTTTGCTCCCTGTAAAATAATGTTCAATTAAATTCCACTTTACTCCTCGCTATCCTATAAAAATAACCCTTTACCAACACTGGTCTTTAGCGACGCCGTGCCAGCTTGGGCTTGTGCATACACGGAGTTAGGGCAGTCCGCTTGTCCGTGTCCGTGTCCTGCATTGCTGATGTCGATCACTTGCGTAGGAGAACAGTAGTATTTTTTTGCTAGCAGGGGTATCACCCGCCCCACGGTTATCGATACCCATCGGCCGGGTGGAATTCCGTGGACCAGATGGCCTAGCTCAACCGCCGTCTTACTGACCACAACCTCCAGTGCTTGGTGCCGTGCCGACAACTTGTTTTCTGGGATAGCGCGGATGTCTGTTGACCGAGTGGGTGACGGGAGTTGGCTTTTAAACCACGTACGGTGCTATCGAGACACCACCCCGCTACCTATACCGAGCTTTAGTGTATTTTGTCCGATCGATGGTCAGATATCGAATATGTGAGGGCAAGGGAGTGTCGCAGCTGTTGCGCCAAGCACCGAGGGGCGCTACACATCCTTGTTTTGTTATGCCGACGAGAGATAAAAAGGTAGATATTGCAAATACCCGAAAGCGGCAAGCGCGTGCGACCCTGGCCTCGGCGGATAGTTAGGCCAAATACTACCCCAGATCAGGCATCTGCATGCCAGCTTGTCCCAGCCCAACAGGAAAGAATCGAACACCGTGTCAAAACAGATTGCAGATCGGGGAATTAACTCCCCTGACTTTCGGGCTGGGCTCAAGCGATATGCGTTCCTCTGCGACTTACACATCGTCTAAAAATAGACCATGACCAAGGACACGGGGATAGGCTTCAAGGAGACTATATCGCCATGGTGCGATCGTTGATTTCCTCAACAAAATTTCGTGGATGTGCCAATAAGAGCCCTACTGCACCACTTGCCGCAGCTTGGCTGTGTTCCTGCCCATTTGGTGGAACAGTTAGACGAAGCCAAGGTGGCAGCAAATAGATAGCCAGCCTCCACGTGAATAATGCTGATGCAAATCCTGCTCGGGCAGATCCAGCGCTGCACTTTGGCTGCAAAGCTGATGACAGTGGTGTGATGCAGTGAAAGTAGCTGCCACGGGTTACAGAAACTTGGCAAACAATAATCATGTCTCTGCCATTTGCGGCCCTCAGCATCGCCTCCGTGGCATAGCTTTAACAAAACGAAAGGCACGCATCCAATAACGTGTATGATCTAAGGTGGTTTCACCAAGGAATGTGATCAGCCTCCGTCTCCGCTGGCAGTGTATTCTCGGGAATCACTGGGACGAACCAGAACAGGACAGATTGGCGCTCTCCGGCGGCTATGTCGATGTTCCGCTCAGCTTCAGATGGGGGTACACGCGCTAGCTCGTATTGCAGCTATTTGTCAGCTTGTCAGCATGTTTAATGGCCGAACTCAGAGAAGATGTATACATTAAATTATTTCGACAGCTAAAAAATTCTGCCAGTGTTGGGTTTCATTTCTTCGCCAATATCTCGATTGTCGCACAGACCTCCATGGGGCTTGCTCAAGAAAATGTGCTGGCTCAGAGATCCCACATGAAAGGCTGTGGATGGAGAAAACAAAGTGCAGCGTACCAATGGTTCCGGAAAGGAAATACACCCGAGCATCTTGCCGATATCTTCTTGCACACTGCTTTGGTCGTCTCAGGGTATCGGAATGAGCTGGCGCTGGCAGAAAGCGCCTGCATCCAATCGCCAATCTCCCTATGTCTGGCACAGTGCCTGGATGTTTTTGGGATGCTAGAAACGTCCTCAGCGATTACCATATTCAGCGAGTTATTTTAGCCATTGCTTTGGGAGCGTAAAAGGGTTGGTTGATCCACACTGTTAGGTCAGCAAATCGGCTCTGGGTGATGGGATGCCTGGAGTGCAATTTTGGACCCGGGCGCCTACACCTCTCCTTGTCAGTATTGGCATGCGGCGGAGATAATGGTGCAAACACGCACTCGGATGGCCGAAAAGCACATTGCGGGAACAGGGGGCGGAGAAGTGAACCAGTGAACCGGCACTGAGCATGCTGCAGTCCTTACTAGGCGTGCATCGTCTAGACGCGCAGCGGATTATCAAACCATATGCTCGGCAAACAAGATTGGTTCCCTGCTGGCCCATGGGTGCGAACCGCCAAGAGGGCAGCTGCACCTGTTGGCTGAGGCATGGCTGATGGCACTCGTGTGTGTGTGCGCGTGTCTCGGAACTGAGCAAACAGACGGATTTTCCATCTCGGCATCACTTCATGTTTAGTCAGTCAATCCCCCATGCTTGCAGTATCCTTGTTTGTATGGCTGGTGGTATCTCGGGTTCCTTGGTCAGAAGGGTGTTTACCGCAGGAAAAAAGCGAGTCTGTTTGAATCATGCAAAGCGCGTTGGCCTCCCATTGTTGGCCCTTGTTTGCGCAATTGTAGTATATACATGCGAATAGTGGAAACAAACGAGATTCTATTTAACAAAAAGCAATAAAATAATAATTCTGTGAGTGCGAGGGGATGTGAGAGTGTAGGGGGGTATGATGAAATGAAACGTGCGCGGTGGGATTTTTTTAGTTGCCCGTTGCTGCCGTGTAGACGTAGCTGCCGGGATTCAGGAACTGCTTTTGGCCAAAGACACTGGACGGATGAGTAGCCTCGACAACGCCTGCCTTCATGCCCTTGTGTCGGTCGGATGTTGTGAATGGGTGGTACCCGAACAGGCTGTTGGCTGGAGTAGAGTCGCTGAAGCCGGATTCGGCGGAGCTCAATGACATCGAATCTGCACCATGGCACATGGTTGCTGCCGGAGATGGCTGCTGCGCCACTGCCGGCGAGATCCTGGCGGCTTGCATCTGCATGGGCTGCTGCTGTTGGTAGGCAGCAGGTTGGGGGACGGCCCTGGGCCGAGCCTGCTGCTGCTGCTTAACAGAATTGGCTGCAGGTGCATGCGGGACATGCCGTGTGGCCAGAGAGGACTTGTTTACGAAGCGGTGGCAGTTCTGGACCAGCTGGCGAAGCTCCTGGAGCGAGCAGCGCTTGGTTGGATCGACCTCAAGGGTGCGGTGGATGATGTGCTGGAACTCGGGCGTGGCATGGATGGCATTGCACAGGAAGTACTTGTCGGTGAGGTACCTGTGGAAGAGCGGGTCCGAGACGTGGGCTTTGTTCCAGGGATTGCGGCCGGTTGCCAGGTTGATCAGGATGACACCAAGCGCCCACACGTCGTTCGGGGCGGCTGCGTACTGCTGCACGTTGCCGTTGATCCCACCTTGGCACTCTGGACTCATGTAGTACGCCGAGCCGCAGCCGATCTCGCGGCACCAGGGCTGATCGGTAGACAGGCCAAAGTCAATGATCTTGACGTTGAGGCCATCGCGCGTCACCAGGACGTTCTCGGGCTTGATGTCGCGGTGGTAGATGCCGTTGTTGTGGCAGTGCTCAATGGCCGATACCAGCTGCAGAAAGAGCCGGCGGATCAGTGCATCGTTTCCAGGCAAGTGGAAGTACGGGTTGTTGGAGATATTCTCATACAGGTCGCCGCCGGCGCAGTGCTCCATGACCATAAACAGCTGGTCGTGTGTGTGCAGCATGCGCTTCAGCTGGATGATGTTGCTGTGCGGCGGGATGCGTGAGTACAGTGCCACCTCGCGACACAATAACCGCGCATCGACGTAGGGCTTGTCTGTGGGCATCGGGCTGGACCGGGCAGGAGGGGACTTGCGCGGCAGGACCTTGACTGCATAGACTTCGCCAGTGTTCCTGTCAGCTGTGTGGTACACCTCCCCGTAAGTGCCGACGCCTACCAGCTTGGTGAACTGCAAGTTGCCATTGTCGATCGAGTGTCCGACCATGGCCCCCGCCGGTGCCTTGCTTTCGGGGATTTGGCTGTGAGGCATGTTTGATGTGGGCAAAAAAACAGTAGAATAGGGGAAATACAGGTGTGGAGGGAGTAGACGCAAGGGTGTATGTGTACAATAAGGGAGGAGGGAGGAGGGAGGAGTTGGGCTCAAGTGGTGAGAGAGGGTTGCCAGCCGTTATATAAATGGTCTCAAATAGGCGTGCTGCAGATTGATACAGAGTTTATAAATACGATTATTGAAAATGGAAAATGTGTATACAGAAAGACAGGTTGAGAGGGAAGGGAAAGGAGAGCGCCTTTGCCGGCCGTATTTATAATAGCGCCGGCATCTTGCAGGGCAACAATCAATCAAGACCAGCAAATATCTTGGAAAACAGCTGTAAATGAGATAAACTGTGGAGCAAACAAGCGACGCCCGGGACGGGGGTGGGTAGCCAACCCGCGCGGGACCCGATCTCCTGCTGCCCACAAATATTCACTGATTGCCAAACGCCTGTTGTCTTTCTTTAGAGGACAAAGGGGGTGGGCAGGGGACGGGTTACAGAGTCTTCTCTATCTCCCAAACAGCATGCGCCCACTCGACCGCCCAGTCTATCTCAATTCCACCGACGCAGTCCGGACGGGCTCGCGGAGGAAATTTTTCCAAGGCTTTGGTGCTGGACGGAGAGACGGGCTCAAAGCAGGCGTTTCTGCACTACTGTGCTGAGGCACAACGGCCAACCACCGGACTGCTGCTGCTGCCACCAGGCAGGCAATCGCCTGGTTTGCGTCTCCGCTGCCTTGGGGCAGACGATGCTTCCTCCAACATTTTCTGTGTGGCTGTCTCCCTGAGCATTGAGCAAGTATACTCTACTCCGGGGTCCGTAGAACTCCCGGCGGCTTCTGTTGTACGCCGTTGCCATTGAGATGCGGTGTGTACTCCCTGGCACGCAGCTCCAGAGTGGCGGACTATCTTTGGCTGTGCACCTTTGTGGGCTGTATTTGCGAGGCTGCAGAAAGGTGCTACAGTTTATCACAACGCGGGTTAAAGTGCCATCTCCTCTGCCTCTCTGCGCTCTTGCTCTTGCACAACCATTGTTCCCCTTTGGCCAACACCGTAATCCAGCCTCAGTTCCTTCAATATTTTTTCGCCGTTAAAGATACGGACTGGTTTTGTCCCACTGATCAGAAGAGATCATTATTTGTGCTCGAGCGTCATTGGCCTTCCTTGCCGGTTCGTGCGACGCACGCCACAGTAACGAAGCGAATACATTCTTATAGCCCTGTGGTCCACGCAAGCTGACGCCCCGCACACATGCAACCAGCACACACGCAGCCCAGCAGGATCGCACAAGGTTAAACCAAGCAGGATGGGGTGAAACGCCGCAGGTGTACAGCCACCGCCTTCTCTTTCTGCATCCAACCACGGCATGTACTGAAACCACCCCTGCAGCCAGTGGCCAAATAAGGGAGACCGCACAGACACGCCATATACTGGTGGCTATTTTCGTCACCATATCTAAGGGTTCTTTGACATGCAAGTACAGTGACATTAGAGCTCTGCTGTACAGCAAGTGTGGTGTGCTTTTTATGCCAGGTGTCAGATATTGGACAGAAGCGGGCTACCTTTGTTTGCTGATAGCAATGGCCAGTTTCGCCCAGATCCGACTACTTCCCGCCATACCCATGGGCTACACCAGTGTAAATGCCAGGTCTAGCCTGGTGCTGACGGGACCTAAATTGCACATGATGATTCTTGCACTCCAAATCAAAGCACATGTTCACAGTGGCAATAGTCCGTCCGTTGTGAGCTTCTCTGCTGAGCTTGAAGGGTGACTCGAAATATGAGACGATTTTACACTGCACCTATGATAGCGTTCGTGTGTGGTGTGCACGTAGCACATGGGGTACCCCCTAGTTGCCGGATTGGTTAGCAGTGGTTTGAGCTGACGACTCAGATCGTCCTTGCGTGACTTTTAATGTCCTCAGGAAAATGTACCTTGATGGACATCACGCCATTTGCTCTTTGTGATATCAACATGGACACCAAGGGTTCCAAAGAAGTTTTGACTGGCATTGCTGAATTTCGAGGAAAGGAAACCTTGCGATCCATTAGAAAAAGAACCTGCTTCAAGGGAAGTGGGCGGTCACACTGTTCGTCTGTTTCGTACTTGTGCGACATCCCTCTGCCATTATACACAGCTGTTGGATATCAGTAATCTGAGTGTATATAACCGCCTATCACAAAACCGCAGTGTGAGCTGGCACTGGAATTCAACAGTGTTGTGACATCAAACACTCAGTGAGCTCACCATCCACCTTTTCCCAGCAAACATGCTCATTCTCGGTAGAAAGCTTGCCCCCCAGAGTATGTCGAGGGATGGGCTTGGCTGTAGGGAGAAGTGGGTGGCTGTACACATATACCCTCTATCTGGTGACTGCACTTTTTTAGTGCCCAATCGCAGACATTGACCTAAAGGCAATGGCAGTCCACGCTCGGCCAGATGGGCTTTGTTTGCCTCGGACTGGCGGCATATACAGGTCGCCGGCAGTTGTATGTCGGCGAACGGAAAAGAGGGGGCGATTCGGACACCAGAATTCATTCCGAGAACGGCTACCTACAGATGACTTACTGCGAATGCCGCTGCTGCGCCATGCATGGTGCGCAATGAAATGGATACTAAACGCATTTAGCGCATGTATTTAGATATAATGATTACTGCCCACACCATATTGCGCGCCAACCAACCACTACTCCGACATGTAGCACTAATTGCTCTTCCTCCTTTCCGAGCCCCCTCTCTTCACCACCCATCTCTCCATGGGTAAACTATTTCGAATAAATTCCGAGTGCTCTTGTTCATATAAAGTGCAACAGTCCCTGTCACATCCCCTCCCCTGGTACTCCAAACACAGCACCAATCCAGGCTATTTTGTTCAACCTAAAGCTTACACAATTATCATGAGACTTTTACCTTCACTGTTAATATTTATCCTGGTAGCTCTGGCTACGAATAGCCTGGCAAGTGCCGAAGTAAACCCGCTGGACCATGTCGAGGTCGAGCGTGTCAGACGGCTAGCTAATGCATTGAAGGTGTCACAGAACGGCACGGAAGACATGCTGCGGGCAGCGGGTGACGCCAAGCGCGAATTCCCGCATCTGCTGCGGCTAGTGGACGATGTCCTCGCAAACACTATGGTCAAGCGCGTGGTCGACCCAATTGTTGATCGGGTACTGCCCACCATGTCGAATGTTATTAGCCCAGAGCGCCTATACCGGTTCGCAGACAATGCGGTAAACGCTGGGTTCGAGGTCACAGACGGAGTACTGCGTGCTATTTTTGGCAGCGAGTCTGGTCTTGGCGATATCCTCACCCGACCCCGACCGAAAAAGCCCGCAATGGCCGTCCCTGTGTCGTCTGTACTCTCCCACATGGAGACGCTGCTATGAGGTTTCCGTGCACCTGCCCGCCTGTTCTGCAACAAACACTAGCCTACCAAGTTTTCCTCACGCTCAGACCTTCACACACATCGCAAATCTCACACACGTACATTGTCGCCGTTATCATAACACCATGGGCAAGCCAGTTTCTGGCTACGTCGACAGAGAAACAATACCGCACTCACTTTCATCGATTTCCTCCGCCCGTACACACCTGTCCTCATCACTGTCCCTTACCCCGCCCTCGCAAAGTATTCTCTCCAACCACTGAAATAAATTTTCTGAATATCTTCTCACTGGTCGTTGCCAATGTTAATTTACCATGCGCATTTCTTCGCCGTAGACGTCCAGTAAACCTAATAGCATTACAATTATTAAGATCTCAACCCCTCCTTCCGCTGCCTCGCAGCCTGTTGTGCGTATCGCACCGCCAATAGGTGAAGAGGTAGCTCGATAGGCATACTGCTACCATCTAGGAATCATGCCATGCATTTCCCGGTGTGCACTCCACTATCAGCCGCACATGCCTTATTTGATTGCCCTAGTATGTTGTTGGGTGGTGCGGATAGATACCAAGCACCCTCTACTGGACCACTGTGTGGTGTCCACTTATCTGTGTCCCAGTCATGACCTTGGTCTGTGTCCACATTTATTATCTATTGATCCAACCCAACTTTCTGGAAAGTATATACCGACTGAGGAAAGATGTGCAAAGCGCTCTATAGTTGTCTCCTTATTTTCAGCAAGTCTGTGTACGCTGGCTTTGATGCCAAATCAACCTTACATGTGCTTTCTCTGGGTGTCAAGAAAAGCAAGGAGAATGGCAAGATGTGAGGATGCGCCGCTCTAAGCCGCTCCGTCTAACAACACTGCATATGCAGTCATTATTGCCGCTTGGCTGGCGGGATGTTGTCCACTCCATGCAAATATATTACCCGGACGAGGCTGAAATATGCCATGCACACATAAGCTGTCCCAGCCCGAGAAGTAATAGTGGGCGTATGTGTTGCCGACACCCGGCGCCTGGCATCCCCTCCTTCATTCGGCACCATTTGTCAATCAATATACTCTCTACCTCTGCAGCCCTCGGCATTTTCTACATCCACAGTCGATAGCAATACCTTGCTCCATCTACAGGGTCGGCCAAACAAGCATACGCCAAATGGCAAGAGTAAAAAGTGTACCTATACATCTGCGCACTGCTAGCCACAGGCACATATGGTAATACTGGTGCGGCGTCAGCAATTCCCGGGCTCTCACCTGAATTGTCTCCAGAAACACTATTTCTCAGCACGCCTGCCCTTAGTACCAATCCCTTGGCCACAGCCACGCCGGCCAGCATCCAGCCATGCCTGGCGTGTATGCTCCAGTCGTACATGTCCAGCGAGATGGTACACGGCCGCCTCCAGCACGCTTCGTTTGTATTCAATCAAGACATCGAAGACACATTCATGTCGATAGTCCGCGACGAGGCGGCTCAGGGATCAGTTGATTACGAAGATGCGCTCAGCGGCGTGGTCAATGCCTTCCAGGAGGGCATTGAGCGGCGGCGCAATGACAGGCAAGGGGCAAAACGCGCCCGCGAGCTGCTCAACACGCTGTTTGGCTCGGGCACTGACCGCGGGATATTGGGAAAAACATTCGACAATATGCGCGAATTAGTGAAGGTTATCATGGTCGGTCTAGCTGACAGTCAGTCAAGGGCGGCAGAAGAGTCTTCCAAAAGCGCCACACCGGCTCCGGCCCCGCCCCCTCCAAAGGAAGACCAAGACCCACCGCCAGGACCAAAGAAATCAAAGAAGCCGCCTCCACCCAAGAGTGACGACGACGACGATGGTGATACGGGCGATGACGATGATGACCGGGACGGCGAAAATGCGAAGAAACAAAAGAAAGCTTCTTCGCCAAGGCCAGCCACTGCACCCAATCATGCCAGCGGGAACAAAGGCGGTGGCAACACCGGCAGCAAGAATCCACCAAACAACCAGTGGAGCCAAGGAAACCCGAGCCCGAACAAAGGGAATCCGGGCAGCGGCAATGGGCCAAAGGGGAGCCAGAACGGCAATGGTAGCCGAGGCAACAAAGACGACGAGTTCGACGACTTTGACGACTTTGACGACGACGGCAGCGACAAGGGCGGCAGACACGGCAGCGAGGAATGGCACAACGCGTAAATGCCCAGCTTCAGATTCTGGATATAGTGGCTACTTCTTTTTTGCTATTGTTAAAGACAAGTTTATGACTCTAGACCAGCCCCTGCTCACTTCGGCACAGTGCCGACGCCGGGCTGGGCCATCAGGCGCGGCGACATGGTGACAATGACTGGGTCTTTGAAGAACTGGTTCGCCCTCTCCGACACACGTTCCTTGGACACTGGCTCTGCAAACAGCCGGGATGGGGTGTCCTGCAGTTTGCCCATCCGCCGTAGCGACTCGACCATCTGGCTGCCGCTCTTTTCATTCATCACCGCCCGCTGCTGCAGCGGCTGTGGCAGCGGCGGCGGGAGCCCCAATGCCGAGTCGCTGCTGGCATGCAGCCCTTTAACACCGTTCAATAGCGACAGACGCGGCGCACGGACTGTGCCCGCCATACCATCCTTGCTCTTCAAAATAAAGCCGCTGCTCCACCGCCGTTGGGGTAGGGCCGATCTAGCCTGTTCGATCGCAGCATGCAGCTTGCCTGCAAACACAACTGTGTCCTGCTGGGTCGACTCGTTGTCGTCATCGTCATCGTCACCGTTCCCCGCATCACTGTCATCGCCATCTTTATCGCTGCAGCTGGAGCTATCCAGCACCTCGCTCTCGCTGCTGCTCGAAGATGCAAACAAGCGCTGGGACTTGAGGCTGCTGTGTATGCGGGACCCAACGTCTGGAATCAGACCTGGGCTGCGGTTCAGATCCAACCGGTCCATAACCACCGCTGCATCCTCAAACTCCTCGTCTTGCAGCAGATCGTCGCCGATGTCTTGTTCCTCCTGTGAAATAACACTGGCGGCATCGGCGTGGTCCAAAAATTCAAACTCGTCGTAGTACCCACGCGACGACCGGCCACTCTCATTCACCACGATCCGATTCTCCTTGTCGTCATGGTTTTCGCCGTCGGGACTACTAGTGATCCTACCCCAGCCACCAGAGCCAAAGCTTGCACGGCCATGGAATGGATAGTGCGGCCCAGTACTCGGGCTACCTGGCTGTGAGTAGTTGGAGTTCAGCAACAGCTGATCGGGCTCGCCGATGCTGACAACCGTGTGCGACGGGTGGTCGTCCACAGCACCAAACCCAGGGTCATAGTCGTCGTAGAGATCTCCCAAATTGCTGTCTTCGTTGAAGCGACTGAGGGATGATGCAGACCTAGATGGCTGAGTCAGCGGCGCGGACGATTCAGAATCGGCACTGAATCCAGCGCTGCTGGCAACCGATCCAGGCCGCGATGACATGGGCGAGGGGCTGTCAGGGCCAATGCTGGGGCCAGACTCCAACGAAACAGGCAGCCTAGGATGGCGCTGCTGGGTGGTCGATCCGGGCGTCGATGGTACAGTGAGCGGTGAAAAGTTGCTAGTCAGCCGGATGCTGGCAGCCCTCTTCATTGCCGGCGATGGCATCAGGCCGATGCTGCTGTTGTTGCTGCTACCGCTGCGATTGCTCATTTTTGTCAAACCAAATGCCTGCATAGATTCGCTGCCTGACCGAGCATCGCGGTACGATGCCAGGTCGATTGAGGACGAGTCATGGGACGGCCCGCCGGTGCTGCCCCCGCTGGCTGATTGGGGCAGCGGACCACCTATGCCAGCAGATCCATAGGAGGCGCCAAACTGCCGCTGCACATTGTGAAGTGCCGAGTAGGCAGCCGATACTGGTGGCACTGGCGGGTTGGTGTCCATAAACGATGTTCCACCGATGCGGGAACCATGACCCAGTGACCCATGTGCCGAAGAGAACTCGGAGTAGTCTGACCGACCGCTGGTACCAGTTGCTGCACTCCTAGCACTGCCAGTGTTGGATATCAGCGTGTCCAGGCGGCCCTGGCCAACGACAGGCAGCGGCACTAGATCACTATCATCAAAGTCGTCAGAGGCAGAGAGGTCATCGTTGAGCGCAATGCGGTTCAGCTGGCGCTGCTGGGCCAACCGCTGCAGATGGCGCTCGCGTGCGCGAAACTGGCTCTCTGACATGGGTTCGGCGCCAGCAGCCCCGTACAAGCTCGCAATCCCGCTGCTGCCATCTTGCCGCCTGGATAAGCGCGAATGGCTGCCGGCTGCCCACTCGCTGCCGCTGTCAGACAAGACATTACCGATACTGTTGCTGCCACTGTAGGCAGCGTGTGCACGACCCGGCGCAACCCCCGAATCGCCATCGGCGGCGAGCGATCCAGTTGAGTGGGCAGCGCTCGGGTCAACGCCTAAAAAATGGCTCTGCTGCTGAAAAGTGGCAGTTGATGACGAGAGCGACGATACATCGCTGTTGTTTTGCACGTAGTCAACCTGCGGATACTCGTTTGCGTATTGCTGCTGCTGCTGCTGCTGCGACGCACGAGCTGCTGCATTCCGAATGTGCGCAAGCCCCGACGGGTAGCCTATCGTGGTTGCTCGTAGCCGCCGATTTCCATTACGCCCAGCTGTTTGGGACTCAGCACTCGTGGTCTGCTGTTGGGTGCAATTTGTACTGTTCCACTGCGTTGGAGTCACAAAATTGCTGTTGGCAGGAAACGACCCAGGGATGGTAACGTGCTCATCTGCTGTAGCCAGGGAGCCCTGGACAGGCTGCTGCTGCTGCTGCTGCTGCTGTTGTTGTTGTGCTACACTGTAGTTGCTGTTGTTGTAGAGCGGGAGCCCATGGCCAGAGTGTGTGGCTGCATTCCCGCCCTGCATTGCATACTGCCCGTTGTTCACGCCGCCATACTGCTGTTGCTGCTGGAACTGGCCCAGCTGCTGGTTCTGCTGAAGGCCACCAAAGGGGTTCGACGATCCATCTGACCCAGACTGGCCTGACCCATAGTGGAAGTGATGGTTTTGGTGATACTGTGGCGGCGAGGCGCTGGGCACTATTGGCTTGCCCGTGATGAACGGGTGCTTGATAGCTTCGGCAGGGGTCCACCGTCTATCGGGATCTAGCTGCAGCAGGCCACGCAAAAAGTCAATCAGCGCGACACGCGACTGGTACTCACGCACCCGGTCCGGGTCAGACAGCGGGCGGCGTATCGGGTACGTGGTGATCAGCTCCTCCATCGTTGTCGCGTTAAAAGTAGCGCTTCGACGGCTTCTCGTCGACCTTGCGCTCATGCGAGTACTGCTCAAGCGGCTTGAGCTCCCACGTGCTAGGCCCAACGTAGTTGAAGAACTCGTCGGTGCGCCGCGCCTTCTCAAGCATGTTGGTTGGCGGCACGCCCAGCAAATCGACGATTCGCGTCAGCTGATTGTACTCGGACGAGCCCGGGAACAGCGGCAGACCGAGGAACAGCTCGGCCACGATGCATCCAAGAGACCACATGTCGATCTTGGACGAGTACGGCAAGCCAAGCAGAATCTCGGGCGACCGATAGAAGCGCGATTGGATGTATGTGAACGTGGTCTGCCACTCAAAGCAAGCCGAGCCAAAGTCGATGATTTTGACCACGGGCTTCTCCATGCCCTCAAGCAGGATGTTCTCTGGCTTTAGATCTGCGTGGATGACCTGCGCCTCGTTCAAGACAATCATTGCATCAAGCATCTGCTGCACCAGCACGCGCACCAGGTTGGTCGAAAGGCCGTGGAACTGGTTCTGCCGCAGCAGATCGTACAGGTTGATGGACAGCAGCTCGTTCACAAACACCAGGTGGTTCCGGAACACAAACCAATCCTTGAGCCGCAGGATGTGGTGCTTGTCCTCGCGGTCGTGCTTGTTGTTGAGAAGATTGAGCATCTGCACCTCCATCATGCTCTGGTTGTAGTACGCAGTCTTGTTCTTGATGATCTTGACCGCAGACATATCGCCAGTCTTTAGGTTCTGACACTTGACGACCTGTCCAAATGTACCGCTACCCAGCATTTCGATGATCAGGTACTGCTTTCCCTCCTGGTCGCCAATGACGTCGTTGACATACAGGATGTAGTCCGAGTTTTCGTTGTCGAATCCATCGTTCTTGACACCTTCCGACGGCTTGGTCAGCACACGCCGCGGCCGACGAGCGCTCTCGTACCGGAAGTCTGGGCGACACTTGCGGTACGTATCAACAATGTCAACCGTCAGCTTAAGCAGTGGATTGAAGTTCTGGTAGCGGGCCAGCTCTTGCTCCTGGGCCCGCTTCAGATCGCGTCGCTGCTGCTCGATCGTCATCTGCAAGTGCTCCTGCTGCAGGCGCTGTAGGTACTCGGCTTGTAGCTGGGCATTAATTTGCGCCTGCAGCTGCATCTGTGCTTGAGCCTGGGCCTGTAGCTGAGCCTGAGCTTGAGCTTGGGCCTGAGCTTGAGCCTGCGCCTGAGCCTGCGCCTGAGCTTGAGTATCAGGCTGAGTTTGCGAGGTAGCATAAGGTGATGGGATAGCCTGTGGTTCTGAACGCACCTGGATCATGGGCTGCACATAGCTGTGCATGTTTGAATCCGCCACATTGGCCTCTGTGGTCGGTAAGGCATACGGCTGTGACATGGACATCTGGCCTTGCAACGCGGCGTATACATTCGACTGCTCAGCTGACAATATATGTTGGTCCTGCTGCTGCTGCTGCTGCGCAATAGGGGCATCCTCTATGCTGCGGTTGCTAGCCCGCGAGTTGGCGCTAGGCGACGACAAGGGCATCGCGTTGCGCGACACAGTTAGGCGTGCAGCCGGATCGTTGACGCCACTGCTGCGCTGGCGGTTGTGGCGCGTCTGGGTTAGCCGACGCCGCCGACGCTGTAGGTACTCTTGCGAGTGCGCAGTCAGTGCATCCATGTTCGAGGTTACTGGGCCGCGCATCGCCTGGCTGACCTCGGCCATTGGCAGCAACGAGTTGCTATCCACCGTCGGCGAATGCAGCCCAGCCGACTGGAGCTCGGTGGGTGAGTTGACCATGTAGTAGTCATTGAGAACATTGGCCACAGGCCGGTTATGTGCGCTCTCTGTCGACACGGCCAACTGGTGCTGCTCCTCCCCCATCTGAGCACTCGAGGCGTTTATATGCAAACCCGGCAGATCATGCTGCTGTTGCTCGGACATTGAGTGCGGGCTGTGGTGAGATGCATCATCCTGGTAGCTGCCAGTAGCCAGCTGGATGGTCGGTGATGCCTGATTGATGAGGTGCACGCTGCCATTCGCACCCGCGCTGCCAATACTGTCAGTACTGCCAAGGCTGTTTCCGCTGGCGTAGTACTGGTGTGTCTGGTGCACGGCAGACGACGCTACAGGGGTGAGCTGCGGCGACGCCTGGGGCCAAGGCACCGTGATCGACTTGCGGGTACCCGTCGCGCCCGACCGGGGAGTGGTAGCAAGCAGGTACTTCTGCTGCTGCTGCTGCTCGAGCGAATGGGTGGATCCACTGGCCGCCTGCTGTACCGTCCCGCCAATGGCTTCGATCTGGCTGATCTCAGATCGTAGTGGCGAGCCTTTGGATGTCGGGTTCCAGCGCATGTGTGGCATTGAGTTGATGGTATTGGCATAGGCGCCACGGTGCGCATCGTCGCTGCCAGCTGCTGCGCTCGAAGGATTAGACTGGTGAGCTCCAGGCATTTGAGCACTGCTGTGTGCGGCATTTGCGCCGCTAGACTCCGAGCCTGGGCTGATGCTAATCACTGATCCGCTTGCGTGTGCCCCAGCAGGCGTCTCCGAGTTGCGTCCGCTGCTCAGCGACGACATGTGGCTGATTGGGCGGTATTGCAGGCTCAGTGACGCCGCTGTGGCGACCGGCATGTCCCCATTAGAGCTGTACTGCTCCGGAGCTGCTGTGTACGCTGCGGTTGCTGGACGATACTCCATCTCTGGATAATGCCGTGAAGCCGAGCCAGGCGATACTGCAGCGCCCGGAGTAGAGCTGGCGTTTGGTGTCTGCTGCAGATTTTGCTGCGCAGCTCCTGCATAGTTTGCAGGGTCAACATCTGAGCCCAAAGACCCGCTCAGTGACATCTGCGACAAGTCCTGCTCACCTACCCGCCTGTGCTCACCATAAATAGTCTGCTCTGCACCCGATGCGCTGCCATCATCTGCCACTCCGTCGCCTGAGTGCATAGCTTGCCGTAAACTGGGTGGCAGTACAGGCGTCTGCCCCGGCGATGATCCGGATGAGTACGCACCGTGCATGGGTGAGTCAGCATAGTCGTATGTGTGGTGCGGCCGCCGACGGCTACGGCCACGCGCAATATATGGCGAGTGAGCACCCTGCATGTATGCAGATAGACCGGCTGAAGCCGGGCCGGCCGGCGGCAGCCCCGGCTGCGACACCGGGTACGCTTGCTGTGCAGTCAGCAGCTGGTCGGCTGCCTGATAAGACGTCTCCATCGCCAGCGACTGATAAGTGGGTAATGGCGGCGAGGCCATGTTGTGATCGCCTGCAAATTGTCTAGCTGCATCGTGAGCTGCATCAAGAGGAGCCGCCTGGGTTGGTAGCCTCTGCATATTTGCTTGACCGATTGGCGCGCTGCTTCCATCCCACTGCGGCGCCTGAGGAGAAAAGTTTGATAGCGACGAGACACTCAGCGACGCCTGGTGACTGCTGTGCGCAGGCTGTAATGCAGGGCCAGTGGCTGTCGAGTAGTTGTAGCCAGGTGTCAACTGCGCCTGCATTGCCGCCAGTGGGTGGACTGGCTGACCATTGCCTGTGGTCACGCCTGCAGGTGGCAGTTGTGTTCCGGCAGCCAGCGTTGCCGCGTGTGAAATGGCTGCTGCCGCCGAAGCCAGGCTTGTGTTCCAGCTGCTGCTCCCAGCCATATCCAGGCCAGCGGACAGCGGCGGGTAGGCAATGTCCGAATACCCGCCCGACATGTGGTGGTGATGGGGCAGACTGCCAAGACTACCCGAACTACTATGTAGGAACGGATTATTCGACGGCAGCGACGATGACAGTGCTGTCTGCAGCGACCCAGAGTGCGGACTGTTGGCCATGTCGAAGCTCTGCTTTGGCCGCAGTCCATGGGCCGGATCATATGTTGGGTGCCCGTGGGCCGTGCGGGGCATTCTGCCGGAATGGCTGTCGCCGCCTATTGCAATGGCATGGAACGAGTCGTCGCTCATCGTGCTTGCTGGCTGCCCCGAGCCGATCATAATCGGCTGGTGCCGCCGCGACGCTGCTGTCTGTGCCGATAGCGACGGCGAAGACACGCTAGTACCGTTTCCGTTGCCACCGTCTTGCTGCCGCTGATCGCCGCTGTATCCGTAAAACATCGGCTGGCCGATAACGTAGGGTGTGCCAGGAAGATTAGCCCTGTTGTTGGAGTCCATGCTTGCTGTTTTCTCGCTGCACCTGCTGGTACGACCCGCCAGGAGCGCAGAAGTGGAGAAAAGAGTGAGGGGCTGCGGTTGCTGCTTCTGCTGCTGCTAGTGAAGGGCTGTGTCCCTTTTTCGCGGCGGTAACAAGCTCGAGCGGCAAGAGGAGGAATATAAATAGCGCGCGTCCTTCCAATTACGTCAATGTATATGCTGCTTTATCCCTACATGTAGCGACATCAGTCGCGATTCAAGTCAAGTAGGAACCGGGCTAGTTAGTACACAAGTGAACGGTGGAGCGTAAACATGAAGCACCAGCGGCCCCAGTGGAAAGGGAGCAGATAAAAAGGTTGGACCGGATGCCCGCTTTGCCCCACCGGTTCTCGGTTGGCCAAGAGGCCAGAGAACAGCCGACATTATTCGCAGTGTGCGGGGAGCGGGCGGTAGATGGGACCCAGGATATTTTCGATTAGGGCCAGGCTGTGCGTGTCAAGGCTGCTGCTGCTGCTGAAAGCAATGCAGTGGTGTCAACCTCTGCGCGCAGAAGGGAGCATTTGCCGAAAGAGGCAGTATTCAACACCCAGTTGATGAAAGACCCGACCACTGCTCATTGCCTAGGTGCCAACAGAACTCTACGAGGGCCAAAGCAAACGAGGTGGAAAATCCGGTTGCCAAGCACCCGTGCAGCGGCAGTCCATCTCTGGCAAGACGGGGATGAGCTGCTGCTGCTCTCCATGAGGGGTTACAAGCTGTAGGATGTGCGGCGTCCTGGCTATGAAGCCAAATGGCAAAGGGAGCGAGCGGTGCACAAATTGGGCTGAAAACGAGTGTGTCGTCATGAAAGTGTCTATGGATTCTGTACCTTTCTATAGCCTGATTCCAGCCGTCGCTGCTGCTTGCGAATTCAACGAACGTCGTAAAATGGAGTGCCCTTTGGCTAGTGTGTGTAAGTGCGCCGTGCGTAAAATTGAAATACGGACCCCCTCACAAATAACAACGAAAAACGTTCCTAATTGCTAGGCCAAATAGAGGGACACAGTGCCGCAGGTAAGTAGTAAAGGCGCCAGAATAATAGGGAAAAGAAGGGAGGGAAAAGGAAACACAAAATGACCTAGATTGAAGAGAAAAGAGAAGCGGTTAGTGAACAGGTTACAGAAGGAGGTTGGCAGAGTCCGCAGGCACGCCAGCAGCAGTGCTCTTTCAAAAGGGTGGGCATGGCGGGCTGACGAGCCACTTGGAGACACAAGGCAGGCCCACAACAATACCGCAAGGCAAAGGCAGTTTTCACCCTGCGCTTATGAGCGAATTGCGCAAATAGTAGGACTGCCGGTCGCCTTTTTGCGCCTGGCGTCGCTGCATGCGAATTTCGGGCAAACCACAGATGGAACGACGGGCATTGTCTCCTTGGGCCGGTACCGCTCGGGCTAGGGGAGTAGCGGCGCTGTAGGCGGCTGCTGGCCCGGTTGGTGTGCGCGTTCCATCCGCCTGAACGAGCTGCCTCTTACCTTTTTGTGGTAGACTAGTCTGCCTGTTCTATAAACGAAAAATAGAAAGGCCCAGAAATGCGCGTGAGCAAATAATGTTCAAAGCGAGAACTGAAATTTTGGAATTTTTGGACGGTTTCCCTAATTGCTGAAAACATGTTTTGGCGCGTAGGCCGCGGTGATGCCGGATTTAATCATCGAACCACAGCCAAGCACCATGGCACCCCGATCGCCTCTGCCGTCATGGCAGTCCGATCGTTTCTGTGGTGGGGGAGGGCCGGCGGGCACGGGCTAGAGAATAGCCTGCTGGGGATGTCAGCAGCCAGCAGCAGCTCCCCGGATGTCTGGCCTGCCGCAGCACTGCCGCCGCCTTGGGAATCGCAGCGGCAATTAGTAAGCATCGTTTAGCCGCTGATTTGGCTGCTGTGGCAAAGCTCGCCCGTGCGCTCACACACAGCAGCGGCTGCTTTGGACGATAGATTTGATCCGATGATGCGGAATGCACGCGGAGGGCCGTGTGACCGTGCGGTTCGGAAGTGGTGACTGATTCGGGGCGAAAGGCGTGCTGCGCCAGTCATGCTCTCTGGACTGCACGCTCTTTCTGCCATGGAGGATCTGCTGTGGTGCGGGGCTCACTCTTCCCCGTCGCCATTTCCTCCTCTCCTCTCTCCTCTTCTCTTCTCTTCCCAATCCCAACCTCAATACATCGCCTCTCCTAACAAATACACGCACATGTCAGTGCCGTCAGCAAACACAGAGAGCTCGCGGCTCCTGCATGAGTCGTCTGAACCAACAGCATTGCCCATTGACGACAATGGCCCTGCCGAGCAGCCTCAGACTCGACATCGCAAGCATGCGGCACTAGCATATGTTGGCGCTCTGATTGCCCTTATTTTCGTTGGCGGGATACTGGCCAAGGCAGCTTCATTTGGCGGTAAGCATCTGCACAAACGGTGTGGCCACCACTGTGGTGCCGCTTTGTTATGCTTGTGTTCCTAAATCCCAAACACAAACATTTACCTGTTTAGATTCTGATACGCGCTCGACCTTGGTGACTGCAAGAAACGGAGCTGTTGCAACCGATGAGCCCCGGTGCTCAAAGATCGGAAGTCAAGGTATGTCGACCATTTACATCGCATCTTGCCAACGTCACGTACGCCTGTGGCACATCTGCCTTGTGCTCATGTTTCTTATTTGCCTCTTTGTGCTCTCTCTATAGTGCTTATTGACGGCGGGAATGCAGTTGACGCGGCTATTGCCAGCACGCTGTGCATCGGAATTCTGCAGGCCCATTCATCAGGCATTGGAGGCGGCGGCTTCATGCTGATCCGGCCTTCGGATGGTAGCGCGCCCGTCCTGATCGATTTCCGCGAGGCCGCTGGTTCTGCTGCCAAAGCAGACATGTTTTTGCACAACATCACCCTGGCCCAGGTTGGCGGACTGGCTGTGGGCGTGCCTGGGGAGATCGCTGGTCTCCACAGTGCGCACAAGCGCTTTGGCAAGCTGCCCTGGAAGCGTCTGTTTGAGCCATCGATTAGCCTGGCGCGCAAGGGGTATGCGCTCAGCAGCGTTGTATACGGACAACTCAAGAGACTCGAGGCGCATGTGCTGAGCTCCCCTGGATTCAATACCACCTACACCGACGGCCGTGGCCATTTGCTGCAGCCTGGCGATATTGTGCGGCGACCCGAGCTGGCCAGCACATTGGAGGCTATCGCAAACCACGGGCCGAAGGCATTCTACTCGGGCAAACTTGCACAGAGTATGGTCAACGCCATTCGCGAGAACGGCGGAATCCTGACTATGGAGGACTTTGCGGCGTACGCTGCTGTCGATCGCAAACCGCTTGAGACGTTCTACCATGGCCGGCGGGTGATCACGGGCTCGCCGCCTACCAGTGGATCGATCCTGCTCAACATGCTTAACGTGGTCGAGGGATACCCGCTGGCACGCGAAGGGCAGACTGCACTCAGCTACCATCGCATTGTCGAGGCCATGAAATTTGGCGCTGCGCAGCGCACGGTATTGGGCGATCCGTCATTTGTGGACGTCGCAGCCAATGTGTCCAAGCAGGCCAGCAAATACTTTGCCTCAGATATCCGCCACAACATCTCCGATACGCACACCTTTGGCGTCGCGCATTACGACGCAGAGTACGATATTCTCAATAACCATGGCACTACACACCTCTCAGTGCTCGACAGTGATGGTGCCGCTGTGGCACTGACCTCGACAGTCAACTTGGAATTCGGCTCGCGCATCATGGACCCAGTCACCGGCGTGATTCTTAACGACGAGATGGACGATTTCAGCACCACAAACCAAACCAATGGCTTCGGCTTACGTCCATCGCCGCACAACAAGATTGTGCCTGGCAAGCGCCCGCTGTCGTCAACCTCAGCCAACCATCATTGAGCACAACGGCGATGTCGAGCTGGTTGTCGGTGGCAGTGGCGGCAGCCGGATCCTGACCTCGGTATTGCAGGTTATCGTCAACGTGTTTGACTTTGGCATGCGTTTAGATAACGCCATTGACACGCCACGGCTTCACCATCAGCTTCTGCCCCATCAGCTCAGGCGTCGATCCGTTGTTCCCAGCCAGCATTTCGCATGCACTGGCCACGTCATACGGTCACGAAATCGCGCCCTTAAAAGCACGCCAGCTCAGTGGTGCAGGCTGTGCACCGCCTGCACGATGGCACGATACATGCAGTCAGCGATGCGCGCAAGCACGGCCTGGCCGCTGGCTACTGATATCCGGCGCTGTACTCTTAGAGTTGCCCGAAATGAATGCTTTGAAACTGCCATTCTATTGAATTCTGATAATGCTCTCAATATCGCCCAAGTGTACTGGAAATACTGCCTGTGTATGTCCTAATGTTGGCTCATAAAAAGAAATAACCTGGTGATTCTGGACAGCAGTTACCGGGCTGGATTGACTGCAGTGACCACCCAAGCAGCATTATTTGCTTGTGGTATTACTAACATCTGTATCAAATGTAACGCTGGTGATACCGCTACTGTCTGCCATACATATTCTCCCTGCATGTGGAGGGTGCACAACAGCGTGCTGAACCATGTACTGCTGCTTCTCTTACGGGCACAGGTGGCAGAGACATTTGGCTATTTATATATCAATAGCCGTTCCCTATACATCGCCCTCTGCGTTCAAGCATCTTGCAAAATCTGACACATACCCGCTTATCCTCATCTGAACATACACTAATAGCAATGCACTTCAAGACCATTGCCATCCTCGCTGCCTCTGCCGGCTATGCCACAGCCACCCTCGACCTCCTGTCAGGCAGGCCGCTGTCCGAGGCATTGTTTGGTCTGACTCCAGCCCAGGTTAAGAACATTGATAACCGCATCATGCGCGCAGAGACCAACAGCATGGCCGCTGTCGCCAACGCCTACAGCAATATTGGGAAGACCCTGATCCAGATCTTCACTGAGGTCGACAAGAACAGCGCCCCGGCATTCAATGATGCTGCTGCTGCAGTCTCCAAGGCATTCACTCCTGAAGTCAGAGCCAAGGTCAAGAAGGCCATTACCACCATTGTCGATTCGACCCTGGCGGCCGCTCTCTAATCAAACACCCGCTTTCGAATAAATCTGATCATTTATTTTCTACCAAGGCTGGAAATCGGCACTAATGCTGTGCGATTTGCTCGGTGCCTGGCCAAGAAAAGCAGGACAGCATGTGTATGGTTTTAATTAAAAGGTCTTCAAATAATGCTGTATATCGCTAGCTGGAATATACTGCTCTTAGAATTTGTTGCCATGCGTACGCCACTTGTGAGCCGCGTTTGATGTAGTTCCGGTAGTAGTCGTCATATGTCACTATGTGTGGCTTGAACGGCACACAGCATTCGGGATTACTGACTAAGGATCCGTGTGGGTTGTATTCTCCGGTATGCATATCAATAGTCATCCTACTTTTCCTACTGGCCATAGCCAGACAGCCCAAAATTGAGATGGCTGCATTTCTCCACACATGCAATTATCGGTATGCATCCCGGGAAATTGCCAATACGCCAAGATGCATATGGTGGGTTGTTGATACAGGTGAGAAAAATATCGGTTGGTGGCATTGCACCTATCCATATTTTGCAAGTAGGTGTAACTATCCTAATGCATCAGCAAAATTGCAAAACATAGTGCTGCTACTGGTATATGCAGCTTTACACCATCTACTTTGCAACGAACCGATATCGCAGTGCTCTGTATAAAAGGGATAGCCTATTTCGCCTCAGATTTCAAAGAATACCATCACCAGAGATTACTCCAAGCAATCACCTCTTCCCGACAACCAAACCAAAAACACAACTAGCTATGCAGTTCAAGATCTTCGCCATTGCCGCCATCGCCAGCCAGGCCGCTGCCACCCTCGACCTTCTCACCCACTCGCAGATCTCCGAGCGTCTGTTCGGTCTGTCGACCGAGCAGGTCAAGAACATTGACCGCGCCATCCAGGAGGCTGCTGCTCCGATCGCCCAGGTTGCCGGCCAGATCGTCCGCAACATGAACGGCTCTGGCGAGGAGGTGCTCCAGACCGGCCAGAAGGTTGTCCGCCAGGCCGTCCAGGCCGTCCACGAGGCTCTGACCCCCGAGGTCCGCGCCAAGATCCGCACTGGTGTTTCCAACGCTGTCAAGACCACCCTTGACACCTACTTCTAAACCCCTCGCCTTCCCTTTTACTTTTTAAAGCTCGCTTTCGTGATGGCGGCTAGCACCAATTGACTTTTCGTCCTTGCTGTAGTTTGCACTGCTCGCTTCCTGAGTAGGTAAACCCGGCTCGATGTGGTAGTCTAGGTCTAGCTGGCCGCTATTGCTGGAGGGGGTCCAAGCAGCCGACGGGTATGTTTTGCTGGAGATGCCGACAGCCTTCTTCTTCACTCATTCGCCTCTAGGTTGCTTTTTCACTATTCTAGTTTTCTCATCGCGGATTGAATATACCAAACTAGACACATACACATGTAGCATGGGACACTTATTAGACTGCGCTGTGGCCAGTGTTATCACTCGAGGCCAGCAATAACCTTGGTTGCCTGCTCCTTCAGGATCTTGAGCAAAAGGTCGATGTTCTTCTGCGTGCCGAAGGTGGATCCGACGGCAACGCGCAAGACATCGTTCCCGTTGAGCTTGGTGCCAACCAAAAACACACGGCCATCGTCATTGATAGCCTTGATCAGCTCAGTGTTGGCCTTGTCGACCATGGCTGGGTCGTTCAGCGCCTCGGGCTTGATCCGGAGCACAGCCAGACCAAAGACAACAGGTACAATCAGCTCAAAGCGGCCATCGGCCACCAGCTGGTCGGCGAGCCACTTTGCCTGTGCGACGTCGTCACGGATGTGCTTGCGGATACCTTCAGCACCGTACATGCGCATGACAAACCACAGCTTGAGCGAGCGGAAACGGCGGCCCAGCGGCAGCTGCCAGTTGCGGTAGTCCTTGATAAAGGCGGTGTCGCCCTCGACCTTGGGGTAGTACTCACGGTGGATGCTGAGGGCATTGACCAGGTGGGTCGAATCGGCCACCCACAGCGCCGAGCAGTCAAAGTTGGTCAGCATCCACTTGTGCGGGTTGAAGTTGAACGAGTCAGCGCGCTCGCTGCCTGCAGCCAGCGGCCGGAACTCGGGGCACGTCAGCGCCGAGCCGGCGTACGCAGCATCAATGTGGTGCCACAGCGACTCGTGCTGGGCGACATCGGCAATTCCAGGCAAATCGTCGATGGCTGTCGTGTTGGTCGTGCCAAAGGTACCGCACACGAAGAACGGAATCAGGCCCTGCTCCTTGTCTTGGGCGATGGCCCGCTCCAGCGCCTCCTTGGTGAGCCGGAAGTCCTCGCCCGTGGGTACGCTCGTGGTCTTGCAGCCGATGACGTTGGCAGCCTTCTGGCCCGACGAGTGCGTCTGGTCCGAAAAGTACGCGACCAGCTTGTGTCGCTGCTTGTCGACGTCCTCGCTGGTGGCGCCGTCCTGGGCCTTGAGACGCTCCAGGGCCATTTCGCGCGCGGCGATCATGGCGACAATATGCGCCTCGCTAGCACTGCCCTGGATCACACCGCCGCCATTGCCCTCGGTGCCGTCCTCCTTGAACGACAAAAAGCGCTTGTCAAGCCCGATCAGCTTGCCCAGCCAGTCCATCACCACGGTCTCCAGCTCGGTGGCTGCCGGGGAACATAGCCAGTTGAAGCCGACCACGTCAAACATCGAGCTGTACATGTCGCCCAGAATTGCCGGGAACGACGAATTGCTGGGGAACCACGAGAAAAAGTTTCCAGACTGCCAGTGCGTCATGCCGGGCATGATCTTGGTTTGGAGGTCGCGCTGGATCGCGTCAAAGGACTCGGGCGATTCGGGGGCCTCGTGTGGCAGCAGTTTGTACAGATATCCTGGAGACACTGTCGACATGGGCGGGATATCGTTGACCGCCTCGTAGTAGTCAGCAATCGCATCGATGACCTCCTTGCCGCGCTTTCTAAACTCGTTAACGTCCATGGTAGAGTTGGCCGGCCGGTTTGCTTAGAATGAAATAAAGGGTAATGAGACGTATTGCCAAGGGCAGGAAGGAAATTGAGAGTACAAAAGATATAGCTTCGCTGATGTCCTGCGCACAGGAAGCTGCACTTTTATAGCGGAAACTGCTCCAACGATTCTCCAACCTGTCCTTTCGGCGGAGCAGCACGGACTCCATGGCACACCTAACCGCAAGGAAAATGGCCCGTCGATCGGTCAGACAATTGCAAGTGAATCATTGGCATTTACATACGATAAATAGCGAAAGTCCAAGGCGTGGTTGTGTCGGATTGGAGAGAATCCAACAACAGCGGATCTGGCAAGCTTGTGCGAGGGAGATGGCCCTGGGAACAGTTTTATTGGAGATTTTCGCACTGACTTGCGTGCTGTATTGGGAAGGATTTGTCATCCTCCCAGGACACCTCGGAGCTCCAATGCTCAAGAGGGCACACCGCATACATATTGGGACCAGGCACGGCGTGGCACACCCGCATGGGTAGGCTGCGGCTTGGTAATGAAGTCAGGCAGTGCATAGACGGGAATTGCCACACCACCTGGCAGCTGGCAAATACTAGTTGATCTGGTCAGATTAACTAGTATTTGAGGTCAGATTCTGCAGCTGCATCATATGCATACACACAATATAGTCGCTGATGCGTGTGGCAAAATATCTATTTTAGAGTATTTGGCATGTGTTGAAAGTTATCTCCGGGAATCAAGCCATCTGCGCCTATTGTGCACACGTTGATTGTGGCATCATGGCCAAGGGGTTTAGTTCCATGGGTATCTAGGAACTGCTTTGTTTCATGTGGTAGGTGGCCAGCGTGTGGGATCCTCAGGTGTAGTATGGCGGGGCCATAAAAGCGCATTCTTTTGGTACAGCTAATTCTGCTTCTGCTTCTGCTTCTGCTTCAACACTGTTTCCAGACAACATTATGAAAATGAACTCCCTAATAATAGTCTTCCTATTTACGCTCCTCCAGTGGTCAGTGCAAAGCGCAGCCAGTGCCCCATGCCCCGGATATACGGCCAGCAACATCCAGACGCACTCTACTGGGCTCACTGCAGATTTGACACTGGCCGGCCCGCGCTGCGACAGGTACGGACACGACATCACCAACTTGACGCTGCAAGTGCGGTTCGATTCGCGTAGCCGGTTGAATGTTCACATATTCGACAGCTGCCGAAGGCAGTATCAGATTCCCCCGTCCATTCTGCCTCTGGATCAAGGTGCAGGCGTCACCAAAGCGGCCAGCAAACTCCAGCTCAGCTATTTCCACGACGCGCAGCATGGCTTTGGTTTCAGAGTGTCGCGCGGCAAGGACACGATTTTCGACACCTCTGGTCACCCACTGATCTTCGAGGACCAGTATATTGAGGTGACATCGTGCTTGCCCCATGATGCCAACATCTACGGCATTGGCGAGACACCCGACTGGTTCCGACGCGACACTACCAACACTACCAAGACGTTGTGGAATCGTGATGCTCCCGACCCGTTCCGTGAAAATGTCTATGGATCGCACTCGGTGTATATGGAGCTGCGCAATGGCAAATTCCACGGCGCCTACCTGCACAACTCGCACGGCATGGACATTGTGCTGGCCAACAACACAATCCAGTACCGCGTGCTGGGCGGTACCGCCGACTTTTACTTCTTCAGCGGACCGACGGCGCTCGATGTCATTGACCAATACACGGAGCTGGTTGGCCGTCCGAACCGCATCCCGTACTGGGCACTGGGGTTCCAGAACTGCCGGTATGGCTACAAGAGTGTCTACGAAGTCAACGACGTGATTGCCAACTACTCCAAGGCCAGGATTCCGCTGGAGGTTGCTTGGACTGATATCGACTACATGGACCGCACGCGCGACTTTACCTTCGACCCAGTCAACTTCCCCCTCAGCGAGATGCAGAAGCAGCTCAAGTACCTGCACGCGCACAACCAGAAAATGGTGCTTATGACCGACCCAGCCATCCAGCACAACTCTTCCTACGGCCCATATGCACGCGGCCATGAGAAGGACGCATTCATCAAGAATAGCAACGGCACGACCTATTTCGGACAGGTGTGGCCTGGATATACGGCGTTCCCGGACTGGTTTGCGCCCAGCACCGACAAGTGGTGGGGCGGTGAGCTACAGCGCTATTTTGATGCGCTGCCAATCGACGGCATGTGGCTGGACATGAACGAAGCATCAAGCTTCTGCACTGGTAGCTGCGGTTCTGGTAAGCCGGAATCCGACGTGCCCCCGTACCCATGGACACTGGATCCGCCGCCACCTAACAGAGCGTTGGATAAGCGCAACCGGCTGTTGAACCCGCCATATGCAATCCACAATCCACAGAGTGAGCTATCAGAAAAGACCATCGAAACCACGGCCATGCATGCCAATGGGCTGGCAGACTACTACGTACACAATCTGTACGGATACATGGAGACGCGGCTGACGCACAAGTTCCTACTTCAGTACCGCCCTGACATCCGCCCGTTCCTGCTCTCTCGGTCGACTTTTGCAGGGCTCGGGTGCTATGGCCAACCACTGGACCGGCGACAACGAGTCCACATTCAAAGACCTGCATGTTTCAATTGCGTCGATGCTGGATTTTGGCATCTTTGGCATTCCAATGGTCGGCGCCGATATTTGCGGGTTCAACGGCAATACCACTGAGGAGCTGTGCGCAAGATGGATTGAGGTGGGCGCATTCTATCCGTTCTCGCGCGATCACAATGCCAAGGACATGGTGCCGCAGGAGCTGTATAGATGGCCAAGTGTCGCCGAGGCAAGCCGGCGTGCGCTCCAGGTCAGGTATGCACTGCTGCCGTACTACTATACAAGCTACCAAATGGCGGTTGAGCATGGGTGGCCGGTGGCAAGACCGCTGGTGTTTCAGTTCCCCGAAACACCAGCAGTGCTTGGGAACGACTGGCAGTTTATGATTGGAGATGCGATTTTGATCTCGCCAGTTCTTAGCAAGGGCGCCAGATCCGTCAGCGCATTCTTCCCAAGCGGCTTCTGGTACGACTGGTATGATCTCTCTGCTGTGTATGGCTGGGACACAGAGGTCACTCTTGGTGCTCCACTGGAACACGTCAATGTGCATCAGCGCGGCGGATCCATTGTCGTCGGCCAGGAGCCGGGATTGACCACATACGAGTCTCGCCGCAATCCATTCTTTGCACGTATTGCCTTGGATAGCAGCGGATGCGCCGAGGGCAGGCTGTATCTGGACGACGGGGAGACGTTCAGCTCGCCGCACAGGTGGATCCGGCTTTCATTCAGCAGCGGGGCGCTATCGGTGGTGCAGGAGAGCGGGTCATACACGGTTGGGCCGGTGCTGGCCACGATTGTGCTGCTGGGAGCTCGGGTCTCAGGCGTACAGGGCGTGCAGGCGGGTGTCAGATATCGCACCTTGGGCAGCAGCACCATTATCAAGAACCTGCACATCGACCTGAACAGCAACACGCAAGTCACATTCATTTCGCCGTAGCTCTATTTGTCAATACTAAGCTGCAGATTTAGAGGCCGGGTACGGGTTTGCGGGTTTTAGATTATCCTCAAAAGATGTCTTCCTGGGCATCAGTCTCGCGCTGGTCCCTAGCAGCCGCATGCTTCGGCTCAGCACCATTCTCCTGGGTTGCAAACTTTGTTCTTGCACGCGATGGCTGCACCAGCGTCTTGCCGTTGATAGACTCCAGCAGCGGGATCCGGGGCGGTGGCCCGCTGTTGCGGCTCCGCGACGCCAGCGGGCTCAGCAAGTTAATGGCGGAGTTGCGCATAGAGCGCGAAGGCCGTGTCGGGGTCTCGAGGCCGAGCCGCGGGGGGTTGCCGAGTGTCGGCTCGCCAAGCAGCGTGGCGTCCTGGTCGTAGGCGTTTGTGCGGTTGCGAAAGTCTGGCGTCTCCAGAGAGTCGGCCAGGGACTCAGCAGAGTCGATTCTGCACCGAGGCGCCAGCGCGGGCGTGGGCGCATGGCTGGGAGACCCACTCGATGAGTTGGTGGAGTATCTCAGGTCGATGATGCCGGTATGCGGTGCCTGCTCAGTGGTCTCGGTGCTGAGGCGGCCCGATGCCAGCATGTGCATCTGGGCGCCATATTCGATGTGCTGGCGAACATGTTGCCACCCCACGCGCCCAGCGACGGCGGTGCAGACTCGGTTACATGGACTGCATCGTCCGATGACAGCAGGTACACGACTGGATGCGCCGGCACTGCTTGGTGGCTGCTGCTCGGCCGCTTGACCTTGTCCAGAAGCGCGTCGAGTTCGAGCCAGTTGCGCTCGTTGGCGGCAAAGCCCTTGTGCTGCGCGGTCTTGACGTGCTCCAGCATGTCCTCATATTTGACGCGGCAGTTCTCGCAGTACCCGGGCCGCTTGGCCACGGGTCGACGCATTGGCACCCGCGGCTTCTTGGTGCGCGGCGCGGGCGGCGTCCTACACGCGCGCGTTGCCGGCTGCTCCATCTTCGACAGCTGCGTGACTCGCCCGTTGTTGAGATTCTGCAGCAGGCTCTGCTGCAGCGCCGGGTCCATGGCGCTCAGCTGGAACGCCGTAGATGTCGACGTCACGTTGCGCGACTGTGCTACACCTGACGCATTCGAGTCCACCAGCACTGACGCCATCATCGCATTGGCAGGCGCCAGCGCTGTCGCTCCAGACCGCGAAGGACGCGTCGGCGTCATCATCGCGTACTCGTCAGCCGCCTTGCTGGCTACAGTCGGGGTCCACGGCCCCTTGGCCGGCGTCTTGCTGGGCGGCAGCGTAGCCTCAATGGTCTCGGGCTCCGGCGACACATTCTCCTTGTCGGCATCAGACTCGCTGTCCTTGCTCGACGTGGTCGGCTCCTCGTACTGCACAAACGGGCAACGGCCCTGCGGCACCATGTAAAGCTTGGGCCATGGCGGGTCGCGGCCTGCTTCAGGCTGCCGGAAGTCCTCGATGATTGCTGGCCGGCTGAGGTGCGAGGCATCTTCAGCCAATATATAGTAGTACTTGAAGTAGTAAAAGTCCACGCTGTGTGCAACCGCGCTGCCCTCGAATGTCTTGTGCCGCATCGCAAGCATCTTCTCGGCACTGAACGCCTCGCTCAGCTTGCGCTTGGCCGACAGCACCGAGGCGCTCTGTGCTGTGCCGACGCACTATACCCGGGCAGCAGAAACACCAGCACCCGGTTCTCCAGCTTGTCCAGGTCCCAGATCTTGAGCTGGAACCGCTTTGCCAACGAAACCACATTCGACGCGTCGCTGTCGCCCAGCTGAGGTACCAGCACGTGCGTGACTGTCTGCGCTGAGAAGAACGCCTCGACTTTAGGCCCCTAGGCTCCGGATGGGCACCGACAGCCGCCGCTGGGTGGCCTCGTCGACGCCGTCAAAGTAGAACACAAACTTGGGGAATGCGTGCCGGTACGCGTAGATCCACTCGGCCACGCGCGCCTTCTGTTTGGCGTGCTCGTCCTTTGAGGCCTCGTGCTGCGTGTTGGCGCGCTGCCTCTCCTGCTCCGTGATCGTCTGCAGCGCATTGCGGCGCACTGGCTGCGATACGCGCTGCGATACCCGTGCTGGAGCCACGAACCCGGCCTGTGCTGAGACCCGGGCCGTCGCCGGTCCGCCCAAGCTGCGCTGTGGTTTGGACGCGTCGAATGTCAATCTTCGACTGGCCATTCCAAACCTCAAATATAAATATGTAGTCTACACTGTGGGCAATAAGGGAAGGGGAGGAATGAGTTTTGAGCGGCCAATGCGATAAAGGAAGAGGGAAGGAATTCGTTGGGCAAATCAAGGCACAGGACAGAAGAGGAGAAAACAGCTGTGATTATTTTTCTCAAAAGTTTTCTGGCACGAGCTGTTGTCCACAAGCCTGTACACACGCAAACAGACCCCACTCGTACAACTTGCCTTGTCGCTTCTGGCAGGCGAACTGCTAATGCGGCCCTTCCTATATTGCGAGGGTGAAAAAGAGGGCTGTGGTAGTAAGAAGCACACTGAAATACGACAGTAAAAGTGCTGCGAGCGGGCCTTCCCAGGGCTAGGGATGCGATGGGCTTAGTGTCTGAGCAGCGTTTGCGATCCAGGCATCCGCCGATGTCAGCAAGGGTTAGAGGATGAGAGCTAAAAATTGACCAACGTTACGCTAGGCAGGTTCACAGAAAAGCTAGTGCGAGGAAAGAAAGGGCGGCAGCGGGTATCCTCAGGTCCTTTTAACTGCTCAGCAGGCTCCACCCGCCCTTGTTTCCCCTAAAATCTGGCGTGTTCCGGTGGGCAATCTACGCGTAACAGTCGCGTCGGTCGCGTTCTCAGATCAAATCACGTGGTTTTAGCGAGTTTTTTTTTGATGTGCCTCTATGGCAATTCTCTACTGGGCCGCCTTTCGCTTCCTGCCCTGCTCGCGCATCGTCATTTTGCCCAGCGTCTTGGCCATGGCTGAGTCATCGACCTGTATTACGCCGCTCGGTCTCCTCGATCCGCCTCTCCTTCTTTTGCGCGAGCTCGTCCTCGGCCTGCTTCTCAATCTTTTTGTTGAACGACTTGAACGATCTCCGGCCCACGCCCACTGCGGAGCCAGGCATGTTCAGGTAGCTCGAGTCGTAGATGACCTTTGGCTTTGACACTGCCTTGGCAGGCAGCGCCTTGTACGTTGCGCGCCAGTGCGATTCGCTGATCTGCCTCTTTTGCCGCGTCTTCTCTTCCGCCTCCTTCTCCTGCTCGATAGACCGCTGCATGAACTACATCGGGTAGCGGTTGCGGATGCGCTGTTAGATATACCCTGTATTTGGCTGGGCTGATCCAGACTGACTCTGCTTGCTCGGGATATGGAGTAGCTCGTTTTTTACCTTCATCTGCTTCAGCGTTCTCGACATGGGCAGAGCCTTCTCTTCGGCCACCTTGCCTGTTGCGCTAGGTCCATTCGTCGACATTATAATCCTGGATGTATGCTATGTGGAAAAAAAGAATGTGGGTTGGGCTTTGGCCAGGCTGCTGCGCATGTCAAGCCCAATTTTGGTGGGGTAGGCCAGGGCATCTCGCAGCCACAGATATGGGTAGGGGTACACCCCAGATGCCACCCGCGGTAAAGCTGACTACGTAGATGCCCTCGCACTGGCCATTGCTGCCAGGTGCGTCATTCGTGGAGTCATATTGGCCCTCTTCTCGGACCCGTAGCCCTGCCCGCACCGAATATATCACTAGGAATGCTTGGGTTGGTATTGCCTGACACTGAATGTCATGAAACACGGGTCTGTATGATGCATATTGAAGCGAGTGCGTCTGCTTGCTCTCGCCATTCCAGCTCTCCGTTTCTACATGAGCATTGACACCATATTACTGGCTTGATTCCCCTCCGACCAGCGTGGGTGACGTATCGCTAGTCGTGCAAAGGACGGACGAGGCGCAACTGCCGCCAAACCAATTGCCTATCTTTAGCAAGCGTGTGAACCTTTTTATCTCCGCAATTCTGTTTTTGAAACAGTCCTATTTTCTACTCTATTTGAAATGCACCTCAGCAGACGTACATTGCTGAAGCCCCTGCCAAAGCCCCTGCGCACTCCCCGAGTGCTCCTCCACACCAGCTCCCAGCTCCAAAAGGCCACCACTCCGACTCCCGACGGCTCCGAGCTCAACCAGCCGCTGGAGCCAGCCGACGTGCGTGCGTTCTGGTCGAGCCACAAACAAGAGACAGCAAAAATTGCCCGCACGCCCACGGCCACGTCCCAGCTGGACCAGTCTGCGATGCGCGAGCTCCTGTCAACGATCATCGAGCAGCACACAAACAAAGGCGCAGTGACGATGGGTGTCAACACGCAGAGGTTCTGCGAACTGTACGAGGGTCTGGGTGACGACGGAAAGCTGCAGACGCTGAAGCTGCTTGCTGCCGAATTCTGTGCGACCAAGGGCGATGCGCGGCAGGCGGCCATGGCGTATCTGGCCAAGGCTGAGGCCACCAGCGACCCGGCTCAGCATGCGGCCGAGGCACGGGCACTACGTGACGGCCTGACGCCCAAGTACTCGGAGCTGTTCGACCAGATCAACCGGCTGCCGGGCGGATTCGCATTCCTGGTGCACCTGCGCGGCGACATGCTCAAGCACGCCAAGAAGGATGCGGCGGTGCGCGCCATGAGCGACGTGCTGATGCGGCGGCTCGAGACGTGGATCATCGGCACGCTGGATCTGAAGCGCATCACGTGGGGGTCGCCTGCCTACACGATCGAGAAGCTGGGCGAATACGAGGCGGTGCACGCGGTCAAGTCGTGGCTGGACGTCAAGCGGCGGCTGGGCAACGGGCGCCGGTGCTTTGGGTTCTTCCACCGCAGCGTGCCGCTGGAGCCGCTGGTGTTTGTGTGGGTTGCGCTGACCGACGAGATCTCCAGCAACGTGCAGAGCATTCTGACTGAGCCCGAAGGCAAGCCCGACGAGAGCTCGGCCAAGTGTGCCATCTTCTACTCGATCAACTCGCAGCCCGGCCTGTCGGGCGTCGATCTGGGCAACTTCCTGATCAAGCGTGTCGTTGGCGTCCTGCAGTCCGAGTTCCCGAACCTAACCACGTTCTGCACCCTGTCGCCGCTGCCCCGGTTCCGCAGCTGGCTCGAGCAGTGGCTGACGCCTGAGCGCCTGGCCAGCCCGCCCGTTGACATTGCGATTTCTCCGGCCGAGCAGGACGCGCTGGTGGCCCGCGTGCCAGGTGCTACCACATGGACGCAGGCGCTGAAGCACATCTCCGAGAGCCGCGGGTGGACCAGCGACCCGCAGAACCTGGCAGCCATGGAACCAGCGGTACGGGCCCTGGGCGCTCACTACTTGGTGAACGCGAAGCGCGGCAAGGGCGCACTTGATCCAGTGGCCAACTTCCACCTGCGCAACGGCGCCTGCCTGCACCGCGTCAACTGGCGCGGCAACACCGCGTACAGCGGACTGCGGCAGTCGCTGGGGCTCATGTGCAACTACAACTATGTGCTGGACCGGGTCGAGGACAACAACGACCGGTATGTGCGATTTGGCGAGATTGCACTGTCGGGCAACGACAAGTATGTGCAGGCTGCGCAGGCCGCAGGCGCCAAACCGAAGCTGTAGAGGTGCGATATCGCTAAACCGCAGTTGCGGATGGGCGATCTACCTGATATTTTTGGCAATGCCATTTGCGCCCACAACTCCTAATGCTGGCTCAGACTTGCAGCCAGTATAAAAGGACTCCCGATCAGGGCAAGGGCCGAAGGGCTGTTTATTTGCCATCCACTTCTCAATACATACCTCGATACACATCCCCGTGGCCGCATTGGTGCTAGAAGTACTCGGCAATGACGACCCCCGAGGCCTGCAAGTTCCGTACCTGGCTGCCCGTGGCGCCTAACAGTCAGAGCACAGCCAAAAAACACTCATTTACCGTGATGACCTACAACATCCTGTGCCAAAAACTGATTCGGCGCACTCTGTTCCCGTATGCCAACAAGACGTGTCTTAAGCGCAAGCAGCGCAACAGCAAGCTTCTGTCCGAGATCTCGCACTGGAAGCCAGACATCGCATGCATGCAGGAAGTCGAGACTGAGTACTGGCACACCGCCATGCACCCGCACCTTAGACGAAGCAACTACGAGTCGCGGTTCTTCCAGAGCCTGGCCAAATCACACGGCGTCAGCATCTCGTGGAAGAAGCAAAAGTTCCACATCATTGACGAGGTCAATGTGTCCATGGATATTTCCATGGAGGTCAATGGTGAGCGGCTCAACACAGACAACGTCGCGCTGATCACTGTGCTGGGGTACGGGCCAGGAGACGAGGCGCTTGACCCGTACGCTGACTCGGTCGACCCCGAGTACCAGATCGGGACGCCCAAGCCCGACGATGCAGAGGAGGGCGGCGTCATTGTGTCTACTGCGCACTTGTTCTGGAAGCCGAATGCCTGCTACGAGCGTCTGCAGCAGCAGCATGCAGTCATGAAGGCACTGATGGAGCTGAAGGCAAAATACCCAGGCTTCCATATCATTGCATGCGGCGACTACAACACCACACCCGACGATGCCGGCTACGACCTGCTGACCAAGCCGCGGCCAGTCAGGCTCAGCGAGGAGCAGCTTGACAATCTCCTGCCGTACTCGGTCGAGGCCGGCGATGGCGAGGATGACGACGAGGCTGATGACGACAGGCCGCCCGCCATGAGCTATGCCAGTGTGGTTGCTGGCTCAAACGATTCTAGCACTGAGCTCAAGCTCCTTGAAGAGGAGCGCAGACTGGACGCGCAGCTGCAGCGAGACATCGTGCGTGTCAACTCTCTGGTCGATCTGTTCCAGACCTCCTATGAGCCACTGCGCAGCGCCTACGGCAACTACGTCGACTTGGACCCGACGTACAAGACGCCGCAGTGGGAGGGCGAGCCGATCTACACAAACTACGCAAAGTGGAAGGGCACGCTGGATTACATTTTCTTTGACGTAGCACAGCAGGGTGGCAAGAGCAGCCGCCTGGCGCTGTGCGATGTGTTGGGGCTGCCGCCTGTGAAACGCCTGAACCCCGGCCTACCTAACGATTTGTTCCCTAGCGATCATGTGTCGCTCATGGCGCGGTTCGCGGCTGATTAGCCGCTTTTTTTTTGCAAGAGGCTTTGTAGCTCTGATTATGTGGCAGAGCCTCCAGCCCGCTTCTTGTTTCCCAAATATATTGTTCTCTTTTATCGATATTTTTACTGCACATAGAATAGCCATGTCCATTGAGATCCGAAGCGCCGACGTCGATTCTCGACCAGGATCTGTACAAGTTCTGCATGCAGCAGGCGCTGCTCGAGCACTACCCCGACGTCGGGGTCGAGTACGTCTTCATCAACCGCGATCCGACAACCAAGCTCAACCAGCAGGCCGTCGACTGGCTGAAATCGCGCATCGCCGCCTTTGCCAGCCTGGTGCCGCAGCCCGACGAAATTGCATACCTCAAATCTGCCTGCCCCTACCTGTCATCGGCGTACCTCGACTTCCTGGACCGCCTTCCGGTTCCGCCCGTCCGAGCAGGTGGTATGCACGCTCAATTCACACGGCGACCTGGAGATGAGGATCACGGGCAAGTGGAGCGAGGTGATTCTGTACGAGGTGCCGCTGCTGTCGCTGGTGTCTGAGGCGTACTTCAAGTTTGTTGACACCGACTGGTCGTACGAGGGCCAGCAGGACAGAATCCTCGCCAAGGGCACGAAGCTGGCTGCAGCTGGCTGCAAATTTGCAGAGTTTCGGAACACGTCGGCGCCGCGACTTCCGTACGCAGGACACAGTTATGGCCGGGCTGGCGCAGGTGCCCAAGGCTCTGCCAGGTATGGTCACTGGCTCGTCAAACATGTACCTGGCGCGCAAGTACAATGTGCCGCCGGTCGGAACCGTCGGGCACGAGTGGACCATGGGGATTGCAGGCGCTCGAGGGCACGTACGAGAACGGCAACAGCCTGGCGCTGAAGAAGTGGCACCAGACGTTCAAAGGCAGCCTGGGCATTGCCCTGACCAGACACTTTTGGCACCAAGGCGTTTTTCGCCAACTTTGACCGCAGCCTGGCCACCCTGTACAACGGCGTGCGGCACGACTCGGGCGATCCGTTCAAGTTCATCGAGTCTGTGCATGCGCACTACACGTCGCTGGAGATCGATCCCAAGACCAAGGTCATTGTGTTCTCAGACGGACTGGATCCGGATGCTGCGATCAAGATCAAGACGCACTGCGAAAAATTTGGCCTCAACTGCAGTTTCGGCATTGGCACAAACTTCACAAACGACTATATGAAGCTCTCGAACCCTGAGCAAAAGAGCAAGGCTGTCAACATTGTCATCAAGCTATTCCGCTGCAACGACAAGTACTGCGTCAAGCTCAGTGACGTCAAGACCAAGCACACAGGCGATCTGAAGGAGGTCCAGCGGGCACAGTCGGAGCTGTCACTCTCAGGCATGCTTGAGTAGATAAATATACCTGATAGTCATAGATGTAGACGCATCTGGCAACCCGTCCAATGCCACACCCACCGACATGCTGCCCCACTATCACATATTGGAAGCGTATATGTGTGGAGATTTAATGATCTGAAACATGCCTACTTCCCATCCCTAAATTATCGCCCTCCCCTCATTCGGGTTCCTGGTAGCTGCACATAGCCCCCATTGCCCCTGAAATTTTCTTTGGTGTGAGGAAGGGAATCATTTCAAACAAATATTTCGCACTGTTCCCTAGCAATATCCCAGCCAGGATTAAATATCTGGAGAAGGGACTGATATTCACAGCTGCTTCTGAGAATAAATGATATAAGCGAGTATATTAACCCAGCACCGCTGCCCACTCGTCCACCGTTTCTCAGTAAGCAAAGTCGCTATTCAACTGTTATTTCTGTCTATTTTGTTGTCCATTTTCCCCTCAACTCTGTGTATCGGGATTTATTCGCCACCAATCCCAAATCCCTTGTCTTCCCCAACTAATCGCTTTGTTAAACACCATACGCGAAACTATACCCTATTGCATAAATAACCATGGTCGGCAGATCTGTCTCCATATACGCGCTTCTGGTGGCTACCGCGACCCAGTCCTTCATGGGTGCATCCGTTATGGCCACCCCGGCCCACGTCGCTCCTGTTGATAGGCCACTGTTCTCGGGACTCCAGCTGTTTGATCATGCGGCAAAGCCGAGGATTGTCAACAACTTCAAGGCGCATATCCAGGATGCTGATGTTATTTACCCAACTGCTGCTCCAGCCTACTCCCCACCTGCTCCCGCCTACTCCCCACCTGCTCCTGCCTACTCCCCACCCGCCCCGCCAAGAAGCCGGCCTCCTCCTGCCCCAGCTCCTACTGCCGGCTACGGATCAGCTGGTATGGATGACCAATCTGATGCATTTACTCCATATGGCGGTTGCGCTGGACCGGCCCCGCCAGCTCCTGCAGCAGATTCCTACGTAGGGAACAGTGGTCCCAGCGACGCTGATGGCGCGAATGACTACAACGCTCCACCACCGCCACCTCCTCCCGCTCCTCCCGCTCCCTCCATGCTCCTTATGCTCCTCCATGCTCCTTATGCTCCTCCCCCAATGGCTCCCCCACCACCAGCTCCTGCTCCCCCCGCGCCGGTTATCAGCCACTGCTTCCGGCTCCACCTACACCGTGAGCCCGCCGCCTAGCTATGTCACTGGCCACCAATCCACCTACACTGTCAGCCCGCCCCCTAGCTACATTGCGGCTCCTCAGACAACATTCTCCGTCTGTCCGCCACCCGTCTACAAGACTGGCAAGCAGAGCACGTACACCATCTCAGGCCACGCCCTAGTTACATAACCGAGCCCGGGGCTACCTATACTGTTACCCCGCCTCCCTAACTATGTCACTGGTTCCCAGACAACTCTGACCATCACCCCGCCCCCAGTGACTTCGGTGGCTAAGCCTAAGACATACACTACAACCCCGCCCCCAGTGTACACTACCGCCACCTACGCTGACAACGGCAGTGATGATGCCCCAGCCTATGGCAGCGGACCAGGCCCTGTTGCTCCTGGATATGCCGCTTCTGCTCCTGCTCCTGCCTCCCTGCTCCTGCTCCTGCTCCTGCTCCCGCCTATGCTGCCCCTGCTTATGCCGCCCCTGCCCCTGCCTATGTTGGCACGCCCCCTGCTGCTGGTGGCTATGGCTCTGCTAGTCGCCCTGCTGCTGGCGGATATGGTGGTGGTGCTGGCGCTGGTGTTGGCGCTGGCGCTGCAGCTGGCTGCGGCGGTGCTGGTGTCGGTGGGGCCGGTGCTGGCAACGGTGCCGCTGGCTGCGGGCCCTCTTCTAGTGAGTCACCGACCCGGTCTACCAAGACTGAGACCGCCACTTCGACTTCGACTTCGACCTGGCTGACCACTCTCTCATCGCTCACGACCTCGACTACCACTGCTACTCTGACGTCGGTTTGGGTCACTACCGACCACCTCTGCTCAGAGCCGAGCACCTACTCGTTCACCTACACCATGACAACGACTCGCCCTATCACTAAGACCTTGACCACAACCGAGGATGCCGAGACCATCACCAAGCGCAGCACTGATACTACTTCAGTCACGATCGACCACACGTACACCCAGACCACGCCGACAACGGTCTACCACACCAAACCCACCTACATGACTGTCACAGAAAACTTCACCTATACCCAGACCAACCCGACCACCATCCACCACAGCGTGCCGACTTATCTGACCTGTCACTGAGAGCACATTCATCACCGAGACCACCCGCTCGCCAGTCACTGTCACGCGCAACGTCCCGACCACAGTCATCGCCACCGAGTACCACACGCAGACCCAGGTCCAGACGCTGCTCACCACCATCATCAACCTGGCCACATCATATGTGACTGCCACCGAGAAGCACACTCAGACTGTCACCGAGGTGTCGGTTGAGGTCCAGACCAGCATCAAGCCGTCCTTTGCCACTGTCACTGAGGAGGTCACTGCGATCTCCACTGCCGTTGAGACCCAGTGCGACACCGTTGTGCAGTGCATTCCGATTACTGTCTGCCAACCTGTGTGCGGCACCTGCTATGTCACCTGCTACGAGACATGTGTTGAGTACTGCATGGAGACTATCGAGCACATATGCACCCAGGTCATCAGCTGCCCCGTTACAAACTGCGAGACAGAAATCCAGACTGTCACCATGTGCCAGCCGGTCACGGTTACTACCGGTGTTACTGAGTACGACACAGTGTGCCAGCTTGTCACTGTTGAGCGCACTTCCACCCAGACTAAGCCCGTTCTTGTCGTCCAGAACGTCTGCACTGACTGTTCTGAGAGCTGCGCCCCCTGCTCCTCCTCCTTCCCCTGTCAAGTATAGGCGCCCAGAACCCGTATGACCAGCTTGAGCTGGACGATACCGAGGATCCTGGCGCGCTGAAGCTCAACAAGGCTGTTCCTGCCAAGCACGCTGATCCCAAGAAGGCTGCTCCCAAGAAGGCTTGTTGCCAAGAAGGCCGCCGCCGCTGCTGTCAAGGCGCACAAGGCTGTTGCTGTTTAAGCTTGTCGTTTTCGCTTCTTAACTTTTAGCACAATTGTTATCTCTTCAATCTCCTCTCCTGCCCTCATTACTTGCGTTCAATACTTCTTACTCCTTCATAGCAACAACTTTGAACACCTTTCCTACCCCTCAGCATAGCAATTTATAAGAAAGCCTCTTGGAAATATAGCCATCATGTATTTTATTCCATTTTCATGCCAGAAGAATGCTATGTGAGATGAGTTAAGAAAGGGAGTATGAGCGCACCACATACAATTCATGCGGTGAAAGTAAAAAAATGAGCGTGCTTTATCCTATACGCAAAAAGGATAAGAAATGAGATGGAATGATGAACTAACAGATAACAAGATTAAACAACATTGGCTGCACAAAATGAGCCTCGTAGATAGCAACCAGCCGCTGCTAGTTATTCGTCGACTTCAGTGACGAACTTGACAGCAGGGGTAACAAGCTTGGTTACCATCATGACCGACTGCGACGGGGCTACATTTGGCATTGGGAGGCAATGGGCCCTGAGGCATAGGACCCTGAGGAGAAGGGAGAGGTGACCCCTGAGGCGCTGACCCCTGTGACGCAGGGCCAGCGGGAGCAGGAACCGGTCGGCCATGGGCCAGGAGGGAACGATGGTCCCTGTGAGCTAGGCGGGGCTGTGGCTGCACTGATTGTGCTCATGACAAACCGGATTACTGGGTGCATGTCCTCAGCCAAGGTCGGTGCAAATGGCGACTGCGGCATAGTCATCACCACTGGATGCGCCGAAACGGGCTTGTCGGCAGGGGCCACCAGCGGCAAGTCCTTGCGGTGTGTGTAGATCTCGCTGCCATAGCTCAGCGGATCTAATTCGTTGACAGCACGTGGTTCGTTTCCTGCGGCGGCGGTGGTCGCCGAAAACATAGGTGAGTTGCTGGTGATATGGCTGGGCAGTGCTAGGTCGGCGTCGTGAGCGAAAGCTGCATCGCCGTGTACATTCACAAAGTTGTTCGGCGCGTCACGGTGCCCAGAGTCGACAGCTGAATGTCCGTTCTCGCCTTCAGAGTACGCTTGTTCATGCTCGCGATCGGAGTACAACTGCTCGTGCTCAGGATAAGACTGCTCGTGCTCAAGATATGACTGCTCGTGCCCAGGATATGACTGCTCGTGCCCAGGATAAGATTGCTCGTGCTCGTATTCGTAAGCACTGTCACCATGCATGTTCACAAAGTGGTTTGGCGCCTCGTGGCTCCCGCCCTCCCCTGCTAAGCGCTCTTTCTGGTGCTCGTAGTACTGTGTTGGGGTCGCCTCAACGAATGTCTCCATGCCCTCATGGCCCCGACTCTCCCCAGCCGCTGCGTACATGGTGGCACTATCACCGTCATAGTGAACCTTCATCTCGCCCGCTGGTGTATCGTTGACGACAGTATAGCTACGCACACCCTGGGTCGCCATCAGCGCAGAGATTCGCTCCTCGTTGTCCATGGCACTCTCAGCGGCTTGCTCACCAGCACCCATCCTTTCTGACTCAGTCATGTCAGTCACCGTATGGGCGTGAGTGCGCGAATCAATCTCAGATACTCCGTCGAGCGAGCGGCTGACAAAGCTATGCTCATCATCACCTATCACCGTATGGGGCGACGAGTCGCGCGCTTCGGACCGCAGCTCTGATGCTGCTCCATATCTCTTGGGGCTGATAAGTGTGTCCTGGACCCGGGGGTAATCTGAAATGCTCAGCTCCGAAGACACTTGCGCAGCCGCCTCCACCGACGCTTGGGCACGGATTTCTTGAATCACAGCCTCACGAGCCTCAGCTGATGCCTCAATACGCGTACACGATCGGCCTCATCCCTGATGTCCTCGTTGTAGTTGACGCGGGGGCGAGAGCCAAGAACTCCATTGGCGGCAGGCTCCACGGCAACCACACCAGCAGCAGCTACATTATCTGCGGATGGGTCAGCCTCAGGCTGGTGATAGGTTAGTGAGTTGCGGTAATGCTTCACTTCAGCCAGCTGCGACTCAGCAGCCTCGCGTGCCAGATCGTCCTTAACACTAGTACTGCCGTTGTGCAGTGGATAGACAACCGCCACGAGTACCTGCGCTATTCCCAACTACCACACCCTTACCAATACTCTTACCGTTGACGACTGGGACAGTGGGAATGTCATCAGCATCTGCAGATTCACCAGCCGCACTAGCTGGCCTCTTTCCGGCACTAACTCCACAGGTGCCCCTACTGCCAGCAGAATCAGCAGGATCGGCAGCAACAGCAGCAGCATCAGGGCAGCAGCAACAGCAGCAGCATCAGGGGCGGCAGCAACAGCATCGGCATCAGCAGCGGAATCAGCAGCGGCAGCATCGCTGTCCGAAGCCTCTGAGGTAGCTACCACTGCAGATAGAACAGTAGCGTCGGCATCCGCATCAGGCATAGCAGCAGCGTCAGCCGCCACAGCAGCAGCAGGCTCACTACCAACTACAGATGTGCACGTCCCAGCACCAGTCACACGAGTGGAGACAGGGCGCTTCAACCCAGTGCCCTTACTTGTCTTGGACCACCTTGCTCGCCTTTGCTGTCTGTTTCGCGGCTGGCACAGCAACTGCAGGGGTGGCAGCCTGGTCTGCTGAAAGCTGCGAATCATTGGAGACGGCGGCAGCGGCAACAGCAACAGCTGCATCGTCAGATACAGTGCCATCAGCGACTGGGCTGGGAATGTCTGTGTTGGCGGCAGCAGGCAGCAGCATCAGCATCAGCATCCACCGCTGCTGTGGTCGCAAGGGCATCGGCGTTGGAAGCAATGGTAGCAGCTACAATGGATATAGATGCAGGAGCAGCGCTTGAGATTTCAGCCGGTGTGTCGCGGGCAAGTCCATTGGAAATTGCCTGGTTGATGGTTGAGATGGCCTGCGGCGTCAGCCCATTCGGGTTCAAGATAATGGCGGTAGGAATCGGCGGTACTGCTGGTGCCAAGACGGCTGGTGAAACTCCCTGGTTAGCAAACGAATCGTGCGCAAGAGCCTGGTTGTTGCCATTAGCGAGGAATTGGGGGAGAATAGGCGGAGAAAGCTGCGCTGACAGAGGGCCATCCTGAAGCAGCTGCTGGAGCGGGTAGGCACCGCCCTGAATGATCTGGGGTGCTTGAGGAGCAGGCACAACAGGCGAGAGCACATCAGGGGCTACTGCAGCGGCAGGGAGGGGTTATGACAAGCGGTGCTGCAGCTGGTGCAGGATCCAGGTACTTGCGGGAACAAGGCCTATTGGCGCAGCAGCAGCAGGGGCACTAGCAGCAAATGGAGCTGGAAGCGAGAACCGGGGCAGGAGCCGCTGCCGGGATCAGGAACTGCTGGGGCAATTGGAGTAAGCGGCGTGACTGGTACTTGTGCAGGAGCAGCAGCAACGGCGGCAGGAGGCAGCAGTCCAGGTCAGCAGCTGGGGCCAGGACTGGAGCCACAGCAGGAGTGACAGGGGCCTACAGCAGCCGGTGCCAGCAACTGGAGCAGTTGGTGGTACGGCTGGAGCAGCAGCCGGCAGCAACTGGCAGCAACTGGAGCAGCAGCCGGCAGGAGCGGCAGCGATAGCAGGAGCAGCGGCGGCGGCAGCAGCAGCAGGAGAAGCAGGAGGCAGGGGCTGCTAGGCTAGCAGGAACGGCAGCGGCAGGGCAGCAGCGGCGGCAGAAGGCGGTGCGGTAGTCACAACAGCAGCAATTGGCGGTGAGGCCATGACAGCTGCTGGTGCCTGAGCTGCAAGGGCAGAAACCGCTGGTAGTGAGACTACAACTGCAGGGTGGAGCAGCGACTGGGACAACTGCTGCTGCCGGAGCCGCGGGAGGAGCTTCAACAACAATCTGCGTTGAGTCTGTAGCGTGCAGAGGCATGGCCTGCGCAGTACCTGAAAGGATAATCTGGGGTGCAGCAGCAACCTGGGCCTGGGCTGGAGGGTCAGCGAAAATAATAGTAGGCTGCTGAGGCTGGGCAGCAAATGCCTGGGCGGCAAGTGCTGGGGGCTCTGCCTGCTGCTCGGCAATTAGCAGCTGGGACTGCGAGTTGGCGCGCGGTACGGCCTGGTCGGCAAGGATGAGTGGTTGGTCGCCGAGCAAGAAGCCGCGCTTGCCCAAGAGTTGGTCCTGCTGATCAGCTGGTGTCGCCGGCATATGCAAAAGTAGCAAGCGCTACTATGAAAATCGATATTTTGGCCTGGATATGCATGAGGGGCCAGGGTGGATATTAGGCGAATAATAGGACTAGAGGTAATATTTTGGTACAGTAGGGTGTATCTAGTTCAGGGCACCTGTGAAGGCACAAGCGGGAAAGGGGAAATAGTATAATGCGGAGGGCGAACGCAGAGAATTGAGTGAATACGCGGGTCTTTTTTGCAGATGATAGCCAGCTATCGCCGATGATAAAGAAACCGGCCATGACAGCGGGGTGCTCAAAAATAAGCCCAGCATAAACTACAGCAACTAGAATGCTGGTAGTTTGAATATAGCAGTGAGTATTCTTTACCAACAAGCAGTATACGCACTCGGTTTATAGCATACCTGTTCGAAAGGGGCTCCAGATTTGCGACCCAGTGCGGGGAGGGGAAACCGTGTTTTTTGTGAGACAGTTTCCACGACCTGCTATAAACCTCATTCATTATCACTCCTGTAGCTCCCCACGCAGAGTTCCTGACTAGCCACCCCAGATGGCATGTCGCACCTGTCGTTACTGTAAATACTCACACTAAATGATATTGTGCAAGACTTTCAGGAAAATAAATGTATCGGACATATTGGCACTTTAGAAACATAGAAAACAATATCAGCGCTAGTCTGGGATGTCAGGATCGTCTATGCGGATGGGCTTTCTGCTGTGCGCGCTTGATGACACAGACTTGGAGGGAGCCTCGTTGATCGGCTCCTCTTTCTGGTTGACATGTCTATGCACAGGAAGATCAGCGACAGGCATTTCAATGTCCTTCTCATAGTCGTCATTGTCGTCCATTGTTGTCGTCTTGTCTTTGTCGTCTTGTCTCGTTGTGTCATTGTCGTTGTTGTCGTTGTCGTCGTCGTCGTCGTCGTCGTCAGCATCCTCATCAGGCTCGGAGTCGTTGCTTGTGTTTTTGCTGCGTCTACCGCGGTTGACACCACCGTCATTGTCCTCCTTCTCCGAGTCGTCAGCGTCGACATCTCTCTCCGAGTTCTCCTTGTGGGAAGCTGCGAATAAAGCAGGCTGACCTTTAAGGATGTTTGCAATGGCGCTGGCGATGTTGCTCACGTTGATAGGGTAGTTGTTAGAGACAGAGAACCTGCCAGGTGACTCAGCTGGATCACTCGTTGGCTTTCCACTACTGTTATTAGTGAACGGCGGGGCGAATATATCCGTAGGTGACACTGTCTGTGGGAGGTCAGAAGACAACTGCTGTGACGATGAGTCAGACAATGTCTGGGGAGATGTTGGATCCGGCGATGACAGCTGCGTTAATATAGCAGGAGATGTTTCTGGTGCTGGATACTGGATGCTGGTGCTGGGTGCTGGTAATGGTTCTGATGCTGGTAATGGTGCTTGTGCTGGTGCTGGTGCTGACGTCGGAGAGGACGATAGTGATTGATTTTGTGGATGTGGTGGTGCTGGTGTGGGCGATGGCGATGGGCGAGGAGCTGACGATTCTGGCTGAGCAGTTGCCAGCGAAGATGGAGGTGGCGGCAGTGATAGTGGTGGTAATGGTGCAGGCGGTTTTGTCGGTAGCTGTGTCTGTACATTCACCAGTGGCTCCGATGCAGGAGTTAATGACAGTGAAATGCGCGGCAGTGGCAAGGATGGAGATGAACGCGGTGGGGGTGGTACTGGCGAGGACAGCAGTTGCTTAGGCGCAAGCTGATTCAGGCTGCCCCTTTGACTTGGAACGATTCAGTACTGCGCTGACCAGGTCAGATAGAGTGGGATTCTTCTTTGCTGAAGCCGCTGGAGGTGCAGACGAATGTGCCGCTGGAGGCAATGATCGCGATGCTGCCGACCTTGGAGAACCAACGACCATCCGAGCTAACTACTGCATGTGGAAGCAGCACTACTGAATGTGCAGACACTACAGATGGCTGAGGCAGTGGTGACGGCGATGCAGGTGGCAGCGGTGGTTGTGATGCTGGCAGAGGCAATGGCGGGTGCTGTGGCTGCTGCTTGGGTCCCGGGGACGGCGCCGGACTGCCAAGATAGGAACCGGAGGCATAGTATCGGCTGGAAAGTCGAAAGACTGGTGTGCATTTTTGGCAGTGGGGGCGGTGATCTGAATGACCTTGGTTTCGATGACGGGAATGCGCTCGTAATCAATCGAATCACTCATTCCAAACGACTCCAGAGAAGCACTCTCGCGGGATATAATACTGGAAAGCAGCGGCGCAAATATGTTCTTTGGCGGCAGCACCGACTCGAGAATATCTGTAAGGCGGTGGATCTTGGCTAGCCGATCGCCTAGCGGGCCCAGGAACGACTCACTCTCCGATACTAGTGACACAGGGGTCATGGATGATATGGCCATACGGTCCACTTCTATCACAGCAGTATCATGCGGCGGTGGTGCAGATAGTGGTGATGGCGTCGGTGCAGGCGTTGATGATGGACCAGTTGTACATGTGGATGCTCTTGTATCTTCAGTAGTGGATGGTTCCCAGCAGCATGTCGGCTATCTGCGATGCCTCCACGTTCAGCGAGCTAATGGTCAGTATTGTTGCAGACAAGCTATCGTCTGTCACTGTAATCGTAACTGTAGGCAGCACAACTTGCAGCGATACCAGGTGCGGCGGCGATGAGGCGGGACTCAATGAGTAGGAGTCACTTGGCTGATCGGTGCCCACAGGGCTGCTGTCGCCATCATGCTGTGTGCTGGTATTGGTGTTGTCGTCAATGGCGGATATGACGGAGCTCCGGCTGAGGATGGCTTTATCGTCTGGGTATGCACACTGGATTCCGGCGTACTTGTTGGGAATCTGGTAACATTTGGTGCCCATGATGCATTTGAACAGGACGCTGCGGGATCCAATCTGCTCCATGTACAGGTTGCTCAACCCATCAGCGTAGATGCAATGGAATCTTGAAAGGGATGTGTCGCCCAGCGCGGCGGCACTAGCCATAGCTAGAGCTGCCAACACACTGAAAAATGGTGGCATTGAGGCGTGAAAGAAGGTTGGAATTAGTGTTGGTACTGTTGCTGCTGGAGATAGAGGATCAAAGGAAAAAGGAAGCGCGGCCATCCAGAATGGTGCGGCGGGGCGCTCTATACAAAAGGGAAGCGAAGGCTGCAAAGTGGCCTCTATTTGGCAATATCCAGTTCTACTACCAGCATCGCGTGTAATGAAAATAGGAGCTTTGTATTTTTCGGTCTTTGGGCTGATTTCAGTCGCATGCAGCCAAAAGGCGAGCATGATGCCGAGGAATAGCTACCCCCGCAAGGGGTGCGGGGACATAGGTGTCCAAATTGAAGCGCATCATCCAACCTCACATTCTTGGCCATGTCTACTTGTCCTCACGCGGCAATTCGTATGTTGAGGCACCGCCATTGTCAATGTGGCGCGAGCTGGCGATGTTGTCGAGCAGATAGGCGCTGTCAACACCACCCTCCTTGAACGTGCGCCGCTTCTCTTCGCCCAGCACCAGGCGCTTGTACAGGATGTTGGAGTACACGACGATGACCGGGATGGTGACAATGATCACGGTCCAGCACAGCTGCCGCCGCGACATGCCGCGGAGCTTGTCCTTGGGCACGTTCTTCATGCGTGGGAGGTTCCGATCGCCGAACCGGATCTTCTGTGCAAGCAGCGGCCGTGTGTAGAACATTGTTGAGATATAGCAGAGAAAGCGCGGCAGTCCAGATCAGGAGGCAGCTCAATCGCTGCTGCGCGGCCAGGACCCGAGGACCTGCAGCAGCAGCAGCAGGACAACTTATGGATGGGGTGGATTTAAGCGAGGAAAATTTAATGTCGAATTTCTTATTAAATTTTTTAGAAAGCCTCAACAGGGGCAGCCTCGGCGGCAGGAGCCTCAGCAGCGGGAGCAGCCTCCTCGGCGGCAACCGGGAGCTTGGACTCGGAGACGGGGCCAGTGATGACCTGCTCGTCCTCCTTGTCGTTGCTGAGGATGGTGACCAGGTCGGGCAGCGGGTTCTTGGGGCCAACGCGACCGGTGGGGTCCCAGTCAAGCATGATCTTGACCTTGATACCAAGGACACCCTGCTTCATGTCGACGTGGCGCACGGCGTAGTCGATGTACTCCTTGGCGGGGTTACCCGAGTGGACCATGAAGCCCTCGCTGAACTTCATAGCCTTGGCACGAGCAGCGCGCAGCTTACCCGAGACAACGACCTCGCAACCCTTGGCGCCGGACTCCATGACGTAGCGGACGACGGAGTAGGCAGCGCGGCGGACAGCAAGACCCTGGAGGAGCTTGAACTTGAGCGACTCGCACTGGGCGACGGCGCACAGACCGCGGGCAGCGACCTTCTCGGCGTAGAGCTCGACGGTGCCCTCGGGGAAGTTGAAGCGCTTCTGGACAATCGAGGTCAGCTCGCGGATGCGGCGACCCTTGACACCAAGCACGTCCTGGGTGTGGGTGGCACGGATGATGATCTCGGTGCGGGCCGGGGTGACGCGGACCTCGCAGCCAGAGTAACCCTCGGAAGCGAGCTCACGCTGGAAGAACTCGTTCAGCTCAGCGTAGAAAACACCGTCGGCAACAAACTATATACGTGCATAGTGATCGTGGTTAGTCAAATGTGTCCGTGGCCAACGCAGGCAATTTGGGAAAGCACCGGCGCACATGGTCTCATTTGCCGATTGGCGCGGGTGATGCTGTTGGGGCTCAGAAACGAGTCGCGTTCAGTTGGCACCAAGGCCATCAAACAATAGGTATCAGAAAATATAAATGCAACAAAGTGCGGGTCATCACAGCGCCAACAGCACCACCTCCATTCTGCGAATGTGTCCAGGTTGGTGAATTCGTCCAGCCGATTCTAGCGCTTCGCAAAATTTCCGTTCTGCGGATGCGCGTATCCGCCGTGCGCGTATCCATCGTCAAATCCGTCCGTGGCAAAAACGCACCTTCTTCTTTTTCGCGATCTGGGAAGCCATTTTAATCGAGGTTATGAGGAAAGAGGTCGAATCGCAGCTCCTGGCACAGCCAGTGTAGTTTATGTCTCGACCCCAAGCGAGGTTGCAGATCTGATCCACAGCGAAATATCAAATCATGTGGGATCAGACGGCCTAGATGATCAATATCCGCAGGCACCTGTGGCTGCAGATTCTGGCGACGGTGCTTTCAAGGGCAGATGGGGCCGTGCGGCGCCCGACATTCGATAGGTAGCTGGCACATGTGGTGGCTGCCGGGGGATACATGTGCATGTAGGCAGCCATCGGCGTGCGGCGAATGCACGCATTTCATACTGCCGATCGAGCTGAGCCAGCTGACACACGAGCCGGCTGAGATGATCTTTTCTCGGATATATGGTTTGTCAGCACCAGTGGCTCTGCGGCACGGCCGCTTTTCTTCGCTTCAAACCCAACAATTCGCTTTTTATTTACCTTCTCCTGTACAATTGAACATTTACAATGGCGTTTTCTGGAGGGCTTCGTCTGACCGACTTGAACGATTACATCACGCCTGGCCAGGAGTGCATCAAGCCGGTAGAAGTCAAAAAGACTGGCAAGTCGGACGGCTCGCAGATCAAGGTTGATGGCACTGGCGGCTACTATGAGGTCAGCAAGGACGGCGAAGAGACCAAGCTGGAGGCTGCACGGATCACGCTCAATGACTGCCTGGCCTGCAGCGGCTGCGTCACATCAGCAGAGACGGTTCTGATCACGATGCAATCGCACCACGAGTTAGTGTCGGTGCTGAAGGAAAAGAGCAAGCAGTTGGTGGTGGTTACTATCGCACCGCAATCAGTAGCATCTATGGCGCAAAAGTATAACATGTCGACGCTGCAGGTTGCGCAGCGCATGACAGCCACACTGAAAGGCATGGGAGTGGATCATGTCTATGACTCGGCGTTTGCACGGGACCTGACCCTCGTCGAGTCAGCACGCGAGTTTGTCGAGCGCTTCAAGGCTAGCAGCCAGCAGCTACCGGTATTGGCCAGCTGGTGCCCCGGCTGGGTGTGCTACGCCGAGAAGACACACGCGGAGGCGCTGCCATATATGAGCACTACCCGGTCGCCGCAGCAGGCCATGGGTGCTGTGGTCAAGAACTATATGGCTAACAAGCTGGGAATCACACCTGACCAAATCTATCATGTGGCGATTATGATGTGCTACGACAAGAAGCTCGAGGCGTCGCGCGACGACTTTTACAACGACATCTATAAGACACGCGAGGTCGACTGCGTGGTCACCACCGGAGAATTCGATCGCATGCTGGATGAACAGGGCATTGCATTTGCTGAAATCTCGCCAGCACCACTCGACTCACTGTTCAAGACAAATGGGGACAGCACTGCCCTGTATACTAGCGCAGGCACCTCGGCGGGCGGTGGGCTCGAATACATCATGTCGTATGCGGCCCGGACACTGTTCGGCGTTGCCATTGCACCCGAAGAGATTGCTGATGCTGGACGCGGCACGCGGGCACACGAGCTGATCCAAGTCAAGCTAGTGCGCAACCAGTCCGACCACCGCGAGATGGTGCTGCTGGATCCTGAAACCAGGCAGCCAGTGCTCAAGTTTGCTACCGTCTACGGTTTCCGTCACCTTCAGAACCTGGTGCGCAAGCTAAAGTCTGGCCGGGCCACATTCCACTATGTTGAGGTAGCAGCGTGCCCCAGCGCCTGCTCCAATGGTGGCGGTCAGCTGCAGCCCGAGGACCCGAGTCCAGCGGTCCAAGAAGCAGTGGGTGGCAGAAACCGAGGCAAAATATACCACGTCCAGTGCCAGCCAGCTCCCAGAGGATAACCCGCTGGTGAAGGAGCTGATTTACGGCTGGTTCGGCTCGGAGGGACTAGACTCGCCCCTGGCCAAGGCACAACTTCACACACAGTTTCATGGTGTCGAGACCAAGGTGAACCCGCTCGGCGTGAGCTGGTAGAGTGCCCTGAACATTGCACTAAACCTCCCAATAAAAAGATCGATTCCCCAGGCGGCAGATGCGCGTGCGATAGCATTCGCAGTGCGCCGCGGCTGTGGAGAGGAAATTTCGACCAGCGTGGCACAACAAGAAATGGCCCGGATGCCATTCTCCCTGACTCTCCTCTCCCACACGCGATGGGCATAGATAAAGCACGAGGTAGGGCGGCTTGGGCTTCTCTAGCCCCGATCGATAACAACCCGTCGCAGTAGAGCACCATTTTGCTGTTCACACGACTCACTAAGAACTGTTTTTACCCGCGATCGCAGAATGATGCTTTGCTCGCGCAAAGCGTGGCCTCTCTTTGCCGTCCCGCTTGAGCATATGCTGCATATTATTGTTGCTACTTTTCTGGTGCACACGGTAGCTGGTGCCCCCTGGTGTGGCGGCCACTCTCTGGCCACGTATAAATTCCCTAGGGCCCCACCTGCTTGTCAAGTACACGACAAGACATCGCGCCCACACAACATCCGAAAGTAGTTATACCTCCACACCAATATGCTGCACCAGCTCCTCGACACCGCTGATGCCAACCGGCCAAATGCGCTCACCAAGTCCATGTCTCAGCTCTCGCTCTCCTCCGACGACTCGGAGCGGGTCTCGGTCCGGTCAACACTGGTCAGCATGTCAGAAGCCACCAAGACTAACAACAAGCACAGCCGCGAGGTGGTTTTCGAGGACGTAGACCCTGAGGATATCAACTTTGCGCTGGCGCTAGGCGACCGTGCGCCTGAAACCATCGAATGCGTGCGTATTAACCGGTGTCGCATGGACAGCGCTGCCTTTGCTGCCTTGGTCGATAATATGTGCCAGGTTGACCTCTGCCGCTTGCAGATACTCGACATTGCCCAGAACAGCATAGGTGGTGAGCTAGTAGGACCAGCACTGCTCCGACTGATTCGCCACGCCAGAAACATCCGGCACCTGGCCTTGGGGTGGAACAAGATTGCGCTGGCAGACCTGGTTGCGCTAGCACCCGCCGAAGGCCCAGACGCAGCCTTTTCCATCAGCCATCTGGACTTGCGCGCAAACCCGCTGTCACGACCAGTAAAGAGCTCGTCACGGCGCCCAAGCAAGAGCACCAGTGGTGCATATGCGCCAACCGACCTGTCTTGGCTGCCATCGCTTATCGCCGCTATGCCCAAGCTGACACATATCCTGTTAGCCCAGGCGTCGCTGAGCGACACCGACCTTGTCGCGCTGATTCACGCGCTGGTGCCCGCAATCCCGCCAATCGAGTATATCGGCTTGGAATGGCTTGGCCTTGGAAGCCGTCTTTCAGCATTGAGCACGATCCTTAGCGATCTCTCTCCCAAACTTAGCACCGTTCCCCACCAAAGCTGCACCTGAACTTGTCCGCGAATACCCTTGGTGACAGTGGAATGCGGGTCATCTCTGAATCTACTGCAAAGCTGTCGTCGCTCACGCTATCTTGCAACTTTATTACTGAGCGCGGTACCAGATATCTAGCCCAGTGGCTCCCCAACTCAGGCGTGGTTGACCTGGACCTGTCCGACAATCACTTTGGAGACCAGGGCGTGGCTGCACTGCTGTCACCAAGCACCGAGTCTGTGCACGACCAAGCAGATGCTGGTTTGGTGATCGGCGGCATCCGCTATTCGACCCAAATCAAATGCCTCGGGCTGACGAGCTGCTGTCTGAGCGACACCTCTCTGCGCATGCTCACGGAAGCGCTTGACGGACACTGGGCCCCGCTCTCGTCGCTGAAGATATTACGGAACAGCAGGATCTCCCATGGAACAAAGATCGCCGTGTAGTACTGGGCACGGCTGTTTTCATTTTTACTCGTACATTATGAAATATCGCTGATCTACTTATTGCAATCGTCTACCGCTCCCAGCGGAATCTTGGTAATTTTGAACAAGGTCGGATGTCATCAGTCCCACTAATGCTGGCCAAGCAAATGTTGAACTTTTCTGGGCATGCTGAGTTTCGAGGAGATATTCTTTTTGGAAAGATACTACGCAAAGAGGTGGTAAGGATAATAATAATAATAAATGCATGAGTTTAGAAAAGCTAACACTGAGAAAGAGAATGAGAGGGGATATGTGCAAATATGAGCAGAGAGAAACGAAATGGAATGGAAAGGTCGAACGCGGATATCCGGCAATACTGTTTGGAATGCGCAAAAATACACATGGGTGATGGTATGTTCAATGGTGAGAGATGCAATGCAAGCCCCGCAGAAGCGCTGCCACAGCTTGCCTAGTTCTGCATATACATGCCATTCGGAACGATGCCTGTACCGGCGCCATTCCCACTGACCATCGACGCCTCCTCAGGCGAACCCATGGGCTGCTCCCCGGTCGTCCACACGGCAGCGGCAGCGGCAGCCGCGCTAATCTGCAGCGATGCGGCAGCGGCGACAGCAGCCTCATTCGACAGCGGATTGCAATTGTTCACAAATGACGCATTGGGCGTCAGATAGAACGGACTCGACAGTGCGCTCATCTGGGCGCTATGCGCGCTGCCTGGGTATGCCAGCGTGAATCCCTCAAGGCCAGCTGCAGTCGTGACCGGGGCGCTGGCCATCGGTGCCATGCTCACGTACGGCGAACTGCCACCGCTAAGACTCATAACCGGCGACCCATTGCTGACGGTGATGCGGCGCAGCGAGTCTGGCGGCGTGTTGGTCACCATCGGCGTCGCACTGATCACGGCGGTGTTGATTTGCGGGAGCGAAAACTCTTGGAATTTGCGGCGCACCTGCTCGCTGGAGACCATGGGCTGGGACAGCATCGGCGTCTGCGACGGGTAGAGTGCGGCCATGTTGCGCGGCAAAAAGGACGGCCGAGTCATGGAGGACGCGTGAAAGCCTGAGTTGTTGCTGGGGACACCATACCGGGCGCCGTTTTTGGAGGTGCTGCCGCCAGCCTGCACTGAGCTCCCGGCCTTTGAGTGCGGTGGGGACAGAGGGCTTCCGCTGCTGGTTTTCAATGCCTTTGTGATTGCTTCACTGACAAGTTCCAGCTGGCCACGAACGAACACGAGCACTACAGATATATACAAAGGGCAGGACAATCAGTACAACGACAGATTTGCTACATGTTGCTTTCGGTAATTGGAAACATGGACATATGCTAGGACATTTCTCCCTCCACCTGTCCAGTCAAAGCAATATGTAGATCAGCATCGTCCGCGGCGAAATGTGACAATGGAGCATTGCAGCTTGCACAATAAAGCGAGTGTGAGGGTGGTGCCAGCATTTGAGCGCTCTCCTTGGGAGATCGGCCGCGCGAAGGTAAGAAATCAGGAGTGACACGAAGTATTGGAAGAGACGCATAAGGCAATGTAGAGGAATCCTTCTGCCATTTTGCCCGATGGATTGCTGACACAGCAGCTTTCATGTTCAGGTCGCAGCCATCACTGGGCAAAGCGTTTTGGACACAATAATCGACAGACGATCTGAACATTTACCACCGCTGCGACACTCCTCTGGTTGTTGGGACGAGATGTTAGTCTGGAAAATCAGCCGGCGACTGGGCGATAAATAAATCGCTCAGTTGCCATATATGGGCTCCTTGGTGAATAATTGTGAGTGACACTAGCAATCCAGTAGCCCAGTATCGGGGCAGACAAAGCGCGGAAATGCGTGTAGCTCCTTTGCTATATTGGCGATCGCCCGGCCGACGGATTTTAAATAGCCTGAGCTGCAAGAGGCCAGTCTGATTCACGCAGGAAGGATGGTGCTGGTGAACCGTGTTCAGCAGTCGCCAATCCAGTTATCTGCTCCTCTGGTACAACAGGAGTCGGCATGGACTGTCCGGCCAGAAAAAGGGACCACCATGCATGGGCAGGAAATATCCTAGGACACCAGACAACGAGTGTAGAGAGGAATGTGACTTACCTGTAGGTTCAAGCTCATCGACGACATCCACAAGAGACTGCAGAGCAGTGACTGCCTGTCTGGCCTGGAGCGTTTGGTATTCGGGGGCACTGGCAGCTTCAAACTCCATCGGACTCGGGTCCTTCTCTGCCATCTGCACGGTCTGAGGGAACACGTGCGGCGATTCAGAGAGCTCATTGAGCTGCTGGTGCGGCAACGCTTTGTCGTCCTCGTCCTGGACATTCTCCGACGATAGCTGGATGGGTGGGAGGGTCACCGCCTGGGTCGAGGCGTATGGGTTGATGCGCATGGTCTCGTCGTTGGCAAGCATGCCCGACGACATAATGTCCTGCTGGGCCGACGGGTGCCGGGGAACTTTGACACGGGCAATTTTGTCAAGCAAGTGGGGGTGGTTACGAAGGAACTCTGGGTGGCGGAACCGGCAGTGGCCCTTGAGCGTGCGCTCCTTGCGGCCATCGGTGACGCGGCGGAAGCCGTAAAGATGGAATTGGCGAGTGAAAGACTGGTACTTCTTGGTGCCAAAGTAGCGTGGCAGCACCTCGTCGGCAACGGTCTCAGGACGCTCGATGACGACCTCAGTGCCATCCTCGTTCCAGTGAAGGCACCAGTATTTGCCGCTCTCCAAGATCCTATAAATAGAGATAAACACAAGTTAGCACCATGCATCAACATGCGCGTGGCGGCGGCATTGGAGGTATTGGATGCCAGATGGTAGCACAGCTCCAGGAACATGAGTGGACGAGCGCAAAGATCATGCAGGAGGCGAGGCAGGCAAAAGGCAGGACTACTTTCTTCCTATAGTGCGCAAAAAGCCCGTGCAATGCAGCAAATGATCGGGGCTGAGACTGCATATTGCGCGGTTCTTTGTGGCCAAAGGAAAATTGAGCCATTCATGAACAGGTCCCACTCGCCACACCCAAGGAAAGGGCACTCTTGCAAAGCAAAAAAGAATTCGCATTCGCTCTGTGGCTGTGCGCAAGGACTGTGAGGCGCGGGTGGAAAAATAAAAAGGAGCGGCATGCAATCGGTAGATACATGCAGCTCCCGGGAGAGGACTATATGCAGACTTGCAGCATGCCTCAATTGTACTAGAAGAAAAGGAGCAGCCCCTTGGCCGAGAGGGAAGGAGATAGAGCGGCAGTGTGCATGTGCGATTGGATGGCACGGTGGCAAGGCGTGATGGAGCAGCAGGCCAGCGGCCCGTTGGCCTGCACTTGCACTGATGGTGGATGTGGTAGCAGCGATGGCCATGCAGCACAGCATCAATAGCTGGTTTTTTTGAAACATACCTGTACAGGATAGTGACAAAGTTGTCGGGTTTCGAATGGCTGTAGTTGCGTTGGCTCTTGCCCATTTTAGCTGAATTGGTGCGATGTCGTGATCTTGAACCAAGCGCGAAGTATGAAGGAAGAGTTTATAAAGCCGAATATGGTGATGGTGAAGAAGAGGAAATAAGAATTCAATAAACAACAAGGTAAACGGTCTATCACAGGAGAGCAAGTGTGTGCGTGCTGTTGCTGTTGCTGTTGTTGGTATAGGGAATGAGAACGTTAGCCGCTAGTCGATTTCGAATAGCTTATGTAAAACTGTATGTAACTAGTAGGCGATGGTGTTACAACAGGGCGCCAGACACATAGGATGCTTGGTACTGATGACAAGCTTTGCTGGCACAAAAAAAGACGCGAGGAGGAGAGAGAGAGAATGTCTGGAGGAAAAGTGGAATAGTAACAGGGACAGCCCGCGACCAGGAGATTCTGGTTCGACTTTATAAGGCAAGGAAGGTTATTTCCATTTCCAGTGCTGGGCAAGGGCAGCGAGGTGGGTGTGCGCGAGAATGGCCGTGAAAGGCACTTGGTTCAGGGAGAGAGGAAAACAGGGAGGGGGTGGTCAGGGCAGGGTACATGCCCGGGGGCAATCCTAGAGGGCCAGTATTTTTGCTCTCCTGCTGTGGCAGCGGCAGATGGATGAAGGATGGAAGGCGTGTGCTGGGCAGCGGGCAGCGAAAGGGTGGGGTCTTTGGGCGGACACTCGAATGGGCAAGCTGCAGCACGCCGAGGCAGAGAGGATTTTTCTCTCCCTGCTACCCAGCGTGGAAGGGAAAAGGGATTTTCTCCGGAGAGAAAACAATGCTGCTTGTTCCTGGGTCGCTGACCACCCCCGCCGGCCCGCACCTCTCTTGATGTCGTTTGTTTGCTTCATGGCTCATGCATAAAGTGAAAGAGGAGGAGCAGGACACACAAAACAGGCGTATCTCCGTTTGCTCCCCTTTGGGCGCCGTCACCGCAGAAAGAGACTTGTGTAAAATTCACGATCGGCCCAAGTCATCCAGCAGTACCTGAAAGGCAGCCGCGAGATTCACTCCCTGTAAACATATCCACAGGGATACCAAGGTCCACATCCACGCGGCGTGCTGAGCGGGATGGGTTGCCACAGATATGGAGACGTGCCACTGGGGAGGGCAAAAGTAAGTTTAGCCAGCATCTGAGCAGAACACGACCGAAAGGGAGGATCGGCGCCTTTACTATAAACATCCCGCATTATCGCGTACTCAATGGCGACCCATGTCCTGACTGGTTCTCGCGAGTCCGGATGCAGCACACCTCTGGATCTGCTTGGGCCATTTCTTTGCCATAGTCTGGGGGTTCGTTCTATTCAGCAGATAAAACAGATCCGCCTGTCTAGGCATCTCACACCGTTTATTTGCGCGTGTATTTAGTCGCAAAATAACAACAAAGGTGCAGAACAAAAATAGCCACGGCAAACGACCCAGGTCTTCCTTCCAGTCCGTGCTCCCGTGGCCTGCTTGCTGGTGCGCCCAATTGCCAAGGCAATTGCAGCATTCAAGCTCGTCCCAATTGCCAATTCAGCAGCACCGCTATTCCCCAGACGGGTCACTCGAGGGATGACCACGATCAGGCGGGCTGGGAATCCATGCCGGAGTCATCCAAAGCAGCAGCACCGGCGTACGAGCTCCATTGTTTGGAGTGCCGGAATGCGGAGCAGCCATTAGGATGGCAGGAGATGTGTCCATGATGATGCCTGTGTCGTTGTGTGGTCTGCCCTGCTGACTCCCTAGACGAGGATTCGAACATGTGGGATCCGGAGGAGCTTGTGAGGGCGATCCATGCGACAGTCCGTGATTTCCCCACATATGCCGAGGGCAAACTCCATGGACGCATTGCGTGATTTGGCTCGTTGGCTCTTTGGCGACCTGCCTTGACCAGCGGCGCTGGCCTGCGCGACCATGCACGGTATAAATAAACTCGCCGCCGGTTTGCATTCCCTTTCTGGCCGATTCAGTAAACTCCTTCAGGTACGTCCTGGTTCACAAGTTGGAAGGTACCAGTCAGCACACATCGTGCCAAAACTGCGCTGACCCTATCTCCATCACGGACGCATACAGGAAACCATCCTGTTTGTGTGCTGCACCACATGCTGATCATTTGGGCTACTTCTTCTGTCATGTCCTGCATGCTGTGGTGTAGAGGACAATGGCGCCCACGCCCCTCATCCCCATTCGCAGCTCTTTTCGCCCCCAGGCTTGCGGGCTGTGCTGCTGCATTTTTGTTGGGCTGGGTCCGCAGGCACACGGATGAATGGCCAAGACAAGGCCTCATCTGCAGGCCAAGATGGGGGATGGGGATTTTTGTCTATTTTAAACAGCCTCGGCAGCATTGATTTTTCCTGTTCGCAGATGTTGTGGACAGATCATACGTAAGCCTTGCAAGCTGGACTGGCGGGTCTAGTCTGCATTATTCGTGATAATGCGAACAGCGGCAGCTGCTGTGGCCGCGGTTTAAAATAGAACACGCCTTCACCATTGGCGCGGATCCTCTTCGCTGGTATGTGTGAATGTGCGTCATCGGTGATTGCGGAATGTGACCACCAGTCCAGGACAACCATGAACAGACCCGCCATATGCATGGACGTGGCCCATTCGGCGCTGCTGGTTCGAATACTGTGCCATTCAATTGGTGTAGAATATCAATTTGCGCGAGGCCTATCACCCACCGACTAACCCATGTATCCTGAGTGGCAAGACTAGCTTGCTACTGAAATCCCTCGCTCTATTTTTATGTTCGCCCCGGTGGAAGACAAAGTGCGTGGGATTGTCTTATCCACAGTCGTCCTGTTGGGAACGCCATATATGCGTGCCTGCGTAAATTGGTCTATTTTAAATAATTTTATTCAATCTCCGACCCGGGAGAGCATCTATTTTATATTCAAAGCTGACAAAAGCATGGTTGTCGGCAGAACGGCAGGGGAAACGCCAAGTACTCGCCTGTGCCAATTGCTGGCTAGAAAGGCCAATTAATGTAACCTGTACACCGTAATGCATACTGGACAAGGGCACCTAGCGCAGCATCACGCGGCTTGCGAATCCGTGGAGTATACAGTTGCCAGTGCTCAGGCATGACACCACAATGACCTGCGGTATCGGGAAATGTGGAAAAAGGGAGAGCTACCCGGCATTTTTGCCAGCAGCACGCTTAATGCCAAGCGCCCTTTGCCTCTGTCTACATGCACTGCATAGCCCCCTTTCCCCTAAGCCAGGACAATACAGACTGTGCATGCGCATTAGACCTGACCCCCGGCAGATCCGAGAAGCGGTGCAGACAAAACCAGGCAAACAAACCGAAACAATAATGCACCGCTTGTTTGCGTCCTATGCTGAGGATGGCTTTATGCTGATGGGATGCGCGGCCGAGGGCTCCAGCCAGGGCGAGGAGCGGATGTATTATTTGGTTTTGGGCAACGCTCTGGGGACCCCTATTGCCAGATGCAACCCACCTATCCCTAGTTTGTGCAAACAGGAGGTGGAAAACATGCACTTTTATGTATGGTTGCCAGCCTTGTCGCTGTATGTGTTTTTTAGATCGGCTGCCGCGTGAAAGCGCCTCTAATGACCTGTACTTTCCATTTTTGGCCGAGTATTTATCCACCAGGCATCGGCAATATGTGTGAGGCCGGGTGACAGCAAACAAACGCAAGGGATGCTACGAGTCCGGCCGCTCACTGCACGTATTGTCCGCTACACGGAGTCGTTCACTGGTATGTGACATTCCAAGACTTTCTGACATGGTGACGGTACCTCCATGTTGCACTTTAATTAGCCAGCTCTTGTGCGCATTGATTGTGGCCGTGGACGCTTGCACTTGCTCTCCCCTTGGTAAGAAAGTCTTATTTTCGTCTGGTACACGGTAGAGGCGGACAACTTTATAAAAACAACCGGCACTAGAAAAGCAATTAATGCACGTCACGCACCGAGAATACAATAAAAAATACATACTAGCCGATCCCTGCTCGTCACAGCTGCGCCTGATTTTTCCCACTTGCCACGGCTGTCTTTGCTGTGGGGGAAACGAGCAATTTATCTGTGTATCCGTGTAAGCCAAGCTGTTCGTTTCAAAAAGCTCCCCAAACAGGGGGTAACAGCATTGTAGTTATTTGCCGGGCATATTCACAGCAAGAGTCCTCAGAGAACAATGGTGCAAGACATAGCCTAAAGATACACTGCGGTTTGGCTGCGCACCGTTTCTCTGAGCAAAAAAAAGGCAATCGCGTTCAATCGCCTGCCCAGACCCATTTGCCGCATGTACCAGACGTTTGCAGGTTCAGTAAAACCATAGAGGTGCACTAGCCCGGCTCCCTTTGTTGAATAAATATAGCCTGCAGTGGCAACCGTGAACCAGTCCACGCAATGGTCCCGCCGTCCTTTGGCTTGACCAATGTTCGCGGTTGCAATGTCAAGCCAGACCATTGTATATATTCGCACTTGCCTCACCTGTAAAGCTGGCTTTAGCGGCCCAATGAGACTGTGGTCGGATGGGTTCCAACATAAACATAGGCCATTGATGAATACCCCTTTACATCGCCTTTCTGGCATACAAACAGCGAACTATCCCCGCTTCGAGGTGCAACAGCAGGCCAGCCACGCAGCGGATGGCCTGCACACGACGTGCATAACTAGTACGTAATAGTGAATGTTGCCAGCCAAAGCCCTTTCTCGGATGGCTCGGTTCTAGCGATTTGCCTTTGCAATTAATTTACGCGCCTCCTGTCCATCGCTCGTGGAATGGTTTTATAGTGACCAAAACGGAATAGGTGCCATTCAGGTAACGGCCAACCTGCAACATTTATTCTTCACAGGTCGCGCATGGGATAGCCGGTCTATCTCCCCTCTCCCGCCCTCGCTAGAGCAAAGAGACGATCTACTTCCCCACCGTGCCGTAGTTGCCAGCAGAACAAATGTAACCACAATCCCCACCCTGCTATTCGCACTCTACTGTGAGAGCGACAAGTTAGGCGTGAGCCAGGATTTCATTAGACCAAATCTGGTCGCCTGCATATTCGACTGGCGGTGTAGGGGAAATAAAAGGGTGCATGAGCAGCATTGTGTGTCGCGGCATGCTCGACAGCGGAAAATCGTTGCATGCATTATAAAAAGCGACTGAACTCCTTTGCTAGCCAGCTGCTAACTGGGCTGCCTTCGCAGCGCTTGGCTGGCAGAGAGGATGGCAAAAGTTTAATTTGCTGATCACCCTTTGAAGGGAGGACAGTGGCAGCGGCAACGGCGGCAGCAGCAGCGGGTGACCGGGGCTGTTTGACAGTATAGGCAAATCCATTGCACCACATTGTGCATACTGCTCCCTTTATGTACGCAAGGGGGCAGATCCCCTCTGCTGCTGCCGCCTTCTCATGGCAGGAACTAGTGACTGGTCCATCCGGTGGCCAAAAGAGCGTGCTTGCGCCAGCGTGCCCTCGGTGCTTGGCACAAGGAGACAGCTACCGCATGCGAGGTGTGGATCCCATGTATTTGGAAGAGGGGTGCGAGAGAGGTGCGACAAAGATGTAGGTCTACAAAAGAACAGGAATTTTTTTCAAAGGGAAGGTCGAAAATACACAAGGGGAGCAAGGCAAGAGGAGCAGAGAGGGTGCCAGGGTCGCCGGCGCTCCTCTAGGCCAGCTTGGCCATCAGCTGGAAGATCAGGCGTCTGTATGCAACGTCCTCCGCCAGCACCTGCGCAAAGGTCGAGTTCCTCAGGTGCTCGGACAGGTTGGCCTGCAGCTCCTCCTTGGCCTTCGGGTTATCAGCAAGCCGGATCAGGCACTTGGTCACGCTCTTGAGCAGGCGGCCGGATGGCGCAGTCACCATCTGGCCGATGACATTGTCGAGGATAACCAGGACCGTGCGCAGCCGCTTCGGGTGCGATGTGACATACTGGAAGCCACCCTCGTCGAGGATGATTTTCTGGAAGATAAAGGTGGCCACGACCTTGCACAGCTCGCTGCCAATGTCCATGATTTTGAGGCACAGCGGCAGGAACTCGGTGGCCACAAAGAAGCTGATCACCTCGTGGTTGTCGTACTTGACCAGGGCGCCAATGACGCCCAGGCTGGTCAGACGCAGATTGTCGTACTGCTTGTTGCGGCTCGTGGTGCTCAGGAACGGGTACAGCAGCTGCGGGACGTTCGCCTTGAGAAGCTGCATGCGCGTCTGCTCGTGCGTGGCCACCAGCTGCAGCAGCGCCAGCGAGTTACATGCGCGGTTCGACACAGCCATGGTCAGCGCCGGCGGGTTGAGCAGCGGGTAAATAACAATAATCTCCTGGTACAGGATGGTCATCACACCGTACGCATTCCACAGCGCAACGCCCAGGTCCGGGTTGTGGTCGCGCCTCCGGCTCAACTCCGCCAGTGCACCCTCGCGGTGCGTTGCAGAGAACAAGTCGATCATCAGATTGTACAGCGTCTCGTTGTCGGACCCCATCATCACCTGCTGCCCGCCAGCGCTGGCGCCGCCCATGCCCATTGGTGCGCCGGCCGAGGTATTGGCTGGCATACCTGCTGCTGCCGCATACATGCTGGCCATCTGGTTGAGTCCAGCTGCTGCGTCCAAGCCTGGCTGTCCACCTAGCTGTGCATAGAATGCCTGGTTCTGGTACCCAGCTGCATCAATCCCGCCAGCCTGCGACATGGCTGCAGCGTGCTGAGGTGCATAGCCGTAGCCCTGCGAAACTACGCCAGCAGCTGGCCGTGACCCTGCAACTGCATTTCCACCGTTCATTTCTATTAAGCGTAGCTCCTTCTTGGCTGGCAAAAAAGAGCGCAATGTCCGATGGAGCCGACTTTCAAATTATACACCTGTGGCCCTTTTGTTCTACGCGACTTTTCTGGACTGGTGAGAGGAGGCAAGCGGAGAGGAATCACGGGAATTCTGTGAATGTAGCCGGTTCTAACACGCGACGAGTAATGTAAATTAAAAGATTGCGAGATGGTTCAATGCTGAAAAAAAAAAAAGGCGGAGGGGAAAATGGAACAAAGCCCTCGCCTATAGATGGTGCGCCGACGTGTTCAGTCCCGGAGTTTTTCCTTGGGCCAGCAGGCATCGCGTGTGATTGGCTGTGCCAGCGGCTGCCAATAGTCACGCTGTGAGAGGTAAAACTGATGGCCATAGCGGTGCAGGGGTTACTGTTCTACATCCGTTCTAGGCAGAGGAGGGCGGCGCGCGACAGCAGTGCTATAACATCATATCTCGAATTCGCTTCCTGCATACCTCGGCAGAATGCCTGACCCAAAGAAAGAGTGTGTGCTGGCCAAGGTCACGCAGTTTCAGTGCAAGCGTGGCAAATACATCGTGTGTCGGCCGATCGAGCGGCTCTTCAAGCAGTAGGTTACATAAGCGCCAACACCGGAGCTCGATCTAGTGCATACAATGCTTATGCGGTACATATGTGTAGGTGTCCTGGAGTCCCGTCGGTCGAGCTTGTACAGCAGGGCGATTCATATGTCGACATCAAGACGCACAGCGATGTGAATGGCTTGGAAGGCGGAATCTAGCAGATATTACCAGAGAGTAGCTGTGCGTTGCCGTGCCTAGACGTGGCCTGCTACCTATGCCTGTGGTAGAGTGTATTGACCCCCTCGCCGACACATTGCTTTTACACGCAGAGATAGCGAGAGGGACTCCAGGCGCGGCTACTTGATCCGGAATTTATCTGATTAACGCCGTCATCACCCGATGCGCTGGATTAAAACTTTTCTCTCTCTGTCAACAAGCGGCCAAACACGCTTGTACTCCCGCTGTCCTTCAAAAAAGAAACTATTTCCAACACTATGTCAGGCACCCTGTCGAATTCAGAGAAGCTCCAGCGCCTTTTGGCCTGGTTCAAGGAGAACAAGGTGACATACAACGAGGAGGCGATCCAGATTGTCGAGCGCACAGCGACCAAGACCCACGGCAACATTGTGTCTGACGGCTTTGGCGTTTTGGCACGGCGCGATCTGGTCGACGAGGAGCCGCTCGTAGTGAATCCCAAGGCTGCTGTGATTTCTCCTGCCACCAGCCCGCTCGCCAACCTCTTTGACGACGAGCAGCTGGGCGGCAGCCTGGCATTGTGTATCTCGGTGATCTACGAAATGTCGCTGGGCGCCGACAGCCCATGGTCTGGCTACCTGCAGTCGTTGCCCCGGCGTGCGGACATTCCGCTGTTGTGGAACGACGAGGCCAAGGCGTGGCTCGAGGGAACAGATGTGGGCAAGGTGGGTGGAGCACGATCTGGCCAACCTCCGCGACGACTTTGAGCAACTGCAGGAGGTGGTGAGCAAGTATCCGTACGTGTTCCGGTCTGAGAATGGCGTGGAACTGGAGTAGCTTCGAGCAGTTCCTGGATGTCACGAGTCTGGTGTCGTCTAGGGCATTCATGGTTGACGTTCCATCGTGACAACTCGATGGTGCCGTTTGCCGATATATTCAACCACAAGACTGCCGGGGAGAACGTGCACATTGAGAGCGAGGAGATGGTGTGTCCGCTATGTGGTGAGGCGTTCGGCTGCGAGCATATGGACGGTCTGGAGCAGAAGGAAGAGGATAGCGAAGGTGGCGAGCACGATCATGATGGGTGCTGTGGTGGCCATGACCATGGTCACGACCACGGCCACGACCATGACCATGGTCATGATGATGAGGAAGGATGCCGAAGAATGGGAATCAGACGATGACGAGTCTGATGAAGAGGTGGGGGAGGAGCTTCCGCTGCTGATCGACGACAAGGGCAACGTGGTCGAGGATCCCTGAGTCTGAGGCCGAAGGCAACGGCGGAAATGTCGAAGATGACGATGCTGCCATGGCCGGAGCCGACTCTGACTACGAGAACATGGACAGTCGACGATGAAGAGAGCGACGATGACGACGAGAGCAAGTGGATTGATACTTTGGATATGGTTGTGGTCCAGCCGTGCCGTGCCAACAACGAGGTATTCAACACGTACGGTGAGCAGTGGGTCGTCATACCTGCTCCATCGGTATGGATTCTGCGACGCTGGCAACCCGTTTGATTCAGTGCTGTTGGAGATCGACGATGTCCTTGAGGCATTCAAGGTTGCTGTATCGGAGGATCGCGCCATGGCTGTCGCCGAGCTCATTGCTGAATACCCCGAGTCCTTCCAGATCAGACATCGGGCTATGGCCCAGGAGGAAGAGGAGGAAGAGGAGTGAAGAGGAGGAGGGGAGGAGGACGATGCTGAGGATGGAGTGGATATGGAGGACGAGGAGGACGGTGATATCGAGGATATGGACGAAGAGGATATCCCGATGATGGAGGAGGATAGTGAAGACGGATGAGGAGGAGGAGGATAAGACGCCACCCAGGTTCTCCATCGATGCGCCCGGCCACCCGAGCCTGTCTCTGGCCGTTCTCCTATCCCTGGGCTTCTCTGACGAGGCTGCATTCACCCAGGTGACATCCTGAAATGCAGCTTCTCCTGCACTATCTCCCCCTTATGCGGCAGTTCTGGAGCACCTTCCAAGACAAGCTCGATTCTGGCGTCTCTGTCGCTGCCGCCTTCCGTCACGGCCAACAAGGACTCGCTTATGAAGAAGAGATCTGTCTCGCTGGTCTGCCGTGCCGCATACATGCTGGCCGAGAAGCGGCTAAGCATGTGCAATGACAATGCACTGGGGGCCAAGCCCACGGATCTGGCGCAGCTGGAGCGGTGGGAGACAGTCAAGCAGCTGAGGGCGAACGAGCGCAAGACGCTGCAGAACTGTGTCAAGACATACAAGAAAGCAGTTACCAAGCTCAACTAGAGAGTATTTCCGACATTCATTACAACTACATAAAACCTAGTCTATGCGGATCAAAGACCCGGCCGTGATTGCCGCTGCCGTAGTGTCGCCGGCCAGCGAATCAAGGTAGATGCCAAACACGACCTTGCCGTTGATGCGCATTTTGCGCGCCAGCGTTGCGTACGGTTCCTTCAATACTTGTGCTGACTCTTGGTTGACGCCAATCATCTGGCATCGGCGGCATGGACCCGAAACTTGGAATTTTTTCTTTGCAATCGACACCTGCGACCATTTGAGTTCTTCAAATGGCGCAATCCGCGCGGTCTTTTTGGAGCCCACAGACTTGACCAACGATATTGGGCCGGTACTGTGTAGGACCAAACCTGCTCTTTGCATTCTCGAGGTCGGATTCTTCAAGCACCCAGTCTTCGACCTGCTGCGCGCTCTCACGGGTGACCAGCAGGATCTGCGATTCGTTGGCAAACGATAGGTCGCCGCGCCGTGTCCGCGCAAAGCACGCAGAGTCGCGGCGCTCCAGGCTGTGCAGTACAGTGGAGCCGTCAGCCATCCCAGATATGAGCAGAGTGGGCTCACAGGCAAGGTAGCAGGGGACTGAGAGGACCGAAGACAGCCAGCCAGAGACTGCCGGGCGAGCTGATGCGGAACACGTCCATGCGGTCTCCACATACGCGCGACTCGATGTGCTCCAGGTCGAGCTCGCTTGGATGCAGGCTAACCTCGAGTGGGCTGAATCCCTTGGCGTGCAGTACGAGTGCGCCGTTCTGCGTGTCAATCTGGGGGCGGATCAGTGCCATGCGCGGGTACCGCTTCTGCTGCATCGGAATCGTACTGTTTTCGCGCATAACCATGAAGCACCTGTCAAACCGCAGCCCATGCGGGGTTACATCCCATGGCGTGTTGACAGGCACAGTGTACCCATGGCACGACTTCACTGGATACACAATGAGCTGGTCTACCTCGACACAGGCTGCTGCTTGCAACTCGCAGTCGTCGCTGGCAGCTTCAGAAACCCTGGTTTCGGCGTCAGAGTCCACAGAAATCCCTGCTGAAGCCGCTGCGTTGACTGTCTTGGCATAGTCACGAAAATGCCGCACCAGGAAGCCCACAAACATGTCGATGTCTTCCTGGCTAGTCATAGCGCCGAACGAAATGCGCAAGGCGCCCACAGCCTTGCCTTCAATAACGTCGTTGTCGTCTCCGCACACGACTCCAAGCGATGCATACCGGATCAGGTCGGATGATGACAGATTGAGCCATTTCTGCGCAGCGCCTGGGTTGCAGAATCTGCCTGTACGTAGAGCGATCTTGCACAGCACTGCGAGGCGCTCAACTTCAGAGTATCCGATGTAGTCGTTTTTTGGGTCCTTCATGTTGAAGGCAACGATGGGCCCTTGCTGGCCACTGTCCTCAGTGGCATAAATCTCGCACATTGGTATGCCATTCGAGTGCGTTAGCCCCCTGAGCTTGGCCATCGCGTACTGTGTGGCCGATTGGGCATGTCTAGACACGGCTGCTGGCGAGCCAAAGTTTGCTGTGTATGCGTCAATGGCATGGTTGACCGAGAGAATGTCGATGTAGTTTAGCGTTCCATCCTCGTAGCGGGCCTCGGCGTCAGCGCGGAATTCCTCAAACTGCGTATCAAACGCCAGCACGCCGATGGTTCCTCCACCAAAGTACTGCTTGGGGCGCAGGAACGGAATCGACGATCGCTTAATCAGCAGAGCTCCGAGCCCAGTGGGCATGCCAAAGATCTTGTACAGTGACAGGGCCACAAAGTCTGGACCGCTGGGTAGGTCGTCGAGCGCGAGCGGCGAACTTGATACAAAGCCAGCAGCGTCCAGCAACACCCACCACGGCGCATGCGCGTCCGAGCCGTCCCTCTGATACAGGCTCTGGATCTTGCCTGCTACCGTCAGCGGGAATCGCTGGCCTGAAAAGTTGCACTGTGCTGGGTATGCCAGCAGACTCGTGCCCTTTGTATTCTCTGGTGCCAGTATCTGGTCGAGATCGCCGAACTGAGGCTGGAACAATGCCGATGCCCCTGTTACTAGCCAGCTTGCGCACACCGACAACGCTGGTGTGCGATTCCTGTGTGTAGCAAAAAATGCCCTTGTCGTCCATGGGTGCCAGCTCGCCCGCTAGCTTGATTGCTGCGGTCGCATTGGCAGTGAACACCACCGCATAGCTCTTCTCGCTTGCCCCCAGAAACTGCAGAAGGCGGGCGCGCGCCTGCTCGATTCCTTGCGTGCGTCCATTGCGAGCTCTCATGCCGCGAGTGCGGGTTGGCGGGGATGTTTGTCAGAAGCATGTTGGTGTGGTTCCGCACGTGCGACGCAGAGCAGAGTGTTGAGCCGGCATGGTCCAGGTACACAGTCCGCAGAGTGCCGTCAGAGAAAAGCTGTGGGTAGTCTGTGTGCCGAATCGCGTCCAGTCGGCCGCCGTAGTCATCGACTGGTGCTGTGCAGTCAGTGGCCATATTAAAAAAGAGTGGTAAAAGTACAGGGTGGATGAGCTAGTTGAGAGAGAAAAACACAAAAGCCTCTTTGCAGTGTCTTGCACGTCGCCACATGTCCCTTGCCCCTCATGTCCCTCGCTATTTATACGACGGACTACAGGATCCCCCTCTCTGCCACAGGACGAAGGGCTGTTGTAACAGCTGCACGCCTGCGCAAACGGAACGAGGCGGGGATTTTGCAGTAAAGGCATTTTCCATTTGCTTGTCACGAGTATAGAAACAAATGTGATCGACTTCCGTTCTATAGGCCCATTTCGCAATGCGCCTTGGTGCGTGCGACCAATTGCGCCTGCGCATTGGGCAACTGTAGCTGTGGAAATGTCGCCGGCGCCCAACACACCCGATGCCGGCAGTGCCGAATTCGACGGCCTGGTGTGGTGGGTCACATCCGCAATCAACCGTGCGCACACTGCATAGATCAATCAACCCACGTAATCTTCTGGAGATCACTGGCGCTCGCGTCTTTCTATGCCCAGGGCTTGCGAGCGGCCTACGTCAGCGAGAGAAAAAACGAGGTGCAGCTCACCTTCGCTTCCCTCCTTGAATTACTCCATACTTTTTTATTTACTTGCTTGGCTGCAATGACCTTTGTAACAACAGCCGACGACGTTTCGACAGCAGGCAGCATCCTGGTTCTCCCGGCAGTGTCGATCGGCAACGTGCCCCAGCTCAGCATCGACCTGTTTGTCAACACCTTGCGGCTGCCGCGCATCGGCATCATTGACACTGTCCACCTTATACCGCTGTCAGGACCCGCCGGCTTTGACCACCAGACAAGCACACGGTCGGTTCCACTAGAGGTATACCAGACGCCTGACAGAAAGTGGACGATCTTGCAGCAGCGGTCACCGCCCCTGCCTCACCACCACCGAGCCTTTGCGCAAGAGCTCATCGAATTCATCAAGCAAGGCAGGTTTGCCAAGGTGGTGCTGCTGGCCAGCAGTGATGCTGCGCTGCGTACCGATAAGCTGATTGACGGCCCCCAGATCCGCACGATCTCGGTCGGCGAGGATGAACTGGCAGCGAGATTCCGCGCTCTGTCACTTACCGATCTGCATGAGGCGGCGGGTGGAGAGGACAGTCAAGACGCCCTGAAGGGCGCCCTCGCACACCTCCACTCAGCCGGCGTCACCAAGCACCTGGCGCGCATGTGTCTGGACGCCAATGTGCCGCTAACTGTGTGCGTGTCGCTCGTCAATGAGGGAGACAACGTGCCGGATGCTGTGCTGATGGCAAATGCAGTCAACAGTGCACTTGGGCTGATGACTGAAGCCGCAGCGCAGTGGCAGCCGCCGCGGAGCTGGGAGTGGCTGATGCCCAACAACACACCTTCAGAGATGTTCTAAGGGGACTAGCGAGAGCCACACTGATGGCTTTCAGATGGGTGCGTTGTAAGAGATACTGAAGGACGGTTGTCCAAGATGATGGCTGCGGCGGCTGCGCAAGCCGTAGCGCGAGTATTTGAGCGAACTGCCGCGTATTTTTCCTTCGTCTAGCATTTTCGAATATAGAGCTTATCCTACTCTACAACACAGAGACATAAGGAATGGCCCTATGCAGTACGAATTATTATTTTTTTTTTTTGAAAATGGTTTACTATTTACGCAGATAATGTTAGCAGACGCTAGGCCTGCGAGGAAGAGCTAGCTGACGGGCGGATGGGCTCGTGGAACGGACTAGTTCCATAAAAGCCCTCACCCTCGCTGGCAGCATCACTATCGGCAGCGGCAGCGGCAGCAGATGCGGCGACAAATGTGCGGATGTGCAGGTCGGCGAGATCAAACTCGTCGCCGTGACGCGCGACCCAATCCTGACAGAACAGGCTGGCCCTCAGGAACCGGCGGTGCGTGTACTTTTTGAACACAAACTCGCTTTCCTTGGCGTGGAGCAAAGCGCTGACCATGATGTCAATGCATGGCTGCAGTTCCCCCTCGGTGAACCCAGAGTAATGGCGCAGATTCGCATCCCACTTGCCAGACCTGAGCATGCGCCGCGCCAGGCAGATTCCCGCTGCAGCGACGTGGCTGGGCGGGAACACCATCAGACGATAGTCGATCAGGACCAACCTCCAGTAGGTACTTGGCGATGGTGCGCGTCTGGATGTTGTATTGCTCGGCCTTGGACACGCGCCGCAGGAACGTCATTGGGTTTGGATATGCCATGTCGAACCCCAGCGCGGTTAGCATGTATACCTCTGCTGCCATAACGTCCTTCGTTGTGTAGCAGTTGCCAGCGAGAAAAATGAAGTCATCGATGTGCGGTGTGGTCGTCTCCTCGTACTTGGAGGCGATCAGCAGACCAGTGAGTCCGGCCAACTGAAGCCTCGACATGGCCACATGCCGCTTCGACAGGAAGCGGTCCACGATGTTGATTGCCAGGAACAGCGTCTCGGGCTGCATGCGGAACTTGTAGTGGATCTGGATGATCCAATCGACCAAGATGCGCCGCATGTCCCAGGTCAGCGCCCTCTGCTTGCTCATGTACTCGGTGCACGGCAAGTACTTGGGCTCAGCATCCCGCAGATATTCGATAATGTCCTCGATATACTCGGAGACCATCATCGGGTCATCTGCGTCATCAGCATCCAGATCATCCCAGTCGTGCTTCTCCTTGGCTGTGGGCGCCTCCTCAACCTGTGTAGCACCCTCGGCCTGCGTTGCATCCTCAAACGGCGAAAGCTCTCGGGTCGTGAACCCACGCGCCGGCTTGCACAATCCGGCGAGCATGTGGCGGGTCATCTACGACTGTGGCCTGAGAGTCCCGGCTCTCCACCGACGTTGTCGAGTACGCGTCATTCTCATCCTTCTTATTCGCCACATGCCGGTGGTGCTCAATCTCATGCCCCACTGTCGGCTCGCGATAGTCGAATTTGTGGTCCAGCACGCGCCGGTAGCTCTCTCTCTCTTGGCTCAGTGCCACATGGACGCGAGGCTCAACCCGGGTGTGCGCATTGCGGACCGCTACTGGCACACGATACTCGAACTTTTGGTCCAGCACGCGCCGGTAGTTCGCGCCTTCTTTGTTCAGGCACCACGCGGACCTGAGACTCACCCCGGGGCCGCACATTGCGGGTTGGCTCCGCCGCAGTGTCGACAGAGTTCGCCCGCCGCTTACGCGTCTCCAGAGGGACCGGCCTCTCTGTGTCAGACGCAGATGTGTATGAATATTTCGGCGCCGCGCCAGACGATGCAGATGAGGAACGAACAGCCTTGATTGGGCGCAGTGCGGGCTTTGAGGTCAGCGATGCCAATGCCGGGGCGGCCGCCACGCGGCGCAGGACGCGGTATTTGGCTGTGTGTGCTCGAGGAGCTACTCGCAGCAGAGCTAGTGGGCAGGTCGCGGTACACCTTAGGCTTGGCTGGCTCCACCGGAGCCAGCGGAACCCGCTTGTTTGTGTTGAGAGACACAGCCATTCGAGCAGCCCTTGCGACTGGGACAGCAAGGAGCCTTCCAGTAGAGCTGACTTTTGTGGCCGCTGTGCTTCCGGTCTTCTAGCGAAAACAGGAAGAGATATGTACACAACGTTATTAGTTTGAGGCTGGGTAACAAGCAAGTATTGGCAGCAACACCCGTATCCAGCACTGAATAATATTAAAAGGCCTTCGCAGGCGAAATAAGTAAATATAGAGAACAAGAGCAGATGCAGGCAGCAGAGGAAGCAAAACAACTGGCAAAAAGGAACAGAGCACAAAATCAACGACAGCAAGCCAGGCGCTGCTCTGGGGAGAGTAGCCGCTAGTCCACGTATGAATTTCTAGAGTATGAGGGATCACCGAGGACCACGCAATTGCAATCTTTGCTAGCAAAGGGGAGCAGGACTTTCAATGAAGCAAATCGCTCCCAGGCCCGCCGAACCGCTTTTGCAAGCTACGACGTGTCTGAATACTGGGGTCGGTCTGCCAGAGGGCACAGACTGCACAGCACAATGTGCGTCAGCAGCCCTGTGCTCCTTGCGCCAGCGGAGATGCTGGCGGCGACGCGGAGGCGCCTCCTCAAAGCTGCATGTGGCGACAGAAATACAAAAATAGAGCCCACGCCGTCCCCTCTTGGGAACAGACAGGGCGTATAGTGAAATGTGTCAAAGAACGGCGGAATCTCTAGACGGAAACACAGCCAGAACGCCCCTCATGCAACAGCATGCTGATTTTCTTTGTGGGCCTACAGAAGCCCCGCTCGAAGCACGGATTTTGGATGTGCGGCATAGAGAATCGCTGTGCAATCGGTCTTCGGCCTGCTTCGGCCAGGTCTAGCCACCCCCCAAAACAGCAGACTGGATCACACAGGCGAATAGCATGGGTTCAGGCAAAAACGGCACACTGCACCTGCCTGGGCGGACTGCAGACGACATACTGCGAGGCAGCAGAAGGACAATAACAGCACATCGGTACTCCATATACAGCATCGGATGTCTGGACGAGGAGGGGAACGCAGAGGGCTTCAGAGATAGACAGGGGATTGCATGCCGTTCATGTGCATATTGATAGGTTGCCAGATATCGCATGGCAATCGCAAACCAGACGGGCTGCCAGCAAACACCCAAAAAAGACGAGGAATAGTGTGTTGGCATGTACATGATGCAATGCATGTTGCGCAGTACAGACATCAACATAAAACCAAAACAAAAGGAACCTTACCTGTGTGCGGACGTTAGTCTGCGAGACTGCAGCGAGCGCAGTTCGGGACGAGCGGACATTAGCGTCCTTGCTTCTTGATATGGGGCGACCCATTGCTGAAGCAACAGATGCCGTGCGCGAGCTGTGCACACCCATGTTCTCAGTCTGCTCTCATATCAGACTGCTTGTCCGAGCCGGTGGAGCGAAGAGTTGACTAAATAATGCGGGGTGAGGGAAGAGCCAGGTTCGGTTAGAGAAAAGAGAAGGATTCGTACGAGGAAAACGGGGTTACTGATACCCCCGGTCTTGGTTTACGAGGAAAAGCCATTGGGCAGCATGCAACAGAAAGGTACATGGCAGCGAGGGCGCTGAGCCGTGACCACATGAGCACCGCTGTTGCTGTGCATGTTGTTGATAAGCTCCATCCTCCAGTAGGACGTGCAGCTTGCTCATAGTAAACACCAATCCCGCCAGACCATTGTTTACTGGTATTACCACAGTTCCCCCGCGAAAGCGATCTGGGCAACGGAAAAAGGAAGAGGTGGCACACCCACAAAACCACACCTGCCCAAGCAGTAGGATCTGGGTACTGCATCTGTTGCCGCCGATCTGGTGGCGGTGCGGAGACATGGCAGGATCAAATCAATACAAGCAAACTTACCGAGCGTGTGTTGGGAGGCATGTTTGCGAATGCTGTTGCAGTTTGTGAATTGCCGACCAAGGACTGCGAATTGGAGTGAATTGAGCAGTGCGCCCGCTAATGTACGGGAGCGACGACGGGTGTGCAGAGAAATGAAACGAGAAGAAACAATGTAGCGCTACAGGCTAAATAATATTACATAAATTTAAGTGACGAGAGGCAAGTGGGGAGAGAGCAAGGGTGCAGGATGAGAGAGCGATCGAGGAAAAAGGACCAGCAAATGTTCTGAACAGGGGCGAGAAAGGGCGCTGGCCGTTGGGGAATGGAGACGAGAGAAAAAAGGCACACCCTGTATCCCGCTCCATAGAGCCAAATAGAGGGCGGTTGTACACAAGGCCGGCCTAAGCCAGGCACTGGCGAGCATTGCGTGCGCCCACGGCCACACGACCCCCCCTGCTCTCCGCACCGCCTTTTGCGCTGAATTCATGGAAAATTCCAATTTGAACTCCTGCGCAGGAAACGCTATTAAAGCACCGCCGCCCCCCTTCATGGTACTCTATGAAAGTGGCCAGGCAGTGGGCTGTCGCTCAGGTGGGTGCCGGATTGGACGGCGGTTTATCAAACAGCAGCGTAGAGTCTCAGGATTGCGCTTCTTTCAGCATCTAGATCGGGGCCCCGCATATTAGCCCGGAACTGGGGATAGGTGCGTCTCTCTGGCAAGCGCACCCCACCAGGAAAGGGGACCAAGGCAGAAGAAGCAGTGTCTGGCTCAGCACAGCAGAGGCTGAAGACAATGGCAGCATGGGCAGCTCGGTTTTGTGTATTACATGATGTCCCACATCCTGCACTGGAACTAATGCGGCTAGCGAAACCTGAAACGCAGCGCTCTGCAAATCGCTGTCCCCCCACACGTCAAAAGCAGAAGGCATGGAAAAAAGTCAGACACGGCCCACAGGGAGGGAGAGGGGCGGTCTCAAGCCCGGGCAGCACAATCGGGCCCACCCAAAGATAATCAAATGCATTCAATGTCCACCATGAGCAGCGGTGCTGTGTGGACGAGCCAATATAAAAGCCAGGTGACCCGGCAACCACTCAAACAAAGAAGATCCACAACACGACCTGGTCGCACCTACCTGGCAAAGCTGATTTGTGGCCTATGTCGTCGAATGAACCGAATGCGGTGCAATCTATGATGCAGCCAGGACGGAGAAATAACCGTGCAAGAGTTAGTCTAGATATGGGGTGCAATATGCAGCCTATGCTTCAAAATAGTGGAGCTCGAAGGGCCACAGGACACTGGGCAGGACCAGATGTGCAGACGGGCTGCAGAAGGAGCAGGATAGACGCAAATATGCGACTAGACAGAGTGCAAGAAGGAGAGGGGGAGCAGGCCGTGTCAAAATGTTCAGGAAGCCGGGAGGATTAGGTAAAATATAAAAGCGGCAAGGCGGACAGCAGCCGACATTTATTTGCGTCTGGTTCGTCTGGCAATGCTATGCAGCGCACAGCAAAAAGCCCGCCTCCCCGAAATGGTGACGACTCAGCACTAACCTTTATGTTGTCAACAGACGCTGTCGCTTTCCGGCAGGCAGTAACGGACGTATATTTGTTTCTGGCCAAAGGCAGGTGTTGTCTGGAAAACGGACCCCCCTTTAATAGTCTACTATCTTCGTCCGGTTGAGCGCTGCCTGTGTAGACAGATACGGTGTGCAAGTGGGGACTGAAAGAGAGTGCGCTGTGCTTTATTTTTTGCTAGGCAAAGCCTATGGTTTCTACCAAAGAATAGCTGGGCCGGGCCTCCTTCTCCAAAACAAAAGGCGATAGTTGCAAGTAGCGAGGCGGTAAAAGGCAGAGAGTGAAAAGAAAGAGTGCGGGTCTACTGTCCTGAGCAAAGCCGTTCGCTTCTGTGCCCTCAATCGCACCTGCTTTATATAGGTGGCTCGAGAAGCGGGTGCTTTGTAAAATTTTGGAGCTGCAAATTTTTTTGAGCGAGCTGACCTCCCCCTTTAAAGGAACCGTGTGCCATCCTAGCCGCGGTTCTCCCGCTCCTCTTTGTTGCCCAGTCCCGGCCATGGATCGGCTACAATCGAGGTGACGTGGTTCAAGCGATCGGTGCGATGGGTCGGGCGAGGCCCAATATTCCAGCTCCATCTGCTCGGGCACGTCGCCAGGAACATCGCGGATGTTGGTGATGCTGCCAAGTGGGTGCCCGTGCATATCGTGCGCCCCACCCATGCACAGATCACCGGGACCCTTCATGGGATGTCGCCTGGCCACGCTGCTAGACACACCGGCCTCATGGCAGCTCCTTGCCATGTGGCCTTTTCTTTAATCGCCCAGTAGCCTGTGGAACCACGCGCGGCACCGCTGCATGTGTTTGTGTCAGTGCGCAAAATCAAAAAGGGGATGTGTTATGTGTGAAGGATTCCAACACCCCTGGATGCATTTGGCCCTCAACCTATGGCTGAATTTGCCCGAACGCACTTCCAGCACTCGACAATCGCTGGCTCTACACCACCTAAAAACTCGTTGGGTTAAAAACAGATGTAAAAACAGGTAAAAACATCGAATTACCCGTCCTATCAGGCCGCTGCAACAGTATCTGAAAGGGAGTAGGGGGTTCGCGCGCAATGGTCAAACAAGCATAAGAAGACCAGGTGAACAAACCTGCCGGCTGCCTGGCGGGCGTCGATTCTGTTTTGTGGCATCAACGCCGATTGTCTAGATACATTTCTTCAGAGATGTGCCTCACCAAGCCACAGACACGTCGCTCGTGCGCCGCACCCTCCTCCCTCCTCCCCCAATTATCTCCGACTCCCAACACTCGACGTCGCCCGTTGGGCCAGACCGGGCGGGACGGGCTTTTTCTATTCGTGTGCGATGCTGTGAGCCGACTGAGAATGGCCTCAAAGAAGATCAATCCCGCATGCAAGCGCATTCACTGTTTATTACATGCAGGCATTGCTGGAATGGGCATGGTGTACTCTACTACTCTTGCTTGCGATACAGCCTGAGCTCGCTTGGCATCGACTCCTCGGCCAGGATCGTGTCGCTGAACAGGATGCAACGGAGGCATATGCTTGCGTTAACCGTAACCCGCATAACCTCTCGGTATGCCGTGCCGTAAAGCCGCCTCGTCGTGGCTGCCAGATCAAATGTCAGGTGGTTCCAGCCCGATTCAAGCTGCAGTGGCAGTGTAGTGAGCTGGTTGTCCACTGCCGCCGCGGATTCAAAGTTTGAGGCGCGGATATATCGAACAATGCCCCTGTCGTCTGCCACCTGTACCTCGAAGCTGAACAAGCGGTCGATTGATTTAAGCGACACTACCATGTATTGCAGCTTTATTCCGAGCGACGCAGATGGGTTTCTTGGGCAGGAAATGTACGTGGACGGCAGTCGGGGACTCATTATTTGGAGCACTGGGCCATCAGCAGTGGCGTCACCAACCAGCCCAATTGTGCTCTCTGCACCAGTGCCAGTGGCCAAATGCCACAGCTCCAGCGGATCCGATCCCGTGCTGTTGAACACGCTCAATATTCCTGACTGATAGACGTTGCGAAGCATGTGTTGTAATATGTAATCAATGTATTCACTTTGATAGCAGAATTCACAATGCAGCTACAGCTTCCAAGCCAAGGAAGAGCATTACTATGGCAAAACAAAAAAGCGTCCAGCGTTTGCAAGCTGGCACTTGTGATGCTGCTCACAAAGTGTCTTCAGCCTTTGCTATTGGATATCCTTCAAAGAAACGAGAAACGAGAAACGGCACTTAGCCCATCCGCACAATACCGGCCGCCATAAGCTTGCGCAGGTTGCTGGCAACAGCCGGGTTCTTGAGGATGCTCACGGGCAGCACGAGGGTCGTCCTGCATCTGCTGCAGAATGCTCTGCATGACCGGATCAGACAGCAGTCCGGCGATCTTGGGGTTCGCCTGGGCGCGCTTCAGGGCCTCCTCGGGCTTGAGGTTGGCGTTCTGCTCGCTAATAGCGCTGTAGCACTTGACTGTGAGCTGCTCGACCTCGGCCGTGTGCTTGTGCTCCGTGTCCTTCTCCTTGGCCGCATCCAGCGTGTCCAGAGCCTCGGCATAGTCGCGCATCAGGAACTGCGCGTTGGCCTTGCGCGTGTACGCCTTGATGAAGTCCGGGTCGATCTCCAGGCACGTGTCGCAGTCCTTGAGTGCGTCGGGGATGGCAAGCAGCTTGGTCAGGCAGGCCGCGCGGTTCGAGTAGTTGCGCGCATCCTTCGGGTTACGCTTGATAGCCTCGGTATACTCCTTCTGAGCCTCGGCGTATTTGCCGTCCTTGAACAGCGCATTGCCCTTCTCGCGCGCCTCGTTCGACCTGTCCTCGTCGAGGTAAGCCTCGGCCTCCTGCTGCTTCTTGGTCTTCTCAGCCGTGCGCAGCTTTGTCAGGATGTCGGCAGTGCGGTGCTCAGTCAGCGACTTGTTGAAGTACGTGATCGCATTGTCCAGGTCGCCCTTCTTGCTGTACGCAGTGCCGATACGTCCCAGAGCCTTGGCAATGTGCTTGTAGTCGGCACGGTGCTCGCGGCCAACCTCGACCGCCTCGTTGGCGGTCTCAATGCATTCGTCATACTTGCCCATCTCAAAGTACACCGCCGCCTTGTTGTTGTAGAAAGTGATATCCAGTCGAGTCGAGCTCAATGGCCTTGGCGTAGTGCTCCAGCGCAGCGTCAAACTGGCGCTTCTTGTAGGCATCATTACCCTGCGCCTTGGCCTTGGCCGCCTCGGCCTTCTTGGCTGCCTGCTCCTTCGAGTCCTCGTCCTCAGACATGGGCTCATCCTCAACGACGGGCTCGGGCTTCTTGGGCTCGGGTGTCGCCTGCTTCTTGGGCTCGTCAACATCCATCTTCTCTGGCTGCGCCGCGGGCTCCGAAGCATCAGCAGGGGGCATGTTGCTCAGAATGTCACCCATGCCAATGAGCGAGAACAGAGTCATGGTGATGCGCTGGTCAGAGGCATACTCCTGCAGCTTGTTCGGATCAGCCTGGATCGCCTGCACCTTCTGCACGTAGTCGGGCTGGGCCAGGAAAGGCGAGAGCTTCGGGTCAGCAGCGATCTTCGCCAGGACATCGCCCTGGAACGCACTGGACATCTTGGCCGCAACGTCGCCGAACCCTAGGCCCTCAGCCTCCTGCTTCAGCTCAGCCTCGGTATCGCGCAGACCCTTCTGCAGCATCGCATTTGACGGGTCGTGCTTCAGACCCTCCTCGTACGTGGCCACGGCCGCGCCGTACTTGCGCAGGCCAAACAGAGCAGCACCCTTGCGGCCGTAGCCCTTGGCCCAGTCCGGCTTGATCTCGACCGTCTTCTCTGCGTCCTTCAGCGCCTCGGCGTACCGCTTCAGCGAGGCGAGTGAGGCGGACCGGTTCGAGTACAGAACATGGTTTGTCGGGTCAATTTCAATGGCCTTTGTGAAATGGTTGATAGCCTCCTCGTGGCTACCTGCGGCGAAGGCCTTGTTTCCAAGTGACTTGAGCTCGTCGGACTACATGGCAAGCGCAGTTAGCAACAGTTGGTGTTGGGTGCGTGCATGCTGCATGCTCTTGCTGCTGCTGGTTATCGTGTAATACTTACCGTAGACATGGCAAATGACTGGCAAATGAAAGTGTCCTTTTGGCGGTATTTGAAAAATGAAAATGGGTAGAAAGGTGAAGAAGCACCCGCGTTGCTGGGCGTCAGGGCCAGACACATCACCTCTGTGTTTAGCGATCGAGCTTCTCGAAAGATCCCCGCCCTTCGCAGATTAGATCAGATCACATCATTTTGTGATGGTAGGGGACAATTAGCAGATATCCTTGTCATATACACGTCTGTGCACTGGTATCCGGTATCCAGCAGCCGAGCGGCGGATATACACCAGCCGGACAGGTAGCCCTGGCACAAGTAATCGCACCTGCGCTTCCTGCCTGCACATCTTCTACATGCCAGCCACAGCATAGACAGATCCGCTAATTTGATTCCTGTGCTGGCTCACTGTTTTCCTAGCCTGTTGCAGGCTTATGCGCTGGGGATTCCGGCGGCACACATATCGCAAGCGGTATTACCCGCCATTATGCCAATGCCATTAGCCCCTCGTTAAGGTAACCTGGCCCTTCCAGCAGCATCCTGTCGAGCAGGGAAGGGGCTGTGCACGCAGGCGTCAGAAATACAAGCTCCGTATTCCCTCGCGTGGAAAATAACAACACTGCGCCCGCTCCATGAAAAATGCACCTGTATCCCTCATCCTCCTCTCCCTTTCCCACCATCACACTCTATTTCAACTCGCAAAATATTAACGAGACTTTTCTCTTTCCCTTTTCATTTCGTATATTTTTCACATTATTTTCATACAATTAGAGAGATGTCGAGCGCAGAGAACACCCCACTGGCCGTCAATGCCGCTGCCAATGACGCGCAGCCATTGGAGTCGGGCACTGCAGCAGGCCGGACCAGCGAGAGCAGCTCAATGAGCGGCGCACCTGTGGGCACGGACATTCACCTAACCCTGCTCATGGTGTCGAGCGCGCGAGTGTCGCTGACGTTCAAGCCCGAGGACACAGTGCTGTCGGTGAAGGAGACGCTGCTCCGGAGCTGGCCCAAGGACTTTGATGCGAAGCCGGCCGGGCCCGGCAACCTGCGGATAGTGTACCTGGGCCATTTTCTAGAGGACGGTGACACGCTGGCAGGTAAGTTGTTTCTATCACTGAGGGAGCTCCCTGTTTGCTTGCCAGGAAAGGGGTTGGACACTGTCGGACAACTTGCGCCATGAGGAGCAATAGGCAGACTCGCTTTTCATGCCAGCGTCCCTGTGGGCTGCGGTAGTGTCCCCGACCTATTGCCAGGCCTAAGCGGTGTGTTGTCTTCTTCATTGTCAATCTCCCACCCAGTGGCCGGCTTGCTTCTGTACAGTGCACCTCGAATGCAGCAAGCAGCGCATCAGGCAATGGGGTGCTTCCCAGGCTCTTCATAATCGGCGCAACAGCAGCTGATTGCTCTTGCACCATCTCGCTCCATGCAACTCATCCTCTGTTGTCCTTCGATTGTAGAGAGCAAACTGCAGCCCGGCAATACGACCGTCCACCTGACAATCAAAGCATCGGCCGCACCAGAGAAAACAGGTATGTCGAAATATGGAGCTACAGCGCAAATCCCTGGTAATCACCTGTACGCCTGGCTGTCTCAGGATGCAGTCTGCGGCGACTTGACATTATTTCTCACATGCCCTTTTTTACGCCTGTCTGTAGCCAAGAAGGACATCGACAAGGCGCCAAAGTGCACATGCACTATCCTCTAAATAGCTGCACTGTACGCTTTGTGTGCGCGGTATCTGGGATGGCAATGGATGTCATCCTTACCGCCCGGACCATTTGTTGCAAGGCACAAAGCCTCCGCGGCTTGTTTGACATGCCGCCCATGTGTCATGCCGTCGACGGCTGGCATTCCTGTTCCCCACACCCCTTCTGGATTTCATATACGCATCACTCCTTCTCTCAGCACCCTGCTCCTGCGTTTCTGTTATAGCTGCCACCCTCTCTTTCCTGTGTTTTTCTAACTCTTGTGTTTTCTAACCCTCCGTTAATTTTGGTCAATGAATATTTATCAACAACGAGGCGTAGCCATTGTCTGGAAGCACCTTATATTGTTCGGCCGGTGCCTAGCAGATCAGCTGCGACATGCTCGTGTGTGATACTCGCTGGGATCGACTCGAGTGTATAGACAATGAGCAGGCGCTCACGACAGCCTAGTCCCTACACACCATGCCAGCAATGGCCAGATCTGCAATAGTGGGTGTCGGAAGCCAGGCTCTTTCATTTCCATGAAACACATGCATTTCATACTAGGGGCTAGACCCTCGGCTGGCCGATGCATAGCACGGAATATGAACACCGGGATGTGCGTATAAAACGGCCACACATGTCCGGCCCCTAAAGTACCTTTATGCACAACAGCAACAACAACTGATACACCCCTCCCTCCCTCCCCTCTTCTCCTTCCCCGACAACTGGTACTCATTTTAATACCTTAATACCACCGAAATCAAGTTCACCATTAAAATGCGTAGCTTTTCGATCTTCGTCATTGCCGCACTCCTCGGTCTCGCCCATCGCCAGCAAGCCCACGCCCACAGCGGACGTGTATGCTGATGCGGGCGACGACTACCCTGCGGCAACAGCGCCCTATGCGGGCGATGACGAGACCACAACGGTTGTTTTGGAGGGAGAGTCCCCGTGCGAGCCAGTCGTGACGCCATACGTGCAGACCGTCGTGGCCAACATCGTCAACACGGTGGTTGCAGTCAACACGGTGTACGAGGTGCAGACCAACGTGCAGCAGATCCAAGAGACTGTCACGAACGTGCAGATGGCGGGCATTGCTGAAGACACCACCGAGCTGTATCAGGTCACGCAAATGTACGTGTGCCCGCCCCCCGCCACGGTCACGGTTGATGAGATCCAGACACTGTGGGTCACCGAGACTGTCACGCCCACAGTGCAGGTGGTCGAGACGCAGTACCAGCAGCAGGTTGTGCAGCAGGTTGTTACTGCCACGCAGCAGGTCAACCAGGTTGCGTACAATGTCGTCACTGTCCAGCAGCAGGCAGCACAGGTTGTCGCAACCAATGTCCACCCTGTTGTCCAGGTTGTCCAGGAGAACGTCCAACAGGTCCCGTATGCTGCTGGAGTCCCTTATGCGGGCGCCGTCGACTGTGAGACGCCTGTCTACGCTTAAGCTGCATCGACCCACGTACGATTAAGCTGTAGACCCCTTCCCCGTACTGTTATTGTTGTTGTTAGTTCATATCCACCCCCTTTCCTAATCATCCGCCACCCATTCCTCTCCTCCTTTCCCTCAACCCGCACTCGCTAATACCCTTTCCATCCCTATACCCCAATTACGCTACCCACATCCCATTTCCATCACCAACCGACCATTCCCTTACCTCGTTTACCCGTCATCTCTAGTTTCATAACCTCTTAATTTCTTGACATACATACATGTGACATGACATCTACCACTGCAGGGAAATCGTGCCTGTGACATTACTACAAGCAATTCCGAACCACCAGCAGTGACATCTACCTCATCCTATGCATGTCAGCTATTTACTTAGGCCAGAGTTAGACCTGATGCCATTGTGTATTGTAGAAACGTTGAACTTTAACTAGATACAGTTCCAAACGGCCATCATAAGGATCCATCCCTATCTGCAAATGCAAAGGATATATACCCTCGATGATCAAATCAATGCTCATAGGCATAGCCAAATATGTCTCAACAAGAGAATACCAGGGCGTGTCCGTCGTACTCTATATGGGCCACTCATGTTTTTCAAGAATATCAATAGTAGGCTCTATAGAATTTTGGCTTTCTTTTAGATAATGGACGTACTTGTCACCATACTTGAGATGGACAGTGTCACCAATGGTTTCGCAAGTAACTATGGCATCATCACCAGAGTGCATCATCACTAGAATGTATCATCAAAAATCTGCAGCTCATCGTTGATTTCTTTGTACTCTGGTTCATAGTTGCTGTGGTCGTTGCCGCCGTCCCCACTGCCGTCATTATGATCCTCGCTTGGAATACTATGAGTGGTGGTGTTCTATATCTCAAGTGGGTCGGACCGGTTCGCCATCAGGTTGCTTGTTTCCGAGGTAATCTTTGGGCTTGAATTGCCTGTTTGGTAGGCGCTTGAAAGAATGGTCCTTTCAAAAGTCGGCCAAATTCCATGCGCCTTGCAATAAAGGCTGGGCCGTTCAAGATCCTTGAGGTATAGTAAGCGGTATTGCCGCAGCTGTATACTGCTCTGTTGCTCGTATTATACCGTCTCAGCGCATTCGAAATCATTGTCATGCGCTATGACAAAAAACTCCTGATGGCACCTGGCGATTTTCTTGGTAGTCTGGGCGAATTGCTCGAAGTTGATGGTGGTGTAGAAAGTTACAGCCGTGTTATTCACAACAGGGTGACTATGGTCACCAAAAGTAACGCCCGATTGGAGAAGGTGCAAGATTGGCGATCCAATATATACCTTACGCCCATTGTGCTCACGAATACAGCTGTGCCAGTATTGGATATTAGTGTTGCTGAGGTGCTTTGCAATACTGTTCCAGGACGAGTAGTTGCCCTTGATGGCTCCTTCCGGTGAGTTGTAGATGAGGAAATGATCCTTTTCGTAGGCGAAGGACAGGGGCGAATTAGCCGTCTCGTGCTCCACAGCCTCCTGCTTCGTCCCAACGCCGATGAGTTCGATGTCCTTATCGACATGGTACATGTGACAATGTTGCCCTAGTTGACATGTTTCAGGATGTACACGGCGGAAATTCAAGCTGGTAGGCATTTTAAAATAGGAAAGAATCGAAGAAGAACGATGTCGTGATAATGAAAATAGGGAAGGTGGGCAGGAGCTAGGATGCCTTTTTATAGCTGAAAAGTCAGAATCGTGGCTGCGCAAAGGACATTGCTTTCAATTTGGATTCCCTCCTTAATAATCCAGGGATACAGGTCAAAATCTTATGGAATGTACATGCTCGCTCAGATTCCGAAAAATCGCTTTCAATTGGCCCAAGAGCACAGGCATATGATCATCTTCCAGCGGAGTATATTGGGACTTCATCCATTATGCAGCAGAACTGGTGTATTAAAGATTGTTTTATATCTTAATCTTTGACAATGTATAGTTTCATACGAGCATTGTAATATTCTTCCTCATCTACACATGGAAATGATGTGTAGCCTCTATGATCAACCCAGTCTTCATAGGCATATCCAAATTCGCTCCACCGCGAGAAAATAAGCGCATTTCCGTCGAATTCCATATGTAACCTCTCATGCTTTTCAGGAAGCTCTGGCTTGGTTGATATCCCTGGGCATTCGCTGCTCAGGTAGCAGAGATATTCGCCATCGCACATGAGATATACAGTATCGTCGATGATCCTGCATATAAAGATGTCGTCAAGCCTAGGGGTGTAAACAAATCATACTGGCACTTGCGCCGACTCCTTTATAATCAAATTCGCCATCGTCATCATACCGCTCCTCACCCGCATAAAACGCATAGTAACTAGCGAGGTTTCGGACCAGTCGAAAGTGCTCGCCATCAAGAACCTCGTTTCCCTGGTAGTCTTTGAGCCTGAACTGTCCATTGGGCAGACGCTTAAGCCAATTCTCCTTCATAAAACGTCACATGCTTCATGCGCTTCTCGATACGCGTCAGATCCTTTGAAAACCACTGCGTGTAGTAGCCAACATTATCAGCGCTAACATCCACCCTGTTGTTTGTATTCTCCGGCCTCAACGCATTCGAACTTGTCGTTATGCGCAACGAAAAAGAATCCCTGCTGGCAGGCGGCCATCTTCTTGACAGTTTGAACGAATTGCTCGATGTCGATATCGTTATAGTAAACCGAAATGTTGTTGGATCTCAGAGTTAAACTGGCATCACAAGTGCCATCACTTGGGAGAAAGCACAGGCCTGGTGGCTCAGGATATACCTTCAGTCCATCCTGCTCGCAAAGCAATTTCTGCCATGATAGGGATTGCGGGTAGAGGATATCTTGCGTGATCCTGTTCCGGGACCAGTAGCTGCACTTGACAGTTCCCTCTGGCGAGTTATACGCAGTGAAATAGTCCTTCTCAAAGACAAAAAACGGTTTCTCGCTAGCTGCCTCACGCATCACAGCTTCCTGCTCTGTTTCAACACTGACAAACTCGGTGATCGAATCGGCGAAGCACTTGACAATGTCCATCCTGGATGATATGTTTCGGGATGTAGGCACGGAGCCTGGGTCCAGTGGACATTTTAAAATAAAAAGAATCGAGCCAGACAGGTGCGGGGATAAGGAAAGAATGGCAAGCAAGCTGGGGCTGAGGCGCCTTTTATAGGCAAGCTGTCATGAACTATGGCTGCGCAAAAAAAGTCGAGTGTCTTCCAGCTTGAAGAGCTCCCACTAAATATTGGGGATGCAGATCATGAGCCAGTGGAGAAGTCATTTCTCAAGCTAGATGTTGCTGCGACTGACTGCCCTATCATTCTGCGGTGTTCAATAGTTAACCAGGCGTACCTTTGCCCATGCAGGCATCATCTGAACGTGTATTGGGATTGTGTGGTAAATGGTTTGTTTTGTAGTTTTCACGAAGCCAAATTAGAAGCAGCTAGACATCGGGTATACTTGCTTGGCAGCCACCGCAAACTTGTCGATATCGCTCGGCTCAGCCCCAGCCTTGATCGCCAGTGCCTTGGCGGCCAGCAGGCTTTCAATAGTACGAGCGCTGCCGAATTCCGGAGCCGCAGCCGACAGCATGGCAGCCTTGACGCGTTCCTTGTTCGCATTAGCGTCCATGGCCAGCAGGGCATGGCAAGCGGCCAGCACGTGGGGCAGCGACGCAGCGTTTTCGGTCATGTAGGTGTCGAGGCCGCTCAAGGCACCGTAGCTCTTAGGCCAGCTGTGCATTCAGCGCAACCTTCATGGGCGCCGCAAACTTGTCGTCCTTGGCCAGCGCATCCTGCATGCGCAGTACGCACGGGATCAGGGCCGGGTGGGCGGGGTCGGCTGTCTTCAGCGCGTTGATCGCCTTGAGCACAAGGAAGTACTTGTTCATGCGCAGATGCACCTCAAATGCCGACAGATGGGTCTGCGGCTGGTCGCCAGCAAATTTCTCCAGCGCTTCGACAAACTTCAGCCCGTCGGCCAGCAGGTCTGCGGATTCGACGTACTCGGACCCGCTCGGGTCCTTGTCGACAGCCGCCGGCTTGGCCTCGCCGACGCCAGCGGATAGGGTGTGGTTGCCCTGCTTGGATGTGCCGTTGCGCGTCACACGCTTGTTCTCGTCTGAGGCCGGGATCGGCTTGAATGCATTGCCAGCCAGCCTGCGGTCATAGAGCTCCAGGTAGCACTTGATGGCGGCGTGGGCCGAGGCAGTGTAAACCGGGTGTGAGTACAGAGTGTCCTCCCACTGCAAGGATGTCGACGTATGAGCGCATGGTGAATTTGCGTAGCGAGTACTGGTGGAAGTCAAACTGGTCGTTGTAATACGCGTCGAACGACACCTGCACCTGGTGGTACTGCTTGAGCGCACGGCCCAGATCGCCCAGCCGGTTGTAGGCATCGCCGCGCTCCTGCATGTACCAGATCGCCTGCATGTCGACGATCTCCTGGATCTTGTGCGGCGCGTCCTCGCGCACAAACATCACCATGGTCTTCTCTGCCTCGTCGACCTCGCTGTTGCGCAGCATGTACTTGACAGTCTTCGAGTTGACAAAGCGGTCCTTGATGTCCATCTGTCGGGCTACGTCCATCGTGTCGCGCGCGCTCTGCGTGTCGCCGGCATGCTTGAGAATCTTGGCCTTGACCATAAACAGCTCGACGGTCTCGGGCGACTTGGAGATGGCCATTTCAATGTAGCTCAGCGCACGCTCGTAGTCAGTGTGGTAGTCAAAGTGCTGGGCCAGGTAGAACAGGATCCAGACCAAGGCCGATTCGGGCTCATCCGCGGTCGAGTTGTCGAAGCGCTTCGAGCTGCTGATCGCGCCGTGGTACTTTTCAAAGAGATCCTCGAGTGCCTTGCTCTTGGCTGCGTCGTTGTAGAGGCTCTTGAAGCTGGTGAATAGCGATGGGATGCCCTTGCGCAGCGCATGCTTGGCCATCTTGTCGGCAGCACGAGCAAAGTTATCGCCTTCGCAGAAGGTCAGTGGCAGGAATTTGAGCGAGTTGGAGCGCGGGAACTGCTCCTCCAGCATTTCCAGGACCTCGATGATGGCGGAGTGGTCGGCCGAGTTGGCCAGATCCAGGCCATTGCAGGACAGATACCCACGCACATACTCGTTATTGTCCGGGTTGCGCTCGATCAGATCCTGGTAGGCAGCAGCAGCGACCTCCTTGCGGCCGACCTGGAGCAGCAGCCTGGCCTTCTGGACCTTCCACGCGGTAATGTCGACAATGCGGCTGTGGATCTCCTTCAGGTTGTCCAGGGCGTCGTTATAGTCGCCGTTGAGCTCCATCAGCCAGTTCTTGTACAGAAGCAGCTCACTGAACTCAGACTTGCTCAGCATGGCAGCCACGTTGAGCTTCCACTTGCTGGTATCCAGGCCTTGATGGCCAGATCGTACCGCTTGTTCATCTGGTGGGCCACGGCCAGCCCGAGCCAGAACATGGGGTCACCCGGGTTGACCTTGACCAGTTTCAGCCGCGTCTCAACCAGCTGGTCGAACTGGCGCAGCTGGACCTGCATCTGGGCCAGATCGCGCAGGATCTGAATGTTCTCCGAATCGGTCTTCAAGGCATTGGCGAAGCTCTTGGACGACTCGACGTAGTTGGCGTCGAGGCGGTGCACCAGGCCGCTGATCTGCCAGCACAGCGAGCTGTTGGGGTCGATTTCCAGGCCCTTTCTCAGACTCGCATAGCCCTCGTCCTTGCGATCGAGATTGGCCAAAAACAGACCCTTCACTGCGTGCGACTCGCCGTGTTGCGGGAACTTTTTCAGGATCTGCTCGACGGTCTTCAACCCCTTCTTGTATTGTCTAACCTCAAACAGCTTCTACACATGGGAATAGTCTTTTCGGTTAGTGGGAGGGTGGGGCATATAGGGCTTGCAGCAGGCGCCAGAAGCTTGTCGAATGAGTTTCTTACCAGAGCTGATCGGAACAGCGTCTGCTCCTTGTGCGGGAGCTGAGAAATTTGGAGCGGCATTTGTCTGGTATGGGCGGCGGCAGCGGCGGCGGCGGAGTCAGCAAATGAAGAGCAAGAAAAAGAGGAAAAATACGCCTGATGCAAGTCTACAAATGGCACGAGAGAAGGACGCAGAATTGAGGAGGAGCTTTACAGAAAAAGGGCTGCTGCTTGGGGCGAGCTGACTTCAGGCTGCAACATCGCAAGCGAGGCCAGCAAATTATTTTTTCTGTCCCTTTGTCTGCCGAGTGGCGGCTTGCTTCCAACTAGCTGCCCCGTGATGAGCCGAGCCGAGGGTGCCTCGGTTCATGGAACGCGTTCCAACCCCCGACGCGTTCAGGCAGCCGGCAGGCAAGCAGAGCCTATTGCTCGCCACCCCACGCCTCGACTTTCTTTTTTTATTTCCCTGCACTCGTCACTGGCATTATATTTTTGTATACTTTCTAACATTCAGGTTTAAAATGGATTCAGGACCTACGGAGCTGACGTTCCAGCCCAAGCTGTTCACGAACGCGACGCTGAAGAAGACGGTGGCCGTGTCTGAGCTGTTCAAGCAGCTGAAGCGGCTGTCGAAGGAGCTGAACGCGCTGGAGCAGGAGACAGTAGACACGCAGTCGCTGGAGGCAGTGACGAAGCAGATGCTGGCAGCGTCGCTGTTGAAGCACAAGGAGGCCGGGGTGATCTCGTATGTAGCGTGCTGTGTGGCAGATCTGCTGCGGCTGTACGCGCCCGAGGCACCGTACAGTGACAGCGAGATCAAGACAATCTTCAACATGTTTATCGACCAGCTGCAGCTGCTGGGTGACACGAACAGCCAGTTTTTCCCGCTGCGCGAGTACCTGCTGACGAGCCTGGCGACGGTGCGCACGCCAGCGCTGGTAGCGACGCTGGGGGACGCGGACGAGCTGATTACGCGGTTCTTCACGGTGTTGTTTGGAGCTGTGTCGGGGGACATGGCGCACAATATGCAGATGCAGATTCTTGATGTCTTGCAGCAGCTGCTGGAGGAGCCAAAGTACGTGGCGCAGGGAGTGATAGACGTGATCTTGCTGCAATTCACCAAGAAGCGACAGCAGGACAACCGCGCCGCCCACCAGCTGGCGTGCGATCTGGCGAACGGCACGGCAGATGTGCTGCAAAAGTACATATACCAGTACTTCAACGACATCATTGTGGGGGCAGCACAGCAGCGGCTGGAGCAGAGGGGGCGGAGGGCGAGGGCGCACGTGGGGACCGGGCGGTAGCGCGCAGTACGATGAGCGACCTACGGTCGGCACACTTTCTGATCCTGGAGCTGAACAAGTCTGCACCAGGGACACTGCTGAATGTGATTCCGCAGCTGGAGGAGGAGCTGGGAGTGGACGACGTGGATATCCGGGTGCTAGGGACGGAGGTGCTAGGGGAGATGTTTGCAGACAAGGGCTTCACGCTGGCCAAGCGGTACGAGTCGACGTGGCGGGCGTGGAAGGGGCGGCGGGCAGACAGCTCGGCATTGGTGCGGATCCAGTGGGTGGAGCATGCAGTGGGGCTGTACGGCAGCCAGCCGCAGCTGGGGCGCGAGCTGAACGAGGCGATTGTCGAAAAGCTGCGTGACGTCGACGACAAGGTGCGGCAGGCAGCGTGCCATGCGCTGGGGCAGCTGGAGTATTCGGCGGCGGAGCAGGCGGCGATTGGCAGCGCAGTGGTGGATGCGCTGGGCGAGCGGTGCAAGGACCGCAAGCATGTGGTGCGTGGTGAGGCGATCATTGCGCTGGCGACGATGTATAGCCAGGTGTATGACTCGCTGGCGCGCGGCGACCAGGCAGCACGGGTGAAGTTTGGCGGGATCCCGTCGGTGATCTTCCAGCTGCGGTACATCAACGATCCGGATATTGACTCGATGGTTGACGGGATCCTGGCTGGCGCAATTCTGAACTTTGCCAAGATCAAGGACGACCGGGCGCGGTGCCAGCGGCTGGTGTTTGTGGCCGACGGGCTCACAGCCAAGGCGCTCAATGGGCTGCTCAGCTACATGCGGCGGCAGCGCGACATCATCCGGTTGACAGAGGTGTTCTTGGGGCTGTGCGAGCGGCAGTCGGAGGCCACAACGGCGGAGGCGCAGAGTGTGCTAGGCGAGCAGCTGCGCGTGGTGGCAGGGAAAATGGCAGGGCACTTCCCGGACCGCGCCAAGCTGGAGCAGGCGCTGGTGCAGCTGGGCGGGCTGCAGAACAGCGAGGTGTATACTGGGCTGCGGGCAACAATGGATCCTAGCAATGACATCAAGACAGTGCGGCGGTACCAGAAGAGCGCGCTGAAGACGTTGTCGGGGCTGGCACCGGCGCTGCTGGACGCAACAGCGACGGTCTGGAAGTGTGTCGGACTGACAACGATAAACCGCGCACTGGTGCCGCACCTGATCACGTTCGCATCGGGCGGGGCCCACACGCCGCTCAGCAGTACCGCAGACAAGCTGCTGCGGTTTGTCGCCGATGTGTTCCCGGAGATGCTGCAGTGCAGCTCAGCCGACCTGTTCGACGCAAATGAGCTGCAGGGCGACCAGGTGCTGGTCGAGGAGCGACTCGCGCTGATGGTCAAGTTTGCCAAGGCACTACCGCGCGCAGTGCCGGCAGGCGAGCGGCAGCAGGAGCAGCTGGCAGGGCTGGTGCGCACGGGGTCGCTAAGGCAGGCCAAGTATGCAGCGTTCCTGCTGACGCAGATGGAGGGCAGCGCGGCACTATGCAGTGTGCTGGTCGGCGACATGGTTGACAACCTCGACAATACGCTGCTGGAGCGCCGCTCACCGGCATTTGCAGCGCTGTCGCGGTTCGCGCAGTATGCACCGCTGGCATTCGCCGGATACGCCGACCGCGTCAGCCAATATCTGGTCCAGACGGTTCTGATGGGCTCAGCTGGAGCCGAACCGCAGGATGAGGACGCCAGCATGGCCGACGGCAAGGAGAATGTTGCGCCTGCATGGGTGGCTCGCGAGGACCTGGACGAGGTGGGGCTGGCCAAGGTGTATGCGGTCAAGATCCTGGCCAACTGGCTGGTGGGCACCGACAAACACGCACTGACGCGCGATTCCGTGCAGCTGGTGCTGGGCATGCTGCGGCAGCTGGTGCGCAATGCCGGCGAAATCCAAGCCGACGGACATACACCGGCGCTATACCGGCAGCACGTGCGGCTGGCAGCGGCCACATGCATGGTGAAGCTGGCGCGGCAGCCGCACTTTGAGCGGCTGTTGAGTACGCAGGACGCCGTGAGCCTGGCACTGGTCGCGCAGGACCCGTGCTACGAGGTGCGCGCGCGCTTCCTGCTCAGTAAGCTGGCGCCGCGGCTGGTGGCCGGGCAGGTACATGTGCGACACGTGCCAGCGCTCTTCCTGGTCGCCCATGACCCGGAGCGCTCCATGCGCGACAACGCCCGCCATGTGGTCACCCAGCGCCTGGCGGGCGTGCGCCCGGCGCCCGGCGCCCCATCGGTGGCAGAGGAGAGTCTGCCGCGGCTGCTGCACGTGCTGGCCATGCATCCGGACTGGGACGATGCGCAGCCCGTGGCCACACTGGAGCTGTTCGCTCCCTACATCGAGTTCTTCATTTCGGCCATCGGCGCCTCGCACAACGTCTCGCTGCTGTTTGCCCTGGCCGGAGCCCTCAAGACCCACCGGAGCCGCCCTGCAAGCGATGCAGTGACGCAGCGCCTGTACGTGCTTGGCGAGCTGGCTCAGTACCTGCTGCGCGAAAAAAGCATTGCTGCCAGTTGGCCCGTCAATGTCTATCCAGGCCAGCTCAAGCTGCCAGCCGATATCTTCGAGCCGCTGCCGGCCGATGCCCTGGCTGGCGTCCCGGTGGGCCCGCTGCTGGACCCCGAGTTCATTAAGCGTCGCAGCAAGGCCACGGGGAAACGCAGCCGCCCGGCCCGCGACAAGCCAGCGACCGTCCAGCACGACGCCAAGGCGCCACAGCGCAAGCGCAACAAGACCGCCAGCAGCGACGCCGAGATGGATTCTGATGCCAGCGAGGTGGAGGACAGCGATCTGGAGTAGTTTTTTTTTTTTTTTTTTTCAAGCAGTTGTTTTATTCATTTCATTCAAAGGTACAGCGCCGCCGCTGCATCTCTGCCAATACTGCTGTCGCCAGCAAGCTTCTCGTCGGGCCTTGCAAACAGCCCGTCGACATCCTCAGCCGCAACGCCGCTAGGCCTGCGCACGTGCCGGAACTCGACCCGGTAGGTCTCCGCGTAGTTGGCCGCTGCTGCTGCCACGCCCACCACCAGCACCGACGCCAGCACCGCCGGCGCGCAGTACATGCCTGGCGCTGCCAAGCTATCCACGACCACCAGCCGCTGCGGCTGCAGCTTCTCCAGCACCGCGCGCACCCACCCGTGCTGCAGCTCCACCGGCAGCTTGGCGTCTGCCAGCACCCGCACTGTGCCGTCAGCGTGCTGAACGATCCGCGATAGCCCGGCGGTTGTTGCCAGCGTGTTGCCTACTGGGTATTGCGCTGAGGCTGTGGGTGCATAGACGACTCCTACGGGGGATGTGCCCGGGCTGCTGGCCGCCGGCGTCAGATCGATGATCACGGTTTCTGGGCGTGCTAGGTCGGCGGTCGTGCGCACAATGAAGGATGCGGCGGCCAGCGTCCGGGAGAGCGGCTGCTCGTCTTCGCTGTCGCTGCTGTCGTAGCGTGTGGGGCCCAGGTACTCGAAGCTCATTGTGGATTGTGCAGAGTAACTAAAAAAAAAGTTTGCTTTGGGCTGAATTACAGGAGAAGAAGAACCCACACGCAACCGTGGTGCTTACGTATCCTTAAAAATCAATCACCGCACCGCCAGTCATGTGGCGCTGGTGTCTTCAAGCCCGCATTTCTGGGCAGAGAAACCCCCCAGCAGGCACGCGCAAGTGAGGCCTGGTCAGCTTTCATCTCTTGTCTATTTTCCACACTATTTTTTTTTTCACGAACCCTCATTTATACGCACGACACCCCCCTTTACATGGCTTCCGCAGGCATCATTTACGCCCTTGTGGCCCGCGGGCCGGTTATCCTGGCCGAGCATTCCAACACAACCGGGAATTTCCAGCAAATTACGCAGGTAATTCTGGACAAGATTCCGCCCAATGACTCCAAACTGACATACGTCTACGACCGCTACCTGTTCCACTACATTTCCGAGAACGGCCTGGTGTACCTCTGCATGGCCGACGACAAGTTTGGGCGCCGCGTGCCGTTCGCCTTTTTGCAGGCGGCGCAGGAGCAGTTTGTATCATCCTTTACCGACGCCGAGATCTCCTCGGCCATGGCCTACGGGCTGAACTCGTTTGCGCGCACGCTGGCAAAGCAGATGGACTATTATTCGCGCAACCCGCAGGTCGACGCAATCCGGCAGGTGCAGGGGGAGATTTCGCAGGTCAAGGACGTGATGGTGCAGAATATCGAGCGCGTGCTGGAGCGCGGCGACCGCATCGATGTGCTGGTCGACAAAACCAACAGCCTGAACAACGCTGCTTTTGCCTTCCGCAAGCGCAGCACTGCGCTCAAGCGCCAGTACTGGTGGCGCAACCAGCGCCTGCTGGCGATCGTGGTCGCCGCCATCGTCGTGTTTGTCTACCTGATGGTCTCGTCCGTCTGCGGCTTCCCCACCTGGAGCCAGTGCCGGGCGTGAGCCTCCCTTCTATGTAGTCATTCGGCTTGTTGGTAAATACACACTCTAGCAGCAAAGGGCCTGGTAGAAACAGGCTATGGAGCTGATCTGGTGCACACGAAAGCTTAGCAGTAAATTGTATTCAATTGGTGGGGGTGTGGGTTTAGTCTCTAAGAATTTCACAGGTTGGCCTTGTTTTTGGCGTTGGCGATCTTGGCCGCATGCTTGTATGTGGCCGCTGCTGCCTTGCGGAAGTCGGGCGTCTTGGTGTGGGCAACGATGTTGTAGTGGTTGAACGCATCCAGCATCCGGTCATTGCCCCAGTACATGTCGTGGTCGCCGGTGGTGAAGCTGGGCGCCCCAAACACGCCCTCGCCTACCGCCACCACGCTGTTCTGCTGGAACCCCTTCTTCACCTCCTCCCTTACCGCCAGCTCCGCCGCACGCGCCCCGCCCGGCACCCGCTCGCCCAGCGCCCGCATCTGGTCCACCACGCACCTGTCCCAGATTCCCGCCATCACCGCCGGCTCGGCAATATCGTCCTCGATGAAAAACTCCGCCTCATACACCCGCCACACAAACTCCGCCAGCACCCTGGTCGCTGCCTCCCCCAGCGGCGCATTCACCGGCTCCGGCGACTGCCCCGCATCCAGCCCGTTCACGTACGCTGCGCCCTGCGCCAAAAGCCACGTCATCCGCCCCGCCAGCACTGTGTTGCGCGGCCACGTCTTGGGCGGCGCGCGCGGGAATCCCTTGAATCCCAGCTGGTCCAGCGTCCGCGACACATCGTGGAACAGATACGCCGCCTTGATCGGCACCCGCATGTTTGGCAGGAACCCCTGGCCCTGCATCTTGAACACAGCCCCCAGGAACACCGGGCGCACCACCAGCTGCACCTTGTCCAGGTCCGGGATGTGCGTGGCCGGCGACCCCGCCGTCAGGTTTGTTGGCAGCGTCTTGCGGGTCGCGTGGAAGATGCGCAGCGCCGACAGCATCGAGTACGGCGATGCGTATTCAAACCAAAAGTGTATCGGGTGGGACATGAGTGGGGAATTGGGAAAAATCGTCTTTAGGAGCATTGGTACGTGTTCGCCGTAATCTTGGCTGGTTTATAAACCGGAAGGAGCAGAGGAGAAAGCTGATGTCCGGAGCCTGGTGCCCGTTTTGCCTCCGCTCGTCCCCTATTTGCCAGACTCTGAACGCATGCACAATGTGCATATCATTTTTTCCAGCTGCTCCTAACCACACCCGAAAAGTAAAAAGCATGCAAGATGTGCAAGTCGGGGGCAGCCGAACGGCATCGCAGAAGCGATTGGTCAGGAGCCGCCTTCTTTTGGCAGGTATTGCATGTAAATTTGGCATTTGCTTCAGGTAGACGACGTGTATTCTGCTGATGCTCTGTGAAGGGCTGGGTTCTTTTTGGCTCCCCGTACACCAGGAACAACATGCCTTCCCCGCATTTAGAAGACTTGCACGTACAGGGAGAGTGCGCCAAGGGTGGCAATCCTAATTCCACAAATTACGACCGTGCGATATTGGGCCCACAGCGGTCCATTTTCCTTCTCGTACAGGCGCTCCTTTCACACAAGGGGAGGAGCAGCGCCCGTACACGTCAATCTTAGCCTCTGGAGGCGGCAACCGAAATGTTCTACAGAGCCGATGGGATTAGCACTAAATGTGAGTCTGCCGCCCAGGCCGTCTGAGGCACCATCCAAAATCGCATCGACTCCCGGTGCTGGGGTCGCCCGGATCGCAACCCTACTTACGCTGCTACAGTATGGGCATCTGCCAAAGTACGTGTCGTAGCTCTGCCGCGTATCTTCCTTGGACGTCAGCCACTATGAAAGGGAATTGCTTTCCGATTAGCACAAGAGCAATCAACAGCGGAGTACAAAATGTCAAATGCCCCCGCGTCCGTTCCATGTATAAGGACGTGGGCCCTCTCTCGCCTTCCCTCCCCCAACTCGGGTCACCCAGCCATAGGCAACCCAGCCCCCGCCTAGCCATTGAAAAATGGTCAAAGAGAACTCTGTGGGGATTGTCGGACCGCCAGTCTATTTTCGTTTCCTGCGCGGGACCGTTAATGCAAGGCCTAATATAGGCTGCATGAAATTGGGAGCACGCTTTCCGCCCCCGAACCCCTTCAGACTGCAGCCCCCAGAACCAACCTACCTTCACAAGGCACTGCCGGTGGAACGGCTGCGCACAATGGTCATTGGAACACGTCTGATCTGCGCATTCGTCGCCGTTTCTGAACGCAAAGCATATGCCGCACTGGATATTCGCCTCGCCCTTATCCACGCCCTTTTGGGGCAGCTCCACCTGCAGAATGCCCTCGAGGTTCTCCCGCACCGACCGCCCCAAGTCCCACCGACTGCGAATCCCCCGCGCTCGCGCATTCAGCGCCTCGGCGCGCGCCCTCGGCCCATATACCGTGATCCTGGGCACCGGTCGGTCCGCAGACACCTCCAAAGTGGCCCGTCACGAAGCTCGCCCAGGCTGATGCGCCGCCAGAGATCGTACCGTCTCGGGTGCTCTGGCACCAATACACACATATCTTCGTCCACACTATCCAGCACTGCCCAGCACTCCTCCATCGCTATGCATTTTTGCCTTAGCCCGGAAACGTGCCGCGCCAGATCCACGGTAATTGGCACTGCCCCGGTCTCAATGCTGCTGGCGATCTGCTGCTTTCGCAAAATCCACCGTCACCTGGTGTGTACGCCCAGCATGATCGTGGATCGTGAGCGTCAGCTTGTCAGAGGCAAAGCCCGTTACGTTGTCCCAGCCAAGCATGTCTAGGGCCCGGATAATGGGCGGGTATGCGGAGATGTCAGGTGGTCCGGTGGCCGGCTGAGCGGCTGCAATGCGTGGTGGAGCTCCTGCATGAATGTCAGCGCGCTTGTGCATTGCTGGAAGCGCACGTTGAGCGATGTGCGCTCAGACTCCAGGTGCTGCATGACGTCTTTGGTGCTATGCACTATCTCTGTACTGTATGTTTGTGCGCCGGCTGCGTCTATCCGTATCTCTACCAGGCTACCCTACAGTCAAATCGGAAAAAACGCTGCTTCAATGCGCGCAAATGCAGGGCTGCCAGAAACGCCAGTGCTGGGTCTGCCATGTTACTTACATTTACTTCTAAGAAGCCCTGCGCCTTGAGTGGATCCAGGCTCTCGGGAACCAGCAACGGGAATTGCTCATAAAACGCCAGATGCTCCGTCATCCAAAATCAGAAAATCAAACAGTCACAGCAGATCGAAAAATAAAAGCACATGGATATATAGCACCACCCAAATCATTGCGCCATTATAGCCTGGCCAGGGACACTGCCAGCTATGGTCCTTTTTTGTCTGTGACGCTTTAGATTGCAGAGTAAAAACAGGGAGAGAAAATATATGTAGTGCGACAACCTCCAGTCTTTCTACGCCGACGAGTTCTTGGCAGCAGCCGGACGGCCCAGGGTGCTGACCGAGTCAAAGAGCCTCTGAGCGTCGGCGTACGCAGCACCGACACCGGCGCCAGTGAAGAATGTGACAGGCCACATCCGCCCTACAGGAAGCAATATTGCCAGTTAGTGTCTATCCCTACGTATCTTTTCAAGCATGCAGAGATCCCACATCACTCCTCCTGCAATAGGCTTTCTCGCTACTTACGCTTGAACAGCAGGGCCGACGCAACAACACCGACGCTGAGGCCGAGACCGGTCTTGACTAGCAGGTTAGCAGTCGCCTGGTCGAACTACAAAGAGATAATGTTTTGCCGATTGGTAGCTGAACTTTTTATTTTCCATATGCTGCAAAGTCGCACATGCGCCTTCAGCGCCTTCCAGGCCAATTCAGTATGCTTGCCTTCTCGTTGACGATATCCTCGGACGCAATCTTCTTGTCGACAGCCATGATTCGTTGTGTATAATTGAAAGGGGGAGAAAAGGAGTGCGTGTAAAACCGGGAGAGTCGAATTGAAGCAGTGCTGAAACGCAGAGAAGCAGCAGTCGCCTCGAGAAAAATACGTTGTTGGGCCTGCCTGCCCAGATAAAAGATGTAGATCGCGGCCCTGATTCTGGCAGGATCTGATTAGTGGCTAGAAGGTTAGCGTTGCTGGGAGGGGGACTAACGCTCCACGCCTTCTTGCATTTCCTAAACCCCTCTCTTGCATTTGAGCCCTCGTCCTGCGAGAGCATTTTTCTTCCCTCAAATAGACGCCGGGTAGCTATAGTAATGAGCGGCGAGCCAGTGACAATTCTACCCGAAAGCACAGATTTCCGGCCGCGGATGCGGCGGCGGCTTCGGCGCATACACCGGTCGGCAATACTGCGGCGGCTCCTGCATTGGCGGCAACTGGACTTTGAGTTCGCGTCGTGGCAAATGCTGTACCTGATAGTGAGCCCGAAGCGCGTGTACCGCAACATCTACTACCACAAGCAGACAAAGAACCAGTGGGCGCGGGACGACCCGGCGTTTGTGCTATTGCTGGTGGCAGGGATATGTGCCATCACATGCGCATACTCAGTCGTATACGAGGTCGGAATGGCGGGATTCCTGAAGGCGCTGGTGCAGCTGCTGGTGGTGAACTTTGTGGTGTCGGGGCTGATCCTGGCGACGGCATCGTGGGTGACAGGCGAACCGGTTTCTGCGGCACCGGTCGGTGCATTCAGCAGAGCAGCGGGTGGAGTGGCAGTATGCGTTTGATGTGCACTGCAACGGGTTCTTTGTGTTCTTCGTGATGGCGTATGTGCTGCAGTTTTTCTTCCTGCCGGTGCTGATGAAGACATCGTGGATCTCGCTGTTCCTCGGCAACACGGTGTTTGCGCTGGCGGGCGCCGGGTACGCATACGTCACGTACCTGGGGTTCCAGGCGATGCCGTTTTTGCAGCACCAGGAGGTGTTTTTGTATTTGGTGCCGTTGGTGGCGGTCGTGTACTTGGCGTCGCTGTTTGGATTCAACGTCAGTCACCACGTCATCGACTATTACTTTTGAACAAAATAAAACAGATTTCTAGTTTCCCGGGTGCTGGCGGGAGCATGCGCTCAGGATCTTGTCGTCGTCGTCAGTGGACGGCTTGATGATGGCCAGGAAGCCCTGCGAGGGATCGCGCAGGATCAGGCCGGGGTCGGTCTCGAGCCGCGCATTCCACTCCATCAGCAGGCCGCGCACGGCACCGCGCACAATGAAGGATTTGCCGGTGGTGGTGGCGATTGTGCAGAGCTTCGTGTCGGGCGCAATGCGCAGCGAGTTCTTTTTACCCTTGCCCTTGATCACACTGCCCTTGACACTGTCGGCGAACTCGACCGATGCGATCTGGCCGATCTCGGCCTGCCTCGACTGGTCCAGCAATGGGTGCTGGTCGGCAATGCCGATGACGCAGAGTCTATGCCAAAAAGGAAATAAGGCTAGCATGAGCAAAGGAAAGGGAAGAGTAGAGTGCGTTTGCAGTACTTACTTGTTGGGAGACATGCGCACGTACTGCCATTCGCGCGGGATCGGCTCAGTGTCTTCAGGGCTGGTCGTCTTGCGCGTCGTCGGCGTGCTTGCGCTTGGCGGCGATCGGCACGGCATAGTAGTTCTGGGAGAAATACCGTTCCAGGTACTGCTCGTGGGCAGGCCTCCTGGGCGGACATATTTGCGTATGTGGCTGAGGTCGTATGTGATTTCAACGGACATGGCTTCAGAGACAAAAAAAAAAAAGGAGAATGTTAGAGTGGCTGCTTTGCTTCTACCAAGCGGTTACCCAGAGACCACCCCGGCGGATCACACCCACCAGACACAGATCGTTAAAAATATTATGGATTAAAAAAAGCTGCTACTTGTGCTGTTCAGCCCACTGCACGGCATCGAGCAGCATCGGCAGGCGGTTCAGCTCGGCAACATCCCGGTACACGGCGACCTGGTCCCTGACTGACTTTGCGTCTACCATGGTTTTGTACTTTCCAGCGCAGCTGGCGCACTGGGTGGAGAAGTTGTCCTGCTTCATCAGGCGGCACTTTGAGCACACAAGATCCTGGGTCTGGTAAGCCAGCACCAGCTGCAGCATCTGGGCGACCAAACGCTCCTCGATTCGGACCCGGTCATACAGATTGGCGCAGCCCAGACACAGCCACTCGGCCTGCACCCACTGGCCACTGTCAGCCAGACTGGGCAGCAGGTCGGCGTCGCGGCAGAAATCCAAGTCCCGGCAATACGTGCAGTAGTCGCAGACAACCTGGGGCAGAACCAGACGGGCACACGGATTGACAAACCGCGCCTGGTCCGAGAACTCGCCGACAGAAAGCACCGCCAGCAGGTTGCGCCGCAGCACCCGCACGAAATTGGCAGCAGGCGATTCCAAGGCAAACACCGTGGTGACGTATTTGACGAATTCGAGCGCGGCCTCGCGCGCATGGGCTGAGCGGACGCCCGGGAGATGCGGGAACTGCGCCGAGGGGTCGTCATGGTGCGCTGGTGAGCAGGCGCTGCGGATCTCGGGCACTGCAGAGAGCAGTTTGCGCGTAAAGTACTGGCCGATCAGCCGCTTGTAGAAGGCAGCCTTGGAGGCATTCCCGGCTGGCGCATCCCCGTCCTCGTCGTCAACGGCTTCGCTGCTTGTCACGGGCTCAGCAGTAGTGTGCGGGTTGTGCGACCGCTGCTGCGCGTAGAAGCCGGCTAGCTTGTAGATGTACTCGGCGACGGTGACCTCAAACTGGCCCTGGGCGAGCGGCGGCAGGTAGTCCTTGATGCTCCACATCATCTCGATGCGCGGCTCCGAACTTTCTGCCTCCACATGGTCAGAAAGCCCCGCATGCTGGACAACAATACCGCCAAAGTTGGTCGCGTCCATCCACACCAGATGCGTCCAGTACTGCAGCGGCGCCAGCGAGATGCGCTCAAACAGCGGCTTGGCCAGCACCGGCCTTGATAATGAAATCGACGGTGGCCTGGGCTGCCGGGACCGAGCCCTTGCCGGTGGAAAGAATAAGCTTGTCGGCCGAGCCAAAGACAAGCCGGGCGCCGAGCTTTTGGCACTCCGCTCGCAGCTGCAGAAACACCTTGCGCATCAGCGCGCGCACCAGCTGCGCCAGCGCCGGGTCATGCAGACGGGCGCCGGGCCGTGTCAGCCAGCGGAAGAAATGCTCGGCCATCAGCGCCGCAAAGGGACTGCCGGAGCTGTCGATTTCCACGCACCATCCGCGCAGCAGCGACCGCAGCAGCTGCACCGTCGACGCCGGGATTGCCCCCGAAGACGAACCTGCCCACACGCCGTCCTTGCTGTCGCCGGGCTTGTGCGACGCCGAGTCGGAGGATATTCCAAGCAAGGCGGTGCGATCGGCGACATCATCGTCGAGCAATGCAGTCTGGACCGGCGTCGCCGGAGGACATGGCGTCGTAGCCGAACACGCCGACCGTGCCCTCGATTTCGCTGACCAGCGGCGCCTTCAGAACGGTGTTCACGGCCAGATTGCGCAGTTCGATCTCGGCGCATGCGGCCGCGTAGCTGCCGGATACACTGATCTCGACTGCACTCTCGGCCGACTCGGTTGAGGAGACATTGAACTCATCGTCCTGGCGGCCGCCGATATCTGGGCGGCTGCCCGGCGACCACCACAGCACGTGCTTGGCCAACGTCAGCTTGCGGGCGAAAAACACATCGGCCAGGAACAAGGGAGCGTCGGCCGGGATGTTGCCCACAGGGATGTCGGCATACTGGGCCAGCGAGATGCGCTCGGCCACCCACCGCGACGCGCCCAGCAGACTGGCCACCAGCCGCCGGCCCGCATGGCGCTGCCAGTCGAACGCAGGCAGCGTGCGGTCCGCGTGGTGTGTGGGCATGCGCACCGTCGGGAAGTCGCCCACGGCCCTCATCCGGGCCTGCAGCTCACGTGGCGCCAGCGGCGACTGGCACACCAGCATGGTTGGCGCCCGCTTCTCACCCGCACACTTGGCCAGCGCACTGTTGATGGATCGGTACGCTGCCGCCAGAGTCGCAAATGCCTGGGCAGTGAACTCTATCGACTCCGGATACGTAAAGGCGCTGTCGTCGATGTTGTCAGAGTCACGTGCTGCAGACACACTCTCCCGGTACAGCCGCTCCATGTTGGGCAGCTGTAGCTGCGCCGTCTGCTGCGCGGTGTTGACCACGCACACGTGCGCGTAGCCGCCCGCCGGGCTCACAAATGCCAAAAAGTGCCGCCCGTCGCGCGCGCTGGCGTGGTACAGCAGCGCATAGCTCATATCACGCGCATTCCATGTCTGCGACGCGACGCCCGACGGCACTGCCAGCACCGTGCGTAGCGTGTCCAGATCGCCCAGCCCCACCACATCGGCCATGCTGCGCCCCGCGCCGCGCCGCCTGGCTGCCGCATTCAGCCACGCTGTGGCACCCACCTCAATCAGCGCCCGGTCCAGCGGCGTCACCTCGGTTTCATACACCCCGCCAATCCCCGGATGGGCAAAGAACGACCCCCACCGGCTGCTGTGGGCAATGTACTCCTGCTCGCCCATCACACACTTGTACGTGTGCATATGCTGTCCGTACGCGGTGCGCGGCAGGACCACCGACGGGGCCTCGGAGAAGTACTTGCTGTTGGCGATTTCTGCCTGGTGCACTGCCGAGGTCACATACAGGGTCCGCGGGATCTCGACCCGGACCGTGTGCAGCTGTGCGCCAATCCACACCCACGCACGCAGCTCGCCGGGCGTGTCAGTCTCGGCCCACTGCACCACATGCCAGACATTGCGCGCCAGCGATACATGTGTCTTGGTGAAGAACTGGCCCAGCCCCGGGCCGCCAGCCGCCGGCTCCTCGACCATATCGAACATCGCCGTTCTCGGCCGCCTTGAGCCGCAGACTGCGCAGATTGCGCTTCAGCGCCCACACTGCCTTGGAGTGGATCCAGCCAGTCGCCATAGTTTTCTGACGGGTCGGGCGCACTCGGCCATATTTTCGAGCCTTTCCACCACCTGCCCGATCGTGAGCGGTGCGGGCCCGCCATTGCGCTTGCGTTTGCTGTGCACCACACCCACCTTGCGTCGGGCCAGACTGCCGCCGCTCCCAGCCACCCCAAAGTCCTCCATGTCGTCCTCAATGCGGCTGCGCTCGAGCTCGGCGCTGACCTTGGCCATATGCTCCTCCTTGCTCACTGGCTTGAACACATCCGTCAAATGCCGCTGCTTGCGCGTGCTCATCGCTGCTGCCACACGCTTACTGAGCCAGTCTGGATGCTGGATCCGCGGCACTGGGTTGCTGACGCCCTGCATCGCCGCCGGAATCGTGATCAGCTTCTGGATCACGCTGCCGAACCGCTCCAGATAATAGTCCCAGTCGAGAATGCTGCGGATATCCGAGTCCTCCAGCGAGTTGTCGCGCAGCCAGCGCCGCAAAAACTGCTTTTGTGTAGCCGTGTCTGCCGAGAAAATCGCCACCGGCACCGCGCGCTCAGGACACTGGCATATTGAGCGGCTTCTTGGAAATCACAAACTTGCACGCCAGGCCCTTGTCCTTGACCATCTGGTCGCCGAGGAACTCTGCAAGCCGCCGGGCTGTGCAAATCGACGTCGATTTTTGCGCTCCGTACTCCTCCAGAGACTTTGACATCGAGCGGTTCTCGGTAATCAGATCGAACAGCTCGTGGTCCGGCAGCCCCTGGGCCTTGGAAAACAGGATGTCCAGCCACTGGTCGGCCACATTAGCCACCGCTGCATAGCACTCGGTCAGCGTCGTGCCCTCCAAAAACACCTTGAAGATCTGCGACTGGAAGATCTTGATCAGCTTCAGCTCGCCGCGCCGCTTGACCTCGAACCCCTTGAGCTCCGCCAGCGACCCGTCGTCATTGAACACCGCGTACCGCTTCTTCAGCAGCTTGTCTGCCTCTTTGCTCGACGGCAGGATCATCGCGCGGTACGGTCCGTCGACCTCAAAGAAGATCGAGTTTTCCGAGTGCGTCTCGTACCTGTGCTCCTCGCCATCCACCAGGTCCTGGTACTGGTGGTTCGTGAACTTGTCGTACACCAGGTGGTTCAGCATTGTGCACGGATACGAGATCCCAAATTTGCCCTTGCCGTTCTTCAGCTTGAACGAATAGTTCTCGGGGAACGTTCCCGGCAGCGCACACCAAATGCCATCAGTATCGAGCTCCAGTGGCCTGCCCAGCTGCTCGACGCGCTGCCTTGCCATCTGGATAATCCGCGACCCAGTCAGACACACCACACCGGCCATTTCGAGCTGAATGCCAGCGCGCACCCTTGCGCATCACGTAGCCGTAGAACGAGTTCAGAATGCACTTGTGTGCCAGCTGCAGCGAGTCATACAGCACCACCAGCTTCTTGCCCGAGTCGATCAGCGGATGGTCGCTGTTGGCAATGGCCTCGTCCAATTTGCGCTTCTCCTTCTTCAGCAGGCCCTTGTATACGTACCGCCGGTCACGGAAATTGCGCACTGTATCGACATAGAACGGGTTCTCGCGCTGGCAAATCACCGCCTCACGCTCCTCGACTTTGGTGTCGCGCAGCCGATGGTAGACCTTGCGCGAGTAGTCCGACACGCGCTTCCTCAGCTCCGCCGCCTGGTCGGCCTTGGAGAGCTGGTCGAACGAGCGCATCGGCGCATCGGGCTTTGAGCGCGGCGCCGGCGGGAACATCTCGCCCTGCAGCTTGGCCTTGAGCATGTTGACTTCACCGCGCTTGGCCGGGAAATACTCGCCTCGCCAGAGCCACGGCATGCGCCTATCGCAGGTCTTGCCTGGCACGTTAAAGTCGCAGGATGCGCATACGGCGTCGCTCACTATTGCGTCGGGCTGCAGCCGGTTGGTCAGGATAATGTTTGGGTACATGGCTGCCACGTCCAAATGGTAGATCAGCGGCGTCTCGTTGCGGTGCGGCGTGTCGCGCATGTCCTCCAGCTTGCCAGCAATGGCTGCGCGCACCTCGTCATAGTTGTCGATTTCCTCCATCTTGTGCTTGCCTTCGACCTCGATGCTGAACTTCAGTGCTCGGTCCAGTTCGTCAAGCAGCCTTTGTACGCCCGACGAGTCGATCCGGAACTGCATCGGGATGTCGCTGCGGAACACCCCGGCCTCCAGTGCCTCGACATGCCCGCCCACATATGTCTCGGTCTCAATCAAGTGTCCGTCGTACAGGCGCTCGGGCGGGTCGGCGTGCTTGTTTGGAATCGCAACATTGGCCACATACGCCTCAACCATCAAAAGCGTCTCGCACAAAGTCCCCGAGCCTTTGCGCAGCACGTCGTCAGGATTCAGCGGAATGATGTTGCACAGCGAGAAGATGAACGGGTTGACGTACTTCATATACAGGTAGTATGTGGCCACCGCATCTGACACCGAGTACTGTGCCAGTGTCTGCGGCTGCTCGGCAGCAAACCTCGTCATGTCCTCGGGGTCGATCTCCATCGGATTGTAGCCGAGCTTGGCCGTGGTCACTGCCTTCAAGCCGTGACTGCCGACCGGCAAGTAACTGTCGCGCTTTACCCACCGGAAACAGTCCATGTGCACGCAACTGCGGCACTTGTACTCGTCCGACTCGTCCCGGTACCACCCGATCTCTGCGCGCATATCGAAGCCATGGTGTATGGCTCGCGCCTCGACGAACGGCCAATCGAACATGTCTCCGTTATACGTAGCCAGGACTGTGGGCTTGGCCTCACGGATGTGGTCAAAGAACCGCTGGATTAGCGCCGCTTCATCTGGCTCGTTGAAAATGATGAACGGCCCGGGGAACTCCTTGGTCGGTGTGTACTCGAAATCCTCAATGTCTTCAGAGACCACCTCGCGGTTGGTAATCAGGTATCCCTGTCCATCGACCATGTACGAAATCATCATGATCATGTCAATGGCTGCGTCGGGGAACTTTAACGGCAGCTTGGTCGTCTCAATATCGAATGCCAGCACGACTGGATCTGCACGCTGCACCAGGTCCTCGCGCCTGGTTAATGTGATCTCGCCTGCATCTGCAGCGACATCGTACCACAGCCCGACGCGAATGCTTTTGTCAATGGCTACCCGCAAGTAATATGGAACATCAAACTCGCGCATCTCCAGCAGACAGTCCTCGACCTCCCGCACTGTCTGCTCGCCGTCGTCCATGTACGCATCGACCAGGGCGCTGCGGTTCGCGTTGCGCTTGATAATTGGCTGCAGCTCGCGCCGCACCGCCAACAGATCCTGCACATTGCGGAACACAATCTGCACCAGCTTGCACAGCTGCCCTGTCAGATGGTTAGCCATGCCCAGATCCTCGCGCTCCACCACGCTGACGCGCTCGACGAATTTCTCGTACTGCCTCACAAGCCACTCCTCTACCTCGCCTTCGGTCCCCGGCACACACACAACGTAGAAATACGGCTGGTACAGCAGTGTGCACTTGAAAGAGCCGCCATCTTGCTCCAGGAAATAATAGTCCACTGCAGCTTTTGTCGAGTTGCGGTCGCTGTCGACCACCGATGTTGCGTGCATGTTGATTAGCCAGCCAAGGCGTGTCGGGCCCTCTTGGTACCGCGCAAACCCGAGCTTGCTGTCGATCTCGTCGATTTGCCGGACATTGTCGTACTTGCTCTCAAGGTTGTTGATATAGCTCCCCTGCACCGCGCTGCTGTCGGCCATTTCAGGGAAGAATGTGTCCAGCCCGTCTAGCGTGTTTTGTTGCGCCATGCCGTAGCCCGAGAAACCATGGCTGCCACCGCGATATCCGCCCCGTCCACGGCCACGTCCGCGACCTCCACGACTGGACGGCGGCAGGCCAAATGTGGGCTGCTGATTGCTCATAATTGGTTTGTTTGTTTTGAAAACTGTGAATTAAAAAGGGCTACGAAGACGCGAAGCAAAAAAGAGCACGGCAGTTAACGCAAATGGGGTCGCAGGAGCACTGGAAGCCATCGCGAAAAAAACGCGAAACCAGACGCGAACATCTGATCAGCAGATTAAACCGTGCTTGAAATGCCGATTAGCGTGCAAGCACCAACTCGCAGTTTGTGATCCTGTCAGCATTGCCTCCGGTATATGGTATTGGTCACAGAACGAGCAAGGCACTATTTGGCCTTATTCGCACTCAATATGAATAGTGAATGGATACAGTAGTGTTTATTAGAAGCCTGGTGCTGAGTCTGCCACTGGTTTCCTGAGTCCCGCGGGTTTCCTGCATTCAACTAGCCGTGTCCAAGACAGATCTGGCTCTGCTATGAGACTGGATTCAGTTTCCATGGCTCCCAGCATCCATCATCTGGTAGCTAATAGCACCGGCCACATATCTGCCCAGGCTCTGACGCAACTATTGGGCGCTGCATGGTATCTGTTGACATTCGGGCAACCTCATGCCCTTCGCCACCATGTGCAGATCCAAATCCCCACCTGTATAAACATTGTGGGCCGGAACGGCCCCATCATCCCTTTTTCTCCTCAGCAAAATTCCAGTCATATTCATTCCATAAAGCTCATAACTACTGGACTCTCTGAAGGTTAGCAATGTTGACGAGCAGATTCGCCGATTCGAGCGCACTGAGAAAATCATCCTAATCAAGCAGATGTTTGTCGTAGTCATCGTCGGTAGTCTTCAAGTAGATGTTGTCGATGTACATGATCATCTTGTCATTCAAGGCTGGCACTGACGACATAACCCACTCGATGAACGACTGTGCAATGGCTGGTGATTCAGAATTGCCTTGTACCAGTCTGGCAGTTTCGACGTGGCCATGAACATGTGCATCGTAGGCCCAAAAATTGCGCACTGATGGATCCAAGCGGAGAGTCGTGAAGAACGAAGCCAAATCCAGTGAGCATATGATTCATGCATCCCGTAAGAACGCCAACACATCGTATGGCCGTGCTGGCTGCAATCCCGCCGATACCATGTTCAGCTCATTGTTTGCAGAATCATCAAGCAAAACACGGCGAGCAGTAGTATTGGGTTTTGGCCGCGTGAATACTGGTGCCTGAGCATGCGTCACACTCGGATAGTCGATGCCATATTGCAGACGAGTCGCGGCAAATGAATCAATGGCTTCCAAAGCACTGTCTCTCTGAGAATGTTGCAGCACATGTATTGGGCGTGCATCGGGTACCATAGGTGGTACAATCGGTGCGACTGCAGCCGGAGGTGGGCATCCTGATGGGTACTCACGAATAACTAGGTTGTGCTTCATCAGGATATCTGTCAGGTGACATTTCAAGGCAGTCGTCGGACACTGATCATTCAGGCGACCCAAGAGATTTTCCTCGTCGACTGGTGGGTATAAGGCATCAAGTCGGGTAAACTCCTCATCACGCTCAAAGCTGAAGAGCTGCGGTGGTAAACCGAGCTTAACACGCATCCCGCGCTAGATAGTATTTTTCGACTTGTCCAATATATCAGTCGGAATTGAATTGATCTTTTTGGCTTTGGTTTTAGGCTCAAATGTTTCGTCATAAGCAGCACTGTCGTCATTGCTGTCAACCAGAGTATGCTCGCTGTCAATGCCAGTGTCAATCTCAGAGTCGTCGTACACGACTTCCGCTGCCTCCTGCCTCTTACGCTTTTGCTCACGTTGGTGAGCCTCAATGCGACGGCGTGCTGCAGGTGTCATCAGTTGCACATCAAGTGCGTCCAATGTGGACTTGTTCAGCAGATCCCAAGGCACATTGGACAGATCAACTACAACCATGCAGATGCGGGTTTCAAGGCCATGCTTAATGCTCACTGTGGCATACGCACAGCCTATGGATTTATGCCCATGTGCATTTCCCCAGATAGGCATCAGCACTGGTGCATCCCGCGTCCAAGTTAACAAGTGTAGTCGCGTAGCTGCATCATTGGTAATTATCGCTACCTCTGAGCCTTCATCAGCAATAGCTTTGGCTTGTTGGCTGTTTAGCGACACGCCATCAACTTTTCTCCAGCCCCTGCTCCATACCTCTTTGCTTGTTGGGCGGCTCTCATGGTTATCTATGGTTGTAACAGATGTATTTGAAATTGCTCCAACTACATATGATGCTGACTCAGAGCATTGCTGGCCTTGAGAGCCGCCTACGCTTTTGGGTGGCTAGGGCGAGTAGTTGCGGGTTTTGGTTTCGCTGCCATTGATAACTCCATACTCGCAATCTTCTCCTCAAGAATCCTGATCCGCTCACGGTCCTTTTTGCGCTGACGCTGCTTACGCTGCTTACGCTTGGATGTATCGGACGCTTCATCGCTCTCAGGCATTGCCTTTTTGTGCTCACCGTTGGAAGTCCTAGCTTTTCCCAGTATCGTTGCTTTGGGGTTCTTAGCTACACCAGCAGCCCGGCGAATAGAAACACTACGCCCAAAAGCCTTGGGTGCGTCATCGATGTTGTCAACCGTTGCTTCCTCTGGCTTTAGCCGCGCATCGACCCATGCATATCCATCCATCTCAGCTAGTGTTCTGGCGAGCATCGTGGTGTGCGTATTGTTGACGCCTGCATGGCGCAATAGCTTGAGACCTTCAGCCCGAATACTTCCGGCTAGCAGGTTCTCGAACGTTGCCATATTGTCCATTTTGGCTCGAGCATCATCAATAAATATTGACTCAGGAAAGGCTGTTCTCAGAGCATGTCCAAAAGCCGAGCGGCTGGTGAACTCGTGGCCATGCATAATCGCCTCAGCTTGTCCAGTCAGCCGCTTCTGTACGTATTCAACAATCACCTCCTTGGAGATATCAGTCGTAGCGAAAAGCGCCAGATTCTTATCTACCATGTTCAGCCACATCACAGTAGTTGGCCCAGCAGGGTCACCAGAGAATGGCTCTATACCAGCAATGATCTTCTGTATGCTGACTTGAATTGCAGCCTGGGTCTGGATCGCGGCCGGGTCAAGCACTCTTGTAGTGCTGTCGGCAGATCCACCCTGGTTCATGCTATTTTCCCCTGCAGTATGGCTATCCGCGAGGATGTCATGCGAGGTACTTGGCAATGGGTCTGCGTTAAACGTATCTGACCGTAAACCCATATTCTGCGTATTGTCGTTTTCTGATATTTTATATAAAGAATGTAGTTGAGTATTAAATAAACTTGTTGTGTTTGTTGAATGTGTGGGGATTTTAAAAGATATATTTAATACTTAAGAAAAGAGAGAAAAGGGAATAGACGAGTTGCGCAGGGGTGTTTTCAATACGGCCATCTTTGCAATTTATCAGAGTCTAGACGCTACCTCCGTATCGTAGGCTGTAGCGGGGCTCTCGTTGGCGCCTAGCATGCTGTCGCTTGATTCTGCTGACATGTCGACGTCAGGGACAGCTGCAGCAGGCGCGTAACAGTGTCTGTTAATTATCCAACAAGTCATTGCAGTAATCCTACTCCTAAATTGTCCCTTAACACAGACTGTCTGTCATCCTCCATTGGCAGAGAAGAGTACCTCGCATACAGATATGCTACCTCTGGTTGGCAATACTTTTCAGATTAATCCACATCGAAAGTAATAGATCGGACGTTTGGGAATATGCCAACGAGGCGGCCTTTCGCCTTTATTACCTGATAATCGTTATCCGAGTCGTAATCAACCCTGTTGGTGTGCGTAACAACGCCAATGCCTATGGATCCTATCAGCCAGTAGATTCTCCCAAAGAATCCCTCTTGCACAAAATGCACACCCACAGCATCCCAGCAGTGCTGACCGTCGACGAATTTTAGAAGCTGTATGGTCCTTATTCGTGCCGCATGTGAACACTGGACATCCATCTACAATGTCAGTTCTTGATTATGGCAGGGTCGGCCAACCCACCCCCTCCTTGCCACCTCTATCAGAGGTTGTGCGTACTGCTGCATATCTGACTGACATCTTAGTTAATTGCCCTTTGCTGCGCGCTGCCGGTAGACATAATGTTGCCAGAAACAGAAATTTGAGCAAAAACACTCATCCGCCAACTGTACTATTGATTTTGGCACGCTTGATCCCTGTTATAAGTGATATGCAGTGATGATGTTATCGATCTATAGACCATCATCATCTTTAATTCGCAGCATATACACACAGTAGGGGCTGATACTGCCATAGCTCGCAAACATTCGTGCACATGGTTCTGCAGATTGTTCACCAGCTGCTTAGCAAACATTCGCAGCTAAAACCCCTCATCATGAATTGCCGGAATCAGATTACCATACTGGCACATTCTGTGCTTTTGATTTGTCAGACCAGCTGCTGCGGTAGAGCACCTTGCTGTGCGCAAAAGACAAACCATCTTGCTGATAGTCTTGTGTAGCCCAACAGCCTTTCCTCTTCTACCCAACCTGTACAGCACATTTTTGCACTTTTATCTCTTGCAACCATGGTTTCATTCACGTACGAGTCCGTGTTCTTTTTCGACATCGACAACTGCCTCTACCCGCCCACAGTGGGCATCGACCTGATGATGAAGGAGCGCATCTACGCATTCGCACGCGAAGTGGGGCTGGACCACGCCGACGTGGCCAAGACATGCGGCCAGTACTACCGCGACTACGGGCTCTCAGTCCGCGGGCTGATCAAGCACCACCACATTGATCCGCGCGCCTTTAACGAGAAGGTCGACGGCAGCCTGCCCCTGGAGGAGGTGATCAAGTGCGACCCGGAGCTGCGCCAGATGATCCAGCGCGTGAAGGCACGCAAGTGGGCGTTCACGAATGCGGGACTGGAGCATGCGGAGCGGGTACTAAAGTGCCTGGGCGTCAGAGATCTGTTCGAGGGCATTACATACTGTGACTACTCAGAGCACAACTTCGCGTGCAAGCCCGAGCGGCCCGCGTACGAGAAGGCGATGCAGGAGGCGGGCGCTCGGGATCCGACAAAGTGCTTCTTTGTCGACGATAGCGCAAAGAACGTGGCCATGGCCAAGGAATTCGGCTGGACAGCTGTCCACGTCTCGCCGCACGCGGTCGACGAGCCTGCCGGAGACTACAAAATTGATAGAATTCACCAGCTCCCGTCGGTACTGCCGCAGCTATTTGAGTAGAAAGGGCTTTTTAATAATGCAACAACAGCTAAAACAGCCCGGTCTTGAGCATAATACGCGAAAAGTCCTCGAAGCTGACCTGACCCGTATCCTGGGTGTCGGCAATGTTGATCATCTCGTGCAGCTCCTCGTCGGGGATACTCTCGCCCAGATGGCTCGCAATCTGCTTCAGATCCCCAAACGTAATGCCCTCTCTGCCTGATCCAGGCTTGAACAGCCTGAAGGCATTCATCATCTGGTCCTGCTGGTCGGCCTCCTCCAGGCGCCTAGCCATGAACTCCTCAAACTGCTCATAGTTGATCCTGCCCGTATCCTTTGGGTCCACCTCGGCCACCCACTCGTTCAGCTCCTCTGCTGTGGGCGCATCCAGCCCCATCTCCGCCATTGCCACGCGCAGTTTGTGCGACGAGATCACGCCGCGGCCCTTGTGGTCAAGGCTCTGAAATAGCCTGTGGATGTCGTCCTGCTGCTCCGCAGTCGGGCTGCCCGAGTACATTGGCTGCTGGTCATGCTGGTTCATGCGGTCGCGCCAGTCCTGCTGCGAAGGCTCCCACGACGGCTGGCTGTGCTGGCGGAGGACCCGGTGCGTGTCTGTGGGCGTCGTCTGGCTTTGTGTGGGGCGCCGGGAGGTTTCGGCAATGCGCGAGCGGGTTGGTCGAGTCGAGGCCGGTGTGCCAGCGGCCGCTGATGTGCGGCGGACGCTGGAGTTCGACCGCAGGTTCCGCTTGCTGCCTTCCGGCCGGTTCATTGTGAGCTGTAATGTGAAGGAAAAAAGCGGTGTTTAGAGTAAAGGACGGTTGCAAATGGCGTTTTGTGTGTGGAAAAGTGGTCGGGTTTGACCAGGCAGCGTATCGCCCCGCCAATCACCGGGCGCTACCCTCAAATTATGCGATTTGGAAAAAATTGTGGCCAGCATTGCTTGCCCCAAGCTGGACTTGGGGTTGCTGAGCATTTTCTTCTCCTCTCTCACTTTTTTTTTCTCACTCTAACTTTTTCTGCCACGGGTTATTTTTCGCGTCTGAAACGCGCCTCTTTCTTCTAACGCGCACATAGTTTTCGATAGCCAGACAGCCAGCGCTATCAATTAAAAATTGGGTCTCTTCTTTTACTAGTTGCAGACTCTAGACACCGACAAGCCAAAAAACAAAATAGCATAGTCATCAATGGTGAGTGGAAAGGGGGTTTGGTTGCAGGCGGTCCAGCATGGGCAGCCCATGATGGGTGGAGGATTATTCTGGCCAATGGGGGCGAGAACCACGGGCTGATGTCATGGCATGAAATTAATTGTAGCCAGCCAAGGGAGTTACAGGACCGGCAGCGACGGGCGGCAAATTCGCAGGGAGCGGGTCGCAGAAGCGCGTGCAGTCGCGGTCATCGAAGGCGGGGCTACAGTTCCCTGTGGGGCGTGTGCACCGGTACCTGAAGCGGGAAACGCAGCACTCGACGCGGGTGGGGGCGAAGGCGGCAGTGTACACAGCGGCGGTGCTGGAGTACCTGGTGGCAGAGGTGCTGGAGCTGGCGGGGAACGCGGCGCGCGACCTGAAGTCGAAGCGGATTTCGCCGCGGCACCTGCAGCTTGCGATCCGGGGCGACGACGAGCTGGATCTGCTGGTGAAGGCGACGATTGCGGGCGGCGGCGTGATCCCGTATATCCACAAGCAGCTAATGGAGAAGGGAAAGAAGTCGGCGCCTAACTAGTCATGTAATAAAAAGGACCATTTTTTGAAACACTTCAGTAGCTGGTTTTGAAGCGGGCAGTCACCGGTGGAACAGGGGCTGGGTTTCGTGGTGCGTTGGCAGCGGGCCGGTGTGGGCAGGAGCAGGATGTGCTCCGTTATAATTTTAGTGGTTCAAGAAACCCAACGCATTTCGCTAAAGCCCGGCTTGTTTCGCACAGTGGCGAATAAATAGCACACGTTTTTCCTCCCCTGAATTTTTTTTTTAACGCCAGCACCTTCTTGTATTACCCGCTATCCTCCCTTACCCCTCTTTACATCGCAAGCAAATTCGCAACCCCCTTTAATGAGAGCAGGCCAACTATCCAAGCGGCTGCTCCTACTCGCAGCAGTGCTGCTCCTTGCGTGCCTTGCCGGCATCGCTGCACACAGTGCCGACCCGGCGCTCGACCTATTCGGACGGTGCCCGCTCTTTGACCATGTGGTCAAGGACGAGCTGCTTCCAGGCAAGATCACAGCCAAGCAGGCGTTCGACGAACTAGACTCGCACAATTGCCCGATCATCCGCGGGGCATCCATCACCAGCGCCTCGGAGCTTGAGGAGGCAGTCCGGCAGGCAATGGCGGAACCGGACAAGCACGCCGGGCATGCGCCGACAGCCGACTGCCGCCAACTGGACAAGCTGACAAAGGCCGTGTGGGACGGCAGCGGAGAGCCCAAGCAGGTGATGGATGCGCTGGTGAAGCTGGCGTGCCCGTCGCTGACGCAGTGCCCGACGTTCAACCAGATCAAGGGCCGGTATGCGGACGGGCGGCTGGAGCCGTCGCGGGCCATCAAGGAGTTAGCGCAGCGGTGCCCGTTCTTCTCGCCACCGGTCCGGCCGCAGGACATCGAGGGCAGGTCGATGGCCGACCAGTGCCGTGAGCTGTCGGATATGCTTTATGGCGTTGACGAGACCAGCGAGGAGCCCGCGGTCCAGCGCGCGGCGGTCAAAGCCATGGACGTGCTGTGCGACACGACGTCGCCGCTGCTCAACAACTGCCCGCACTTCCAGCGCGTGCGCGCCGAGTACCGGGCGGGGCAGATGACGGCGGCTCAGGCAATTGCGTACATGAAGGGCAACTGCCCGATTCTGTCCAAGGAGCTGAATCCCAGCATGGAGTTCCATGTCGACGAGTATGCTGGCCACAAGGAGACCCGCTTCGACGTGCACCACGCGAGCCACGGCCACCCCGACGGCGGGTGCGGGTGCGGGTGCGGCGCCAAGGAAGCACGCAACCCGGCCAAGCAGCTGTTTGAGCGCGAGGCAGCCAAGGACGGCGGGTGTCCGTTTGCGCACCTGAGCGGCCACCACGACATGCCGCACGACCACATCCACGAGAAGCGTGCGGCGCAGAGGACGTCGGGGCTGGAGAAGCTGCTGGGCGGGCTGTTCCCCAAGGGCAACCCGGCCATGTCGTCGCTGCTGGCCACCTTTTACATTTCGCTGTTCCCGAACCTGATTCTGTTTGCCACGCCGTCGTCCATTCCCAACAGGGCGCTGCGGGTGATGGTCGGCTTTGCCGTGGGCGGGCTGCTCGGTGATGTGTTTCTGCACCTGCTTCCGCATATGTTCTCGGATGGCCACGATCACCACGGCCACAGCCATAGCCACGACGACGACGTGCCTGAGGCGACGCGCAACACTGTGTATGGATGCGCAATCTTCGTCGGCCTGCTGGTGTTTGTTGTAGTGGACAAGTTTATGCGTATCTTTGGAGACGGCCACTCGCACGGCCACTCGCATGGCCACTCGCATGGCCACTCGCACAGCGCGAAGCCCACAGCGGCCGCATCGAGCTCAGTAGCCGACGGCAAGCAGAACCTGCGCAAGCGGCGGACGAACAAGAGCGATGACGAGAAGGACGCGGCCAGCGATGGCGAGTCGCACGGGGCGCCGGCCAAGAGGCAGGTGAAGATGTCAGCGTATCTGAATCTGATCGCCGATGCCACCCACAACTTCACCGACGGGCTGGCCATGGCTGCGTCGTTCTACCTGAGCCATGCTGCGGGCCTGTCGACCTTTGTCGCCGTGTTCTTCCACGAGATCCCCCACGAGCTGGGCGACTTTGCCATTCTGGTGCAGTCTGGGTTCTCGCGGTCGTCGGCCCTGGCGTCGCAGTTCTTTACCGCCCTGGGCGCCATTGCCGGTACCATTGCCGGCATTCTGATCGAGGAGGCCGGCAGTGGCAACGTTCTGAATGTCTCGGGGCTGCTTACCAAGGGCGCGCCGCTGTTTGTCCCAGGCGGGGCGAAGGGCGCGTCGATTCTGCCAGAGTTCGTGTCGGGTCTCCTGGGCCTGTTCCCAGCGACCGTGGCCGGTGTTCCGTGGAGTAAGCTTGTTATTCCCTTCACGGCCGGCGGATTCATTTATGTCGGCACTGTGTCGGTGCTGCCCGATCTGCTGCAGCCCGATGAGGAGGAGGAGCAACATGGGGAGCGCCAGAGCAAGGTCAGCGAGGAGCTGCGGCTGAAGCGCAATGTGAACATGGCCCTGGTCGAGATTGCCGCAATGCTGGTCGGCCTGGCCATCATGGCCGTCATTGCCCTCAACGAGGAGTAGAGCGTCCATAGATGATATCTAAAAGCTTCATTCTCATTTTTCGTTTCCCTCATAAAAGCCCTGTTTCTAAATGAAAACCCCCCAGCCCTATGTGTCCCGGTGTTTGAAGATCCCGACCACGACCGTGTCGATTCTCCGCACCAAAACAACCATGTTCTCCGCCTCGATCTTTGCCACCGGCGAATACACCACCTCGGCGTTAGGCTGCGACAGAAAGTTCTCTGACCGGTTGGCAATGGCTGCCACCAGCCCGGCTGCCTCCTCCGGGATGTTGTCGCCCCTGGTTGCCAAGCACAGCCCGCTGTCGTCCGTGACTACTACGCCAAACACTGTCCGGTCGCTTTCGATCAGCGAGTCGATGATATTGTCGATTTCTGCTTCCATATGTTAGAGCTATGTGAGGATATGTAGTGGGGCTGTGCCCCAGGCGCGCGCGCTTGCGGAGATAGGATATGTGCATATTGCGCTATGCTGTTCTTGTGGGTGGGAAAAGACAATAAAGCAAAAAAAAAAACTGAGAAAAAAAATGGCCAGCGATTTCCTTTTTCCCAAGTGTTTGGCGACAGCTGCTATCTCTTCAGACTCTTTTTTTCTGAAATTTCTCGTTTCCTGCTTAATGGCTGCCACATACGATACGGTCGTGCTCGACATTGAGGGCACCACGACGCCCATCACGTTCGTGCACGAAACCATGTTCCCCTACATCACCAGCAACATCGACGAGTTCCTCACCACACACTGGACCGACCCGACAGTCCGCGCCCACGTCCAGTCCATTGCCGAGCAGGCCAACAAGGACGTTGCCGACGGGCTCGCCCAGGCCATTGCCATCGACCTGGCCGCAGACTCGCAGGAGGAGATTCGCCAAAAGGTCCTGGCGAACGTGTCGTGGCAGATGCGCGCTGACCGCAAGATCGGGCCGCTCAAGGGCCTGCAGGGGTACATGTGGAAATTTGCCTTTGAGAGCGGCGCCCTGGTCAGTGTAATCTACGACGATGCCTCCATGGCCATCCACCGGTGGGTCGAGGCAGGCAAGAACGTGTACATCTACTCGTCGGGCAGCGTCGAGGCGCAGAAGCTCCTGTTTGGCCACTCCGACCACGGCAATATGCTGGGACTGTTCTCGGGCTACTACGATACCAAGATTGGCGCCAAGGTCGAGCCCGAGAGCTACAGCCGGATTGTAAAGGACATTGGCGTGGAGCCCAGCCGCGTGCTGTTCATTAGCGATAGCATCAAGGAGATCCAGGCCGCGGATCAGGCCGGCCTGCAGACTGTGGTGTCGGTGCGCCCGGGGAATGCCCCGATTGCCGAGGACTGCGGGTTCCGGACTGCGACCAACTTCCTAGACATTGCATAGACAGTGCCAGCAGTGGGGCTCGATGCACACCACATCACTGCTATTTGGTATTGCATAGAAGAAGCCATAGATAATGTATCAGCTTGTTCAGCCATTAGCCGGATGCTTGTCTCTGGCCCAGTACGCGTTTGGGTATAACTGGCAGGCCCAGACACCAAGTGGTAGGCGGCCTAGTGGCTGGTTGTACTGGAGTAAAATGTCTCGCCATATGAGAATCTTGGTCTTTGCATTCTTTGCTTGCCTGATCGGTCTTGCACGGGGCACTGGAGGTGGTCGATGCTGAAACATCTAGCCCGGTGCCATCTACACTCCTGGATCAGGGGAAGTGCTGGCAGGATCGGCCGGCGCGCAAGGGCCGGTATGCGCATGCCTGCTCACGCGCTCAGGCGAAAAACCTCCTTGCATCAACAGGAGTATAAAAGCATGGGCACTGGCCCGCGGTTTTTTCCTTCTCGCACACTCCATCAACACCCCCTCACTGCCTGTACAAACAACCCCCCTTTAAACACAGCACACCCCTCCGAAACCATGGCAGTTACGAAGCAGGCATTCAGCAAGGACGAAAAGTATACCCTGTACAAGCTCACCAACGCCAGCGGCACCGAGCTCCACGTAACCACCTTTGGTGCCCGCCTCGTGCGCTTCATCATCAAGGACAAGACCGACACTGCACGCGACGTAGTTGCGGGCTTTGAGAGCTACGAGAAGTGGATCGAATCGCTCGCCATCGACGACCCGTACTTTGGTGCCACTGTGGGCCGCGTGGCGGGCCGTATCTACCCGTGCGACGATGTAACCGTGGCCAACCAGAAGCTCTCGCTGCCCGAGATCCAGCCCAACAAAGTATGCCTGCACGGCGGCAAGATCGGCTTCGACAAGAAGCTGTTTTCCGCCGAGGTCCTTTCAGAGTCCAGCCCATCCAGCGTCAGGTTCACGTATGTGTCGCCGGACGGCGAAGAGGGCTTCCCAGGCGAGGTCGAGTTTTCTGTCACTTACTCGCTCTCCGAGGACAACGCAATGACGCTAACGTATGGCGGCCGGCTGCTGGACGGCACCGAGACGATCCTGAACCCGACCAACCACACGTACTGGAACCTGACAGGCTTTGAGGAGCCCACCATCCATAACCACATGTGCAGTCTGACCGCCGACCGCTACATGGCGACGCGCCCTGACCACATTATGGTTCCCACTGGCGAGTGTGCCCCAGTGAAGGGCACGAACCTGGACTTTGTCACGGCGCCGCGCCGCTTCGGCGACGACATCGAGACCTTTGACAAGGACACGCTGCGCGGATACGATCATGTGTTTGTTGCCAGCGATAAGCCCACCGAGAGCGTGCACGAGGTCGCCCGGCTGTGGAGCGACAAGACCGGTCTGCAGATGACCGTGCTGACGGATCAGCCGTGCGTGGTCGTGTATACAGGCAATTGGATCTCGGATAAGCTGATCGGAAAGGACGGTGTCAAGTACGGCAACTATGCTGCTGTTGCGTTGGAGACCCAGCGCTTTACCAATGCCGTCAACCTGCCGCAGTTCCGCGACCAGGTCGTGCTGCATCCTGGCGACAACTTTACGCATACGGCCACGTACAAGTTTAACCTGCTTGCCTAAACAGCCGCCGAAACCCGTTCCAATGTGCCCAAATTTTAATGCTACTGCCATTGCGTATTTTGGTCCCTAATGACGGACAAACGTTTCAAAAAGACACACACACATTGAACTCGCTGACCTATTTCTTGTTTGCTACTGCACATACGCAAGCAGTCGTCCTTTGCCGGGCAACAAGTTCATACTCAGGACCGGTTTCCGGGAATACCTGACGCAGCAGGCCCTGGCCATATAAAAAATTGCATACCTCGACCTTTGCAGGAATGCGAAAGAAAGCACCTCTCCTCATATTCTCCCCTATTTCACGACTATTCCAACGATAACCTCAGTATATACTAATGACCATGCCCGCTCTATTTCTTCAGCTGTTCTGTGCGCAGCTCATCCTGACACTCTCGGTGCTCGGTGCTCCGGGAGGACTGCTCGACCTCGACGGAATCTTCAATCGTGTAACGGGAGTGCTGGCACCAGCCAAGAACTTCGCCATAGTGAACCATGCCAGCGACGCCGCTTCTGGCCTGCCGTCCCAGCAGAGCAGCACTGAAATGCCTGCTGATAGCCAGCAACAGGCCAGAATGGACATGTCACCTGTAGCAAACGTGCCTTCTGTTGCCAATGTGCCTTCTGTTGCCAATGTGCCTTCTGTTGCCAATGTATCGCCCCAAGGCAGTTCTGAAACCCTGCAGGTGCCCGGGTCAATCGACATGGAAGTGCCTGAGGACCTCGGCCCGGAGTCTCGCAGCACCCCGGCTACACAGCCCAGCGCAACCGTACCCCATGCTCCTTTAGCTACATCTGGCCCGCACAAGGTCATCCAGGTGGTGACCCAGATCGTCAATGCCCACGGCGAGGATATCGACGAGGACCAGGCCGCTGTGGCAGACAGATCAGCTGAGGGAGACTCTAACAGGAGCGCAATGCATGATACTAGCAATACGATTGTTGTCGACGAAGGCGACGGCGTTGCAACGATGCTGCACACCAGCACGGTGGTTCTGGGTCAGCAGCAGGAAGAGCAGCGGATGGCTATGGCCGCCCCGCATGTCTTCCATCCGCAGAATGCAGCAAGCGCAGTGGCAGCGCCATGTGGGTTTGTTTTGAGTGTTTTTGCGATTCTCTTTTGATTCGACTCACATTCACCTTCGTGTCTTTCCAATATCTCAATGACATTTACGCAACACAACAGAATGCGGCGCCAGTGCACCGTGCTATTTACCAACGTTTTCTTATAGACAGCCACACCAGCACGCACCTTGATACGGATGGTGGTTTCGGAGTAAAAAATAATAGATGGATGAGAATGCGCGGTGCAGCTTCAGTGAGCGGGCAAATTTACATGCTGGTCGTTGGGACGGCTCAGGCAAAAAAAGAAAGTATCCAGCACATAATTACGGCACCTGCACGTCGTTCAGGCCCTTCCCAAACCCAGTACTATTGAGGGCTGGCGTTGCGACCAGCGAGGTGGCCGCTTGGGAGCCTGGGTTCGGCGAGGCCGAGGGGTGTGTCTGCTCAATAAACGCCGAACTACCTGCCACAAAGCCGTGGACAGGTGCATGTGGAGGCGCTGGTGGCGGCGGCGGCATTTGCTGTGTGAGCGGGGGCGGCTGAGTGGCAAGTGGGAAGCCAGCAGCCGCTGCTACCACTGCTGCCGCTGCTGCCGCCGTCGGATCCTGCATTACCGTGCCCGGCAGCGGCTGGGTCAGCGGCACCGTCGCCGCCGCGACTGCTGCGTGTGCCATCGGGTCCCCGCAGTCGGCCTGCAAGTACTGCTGGATTGCATTGCACCCGCAGTTGCGGTGCGCCAGCAGCTGTGTCTTCAGGATTATCACCTCCTCCTTCAGCTGTGCAACCGCCAGGTGCAGCGTGCGGTTCTGCATCGTCGCGTCCTCGGCGCGCCGCTCCAGCTCCTTAATCCACATCTTCTTCTTCTGTCGGCACTTGCTGGCTGCCACGCGGTTGCGCTCCAGGAACTTGCGCCGCTTCTCGTCCATCTCCTCGGAACTGTCGTCGTTGTCGTCGTCGTCGGGGCTGGCGCTCTTCACTGCTGGGTTGCCGGCGCGGGATTTACGGACTCCACCGGATTTTGCTCCTCCACCGGTACGCTTGCCATTGATGTTCTTGCCGTCGCTGTTGATATTGTTCGTCTGGCGCGACCCCAGTGTTGGCGACGACCCAGCGCCACTGCCAGATATGTCATTGGACGGAACAACTGCCTGCTCATTCCACAGAGACGAATACCCAGGAGGCATATTGGCGTGCTGGACCGATGGCGCGAGCGTAGTCGGCTTGGGTATAGTACTGCTACTGGTTAATGGTGGCTGTGTGAACGATACGGACCCACGGCTGGCGGCGAGCGCCGAACCAGCAGCACTGGTAGTGGTCATGGGCATTTGAAACGTGTATCCGCTTGTCGAGACCATCCCTTGCGAATATCCTGGCTGTTGCGGTGCCATAGAGCTAGTATTATCGTTACAAGCAGGCTCGATCAGGCGATAGGCTGCTAGGTAGTTTTCGGCTATTGTAGTGTGCGGCAGCGGCGGCGACGGCGACGGGTAATTATTTCGTTACGCAGGGGCAAGAGATATCCAGAGCCCACGGTGGCGGGGGCAAAATAGGGGGAAGTTAAAAATAAGGTCCGTTTCGGCTCTTTTTTAGTATCGGTGGATGTGTTCGGCTTATTTATGTAATTGGGGAATTTCGGTTGTATTACAGGATATGCAAAGCCAAAAACCGGGAAACGAGGGTGTAGAAACAAAGGGGAGCGAATATGGAATTTAAGAGAGCAGAAATATTTAGTATTTTGGCGCAAGTAGAGGAGAAAAAGAACAGAAAATCGACCATGAGCATAGTCACTCTTTTTTAAAGGCGTCCCCCTCATGCCGCATTGGTTTTTGGGGGTCGATGAGGCGAGGGGTCAGAAAATTGGCAAAAAAAGCAGCGCTTTAGTATTTTCGTTTCTCGTTTCCACTACCCACGTGAGGTTGCAGTGGTTGGCTGGGCTCTGGGGATGGATAGCCGAACCAGCAGTCAAAAACAATAGTTTGGGTATATAGAGCGACAAAAAAACCCTCCTCTCTAATCTGCGCCTGTTTGGGAGGAGACTTACCGCTGACAGTAAATTTCATGCTAGTGGCTGTGGATACAAAACTTGATTTGGAAAGAAAAATATGGATGCTGACCAGAGAAGATGAATGCAGAAGGTAGAGGTTTGGCTATCGATGCTAAGGATGTGTGTTGTCAGCGCGTCGGGGGGTGGGGTGGGCCATTATAAGCAACCTCGTTGACTAGTGGCCGAAGGAAAAACACATGCGCAAGGCGCTGGGAAGGGGAGGTTGAGGTGTGGGTGAGCAACCTATCCCTGGACAGCTGCGCCTTAATACACAGGCCAAACGTTCGTCCCGCCCACACCAGCCCGTGCTCGCAAGATACAGCACCTTACATGGATCCCATTCGCCTTTTGTTCTCAAACAAGTTTGCATAGCCTTTGGTATTTGGCCAGGGCTTGTTCAGTGCGAAGCATACTATAATGCGGGTGGATGTCACTTCATGCATGGGTGGTTGCGAACAAACAAGCGGGTTCCTTAGGCATTGCGTCATTGTGCATATCCCAAAGGGGAGTGGCACATGACTCGCAGCCAGTCGGATGTGTAGGCCGTGGTGAAATGTTTAAAGCACGTTTTAACACCTGAAGATAGGGAGGGGAAGAGTTGTTAGGCTCTCTTTCTGCCAACATGGCAGTGCGGTTAAATTGGGCTGTAGGTCAATAGCGCAGGAGGTGGGCATAGGAGGGGGCTATGGGGTGGTTTGGGAAGAAGCCTGACATACCGGTGGTTGCAAATAATAGCATGTTGCTCTCTGGCAAGTTGCTGCTGTTGTCAAAGGAGGTTGTGGAGTAGTGGCAGTTGGGTGTGGAGTAGTGGTGGCTTTGGTGTGAGCTGCTCGCGAGATGCACTCCTCAAGTATCTTGTTTAAATATTTTTGCAGTGCAGTAGCTCTGCTACCCTTACCCTATCGACGAGAGAGCACAAATGGACAGCTGCCTGCCTCGTCTTTAGGGTAGCACCTGCACATATATCTGCGCTGGTAGAAAATACACCCCACGCCTCATTCTCCTCAACAAAGCCCTGTTTGTCACTGGAGCATGCATGTTTTATTTGCTTCTCAGGAACCGGCCGCAGCATTTGGTGCAGCTTAATTCAACCTGCCAAGTGTATCACATTAGGCAGTGTCAGTGAAATGCTGCCACTGTTCAAGAAGCGTCTGTTTTCCAGTAATGCATGGTATTTATCCAGCCCACTGCCTCCAGTCGCAAGAGCGGAAGACAATTAAAGGAGCAACAGGCAGCATACGTCACATACATATATTCCAAGTAGAGTTTGGTTCAGCGACTGATGGGATCTACGCCCTGTGCATGTTTTGGTGCCGAGTGTGCACAATGATAGTTGCACATTTATTCTGCCTCCATCCCTGTCATATGCAGGCTATATTAGAAACATGGGTACAAATGCCAAAACGAGTGATTATTCGCCAGTCACCGAGCACGCGCGGCTGTGCCTATTATTAGCGCTGCCTCGTCAAGAGTACCGGCGGGTGCATTGTCCTGAAGAAGTAAAGGGCCAAGCGCTAGAGAAAAAAGCGGCAGCGAAGGGAATCGCTACAAACTTTAAACTCAGCGGGCCCAAAGGAGCCGGCCGAAGATTTTCAGGAACGGCAGCACAGGGGGATGTGGTAGCGTAATAGTATCGTCATCGCGCTCTTCACACCCAAGCCCAGCAGCAGTTACAAACGTGCTCATCGTGGAGTTTTCGGCAGGTGAGTTAGCCAGCTTAGCAATACAGATGCGGGCAGCGTAGTTCTTCTGCCACAGGGTGTACTGCAGAGTTCCGCGGATGGTTAGGTCGTAGGGGCCCTTGAGCAGCCGTCTCCACCTGCCTGAATCCGAGTCGTCATCGTCACCGTCGCCGCTGCCGATCGAGGCGCCCGGGTGGTGAATACTGATTTGTGTCGTCTTGATGCCCGTGGTGGGAAGGCGGAACGAGCCTGGGGCAAACCGCATCGGGTCGCTCAGCTCGTACACGTTGCCCAGCAGGATCGCGGGCTCCGTTTCGTTGGTGGCCAGCAGGCCAGCAGGTGGCGATATTGTCGAATTGGCAATGGCGGCGCCGGCAAAAACGCCAATTTCAGCACGCTCGACAAGTACCTCGCGGATATTAGGGTTAGTCGACCTGACATGCAGAATAAACAATAGCTCTTTTTCGGTAGCCAGGATATTAGACACTTTTATCGCCTCCACATCAGCCAGTGGCGCCGAGGTGTAGTTGAACAGTGCAGCCAGCACGAACAGCGAAGCCAGAATGGCAAGCGACATGAGCATGGCACGTAGCAGCTGGGTTAGCATGCCTGCCTTTTTGCGACGCTGGCCGGTGTGACGACGGAACAGGGGCGTCGTCTCCGGCAGATCCTCAGACGATCCATAGTACACGTTCGAGTGGAACCTGCGGCTGTTGCGGCGCGCATATGTGTTGTACGTAGACCGCAGTCCCGCGGGCTCAGCGTCCAGATCGCTCTCTTCGGTACTCTCGCCGTACTCGTTGTTGGACTGTGTCAGAATGCTGAAACGGTGCCCGTTGTTACTGCTGCTGCCGCGCACCATATGCCTACCACCAACGCGCCGGCCAGACCGGCTGCCCGGTCCAATACCACCTACCGATGTGGTCATACCCGAGCTGGCGCCTGCACCAGCGTATGCCGGGCTGGAGCCATACGCCGGGTACTGGCTGATCGATGACATGGCTCCCATAGCCGCACCCATGCGTCCCACACCCGAGCTGAGCCGCCGGTCGCCGCTCATATATGTCGACAGCCGGTGCCGGTTGCTGCGCCGCTTGCCAGTCGGTTCGCGCTCGTCGTATGGCTCTTCGGGGATCGAGTTGACACGCAGGCTGCTGCGCGAGTTGCGGTAGATGAACTGCTCGTTCTCATCCGAGCCGTCCTCCTCACTGCCACGGCTCGATGCCGCTGTGCGCCGCGTAAACAGCCTGCTGGACTTTCCTTGCATAGGGCGGTCCCCTGCCCGCTTGCCGGGCTTGCGCCCTGCCTTGTTTGGCCGGCTGGTCTCGACGCTGAGCTGCCGGTCGCCCTCCTCTATAGGCGTCTCGACCGGTGTGCCGCTGCGCAGTGCAGGCTGGAGATACCCGGCTGTGTCACTTGATGCTGGCGGATTGGGCGTGCGTCCACGCCGCTCTGGCCACGCATTGTTGGCCCCGTCACGCACGAGTGACTCGCCACTGCCTAGGGTCCGCAATAGTCCATCTGACCCCTCGCCTGCTAGCCGCGTCAGGGACACGCTGCGCAGCCCTGAGCGCGCCTGCCCTATTCCTATGCTGCCCGCTAAACCCACATTCAATACATCGGTATTTCCAGCTCCGACTACGCCCTTGGGCGCCGGGAGCGCCAGGTTCATCGGCTCAGCCGTTGTGGATACTGGGTCCTGGGCAGCAGAAGCAGAAGCAGTAGCAGCAAGGGCAACAGCAACAGCCGAAGAAGAACCAGCGGGATTCATCTTTGATACAGCACCGGACGACCTGTTGCCCACCAAGGCTGTGGGTGTTGGTGAGTCATTCGGTGCATTCTCCGTTTGGTGCTGCTGCTGGTGCTGCTGGTGCTCCTTCTGTTCCTTCTGTTCCTGTCGCTCTACCATGGCACTCACGTTCATCACGTCTGGGAACACCTGCTGCGGCTGAAAGAATGGCTGGGACAGCGGCCGCGGCGTCTGCCCTGCCTTGAGTGTTTTGTGCCGCGGATGCATGAACAGCCCTGCCTGCTCGTCCAGCGCATGGTCGTCCAAATCGGTGAGCTGTGTAATCATTGTTTTGTGCTCGTCCTCCATGGTTGCGAATAACAACACAATGTGCTCAAGCTGGTGGAAATTAGACTGTAGACAATACTGAAAAATGGCTCACAGGCAAAATGCTGCCAACGGACACCACTGCCAAGAAAGAAGAAGCGAAATTCAAAAAAGCACTTTTTGTGTGGGTGAGAAGTGCGCTTGTGTCTTGATCAATCAGAGCGCCTGAATGCTGTTCTGGTTTCTGGAGCAGCAAGCAATCTCCCCCACGTGGGGGTTCAAAGCGCCTGCTACAGGCGTGATGCTGCACCAACATCCGTATGTGATATATGCCTTATGGACTGTGCCTGCAGGAAGAAAATAGAATGTCCATTGCAAACTGATCTGTGAGCTCCATAGAGCGTGGGGCGGCAAAAAGCGCAAGGTATATCCAAACGAGATTGATGGTAGCCGATTAGACGACCACCGTAAGAACAGCACTTGTCCAAAAAGCGCCGCTGAGCAGCAGCATCAGCGAAAACTGCTGCTTGGCACAAATGTCGTACGATATTTTAACAGCCTGCTGGCTGCTTTTAACCTTCGCCATTCCTGCTGTCCCTGCCGTCTGTGCCTACAAACAAAGGATCTTGCTCTTCGTTGCTAATTCCTGAAGCGCCCAGAGACAAACTGCATTTACATCACCAATACGGCTGAGGTATTCATAACAGATATCACATCAGCATCCGGAGGGTGGCGGGTCCAGGAAACTGCACCCCCTCCCTGGCCTTCGGCGCTCCGTGGTATCCCAAACGGCTTGCAGCCAGTGGCGGGCGTTTGTTTTTCCAAAGGGCACCGACACGGCTCCTTTCTGTTCATCGGTCATCAGGCGACAGGAGCGCATGGGTGGGTAGGTTGAAGTGTCCCATGCCGCTGCTGACACCCATGTCTCCTCTCCCCTTGCAACCGGCGGGCTACCGCAAACAAAGCGTCTTGAAGCGAACTGCAGGCTCTTTGAGCGCCCGCAATCCCACACAGACACACAGAATAGGCTGGGATTCTTCTTTTGAGAGCGAACTATTTCCGCAAGGTGTCTCGTAGTGCCAATCTGCCAGTCTGCCAGTCAATGCGCGGGGCAGCAGCAACTGCACATCGTCACCGCGCATCAGTCCGGCGCAACCCGTGGAATACCGGAGGCTACGGGTTATATTTAGCTCCTCAGTTAGATCCCGGTACAATGCCGCTCAGTCGATCCTGCACCAGCTTGTGTCAATGAGGACGCAGGAATGGTCAGAGGCACAAAAGTGATTAGGGTGCCTTCATTGCCCACCATCGACGACGACGACGACGACGACAACAACAACAACGCCCACGCCCACATCCGCTACCACCAACATCCGCCGCCATTTTCGCAGGCAAGAGTGCGGGATTGAGAAGATTCTGGCAGCACACATTGGGGAACGCTACCAGAGCGTAAGAATAAAAGAGTGTGGGATGGGCAGCTGCGCCGCGCCCAGCGCTGCTTGGTCTATTCTAGGAACACAGTCGACATTGGACGGGACGTTACTGTGTCAAGAGATGCTGTGCTACATGGAGCGGATCAGTGTTTGGCGCAAAAAGTGGTCTCGCCACTCGCTGTGTTTGGCTGAGGAGATGCAAAGGAGAAGCGCAAGAGTGAGAAAAAGCGTCATTCGAACGCATTTGCCAGCCCGCTACACAAACCGCCGGTTGTGCGCACTGGGGATACGAAAAAGGTGATGGGCAGCACAAAGAGTGGAGCGAGTGGGTGGGAGGAGCGCTCTCGTAAGAGCCGAGCGGCGGTAGACAGAGGAGAACAAGCAGCAGCACGCAGCAGGGGTTGAGGATTCATGGAGCAGCGCTCTGTGGTCGCACAACGGGTTCAGCTCTAACGATGCAAATATAGCTTCAGCACCTTGCCTCACGCAATGCGCCCATCATTCCCAAAGCAGGCTGCCTTGTGTTCCTCTGGGCAACGCTTTCTGTGGACCACATTGGCTGATGCCCGCGACAGAGTGCCGGATCGGGCGGTGTGGGGGTGAGAGGAGGAGAGAGCCGGCGGTGGGTGGGCAGCTCGAATGTGTGCGGATATGCTGCGTTCTGTGTGGACCTGCCGCCATTTGGGGGCGATTATAAAACGGCCGTGGATTTTGACGCTCGAGGTGGTCTTTTTCCTCTAGTGAATTTTTCTTTCTTGTTTGGTACAGCACAACTTTCTCTCTGCTCTGCTTGTTGTTATACAAGACCTCGCTTTATAAAACCCCAAGGACTCAAAGAAAAGCAAACTTCACCTTTCTTCTTTCCCTTTCTTTTTCCTTACACCTTATTTCTCATCCTACCTTAACCTTTATTCCCCTCATATCTCCTACCCCTTATAAGCTTACCTTATATCCGACATCTTTTTGATTGTTTTCAGCATCTTTTGGCCAATTTCGATCGATTTCCAATCCCGAATCCAGAAGATTATCCCCCCTTGAAACATAAAAGACCCCTCCCTGCCCTGCATTTTGACTTAATTTATCCAGAGTAAAAATGGTTCGCGCTTCGATTCTTTCTATCATCGCCCTCTCGGCCGCGGTTCACGCCAGCGTCTACGAGACCAACCCCGAGGTTGTTGACACCACCTCTGCTCCGGCCACTACTGTTGCTCCGACCCTGACCATCAAGCCCACGGCCACTGCTGTCGTCCCGACTCTGATAATCTCGTCGTCCCCGTGCGAGAGCGCCACTACTGCTATTGTCACTGAGACCGCGTGCATTGGCGATGCCTGCACCACTAAGGTTAAGAGCTCCTCGGAGGTCTGTGTCCCGTCCACCGTCACTGTTCCTGGCGAGACCGCCACCAAGACTGTCGACAACACCTCGACTGTCACCGTTGGCGGCAACGACAAGGCTGTCACCGTCACTGAGACCAAGGACGTGGCCGGCGCCACCTCGACCACCACGGTCACTGTCGCTGACTCGACCACCATCTCCAGCGCCAAGGTTGTCACCACCGAGACCGGCACCATCACTCAGGGTGCGCAGTGCGTCCCGACCACTGCCACGGTCACCAACAACGCTGAGGTCACCAAGACCACCAACGTCAACGCCATCACGGAGGCCACCGTCACCAGCACTCAGATCGTCGCTGTTCCGGGTAACACCGTGACTGCCACCGAGACCGAGAACTGCGAGGGCACTGGCAACACGGTCACCCAGACCCAGTACGTCAAGGAGACTGTTGCCGGAAACACCGTCACCGTTACTGCCCCGGCTGGTGCTGCCGAGACTGTTACTGTTAACGTCCCCCAGGTTGTTACCGTCACCAACCAGGCCACCCAGACTGTTGTTGACACCGTCACTGTCGGCGCCGTCCAGGAGACTGTCTACCAGACCGTTCCTGGCAACACTTTCACCAAGACTGTTGTCCGCACTGTCACCGCCCCCGAGACTGTCGTCACCAACACCGTCACCGAGGTCGCCACTGTTGGGAACACCCACACTGTCCAGGAGATCTGCGAGGACGAGACCACCGTCACCGTGCCCAACACCGTCTACTCGACCGTGTCGCTGTGCGAGGGTGCCACCGTCACCGTTCCGATCAACAACGTCCAGACCGCGTACTCGACCACCACTGTGACCGTTCCCCAGGTCATCGGTGAGACCCAGTGGCTGCCGGCTCCGGCTACCGTTAACCAGGTCCACGAGGCCACCGTTACCGAGAACGTCGACTCGGTCAACACCGTGATCATCCCGTCTCTGGTCACCGAGACCACCGACACCGTCGTCGCTACCAGCAACGTCGTTGCCACCGAGACTGGTGCTCCTGTTACCGAGACCCAGGTTGTCGTCAACACCGCCGAGCAGACTGTCTACGCCACCCAGACCGTGACTGAGACCACCACCAACGTTGCTACTGTCAAGAATACCATCGCCGAGACTGTCTGCGAGGTTGTCCCGGTCACCACCCCGGAGAAGCCGACCCCCTCGACTGTTGAGTCGTCGTCGGAGACCACCCCTACCACCACTCCGGCTGAGGAGACCACCCCGTGCACCCCGACCACTGTCACCGAGACCATCGAGACCACCCCGTGCGACGACTGCGAGCCGACCACTCTTACCACCGTCTACACCGTGACCCCGACCACTGAGGTCCCGTCGTCGATTGAGCCCACCACTGAGATCGAGACCACGACCCCGTGCACCCCGACCACCGTCACCGAGACCATCGAGACCACCCCGTGTGACGACTGCGAGCCGACCACTCTCACCACCGTCTACACCGTGACTCCGACCACTGAGGTCCCGTCGTCGGTCGAGTCCACCTCGGAGACCACCACCCCGTGCGAACCCACCACCGTCACCGAGACTGTTGTCACGACCCCGTGTGACGAATGCGAGCCAACTACCGTCACCACTGTCTACACCGTAACCCCAACCACTGAGGTCGAGACCACGACCCCGTGCACCCCGACCACCGTCACCGAGACCATCGAGACCACCCCGTGTGACGACTGCGAGCCGACCACCATCACCACCGTCTACACCGTGACCCCGACCACTGAGGTCCCGTCGTCGGTCGAGTCCACCTCGGAGACCACCACCCCGTGCGAACCCACCACCGTCACTGAGACTATTACCACTACTCCGTGCGATGAGTGCGAGCCAACCACTATCACCACCGTCTACACCGTGACCCCGACCACCACGGAGGAGCCTTCGTCGGAGGACTCGACTACCCCGTGCGAGCCTACTACCGTCACTGAGACCATCACCACTACTCCGTGCGATGAGTGCGAGCCAACCACTATCACCACCGTCTACACCGTGACCCCGACCACCACGGAGGAGCCTTCGTCGGAGGACTCGACTACCCCGTGCGAGCCCACTACCGTCACTGAGACCATCACCACTACTCCGTGCGACGAGTGCGAGCCGACCACCATCACGACCACTTACACTGTGACCCCGACCACCACGGAGGAGCCTTCGTCGGAGGACTCGACTACCCCGTGCGAGCCTACTACCGTCACTGAGACCATCACCACTACTCCGTGCGACGAGTGCGAACCAACCACCATCACAACCACCTACACCGTGACCCCGACCGAGTCTGAGTCCGCTGAGGAATCGTCGGATGCCTCTGTTGAGTCTGAGTCCACTGAGGAGTCGTCGGATGCCTCTGTCGAGTCTGAATCTACTGAGGAGTCGTCGGATGCCTCTGTCGAGTCTGAGTCCACTGAGGAGTCGTCGGATGCCTCTGTCGAGTCTGAGTCCACTGAGGAGTCGTCGGATTCCTCTGTTGAGTCTGAGTCCACTGAGGAGTCGTCGGATGCCTCTGTCGAGTCTGAGTCCACTGAGGAGTCGTCGGATTCCTCTGTTGAGTCTGAGTCCACTGAGGAGTCGTCGGATGCCTCTGTCGAGTCTGAGTCCACTGAGGAGTCGTCGGATGCCTCTGTTGAGTCTGAGTCTACTGAGGAGTCGTCGGATGCCTCTGTCGAGTCTGAGACCTCCGATGCTACCTCTGAGGAGGAGACCACCGAGGCCACTTCTGAGGAGGAGACCACCGAGGCCACCTCTGAGGAGGAGACCTCTGATGCTACCTCTGAGGAGGAGACCACCTCTGAGGAGACCACCTCTGAGGCCACCTCTGAGGAGCAGACCACCGAGGAGACTACCACTGAAGCCACCTCTGAGGAGCAGACCACCGAGGAGACCACCACCGAGGAGACCACTACCGAGGCCACCTCTGAGGAGCAGACCACCGAGGAGACCACTACCGAGGCCACCTCTGAGGAGAAGACCACCGAGGAGACTACCACCGAGGAGACCACCACTGAGGAGACCACCACTGAGGCCACCACCGATGAGACCACCACTGAGGCCACCTCTGAGGAGCAGACCACCGAGGAGACCACTACCGAGGCCACCTCTGAGGAGCAGACCACCGAGGAGACCACCACCGAGGAGACCACCACTGAGGAGACCACCACTGAGGCCACCACCGATGAGACCACCACTGAGGCCACCTCTGAGGAGCAGACCACCGAGGAGACCACTACCGAGGCCACCTCTGAGGAGCAGACCACCGAGGAGACTACCACCGAGGAGACTACCACTGAGGCCACCTCTGAGGAGCAGACCACCGAGGAGACCACCACCGAGGAGACCACCACTGAGGAGACCACCACTGAGGCCACCACCGAGGAGACCACCACTGAGGCCACCTCTGAGGAGCAGACCACCGAGGAGACTACCGCCGAGGAGACCACCACTGAGACTACCTCTGAGGAGGCCACCACTGAGGAGACTACCACCGAGGAGACCACTACTGAGGCCACCACCGAGGAGACCACCACTGAGGCTACCTCTGAGGAGCCTACTGTGGAGTCGTCCGCCCCGGTCGCCGCTGCCCTCGTTGTCTCTTCTTATTTCTAAATGAATAGGGTCTAGGGCAAAAGTTAGATCTATGCCACTGATCCCTCTTTCTATTCATCCTACATAGCCCCTTACGTCCTGTTGTGCGTTAGTTTTACCTTTTTCCTTTCTTTATGTCTTTCAATTCCAGCCAGTATCTAAAATTTTATGTCACAGCGACTCCTATATGGCTGGGATCATGGCCCCATTGTCGACGAGTCAATGGCATATCCGAGAAATCCACATGTGGCTTGGGATCAATCGGCCACCAGTAGGCAAATTTCACCATGTCGACGGGCTTCTTCTTCCGGGTCTGTGTTTTCTCTCTGCTATTGCTTCTTTATCTTAAATTGCTCTTCCACAACAAATCCACCAAATCCACGGTCAATCCTAGTGAAATGTCAGGCCCTTCTGCGTTAACGAGTGTTGTATTGAAGGCGCGCGCCCAGCACACAGCGTCGGTTATCTTCTTGCACGGTCTCGGTGACAGTGGTCACGGATGGGCGCCAGTAGCGCAAATACTGTCGCGCACGCTGCCGCACGTAAAGTTTATTCTCCCAAATGCCCCAGAGAGTCCGGTAACATTGAACTTTGGCATGTCAATGCCGTCGTGGTATGATATCAAGTCGCTGGGGCGGGTCACGAAGGACGAGGACGAGGCCGGGATGCGCGAGTCGATGATCAAGGTGAACAAGATCATTTCTGACGAAGTCGCGGCTGGGATCTCACCGGAGCGCATTGTGCTGGGCGGGTTCAGCCAGGGCGGTGCCATGGCGCTGTTCACCGGGCTGCAGTCCGAGCTCAAGCTGGGTGGCCTTATCGTGCTCAGCGCGTACCTGCCGATTCGCGACCGGATCTTCCAGCTGGCCACCGAGGCAAGCAAGTCGGTGCCTATTATGCAAGGCCACGGTACAGCTGACGGTGTGGTGCTGTTTGAGTATGGCAAGATGACTAACGAGACGCTAACCAGCAAGGGATACGACTGCAAGTTCCATGTCTACGAGCACATGGAGCACTCGAGCTGCGAGGATGAGATCATGCACATGTCGCTGTTCCTGAAGAAGCGCATTCCCGAGCAGTTCACCCCGCCTGCCTCTTCTCTGTAAAGCCACCAGCAGGTTACTGACTGGTCTGAGTCAGTGGTCTTGGCGCAGGGCAAGACCAAAGAACGCACCACCCCCTCCAGCAGGCGTCCTTGTTCCGAACACGTAATCCCGACAGCCTTTCTTGTTCTTCCCTCGGCTCCACTTTCACCACTTTCTATTTTTCGCTAAAGTCTAGTAAAATGCGCTTTGCAATCAGTAAGCTCAAGGTCGAGCTCAAGCTCGCCATTCACCGACTAAAGCTGCTGCAGGCCAAGACGGCCTCACTCAACACCAAGGCGCGGCGGGAGATAGCAACGCTGCTCGAGACAGGCAAGATAGAGAGCGCTTATATTCGGGTAAGCTAGGGCTGTGCCACCACTCTTCCGAATGCACACCTGCGAGCAGACGCCTTCTCTACCCTGCTCGGCCAGCTACTCACACTTGTCTTCTGGATACCCACTAGGTTGAGAACATCATACGCGAGGACTTTAACATCGAGGCGCTGGAGATAGTCGAGCTGTATTGCGAGCTGCTGAACGCGCGCCTCGGTATGATTGAGCAGTCACGGACAGTCGACCCTGGGATTGAAGACGCCGTGGCATCTATTGCCTACGCGTCGACGCGGGTCGACGTCAAAGAACTCGTCATGATCCGCGAGCTGCTGGCGGCGAAGTACGGCGCCGAATACATCAAGAACGCAATGGACAACGTCGACGGCACTGTGAGCCCGAAGCTTGTGCACAAACTTGGCGTCAAGGCTCCCGCCCGCTTCCTGGTCGAAATGTACTTGAAGGAGATCTCAAATGCATATAATGTCGGCTGGCGGCCAGAGGGCGAGCAGAGCGAGGATGGCGTTGACGATGAGGATGGGCCGGGGGGTGGCGAAAGGGAGAAGGTGCCGGAGGCGCCGATTTCTGCAGCCAATGCTGCCGGTTCTGCTGCAAATGTCAAGGATACCGATAGCGCAAAGGCCGCTGAAGAGAGTGGCAGCAGCGAGCAGAAGGGAGCAAGCTTTACACCATCCCCGGCGAAAATGAACACTGCTCCCAATGCGAACAAACCCAGCGCCCTGCCTTCTGTTCCCTCAACCAAACCCGCTGCCAGGGCTGGCCCTGGAGCTTCGAAGGCTGCTGCGGCGCCTGCCAATGATGGCCTGCCGTCAATCGACGAACTCCAGAAGCGATTCGAGGCACTCAAGCGTCTGTGACATGTAGGCTATGTTCTACGCTCCATACCGACTAGCCGAGCTCGCATTGCGAGCGCCATAAGTCTGGTAAAAAGTAGAGATTTTTACAGTCTGCTTTTCCGCCATGCGATCGTTTGGCATCTTCACACTCTGCAACGTTGGTATATGGATACGCACATGGATACAGTATTTGCCCTCGGATCCAACTCGGGCGGTCAGCTAGCAACTGGGAGCCTAGATGATGCGCATTTCCTTACTGAAACTGTGTTTGGGCAGGAGTGCAGTGCTGCTGGGATTGCTGGTGATGCAGTTATCGCTGGAGGCGGAAACCACACGTTTCTAGTGCGCAACAAGGGCCGTTTTCTCTTTGGCAGCGGTACAAATGCCGATGGACAGCTGGGAATACCGACTGCATCATCTGGGCCTTACTTGCACTGGACACCGATACAGTTCCCAGGAGAGTCAGTCTACAAGATTGCCTGCGGCTGGAGCCACACACTGTTGCTCAACGACACACACAGGCTCTTCTCGGCTGGATCCGGTGGATTCGGACAGCTTGGGATCAACCCTGAGCCCGGAGTATCAAAGGCGATGCAATGGTCGGAAATACGCATAGGAGGCAGTGCAAAAATAGTCGATATTGCCTGCGGAATGAGGCACTCGCTTGCCCTGACTGGCAGTGGCGATATATTTGGATGGGGAGCGAACCGGTGTGGCCAGCTTGGTGTTCCTGGAACAAAGAAGCAGCCAAATGTCTGTGAGCCAACCTTGGTTTCTGCTGGTCTCCCACCGATCTCGATGATTGCGTGCGGGCGTAGCCATTCTGTGGCCATAGCCAGCGACCGTGTGACAGTGTTTGTTGCTGGCCAGGACAGGTGTGCGCAATGCGGGCCTAGCAGCTACGATGCTGTTGCTGGCACATGGCGGTCGTTCCGTCTCAGCTCGCCTGCACGAAAGCTGTGCTCGGGATGGGAGTTTGGTGCGGTGCTGTTGGATCCCGCAGAGGGTAGCCAGACGAGTCGCTGCGTTACTATGTGGGGGCGATCCGACCATGGCCAGCTGGGCAAAACGCCGATGACCATGCCTGGCGGAAGCCGCGACACTGTCGATGTTGCGCTAGAGAGCGCGGTAGTTGACATTGCGTGTGGCTCCAACCATACTGTCGCTGTGCTCAGCAACGGCAGCGTGTGGGCGTGGGGGTGGAACGAGCATGCCAATGCAGGAGATCCGTCACTTGCCGATGTGGTGTGCCCGCGGCAGCTGTGGCCAGTAGCAGCAACAGTACCAGGGCGCTTGCCAAGCGTTGGCACTGGCTACGGCAACACGCTTATTAGTATTAGCTGTGATTAGATTGCGAGATCGAGGTTGAAACCAGCACCATGCCCGCCTGGGCCTTTTTTTTCACCTGCTGCGTGTTCGTTTTAGCTCGCGAGCAGCTCTTGCCCCTCTTTTCTCCTTTAAAGCTTGCAGAGTTTATTCTTTCTATTTTTCTGAAATACACGAGCCTCTCTTTTGCACACGTAACCCATTAACTTTCTACCTTCAACCACGTATATTTCGCAGCCGTCACTTCCCCTTTTCGACTGCAGCTTTGGTTCCACATTCTCTCTCTTTATCCGAGTGCGTAGCCAGCAATGTCGCAGATTCACTACAAGTTTCGTGCGGCCAAGGACTTTTCGTCGATTGTGTTTGATGGGTTGTCTATCTCGGTGTATGACCTGAAGCAGGAAATCCTTCGCGAGAAGCGCCTGGACCCAGAAGAGAACGATCTGGTTGTCACGAACGCGCAGACCAATGAAGGTAAGGCAGTGCGGATCTTTTGTATACACGCGGACAGAGCATTACGTTAAGCTGCTGTCAGTATGTTCACCAGCTGATTTCTTGATCCATTTTTGACAACTGTTTAGACTACACGGATGAGTCGGCGCTGATCCCAAAGAGCACATCCGTGATGGTGCGCCGTGTGCCCTACAAGGGCCCGAAGATGTCGCAGGGCGGCAAGGGCCAGCAGCAGCAGCCCCAGCAGTTTGGCCAGCAGCAGCACCATGCGGGCAACCGCTCCTCGGGCTACGGTGGTGGTGGAGGCGGTGGACAAGGCTATGGCGGCGGCGGCTTCCATCGTGGCCACCATGGAAATAACCCCTCGACCACCACGAGCCAATACGGGTATCGCGGGCCGCAGGGTATCGGGCTCAACAACAGCTACTCGTCCAGCCAAAACAACAACAGCGGGGTGGGGTCTGGAGTAGGCGATCTAAATGGGCAGCATGAGCTGGAGCGCAACCCAGATGTGATATCTGACGCCGAGGAGGCTCGTATTGCAGCGATGCTGCAGCAGACTGACGAACAGTGGTCCCACCAGCAGACCATCATGCAAATGTATGTCACGACTATAGCTTTTTTACACTTACGCGGAATAGAGCCGTTGGTGGATATTGCAACGTTGAAGCTAACTCGCAAAGGAGGAGGGGGTGGTCCATGGCAGGATCATGATGCGAGAGAGAAGGGCGGGACCAGAGCGGGATTGGATGGCGTCCTTCTTCCACATTTGGCATCTGCTACTAACACACCGTGCTTTCAATTTTCCTGTAGGCAGCGACCGGTGTTCAACAACCGCGGTGGGGCATACCGCCCAAGGCCCCGCATCGAACGCCCTGAGCACCAGGGCCCGCCACCGCCCAACTATGTCTGCCACCGGTGCGGCATTGCGGGTCACTGGATCCACAACTGCCCGACCATCGGGCAGCCCAGCGACGGCAACACACGCAACACGGGCCATCGGATCAAGCGGACCACGGGCATTCCCAAGTCGTTCCTCCAAAAAGTCGACAAGCTCGAGGAGGGCGGCAATGCGTTGGTGACGAGTGATGGCACGCTGGTGGTAGCCCAGGCGAACGAGGCAGCGTGGAACGAGGCGCAGAAGCAGTCGAGCAAGCTATTCTCGACTGAGTCGGCTGTTGATCCGAGCCAGGTGCCTGGCGACCTCAAGTGCCCGATCTGCAGCCAGCTCCTGCGCGACGCTGTGAAGGTCCCGTGCTGCGATACAGTGTACTGCTCGGAATGTATTGAGCAGTCGCTGCTCGAGCCCGGAGAGAAGCACTTTACGTGTCCGTCGTGCAAGGCTCCCGGTGTGGTACCTGACCAGCTCACATCGGCCGATGCAGTGCGCACCAAGGTGGATAAGTTTTTGCGCGAATATTCAGCTAGCAAGCCTAGCAATGAGAACGATAACAAGACAACCGCGGCTACAGCCTCAATCGCTGTAGCACCTACGCTGGCTGATCAGCCAGTACGCCCGCCACCGCCGCCAGTCCAGATGCAGCCGCATCCGCGGCGTGCAACGCAGCCCATGGGCATGATGCCTCCAGGGATGATGATGGGTATGCCGCAAGGATATATGGGCATGCCACCAATGGGCCAAATGCCGTTTATGCCGCCCGGGATGCCCATGCCTGGAGCGCAGTGGAACAATATGAACCCGTCAAACATGTCTGGGGTACGTCCGCCGCTGCCGCCACCGCAACAGCAGAATAGTAGCGACTACAACACTGGGCGTGGTCGAAACTCGCCCCGGCAGCGGCGATCACCTGGCCGCAGCCGGTCATCTGGCCGCAGCCGGTCGCCAGGACGCAGCCGGTCGCGTCGCCACCCCCACCATAGCCACCGCAGTCGTAGTCGCAGCTACAACCCTAGTGATGCTGAGCATCCGGAGAGGCCGGCTTTGTCGAGGCATGATGATAGGGGGTCGCTGGAGGTAGAACCGGCTCAGAAGACCAATGGTAAAGGCGAGATTGGAGCTGGAAATGGCGACGTAGCCGGTGACGCGAATAAAACGGTCAGTAAAGACTATGTGCCACCGAGCATGGAATCTCCTCAGCCGCATCGCTCACAAAGCCGCCAGCGCTCATCAAGCCGCCAGCGCTCGTCAAGCCGGCGCCGCTCCCCAAGCAGGCGGCGCTACCGTACCAGTCGCAGCCCTAGCCGCGAGCGGCGTAGTAGATACGATAGCAATGAGCGATCGAGGTATTACGACGGCAGAGACAAGCGTGACCGGCGGCGCGAGTACGAGTCGCGTCGCGGACGGAGCTCTGAGCGCGGGCAATCATCTGGTGACAGGGCGCGGAATAGAGGAGAGCGCAATACGAAAGACGTGGAGATATCGATCCGTGGGCGGTCAAGCAAAGAGAACAGTGGCAAAGAGTCCTGTGGTGACAAGCCACGGTCGGTTCTAGATCGGCTGAGGGATAACCGCGGGGATGTAGCCCAGGAGAACGGATCCAAGAGCCCACGGCGGTCGGGCGGCAGGCGCAGGAGCCGTCGCTGAGTAAGAGAAATTGAATGCAAGGCACGCTCTTTGCACATGCCTGAATATTTAGCAGCTGACAATGGCACTCGCTTCGAGGTGGATTGGGCTATTTCTCTTGCCTAGATCTCCTTCATAGCTGGCGCTCTGCTGTATTTATTAGACAGCCTTGCCATTTTTCGGTTTATGTCAACCAATAAATAAGTGCAACAGGATGCTAAGCGTATGCGACGCAAGGCCGCAGTAGCGAGCTCTGTTCCTTTCTCTCCTCTGCACGGCATACACTCAGAGCCATTTCATTTGCGGAGCGGCGTGTGATTTCATCAAAGGGGATGCAGGCGAGGCCAAGAGGAACTCATATAGCGGAGCTCAATGATGGGCATTTGACATGCCCTCACGAGTTTGCGGAGTGACAGCAAGGGGAGGGCAGGAAAGCGCCATGTGGCTACACACGAGGCCACCCACCCATGCCAATTACACAGGTATAGCGAGTCTTCAGCCAAGTGCTTCTGTTAAACCCCACCTGAGGCTATAGCCGAGGCTGTCTTCCAAACCTAGGCAATGGTATTGTAATGGAGGAATAGCGATGTTCAACAAAAGCTCCCGGCTACTGGGTAGGCAGGCACAATAACCACAAAGAGGTGGTGAGATACCAGCAACTCCGCCGCTTCGCCTTCCGAAGCAACCTTGTGCAGTTTTTGAAATGAAACAATCTACAGCGCTTTGCAAGCACGCACTACGGCGAAGGGGGGTGTGGGACTGACGTCATTCATTGTACGTTATTTTTCTCCTCTTTTCTGCTGGCTCGCTATACATGTGGTGTAGTGGTACTGGGCTTTATCCACCCAGCCGTTGCAAGGGTTGTGGCATGGGGCCTTACTGCCTGTTGCAGGCATGCATCGCTAAAGTCACTCGCATTTTGCTTAAAGGCGGCTTTTTGCAGCACCTCGCCAGCAGAAGCACAGCTCTGTGTATTTCTCCCCTCTTCTCCTATCCACACACCCGTTTTCAATATCTTTTCGGGAGAGGGTTTTTCATATATCACCAAGCATCTGGCTCGCTTTGTATTTTATTTGGGGGATACACGCTGCGATTATCCGCTACATTAATATCCGGTTTTGTTTGGTGGGGGCCTTGGCAACACCTTACCGCAACCTCCACAGCAAAGTGGGCTTTTTTGCAAAGCAGAGGCAAACGGCCCTTTACTGCCCAGAGAAAACAGCAGAGCACTTCTGCGCCAGCCACGCGTGTACTTCGTCATAGCTGCAAAGTGCAAACAGGAAAAGGAAGCAAACCACACTCACAGTACCAGGCCACTACAACCAGGCACGCAGTGGGAAGATCCCTGAGCACGCAGCTGGAAAAATTAGCAGTTTTTTTCTTTGTTCAGTTCACCACCACGTCATTTTTCTGTTTTGTGAGCCGCATTTTTGTTCCTCCTTCGATCGTGCTAGGACAATTATACTCACTCTTTTTCAAACCAAAGCTCGTGCGCGTCCTGAGAAACACGCTTGGAGATATCGCTGCGGGTGGGAAGAGACAAACCAGCAAGACACCAAAGACACGTTATTCCAGCGAGGCATGACCACAGATACTGCAGGCAAAATCAGCCTGGGGCTCGAGCGCATCACGGATTTCCTGCGGTACCGGCTGCCACGCGACCCGCGACTGGGGCTGCGGGTGGTGCACGTAGCGGGGACGAACGGCAAGGGCTCAGTTTGTGCGCTGATCTCACAGGCGCTGATTTCGGCGGGCTACAAGACAGGGACGTTCAACTCGCCACACTTTCTTGAGCCCAACGACGCGATCCGGATCCAGGGCGTGGCGATTCCAGCCAGCGACTACAGAGACCTGCGGGTGTGGATCAACGATCTGGATGCAAAAACGGCGTCAGAGCACGGGCGACTGTCCCTGTTCGAGCAGGCGACGGCGGCGGCGCTGTGGTGGTTTGCGGAGAGCAAGGTGGACGTGGCGGTGATTGAGGTAGGGATGGGCGGGCTGCGCGATGCAACCAATGTGTTCGGCGTGGTGGAGCAGGGCGCAGCAGGCGGGGTGTTCGCTGGACAGTCGCTGGTGCAGTGCATCTGCGCAATCGACGAGGACCACGTGGGGATGATCGGCGACACAATCGAGGAGATTGCGCAGGAGAAGGCAGGAATCATCCGGCCGGGCTCGTGGGTGGTGCTGGGCACGCAGGGGCGCTCGGCGGCCTTCCACCGCGTGCGGCAGATTGCCCAGAAGCTGTCGCCCGCGCGCATCGTCAATTTACGCCGCCAGCCGACCCACGACATGCATGTACCGCATTTTGCCGTCAAGCCCGAGCCGCCGGTAACCGCCGCCCACCCGCGCCTGGTGAGCCGCCCAGCCGACGAGGTGCCGAGCTGGGCTGCATTCAACGGCACTGGCCGTCGGTGCCTGCGCGCGCGGTACCCGCACTCGCCCGACGAGCAGAGGAAGCGGCGCGGCAGTCATGCGGCCATAGCACCGCCGACGCCCACCACCGACGTGGATCTGCCGCTGGTCCTGGCTGGGCACTACCAGGCAGCCAACGCCGGCATTGCCTTCTATGCGCTGGATGTGCTGCGCACGCACTACGGCTTCGACCTTTTGACCGACGCGGCCATCCAGGTCGGCTTCCAGAACGTGCGTTGGCCGGGCCGTTTGGCGTGGCTGCGCCTGCGGCCTGCCGGCGACGGCCTCGCCCACTGGCTGCTGGCCGACGGTGCCCACAACGAGCCGGCTGCTGCCGAGCTGCGCAAATACGTCGACACTGCTTTGCGTCGGTTCGCCCAGCAGCGCCATATTCTGGCAGGCACTGCTGCCCGCACCCTCAATGAGCCGCCGCCCGTGCGCTGGATCGTCGGGTTTACGCGCGGCAAGGATGTCGCTGCCATTCTGCGCCAGCTGGTGTGTCCGGCGGACGTTGTCTGGGCTGTGCCCTTTGCCCAGCCCGACGAGATGCCCTGGATCACATGCTGCGACCCCGGCGACATTGCGCACCAGGTCTCCGCTGCCTTCCCCGACACGCCAGTCACCGAGTTTGTGTCGCCGATTGCTGCTGTCGAGCAGCTGAGGGTCGAGCAGTCTGCTGACTACCTGACCGTGCTGTGTGGATCGCTGTATCTGGTCGCCGATCTGTACCGCACGCTGGACATCCGGCCATTCGACTCTGCACCCGTGTAATCAGCCGATCAGGATTTAGATGTAATTGAATTTTTCCAATTTTTTTTCTTCCTGTTCTTGCTAACAAAAAAATTATGCCCTAAGCTGCAGCAAAAACCCGCGAGTCCACGCTCCTTTTTGCCTCCCCGTTATTCCACTTTCCTAACTCCTCTCCCACACCTTTGTCACATACACAACCATGCCCAAGGCCAAGAGATCGCAGGTCGTCACGCTGACAAAGACCAAGTCGAAGGGTCGCGAGGCCAAGTCCTCGCTGATGGAGCAAGTGCGTGTCGCCGCCGACACCTACGACTACGTCTGGGTATTCTCGGTCGAGAACATGCGCAACGCCTACCTAAAGACCGTGCGCAACAACTTCAAGACCAGCCGCTTTTTCTTCGGGAGCAACAAGGTCATGGCCAAGGCCCTGGGCAAGACCGCCGAGGAAGAGATCAAGCCCGACATGCACAAGATCGCCGAGCAGCTGACTGGCGAGGTCGGCCTGCTGTTTACTAACAACAGCATCGAGGACGTGAAGAAGGCGTTTGACGAGTACGCAGCCGACGACTATGCTAGGGCTGGCTGCATTGCCACCGAGAAGGTCGAGGTCCAGGCTGGCGAGGTCACCAGGGGGTACACCCAGGAGACCTTCCCGAATAACATGGAGCCCCAGCTGCGCGAGCTCGGCATGCCCACGCTGCTCAGGCAGGGCAAGATCACCATTGACTACGACTATGTCATCTGCCAGGAGGGCGACCGTCTGACCCCCCAGCAGGCCCAGCTGCTGAAGCTCTTCTGGGTCAAGCAGGCTGTCTTCAAAATCGACCTGATCGCCTATCTCCACAACGGCGAGTTTGTTAACCTCGAGGCCGAGGATGACGAGGACATGGAGTAAAAAATTGTTTCTTTTCCCGTATTTTTCTGCAACATCTACCGAAACCAATCGACGCAAACACAAGTGTTAATTGTACAGCAAGTTGTATTAGACGTCAACGCTATCAAGGCGCTGTCCTTACATCCCGTAGAACGGGTGGTGCTCGACCACCTCGCCACCGCTCGTAGTAGTCTCATGTGCAACCGCCTGATGGTAATCGCCATCCTCCACCTTCACTTCAGGCTGGCTGGCCATGGGAGGATCCGTAGCGGCCACCGCGCCCTCCTGTGGATCATGGTCCAGACCGCTGTCGGCTTGCAGCCGCGGCGACAGAGGCGCCTCACTGTAAGACGGCAGTGCATGCTGAGGCAGCCGCGCCTCCGAATGCACCGGCAGTGGTGCCATCGACAGATGGGGCCTGGGCGCTGGCCGCGGCTCCCTGCCAGCAACCAGCGACTCGATCTTGTGGATGTCAAGACGGTGCTGCGTCCATGGAATCCGCTTCTCCGCCCCGCCGACCAGCTGCTCTGCCAGATTGGCCTGCGTCCGCGTCATCTTGGCCACATGCTCCGGCCCGCTGCCACCAGGCCCCGTTGCCGCCGCCGCTGCCGCCGCCGTCGCCGCCGCCTCCAGCACCCCGTTGACTGCAAGCTCGGCCTCCTCCTCCGCCGACGCCTTGATCAGCGACGACAGCCGCGTGATGTACTGCCGCACACCGTCGCCGGACACTCCGCCCGCAAGCGACGACCGGCCCTTATACAGGCTGTCAACCGAGCTGGTGCCCTTGGACTGCATCAGATGGTGCAGCGTCCAGCGCAGTACCGAGCCCGAGCTGTTTGGCATGATCTGTCCGTTCGCGTTGGTCCCGAACCCATCTAGCGGCGTTGTTTCGTGCAGATGCCCGCCGCCCTCGCTGTCTACAAACGCCCTGGCCAGCTCATCCACCACCCGCTGCCGACTCGCCAGCGGATCAGAGATGAACAGCGAATCGTACGGCACCACGTCGTTTGCCGTCATCTTGCTCAGCCGGCTGGCCATCGCTGCTGTGAACCACTCGCTCGCCCAATGCTTTGCGCCAGACCCACGCAGTCCGCTGGTGAGCGGGACGTCGATAGGCTCCAGCGCTGCACCTGGCCCATTCTCGTCGTCCTTGGCTGACTCCAGTATCCCCGGCATATCAATCGTCTGCTCGTTGCCCAGGTCCATGCCATCAAACGACATAGAGTTTTGCGACGTGCCTTTGAGATCCGGTGTGCCCTCGAGGATGTCAATCTCCATATCCATATCAATCTCCATATCCAGCACCGAGCCAGTGTCGTGGTCATGGTCGACAGCCAGCGCCTCCTGCTTAGACCCATTCGCCGCCTGTGGGCCAGCTACCTGGCCATCTACGCCGCTCTCATTGCGTCGCCGCATAGGGAGAGGTGCATCTGCCATCTCGTCCATCACTCGAGCTGCTGTCTCATTGTATATATCCGGGAACAGCTTGTACCGCGCCTTGTTCCACTTCTTTTCAGACGCGCCTAGCAAATCATGCGTGGTACCGTTGCCGTGGATAAACAGCGGCTTGCCATTGGTGCCATCAGAGGCCGCACCCTCGTCGGCCTTTGCCTCAAACTGAAGCTCATCTTCAGGAATATCAAAGTCCAGAAGCAGCTCCTCAGGTGCACTTGACGGATCGACCTTGGTTGCTGGCTTGAAGAACCCGTAGAGCGCCTTGTCATTAGAAATCGACGACTGCAGCACTGACAGCGACGACGTGGTGAGATGCAGCAGTGACGATGCAATGTCCTCGGGCTCGTCGCCGTCGCTGTCCCCGCCATCCGAGTGGTCAGTAGCCCCGTTTGCCCGCTCGCCTTCCCACGACCCTGCTCTGTTCTTTTCTGCACCAGCGCTCTCCAGCAATGCCTCTACTGCTGTCGCATCGGACTCCACAGGCAGCTCATCGAGATCGCCACGAAGTGATGACACCGCTGCCACGCCATCATCAGCCACCTCTTCCTCTGCGTCCTCCTCTGAGATTGGCACCAATGCTGGCAGGTGTTCGGGAATGATACCGTCAAAGTCATGGTTAGGGCCGCCGTCGAGGAGCAGGCACTCCAGGCTGAACCCCTCTAGTAGCATGTCGATGTCGTCGTCCTGTAGACCGTTAACTGCTGGGTCGCCATCAGTGTTGTGGTGGAGGCTGCCCACAATGTCGCCCGTTGACACTCGCCGCGAATTGGCTGTGCACGTATCGTTGCCTTCCGATCCAGACACAAAGTCCCACGAGCCACGCCTCGACTGAACCTCCCTCTGGAATGCCTCGTCGCCTAGCCGCAGCAAGTTTCGTTGCCCCTGTGACCTGTCTCCGCGTATTTGCCGTGTCTCAGGCGGTGTCTCGATGGCTGTGCCAACATTGTCCTTCCAGGTTTCCTGCCCACTCCTGGAACCTGGATCCAGTCCACGCCAAGATCCTGAGCTGTCGCATCGGCCATATCCAGCAGATTCGGCTGTGTCCGTCCGGCCAGATCAGCCCGTGCCTTGCACGCTTCGCCAATGCGCAGAACGTACATGCGCGCTATATCAGACAGCAGTGCCAACGACCCGTTGGTCATGCGGTCGAATTGCGTTGTGGACGACACTAGGCGCTGCATAGACCGCCGCATCTGGCCCGCATAATGGGCGCTGGCCGAGTCCATCTCGCTGCCACCGAGCATCCGCGGGTCTATCTTCGCACCTAACTGCGCTGTAACCCGGTGACTGGTATTAGGCTGCTGCCGATCCAAATGGCTGTGGCCGTTTTGGTAACGTCGCTCGCGCCTCTGTGCTGTTGGCTGCCGACTGTCTGGTCGTCGTGTGGTCGCCTGCTGTAAATGGAGCCCTGTTTTCCGCGAAGCCACTGCCTGCTGCTGATCTGCTTCGGTTGCACGCGAGCTGCTCCGACTGCGCTGCTGCTGCTGGCCGCTTGCTGCCTGCGTCGAGGTTTGATGTATCCGGCCAGTGTCCGGCATCACCTGCTCAGCTGTCTTTTGTCTTGCGCATTGATGTTGCGCAACCGTGTGTGGGTGCATGGAGGCGCTCGACCCTTCAGTCTGTGGTTGCACTGCTGCTACCATGCCTGCCATGGCATCGGGATCGACTATACTAGAGTGCCCTTGCTCAGGCTCCTGAACCGTGTGCTGCTAGTTTGCTCTGGACTGAGTTGGGTGCTGGAAAATCAGTCATACCGGGCGGTCCAGGTGCCATACACTGTTGCGGTGTTCTGTAACTTCCCCCAGTGCGCCGCCGCTGTGTCTTCCCCGTTCCTGTACACGCCGTCTATGGGCCTCTGTGTATGGCTTGTAGTTGGAAAACGTCAGAGTACCAGGGCGAAAGCTAGGCCGTACCCGTTGCACTATCCAGAACGCGTTTCTATCTGACAATACTCGGTGGGAAAGTGGAACAGCCCAGTTTTGTTGAATTGGACAAGCAGATCTCTCTAATTGGGCCTGCTTCAAGAGCACAGTTTCTTTTTTTGTCGACCAAGAGCGCTGCAAATATATCGAATAAACGCCGTGGTCGGGTCAGCGAAATGTAAACGTCTCCCCTCGTTTCTGGTACAGAGTATAAAAGAAACGTTCTGTCTGACACGGAGCGAGAGCGCAGATTTCAAAATTATTAATAGCGACAGAGAGCACGAAAAGAAAAAGGACGGCCGAATTGCAGAGTAAAATTATAAACACGAAAGAGCAATTCGAACTAAAAAAATTCGAAAAGGAGCGGGAACACGCACCGAACGAAGGCTTGCCCTGAACACGAAAACCGGCGAGCTCTCAAGTTTACGTCAAAAAAGTTTTTTAAGCTGAGGAAATTTTTGTTGCGCCTCGCCATTGGCCAGCGCTGAACAATACGGCATGTGACCAGATGGGTAGTAGCATCCTGGTGGCCACAACATGGATTTCTGATGGTGGGTTTCCGAGTTTTCTGCACAAACTACGAAAGATAATTGAGAGAAGAAAGAATAAGATAGGTAGATACATGTGAAGCTAGTTCGGGTGGGTTCGCAGGAGACAGGTGCTGTGGGCGCAGTCCTCGATAGCCAGTCTGTTTTCTCTGTACAAGAGCGGTCAATCGAGCAAGTGCGTTGTTTTTGGAGAGCGAGGCATTCGAACATCGGCTGCTTAGAGCTTGCCTTGCGACTTGAGCACCGACAGGGTCACTGCAATTCCAGCAATGACCAGGATGGCCAATGATGATGCCAATGATCCACCAGGTGCGCTTACGCGACTTCTTCCTGTAGTAGACCGCCTTCTCGACCTCGGTATTGCCTGCCTTGCACGCTGACTTCAATGTTCTCCACAGCAACAGTGATCATGTCAAGCCTCTCCTGCTGGCGGTTGACCATCTCCGAAACCTCATTGAATAGCCGCGAAAGCTCTTGGATCGTCTGCTCAATGCGCAGAATGTCGTTTTGGCGGTCTGTCACATCCTGCAACACCCGCCGGCCTTCGCCGACCCTTGACGAGCTCATCACACGCTGGGCAAAGATCTGGCCAGCACTGTCGTCCTCAATAGCCAGGTTGATTTCCTCGTCGGTGGCATCGGGGCACGCGATCTTGTACATGTGCACCAGGTGGTCACGGTTACGCGTGGCCTGCTCGCGCTCCATCTTTTTGTACCGCTCGAGCTGCTCGCGGAAATTGCGCGTGAGCTTGATCTGGCGCCCACCGCGCAGGTTGCTGTCAATCTTGGAGATTGAAGGGTCGCTCACAGCATGCTCCATAGTCAGCAGGCTGCTCTTGATTCGCGAGATGATGACGTCGGTATCGGCTGCATACTGCTCGCGGCTACGCAGGACCTGCGTGTGCTTGAATGTGCTTGTTGTGTGGATCGCCTCGCCGTGGAGGCGCTCGAGATGCCCAATGTTTTGTGAGAGCAGGTCGATTTGCTCAGAAATTGCGTTGGTCGCATGTACAAAATCCATCTCGTTCGAGATCGTGTACCCCTCGATCTGGTACGTCATGTTGACTGTGGTCAGGTCTGACTGGGCACTGAGGCTCACAGTGCTCTCGCGCGGGTCCTACATGCACGCTTGCAAATGGTTGTATTGGCAATGTAGATGGCTGGTCGCCAGCAACGACAAATGTTGTATCTGAAGACAAGCTATTCTTACCGTAGGCTGCTGGTGTGACATGTTGGCTTTGTTAGTAGTAAAGGTATCTCTGGACGCTGGGGCTGAAGACGTGCGCAGTGTAGATTAGTGGATACTAGTAGAGTAAGAGAGTATAGCTAAGACAAGTTGGAGAAAAGAGGAGGAAGGAGCAGAATGTGTCCTGGGTGCGTGGAAGTAAACGAGAGAAATTAGAACGCGTGAGGGTTGTCAGTGCAACGGAGACATCGCCCTCATTATATAAATAGGACAATGCCAGAAGCACGGCGTCCATGATGGCAGCAAGGTGTCTGTCTATCTTCCTCTCAGCGCCATAGGTCATCGCCATGCCTGCCAGGCATTAGGTGTATCTTGCAACATCACGACATGTACAAAGACGGGCAAAGAAATAAGAGAGAAAATTGCTGCACCCAGCTGCATGAATGCATATGTCGCAACTAAAAATAGCTCATCTTCAGATTTTTAACCTGCGGATGGCTATGCTATTTTTAGTACGGCAGGTTAGTTTTCCCTTGGTCTAGCGGTATATAGTGGGCGGTATGTGTCTGTACAGGACGGTAACCCGGTCGCTGCTGCATTTGGTCCACTGATCGTCCAGAGGTATGCATGTTATGTAAGCAAATCTTCATAAGATAAATATAGAACCGCCAGGATCTGTTTGCTAGCTGCATCGGCGCATAGTCTCTTTTTGCAAGTGCTGAGTAAATGTGTGGGTAGGATGCGCGTTTTTGGTAAGTCACGCATACTCCAATGCATTTGTTATCACCGACGTTGATAAATATAGAACCAGGGCAAAGTATAGTGGACTTGCTGAAATGAATGAGACTGAGAACAACGTGCATACGACCGTCCTCTAGATCCTTGCTCCACCAGAATAGTCTTGATAAATATAGCACGCCTGCAGACCGTATCTTTGCCACACTATCAACACCGGTGCGACTCAGAGCATCAACGCACTCGAGTTGAGCGGAACACCAGGGATCGACGCTTTCTCCAGCAGCTCCTCCTATCTCAGCCTGCTTCAGACCTGGTGTTGGTTACAGATAAGACACGCCTGCCTGTATAGGCAGCTCAGGGGTGTTAAACAAGGCCGGGCTATTACTATCTTGATAGTGATTGTATGCTCTCTCCGCATCAGCCACATAACAGTAACTTGTACATTACCTGGGTGAGATCCCAGTCAAGCGATAGCGCTTAACGGAGTCTCAAATCATTTGTTGATTTGGTGATCCCAGATGGATGACTCTCATGTGTGCTAATTACACCCCATGCATCATGAATACCTTCTACACAAAGACTTTGCAAAGCGTGACTTCATACTGGCGTGTATTTCAAGACTTTAAACTCATAACACTCAGGGGTGGGCAGTGTGCCGGTTCTGCTATTGCCTTGCACCGAGATCTCCCGCGCATGCGCAAGCCACTGCAGCCAGGCTATAAAAGGCTGGTCCAAAGCCATGCTGCTATTTCTCCCTTTCTCATTCTTTTCGCCATTTAAGTTTGAAGTTTTATAACTAGTTTAACCTACTTCCCTTTTTATAGTCACTATGTACGCTAGCAGTTTGGGCACCTCTACTCATCCTTATACTTGTAACATATCACAGTTTACAGCAATTAGCGCAGGTCAACATGGCTATACTCAGGGTGGCGGGAATATCCCTGATAATTCAATAGTGCACGGCTCCAATTACTTGTGCGGGACAAAATCCACTGAGTCTCGCGGCAATCCTTTAGAGTTAGCAGCATGTCTGCCAGCTACTCAGTTTAAGGCTCCGCTAAAAAAATACGACATTGCATTCATCACCAACGATTCAACAGATATGCCGATGAATGCTGCAAATGCGTATTCCAACCCAGCAGTAAGTATCCTCGCCCAATTTTTAGTGAATATTTGTTCATTCCGCACTGGTTTGTCACATATGATATTCATTTTAAACCCTTGTATAGGAATGGAACACACGCGATGCACTAGCAAAGGCCGGGCTATTCGTCGATCAAAGAACTGGTCTCCTCATTTGTCACACATGTAAGAGAGCAGTCATCAATCGAGAATTTATGAAGCATTATGGCCAGTGTGTGTTGAAGCATGCGTCAGTTCGTCGCACTGTCTCCGCAGATTTCGGTCGCACGCTTGAGAAGTACCACCTGCATGCAAGTCAGCATAGAGTGCACAACTATACGACTGCCAGAGAATGGCTCGAGTCGTGCAAGGGGCAACCAATTCCAAGAATCCCAGCTTTGGCCAGTCTTGACTGTGCACAAGTGCACAATATGTGGGTTCGTTTGTGAGAGGAAAATGACTCTCGGAAACCACTTCTTTGACCAACACAAGGGTATTCCGATGCCGTCTAATATGACCACCAGCCTTGCTCAGCAACCATTTGCAGCAGCAAACCTAGCTAGGCTCATAGAGATTTGTGATGATTCGGGTCTGGATACGTCATAAACTGCTCACAGTGTTGCAGATGCAACATTTTAGTGTCACGTGCTGTTGGAATGTGCCTAGCCGTGGTTCACTACCTACATAACAGTCAGTAAGAGTGGCCAGGTATATAGGCTCGCTGAGACAGCCACATCATGCAGCTCTCGCTTTCTCGTCAGTGTAAACTAAATGCTTTCCATCACTTCTATTCCACATGTTTCGAAATCAACAAGTGTAACAATATCAGCACTGCGGCACACACACCTAGTTGATTTTCCTAGTTGTGGATTCCGCTATCGGCATTTAAAACCAGCAAAATCCCACACTATCACTCTGCAGCAGTATCAACTGAAAACACACTCTTTCTGTTGCCATATTTTCCTCCTCATTTTTTCCGTCTTTCAAATATGCACCGTGTATTCAGCAACCTTGATATCATCAGTCAAATTGTTTCGGATACTATCCCTCCCGATGATACTAGACTGAAGGGCAGAGGCGAGTGGTACGACCACTGGGCATTCCGAGTAAAGCTCTGGGCCATCGGGCACGTCTCCCGCTTGTTTAGGACCGTGTTGAAGCTCCAGCTCCAGGACCAGCTCATCATCCGCATCAGTAGCTCATCGGTCGGCGCGGCGTTTCGTGGAGAACATGTGTACTGTGCTACTAGCACGCCCATAGATGCTCTCGACACGTCGTGCGTGCAAGAACTGGTTCTCCAATTCGACCATTCTGCCGATAGCGACGTTTTCGTTTCCAAGCTGTTTGACTTTTTTGACGCGCACGACTGGACTGCGCTACGCACTGTTTGTCTATGCGAACGCAGCCAGACTAAGGTATACTTTCCGAGCACGTCAGACGAGGAAGGGCTTGCGGCAACTGGCATCCTGAAAAGGCTTATCTCCACCATTCCAGGAATCGATGGAGTGCGATTTGAGTACAACCGTTGGTCACTACAGAAAACGGATGAGCTCGATGCAATCATTGGCCAGAGGACGGCAGCACTACGCCGACTGTCACTTGACCCCAATCACCAGTTCAACATATCCCATATGGCGTTTCCGCAGCTGACAGTGTTTGAATCTGGTGGATGCACTACTGATGAAGGGAGTCGTAGGCTGCCGCTGCTTTGCGCAGGAATACTCCGAAGGATCGTATTCCAATGGATAACCAGGCGACATTTCATTTTGCTATTCAAAGACAAGAGCGGCGGGTGTACTGTGTTTAGCGAGCTCGAGCATTTGAGCCTCTCGTTTGATTATGATCATGACGAGCGTGTGGATATGAATCTGGGCATATCTGAGCATGTTGGCATATTCAGTTTCCCCAAATTGCGGTACCTGTACATTGCCAACGACACATCGAATCTACGGTATTTTATCCGAAACTTTGCTGGGTCTCCCCTCTCAAGACTCCATGTTCAAGGAAACTGTAACTTCTTGAAGAAGGTCGATTTCTCAAGATTCACGCAGCTTGAGGATTTATACATGTACCTGGAGTACCTTCAAGGCAACGATGCGAAGGAGATTCACCAGCGTGTGGTTACTGCAGGAATGCCACTTCGCTTGGTGACTTTAGCAGTTAGCGAACACCATGACCTACCGTATATTGCGCCATCTGGTTGCCATCTGGTACAAAAGTACGAGACTGTCGCAATAATGAATTCAAGCCAGTTGAGCGAGTCGCTGGTGCTGATGCCGTTCGTTTTCCGCCTTGCTTTTAGATATTACTCTCCTAACTGCAGCTCAGTTACTGTCGGGGAGATCGCCAATATGCTTGCTCGTATCGACTTGAATCCGCTCAATTCCCGACTGCAAGTTCTCCAAGCGCTCGACACACCGCATATGAAGTGCAGTGATGGATACGTGACAACCATGGCTTTTGCCGAGCTGGTCCTTGTTATTGCTCGACTGCCGATGCTCCAGACACTAGAGATCAATACCGTTCCCGAGGATTGTGAGGAGTTTTTCAGACAAGTAATGCTTGTGTCCCAGTCAAGAGGTTTGGGCCAAAGCCTCAGTCACTTTCGGGTCGCTCCAGGTTATCAACGCACGCGACTACAGATCTGATATGTTTGACTAGCCAATTTGTTGATAATGCCAATAATGCGCTTGGAATTGGTCTTGTTCTTTACAAGGTTTGCATGAGGGGTCCAGTTAGAAGTCGGGTACGGTTTTTGTCCACTGGACACCTTCTGCCTATTACCACAAGAGCTTATGCTATTCTAACGTATAGTCAGCTCTATATCATTGCTTGCTGGCCACTTCACATCCTGCTCAAAGGAGTATAATCATTCACTCACCGGTTTCGTTCCACAGCCCACAAAATAGCAATGGTGACTTACATCTATTACCACACACTTTATGTTGCTGCATTTCATAAGGCCCCATACTGATACGCTTGTTCTGATACATTGCTAATCCCGTCCTTTTATGGAGTTTTTGAACTACTTTAATACGGCTGCGTAGTGGATGTCATGCTGTTGTGTTTGTTGAATGTGTGGGTATTTTAAAAGGTATATTTAATACTGAAGAAAAGAGAGAAAATGGAATAGACGAGTTGCGCAGGGGAGTCTTCAATACAGCTGTCTGTGCAACTTATCAGAGGCTAGACTCTACCTCCATATTGTAGGCTGTAGCGGGGCTCTCGTTGGCGCCTGGCTTGCTGTCACCTGATTCGGCTGACATGTCGACGTCAGGGACAGCCGCAGCGGGCGCGCAGCAATGCGATATGGTCAGGCCACTGAGCCTACTGATCTTGTGACCAGCCAAGATTGCACTGGGTTTTGCAGGCGGAAAAGTCTCCAGCGCAGCACTCCTTTTCAACACACTTTAGCTCGCTTCCAATTATTCACTAAATTATGCAATTTCAAAACAATTGCCAGTGTACTACTTGTAGCAACCACAGTATCCGTATTCACAGCCGCGTTCGCCAGTGCCCACCCATTGCCTCCCAGCAGACAGGATATTCTTTGAGAACGGAAAGGACGCTGGAATGAGCAAGCCCTTCACCTTTGACTCCAATTCAAGCGGGCCGCCGGCGCTGAGCGATGTCATGGCCAAGGAGAAGGGCTCGAGCATCGCCATCAGACGCGATTCTGCGCTCGGAGACATTGATGCGTGCGCTGAGCGGCAACTCGGACGACTTTAAGAGCGGGCTCACGCTGCTGCTGCCGACAAACCAGGCATTCACGAGCCTGGGGGAAATCCCCGATGACCTGGACATAGTGATGAAGCGGCATGTTATTGCGCAGACCGTGACGCCGGCGATGATGAAGGCGGGGCTTACTGTCGACTCGTACGAGAAGCAGACGCTGCTGCGGTTCTCCTCGTCCTCGGGCAAAGTGTATGTGCAGGCGGGGACGCAGCGGCCTGTCGAGGTGCGTGGGCAGGGCACGGTGGCCGATAATGGCGTGTACTATTTGGTCGGCGCGCTGTTTATTTGAGATGTGTAATTTTTTTGTGAGGTGTCGAATCAGGAAATAAATTATTCTAAAAGGCTGCATCGGCCGGGCGATCAACGGACGACTCGAATGTTTGACAGTCCCTTCGGCGCCTTGCTTTGTCTGGGCTTGGAGGGGGCTGCAAGGGCCGACTGACTCTTTTCCAAGGTTGCTTACTGCTCTGCTCTTTTGCCTGAATTTCTCCACCAATTCATACTGTTATCTCTTTCTCTGCCCGCATTTCTAGTCCTTTATTGTACAATTCAGCTACATTTAGACCACCACCGGCTTTTTTCTGCACATGCAAGCGTATTCTCCGGGTATTGTAGGAGCCTCTGTTGCGCATGGGTTTCAAGAAGTGCTCAGTGCGCTGAAGCCTCGAGGCACATCCCCCATAGCGGCTACCATTGGCCATGGGCACTCTGCTGCGCCGGGTGCGATTGAAGCAGTAGCTTCACAATCCACGCCAACGGCAGCGGTTAAGTCAGAGCTGCTTGAGGCAAGCGGCGCACCGGCAACAGAACCGTTGCAGACAGCGCAGCCGAAGCCAACTGTTCCAGGACATAACCGTAAGTGCACGAGTGAATTGCCAACTTGGTGCTGGGCCACAGGCAGACTGCGAGTCGATCGCAGTCTGATTCAAAGCAGCAGATAGATAAGACACCAGGTACTTTTATGCACTGGATGCTCACGACACTATCGATGTTATAGACTCTACAGCTGTGCCCTCGCAGCAGCTGTCGGCGCTTGACGCGAAACGCTCCCGACTGGCTGCACTGGTCGGGCGGAACATATGGCTCAAAGGTAAAGTAAACTGGCGACTCCAGTTCTCCAATGGGACCTGGCTTACGTCACGCATGGTTTCACCGAGAGACTGCTTTTTCGGTTATACAACCGGATTCTGCACGCGTCTAGCGAATAGATCCCCCTCTGATCTCTGTGCAGAAAAGCGGGCAGGCATACGTGGCACCCCGCATGGTGGCAAGCAAGTGGTCGGTACGCCATGCAGTGTGCACAGGCGATGCCTAGCAAGAAAAGAAAAGGGAGCTGCTTACACTAATCATATTTATGCAAGCACACGGCTCATGTAGCGTCCAGCCCGCAGTACAGGCCAGGCATGTGGACGAGAGGGTTCTCGACGCAGAGCCGCATTGGCGGGTGGGGGTCATATTCGGGATCGTTCTCGCGGACATCGGGGTCCGGGCAGCGGAGCGCAGCATCCGGCAGCAACTCGGCTTACGACTACCTGGCGCAGCGGCGACAGGCAGCATTGAAAGAGGCAGCGGACGCACAGCCGCAGGATGCGGAAGCGCAAAACAGCTACTACCGCGAGCTGCTCAAGGCAAACATGTCGGGAACCAAGGCGCCGCTGGTCATCACGCGAGTCGAACAAGGCACCCATGCTGCAGATCTGGCGACTCTGCAGCTGTACCTTTCGGCGTTGATGCAGGCGCAGACGTCCCCGGAGCGCGCGGCCCTGCGGCTGATCGAGATGCTCAAGAACCAGCCTCAGCTGGTCATGCAGCTGGTGGGCACAGGCGGCGTGGCTGGGCATGAGAAGGTACTGCAGATGCTGGCCAATTCGGGTGGATTTGCTGGTATGGCTGGCAATGGCTACGCAGGTAGCACTGCGGCTGGCAATGCAGGCGAGTCGAGTTACCCCGGCGAGCGGCAGGCGTCCAAGGGCAATAACAACGACGTGTTCTTTGACGAGGACCCCGAGGAGGTAGCCAAGAATAGCCGAAGCAGATTCAGCGGCTCGGCCGACCAGCCGGTGCATGTTATCGTGCAGGACAAGGGCGGATCGGTGGTGTGGGGCGGCGTCAAGTGGATAGTCAGCACGCTGCTATACGCGTTCTGCATCCTAACGCTGGTCAACCTGACGCTGGAAAGCTCGGGGATGATGAAGGCAACAAACACGCCCGGCGAGTTCACGCCGGAGCCCATGACCACTCCCGTGCGGTTCAATGATGTGCAAGGCTGCGAGGAAGCCAAGGGCGAGCTGCAGGAGCTGGTGCAGTTCCTGAAGGACCCCAAGGAGTTCACCGACATCGGCGGCCGCCTGCCCAAGGGCGTCTTGCTCACAGGCCCGCCAGGCACCGGCAAGACGCTGCTGGCCCGCGCAGTGGCTGGTGAGGCAGGCGTCCCGTTCTTCTTTATGAGCGGCAGCGAGTTCGATGAAATCTACGTCGGCGTCGGCGCCTCAGTCACCGGTGACACGCAAGTACTAGTTAAGGACCAGCAGGGGACGCGGCTCATGCCCATCGGCGACTACATCGACCAGTATTATGAGGGCGATAGCGAAGGGTTCGTCATTCCTGTCGACGGTGTGCAGACGCTTGGCTTTGACGGCCAGTCGCGGCTGGACGGGTGCGCGTGGAAGAAGGTGCGCCAGGTGTATCGCCACAGGGTGGACGAGATCTACGAGATTGAATATCTGGGGGACACGGTGCGGACCACCGGCGACCACAGCGTGTTTGTGCGCTCCAGCGACGGCGGAATCAAGGCCCTGCAGGTCCGCCAACTGTGCGTCGGTGATAGCCTGGTTGATCTGCCGTACAGGGCTACCAAGCTGCCATCGCACAATGCGTCGGGCCTGGCTGCCAATGGCCAGATGCCGTCTCCTCTGGCCTTGTGGGGAGCTGACGACTCGGCTACTGAACGCCAGCAGGTCCGCAGTGCATGCTGCGACGAGAACCTCGCCGATGAAGTCCCCGTGACGCCTGCCCTGATGCGTCTGCTGGGCATGTACACGGCATGTGGACATACGGATGATGCTGGTCGTTTGGTTGCCGGCTTTGGTGCTGGCGACGAGGACCTGAGGCGCAACTTTACCGCTGATATGCAGCTCGTATTCGGCAGCCAACAGGCAGAGTCAAGCACTGATAGCGCATGCGTCTATTCTGCGCTTATTGGGAGGTTCTTTGCGCGCCACTGCAATTCGCAGTGTTCTGGCGCGAACCATCTTCCCGAGTTCCTGTGGGATGCCCCGGCCGAGCTCTTTGAAGCGTATCTGGAAGGCTACGCCCGTGCCAGCGGAGCCAAGGACATATCGCTGCACAGATCGGTGTTTGAGATCACATCATCAGACCACGCGCTGCTGCGTGAGATCGCTTGGCTGGCCTCTATCCACGGCATCTGCGCCCTGCTGCACGACCCTTCCACAGACAAGCACCGGTCGGTATGGACTCTGCAGGTGGGATCGACTGCGGCCTCTTCTGGCGGCCAGATGCAGCACAAAAAGGCTGTGATCGAGCGCATCGAGCGCCAGGCTTTCTCTGGATACGTCTATGACTTTTGCGGGTGCGACAACGAGGCGTTCTTTGGCGGCAACAACCCTGTGCTGCTGCACAACAGCAAGGTGCGGTCGCTGTTTTCTGCTGCCCGCAAGCAGTCACCCAGCATCGTGTTTATCGATGAGATCGATGCGATCGGGTCGAAGCGCAACCCGCGCGATCAGACGTACATGAAGCAGACCCTGAACCAGCTGCTGGTGGATCTGGACGGCTTCGCGCAGACCGAGGGCGTGATTTTCATGGCTGCCACCAACTTCCCTGAGGTGCTGGATCCGGCACTGACGCGCCCGGGGCGGTTCGACCGGATCGTACAGGTGCCGCTGCCAGACGTGCGCGGCCGCGCGGCAATTCTGAAGATCCACGCAAAGAAGATCCAGCTGGCCGACGACGTCAACCTCAGCGTGGTGGCCCGCGGCACCCCTGGGTTTTCGGGCGCCGAACTGCAGAACCTGCTGAACATCGCCGCCATCGAGGCCACCAAGCAGCGCTGCAAGGTTGTCAGCAACAAGCACCTGGACTTTGCCAAGGACCGCATCATCATGGGCAGCGAGCGCAAGTCCGGCCGTGATCTCGCCCGAGAACAAGCTGGCCACCGCCTACCATGAGGGCGGCCACACCTTGGCCGCCATGTATACGCCCGGCGCCATGCCTCTGCACAAGGTCACTGTGATGCCGCGCGGCCACGCGCTCGGCGTCACCGTGCAGCTGCCCGAGTCTGACCGCGAGTCCGTCAACAAGTCCGAGTACCTGGCTGAGATCGACGTCTGCATGGGCGGCCGCGCCGCTGAGGAGCTCATTTACGGGTCCGAGAAGGTCACGTCGGGATGCTCCAGCGACCTGCAGCGTGCCACCCGCGTCGCCACCGCCATGGTCACCCAGTTCGGCATGAGCGACAAGGTCGGCCTGGTCGCCTACTCCGACGAGGAGCGCGCCAAGCTCTCCGTCGAGGGCAAGAGCACCATTGAGGCCGAGGTCAGGGCCCTGAACGAGCAGTCCAATGCCCGCGTCATGAAGCTCCTCATCGACCATCGCGACGAGCTCGATCGCCTGGCCAAGGCCTTGGTCGAATACGAGACCCTGGACCGCAAAGACATCGATCGCGCCATCAAGGGCCTGCCCATCGAGCGCGACGACGACCCGCTCAAGCAGAACTAAGCGGCACTTTGCGCGCTTCCTCACGTGCCTATTTGTAATGTTATCTTCCGCAACCACCACATCCATGTATGCCTCATCATGCTGGCAGCGTACTCTGTCCAGATCGAATGGAAGGTATTTAGTTTTTGTTGGATTTTTTATTCGTCTCGACAACAGAGCAACCCCTACTCGGGCTATAGAAATCCTCGAAACAAGCTGTCCGTGCTGCCGGCCGACGAAAACCTGTTTGCGAGCAAACGACCAGATCCTCTTTAGCGGCGCTACAGTGGAAAAACAGAGCCATAGTTAGTACAAAATGCAAGAGCATCCAGATGCAAACCCGCCCAAGCTCTGAAAAAACAGTGAAGGGTGCAATCCCCTGCAGCTGGACCGGTCCCGGGCTGTTCCAGGCGCTTCCATCTGCAGACAACTGCGCACTCCACCCCGCCTCCTCGCCCCTGCAAAGCATGCGCGAGGATGCGATTTCGAGTAGCTGAAAGACGAAATTTGGCTTTCCCAAATCGTTTTGTCTGCACATTGTTGTAAGATTCAGCAGGCGGCCTCGTCCCCTATTCGGAGAAAGGAGGTCCCAACCCGCCCGACCAGGCCCAACAGGCTGTGCGCAACCAAGCCCGGTCGTTTGCATTGTGTCTATGAAAAAATTCTGGTCTACCTTGAAGAAACCAATGTCGTTGGCGTACTCGCGGAAGCACTGACGGCACATGTCGAGACCGTACTTGCGAATCAGACCAGCGCGGTGCGTGCACACACGGCACTGACGGCTACCCTTACCGAAGCGGCGGGGACGAGAGAACCAGACGTTGCTGTGGGCCATTGTTGGATAGGTAGTTGCTAGCGGGAATTTCCTTTATGAAAAAAGCTTAACGAGCAAAAGAGAAAGAACCATCACGCCTGGTGCCGGTTCAGTGCTGAAGAAAATACTGCACTGTCAACGTGCAATGCTCAGTGCAAAAAAAAATTGCGTGAGGGGGTAAATTACATCACGTGGAAACTGTAGGGTCTAATCAGGGCTTGCTGTAATTACCTGATTCATTCTTGATTAGTGCAAGTGGCGGGATGATCAGGGGATTTGCTGGCTGCGACTCAGCTGGGTTAGTAGCTCGAATAGCTACCACCCTACGAAGTGGTGATTCGCAACCATTGCTGATATGTGGTTGGGTACGTGATGTTGTCGGTAGTTGAGCAGCTTTACTGATGCCGATGCTGGGATTAACGTCAGAGAAGATGATGATGACAATTTCCTGTGTCAGGCACATGACAATAAGCGCCTGGATCCCACTGCGAACAATCGGCAGTCAGACTCAGATTTCTAAGCGTGACAATGGTTCTGCCGGTCTGACGCAACGTTTGCACCAGGCCGACTACACGAAGGTACACTTAGCCAGGACATAGCCTCATAGCAGATCCACCCTCCCCTTTCGATTCATTTCTCCCTCCTTCGGTTCTATTCAAGTAAGGCCTTTCCACCCATCAAATACCATTGAACCCCCTTCCCCAGAAACCAGCACATGTATGTGACATTAGGAAATATGGCGACAAGGTGACTTTTTTTTTTTTTTTACCATTTTTGACCGAGAGTCCACTATCTGGGGCATAATCAGCTCCGCTACTAAGTGCAATAACACCGGGACAAATGAACTTGAGATATTTGGTATTAAGCAAATCATGTTTGCGGCCCTCTTTGAAATCGTCCAATGATGTCCATCATTTACAGTTTGCAAAAGAATTCATCGTGAAGGAAAACTGTCACATTTGTGGAAGTAGCTGCCTACTTCACGAGATGAGAGTATCGATATTTGAGTTGATATAATAGTACCGCTGCCCATCGGATTTGCCTTCTCCAACACGGCGAGGCTGGACACCAACAGACTTTATAGACGAGCATAGAACCAAGAATCTCGCTCTCTGAAACGCACCAGCAAGTCGAAGTGGGATAGAAAGGCCAAAGAAGTTCGACTCTTTGGGATCCTCATGTAGAATAGCCCATTTAAAGACGATTGCCAAGACATCATCAGGGATCATGGAAATAGGCTGTGGAGGCATATTGGAAAAGGTCCAGGAAGGGGATTCAAAAGAAAGAGTATTAATAAAATATGATTAAGGTGGTGACTGTTGTGTCTCGGGTACGATACACTTGGATAGACAGCCTCCTGCAGCTGTCTGGAATACGTTTACTCTCCAAGCACCCTTCCACAACATATTGAATGTATGAAATATGCTATATGAAAAAGGAAGGAAGAATCGTCACGTGAAGGGGCGAGTGACCGTCTAAGTAGTGGCGTTAATCGCTGGGAACGGTATGAATAGCCATCATGGCCTAAGCGTTTTGATCCACAGGTCCCTGAAATCTTGTGAATTTGGAACCACATAGATGAAGGAGGCCGCAGCATCTCCAGCCAGTAGGCTATCACAAAGTGCTTCTCTTGCACAAAATGCACGCCCTCAGCATCCCAGTAGTGCTAGCCACCAGCAATATTTAGGGACAAGACGTTTTTTTATTCATGTTGCATATGTAAACACCGGAAATTCACCTGAAAGCGCAGAACATGATAATGGTAGGGGTGGCCAACTACCCCATCCTTATCGTTCCTATCATGCGTTGCGTGTACTGCAATATACGTGATTGGCATGCATTTGCAATTGTCCTTTTTGCTGCGCGCTGCTCACATATACAGTGTCGTTGGAAATGACTGTTTTTGCAAAGACACCCCCATCTACCACCAAGGGTAGTATTGATTTTGGCATGCTTAATATCAGTACTTTTGACGTATTTGAAAGCATCAAGATTAATATAGATATCAGTTAAAATCAACACCTTCAATTGACTGGATGTACTCGTCGACGCCGTCCTCAAGCAATGTGAGGTTGCCATCAACCAGCGAGTACACATCATCAGCAGTCTCGCGCACAAAGTGACGGTCATGGGAAATCAGAACAACAGCACCCTCGAACTCGTTAATCGCGTTGATAAGACCCTCGACAGCGTACATGTCTAGATGGTTGGTGACCTCATCAAGCAGCAGCAGGTGCGGCCGCGAATACAGCATCAGCGCCATAGCCATGCGAGCGCGCTGGCCACCGCTAAGGGTGCAGATTGGCCGGATAGCTAGCTCGCCGCTGAGCTCAAATGAGCCGAGCCAGCGGCGGATCTCGCCCTCCTTGACCGACGGATTGTCACGCATCAGCATCTTCAGACCCGAGTCCTGGACATTGGTCAGCTCGTCGACGAAGTGCTGTGTGTAGTGGCCGATCCGCAGACGCGCATGCTGCTCGACAGTGCCCTTGGTTGGAGCCAGGTCGCGGGTGATGACATTGACCAGAGTCGATTTTCCGCAGCCGTTAAGACCAAGCACGGCAACGCGCTCGCCCATCAGAATGTTGAGGCTAATGTTGCGGATAACATCCTTGCTGCCAGCTTTGTAGGCAAATGATACGCTGTTGAGTGTGACCAGGGGCGCAGTGCTTCGCATCGTCTCGGGCTGTGGAATGCTAAAGTCGACCTCTTTCTCAGCCTTATCCAGATCTATAGTCCTCCGCATTGTATCGTGGTATCCAGCCCAGTACGAGATCTTGAAGCGGGTTCCGTCTTCGTTCTTGTCTGGACCTAGGCGCTCAAGCTTCTTCTTGCGCGAAGCAACCTGGCCCAGGACCTTGGAGTCGTTGGTTGCACGAGCATGCTTCATAAAGCCCTTCGATGGACTTTTCGATCTGCTGGCGGCGCCGGTCCAAGGCGGCGACCTGGCGCTCCTTCTTCTTGCGCAGCTCGCCCTCGGCCATCTCAAACTCATCGTAGTTGCCCGGGTGGTAAGTGAGCTTCTTGTCTTTGAAGCGGATGATCTCCTGCGAGACAGCGTTGAGGAACTCGCGGTCGTGCGACACACATACGATGGTGATGTCGGTCAGCGACTTTAGGTAGTCTTGCAGCCAGGCAATGGCGCCAATGTCCAAATGGTTGGTGCACTCGTCGAGCAGCATGATATCGGGCTTGAGAAACATGGCTTTGGCCAATGCGATACGCATGCGCCAACCGCCGGAAAGGAGGCTGACTGGGCCATCTTGCTGCTCTTCTGAAACGTCAAGATCGGCCAGGATGGCACGCGCGCGGGCCTCGGCGGTGCTAGCGCCCATCTCGTCGAGCTCGGCATACAGGGTGGTAAGCACGTCAGCAGCTACATCACTGTCCTTCTTGCCCTTGGTGTAGAGCTGACTGCGGACCTCAGCCAGCATGTTGTGCTCAGCCTTGAGAGCAGCAGCACGCGCAACCTTTCCACGCTTGCCACTGCGAATGGTTGCAATGGTCTGTGCCTGCGTAATGCGCTCGGTGGCGATACGCGCAATGTACTTGTCCAGTGCTGTCTTTAACGTCACAGGATCGGCAACTGCTGCCTCAAGGGCTTGCACATCATTGGCACGCTTCTGGCGCTCGACGTCGGCTGCCAAAACAGCCTCAAGCACGGTGGTATTGGTTTCGAGCACGTCAAGCTGCTGCACGTAGAGAGTGCGGATGTTCTCTGGGAAGCCGATAAGCGTCTTGTTGCCAATAGCGTTCAGCAGCGTCGACTTTCCGACTCCGTTGCGCCCGATAAAGCCGTAGTGGTAGCCAGCCTTGAACCACAGGCGGCTGTCAACCAGCATATCAACGTCGCCAATGGTCAGGTTGACGTCGCGCAGGTCAACGTCCTTGGAAAGCGTCACCACAGTCTCGTTGTGGAACCGCGACTGCTGCGAGTACGCCTGGATCGGGGGCATTGCAATCGGTCTGGCCTGTTCCTTTTGTTGCTCCTTCTTTGGCGACTTTGGCCTGCGCTGTAGTTGCTGCTGCTGTCATGGTCGTATTCTTGGCCAAGCTAGGCACAATTGGCTGCTCAGCAGCACGGGATCCAGTCGAGGACGTGTCCAGCATGTCCTTCAGGCGCTGGGCCTTGGGTAGCACACGCGTGGTGATTGCTGGCTCAGGCTCACGTTTTGTCGGTGCTGGTGCGTCAATGCTCAGCTTCTCAAAAAGCGCATCCAGCTCACCCTCTTCCATGCCAGCGTCAAGCAGGAACGGCTCGGTGACCTTCGCGGACTGATGCCGGGTCGGACTGGTTGGTGTCTTCCAGGAGGCTCGACAGGTACTCGAGCGTGTCATTGTCCAGCGACTGCTTCACGGCGTCAGGAGCGACTGATAGCAGGGTATCCAGAAGGGTCCATGGTCGCGGATGGGGTGGAGGGAACAGGGGTGGTTGTGGATCTAGTGCAGGCGGTCAAGGGTACAGAAGATAATGGCGAATTGATGAAGGAAAGAATTCGTGTTTGGTATCTACCGATGAATAGAGCAGCGTGTCACTCAGCAACAGCCGGTGGCGATTTATATGCTTCAGTATGGCAAGCCCCACGACGTGGCCGCAGCTGTTGAGCAAAACAAAAAATAGGTGGAGGTCGGAGATGACATCCCTCAGCGGCCTCGCTGTTTGGCCTCTTTACATATTACTGCGGCCAGCGCAAAATGCTTGGTTGTGGTCTCCTCCAGCTGGAGTGACCTGCGCCCGCACTAGCTGCCTGAGCCACTATTAGCAGCCGCCGATAATCCATTTCTGGGTTGCGAGATATCCCCCAGAGTGTGCCTGTCGTCTGAGGCGGCGTTGCCCGCTCCTTTCTGGATCTCTGATCTGTATTGCCAACTGCCGAGATTATATCCGGGCGGCTGCTGCGGCGTTGTGCGCAGGTTTTTTGGTTGTCGCGGTCTGAGCCCTGCCCCCGCACTTTTTTGCAGCTCCAGCGCCAGCTCCGCAAAAGCGTAAATAATGAACGCGCGGGCCCGTGATGCCCTGGCCGCCAATCACAGCCGCTGCAGGACGATGCTGGCACTATACCTCAGCTAGGTGCACTTCATCGTGGGTGAGGTGAGGGACGGTTTAGACACGCAGGCATGGTGGGCAAGACAGCATCTTCATCTTCCAACTGCTTGAGTATTCTATTTACTTCCTAGCTATATCTCCTTACGCGCTGGACTGCCTGTCTCACCTTCCTCGCCTTTGTACAAACAGCCCCCAGGTGTCCTGCCCTTGTTCCACATATCCATTCGGCTTATTGCAGCAGCTGGTCAGAGGAGGCACTAGCAGCCCTGCACACGCTTTCACCACAACCATCAGCCGAGTCTGTGCCATTAGCCTTTGTTGACGCCATCTCGCGTACACACCCAAGCCCTCGAGCCTGTCTCTGCAGCCGTGGCTCGCACTTGTTTTCATAGACACCTACTGCCATCAACACCCATCCACCACCTTCGCAGTTCCTGTCTTCGCTCCTTTTTCTGCTCCCTTTTGTTTTTGACACCCTTTGCTGTTTTTTCCTCACTCTCGTAATTCAACCCGCCCTCGGTCGGCATAGTATTTTCGCGTGGTCCTTGTTCCTTGCTATCATTCTAGCACCAGAGCAGCACTATTCACATCGCGTCAACCACCTTGTGCAACATCGCGTCTATTTCACAGCACCTGGTATTGGCCTTCTTGCTCGCATTCCTTCTTTTCCACCCTGTGAGCCAGCACAACAATACCCCTTTGGCCTGTTTTTCTTTTCTTCCCCCACCAGTTTTCAGGACGCACCTGGTATCACATAGACAGCCCACGGTCCGGTCTGAGCCCACTGACACAAAGCGACAACATAGCCCAGGGGCAAGAGGTACTCGGTCTACAGCGCTCTCTTTTTGCTTTCCTTCTCTCCTTACTCCTTCCCATTCGCTCTGACAATTTAAACTCAGCAAAGGGCGCTAGAAAAATAATGATTTTCCGCAACCACCACACACCAGCCGGAAACCACCATCACACCAGCGGCACACATGGGTCGCGTCGGTCGCGCCGGCACAGCGGCGATTCAGACAGCTCGTTCGACAGCTCGGATGGTGAGGACATCCCAGAGTCGGTTGTCGGCCCAATCGAGATCCCAAAGTCGCCCTCACTACCCGTGTCGGCACGCCAAGGCTCTACACCGGTAAGTTATTTGGGAAATATTGCCTGGCTATTGTGCATGGGTCATATGGCTCGCCAAGAACAAACCCCGGCCTGCCGGTTTCGATAGGGCGTGCTGTCCAAAAATGAAGCGCATGGGACAGGCAGGCTTTCTCACCTCTTCGTGCTCCAGGCACAAGGAGGGGTTGTGGTAAAAATACTCTGCACAATATCGGCTGGCAGCAGATTTGGCCAGTAACGCTTTGTCGCAGCTTATTGTCGGCTGGCCAGCAGTTTGGCTAGGTGAAAACAGGAACGCACGAAAACATAGGGAGGGCCGGGAGAGGAGGAACGTGCCTTCATATACCGGCAACCGTGACAGCTGGGAGTGCCTTTTCTTTTTCATTCCCTTCTCGCACTGTTCTGATATCTATTTACACCCACAACTAAGCACACCGCGCACATCTGCTACCAAATATCCTTCTAGGGAATGAGAGCACCATCGCACATCAACTTCAACGGCAACCTGCCAGTCAACAACAGCGACAACCCGATCAACCGGCGACGGTCATCATACAGCAAGAATTCTCTGGCAGGCAGCCGCGGACGCAAAAGCAGAGAGCCCCGGTGGCCGCAGCAGCTATACAAGCAGTGGTTCGGCGCGATCACAGAGGGGCGGTCGATTCAGGTGCACGCAATGCTGGCCGACTACCCAGAGGTTTTGAACATGCGGCGGATCGAACCGACGCCGTTCCATAGTGCCCTGACGCCGATTGCCAGCGACTGGCTGGGGATGGACACGACAGGCATGGATGGCTTGCAGGTGGCCATAATGGGGTACAAGAACGCGTATGCGCACTGGCGGATTGGCAACCAGCAGCAGCAACAGCAGCACGAGCATATGTCGGGCATGACTCCTGAGCAGATGCGCGAACATGTCGCAGTACGCGAGGTCATCCTGAGCGCCCTGATCGACGCGACGTCGCCCGAGCAGCTCGACTCGCACCTGTTTGGTCGCCAGCACAACACCACATTGCATCTGGCCGCCTTCTATAACGACGCAAATTTGGTCGAGCGGTTGCTGCGCCAGGGCGCGGCAGTAGATATCCGCAACAAGATGGGGTTCCTGCCAGCGAGCATTACAAACGACAAGCCCACGCTTCAGTGGCTAGCCATGTATCGCGAACAGGTGCGTGGCACGCGCTACCAGATGTACCCGCCGCACCAGCCAGCGCAGGTGCAAGAGTATGAATTTCCGCAAGGCAGCCTGATGGATTCTGGCGACCCTGAGGTACCGATGGAGATGCTAGAGCATTTTAGCGACGAGGAGGATGTGTCGGCAGCCCGGGACACTGGAGATCTCGGCTTGGCTGGAGCCGGCGGGTTGCCTGGCCTGCAGGATTCGAGCAACGACGACACATGCATCAGCGGCAATAATTCGGACGAGCACATCAAGCAAATGAAGCGGCAGTCAGCACAGTCTGACGAGTACGCTGATGACCAGGATGACGAGGTTTCACTGTTGTCATCTTCAGGCGACCGCACCAGCCTTGGCCTGGGTGGCAGCCGTACAAGCATGGAAAAGCGCAATAGCGACCACCAGCCGATGCAGAAGAGAATATTTGACAAGAAGCGCAGCAGTGCATACAGCGGCAGCGGACGGCCTGTCAGCATGGTTTCGATTGAAAGCTCTGACTCTGGCCGCCCGCGCTCGTCGTCAAATGCAGACAGCATGCTATCGTCTTACTATTCTGCCGGTGGACTGGGCAGCGAGTCCGAGTACCAGAGCGCACAGTCACAGACAGGAGAAGAGCCTGTGGCAAGTGTGGCAGAGGAGACTGACGGTAGTGACACCGTGAGCCAGGTATCAGACGGCGGCGATCCGCTGCCGCAGTCAAACGACCGGTCGATCCGGATCAAAGTGGATCCGAGCACAATCAACGACGATGACATTGAGGGGATCTTTAGCGACTCGGACGAGGTCGTGCAGCAGGAGCCATCGTACTGCCAGTCGGGATCAGGCTTGTCTGAGTCGGGCAAGTCGGTGTCGCCGGCACTGTCGGCTACTTCCGGCAAGCACTTGTCGCTCAGCTCACTGTCATCATCGGGCTCGATCAATATGCAGTCGCTGGCGATGGCTGTTGAGAAGGCACACATGCCAGATCTAAAGGCAAATCCGGTTTCGGCGTTCCCAGTCAGCATGCAGAGTGCCGGGGTTCCGGCTCCTGAGATGGCCAAAAAGCTGGCGCCGATTTCGACCTCGCCGACGCATTTGGCAAAGGGCGACGATTCGATGCAGAGGCCAACAAGTCCGTTTTCGCTGCGTGACTCGCTGTATGAGATGATCATGGGGCGGCCGGCCAGCACAGCTAGCATGGCGAGCCGCACGTCGACTAACAGCAACAGCGAGTCAAGCAGCTCGACAGTTGGTGTGTCGTCGTCGGCATCGCCGTTTGGCGTCCCAGCTGCCAACGAGACGCAAGAGTCTGGATCTAGCTCGCTGACGCAGACGGCAGAATTTACCTTCCGCCCACGGGCAATGACACAGCCTGATCTGCACACATCGATGAATGACTGGCACAATGGAATACCCGAGCCGTCGCTGACTGTGGGCGAGGAGAGTAGTGTATTCCATGATGAGCCTGAGGATATTGATGTGGAGCGGAGGTCCGGAACGCCGTCGCCGGTTCCTGCACCGCGGCCCACAGCAGCATCGTTATTTGCCATTGCCGAAGAGCCCGAGGCTGATCAGACGGTTTCTGATGATTCCGAGGATGAGGAGGCTCCTGAGATCACTGAGCCGATAGCCACTGTTCCCGAACCCGTCAAGGAGCGCGAGCAAGCTGAGAAGGCTGTTAGCGAAACTCTTGAGGAGCATGAGATGCCGTCGCCATCCGAGGTCATGACCAAGAACGGCCGCATTGGGCGGCGCGGCGGGCGAATCACGGCCGAAATGATGGCCGACGATCCTGTTGGCTTCAGTTCAGAGCCCGTGTTCACCTTGGCCTCGTCGAAGCTGTCGAGCGGCAGCCTGGCCGAGTCAGCAGCAGCCAAAACCGACTATGAGGAGCCCCAGCACGAAGAGTCCACACAAGAGGAGCCGATGCCGCCGCCAGATCTCCCGCTGACTCGCGATAAGCGCGAGGAGTACCTGCAGACACTGATCAAGCGCAACTCGTCAAAGCCTGGCGCACCCAACAAGGCGATCCCGCGGTTCGGTGCCAGCTCGCCGATCGGTAGGCGGCCGGTCTCGCGACCCCTGAGCAGCCTGCGTATGTACGAGAATGCGGCTGAGGAGAGCGGCGACGATGGCGACGAGGAGGACAATTCTGCGATCAAATCGCCGCTGCGCAAGAAGCTGGTCGATGAGCGGCCTGGCAGCAGGCTGGATAGTCGCAGTCCGAGTGTGCTGGGCAACCGCAGCACTGCGCCGGTGATGGCTGAGAAGCGGCCCCGGGGGATGACGCGCGAAGCACACAGTGTCTCTGGAGCGTCAATCAACGGGCGGATCCGCGCACAGACCTTTAATGCGCTGGGCTCGGCTGCCCCGGCGCTGCAGCCGCGGCCGTCGGTACGCAAGATCTCGCCGTCGCTGGCTAACCTGAAGACACGCAATCTGGTGTCGCAGTCGACCGCGCGGAAGACCGAGCAACCAGCGAGCCCACTGTCGCCGGTAGGTGTGCCGCTGCGGTCACGTGCGATGAGCACACCCGTGGATGCCCGACCACCGTCGTCGTTGAAGGCTATGACTAGCCCGAGCAACCGAACTATCAACCTGGCGTCGATGAATGCCAGCGGTCCGAACTCAGCCCGCATTGGCCGGGTGGCTGCTCTGTCGCAGAACTTTGAGCGCCAAACTAGCGTACCTGCCGGTATCCCGCAGAGACCGATGAGCTTCATCGAGGACCGCACATCGGCCAACCCTGGATCCCTGGGCCTGGTGTCTGCGCCAGCCATCCCAAAACGTCCCGACCTACGGTCTCCTGTAGAGCGCTCCACCAGTATATCGAGCACGTTCAGCAGAGCGAGTGGCCATGAGAGCTCGTCGGGCGCCGGCGGTTCGGGTGTCTTCCAGGATTCAGGCGAAAAGTCCAATGGCAGCGCCAGGGATCAGCCGGATCGGCGTGGAAGTGGCGATGGCTCTGGCGATGGCTCTGGCGATGCGCCGGTCGGCGGTGGTTCGGGTGCTGGCAACGGTGGCAATGATGGTGAAGATGATGGTAGCTCGAGTCCCTCGCAGAGCGTAAACACGCTGGAGCGCCAGGACAGCACCACCAGCAACAGCACGACGTCGTCGTCAAGCCACAGCACTGATAGCCTGGGTAACCGCAGCGCACTGGGCGGATACCAGGGACTGGGGTCTCCGCTCGAGGATATAGCCGAGGATCTAGAGCTGGACCACAGTGCATATGAAGATTATAATATCTTCACCGGGTCAGACACTGCAGGCACGCCAGCTCCCGAGACGCCGGTGCCTGGAGCGTCGCCGCTCAGTGAACACCATGCGAGTGTGTCTGCCCGCAAAAGTAGCGATTCCGCGCCTGTGTCTGTATATCACAAGCCTGGTTTCGTAACGTCGTCCACAAACTCGCCCAGCAATAGCCACAGGGGCAGCGCACCGAGTAGCGTGCGGCGTGACAGCCAGCACGGCAGTCGGCGCAAGAGCGGTACCTTGGCGCGTATCTCAGGCAGCGGTGTGGTGCGCCAGCGCCAGGCGCTATTCAACAGCGCACCGCAGCTGGTAACGGGCAGCAGCCGTTCAGACTCGCCAGTAAGCCGGACCGAGGTTGGCAGCCCACCGGGGTCTGGGCAGCATCGGTTTCGTAGCGGCTCCGTGCAGATGAGCGAGGGGAACCTGGAGTCGGCGGCTTTTTTTCGTCGGGCGGGTGAGGGAAGCAGCAGCCCTGTAGTGGGCCGCCCTCACCCGGCAGCCATGGTTACCGGCTCAGCTGCCACCACCGATAGCTCGGACTCACTCGACCACACGACCCAGATACACGGCGGAGACCCGAGCAGCAGCGGTAGCAATCCAGGCTTGGCCAGGCAGAGCTCCGATGTACACTCTGAGGGCTCGCCTCGTGTACCGGAGCGCCGCAGCCCGCTGCCGCGCATCGACGTTGTTGACGAGACTCGGTCGCGCCTCAGCTCGAATGGCTCGAAGCATTCGAACGAGTCGGGGGAGTCGATCTTCACTGACAATGCCAGTGATCCCAATGACAGCGTGCAGGCAGGCGCAACCAATAACCATGTGGGCTTGGCGGCCCAGCTCGCGTCGTCGCCCGAAAAGTTCAACCGCCAGTACCACCAGGACCTGTCGGTTTACCGCTCGCGGTCGTCCGAGGAGCTGACGCCCGGGCTTCGATCGGAGACCGATGCCACAGTGCCTTTCTATCCGGATCCGCATCCCGAGGGGGTAGATGAAGGCATGCAGGGGTACTACCCGGATCCGCGCGCGCCTAGTGACGAGTACATTGCGATTGAGGATCTGGATAAAATCGACGATGACGAGATTGCTGACATTGAGATGCGTCGTCAGGGGATCTTTGATGAGATGATGCCCGCTGCAGGGAGTAGCCACAAGCCGTTCAACCTGTCAACAGTGTTTGAGGAGGATGAGGAGCGCTCTTCGCTGCGCACGTCGCGGGCGTCGCTGCGTGGTTCGCGAGAGTGGCAGCCAGGGACGATTGGTGGCACCCACACACCGTCGCCAATGGGACTTGGGACATCGAATGGTTCATCGTTGGCCTCATCTGCCGGAAGGGCGAGCACTGAGTCGCCAAGACAGTCGCTTCTGTCGACTGCCTCAGACCCAGTGCAACCAAAGCGGCCAGAGATGCAGCAGCGGCCGAGACCTCTGAGCCAGCCGCAATCTGTTGTACGTCGTATGTCGGCGATCTCTGAAGCGTACGACAAAGATATCGACGAAGAGGAGGAGGAGGATGCTGAGGATAATGTGCCTCTGCAGACACTGGCCTCGCCTGCTCGTTCCGCCAAAGTCTCGCCGCATGGTTCCTCAGCATCAGCTGGAAATCCGGAAAGCCCAGTCAAGGTATCTCCGCGCGATTCGGCAGCGTCGATGGGAGTGCGCAGCAATCTTACAGTGCCAGGAGCCGAAGATGACAAGAGTTCTGTGCGCTCGATGGCCAATTCGTCGGGCTCATTCCCGTTCGACGCGCAGGCCGTGTATGGCCCGAGCCTAGAAGATACAAGCACTATGGCTAGCCGCAGCAGCATGGGCCGCCCCGAAATTGGCGTCATGTCTCGCCCAGTGTCGGCGAGTGCCAGCCTGATGATGCTCCAGCCTATGGACAGCGGCGACCTGGCGCAATCGAGCGGCGTGCGGTCGCGACATAGTCCGACGCCACATGACTCGAGCGCACAGCTCTTGGAGCAGGCTGCACAGCGAGCTAACCAGCCGCTGGCGGGCCACGCTACTGTGCCTGACCATTCGATCATCGGCTACAGCATCGGCATGACTGCCGGCACCGAGGAGGGTGGGCACCAGGACGATTATGTCGGCAACACGAGCGTAAGCACAGCGCCAATAGAGCTGGTTTTCCCCAAGGCCAGCACGCCGCCAGCACCGACTGTCGAGCTTGGCCACGGGTTTGCGTCGGCAGAGTCTTTGCCTGAGGGCACGCACCCGCTACAGTTTGTGCCCAACGATGTTCTATTCCGCGTGCCGCTTAGTGACCACGCGCGTACTGCTCTGAATGAGCTCAACGACCCGCGGCTGGTGGCACAGTGGGAGCAGCAGCAGCTAGCGCTGCTCCGGCAGCAGTACTCCCGCTCGGCACACGACCGGCAGGAGGAGATGAAGCGCGTGTCGCAGTTCAAGCGTGGCCCGTCGAACTCGCTGGAGTCGGAGCAGGGCGGGCTCGTGTATGACCATGAACTGGCACTAACCGATGCGCCGACGCAGGGCATAACGAGCCGCGGCACCATCCGGCAGCTTCACAAGCGGGCACGCAACTCAGATGCATACTATCCAGTGTTTGACCTGATTCCCACCAGCCGGAATCGACCGGCTCCAGGCGCAGAAGAACAGCTGCACCCAGATGATGCTTCACTCGGCGGCAGCGCGCGGTCCAGCGATGCCAGCGTCAGCAGCCACGAGCGCCAAGTGGGTGTTGTCGACGAGGCATTCTACTCGCCGACGTCGCAGGCATTCCCTGAGCAGACGATTGCTGCCAACGTGGGCGAAGCTGCCGATGAAGTGGCCGAGGAGTCATCGTCGGAGGTTATGATTGGCCCAAGCGGCCAGCCGATCCGCCGCAATCTTGTGCTGCGGCTGCGGTCCAAGTCCCTAGTCGACAGCGTCATGGACGAGCTTGCCACAAAGGAGCGCCACATCAGTGCACCGCTGCCAGCCATGGAAACTCCGCACTTTGACGACCCAGTTGTGAAGCACGGGGGCGTGGGCGCAGACCACTACGGCACAGTGCGGCCAACGGTGATTCCGTCGTTCGTGTCGCAGCTGGACGGAGTTCCGGCTGGTCCGTTCTTCAAGCCCCCGAGAGCATCCGAGCGCCAGGGATACCTGTACATGCGCATCCTGAGCATTGAGGATCTGGAGGACAAGACTGACTCGGTGTACTTTGTGATCCGCAATGGCATCGACACACTGGCCACGACTCCGATCAAGGTAGGCGGCGCAGCATCGGCCAGCATCAATCAGGAGTTCCGCATCCTGACAGATCCGAATGTGTCGGTGACAATGTGGATGCGGTTCCGCAGCGATGCGATTATCTCCAACCCGCGCAACACGCCCATGGGCGCACGGCCGCGGGCGCGGGACCCGAGCTGCCTACCGCCCATGTTCAAGAAGCTGGTCCGGCGCAACACCCGGTCGCGCAACAACAACCGGCGGTGGAACTGTGCCCGCCCCGACGACAGCGACTTTGACTTCTCCAACCCGTCGTTCCAGTACATGCCTGGTGCCCGCCGACCTGGTTATGCGGCCAACATCCAGGCTGGACAGCAGCAGCCGCGCCGCAGCCAGGCTACGGTGCCGGACCGTGTGTCAAGTGCCTTTTTGTCAGGCCAAGGCGGCAACGGCCACTACTCGACCAAGAGCAGCACCAATGCCAACTATGCATCCGACCCGCGCTCGCTCAATGCGACTCAGGCGCCATCCAGCGTGTTCTACGATCCAGGCGAGGCGGAGCTTGACCAGTGGTCGTCGAACAAGGGCTTGGTTCAGGCCAAGTTCAAGGAGGAGACGCGCGGCGTGGCAGTGGTTCATGTGGGGGAGATGCTCGAGGAGGTGTTTTTGAACAGCCTGGTTGACTCGTGGGATGTCGAGAACGTGTGGGAGAGCCGCAAGGGCGCGCGCCTTCAGCTGCAGCTGTTTTTCATCCCTGCATGCCCGCTGTTCAACGAGGACGAGCTGCCGCGCACGCTGGGCCAATGCGAGAACGCCATGGAGGTGTGCAACTTCCACAACAGCACGCTGAACTCTGGCTTCCTGAGCCAGCGCGGCGGCGACACGCGGTTCTGGCGCCGCCGGTACTTCCGTCTGATCGGCGGCTTCCTGTTTGCATACCACGAGGACACTCGCGAGCCGCGGTGCTTCATTGATATCAACGAGGCGACGCGGGTCATTGACCACAAGGAGGAGCGGTCACGGCGCCTGTCGCCCCCGGTCAAGGGCGTTGCGCGTGGATTCAATCTGCACCGCGGGTCAACCCACCGCCGGAGCAACTCGGACTTTTCGGCGCGTGGAAACACGTCGCGGCCATTCATGCCTGCGTCAGTGCATGAATATGCGTCAGACTCGGAGCCAGGCGACAGCGTGGATATTGCTGACCCGGCCCTGCGCCAGTCGTCGATGCGGCGCCTGCGCAACCGTGATCGTGGCGCCTCGGATGTGTCGAGAGCGACCTTTGACTCTGCTCTAAGCAAGCCCTCGTCGATGGACTCTGGCGTTGTCAGTGGTGACTCAGTAGACGCAGAGAGTGGAATCCAGCACAGCTTCAGCATCGAGTTTGGCAACCAGGGGTCGATCGAGTTCTACGCCGAGTCGGAGCGCGAGAAGCTTGCGTGGGTTAGTGTTTTGTCGCGTATGGTTGGGTGCATTCCCAAGATCCCGTCGTGGCTAATCAAGCTGCTGCACTCTGATATTGCAGAGAGGGTTGAGCACGGCACGGTGTCATCGGACTCGTCTATGGAGAGCATGGCGTACGGATACCAGCCATTCCAGCCGGTTCCTGGACCGACAATGCGTCATTCGGCTGCCTATTAATAGCTGCCTTTTTGCTATCATATGTCATTAGTGTATGTTGTTGAAGATATATCTTGGACTGTGATGACCCAATGTGATATCATAAAAATAAACATTTGCTGCTGTTGCAGACATTAGAAAAGGTGAAAATAGAAATGAAACGGATGAGCTCCATTTTTGCAGATGTTTGAAAGACTGAGTGGAAAATGCTGAGAGAAACGAAACCCATGCTGACCAGGCCGGCCGTATGTACTTACACTCGATAGTGTCGGAGACCTCAGCGACAGGCCCTGTGTCTTGCTGAACTTTGACAAAGCAAGAGGATTCAGAATAGCCTCCTCTCCATCCATCCAGAGGCTCAGTCGCTACATATCTGAAGTGTTTATCGATGCACATCCGGTGGCCCCACCGCTACACAGCCATACCCATTATCCATATGCTGGCATTAGGTATGTGTGATGCTTCGTTCTCTCAGCCACCCTAGATATTACGCCATCGAAATATAGACTGGCAATGGATTTGAACCATGTGCTAGGACCGAAATCCGACTGCCTCACTTTTCCAAGTGGCCATTATGCTCAGAGGTCGTGCTGCATTTTTCAAAAACAAGAATTGACGAGTATTTGAGGGCAGTTGGGAGGAGAAAAGTGTCAAGATACCACTTCATGGGCTTTTAATATCTCTCACTGCCTTGCTGCAAAAGAAAGGTACTGAACGAAATGGAAATCGCATTTGTAGCCAACAGCACATGAGTTTGAAAGTGCGAACAGATCATGACTGGTGTGTCTCGGGTACGATGCATTTGTATAGACAGCCTCCTGCAGCTGTCAGGAACACGCTTATTCTCCAGGCAGTTTTCCACGATCTATATTGAATGTATGGAATATGATATATGAAAGAAGGAAGGAGGAAGCATCAGGTGAAAGGGCAAGTGCCCGTCTAAGTAGTGGCGTTGCTCACTTGGAACAGCATGAATGGCCATTGTGGCCCAATTTTATTGTGCGCATGTAGGATTGAAGGATAATCAATAGATTGCTATCGGTGTGAAGAAATTAATGAAATGGGTATGTATACTACCAGAAATGAAAGGTAGCTGCTTCAAGTAACAAGATTTATACTGTCTGTTTGGATTTGAGCAGGGTTTGCTACGGACAAGGTGCATTATTACGCTAGGTCATAATTTCAACTAACAGGCATATGCCAGCCCACGAAAACATGATATTGATTGATTTTCATATATAAATCGGCCGCACTCAGCCGCTTAGCAACAAAGATCAAAAGTGATAGTCCTCTATTATATGGATGGATAGGCAATATTCACGCGTTTTCCATTCATTCCACTGTTTCGCAGCAACTCTATATTACATTTTAAAATTTAGCCTATATATGGTTCACATAGTTGTGCCAATGCTGCATGTCTATATGATAATTGGCCGGCTGGTAGCGGCTTTGGGGATGTATATCAGCTTGAAACTGAACGAGTAAGTTATATTAACGTTAGTGCGTAGCTTAGCGCTGATAGCAACATCATCGCAGGCAGGATATTATATCACTTGCACCAAGATTGAACATGCAGTGGTCATAGGCACTGTTACCTGTAACTCACCGGCTACTCGACATATCTGCGGAACCGTGTTAGTGGTGGCACATACAGCATGCATCTGGGGATTGTTGATTCCCCAGATGTACTCGAGGCTGGAATTTTCTACATTGCATGCATGTTGCATCATGGGATGCACCCTGTCGGTTTTAGCGGAGAATTTTATGTTTCCCCCTGTCTTTGGCCAATTTTTCCAATTTAGGTATGTGTGAAATGAAACATTGTTTACACGGGTCCAAGAGCCAGTCAGGTGCATGTGCTGCTCAGGCAATTTCTGCGCAGCTGTATTGCGCGCAATAAAAGCTGACCTGTACATGGTTCACGTAGCCTCCTGCCTCACTGACCTTGGCTAGACTTAGTGTCGCTTGCTGCGGCAAAATGGTTTAGCCCATTGTAGACTCCACCCAGTTCTCTTCTACACGAGGGTTCTTCGCCAACAAAAAGCCTGTGCATTCCAAACGTGGAATCCAGCTACCGCAGCGGCTGTTCCTCTTTTGGGATTCAGTATGGAGAAGTAGTGACAACTGTCGTCGCAAGAACGATGAGTTGCCGCATTTGGAGGGGAGGTGAAGGTGATGGGCTGGCCATGACAGCATTGGAGGTGCGCGAAATACGCAAGCGGTGAATGTGCTTTCCTGTTTTGGAGGGAGTTGAGATTTGCTGGCGCGAGGCGGCGTGCTGAACGGACTCGGGGCCTAGCATGATCGGCTGTCATCTGGGGAGCGATATTGTTGCGGGCGGGCACAGGAAAATAGCACGAGTAATACCCGGTGGTCTGGCGGGGGGAAAGAGCAATAAATGCTGTTTTTTGATGGCCGGTTGCGCACTGACCACCCCTTCCACTAATGAAACAAATGCTTGCGTGAGGCTGCGCAGAGTAGCCGACTAGTCGATGGGAGATCGTCCTCTCCGGTCAGAGACAAGTTTTCTTGTCCTTCTGCTGAGCCTTTTTTCACAACTCCTCGTCATCCTCATGGTATTACACCACCTTCTATGTCTCTCAGTGAGCTTGGAAAAATTCCCCGCTCCGCGATGATGCAGGCTTGCCAAAGCAGTGTTCCTTTCGGGCTGATTGCCACCCATCCATTTTGCATTCTATTTGAGCAAATCCCTTGGTGTACCATTGGTGCTATGGTGAGCGGAGGGCCGCCTTGCGCTCCGTCCCAAGCGACAAAAAGCACGACAGTTTCCCTTTTGTGCAGATGCTGTAGCCTGGCCATGGCATGCAGGCGAGAAATAAAAAATTCTCCGCGGTTGTTGGTCCTTTTTTTTTTTTTTCGCAGAAACCTGTTGGTCACCGTGCTGAGGGGGAGCGGCTGCTGAACGCGCAGATGGCTAGGATAATGGAATTGGCTGCGCCAGGAGTGCCATGAAGCGCAAGCCTAGGTAGGCGATGCTAGTGGAACAAGAAAAAACAGCGAGTGAGCGAGCCTGAATCCCAGGTCGTCAGAGATGTCAGAGAAGGCGGCATTTTCACTGGTACCATGAAACCAAGGATGTGGATTTGCTGCGTAGGTGCTTTGGGATACTCTGCAATCGAAATGGCGGTATATCTTCGGGTCTCGAAGCAAATTGTCGGCAATTGCCTGACAGGCTGCTCTAGCGCATGGAGGCAGGAAGCTTCTAGTAGACAGCAGGGGGTGGGCTGCCCGAGCCCTCTGGCAGAGGGGCAAAGGTCTTGCTCGCAATTAAAAGCGGTCACATCGCAGTGGTGCTGGTGATTGGTGGAACACAAGGACTATCTTCAAACGCTTCGCTGCACGAAGCAAAAAAACGCGCGCTTTTTCGGAGATGGGCCGAGCACCTTGCAACCTTTCGTCTCTGGGAGCCAGGCTATATAAAGGCCAGTGGGTTTGCGGCCGTTCAGCCTGCTATTTTCTAGTTCTACATCAAACAAAAACCCAAAGTTTTTTCCTCTCCCACTTCTTGAGCTTTTTTGTACTGCTAAACCATGTCTGCTCCCGCTTTCCGCCAGGTCGCTGCCGATTCCGCCGAGGTCGCTGCTCTCAAGGTTAAGACCAGTATGTATTGCTTCTTCAGACTCTCACACTCGTTGCGAGCCTGGATCGATGGAAGCGAACCAGGCTGCCCCTAGCACTCGCACTGGGGATACTGTCTGCTGTCTCTCTGTACATCTCCCGTCACATCTGCCTGTCCTTTTCCCCTGCCTCTGTTCAGTCAGTGTTGTCCTGCAAGCTCTTATCTGTGTATCATCTATATGAAAATATCTGCTGCTGGTCGTCATTTTCCGGAAAGGGCGTCTCTTTTTGTCTTGCTCGGGCGGGCTGTCCATCTCCTTGTCCCATGTGAGCAAGTGCGAACAATGGCTGATCCGGACTGATGAGGCGTTCCAGGAGGTGGGATGGTTGTGCCCAGGATGCCTGAGCTCCAGCGTCCAAGCGATGTGCACAGATCGAAGCGCGATAATGCAAGCCACCAGGGGAAGGATTGCTGGTTTAGGAAATGGCTCGGAGCACGCGGAGAACCTTGTAAAACTGCGCAATATCGATTTGTTGCTACAAACAGCTAATTTTCTTCCACACAACTGTAGACCTCCTCAGCCAGTCGCTGAGCCCCAAGGTGATCTCGTTCACCGACGAGTTCTTTGCCGAGGTCACCAACCTGTTCAAGGACGAGGAGGCCGTGTTCCTGCCCGAGGCCTTCACTGACCGCGGTAAGTGGATGGACGGCTGGGAGACCAAGCGCCACAACAAGAGCTATGACTGGGCGATCCTGCAGCTTGGCTACGCCGGCACCATCTACGGGCTGGACGTCGACACGTCGCACTTCACCGGCAACCACGCGCCGGTGGTGAGCCTGGAGGCGGCCAACGCCACTGAGGAGGAGGTGCGCGCGGGCAAGGCGCAGTTCGAGGAGATCCTGCCCAAGGTCAACATGAACCCGGGCTCGCACCACTACTTTGTGTTTGAGGCGCCGACCAAGGTGTACACCCACCTGCGCCTGAACAACTACCCCGATGGCGGCATTGCGCGTCTGCGCGTGTACGGCCAGGTTGTCCCGCAGACCCTGGTGGCCTCGACCACCGAGGCTGGTCTGGTTGACCTTGCCTTTGTCGGCAACGGTGGCCGTGCGGTCGCGTGCTCGAACCAGCACTTCTGCTCGCCGTCGAACCTGCTGCTGCCGGGCCGCGGTAAGACCATGGGCGATGGCTGGGAGACCCGCCGCTCGCGCACCCCTAACCACAACGACTGGGTGATCATCAAGCTTGGTGTCTCGGGCTACGTCGACAAGGTCGAGTTCGACACCTACCAGTTCTGCGGCAACTTCCCGCCTCTGGTCACCCTCCACGGCACCGTGTCGTCGGAGGACATCCCTGCCGACGATGCCCAGTGGACCGAGATCATCTCGGGCGTGCCCCTGACTGCCAGCGCCCAGCACTTCATTGAGGCCACTGGCGGCAAGGACACTGCGTTCTCGCACGTCAAGTTCACCATGTACCCCGACGGCGGCATCAAGCGCATCCGCGTCAACGGCCGCGCTGCCAACTAAAGCGGGGGTGTGAAGAAGGGTGGTTCTTTGTTCCTGTAAGCCAATTTTCCTTTAGAATACCTGTAACTTTCTCCTTTTGTGTTTTTTCTAAATGTCATCGATTCCAACAGCTAGCTCGAGCTGCTCCAGATACCAGCTTTAAAGTCAGTAGGCGGGGCGGAGAGCCAATATCACACTAGCTCCAGGTGCTTGTGGAAGATAGCGTAGCGCGCCTCTTTTTCTCTAGTTTTTTTCTTCTTTTTTCGCATACACTATTTTATATTTTTATAATGGCGGAATACCTGAGCCGGGCAATGGCCTTTGCGCAGGATGCGGCCAAGCTGTCGCTGCGGCTATCTGAAGGACTGGTCGAGAACGCACTTGAGTTCGGGCTAGACACTCCAGGCAGCTTCTACGACAATGCGGAATTCAAGCTGTCGCTGGTGCGGCAGGAGCTGAGCTCAGCGTCAGACAAGGACAAGGTGACAGCGCTGAAGCGGCTCCTGGCGGCGATAGCGAAGGGCCACGACGTGTCAGAGTATTTCGCAGATGTGGTGAAGAATGTGGCGTCGGGGAATCTCGAATTGCGGCGGCTGGTGTACATTTACCTGCTGCGGTATGCAGAGCAGGAGCAGGACCTGGCGCTGCTGTCAATTAACACGTTCCAGCGGGACCTGACGGACCAGAACCAGGTGATCCGGGCAATGGCATTGCGTGTGATGTCAAGCACCCGGGTGCCGGTGATCAGCTCGATTGTGATGGTGGCGGTGCGCAAGAGCGCCGCAGACGGATCGCCGCACGTGCGCAAGACGGCGGCGTTTGCGGCGCGCAAGCTGGTGCGGCTGGACCCGGGGCTGCGGGAGGAACTGACTGGGGTGGTGTCGGGGATGCTTGGCGAGTCGTCGCCGCTGGCGGTAGGAGCGGTGATCCAGGCGTTCCAGGCAGTGTGTCCGGAGAAGACAGAGCTGGTGCATGGGCATTTCCGGCGGTGGTGCGGGATGGTGGTGGATCTGGACGAGTGGGGGCAGGTGGAGCTGATCAAGCTGCTGACGCGGTATGCGCGCACGCAGTTCGAGCAGCCGCAGGACGGCAACCAGCAGCTGGATCCGGACCACATGCTGCTTCTGCGGTCGCTGCAGCCGCTGCAGCAGAGCCGCAACAGCGCAGTGGTGCTGGCGGCAGTGTCGGCGCATTACCATCTGGCGCCAACCGGGATGCTGGATGCGCTGGGCAAGCCGCTGGTGCGGCTTTTGCGCAGCAGCCGCGAGGCCGGGTATGTGGCTCTCAGCAATATTCTGCTGGTGGCGAGGCGGCGGCCGCAGGCGTTCAAGGAGCATGTGCGGAGCTTCTTCATTGCAGCTGGCGACGCGCGGTTTGCACGGCGGCTCAAGCTGCAGGTTCTCGAGGCGCTAGTGTCGCGCGACACCGTCAACACGCTGGTGCCAGAGCTGGCCAGCTACGCCAAGTCGCCGCGCGCCGACATCAGCATCGGCGCCGTGGGCGTGATCGTCGCCTGTGCGCGTGCAGTTCGCGAGACGTCGCTGGACTGCTTCCGCAGCCTTCTGCTGATGCTGGACGATGCGCGACCGGCGGTCGCCGACGCGGCAATGCAGGCGGTGGGCGTGCTGCTGTGCGACGGAACGGTACGTGATGCGCCTGCGCGGCAGGGCTCTGCGACGCTATACGACATCCTGTGCTTCCTGGCGCGCAAGCTCGAGCGGCTCACCGGGGAGGTAGCCCGTGCCACGGTGTTTGCGCTGGTGAGCCGGTTCCTGGAATCGCGGTTTGGCATGCTCCACGCGATGGATGTGCTGCGTGTGGGCGCGCGCGGGTTTGCCGGCGAGGGCGAGCTGGCGAAGGAGCAGGTGCTGCAGCTGGCAGTGCGGCTCGCAGCGAACGACAAGGCGGCAGAGCTGCGCGCGTATGTATTCACATTGGCGCGCTATGACGTGAGCTTCCGTGTGCGCGACCGGGCGCGGCTTCTGCGTGCACTGTGTCCGCTGGGCGGCGACGAGGCGCATACGGCGGAGATGCCACACGTGGCTGAGCTCTCCCATGAGCTGCTGGGTCTGCAGGCGCTGCAGGCGCGCGGCTCAGGCAGGCTGGAGAAGTACCGCCAGCCGCAGTACACGGTAGCGTCGCTGGCGCTGGCGCTGGACCGGCCGCTGGCTGGCTACGCAGCTTTGCCCGAGTGGCCGTTGGAGAAGCCGGCAAAGGCCGATCGCGGCCCGCCGGGCGATGTAGTGAGTAGCCGGGCGCCAGCGGCTATTGCCATTGCGGGGCTGAGTGGGCGTGCGCGGCCGGCGCAGCAGGGCAGCGAGTATGCGACGCCGCGGAGTGTGGCCGACGATGACCTGGATGCGTTCCTGAACTCCGACTCGGACTCTGTGGGCGGGGCGCGCGTGGGCTTTGTGCATTCCACGCGCAGTCTACAGCGGACGGCGGTTGTGTTGCGACAGGCGGAGATTCACTCGGATGATGATTCGTCAGAGGAGTCGTCATCGGATGAGTCATCGGATGAAGACGATGAGCCTGGGATGGAGTCCTCTGAAGAGTCTGAATCCGAGTCCGAGTCTGGGTCCGAGGGCGGAACAGAGGACGGAGCAGAGGACAATACAAATGAGGAGTCAGAGGAGGAGCCAACGGACGACGAGCGGGTCCCGTTCCTGCCATCCGACAACCCGTTTGCCAGCACAGGCATGCCCGATCGCCCACCAGACGACCCATCTGCATTCGACGCCCGGCCACGCAGCGGTTCGCAGACGAACCCGCTGTTCGAGGACACAACAAAGCACTGGCAGTAGAAAACGAAACAAAGACTCTTCAATTACAAAGAAATTTCCCTGACATAAACTCTATTCTATTCCTCCAGCCCGAGACTGCGCCCTGCCGCTCCGCGGGCCTGATCCACCCACCGCTGGCTGCGCGTGCGCTCGACCTCCAGCCGATACTTTTCGCCAAACTCCTTGTCAGCAAACACACTCTGGCGCGCCTTCTCCTCCCGCCGCCACAGCGCCGCCAGCCGATCGCGCAATGGCGTGTCCAGCATCACTGCGGTCTCCAGCATCGTGTGGTTCTTGGTCAGCGCCAGGACGCCTGCCAGTTCCTTATTGCACTCGCGCAGCAGCTGCACGTCGGTCTCACGGCCCGCCATCACCAGATCCATGGCCAGGAATACCAGACAGCAGAGACCCAGCAGCAGAAGCCGCGTATACGTAGCCGCGTCATGGTAGAACTCCGACGCCGCGTAGCCGTCTGGGCTCAGCAGCAGCGCGCCGTCTGCCCCCGACAGCAATGCATATAGATCGGCAGCCCACAGAACGCCGGCGAGCGTCACCGCCCACACACGCCATGCCGGTCGCGACGGCGCCCGCCTGGTGGCCATCACCGGTAGGGTCGCAGCCCCTGCCACCGCCAGCACCGGCAGATACGCCGCCAGCTGCAGTGCCACCGCCCTTACCACATGCATGGCATCCGGAACACCGGCCAGCACGCCATGCCCGGCCGTCTCTAATACGTCCATGCCGCGCTCGCCAAACGCCCCGGCCTCCAGATACACAGACTGGCCCATCCGTGCATACAATATCCGGTCACTGTCGAAGCGGCAGAACCGGTCCACCAGAAAGTCCCACTGCCCGTACTGGCTGCTCTGGTAGTACGGGAGCCGCGCAAAGTCGCTGCGTGCTTTCTGCTGCTGCGTCGGTATGCCCGTGTCTGGCACTGTCCAAGGGCGCTGCTGCGCCAGGTGGCCTAGCCGCTTCCGCAGAACATAGCACGGCGTCCGTGATGTCACCCCGAGCTCCTTGAAGATGTTTGGAGGCCGCATATACACTGCCGTGTACAGGTAGAGTGCTCCTGTTAATAGCAGGCTGCTGTAAACAACGTAGTCAGTGAGCGTCCGCCTGCGGTCCCGCACCAGCCCGCCACCCCGGCTGCCCCGGCCGCCAAAGTATCGCAGGAGCAACACCGGCACTAGCAGGTACAGCAGATACTCTAACATGTTCCATGTCAGCATTTTTGCGTGTCAATCGAGGCGAAAGAAAATTCAATTTTTTTAAATAGAGAAATCCAAGCTGAAAAAAAACTGAAGCCCACTTTCCCGGCTTGGGCAATTACTGCTCTTAACTGTCCCACAAAGCCCTGCAGACCGCCCTTTCGCTCACAATGCAGACCGAGTGCGCACACAGGGTCCGAAAAGTGGGTAATTTATTACCACCAGTTTCGCACATCTCTTGTACTTCAAATGGCCGTCCCACTCAAGCCCGGCCAGCAGCTCACACCCATCAACGCATTCCGCCCGTCCATGCGCGGCTTCGACTGCGAGGTGATCGTCCTCGAGACAGGTAAAAAAACCCCCACCCACCGCATACCTTCTCTCGCCTCCTTTTTGCACACAGCCTAACGTATTCTACCAGTAGCCGTGCCAACAACAACACGCGACGGCCAGACCATCCACTCCTTCATCGTGGCCGACCGCACCGCCAGCGTAATGATGAACATCTGGGGCGACGACGGCAAGCACATCCGCAACGGCGACATCCTGCGCCTGGAGGGCGCCGAGGCCAAGCTCTTCAAGGGCTTCCTGCAGCTCACCACCACGCGCTACGGCAAGATCCGCCGCGTCGGCGAAGACACCATGGTGTTCCAGGAGTCGCCCAATATCAGCAAGATGCTGTGGGTCACCGAGGAGGAGTCGCGCGCCATGGCGCCCAAGGAGGAAGGCCAGTGCTAGTTATTCTTGGTGAAAAGTCCTAATGTAGCCCTTTGCTTTCCTTGCTCCCACCAAGTCCTCTGTGAGCTCGTCGTCAAACAGCTCCCTGCTGCACATGCTCACCAGAGCCAGCATTCGGCTCTGGCTGACCCCCGCCAGCATCGCGCACCGCCCTATTACCAGCCCCAGCACCGCTACCGCGTACCCGGGCTGCAGCGGATAGGGGTACCAGGCAATCAGCTGCCCGCTCTCCAGCCCCGCCCGGCTCTCCAGCGGCTGCGCCAGTCCGCCGAACTGCCGCATGCGGGTGCCGCTGTGGCCCGTGCCAGTGCAAGGCATGCGGATCGGCGTCAGCCGCTTCTCCAGCTCCGCCATCTGCTCATCTGCTACTGCCGTCTCCCGTCCGGCAGCACTGCCAACCCCCAAGGTGTCCAGCAAGTGCTGGTATTTGCGCCCCAGCTCGCGGTACTTTACGTCCGTTATCGATACCGCCGCCCGAGTCGACATGCGCCGCGAATACTCAATGTACGCCTCCAGCCGCTCCTCATCCAGCGTGGCCAGCGCCGGATACACGCTAACTGCCGCCTCGCGCTCCCAGTCCCCACACCACCGGTCCAGGAACTCCTGCAGCGCTGGGAGCCCGCATGCAAACTCTGCCGTGTCTGGGCTCGCCACACGCTCCACCTCGTCCAACCCGTAGTGCAGCTGCAGCGCAAGAACAATCGCTGCCAGCACCCTCTCAGTCGCCAACGTGCGGTCCCTCTTGGGTGCCGCAATATTGATGTTTGCTGCCTCGACGATCCGCATGACGACCGGGTAGAACTGCAGGCTGATGTTCAGCCGCTTCAGCAACGACAGCACCAGGATCGGCGGCTCCACTGCCGAAAACTCTATGCCGTAATGCCGCCCGTAGAAGTTCTCAAACGCCATCATCAGCGACCGCAGCTGCTTGTGCCCGAGCGCCGATCCACAGACGAACGTTAGGCAAACAGACTTTCCCATGCGCTCCCGGAACGCCTCCGGAAGCAGCCCATGCACGTTCCCATATGGAATCGACTCGTCGCTTGTCAGCCGGATCATGTCGCCCACCGAGAACGGGTACCGCAGCCACGCGAACCCCAGGCTGATTATCGCTGGCAGGTACGCCAGGTGCATGCCATGCTCAAGCTCGCCCTCATACCCCTTCCCCAGACTCCGCTTCGTGCGCCACTCTGACCCTTTCCTCTCAGAGCCACTCTCTAGCCCCGCTTTCTGGGTGCCTTCCTCATGCCCCGTCCACCCGTGCCGCTCCTCCCACGCTGCCATCTCCTCCTCGTCTCGCACGATATCCTCATCGACATTGCGCAGAAATGTATCAAGCGAGTCGTCCTGCGTCTGCGTATATTGCCGGAACAGCGAATCGGCCGTTACCCGCTCGTCATTGTCCGCCTGGCCACCCTCGCCCATTGCATCCTCCAGCTCCTCGTCCTCCACCTGGTAGACCGGCAACCGCATGTTTTCGATCTTGGATACGTACATGAGCCATAGATTCTGCACCACACCGATTAGCGCTTCGGGCGCCCCCAGATCGTGTACCAGAGCGTGCAACTGCCGCTTCAGGATCAGCTGGTATGACTGCAGAATCAGAAACCGCGTGTCGTCACCGTACAGCCGATTTAGCTGCCGCAGCTTCCACTTGCCTATAGATCGCACCCCGTTCGTCTGTCGCTTGCGCGTCCCTGCAACAAAATCCTCAGCTGCCTCAACTACCACGCCCTCCTGCATGTGTCCGTACTTGCATGCCATACGCCCGTCCGCCCGCACCGCCATCTTTTTGGTCCCGCATACCGCGCAACGCCGCTTGCTGGAACGCAAGGTACCGCTGTGTTGGGAAAACATGCAATAATAACTGTACAGTTGCCTTGTGGAATGTGCAAAATGCAAAGCCAGGAGACGGGAGAAAAAATACCAATGGTTGCTGCTGCCTCAGCCAAAAAATGGAGGCTTAATTCTCTGATCTGGCAATTGTAATTGGCGTGTTTTTTTCGCGCAGCCATTGCTTTAGGCCCAGATATGAACCTGTGGAATATGGACAAGCACAATATGCGAAGCCCACACCTTCGCATGTGTTGCCGTCCAGCTAGCCTCTACTTCAATGCGCTAATGAACTACTAGTATGGCCAGCAAGCGCTGAGTGGTGACTGGTCCATTCCGTGCCTTGCAATGTGGCAAGCCCCCTGCGTTGATTGTGTATTGCTGAGGTAGCGCATGTGCAGCTAATATAGATGTCCACGCTGGGTCAGTATTGCTGCACTTTAATAGCTACCTCGTAAAAAGGTCGCTGTTGCTACGCCTACCCTGTTTCGTCATCAAGAGACAAGGTGCGTATCCCGATCGGCTCAGCTCATCGGCGAGCCGTGATTTCCACACACCATTGCTGCTGCCTACCTTCGCATTTCAGAGCACAGGGCGTTCCCGACCTTGTGCACTCGTTACGTTCTTTTCTTAATACCATCTTCCATACATCATATAAATCCAATGAGCGAGTACGTTGTGTCGACGCGCGCCTACGCCAAGGCCATCTTGCACTGCGCGAAATTCCCCTCGGAGACCGTGCATGGCCTGCTGCTGACCGAGAAGAAGGACGGCAAAATTCGAATCGTAGATGCAGTCCCGGTGTCTCACAACTGGACGCAGCTGACGCCCATGTTCGATGTGGCTCTGCAGCAGGTGCGGATCTACGCCAAGTCGCAGCAGCTGGCCGTGGGTGGCTACTACGTGGCATACGAGGACCCCACCGACGTGCAGCTGTCGGCATCGGGCGCGCTCTTGGCCAAGGCCGTGGTGTCTGCGAACGAGGACGCCGTTGCCTTTGTGATTGACGCGAAGAACCTGTCGCCAGAGGCAAGCAAGGCTGCGTTTGTGCCGTTTGTGTACTCGGAAGCCCAATGGAAGGAGCAGTCGGGGGCGTTTGGCGATACTGTGGTTAAGGGGAGCAAGGGCGCGAGCTTTGTGCTGGAGAACATGCAGGTGCTTGCTACCACGAAGAAGCTGGTTGCGGAGCGCGCCGAGATCGGCCTGGTCGACTTTGACGAGCATATGGACAATGTTACGCTTGACTGGATCCAGAACGCGACGCTCAATGAGCGGATCCGGACGGCATAGGGGGTTTCTTTGTTTTTCTTCGATAATCAATTCTGGCGGTTCTCTAGTGCACGGTGCTCTGGCGACAGAGCCTGGTGTCGTCCAGGCCTGCCCTGATCGGCAGCCATGCCAGCAGGGACCGACCGTGTGAGTCACTACCCAGTGGTACCAATTGTTTTTGCTCATGCCTTGCGTTGAGCCCAAGAATGGGCACTATAATCGTGGGGCAGGTTGCGTCGTATGCCGAAGCAACTCGCATCTCTCCTCCGCTGACTATATTTCTGTCTCTTATCTTCCAGCAAACCTTTGCATATATAGCTTACAAATGGATCTCGACAAAGCCCGTTCCCAGATCTCAGAGGTGGATCGCAAGTTGGTCGATCTGCTGAACGAGCGCGCGCGTCTGTCGCTGAACGTGGGCGCAGCCAAGCGCCAGAATCTGAAGGAGCAGGGGGAAGGAGGGCGAGCCCGAGGTGTATGTCCCCGGCCAGGAGAAGCGCGTATTCGAGAAGGTGCGCGGGCTGAACCAGGGCCCGCTATCGGGCGAGTCCGTGTGCGCCATCTACCGCGAGATCATGTCGGCGTCGATTTCCCTGCAGTCAGGACGTGACAGTTGGATACCTTGGCCCACCGGGCACGTTCTCCCACCAGGCGGCTATGAAGCGCTTCGGTGACAGTCTGGCGTACGTGCCATATGGCAAAATCGAGGACCGTTATTGGTGCTGTGGCCAAGGAGGAGATCACCTACGGCCTGGTGCCGATTGAGAACTCGACCTTTGGCGCGGTGGTGCAGACCTCTCGACGCGTTTGTTGGCCAGCCCTCAGTCAGGATCCGTGCCGAAGTCTACTTGCCCGTGACCCAGGCGCTGCTGTCGCGGTACCAGCTGCCAGCAATCCGCAAGGTGTACTCACATCCACAGGCGTTCGGCCAGACCCGCGTGTGGCTGGACCAGAATCTGCCGAATGCTGCCCGGGTTGAAGTTGCGTCGACGGCCAAGGCGGCGGAGCTGGCGGCTGCAGAGAACTACACGGCGGCTGTATCGAGCGAGGTGTGTGCGTCCCTGTACCACCTGGACGTGGTTGCTAAGGACATCACCACCAACAAGAGCAACGTGACCAGGTTCTTTGTGCTGGGCCAGTCGTCGGACAACCCGACTGGCGATGACAAGACGCTGCTGATGTTCACTGTGGACCACCGGGAGCCGGGCGCGCTGATGCAGTGCACTGAACGTGTTTGGCAAGCACAAGATCAATCAGACAGCCATCAACTCGCGCCCGTCGGGCCAGCGCCAATGGCATTATATGTTCTTCGTTGAGATCATCGGGCCACGAGCAGGATGCCAATGTTGCCAGCGCGCTGGACGAGATCAAGTCGTACTGCCTGGACTTGGTCGTCCTCGGCTCGTATCCACGCCAGTCGTACTAACTGTTTCATTTTGATGTTTCTAAGACGTCCTTGCTACAGCTACATATGACGGGCTTGCGTTGTCGTACTCTTCGACAAACAGCGTCTTCATAAACTTGTGCATGTACTTTAAGATGTCGCCCAGATGCTCCTTCAGCAGCGCAACCGCGTCGTCGTCTATGTTTGCATGAGCAACCATCCCCGGTAGCTGCACAAACAGCCGCAGCAGGTGCTCGGATCCGTATATCTCGGACATGGGCTTCTCGGGGAACTTCTCCCTGATTTGCTGGTACTGGAACCGCTCGAACCGGTAAAGCAGGATGTTGCCCAGCGCCTTGTCAAAGTAGATCCTGAGCCCATCGATGATTTCGTCAACGATCTCGTCGTCACGCTTGCCGCTCTTCTTCTTGTCCCTCGACGTTCTGCGATGCTCCTGGTACTGAGCCAGCATCTGTGCGACAGTTGGCGAGCGCGGCAATGGAACCAGCAGCTTGTCCTTTGTGATCCGCTCCCAGTCGTCAACCAACTGCGACTTGAGCGCATTGGGAATCGGGATTTTAATCTCGGGCCGCTTCGCCGCCGGCTCATCGCGCTCGTCCTTGGGCTTCTCCACTGACGACTCGCGCACGCGCTTCCTGCTCCGCTGCGGCTCGCCCTCGGTCTCGGTCTTCACTGAGGACCGCGGCGTCGACACTGCTGGGGCTGCGGCCTTTTTGCGCGCAGCCGCAAGGGCGTCTTGCCGCAGAGCCTTCTGCTTGGCCAGGTTCTCTTCGTTGAACTTTAGTGCCCGTGTCTCGTCTACCCACTCGTCCCATGTCTGCTTCCAGCCCTTGTAGTGCACAAAGTAGTGAGGGCCGGGGTCGGGCGCGTCCGGGTCGGTGCCGTCCCAGAGCTCGGCTTTGAGGACCTTTGCCTCATATAGAAGCGGCCCGTGGAAGCACAGGACGCGCTCGTTTGGCTTGAACGCAAGCCCACTGTTGTCTGCTGCTGTGCCGCTCTTTTCAGTCATTTGGATGTGGACAGAGAAAATAGTGAATTTAATATGAAATTTCGCAGGAGCCAAGAAAAATGGAAACTATTTTGCCCTTTGGCTCAATCGGCCGTGCTTTAGGGGTCGTTCAGGCAACTGGTGCTCGTATTGCATGCCTCATCGCTGCTGCTGCCGCTGCCTTGATGGCTGGCGTCCACATATGCCAGCATTGCCAGAGGCGGCGAGTCTGGCTCTGCTTTATTCGCCATTGCGGTGCGGGCCCACTAACTACATCGCGGATTGTAGACAAACTCCGCCTGCGCTTGGTGATCGAGCGCTGTATGCCAGCATCCGGTTTGCCCGGGGGCCGACGAGCAGGTAGCGGAAGACCCTGGACGCTGCTGTAAGCGCTAGTCGGCGACTCGACAGACAGCACTCTTTTATTAGGCCAGGCGAACAAGGTCATGTGGATACACGCCAAAAACGTGTGATGTGCCAGGCGGCCCGGCCATGCGCAGAAGACGTGACCAGCCTTCAGTCACGCCGGTAGCGCATGCAGCACTTGCTGTGCACACGAAGCTTCTGGAGAGATGCCAAGGTGCTCTTGTCGTGTCCCTCGATTGTGGTGGGCTTCAGTTGTCATGAATAGCTGTGTGTATTTGCTTGGGCACGGTTGCCATCGAGCAGTACGACGAGCCGTTATTGTGCGGGGGCGCCACTGTCTATCACCAATGTAGCACCTGACGTGTGCGGGGACAAGTAGAAGAGTAGATTGAAGCGCAGTCACTAAATGCAAATGAGATCAAGTCGGAAATGCGAGCAAGTAGCACAGTAGACACTTTGCTCGCATTGTCTCCCGCTCGTCCTTGTCACATACGGGCTGGGGGAGACAAGATGCCACGCAGCTGATATATAGCAAGCATGTCAGCAGCCTGATGGTACGCAAGGTAGATTTATTGGAATGCTAGTGGGTTAGAGCTTGCCGCCGCTCAGGTTCTTGAACGACGGGGTCAGGTCAACCAGGACCGACTCGATCGGCGCCTCCTCGCAATCGTGCAGTGGGACCTTGTTTTCCCACACGAGCACCAGGAAGTCGACGCGCTGGCCAATGCAAACCATGGGGCTGTGCCATGAGTTGGCCTTGTAGTTGATGCCCTGGGTCGAGCTCGCAGCGAACGCACGCACAGTGTTGAGCAGGGGCTTGTCATCAGGGCCGTTCTCGGCGACAATGACCAGGTAGCTGGGCTCGTCGGGGTTGATGCTGCTGTTGCCGGCCTGCATGATCGGCATGAACACCTGGGAGCTGTACGGGTGGCGCTCCAGCAGCTTGACCTCGAAGCGGCCGCCGATGGTGGGGCGCGGCGACGAGCTGAAGATGCACATGTTGGGCTTGCCATTGGGGATGGCCGGGGCGGTGCCCTCGCGCAGGTTCTCGAGCTTGGCCACGTAGTTGACACGCTTGGCGGTGCCCTGGTTGGCAATGATAATGTTGGAATTGCCCTCGAGCTGGATGACATCGCCGTACGGCTTGAAGTTGTCGATGGCGAGGGGCTCGATAGTGATCTGGTGGACCATTGCGATCTTTTTTGGGTTACAAGTACAGGTGTTTAAGGACGAAGGGAAAACAGGGCTGCTGTGTGGTTGTCAAGAGATGAGATGCGTGGGCGGCCAGACCGCCGCTGTTTTATAACTGACGGGCCAAAGCCGGCCACCCGGTCTTGAGCGCACTGTGCTCCCGACTCGCTGAAAACGCGCGAATTGACATGGCCAAAGAGGAGCAGCTTTTGCCCAGCCTATGCTTTTCTTTCCACTGTCTGCCCGACTGTATCCGACCAGGTCTGCCACTGTACCAGCGCAATGCGTCCTTGGATCTACCCGCGCGTATTTCCTCTCCACCCCACCCCACCCTGCCCGCACCAAATGAAGCAGCATCCGTGCACCGGCCACCAAACTGGACATTTAGCAGCAAATGGCGATGGGCGGCAAATTTCCGACCTTTCAAATAATTAGCGAGACGGATGTTACGAAAGAGCTTCAGGTACCCACCGCGCATTTCCATCGATGGAACCGCGATGCTATCTCCTACTGGGCGATGGGCTAACAATGAGCGGCGGTATCCTGGGCATGCCAGGGGTCGCCTGGCTCTTCTTGATCATCGCGCTGCAGGCGAGCCAATTCGGACTTTGGGGAAATGAAAAATGCATATCTGGAAAAGCAGTCCGCAGCCATCGCCGGTTCCTGAGAGCCGTGTCACAGGCGTGTAAGCACGGCCCGGCCGCATTGCTGTCCGCGTGTGTTTTGTGCGATCACGCCTCCCGCACTCTGGCCCAGACCTAAGGTTTGGCTTTTTTGACCCCGGATCGTCGCCACATGCCTGCCTGTTCGTGCCCACCTTGATCGACTAATAGCCCACGCCCCCGCGCACACTCATCGCACAATCGGCCTGCCAGGCAAGCCGACAAACAAGGTTGTGCGAACACGTCGCGCCGCAGCCCACCTCCCCCGGCAAGTACGCGCGTGGATAAATATAGAAGGTGGACAAAGGAGCCAAGTGCCGTCAATTTCCGAATTGGGAACGTGAATCACTCCGAATCTCCCAGCCAATCGGCAGTGGCCAGGACACGCGGCGGGGACATCCCGTGATCGGGCGCAGCCAATGGCAGCGGCGCCAAGCGCCCGAAAGAAAACGTCCACCCCAACGCTGACCGCAATTTTTTCCTTCTTCCTCTGGGGGCGCGAAAAACCCATGCACCAGCCCACTCATCCTCTTTCTCCTCTACTTTTTTCTTTTTCCCTCAGATTTTATTACTCTTTTTGGGCGAAAAGAGTACAATATTTTCTTTCCCGCTTTTAAATTTTTATCCCGTTGTTTTTTTTTCTCTCCACCATATTTTTCTGTTGACCCCATTTTGCTTGTGATATACTTGTCAAGAAAAAAGTCCCGGCCGTTGGAATAAAATGTGAGTGTTGAGATTCTTGGTATCGCCGATTGAATGTGGCCCGCTGGATCTCGCGCGATATTGTCCCATGCCTCTTTGATTGCCCTCCCCTTGAACTCTATCAATCCGGTTCCAAACAAAATGCTCCCTGGGACCGGACCTTTTTCGCGATCATATTGCTAATTTCGCCACTGTCCTCTTTTATAGTGCTTGACCGCTGCTACAGCCACCCCCACTTCCCTTACAACCAGCAAATCTTCTCCTGAACCATGTTCTTCCGGAACTACAACTCGAACGTCTTTGGCACTGCGCCCGGCACTCCCTCCGACGAGTGGTGCATCACCACGCTGCGCACCATGAGCGCAAAGTACGACCACCTGTCGGAGTCGCGCAAGGTCAAGCCGGCGCTGGCCGAGGCTGTGCTCAACAGCTTCAAGGCAAAGCTGTCGGCGCTGTATCGCGAGCACCCGCTCTACGATACCGACGATAGCAGCGAGGGTGAGGCCGAATGGCCCATCGTCGGCGACTACTCGCAGTACATGGACCTCAAGTCGAACAATCCTGTCTGCTGTCGACGGCCAAGACATCCTCGACAGCACACCATTCGACGAGAGCATCCTTGCCGCCAACCCCGTCGACTGAAATCACCGCCGGCCTACCGCTGGACGGCGAGGAAGGTGGCCCTCATGTCGCCCTCGCCGTCGCCGACGGGGTCTGGCGACAGCGCGTACCCGGACCTGTGCAGCAGCGAGGGCAAGGTCGTTTCCGACGAGGAGGTTAAGGCCACCTCCAAGGGAATCGATGAGGCTCTCCGCCGCATCCTGTCCAGCACGAGCAGGGAGCTGCTGAGCATGAACTTCTCGACGTTCCCGACCAGCGCCACGGCTTCTGCGGAGCAGGTCTCGACAGCCACCACCGTCAGCGCCCTATGCCGCAGCAGGAGTTGTCCGACGAGGACGACCAGGACCAGGCGTTTGCCGACTCGGGCCACTGCTCGCCCAGCTCGCCCCCCGAGTCCGCCGATGATTTTGGCTCAGCAGCCGAGTCCTTTGACATGTATGTCGAGGACTGCGCCCAGCTGGCCGTCGCATCAGACGCCAAGGCTGACGCGCCAGAGGCCTCATCGGCCGCGAAGCGCAAGCGCGACGACGCTGCTGACGAGGACGAGGACGGCAACAAGTCTGTCCTTGTCCGAGGCTGCGCCGTGCGGTCGCGCCATTCTGGTGGCCAGCCCGCGTAAGCGCGCGCGCTCGGCGACGGCCAGCGACGACAACAGCGTCCTGGCGATTGCCATTCCGGCCACTGGTGAAGGAGAAGTAAACAACTTGCATTCCGCCCTGCATCATTCTTTCCTCTGCAACACCCTCTTTCCGCATTCTCTCTTTTTTTTTTTTCCTCCATTTCCGGCGCGCTCGCACACGTTCTTTAGGCAACACCCGTGTGCGCTGCGGAAGCGGCAACGGGAGCAACACCTCCGCACTCACCACAGCGCAGCACACGCGTGGCTCAAACAGCGCCACTCCACGCGTACTGCGGTGATGACGCGGGGTAGAGACTGGTGCCGCCAAAACAACACCTAGACAATTCGTGTCGTGGGCGTCCCCCACAACACCCGCTGGCAACCACGTCCAACCTGCTGCCCTAGCGCCCGCTCTTGCCGGGCCCTGCAATACCCACAAAAATGGCGCCAAGCCTTCTGTTTCGTCTTTTGCGAGGTGTCTCTGAGAAGCGGCACCACCAACCAGTTCCTTTCTCCCTCTGCACGCAGCCCCGACTGCGCACCTGAGACGAGGAACGCCTGCTGTATCCAACTTTAATTTCCCTCCTATTTTCCTAGCTGTACAATAAAAAAATCACCCATTCAATTACAAGGTTTATTTTTGCCAGCCTTTGTGCGTGTATTATTTTTGTTCGCTCATTCCTTTTCGAACGGATCCTCGATGCGGCGGAAGCACGCCAGGTACTTGTTGCCCTTGTTCCGCGCGACCTTCTTGCCCTCTTCGGTGCTGTTGCACACGCAGGGAACCGCCGGGTCGTCCTTGAGCTCCTCCTCGGGGATGCGCTCAAACAGCTCGTGCTTCTCCATGTGCTCTTCGTTCCAGTCAAACAGGTCCTTGACATCGGTGATCATGTAGATGATGCCTCCAGGCCTCAGCACATACGCGTACTCGGCCAGCATGGTGGTCGAGATGATGCGCGCCTTGTGCTTGCGCTTCTTGAAGTGCGGATCGGCAAACAGGATGAACAGCTTTCGACAGCTGGCCCTTGCGGAAGAAGTTGGGCAGGTACTTTTGGCAGTTCATGCGCATGGCTGCGATGTTCTCATAGTGGCCAGGCACCAGCCGATCAATCTCGCCGTTGTCATGCAGCTCCTCGGCGCCGGCCTCCAGGGGCGTTTCCAGGCTCGGCGATCTCCTTGTTCAGCTTTGAGCGCACGTCCACCCACTCGACATGCTCGCCGCGCTGCGACTTGTCCAAGAGCGCATGCTGGAACCCACGCAGAGCCTCGACGCGCTGCTGCAGGTAGTTTGCGACCTTGGTGCGGATCTCCATGCCCACCATCAGTGTGTTCGGGTACAGCGGCGCCAGAGCCACCAGAAGCCCGCCGTAGCCGCACCCAATATCGGCAAACTCCACCTGCGCCAGCTGGTCCTTGCTCAGCTCGCCTGCGCCCGGACCGCGCTTGGCCAGCTGGCTGCTCTTCGGGAGCCGGGCTGCTGGGCCGCTTGTTTTCGCCAAGAGTGTCGGTGGTCGGCGCGCGGAAGTACGCTGGGTAGAGCTTCGACCAGTCCTCGTCATTGGGTGTGAGCGGGTAGTCGAGCCGAATGTCGTTGAAAATGTTCACGTGTGCACGCTGCCGGAAGTACCGCTTCTGCGGGAGCTTGGGCTGGTTGCTATCTGCCATGGTCTGGTCCGCCATGTCAAGGGAAAACGTCAAATTGGAGGTGCTGAAAGAGAGAAAGACGAGGCAATGGCCGGAAGGAGATCGTGACAACTAACTTTTTCTATCTGATCACCAGATCGATCACCACATGCGGATCAGTGCTGTGTCTGCATGTGTAGATGTTATGTAGTTGGCCACACATCGCACAGAGGATATTAGAATAGCCCGTGGGCTTGAGGGGGATGTCTTAATAAACCATGGGCCGTCGGGAGAGGGCCGAAACAGAAATAGTCAAATTAAAACTGAAGCGTGACTAGGCAGCGTCTAAAAGGCAGCACTCACAGCCACGGCATCCACAAAAAGTCCATCTTTGCCAGGTTAGTCGGGTCAACAGCCTGCATGAACAGCTGGATCAGCGGCTGCATCGGGGAAGCGCCAAGCTCGTGCACCTTCTCTGGTGGCAGGATCTCAACAAGCTGCTTCACACGATGTGTGATCAGCTGAACATTGCGCTCGCACATCTCAACCAGTGCTTGCGGGTTGCTGGCCGCTAACGCCTTGACGGTAGGCATGTGCAAAAGTTCGTCGGTGACATACAGATCAAGGAAGTCGCGCAGCAGGTACTCCTCGCTGGCAAATCGATCAGCAACCTTGTGCACAGCAAACGGCAGGATGCCCTCGAGCCCAAGTTCGGTGACAAACGCCTGGATGTTGGGCGTCAGGCGGAACGGCACCGGGCTCCTTGCTGTGGATCAGACCCGGCGATGCCTGTGTCGGCACCAGGTCTGTCAGGCAGACACTGCCGTCGTCGCGCGAAATAGTCAGCTTGGCAGGTGCCCGCTGTGTGCTGGCAATTATGTACGTCAGCGCCATGCTGACTGACACCTGGAACGAGAACGACTCGCGGTACAGCCAGTATGCCATCGGCGAGCTCGAGTGAGCGCGCACATTGTCAGAGAGCAGCGTTGAGGGCACAAAGCGCTGGCAGATCTGTTCAAACAGCACCCGGTTGGCATCCTCAGCACTGGGCACTTGTCCGGCCACCTCACGCATCTTGTCGACAAAGTACAGGACCTGGCTCCAGCCCAGAGCTCCCGTTGCGCTCACACGCTTCGTCGTACACATCCTGCAGCGTAAATGACTGCGGCTGTTCCTGAACCAGTCGGATATGCGGCGCCAATGAGACAATGGTAGGCAGGTGTAGTGCCAGCCGGCGCTGCTCGCACACATCGCGCTCCTCCTCACAGGCACGGTCCAAGTTCCGATACAGCTGCACCCAGCGCTCCTCCTGATGGTTGTGCTTGGATGTCGACTGCTGCACGGCGAAATGCGCAATGCTGCCGTCGGTGCCGCGGATGGCCAGGCGACGCGAGACATTGCTGGTGCCCAGCGTGATCGTCAGCTGCGGCATGAACCGCTCGATCCGCACAAACTCATCGTTGTTGTCGGTCAGCATTAGGTACTGGCCGGGAACCTCGACGTCCTCAAACTTTTGCTGCTCAAATTCAACCAAGAACGGGCTGAAGTGGCTGAGCATCTGGTGGCTCGGTCCGCTTGCGGATCGCGGTCCGAAGAACAGTCCTGCCAGCTGTACAGCCGGGTGACGTAGGTGCGCAGGTCCATCTCGTGCACCTTGCCAAAGTCCTTCTCAAAGTGTGTCTTGATGACACCCGACGGCAGGCTGCGAGCAACACGGCAAGTGTTGGAGACAATGGTGTCTAGCAAGGTCATGTCGTAGTTGTTTTGCGACACGCGTGCGTGCAGCTGCTGCAGCCCGTCGCTAAGCAGCGCATGCACCAGACGATAAATGTCCTCTTCGGGGAACGGCTTCAGACGCTGCACAATCTGGTCGATCATGCTCTCCATCGACAGCGTCAGCAGCGGGTGCGCGGTCTTGAGCTTCGACATAAGCTCGTCAATCTTCTCTGCCAGCGTCGGCTCCTGCCGCGGGTTCGGTGTGTTGCCGTTCGTGTTGGCAGCAGACGACGAATTGCTAGCCTCCTGCACCTGCTGCTGGCGCCGCGCCAACAGGCTTTCCTCGCGAGCGGTCCTCAGCGAGTAATGCAGTGCCTGCGGGTACTGCTTGGCGATGCGCAGCAGAATCTGCAGCGACTGGCGGCTGTACTTGGCGTCCAGACCAACGAGCAGCTGCGGAATGAACGCAATCCAGTACCACGTTGGCATCTCGCTCTTGTAGTTGTCAAAGGCCGTGCACACGTTGCTGGCTTCGTCGTCTTGGCCCAGCAGCCACAGGGTGCGTGCCAGATACCGACGCACACGTGGGCGCTTCGACAGGCCCGCCGCCTGCATATAGCAGCTAATAGCGTTGACTGCCTGCGTCGTGTCGCTCAGATTCATGTTGAAGCGGTAGTCGTTGTGGCGACCCCACGCTCCCCAGGCCTTGGCTGAGGCCAGGTCAACCTGGATGCCCATGGCAAAGGCATGGTTGGCATCCTCCAGCTTGCCGAGCTTGGTCAGGAACTGGCCCTTGAGAGTGAAGAACTCGGCCTTCTGGTACTGCTGGAAGTACATCAGGTTTGTGTTGCTGATAACATCCAGGCCACTCTGCAGCTCGTCCGGCCGATCGTAGTAGCACTTGGCCTGCTCGCGCAGCTTCAGGAACGCCTCCTGGATCTCAATGTTAGGCAGTGTGTAGATGCGGGTCAAAGAGCTGATGCACACATCTATGAGCCCATGAAGGCGCGCAACGTGAGCAAACCGGTTGATGATCCACGCCATCTCGTGGTACCCGCGGTACGCAAACGATGTTAGCGTCGAGTTGGCCGGCGTGGCAGACTTGGGTGTGTCTTCCTTTGCATCGTTTTTACGGCTGCCCTTTGCATCGGCCTTGTTGCCTCCCTTCTTGTTCCCTGCTTTAGATGTCTCTTGCGTATCCTCGTTGGCTGTGCCGCCCTGCTGAGGAATGAACGGCACATAGACATCGTTGATCGCCTTGAAGATGTGCTGGCGCCAAGCGACCAGGTCGCTCCAGATGTTGATCGGGTCGCTGTTATTAGGCAGCCGCTCGCGCCACGTCTGCAGCACCGACTTGAGGTCCGTCGATTTGACCTCGAGATTCTCAGCCTTGGTGGTTGCCAGGCTGAGGTAGATGGAGCTGGCATCGCTCAATTCAACCATCAGCTGGAACATGTGCAGGATGTTGATGTGGGCGGGTGTCCCGACAGGCGGCAACTCGTTCCACTGCTGCAAGCACAGCCGGATGCCTTCCTTGCACACGCGCTGGAAGTCGGCGGTCTTTGCGCGCTCGCCTCCATTCTTGATCAGCGACAGATACGTCTCATAGAACTTGGCCCGTGCGCTGCCCAAGAATTCGGCTGGGGTTGCCTTGATGAGCTGGCGGATGTGCGGCTGGCGCTCAGGCCACGACCACAGCCGCCATCCTGCATCAAGCTCGATCTCGGGCAGCGACTCGTTGACACCCAGATCCTGCAGCATATCCCAGCTCTGCAGGCGGCGCGTCGTCTCAATCCACCGCGACTCCCACAGGCAGTACTCAGACTCCGAGAACGGTAAAACGCCAGCGCGTGCCTTTGCTTGTGCCTGCTCGTAAGATGCCTGCGCGTTAGCCCAGTCATCGAGCTGCTCGTACGCCAGGGCAATGTGCGACTCGTGGTACTGCCCATGGCGCTTCCATGCGCCGTAAAAGTAGTGGCTGGCCGACAAGGTTGTGTACAGCTCAGTCAGCGCATCGAAGGCTCCAAGCTCGACTCCCATGGCACGGTCAAAGATAGCCGACTCAATCTCCGTCCGGTCCAAGATCTTGTGCTCCAGGATCGCCAGCGACGAGTACCACGCGCCGTATGTCTGGCCAAGGTACCGCAGGAGCTGCGGTGGCAGCCGTGGCATCGGCGTACACGCAGAACACGCGTCCAAGATCGCCTGGATTACATTGGGACGAGAAGAGGTCTGTGCCTGGTGGTAGGGCTTGGCCAGGAGCCGGATGATCCCGCTGGTCAAGTCATGCTGGTCCTTGCTGCTCAGGTTATGCCAGACAAGTGGGAACAGCTTGACCCACACGCTGCAGGCAAACTGGGTGTCGAGCAGGACCATGCGAGCCAGTGGTCGCACAATAGTGCCGACAGCAAACGGAGAACCTGAAGTCTCAGTCGAAGAAATAGCGCTTCTGGTAAAGCCATTCTCAGCTACGCTGTGGTGGTTAACCACATTATCAGCCTCGTCTGTGTCCATGTCCTCTACATCGCCAGATCCATTTGCGTGAGCGACTCGGGGAGCGTCCATTGTGGAATCGCCGTCTATATCGACATCCATACGCGAATCTGCATCGACATCAATCAGCTTCGATCCTGAGCCATGGTCCGCGGTACTACCGGTCTTGTCGCCGATAATCCTGCGCATGACAAACGGCCTCAGACTCGCCTGCTGGTGAGTCGATGCAAAAAGAAGCGGCAGACATTGCTGCAGCCAGAACGTCGACGACACGCTCTCCCAGTTCTGCGTCTCCAGCAGATAGTTGAGCCGCACAGGCAGCGAAGGCGGCATATTGGCATCAAACGTATCAAGGAACCGGTGGCGCATCTCCGAGTCTTCGCTCTGCATCCCCGACAAGAAGGCCTGCTCCAGACGCATGGTCATTTCTGAGCGCGTGAACCGTGGGTCATTGTAAACCTCCAGCACCAGCGACAGGTACTTGCGCTCAAGCAGCGAGAACATGTCGACATTGCCGTTGGCGTCCAGTGCGGTACCTGTTGCCGATCTGGTAGCAGGGCTTGAAGAAGCGGTGGCAGTGGTAGCGGCGGCAGCGGCAGCAGCAGCCACTGCAGCACGTGCATTGGTGCGGCTAGTATTGTCGTTGGCCGATACTGACCCATGAACGAAGCTCATCATCGATGACATGAGCATCGCCTTCTCCTTGATCGTTGGAAACACCTCCTGGGGATCTAGCACCCACTCGCGCACAACTGCCAATACAACATGCAGCAGGCACGGGTCGCTGGACCGCTCAATAAGCTGGATGATGTACGTCAGGAAGCTGCGCCGTTGGTCACCAAGACGCGAGATGTAGTCCTTGAGTAAAAGAACCAGCATGAGCAGCGTGTCAAGAGAAGTTTCGCCACGTACCAGCCCCTCAACTGTCAGCGTCAGATTCTTGTTTGCCAGTAGTGTCGCTACGATCTCGCCTTCGGTGGTTGCAAGCTTCGGCGGGACCACGCCAGCTGCCGAGCCCCCTACTCCTGTCACTGAAGTTGCAGACGACTGCGTCGACAGGCTAGAGGGGCCGGCTGGCACTGCAGCTGCAGCACTACCGCTGTGCGTGTTGTGCTCCTTTGTGTACTTTTGCACAAACTTCATCAGCGTCGGGATGTACGAGTAGAACTGCTCGCCAATGTACTTGCCGGTCGCATGCAGGATCATCAGCGTCCCAAACAGATTGGTGTTGCTCTGCAGGTTTTCGGTAATCAGCGACTCGACAAGGGCTTTCAGATCGGCGACGATGTTGGAGCTCCCAAGACGCTCGTTCTCAGCCGCCTGCTCGTACAGCTGGCGCAGCAGTGTGGCAATGATCCGCTGCACCTGGGTGTTCTCGACAGAGATGCACTTGCGCACAACCGTCACCAGATTGCTATAGTACTCCTCAAACCACACTGGCTGCATGTGCTGTGTGACCGTCGATAGTACAGTCAGAATATGCAGCACCAGCTGGTTGTTCATGCCTTGCTGCTCGATTTGATGGATCGAGCGCTCAAAGAACGTCAGCCGCAGGTGCATCGGCGGCCACTTTGACGTATCGAGATAGCTCGACAAGAGCTCGAGGGCACGCGGTCCAAGAGTTGACTTGAGCGCAAAGTCGAACACCAGACAGAGCATGCGCAGCAGCAGACCGACGATGGTCTCGCGTCGGGCCTCTGTCATCAGCAGATCGGGCGCAGGTGGTGTGCCAGCGGCTGCTCCGCCTTGCGCTTCTGATGTGCTCGCAGCAGCTGCCGACGACGCACTGGATTCCTTCTCCTGCATAGCGTGCCATTTCAGGAACAGGTCCATTATATCAAGCGCCAGAGTGCGCGTCTCGGTCGTTGCACTATGCGTTAAACACATCTTTTGCAGGATGCCAACGAGGCTCGTCGCGAACTGCATGCGGTACGGGTAGAACATCGTGGGCTGGGCAGCAATCAGCTGATAGATATGCGTCGTATGGGCAACCGAAACACTCTGCTCAAACAGCACTCGCTTGGCCCACCGCGCCCAAGACGGGATCTCGTTCGGGTCCTGCGGAAGGCTGCTCGGATTCAGGCGCTCTGCCAAGACCGGCATAAGGATATCGAGTGCCTGGCGCACCAGTACGCGGTTTTCCACATGATGCGCCTTGAGCAGCGACGTGTAGACCTGGCTGACAATCTTGACTGGCGTCTGGAACGCAACAATGAACTGCGTTACCAGCACATACGACGCGTACTTTATCAGGATGTCGTCGTCGCGGATGAACTGCCAGCCAAACTTGATGATGTCTTTACGAGAATCGGTCACGACTACGGCAGCACTGCGGATCAGGGACGACGACAGCCGCACCATCTCTAGGCGCACCGAGTCGTTGATGTTTGGCGACATATGGTGCCCCGACGAGACCAAGGCAATCCAGACACGCTTATGGATCCACAAGAGGACATTGTCGCTTAGCAGCTCGGCGCCGCGCTGGTCAGCAGTCAGATCTGTCCTCCCCCCTTCGGTCGCTGCAATCGCCGGCAGGCTGAACACGGTCGCCACCAGTGGGTTGACCAGCCGCTGCATCAATATCGCGTTGGCATCAGCCGACGTGCTGGTGTCTCCGAGCTGGCTCATGAACGCAGTCAGGATCTCGCGACGCTTGCTAATCGGCCACTTGACAATGAGCTCGTCCCACACGTAGCGGAAGATATGGTGCGTGTCGATGATGTCAGAACTGCGACCACAGGCTTCCAGCAGCTTGAACAGCACTGCAGGTGGGTTGGACATCACGCGGGTTGCAATGAGCAGCGATGCGATGTAGTGCTCAAGGAAGCAGATCTTGGCCAGCTGGTGTGCCTGGTCGGACTGCGTCGACACAGCAGCGATAGCGTTCCACATTTCAATCACTGCCTGCAAGAGATCAGGCCGCGCCTCAATCCACTTTGGGTTCTTCTCCAGCCCAGCGTGAATCATCGTCATGATGTGCATCCCGATGACCAGGCGCTTGTACGTGGCCTCGGTCGGCACTGCTGCTGGCTTGGTCATTTGCTGTTGGCCAGGTGTCTGAGCGTCCTTGGCCGCGCCGATCGACTGCCATTGCGCTGGTGCTCTCGCTCTTGGCCTCGGCGTTTCGCGACCCCCTTCAAGACCTTGATGATATTGGGTGTGAGGCCGACAAGCGCTTCGCGCAGAGCATCGCACGTCGGGCTGCGCAGGGCATGCGCAAAGATCCGCGCATAGTGTGTGTTCTCGATCCGGCCCATGAAATACACGACCGACTCATTCGGATACCGTGTCAGGAACTTGAACAGCGGTTCACGGAACGGGCTCGACTCGCGGCGACATAGGTTGACCTCGAGGTTAACCACAGAGCTAACCAGATCGTCAAGCAAAACGTTGGCCGAGGTGGGCAGCAAGTGGAAGACCTGCAGGATGGCCACCAGGATCTTGATCTCGTGGAGGTCGTCAATTGCCTTGCTAGACGCGGCCTGCAGGAGCTGCGGGTTCGCCCACTGCTGCATATGGTCGAGCAGCTTGCGGCCGACCTCGACCTTGAAGTAGTTTGTCAGCAGCTGCAGCAGCCGGGCAAGGCCGTCGAGGCTGGCCACAGTCAGACGCTTGTAGTCAGACAGGTTGAGCAGGATTGGACGGAGACCAGCCTGCAGCAGATCCTTGGGCAGCTTTTGCTGCTGCTGGAGCACTTGGCGCAGGCCGTCGTTTGCAGCCTCTACCACATCAATGGATTTGTGGTAAAGCGATTTGAAGAACACCGAGATGATGCGTGCGCGGGTTGTGTTGTGCCGTGACTGTGAGAGCTCGGGTCTGTCCATCGCAGCAGTCAGCATGCGGATGCACACATGGCGCAGGTGGCGTCAGCGACACAGTGTTGCTGCGGATCTGTGCTGGATGGTTGACCAGCGCCTGATCCTCGGCATCGGCCAGCGCCAGGGCCTCCGACAGAAGGCGCATCAGCTCCTCGTTGATCTCCATGAACGGCGGCTCTAGCGACATGCAGTACGTGATCGCGTCGATGTTGCCGATCTGCATGTTGTGCGGCAATGCACGCAGGGGCTTGCCAAAGATAGGTACCAGCAAGCGGTCACGGCACGGCGTCAGTAGCGCAGTGATACTGCAACCAGTAACATTGACAAGGATGTCCAGGCACGCCTTAACTGTCTCGCGCACCTCTCGCGCTTGGATTTGCAAGCTCCTTGATGATGAGTGCCAGGAACGACATGACCAAGCGGCTGTTCTCAGGTGACAGGCGCGCAGCCAATGTGTTAAGCGTCTGCTGTGCCTGCTGCGCATGCAGAGCCTGGGCGGCCTGCTGCGTCTGCTGAGGGGTGATTGCTGGTGTGTTTGGCTTGGGCGCGGAGGCGTCGGGAGTCTGGTGCCGCGATGCATTCGTGTCGCTGCTGGGCTTGGAGGTAGGGACGTCCGACTTGGGCGGCTCCTGTTTGGCACCGGCATCATCTTCAAGGATCTTAGATCCACTAGCACCATCCTTGGCAGACTCGACAGGCTCAGTAGACTCGACAGGCTTGTCGGTACCGCTGGCTGCAGACTCCTCAGGCTTATCTGTCATAGTGTCGTCACTGATGGCCTTCTGGTCCTTCTTCTCGTCCTTCTCTCGTCCTCCTGATTTTTCTTCGAGTCACCCTCTTCCATCTTGACGTCCTCCACTGGTTTCTCCACATCCATGGCTGCCTCGTCAGGCTTGGGCTTTTCTGTGTCCTCAGGTGCATCGCTATCGGTACCTTTGTCGGCTTCCTTTGGTGATTCCTTGGCAGCCTCAGCGGGGTGGTCACCGTCAGCTGCAGCCTCAGACTCTGGCTGCTTACCATCCGCCTCAGCTTCCATAGGCTCAGAATTGACTGCAGGCGCAGAGACTGGCTCTGGCTGCAGCGGTGGGTCGGGTATCGGGAACGCCTTCTGGACAATTTCTAGGATGGTTTCGCGCGAGCTGATCGGCGTGTTGTCATAGAGCGCGTTCGTGTGCGTGTCCTTCAGCGTGAACAGCAGCGCCTTGCTTAGCTCAATCAGGTTATCTGTCAGCCAGTGCGGGCCAAGATCGAGCTCTTTGACAATAAACGCAATGCCCTGTGCATCCGCTCCTCTTTGTGTGGGCACTGGGGCTGTAGCACGCTGCGCACATCTCCGACACAATCCGGCGCATGGCAGGCAATTGGCCAACTAATGAGACCTTATCAGACAGTGACTCGCGCAGCGATCTGTAAAAGGAGCGCAGCATGCGGCAGCCGATTTCACGCAGCGACTCGGATTCTGCGACCAAGGCCAATGCAATCGCCTCAGGGACGACGTCGCCCAGCGAGCAATGTGAGAGACTAGTCGAGCAGGACGGCGGGGACGGCTGGCTAGCTGGCTTGGCGGTTTCCACACTATGGATAATGTGCTGTAAGGCGCCCAGCGATGTCACGGTCTTCAGCAGCTCTGTGGCTTCTTCGCTGTGAGCTGTAGCAAGACTCAGGGACCAGATGATACGCAGCAAGCCGTTCTTGTTGAGTGGGGTCGCACTAGGCTGAGCCCGTCAGCGACGCCAGACTCGGCTCAGTCATAGCGGAACCGCTTGCCCTGCTCTCGGAGTTGCCGATTGCAGGACTGCTCAGGATGGTGCGCTCCAATATTTGGCTTCCCTGCAGGCTTGGGGACGAGATGTTGGCCAGGCGCTTCAGCGACATTGGGTTCGAGTAAAGCTCGCAAAGACGCCTACCATGCTGCGGAGCTTCGGCCAGCACATCCGCGACATTTCCCTTTCCGACAAACGGCAAGACTAGCGCATACTGGGCACACGACACAACGAACTCTACAGCATCCTTGCGGGCCAGATTCATCTGCTTCGCTGGCACACGATCCTTCGAGAATCTTTGCCGAGAACACGATCGCATCTGCTAGCGGCATCTCGATGAGCCCAGGCAGACCCTCGAACGTCAGCGGGACCGAGAACTGGTCTTCGCTAGATGCCATCTGCTCGTTCGGGTCCTTGGGGAACCTAGTTAGCAGCATGTGGCGGTTGCGGCCACCAAGCTTACCGAGAATCCGCGCCGCCACTGGTGCGTGCGTCGACGCGCTGGACGGCAAGCGCAGGTGCAGCCACAGTGACGACATGATCTCGCTCATGACGGGCATCAGGATCGGATCGAGGAACTCGCGTGTCAGGTTGTCAATGCACAGCTCAAGCGTGCGCAGGCCCTGGCTAACAAGCTCAGGGCCGGACTCGAGCGCATATACCAGGGGCTTCATCAGCAATGACAGGTATGGCAGGAGCACGCTGAGACGAACCGGTACGGTAAGGCAGATCTCCACAAACAGCTCCTGCATCGGCGACGCCTGCTTTGTAAACCCAAGCGCGTTGTTCAGAGTCTCGAGGAGGTTCTGGAGAATCGGGAACACCTCCTTGTATAGGGATTCGTAGCGGCCGCCGCCGATGCTGCGAAACAGCGCGCGTAGCAGCAAGAAGTAGTTCTCGGGCTTCTTGGTCGTCTTTGAGATCGTCAGCACCGATTTGATGATCTGCTGCACATATGGCTGCAGCACAGGCTCGTTGGCTTCGGGGAAGAATGTCAGCGCCAGGAAGGCAATCTTGAACAGGTGCAGCATGGTGCTCGTCAGTGCTTCATCGTCGGAGCCCAGTTGATCGAGGCGGCTGCAGAGGAACCTGAGCATGATCGACATAAACGCCGGCGAAGTGGGCTCGCACGAGACAAACACCTGGACACTGGCGATGGCCGCGCACTGTTCAATCATGGTGTCAAACGCAAACTCGAACTGTGACGTAAACAGTTCGTGGAAGACCGCCGGGTCCAGCGATACAAACAGGTTGGCAAAGTGCTCAATCTGCTCCTTGCACTCGCGGTCCACCAGCTTGATCTGCGCCTCCACGCGATAGTGCTGGGCGCCTCGGGTGGGCCGGTTCAGCTGACTCGTCTGGGTGGGCCTCCGCATATTCGTTCCTCAGCCGATCGATGTCGTGGAGCCGACATGCCCGCAGGCCTTCGCGGAACAGCGACGACAAAAGCTCGAGCTCAAACCCAGCCAGATCGCCTTCTTTGTTGGAGATAATTGCCGATGCTCCTGTGGTGGCGGGCTCCTTCTGATCAACAGCCATGGCTGTTGACTCGCCCTCGTCCTTGGCCGTCGCAGCCGCTGCTGCTGCCTGTGCGTTAGGGCCGATGCCCAGTGCCAGTGAAGAATTGCAGCGCTTCAGCGCGTAGATAACGTTCTTGCAGCCAGTCACAAGACTGCGCAGGTAGAGCCGCAGGTCCTTGATCTTCTCAGTGTTCTCGGGCGCACCGGTGCGGATCAGGTCGACTGACGAGTACAGCGTCTCCTCAGAGAACCTCTGGCCGCTCTTGATATCGTTGATTGCAGCAGCTGACAAGCAGCCAATGGCCGAGAACCCTGCGACATACGTCTTGAGGATCGAGAGCAGCAGGATGCGGCCCTGGCGCTTGTCAGGGATGGACATGATGCACTCGGTTATGTTGTGCAGAAGCTTTGCGCACATGGTGTGGACATTGGGACTCAGCGATTGATCATGCATGCAGCCCGAGTAAAAGTCAACCATTTTTGTGAGTTGCAGCGGCGACAGCTCGGACCGAATGTGGTGCATCAGATCTGCCAGCATGCTGAAGGCGAAGGGTTTCAAGATGCACTGGCTCGCAAGCCCTGAGCCAACAAGAACCTGCATATCGAGGAATCGATGAGCAATGGGCACAAATGCTGTGCGAAGGTTTGTCGATACGATGTGGCGCGTGGCAATAAGCATCTCCTTGCGTGTGGCAGTGGCGTCGGCTGGGCATGCACACAGCAGCTGGTGCGTGAGCTGAGCGACACGGTCCTGGCTCGGAATCAGCAGGCCGGTGAATCCACGGGCAAAAAACGCCAGGAAGGACAGTGTTTTCGACTGCGCCGTGATGAACTCCGAGTACGCTGCGCGCCAGTGCTGGCTGAGAGGCAGCTGCTGAGCACCCGGCGTGTGGTCATAGATGGCATTGCCCCGGGGATTGAGCTCAAGCATGTGCAGGATGAGCGGCAGTATATTTCCGACAAATGGGTCGGCGAACCTGCGGCCGTTGTTTGACTGGAGAATCGATACGACGATGATCGGGATTTCGGTCATGACCTTGAACGACCCAGTGGCCCTGCCAAGGTTCTTCACCGACGAGTCGGCAGTGTCGGGGCCAGGCGACATGGCACCAGGCGACATGAGGCTGATGTTGGGCGTTGAGAGTGATGACGGCGTGTCGGTTGTGTCCAGTACCTTCAGCATCTGGTCCGCATTGCGGTAGAATCTCGACAGCCAGCTCGAGGAACGATACCGCCATCGGATCCATGCTGTTCCTGAAAAGGCGGTGCACCTCATATATAATCTTGAGACACAAAACTGCGTTCTCTTCGTTCTCGTTCTTGACCTGCGACATCAGCGTTGTCACCACATCCAAGGCAATCGGCCGCAAAACCTCGCTGTGCGGAAGGCGCTGGATAATCTCAAGCAACGTCGACCGCAGCTTCTATCAGACAAGGGGTGCGCTATTAGCAGTGTGCCAAGGCGTTACCTGGGACAAACACACTGGCTTTCTCTCGCTCTTACCTGCTCGGGAGCCGAGTTCACAAACACAGGGGGTATTTTGAGTAGCAGGTCGCGAATAACTGGCCATAGTATGCTGACGAAGCGCGCATAGTCCTGCGGCTGAATCAGCTCCAGATTCTCGCATAGGTCGAGCGCAATGGTGCCTTTGAGCTTGACGTCCAGCTTTTCATCGCGCAGGCGCGTGGCAAAGATCTCAAAGTTGGTGATAGCCATGGCGCTGAGCAAAAAGTCGGTATCGGCGAGCGCGACTGTTTCCCTTTTGTCTGCTTAGCGGTAGCCTGGCTTCGGTAGGTTGCGGTTGGGTGGTATGGTGTGAATAGAGGGGGTTGAATTGCAAGTCGCGAAAACAGAAAGTGGAATTGTGAATGGAAGAGAAAAAGGCGAGCGGCAAAGAAAGGCTGGCGCTAGACGGCCCTTTATGCTAGCAGCGAGACCACCGATCGAAGAAGAAAATCGCGAGTTCAAAAATTTTGAATTTGGGTGGGCAAGCTACTCGCCGCGGCCGAGGGCACTTCACGTGATGCAGGCCAATGCTGGCCGATTGCTCTGATTGGCTGGGGCGTCGGACGAGCTGGAATCCCCAGCTGCGAGCGCTCTGAATATCCATAGCCCATGCCCCTCGTGAGGTGGGCGTATACACGGGCAGACGGACACGGGAGTACTGGAAGTACCACGGTGCTGCTGTGTGTGGCCGCTACTGTGACGCATCGACGGCACCTAGGCACATGGCCTGCGTATGGTCGGAGCAGAAACTGGACATATATCTGACACAGTACCACTGCCACTGGACGTATTTGAGAGTGCCAGCATCTGCTGTAGACATCAGTGCCTCTCCATATCAGTGCTCTGGGTTTCCTGAGTACCAGCACGTGCACCCCACATCCTCCACCGCGGTCGGGGGCTGAGATTGGTTTGTGGGCTGGCTCCTCGCTCCTCCTTCTGCATCTATTTCCCCTTCGAGGAGCCTTTTGGCTTTTTTCTCTCCTTTTTTTCTCCCAAATTGCAAGTTTTTCTAGGTCTACCTGTGCTAAACCCCTCCCAAGCATTGCATGTCGAGTGCAACAGAAAACACTGCTGCGCCGGTGGCAAAACCGGCCATGAATTCGGAGGACCAGCCGAGAAGGAAAACTTTTCTGACTCCAATTCGGAAGGATGGGCAGATGCCAATGCGACTAAGCGCCTCGTCACCGGCATTCCAGCCCTCTCCGCGAAAGAAGACGGCTGCCAGCAGCGTGGCAGCTAGCACCACGGCGGAGATAAAGCAGCCCAGGGCGGCTCAGGCGTCTGATGTCGTGAGAGGAGTTTCTCAGCTCGAGCTAAGAGCGAAGTCCTATAGGAGCGCAGCCATAGACAAGCCGCTGCCGAACCACGACCATTTCATGCAGGAGCCGTCGCAGAAGCCGCAGCACAACCCGCACCTCCTGCCAGTCACACACTACGCTATCGACGAGCGCCTGAGGCGGGAGCTGGTAGACGAGATGCACGCCAAATCGGCCTGTAACCGAGTCGGACCTGCCTGCACGGGTGCACAACTACCACGCGGTGAGCCCGCTCGAAGCGGTGCCAGTCGGTGCGTCCGGCATGACCCAGCAATGCGTGGTCAAGGCACAGTCGATTACCGACGGGCAGCAGTACTGTCTGCGACGCGTCCCGGGGTTCCGTGCCAAGGACGACTCGTCGCTGCTCGCCATCGATAAGTGGAAGGACATTGACCACCCGAATGTGGTGCGCGTGCGCGAGGCATTTACGACACGCGCGTTTGGAGACAGCTCGCTGATCGTCGTGTATGACTTTAAGCCGCTGTCGATGTCGCTGAAGCGCCGAATCATTGACCAGCACGAGATATTCAGCGAGGGGCGTCTGTGGCGGATTGTTCTGCAGATTACATCGGGACTCAAGGCCATCCACAGCGCCGGGCTTAGCGCGCGCATGCTGAACGCTGCCACAGTGCTGATAGCGCCTGAGGACCGTGTGTACCTCAACTCGTGTGGTCTGGTGGATCTGCTGATGGTCGACGCCGCCTACATCGTCGATGTTGCGCAGCAGGAGGACCTACGGGCGATTGGCCAGATCCTGGATCTGGCTCTGGGCATGAACCCAGAGAACATAGCGACGATCCAGGGCCAGGCGCCAGCAATCGTCCCTGGCGCCAGCTTCTCGGCCGACTTCAAGCAGCTGTTTGGGTACCTGCACGGCCGCATGACGCCGGTTATTGCCATAGACGATATTCTGCGCCTGGCGGGCCCACGTATGTTTGCCGAGCTCGACTCTGCGCGGCGCGACGCCGACCTGTACCGCACCAACCTGGCGCACGAAGCAGCCAACGGCCGCCTTGCGCGCCTGCTGTGCAAGCTGAATTTCATCACCGAGCGGCCGGAGCACACAATGGACCCCGAGTGGTCCGAGACCGGAGACCGCTACCTGATCAAGCTCTTCCGCGACTACGTGTTCCACCTGGTCGACGACGTGGGCCGGCCGGTGCTGGACATGGCCCACGTCATTGGCAACCTGAACAAGCTCGACGCCGGCTCGGCCGAGAAGATCATGCTCATGTCCCGCGACGAGCAGTCGTGCCTGGTGGTGACATACAGCGAGATCAAGCGGTGCGTCGACGGCGCGTACAGCGACCTGGCTGCAGCCTCGCGCTTTCGAAAGTAGTTTTTTTTTTTTGCAATATCATATCTGACGATTAGTGACTTGAGCTGCAATCGGTGAGCTGGGAGCTGAGAGCTGAGAGCGGCGGTGAGCCGCATATCTGGAGATGCACGCAAAGCGTTCGCGATGACTGGGGAGCGGTGACTGGTGGTGTCGGGACTGCAGGCTGATTTCGCTCGCAAAGGAGGAGGGGCCGCAAAAATTTTCCCCTCTCGTTTTTCTTTCTCTGACCCTCCACTCTCGCAAACACCACTTTTTCTGGCTCTTTTCCAAACACCTCTCAACCTTCACATTCTATATTCTCGTAGCAAACGGTTCCCCACATTTGCTAACAGGTCTCTTTTTTCTCTCATTCACAGCAGGACAGAAAAGAACCCAGTAGAAACACCTCACCCTTTCTCCTCCGGAACATTTTTCTTTTACAAACCCTACGCAGAAAGCAGCAAAAATGAGCTACGCCGAGATTCTTGGTGGCACTCTTTCGCCAGGTAAGAATGCATTTAGAGATCGCCGGCATGGAATGCACAAGGCTGCGCAGTCACTGCATCGCCAACTGACATTGCCGCTAACTGCATTTACACTGTAGATGCCAACATTCGCGAGCAAGCTACCAGGGCTTTGGAGTCTGCAGAGAACGAGAACTTTGTAAGTAGTCTGGTAGCTGCGGCATGGAAATTCACCGTTGGAACTTGAGAAATGCACACTAATGCAGTCCACATTTTTGCAACTGTTTTTGCTCGCTGTAGTCCCAGTACTTGCTCTCTCTGACCAATGAGCTCGCCAACGAGGGTGGCGATGGAGCAGTGCGCACTGCCGCCGGTATCGCGCTGAAGAACGCGCTTCTCGCAAAGGTATGTACATTGTTTGATGCTTTTCTATTGGCAGCAACAGCCAGCGACGAAGAGAGAGCTGGCTGGATGCAATAGTCTGTTCCCAACAAGCCATGCTGCCGACAATGCGGCTGGCCAGCTAACCAGACATCCCTAGAGACCGTGCCTGCTAACTGTGCTTTATTGCTGTAGGATCCGGCTCGCCAGGAGCAGTACGCACAGAGGTGGCTTCAGGTCAGCGACGACACTCGCAACCACGTCAAGCAGGGTTCATTGGCCACGCTGGCGTCAGAGAGCCGGCAGGCGACAACAGCTGCGTCTCAGATGATTGCCGCCATCACAGCCATCGAGCTGCCGCGGGGCCAGTGGCCGCACGTAATCAACACGCTGCTCGAGCAGATCACCACCACCACCAAGGCCAACCTGAAGGTTGCCTCTCTGCAGGCGATCGGCTTCATCTGCGAGAACATTGAGCCTGAGATCCTGGCTACCCAGAGCAACCCGATCCTGACCGCCGTTGTCCAGGGCGCCAACTCGCAGGAGCAGAACCAGGAGGTGCGGTACGCTGCCATTACTGCCCTGTATAACTCGCTCGAGTTTGTCCGTGCCAACTTTGAGAACGACGGCGAGCGCAACGTGATCATGCAGACCGTCTGCGAGGCGACACAGAGCCCCGACGTGAACGTCCAGGTGGCAGCCTTTGAGTGCCTGGTGCGCATCATGCAGCTGTACTACGACAAGATGCAGTTCTACATGGAGAAGGCCCTGTTCGGCCTGACAGTCATCGGCATGAAGAGCGAAGGAAGAGAAGATCGCGCTGCAGGCCATTGAGTTCTGGTCAACCGTGTGCGACGAGGAGATCGAGCTGAGCATCGAGGAGGCCTGAGATGATGGAGCTGGGCCAGCAGTTTGACCGCACCAACTTCCAGTTCGCCAAGACCGCTCTGCAGCAGGTGCTGCCGACACTGATGTTTTTGCTGACCAAGCAGGACGAGGACGCCGACGAGGACGAGTGGAACGTAGCTATGGCTGCAGCCACCTGTCTGTCGCTGATGGCGCAGACCGTTGAGAACGATATCGTGCCGCCGGTCATCCCGTTCATCGAGCAGAACATCCGCAACCAGGACTGGCACTTCCGCGAGGCCGCCGTCATGTCGTTTGGCTCGATCCTCGACGGCCCTGAGTCTGCTGTGCTGATGCCACTTGTGTCGCAGGCGCTGCCGGTGCTGATCGAGATGGTCAAGGACCCGGTGCTGCAGGTCAAGGACTCTGCGGCCTGGACGCTGGGCCGTGTGTGCGAGCTCCTGGTCGAGTGCATTCAGATCGACGTGCACCTGCACAGCCTGATCAGCGCGCTGGTGGGAGGGCTTGAGGACAGCCCACGTATTGTGTCCAACTGCTGCTGGGCGATCATGAATCTCAGCGACCAGCTGGGCGGTGTCGAGGCCGAGACATACGCCGCTCTCGCAGTACTTTGAGGGCATTATCACGACGCTGATGCGCATTACCGAGAGCAACATCAACGAGAACAACTCGCGCACCTCGGCGTACGAGGCCATGGCGACGCTGGCCAACACTGGTGCCAAGGACACGATCCCGACGATCGGCCAGCTGGGAATTGCCATCCTGGATCGCCTTGATATGACCATCAGCAACGCCAGCCAGGCCGTCGGCATTGACGACCGTCTTGTGCTTGGGGAGCTGCAGTCGAACCTGCTCAACGTTCCTGACCAATGTGTCGCGCACCCTGGGCAAGCAAGGTATCCGAGATCTCTGACCGCTATCATGACCAGCGTGCTGGAGCTGCTCAAGGTCAGCGGCAAGCACGCTGCCGTTGCCGAGGACTCGTTCCTGCTTGTGGGCTCGCTGATCACTGCGCTGGAGGCTGACTTCTCGCGCTACCTCGAGTCGTTTGCACCGTATCTCTACAGCGCGCTGCGTAACCACGAGGAGTACCAGCTATGCTCGATCTCTGTGGGCCTGATCGGCGATATCTGCCGTGGCATGGGACCCGATGCGGCCCAGTACTGCGACCAGTTCATGACGATTCTGCTGCAGAACCTCGAGTCGGACGTGCTGCACCGCGACGTCAAGCCCGGCATTCTGTCATGCTTTGGCGACATCGCCCTGGCTATCGGGGGGCGGTTCGAGACGTATCTGGAGGTTGTGTTCCGCGTGCTCGCATCTGCATGCCAGCTCAGCGCCAACACACAGGCAGTGGACTACGACACGATCGACTACAACAACCAGCTGCGCACAGGCATTTTCGAGGCCTTTGTTGGAATCGTGCAGGGCTTGAAGTCGGACAACAAGGCACAGCTGGTGCTGTCGCAGGTACAGGGCATCCTTGGCTTTATGAGCGTCGCGTTCAACGACCCGAACCGCTCGGACGAGGCGACACGGTCCATGATCGGTCTGCTTGGCGATCTGGCTGATGCGTTCCCGAACGGCGAGATCCGCGAGGTGCTGCACGCTGACTGGATCCCGGCACTCATCAAGGAGGGCAGGGCAAGCCGCCGCGGCTCGTCGTTGCGCGAAGTATCTCGCTGGGCGCGGGAAATGGTCAAGCGGGCATCGGCCTAAATGGCCTGTTTTGCTCAGGTGTTTTGCTCCACTCCTTCTCTATCCTCCCCCCCCCTATTCTATTATCTTTCCTACAGGTATGCTAGGAATAACATGTCCTTTTTTCAATAATTCCGGCGTAGCAGCCTTTGTGGACACGACGTCAGGATATGCAAACAGCAGAGGCTATGTATATGATACGTGGTATGTATGGTGTTTGTGATAGAGAGCTATACGGAGGCGGTGGCGGGCTACGAGCGATCCGACAGGAAGAACGTCCAGATAAGCTTCTTCAGCTCAGGCCTCTGTAGCATAGCAATATACGGCGCCATCGGGCTCGCCGACGCGCTCAGCTGCTCGGCTGTGGCCTGCAGCAGCTCAGCGAGCTCCTGATCGGGAGCCGCCAGCTTTTGGTGGACCGCTATAACAGGCGCTAGCGCAGCCTTGCGCACCTGGCTGCGCGGATGCCCCAGGCAGGCCATCGCGTACGGCATGAACCTCCGCAACACCTCGCTTTGTGACCTCTGTGGGTGAGCTGAGGCGCTTGACAACATCAGCAACGAGATCTAGGACGCCTGCCAGCGAGTTTTCCATCTTTAGCACACCCAGTGGGTCCATCGCCGCAGGTGTCTCGACTTGGGGCGGCAGCAGCTCAGCGTATGCCGCCTGGATATGGAACGCGGGCATGGGAGCGCGCAGGAAAAAGTCCTCAAAGAGCGCAAAGCACAGATCAATGTCCAGGTGAGCCGCAATGTCATAGTACACGTCCTCCTGCCGACCCGCTGACGATGGGCGAGACACTGTACTTGCTGCGGAGGACCTCGAGCAGCAGAGTGCGCGCAGCATCGAGTGTAAAGTACTGCCATTGCTTGCGCACGATCATGCGGAGCACATCGAAGCAGTTGTCCTTGATGAACACAGTGTCGCGGGACTCGGCTGGGTTGCGGAGGTACTCAACGCAGGCATTGAGCAGTTTGGTGAGGATTCCGCGGCCGCCGGCAGATTCAGGCATCCAGACAGAGGACGACTCCTCTTTGGCATAGCGGGCCAGACTGCGGAACAGAGCGTCGTCGATGTCGTCGTTGGCGAGGCGCTGCAAATAGCGCTCGATTTTGAGCAGACGATTCGGGGTCGCTGCAGGCATTGGCGAGTCGACAGGCTGCGGAAGGGGAGTCTTGAAGATGCTTGGCATCACAGGTGCCTGGAGCGGACCGTTCCAGTACCGAGCGGTCTGGGTACGCGGTGTGATGAACGGGTTTTGCTGATGCTGGCGGGTTTCGCTGGGCTGGCGAGGGCGGGAGGAGTGGTGTACTGTCAGGCGTCGGGAATATGCTCTCTGGTCTGCTTCACGTCGCTGCCGGTCTGTTCTGGCGCTTGGCTGTGGTTGGAGTCGAGAGACATGCGACTGGGCTCACTGAGGAGCTCCGTGGCCTGGCTTTCCTCCAGATTGAGGTGGGACAGATCTGGGTCTTCCTGCGAAGCGGCCACAGCGGTTGTGGCACCAGTTTGCAACTCATGCGCCTTGGACTGGACAGGCGGTGCCTCGACATCCATCAGATATGCACCAACGTCCATACTGGAGAAGTCGAGGAGTCCCAGCGACTGACGCGAGTTCTTGCTTCCACGTATATCGCGCACATCGAATTTGTCCACTGGCTTCTCGTCGGTGGCGTCGTACATGACCATGTCGCCGTCATCGTCTTCATGCTCATCCTCAACGACTTTGCTGACAGTTCGGCCGCGCTGCACAAACTTGAACTCTGGGCGCGAGTCCCAGTTGCGCATCTGCCGACAGGAGACTGTGGTCGTTGATCTGCTGCGGGAATAGGGTGGCATTCTGCGGCACGCTGTAGCCCGACACCACGTTCATCAGACTCGGCATGGGTGGCTCTTGGGAAAGGCTTTGGGCTGCTGGCGGGCTGTGGGCACGGAGCTGCTGGGCACTGGGCACCCTAACCACTGAAGCAGCCGACATGGGCCGGTCAACGCTGGCAGCGTCCTGCGCACCTTTGACGTACCGGTCCTTGTCGCGATTCAGCATTGCCTGGGTGCTGGCAGGCAGTGATGCCAGCAGTTTACGGGCATTGAGAGCCGAGACATTGTAGAACTCCCAGAACAGCTCCCGGCTCGGCTCACGAACGCTCGGCTGTGCGTCCATAACGCCCTGCTTTGCCACTACAGAGATGTGTGCAAAGACCTCAGTACTACGACGGTCGCCAGAGCTGTGCTGTAGCACAGTGGCGTGGCTGCGCAATACACATGTACAGGTGGTGACAACTGCCAGACGCAGAACAGGGGACTTGTCGGCGATGTAGTACCGCAGGGTCTCGATGGCTTTGGCACGGAGCGGAAAGTGCTGGAAGACGACAGCCATGGCGGATGCAGCAGCCTGTGCAGCGATTTTCTTAGTCTGCGCGCACTGCTTGAGCAAGGCACCGACAATGGGGTCGAACAGCGGGCTGGCGTGCGGGCCCAGGCGCATAGCAATATCTTCACAGAGCCGCATGCCATGGCCTGACAGCGACGTGCGCAGGCTGTTGACAGCCTTAACAATCTCGTGGATGTGTTCCCTGAACATGGCCACGAGCTCCGAGCAGAACTCGATTGCCGAATTGCCCCAGATGATGGCGCGGAACAGGACCACTGCACGCTCTCGCTGCACCCAGTTGGCCTCTGATTCGCGACCGTCAAAGAAGGACATGACCTCGGACATTTCGCGGCCCAGCATCTGCGCGCTGGCCATGTTGCGCGGCTTGACATCAGCAGGCACGTTGCGACTCGGTACGAACTGCTCAGTGATACGCACCATGGACGGCCGTTTAGTCAGTGAATTGCTGGTACGTGAGCCTGCGCTGTGGCGTTGCTGCCCCAATGACGATAGATAGCCCGGCGATGGTTTGGATATCGAAGTGGCTGATGATGACGACATCACCTGAATGTGCTGATGCTGGTGACGTGCCCAGCCCATGCGCGCCGGCCTGCGAGTGCAGCGATGCCAGGTTATGCTGGTGCTGGCTCGACCCGCCGCTGCCGACTCTGCCAGGCGATAGCGCACTGCTGCGGCCGATACTGCCGGTGCGCGACTCAGAGCGATACTCTTGTCGAGAACCGCTGCGGTTTCCGTATGCTCTTGGTGGCCCCCCTGCGTGCAGCCCGCTCTGCATCCCATATGCGGTCTGGTTGACGCGCGATCCCGGCCGTGCATTTCCCGTGGCACCTGGACGAGCGATATTTGAGATTCCCCGTGCCGCGCTTCCCAGCTCACTGCGTGATTGGAATCCCCGTTGTGCGCGATCCAGGCCGCATTCCAGTGACTCGGGACCCAGGACGCATGCCGAATCCGCTGGTTGCCTGGCGCGACCCGCTGCGCCCAGCCATCGACGGCGACGAAGGTAGTGCGGCAAGCTCTCCCTCAGGTGCCGTTATGCTTATGAGTAGCGTCGGTTTCTGGCTTGAAATTGCTTGGGCCTTGCTGACAATGTCCTGCTGCAGCTCTGGCCGATGGTGGTATATTGTGTTCAGGGCGCGGCGGGCAGCGAATCTAACGGCCTCCTGGTTGTCGTCAAGCAGAGAGAATGCGCTGGCGATATAGTGTGCTGCCGGGAACTCTGTGTGTTCGGAAGCGCAGCTGCTGAGCCATTCCAGCGCCATCTCCCGCACTCGCCACGTCTTGTGGGCAAACCCACGTGCCTTTATGTCGCGCTCAAACACCACCCCCGCATTCCACGACGCGGTTGCGCCAGGAGACGACCCCGGCGACATGGATGTGCGCGGCTTGCCCAGCCCACGCGACTTGAACGGCGAACTGAGCTTCGGGATGGAGCTCGTCAGCATGCTGTACCGCGAGCTCGGCTTTTTTGTCGGGCTCGGTGCTGGCTCTGATGTCGACATTGTTTGCCGGGTCCCCTGTGTGCTTTTCCACATGTGCACCAATGTGCTCAAGGCGTACTCGCGCACTGCCATGCGCCCGTCGCCAAGCCGATCCAGCAGCGGCGGCAGGAGAAAGTGCAAGCATCGCCTTACTTAGCGGCGGTGACCCGTCGCGACTCACCATATCAGCTATCGGCTGAACACACGTCAGCGCTGCCTGGCATGCCATGACCTGCGACGAGCCGAGGGTGGCGGGCAGTACCGTTATGAGCCCTTCCAGCGTTTTGCGCTATAAAAAGCAGATTAGGGAGTGTGTTAGCAGGACGCGGGTTCTAACCAGCCAGCTCGGGTAACTATACATGGCGCCTTTGTTCCTGGATACTCACTGCAACATTGCTGTCTCCGTTGGTGAGGAGGTTCTGGACCTTGTCTAGAATGGCCACCTTCTTTTCTAAACCTACATAGGGCATAAGATGGAAGCAGGGTGCAAGTTTTAGCATCCGCAGAAGGAAGAGCGCCAACCGCACTGCCGCATGGTACTTACTGCAGTGACTGGCCTCCCAGCTGCAGTGTGTGCAAGAGCTGCTCGAGCGTCTCTGGCATTTAAACTTTGCGAAATTACCGAAAACAGAATACGTTGTTTATCAGTTTCTCAGAAGCAACAACAACGGCGGTGACGCAAACTGATAGCTATGTATAACCCTCGCCAGAAACGTTGCAGAAATAGACAGAAATTGTTTGCAAATGAGAGAAGTATGAAAAGTGATTGCGCTAATGAGAGTCGAAAAGGGTTGGAAAGGGCAATAAAAGGAAAGAGTAAGAAAAATGCAATATGAAAGCTAGAGAGAAAAGAGGTTCTGGCTTTTCCAAAAAAGTCTTCCTGCGCGCTCGGCCATGAAAAGACACCATGCATCACTTGATCAAAGGGGCACCTACTCGACGCCCTGCAAGTAGCGGACAAACGCCGAGTACCAGTCGCCACTGTCATTGCTGGCCGCTGACTGCACGGGGAGCAGCGATGCACTCGGCGCACTGCCCAGCACACTGTCGAGCCCGCTTAGCCAGCTCGACGATTCGCCAAGCACCTGCTGCCACAGCTCCGGCTGGCTTGTGGCCAGTGGCGCTAGGCACTCTGCATCGCCTTGCACGGCCGCACGAGGCCTTTGCTGGCTCAGCCGGCGCCCAGCGCTTGCCGCAGATCAGCCAGCACTGGGGGTGCGCTCTGGGCGGCATACTCCCCTCGCCGACTCGCCAAGCACAGTAGACGCGATAGTAGTTTGGGAGCTGGCAGTAACGCCAGTGCGGGGCGACATGGCCGCATTGAATTCGGCCTGTGTGGTTTGCCTGTGGCGGACCCAGGCACGGCACATCGGGTGTACGCTGATCTAGCGCCGCAAAGACCTGCGCGGTGGGATTCGACGACGCGAGTGGCGACTGGGCTGTCTCCACGAGCGAGGCCAGGCCATGATCGACACATGCTTCTGTGTCTCTCCCCACCTCCGTCGAAGCTGTCTGTGGCGATCCTTGTCCCATGTGGTGGCAATTGGTAAATAGCCGCCGCCAGTGAGCTCTGCCAGACACATGTCCGAGTACAGTCTGTTCATGGCCGCTGCGCCCGGTGCATCCGATGAGATAGAACAGCTGGACTGGTCGCTGGGAAACAGCTGCTGGCTGTGCATTTGCAAGATCTCGTCGGGGAAGCGGTCGGGAGTAGCGCCGGTAGCAGTGGCGAACGCCGAAATCGTATTTTGCTGTCCTGAGATCGCGCTGGAGCCAAACGGCATGATGCTGCAGGTGCTGCCTGGGATATAAGGGCGCTGACCGACGATTGTGTTTGGCAGGAACTGCGACAAATGGTGCAACGACGGGCTGTCAAAGCTATCATCGAGCCCTGTGTTGGACGCTGCTGCTGCCATCGCCGCCGCCGTCAATGCTGCTGCAGTGGCTGCTGCCATTGAAGTACTGCCCGACGTTCCTGTCGGTGACACACATGGATCCTGACCCGAGCCAGCATACCCACCGGGTGTCTGCAGCAACGTCGCTTGCGTGCAGTGGCAAAAGCGACACACCCTCAGTCTTTGCAGAGGCTGTCGGCGAATCCTGGTACGTTACCAGCCACAGCGGATTCATCGACTCTCTGTCGCTTGGCATATCCCTGCTATCACAGAGCGACGAGAGTGATCGGCTCGAGAACTCCTGATAGCACTCGCTTGCACCGCTTTGCAGCTGGCTCGCTACCTGGCAAGGCATGTTTCCGGGTTGGTGGTATGTCAGAGGGGCGTGGGGAGCCGTGGTCGAAGATGCCAAGAGCATCGCTGGCGGTGAGACGGGTAGAGGCAGGCACGCTGCTGGCAGAAACAACACGCCGGATCTTTTTCTTTGGCTGCGCGAAATCTGTTGTCGGCCGGCTATAATACAGGCGGAAGATCTGCTGAAGCTCCTGGAATGTATCCATGCTCATGTCGCCTAAGCAGAGAACAATGACTCAGTGTATGGATATACGTATGCTTCCGCGCTCCTCGCTTTACTTACGGTTGCTTGGTGGCTTCTTACAGTGCGCCCAGACCTGGATGTGCGACGAGACCTGCTTGCGTGCCCGGTACTTGTCGGTCTTCATGAAGATGTACCGCGAGATGATATCGTTCCGGCCCACAAGCTCAATGTTGTTGCCGCTGGGCAGCTTCTCGTCAATTTGGTACTTCCGCTGGCCCGACCGATGCAAACACATGCACAGCCTCAAGAAATGCATCTTCGACAGCCGGCGGCCACACCTCGTCGCCACCCAGCTTCTGTGTCGATGATGTATGGTATTTCTCCAAATCGAGATCGCATAAAATGCTACGAACCGTGTCAATATCCATATCGAGTACTGGAGAAGAGGGGTGGTAGAAGATGTAGGAGTGGCGGAATGTGGTGGGTAATAGTATCGAGCGTGCAGGAGTAGCGTTGCTGGGTGCGACAAATGAGGGAATGGTGGGGCGTATTGTTTAGGATATTGCGCACATAACAGCTGACGCAGCAATGGTGCACATAGAGCCCAACCAAAGGAATTTGGATGAGCGCTCTACCGGGCTTGCAGGTTACAAGTAACCGACAGAAGATAAGCAGATATGCCGACCTGTAGACAGAAAAGGGTGTGAGATGTTAAAGTGGCGCAATGGGCTTAGGTAACAGGATACGTAAAATCTATATTGTATGCGAGGTCGTATATGCGGATGTGGGAGAGGGAGATGGAAGGGTAGGCGGAACGGAGAAAGTAAATTAAAAAGGTATTAGGACTACTAACGAACAAAATACAATATAGAGAATACAAGAGACTAAGGACGTAGAAAAGAAAATGATAGTCAAGAAAAGAAAAGAAGAAGGGTGCTCACACCGCATTGATGACCGCTAGCATCAGCCCAAGAAGGCGGAATGAGCCTATAAGGAATCCTACCGAGACCATTTTGCCCACCCGCGTCAACAAGCAGGGTTGACATGCCCGACTCAGGCTTACTTGATAAGACTCTACTGCCGGAGATGACTGCTGTCGTTTATGCTGTTGCGCATTTTGGCAAGCAATCGTCAAAACTGCACGCAACAGGCTCCCCGCACACTGAAATGGTCCCTGAACCTGTCCGGCCCATTTGCGAACGGGTGTTTTCCAATAATATCGAATCTGCGCGAGATACAACGCGGGCTTTTGTTGGATGCTACTGCTGAGCCTTCGTACGTCATTTGCTGTCCTGCCGCTGTGCCTGGGGGAGGCCAAGCTCTCCTGCATGCGGGCTATCCTATTTGTTGCCGCTTTACACGTCCTGTTACCGGGCAACATTCTCTCTCCTCACCCTTTTCCCACTAGGTGGGCAGTAGGCTGGTTCAGACTCGCTGTTCAAAATTTAAAAAACCCCGGACAACGTTTCGTGAAATCGGAAACCGGCAGACCCTGAGCCGAGCTGCCCGAGGCAGCTCGCAACTCGCAGTGGCTCAAAAGCGCGATCTCCCCGGCCAACGCACGCAGAGCCAATGGCCGCCTCCCAGCGCCCACCAGCCTAGCAATGCATCATCCCAGAGGCTTTTCCCTTTCCGCTGCTGCCTTTGCAGAATTGCCAGCAGAAACAGGTGCTTCACGGCCAGACGGAGCTTTTTTCTGTATCTTGCTCAAATTTCACTTTCCACCCTTTTCCAATTCTATATACACATCTCGCATCTAACCAACAATGTCCGACGACATCGCCGAGGGACCCTCAAAGGAAGTCATGAGCTTTGCCAGCTACCTCCACAGCCCTGGCAGCTCCGGCCTGCGTGCGCGCGAGGGTGTGCTGAACGGCCGCCGCGTGCAGTTCTTCAAGGGAAAGGAGCGCCATCAACGCACTCACCAAGGCTGAGGACGGCCGGACCGCCAAGTTCACGACGCGAGAGGAGGCCGAAGAGTGGATGCAGGCTCTCTTGGACTACCAGCTTGTTGTGCGGTGTGACAAGGGCGCAGATAGCACACGCACGACTGCGCATCAACCCGATGCAGAACTTTGACGATGATGCGTACTACGCGTGGCTGTATGAAGGATCGCAAATTATGGTGATCCTGGGCGGCATTGGTGTTGTGGCGGTTGTTCTTGCTGGCGTCATGTTCCCGCTGTGGCCGTCGGTGCTTCGGAACGGCACATGGTACTTGTCGATGCTGGCGCTGGGTCTGCTGGGTCTGCTGTTTGCCACAGCCATTGTAAGGCTGATCGTTTATGTCATCACGGTGGCCACCCAGCCGAGGGGCCTGTGGATCTTCCCGAATCTGTTTGCCGACGTGGGGTTCTTTGAGAGCTTTGTGCCGCTGTACGGATGGGATGAGCCGAAGGCGGCCAATGCTCCCGCTGCTGCTGCCGCTGCTAACGGCCCCTCGCCAGGCGCTACGGGTCCGAGCCCTGCAGGTGCACCGGCCGGCGCAGAGACAAAGAAGGACGCTTAAACGAGCACCATCCTTTCAAATGATTTTTTTAAAACTCTCATAAGATGCTTTCTTTATTAAAGCTTGCTCAAGGCTTGTTCCTCGGCGCAGTCAGGCTTGGCACTGAAATCGAGGCGGCGCTTCTTGATATCTGGCTCGTCCATGCTGTCGGGGAACGTCAGACCGCGGTTCGGCGTGATGCTCTTCAGTGGCGACGACGCTATGAACGGGCTTGAATTGAACGTGACCATGAGCCGTCTGGCAGCCCTCTGGATCTGCTTGCTCTTGGCCGGATCCCTGGTGAAGATCCTGATAATGAGCTCCTCGTACTTGTTTGGCACGCACGCGCTGATGAGCTCGCTGGCAATCGGGAACTTTTCGTCGCCGTTGTACTTTGAGTAGAAGTTGATATGCTCGACTGGATTCTCGTTCTTCATACCGTAGTGCATGCGGTTGATGTCGACCAGCACGTCTCTCTCAGTGAAATCGTCGTTGTCCGAGCGGAACTCTGCAATCCTTGGTCGCACTCACGATGCGTGAGTCGGCGATAGACGACAACTCGGGCGGAAGAATGAACTCGTCAACGAGCTTGTACAGCTCACGCTTCTGCAGCCGCCTGAGAATCGCCCGGGCCGTCTCCAGCTCAGGCTCACGCGAGCGCTCAATGTCTCGCACAATCTCGTCTGTCAAGTACAAGTACCGCTCGGGATCCAGAACTGCCTGCGACAGCTCTAGCACCGGGTCGGCAATCAGCATCGCGTCAATCAGCATAAACTCGATGGCCTTGGCGGCCGGATGCGCGTAGACGCGCTTGTGCAGGCTGTACCGCGTATGGAACATCTCGGTGAGGTTGTAGGCCTCCTTGCGGCTGTAAGCAGATCTCGTTGTCAATCACGCGGGAGTTGAGCATCAACCGCGAAAAGTCATAGCTGCTCTTGACTCCGACGTTGTAGCAGTCGCGCTGGATATAGTCAAACTTGTCGACGTCAACGCCGTTGCGCTTGTTAGCCACAATGTCGAATAAGAACATCTTTTCAGTGCCAATAGACGTAGCCTTTGTGCCCAGAATCAGCTGCTTGATGAACTTTACGTCGTCGGTGTCAATGTCAATGTGGTTGTCGTCGATCGCGTACTGCAGCATCATTTTGGAGCCTTCCTCATGAGACCACGAAAGACCAGGTCTATATGAGAAGCCACTTGTTAGTGCACAGTAGCTCTTCTTCTTCTTCTTCTTCTTCTTCTTCTTCTGGCTGCCGCTACTGCAGAGCTTCTTGCCTACCTTGCGCGCGGAATGAACTCGTTATCGAATACGTGACTGAAGGGCCCGTGCCCAAGGTCATGGCACAGACCTGCAAGCGTGACGCACCGGATATCACGCTCGTTGATATCGAGTTCTGGCTGGCGCTCTTTCAGCCCGGTGACAACATTGTTGGCCAAGAACGACGTACCGATGCAGTGCTCAAACCTGTGGATGGCTGCCACCTGGAAACACATAGTACGAGGTGCCAAGCTGCTTCAAATGGCGAAGACGCTGGAACTGCGGCGTATCGATAAACCTCAGCGCGTAGTCATCGAGACTAATGTAGCCATGGATGGGATCGTTGATGTACTTTAGCGTGTCCATATGGCTCATGTCCAGGTTGCTGCGCGCGGTGAACCCTCTGGTGAGCTGGATCCGGCGGTTCGATTTGTCAGCAGGGACATGCATATTGAAAGTAGAAAAATTCAGCAGTAGTAGCTAACAGAATTATTCAGAGCAAAGCAGGAAAGGGTGGGGAAACGGAGTCAAAAAAAAAAGGGCTGGCACCAAATCTACACCTGCGCAGCACCAACAAGGGTCAAGCGGAGAAATTGGGAGCAGCGAATGACACAGCGTGTACAAGGAGACTGGTCAAAGCCTGTCCTCACACCATTTGAACGCGTGGGTTTCGCATTTGCTTTCACTTGGCTGCTCTCTTCTCCGCACCCTCAATTTGGCAATTGTTCTCACCTTTGTGATGCCTAAGCCTCAAGTAAGTGCTGCGCATATAGCGCTGATCGCGATCATGGTGCAGCGATGCCGATGTTGATGTCGATGTTGATGCCGATGCCGATACGATAAAATGTGCTGATGTAGGTTACTGCCGCAGTGCAGTTTGCCGACGGGAGCTATTTCGGGGCAGCAGTGTATGACAGGGCGGTACACCAGCTGTCGCTCGTCAGCGAGTGTGCCGCTGGACAGTCACAGCAGACACTGTTATCTGCATGTAAGTTGGCTTTACTCATATATATAAAAGTCGTGCAAACTCCATGGTGGAGAACAGTGAGGTAATTCTGCCACATATAGTTATCCACCAAGCGATGCCCGAAACAATCGTTCATGCCAACTCCACGTCGTTGAATATCGATGCCATTGAGCTGGAAACCGGTAAGTGCGTAGCATTTATCCAATGCTAAGCACACAGCCTATTCACTAAAGCAGGCAGATACATGCTAGGAAATGTGGGCCGCTCACTACCTGAGCTGGTTCCAGTGCGACCAGATGAATTTTCATACGATCCCAGCCAACGCAGAATAGTAGATGCAATTGAACATGTGCGGCTGTCACATAGTCTTGAAAACGAATATTGGCACCGCGGCTCTGCCGATTTAGATACTCTGTTCGATAACAAGGTGTCGGTTGGTGCAGCAGGTGCACTACTGGGGTACCTATCCGGGCAGGATGACGGCCAGCCTGCCATTGCACAGATCCGCATAATCAGGCTGAAGCAGTATATGCCTGTGGGGGAAGATGTGCTCAGTACGCTTGGGATTGTCGACCGTGACCAACATCCCAATATGCACGCCCTAGGAAGGGCCAAAGAGGGGCTGTCACTGTTCAGTAAGTAGACATAGCCCTCCAACATAGGCGCTTTTGCTGCAGCTACCCCTAACCGATATGGACAATGTAGAGCTGCTGGATAAGACGAAGAGTACTGGAGGGCGCCTTCTACTGATGAACTGGGTTCTACGTCCCTTGCAATCGGTTGATGTGATAGAAGAGCGTCTCGACGCAGTTGAGTTCCTGTTGCAGCCCAAGAACACTGCCAAGCACGAGGAAATGCGCGGTGTCCTCGCCCGCATGAAGTCTATCCGCACTGTCTGTGCGCGCATCCACACGGAACTCCTCGTAGCTGATCTTGAGGCCCTCGCGCAATTTGCATACGCCACCGTCAAACTCCACAACATCGTGTTGTCGCTTGAAAATGTGCCGGATATACTGGGGAAATTTTTGGATGTTGACAGGACATGCTTCAACGAGATTGGTAGCCGCATCATCAGGATGGTGGACTTTAATAACAGCAAGGAGGAGCAGCGTGTGGTGGATTGCCTCGGGCAACAGTGATAAAGTCGACCGTTTACGCGACAAGTTTGACATGCTCGAAACAATCCTGAGCCAATGGAGCCAGCAAATGAGCCAGGCGATTGGATTGCCAGTCGCTGCAGTCTACTACCCGCAGCTCGGATTCCTGACATCTATCGAAGTATCCCTGGTCAGCAAGGGCTTGTGAGGCTTGATGGTTTTGTTGGCTGGGAGCTGAAGTTCCAGACCGACGAGCACCAGTATTTTAAGAACGAGTTTACCGAGGAGTTGGATCGAACGCCCTGGCGATGTGTTCAGCCATGATCATCGATGCCTGAGGCAGAGGTAGGTCTGGAGCTACAGCGGTACATCTGTGAGCACGTCCAGCAGATCGGGGAGGCATACGAAATGGCCGCTGAAATTGACTGCTTGCAGGCGTTAGCTACCGTAGCTAGAAGCAGCAGATACTGCCGCCCCAAGTTTGCCAGCACACAGTGCATCCACATAGTCGGTGGCCGTCACCCAGTGCTTGAATCGACTGTGGCCGATAGCAGCTTTATTGCCAACAGTATCCACCTATGCGGCCCAGGCTGCCTACATGAGGAAGAGCTGGAGGTATGCAGCGACGACAACCCGCAGACCCTGGTGCTGGTCGGTCCCAATGCTTCTGGCAAGAGCGTGCTGTTGAAACAGACGGCACTGGCCGTGTACATGGCACATATCGGCAGTTTTGTGCCCGCAGATTTCGCTATCGTCAGTCTGACGGACAGGATCTTTGTCATGGGCAAAGCCATGGAGTCGCTCTACCGACACACCAGCGCGCTAAGTGCCGACCTGGAGCTTGTCAGGATGGCGTTAACCGGAGCGACACACAGATCGTTGGTTTTGTTGGATGAGTTTGGTCGTGGAACAAATCCAGCTGATGGGCTAGGTCTGTTCTGTGGTGTAATGGTCTCGCTGAGCTCCCGTAGCAGAGACCGGCCTATGCTCATTGCTGTCACCCACTTCCACGGTAAGCATGCTGATCTACTCGATACGCAATGCATGCAACCCTGTTACCAATCCAGTTCTGATTTGTAGAAATGCGGTCGATGTCGTGCATCCAGGATATTGGGCCGCTGATGCGTATAAAATCCATGGATTATCGAGACAGCTCCTCTGGTCTCGTCTACCTTTACAAGTAAGTCCCAGAGCCGTGTAGTCGTCATGTAGCCGTCATGTATATTGTCGGAGACCCAGTCTAACATTCTCTTTCCTGCATAGACTAACCAGCGAAATCCACCAGTCACGATACGCACTTGTCTGCGCAAGCAGCGTTGGAATTCCAAGCAGGGTTATGAAGAAGGCCGAGAGTTACCTAGTGCTCTAGAACTTTCCATTCTAAACGACAATTTCATTAACTAGGTTATCCAAGGCGGAACAAAACATTCTTTCCCTTGGCGTTCTTTGATTTGTCGTTAGAGCGCGACCCTGCTCCGCTCTGCAAGTGCGTGCTGGGTGCAGTTCCTGAGCTGCTTCCCCATGCTGACGACGTCGTGGGGTTAACCGGTGCAAACTTTCTCCTTGCAGGCGTCGATGGCGGAAGGCCTGGGAACTCGGCCTTGGTTACCCGCGGCCGCGACCCGCTGCTGGACGACGTAGACATGGACGCGGTGCCGATTGAGTTCGAGACCTTGCTGCTGTAGGCATTGACTACAGGGGTCGCTCGCGGCGCCGTACTCATCGAGTGCAGCGAGGTCGCGCTTGAGCTGGCCGACAGTGACGGGAACCCAGACAGCGACGATGATGACAGGGATTTGGTGATGTTGGCCACAGACTGAGACGGGCTGACATTGCCACGCTTGGGCGACGCCCAGCCACTGCGACCACCAGGAGAGCCAGTCGACTGCTTGATTACCAAGACACGCGCCTGGTTGCTGGATCCGCCCGCCGCCTTTGTGCTGGTCTTTGTCAGCGGCGCCAGCGCTGGGAACTGCTGCTGCTTGACGCGGTGGTTACTCCACGCCTTGAGCAGATCGTCGCGCTGCTTCTGCTCGGGCAGCAGCTCAGCAACAGACTTCATTGTCTTTTGGATCATCTCCTTGGCATTCTTTCCCGGAACAGTTAGGAACAGCAGCCAGCAGTTCTGCACATAGTCCGCTGCAGATACCTTGTTGTCCTTGTACTGGGTCGTCAGTTTACGGAATCGGGCCACAGGCTGTTCACGATGGCTCAGGTACGTCGACACCCGCTGGAGCAGCTCCTGGTGGCGAGACATGGTCTCCGAGTCAACCTCGGGGCGCTTTTCGCTGGCCACAGCGGAGGGACGCGCGTCGCTAAGGCCGGCCAAACTCGGTCGGTGCCCGCTCACGCATGCTGATGCCCAGCGAATTGGCCATGGTGGGGTGTGCACGCGCAGAGTGTGCCGAGCCGGAAGACTCTGCCCCAAGTTCCGGCCACAGAGTTTGGGGCTGCTGGCGCTCGGGCTCAGGTTCAGGAGACGATGGGGCATCACGAGAGCTTGTGTCCGAGCGCGTAGCCCGCCGGTCGTCCTCAGTGATCTGTCCAAAGCCCGCAGGACGATGGCGACCCGCAGAGCTGAACCCAGTCGAGTCAGGTTCATTAACCATCATGGTTTCTGGCCGCCTGCTACCGGTACCTCTGCCGCCGCGCGAGCTACTCCCACCGGTGTTGCTGCTACCACTGCCACCAGCTGCGCGATTGGTCGAGTAATGAATGTTGATATTGACCTGGCGCGCCTCGCGCCTGGCACGCTGGCCAACGATCCGGCTGCCATGAGTCTCGAGCTCGTGAGCCTGCAAGTCGAGCTCATTTCCAAATACCACAAACTTGCGATCGATACATGTCTGCTGGCGACACGGGAAATGGTCAGTGTTGAAGTGATCCTCCAGCGTCTGATAGTTCTTGAAGTAGACCTGGCGCCCGGCACCGCTCTGCACGCAAATAAAGCATTGCTCATGCTTTTTCCGGCAGTGGTCGAACAGCTGGTCATTGTCGTAAAAGGACGTGCGGCAGAACTCACACATGGGATGGCCAGGGAATCCAGAGTTGTCGCCGCGGGAATTGTGGGTACGCAGCTGTGACTTGGTAAACAGTTTGTGCTCGTGCGCAAACGACATCTTGTTCTTTAAGCACAGATCACAGAACATCAGCGAATGCTGCTGCCGTGCGTGGTCCTTGAGCCCCTGCCATCCGGTCTGGTCTACATAGTGGCACCTGCGCTGCGGGCAGTTGAATTGCAGGGCGTACATGGCCTTATCATACGCGTCCTTGCTGTCGAATTTGATTGACAGCTTTTCGTCGTGGTATGGGAATGAATGTGTCGACAGCTCAGGCATACGGCGTTTCAGCATTGCGTGTGTAGACGACCTGCTCAGAGTCAGTCTTGCAGTACGGGCACGCTTTACTCTTGAACAGCGCCCGCAGACGGAGATTGCACAGATAACATGTCCGGTGATCACACTCGCCGACCGCATAGAACTCTACCGGGTCGGCACAGATAAAGCACACATCCTCGTCATCGTCATCGTCCTCACTATCACCCTTGTCCTCTGACTTGCCATTGTCATTAGCCACGTGTTTGGAATGACTGTGCTGTCTGCCTTGCCTGCTCTTAGAGCGTGTCTTTTTTGCATCTCCCAACCCAGCGGATCCATTTCTTGCCACGGATCCCTTGCCGTGGGCTGCTGATCTGCCATTGCGGCCACGGGCGCTCGATTTGCCCTTGCTTTGCTGCTTTAATTCGGGGGTACTGGCCGGCGGTACTGCCTGCTCGGTGGTGGTGCTCTGCTGCTGGTTATCCGCGGCGTTGTTTGCGTTCGGCGTGTTCGACATGGCTGAGGTTCTAGGAAAAGGAGGTAGCTTTGTGTAAATTGCAAGATTTAGCGGCGTCTCGAAGAAAATGTAACAGACGTGTAAAGCAAAAAGTGGTGTGGTAGGAGCCTGCTAGGAAACTGAAGCGTTTTGTAGTTGCGAGAGAAGAGAAAGGGAGGACAAAAACGTTTTAGAAGTAGGCTTCTATTTTTTGCACGCTAGGACCTGCCCTGTAACGCCTGCGGCAACAGCCCCAGCATTAGTCAGGGAAGAAAAAATCAATCGCCAAATTGCGGGGGTTGCGGCCTCGCTGCGGCCCCTGACGATTGCCAGAATCACCTGATTTGCAGATATCAACTTTTGCAGCCTGCTGCTGCAAGCCATATGCGCTTCTTGATTGTTACACACGATGCCATGGCTATGCGCAGCCATTCAAGCAGGGCCCTCTGAGACAGCTGGCTACAGATCCCCAGCACTCGGCTCTCGTTCAACCCGGAGAGTGAGGACAAGCCTGACAATAGTCTTGCCTTTCATCCCGTTTCGCCTTACCTTCTTACTCTCCCGAAGTCACCCGCCCTTAGCTTCTGCATTAGTGGCTCTACTTGTCACCACTGCGCTTCAAATTAGAGGTTCATAGTCACACCTGTTGACCTTGGATATGAATGGTTATCGGGCACGTATGGAAAGATAGTTTTTCAAAAATATGACTGAGAGAGGAAGGAAAGCTAGCAGTCTGTCTGAGACTTTATACATGTGCGTCTCCGCCATGCCCATGGTAGCGCAGGGAGATCCCAGACCCTGAATGCCAGCAGCACCAGCACTTAAGTCCAATGTGCCATGGGGAGGGCCTGTATCAGCAAAAATGCTGCCAAATTGAATACACAGTGTGAAGCATGGACGATACGAGAGAGCGCTAAACGACAAACGCTCGAGGATCGTAGAAAGAGGTGGAGCCTATAGATGCTTAGAAACCCCAAAATATAAGGCTGCATATCACTGATGGTGAGATATAGCCACAATGCAGAGTTCAACTGCCAGAATACCTGCTAGTTCCTTGATTTGTATGTGTTGTAAGAGGTATTCGATATGCGAGGCTTTGTGGATGTGAGAGCTTTGGAAAAGCAATACAAAATAAGGAAGAGAGGACCGCTGTCGCTACACAGCAGGCTTTTCAATGTCGCCTGGTGCAGCATGGTATCATCGGCTGCATCCGACCGATGCGCCTGGCAAGAGGTGGCCGTTGCCCGCTCGGACAGACAGAGCAGACAGCATATGAAGCAAGTGAAATGTGGCGAGCAGGGTGATCTGCTGAGCACTGATTGGAGTGATTACCTAGATTACGGCTATTCGATCTGGGACTGCCAACTGCAAGCGGGAATATTTTTTTGGGGGTTCCAGGAGGAGAGATATAAAGGATTCTGGCAACGGTGCAAGGACGAGCTCTTTATCTCCCACTTCTACTAGTTTTTGAAGGTTTAACTAAGGTAGGTTTCCAAGAGTATGAATTCATGAGCGCTGTTTTTACGAATCAGTTTCGGAGATGGCAATTCAAGAGTGGACCACGTCCTCCGTGCTACCTGCTGTTGTCATTGCCATTGCCATTGCTGCTGTTCTTGCTGCTTCAAGCAGCCCGGCGCACAAGATAAGGTTCATGCGACGCCGTGGGGGGTTGAAAAGTTTTGATGGTTGGAGCACCATGCCTGGGCACTGCAGCGCTGGCTAGGGAGCGCATCTGTTTGTTTGGCTTGCCGAAGCGATTATTAAATCCCCGTCTGCTGGCTCTGTGTAACGGTGTAGATGTCCGAGTCCAAGAACAACGCCGCTATGTCCTTCGTCGCGGATCTGGCCGCTGGTGGTGTCTCCGCCGGTGTGTCGAAGACCATCGTCGCCCCCATCGAGCGCGTCAAGCTGCTGCTCCAGGTCCAGGCCTCGTCGGACCAGATTGCTGCTGACAAGCGCTACAAGGGTATCATGGATGCCTTCCGCCGTATCCCCGCCGAGCAGGGTGTCGGTTCGTTCTGGCGCGGTAACCTGTCGAACGTCATCCGTTACTTCCCGACCCAGGCTCTGAACTTTGCCTTCAAGGACAAGTACAAGGCCATGTTCCCCAAGTACAGCCCCAAGACCGACTTCTGGAAGTTCTTCGGTGCCAACATGGCGTCGGGTGGTCTGGCTGGAGCCACCTCGCTGCTGTTCGTGTACCCTCTTGATTTCGCGCGTACCCGCATGGCTGTCGACATCGGCACTGGCGCCAACCGTCAGTTCACCGGTCTCGGTAACTGCATCTCGACCATCTACAAGAAGGACGGTATGGGCGGTCTGTACCAGGGCTTCGGCATGTCGGTCGCCGGTATCATTGTCTACCGCGCTGCGTACTTTGGTGGTTACGATACTCTCAAGCAGGTTGTGTTCGGCAACAACAAGAACCCGAACTTCTTCGCTTCGTGGCTGGTTGCCCAGACCGTCACTGTCGTTGCCGGCCTCATCTCGTACCCTCTGGATACCGTCCGTCGTCGTCTCATGATGCAGTCGGGCCGTGCCGAGAAGCTGTACTCGGGTCCTTTCGACTGCCTGCGCAAGCTGTACCAGGAGGCTGGTATGAAGGTGTTCTTCCACGGTGGTCTGTCCAACATCATCCGCGGTACCGGTGGTGCTCTGGTCCTGGTCTTCTACGACCAGCTCCAGAAGTGGATGGGCATCAAGAACTAAGAAACTCTTTGTCCTTTGATTGCGGAGATAAGCTCTCAATAAAAAATTTTCCAATCACACAGGTCTACACGCTTGTTTCTTCAGGACACTATTTTTTTTTTTTTCACGATACAATTCACAGCATTCAGCATGGCAGGCAAGCGGAAGGTTGAGGCGGTACTGCTCGGGTTCAGCGACGGCGACATGGCAGCGTCGGATGACACAGACGCGTTCACATGCAAGCTGGGCGGCAAGCCCGTCTGGCTGGACACGGCATCGGCGATCCCGTCGCAGACATCAACGGCGGTCTGCCAGCAGTGCGGGTCAGGCATGATCCAGCTCCTCCAGGCGTATGTGCCGTTGAACGACTCTGCCTACGACCGGGTCTTGTACGTGTGGGCGTGCAACCGACGCGAGTGCTCAGGCAAGGCAGGGGCAGCGCGGGCGGTACGCGGGCACGTGCTGAACCGCGAGTACGCAATGAAGCTGATCCGCAGCGCCAAGGCGAACAAGCCAAAGCAGAGCGCATTCGGCTCCGGACCGTTCGGCTCCGGCAAGGTGGATTTCGGCAGCGTGTGGAAGACAAACGCAGCAGAAACCAGCGCGCCGATGTTCTCGGGCCCGCTGTTTGGCAGCACTGCGTCAAAGATTTCGTTCGGCAAAGCGGAGCCGGACGGAGCTGGCAGACGATCTGGCAGACGATCTGGCAGTGCTGGAGATTGACGGGGGCGAGCGCATCGAATGGGTTGATGTGGTGCAGGTGCCGGCCCAGTATCTGGCCATAGACGAGGAAGTGCTGGAGACGCCGGCAGCGGACGAGCAGGACATGCAGATGGAGCAGGCGGCGCTGGGGGATGACGTGGGCGGCGAGCAGTGGAGCGGCGAGCAGTACGAGCGGACGGTGCGGCCGCAGGGCACGGACGCGGCGTTCGAGCGGTTCGTGGAGACGGTCGCAAAGAACCCGGCGCAGACAATCCGGTACCAGTTCGGCGGCTCGCCGCTATTCTACAGCTTCCAGGACGGCACGGCGCAGATGCTGGGGCCGACCGCCCACGAGGACTCGGACGACGAGGACGCTGTGCCGCGCCGGTACTCGACCGACCGGCTGCCAAGGTGCCAGCACTGCAGTGGGCGGCGGGTGTTTGAGTGCCAGCTTATGCCGGCGCTGCTGACGGTGTTGCCGCTGGCCGCGCACGTAAAGGGGCAGGGCAAGACGGAGATGGACGCAAAGTGGGTGCAGAGGACTGGATCTGGGCGTCGAGTTCGGAACCATGATGGTGTTTTCGTGCGAGAACGACTGCCATGGAGGCCGCACCGGCACGCAGTACCTGGGCAACAACGGCGCCAACATGGACCGCTATGCAGCCCCCGCCTACTACGAGGAATGCGTGCTGGTGCAGCTCGAGAGCATGCAGGCTTAGTGCTCGGATTATCTTGATCTTGCAACAGCCGCAAATACATTCTGCTCCCCTTCTTTTGCTCTGCAACCTTTTTTCCTCTTGTAGATTTCGCGATTCCTTATAGACATGGCGCGCATTTCGCACATACTGACAGTCGTCATCGCCGCCCTCCTTGCGTACATTGCACGGCCAGTCGCCCGGCAGCCGGCGCCGGCCAGTGCTGCGCGACGGCATAGACATGGCAGCATATGCGCCAAACGAGCCCAAGCCGGTGCGGGCGGCGTTTGTGGTGCTGGTACGCAACAGCGAGCTGGTGGGGATGAAGCGGGCGATGCGGCAGATCGAGGACCGGTTCAACCACGCATTCAACTACCCGTACGTGTTCCTGAACGACGTGGCCTTCACCGACGAGTTCATGGCTGAGACGACGGCAATGACCAAGGCCAACACCACATACGGCGTGATCCCGCATGCGCACTGGTCGTACCCCGAGTGGATCAACCAGACGCACGCGCAGGAATGCCGCGAGACAAATGCACGCTGCTGGGGTGTTCTATGCGCTGAGCGAGAGCTACCGCCACATGTGCCGGTTCAACAGCGGCTTCTTCTTCCGCCACCCGCTGCTGGACGACCTGGACTACTACTGGCGCATCGAGCCCGACGTCGAGTACTCGTGCGACATTTCCTACGACCCGTTCCTGTTTATGCACCGCAACAACATAAAGTACGGCTACACCATTGCCCTGCACGAGTACCCCGAGACCATCCCCACCCTGTGGGCCACGGTCAAGCAGTTCATTGCCCAGCACCCGCACTTTGTCCGCCACAAGCCGGGCTTCCGCTGGCTGTCGGACGACGGCGGCGAGACGATACAACGGCTGCCACTTTTGGTCCAACTTTGAAATCGGCAGCCTCAACTTTTTCCGCTCCAAAGAGTACCTGGAGTACTTTGACTTCCTCGACAGGGCGGGCGGCTTCTTCTACGAGCGCTGGGGCGATGCCCCCGTGCATGCCATTGCCGCCGCGCTGATGCTGCAGAAGGACGAGGTACCATTTCTTCGAGGACATCGGCTACTACCACAACCCCTGGACCAACTGCCCCCAGGCCCCCGAACGCCCGCCTGCGGTGCCATTGCGACCCCGAGAAAAGCGCCGTCCACCACTACTGGGCGTCGTGCACCAAGGACTGGCTGGCGCTGCCCGACGCCAATGCCACCGAGCCCGACACCAATGCTATCGAGCCTGACACCAATTCTATCGAGCCCGAGTCGAGCTGATCCAGATAGTTCCATCCTGATACACAATATATTCCAAATGCAAAACACCCCTCCTACTCGCTGTCCTTGTCTGCGGTCTCAGGCTCTGCGATCTCCGCCTCCTCCACCGCCTCCACCGCCTCTGCCGTCTCCCCAGCTTCTTCAGCGCCCTTCTTCAGGTACATCACCAGCGGCACATGATCGCTGGCGCCATAGCACTGGTTGCGCACAACCACATCCACCACGCGGTCCATCAGTGCTCCCGACACAACAAAGTAGTCCAGTCGCCACCCAACTCCGCGGTCCCTGGCGCCTGCGCGATACCCGAAATACGTGTATCCCTCCGCCGTAGGCATCCGGATGCAGCTTGCGGTAAGCATCGACGCGGCCCGCGCTCTCCAGGATCTTGGTGAACCCCTCGCGCTCCTCGACCGTAAACCCGGCCGACCGCTTGTTCGTGTCGGGCCGCGCCAAATCGACCGGGTGGTGGGCCACATTCAGATCGCCCGCATACACCACCGGCTTTGTCTTTTCCAGCTCCGCCAAGTGCTCATCCATGTATTTGTCCCACTTCATCCGCCGGTCCAGCCGCACCAGCTTCTCGCCCGCATTCGGCACATAGCAGCCGAACCAGATAAAAGTCCGCAAACTCCACGTTGATCACCCGCCCCTCGTTGTCTGTGCCCTTGGGCTCCAGCCCGTACGTCACCGATACCGGCGCAATCTTCGACAACACCTGCCGTCCCCGCATACCCCTTTTTGGTCTTGCTGCAGTGCCAGTACTGGAACGGATACGTCGTCTTGCTCACCAGGAATGCCGGCGCCTGGTTCATCTTGGTCTCCTGCAGGCAGATCACGTCCGGATCCTCGGCCTTCAGGTACTCTTTCCACCCCTTCTTGCACGCCGCGTTCAGCGAATTCACATTGTACGACACGAGCTTTAGCGTCCCTGCCGGCGCCGGCTCAATGAAGCTGTAATCCGTCGGCATTGTCTTGTTCGTCGGGATCGTGATCTCTGTCGCCGCCTTCTTGGTCGCGTTCAGGGAGGCCGCTGCTGTGATGGCCTTGCGCTTGGTTCCCGCCATTGGATGCGTAGCGGACGATCCGGATCGAGCTCTGGTGATACTGCTGGCGTAAGAGGTTGGGCAAACAACGCGAAATCCAGCTGGGCTTGACGCGTGCAAACAGTAGGCGATTCAATGTGAACGAAGCAATTTTAAAACAAAAAGCTGTTTAGACAAGAAAGCAGTCTGTGGCTTGGCCCCCCACAACCGCCCTTGGCTAGTCTTCAAGCACAACTCAGCCTCCTGCTCGCGCCAAACAAGCGCCTTGATTGCGTGAACACCAGAAAAATACACTTGCTCGCAATACCCTTTTTTTTTTTTTTGCAAATGGCCAGCCGACGACCCGCACAAACGCCGCTCTCGCTCGACCTCGCTGCGCGCTCGCCCGACCCCAGTTCGCAGCACACGCTTTCACCGGCGCCGGCCACGCCGACAGCGCTCAATCCGCACTGGGGGCTGGGGCATATGGGGGTTCCAGGCGGCCACGACCGGTCGGTGTCGCGGCGCAGCTCGGTGGTGAGCACGTCGTCGAGCTTCTTCGACCGCTCGTTCTTCGCCACGCCCGAGACGCGCATCGTCGACCTGGGCAAGAAAACCACCCTCTCCTACGCCACCCTGATGCTCAACCTCTACAACGACATCTCGCTGGACCTGAAGACCGCCGCAGAGGCAAACCGCCGGATTGTCCTGCAGGCCGGTCGCCAGCAAGGGAAAGGCCGCCCTGGCCAAGCCCGATCTGGACAGAACTCACGCCGACCTCGATGATATGCATGCCGCCGTCAGGGAGATTCATGAAACGCAAGAGTTCGCCAGCATCAAGGACCTGCTCTGCCGCTCCCTGCAGGTCTACGAGCAGATCAGGGAGACCCAGCCATTGGCCTCCAGAGCCACTGGCGCCATAAATTAGCACTCTCCGCTGCACCCACCCTCACTAGCACCATTCAGTTTTCTTCTGCTCACCTCTACCCTCCGGCTCCCCTTTCAAACCGCATCTCCTCACTGCCTTCCTACCATGCCTAGAAATGCCGACCGAAACCTCCAGCCAGAGGCTGCCAAGTACGAGGACTGCATGCCCTGCCGCCTCGTTGGCTTTGGCGCTATGGCCGGCCTCTCTGGATACACCATGTATGAGCGCTCGCGCTTGGATCCGATAAAGTTCGCCGCTCGCCGCAGGGGCATGCTTGGTCTGGGCATTGCGCTGTTCGGCGCTGGCTTCTACCGCCTCTTCAACTAGCAGAATGTACCAGAGATAAAAATTCCATATTTTGCGCAAGTTAGAGTAAAAAAAGGTTGGGAATGAAAATGAAAAACATTGTACAAGGATATTGGTTGGAGATTTTGCACGTTCGAGTACCTCACGCGTGTGGCTGCGAGACTGCTGCCTGCGCTGCCGAGACTGCCGCACCCGCCTCACCACCGTGTGGCTGGTGCTGCGCCGGAGCTCCAACGGGGTGGATACTCTTGGCCACCGCCTGCAGAATCTCTGCGATCTGCGCCGACCGCTTGGTGAACGGCCGGTCCCAGAAGCTGTAGTACGGGTTGCGCAGCAGCTCAATCAGCGTCACCAGCAGGCCCCACGGGAACGGCCGGTTCACCAGGATCCGCTCCACCAGTGCCCTGGCAATGTGCTCGCGAACACGCTCGTCGCTCTTGGAGAACAGCGCCAAAACAATGCGCGAGCACAGGTACGTGTGCGACGACGGGAACCGCAGCTGGTTCGCAATCGCGTTGACCAGCAAGTAGCTGGCCTCGGCGTCAGCCTCGCTCAGCATCTGCCGGAACATATCCAGCGCCAAGCGCTGCGACGTCTCGCGAGCAGCACTGTCCTCGGTTCCCGTGATCGTCACCACTGCATGCAGCACAAATGCGTTGATCAGCCCCACGCTGTAGCAGCTCTCACTCGGCACCGCCTGCTGCCCACCGACCGCCTGCTTCGCAAGCAGCCGCGCACCCATGGTCTTGACTGCCGTGCCTGGCGCCCCAGTCTTCAGATACTGCTCAAGCACGTCCTTCAGCTCGGCCTTCTCAAGGTCTGCAGTGTATTCGAACGGAATCGGCGGGCTGCGCGACACATCGGGCAGCAGATCGATCTTCAGGTTCGGTGTCAGCGGCTCAGGCAGCCGCATCTCTCGTGGATATGCGCTCAGCAGCAGATTGCGCAGCTGTACGCAGTTGGTGGGAATTCCGTTGCACAGGCTGAGCGCATACTCGGCCAAGAACTCCGGGTAGTCGTGCAGAACAACCAGGATCACGCATACCATGCCGCGGTACAGCAGCTTCAGCGAGTCAACCACCTGGTTCGCCACAATGAACGGCTGCAGGAACCCAATCAGCTCTGCCAGCAACTGCGACGCCAGCGGCCACAGCTCCTTCTCCTGCATCAGCAGCGGGAAGAAGTGCCGATGCGACACCAGCATCAGCCACGAGAAGCTGAAGCCAGGCACAAACGACGGGTTAAGCAAAGCCAGCGAGTCGCCGATCACTTGCACGGTCTCGCGCATATTGCTGCCACCACACCACGCCTCGCCTGCACGCCGGCACACGTTGAGCTCGTGGAACAGGCTGGCTACAATGCGGAACAGCGGCCGCTGGTGCGCGCCAAACACGTCCGGCTGCGTCGCGTGCGTCTGTACAATAACCAGCACAACGCTTGACAAAAATATGCGCAGGATGCCTGTGTCCACCTTACCATCGCTATCCTTGGGCCCAAGCTTGATCAGGTACACCACAAGCTTCGCCAGCGCATCCGCCACCTGGTATCCGATGCCCGACGTCGAGCTGCCAGCCCGCGCACCAGCACGAGCCGCGACGATCGAGCGGCTATAAAAGTCAACCACTGACTCGATGTTGGCACAGAAGAACGCTGCCGAGACATTGTGGTCATGTAGCGGGACCTGCTGGCTCAGCTGCTGCACCAGCGTAGTCAGCTCAGCTTCACTGGCTGCTGGGTGCTCGCACACGCGCGTCCAGTTGTACAGGATCTGCTGGTAACTTGCTGCCTCTTGGCTACGTGCTGAGGCAGGGATAATAGGTGCGCCGGGTGTGGCATTGGCCGCAGGAGCCACTGGAATGACAGGCGCCGCCTCAGCTGGGACAGACTGTTGTACCGGTGGCTGTTGCTGTTGCTGCTGTTGCTGCTGGGCCTGTGGCTGTGGCTGTGGCTGCGGCTGCTGCTGCTGCTGCAGAGCCTCAGGAGGTGCCTGGGAGCCACCATCCTGGGAATGCCGCGGGGTGCGGCTAGCCTGCTGCGACGCTTGGATATCTTCAAGCAGCTGCGTAACGGCCTGCGGCGCCCGGCCGCTCTGTGCCAGGGCCACAAACGCCTGGATTGCCTTCGGGAATGTCTGGGCTGTTGCCGGGAGAGCGCCCTCAACAACAGCGCGACGCACAAACTTCACTGCGTAGTCGATCGCCTGCAGGAAGCCGCCCTCGATGTGCCGGGCAAGGCGCGCGTCCTCGTCGGCAGTGCTTAGCAACCGCTCGTTGATCAGTGCAAGCGCTACTGGCACGTTGTCCTTGCGATCGTCGTCAGCGTAAGCGAGCCAGCTCATCACCTCCTTGGCCACACGTGCCGACTGCTCGCAAACGCGCGCAAGCAGCAAGACGTACAGACCGATGCCCAACTGCGTCTCTGAGCGGTACAGGTAGTTGACCAGCGCGTGGGCAAAGTCCATCGATGTGTCCTCAAGACTAACAGAGCGGTGCTGCAGCAGCAGGATATCCCTGGCAAGCATGCAGACCTCGTGGTCAGATGGAAGCGAGGCCAGCGTGATGTTGGGCGTTGCTGTCGACATAAGCTTGTCCAGCTCCGCCAGCTTTGCTGCAAACTGGTCAAAGCACTGCTGGACCGCCATCTTGGGTCCTGAATCGCCAGCCCCATCGCCACCATCCGGCGAGACAAGTGCGGTCTCATCGGCGACTTGCGACAGAGCAGATGCCATAGGTGCTGCTGCACCACCCGGCACCGCGTTGTGGATCTGGCTGAAGAAGTGCGGAATCTGAGTAAAGTCCTCATAGACGCGAAGATGCCCGGGCTGCAGGCCGTTCAGACGCACCTTGAGAACATCGGGGAAGTCTGGCGGGTAAGCCAGGCGCCCATACCGAGCAATGTCGTAGTACGGCTGGCCGGTGCGCTCGCGTGTGCGCTTGCGAGCGACATACGCATCGCTGAGCAGAGTGTCGATCTGGATTGAAGCACGCTCAATCGACTCCTTCTCAGCAATGGCGCAGGCCAGGTCCAGGTTGTCGGCGACAAGCCCCACAGCGATGTTGTTGGCCGTCTGCTCGGGGATCGAGTGGCCGATCAAAAACTCGCGCATCGTCAGATACAGCTTGTTCTTCAGCTGCTCGCGGCAAAGGCTAACTGCCAGTGCGCCTGCCAATCCGCGTGCCATGACCTGAGCAGCGCGGTGCACATGCTCCTCGTTGGGCTCCCCACAAAAGTCCTTCTGGATTGTGTCGCGCGTGCAGCTGACGGCAACATAGATCGAGCGAGCCACGTGGATTGGGATGATCTCGCGGATCATGCGCTCCATCAGCATGTAGAACACCTTCTTCATCGTCGGCTGCTGCGTGAATAGCGCTTCGGCCGCCTGGAACAGCGCATGCTGAGCAAGCACTCCGAGGATATCGACGTTGATATCGTTGCCAGTGAGCGTTGGCATCTGAATCACGCTGTTGCCAGGGCCATATGGGCCGGGGGTACCGGCACCCACTGAGCTGCGTCCGCCGTTGCCACCGATCGATACCTGTGCCATATCCATCGTTAGAGAGTCGATGGCGCCGCGGGCCTTGCTGCTGAGCAACGACGTCGGTGCAATATCCTTCACGTCCAGGTTCAGTGCCTTGCACAGAACCTCAATCTCGAACGTCAGATTCAGCTTCAGGTTGGCAGTCACGTACAGCTCGGCCAGCACGCCCATGATGCTCATAAGCCACGGGTTGGGCGAGTGGAAGATCGTTGAACGCGCAGCCTGCTCAAGCACTTTGCACACAAACGGAATTGCGACAAGAAGACGTCCGCCCTCGAATCCCTCGCATAAGAGGTCCTTGAATGACACGTTCTCGCGCAGAATCGGCTGGTTTCGGGCTAGGGTGATGCCGCCAAGCCAGGCGCCAAGGTTCTTTAGGTACCCGCGGTCGCGCGAACTGCTGATAGTGCTCTCGGCGTTGAGCAGCAGTGCTACACTCGACAGGGTCTCGCGTAGAATGCACTGGTTGAGAAGCGGCCGCTCCAAGGCGTCGACAAACTGCTGGTACAGAGAGTGGTAGTTGGGCTCCTGGCTGGCGCGCTTGACAATGATGTCCTGGCTGAACCAGACATAGTGCTTTGGCTGCAAGACCTTAGCCACCTCCTTGGTTTTCTCGACCAAGTTGGTCTGCGACAGGTTGTTCACTGCAAACTGGATCTTGTCCTTGGCGTCTTCCCGAGGCTCAACAAACGGCTCTCCAATATCCGGAACTGCCGATGGCTGGACGCTGCGGAACAACTGGGACCCAGGCGTTGCCGAGCCGCCATCGTGAGACCGAACCGCTTGGGTGGCAACTGAGGCTGACCGATTGGGGACAGAGCCTGGGCGACTGCCGTTGCCCGACTCGCTTGTAGCCCCGGGCTGCGGGACCGACGACGAAACAATCGAGTGAATCAGGCGGATGGCAGGCGACGTCGTGTTCTGGCGAATGGCTGGAATCATGTAGATCCCGGTGCAGAAGATGGGGAGCTGCTCGATGCGCTCTGGGAATCCCTCCAGGGCCGCCATGCCAAACCTGAAAGGGTTGGAGTCGGGCGCCGACTGCAGTGCCCTGACAAGCATGTCGAGCATTGCTGACTCGCTGACTGGTCCCAGCATGTGGCGCTGTATCAGCCCTCCAACCAGCTGGCCAGTGATCTTGAGCTCCTTTGCCGGGTAGTTGTTGAAAAACGCAAATTCCTCCAGCGGATACTGCACGACGTGTGCGTACACCTTGCGCATGTACAGCTGGAACGAATCGCGCAGTTCGCCCAGAACATCGACCATCCGATCAACCGACTGCTCGCCGCGGTACAGACGCAAGAACAGGTTCTCTGCCTCCTTCTCGATGCGTGCGTCGTCGTTTCCATGCATGTTTTCCGCGCGATCAAGCTCCCCAGCCAGCTCAGTGAACTGCATGTAGAGCGCCTTTAGGTTAGCTGTGTTGTTGGGCGACATGGGCATCAGGCCGAGCGCCTTGAAGATCGTTGTCAGCTCGGATGACAGATACGCCGTCATACCCGTGTCCTCGTTGCGCTGGCGGGCAGCCTCAAGCTGGATCTTGCCGTGCAGAATCTCAAGCGACACATGAAGCATGTCATTACCAAGCTCCTCCAGCAGATTGGTGAACCAGGACTCAAACTGGATGTAGCCACGGCGAGATGCAAACACGGCCAGCTCGATAATGAAGTCGAGCATCATGATGTCCTCGCGCTTCGGCGCCAGCACCAGCTCGTTGAAGATGCCAAGATAGAGCAGTGTGTCCAGGATGAAGCGGACAAACGACTGGTCCTTGCGCTGCAGGTTGCAGAAGAACGCAAGCATGACCTTCTTCTCGCAGACACGGAACAGCTCAAAGAACAGCCGGCTGTTGGACAGCTCGCGCTTCAGGAACAGCACGACATTTTGCTGGAGCAACGTCTGCAGGCGCGGATGCTGCACCTTGAGTCTGGCAAGTGCCAGCGTGACAAGCAGCGGCTCGGTGGCGATTCCGTGGTCAAGCAAAGCGCGCGCGTCGTCACCGGCAGCGCTGTCAAGCAAGTGCGACAGGGCGAGGATTAGCGAGAGCGAGTTCCACGGCGAATTCAGCATGCGCGAGAATTCGGTGTGGTAGACCAGGTACAGAGTCTCCAGCGGCTCTGCCGAGACAGTCGGCATCTGCTTGTCGACCAGGTGCGGTGCCATCGCGCTCGAGTGCAGTGCGAAGTGGAGGAACGCCACCTGCGCCTGCGAGTTGGGCCAGATCTCGTACATAAACGCGCAGGGGAATACTTTTCCCTGGCCAGCAGTGGCTGCGACATATGTGCTGACAATGAACAGAGCCCCGGCCTCGTCGCGCACGTTGAGGCTCGACTTTGAGAGTTTGTATATGACATCATCCCAGCTCATGTTCGGGCAGAACTGGCGCACGCCCTTGGCGAAGTTTTCTGCGCTCCACCCGTCTTTATTGTCGACGCTTGACGCGATCAGCGCCATCGCCTGTGCCACGTCGTCGGTCGAGAGTAGCCTTGCTACCATATCGCCGCTGTGCGCGTCGCTGCTTGCTGTCTGGCTTTTGACCAAGTCGGCAATAACGTCCGCTACTGCGACATTGGAGCCTTTGCTTGCCAGATGTTCGGCTAGGCCCATGTTGGCTGTGTGTGGTGTTGGTGGTGTTGTAACTGAAGCGCCGCTGCCGCTAATCAGTGCAAGGTTGCTGATAACAAACGAGGCAATGGGAGGGTGTGGGTCTGGGAGCTGCCGGTGTTGGTCGGGGAACCGTGAGAGTAAGCTGCCAAGAAGTATCCGCGACTGAGCAGCGAGGGTAGCGTTTGTCGAGTTGTAAAGTGTTGAAACAAGAGCAGTGGATGCCCAGTAGTCGTTGTCGATGAGCGCGAGTATTTGCTGAAGCGTAACAGGGGGCTCGCTGCCGGGTGTATCGATTGCTTGAAGTAAGAGGCCGACAGTGGCGAGTGAATCGGAGGCTGAGCCAAGTGTCCCTTGAATGGCCGAGGCTACTGTGTCAGCGTTTGCGTGGAGTCTCGGTGCTTGAGTGTCTTCTTCTGGAGCTGAAAGCAGACCGTGAACAGTAAGCAAACAGCGCAGAAAGTAGATAAGAATGGAATGGCCCTGTTTGCGTACGAGCTACAAGCAAAAGCAGAGCGTGTGTCGGAGTTCATAAGGGACGGCAGCTTGGACGAGAAAACACCCTCTGGGACGCAGACCGCTTGCCCACCACTTACCTCGCTAACCCGTTGCTGGCAGTCGTCTATGTTGGTGCTGTCTAGTTTGGCGACAAGTGCAAAGATGTCCGAATTCGCAGTGATTTCTGCTTGGCTGTGAATCGGCTGCGAGAAAGAATCTATCGAGAAAAGAGTCAAAAAAGAAACGGACCGTGAGCTGAATGCTTACAGAAGCAATATTCTATTTCGAATTACGTAGTGGCCAACACTGTACCCATCAAGAAAAAGGAGTGCAATCTGTTGAGAGAGAAAAATGGCAGAGAAATTGTTGCGGGAGGGAAGGGGGAGCTGGAACAAGCGGTGCAGAATATTCAGTCACCAAGCTGTGCCGCCCGCCCGTGAGCCTCACCAATTTACCCCTTCTTTTTAATGCCCGAGCTTGACGCGTTTCTGCCACAAGCTGGACGCCAGGAGGAGAGGCTCAGCCAGTTGTCTCGCCAAAGACGCGTGAGCAGCTGCAAGATTTCTTACCGTTGCGATGTATTTTTGTACCTTTTGGTATTAGAAGAAAAAAAAGTCGCAATCGGAGAAGAAATGGAAGGATATTCTACAAACCAAATTTCAGCAAGCAAAAAGACGGGTCAGGTTGCCCCGTCGCCGCTGGCGTAACCACCCACGACGCCAGCACCGGCTAAACCAAGCGACTGAGCAGACGATCCGCCTGAGCTGATTGGCGAGCCGCAACTCATTGGGCGGGCGGCTCGGTCCTGACCGATAATGACGGATGACTGGACATAGGTGCTAGCCACATGCAGCCCTGCCTCCGCTAACTGCGGCCAACGCACACGACGTGGTGCATTGATATGTCGCGAGATATATTAGAAGTGTGGTAAATACGTAGTCTGCAGCTTATGCCCTGGTCTCGGTAAACTCGCCCTTCTCGACGTCAGGGCTGCCATCGAGCTCCTCCCGATCGGCCTTCTGGAAGACCTTGCCGCGCTCCTCACGGCCGATGATGACGAGGATAAACACGATCGCAAAGATGATTCCTATGAGAGTCCCTTGGGTGCGGCCATAGTCTGGGATGCGCTTGCCGTCGCGCAGCTCAGGCAGCGGGTTTTTCTCACCGAGCTTGGCTTCGATCTGGCTGGCACTGGCCGAGATCAGGTTACCGAGCTGGTATGACAGGCCAGGGAAAGTGGAGCGGAATGCAGCAGGCGAAATCTCGCTGAGGTACACCGGAATGACGCCCCAGGCGCCTTGGACAAACACCTGCATAAAGAATGCACCGGCAAGCAGCGGGCCATATCTCTGGGGCAGGATCCATAGCGGGATGAAGCAGGCGCCGCAGATGCAGCAGAACGCAATGGTGCGGCGACGGCCAAAGTACTCTGAATTGTACCCAAAGATGATTCCACCGACAATAGCGCCCAGATTACCAACGACCGTGCCAATGGTAGCCTGTCTGGGCGTGTAGCCATGCTGCTTTTTCAAGAAGGTCGGGTATAGATCCTGTGAGCCGTGCGACATAAAGTTCATACCAGCCATCAGGATGATAGAATAGATGCAGCGCAGCCAGTGCTTCTTGAGCATGTCAATTGCCGTCTGGTACATGCGCTTGGACTTGCCACGCTGGGTGGCACGGTTAGCCAGCCATACGTCAGTTTCCTTGAGGAAGTACGCCAGTCCAATGGTAACGACAGCCGGGATGATTGAGATCCAGTACAGCGCGCGCCATCCCAGGTTCGGCACAACCGCATAGTAAAGCAGCGCGGCAATCAGATTCCCAACCGCATACCCTTCTTGCAGGATGCCAGAGAAGATTCCGCGCGACGCGACCGGCAGCGTCTCCATCGCCAGCGAATTACCCAGTCCCCATTCGCCGCCCATCAGGATACCGTAGACCGCGCGAAGTCCGATAAACGTCGACAGGTTCTTGGAGAAGCCTGATGCCAGCTCAATAACGGTGAACAGGAACAGGTTTGCCATGAGCGGGATCCGGCGGCCGTAGCGATCCGCGATGACGCCGAAAATCAAGGCGCCGATCGGGCGAAGCATCAGAGTAGTGGTGATCGCACTAGTGACGTCCGAGACCTCACAGTCAAACGAAGCAGCCAGCTCGGTGGTAGTCATGGATACGCAGAAAAAGTCGATAGCATCAACCATCCACCCCAGGAACGCGACCGAGAACGTGAACGCCTGGCGCGGTGTCAGCTTCATCAGCTCCAGCGGATTCTGCCGCGCCAGATGGAAATTGGGCTTCTCGGTGAAGAACTCCTTGATATGGTCAAACGTGCCAGGCTTGCTGTCCGAGACAACGTCGGGCGTCATCTCCTGGACAGTAGCCTTCTCTTCGATGATGCTGCCAGCCATTGCCAGGTACCAGAGTGAAGCTGAACAGGATAGTAAGGCGAGTATTAGTCGTAGCGCAAAGTAGCAGAGAGCGATGTTCCTATGCTAATTGGGTTCGGCGATACAATGATAGTGTAGCAGCCCTAGCAGACAAGGAAATAAATAGTTGCTGGGTGGTAATTGATGCTAGGCTGTGGAGAGGTGGGGGACGGAGATGGCTTGCAGGCGCTGCTTTATAAGGAGGCTGCTGCACAGGCACCATCCCGCCCATTGCGATTTCTTCACATGAGGGCGTGTTTTGCCAATACAAGTCACGGAGCGGGGCTAGTATGCAGCGGCGTGTGCCCTCCCTAGTCTCGTTTAGCAGGCGTTTTGCTGCTGCAGTTCTGGAGAAATAATTTCCCCTTTTACTACAATGTACAGGTTGAAGACGCCTTTAGTGCCCTCCCTATCATGTTGCAGACATACTGCTTTCAGAATGGGATTGGCAGTGGGACACGGTTCGTGTGAGATGGAAGATGCATTGATCGACACACTAGCTAGTGCTTTTTCGACGTTCTATTCTAGGAGTCCTGCCCGAGATGACGATTGTAGGTAGAGGAACAGCGAGAAAGGAGAGAGGGACAGGCGTAGTTGCCACTTGGAATAGCGAGGCGTATATTTGTTTCCGGCAACCGGCAGCGGTTATGCATTGGCTATCCTATGCCTTGGGTGGTCTACAGCTGCCTTGGGAACAGCGAGTGTGCTGCAAGAAGACTACTAGATGGATGCCACTCAATGTGCATGTACTGTTATGTACAGCAAGGAATAGACACTCGCATGAGCAACCACCATACTCCCAGTGCCTTTTGTGAGCGGGGGTTGGGCGTACTCGAACGACGTAGCTCTCAAGTACTTTTCCTACTGGCAGCTTCTTGCACCCTCGGCAGATTTGAAGGCCGAAGACCGAGTGCTATACCGATTGCAATATTTTTTCTCTGCAGAAAACTCCTGATGGATTGGTCAATCTGCGCATGCACGGGCGTGTCACACCAGACGGCTCCTGCCCAATCTGGGTATGCCTATCTGGCCGTCACCACCACCACAGTATTTCACAGCGAGACATCAGCAATTCACATGACCTGAGCACCATCCTGCCTTATCGCTTGCCAGCTGCTGCCATCGCCACAGTTCCGTCTGTTCTACCCTTTTTGGCGGCCGGTGCACGGATATGCACCCTAGATTACATTGCATTTGCCTGTGTGCAATTGCGTTATATCCAGCAAAGTCGCTCGGGTCACTGACCATAGTTGCTGGTGTCTACCCGTGCCGATAATCTGTGCTTGGCAATTTTTTGCAGTCATGCACTGGTGCTGGATGCATCCTTTTTCACTCGCACATATTCAGGCTGGGCAGCAATGGAGTTCGTTCAAGAGCATCTTACCGCCATAATCAAGGGGATTCGGCGAAATGCAGAGGACCGTCCAGTCCTGGCGCGCCTGACACGCCCGGGTCGGCAAACCTGCAAGCAAACAGAAATCTCTACTGCAGACGTATCCGAGCTCTACATGCTGCTCGGGCGCGACCGGACGCGCATGGCACTGGAGCTAGTTGACCGCGGGGTTGTGTGCATGCACAATGGCAGCCGCAACGTATTTAGGGTGCGGCGCCACGCAGACGAGCTCGACCTCGACTCGTGCTACTGCCTGCTGCCCGGGTGGTTCTGCAATGCATGCGCTGCAGACAGCTCGGCTGGGGCAGCGCTGCCATGTATCCACGTCGTCGCGGTGTTGCTGGCTGTGCTCCAGGGCAAGTGCACCGCCGAGCAGGTGCCAGCCGATGATCTGGCGGTAGTAATCTTCAGCCACGTGTGAAATCAGCGCAGCCGATCACCTGATTACATTTTTGAAACGCGACGAAAATTTTTTTTGCAGGGGTGGGCGAGGGGGCTGTCAGGTATCGCGCGGCTTTTGCTCTAGCCCAACAATCAAGCAGCTTTAATGGATATAGTGGTCGCTGGTTGGCTTAGGTGGGTCTCTGGCCTGCCAGTTGGGGGCGGCCGAGAGGTAGAGGGGCGAGACTTGGGCAAAGAGGATATTTCCTCTCTTTTTCCTCCTCTTTAACGGCTTTATTTTCTTTATACAGTAGTATATAACGTCGCTTACACGGTCAATTTCGTTCTACTCTCTAGTTAGTTACGAAATTCAGGACATCTCGCTCGCAGCCTTTTAAAACAAAAAACCCAGAAAGCAAAAACCAACCAAATTCAAACATGGCTGAGTAAGTATTCAGGCAGCACTAGCAGCACACAGCACCACCAGCAGCGGCAACGCCGGCGTAGATGCTGCACCACAGGGGGATTTAGCGAGCTGGCTCTGGGCCCCTGACATGAGTTTGACTTCCGGGGTCCTGGAGAAGGCTTTTGCACTTCCTGTCCCCGACTTCTGACCATAAAACACTGTGCTTATACCCCCTCTCCGTTTTGTAATGCCCTCCCTTTTCTAGCCAGACCTTCAACGATATCGATGCCAAGGAGATCTCCACCAACTGGGAGGAGTCCGTTAACTCGTTCGACGACATGAACCTCGACGACGACCTGCTCCGCGGTATCTACGCATACGGTTTCGAGCGTCCCTCGGCCATTCAGCAGCGCGCCATTGTGCCCGTCCTCAAGGGCCACGACGTGATTGCCCAGGCCCAGTCGGGTACCGGTAAGACCGCCACCTTCTCGATCTCGATCCTGCAGAAGGTTGATCCCGCTCTGAAGAAGACCCAGGCCCTTGTCCTGGCCCCCACCCGTGAGCTGGCCCAGCAGATCCAGAAGGTCATTGTTGCCCTCAGCGAGTTCCGCAACATCAACGTCCACGCCTGCATTGGTGGTACCCGCATTGCCGACGACCAGGCCGCCTTCAACGCCGGTGCCCAGATCGTTGTCGGTACCCCTGGCCGTGTGTTCGACATGATCAACCGCGGTATCTTCGATACCAGCTCCGTCAAGCTCTTTGTCCTCGATGAGGCCGATGAGATGCTGTCGCGCGGTTTCAAGGACCAGATCTACGAGGTCTTCCAGCTCCTGCCCGCTGAGGTCCAGGTCGTCCTGCTCTCGGCCACCATGCCCACCGACGTGCTTGAGGTCACCACCAAGTTCATGCGCGACCCGATCCGCATTCTTGTCAAGCGCGACGAGCTGACCCTTGAGGGTATCAAGCAGTTCTACATCTCGGTTGAGCGCGAGGAGTTCAAGTTCGACACCCTGGCTGATCTCTACGAGACCATCAACATCACGCAGGCCGTCATCTTCTGCAACACCCGCAGAAAGGTTGACTTCCTGACCGAGAAGCTCCGCGAGCGCAGCTTCACCGTCTCCGCCATGCACGGTGAGATGGAGCAGGCTCAGCGTGAGACTATCATGACCGAGTTCCGCTCGGGCTCGTCGCGTGTCCTGATCACCACCGACCTGCTTGCCCGTGGTATCGATGTGCAGCAGGTGTCGCTGGTCATCAACTACGATCTGCCCACCAACCGCGAGAACTACATTCACCGTATTGGTCGTGGTGGTCGTTTCGGCCGTAAGGGTGTCGCCATCAACTTTGTCACCGACGAGGATACCCCCGCCATGCGCGAGATCGAGTCGTTCTACAACACCCAGATTGACGAGATGCCCGGAGACGTTGCCAGCCTCTTCTAAGCAGTCTGTCTGTTAATATAGTGTTTGTTTTCATCCGTCACGTCGCCCAAAACTACATTCACGCGTCCACCTAACCTCTGCAGCAACCTCAATTAAAACAACATTTGCCCATGCCACCCCGCTGCCCTTTATCATATGGCGGCAGTGCTGCCGTGGGTTCCACGCCTGCAATGGCGCTGGCCAAATGCCATGGACGCTGCCTGCAACGGCGATCCTGCACTTGCGACGCTACTAGCACTTGACAAGGGCGAAGAAAATGCGTGGTCCCAGGGGCGAGGCTATTGGCTGGCTTTCCGCCTTAGCGGCAAGCAAAGGCCTCCTCTGAAGCCACTGCGGTGCACTTTCTTTTCCCCTCTGCTTTCCTGCGCGTGCTTCTCTCTTTAAACCAGTCCACAATACTGTCGGCCGGCCTTAGCCCTTTTTGTCTCTCCCGCTCTCCACCCCCGTTTCTGCCTCTATACCTTGGCTACGCTAGTGTTCTCGGCACATTGCTCAGCACCAGTTCTGCTCTCAATTTACCCCCCTTCCGTGTGCGAAATCTACTAAGCGTGCTTCCTTTTACAAGGGGGCTTTTTCACTGCTGATACGCGCCTAGTTTCAGTTAACGCAATTTAGGCGACACCTAATTGCAGAGGTGACCTAGCCTATGGAGGTGCCGCGGACAAGCAGCTCAGCATCGGCAGTACCACCGGGAACCAGCACCGCAGCAATGTCGACACACCCGGCACTGAGCATTCTGGACCAGCCAGACTTTTTGGCCAATGTGGAAAAGTTCCGTGGCCACTTTGGCACATCCTCCCATGAGCCACACCGCGACGGCTACACGTTCCTCCAGCTCCCCAAGAACACGCCTGGCCACCCGTCTGCCAAGGCACCCAGGGCAGCCGTACAGAAGCCGGTTTCTGCAGTATCGCCGTCTACGAGCCATGCGACGCACGCAACTGCACAGGCTGCGAGGGCGCCAGCTCGTCCGGCACTAGCCACACAGGTGAACACCACAAGGTAGGTTTTGGTGGGGCAGCCAGGGGTGGCGTTATGACACGGACGATCAGAAACAATTGGTCTGTTTAGCGGCCACACTTGTATATTATCGGCATTACTAATTTTCATATCATTCTCTGGCGGGGAGTTCCCACATTCTTATCCCTCGTTGTGGCATTCTTTCATGTAGCAGCATGCAGAAAGGCGAAGAGTAAGTTATTTGTGCAGCTGGCTGTTGGCGAAATGAAAGGTCGATCAATGCGATGTGGCGAAACGGACAGGATATTTTCCTGCGGGATGGGCAGCCGGGGAGGTGCAATTAGGAATGCTGCCCGCCATGCATGTCCAACATTTGGGGAAGGAGAATTGACACATTATGCCCTTTACTCACATGACGTTTTGCACTCACACCTCGCACCGCTTTATATCTGTAGCACGTTTGACCATCTGATGAAGCTGGTCACAACCAACAGCCCGCCGGCAACGACAGCTGTATCAGGTGCCAAACATGGCGATGCAGCAATCGTACACACTCCGACGACTCACAAGACCGTGCTGGCCTCGGAGGCACAGGACCGTGCAAACGCAGTGCTCCGCCCACCGCTGCCGGCGCATCTGAGGATCAATGTTCCCGAGCTTGACTCGTTGAAGAGGATGCGGGAAGAGATGCAGACAATGAACAAAACGCTCGAGCAGCGCAACAGGGCCCTGGCAAGCCAGAAGCAAGCCAGCAAGGCTGCCCGGCAGACTAACGGCACGGTACGCACCACCAGCACAGAAGGCAGCCGCGTAAGCCGATGCAGAGCGAGCGTACAGACACGCCCAGTGCCAGCCTAAACGCCCTGGAGCCAATGGCAGCAACAGGTGTAAAGCGCATGGTGCCAAGTGACTTCACGGTGACCCTTGTCTATGAACAAGCGCATCCGCCGCGGTTTAATAGATGCCATCAAGAACGGATCAGTCATCACAGATCCGTTCGCAATGGACATTTGCGACGATGAAGAAGCCCTGTCGCCCGACAACAGGCGTGTACGTAAAGAGCCTGTATTTTCCAAAGGCGACAGTGACAGACGGGTCCGTGAAAGTGCTGGGCGGACTCGGTCGCGGTCCACCACTCGCCAGCGCAGCAGGGAGCGGCAGCGCAGTCGGGACCGCGACAATCGTGCCCACAGCCGCGAGAGCCGCGACGGTAACCCGCGCAGCCGTGACCGTGGTCGTGAGTCCATCGACATGGGTGATGAATTGCAGGCGTCGAACGCGCCAGCAAACCGTCCAGTGGGGCTCAGTCAGCAGCGCTGGCTCTGTATCGATGCAACGGACGCCCAGCACAAGTAGTGTAGCTATGTCAGTAACCGAGTCCGTTGGATCCCGCAACGAGCAGCATGTGAGGCGGCAAGGGGAATGGCTGCGCGAGCTGATGCGCAAGTTCAAGCGCTCCGGCGACTAAACTAAAAGGAACCAACAACCCACAGTGCGTCGGCTATTATATCGAGTCGCTCGTGTGCTGTGTCGAGAGCTTCTGGAGCATGTCGGCGATATCGGACCTGAAGATGAAGAGTGACCAGTGGAACTCGATCATGCAGATATACAGATTTGTATTCAAGGAGTCCCGCGACAAACACATGAACTCAATAGCCTGGTCTGGCTGCACTGATCATGGCGTGTGCGTACCACCAGCTCAGCATCAACTCCAATCACCTTGCCACTGTGCTGGACGACGATGCAGGAATGAAGAGGGCTGTCGCTGATACCCGCAAATACTTCCTCGAGATGAACAAGTGGGAAAACATGAGTCGTCAGATGCTCACTGCTGAGGTTCTCAGCCGCGAGTTCCCAAGAACTTGGAACAACTGCCTGTTGCCCATCAGCAACCTTGACCAGTTTGAGCTGCGGTCGCGGCCGAACACAGAGTTCTGGCCAGCAGTCGCCTACCCGGTTGGCCCGACATCCAACCCACTGGACATAGCCAACTTTGCGCGGCAGGTTAACCGCGAATGGCTTGAATCGCAGGGACTCTCATTGAGGATGCCAGACAATATGCATGAATTCTAATCCCCTTTAGTCCCAGGAGTCAGCAGTAGCTTTGCTTATTATTAGCCCCAAATGCCAGTATGCTTTAATTGACAACTACGCATGTGAACGCATTGCTGCAAATGGAGGCTAGCTGATAATATACATGATGGCTACAATATGTACTGTGTTGTGTATTTCTCATACGCCAATTCATTCGGCAGATGGCTGGATATGGTGGTCGCATATTCTTCATAGCTGAGGAATGCATGTCCAATAGTAACCGTGTTCAGGTTTCTTGTACTTGAGGAAGGCCCACACTAGTCCATGGTTAGAAAGGATCACATCATTTCACACGGGACAGGCAAACCATTTCGAGTTGTAAAGACTGCGCGCAGCTATATGCCACCATCATGTGGGAATTGGGTTCATGTTACTAATGGGCATGACACAAATGCGAACGACATGGCATAGGCACCCCCTGCCTTTTGTGGTCCCCTTTATGTCTATGCCATCCCAAAAGTACGCAGCTCCAATACTAAGGCCGATCAAGGTTGGCTGGGAGGTGGTCATTCTGGGAAAATGTTCAGTTAATGATATCGATTTCACTACTATGGCTTTTTCCTAAAGTGGTGTCTGCTGCTCAGCACCTTCCTGTTCTCGTCTTGGGGTGCATTGTCGATTATTTTGTATACGCAAAACTTGCGAATGGCAGTCACCACGAAGAGGCAGTAGTCTACAGAATTATCCAACTCTCTCAACTAAATCAAGCTTCATCTGACGGAGTTGCCTTCCCAATCCTCGAAACATTGGTTTTCCATGGCCTCTATCTGTTTGTAGATAACACTCTATTGTGTGGAGCCAAGCAGTCACTTGCTTCCCTAGACATGCATGTTTTGGATAATACTATCAAAGTATACAAACGGGTCAACTTGCTGGACAAGAGACGGTTAGTAGCACTAAATTGGGTGGCATATATTAATTCTAGCAGCAGCCAACCTAAGATTTCCACGGACAACATCACGCTTTTACTCTGCACCTTCCGCTATACACCGGTGATTAAGCTCAGCGACAGCCTCGATATTGACTTCACCATTGTTTACCCGAACATCAGACTGTCAGTGTCTTGAAAATCCCTGCGCTAGGAATCTACACGTGAGGAGATTCTCCACCTAATTGGGACGCTGCCACTCGTCAAAGTACTTGCCGTGGGTTGTCGCCGACATACTCCTCCGGAGAGATGGAAACCAGTATGCAAAGAGAAGCCAGATATCAAAGAGATCTAGTCGTGTCTTCAATGGGGATCGGCTGGCTCATTAAAAATGGCTGCCAGACTATAGCCTGCGAGGATATGGCAGCTGCTACTGGTCCCCCATCTCTCGAACGCTACAGTGTGTTGGCATCAGCCTGGAACAACCAGGTGGAGGTGTGCAAGCTGCCTGTCTGATGGTCATTCTGGTGCTACGCTGTCCCTCAATCCACACATTTCTATCCTTTTTCAGTAAAAATTTCGCCACGTCCCGCTCTGAACTCATGGGCTACAGCATCTTCGCTGGACCTGTCTCTCGTTTGAGCACCGCCCGCCCCTAGGCTTTCTTGAGATGCTTCATTTACTCATTCTCATTGGAACTATATCCCTTCAGAAAGCTTCATAGCATATATCCAACCAAGCATTCAGTCAAGCAAATAGGAAATGCTATCTGCTCTGCTTTTAGCGAGTGATATCCATGTTTATGTAATAAAATGTTGACGAGCACCGATGAAGTTGTTTGATGTTGAATATTATGAATTTGCAGTCTGCAATATATGAAAATTGCAAGAACTATGAACGGGTACTAGTAACTTTCTAACCCATATTCAGTATCCAGTCAAAGAGTTCATCAAGAGACTGGGCTGACGATGAAGCTACCAAGCTGGTTGATTATGCAACTGTCTATCACCAGTGGACGAGCTGATTGGTGTCACTGCGTATCCTCTATTAGCACTAAGCCTTCGAGACAGTGTAGTAGCAAGTAGATAAGTATAAAGCTTCGGTACGCTTAATTCGTAGATTGTGAATGCTATGGACACATTGCCTGAATCTCTTGGACCAGATCCGCTTGGCGTTGCTATGGCGAGAACCTGTAGCTGGTGTCGGCTGCAGCACATGCCCGCTAAGTGAATCCAGAACAGACCCACTTGCCTGTTCAGGATACCGCAAAATAGCAACAGGTATATTCTTCGTTTTTGGGACCGCCAAGGTATGCCAAGCGCCGGTCTTGGAGGTCTCCTGGCAGGCACGCCCCTATTTTTAGCTGGCTGGAAAAGAAAGATTGCCAGTACTTGGAAAGCGAGGCAGGTGCAAAAACCTGATTGCATGAGGTAAATCCGTGCAACCAAGGTCTACTCGACAGGATATCCCAGTGGTTTCCAGAAACTGAGTCTCTTGGTAATTGTTGCCAGAAAGATCGCCCTGGTCTTTCAGCCAGCTCTTGGCTACCGGCAGTGAATTCAAGTCATATTCTGAACACAGGGTCTGAATAACCGGATATAAAAAGTACGCTGCCGGTTGCAACCACCACTACATTAACACAGCATCAGCAGCCACTACCACCACAACACATCACCAATAACCACCTCACAAACTCATTCCACCCCGACAAAACCACTAATAAGCCATGAAGTTCACTGCCACCGCTCTCGGCCTCCTCGCCACCATCGCCACGAACCAACGCCGCCATGTCCACGTGCTCAAAGAAGATTGCCTTGGGCCTGACCAACATCTACGAGAACGGCGACACCGCCTTCCACTACGACTACTGCGAGAACATCAATGGATGGCCGTGGCTTCACTGCCGGTATCGCCGGCTTCTGCACAGGCACTTCGGACGCATGGGTCGTGCTGCAGGAGTACCACAAGCTGACCGGCGGCAAGGATGCGTTCAGCAAGTACGACGCCGTCATGAAGAAGCTGGACCAGTCGAACAGCGGCTCGGTCAGCGGGCTGGACGGCTACTGTTCGGTGTGGAGCAAGCTGGGCAAGTCGGATGCAAAGTTCCGCGCAGCGCAGGACAAGGTGCGCGACGAGATGTACTTTGACCCGTCGCAGAAGCTGGCGGACAAGCTGGGCGCGCAGCTCGACGTGACCCGTGCTCAGCTGTACGACACGACAATCCAGCACGGCGATGGCTCGGATCCTGACTCGGTTGGTGCGCTGATCAAGAAAACCAGTGCCTCGTTCAAGGCTGACGCAAAGGGCTCGTCAGGCAGCACGCTCAAGATCAACGGCCACAATGTCGACGAGATCGTCTGGCTGACCAAGTTCCTGCAGGTGCGCATGGACGACTTGAAGAACCCGCACAACAAGGAGACACAGAAGGAGTGGGCCAAGAGCGTCACTCGTGTCAAGTCGTACCAGTACGTGGTTGCCCAGAAGCAGTACAAGTGGGGTAGTACGATCAAGGCTCTCAACAACGACGGCAAGGCTACCACTGTCAAGTGCTAGATCTGAAACCACACAAATGTTTAAATATACATCCGCATACAGTTCGCCATATGGTTGCAAGGTATATGGCATGCATATATTACCGTGCATAGCAATACCCTTTGCATTCACCAGGTCCTGCATGTGTTGAACTAGAGCCAGACAGTAGATGATGGCTTCAATTGAGGGGGGTTATCGAAACAGCCATCTCTGTTGGCATTAAACCACAAACATCGCACTGCGCCACCATGCTCAAGACTGACTATATACCTAAAGGACCTCCAAGCACTTGGTAACCCATCTTTTCTCCTCACTTGATCTTACGCATACTTTCCTCCATACATGCCGATAAACACTCATTCGTCTGATTGCTAACACTAACCAAACACGACGAAGAAACTTATGATTAGGTACTTGCCTGTTCGGAAATAGTGCAGGGCGGCAGGCTGTAGGTGTAAGAGTATTACGTGGTAAAGAGCGATTAGCGAGTAGGTATGGCTGAACCATGGAAAATGAGATAATTGTGAAGTATATGTCGTATATACCATTGGCTCACATGGAAGTGGCTTCACATCGTAAGCGCTATAAATCTAGTAAATCTAGCAAGTCTAGCAAGTCTAGTGAGTCCAGAAAGTCCAGAATGAGGATATGATGGCAGGACTTGCAAGCACAATATTGAATGGCAATTCTTAGAGGCAGCTTTTCCAGATGCTATGTTGATTTTGTACATGGAATCAAGTGCGCAGCCAACATATTTTTACTGTCGACGATACATTTGTGTTCAAGCAGGATGGATGTCTTTTTTACAATAGCCAGGATGCGCCATTCGAAAGCTGTCGATGTGCGCAATCTGCTTGACGCAAGCATCTAAAACTAGGCCAAAGGAATAGGGCGCAACGCTGATCCCGATCATCTGAGCTTGAATTAAATTTCAGTCGAATTTTTTGTACCAGAGCCAAAAGAGCTGCCTACTTCAGCGTCGCAGGCTCGCCCGACGGCAGCACCAACCTTGTCTCCTCAGCCAAATTCGCACATATATTCCCAGCTTCCTATTTCCATACCATGTTCACGCAGCAATTCGAGCTGTGCAAGCGCATTCTGCGGACGCATTTCGGACCGATAGTGGCACAGGTGGCGACAGTGCTAATTCACGAAGGCCGACTGCCGTTGGGCTTGCTGGCGCAAAAGGCAGGAAAGACATTGCGGCAGACTAAAGAGTCGGTGGCGGTTCTAATCCAGCATGGGATTGCCACGCACGCGTCCAGCAAGGAGGGGTCCCGCATGGCCACATACTATTCTATCAGCCCACGCAATGTGCTGCGGCTGGAGCGCGCTGGCTTGTATCTGGCATTGGTCGAAGAGCGCATGGGCAAGGAGGGCCTGGCGATATTCCGCGTGTTCATGGACAACGGGTGCGCGACCATCGGCGAGGCCTAAGCGTGTGCTGGAGTTTGAGGCAATGGCATCAGCCAAGCAGATAAAGTTCCGCCAGGCAGTGGCCAAAATGGTCAATGAGCGGTACATTACAGCGGTGCGTGCGGTTGATACAGTGACCAAGATCGACCGGCTGATGGCAGAGGAGCGCAAGGAGCTGGACAAGCTGATGGTGCCGCCGACGGCCAAGGAGCTGAAGGAGATCCGTGCGCGGATCAAGGAGCGTGAAGACGAAGAGTACCACAACACGGCGGTGATTGGCATCAAGCGCAAGGCCGTGAGCCACGAAGACAGCATGGATGGTGGCGAGGCGCCCGAGCAGCAGATTGACACGGTCGATGAAGCCATGTTCTTCCGGCCGTACTGCGACCGCCTGGATGTGTTCCTCCGCAACCAGCAGATCACAAACTACTTTGCCGACAAATACAATGCTGCGGCTGGCGCAGTGATCAAAACCATGCTGCGACTGACCGAGTCCAAAACCAAAACCTGCCGCGACAAGGTTTCGCCCACTGTCTCCGCCAGCCAGGTCATGCAGAATCCTCGCACACGACGCGCCCCTTGCTGACTCGGTCGACCTCGACAATGACGCGTACTACGACAACCTGGAGACCGCCAAGGGCGACGGCACCAGCCAGGGCATGACCCGCAAGGAGCGCGCCGAGATCATCCTGGCGCTGCTCGAGGTCCTCAGCTCCGACAGCTCCGGGATAGTCCGCAAGCTCGAGGAGCGCGGCGCCGGGCAGTTCGTCATCGACTTCCAGCTCGCATCCAACACGCTCCGCAACCTCTGCCTCGATGCGCTGGTGCAGGAGAAGTTTGGGGCCCTGCACGCCCGCACGGTCCGCATCCTGCGCGACAAGCAAAAGCTCGACGAGAAGGTCATTGCCCAGTCCGTCATGCTGCCGATTGGGCAGTGCCGCTGAAAAACTGCACGACCTGGCGCTCGAGGGCCTCATCGACACACTGGAGATCCCGCGTACCGCCGACCAGAAATCCCGTCGCGCATGTTCTATCTGTGGTTCATCAACTCGGAGAAGCAAGTGCGCAATGCCCTGCGCTTGGCCTTCGAGGGCATCTCCAATGCCATGCAGCGCATGGAGTACGAGGTCGCGGCCCGGGAGAGCCTGACAGCGAAGGCCAGCCGCGAGGATGTCATTGCCAACCCGGAGCTGCTGACCGAGGGCGAGCGTGAGGAGCTCAGCAAGCTCGAGACCATCAAGCTGCGGCTGCAGGTTGCGTGCGTGCGCCTGGACCGCATGCTACTGGTGCTGCATGACATCAACCCGTCGTCAGCCGAGCTTAACCTGCTGTGAGCCTTAGCCCGTCCCAGACCGAGCCGGTGGTCTCTACCACGCGCAGTTAGAATTGGGGGTAGAATTTGCTTTAATAGAAAAAAAGAAGAAACCATCATAAATGAAAACAACTTCACTCCTTGCCCTCGCCAGTCTTGCTAGGAGCTGCCCTCGGTGCTCTCCTTGGGCTTCACAATCGGGATTGCCTTGCTAATGGGCTTCTCGATCTTGAACGGCGCTGCCTTGGCCGACAGCGGCGTGTGGTTGCTGCTGCTGCCCTCCTCGTTGGCCGACGACAGCCGGCGCTGGCGGTTCTGCTGCAGCACCTTGAGCTGCTGCTGGCGCTGCTGCTGGCGCTCCTCCTGCTGGTGCATCTGCTGGCGCCCAACAAAGTTCTGCGGCATGTCGGGCCCGCGCGGCTGGCGCACCGGAACCACCACCGAGTCCTGGTACAGCCGCGTCGGATACCCGACGTAGTTGCCGCTGGTGCGGCCCGCCGGCGTGTCGGGCGTGCGCGGGAACTGGTGCATCTGGCTGGCACTGGACGGCACGCTGACATGGCCCTGCGAGTGTGTGTGGCTGCGGCCGCGCGAATAGTGCCCGCCCTGCTGGTCGTAGATGGCCGCCTGCTGCTGGAAGTGGTGCGGCTGGTACATTGACGCCCGGTGGCTCTGCGCGCTGGGTGGCGGGCTGCCGATTGATATGGTCTCTGGATACATCATCGAGACTGGCCGCGACCGGCCGCCGGTGCTGGCGTACCGCGGCTGCGGGTGAGCGCCCGTCGCAATGCCGCCACCAGGCATGGCCATCGACCGGCGACGCACCTCGGCCGCCTCCAGCAGCGTCTCCAGGCCCTTGTACACACGGATGTAGCGTGTGTTGTTGTCTCCCTTAGTCTCGTGATTCAGCCCAAACCGCTCAGCAATCAGCATCACCGTCTGGCGCTGCTTGACGTTCAGCGTGCTCGGGAACTCCAGCTCGGCCATGCTCTTAGTCGTGCCGGAACTGGCTGACCAGATCGTAGAGCAGGCGCGTGTCCTTGTCGTCAAGATCAATCAACCCGTCGGCGTTGCTGTCGGTTCCAGACTGCTGCTGGGGCTGCGCCTGCTGTTGGGGCTGCTGCTGCTTGCTGCTGGGGCTGCTGTGAGGGCTCAGGCACAGACATGGCGCTGGGGAAGACCATCATCGACTTGGGACGTTCGTGGCCACCCTCTCCCGCGATGCGGCCGCGGGATAGGCTGATCGTCCCCGCCAGCCGGCTTTCCACCCATCATGGCGATCGTGTTCGGATGTGGCGGCGGAGCCGTGCCCGGCAGCGCCTTCTTGTACTCGACCTTGAGCGGGCGACCCAGCAGCGTGATGCCATTCAGCCCGATGATCACGCGCGCCGCCTCCTCGGGTGTCCTAAAGTTGCCAAACGCCAGGCCGCGGAACACACCGCCGTCAAAGTGGTAGTTGAAGGCATACGGCAGCGGCAGGCCCAGATCAGACATGGTCTGCAGCAGCGTCTCGCGCTTGATCGCAAAGTTGATGTTCTTCACCACAATCGCATTCGGAATTGCATCATCCGGCATATTCGCCATCAGCGCAAACTCGGCGTTGGTCAGCGCGCTTGTCGGCGGCTGCAGCTGCGACATCGGCGCCAGCGACTGCGGGTGCATGGCCGCCTGAAGCTGATCCTACAGGAATGGGGGTTTTAGTAAAGGATCTGAAAATAGTGTGGGCTATTTTTATCCCAGCCAGCCTTCAGTGACCCGCCATCGAGCCGAGCGAGCGATATCCCCCCGACCCTAACTATGCCCTGATACCCCCTCGTCTTATTGCGCTGCAAGCCACATCCGTTCGGCTAGCGGATGGAGCTGTTAACGAACAGGAAACAATCCAGTGCAACAACAGGCCGGCTTGCGCAAAATAAAAGGCGTTTTTGTCTGCCACAGCCACCCTACGAGACGGAGACCAAACACACCGCGATACGTACCGGAATCATGATGCTGTTGCGCTGTCTGCCGCTGCTGGCCATCCGGCCACGGTTCATCGAGTCCCTGCCAATGCCCATGCTTGCGTTATAGCCGGGCGGGGCGCCATACATGCTCTGCACCACACGGCGGTTCCCGCGGCGCCTGGCCAGCTCAGCCTCCTGCTGCTGTTGCTGCTGCTGCTCCGGCGACTGCACTACCACCGATGCTGCCGTGGCTGGCGAGTTCGACGACGAGCTGGGGCCCGGGCTCGCTACCTCCTTGGCGTTGGTGGCTGTGGGCGATGGCGCCGATGTCGTCGTGGGTGACCCCGATGTCGCCGACCCCGCGTTGCTAATGTGCGTGCCTTCCAGCTTCCGCAGTGTCTCTTCGATTGCCTTGGACATGGTCAGCGCTTCGTCACTAGAGTTGTCCTGAGAGCTATCAGGGCGCCTCCTCCCACAATTAGTACCCGAATTCCGCTAATGCCCGGAGATGTAGCTTGCTCGAATTCACTAAACTCACCTTTATAAAAACCGGGTCCTGCCTAGGAGAGTTTTTGTTGTATGGAGAAAAATGGGCTCTCTTGGCCGTTTCGTTTGTTTACCACAAGGATATTTTAGCCCTCCCCGCCTTTTCTTATATCGCGTCTTCCGGGAATACGGTAATAGCCCAGGAATAAAATAAAGGTGGCCCGCAAAGCTCAGTGGACTAAACGGAAATTTGGTTCTAGCCAAAAAAAACTAATGGACGAGTGGAATAAAACAAGCTCCTGGCCGCAAGCACTGGGGGAAAATCTCGCTTCGTAAAAATGCAGTTTTCGTCAATAAAGTGAAAAGAGATGAAGTAGAAGAGAGGAGGAAAGCGAAAAGCCTCTTTTGGAACCAGGCAGAGTCGCTTCTTGCTAGCCCCCACCCGTGCTTGTCCACATAGCCGCAAGTCCCAAGAGGCGATCCCCGCCCCTCTCCAGCTGGAGCTACAGGTAATTGTCAGCGCCTGCCGCACATCCGGACACGTGACTCTGAGCCCTTCAAGGGCGTCCACTTCAGCCTGGCCGGCCCAGCACCGCTCTCTATTACCTTTGCTCTGCACCTCATCTCCCGTTGCATTCCCCACACGATTTTTCATAGAATGGCCACCCGTAGCCGCACCTTTTTGTTTATCCAGTACCGCAATTCGTTCGGCCACATGCAGCGGCGGAAACGCACGCAGGCACAGCAGCAGCAGCAGAACGAGGAGGAGGGTCTGATTGAGCGGCAGAATGACGACGGCGAAATGGTAATAGAAATGTCGCATTTGCCGCCGCGGTGGGTGGACCTGACCGAGGACGTGAACGAGCAGCTGGCGGAAATCGAGCAAAAGATCGTGCGCCTGGACGAGCTGCACCGTCGGCACCTGCTGCCGGGCTTCGACGATCGGTCAAGCGAGGAGCGCGAGATTAACATGCTGACGCAGGAGATTACACAGCAGTTCCAGGCGAGCGGGCAGCTGGTGCGCAACATTGGACAGATGCAGGCACACGGGCAGGAGGAGGTAGTGGGGCGGAATATCCAGAGCGCGCTGGCGGCGCGCCTGCAGGCGCAGTCGGATGGGTTCCGGAAGTCGCAGAGTGTGTATCTGCAAAAGATCTCGAAGCGCAAGGATGCCAGCGTCGATGTGTTTGCACTGGACGAGGAGCACGAGCGGGCTGTGTCGCGAAAGTTCGACATGACCCTGACGGACGAGCAGCTGCAGGTCATGGAGCAGAACGAGGCCGAGATTGCAAAGCGCGAGGGCGAGGTGGCACATATCCACGAGAGCATTGTGGAGCTAGCTGCCATCTTTGGCCAGATGCAGGAGATGATCATTGACCAGGGGACGATGCTAGACCGGATCGACTACAACGTCGAGAATACCGTGGTCAATGTGGCTGCTGCTGCCGACGAGCTCGAGAAGGCGGACAAGCACCAGAAGAACTCGGTTGCCAACAAGTGCATCATCGTCATGGGCGTGGTCGTTGTTATTTTGTTTATTATCCTGCTGGTTAAGTGGTTGTAATCTAGGCGCTTTGAAGCTGCACCGTGCCCGTTAAGAACAGGGAATGCTGCTGACGAATGATGGACGCTGGGATTGATGGCTGCTCTCTGATCCGGCAAACGCGAGCGGCTGTTGCCGGCTGTCCAGCGCGCACCCGTGTGCGTCGGATGCCAATCCTGCCACTTTTTTGTCCCCCTCAGTCCACTGACTCGCGTGTTGGGTGAGGAAGTTGTGCACAGACGCTCGCATGATATCAGAAAGCCGAGCCCAGTATGCGCTACATGCCCCAGTGAGCCCCGCCCCGGTGCCATTGTCCGGTGTGGTGAATCAGCTTTAACTGTGCCCGGTGGCAGCGTGAGGCGATGAAAAGCGATCGGGCCAGCCTCGTGTGCAGCATCTCAGAAATGGGCAGACCACCCTCGTGGGACAGATACGGATCAGTGCTCAGCCAAGATTGGGCTAGAGGGCGCTCGGACATGTTCCGGGCCGGGCTAGGGTTTGGACCTCGGACACTGTTGGCCTATCTGCAGCCGCCCTCGTGTGCACCCAGAACATCAGCACTGGTGTATTTAAGACGGCTGCATCGTCTGCCTCTCCATCGCGCTTCTGCTTTTTGTTTGCCAAAAACACAGCGCGCGCTTACCAATTTTACATCCCCTTTTTATCCACCAAACCCTCCCCGACTTCTTAATACACCCTTGCACCATGTCTGAAGAGTTCTCTTTTGTCGACCACTCGCACCGCCGCTTCAACCCGCTGACCAACTCATGGGTGCTCTGCTCGCCACACCGCGCCAAGCGCCCCTGGCTGGGCCAGGTCGAGGATGCCGCTGTCGAGCAGCGCCCCTCCTACGACCCCAAGTGCTACCTCTGCCCAGGCAACACTCGCGCAACGGGCGCCAAGAACGACAGCTACGCATCTACGTACGTGTTCGAGAACGACTACGCCGCTGTGCACGCAGCCCAGCCAGACTGCTCCACCACCGCGCTCGCGCAGGTAGCCGGCAAGGGCGCCTCTGCCGAGCTCTTCCAAGTCGAGTCGATGCGGGGCCAGTGCAAGGTCGTGTGCTTTTCGCCACGCCACGACCTGACGTTGCCCGAGCTGTCGTTTGAGGAAATTGGAAAGGTCATTAACGCCTGGCAGAAGCTGTACAGGGATATGTCTGAAACGCCAGGGATCGGATACGTGCAGCTGTTTGAGAACAAGGGCGCCATGATGGGGTGCTCGAACCCGCACCCGCACGGCCAGCTCTGGGCGCTCTCGGATGTCCCCAGCGAGCCCGCCAAGGAGATCTCCTCACTCAAGAGCTTCCATGCCGAGCACGCATCGGACGCCTGTTCGTGTCTGCTCTGTAGCTACGCTGCCGCCGAGCAAAAGAACTCGGAGACAGAGGCTACCAACCGCGTTGTGTTCCAGAATGACTCGTTCATGGCGCTGGTACCGTTCTGGGCCGTCTGGCCGTTTGAGACCATGATTGTCTCCAAGCAGCACGTCAAGAGCGTCGCTGATCTCGACTCCAAGCAGGTGCTGGATCTCGCTGAGGCTATGCAGAACCTGACGGCCCGTTACGATAATCTGTTCCAGTGCAGCTTCCCGTACTCAATGGGCCTGCATCAGGCGCCGACGGAGACGCATGAGGATGCTGAGTTCTGTCATCTGCATTTGCATTTCTATCCACCACTGCTGCGCTCAGCCACGGTGCGCAAGTTCCTTGTTGGCTTCGAGATGATGGCCGAGCCACAGCGCGATCTGACTGCTGAGCAGGCGGCTGCGCGCCTGCGTGCTCTGAGCAGTGTGCACTACAAGGTCGCTGCCAAGAACTAGTCAAGTGCTAATTGAAATATACTCTCGCCTCCAAATATCTGTAGCAACAAGTACACAATCATTAGCGCAGGGCACCTAGTTGTGAGCATTACGATGCACTTTCATCGCAACTTCTATCTACTGCTTAAGTAGCAATGTGTAACTTGGCGTTTCTATAATCAAGCCACTCCGAGAGGTCAAAAACACATGAACCTCACTGCCGACAGACTCTACTTTCAAGCGGCTTATTTGCACTGCTTCTGCGACGCTTGCTATTTTAATCGCTCGAATGGTCTCCTCATACGAGCATTGGATATAAGGGATATTCATGACACGTAAAGTCAGAGCAGGACTGCTGATATGCGGCTGAACAATGATATAGTCAAAATCAAGCTCACTGATGAGTTCCATCCCCAGCGTCTGGCGGAAAGCACAGAATACGAGAAAAGCACGATCTTTAGCAATCGTGTGGAACCTAGGTGAGGAGTGGTCTAGTTTCAGGTAATCCAAAGTCACAAAGCTGTCTCTCGTCCAACAAATTGAACTGGCTGAAAGTATCGATAGCATCATTGGTAAGACGCATATCCAGGAATGTTAAAGAGTCCTCGGATCCATGTAGAAGAGAGTCGTCGGAAGTGGATACATGCAATGGAACAGCAGTGGTGTCAGCAAAGGAAATAGCGCTCTGTCAGTTGAAATGAGGTGGGATAGTGGGTTCCAGTAACTTTCTTCAGTATTTACACCAAGCGTATGAACTCGGGGATATGTAGCAGTTGTGCGGTTGCCGTGGATCGTGACGTGTCTGAACAGGCTGGATACAGTCAGATCTAGGCGCGGTGTTTGTAGCGATTGCAAGTTTCTGCAGATTAGAAAGAAGATATGATCTGCTGAATCGTTTGCACTGGTGACCAGGCATTGTAGGGGTGAAGCGTTTGGAGAGAAGGGTAGAGCTGCGTTCAAGTAGTATCCACTGGTTGTGATAGCAGTCCTTCCTGCCAATAAGCACTCTAATAGCTCATGCACATGCTCAGGGAACGCGCCGTGTGAAATCGCCCACCCACGGATTGCACTAATAGACGATATATGAGGAAACATCTGCAAAACCTCTTTGCCGAATAAGCACATCAGCAGTAGCGCATCGCCCTGCTGTGGCCTCCAAGGCCGTCTTGTAAACCTAAAAACGAGATTAGCAATCTGAGGAAAATAGCGTCTGGTGGAATTTGCTGCTTAAACTGGGCGAGCGCTGAGCCGTCAAATATACACGCGGTTTTAGAATGCAGAATGACCTCTTTGATCATACTGCTGGTACCGAGCACATAAACCAGGTTGAGGAACGGCCTAGTTTTGGAGTCTGTATACACATTGGAAGGCATGTCTGAGGGATCCTTGTCACCACGAATGACAAACGCGCGTGATAGGCTTAAGAATGGTGCAGAATATCTCCTTATAGCCTCAGCTATCAGGATCTTCCGAGGGTTTAAGGTAGTGGATAATGCGCACTAGCATGAATTCAGGTAGGTGTTGGGCAGTGGAAACCATGATAAACGAAAAATGAAGATGAGACGCGTGATGAAAAATGCTATTGTGAAGGCGGATATGACTATTTCACTAAGCTTCTTTCAATTGAAGCCATCGTCTACCGTCTGGCACTAGTTCAACACATGCAGGACCTGGTGAATGCAAAGGATATTGCTATGCACAGTAATATACGCATGTCATATACCTTGCAACCATATGGCGAACTGCATGCGGATGTATATTTAAACATTTGTGTGCCTTCAGATCTAGCACTTGACAGTGGTAGCCTTGCCGTCGTTGTTGAGAGCCTTGATCGAGCTGCCCCACTTGTACTGCTTCTGGGCAACCACGTACTGGTACGACTTGACACGAGTGACGCTCTTGGCCCATTCCTTCTGTGTCTCCTTGTTGTGCGGGTTCTTCAAGTCGTCCATGCGCACCTGCAGGAACTTGGTCAGCCAGACGATCTCGTCGACATTGTGGCCGTTGATCTTGAGCGTGCTGCCTGACGAGCCCTTGGCGTCAGCCTTGAACGAGGCACTGGTTTTCTTGATCAGCGCACCAACCGAGTCAGGATCCGAGCCATCGCCGTGCTGGATTGTCGTGTCGTACAGCTGAGCACGGGTCACGTCGAGCTGCGCGCCCAGCTTGTCCGCCAGCTTCTGCGACGGGTCAAAGTACATCTCGTCGCGCACCTTGTCCTGCGCTGCGCGGAACTTTGCATCCGACTTGCCCAGCTTGCTCCACACCGAACAGTAGCCGTCCAGCCCGCTGACCGAGCCGCTGTTCGACTGGTCCAGCTTCTTCATGACGGCGTCGTACTTGCTGAATGCATCCTTGCCGCCGGTCAGCTTGTGGTACTCCTGCAGCACGACCCATGCGTCCGGAAGTGCCTGTGCAGAAGCCGGCGATACCGGCAGTGAAGCCACGGTCCATCATTGATGTTCTCGCAGTAGTCGTAGTGGAAGGCGGTGTCGCCGTTCTCGTAGATGTTGGTCAGGCCCAAGGCAATCTTCTTTGAGCACGTGGACATGGCGGCGTTGGTCGTGGCGATGGTGGCGAGGAGGCCGAGAGCAGTGGCAGTGAACTTCATGGCTGTTGCTTTTATATGAAACTGGTGCAGAAAGAGTAGGCGGGTTGTAGTTGAAGGGGGTGATGATGTGGTTTTTGATAGTGTGGCACCTCTGTGCCCTTTTATTCTCAAAAGCGAGGACGTGCCATTTGTGATCCACCACAATTAAAGCCTGCATTATCATGGCAACATGGTCCTATAGAAAGGCAACATGGTTCTTTCTAAAACCTGCTTCCACGAAAACAGAAACAGGAAATTACCTCGGGCCGATGCCCTATCAATGGTATACGGAATGTGTGGGTAAACAGGTTTTGCGCGTCAGACTCTTTACAAGATAGCACATCTCATTTTCACAGCTAAGAATCGGGCCATGGTTGGCAATAAGTAAAGCGAATGTATTGAAAGCCAAAAAAATATATATAGATGGAAAAAGTACAGAGAGTACAAGAGATATAAAAGAAAGGATAATGCCATATAGACAAAGCAGAGTGGTTGTGGATTACACAAGAATACATCAGAAAAGAACTCCATATTTTTGGATGGCATTTTAGTTTTTGTGCTTTGACGCTGGCCCGTTTATGGCCACCGAAACCGACGACGACGAGTTGGGCGAGGTCACGGGTGGACGCTCATACGGAGTACCAGAAGCAGGCGGAGACATTATGTGGCCAGTCGGCTGGTACATGTGCACCACGTTGGCATCCACCGGGTGGCCTACCTTGTATCCGCTGCCATACATTCCCGGCTGGTGGTAGTTACTGGGGTGGTCAAGCGGGGCAATTCCCCCGGCCGGCATGTACATGCGCGACTGCGATATCGACTGGTGGTGGCCCAGGTTGCCGATGGGGCTGACGCCGCGGCTGACCGCCGACCCAATTGCAGCCATCGGCCCGCCATTCACAGGAGCATGCCCGGCGGCTGGCGAGTACAGCGGCATCGAGGCGATGGCAGCTGCTGAGTGGGAGGCGATCGAAGGGCCGAGCGTCGGCGACGCGTGGCGGCTGCCGGCAGCGCTAGGCACAGCTGACACAAATCCGTCGCGCTGCAGCTTTGTGTAGATGCGCTTCCCATAGGGCGTATGCCGAATGGTGGGAAGCAGCGGACGGATGGCGTCGATAATCTCCATGCGCTGCTGCGGGTCGGCAAAGTCCAGCGCAGTCTGCACAACATAGTTGCCGTACGAGTCGCGCATCAGCGTGTCGAGCTTGTCGCGCTGCAGAATCGGCGCGACCAACGCGCGGCGCGTCGAGGTGCTGGCCAATCGGATGCACTTCTCCATGACGTTGGACGAAAACTTTTGCACCGACAGGCCGCAGATGTGGCCGATGAACTTTTTGATCAGAGGCTCCGAGAATTCGGTATTGTTCAGATCAAGCACATACTGCACGACGTAGTTGCCGAACGGGTCTTGCACCAGCGTCAGCGCATTAGCAATCACCTCCTTCACCAGCTGCGCCTTCTGCGCTGCCGACTGCGTAATCGATGCAGCGCTGGAACACGCAGCAGCCGTGGCGATGCGTCGCCAACCTCGTTGCAGTTGGCTGCGACCGAGTCGTAGATGAACTGGTTGTCTTTCTTCGAGAGCCGGTTCAGGCACTTTTGGATCACATGGTTGCCATTTCAGGTCGCGGATGAGCAGCACCACGCTGTTGCGCAGCGCCTCGATAATGGCGTCAATTTGCTCCTGGTTCGACAGGTACTTCGATCATTTTCTGCACTGCACGCGTGACCGTGCATGTTGAGCGAGATGTTGACGAGCTCCGGTGCTACGCTGGTTACAATCTGCGTGCGCTGCGGCTCAGTGCAGTGCTCCAGCAGCTTCTGGCACAGGTAGTTTCCCAAACGGATCGGTCATCAGCCCCGAAAAGTGCGGCGACACCTCCTCAAAGATCATGCGCACGTGGCTCTCTTGCCCATCCTCAAGCTTCTTCTGCAGGAACCGGCAGCCATGCTGGTCCTTGCACACCGTGAAGATGTTGTCCTTGAGCTCCTCGAGGGTCGTGTTGGCGAACCGGTTCACCTCGCTCTCGGGCTTGCGGTGCTGCTTTGCCATGAAGGTGCTTTTGCGAGTGGTGTGCGCTTGTGATGCTGTTGGCCCTGAGCCGACGGGTGGTGCTGGCCAGGCTGGCGGTCCTGAGAGGGCTGCTGCTGCTGCTGTTGTTGCTGCTGTTGCTGGGGATGCAGATGAATGTGCGACGACATCTGGTGGTGCGGGTAAGGCGTCTGCGGAACGCTCGACTGCGCCGACTGAGGCCCAATGGCCCCAGCGTACGCGCCAGCGGCACCCATTCCAAGCGGTGTCTGCATGTTGTAGCCGTTCATCAGCGGAGTGGCAGTACCGGAGGGGGTACCACCAACGAACGCTGGGTTGCGGCCACCGTTGACACCTCCTATCATACCAGAGGCACCGACAAGGTATTGGTAGCCCCCCTGCATCCGGCTGTTTCCAGACACACCGTAGCCTGCAGCAGCCTCGACGACCTGGTTAAGCTGAAGACCCGACCCCTGCAGCCGCCCGCCGTAGCCAAATCCCGACATGTCATACCCACCTGGCGCCATACCAGGGGTGATGTCATTCGGGTATCCAGCGCCATTGCGAGTCTGGCCCTGCAGCAGCGCTAGCTCATCAACCGACTGTCTGACCTGGTACTGCTTCGCGTTGAGCACTGGCGTGCTGGCATTGCGAATCAGGTTCACACCGCGGTTGGCGTCGTACAGCCGGTTGTCGCGCGATGGACCGCCCTCGCCCAGCAGAATGTCGGTTTTGTTCGACCGCTGCTGACCCAGGCTGTCGAGCGCCGCGGTGACGTTGCCTAGGTTCGGCAGATGCGAGGACGTGTCATGCGGGTAGCCCACGGAATAGTTCGGGCGGCCTCCCACGCCAAACGTGCTGCCTCCTGCAAGTTGCTGCATGCCCGGCTGCGTCAGGTCAATGCTGCTGCTACCGACCGTGTTTCCGTTACCCAGTGCACTGTTGGACAATGGTGGAGCCGAGCCACGTGCACCCGAGTCCTTGAGTGCGCTCGACGAGTGCGTTGCTAGCATGTCGTCGTCAAGGAGGCCGTGCGGGAGCTTAGGGCTGGCGCCCAGCGCCATCGGACCGCCGGTGGCGTTGCGGAAGGCGCCCGAGCTGTTGCGGGCCGCAATCGAGCTGCCATCAAATCCCGACAGCCTGCTGGCCAGGTCCACCGGATGTGGCGCACTGTCGTTGATGCTGAAGCCCTCGAGCTCCTGCCACAGGTTCTGGAACTCTCGCGAGTTACGACGTGACACTGGCAGGGACTTCACAAACGAAAAGTCACCGAATCCCGCCTGGGCTGTCGTCCCGTTGGGCGATGCTTGCTGCGACTGGATTGCGTCAAACATGCTGGGCCGTGTGTCAAGCATTCCCGGCCCATTGTTCTCGCCCAGATGACCGTTGCCGGGGATTGTCGCCCAGCACACTGTTCAGACGTGACTGCGACTGCCGCTTTGCCGGGCCGCCTCCGTCACCAGCGCCGTACAGGTTGTGCGGTGACCCAATCGTCCCCAGCGGGTGCGTGCCGATCGGCGACGTGGTCGATGGAAGCGCGCCCGTGCCATTCCCTGAGCCGACGATGCGACTGAGTCGTGAGGACGATCCAGAAGTGCCCGCTGACTCGCTGAACGGCTCGCCGCCAAGCTCAAATATCGATGTGTGCTTGACGTGTGGCTGCTGCGCCTGCGAGGTGCCAGCAGCCGATGACGTGGCTGTGGAGCTTGAGGAGTGGGCTGCGGCCACCTGTGCAGGTGCTGCTGCTGGCTCGCCGAGACCACCGTTCATATTGACGTTGCTGGAAAAAGCCTAGATATAGCAAAAGCAAGGTGTTGAGTTGTCATCTTCCAGGTGTGGAGAGAAATAGAGAGGGAAAAATTTCCCCTTGCAAAAAAAGTGGCCCACAGCAACATGGTTCAAGACCGGCATACGTTTCGCTCGTCTCGCTGGCTTGGCTCGCCCCCCTCCTCCAAGAGAGCAAGAGAGAAGCGCACAGAACGAGTCAGCCCAACAAATTTTTGGGGGCGAAGCGGGATAGTAGTGCTTGCCTGGTGGTATCGTACAGCAACGGAAAAAAGCTCGTCCCCTGTGCACTCCCCCTTTTCCAGAATCGAGTAATGGCAGAGCCTGTGCATGTCGAGGGGTCACTGGACGATAGCATACGCCAGTGATCCCACCAGTGAAGCATGACTCGCATCGATAGCGCTTTTTCTCTCCCTGCGCAGACAGGAGAAGAAAGAGCCTCCACCTGTATTATCCCATCCCGGCGCTTGGGAGCGACCAGAGCAAAGAACAGCAGTATGGAGCAAAAAAAGAAGGGGGATAATATCGCTCGGCCATATGCGCGCGTGCGACAGTCCACTCGAGGGAGTGGTGTAAGACATTTCTGTTTGGAAAGCAGTAGCTCTTGATGCTTACCTTTGAATCCGAGCCGGGCATCGCAGTTCTGCCGCCGCTGCCAAAAGGGTCAAAGGGCTTTGAAGGACCCGACATCATCTGGGTAGCTGGGTTTTTTTGTATGTGCGGATGTTTCGTCCAAAGAGAAAAGAGCAGGAATCGACTGGTACGTCTATACTCTAGCTCGACCGTTTGTGGTGTTCAAAAGAGTGTGGGAGACAACTGGGCTGTCCAGACTGAGCGATAGCTGTTTGACCGACGCGTACGCGTAAACCGAACCCGTAGAGGACCAGGTATAGAGAAGGAAAGGATGTAGATATTACAAAAGGAAGCGAGGTGCTGGGGAATAGCAGTGTATATCCTCGAGCGTATTGAACAGTGATTGGAAAAATACAAGAAAACGAAATTCGCCGCGAAATCTACCGGAAGTGGTAATCACTAAAGTCAAGAGGAAAAGGAGCTGCTTCTGACTACGTGCTGGTAAAACTGGTGCCCTGGCTTTATGCAAGAAGGAACAGAGGTTTAGACCGTTGATGATAATATATGCTAAAGCGCAGATAGGTTAGAAAATACAAGTAATACTGAGGAAAAGTGAAAAGACAAAGCGGGTTAGTAGAGAAATAAAGCGCTGGCTGAGGAGACACGCACACCAAGGTCGAACCACCACCAGCACAGCTTTTGGGCGCACGCCCAGCGAGCATTGGGCTGTGTTTTTTTTCGCTTCATTGAATGAAAAAACGCCTAGAGTAAAAAAATTTCGGCTCGCGGCGAGCGGACGACCAATCGGCTGCGGTCTGGCGACCGATGATTTGATCTGATCATGCCTTCTCGATCTCGCGCGTTTTGGCCTTGAGCAGGTCCTCGACCCGGGCAATGTACTTGTCGGTGACGGTCTGGATGTCCTTCTCCCACCGCTTGAGCTCGTCCTTGGGCATGCTGTGCTTTGAGTCGTTCTTGAGCTTCTTCATCGCGTCCTGCCGGTGCTTGCGCACATGCACGCGTGTGCTCTCCGCCAGCCCGCTAATCTCCTTGGCCATCTTCGCGCGCGACTCTTTGGTCGGCTTTGGCACCGGCACCACAATCGCGTTCTTCTCGATGCGCGGGTTCAGCCCAAGCCCGGCGTTGCGGATCGACGTGTCGATTGCCTTGACGTCCTCCTCGCTGTTGGGCACAACGATCAGATTGTGCGCGTCCTTGATCGCAATCATTGCCAGCTCCGACAAAGTCGCTGAGCCGCCCTTGAGCTGAACGCGCATGTGGTCGAGCATTGCAGGGTTGGCGCGCCCGGCCCGTAGGGACTGGAGCTCAGACGAGAACCGGTCGATGCTGTGCTGCATCTGCTCTTCCATCTTGTCCATGTCGAGCGTCATCTCGTAGGGCTCAGCACCCTCCTCCTCCTCCTCCTCGACCTGCTTCTTGCTGCCCTTCTTGCTGCCACCCTTCTTTTTAGATCCGTACATCCGGCATTGTACCGGCTGGGCGAATGCTCCTGGAACCTGGCTCGTGAGCCGTGTGAATGCAACTGGCGCAAAGCGCGATGCCGCCGCGCGACCTGCGTACAGCGCTGCCTGGCGACGCACTGTCGAGGAAACGATAAACCGAGCTGAAGAGATCATGATAACAGATAAACGTATAGTGAAGAACCGTATGAAAGTGGAGCAGGGATTGATAGCGCACTGGCCCGGATAAGGGGCAGCCCGTTCTGGGCTGACGACAAGAATGATTATCGGTGCACGAGATCTGTTTTGCAGATTTAGGGCCTGTTAACCTTCAGAGAGTCCAGTAGTTATGAGCTTTATGGAATGAATAAAATGGAAAGTTTGCTGAGGAGAAAAAGGGAGGATGGGCCGTTCCGGCCCACAAAGTTTATACAGGTGGGATTTGGATCTGCGCATGGTGACGGAGGCATAGGTTGCCCGAATGTCAACAGGGCCCACTCACCACTACTACTTGATGCCGAACCTCATATCACTCACCCGTTGACGACTATCACTGACTGTTTGTACATTAAATTTGCATGGCGTCCATTGTGCTGGTTTCTGGGAACGTTGAAATGGGAATTTGGATTTGTAGAATGTTTTACTTGAAAAAAGGAGAGCGGAAAAGGGGAAGATGTAGGCACTTGATATATGGCCGTGTACTTGCCAGGGGTAGTGTTGCATTGTCGGCTCACTGCAAACGTTGCGCCTGACTAGACATGGCATTGTCAGACTCAGAGTTCTGAGTCTGACCGCCCATTGTCGCCTGCCTGACCCGAGACATCGACGTCATCATCGCTGCTGGTGCCGATGCCGATGCCTGGGATCGGCGGAACGCAGCAAGTATAATTTGGCACATTGGTTTACGAAATAGGATAAGAAATAGCTTTAGCAGCTAACATCATTGGTATCCAGCAGCAGTCTGCGCACTAGATCCTTCCTCAGACTGCAGTAACGAAATTCTAGCCATGATTCACGATTGGTGACTGAATTTCACCTTTGTACAAATGGTAGTGTTCTTCTGGCAACAATACAGCAACTCGTATTCATCAGCCTGTCTTTCAAGTCTGTGTTTATTTGAGTCGCCATCATGGTTCTCCACCAGCTCCAGCTTACAGTTCATTATTTATCTAAATCTGGAAAGTACATCGCGCCTTTGAATGGTTGACTTGGATTTCCTTGGCATATGATGGCATCTTCAAAATGATCTTCGCTGAATATCGAGGGAGGGCTGTTGCAAAGAAGGTGTTAAAGTCCCGCGCTCATCCACTGCTCTTCATCTCTTTTCAAGCCAGTGGCCCATCTCCCCCCCCCATTTCTCAGCTGCACACACTGGATATAGTTTACTTTCGCACACCACAACTATATATCGTTATTTGTAGAAACTCGTCTCTCTACAGATGCTGCAGACAGAAATTGTACCCCTGAGGCACCCAGCAGCTCCCTCATACGATTACTTCAAGACATTTCTCTATGTCAGCCTTCTTGGTTGCACTTTCGTCCCTGTCGACAAAAAGACACTTCTCACGCACCTGTTTGTGGCCTTCGTCGCTACCTGTATATATTTGTGGTTTCATCCCAATGTTGTGCACCCTCACATACTATCAAAAAAGGAGCGTGCATTGCTAGATGATACCTGCCAACACAGAAAGTACAACGAGTATGAAGAGTTGGTTTTAATGGCATCCCTGGCGGCCATTGACGCTGGTCGAAGATTCTCGGCTTTACTTTCTTGAGCACCGTGATGAGATACTCAGCAAAAATGCCAGTCTACCACCACCGCAGCTGGAACGCACGACGGCCGACTATGATTACAAGCCGCTGCTTTTGGATTTTATTATGCCTACGTTCCTCGGCAAAGGGTGCCCTGCAATACAGCTTTCTGTGCTGGAACAGATCAGTACTGACGAGGAACCATCTGCATCAAATAGCCAAAGCTCCCACACCGACAAATATGATCTTCCTGTTGGCCAAGACTACTTGCGGATGGGTAAGCCACAGGGCGCTACAAAGTACGAGGACCTTTGCCACAGCGTAGTGGATCCCGAGTTGAATACGGGTTTGGGGCTGACGCATCGGTTCTTCAATGTGCAAGATGTCACAATAATTCATCGGTTGGGCGAAAACCCTAGTGTACATAGGGAGGGCTTCCACAACCCAGCATTCCATGTGCTATCTCCCGGCGATGGTGGGTCTGGTGATGGAGGTAATGAACTGGGCGATGGAGGCGATGGTCCTGGCAGCGGTGTCAAGTCCGATGATGGAGGTGATGGAGAAAAGTTAAGATGGCGGTGATGATCAGCTAAGTACTGGCTTGGGCGCTCCTAGTTCAACCGGCACTATCCAATAACACTGATCAGGCAAGTGGGTCTAGCGAATCCAACTCACAGAAGGCCGCGGAAGGAGTAAACCCCGGTACCAGTGGCTCAGACAATATCGCAGAATCCACAATACAGGACAAGCTGTCCTCTTTTTCAGCATCGGCAATAGAGCAATCCAGGGTGGAGGAGGGCTGCGTGGGCCGAAAAGGGCAAGGGCCCCGAATACTAGGCGCATCTATTGGTTACATGCCTGTGGATATACAATCCTCTGGCATTATCATCTACGATGAACATAGCTAAATGCGGAAATCCACCGGCATTACTTTTGCGCAATATCATCACACAGTTTCCACCTGGTACATACATGGGACTCTTCGGTCAATTCTGCAGTGGGCAGCTGGCGGTTCGCAGTCTGAAACGGTCACGGATCTGCTGCTGCCCGCTGATTCCGAATCAGCGCGAGATTTGGGGGCTGATGCGTGTTCGGTGTGGTCAGAAGCGGCAAAGTCATTTGCGCACATACATTTTTCCCTTTCCAGCTTGCGTCAACTTGGAATTCGCTGCTTCCTTCTTTCGACACGTTTACTTCTTGGTCTCTCTACAAGCTGCATTCCACGACAAAATTTTCCCTTACGTCCACACTCTCCTTTTCGTCGCCTAGTACTTTTAGAAGAATCTATTAATCCAACGACAAATCTCGAAGATTAATTTTAACAAGATGGACGGCAACACGAACGCGCAGCTGAACAACCTGTTCCAGCTCTTCAGTCAGGCGGAGCAGTCAGCACGGAGACAGAGCGAGCAGAACGTGTACGTGGCAGGAGGGCAGGACGCGCAGTATCTGCGTAGCTCAACGTACGAAAGTACGCCGTCAGCCAACACCAGCACGCAGTCAGTGGCAGGGTCAACTCCACAGATGGCGCAGAAGGAAATAAGCCTCAGTTTGCTGCAGACGCTGCTCAAGACACAGCAACAGCAGCAGCCGGCAGCGGCGACAACAGCGCAGGGCCCAATGTCAGTCGCTGAGCTCGAAAAGTCGTTGGCTCAGGCAGCAGGTGCCCAGATGTTCGTGCCCCCACCCCCAGGCGTCAATGCCCCAGGCGTCTATTCCTCAGCAGGTGCCGACGGCAAAGGCATTCAGTCCTATTGAGCAGCTTAAGCGCATGGCGGCGGCCCAGAACTTCAGCGTGGGAGGTGGGCGGGCAGAGCAGCAGGCGACGTCGGTGACCAGTGACCCAGAGCCGCTGGCAGCATCAATGATTACGTCGCCATCAAGCATGAACAGCAGCCCGTCGGTGAAGGCGGCATCGGTGCCCCTGGCAGCGAGCACATCACAGCAGTCGGGGCGCAAGAAGCCACGCGTCAACGTGCTGAACATCGACGCTAAGCGCATCAAGGCGCGGGGAACACCTGAGAGCACGCCGATTTCGATGCTGCAGCAGCCAGCGCGGTTCAAGCCCGGACGGCTCGTGGCGGTGAGCCGCGACTACATCTGCTACGCGGTGCGCACCAAAGAGGGCGGGCGTGTGCGCATCATCCACCAGCTGCACGGGCAGCGAGCCATGATGGTGGGGCACACAAACTCCATCATCGACATGGCATTCCACCCATGCTCGGGCGAGCCGGGGCGGCCGCAGGTGCTGGCATCGGTGGGCAAGGACAACCGGCTCATTGTGTGGTCAGTGGGGCCGGTGGACGACGAGAACGGATCGGTTGAGGGAGCCATTGACTACGAGCCATTCATCAATGTCGACTCTGGTGGCGATGCCCGGTTCAGTAGCGTGGCATGGCGGCCGTCAGCGCATGCTAATACGCTGGAGCTGGTGGTCAGCACCGACAAGGGCTTTATGCTGGTCAAGGCGCCAATGCCAGCGGCGGAGGGCGAGCGTGCTGAGCCGGTCCCTGGCGACCAGCTCCACATTATGCCGGTGCTGACGGACAGCCCCGTGACTGCAGTTGCGTGCGGCGGCACACGGTGGGTGTTTGTGGCCTTTGCCGACAAGACCGTGCAGCTGTACGACGTCTCACATACATGGGAGACGAGCTCGACACCATACACGCTGGTGGGCGAGGTCGCTCAGTGCAGCCATCCAGTGGACACGCTCTACTACATCGAACCGACAACAGCGTCGGACAAGGCCGGTCACATCCTGGCCGGGTACTCAATGAACCGGCACCTGCAGCTCTGGTGGCTCGGGTCCCGCGCTGGCGAGAGCGCGCTGATCCATGCAGTCAACTTTGTTGGTATGCCACACCGCCCATCACATGGGTTCGTCAGTGTAGCGTACGAGCCGCAAGCGCGGATTGTGGTGGGCGCGGCTAGCAATGCCCCATCAGTGATTTTCTCAATGAAGGTCAGCGGCCACGGGTCCAGCATGCACCTGAACTTCCCGCAGGGCCAGGCATTGGCTGAGGACCAGGCCACGCTCAGCATGGCTGCTGCGTATGAGGGCGACGCCGGGCTCAGCGTCTATGCGGTGCACACGCGCCTGGTGCAGCAGCTGCAGATCCAGGGCATCCGGGCCACCGACTACGAGCCGATGCCGGATCCCGCCGACTCGTATGCAGCCCGGCAGCTGGAGACTGGCAGCGAGAAGGAGCAGGAGGATATCAGCCTGGAGGTCGACCGGATCGTCGACCGCGTCAACTCAATTGATATTGACAGAGATACAGGCATGGGCAGCGAGCTGGTTCCAGAGGCCAGTCCAAGCGTGCCCGACACCTTCAGCATACAGCCGCCGCAACTGCCCCAGCCGCCGCAGGAGCTGCTATCAGCCAGATCGCCGCAGGCCACGCCCAGCTCGGGCATTGCCAAGCAGGAGCTCGCAGCTGAGATCCGCACGGCCGTGAACGAGTCCATTGCTGCGCAGCACATCCCGGCACAGGTCTCGGCAGCAGTCGCCAGCGCATTGCCTACCGCCAGTCTGCAGCTGAGCCCGGAGGCCGAGCAGCAGCTGGTCGACAAGATCAGCGCGGTAGTGGAGCGCAAGGTCGTCCAGGACATGGCGGGGCTGATGGAGGCCACGCTGATTCCTGCATACAGCCGCGCAACCACCGCCATGTTCGAGCAGATGAAGTCTACGTTCGAGGCTGGTCTGCAGGAGTGGTGGATGCGGTTTGCCCAAGTCATGCCGCCGCCGCCGCCGCCGATTGCCACGCCACTGGCGCATGCTTCGGTGCCGCAGCAGCCGCCCATGCCGCCGCCACCACAGGGCTTCTCGCAGCCACCGGTGATGTCGCCGGTTAATGCCAACTACCTGGAGTCGCTGAAGAACCTGCTGAACGGACAGAAGCCCAAGCAGTAGGGCCTTGTTCAACTAGAATCTTCGTAGCATGAGAAAACCAGGCATACTTTACTAGGTTGGAAAATTCGTGTAAAGAGAAACGAAAAAAAGGCAGTTTTCTTTATTCACTTGTCCTTGCGGGTCTCAGCAGCCGGCTGCTCCGTCTCTGCGGGGGCGGCCGAGCTGGTCGACGCATTGCTGGCAGCCGGGGCGCCGCCGAACGGCGACTCGGGCACCCAGGGCCGGGCAAGGCTGTCGGTAGCGGGCTTTCCCAGCACATGCACCTGGAACAGCGGGCTCTTGACAAAGTTGAACAGCGGCAGGATGCTCTGCAGAATCAGCGGCTGGATGTACCCGAACTTGAAGTGCATGAACAGCACAATCACAATCGTGAACAGCGATGACTTCTGCAGCTTGGCGACCTCCTGCAGATCGTACTTCACATTCGTCGTCTCTATGCGCTGCCCGCTGCTACCCGTTGCCGTGTCGTCGTACTCGAGCGCCGTCGTGTCGTTCTTTTGCGTGATCTTCTGCTTGATCACAAACGTCATGCCCAGCAGCACCAGCGTCCCGATGGCGTACATGCTGCGGATGTAGAGCGCGTACTCGGGGTTCTCCAGCCCGAACCGCTTGACGAGGTGCATGGTACCGAAGATGATACCCATCTGGATAATCTATAGGGGCGTAACAGGGAAAGGAGAGGGGTTTAGCGGGATAGCTCATTTCTCGCTCATCTGCCTAATTTGACACGCGTCGCTGTCCTGCTCACGCACAGCGTGGTTCGTACCTGTCCCTGAAGCGCCGACATGGTGAAGCTCTGTAGTAGTCCTTGTGCAAAAGAGGGGAAAAGTAGCTTTGCTGAAGCAGAGAAGAGAGGCAAAAGGCTGGGCAAAAAAATTCAAGCGAGCAGAACCATTCAGAACTCAATCGTGTAAAAGAGATTTGCGATTATTATTGGCGCTCGCTTTCCGCTGTGCATCGGGGGAGAGACGCAAGCAATCGTCCCGCGGTTTCCCACACGTTTGCAACTTTTGGTCCTGTGCCGCACGGCCCTTGGCGGGCCAATTGAGGCGCTCCAGCAACAGGGGTTTATTAGAAGCCAGACTCTACTAGAAGGCGCTCGCTCTTTCACATGGCGATCTCCTTGAGCAACGCGTCGTCCGGGTTCAGTGCCCGGAACAGGTCGTAGTTGAACTTGCCGCCGTCGTCGACCAGGCGCTGGCACATCTTGTCGATGGCAATGACGCTGAGCACGGTCTGGATGTAGGCGTCGATCAGGTCGTCGATGCCAATGCCGAGCTGGTTAAAGTCCTTGCGGTCCATCAGCAGCAGGCGCTGCGACTCGGTGGTCCACGACCCGTCCGGATGCTTGACCGACAGGTTCGTCCCCAGCATGCCCCACGACGTGGCCGTCGGGTCATCGCTCAGGTTGCTCACCAGCGGCATGCGCGCGCGCCGGGCGTACAGGCTGACGGGCCGGAACCCGTCCGAGGCTGCCGAGACCATCATGCGGATGTCGCTGACAAAGATGTTGTTCTTCTTGTTGGGCATGGTTCCCACGTGGTAGAAGCACCCGTCGTGCGTGGTGCTGGACCACGACGCGTTGCCAACCAGGCTCTGCACAATAAACTTGTCGTACCGGTGGTCCAGCGCCATGAACGCGTCGAGGTCCGCGCGGTTGGTGATCGTCCACACGCCCTGCCCGGCGTTGCTGTACGGGTTCTTGATCACCGCGTGGCCACCCATGCTGTCGATCCACACCGGGATCTCGTCGCGCACGACGTTGTACACTGTCAGCGGCATCCGCACCGACAGGTTGTACCCCCGCATCTCCGAGTTGAAGATCTCGTACGCACGCGCTGCCATCATCTTGTTGCGCCCGCCCGCCAGACACGCAATGACCGGATTGAGGATCCGCGTGCGCGCCGAGATCGGGATCCGGTTCCACGGCCGCTGCGTCACGTACCGGAAGCATGCCCGGATCGCGTGCCAGTTGCCACCGGCGTCGCGGATCTCCATGATGTTGTCGTCGGTCCACCGCACCGGCGCATCGCTGTCGCCATCGTGGTACTCCACCAGCCACACGTGCTCGCCCGACTCCTCGGCCAGCGCCGCAGCATACCCCGACGCCTCCATGGGGTTCTTGTCGAACACGACCGCCAGCTCGCCCTCGACATCGGTCGCTGCGAGCAGGTCCTTGAACGCAGACTTGAGCACGACCCGGTACCCGCCGCACTCGTCGGTGTCTTGCAGCAGCGGCATCGATTTCTGGCCCGACGGGCACGAGTTGGTCTCGATCACGATCATCTGGTGCTGCCCCGAGTCTGTTGTGACGTTGAACAGGTCAGATCCCAGCCCACGCAAAATGCTTGGGCTTGTAGTTCAGGCACTCGCGCAGCTTGTCCTGGTTGACCTTGGGCCGCAGGTGCACGTAGCGCGCGATGAATGCGCTCGTTGCCCAGCTGGAAGAACGACGACACCAGCGGGTGGATCTGCGCGTTCAGTACTCGAGGGTAAAAGTGGTTGGCCTGCTCAAAGTCCCCTGCCATGATGAGCTGCGCGTTGTGCGTGGTGGTCTTGTGCGCGTGGTTAACCACCGCTCCACTCTCAGTGGTAGCACCACCAGCAGTGGCAGCAGCAGCAGTAGCGGCAGGGGTCGAGACAGCGGCAGCAGCAGCTGACGGAGGGAAAGGCGGGGTGGTAGCGCCCAGGCTGGCCGCGCCGACGATTGATGTCTGTGTGTCAGAGGGGTTGCGCGAGTGGCCGCTGCTGTTGGACAGGCTGCCGCCAATGAGAGTTGCAGTGTCGCCAATGTTCAGCGAACCGATGGGCGGGAGGGGAGCTGTGCCCACTGCACCCTACGTCGTCAGCTGCCTTGGCCATGCTGATTGGCACTCCGGCGGCGGATGCGGCACCTTGCTGCGAACGTGCTGTCTGGGACTACGTGACAGGATGCAGAAAGAGGTAGGGAAATAAGCCATTGGAGATTTGCGCTGGTTGGGCAGTATATGGCGGACAAATATAATCCCTCCTTTTAGGCCAGGAAATGTAGCGATATTATCAGTCACTCTGAAAAGAGGAAAATAAACCGAGCGAGATGTTGGTTGTCGCAGGCGTGACGCACAGCCTTGCGTTTCCTTTTCTTTCCCGCGGTCCGTAGTGGGCAAATCCTACTCGCCTGAAATGTTTGCCTCTATTGCTGGGCGCGAAGGAGGCATGAACGAGACAGACAGAAAGTGCACGCATGTACAACCGACAGCAGCACAAGGGCTTGGGGTTTGATTCCTGCGATAGGGAGCTGATAGCAGCGGCTCTGAACACCGATGGGCACTAGGTACTTACCATCTTGTAGTTTGTATGTGTATGTGTGCTTGTAAGACGGGATAGAGTGGGAAAAATGGTCTGGGGAGGGCAAGAAAATGTTGAAAGAAAAGATTTGGATGGAGGGGAGGACTGCCAGAATTATTGCCAGGTCCCGGCTGCTCCGTTTTATTTCCAGACTGCTGTGCGCAGCTGGGCAGCAGCGTCCAGCAGACTCCCCCGGGCAAAATAAAATAATGCCCTAGCATTAATGCTCGGGATTTTTGCGTTCCCCCACTTGGCCGATAGCACCTGGCACCTGGCTATCACCAGCAGGCATGATTTGGCAGCTTTGTTTTCCTGGCGACAATGCTTAGCTGCTTTGCGCGCTCTTTGCCACTCTTTGCCACTCTCTCTGATTTTCTTTTTTCTGTGGAGCGACGGGCTGGTGTGCTCACGCATACATGCAGCCTTTTTCAGTATTTCCGTTTCAGGCTTTCCCAACTGGGACCGGTGCATTTCAATCCACAAAGATAAAGCATGTGCCTGGCTAGCTGCCCACCTGCCGCCGGTTGTTTTTCTCTTTTGCTGCGAGTGCCGCGCGGGAAAGGGCGCCGTTGATTTTTCGGGCACAGGGCAAGGAGCAGGGGAGGGCAGTCAGATGCAGCACGCACATTGTCGCGAAAAGTATTTGCTAGATTATCGTGGGCCCGCTACTGCTGCTGCTGCCACCGCAAAGGGATTGGTTCCAATTATGCCGTGCAGCAGCTGGACTGATCAACCAGCCTCAGGCACAGTTTCTAAAACCGCCTGCACGTGGCAGGGACTGCCTAATTTGAGCCGGTGTTTCTACTCACAAATCACCGCCATCGCCAATACATTATGCACATGCAGTGACATGCCGCATGTATTTCGACCGCATATGTGCTGATTCCGGATTTATATAATCAAACATGCAACTACTCTCTCGCCTCCGTTAGTCGACCAGCACCGACCAGTCCGACTCAATCTCGCCGTACTGGATGCCAGTCAGCGTGTCGTAGACACGGGCGGCCAGCGGGCCAGCCTGCGACTCGGGCTTGGCCGGGTCAAGCGGGATGACGTAGTCCTTGCCCTGGAAGTGGATGCGGTTGACCGGGGTGACAACGCACGCAGTACCGGCACCAAACACCTCGAGCAGGCGGCCCTCGTCGCTGGCCTTGGCAACCTGCTTCATGTTGACCTTGCGCTCCGACACCTTGATGCCGCCCCAGCTGCGAGCGAGCTCCAGAATCGAGTCACGGGTGACACCCGGCAGGATAGTGCCGTCGAGCGGCGGCGTAACGAGCTCCAGCTCGCCCTGCTCGTTCTTCCAGTACACAAACAGGTTCATGGTTCCAACCTCCATGAGCTCGTGGTCCTCGCCGATGGTCCACAGGATCTGCTGGTACCCCTTCTTCTCGGCTGCGGCCTGCGGGGCCACCGACGGCGCGTAGTTGGCACCCAGCTTGCGGTTGCCGACGCCTCCGGGCCACGCGCGCACGTTCGTCTCGTCGCAGTACAGGCTGACGGCCTTGAAGCCGGTCGGGAAGTAGGGCCCGCAGGGCGAGGTGATGACAAAGAGCTTGGCGCTGTTGGCCGCATGCACGCCTAATGTGTTCTCAGTGGCGATGACGGTCGGGCGGATGTACAGCGAATAGCCCTTGCCGTCGGGAACCCAGCGCTGGTCCGTGCGCACCAGCTCCTTGATGCATTCAATGGCCTCGGCGCCGTCGAACTGCGGCAGGTACAGCCGCTCGACGCTCGAATTCATCCGCGTCATGTTCTTGTCCGGCCGGAACAGCCGGATGTTGCCCTTGGCATCACGGTACGCCTTCAGGCCCTCAAAGCACTCGAACGCATAGTGCAGCACCGACGCCGACGGGTCGATCGACAGCGGGCCGTACGGAATGATCTGCGGCTTCTGCCACCCGCCCTTGCGCGTCCAGTCGACAGTCAGCATGTGGTCCGAGAACGTGTGGCCAAACAACAGCTTCTCCTTGGCCACGAGCGGCTTCGGCTCGGTGGTCAGCGTCTTCTGGATAGCTGCGGACTGGATGTTGGGCAGCGCCGACGAGCTAGCCACCTTGCCCGTATTGTGTAACAAGCGTGCGCCGATGGTGTTGTAGCGAGTAGCCAGGCGTAGTAACGAAGGAGCCATGGTATCAGGTGATGAAAAAGAGAGGATTCCTTGTTAGTAAAATAAACGAGAGCAGGTGGGAGAAGTGGTGGCAGTAGTGGAAGGCAGAGGGGGCGCGGCTGGAAGCGGCGGCGTCCTTTTATACGCAAAAAAGTGGCCGTTCCAAGAAGGCAGGAGCAGCTACCATCAAGATTGTGAGTCAAACTCTTAACCCGTCACTATCGGGAAAAACGATCTACCCGGGGTGCTTGCTCGCCTGCACCACGGCAGCACGCTCCCAGGGTCAGCGGCTCCGCTGGCCCTCTTTGGCCCTGATTCCAGCAACTGCAAGCGGTGGAGGCACGCAGCGGCCAGGTGTTTGGCCGCACATTTGTTGCAAAGGAATGGCCAGCCGTTCCATGCGGATATGCCCATGTGAAGCCCGTGAGTGTGGGAAACTCTGTGACGGTGGGAAAACGGCTGATCTTTTACGTACAACACCAGCTCCAGAGGGGCGCTATGGCGCCGCCCAGACTGGCAAATGCACGGCAAGGCGCATGCACGGAAGAAAGCTACCACCCATGCATGTCTGAGAAGTAGATTGCAAGTTTCCCGGTATAATGTGGAAGCACTGCGATGGAATTGCATTCATAATCAAGCCTTACCTGGTAGTGTCTGCAGATGTGTGCGAAGCGACAGGCATCTTGTATCTCTGGTAGCCGGAAAATAGTGAGAACCTCTTGATAGCGAAGCGGAAAACAAAGAGGCAGGGGTCTGGCCCGTGGATGGAGCAAGGCGGCCGTCTTAAATGGCTCATAACACTATGAGACTGGCCACCGCCTGTGTGACCCAAGCAGCAGAGCGAGCCGGGCTCGCAGGTCTGGCTACGTGGGAACGCGCACCGAAAACTTTCCCCTTATGCTCACAAATCTGCGTAGAAGGAACGAGTAAGGCAGAAGATAGTCAATCCGTTTTGCGGACACACCCGTCCGTCGTGGGAACCAGGTGTCGCTTTTGACTCGTCTGACCATGGCAGAGCCGAGTGTCTGCCCGATCGGTTCATCAGGCTGGGATCGAAGCATTCTTAATCAGAGGCGTAATCGGCAATCACCCTGGGTGTGGGGAAATCAGCTAAAAATATCGGACTGCATGCGCTCATCGGCCACACGGTGCAATTGTATAACCTCGCCTTTACTCGTGCTCATCTAGCAAATTCCCCCTCCTCCTCCTTCTCCCTTGACGACTTCTCCCTCTCCTTTGACCTTCTGTTATTTGCTTCAGCCATGGGAAAGAGCAAGAACGGCGGCAGCGACGCTAGCGACAAGCAGCAGCCGGCTCCGCTCACCAGCGACTCGAAAACAGCGGATCGCAGCTTTGCAGCGTACCCTGTGCCGTCGAAACTGGCGGCTTCATCCAGTACTCCGTACCAGCGCAACAGCTGGCTGACCAGCGTCGATGGCCCGGCAATGGCGGTGCTGACGGTTCTGTGCGCGGTCACGCGGCTGTACCAGATCGGCAAGCGGGCGACCGTGACGTGGGATGAATCTCACTTTGGCAAGTTTGGCGCATATTACCTGAACCGCACGTTCTATCACGACGTGCATCCGCCGCTGGCCAAGATGCTGATTGGGTTCTCGGAGTTCCTGGCCGGCCACAACGGCACGTTCAACTTCAAGGGCGACTACCCCAGCTATGTCAACTACAAGTTTATGCGCATGTTCACAGCGATGTTTGGCATTGGGCTGGCGCCGCTGGCCTACCTGACGTGTCTGCAGCTCAACATGTCGCGCAAGATGTGCACCTTGGCGGCGCTGTTTGTGATCCTGGACAACGGGCTGTGTGTGATGAGCCGGTTTATTCTGCTGGACGAGCCTCTGCTGTTCTTCACGGCGGCCTCGCTGTGCTCCATCGCTGGATTCCAGAACAGCCGCCATAAGGCGTTTTCGTGTGCGTGGTGGCGCTGGCTCTTGCTGACTGGTGCGTCGCTGGGCTGCGTGTCGAGCTCCAAGTGGGTCGGGTTCCTGGCAGTTGCGCTGGTGGGTCTGTACACGATCGAGGAGCTGTTCAACATGTACACCGAGTTCGTGCCGGTCAAGACCGTCGCCAAGCACTTTATTGCGCGTGTTGTCGGGCTGATTGCTGTGCCGCTGGTCATCTACCTTGCATGCTTCAAAATCCACTTCACGGTGCTAAACAAGACTGGACCTGGCGATGCCACGATGCCGCCTGCATTCCAGGCGCGTCTGCGCGGCAGCCCGCTGAGCTCGCAGCCGTTCGAGATCATGTATGGCTCAGAGCTGAACCTGCGCTCAATGCACCCTGGCTCGGGACTCTTGCACTCGCATCCGCACAAGTACCCGGAGGGCTCGCAGCAGCAGCAGATTACGTGCTACGGACACAAGGACTCGAACAACAACTTTGTTCTGGTGAAGCCGGCTGGGCAGGAGTTCAACTACACGGCAGAGCCGCTGGTTGCGGTGCGTGACGGCGATATCGTGCGGCTGCAGCACAAGCAGACCAAGGCCATGCTTCATTCACATCGGGCACACAAAGCCCCGATTACCACGCGGGATTTTGAGGTCACGGCGTACGGCAAGCCTCAGTGGAAGGACCCAAACAACGACTGGCGCATCGAGATTGTCAAGGAGGAGAGCACAGTGCAGGACAAGAACCTGCACACGATCACCACGCAGTTCCGTCTGCGCCATGCCAAGATCGGATGTCTGCTGACTGCGGCTGCCGTCAAGCTGCCCTCGTGGGGCTTCCGCCAGACCGAGGTGTCGTGCAGCCCGGCCAACAACCTGAATGCGCCGGCTAGCCTGTGGGTGGTCGAGAAGCACATCAACAAGCGTGTGCCCAGCGTCGACATGCGGCCCAGGGTGCGCTCGAGCTTCCTTAGGGATTTTGTGCGGCTCAACATCGAGATGGCGCGCTCCAACAATGCGCTGGTTCCGGACCACGACAAGTACAACCACCTGGAGAGCGGACCGATCACGTGGCCGTTCCTGGTGTATCCGATGCGCATGCTCGGATCGTGGAAGAAGGGCGACATCAAGTACTACGAGATCGGCAACCCTGTGCTGTGGTGGTCGTCGACTCTGGCCTGCCTGCTATTCCCGCTGCAGCTGGCATACTATGCGGCGCGCCGTATGCGCGGATGCAGCGACTGGGCATCACCCGAGGAGGAGCTGCACTTTTGGAATGTCAGCAAGCTGCTGTGGGGCGGCTGGGCCCTCCACTATCTGCCGTTCTTCCTGATGGGGCGCGTCACCTACATCCACCACTACCTGCCAGCCCTGTACTTTGCGCTGCTGTTCCTGGCGTTCCAGATCGACCAGTTCAGCAAGCGGTGGTTTGGCGGCAAGCTGGCGACCGGCATCCAGTTTGTGTGGGCGCTTGTGGCGGTGTCGGTGTTCTACTGGTTTGCACCGCTGACGTTCGGGATATACCGGGTCGATGGACGACCTGCCGTACCGCCAGTGGCTGCCGACGTGGAACATCTACAAGGATCCGTTCGCGCTATAGAATTTTCTTTACTTCAAATAGACTTTTTATATCCTGAACCGATTCTGTTTTGGTGTTTCGGTCGTGGTCCAGCATCGTGCACGAATGATCGGCAACTACTCGTGGTGAACTAGCGGGCAGGCTCGTGCGATGCTGGTTAGGTCACAGCCTTTTCTTTTCTTTTCTCCAACCCATCTGAATTCAACCACCTTTCTATTTTTTTTTAGCGAAATGGGCGACACTGACGAGGGACTGCGGCGTCGTCGCCAGCAGGAACCACTCATGCAACAATACTCTGACTCGGAAGGTGAGAGTGTCAAGGACGACCAACCTGAAGCCAAAAGGCCCACGGTTGGCAGCTCTGCGGGACACAGCGACGTGAACGAGTTCACATCCTCGGACCGGATTGTGTCTCTGCTGCTGACAGCTGTCTGTGCTTTCACACGGCTGTACCAGATCGGGCGGCGCAACCTGGTATCTTGGGATGAAACACATTTTGGCAAGTTTGGAGCATTCTACGTCAACCGCACGTTCTATCACGACGTGCATCCGCCGCTGGCGAAAATGTTAGTAGGGCTGTCCGAGTACATCAGCGGGCACAACGGCTCGTTTGCGTATAAGCTGGGGACGACGTATCCGGAGCACGTAAACTATGTGTTCCAAGCGGTCGTTCGTGGCCCTGATGGGCGTGATGCTGGTGCCGTTTGCGTACCGCACATGTCGGTTTCTGCGGTTCAGCCGCGGGTTTGCAGCGATGGCAGCGAGCTTTATGATTTTTGACAACGCACTGTGCGTGATGAGCCGGTTTATCCTGCTGGACCAGCCGCTGCTGTGCTTCACGGCCATGTCGCTGCTGGGGTATGCGGCGTTTGCGGCACAGCGGGGGCAGGCATTTAGCCTGGCATGGTGGCGGTGGCTGGTGTTTACGGGAGTATCGCTGGGACTCGTTATCAGCTCCGAAGTGGGTAGGGCTGTTTGTCATTGCGCTGGATCGGTCTGTGCACCATCGAGGAGTTGTTTGGGCTGTATAGCGACCGGACTACCGATGCAGCGACGCAGATCAAACACTGGGTAGCTCGCGCCGTGTGTCTGATTGCCATTCCAGTGGCCATTTACCTGGCCTGCTTCAAGGCGCACTTTACCATCCTCAGTACACGCGGCACAGGCGACTTCAAGATGCCGTCGGCATTCCAGGCGCGGCAGCAGAACAGCGTGGTGGCATTGCAGCCGCACGAGGTCGCGTATGGGTCGCAGGTCACGCTGCGGTCGCATCTGCCTGGGTTCGGGCTGATCCACGCGAACGAGTCGCTGCGGTTTCCCGACAAGGGCATGCAGCAGATAGCCGGCGGCATGGCAGGCAAGCAGGCGTTCAACTGGTGGCAGATCACGTCGCTCAACGGCACATGGGAGAACTCGACGTCGCCGGTGCAGCATGTCAATGACGGCGATCTGATCCGGCTTGTGCATGTGGGTACGGTCCATTACCTGCGCACGGGCCGCGAGACGCCCTACTACATGGGATGGGACCGGCGCATGTTCCTTGACGGCAACGCGACCAAGTCGAATATCTGGGACGCCTGGCGCGTCGAGATTGTCGACGAGGAGAGCCCACTGGAGAAGTCGCATCTGCGGACGGTGACAACGACCTTCCGGCTGTACAATGTGATATCGGGGTGTCTGCTGCAGGCGACGCAGTCGCGGCTGCCGGCGTGGGGCAGGCGGATGAGCGAGCTGATCTGCACGCAGGCGAACACGACCAGGTCGGAGAGCACGCTGTGGAACATCGAGCAGGTGCGGGACAGGCGGTTTGCGCGGGCGGACTTTTCGAAGCTGGTGAAGCGGCGGCTGGTGCGCGACACCATTTGGCTGAACCGTGAGATGTCGCTGTCGAACAATGCGCTGATTCCGGACCACGACCGGTACAAGACCACCGAGAGCGAGCCGTGGTCGTGGCCGCTGCTGCTGTATCCGATGCGGCTGGTGTCGTGGGCTAAGGACTCGATCAAGTACTACGAGATCGGCAATCCTGTGCTGTGGTGGACATCGTCATTCACGTGTCTGTTGTTCCCGCTGCAGCTGCTGTACTGGTTTGTGCGGCGGCAGCGGCATATCCAGGACTGGAGCGACCCGGCCGAGTATGCGGCGTTCTGGGACACTGGCAAGCTGCTGTGGGGCGGCTGGGCGCTGCACTACCTGCCGTTCTTCCTGATGGGCCGTGTCACGTATCTGCACCACTACCTGCCGGCGCTGTACTTTGCGCTGCTGCTGCTGGCGTTCGAGATCCAGTGCTTTGCCAGGTGGTTCCTGCCCAAGCCGCTGCATCTGGCGGCGGTGCTGGCTGGGATCGGCGTGGCCGCGGGCGTGTTTGTGCTGTTTTCGCCCTTCACCTTTGGCTGGGACAAGCCGGCCAAGGACCTGGCGTACCTGCAATGGCTGCCGACGTGGAATGTGTACGAGGACAGGCACCTTCTCTAAGCACCATTGGGATTTTTCCTACTGCCCAGCATTTTCAAGAGTTCTGGCTTCATCCCCAATCAACTTCTGTCAACGTCAAGGAAGAAAAATGTGCGGGGGTCGCGGCAATGATATCTGCTACTGCAGCCGATACGGCATTGCGGGTGAAAGGGCAGTTGCGTGCTGGTTTGGCGGAGTCTAACTTCTTGCGTGCCGACCGCCGCTGGCAGGACAGTGGGTTGAGTGGTTCCAGCATGACGATGGGGGCCAAAACTGGTGGTGATACGTAGTGTGCCAGCTGTGCAACTCGACGCCATCCTTTTCTCCTCAACCTCTTCCTCTACCTTCGCACCTATTTTTATTCTCATTCCCGCCGCGCTATTCTATTCTAGTTTACAGATTAAGGATTTTTTTAACGAAATGAGTCTGTTCCAGGAGAAACCTCGCAAGGCATCTCCGACGCAGGGCAAGCAGAAACCTTCGCGCGAGGCATCGGGCAGCCCTGCAAAGTCGGCGCTGTTTGCTTCTGACGACGAGGGCGACGACACCGACGTCGATGAAGCGGCGCCGATGGCCAGCAAGACCGGCGGTAAGGCTAGGGTCGTTGGCAGTGGGCAGCACGACCAGTGGTGGCAGCGCAACCAGGAGCTGCTGAACCCGGTGGTGCTGACGATTCTGTCGGCGATGACGCGGTTCTACCGGATCGGAAAAAGCAACTTTGTGGTGTGGGACGAAGCACATTTCGGCAAGTTTGGCGCGCACTACGTCAACCATACATTCTACCACGACGTTCATCCGCCGCTGGCAAAGATGCTGGTGGGACTGTCGGAGATCCTGACGGGCTTCGACGGGTCGTTTAGGTTCCCGTCGGGCGAGACGTACCCGGAGAACGTCAACTACAGGTTCCTGCGCATCTTTAATGCCAGCTTCGGCGTGCCATTGGCGCCGTTTGCATACGTGACGCTGCGCAACCTCGGGTGCTCGATGAACGCGGCGTTGCTGGGCGGACTGCTGGTCTGCTTTGACAATGCGCTGTGCACTATCAGCCGGTTCATTCTTCTGGACGCCATGCTGCTGTGCTTCACGGCCATGAGCGCCATGTGTCTGTCGGGCGTCTACAAGCACCGCAAGCAGCCGTTTACCGTGCCCTGGTACAAGTGGATGTTCATGACCGGCGTGTCGCTGGGCCTGGTCACTAGCTCAAAGTGGGTCGGGTTCTTTGCCGTGGCGCTAGTCGGGCTGTATACGGTCTACGAGCTGTACGATTTGCTGGAGCTTCCGGAGACCCGGCCCAGCAACTATCTGATGCACTGGCTTGTGCGCGGCGCCGCCCTGATCGTGATCCCAGTGACCATCTACCTGGCCTGCTTCAAGGTGCATTTTGCGCTGCTGTACAAGTCGGGCCCAGGCGATGCCGAGATGGACTCGCTGTTCCAGGCGAACCTGCAGGGCACCAACCTGCAGAACCAACCGCTGGACGTTGCATTTGGCTCCAAGGTGACGATCAAGAATGCGCTGCAGGGCGTCGGTCTGCTGCATTCGCACGTGGACCAGTACCCGGGCGGCTCGCAGCAGCAGCAGATCACCTGCTACAGCCACAAGGACTCGAACAACGACTGGATCCTGAAAAAGGTGCACGGTCAGACCTACGGCAACACCAGCGAGACCGTCGAGTTCATCAAGAACGGCGACATCGTGCGGCTGGTGCATGAGCGCACGACGCGCAACCTGCACTCGCACCAGGTCAAGGCCCACGTGGCGAAGCGCGAGTGGGAGGTGACCGGCTACGGCATGGACAGCAAGTGGAACGACCCGAACGACCACTGGCGCGTCGAGGTGGTGCAGGATCTGTCGCACAGCAACCCGAACAAGCACCTGCGCACACTGGCGTCGCGGTTCCGTCTGCGCCACGTGCAACAAGGCTGTCTCTTGCGTGCTTCGGGCAAGTCGCTGCCGCAGTGGGGGTGGAAGCAGGCCGAGATTGTGTGTGACCGCAGCGGCAAAATCGACGACAACTCGGTCTGGAACATCGAGAACCATGTCAACCCGCTGCTGCCCAATGCCCGGCCCGGCGAGCTGCGCAGCTCGTTCCTGCGCGACTTTGTGCGGCTCAACAAGGCCATGGCGCGCACCAACAATGCCTTGCTGCCGGACCCCGACAAGTTCGACTCGCTGACGTCGGCGCCCTACGAGTGGCCCATCATGCGCCTGGGTCTGCGCATGTGCGGGTGGAACGACAACCGCGTCAAGTTCTGGCTCACTGGAAACCCGGTCGTCTGGTGGCTCAGTTCCCTGGCCGTCTTTATCGCCGGCCCCATCCAGATCCTGTACTTCGCCATCCGCAGCCAGCGCGGAATCGACGACTTCAACGGCAACCCTGGCGCGCTTGAGAACTACGCACTGGTCTCGGCCATTCTGTGGGGCGGCTGGGCTTTGCACTACCTGCCGTTCTTCATTATGGGCAGAGTCACCTATCTGCACCACTACTTCCCAGCCGTGTACTTTGCCGCCATGTACCTGGCCTTCTTGCTCGAGTGGAACGCCGCCCGTCTCTCGGGCTCTGTGACCTCGCGTATGAACAAGACCGTGCTGGCCGTGCTTGGACTCGCCGCCATTGCCAACTTTATGTTCTTTGCTCCGTTCACCTTCGGCTTCGACTACCCGGCCAAGGAGCTGGCGAACCGCAAGTGGATCTCTACCTGGAACATTTACGACGGCCACGACTAGAACCCCTTGCATGTTTCACATGAATGCTACCCTGTCCGACATCATATCATGCCGATTATTTTTGGGAAACTGAAAAGCGATAAATTCAACCAAAATATACAGAAAGAAATGTCGCAGGTGGGGCTATTGCTCAAATCGCCTTGGCGCACGAGCTGCACGCGCCCTTGATCATCTTGCGCCCGAACGGCACATAGCTCGCCGAGTACCACGCCAGCGCGCAGAACTGGCAAATCGCCATCACCAGACACAGCACCGGGATGCCCCACGCAAACGCTACCACAAACGTCAGCACCAGCAGCACAATATACACGATGAACGCCGTCAGCCGCACCGGCTGCGTCGCCATCTTCAGCTGCCGCTTAAACCCAATCAGGAACCCCATCCCGAACAAAGATATCACGTTGCCCAGCGAATAGCACACCGCAAACCCCGCCATGTTGCTCGAGAATATAAGCACCGTGCCCAGCACACTGAGCACCAGCCCGATTACAAAGCACGCCCCAAACGCCATGTACCGCTCCGAGCGCGAGAGCTTGAATAGCCCTGGGTCGTCGCTCATCGGGTCCTCCACGCCGAACCGGCTGCCGGCCTGCTGTACGTTGAATGGCAAGGACATCTGTGAGATTCGCTGAAGCTAATTTCAAAAAGAAGAAAAATGAAATGCAAGTTGTATGGCAGTGGGAAAAGAAAAAGAACAGTCGCGGTTGCGCCAAGCACGGCAGCTAGAAATAGTACGCTCTAAAGAAACTCCTTTGCAGCGATTTGATTAGCGCGTCCACCCTTTTAAGCCAAGGATCATCAAGTAGAAATTGGAAAATGGCTAGGCTGCCAGTATAATCTGCAAATAGAGAAAAAAAATTACAGGCTGCTGCTCTTCATGGCTGCGCACAGCGACTCTTGGTACAGCTTGTCCCTGATGGCATTGGCCACGCCCTTCAGCTCCTCCATCGGCACGTAGTTCTTGGGCCAGCCGACCCGCAGGCCCTGGCGCGGCTTGGGCTTCGGCACCAGGTGATAGTGGACATGCGGCACTTGCTGGTAAATAAGCGACCCGTTGCGCTGCAGGATGTCGTAGCTTTCAAGCCCCATCGCCAGTGCGATTCTCTTCGCCACCAGCATCACGTCCATGAGGTACATGTCCGGCAGCTCGTGCATGCGGTCGGCATGGCGCTTGGGCACAATCTGGATGTGGCCCTCGGACAGCGGGTGGATGTCGAGGAATGACGTCGTCAGAGTGGTTTCGAGGATCTTGCATGACTGCGTCTCGCCCTTGATGATGTCACAGAACGTGCAGTCGGCGTGGAACGGCGAAGGAGTAAGAGAAACAAGCATTCTTAGTTATAGAGAAAAGCGGTGAGGAGGAAAAATGTGGATGGCAAACAGAAGGGTGACGATGGGTCAGCTTTTTATGTTGTAACCACAGGCTAAACCAAGGCTGCGGATTATTTTCTCCCTAATCTGGCTGCGCAAAAAATCATAATTGTCAGTGAAGGTGTGAGCCACAATTTGTACCCATGTATTTTCTCTGCACGATGGCGTCAGCGTGGTTCAACTTGCAGCGCCAGCTTGAGCGCCAGAGCGGCTTCGGCCATTCCAGTGGCATGGGCAGCTTGCCGTCGGCGCGCCAGGCGGGCACCCCGGCTTCATGGCTCGGCCAGCAAAGGGTTACCCTTGATATGCAGCTGACTGGCGCTTAGCTTTATTTTGTTTCTTTTAGTTTCTCTGCTGCAATCCATGTTTTCCACATTGAACGTGCATCTTCCAAGCATCCACACCATGTGCATCATCACCATGAATATCACCGTATGCCTCAGACATGTACATGCTGCTATGCATGTTTACTCACGGCGTGCATACGATCACCACCGCCTTTCCATGGCCAATAATGCTGCTATTTGAAAGAAACAAGAAGAAAAAGTAAAGTGGATGGGTGGAAGACTAGCGGTGCCTGGGCACCTTGTGATGGGGGACATGCTGCTCAGTAGAAGACCCGCTAACATCGGAGCGGTCAGACAGTCTGCGCTTCTCACGAGCCAGCATCTGTTTGCCGTGCTGGTCAACCATCGTCTGCACACTTCCGTCCCTCAGCCTGAGGAGCTCCTTCATGATCGGATCGGTGTCTTCGCCGCTGTAAACAAAGGAAATAAACTCGAGGCGATATCCAAGCAGATCCTCCACGATGATGCCGCAGTCGAGAACCTTGGGAATCAGACAGGCGCTCTGTGCATCCTCAATGCCGCCAATGGTACCCCATGTGGGACTAGACTTGGGATACCAGGAAAGTAGGAGCAACTTCTTGATTCTGTCTACGTTTGAGATAATGAGCGTGTTCAGCGGCCCGAAGATGGTGGTGTCACCAGGCTTGTGACATGGGAATTGAAGAAAGTAGTCCTGAATAGAATCAGAGGCATCGATAAGAGTATCAACATTCACTGGCTGCGCATAGCGAGATGCGAAATTGGAGTCGGTATCTACTGGCGCACGATGAGTGAGTCTCATACTTGACAGCTCATCATACCAGTTGCAGAACCTCCCAAAGTGCTCTGTCTGTAGAAGGTGAAACGCCAGTGGTGTAATCAGGCTGATGAGCGTGTCCTTGTTGGTATCCACGAGCGAGCCAAGCACAGCACGCAGGAGTCTGCCACGAGTAAAGACATACAGCGTGACATTGAAGTCGTCGTCGATGTACAGTGCTGGGATAAACGCGCGAGTAAATTGGACTGCCCACATACCGCGCACACAGGCACACATCTTCTCCATATCCTTGCCCTCGCTGGAGTCGTTGATTAAACCATGTCCTGAAATAGCCACTAGCATGTAGATATCAGGCAGCGTAAGCATGAAGCGACGATTTTCATCCACACTGGCCCGGTCAGGGTAGCCGACAAGAAGACCAGGCATCAGCTCAGTGTCGAAGATGGAGCGCCAGTCGTGGTTGATGATGTCAAAAGGTAACACATGTGGAGCTAGCTCGTCCATGACCAAGTGGAGGTACCTGTCAATGAAGCGCACGAGCTCACGCCTGGTGCCTGTGTCAGACGCAAACCACATGCCCTTGAGGACGTCCCTGGCACAAATCTTGTCGGCAAGCTTGGCTATAGCAGTGCCATGCGGTGCCAGAAACTCGCGAAACTTTTCCAGGAGGCCAAGGGAATCAAACATGCTTTGAAGGTCCACATCCACCGTTGCGTTGCGCACGTCTGACTCCCACTGGCTTTTCATTTCAGACGTTGGTTTCTTGCCGATTTCGGTGACGAGAAGACTGGGCTTCGGCCTATTCAGCCTAACTGGCGAAACATTCTCTTCGTCTGTCAGATATGGATCGCGCCAAGGATCATCTTGCATGGCAATATAATCGTCGCTTAGTGTCATTGCAAAAGTAGTGGAGTAATGAAGACTGGCGGTGAACTAGGTCTGGTGAGAAGAAAAGCGCTTTTGCTGCTGCGCAACAAACGGCCAGCCTCTATATGCTTTTACTTTGCCTCACCAATAGGTTTTCATCAGGCTCTTTTTTTTAGTATCAAAGCCATCCAGCGGCCACACCGATTATCCAAGCTTAGTCGACGAAAATACCCAAATCGATCAAACAGTGGCACTCTAATCACCCCTATCACATCAGCTAAATTTGGATCTGTCTGCGGCTTCGGCAACAAGCTTCTGACTTAGGCAGTAATGTGCCCGCGCTCCAGTGCGCTTCTTGTACAATGACTAGACAAAGTCCCTAACATCATTCATGGCTTTACCAGGTGATATCACCCCATCTCGAATATCGCTGCCCTCTATTGCTATGATGTGTGATAGATATTCTATTAAAAATTAGGGGATGATATAGACCACATAATACTCACCGCAGACGCCATGTTTGCCCTTTGGACGTTGATAGTGATGCAGCGTATCATCCACGGCTTTTTGCTGTGACACATTGTCTCTTGAGCAATACGTTCACAATCTAGTAGTTGGCACTATATTGCACCTTGCATCCATTTTGGTCTAGGCAGAAGCATTAGAGGGAGCATCTTGTCTTTCAAAGTGATACCTTCTAATTTAAATGCTCACCAACCAGCCATACCGATTCACATCTGTGTTGGCTGTCCTAGTTACTGTCACTGCCCCCAACTCAGCCTATCTTCATATACCCTTGTACTCTGTCAATACGACAAGAGCAGGGGGTAATCTGGGCTTGGGATATAGATCGTTCACCAGTACCGCATAGTGAGGCATGATGCAGTTTAGTTAATTTTCCATGTGCTCAAGTAGTGACTTGTATACCTTACATCTAGTATTGTTGGGCGCCCACCATGGTTGCCCCTGACGTCGACATGTCAGCCAAATCAGGTGACGGCAAGCCGGGCGCTCAACTATACGACTGATAACTAGACAAACGACTCAAGCGCACATGCACAGCGGGACAAACACCTGGTAAATGCCGTGCACCGACTGGGGTAAACATTGACGTCAATACTGCAGCCAATGGCTATGTTCTGTAGCAGGTGGGTTATGAATAGACTTCCATACAGGTTATATTCCAAAATTTAAAACTAGCTGAAGAAAAATCTGGTAACGTGCTGGTATATATCCCGCACATAAGTATGATTCTGGATCCATGTCTATACTGCTGTTTTTCGCCGAAGGCAGACGCCAGTGCCAATGGCAGCGCCTAAAACCAAGCTTGTGATAACAGAGGCTTCTGTCCAGCTGTGAACAATGAAAGCGCCGACATATATCAGCAGGCAAATAATAGCAGCTATCATCCTGACATGTTGTTTCGATCAAACTCATATCGAAAGCAGCTGTATCAGGCTGGGTATATATATCATCGCCTACAGTTCACAGGTACCTCTTTTGTTTCTATTTTTCCTGAAGTAAAAATTCTTTGAAACACGCTAAACATAATCTTCTTGTTACAGCCACCACAAGAACATTTTCGACCAGCTAGGCCGAGTTGAACTTTGCCAAACTGGTGGGGCTCTCATGATACTAGCCAGCCACTGCAGTACAATTCTGAATAGTGAAGGATGATGAAAGATTAACTGTTAACCTAGGAGATGGCTGGTTATCGGGTATATGGAAAAACAACTTTTCAAATATGGCTGAGTGAAAGAAGGAAAGCTGATTTTCTGCCTGGGTCTTTGTACATATGCGTTTCAGCCTTGTCCATGGTGCCGCATGGGGATTCCTGATCCCGAATGTAAACACCAATGATTCCATCACCTCTCACACGTTGATGGATTTAGTTTAGATCGGTCCTTACTGGAATACCTCAACCTTGTTCTCCTTTTTGGTCTTGTAGACGGATTCCTTATAAATGTATCCCTCCATTTATTCTACTCTTCCTTCTACACACATACCAAACGAGCACCACGCAGAGTTTATAGAACACACCGTTGCATTTTCAACAATCTTAAGGCTACCAGAATCCTCATGGCGGATACTATTCGACCATCGACACCGGCTTACGTTACTCCCTTTCGACAGAATGATGAGCGGCATCATGGGACCCGGCGCGTCCCACTAGCAGAGGATGCTTCTCATACGTATGGAACGATGGACATTAGGGATTTGTTCGAAGAGATTGGTTATGAGCAACAGTTTTTAGCATTCGAACATAATCACGCAGAGCTCATCGACAATATCGCGCGATTCATTTCCAATGAGGATTTTTTCCCTCATGAATGGGCAACTGCCCTTCGTGGATATGGCCGCCGCCAGGTTTCAGAGAGGCAGGTTGCTGCTTGTTTTCTGAGGTTGCTACGACTTTTGAATGGAGACGGCTTTGATGTGCCTGCAAATCCAGCCGTGGAGACACCTCCCGAATACCCCAGAAGTGACCAGTCTCCAGAGGCTACTGCTGCCTGGGCCGATTATCATGCCAGAGTTGAGCGTAGAGATGAGACTATCGGACGTCTTCAAGAATTGAGAGCGTTGCTTCCAGATATCACTGCTGGCCTGCAACAGCTTTTACCGGACGGACGGTACGTGGTAGAGGATCACCAAGATCATGCAGTCCATGGTTCACTGCTCAAACCAGACCTGGTTGTGTTAGGACAGTCCGCCTCGCGGCGAAGGGCAGAACATGCAGTATCAGACATGGGTGAATATCTATTTTACAGCGGAGGTTAAGCGAGGGGTAATTGGGACTGCAAAATCCACATTTGGAGCGCCAGATAACGACGATTTTAAGCAAATATGTGAGTACGGATATGTTGTACTTGATAACCAGCCAACACGCAGATTCGCAGTGGATCTTGTTAACTTGGGGAATGAGTGGTTATCGAATATATGGAAAAATAACTTCTCAAAGTGACTGAGGGGAAGAAGGAAGGCTGGTCGTCTGTCTGGGCTTTTGTACGTATGCGTTTCGGCCTTATCTATGGTGGCGCAGGGGACTCCAGACCTCAAATGTCAACAGATCTTCTTGTCCATTGGGATCAGATCGATCTCATCTTATTTCTGCCAAGACGGGTTGCTCGTGCTGATATTGGGCATTGGACGCATTATCCAAGGGGTATGCTAGCTCGAACAATCTGTATCCTTACATTCATCCTATCACGGGAGTTCCGTGAGCGTTGCTTCTTCATGCCTACAGCCAGCCAAACAGCTGGTTTTCGTTTTACTCGCCATCCACAGGATGATCAAACCCACCCACTACCTCTACAGGTGACGCCATTAACTGACGGAGACGAGTGGGCTGCCGGCGATATCCGTTTTACTGACCAGGTTGCTCCTCGCACTGCTCTGACGGGTGTACAGAACATTCTCCTGCGCACTGTACACACCGAGAATGGTTTGCAAACAGCATATGTGTGTAGCCTTACGTGGGCTCCTGAGAACAGCCTGGCAGAAGGCGCAGTTCTCCTTGCTCTGGTCCACCACCAGGACCTGTACGACCCAGACGATGCAAATGCAGATCATGTTCCCGGTTTGCCGACAGTTCTCATTTCTGGTGTCGTAGATCGATTCGACAGTTCGCGTCTCGAAGTTGTCATCTATACAGATCCGGGTGTCCCTATCATGGAGTTCCTGACGGGCGTTCAGCAGGCCGAGCGCGAGCGTGCGGCAGTGCCAGAGAATGAGCGTGTACCAACACCTGAGCACGTGGTGACATGTGCGGATGTGACCGCAGCAGTCATCAACCAGGTAGGTGGACTGGTTGTCTTTGGATTCCAACGGGGGATCATTCATCGGGCAATCCACCCAAAATGGATATACATCCACGTTGGTGACGACAGGAAGAATATCGGCCCACCTCCTTGGCTGGTATGCGGCCCGGGCATCGCTGGGATGATACCCTCACTGCAGCTGATGCGGTAGCACGTTGGGGTATCAATCTCCAACAGATCCTTCAACCGCACGCCGCTGCATCGACTGCGAGAGCAGCGCTGGAGTTTTCGAGTCCGGCAGTCTTGAATGGATTATGCCGGTCCGGACGGTGGTGGATGAGCTGACTGGGCTCCTGCTTGCGACGGCTTGGAGTGTCGCTTCATTGAGCTACACTCCGCCGTTATCGATATCAACCGCGCCTCCCCAGGGATTTGAGTCGTTTTCAAACACGTCGGCGGCTGCTGTTCGTGCAGTCTGCCTTTGTTCAGACTATTCATTCATCGCCTACGGAGGACTTGCTGGAGCAGATTATACGACACGAGCAACGCTCTGCCATATGCGCACAGGTCTGTATGGTGAGCACATCGATGTTCCCTATGCCTTTGCAGCTTTGAGTATACCGCCCATGCTTCCCGGATCTCCTGCTACTGCCACCAAACATCCGGTCCCTAGAGTTGGTTTTGGACGCTCCAACTAGTGACCGCATTCGGCAAATGTACCCCGGCCATGGCGCACAGCCAGCTGCCCTGCCCGTTGGCGATGGCGATGGACCAGCGGTTATCCCTCCTGCAGGCGGTGATGGTGGACAGGCGGCTGCCCCGCCCTATGACGACAACAATCAGCCAGCTGCCGCCCCCACTGGCGATGATGATGGACCACCAGGCTATTCTTCCTGTGGCTGGTGAGGATAGACAAGCAGCTGACCCCAGCTATTCCTACCCAAACTAGGAGTGGTCGGGTGTCCCGTCCACCAGCACGCTTCACGTATAGGCGCGATGGTCGGCACGCCGATGATGGCAGAAGACATGGGTAATAAATTCCGCATTCTTTTATATGTATCAACTACCGAATGTCGCTTTCAAAGGTACTTGCACAGCGCAAATTGTATTGGACCATATCTGAAAATATTCACGCGCCGAGTATCAGGTTTGTACATATTGCTACTGATCTTCAGGCTACATGCATTGCCTAGCATGATATGCAGCGTATCATCCCACTCCTTGGTCGCTGAAAGAATAACGGGCCCGACGAATGTCTATTAGAAATAAAGCGAGGCAGCAAACACAATGTCGCGACGAATCATCTCGCTGGCAGCCTGCAGCTTCAGCTTCAGCTCCTGTATCGCCGACCAGCAGGGCTGCTGACATGCAGTTCTTCAAGACATCATCAATCCGCAGGATGCAGCGCACGATAATGCCTTCCTGCGTGTCTGTCAGCATGGTGATGTTTTGGAACGACATCCCGCGCGCCCACTCGTACGCCACTTCCATCAGCCCGAACCGGAACTCGCGCTGGTACTCCTCGATACTCACCGGAAGTCCGTACGCTGCCTGCAGTGACCCAATGCGCTTTGCAGTTTCAACAATCTGCTGCCGGCCCTGCTTGAGCTGCACTGGCAGCCTGCTCATCAGATCCGAGCTTTCGCTCCTTTCCGGGCACACAAACGCCGAAACCAATGCCACAATCTCCTCGGGCTCATACTGTGCTAACGTGTTGTCGAGAATCAGCTCAGTCAGAACCAATTCGTCGGCTGAGTTCATCTCGCAGGCAACACGGCCCTTGAGCTGCACGTTGCCCGTCTCGTCAGTATACCCGAGATCGCGCAAGACCTCAAGGCGCACGCGGTAGTCAGGCAGGAAGATCCAAGTTCTGATCTGAAAGCTGGATTGTCAGCTCATTCAGATGCGCGTGCAGCTCAGCGCGCCGATGGGTCATGGTAAAGTGTGCTGGCAGATCGGGACAGGCCATGCACTGGAATCCAACTGCAGACTGCACCAGGCGTGCACGCTCGTATACCAGCTCCTGGAACTCGAGCTCACGCACCTTGGCCCACGGGTATTCCGCCGAAGGCTGCGACATCAGCGCCTGCAATGCCTGGCTGATCTTGAGCTCCAGATCAGAGGGCACATCCGTAGGCGTGGTGCTGTTCAACCGCTGCTTGCTCACCAGCGATGAGCCCAGCTTGACCACACTGTCCAAAGCCAAGGCAATCGACGACGTTGGCACAGCAGCATAGGTGAATGTCATGCGTGGCTGGTCCAGCTTGGCCAGCTGGGTCTGTGCATCTGACAAGGGACGAGGAGGCACAGTGCTATGCTCCTTGGATGCATACCCACTGTCGTTGAGAACGACACATGCGAATTTGGAGCCGTCCGATGTCAGCGGCTTGTGGATGATGGCCAGCACAAGCTTAGGGAACTCTGAGATTACGACCAGACGACCTGGGCAGAATGCCTGGGCAATGTAGCCAGAGGCACCGGTTCCTGATAACCGATGGGCGACTGTAGAATGCAGACGGGCAGTCAGCCTTTGCACTGCTCTGGCAATACGGTAGTATTCGCTGATGTCCTCTTCGCAAATCGGACACGATAGCTCTGGCATATCGTCGAGCTTCTGCTTGATATCGACCACCTGGCGCTCAAACTCCGGCACCTGTCCCTGCGATGTGTTTTCGCCAAAGCTGCGCTTGATAACCTCCTCGACGCGTAGCTGCTTGGCACGCAGCAGATTCAGGATCATGTTGTACGTAAGGCGGAACTGTGACTCGAGCTTGGTTGCCGATCCCAGCAGCATTGTGTGCAGCGTCGGTGTATCGGGCACGTCGTTGGCAGCATTGATGATCACAACACCCGTGTCGTCGAGACCACGGCGCCCAGCACGTCCAGCCATCTGCGTGTATTCACCCGGTAGCAGCTCGCGGAACGATCGGCCATCATGCTTCCGCAGCGACGAGAACACAACACAGCGCGCAGGCATGTTGACCCCCATGGCAAAAGTCTCGGTAGCAAACAGGCAGTGGATCAGCCCACGAGCAAACAGAAGCTCCACAATCTCCTTGATAATTGGTAGCAACCCGGAGTGGTGCACACCAATGCCGCGCTTGAGCAGGTCCCGAATCACTTTCACCTGTGGCAGCGTACGATCCTCTGGCTTGAGCCGCTTCAAGCAGCGATCCACGAAGATATGGACTTCGCTGCGGCGGCTCTCGTTCAAAAAGTCCAGGTTGTACAGCGTAGACGCGTACTCTTCGCACTTTTTGCGCGAAAACGTGAATACAACAGCCGGTAGCAGCTTCTGCTTACGCAAGAATCCGGCCAAATGCACCCACAGCGTCGCTCCCTGACGCTCAGGCCGTATGCCGCCCCACCGTGCGTGTCAGATTACCAGCCCCACCGCCACGCCGTCCAGCATTGGACCGGCCACGACCAGCACTGGAACCACCAGGCTTGCTCGCTGGCTTGTTTACAGCAGCGTAGGCATCGCGCCATTCATTGCTGTCGAAGTTGCCGTTCTTGTCGACAATCTTCATCATCTCGCTCGACGACACCGAGTTCTTAGCCAACATATAGATAGTGCTCCAACGGCACCGGCCGCTTCGGCGTGTTGATCACGTATATGTCGCGCTTCTTTGTGCGCCCGACCCACTCGGCAAACTCCTTGGTGTTGGGCACAGTAGCTGAAAGCAGAATAATCGACACATGCCGGGGGAGCATGATGATGACTTCCTCCCACACGACGCCGCGCTCAATATCGTTGATGTAGTGGCACTCATCGAACACAACAAACTCGACATCGCGCAGCACATCGGCACCACGGTACAGCATATTCTTCAGCACCTCGGTAGTCATGATCAGGCACGGCGCCTCAGGCCGGATCTTGACGTCGCCGGTCAGAATTCCCACATTATCCTCGCCAAACGACTGAGAAAAGTCGTGGAATTTTTGGTTCGACAGCGCTTTGATCGGCGACGTGTACACGGTCTTGGTCATATGCATCTGCGAGAGTGCCACCGCGTACTCGGCCACCACGGTCTTGCCAGCACTAGTATGCGCTGCGAACAAACACCGAATCGCCGCGCTCTAGATGATACACAGCGCGTTTCTGGAACACATCGAGCTCGAAGGGGAACTGCTTGGCCGGCTTGGGCACCAGGTCGTGGAAATTTGAGAACCCAGCGGTAACGTCAATGACATGGGCCCACTCTTTGCGTGCCATTGCCGCGTCATCCTTCCTTGGCTGCCCGAGCCCTTGCGTCAGCCGTCTGCTCTGCATCGTCGTCATTTGACACAAGCTGATCAAGCTCATCGTTCTCCGGATCCTTAACTCCATCACCAGCTTCCTTGGCTGGGCTGGGCTCCTCATCGGCAGCGTCACCGTACCGCTCGACCGCCAAATCGATCGGCTGCGCTTGCTCTGGAACCACGACATCAGCCACGACAAAAAGGCCTCGGTCAAATCCGTCCGGCACTGTGCAAAATTCGGCTGGATCGAAACGCTGGCACATTCCCTGAGGATGCCTCCAGGTCTTTCTCGTCCAGACCGCCAGGTTGGAACGGCACCTGGTTGCTCGATCCGGAAGCATAGTTTTGCTTGCGACCAGTTTTACGCATAAACGACATTGGGTTAGCCTCGCCTGATAGCTCGGTCTCGGTTGCTGCGCAGTACTCGCCGGTGACGTGATCGCGAACCATGGTCATCGTGCTTCCAAGAGATGTCGATGGCACCGAGAGCACTTCATGTAGAGTGGACTTGTGATCCACAGACAGCTGCGCCGATGACAGATACGGGTTGCAGATGCTGGGCTGCGGCAGCAGGTACTCGCGCTCGATCGTTTGGAACAGCTCTTCGTCCATGACACAAACAAGACAATGCAGGGTTGTAGAAAAAATTAAAGACCCGATTCGCACTGCGGGATCTCCGAATATCATTCCATGCATCGCAAGTCATAAAGAATGGGCTCGTCGCTCGCATCGTCATCTAGAGCGTTTCTAAGTGTATTCTTTTGAAATGGCCATGCAACGTGACGACGCAAGAGAATAGAGATATCTGTTTTTGTTGGCACACGAAAAGACACTAAACCTAGGCAGTGAGCTCCATGATGGCGTTGACGATATCGTTGTTGTTGTTCTTCAGGGCCTTGACAGCCTTGGCGCGCGACGCGTTGGCCTGGCTCATGACAAGCTCGATATCCTTGTTCTCAACACCCTCCTCATCGACCTCCTCAGCCTCCTCCTCGACAGCAGCCTCGGCGGCGACCTCCTTGCCCTTGCCCGACGAGGCGGCGGCAGCCTCCTCAGCGGCCAGAGCCTGGAGCTGCTGGGCCTGCGCCATCTGCGCCCGGGCGGCCATGTCGTCGACCTTGGCCTCGCCGAACACGATCCAGGTGTCCGAGGTCGAGCTCTTGTAGACGTCAGGGGCCTGGATCGTGAAGATCACGCCCTTGGGGCGGCGCATGGTGACGCGGGTGATACCCGGAACCTGCTCCAGACCCTGCTTGGCCATGGCCTTGCGCGCCTTCTTCTCGGTGCGGCTCTGCTGCTTCATGAACGCAGCCGGGTTGATGCCCTGGGCGGCAGCGGCGGCGGCAGCGGCGTTGGTGGTGTTCTCCTCGGGAACCTGCTCGACGGCGACCTTCTGTTCTTCAGCCATGTTTTCTTTTCGTCCTCGCGGAATTCAAAAACGAATCTACACTTGCACAGATAGGCCATTGCTCCGCAATGGGTTTTCGTAATTGAGTACAGTGCAATTCGGGATTACGTTTGCCAGTAATTTCTCTACTCCAGCCTCTGAATCCTCAATCTGAGCGGGAATCCCAGCTGAATTCAACCACATTACGGCCCTCTGCAGCCGGTTGCGCATATTTTTCGCCTTGCATCCATTCTGCCACGATCGATACGATCTGCTCATCGCGAAAAAAAGTGCATAAATACAAACGTACCTTTAATAATTGAGAAAAAGTGGGAGGGGAGTTGCGCGCGCGTCGTGGGCCGAAATCGCTTTTGTCAAACAGCTGAGGATTGCTCGTGATTTCCCGATTGGTTGGATTCGCCCTCTCAGGCCAGCCTGAAGGCAGACCACACTTTTCCGATTGTTTAGCCCACACGTCATCGCCCAGGGCAAGGATTGCTAGAATACTCCGACACCTTGCCACCTCCTAAAGGCTCCTAAGCTCAAGGGCGGTAGTGTTGAAGCCAGTAACCAGTCAAGACATATGCGTATCATGCGTTGGCTGCAAAGCTTGGACATACCTTTTGAAGTAGAAAATGGCGTAAGTATCAAGCATAGTACGGCCCTACACACCTTGTTAAGCCGGCATTGTCAGCAATGTCTATGGAGACATCTCGCTATTGCCACTAGGCAAAACAATAATTCATCTTATTCCGTGGGTTTTCGGCTACCTCCATGGATATTGGTATGGGTGGTTTAAGTCGTAAAAGTATGATGATGCGAGGTAGTGTCCCATGCTACACCCAACGGCAAACTACACCTGCTCAGTTTCAAATTGATGACATCCTTGCTTTCTTGGTACTCCCTTGACATGTAGCAAGAAGCAGCATGGTTCGTTGCTTGAACTGATTGCAGCACTAAACCGAATCAGCCAATTTGGTGCTTTGATGGCGCAGCCAGTTTTGGAGCATTTCAGCAATTTTATTTACAGCATATAAAGGCTCGGCCGTTTGTTGCGCAGCAGCAAAGGCGCTTTTTCTTCTCACCAGACCTAGCTCACAGCGATTCTTCATTACTCTACTACTTTTGCAATGACACTAAGCGACGATTATATTGCCATGCAAGATGATCCTTGGCGCGATCCATATCTGACAGACGAAGAGAATGTTTCGCCAGTTAGGCTGAATAGGCCAAAGCCCAGTCTTCTCGTCACCGAAATCGGCAAGAAACCAACGTCTGAAATGAAAAGCCAGTGGGAGTCAGATGTGCGCAACGCAACGGTGGATGTGGACCTTCAAAGCATGTTTGATTCCCTTGGCCTCCTGGAGAAGTTTCGCGAGTTTCAGGCATCGCATGGCACTGCTATAGCCAAGCTTGCCGACAAGATTTGTGCCAGGGACGTCCTCAAGGGCATGTGGTTTGCGTCTGACACAGGCACCAGACGTGAACTCGTGCGCTTCATTGACAGGTACCTCCACCTGGTCATGGACGAGCTAGCTCCAGATGTGTTACCTTTTGACATCATCAACCACGACTGGCGCTCCATCTTCGACACTGAGCTGATGCCTGGTCTCCTTGTCGGCTACCCTGACCGGGCTAGTTTGGATGAAAATCGCTGCCTTCATGGCTTATGCTGCCTGGATATCTACATGCCAGTAGTTATTTCAGGACATGGTCTAATCGACGACTCCAGCGAGGGCAAGGATATGGAGAAGATGTGTGCCTGTGTGCGCGGTATGTGGGCAGTCCAATTTACTCGCGCGTTTATCCCAGCACTGTACATCGACGACGACTTCAATGTCACGTTGTATGTCTTTACTCGTGGCAGACTCCTGCGCACTGTGCTTGGCTCGCTCGTGGATACCAACAAGGACACGCTCATCAGCCTGATTACACCACTGGCGTTTCACCTTCTACAGACAGAGCACTTTGGGAGGTTCTGCAACTGGTATGATGAAATGTCAAGTATGAGACTCACTCATCGTACGCCAGTAGATACCTAACTCCAATTTTGCATCTCGCTATGCGCAGCCGGTGGATATTGATACTCTGGATTTCTTTTCCCAACTCACCACAAGACTACTTCCTCCGGTTCCCGCGTCACAAGCCTGGTGACACCACCATCTTCGGGCCGTTGAACACACTCATTATCTCAAACGTGGGCAGAATCAAGAAGCTGATCCTACTTTCCTGGTATCCCAAGTCCTAGTCGCACATGGGGCACCATTGGTGGCATTGAGGATACACAGAGCGCCCATATCTGATTCCCAAGGTTTTCGACTGCGGCATCATCGTAGGAGGATCTGCTTGGATATCGCCTCGAGTTTATTTCCTTTGTTTACAGCGGCGAAGACACCGATCCGATCATGAAGGAGCTCCTCAGGCTGAGGGACGGAAGTGCGCAGACGATGGTTGATCAAGCACGGCAACCAGACGCTGGCTCGTGAGAAGCGACAGACTGTCTGACCAGCTCCGATGATTAGCGGGTCTTCTACTGAGCGGCATGTCTCCCATCACAAGGTGCCCAGGCACCACTAGTCTTCCACCCATCCACTTTACTTTTTCTTCTTGTTTCTTTCAAATAACAGGCATTCCTGGCCATGGAAAGGCGGTGGTGATCGTATGCACGCCGTGAGTAAACATGCATAGCAGCATGTACATGTCTGAGGCATACGGTGGTCTCCATGGTGATGATGCACATGGTGTAGATGCTTGGAAGATGCACGTTCAAATGTGGAAAACATGGATTGCAGCAGAGAAACTAAAAGAAACAAAACAAAGCTAAGCGCCAGTCAGCTGCATATCAAGCGTAACCCTTTGCTGGCCGAGCCATGAAGCCGGGGTGCCCGCCTGCCGCGCCGACGGCAAGCTGCCCATGCCACTGGAATGGCCGAAGCCGCTCTGGCGCTCAAGCTGGCGCTGCAAGTTGAACCACGCCGACGCCATCGTGCGGGACTCGAGCAAGTGCGTGTTATTCTGCTCGCGCAGCATCGTGCGGACGCTCTCCAGCTGCTCCTCCTTGAGGGCCAGCTGGGCCTGGGCAGCCTGCAGGGACTCGTGCGGGGCACTGCCAGGCCTGCTGCTGCTGCAGCTTCTGGTCGAGCGTCACGCAATGGTCCTTGGTGCGCTTCAGGCTGACCTGCAAGACATGCACTTCTTCGCGGGCCTTGACGAGCTCGCGCTGCAGACGCTCAATGTCGCCCTGGCCGCGCAGCGCGATTTCGAGCCGCGTCTGCTCCTCGGTGCTCTTACCGAGCTTTCCCGTCAGTTCGCGGTTGGCCGCCGACAGGCGTGCAATTTCCTGCTCGAACTGCTGGCTCTCCTGGTGGGTCTCGGCAAGCCAGTCTTCGAGCGACTTGTTCTCGTCGCGCAAACTGGCAGCCTCCACCACGGCCTTGTGCTGCTGCTCGACTGCCAGAAGGGCGGCGCGCGAGCGCTCGAGCTCCTCCTTGACTGCAGCCAGGTCGTTGCGTGCGGCACCGGCATCGCTTGTGGCCGAGACAAGCTGCGTGGTGACTGCATCCAGGTCGCTCTTCAGTCGCGGCACTGACTCGGCGTGCTCAGCCAGCTGGTGCTCGAGCTGGGCGCGCGCTGCCCGCTCCTTTTCGAGCTGCTCCAGGGCAGTGTCCTTCTCGCGAGTCGCCGCATCGGCCACCTCCTCGAGGAACTCTGTGGCGTCGGTCTGCGGCTGGGCGTTGCGCGCAGCCTTCAGCTCGCGCTCGAGGCGGGCGATCTTGGTCAATAGCTCGGTGCGGTCGTCGTCCAGGTCCATGGCCAGACCCTTGTCGAGCGTGCTAGCCGGTGGGAGCGCCGGCAGACAGCTCGAGCTCGCGCAGCTGCTCTTCGAGCGCCTGGATCTGCTCCTGGCCGTGCTGGCGGTCGGCGGCCAGTCGGTCGCGCTCGTCCTCAGTCTTGCGCAGGCGCTCCATGGCCTGGCTCAGCTCAAGCACAGTCATGTTGTGGCGCGATTCAAGCTGCTGGAAACCATCGCGCACGTCATCCATGGCCGGGCGACGGCTCGACATCTTGTGGAACTCGTCTTCGATCTGGCGCGTGCGGTCCTGGGCGCTGGCCAGCTGCTCCTCAAGCGTGCGGACCTGGCGGACGCAGATCGACGCTTTCCTCCAGCTTCTTCTTGTACTTCTCAATTACGTGCTCGGACTTTGCCAAGCGCTCGGCCGCGTGCTTGTACTCCTGCAGCTGGTCGCGCAGCCGCACGGCCTCGTCTGCGGTGGCGTCGCGGTCAGCCAGCTTGCGCGTCATGTCGGCCAGGGCGCTCTGCTGCTCGGCCATGATGCGCTCAGTCTCCTGGGCGCGGGTATCGGCCTTCTCCAGCTCGTGCTTCAGGTTGTCGATTTCGGCGCGCAATAAAAAGTCGGCGCGACCGGATTTGTCGGCGCGTGCCATGGATTGTTCGAGGTCCTCCATGCGCATCTTCAGCTCCTCGTTCAGCACCAGAAGCTCCTCATACTTGCTTTGCACATGCTTGTGCTCAGTCGAGAGCTCGCGCGCAGACTTTTCGAGCTCGTCCTTTTCCGCGTAAGGACTTCATCAGCTCAGGCCTGCAGTTTGGCGACGGGATCAATCCCTTCGTCGTGGTGCTGGGCGTCAAAGATCTCCATGTCGTGGTTGTCGGAGTCAGGATTCGTTGTCGATGCTTCCCAGCTGTGCTAGCACGGACTCGATAGATACCATCAAGGAGCGCTGGTCGTCTTCGCCTAGCGACATGATTTTGCCGATATAGACCTGGTTCTTCTCGCATTGCACGGCCAGAGGTCAGGATCAAGTGGCACAGTTTCAGCAGCTCCTCGGAGTTGTCGTGCTTGGCAATTGTGGAGAGGTCGGGCTCGTCCAACCGCGTTGCCGGGTAGCCCAGGACCTCCTCGTAGTATTGCGTCACCAGACGGTATAGTTTCTTTAGATTGTTTAAGCTCAGGATCCAGTTGTCGCCCATGTCTGTAGACCGGATCGATTTGAACCACTGGCGGTCGCTAGTTGAGAAATGATGAGGTGTGGCTCAGCAGGGTATAGATAGGACTGGGTTGAGGCGCTGTTAATGCGGGACAGTAACAGAGCAAGGACGGAGACTTACATTTCAGCGCAAATTTCAAAAAGCACGATTCCATCTGTAAGGTCGCTGAGTGTGGTGACGGGCTTGCTCAGTTTGCTAAATGTGCCGACCTAGTGTAAACAAAAATAGCATGTTAGTAAAGCGGGTGTAGGCACTTGAGACTAGGAGCTGCTCGAGTCTAGCCTGCGAATGGTTGTAGAAAGAACGTACCCAGTGGACAAAGCCCTTGGCAATGTCGTCGTGCTCCATCGGCTAAGGCTGTGTTTTAAAGGATAGTATAAAAATAGCAAGTCTGAAGGAACGGATAGTAGAGAAGCAAATTTGGTTTTAGGAATACAGGCAGCCTGGCTGTGGATGCGTTTGCAGCAGGAGAACCCGTCACGTGCAGAGATCAGGCTAGTGAGACGGAGGAAAAAATAGGGGCATTTTGGGAGAGGGCTTGGGCTTTTTCTTCTGCTCAGGAAATGGCATAGACTTTTTTTTTTTTTCTAATTTAGACAGCTAATATTTTTGCTCATACACAAAAAGGGGCGACAATGCACGACCATTTGGAGGCCACCAGCACTCAGGGGCAGCCGTCGAATTTTGGGCTCAGCAACAGTTCGGACCACGGCACGTTCCAGGTGCGCGGGCTGCCACGGCAGACGCACCTGGACCGGATATATCTGAACGGACTGCACACGCTGCTGCCGTTCTGGATCACAAACCTAACGGACGCCGACATGACAATCAGCATGTCAGACACGCTGGGAGGATCGGTAAAGTTCCACACACAGAACCCGAACTGGGACGCAGTGCCCGGGGCTGTGCGCGAGACATACGTACAGGTGGTGGCGGGGGAAGAGACGACACTGGTATGTAGCGCGGCGACGCAGAAGGACTTTAGTGAGGTGTTCAATCAGCTCAATGGCACCGAGTCCGTAAGAGTCGGAGCCCACGAGACAGTCGAGGTGGTGTTGCTGTTTCTGGCCACACAGCGGACAGACGCAACGCCAGCGCACAGCCGGCGGCCGTCATTGGGGCAGGTGTCCAACAGTGCGCCAAGCAGCGTGGCAGAAGAGCTCGTGGCAGCCCGGCAGACGTACGGGTTTCAGACCAGCGCGTGTGCGGTGTGGCTGCGGACTGATGAAGACGGGTATCAGGTGGATCTGCGGGCCAGCTTCTGCCGTTCGGTGCTGGAGATGGATCCGCCGACATCGCGGATCTACCTGGACGACTGCGTGATCGGGCGGCTGTACGAGCGGGAATTCCGGGTTCGCAATGCGTCGGCGAATCGGTCTGGACTGGGCCATGGCGGCAGTGGAGGGCACGGCGCCGCTGGCGACACTGCAGCTGGTGAGCGGCGGGCAGGCAGGGGAGGTACGGGGCGGGCATTTGAGCGGGTATGACAGTCCAGCAGGTGGTGCTGCGGTATACGCCCGAGGCTGCAGGTGAGTTCCTGTGCCGGTTCCTGATTGAAAACACAAACGACGCAGGCAACCAGCGACACTGGGTGTTCCGGGCGCGCGTCAGCCAGCGGCAGAAGCCGCGACGCATCGAGCTGATGAGCGCAGCAGACATCAACTTTGGCGACTGCACCAGTGGCGTGTGGTACAGGCGCGAGGTGGTGTTCCGCAATGTGTCGGATGCACTAGTGGTGATGCGATTCCGCGTCGAGGGCAATGTGTCACGGCTAGCGATCAGATCGGCAGTGCGGCAAGCCGGTGAGACGCCGGTGATGGAGACCGGCGAGGATCCGATGCGCGGGGCGCTCGGACGACGATAGCCGTTTGGCCGGCGACGACGAGGTGGCCACAATGACCACGGATGAAGCGAGCCACGCGCGCCCCGATGAACTCCTCTCGGAGACCGGTAGTGGCGACCTGGCGCGCAGCACCCCGGCTGCCAGCGGCTCAGTCAGCTCGCTGGGCGGCGTGGCGCGCGGCGATACCTGGTGAGGCATCGGCCGAGGCCAAGGCGCGCCGGGCGCGAGCGGCAGCCTTGCTGGACGACGTGCTGATCAAGCCCGGCGCGGTGCGACGGGTGGAGTTTGCGGTGCGCGGCAGTCCGAGCGGTGGCATCAACGCCGGGCAGTTTGAGCGGCAGTCGTTCACGCTGTTCTGCGAGCACAGCGTGGTGAGCAAGGCCGACGGCGACCGGTCGGTGGAGCGGCTGTCCCTGCCGTGTACGGTCAACATGTGTACGTCGCTGGTACGTGTGACGCCGGGCGCTGCTGGACTTTGGGCCGGTGGATGTCGGGACGCTCAAGTCAGCGGATCTGGTGGTCGAGAACCTGTCGCTGGTGGCGGCGGTGGTGCAGTGCCAGGTAGATTCGAAGGTGGTCACGTGCAACCGGTCCCCCACAACCATCCCGCCACTGCAGTCACTGCGCATCCGTGTCGACATTTACCCACGGCGCGTCAATGCACGGTACCGCAAGCAGATAGTGGTGCGGAACCTCTACAACCGGCGCAACGACCGCGTGGTGGAGGTGCGCAGCGAGCATGTGGACCGTCGCCGCATGGCCTACCACAACCTGTTCTACCGCACACTGGTGCCCGAGCACGAGCAGAACTTTGTCGATTTCGGCACCATTCCGCTGAACTCGCGCGTACTGCGCCGCGTTGCGCTGGAGAGCTGCTGCAGCCGGCCCAATGAAGATCCAGCTGGCCGCTGGTGAGAGTCCGCTGGTGTCCTTGCATGCCATAGCCGGCCCAGCCCACGCAGCCGCTGTTGCCCGGGCGCTGCCGGCGCTGGAGCGCCAGGCCAGAGATCCACAGCTCCATCGAGCGCTTCAAGCAGCAGGCCGAGCGCCAGAGCGTCGAGCAGGTGCGCGAGCCGCCCATGCAGCCGCGCGCATTGCCGCGCGACATGTTCCTGGACAAGCGCGTCGAGAACGGGCACACGTGCCTGGCGCCGTTCCGCCGCTCTCGCGTGCGCTCCCCGACCGACTATCTGGATGTGGCTGGGCCGCGGGTCGTGGGCTGCGGACCAGTGGTGCGGATGCGGCGGGGCATGGGGCCGGAGACGGCCGTGTCGCGTGCGGAAATCGAGCCCACGTCGCTGATCATGGCGCGCGCAACCAAGCTGCTGGCCGAGATCGAGTCGGGGCTGGACATGGCGCCGCGCACGATGTTTGCCACGCCACAAGCTGAGGACGAGTACGTGCGGCGGCAGGTGGACCTGCAAAAGTACCTCGATCTGCTGATCGAGTCCGGCTTCCTGACTCCTGCGCACACCGTGACTGTACCAGGCCAACGGCAGCGCGTCGATTTTCGTCATGGTGCGGCCATTGGAGACGCTTCTGGAGCAGACGCCTGAAGCCCTGCGTCTGGACGCCAACGTCTACATGAAGCTTCTGGATGCACCGCGCTCGCTGCTGTCCACGGCCGACCTGCCGGAGGGCATGGCGCGGCTGCCCGAGCGGCGGTTCCTGGTGCGCGCGTCGTTCTGCCGGTCGGATCTGGGCTTGGGCCAGAAAAGCATCAATGTCGGCAACATGCAGGTAGACGAGACCAGCCGCAAGTACCTGTTAATCCAGAACCGCTCCGAGACCCCGCTCATGTATGCAATTCGCAAGACCGGCTCGATAGCCTCGGGCGATATCCAGTTCGTCGACAATAACCGGTACGGCGTGGTGCGCGGCTTCGATAGCCGCAAGATCGTCTTTGTCTTCCGCCCGTCGCTGACCGGCGCCTACAGCGAGCAAATCTCCATCGCCAACGTCCTCAATGCCCACGGCGGCAAAACCGCCACCCTCAAGGCCGTGGTGCGCCGGCCCTCCAAATTCTACATCCAGTCGCTGTCGCTGGCCTTCGCTGGCCCGCTGGCCTGCAACTGCCGCAGCTCCGACCACCAGGCGCTGGTGCTGAAAAACATGACTCCCAAGACCCGCCTTTTGGTGGTCCGCCCCATAGACAGAGATGAAAATAGGGTGCGCTTGGCGCCGGTGTTTCCGCCTGGACATTGCACATGCACCGCCGACCCGTTTGCTGGATCGCGAGACCGAGGAGAAGATCGAGGCGCTGGAGCAGAAACTCAAGATCGCCGTGCGCAAGAACAGGCCGGAGAAAATCGACAAGTACCACAAGAAGCTGGCCAAGCTGCGCGGCGCCAACCAGCCCGTAGTGGACACCGCCGAGAGACCGGATGTCGCTACGCCTGAGCCCACCGGCCACCGTGGTGCGCTCCGACGATGACTCGCGCCTGGTGGTGACGCTGCCGCCCAACGCCGATGTCAGCATCCCGGTGGTGGTGGTGCCGCACGTGGTCGACCAAGAGTCGCCAGGCGAAAAGGGCCTGGTCACTGCGCAGGGCTTCCTGGTGGTCCACGAGCAAAAGGACAAGGACAGCATCAAGGTCGTTGCACTGACAGCGCCAGTAGAGGTCGAATAGTCGGATGATTTTTTTTTTAAATGGAAAGGAAATGCTAGCTGAAGAAATGTAAACCCGCTCTTCTACTCGTTGACGGCCGCGACAAACGTAATCTTGGTCTGCGCCAGGTTGACCTGCAGCACGTTGATTTCCTCGTACTGCCTCAGGCACTGGCGCCAGGCCCGTCTCGTTGAAACCAGCCGCACGCACGCGCTCCAGCACCTCATTGTAGCGCAGCTCCGGCCCGCCCTGCCGCGCCAGCCGCGCCATGATCTGGAAGATCGCCGACACCGGATCAGTGCGCACCGCTCGCTCGCCAAACAGGCCCGTGACGCCCGGCTGTGCATCCAGCGTCACCTGCGCTGCATCCATCAGCCGCAGGGCCTCGTCCACATCCTCAATGCCAACCTGGTCCTGCCCGCGCACCCGCGCACGTGCCTGCGCCAGCCGCACAATCCCCAGCAGCGTGCGCGGCGTCGTGCTGCCGATGCTGCTGCGCTGCGCTCCCCCCATGCCCGTGTCGATTGAGCCGCGGCTTGTGTCGCGGCTCAGCTTGTTCTGCTGCCGCAGCTGCACATACGCGCCCACCACATAGTCCGCCACAGTGCGCGGCATGCTGGGCGTGCGCGCGCGCGCGTCGGCCACAAACAGCCGCAAGAGGTCCATGTCGATCTCGTCGTCCGACTCCTGCGGGTGCCGCCCGTGCGTATGCACGTGTGCGACATGTCGCGCCAGCTGCAGGTCGTCGTCGTGGTTCGGCCGGTCCAGCATCAAGAACAGCACATCGAATCGGCTCAGCAAAGCCGCTGGCAGATTGATGTTCTCCTCGGGCGTCAGCCGCGGGTTGTACCGCGAGCGAGCCGGATTTGCTGCTGCCAGGATAGCCGTGCGTGCATTCAGCGTCGTGGTGATGCCAGCCTTAGCCACCGAGATCGTCTGCTGCTCCATCACCTCATGGATGGCTGTGCGGTCGCCCTCGTCCATCTTGTCGAACTCATCAATAGCGCAGATCCCGTGGTCCGCCAGCACCAGCGCCCCGCCCTCCAGCACAAGCTCGCCGGTCACGGGATCCCGCGTCACCGCTGCCGTCAGTCCCACACCCGACGACCCGCGTCCCGTCGTATACACCCCACGCGGCGCCGCCTTGGACACAAACCGCAGCAGCTGCGACTTTGCAACTCCCGGATCACCCATCAGACACACGTTGATGTCGCCACGGATCGCCATTCCATCGCCGGTGCGCTTGGCCGGTGCTCCCACCAGCAGCAAAAGCAGCGCCTTCTTGACGTCGTCGTGGCCAAAGATTTCGGGGGCAATCGCACGCGACACACGTCCATACACATCGTCGCTGCGCCGCAGCTCCGCCAGCCGCATGTACTGCTCCGCCGTCGCCTCGCTGGCCAGCTGGTCGTACTGGCGCTTGAGCGGCCGCACGTGATGTGCCTCCAGCAGCGTATCCGCCAGCAGCCCCGCCCGCAGCGCCCGGAACCCAGTGTAGGGCTGCGGCAGAAACACCCCGCTGATCACCGCCACGTCGCCCGGGTTCAGCTGCCGCACCGCCCCCTCGTAGCAGTGCACGCTGAGTGTCCGCGGAATGTCCCCCATCGGCACCTGGTCCGGCTGCTCCTGCACCTTGACCTCCTGGAACCGCACGAGCCGCGAGCCGCGCGTCTGCCGGTGGAGCCGCCCGCGCGTGCGGTTCTGCACGCACCGCGCGCTAGCGCACTGCGTCAGGGGCAAAAACTGCCGCCCCTTGACCTCCTGGAACACCTCGCTGCCGCACGCATCGCACAGATACGCTGCCACCACCATCGCCGGCCGCACATCCGACACCCGCGTCACTATTCCCCGCACTGTCACCAGATGCCCGATCTGCCCCGCCCCCACCGCACGCACCGCCTGCGCTGGCTGCTGCGAGCGCGGCTTAAACACCACCGTGTACCGCCGCGTCAGAACTGCTGGAAACTCCTCACCCCCCGCTCCCTCCCCTTGCTGCCGCCGCGCTGCCGCATCTCGCTGGTCGCGCTGCCGCCGTGCCTGGTAGATCACATCGAGGACGTCGGCATCCGGGTCCTCCTAGTGCTGCCGTCCTGGCTTCCGGCATCAGCGCGTCGATCGCCCGGCTGAACAGCTCCACGTATGTCTTGGCATTGTGCTCAATGCGGAACGCCAGCGACTTGTCGTGCGTGAAACGCTGTGTGTCCGCCCGCCGCCGCATTCTCGAATGAACGCACGTCGTCGAGCGCAATCGAAATCGTGTCCTGCTTGCGGTCCGCCACTGCCTGCAGAATATCCATGTACTTTGTCTCAGACGTCCCCACAGACAGCTCCGCCATCTCCGCGTCCCCGTCCTGCTCCATCGTCTTCTTGCCCCCCTCCGTCGTGAACTTTTGCATGAACTTGCTTATCTCGCCTATCCCATTTTTACCCTTTAGTATTTTTCGATGGTCTAGAACGCGTAGATTTGCCTCATTTCAAACCCCGCCCTTACCTATCTCATTTTCGTAGTTGATTCCAAGGCTGATTGCCGCAAGCGCGCTCATTGTGAAGTGAAATAGGGCGTAGTTGCTAATATTGTTAAAAAAAAATGTGCTGCTGAAATAGTCGTGGAGAGGAGGAAAACAAACAGCCACAAATTTTTTGACTCAGACATGAACGCCAAAAATAAAAGTAAACACTACTAATCCGAGCTTGATCCAATCATTATTTTTGTCCTCTGTGCCACCTTTACCAGTGCTCAACCACGCACATCTCAGTGTCCCGATTGATGATCGGTAGCGTGAAGGCCTGTTTAGTGCGATCAATATCTACCGGCTACGAGCTAAAACAGCCTGCATTTTTCGCCTTTCTGACATTGCTATCTCTCTTGTTTTTGCCTCCCTGATCCCTATATTACCCCCTATATTACAACCATCCTTTCTGTACTTGGGGTAAACTCGCAACTTGATATTCTCATACAAGCAGTGTAGTTTTAGGGTTATGGACTTTACCGTGGAACTACATGTAGTGGAAGGACTCCTGTCTGCAAGCATTTTTCCTAAACGACTGCTCCGTACGCTGTGTTAAACGTAAAGAAATAGGATCAATAGGTGAAGCGTGTGGACTCCAGATGCGCGCTCCAGCGGTGATTTACATACCCTACGCCTGGCGTGCAGAGATAATGTCCGAAGGTGCTGTCGATATCGGTGTATGCACGTGTATCTGCTCTATTGCGGCGTTAGCCTGTGAGTTTCAACCACAGCTTACAATCCAAAAGTGAGATGCATGTCCGCACAGTCGCAAACAACGGTGGTACTGGGCCATCGCCAGTGAGGAGGGTGCGAGATATGATTCCAATTGAAGGCAAGGCTATTGTGGTAGTCTATAGCATGGGCAAAAGGAGACATCTAGCAGCAAATACCAAAGGTGCCGACACAGTGCAAAATTCGCATCAGGCAGGCTTCTCGTACACAACTCAAGCGCTTTATCAATAACCTATCTCCTGCCACTAAACTCATATCTCTAGTCAACCAAACTATAGGTGTGTGGCTGTCATCCCTGCAACAACATGGATATCGTCACAATTACTGACATTTACGAAGCATTGTAGAATGGTCTTGGGAGCCCAGCGAGATTTGGACCGCTACCACGTTGAACGAGCCTTACAGTCTTATAGTGTTGTCAGATTCGAGTACAACGCCATTGGTAGACGCTTTTTTCATTTATCGGCAGGTGGGGTAGTGGCATTCACTCAGCGCCTGGCTCTCAGGCTTTTCTTCTCTCCTCGCTTTGTCTTCGATACTACTTTTAGACCTGCCTATTTCCCTTCTCTAGCTCTTTGAGCATCACACCAGCCACTCCTGTGGCTTCACCAAATGGTTAGTGTGGGATAACATTAGCATATCGATATCCGATAAAGCCATATGTCTGTCTCATAGAGTCCTATGGCAACTCATAGAGAAGGATTTGTTGAATAGTAGTATTTCGCTATACAAATCGTTTGTCTCTTGTGCCTTCCTCGTTCAGATGTTTAATCAGCACGTCTTGTAATGAAGTACTAATTTCCTGGGGATACCGTCAAATTGGCACTGTATACCTCATCATGGCCATACTTCGCAAAAAGCATCTGCAGACCAATTCTGATAGACATGAGGTAGCGGCTGCGGTTCTATGCCAAGCTGCCGAAGAGCAATGCCATATACTCAATAATTTAGAACAGAGGTTTCAGTCCATCATTGTCTACGCTGATGTTGGTATTGTCACCATTATCCCCCTGTGCTAATACTGGCGCGTCCTCTGGATTCATTATGGATTGCGATATGCCCCCTCTGTAAACAGTGGGAAACTGTCCATTTTCACCAATGTTTGTTGAGCCAATATTCTCTGACTGCTGCTGGCTTTCATTGACATCCTCAGGCTGGTAATACTGGTCTTTGTGTTGCTTTGTGATATAGATCGCGTGATGTTGGTGTCTGAATATATCGAAGGCTGGTGCAGCGTGTTATACTCAGAGACATTTGTCGCATGTAGCTTTGTTTGCATTGGTAGTGTGCGCCTCTTGTAATGCTACCACCTGCTCCAGTGCCACTATAGCTTTGCCTCTTGCGATCCATACTGAATTCTGGTAGTGGTGAGTGCAACGGTACAACTGGCTGATATGGTAGCAGGGCTAAGAGCATTTGCTGAGCAGGAGATGGTACATACCAAAAATAGCTCAATGCGACCGGGCCAGAATCTGTTTGCTGCTGCTGTGGCCTTGCTGCTGTAGCAAACTGGATTTCTTGCCCGTAAATGAATCATTCAGCTTCAGAGAAATCACCATTTGTCAGTACTGCCATAGGTCAGTTGCTCCACATCGTCAGTTGCTGGAGATAGCAGCTTGTGTTCAACCATGTCGTTCTCACAGATGACCATCATATTATCAACATCTTACGCAATATTAGTATAGGTCACCCAATGGTCGTAAAAGCCATCAATTGACCAAACTTCGTATCCTTCATCTTGACGTCTGTTATACTATTTGAACTCAGCATCCTCCATCTCGACGTCTGCTATGTATCTAAATCCAATATCCTCCATCTTGACCGCTGATAAATATCTTAATTCAGTATCCTCCATCTCAATGTCTGTTGCGTATCCAAACTCAGCATCTTCCATCTCGACATCTGCTATGATATCTGAATTTCATATTCTCCATCTCAATGTCCGTTATGCATCCAAACTCAAAATTGTCCATCATGATATCTGTTGTGTATCCGAACTTCACATCCTCCATCTCGACATCTGTTCCGTATCCGAACTCAACATCCTCCATCTTGACGTCTGATATGTATCTTAATTCAGGTATCCTCCAGCTCAACATCCATAGTAGATGGATTACCGAAGGATTCTGTATCAATATCCATGAAGACATCGGATATGGCTTGTTCCGTAGTAATCACCGGTTGCGATAGGAAATTGCTGGGTACAAGGAAATTCTGGAGGGGATGGGCAGCAAAATGATCAGGCCAGCACTCCAGCAACATTGCCAGTATCAACATAGAGCGACCAGGACTGAGTTAAAGCGCTTGACGGCCATTGTTTCTCCAGGAAACTGACTGTGAGCTGGATTTTGATGCCAAAGCTCAGTAGGACTATGAGGTGGAGGTTTGCTGGTTTGACTGATCCTGTAACAGATATCGGTTGAGTGGGCTCAGGGATGGTTGGTGGCAGGACACACCTTAGCCTGCTTAGCTTTGGTAGAGTCCTGCTGACATTGGTCCGCTACACCTGCAAGGTGATTCGTCGCTGATTCTGTCTCGTCTGAGGAAAATGTGTGCTCCGGAACAAGCTGAGGGTTGGGTATCTCGACTCTTCTGTGATGTATGCTTCTTATCCAAAGCCTTTTTCTGTCCACGCTTCTGCCGATACAAGCCACTATATACATCAATCGGTACTATGATTGATGGCTGCATATGTCTAACAGGCCGGGTACCTACTTGCCAAGCTGGTTGACTTGTGCTAAGTCCACTGCTGATTCGGCAATTTTTGCTGCTAATGCTGCTGATGCTGCCAGTGTTGACGCTGCTGCCAGTATTGACGCTGCTGCCAGTTTTGGCGCTGCTGATGTAGGCGCTGCTGATGTAGGCGCTGCGATGTAGGCGCTGCCACTACTGATACAGTCTTTGACGCTGCTATCTTGGGCGCTGCCAGCTCAGCTGGTTCTGGCGCACACGCATCGATCACTTGACCACCTATCATAATAATCATGATAGCAATTACGAACAGGACCAAGGTGTGAGAAAGGAATCAAAGCAACAAGGACCACCACCCCTATATAGGCAATGGCCAGCCCACCAAGGAAGCTTCCTTGAAGTGGCCTAGGGATGGGAGTAGCTGTGGCACAGACTATGGTCTTTTCTGCCTGGGCTATCTCCCGTTTGTCCAATTTCGGCAATAAGCTTATTAGCATTCTCCATCACTTCTTGCCAGGCTGAGGGGCTGGACGACATTGCCGATGGGTGGCTCCCGTCCCTGACGAGAACGGCTGGCCGTTGGCGAAACCAAACGACCCCATGGCGTCCTACAACATGGTAAATGTAGGTTTGTAGTAAAGTACTTGTTCCAATTAGACATGAGGCATATTGTGAAGTTGCTTCTTACCTAGCTGATGTAGAAAGCTTGCGAAGGTTTTCAAGAAAAAGAAAGCTAGATTTAGGTATGCTAATGAGAGTGTGGAATAATAGTGAAAAAGAAACTATCTGAAGGTAGACCAAGTGTATTGCTTTGGAGATTATATGCCTCTTTTATATCGCTCAAAAATGCAGACTTTGTAAACAGAAGAGCATTCGATAAATGGCACTAGCCAGTGACCACCTATGCTTTCTTCCACTCTCGGCACTCAAATTACCTCTCTCTCTTCACACTCACTGTGGACCTGCAGCTCCACATGTATTGCGGATCCGCTGAGAACAATACGCTAATCTATTTGTGTTTGCGGCATATACTTTTGGCAGTACAAAATGACCACATGTCTGTCCAAATCGGGTAAGCTCCCCATCATTAGGATTCAAGAGTGCCCTCTGAAATATACTAAAAGAATTAGCCGGAGGATCAGCGCTTTATCGCTGAGCAAAAATCACCAACCACCGTTTTTTCTTATTCACCACACATAGTATGGCAAGGGTTTTGTTAGATATTGGAAATAACAACATACCAATCTTAGTCGAACAGGTTGCAGTCAACGATGCGACACACTGGGGTGAAGGTGTCGAGCATGGCACCAGCAATCAGGCCATCAGGTGCAGCCACTAGGACATCATGATTCTGTACGAAGCCTTGGGGCCAATGCTGTCGTCACGCATAGGCTCCAGTGAGACCTTCTTGTACAGTTTGTTGCTCTCATCAAACTTATCAGTAAGGTACAACACGTGGGTGGTAAAGTAGCCTCCACGCCTGAGCATCTTGCGCATCTGGTTGCAGACGCCTTTGGGTTTGGGCACATGTTTTGGACCTTGACAAGATGCAGGGGATCGAAGCCACTCTGGACAGGCAGCATGCACACAAAACTGCCCTTGACCAAGGTTGACAGATGCTTCTGTCTGCTTTTCTTGGCGTAAATGTCGAACCTAGCCATATGGGGCAGGGGAGTCGAAAACGCTCGCGCGTAGGACCGTTGACGCCACAGCAATGATACAGTACTGTAGTATTAGTTCCTCATGTACCCAGATCCCAGGTTGTGTGTATTACTAACAACACTGTCATGAGCACATGGTTTGCCACCTTACCCACTGGCATCACTCTCATTAGCCTGTATCGAAACACACGGTGGTATATGGCGTGGTATCAGACGTATGATATACTCTGGGGCAACCTCCTGCAGCTACTCGAAACGCGTTTACTTTTCAAATGGTTTTCCACGACATATTATTGAACGTCTAGAAATATGAAATGTGAAAAAAGGAAGGAGGAATCCTGGACTGAAGGTGTTGGTGCCTGTCTAAGTAGTGATGTTAATTGTCTGGAATAGTACGACTGGCCGTTGTGGCGTAGGTGTTTTGATCCATAAATACTCGTCAGCATTTCATTACATAAACATGGATATCACTCGCTAAAACAGAGTAGATAGCATTTCCTATTTGCTTGACTGAATGCTTGGTTGGATATATGCTATGAAGCTTTCTGAAGAAATATATTGCCGATGAAAATGAGTAAATGAAGCATCTCAAGAAAGCCTAGGGGCGGGCGGTGCTCAAACGAGGGACAAACCCAGCGAATATGCTGTTGCCCATGAGCTCAGAGCGGGGCGTGGCGAAATTTTTACTGAAAAAAGATAGAAATATGTGGATTGAGGGACAACGTAGCACCAGAATGACCATCAGACAGGCAGCTTGCACGCCTCCACCTGGTTGTTCCAGGCTGATGCCAACACACTGTAGCGTTCAAGAGATGGGGAGACCAGTGGCAGCTGCTATATCCTCACAGGCTATAGTTTGACAACCATGATTAATGAGCCAGCCGATGCCCACTGAAGACACAACTAGATCTCTTCGATATCTGGCTTCTCTTTGCATACTGGTTCCATCTCTCGGAGGAGTATGTCGGCGACAAGCCACGGCAAGTACTTTGACGAGTGGCAGAGTCCCAATTAGGTGGAGAATCTCCTCGCGTGTAGATTCCAGTGCAGGGATTTTCAGGACACTGACAGTCTGGGCAAGGCTCCTGACGTGCGGGTAAAGGATGGTGAAGTCAATATCGAGGCCGTCGCTGAGCTTAATCACCAGTGTATGGTGGAAGGTGCAGAGTAAAAGCGTGATATTGTCCGTGGAAACCTTAGGTCGGCTGCTGCTAGAACTCATAAATGCCACCTGATTTAGTGCTACTAACCGTCTCTTGTCCAGCAAGTTGACCCGTCTGTATACCTTGATAGTATTGTCCAAAACATGCATGTCTAGGGAAGCAAGTGACTGCTCGGCTCCACATAATAGAGTTTTATCTGCAAACAGATAGAGGCTATGGAAAACCAATGTTTCGAGGATTGGGAAGGCAATTCCGTCAGATGAAGCTTGATTTAGCTGAGAGAGTTGGATAATTCTGTAGACTGCTGCCTCTTCGTGGTGACTGCAAGTCGCAAGGTTTGCGTATTCAAAATAATCGGCCATGCGCTCCAAGATGAGCACAGGAAGGTGCTGAGCAGCAGACACCACTTTAGAAAAAAGCCATAGCAGTGAACTCGATATCATTAACTGAACACTTTCCCAGAATGACCACCTCCCAGCCAACCTTGATCGGCCATAGTATTGGAGCTGCATACTTTTGGGATGGCATAGACATAAAGGGGACCGCAAAAGGCAGAGGGGTGCCTATGCCATGTCGTTTGCATTTGTGTCATGCCCATTAGTAACATGAACCCAATTCCCACATGATGGTGGCATATAGCTGCGTGCGGTCTTTACAACTCGAGATGGTTTGCCTGTCCCGTGTGAAATGATGTGATCCTTCCTAAGCATGGACTAGGGTGGGCCTTCCTCAAGTACAAGAAACCTGAACACGGTTACTATTGGACATGCATTCCTCGGCTATGAAGAACATGCGACCACCATATCCAGCCATGGCATCATAGTGCCTCCCTATTCCGTCATGCAATGCAAAACACTCTTTTTTCTGTTGGCGCTGGACTGGTGGTACTCACACGCCATTGTTGATGGCGACTACTGCCACCAGTTATCTTAATCTCCTTTTTTCTTATGCATGGGGCTGCTATCAAATGATCCTGTTCGATACCATGGTCTCCTAACGCACATGGCTGCCACTGGCACATCGGTTCTGCATCAGGATAAATTGGGGGACATGCCGCTATTTGCTGCTGCAATGTTGTTATTACTTGGGCTAAAAAAGATTTCCATAAACGAACGCCTGCCAGGTCATGCGGACACTCGAGCTGCATAGCGCGGTTCGACCTTTATCCCGGGAAATCAAATTGGATCAGGCCCGAAATTATGCTGGCGCTTTTGGCTTAAAACGTGCGCTTTTTCAAAAAAATAATTCCCGGACGAAATAGAACACATTTATACAAAAAAGCTGGAAAGGCTGTTTCTTTTCTCACTCGCTTGCCTCTTGACAGCTTTTTTCTCTTCTATTCAGCCAACCCTCTCTATTTCCAACAACGATTTAAGACTTTCTTAAGATGATGACAACTATGACGACAGACAAGCGTAAGTTCTCTTAGCTTTCCCCTGTCCTAGTAGTTCATTCATAGCGTTGGGTTTTTCTTCGTAGCTTTTTTTCTACTCGACGGCAATCTCCTGAACCCCGAGCAAATTACCAAGCTGACCACTTGTTTCTCTTCTGTTTCTCTCGCCTAGTCCACCTGCAGTCGGCACGTATCCCACTTCACACTCGGCGGTCGAGCTTTGGCCGGTACTCGAGCAGCTCACCCGAACCCAGCAGCCCCGGCGGGCGCTCGAGTGCGAGCCCGGGGAGGACGGCGTGCGTGTGCGGGGTGTGCGGCAAACGGTACAAGCACCGGAGCTGCCTTCACAAGCACTTGTGGGAGCACCACGATGCCTGGGAGGCCTGCTTGAAGTACAACTTGACCAAGCACCAGCAAGTCCAGATGATGGAGGTAAGCGACGCTTTTTATTGTTGGTGCGGGGGAGGTGGAGAAAAGTGTAGTTTTTGCTGCCGGGGAGATCCTTACTCTAAACGCATGAAATAATTCCAGCACACGTCCATCCCCTTTTTATGCTCTTTTTTGTCTGACAACCGGGTTCGCAGTATGTGCGCCCTGGTGTGTTCCTTAAGTGATGAGGAGTCGATGGGGCTATTGCTGGCCGGCCGGGATAAGGGCTGGCGAGTGGTGGGGGAGCGCCTTCGCTTTAATGTGTTTGTGGCCGCTTGTTGTAAATATTGATTCGCCGTCGATATTTCTTTTGCTTGCAGAAAGGGCTGTTTGAAACTCCGCTCTTAATTGGCTCCCACACATGCCGCTTGTTGCTATGAGCGCAAAAGGGCGCCTTTGCCTCCTCTCCCCTCCTAATGCACAATTCATTATACATATGCATTCCGTTTATTGCCGATTGCAGATACAAGAGAACACGGTTAACCAATTTGGGCGATTTTTGTTTTAGGCTGCTCAGGTTCTGGTCGATATGATGGGCGTAAAGGCAGGCTGAACTCGCTGCGTCCACCATGTGTGTGCGGGGGGACGAGAAGACGAGAGGGGGGAATGGGCAGTGCTTGGTTGTTTGTTGGATAGCGGCAGGTCCCTGTATCGAGAGCAGGCGTGCGTTTCCTCTCTCTGCGAGGCCTGGTGTGGAGTGCAACCCCCTCTTTTTAGAGGAGCGGATTGTCGCCCTACTGCATCAGCCAAAAAATTACGCACGGGTCCTCCTCGGTTCACACGCACCGTTCCTTTTCCCTTCTTCGTCTCTACTGCACTCCCTCCTTTTTGGCGCTGCGACGCTGGGTGCCGTCGATTGAGAATGCAATGCAGGCTACGAGTGCCTTGTCCTGCAGCTCCCCTGGTGTCTATATCCGAACACACATGTGAGGTACACACGCTGTCCCCTACTTGTACCCCGCAGCGCATGCGTGCATGCAAGCATAATAACCACCAACCACCCAAACCACCACTATTCATCGGCATCATACTTTTTCCTGTTTGCCTGTCTCGCTTTAGCTCACACCTAGCTGAGGAGAAATGGGCCCTTTCTTGCTTCAACCTTTATCCATTTTTATACTTTTGTCTGAAATGTACCATACCAAAAAAAACCATACGCTTCTAGTGATTATGTCCAGAGACGGATTGTGCCATCAGCGCCAGCAGACAAAAGCCAGGGCTGGATCGGATGGAACAGGCAGTCGAGGACACCAAGCGAGTTGCGGATCTCGTGGCCACGCAGGATCTTGAGGGGCACGATCAGCGGGTTCATGTTCAGATCCTGGTACACCATGCCGTGGTAGACCTGCAGCGAGCCGTCATCAGACGCGGTGGCAAACAGCGGGTACTTGCGGCTGTAGCTGACCTGGCGGATTGCCTGCTTGTGGTAGCGGATCGAGCGGTACGGCTTGACAGACAGATCCATATCAAACCATGCAAGCTTCTTGTCGTACGAACCGACAATGACGTTGTCGCCCTGCGGGTGCACGTCGACGCTGGAAATCCACTTGACACCCGGCTGCAGCGTCTTGACCAGCGCCTGCTGCATCAGGTTGTAGATGCGCACGTACCGCTGCGTGGCGGCAATGAACCAGGGCCGTGTTCGGGTGGAACTTGACGGTCTGCACGGCACCCTTGAGCTTGCGGAACGGCCGCTGCGACTTGTGCTTGGTCATCTGGTGAATCAGCACCGATGCACCTCCCTCCTCGGCAGTGACGGTTGCCCAGTAGTCACCGCGCTTGTGCCACGCCAGCGACTTGACAGCCTTGTGGAATACAACCGAGATGTAGATGCCCTGCGACTGCTCGCTGCTGGGCGGCATGTCCCAACTGACGGGCAGCGACGCTGCGTCTTCCTCCTCCTCCGTCGTCATTAGCGGTCGAGGCAAAGCCGGCCTTGACGAATTCCTCCGTGACAAGCAGCTTTTGATCGCTGCACAGCTCCGTGGGCACAATGACTACGACACGACTGCCGCTGGCTGCAGTGAATGGCGCACACTTCAGGGTTCGGGCACCAGGCAACCGTGTGGATGACGTCCTTCAGGTCCCAGATCTGGGCGCACCGGCCGGTGACAATCTCCCACAGACGCACGGTACCGTCGTCGGACCCTGACAGCAGCCACAGGCCGGTCGGGTCGATCGAGATCGAGCGCACGCGGCCGGTGTGCCCTGTGTAGACCAGGGCCTCAGCAGCCGGGAAGGGCCGCAGGTCGCGAGGGTCAGGCAGCTTGGGCATCAGCTCCTCGGCATTGAGCTGCGATGTCTTCTTGATCATGCGCGGGGCCATGTACAGATCCAGGCAGCGCTGGAACCGCTCATGCAAAAACTTTTGGTAGCCCGGCACCGAGCGCAGGTTCTGGAAGTCCTGCGGCAGGAAGTTGCGCTTGCGGCTGTCTGGGTCTTGCTCCAGCCACGCCTCGCGCTCCTTGTCGGTCGGCAGGTACTCGGGCGGCGGGTGATAGCTCTCCTCGTGCGACGGCAGCGCCAGACGCGGGGCGGCCAAACGCAGCGGGCGACGCGACGACTGCGCGTCGGCGCTCTCCTCATCGGCATTCTCCCACACATCGTAGAAGCGCGGCTTCTCCTGCTTGGGCTTGCCCGGCGTGATCTTGCCTTGACGGATGAGGCGGCACGATCTGCATGACGCGCTTATGCTCCCACTTGGAGCGCACAAAGCCGCGCTTGGACACGGGTGCGCCGGTGACAGGCGTCTGCATGGTCTTTGATGTGAACCACTCGACGGTGTCCTCGTACTGGTTGAAGTCGGCGTCCGGGATGCTGCCGCCCTGGATACGCCGGATGATATCGATCTCCTCGTCGGTGAGCTTGACGTTCTGCTGGTTGACCTCGTCGCGGCCCGTGCGGAACACGTCAGGGTTGTCCTGGTTCTCAAGGAACTTGTCCAGCTCGTCGCTGGTCGCCGGCCGCAGTATCCGCTTGCCGTCAATGTCATACCCGATATGCGGGTAGTCCTCGTACCACTCAATTGGCACATTGCCGATAGTGTTGGACGGCTCTTCGGTTGACGAGTCGCTGGCGTACCCAGCCTCGATGGTAGGCAGAGTCTTGCGGTATTCCTTCCAAGCCTCGAGATCGTCGCCAAAGTCGCGGATCGTCAGCTGCTTGTCCTCGCCCTCGCCCTCGCCCTCGCCCTCAGAGTTACTATCGACTGCCGTGGCCAGATCGTCGGTGGACCGGGAAGCAGAAGGCGCCAACAATAGATCGTCATCTTCGTCGTCACTGGCATCTTCGCTATCGCCCTCGATGTCGGAGTCACTGACATCCTCATCACCATCCTCCTCCTCCTGATCCTCCTCGTCCAGGCTATCACCTGCAATATAGTCGTCCTCAACCTCGCCTCCCTCTTCGCCAGAGTCAATGCCCTGCTCCTCAGCCATCATCTTGAGCATTTCGTCAAAATCACCCTCCTCGACATCCTCCTCAAGGTCGCTGTCAACCTCCTCGTCCGACGGGACTTCGATGTTTGAGTTCTTGGGGAAACGGACCTCGGGCTCGCGCGCCGCGCGGTTCGAAGCCGTGCGCTTCTTGCTGTTGCCTGCCTTGCTCTTTGCTGGAGCCATCTATGATAATGTGAAATAAACAGATATACGCGAGGAGAGCAGGTACTGGGAGAGAAGAAAAAGTGCGAGTGAAGAATTTTTTGTGCCGAGCCCGTCCACAGGATTTTGCCACAGCCAGCCGCCAGATCAGCAAAAAAAAAAAATTGAGGCATGTGCTAAATCGGTAGATCACGGATCAAATCTGCACCAGCGGCAAAACCCAAAGCTTTCCGAAAGTGAAATCTCCGTTGACACAAAACAACAAATCCAGAAAGAATTTACTAGAGCCGGGGAAAAGCACAGAACTTAGGCAGTCTCACCCTCCTTCTTGAAGACGTAGGTAAGGTGGCACTTGCCGCAGTACTGGCGGTCCTTGTGCCAGGCCATGAAGACACCGGCGCCGCACGACTCGGACGGGCACTCGCGACGGAGACGGGTAACCTGACCGTTCTCGTCGACCTTGTAGTACTTGAGAATGGCAAGCTTGACGTTCTTGTGCTTGTGCGGGGTCTTCTTGGGGGTGGTGTAGGTCTTCTTCTTGCGCTTCTTGCCACCACCACGCAGGCGGAGCACGAGGTGCAGGGTCGACTCCTTCTGGATGTTGTAGTCCGAAAGGGTGCGGCCGTCCTCGAGCTGCTTGCCGGCGAAGATGAGGCGCTGCTGGTCAGGGGGAATGCCCTCCTTGTCCTGGATCTTCTGCTTGACGTTGTCGATGGTGTCCGACGACTCCACCTCAAGGGTGATGGTCTTGCCCGTAAGGGTCTTGACGAAAATCTGCATGATAGTACTTCTACAAATACAAAATGTACAAAATTGGACGAGACATACAAGCAGGCAACATTGCCAGCACGCAGGGAGTGCGGGCGGAACGGAAGGCAGACAGACACAGCAGCAAGGCACAGCAAACAGATTCGACATCAGGCGCCCCTCAAGCGCACACAGACAGGCCGACTCGACGGCTGCCCGTGGGCTCAGAAACAGTGCTGGTGTTAGCTTGGCATGCACAAGAGGAACATCCAGAAGGTGTTTGCCATACCATACCGCTGCTGCGTCCGCCGCTCCGTTCCGCCGCCCCGGATGCGGCTCCGTTGCGTTGTCCGTAGGTCGTCGGCGTGGTCAGTAATGTGCGGGCTGTGTAGGTGTGTTGGCAGAAATTTGCTTCTTCTCACGCAAGCAGTCTGGTGCAAGTCCCCCGTGCTTGCGCACAGGTTCGTCCAGTACCCCAAGTTGCTTGTCGTATCGGAAAAGAAGTGAAAAAAGTGAATGTACCTGCGCGATCAGCAAATTCTGCACGAAAGAGAAGGAATCCCGCCCGGTTGCCGTCCGCCAGCGTCTTTTAAAGGAGCCGCCTCAGCAGAAAATTTTTTGGCGCTTCGTGCTTGGCCAAGGCCAGGCCGGCCCTACAGTTCCAGCTGATTTGCCCATAGGAAATCTGGTGATTTTATTATTCCCTAAAGTATTCCACGTGACTGTATATCGGCTTGGTACGCTTCTACTGGCTGGTACCGGTCTCAAACGGCATGAACGGGTTCGGCACCTGGTCCGGGTCGGCCACAACGCCCGAGTAGATGTCGCCCATGGCCTTGAGCGCAGCCGCTCGCCGCTTCAGCACCTTCTTGTCGGCGCTGGCGTCGTGCAGCACCGCGTCGCACACCTCGCGCAGAATGTTCTCAATCTCCAGCTTGCCGCTCTTCCACAGCGCCTCGAGCGCCTTCTTGGCGGCCTGCTCCTCCAGGCGCTGCTTCTCCTCGGGCGACAGGACTGCGCTCCTCAGCGCGGGCCAGTTCGGCATACGTGCGCTGCAGATCCATGGCGGCCTTGATGGTCGTGTAGGCGCTGCCGATGATCTGGCCGGTCTCCTTGAACGACTGGTACACGCCGCGGAAGCCACCCAGGAACTCCTGCTTCTCGTGGAACTTGTTGGCCTTGAAGCGGTAGATGTGGCCGATCGTGTGGAGCAGCTCCACGCCCAGCGATTCTGTCTTCAGGTCCTCAGCCTCGGCCGTGATCTGCGCCTCCCACGCAGCCAGCGCCCGCTTCGGGTCCGCATGCGTGTTCTCCACGTAGATGTCCAGCTTGTTCTTCAGGTTCTCAGCCAGCTTCGCCACCCGCACCTTGTTGCGCGCATCCGCCTCCTGCTGCTTCTTGAGCTGCTCCTCCTTCTTGCGCTTCTTCTCGGCCTTGCGCGCCGCCTTGTCTTGCTCGGTGCCCGGCGAGCCGTGCTCGATGGCCTTGCCGTCAGATGCGCTGCCCTCGTCCTCGTTCTCGGCGTCCTCGACCACCGAGCTGAGCTCGGCGATGATGTTCAGCTCGCCGATCATGTTGACGAACCGCTCGCCACCAAACAGCTGGTTGAAGAAGAACGTCGGGTCGATCATGCTGTTCTCCTCGCGGTTCTTCTCGGCGCCCAGCTCGTTGTACTGCTTGCGCAGCTTCGGGTCTGACAGGACCTGGTACGCTTCTGAGATCTGCTTGAACTTGTCCTCAGCCTCGGCCTGACGGGTTCTTGTCTGGGTGGTATTTGAGCGCGAGCACGTAGTACTTCTTTTTGATTTCGGACTGTGTGGCTGTCGGCGACACCTCGAGCCAGTCATAGTACTCGGTCTCGAGAGGGTTCTCGTCTACAAAGCGTGTTTATGTGTACGATTGGTAACAAATGGCGGGTTATTAGACGTGTCCTATTGTTTGCGCAGCATATCCGAGAATATTCCATTTGCAGAGGGCCAGCAGCGGCTTGTTGCCGCCCCTCCCCATGTTTTGCTGTTTTTGTCCTTACCTGTGCCCTTGCTTCGGCCGTCCTTGCGCTTGTGCGATGGCGGCGGTGGTGACTGTGTTTCCGGTAGAGCCGCCTGATGCATTGCCGCTGCCCACTGGCACACTACGGTCCTTGCTAGCGCTGTCTCTTGGCGACGCTGCCTTGGCGGATCCGCCGGCGTTTGGCTTCCAGAACGGGACCTCGCTGACGTCCATGGGGAAGTCGCGCTTGCAGGCAAAGCACGCGACATTGCACATTGCAGGCTCGGTGCCCTTTGGGAGGTCGAACTCGACAAATTCGCTGCAAAGCGGGCATTGCACGGCAATGCATGTGGGTGGGCGTGAAGCCTTCGACATTGCTGTTCCTTTTGCTAGATTAGAATGGTGAAGAGTATGCCGAAATGCAGAAAGGAAAAAAGAAGACAAGTGGGGGGTTAGCGTGGAAGCCGCAACTCTTGGCGAGTCCTTATATAGAAAAGCCGCAACAGCATCGCGGATTTCTTCATCGATGCGCTGATATGCGACACAACGCATTGAATGTCTGGCACAGGGCCGTGGTCTCTAACTCGGAGGCAGCGGCGATGGTAGGACAGCATTGGTCCCTGTTTCTTGGCATGGGTCGAATTGCAGTACGACTCCTGCCCGTTGCTAGTCGGCTCACGTACCAATCGCCTGCCTGCCCGATGTTTATAGCAGTCGTGGGCATTCACTGCATTGGTGCCAACAACTACTAGACCACCCACCGCTAAATGGTCGTGGCTACCAGCCGAATACAGCGCGCGGTCGAGGTAGAGGACAGCCTTCATCCAGGCAACCAAGGCTTATCAGCTCACGGTCAGGAGTAGATTTTCAATATTCTGGCCAAAGGAAACAGCCTAGCGCCGGGTGTGACTGCCGATTTGAAGTGTTCATGAAGGATGCACCTACGGATAACGACTAAAAAAACTGGCAGTGCGTGCTATTTCCAAACGAAAGAACAGGAGGCAGTTGGAACAAGTGCTTAGTTAAAGTGGGAAGGTAGCGCTGTGTAGAGAATGTTGGAGAAAATAAAGAACGACTCAGAGGGTGACTGGTGTGGTGTAGAACGGCCGCAGGTCATGTCCTCTAGTACTGCCAAAGCAGCTGCGATCAGACAGGCGCTTTGTCAAGATCCAGTCCATTGTACCTTGGCCTTCTTGCGGTGATACAGGACTCTGCTTTTGCCCAGAGCTGGCTATTGACAACGATGCTAGACCAGTGGGAATTGTGTGCTGCTTCAAATCCGGCACCGCTGACTGTGGGCTTTTAGAGCCACATCGGCCGGATGTCAGGAAAACAACAATGAGAGCTGGAAAGAGCCATGAGCGTCATAGCGGCCAGACCCCGGATCTGCACTGGGGTTTGATCCACCGCCAATAGGTGGGACGTACTGCCACGTGATCCGAGACACTGCTCTTGATATTGTCACTTTGGCGCCGCCACTTTGCCTGCACAGGTGACGCACGAAGGTGACCGGCCCAGTCCACGACAGCAGCTCGCCAAATCTCAGCCTACGTAACCACTTGTGGCCCAGTGCGCGGTAGCCTTGTTTTGCTCTGTTTCGCATTGTGAATTCGACTTGGCTTTTTCGTCTTCAACTACCTTTTTTCTTCTTGCTAATCTACAATGAGTTACGATCGCGCACTTACCATTTTCTCGCCTGATGGCCACCTGTTCCAGGTCGAATACGCGCAGGAGGCGGTGCGCAAGGGCATGTGCACGGTAAGTTTCTGGGAAATTTCATGCAAGCGCCGACATTCTGCGAGAGCACGCACATACAGGTCACTAATAGCATGCGGCGTTAGGTCGGCATCCGCGGCTCGGACTCAGTCGTGCTGGGCGTCGAGAAGAAGGCTGCACTGAAGCTGCAGGATTCGCGCACGATGCGCAAGATCCACCGTCTGGACGAGCACATTTTCATTGCATCGGCTGGCCTGGTGGCCGATGCACGTATTCTGGTCGACCGCGCGCGCCTGGAGTGCCAGAACCACCGGCTGACAGTAGAGGACCCGCCCTCGGTGGAGTACATTACGCGGTACATTGCGGCGATCCAGCAAAAGTACACACAGAGCGGCGGACGGCGCCCGTTCGGCATTTCAACGCTTATCGTCGGATTTGATCCGGACAACACGCCGAAGCTGTTCCAGACGGACCCGTCGGGCATCTACTACGAGTGGAAGGCAAACTCAATTGGACGCAACTCGCAGACGGTGCGCGAGTTCTTGGAGAAGCACTACAAAGGACGACATTGATGAGAAGGAGGCCGTCAAGCTGGCGGTAAAGTCGCTGTTGGAGGTCGTGCAGACGGGCGCCAAGAACATCGAGATTCTGGTCGTCACCAAGGACGGCAGCAGGTCGCCCAGCGTGACCGAGATCGAAGAGGTCATCAAGGTCATCGAGGCTGAAAAGGCCGAGGAGGCCGACAGAAAGACGAACCGCGGCGGGCGCTCGGCCTGAGCTGGTGCTGGTGCTGGTGCTGCTTCTGTCGTGTGAGCTGAGCCACGTAGGGGTTCGGCGCTCGAAACCATGTCTTCAACTCTCCAATAAATCCCTTGCAATTTTTTCCAACAGCTGCACTGGGCTACGAGTCTCGCTGACGCGGCGGTGTGAAAATTTTTTGGTGTGATTGGCTCTGGCAGCGCACGCCTTATCCTCTGGTTGGCGTCCGCTGCCCACGGCTCTCCCTCCTTTCCTTTCCTTTCCTTCGCTTCTACGATACTCCACTATTTTATTCCCAGCCCTTTCCCTATTCCGCTATTTCATCTCGCACCTCTGTAATTGTGCCCAAGGTTTTTTTCTACCCGCTATTATATTTTACCCCCGTCTTCTTAGATTACCTTCCAAGAATCAACAAAACAGATCTTTAGCAATCAGAATGAGCGCTACAGTTTACGGCAACCGGATCTCGCTGATTTCCAAGAGCGGCATTCGCTACACGGGCACACTCAACGATGTAAACGAGCAAGAACAGACAATTTCCCTGGAACAGGTGCGTTCCATGGGCACTGAGGGCCGCAAGGGCAACCCGCTGGAGGAGATTCCGGCGTCGAATGACATTTACGAGTACATTCAGTTCCGCGCGACTGACGTTATCAGCGTGCAGTTTGAGACCGAGCCAGCAGCTCCGCCTCCCCCGCCACAGGTGCCGAACGACCCGGCGATTCTAGATGTAAGTAGTGAAAATTTTTCTCTGAGCCTGTCCCCGACATTTGCCTTGACCTGATGAAACAACTGAGAAGTTTTTCCGACTTCGTGTCTTAACGCGCTCTTTTGTGCGGCTGTTGACAAAAATTCTGCCTTCCTCCTGACTCTTCCAAGCGACTCGCCTGCCTCGAATCTCTGGAAATTGCGACTGCTGACTGTGCACTAATTCTGGGAGTTACGTATACCAATTGCTTTTAGGCCCGGGCCAAGCCGCGGGAGCAGCCCCAGCAGCAGCCGGCGCAGGCGGCCCCTGTTTCCCAGGAGGCACCTGCTGCTGCTGCACCTGCTGCCAAACCCACTCCTGTTGACGCGCCGACAGGCACGCAAGTCGAGTCGGTTACCAGGGATACCACTGAGGAACAGGTAAGCTACACGTTCCTGTCACATGGGCCACGCCTCCTGCCCGTTTGGTGATCCTGATGAAACAACTGAGAAGTTTTTCCGACTTCGTGTCTTAACGCACTCTTTTGTGCGGCTGTGGACAGAAATTCTGCCTTCCTCCTGAACCCCCCACCAACGCGTACAGTAGCTCTAGGACTGCAGCTATTCGTTGTTGTTGACGTGACTACTAACACCATACTCAATGGCCATAGGATACCTTCCAGCGCCAGAGCGGCTACCAGCGGCAACAGCAGGGCGGCCGTGGCGGCTACCGTGGACGCGGCGGCTACCAGAACGGCAGCAACTACCGTGGCGGCTACCGCGGCCGTGGGGGATACCAGAACAGCGGCGGGCGGGGCGGCTACCAGCAGCGCCAGGGTGGGCGCCGGATCGAGATCCCCGAGTCAGACTTTGACTTTGAGTCGTCGAACTCGAAGCTGAACAAGGACGACATTGCCAAGGAGTTTGCCAAGCTCTCGGTGGATGTCACTGAGGAGGACGAGTCGCCGCTGAGCAACGGCTCCGTGCCCACAGCCAAGAACGTCGACGTGTCGTCAACAGCGTACGTACCCAAGAAGTCGTTCTTTGACGACATTTCGTGCGAGACCAAGGAGCGGATCCAGATGCTCGAGCACGGGCTGAGCCCCGAGGAGCGCCGGAGCCGGCTCAACGCCGAGCGCCAGCAGAACTACGAGACATTCGGGCAGACGGCAGCCGAGCAGAGCCGGTACCGGTACAACCGGTATCGTGGCGGGCACCAGGGCAGCCGTGGCGGGTATCACCACAACTATAACAACAATAACAACAGTGGCGGCGGCAGCTGGCGCGGTGGGCGCGGCGGGTACAGCAACCGCGGCAGTGGATACACCAACCAGGGGCGCGGCGGATACCGGTACAGCAGCAGCAACCAGGACGGATCCTCGCGCAACGAGGGGTACATCGAGTCTGGGGCGCAGGCCTAGGAAAGCAGCCGAGCCGGCCCCCTCCACGCCTGTAGCTGATTTTAATTTTTGCAACAGAATGGACAGTGCTATGATGGGCCTTTCAGAAGTCTTGGGGACAGACCAGCACGTGGAGCGATGCGCTCAGAGCAGTGTTGTCTCTCGGCGATTGGGCGTTTAGGCTCAAAAATGAGCGGCAGTATCCAGCACCAAATCACTGTAAACGATGTGCATGAAAGAAAAAGCAACCTTGCATTTGGAACAGCCCCCTTTCTTTCTCCAGCGCAGAAAGCATCCTTTTGTCATCGGCCCTATTCTTTTTGCGCTTCGTTTTTACTTCCTCACAAACTACATTTTTCTTTCTTTCTTTCTTTCTTTTTTTACCATGGACGGCGGCTACGCATCGGGGACCAAGCCCGGTGTGTTCTACGACCAGGGCAGCAAGAGCCACCACGGCTTCGACGACATCCAGCTGCCACAGAAGCCAGTCGGGTTCAGCGCCTACCCGACGCGGCACTACGACAGCGAGCCGGCGCTTCCAAGCACGACGGCTCGGCGCCGGGCCCGGCCCAGCATGCTGCGCGGCACAAACAGCGACACGGTGATGGTCATTCTGCTGACGCTTTTGGCAATGGCAACCAAGCTGTACCGGATCGGGCGTCGCGACAACGTGTCGTGGGATGAAGCGCACTTTGGCAAGTTCGGCGCCTACTACCTGAACCGCACGTTCTACCACGACGTTCACCCGCCCTTGGCCAAGATGCTGGTGGGGTATTCCGAGCTGCTGGCGGGGCACAACGGCACGTTCAACTTCAAGGGCGGGCACACGTACCCGAGCTATGTCAACTACACGTTTATGCGGGTGTTCAACGCGATGTTTGGGATTGCACTGACGCCGATGGCGTATGTGACGTGCCGGCAGCTGCGGATGCCTGTTGGGTTTGCGGCAATGGCGGCGGTGTTTGTCACATTCGACAATGCGATTTGCGTGATGAGCCGGTTTATTCTGCTGGATGCGCCGCTGCTGGGATTCACGGCGCTGGCGCTTTTGAGTCTGGTGCTGTTTTACCGGCAGCGCAGCCAGGCGTTTTCGGAGCTCTGGTGGCGGTACCTGTTCATGACGGGCGTGGCGCTGGGCCTGGTCGCGAGCTCCAAATGGGTGGGTCTGTTTGCGGTGGCGCTGGTCGGCCTGTATACGATCGAGGAGCTGTACGACAAGTTCTGTGACTTGCGGATGCCCGTGCGCACGTACGCTAGGCACTGGGTAGCGCGGATTGCCGGGCTCATCGTGGTGCCGATGCTCATCTACATGCTGTGTTTCAAGATCCACTTTATGGTTCTGAACCGGTACGACGGCTCGGCGAACTTTATGCCGGTCGGATTCCAGGTCAAGATGCGCGGCAACCCGATCTCGATGCAGCCGTACGAGATCATCACGGGGTCGCAGATCCGGCTGCAGTCGCACGAGTCCGGCACCGGGTACTTGCACTCGCATTCGCACATATACCCGACCGGGTCGCAGCGGCAGCAGATCACCGGATACGGGTACCCGGATGACAACAACATGTGGGGCATTAAGCGGATGCGCGCGGCAGGCACGTTCAAGGTGGTCACGGATGTCAATGCATCGGACCAGCCGATCCCGGGCGCGATCCAGGACGGCGACCTGGTGGTGATGCACCACAATGCAACCGACTCGCTGCTATACACGGATTTCCGGCACGCGGCGCCCGTGACCAACAAGTACCACGAGGTGAGCGCAATAGCTGCCGACTCGCAGGAGGCCAAGAACCCGAACATCCTGTGGGTGGTGGAGGTCGTCAGTGCGGAGAAGCGCATGCGCGACGGGCTGATCCACCCGCTGGGCACGGCGATCCGGCTGCGCAACATAGTCGATGACTGCGTGCTGATGGCGACCGGCGACCGGCTCGACAAGAACTGGGGGTGGAACCAGGCGGAGATTGCCTGCGATGTCAAGCCCGGCAGCAAGCACACGGCGCAGTACCTGTGGACCATCGAGCAGCACAAGAACCCGGCGCTGGAGACGGTTGATCTGGGCAAGCACATGTCGTCGTCGTTCCTGACCGACTTTGCCCGGCTGAACAAGCAGATGTGGCTGACCAACAACGCGCTGATTCCCGACCACGACAAGCACAATGTGCTGGAGAGCGACCCGGCGTCGTGGCCGTTCATGTGGTACCCGATGCGCATGGTCGGATGGGACGACCACGGGATCAAGTACCTGGAGATCGGCAACCCCTTGCTGTGGTGGGGCTCGGCAATTATGTGCCTGGCGTTCCCGCTCCAGATGTTCTACTGGCTGATGCGCTACCAGCGCCAGTGCCTGCAGTGGCGCGGGTCGGAGTTCCGCGACTACATCGACGGCGCCATGATCCTGTGGGGCGGCTGGGCGCTGCACTACCTGCCGTTCTTCCTGATGGGCCGCGTCACGTATCTGCACCACTACCTGCCGGCGCTGTACTTTGGCATCCTGTTCCTGGCGTACCAGATCTACCACATGTCGATGTGGTACCTGCCGCAGCGCAGCGCCACTCGCGTGCTGTATGTGTGCATTGGCGTGGTGGGGCTTGTGTTCTGGTGGTTCTCGCCGCTGACCTACGGCTGGGACAAGCCGATCAGGGATCTCAGGGGCATGCAGTGGGTGGACTCGTGGCCCGTGTACGAAGACAAGTTTGACCTTTAGTTCTTTAGCTTACAGATCCAACACAACAAGAGTTAGTGCACTAGAAATGGCTGGTGTTGCGGCGGGCCAGGAAATTCAGCAGGTCCTGCTTGGTCGCAATGCCCAGGCAGAACTTGCGCGAGTAGTCGGTGACGAAGGCCACGCTGTGGACCTCGAAGAACTTCGACAGGTCATGCAGCGGCGTCTCGGGGCGTGATCAGCCAGTACTGCCTGCGCTTATTGGCGGGCGCCGCCCCGCCGCTCCCTTGGTGCCAGCGAACCTGAGCATGTACTGCTTGACAGGCTCACTGGGCTTCGCCACGCCGTTGCCCAGCAGCGTCTGCGCAGGCAGCCAGCGTCAGGTACCCGATCAGCTTGCGTCCACGGCCGGTCACGGGCACCTGCGAGAAGTCGTGCTCGAGCATCAGCCCGACAGGCGTTGGCAATCGGCTCCGACTCGGACACCGTGACCGCCGCCGGCAGCTGCAAGTCCTCGATGGACGCTGCGCGGTACTTGTCCTGCTGCGCAGCCTGCAGGTCACTGAGCATGCGCGCGTCAAACAGGTCGTGCGCCAGCAGCCAGTCGTCGGACAGCAGCGTGTCGGAGTAGTTGCGGGCCGTGTCGCCCATGATTCACCAGCGCGCGCTGCCCCATCTGCAGATTGGCCACCGCGTACATGCGCGCCGCTGCCACCGATGCGCCCGAGGACGGCCCGCCCGTGATCCCGCCGCGGATCAGCCGCCGCGCCATCGAATACGCAACCGTGTCGCTGATCTGAACCCAAAAGTCGATTGCGTTGGCCGCCAGCGCCCGCGGCGCATACACCCGCCCGATGTCCTCGCACAGCCAGCGCTTGGCCAGCGGGTTGGCCCGGGAGTCCTCGCCAATGGCCGAGTTCTTTGGCTCCACCCCGACCACCTGCAGCTGCGGCAGCTTCTGCTTCAGTGCCCGCGACAGATGCGTGGCCGCATTGCCCGTATCCACGCCCAGCACCAGTGCGTCCAGCTGCCCATCTGTCTGCTCGATGATCTCGTCCGCCAGCTCCTGGTAGCATTGGCTCAGATCCCAGTCCCCGAGCTCCTCGTCCACATACACCGATCCCGGCCGCTGCTGCATGATCCGCTTGCCAATCTCCACCGGGTGCTCGCTGGATCCCGGCAGCGCCCCGTCAAGCGTCCGCACTATGTCCGTGATCCCCGACGCCTTCAACAAATGGATGCGGTCCTGCGACGTGCGCTCGGGAACCAGACACAAGGAGCCGTCGCTGCAGCATCGCCAGGCTGATTGCCAGGTTGCCCGGCCCTGCCACTATCAGCAGCGCGTCCTTGGGAATCTGCCTCTGGTCGAGCTGCTGGCAAATGTGCTTGGCCACCCGGTCCTTGATTGATGCTCCTGGGTTCATGTACTCGAGCTTACCGATCAGCTCCACCGGAAACGTGGCCCCGATTCCTTCGACGTTGGTCAGCCGCACCACCGGCGTATTTCCGATGGTGTCTATACACCAGGCTAAAGACTCTAAGCACCGGCTCTCTCCCTGTGATATGGCCTTTTGGCTGGCTGTCTCCTTGGACGCCTTACCTGCAACATCGACAATTTTAGAGAGGGGCATTCTGAATGTCAAAAATATAAAAAAGCGGGGGGAAGTGATAGCCGGAGCTGGACTGAAGACAACAAGTGCGGTACGGGTTTAGGACCGGGGCTCAGAAAACGTCACCTGTGCCCTCCCCTGCACGTGATCAGTTACCCTGTGCATGAGAATATGGGCTTCACGAGCCCTTCAGCCAAGTGCCGGACTAGCCCAGCGCTACATGTCTGCTGAATCAGGTGTTCGCTGTTGTCCAGACCCCCATAGCCTATTCCTACGCTTCGGCCCTACCCGCCGTAGACTGCATCTGCTGAATGGCCAATATTCGATCTCTGTTGGGTTTGTCCAAGCACACGATATGCCAGGCCGTTAGTTTGCCCAGTTCGCTTTTTTCCGCACCATGTTTCTGTCCAGTCTTGGAAGGAGCAGAGAAAAATTTTTACTTTCCTGTTGGACAGGAAGCGTCTGCAGAGCACAGCGGTATAAAAGGCTGCGGGCCAGCTACTTGCCCTGCCAAGCGGGCTTGAGCTTGGAAAGGAGACAAGCATCAGGCATTCGCTTTATCTATTTTCCCCACCCTTTATTTCAGCGTATCCTCTGCAGTTGCAGGCAACGAGCTGTCCTCACTATATAAACTACATCAACATCAGGATGGGACGCTTTGGTGCGCTGGTCAAGAGAACAGACGACAAGATCGCCGCATCGGCAGTTGGCCACTGGTTCCGGCTGGAAGGCTCCGGCGCCAAGCGCATGCGCAAGGGCTCGCACTTCTCGACCGAGCTGCGCGGCGGACTGGCGACATTTCGTGACCATGTCGTATATTATCTCCACCGCAGCCCTGATTATCACTGACTCTGGCGGCCCGTGCGACTGCGACCGCGAGCAGTTTGGCGCAACGTGCGATCCGCGACCCCGACTACACGAGATGTCTGCACACGCTCAAGATGGACCTTATTACTGCCACCTGCGCCATCTCGTGCATTTCGTGTGTGATGATGGGCGCCCTGGCCAACTTGCCGATTGCACTGGCTCCAGGAATGGGTCTGATTGCCTACTTTACATACACTGTCGTTGGATACCACGGCACCGGCAACATCAGCTACCAGAACGCCCTGTCGGCTGTGTGCATTGAGGGCGTCATCTTCTTTGCCCTGTCGATACTTGGTATCCGGCAGTGGTTTGCTCGTATTATCCCGGCCAGCCTCAAGACCGCGACGGGCTCGGGAATCGGAATCTACCTGGCATTCATCGGCCTGCAGTCGTCGGCTGGAATCGGGCTCATCACTGCCAGCCACTCGACGCTGGTTGAGCTCGGCGGATGTCCGGCCGAGTACCGTGACGAGAACAACATGTGTGTATCTCATCACATGCGCGGTGCCACGACATGGGTTGGCATCATGGGCTTGGTCATCATTGCGATTCTGATGGCCTACAAGGTCAAGGGCTCGGTGCTGATCGGCATTCTGATCGTGGCCATCATCTCGTGGCCGCGCACAAGCAAGGTCACCTATTTCCCGTACACCGAGGCTGGCGACGAAGCCTTTGCCTTCTTCAAGAAAGTCGTCACGTTCCACCCGATTGAGATGATCCTGGGCAAATATGACTTCAATGCCAGCGGCGGGCAGTTCTGGATTGCGCTGATCACATTCCTGTACGTCGACATCCTCGACTGCACTGGCACGCTGTTCTCGATGGCCAAGTTTGGCGGCTATATGGACGAGCGCACACAGGACTTTGAGGGCTCGTCCATCGCGTTCCTGTGCGACTCGGTATGTGTTGTGCTGAGTTCAGTGTTTGGGCTAGCGCCAGTCAGCTCCTTTGTCGAGTCAGGGGCTGGTATTGCTGAGGGTGCCAAGACCGGCATCGCCAGTATAACGACCGGCTTTTGCTTCTTCATTGCGCTGTTCTTCGCACCCATCTTTGCTTCGTTCCCACCTTGGTCGACTGGCCCAGCGCTCATCCTGGTTGGATCGATGATGATTCAGAACGTGGTCCATATCAACTGGAAGTACGTCGGCGATGCTGTGCCTGCCTTCTTGACAATGATTATGATCCCATTCGGCTACTCGATCGGTTACGGCCTGATTGCTGGCATTGGTACGTACATTGCAATTAACGGCGTCATCTGGATTGTTGCCAAGGCTACGCGCGATCGGATTGTTCCGCCAAACAGGCTCGACAAGGAAATGTGGTCGGCATTTATGGCTGACGGTGGCGCCCTGGGTATTCTGCCCAAGTGGCTGCGCAAGGTCCTCCATATCAAGTATGCTCCGACACATGCGAACAGCGATGCCCAGGATATCGAGCTCGAGGAGCATATCCAGAGAGTCTCGGTGGAACAGCAGCATCTGGCCAGGAGCTCGGCTCAGTATTGTTCTGGCGATGCTACCCCTGCCTCCAATGCTGATTCGCCTGCCATGACCATCCACGGCGACTTTAAGGGACAGAAAAAAGACTTTTAGCATAATCATTTCATGTATTTTCTGTAACGAACACATTTTACATGTCCTACAGCATCTATATCCATCGCGTGTCATGAGATAACTCCACCTGCAAACTGCGTAGGCGAGTGTTTCGCTCCAGATCCCCTTGATCATGCTGCGAGGAATATCGAGATGTTGGACCTTGTGGCCTGCGAATCTTAGCCGGTCTTGAGCTACTGATTCCTTGCGCTTATCGATGCGCATGATGAATAGCAGACTCCACATTGCATTCAGCAGTGTACTAGCGCCAAATGGAGTCTGACATTCATCATGTGCATCGATATGCGCAAGGATCGGTAGTTCAAGCCGGCTAAGACTCGCTAACCACAAATCCAGCATCTTGATATTCCGCACGGCATGATCAAAGAGATTCATGAGGAATATCGCCAGCTTCGGCCTCGACGACGGCCACCAGCGTACAACTGGCAAGCAGAGTGCATTTAAGCTATGAAGCCCCTTTTCCCAGGAATTCTCACAGCCGAAGCATCGCGAGGCAAATCGATCTGCGCAGACTGGATTCCTGGCAAGGATGCAAGAATACAGACACAATGAGGGGGAAAGACACAACCAGGTGCTTACTCCGCTGCACTGGAATGAGTCGTGTACTAAGTGCCAGAAGACGACTATTCAAGAAAATAAGCATTAGTAGCAGCTGGTTTAATGAATAGCGGCACTCACGAAAGATCAAATGCAGGTATTTGCAGGTATAAAAAGAGCTGGTCAAACCACAGTTCGATGACAGCAGGGCGATATGGCAACACTCAATAGTCAGCACTCACCTCGCTAGGTTTTCCGCGGTATTGGTTTAAGAATAAAAATGCCTAAGCTGAGGAGAAAGTGAAGGGAAAGGGGGAAGGAAAGTTAAGAGCTCCGTGCGTTCGCCCTTTTTGAAGATTCCATTGCAGCGTTTAGAAGCTACGCAAGGTGGTGGACAACCCTGTACCTTGTCAACATTACCTGCTTCTACTTTTGGCCGCAGGGATCATCAGTGGCAATCCCTAATAATTCCACAGGTATCGTTTATCGTATGAAAGGGGAATAGCCTACCAAAGGGCGAGGTGTGTCTGAACACCTTTCATAGCATTCAGGACAGCGAAGGTGCTACCATCAACGGTTTCTGAGAACCGGGTCACAGGCTGCCTAAGAAGAAAGTCCGCTGCGAATCGTGAACACTGATAGCGAATACCACGATTTACAACCAATATCCGGTCGCTGGAGCTGATTTCTTGGCGGAGAGCTGAGTGACCACGTAGCGTCGATGAAAAGCCGAGCTGAGTCGTAACATCATGGCATCCATTTCCGATGCCGCTAAGGCATTCATAGTAGTTCCAATGAGTTTATTGTTCTTGCTGCTACCCGGCTGAAGTGACTATTTTATAGCCATTTCGGTTGGTGGCGTTGTCAGAAACCCATTACCCTTTTTTCCTTTTTAAAGGATACGACCCCCTGGAGGACAATGCACGGTCAGACTCTGGACCTGCAACCTATACAATGGCTGTACCTGGTCAGTGTATGCGTCTTGCATCGAATCTCTGTTGATGGGACACATCACTGGCCAGGACGCAGCCATATGCCATGTCCTCCCCCTCGTTTTTCTGTTCTGCTCTTCTTATTCTCCACGCAAATAATGCTTTTCAAAAATACAAAATTTGCATACCTATATAGAAAGCACCACAACAAGCTGGCAGAAGCCAATAGAGGAAATGTTTGAAGTTCGCTTGATGGTATATATGTGAAATATTACTACTTGAAATCAACAAGTATAAAATAGAAAGGACTTCGGAGGTTGCTATAAGCGAGGGCTTCTCATTGCAGGCTACACGTCATCACCAGGGGCTTCCACCGGTGCCAAGGGGTCAGGAGGTTGCGTTTTTGGAGCCTGGATATTGGTCTGGCTGCTCTTCACCCATGCCTGAATTTGATGCAATTAGACTCAGCTCTGTAACAAGCTGAATGCTACCATCCATGTCGCCACTTGGTTGTGTCTGATCAGCCACCTCATATCTTGCACTCGATCCTCCGAGTAGACAAGGGCCGAAATACATGCTTCTGTTAGTACCAACTGGCTAGGGGCGCAACACAGAGACCATTGTTGACCGTGGGTCAGGAAGTGTGTTTCTCAGGAGTAGCAGCAATGCGAATTGGGAACTACAGAGACAATAGCACAGTCTCATGGGCAAATAGTGCACCGTCCCTAGCCCGGCTGCTTTCTCTAGGTGCCATGGGCTCTACTTCATGACACTGTGTCGTTCTCTCTTCACTGTCCCACACCGCCCTTGGGTTCTCTCGCTTTTGCACTAGCCTTACTGTTACTCGAATAAAACCCCCCCGACTGTCATCCGTCTTGGTGCCAATATAAGTACATACACCAGTCCACTGTCAGGATCCCATATGCTCCTCCGTGTGCTCTCCTCATCACTATATTCGTTCGTATACCACTATTTCAGCAGCATTTGCAATGTTTCTTTTTCAACTTGGTGCTCTGGGAGAGCATCCTTATGTACTTCAACTGGAGCATCACTGTCCGCCTGGTTGCCATTATTGCAGGGGGGTACGCAAGCTACAAGATTGTGCACGCTCTATTTTTTTCACCACTACGTCATATTCCCTGGCTCATTCCTGGCCCGTGTGACACCATTACGCTCACAGCTCATTCATTCTATCTGGTCAAGTTGGGGCAAATGGACAAAAAGGAGCACTAGGATGTACGGCGACATCTATGTCATTGGACCAAACGCAGTTTCAATTTCTGATCCGGTAGATATCAAGGACCGTGCTTGCCTCCCATGCCTTTGTAAAAGAGCGATTTTTACATAGGATTTGATACTTTTGGGGTTGAAAACACGGTTAGCGCGCGCAACCCAAAGGTGGCTTCTATGCTTAAACGCCAGCTGGGGCCGTACTTCAATCCTGCTTATATTTCCAAAATGGAACATGACATCCTGCGCTATGGGATTCTTGGACTCAAGTCGAAATGGGACAGCGAGTTAGCGCAGAGCTTGAGCGGCAGCATTGAGATTAATTATAACCGCGACTTTACACTCGCAACACTGGATTCAATAAGCGCACTGGTCTTTGGAACAGAGCCCCGAGGATTGAAGGATAATGATGTAACAGGCCGCAGACTGGGTTGAGGCGGCCATCACAGTCCACGGCATTCATGGAGCAATGCCACTGTTCAAGTTCTTTCCGTTTTCGCTTGGCAATCTGGCACTGGGAGTCGCAGTATGGGAAGCTTATTCACCACTGCAACAATTCTATTGCTGCGCGTAGGAGGCATTTGGCTGAAGGTGGCAAGAAGCCGGCGGATTTGCTGCAGGGCATTCCTTGACGCACAGGATCCTGAATCCTAAGACCCCGATGGATGAGAGACAGATACACGCATCGTCAATTGAAATGATGTTGGCAGGCACTGGAACGACCTCGAACGCGCTACAGTGGGCCACGCATTTGCTGATGTTGCATCCTGAGATACGTGCTAGGGCTGTGGATGAAGTCCGCAGCAATTTCGCAGCAGGCCATGTCATCACATACGCAGATGTCAGGAAGTCGTTGCCATTTGTCGAGGCGTGCATATACGAGGCACTCCGTCTGTGTCCCGTCCCCGGTGGTAATTGCACCTCGTGTAACTCCGCCTGGTGGGATAACACTGCAGGGCCACTTCATTCCTGAAGGAACGGAGATATGTGTCAGCTATTCTGGTACAAGCATCCACAAGAGCACATGGGAATGAGCCATTCAAATACGATCCCACTAGGTTCTTGGATAATGACAAGTCGCGGTCCAACTTTCTGACCTTTAGTTCTGGAGTCCGGATCTGCTCTGGCCGTCATTTGGCGTGGGCAGAGGTGTCAACTATCCTCGCCAACATGCTCAAGGACTACGACTTGTCATTGCCCAATGATTATACCCACCTCGGACCAAGCGTGCTGGATGACAGTGGATACCCGAAACTGATGGAATCAGTAATTTACGCAGTCACTACGCCAGCACATCCTCAACGCGACTGCCGCCTGGTTCTCACCAAACCCATGTAGCCTACTTACCAATGTCTTAGTGATATGGTTGCACACCTGGATCAGCTGCATCCCATGTTGAGGTCGCCCTTTGCTGTTCCCTTATAATCAGGTATCCTGCTGTCCACCAGCAGCCTGACAGTTTCCCTCTTCCTTCTGAGCCTTACATCAATATACTTGTTTGTTGCCACTTCAATCCGCGCATAGCTCTTTCCAACCCCAACTATCGTAATTTCTCCCCAGTATTCAGGTAGAACTTGTCCTTTCGGGCTTCTAACTTCAATACTGTCACATGGGCTAGAGAACCCACAGAGCCGTGTGTGGTGCCACTATTTGGTACCTTGTCCACGCTACGTACTCCTACTCTCGCTACAGCGATTACCAGCGGCAGCCGCTAATATTTCCACTGGTGCCAAGGTCAATCATTTCCATGGCTGCTAAGGCATTCGCAGTTGTTCCAAGGAGTTTGTTGTCTTTGCTGGTAGCCAACCAAAGCGGTTGTAAAATGGCCAACTCGGATACTGCCGTTTTTGGTAATTCATTCTCTTTTACCCCTTTTAGGGCGCATCAGTTGCATCAAACCGACGGTGCAGCGCTCCACCTGGCCAGGACATGGCCACATGTCAAATACCCGCTTTGATCTTGATATTCAAAGTAAATACATTTCAAAATCCTCAAACACATCAAAATTCCACTGATGAACGCTGATTTACATGTAAAATATGTCAATGCGGCTCCAAATCCACATGATTTCAGGAACCCATGGATCAGGACCCTTAGGCCACAATGGCCATTCCATACTATTCCAGGCGACTAGTGCTACTACTTAAGGCAGGCACCTGCTCCTTTCACCTGGCGATTCCTTCATTCCTTCTTTCATATAGCATATTTCATACGCTCAATATACGATCGTGAAAAAGGTGCTTGGAGAGTAAGCGTATTCCAGACAGTTGCAGGAGGCTGTCTATCCAAGTGCTATCGATACCTGAGACACAACGCAAACCATCGGCCAGTTTGTGAAGGGCATTTGGATTTATTACTGCATTTCCGAGAGTCTAGAAATCTCAGATCGCTTGGAGGACTCGCTTGGAAATGGCGATAGTTTGGTGCTCAACATGCCACTTCACGACACCGCGTGTGGGTGTGCTGATGCCACCCCTGGTCAGGGTTCAGTAGGCTATTTTCTTCAATAGGTATTCTTCATCTTTATTAACTTGTCAGCGGCTGTAAATTGGTGGCAGAGGTTCAGGGTGGAGTCTGCTGAACGTCATGCCATCCACATTCTATATGACATAGTAGTTGCGTTTGCCACATCTATCAAATATGTCACATATGAGCTCACAGGTGTACATGTTTGTAACGTGCTTTTTCAATTTTGCATTATGAACAGATCCACAAACTCCACCAGTGGCTATGTTAAAAGTCCAAATCATTCTTCTCGTTCAAGTACATGCCAGTCAAATCCTTCTTCATCGCATATGCGTCCTCGCCATCGGCATAGTACTTCTCCTCGGTGTGATCAACCTCGAATTTCAGGGTGTTCTTGTACAGCGAGTACGCGGCAGTATTCGACACGCGCACATGCAGAGACACACCCTTTGCTCCGAAAACCTCGACCATAGCCCTTCTGCGCCTGGTTCATCAGCCGGTCTGCCAGCCCGAGCCGCCGGTAGCTGCGCATCACGGAGAGCGATGTGATGTGGCCGTCCAGTGGCGGCTGCGCACCCGCGTCGTCGTCCATCTTTGCCAAAACATAGCCGACAACCCGCCCTTGCTCGTTCTCTGCAACAAAGGAAAGCTGCGGCCAGGTCGCAAAGTGGTACAGGTAGTACTTCATTTGGTAGTTCTCTGGCAGATTATGCAAATTGCAGTTCTGCATGCCAATCTGGTCGCCCGCCCGTGCCTGTCTAATCGTAATCATGTTGAATCCTCCTGAATGTTTCTATGGCAAAATGCAGTAAAGTAGCAAAAAAGGAGGTGGAACTAGGAGCAGGTAAAAGTATTTTTTTTGACTCAAGCAAGTGGCGCGCAAACAGCACAAAAAGACTGGATCAGCTCGGTTCACTCGAGCTTCGGGAACAGCTGGGCGACACCAGGCACCTGCGTTTTCGGCCCAGGCGACTGCCACCCCCTGCCGAACTCCACGTCTTTCCCACTGGCGCTCCTCCTTTGGCACACCAAGATGGTCCAGCAGCCTGTGCGGCCTTGTCAGGCATAACTGGCTGGATCATGATGCTGGCGAGCCGCACAGCCTCGAGTGAGTAGAACAGCACAGCCTGGAGCCGCGCCTTCGACTCTGGATCGGTGCGCTTGACGATGTTCCAGGGCTCCGAATCAGACACATGGCGGTTGGCCGTCGTCAGTGCATCGAAAATGACTGAGAGCCCGCGGCCGAACTCGCCGGTGTCAAACTGTGCCTTGACCTTTGCAGGCATCTGGATCAGCTCATCTCGCAATGCCCGATCGAATGGGTCTGCTGCAGCTGCAGCTTCCCGGCGTCCCAATCTCGCCAAACACGTTCAGGTCAGCTCCAAGGCGTTCTGATAGACAGCGTGCAGCGAGGTTGGCGAGCTGGCCGACCAGATCCTTCTTGTAGCGGACTACAACCTGCTCATTCGAGTAGTCGCCGTCGTCGGCTATTCCACCGTTGCGCATCATAAAGTACCGGATCGGGTCTAGGCCGTACTGGGCGATGGCCTGGAATGGATCGACTACATTGCCCTTGCTCTTGGACATTTTCTGTCCCTGCATCGTCCAGTGCGCGTGCGCCAGGATGCGCTTCGGCAATGGAAGTCCAGCGGCCATCAACAGCGCAGGCCAGTACACGGCATGAAAGCGCACAATGTCCTTGCCGATGACCTGGAGATCGGGCGGGAAGAAGCGCGGAGTATTGGCAGCGGTCCACTGGATATCCAGTCGGTGGTTGCATAGTTGACGAGCGCGTCAACCCACACGTATATTGTGTGGTCGGCGTCACCCGGCACCGGGATGCCCCACTGCAGGCGGCTGCGCGGTCGCGACACCGACAGATCGTCCATGCCATCACGCAGCCATCCTAGGACTTCGTTGCGGCGGATTTCTGGGTAAATCGCATCTGGGGTCTCCTCGATCCACCTGATCAGCTTGTCGCAGAACGCTGACAGCCGGAACTTGTAGTTGACCTCTGACATCCATTCAACAGGCTGACCTGACTCGATCGCAAACATGCCCGGCTTGCCTGTCTTCGGATCGATCCGCTCCTCTATCTGCGATTCTGTGTAGAACGCCTCGTCGGAGACTGCGTACCAGCCCGAGTGCTCGCCCTTGTAGATGTACCCGCGGTCGACCAGGGACGTTCCAGAAATGCTGCACCGCCTTATGGATGGTCTGGGGAGGTTGTGCGGATATAGTCGGTGTTGCTGATGTTAGAGGCCTGTGGCCAAATCGCGGAACCGGTCCGAAAACTTTGTGCAGAAGGCTAGCGGCTGCTCGTGGGCCTTTTCGGCTGCCTGCTGGATCTTCAGCCCGTGCTCGTCGGTGCCGGTCGACAGCTTGACTGTCTTGCCCAGGAGCTCGTGGTACCGCTTAATTGTGTCGGCTAGTACCATCGAGTAAAAGTGGCCGATGTGCGGGACTGAGTTCACGTAGAAGATTGGGGTCGTGACGTAAAAGTTGTTGGCTGGCCTTGTCCTGCCATAGGGCTGATGTCGAGAGCGGCCTGCGCGCAGCTGCTGAGACGGCTAGGCGCGTCCGTGCGTTGCTGCTCAGGAGCCGGAGCATAGTATACAGGAATTATCGAGCTGATAGCAGGTAGAGTGATTCTTGCGGAGTCGAAACGCAGTGCGGCGGCAGCGTGGTAGCAGGCCCTGGACCAGCAAGCGCGGTCACCGGCACCAGGTGGGATTGCGTGATTTTGGGCTGACGGTAATCGGATCTGCTGATCGACTTATTATTTCCTCATCTAATCTCTCGCCCTGATCACAACGAGTGCTTATCGCTCAGCCAGGCGGAGCCCGCTTCCAAAGGGTGGGCGATAATCTCTGGCATTTTTTTCGCCTCACTGGCGCAAGGCAGTCTCCGCTGGGGACCTTGACAGGCTGTTGGTGATAATATCTCCAACTCTGTCTCCTCTTGAATTCTCTAATTCGAAATTCAGTCTCTTCTTTCTTTTCTCGAGATACCATAGATTCTACATAAGAGAATGTCGCTCTCCGGTAAACTCGCGGCTGCTACTGTCAGCAAGACCAGGTTCACGACCAACCTGACCAGCTCGGCTGCCCGTGCCATCAGCGCGGCTGCCACCGCCCCCGGCGTCAAGGCCGAGAAGAGCCAGTTCCGCGGTAAGTCCGGCGCGTTCACGGCTGGTGTGTCAAAGACGGCCTTTACTGGTAAAGATATACACTAGAAGCACGAGCAGTTGGATTCATGAATCTGAGCGAAATTGACAAAGCACTAAGACAGACTACCAACATATTGCCATGTAGCCGCCCCTACTGTCTTCAGCCAGCAGCGCTTCATGTCGGGCCACGCGGCCGGACCGGGCACCACGAAGATCCCGTCGTTCGCGGACTACACGAAGGAGCGCTCGGGCGACAGCAGCCGGGCGTTCACGTACTTCATGCTTGGCGCATCGGGTGCGGTGCTGACGAGCGCGGCGCAGTCGTCGGTGCACGGATTCCTGACGAACATGGCGGCGTCGGCCGATGTGCTTGCTATGGCCAAGACCGAGGTTGATCTGAGCACGATTCCCGTGGGCAAGACCGTGACGATCAAGTGGCGTGGAAAGCCGGTGTTTGTCAAGCACCGCACGGCCGAGGAGATCACTGACGCGCAGGGCGTCAACATCAAGAGCCTGCCGGATCCCCAGGACGACGCGTCGCGTGTCCAGGCGCCCGAGTGGCTGGTCGTTGTCGGCATCTGCACCCATCTTGGCTGCGTGCCCACCACCGACGCCGGTGACTACGGAGGCTGGTACTGCCCCTGCCACGGCTCGCACTACGATGTGTCTGGCCGCATCCGCAAGGGCCCTGCCCCGCTCAACATGGAGATCCCCGACTACACCATTGAGGGCGAGAAGCTGACTGTCGGCTAAGCCAGGACGCCTAGTGTTCTGAGCCATCTCTCACATACCATTTTCCTATATCGCTTCCTGTTCCTTTGCTTTTTAAAACAACATTTTTCCTACACGCTGAAAGGCACATCTCCCTTAATATTGCCATGATGGCATACAGGTATATGGAGGCAGTTGTGATTGTCCCCCGCCTCTGGAGCACGAATCCAGCTACCATCTTTGTCATCATTCTGCACCGCATCTCCTAATGGACAACTACAAGCGCAAGCGGGAGAAGCAGCGCGTCAGGGTGCGCGGCAAGTACGAGATCCTCGGCTTCATCAGCTCGGGCACATATGGGCGCGTGTACAAGGCGCGGCCGCGCTCAGGCCCGCCAATCGAGCTCGCCATAAAAAAATTCAAGCCCGAGCGCGAAGGCGAGTCGCGGCCCTCCACCGGCATCTCGCAGTCGGCGTGTCGCGAGATCGGGCTGTGCCGCGAACTGCACCATGAAAACATCGTCGACCTCTGCGAGGTGATGAATGGACGACAACGCCATCCACATGATCATGGACTACGCCGAGTTCGACCTCCTCTCAATAATGCAGCACCACATGCACCACCTGCGCAAGCCGATGCCGGAGCTGGTGGTAAAGTCGATTCTGTGGCAGATGATCAACGGCGTCGCCTACCTGCACGCAAACTCGATCCTGCAGCGCGACCTGAAGCCTGCCAACATTCTGATCACATCCAGCGGCGTGGTCAAGGTCGGCGATATGGGCCTGGCGCGCGTCTTCAAGCGGCCGTTCCAGACGCTGTACAATGGTGACAAGGTCGTTGTCACCGTGTGGTACCGCGCGCCCGAGCTGCTGCTGGGCTCGCGCCACTACACCACAGCCATCGACATGTGGTCCATCGGCTGCATCTTTGCTGAGATGCTCGCCCTCCGCCCCATCTTCAAGGGCGAGGAGGCCAAAATGGAGAAGAAGGTTGTGCCCTTCCAGAAGGGCCAGGTCGCAAAGATAATCGAGGTCCTGGGCAATCCTACAAGGGAGCTGTGGCCCACCATCGAGCTCATGCCCGAGTTCCCGAATATGAAGCAGTTCAGGTCGTTCCCCAATGCCCTGCGCGGGTGGTTCCAGAACACTGGGCACAAGTCAGAGTCTGCCTTTGCTCTGCTGTCGAGTCTGCTCGAATACGACCCGGATCGCAGGATCTCCGCAAAAGATGCCCTGGAACATCCGTACTTCAAGGACGAGCCGCGGCCTGTCAGGCACCCGTTTTTGGAGCAAAACATTCAGCTATCCGAAGCGCAGGCTGACACTGGACGAGCTGTGCGATGCAAAGGCGCCGTGAATCCTCCAGCTGTATGAGCCCACCTCCAGTTATGTGCAGGAGGGCTTTGCTGGCTCCAAGCATTCGTATTTCTGCATTCTGCATTGGCTGCGCGCTACCTGTTTCTGCTCCGCATTACTCGATTTCAATATTTATGACACTCAATTAGCACCCTGGTCCTTTTCAACATTGCATGCAACCCGGCCAGCAGACACACCACCAGCTAACCTGCCCGATCTGCCACAGCCTGTTCACCAGCCCAAGGACGCTCGACACCTGCAAACACAGCTTCTGCCGCATCTGCCTCGACCTGCTGCTCGCCACACACGCGCCGCCGTGCCCTTGCCCTGTCTGCCAGCACCCGATATCGCCCGAACGCATAACCGATAGCTTGAAGCTTTTGTCCGCAGTCCGCTACCACTACGACAGCGCGCAGTTGGCAATGCCTAGGAAGCGCTCTGTGTCGCCTAGCGATCTGGACAGTTCGTCGTCAGGCAGCGACACGGAGCTGGATTTGCCCGAGCCCAGCTCGTTTCTGGAACTGTCCAGCGGGCAGTCAAATGCATTGGAAAGTCCCCTGCGTGTGCACACCGAGGAAGGTCAATACACAGTTGAATGCCCTGGAGGCTGAAGTGGGCGGACCAGGAGAGCCCTCCCATGAACGACAGGTGAGGAATACACACTCCGACGCCGAAGTGCACAGTGAGGAGAAGGAGGAGCGCGCAGAAGATACTGTGGAACTACCAGCCACACTAGCGCCAAAGCGTCGGTCTGCACGCATTCCACGTTCTCCAAGCAAGCGGCAGCGGCAAGCATCCGCAAAGACGCACAAGGGCGACAGCAGCCTCACACTAGTCGAAGGACCCAGCCAGCGCAGATGCTCGCTGAATGACGAGCCCTCCGCCACAGCACAGCCCGCAGTAGATTTGGCCTATCCTGACCACTGGGGTCGGTGACGCACAGCTGCGCAAATTAAAGCAAACGGCAAGACGTGCTGCCACACACCTGTCCTGGAACATTAGGATCCACAACCAGCCGTCGCTTCTTGGCAACGCTGTAACCATGACACAGCACGCAGACAAGAAGGTGGACACATACACGCATGTGCTCACTGTGCCCAACAAGAACAACCGTGTTACGCGCACGTTCAAATACCTCGTAGGGCTTGTCTCGGGTGCCTGGGTTGTAGACATCAAGTGGCTCACAGACAGCATAGAGGCACGCAAGCTGCTACCCGAAGCCAACTACATGGTCCAAGGCGATACCGCGACGGAGAGCTGCAGGCTGGACGGCCCGTACACGCCTGGCGCGTTGTTCAATGGATACCGGTTTTATGTGTGGGGAGAGCTGGATCTGGGCCCTGCATATCCGAATGCCGATGCCCTGAAGCTGATCAGGGCTGCCGGTGGCGACATCGTAGCCCACTGCCCCGCCGCCCAGCCCAGGGAGCACGGTGAGCCTGGGCCGCTGGTAGTGGCCGAGTCCTGCAAGCCAGTCATCAAAGCCATTCGCAGGCCAGACCACCGCAGGCTGTTTGCCATCCCGGTGTCACGGGCCCTTCCTGCAATCCTGATAGATAACAAGCACCTTGCCTCTGCCCGGAAAGCGGCCGAGGTGCTAGACAGCCTGATCGAGGCCACTGGCGGCGGACTCGCGTGCCGGCCCAAATCCTGGCTGCTTGACTGCATCTCTGCCAACGAGCTCGTATAAAGAGTTTTGTGTATTTCAAGGTGTAAAAGGGGGTCTTCAAAGCTGGTATTCGGGGTGCTGCACGGGGGGCGAGATAGTCAATGTGAGCCAAACATTTTCTTGAAGAACGACTTGTGCCCGTTCGACGAGTTTGACGGCACGAAGATGCTGCTCGTCTTGACCTGCGGGCTGCCCGACGCCGGCGTTCCCGACGCGCTGTTGACGGGGCTCGACCGCAGCCCGCCCGCAATCTTCGCGGAGCTCTTCGAGCCCGAGGACCGCTTGTACTGGATCCGCCAGGTACGTGATCTGCCTGTTGTTGAAGGCGCCGCGCCGCTTGCGCCGCACAAACTCAATTGCATCCAGTACATCCACGCCTTTCTCGATAAGCGCCACGGCCACAAGCACGGGGCACGCCCTAGACCCGCTACGCAGTGCACGGCTATCGTGGTCGGCACCGGCTGCACCTCGCCTTGCAGCATCGCCTGGTCGCGCCGCTCCGTCACCAGCTCCAGCCATTTCTTCAGCACCGACGACGGAGGCTACAGCGGACATCATGATCGGGGTTGGGCAGTGCGTTAGTAGCAAATATCATACTGCCTTGTGCTCTGAGATCTGCGCTACTGCAGTGGTGGGCATATGTACATGCAGTCAACTTACCACGTCACCATCCTTGAACGGCAGATCCTACATCAATAGACAGGAATGACAGGGTGTGCGTATGAGCGGCAGGTTCCAAGGACAAAAGAAATCAGTCAGGGTGTCTGCTGACTGGTGCCGCAGTGTGTGTTCCGGGAAAGGAAATCATCAAAACAAAGCGCTGCAGCAGGCCAAAGGCTCCAGGGATAAACGATAGATGAGATTGGCAGGTCATCTGCCATGCGCGATGACTCCCCCTGCTGTAGCGACTTCCATCGCTGCCTGTGTACTTACGTGGACCTGGACATTGTGGCTGTTCAGCCGCTCCTTTGAATAGGTCGGCTCGCACACCCGCACAACATCAGTGACATGAAGCCGATCAAATTCCTACTTGCAAATCCGTTGCACCGCATGCCAAAAACACAGCGTTTTAGCGCCCACTTGTTGGGTCGATTGAGGCCATTAGCACATGTGTATGCGATTGCTCCTGCTTACCTTGAGATACAGGGGAATGGTGCTGTTCGTCGGGCAGTCCATGATCAGGAACCGCAGGTTCTGGTTGTACTCGATCAGCGAGAAACTGTTGGCCAGAGGCGTGGCCTTCCCCAGACCCTTCCGACCCGCAATGCCTGGGGTGTGGTAGTTGGCGACCGATACCATCTTCGACATGGAAGCAAAGCGGTGGGATTAAGTAGAGGGGGAGAGAGATGAAGATAGAGATAGAGCACGTAGGTGGGTGTATGGAAAGAAAACAAGGGCGCGAGGTGTGTGAAGGCGCTGCTTTGGCAAGTATTTGTGTTATAGGCGCCTCTTTTGGCTCGAGGCTAATTCAGGGCTCAATAAGGGACGGGGAGACGAAGGCAGGCGAGTTCCGGCCAAACGAGACGACAGGAAGGACGGACAGAACGATGGTGTTGGTAGCAGACGACTCTGCTGTTCATTGGAGTGTAAAGGTGGTAGAGAAAGAGAAGGAGCTTAAAAAGCAAAGCAACTGTAAGCTAAGGGAAACGACCGAGAGCGACTGCAGCGAGAAAACGAGATAGAATGTACCAACTGAATTATAGAATTGAGCGTTTAAGAAGGGTATTTCGAGGTTAACTGGAGGAGAGAAAAGCAAAATCGGTGCAGAGTCCAGCAGCATAGCTATCGGCACCTTTTTCCCAACTTTTTGGGGAGGAAAGGCCCTATGTGGGCGGGCCAATGAGATCGCCCGCCAATTTCCAGCCCGGCGATATTTGGCAGGAAACGCAATTATATGCTACTAGGTTGCGCTTCTTGGTCTTGCATTCCACTCCAACACCACCACGACACCCATTCTCTTGTAATTTAACCAACGCAGATGCGCGCATTCGTTCTGGCATTCGCCTTCCCGCTGGCCGCCGCGCAGCTCTTCGGCAGCAGGCCGTCTGAGCCCCAGGTCACCCTTGAAGAGGGCTACGAGTACGTGACCGCTGGCAGCACCATCCAGCTATCGCATGTAAAGTCCGACACGCGGCTGACTCTCCCGCAGGTCACCGTATGGCACCGGCAGCCAGCAGCAGGCGATCACGACACAGGCGGACAAGGGGTCGTCGCACAATTTCTGGCGTGTCCAGGTTGCCGGCGTCGAGCGCGGCTCACCTGTGGAATGCGGCAGTGACGTCCGTCTGCTGAACAGTGACACGCAGTTTTTGCTGCACTCGCACGATGGCCTCAAATCTCCCATTTCGGGCAACCAAGAGGTCTCGGGGTACGATGGCAACGATGACGGCGACGTGTGGGTGGTCGAGTGCACCAAGGAGAAGCTGTGGAAGCGCGAGGTTCCGGTGGTACTCAAGCACAAGGCCACTAGCAAGTACCTGCAGTCGCTGCCCAGCAAAAAGTACCGGCAGCCGATCGTTGGCCACCAAGAGGTCAGCGCTGGGAAGAAGGCCGATGCCAATGCGCAGTGGAAGGCGCTGGAGGGATACTACTTCAACCGGGTGGTCGTCCAGAAATAAGAACCAATTTCTGTGTTTAAAACGTTTTATATGAACGCAATCCGTATCGATTACATGCTACTGCACGGCGCCATGGGCCTGACAAAATGAACAATCGCATCCATGGATGCATATAATAGTCGAAGCGATCACCTGCGTATAATTTGTATCACACGCGCACAGCCTGCTTTAGCAAGGCTGTAGCGCACCTGGCACGCGCTTCTTCTCAGACACCGACCGAGAACTGCACAGTCGTGCACTGCAGCGTGGCCAGGTTGAGCAGCACAATCTCCGCAGTCTTCGAGAAGTCAGGCACCATGACCACCACTGTCTTCTGTCCCTCCCTCCCTTCGGCGATCTTGGCCTCGAACTCGTCCTGACTGCCAGCAAAATACACGTGCGGAGTCTCGGTGAGAATAAACGGGTCAGAGTCAGTAAACGGGTAGCACCACAGCGTATCGGGTGCTGACGGCGCAATGTGTCGCCAGCTCAGCGATTTGGCGGCCATCTGGCATTTTGTCACATCGTTCAGTGCATACTGTGCGATGTCGTCGATGTTCTGACCGCCTGTGCCCAACATACTGATGCCATCGACATGCAGCCATCCGGGGTTGGTGATAGACCGGAATGTCGAGTACTGCAGAGACTTGGGGAACATGCTTGGGTGGACGGGCTGCTGCGGCAGCGCCAAATCTGTCGGATCGTGCTTGCCGGGCATAAGCGTCAGGGGCACGCTGGCGGCAATGTCGGCCAGGTACTCGTCAAGCTGACCCACCAGCTGCTGCATCGGCGCGCGGTCATTTGCCTTGCTGTCTTCGGCATGGCCTACGGGCGCCGGCGGCATGTCAACTAGATTGCCTGCAACCACAACCTGCGCAATTCTCGACACGTTCTCCTGCGTCTCGCTGGACCCCGCGCATCCGCACAGATACTCGGCCAGAGCCTGCATTTCCAGCGTCACTGGCTGCTCACTAGTGGACATTGAGGCCAGATACGAATGCCACGACCTTGTCTGATTTCCGGTCCGTGGCGGCTGCGGCGGCATGCCAGCATAGCACACATCAATGACCTCAAACTCGCCGCCGCTCGTTTCCCGTCCCAGCGCTGCCATCACAGTGCCCGACACAAACACCGACCCGTCGACAAACTTGCCCACAAGCTGGATCCTCCCCGACTCGTCCTCCAGCAGCACCTGCGACTCGGCGCTGCGCACCTCTTTCTCCGGGCGTATCCGTGATCCAGTGCTCCTTGGCTACCTGTCACTAGAGTGCTGGGCTTGCCAGCAGACTCGATAAACACTGTGCCAGCAATATATGTCAGCTGTGACCTTTCGACGTTCAGGACTTTGGCTGTGCACGAGGCCCGCGACGACCATTTCTTTTGCGCGCTGGCCAGCACCAGCGGCTTGAGCGCGTCGAGGCGCACGGAGTAGAACTTGGCAAACTGCTGTATGTACGAGCGATGGCCGATCCGGAACGCGCCCGAGTGCTCTGGCAGGCGTGCCTGTCGTCGCCTCTACGCGGTTAAACACCCTCTGCGCGGTACTGTCAGCCAGCATTTCAAAGTGAGAGGAAAAATATGTGTAAAATGTGTATTTTGGAGGAGCTTGAAAAAACGCAAAGTCTGCTTGCGCGCATTCTGTTTGAACGCGAGCATTTTGCCGGCCAGCGCGTTGATTTGATTTGATCCTCAAAGCAGCGCGTCCAGCCCAGCAATGTCAAAATCAGCAAAAGTCTGCTTGATTTTCGGCGCCAGCTCCTTCAGCTCCGCGCTCCCGCTCACTGCGCCCTTGCCCTTCGCAGTCCCGGCCAGGGCAGCCAAGAACATGACTGCCTGCTCGACCACCGCGCCCGACTCGCCGCTCGCGACCATCGGCTGGATCGCCTTGGCTGTGGCCGGAACAAAGCCGAGCTCGACGATAGCGTCGACCAGCGTGCTGCCAGGCCGCAGCTCCTGCGGCGTCTCCTCATCCAGAGCCTCGTCGATCAGCGCGCGCAGCAAGAAGAACGTCTTCTGGCCAAGCACCGTGGCCGCACTCTCGATCGCCTGCAGCAGCACCAGCAGCCCGCCCTGGCTGATGAACTCTGTCAGCCCGGCCACATTCGCCCGGACATACGACGACACGCAGTACAGTGCCTTTGCGCGCACCTCGCCCACCGTGTCCTCCCGCAGCACCTCCAGCACCGCCTTCAGGCAGCTATTGGAGCCAAACGACTTTTGCGCCTTCGGGTTGTGCTGGACGGCCGTGCCCATCACCCACAGCACGCCGGTGCGCACCGACGGCTCGGGGTCGTCGAGCAGCTTGACCAGCCGCGGCCACAGCGCCAGGGGCTGCAGGTTGGCGGCATTGTCGATGTTCTCAATGAGCATCTCGAGGTTGTCCAGCGCGATCTCGCGGTCGTCGACCGACTGCGTCGTGTCCTCGGCTGCGTCCACACACTCGGTCATCTGCACCGACGCCGGCTTGCCCAGGATCGCATCGAGGATCTCGGGATCGATCTTCTTTGGCTCTGGCCGCGTGCCGTTGTCCGGCGCGTCCTCGTTCATTGTGGCTCCATTCAGAATCGCCCACTTGAGTAGTGCGTCCATTTTCGCTGAAATGCTATCTGTGGTATATGAGAAAACTGCGTGTGGAGAGAAGAAAAAGGATGAGTGAGGATAATTTTCTGCCAGCCTAGATTGGTAAGCGTGACCGCCGCCTTCCACTGGCGACACCAGGCTCTGTCTGCTGCTTGCACGTTTGCCTCGTTTTTACTCCATTCCTGCCAGCGCCTTCTAGAGCAATCCAATTCGCTTCCATATAATGACTAAGCCTGATACAGCTGCGGGCGAAGAGCCAACGGCAGAGGCGAAGCCCAACACCGTCGAGACTCCGAAAGCCGACACCGGTCAGACTGCCGAGCTAAATGACAACCAGGAGACCGCACAGCCAGCCAGCGACCAGCCCACAGAGCCAATTGCCGCGCCCGACGCTTCGCCATCTGCAAATGAGCCAGAGAATTCGACACCAGCCGAGACCCTCGCAGAGGCGCTGCCTTCGCCGCCGGTAGTACAGCGGGTCTCCTCAACCTCCAAAGTGCACGATGCAATCCAAGACATCATCAACCAGTTCGACCCGCTGAAGATAAGTGCCTCGCAGTCAACGCAGGCGGCCGAGGCGGCCGCGTCGGAGCAGACGGCAGAGCTGCGTGCGCAGTTCCAGCCGGAGACCGACGGGTTCAACTACAACACGTTCTTGCAGCAGCTGCGCAACCCCGAGGCCAAGCCGGTGGCACGCACAGTCAAGAACTTTTTGACAGAGTTTGCGCGGCGGCCGCTGACGCTTGGCGAGCAGGTCAGGTTTATCCACGACTTTCTGGACTTCATCTCGGGCAAGATGCGCGAGTGCAGCGTGTGGATGTATGCGGGCGAGCGCGAGTTTGAGAATGCAAAGGGAGGGCATGGAGAAGCTGGTGATGAATCGGCTGTACCCGGTGTGCTTTTCGCCGACGGCCTCGGACGACGCGGACAAGGACCGGGTGCTGAGGGAGAAGGTGAGCCTGTTCCGGTGGATCAAGGAGGAGCACCTGGACATACCAAAGAGCCCGCAGAACACGGCCTTCCTGCAGTTCGCAAAGACCGAGCTGCTGAAGATGAACAACTTCAAGTCGCCGCGCGACAAGGTCATCTGCGTCCTAAACTGTTGCACGGTGATCTACGGTCTGCTGAAGCACATGAAGGGCAACGACGTGGGCGCCGACAAATTCCTGCCGCTGCTCATCTACGTCGTGATTACGGCTGCGCCGCCCAAGCTGGTCTCCAACATCCAGTACATCATGCGGTTCCGGTCGGCCGAGAAAATGCAGTCCGAGGCCGGCTACTATGTGACAAACCTGCAGGGCGCCGTGGCCTTCATTGAAAGCATGGATGCCTCCTGCCTGTCCATCACACAGGACGAGTTCGACAAGAACATCGAGATGACCATCTGGGAGATCGAGACCGAGAAGCGCGGCAAGGAGCGCGCCGCCCAGCAGAAGCGCCAGGAGGCCCAGCGCAGGCCCGTGCCGGATCTCAGCGCCGAGCGCGCCCAGTGGTTGATCGACAAGGGCAGCGGCATTGCCAAGACCACCCTTGAGAAAACGAACAGCTTTGTCGGCCGCCTCATCTCCGAGCTGTCGACGCCCAATGCCTCGGAGACCGGCACCACATCGCCCAGCCGCCGCGATAGCAGCGCCAGCACGCAGTACCCGGGCGAGTCGTCACGCCAGCCGAGGCACCAGCGCGAGTACTCGCATAGCCAGCAGGACACGGCCAATGTGCAGGAGCTGATCATGGGCACGTCTGAGTGGACCGCGACGCTGGCGCTGGTGCGCGACATGTTCCCGAATATTGACTCGGAGGTCGTTGAGATTGTGTTTGAGAGCAACCAGGGATTTGTACCAAAGACCATTGAGCAGCTGCTGGATATGTCGATGGGCAATGAGGCCCGCGATGTTGTCGCCAATGAAGAGGTGTTGGATGAGCTGGAGAGCCCTGTACACAGCATGTCGCAACGGACACATGTCGTGCCGCCACCGACAGCAGCGGCGCCGCAGGAGGACGGAGACGACGCAGTTGATGAGGTCGAGCGGTGGAAGGACCGGTGGGCCGATGGGTCGTCGGATGAGGAGGAGGAAGAGGAGGTTGAGGAGGATCTACTCAAGGAGGAAGAGGACGACGATGAGATTACAGCGCCACCAGATCTGGGCCAGACATCGGTTCCTGACACCACCATTCCCGATACCTCTGGCGACGAAGAGCTGGCACGCAGGCTACAACAGGAGTTTGAGCAGCAGATGCGCGACGAGTCGTCGGCACCCCAATAGCCATTTCCAACTTGCCAAGAAACACCATCATATGTTTTGAGTGCACACTATTTTTTGCCGGGCTGCTTGATGTGGCTTCAATACAGGGTGATGCATAAATGCGCTTGAATCCACACCATGTCTCCGTTTCCGGCACAGCACAGCGATTGATATGCCGCCGGCGGTTGTTGTCGTTGCGGGCAGCAGGAAGCGCCGCTCAGCTGTGGCGTACTGGTCTGCAGAGCAGCACGTTTATGCCCGGTCCATTGCCAGGCAGTGGCGCCTGGACTCCTCTATTGAAAAACCAAAATAGCCAAATAGCAGAATGCATGGCGCGCATTGCGTAGTGAACCGGAATCCAAGCGGACACCCTGCCGATGTCTGTAGCCCACCTTGGTTGCATATAAATGATAGCCCCCCTGCCTGGTCGCGAATGGGCAAAACTCCGACACGCCATAGACATTCCTTTGCAAGCACATCTTTCTCGCCATACAACCACACATGGAACTCCCACTCGACATCGACACACTGCTGGAGCTGGAGGAAGTTGGCGACGGGTCGTTCAAGAGCAGGCAGCTGTGGAATCCGCCGCACGCGCCCTCTGTGTTTGGCGGGCAGCTGATGGGCCAGGCCCTGGCAGCCGCATTCCACACCACAGGCGCCGACTGGATCGCACACTCCCTGCACACGCAGTTCCTGCGGCGCGTAACCGTCTCCGCACCAGTGCATTTCACGGTAGTCACGCTGGGTCAAGGGCGAAACTACTGCTCGCGTGTAATCACCAGCCACCAGAACAACAAGCCTGTCATGCATATGATTTGCAATTTCGTAACCCACGGCAGTAACGTTGCCAGCAAGCACGCCTACCAAAAGGAAATGCCTGGTTTTGTGCCGCCCGAGGCAGGGGCGCCTGGCACACCCCCGGTGGCCGGTGGCAACCCTGCATCCGAAAACCACTATGTGCTGGATCCGCAGGGCTACCCGGGCGGGTTTCCGGCGGAGATCTGGGTCAAGGAGGTCGACGAGGACATAGCTGTGCCTGCACCTGCCAAGCAGCACCTGTGGCTGCGGTGCCCGGACAACAGGCTGCGGTCGCAGCAGACGCAGCAGTGCATTCTGGTCACGTATTCGGATCTGCTCTTCACTCGGGTCACATTACGGCCATTTGGCGTGCGCGTTGCCCCGGCGCCAGACACATTGCGCAGACTGGTCTCGATCGGGCACCATGTGTGGTTCCATAAGCCGGCGGACCCGGGTGACTTTCTGCTGTACAAGACCGAGTGCCCGCAGCTCAGTCATGGGCGCGGTATAGTGGTCGGCGAGATGTTCTCAAGGGACGGGTCCTTTGTTGCCAGCACAGCACAGGAGGCACGCGTCGAAGTTGACCCGATTGTTGATCTGCTGCCTGCATCCAAACTCTAACCTTACAGTGCTTTTCCACCAAATACAGGCGCTCAGAACCTGCCTGCCCCGCGCACGTAGGGGAGGAGCCCGCTCGACTGGGAGCGCGACGAAGATGGCACAATATCATGGCGCCGGTCAGGTCCTCGAATCACCGCATGTTTCTTTTCCTTGGGGATGTGGGACATGCACCTCCAGCTGCACTATACTGAGCGAGAGTGCCGGCGCTGAGAAATAGGAATGCAAATCGTGACCAACACTATATCGCTGGCGTCCGCTGGGCGCACGCTTGGGATACTGCGCACTACACTTGGAGCCCTCCCCCTCCCCAGAGCGGACTGGCCTGGACGGAGCAGAGGAAAAAGCAGAAAAACAACGACACGCCTCGCACCCTATCCCCCGCTGACTCGCAAAACCCACATAAAGACCGGGAGCAAGCAAAGGGAGGCGAGCGACCCGAGCAGTTCTCTTCTCTTCTTCAGCACGAAAACATTTTTTTTTTTGATAACTCGCACACTTTTTCTGCTAGCCGCTTCTTTTAACCGCGATATTGCAGGATAGACGACCTCTTGGGACATTTATTTGCATCAGCTACACCCCCGCATACGCTACAAGGACAATTAGACGGCCGCTATATTACCTGTACAACGTGACGACCACGACCCGCTGCAACAACCCACATACACAAACCCACCATGTCGATGTTCAGCAGCTTTGACAAGGACCTGAAGAAGGCCGACGGATGCCTGCACAAGGCAGCAGACATGTTCTTCCACCCGCTGGGCGAGGACATCTTCCACAAATGGGACACGAACCACCCGGCGTTCCCGGGCCCCAAGCTGACCAAGGTGCGCGTGGAGTGCAAGGGCAAGGAGGAGAAGAAGGTGGAGTGCAAGAAGGAGGAGAAGAAGGAGGAGGTCAAGGTCACGGTGAAGGTCGAGGAGAAGAAGGAGGAGAAGAAGGTTGAGGTCAAGAAGGTGGAGTGCAAGGGGTCGCACGGCCACAGCTGCCACTCGTCATGCCACTCGTGCTGCTGCCACCACCACCACGACTGCCACTGCTGCAAGCCAGCGCCGCCCCCGCCCAAGCCGGCGCCCAAGCCGGAGCCGACCACCTGGCGCATCTACCCGTGCTACAAGGTCATCGACAAGTACGCGATCGTCGAGTCCGAGTGGTGCCCGACCATGAAGGACTACACGGCCGACAAGATCTGGCAGCTGCACGCCTACCTGCCTGGCGCCGACAAGTCCAAGGTCTTTGTCGATGTGGTCGAGGGCAAGATCGTTGTCCATGGCGAGGGCGTCTTCCACTCGCACTGCGGGATGTGGCCGGAGCACGTCGAGCACTCGTGCTCGTGCACTCGCGGCGAGCACGTGTCGTTCTGCAAGGGCTTTGCTGTGCCGCCCAAGACGAAGCTGAAGGAGGCCCGCGTCGAGTTCGAGGCCGAGGTGCTGGTCATCCGGATTCCGCGCGCCTAAGATGCGTCTCGCGCTGTGTTTTACAAAATATCCCTATTAGCAATGTTTCCAATAGCCTTCTTTTCCATTACTCCAGCTGCTACAAGAATCTGAAGAAAAATCACCATTCTGCTGATTGCCTTTGCTTAATTAGCGCTGGCCTTTTTGGGCGGGAGCGCATGGTCCCTGTCGCACAAGCGTGGATAAGGCACGCTGTGACTGTTCGCCAGAGGGCAGGATTGACGGTGCAGCACATGACCGCAAACCGCCATTGTCGTCTGCTGCCTCGGCAATTGAGCGAGGTTTCGTGGCCACGTCAGGGGAAGGGGCAGGCTACCCTATGTCGCTGCATTGACAGGAGTTTGTTCCAAAAGATAAGGCGCAATCCCTCTGCAGTATTTTTCCCACCAGCTCCCACCGAATCCCAGACAATGGAGCGTGGTATAAATACCCTCGGCTTCTCTCTCCCAAGAGCGCTCTGATTTCTCCTGACAACAAACAAGCGCCTCACTTTATTACTCTTCAAGTCCAGTTTTTTTTAGTCTATCAGCACGTAATGAATCGATATACTCTTGCGAGGACTGCGCTGGTATCCAGCCGACGCCCAGCCGTATCGGCTATTCGGAGCCCCGCTGCTGCAGTGCCATCTGGCGCTCGTCAGCTCTCAGCCGTCCGCAATGCCCGTGCTGCAACGCCGTGTGGTCTGGCAACTGCCAAGATACAGCCGTCGGTATTCAACTCAAGGCACTTTACAACAAGCCGGTCAGCCTCGCTGACCGTGTACAAGCAGGAGGAGATCCAGCAGTACTCGCTGACCCACCCCGAGGAGTTCTGGATGGAGGCAGCCAAGGAAATCGACTGGATTGAGCAGCCGACAAGGGCGATGGTGACTCCAGACCCATCCAAGCCGCACAAGGTGTCGTGGTTCCCCGACGGCAAACTCAACGTGTGCTACAATGCGCTGGACCGCCATGTGCAGTCCGGCCGCGCCGACCAGACTGCGCTCATCTACGACTCGCCGGTCACCGGCTCGGTGCGCAAGTACACGTACGGGCAGCTGCTGGAGCGCGTCAAGCAAGCGGCAACCATGCTTCGGCGCAGCGGAGTCAGCAAGGGCGATCGTGTGTTGATTTACATGGGCGCGGTGCCTGAGGCAATCGTCGCCATGCTGGCATGCGCCCGCCTGGGCGCCATTCATTCAGTGGTGTTCGGCGGGTTTGCGTCAAACGAGCTGGCCAAGCGCATCGAGGACTGCCAGCCAAAGGTCATTCTGGCCAGCTCCTGTGGCGTCGAGAACAAGGACAAGATTGTGCCGTACAAGCCGCTGTTGGATGGCGCTTTGGAGGTCTGCAGGTCGAAGCCGGCAAAGGTTGTTGTGCTGCAGCGCCCACAGCTGGTGGTGCCTCTCAACGAGGGCGAGGTGTCGTGGGCAGAGGCGGTCGACGCAATTGAAGACAACGAGCTGTACCATGGATTCGAGACTGTGAGCTCGGACGACCCTTTGTATATTCTGTACACCAGCGGGACCACCGGCCAGCCCAAGGGCGTGGTGCGTCCCAGCGGCAGCCATGCTGTTGTTCTGAAGTACACGATGGAGCGCATGTATGCGTGCGCACCTGGCAAGGTATACTGGTCTGCCAGTGATCTGGGCTGGATCCTGGGCCACTCCTATATCTGCTACGGCCCGCTGATCAATGGAAGCACAACCGTTCTATTCGAAGGCAAGCCTGTCGGCACACCCGATCCCAGCGCTTTCTACCGCGTACTCGACCAGCACAAGGTCAACACATTCTTTACAGCGCCTACGGCCATGATGATCCTGCGCCGCGAAGACCCGCACGCAGAATATCGCAAAAAGTATAACCTGTCGCACGTTAAGGCGATGTTCCTTGCTGGCGAACGGTGCCTGCCAGAGATCCACCGCTGGTGGGTCAGGCATATCACTGGTGTTGACGACACTGGCAAGGCGGTTCACGAAATTGTAGGTCCTGTAAACAACGTGGCTTCAGACAACTGGTGGCAGACAGAGACGGGTTCTCCCCTGGTCGGAATTCAGGTCGGCCTGTCCGAGAACGGCAGCGAGATTCCGCCGATCAAGTACGGTAGTGCAGGCATGCCCGTCCAGGGTGTTGACCTGCGCGTACTCAGAATCAAGGATGAGTTCGACGAAGACACCGAAATCGACCACAGTCCAGAGGAGGCTACGCGCGGAGAAATTGGAAACATCGTGCTGAAGCTGCCGCTGCCCCCCGGCATCATGAACACGCTATGGAACGACGAGGAGCGCTTTTTCAGCGCCTACTTCAAGCGATTCCCCGGATACTACGACACTGGCGATACCGGCATGATCGACCAGGACGGATACGTGCACATTCTGTCGCGTGCCGATGACATCATCAACGTGGCTGCCCACCGCATCTCCACCAGCTCGCTGGAGGAGGTGATTGTCGAGCACAATGAGGTCGCCGAGACGTGCGTGGTTGCGCGCCCCGCATTCGATCAAGGGAAGCGTGCCGGTGGTCATTACCGTGCTCAAGCACCACCGCCTAGACCATACGCTGGACGAGATCAAGAACGACCTGGTCAGGGAGATCCGCCAGCGCGTCGGCCCATTCGCATCGCTCTACCCGCACAACGTTATTTTCGTTGAGCGTTTGCCCAAAACCCGCAGTGGCAAGGTCCTGCGCAAGATGATCCGGTCGATGATCAGCAAGCTCGCTATGGATGGCAACTCGCCCGACGTGTGCCCGATTCCGACGCCGGCCACGATCGAGGAGGAGGTAGTCAAGGATGAGCTGTGGAACGCTGTTCGCGGCTGGATCAAGACCAGTCCGCAGGAGTAGTTTTTAGCGTACTATTGGAGAAACGGTACTAATGAGCAAAATGCTATACTTTAGTGGCCACCAGACTTGTCCTTCTTTCCAAAGAAGCTTGATGCCAGACTGGTTGCAGCGCCAATGTTAATGCCACTGGAAGACTTGTTTGAGCTCCCGTGCGAGTCACCGCTCTTCTTCCCCAGAAACCCCGATGCAACTTTGGCAGCAGTGCCGATATCAACACCACCAATCTTGCCGCCAGACGACGAGCCATGGGAGTTGTCACTCTTCTTCCCCAAGAGGCCAGATGCAACCTTGGTGGCAGTGCCGATATCCACACCGCCAATCTTGCCGCCAGACGATGAGCCATGGGAGCTACCGCTCTTCTTCCCCAGAAGACCCGATGCAAGGGTGGCAGCAGCAGCGACATCAACACCACCAACCTTTACACCAGACGACTTTTGAGCAGTCTCATGGTTGTTTGATGAGCTATGATCACCATACGGTCCATGCTGCTGCTGCTGCTGCTGCTGCTGCTGCTGCTGGTTATGGCCATATGGGCCGCTGTTTCCATAGGGATCGCTGTTGTAGTTCTGGGGCTGGCCATATCCACCCTGCTGGGGTTGTCCGTATCCACTCTGCTGAGGTTGACCATACCCTCCATGCTGGGGTTGACCATACCCTCCATGCTGAGGTTGACCATACCCTCCATGCTGAGGCTGTCCATATGCATTCTGCTGAGGCTGTCCGTATGCATTCTGCTGGGGCTGGCCATATGGGTCATGGCTCGGGTAGCTGTTTGGCCCAGCTTGACCATGCGACGACTGGCTGTAGCCGCCATGCTGGCCCTGGTTGCCGTACGGATCCTGGGGAGGATACCCGCTGCTTCCATGGCTGTAGTCTTGGTGCTGGGTATTGTTATTCTTGGACTTTTCTTGGCTGTACTGCTTGTAAGCGCCCGAGGCAACGTCCTTCAGCTTGTTGAAATTCATGGTTGCTTGGGGAAGACCTAATAGTGTCCCTGAACTCGAATAGTAATGAAAAAAAGAGATGGGAAGAGAAAGGGAGAGTGCTTTTTTTGTTAGCATTTCCGGCGAACAAAGGCGCTTTCTCCATTTTATACGCACTATCTCAACTATTGTGGACAGCAAGTCTGGGCAACATTCTCCGCAGAGGTTTCTGTGCATATTCTTGTTTCTTCAGGAGAACAGCCATTGACAAGGTATTTTTAGGTTTCTAATCACATCTCTAGGGACAAAATGTGTAAAAATAATCTCTAGGAACGTTCGATAGAATGATATGGCCATTATCCTCGTTGCAGCTCTTGATTTCTAGCATGAAACATATTCAAGGGGGCAGCGTGCAGGCACTCATGATAGCATAATACTCCATCAAGCTGTGCATGCACACCGGCCGCAGTAGAGTATATCCACTGAAATTGGCTGCAAGAAATCAAAAAGGAAACCATTGCTCTTACTGCAAGCCCGCAAGGCGAGCTACGCGGCTCCATGTCGGGGCTACAATTGCTGCAAGAAATCAAGGATATACACTTCAAATTTGTCAGCAACTTCTAGACATCAATAGATTATGTAATTGAACCTGCTTTTCACGTACATTCGTCATCGCTTACTTCATACTTTCAGTAAAAATATGCTTAATCACACACTATCTGTGGGCTGTGCGTGGGTTAATAATCTATGGGAATAATAAATGGAACGTAGACTAAGCGGCAGATGCTGCAACTTCAAGACGACGAGTAAACTCTTGGTGGTGGTTTGTCCATGCAATCGCCGTGAGGTCAGCACTTGACCACCAGGCTTGATCAAGGGAAGTGTGAGGATTTAGTTGCTGGTATATATGTTTTCCCATATCGGATAGCTGGGCAGAGTGCCAAAGGAATAGCTGCTGTTTTGCACACATCCATCTACTCAGTTATCCCATGTCACTTCCATACCAGCCAGCCTTGTAAACAGAGAATATCACTGAATATCCAGTCGTTTGGCAATATCCATATCCGAGCAACTCCCATCCAGATGGCCGAACATGGGGCTGATGAGCTCATAACATTTGTGTGGCCACAAAATAAATAGACCGCTATCCGCCTTGGTTCCTCTACTTGTTCCCTACGAGTATGGCATACATCATGACATCCTCTATGGATACCACCATTAGCATGCAGTATATCTGTCAGATCGATATCAGGTTTCAGCTGCTTGAGGTATGGTAGGTGCTTGGACACTCGAAATAGCTGGTGAAGTGTGAAGTAGATATTTGGCATGTCCAGGATCTCAATATTCTGACTGATGAGACCAATAGGTACAGAAATGGTACTAGATTTCCCCATGCTTACTAGCTTTCAGAACTCTTGCTCCAGGATCAATAGTGAATAGGCACTCTGGCACCTCACAAAAACCCGCACAGCGCTGAATCCTGCCACTAACTCTACAGTCTGATATATCCATTCCGAGTTGTTGGAGTCCAGAAAGTCGAGCTCTACGAAGAATGCCACACTCACGCAGGGCCGAAGCCGTTCGAGAGCGTAGCTGCATGTACTGAGCCTCCAGTGAAGGGTCATTCCCTTGAAAGGACATCGTTATTGAATCGATACCTGCATACGATCACCAATCTTTTGAGAGCAAGGAGCGGAGTGCCAGGCAGTGGATCAGGTTCAGTTGTATCCACTGGATTCTCAATGCGATAGCGTAGCCTCAATGGCCATATGTGAGGATACACAATAGGGATACCATCGTCGCTTGTAGTCACCATTGCAAATACTTTATGAGAGGAGCTTCTGACGCTAAGGTGTTTTGGGATGGGGCGCTACGCCAAATAGTCTTGATCTCGATCTCATCTGAGTGTGTGGATACAGATGCAAACGCCAAGGCGCACAATTTTGACAGAGCTGCAGGTAGAAAGCACTGCATTCTACATTTCTGACCACGTACTGCAGCTGAAGTTGCGCAAGAAACAAGCCTCGGAGCTATCCTGAGAGCAGCTGGATATATCGCTACAGAGGAATTTGGAAATGGGGAATTCACGACAAGGGCTCACATTGTCACTATCCACAGAAAGGGGAAAGTCGATCAGCGCCGCAGTGGCCGACAGGTATTTCGGTAGGCACATGGGGGGTTCTAGAGGGACTGGGTCTTTTAAGCAATAGTATACCACAATGCCGCTCTAGTAAACCGTTAATGTTATGGCGTATGGAGTACTTCCATGATGAACTGCCGTAAAAATCTACCAGTGAGTATCGGTTGTAGCTATTGTTGGTGCAGGCAGAAGGGTTCGGATCACTGCGCCAGAAGGTATTTCCATACAGGTTTTGGTAGGAATTTCTCTCCAATGGCGGCACAAGTGAAGTGTCTCGGGCACATACAGACGTGGAGCATGACCTAATTGTTTCATAACTTGCCTATCAACTAGAGCTCACAAAATGCAAAAGTCAACAGTCCTTTCTAGCATGGAGGTGTGCAGGTTTTAGGCAAGCTTTGGGCATGTGAAGGCATGGCAGAAGGCTGGTATGAAAACTGGCAGAAAAATAGACAAGTGAATAGTAATGAAGTAGGAAAGAATATGGTATGTGCCCTTGCTACCATTTATTGTGAGCAAGGTTTTGCAGATATGCGAATGTCCAGCATTTGCCACGGCTACGATGCCAGCATCAGGCCGGTTGCATAGCGGGAAAGCAACTACTCGTCCATCAGCATTGCGAACAGCTTTCAGAAATCAGCAACTGGTGGATGCTGAATTGTCGATATGATTACGGATTTGTGGTGGCTATTGGCGCATCACCTGTAGTATCTGGTAGTAGTATCCGTTGTCAGAGAATTGTCATATATGGTCTGGCTATATCTAAAGTGATGAGAAATCCAGCAATTTTGTTATCGTTGAACTACTTGTGCGACTATACGGCGCAGAACAAAAAGAAGATAATTTTCTTGGCAGATACCCAGGTCGCCTTCATTCCAGTGCAAGTGTTGGTGTAGAAACATTATTGGAGAAATGGTGTACCAATTGACGATTCAGATCCACAGAGCCATGATCAGCGGGCTGAGTTCCAGTCTCAATACAGGCACCAGAATCATCTATGCACCATTGCACCCTGCAGTGGCACACAATTGCTGGATTGCACATGCAATTGACAGAATGGCATCCCTTATTAACTGACGATATCCTTGTCTTGTACACGACTTTGCATTTCCCAATTGCACCAATTGCACCAATTGGCAGCGTATCGTGACATCAAAAATGACTGGGATTTCCCTTTGTAGTGGTATAAGAACATGTGCTGATATCCGAAATGGCATGCTCCCAGCACTTATTGCGGCAATCGCAGCCCACGCTATTGGGAGTGAATATGAGTGCATGCATGTCCTTTCTACGGTAAGTGTTTTCAAGGACTATACCCAATTTTATAAATGCATATAATTGGCACAATCGGTATTCAGCGAGAATGCATATCTGCTGCTTGGGCATGGCAGTCATCCGTCCACATATAAAAGGCAAGACACCCCCGCCAACTCGTCTTCCACCACCACCAACCAGCAACTCCTCAGTACCCAACCAACTTCAACAATGAACGCCTACGCTACTATCCTCGCCATCGCTGCTGTCGCCGTCGCTTCGGCCAACGCCCAGGTCTTCTGGATCCACTGATGGGAATCTCCCATGTCTGACACTCTGTTTTGTGGAGTTTGATATCTAGTCTTTGTAATCTGTCGACAAATATATACTGCAGCACTATATCTGTTTTGCGCCATGGCAGAACTGAAAACCAATCTACAATATACTTGCGCACTGCTCGTGTGTGGTCACATATAGCCTTCTTTAATACTGCCCAGCATGGCCATGCCAGACGACACCACACTGCTATGAAGACATATGTCCAATCCAGTATGCCCACAGAATAGTATCCAAACTACAGCAGTTGAGACAAATAAAACCAACTACCTGCCTCATGGCCATGGTGCCTGCGCTGTGGCACTCTGTTCTACCATGTCTGTGCTCCTCATTAACGGCACTGTTGCTATCCAAACTCCTTATATATCTCGGATACATGCTCGTAGATCACGACTATAATGTAGACGACTGCGGTAGGTGTACACGTAGCCTCACACCATGTTTTTGCATTCTTTTTCTTTGTGTCAAGCACACAACGCACCCGCTATCCAGTGGCTTCTGCATCCCAGGCAGCATGTATTTTTAGTAAATGGATTATTCCGGTTCCCATCGGGATTTCGATCCGGCCTGCTTGAGACTGGTTATGTAATAATTGTCCCTTTCCCGTATTTGTATCTGCGCCTGTAGTAGGAGAACCAGGAATCAACACAAAACTGCAAGAGCAAGGTATTTTTAGCACCGCTGGCTTTTCAATCTCCGCTGCTGCTCAGCCCTGCTACCATGTCTTTGCACTATGCAAAGCCTGTTTTAATCTTGCTGCATGCATTTGTGCCAATGTATTCACCTTGCACCGACTTGGTCAAACTGGGTGATGGACTAATAATAGCGCCGACGGTCTTTCGTGATTTTTCTAAAATTACACCTCAAGCCTTTAGTCAGCAGGCACACATGGCGCTTGTGCATATCATGACCGTGCACTGGTGATGAGCTGGTAACTGAGCACGCATATAAAAGCCAGAGGAATCTTCCAGCGAAAAGTGGAAAGAGCATCAACACTCAGATTCCAACAAAAACATTAGCTTTTACACAGCCGCAAAAACCCTTCAACATACAGCCATGAAGATCTCTTCTATCTCTGCCATTGCCCTCATCTCCCTCTCCCAGGTTGCATCCGGGTATGCCATCAAGGGAAACAACGTCAACTGCCGCTCTGGCCCTGGCACAAGCTACGGTGTTGTCCGCTCATACAGCAGTGGCGACGACGTCACGCTCTCCTGCCAGACCGAAGGTGAATCAATCAAGGGCGATTCGCTGTGGGACAAAACCCAGGACGGGTGCTATGTTGCCGACTACTATGTCAAAACCGGATCCAGCAGCTACGTCGCTGACAAGTGTGGTGCATCTGGTGGCAACACTGGCAACACTGGCAACACTGGCAACACCGGCAACACCGGCGGCAGCGGGTTCTGCAGGACTCTGAACTCTGCAGCTGTCAGCCTGATCAAAGAGTATGAGAGCTCCAACAAATTCGTGCCAGCCCCCTCGCCTGACCCCATTGGCCTGCCGACTGTCGGCTTTGGCCACCGATGCCAGACCAAGGGCTGCGGTGAGGTCAAGTACAGCTTCCCGCTGAGCCAGTCCACTGCCGACGCCCTGCTCAACGACGACATCCCTGCCTACTCGTCGTGCCTTGCCACGTACCTCAAGAGCTCGATCATGCTCAACGACAACCAGTGGGGTGCACTGACATCGTGGGTGTTCAATGTCGGTTGCTCCAACGCGAAGTCATCGACCCTGATCAGGCGGCTGAATGCCGGCGAGAATCCAGGCTCGGTGGCTGCACAGGAGCTGCCCAAGTGGCGCCTGGCTGGTGGAAGAGTGTTTGATGGGCTTGTCCGCCGCCGTAATGCCGAGATCAACCTGTTCAACACACCCTCATCAAAGCTGGCTTTCCCCAACTGCCAGTAATCTCGACCCAGCTGGAGGCTCACTCTGTAAAAATTGTATCAAAAGGGCCAAGCGATAGTGCTCTTGCAACATAAAACTGTCAGTATATTCGTAAATACCATCATTTTCTGAACTATTGGGCATTCCTCTGGATATGAATGGAGCAGAGCACAGAGTTTTCAGTCGCAGCGCAGATGAGACTCGTGTATATTGCTCCAAGAACCAAGTATGGACATCCACCGCCAATTTGTGCCGGATGGGAGGAGTGGGTGGCAAGGAGAAGGCGATGCACTCAACAAGTTTGCACATGCCATGCAGTACAAACTTGTCGGTATGTATACTACCTGTGCAAGAAAAGGCACGGCTGAGCACGTCTCTGAGTGCTTGCTACTCAAATGTGAAGCCATATAGTACATCTCTACAGCACCTTTGCTCGAATGGCCATGCCATTTCATCGTCAAGAAAGGTCAGCTAATTATATGGTAAGAAATCCTTGACTGCTTTGTTGGTTTTATGCTGTCGCGGCCCTATCGCAGCACAGCTTCTTTTCGTAGCGTTCCGCGTCATTTCTGGCCATCTTCACATATACAGCCTTCTCCGTCTCGGCTAGATTTGTCCACATGATGCCCAGAAGATCGCCAACTTTGACAAAGCTGACTTCAGGACTTTCCTTGCGCACACGCTTCCAGTTTACTTGTGAAAACAACATGTAGGGTGTCTTGGCGCGCTTGAGGAACTGTGGTGCCATTGACCTTTGATCTTGACCACCTTCCACAGCATGTACTGGATCACCTGTATTCTTATTAGCGTAGTTAGAAGTGGGCATATTTTGGATTAGTTGTCTGAAAGATTGGGTCCATGGTGTTAACTTGGGGAATGAGTGGTTATCGAATATATCGAACAAAATAATTTCTCCAAAAATTGACTGAGGGGAAGAAGGAAGGCTGGTCGTCTGTCTGGGCCTTTGTACGTATGCGTTTCGGCCTTGTCTATGGTGGCGCAGGGGGACTCCGGACCCCGAATGTCAACATCACCCCCTCCTAGACTTTGGCCTGCCGCGCCCCCGTTTTGGTGCACTCTTGGCCTGCTGTCTCTCGTCCAGTTTCTGCCAGTACTCCCGAATGAGCCTGGGGCTGTCGAAGTTCTCAAACGGCTCCCACGAGTCGGCTTCTGAGCTGCTTTTCCATCGCACTCGGTACTCGTGGTCACCGGTCTTGTTGACTCGGTGGCCGAGAATCTTGTCTACTTCTAGAGATGCCTCTTCAAACAGGGGTTCGTCTGAGATGGGGTGGAGTTCCGATACGGTGTAGTTCCGAGCCAGCTGTTGTCCCTCCATATCTTTGAGCATGTAGCTTCCGCCTCGAGTGATTGCTGTCACCAGGTAGGGTCCTTCATTTGCCGGATCAAGTTTGTTGGCTCTGTTGTGCTGGATCGTCATCACATAGGTGCCCACCGGTATGTACATGATCTTATACGTTTTGGCATGTTGCTGTACGTACGCCTCAGCTACCTTCTTCGTGGCATTCTTGATCGCAGGGAATAGAACGTTCTTCATGAAATCTGCCCGTTGTTGCTGTCTTCTGGCGCTTGCGGGTGCTGCTACGGCTTCAGAGTGATCTTCCCAGCTGTTCGGTGCTCGTCCAAACATGACTGCGAAAGGTGCCGATTGGTGACGTCGCACGATGTTGCAGTTGATACAATACTGTGCAAATGGCAGGAATAAATCCCACTGATTCATCACACCATTGACCAATTTCATGATCATGAGTCTTGCAGTGCGCACTGCCCGCTCGGCTGCTCCATTGCCCTGCGGATGATATGGCGTGATCAGTCGTTGGTCAATGCGTGTCTCTCTGACCAGTGTGGCAACAACCTCATTGACAAACTCACGGCCGTTGTCATGCTGGATGATGCGAGGGAACCCAAAGTCAAAGAATATCTGTATCAGGGTTTTGGCGATGGCAGAGGCCGATTTGTCAGGTAAGCTGCGCAGGATCACAAACCTAGAGTGAATGTCAATGAGTATGAATAGGTAGTGCTGCTGTTGGGTGGATGTCGTCATTGGCCCGGCCAAATCGATGGCTATGTGGTCGAATGGGGCGCTAGCTAGGATTGGCGTGACTGGGTGAAAGCCACGGCGTGGGATGTTGTATCTCTGACACTATATGCAGCGCTGCGTGGTTCGCTTCGCATCCTCAAGCATCTTGGGCCATCTGAAACCATTCTCATGTAGGGATCGAACCATCGCTTCTGCGCCGTAGTGCCCGATGGCATGCTGTTTGGCCAGTAATCCTTGGCAGAGTTCTTCTGGTGTCTCCTCCTGTAGGTCGTGGTTGGCTAGTGGTAGGCAGCGAATGATGAGCGAGGTGTGGAGGTGTGGTCGAGAGTCACTGAATCCCCCCTTCCCAGCCTCAGACTGCGGGTAGAGGCGGGATAAGGAGTCGGGTAGGGTGTTCAGGATGCCAGGTCGGTGCACAACCTCAAAGGAATGTGCGAAAATGTGGTCGTACCAGCCGACCAGCATTGGCGATAAATGCGGCTGGGTGTGTAGGTACGTCAGCACCTTATGGTCAGTGAAAAGCGTGAAATGGCGACCCCAGATATATGGGTAAAAGCGCTTGAGTGCAAAGACAATTGCCAGTAGCTCTCTTTTTGTTGTGGAGTAGTTTCTTTCGGCAGCTGTGAGCATGCGTGCTTGCCAAGATATGTATTGTTTTTGTCCATTCTGCTGATCTACCTGATATAGACCTGCACTAATGCCCACATCTGAGGCATCAGTGGCTATGAAGAATGGTTGTGTCCAATCAGGGAAGTGCAAGAATGGTGGGTCCTGCAGCAGAGATTTGACAGCCTGGAAGGCCCTTGCATATGTGGCTGTCCAGTCTTCCTTTTGGATTTCCTAGAGCTGTGACAACTGATTCAGAGGCACCGTAAGCATACTCATATTAGGAACATGCTCACGGAAGTAGTTCAGGAAGCCCATAAGGGCCTGTGCCTGCTTGCCAGTATGTGACCTTTGCAGATCTGCTACTTGTGCTCTTTGCTTTGTGTCCAGTGTGTGGCCATGTGCACTGATTTTAAACCCCAACAATGTGAGGGATTTCTTACAGAATTGGCATTTGTCTATGTTCAGTATCAACATGGCCTCATTGAGCCTCCTTATCACCTCCTTCATATATCTCATATGTTTCTTGAGTGTATCACTATATACCATGATATCATCTATATATGCCTGTGCAAATGGCAGGTTATATAGGATGGTTACTATGAGCCTTTGGAAGTGTGAGGGCAGAGTCTTCAAACCAAATGGTGCACATGTGAATATGTACTGGCAGTGGTGCCAAGTAAAAGCCAATTTGTGCTGGTGTTGTGGTGCTAAGGCATATGCAAGTAGGCTGATTTTAAGTTGAGTGACGTAAAGTATCTTGCAGACCCTATGTCTGCGAATATGTCCCAGATAATGGGGAGTGGGTACTTATCTTCCTCGATTGTGTCATTTAGGGCACGAAAGTCCATGCAGGGCCTGCACAAGGTGAGGTACCTATCAGCATCTTTCTTTGGGACTGGAAACATGGGAGAGTTGTACAACGATGCCTTACGTACTGGAACTACTACACCTTCATTGATCCATCCTTGTATGACTGTATCATAGGAGTTTCTCATTGCATGTGCAATAGGATATTGATGTTGGTATGTGGGTTTGTGATTACCCATATGTACAGTAATGTATGCTTCTGGTAGTGGGCATAGAGAACGTGTGTCCAATCTTGTGGTTCTCCCGCAGAACACTGGCAATATAGTCCTGGTATTCTTTCTGAGCATTGACAGGAACATCATCTGCAGTCTCAGTTGTGATTACCATAGTTTCATCAGTATTATTTACATGTTCCTCAGTCATCAGGGTGTCCAGATAGTAGCAATGATGTGATATTATATTGACATTGAGGTTCTTGATATCAGGATACCCCAGAATGATGCCAGCTGACTCAATGGTCAGTGCTATCAGTAGTGTTGTCTTGATCAGGTAAGATGTGGTGCTGAGGGTGATTTCAGTCTGCCCTACAATATGCAGTGGCTCACCAGGATTGGCTATCTGCAGTTTTATCTTGGCAGGCTGAACCTCAACTTGGAGCTCATTGAGCAGTTCCTGGGAGATCACTGAAATATCTGCACCTATGTCAACAAATACAGATGTCTGCATACCATTGGCTTTCAGCATAATAATCCTCTCATCATTTTGCTGGTGCCACATGGCTATGAATTTGGCCTTTGCTATCCTATGTGGGCATTTGGTAGACAGGTGTCCCAATTCTCTATATGAATAGCAGGTGACTCCTGACCCTCTAGGCTTGGCTGAGTTCTTCAAGTCCTCTTTGTCAGACTTGGCTTCAGGGGATAGCTCCCTGGCTCATGGCTCAGGTGACTAGCAGCATTCCCTCTTGGTCTGTCAGCATTCCTTGGTAGAGTGGTTACCTTTGCCATAGTACTTGCAGGTCTTGGTGCATGGTCTCTTCCTTGTTGGCTCTGCTGGCTCTGTGTCTGGCTTGTCGACAATGCTTATCTTACAGAGCTGCTGCTTAATGGCCACAAGTATGATGGCCCCATGCTGCTGCTGCTGCCATGCTGACAGCACACAACTGACATCCCATGGCAGCAGGTTGAAGAGTTGGTTGATTACCAGGCTATCATTGTCCTTTGCACTGGCTCTGAGAACAATGTTGCCAGTACTGGGAGACAAATGCTGATGGTGACTCATTGGGGTGGGTCTTGTACTGAAATAGCTCCATGGTGAACTGGTAATGGATTTTCTCCCCAGCAAAATGGTGAACAATGCTGGTGTGTGCCTGCCTCCAGCCAAGGCTTGGTGAAACATGGCTCCTCAACCACTTGTCATCTTCTATCACAAAGCAGACAGGCAACAGATGTGTCCAATAGTTATCGAGGGGTAGGCCATAGGTACTGAGTTCATGCTGAAACTTGTCTAAGAAAGTCTCAATGTCGTCGCCTTCCTCATCATCATTGGTGTACCTGGGTAAGTGGTGTAGTGCTGTAAGCTGGTCCTTGTTTTGCTCGTTGTAGTGGTGTATATATGGGTGCCATTCCTTGATACCATTACCATCAGTCATTAGCCCACTTGCCTCAGTTGGGGTTATCGCTTCTATGAGTGGTGTGTGAGCAGGTAGTGCAGTATTTGCAGTTTGTTCACAGAACTTGACTCTGTCCAGCTGGGTTCTGGTGTTACCAAGTTGTTTCTCAACCTCGGCAAGCCCTTGCTCAGCCTGCTGGAGTTTGCTGTCTTTGGCCTCGTCCAGTGTGAGGTCCATTAGCCTTATCATGATATCAGTCTTGCGATCCTCAAGCATCACAATATGCTTGGTGAGTTTGATGGTCAGCTCATGCAGTTGCTCTTGGCGCAGGTTGCTAGCCGGTCCTCCGGCTTTTCCCTCAGTCATATCGTTACAGTCTATACTGAAAGGTTTCACTCAAAAAAATATTAACTTGGGGAATGAGTGGTTATCGAATATCTTTACCTATATATAAGATTTTATAATCCAAAAAGTGTCCAACTATCCGCTAGAAATTATTTAATTGGTTAAAAATAAAATAAAATAAAGCTCTTAAGCTTCAATATGGGTTTCAGTGACTTACTCTATAAACTCCTTTTTGATCTTGTGCGGCATCTGACCTCATCAGTGAAACCAGGGTGACAAGCTGGTATTGTAGTGGTCACAGGTCTCCACTAGATATCTCCATTGGTTCAGCGCAAGAGCTGCTCTCATTGTCGGTCGGCCTGATAACTTCCATGGCGTCATCATGGTGGTCATCACCGGCTGCGCAACACTCTTAGGATATTTATGAGCACCTATTGAATAAGGCCATGTAGCTCTTCTAACAGTCATGCAATATTTGTAGGTTTATTTTATAAATTAATTTGTCTTATGAACATGCGTAAGCGGTAGTATTTGGGTCACAATGGACCCAGTATGTATAGACTGATTCAAGAGACTGTATCAGTGCTAAGGGCCCTAAGAACCATGCAAGCCAGATCATTCTTAATAAAAGTTCTTAATGCTATGCATACGCAATAAAGCAAAACTGAACAGCATCATTTCTCTTCTTACTTTGCCTATTGAATTTCTCAAATGAATATTACCAGTAGCACTACTGCCATAAAGACATCACTTGGTGGTATTGGCTTCCGTGATTCTATGTTGCCCCCGCCTAGAGCAATTTGTACACAGCGTCAATATCATCAAAGAGCATACATACATGCTTGCACGATGGATATTACTCCATCAACTAGCTGATAGTGATACATTTGACCCTTCAATACTTGTGAAAAAGGGATTCTTTTGTTCAATTTATTTATTCATTTATCACAACCTGAAGGCGAAGATGGCCATATCTGCCGAGGATTTCGTCAACCGGAAGGACAAGTCAGAACTGTCGAGCGCAGATTTCGGTGATGTAATTAGATATCATATTTATGATTATCTATTACATAATGGCGATATCGAGCTACATGGCGTACGTGAAATGAATCAGGTAGCGACATACGTGGATACCGAGCTGATGACAGCATACAAGAGCAACATTTTGTTGCACTATGGCACTTACCTACAGCGGATTCTGGCCAAATTGATTGATATTCGCAGCCGCAAAAACACACTGCACAGTAAAATTGGCAATGTGTCCAAGGCTGAGTTCAATAATGCATGTCAAGTGTATATTTATACGCCTGCACAGAAGCTCCGCCAGGCAGTTGCCTCTAGGCACCCTGATCTCAGTGTGCTCACCCCACCGATGCTTGCAATCTACAACAAGCTGGCACCAGTCCTTAATGCCTATGATGCCAAGTACAGATTCGCCAAAGACAGCCGATACTATGATGCCAAGGCAAATCCACTTAAGTATCTGCATGCATACATTCGTCTATGCCAGCTTATCGAGAATGAGCAGCTTGGCAAGTCTCCTCCCCAATGCTTGCCTCTGCGGACATCATGGATCCCAGGCCATGTGCGTTTGGACAAGCAAATAATCAAGCAGGTGTTTGTTTCGAAAACACGTGAGGAGGTTACCAAGATCAACGCAGCAAAGAGGGCAGCAACAGAGGCAAGGAAAGCAGCAGAAAGGGGCGAAAAGTTGGCCAAGAAGGCTGCACGCGAAGCAGCGAAGATACCATCGGATGCAACAGAGGCCACTGCAGCAGACATTCCGGCATGTTCCCAACCCGCGGCCCTACCAGAGATCGAAGAACCCAACTGTGAAGTGCCATGGCCTTCTCCGCTGTACAAGCGAGTCATGTAAGCGGGCCATGGCACAATACAGGCGGGCCTATTCGTCTCGGCTCTTGAACCGCGATCTCGCAGCAGTTCTAAACTTCAGACTCATTTTCCAGTCACTCTGTGATTCAGGCGGTATTCCTGAACGGTTCCATCGCTTTACGGCCATTGTTGCCGATGCTTCTGGCACCACCCCTGCAACAAAGAGGCCGCGCAAGAGGCGTGCAGCAGCAGGCGATTCTGCTGCTAGCAGCAGCGAGCCAGCGCTGAAGTGCCTACGCAGAGCAGGCCATCAAGACAGGAGATGTCCATGATCGACATTGCACCAACAACCATCCGACACGTTCAAATGACCGGTTCGCCGTGATGCCCTTATCGACGTGTCAACCCATGCTGACTAGCAGCCGAGCTCGCATCGCGAGCAGAGTATTTCTAGTAGGAAAATTAGCATGGAAGAGCAGATTGAAAAAGTGAGAAGGAAATCGAAAGCATTGCACCTGATGATGTGGCCAGCAACACTATAACGAGCTTGCTGCTGCGCACTTTCAGGGTAGAGGACACCTGGCAAACAGCCACTGGTCCTTTGTTAGATGCTAGCCGAATCATGCTAGGCGGTTAGTTTGTGAACAAAGAGGAAATGGTCTGCAGGAGTGGTTGGGCTGAGGCCGTATTATAGCGATTGCTTGCAATACGTTGAAAGTATATTTGGATTCAGTAGAAACTTTGCCGAAATGGTCGAATATAAAGGGTGTTTCGGTTCGGCTCTCCGTCCCATCCGACTCGGACTTGGAGCGAAGGCTACTCGGCGCCAACGCCTCCTTGCCCCATTTCATGGCAGCTGGATGTGGGATAATCACCTTTCCCTGCTGATATGGCGATTCATGTTGTGTCTGCTCGGTTCCTTGATGCAGGACAGTGACGTAAGCAGATGCAGGTGCTGGAAAGCTGTATCTGTCACAGGCAGGGGCACTTGTCGTCAAGGGTGGATAAGGAGCCGTGCAGGCATATTGCGACATGGTGTACTCGCTGCATGCCCACGCCAGTGAGATGCCTCACGACCATGTTGCCATGTGCTCCGCTGCCTTGGCTGTTTTCATCTACTGGAAACAATGCATCTTTTTGGAAGCTCACCGATGGCCAGCAACGAGTCCGCAAAGAGAAATAAAAAAATGAAAGAGAATAACGATAGTATGTACGTTTGTGCGGCAAGTGGAATGAAGAAAGTAGAAGCGCGCTTTTGATTCCTGTATCACCTTAGCTGACCTCCATCGGCGGAACAGTATTAGCAGCGGCCGGGGGGGACTTTGAGGTGGAGGACAGATGGTGCACATCGTCCGAGTTGTTGCTCGTGCTCGCATCGTCCTTCAGCCGCAAGCTCTCGACATTCTCGACCACATCCTTGCCGATGGTCATCAGACAATGACCGTGCGCAGTCACCGGGCTAATCGGCGTCGACGTAGTATTGGCAGAACTGCGGCTGCGTAGGTGTCCTGCTGGCAGCTCGGCATCAGTATCGGATGAATCAGATGACGAGAGGCTCTCGCGCCGCGATTCGTCAGCCTTCTTGGTGGTGACATCCGAGGGCGTCGATTCACTCTTGGCTGGCATCTCGACCGAGGCCGGCTCCGCAACCAAGACTGCGTGCTCCTTGGTGCGGATATTGGTGATGTCCAAAGACTTCGAATGGGCGCGATGCGTGGCATGGGCCTTGAGCGGCAGCCTGCTGTTGTTGACTTCGGCCAGAGCCGACAGCCCGTCGCTGCCAGTAAGAGACTTGCGGCGCACCGAGTCCTGGACGCACGTGGGCGGGTTCCTGAGCGGCGAGTCATGGTGGACGCCAGTCCCTATGCTGTGCGACTTGGCGAGCGGCGAAGCGGCTGACGATTCGGACTCGGTGAAGCTGTTTTTGCGCGACCGCGAGCCCGAGCGGAACAGCATCGAGTTGCGGATCGAATTGAAGGTTGAGCGGCGTATTGTGCTGGAGGAGCGCGACGGGCCGCCGCTGACAGCTGCCAGGACCGGCGACTTGAGCAGCTGGCCGGTGATGGACTTGGCCGAGGAAGTGTCAGGGGCCGGGCGGCGCGGGAACTTGAAGATGCGCTGGAACGGGCTGGCCACGTAGTTGTTGACGTCCACCGGGCGACCCGACTGCGTTGTATCAGCAGCTGCCGTGGCGTCCATCTGCACGGCATCCAGCCCGTCGTTCTTGATGGTATCGAGCACGATGCGCGAGGTCTCGGGAGATCTGCCAATGGCCTTGAGCGTGACCTTGCGCGAAATCACGATGTCGCGTGGGTGGTACAGCTCAATGAACTCGCCATCACACATACCGTATAGAAGCCCCTGCTCGATGTTTTTATGGCTGGTCAGCGGGTTGTTGGAGCGCGGCGGGTAGTCCTCGGGCGCCCGGAAATGCAGTGCCAGGGGCCCGGCCATCTGCGCCAGGCGGTTGATGCGGTAGTCGCTGCGGCCGGGCATCTGGTTGAGTGCGTAGTCGCCGATATCCCGCACGCTGAACAGCTCGACCTTGCCGTCGCCAGCGTACTGCGGGGTCCAGTTGGTGCTATCGGTAACGCCCTTTTTGTTGGACAGCTGCGAGCGGCCCGAGTCCTCCTTGTGCGGGTTATTCCACACGTCAATGTTGCGGCCCCAGAAGCGCGCGACGTTCTGGATGTCGATTTCAATGGGCTTGGAGCGGATCACCGGCAGGTCGGCGTCGACGCCCTCGCCAAAGTCGCTGGCTGTGCACATGTGCCGGGCCTTGGGCTCCTTGGCCCAGCCCATCTTGCGTCCGTGGCAGTGCTTCTTGGGTCCGGCCACGCGGAACAGCATCACCTGCTTGCGGTCCGCCTCGCTGGCCTGCTCGAGCCACCGGGCGCGGTCCTTGTCGGTGAGCTTGGCATCGTCCTTTATGGCCTCGGGCACCGTGCTGATCGACTCCAGGGCCTCGTTGATGGGCGGGAACTTCTTCATGAACACCCACTTGGCCGACGCCGCCGTGTACATCAGAATGTTGAGTGCGCGCTTGCCGGGCCGGTGCAGCTCGAATGACGACCCAACAAAGCCCTGCACGCCGAGCGAGAAGTAGTCGATCATCAGACACGAGTAGCGCTTCATGCCGGGCTGCTTGAACATGTCCTTGCTGACATGCTTGATGTGGCCGTCATCGTATGTGGTGAATGTCATCTCGTAGATGTCGAGCTTACACGTGTATCCGTCGAGGCGCTCAGTGATGATCTTGTTCAGCAGCTTCATGCTCTCGCCGACCGCATTGCCGGGCACGCTGCGGCCCCAGCCCAGGGCATCGGCGAAATCATTGCCGGTACCAAAGGGAATGCAGGAGAAGTACACGCGGTTGACATCGATGTCGTTGTCGAACATGGCCTGGATCGTTGCCGACACGGTGCCGTCGCCGCCGGCGCTCCACACGTGCAGCTTAATGGCTGACTCCTGCGCATGCTGCAGCCGCTGCGTGATCTCCTCCTCGCTGAACTGCGACAGCCCACTTTCCAGTTTGCCTGCGGCCTCTGTGATCCACTCATCCCAAGCACCCTTGTCGTCGCCGGATCTGTGGTTGTGCAAACAGGGCGTCGAGCCGTGCTCCCCCGGACACATCGATGGCGATGGCCTCAGGATATGCCCAGCCGAGCCATTCAGGAGCTCCGGAAAGGCTGTCTTCAGTAGCCGGTCGCCCTGCCGCAGCTGCAGCTGATGCAGATAATGCAGGCCCTCCTTCTGGCTCTCGTCGTTGGTTACGTCGTAGAATCTGCACCTGCACTTCGGGCCGGTCGCGCAGCCGGAAGTTGCGCAAAGGCCATGCTCATTAGGCTGCGGCCCTGCTGGTTGCCGGACCGCGGGTTGGTGAAAATAAACACATATGTGGAGGGCTCATCGATCTCGCCGGTTAGGGCGTTTTTGGCCGACGAGTGGATGCTGGCATTGTCCTTCATCATGCGCTCGTAGGCCTGCGCCAGGTACGCTGCTGCTGACTTGTCGCCCATGCCGAACCCAAACGGCGACTTGCCAGATTCGCCGCTGGGGCCGCCGAATGTGTCGTAGACGGAGCTGCGCGCAGACCGACTCATGTGCGACGTGTTTGATGAGGGTGTACGCGATGATGACGTGCTGTTGCCCATCTGTGCTGCGCGCTGCTGGCTACCGCTGCTGCTGCTGCGGCTTCTGTTCGGTGTCACGTTGTCTGCCATTTCGTTTCTTCTGACGACGCTCAATGGGTGCTGAAAACGCCTTGCTCGTTTATGTATTATCGCTGGTGCGTGACAAGCCTGCCTCAGAGGAAAATGGGGTGGGTGATTAAAATCTACACAAGGACAAGCAGGAGGGCTTGAGGATTAGCTGGATTATTGTGACATTTGTGCAAGCCTGCGCAAAAAGCACAGGGGTCTCGTGCTACGCTATCAGCTCCGCGCCTGCCAGAAAGCCAAAAAAAACCCAGAGGGCGACTCTATGGTTCAGATAGCAGGGGCAGGAGGTTGTATGTCGGATGACCCCTCATTGGACAAGCACGCCAGATGGCATTTCTTGTTTAGCTGTGTGCTCGCCTGTCTCCCCAAACCACTGTGGCCCGCCTGCCCCACCCTTCTCAGAGCCACTGGCGTGTAAAACGGACCTGTAATACGGACGACAGAACAAAATAGGCGATGGAATAAAGTGGTGGTGTGCAGTGGAGAGAAACAAAACAAGAATTAAAGCTGGCAAGGCGTATCAAGGTATTTTCTGGGAAATGGACTCTCTTGGCGCAGGATTATGTCAGGCACAAAAAGATGTCCAATAGTACAAGGAATAAAAAGGAGAGGAAAAGGGCATGTGTAGGAATGGCTCCAGGACACGCGCAAGGCTCCATGGACGAATCTCTTTATAGAAAACAAGTCCACCCACGACCACTAAATAGTGCGGAATTTCACGTCCACGCACCAGATGATTGAGCGGGTTTTCGCCGTTTCTCCTTTTCCCGCCCGCGCGCCAGATCACATTCCATGCACCTGGTGTCGCTGCAATAGCCCAAAGCCAAGTAGCGGTTGGCTGGTGGCGGGCCACTCCCTCCTTCACTCTACCCGGCTGACCTAGCGGACTGGCCTCTATGCGCGGGTAATTGAAGGGACCTTGCGCTTTCCCTCCCGTGGGTTGCGAGAACAATAGTGCGAGGCTGTACGGTTGGCATGCTGAAGAATAGGGGCGCGGAGGGTGCGCATTTGTCAACGGTGCAAAAGGCAAGGCAGTAGGATCGGAAGGAGCCCTTGGCTGCAGACACACCCGCAGCTTGGCGCCTGGAGGAGCCAAGAGAAAGAGAGGGAGAAATACATGCAGCAGTTTGCCAAGAGCCAGTTTGTATCCCATGTAGCAGACCCTCTGATTGGAATACTTACGAGATATCCTTAAACTACACGGATCCGATCAAGCTAGACAATATACCGGATCGAGGAAACGAAAGCAATGAAATGAAATGAGCAGTCCTAGTATACACAGAGAAGAAGGTGTAATAAAAGCGTATATTGTCAGATTAATAAGCACGAAGGGGAAAGAGAAAAGAGATGAGCTAGTTCTAGTGAATCCAGAACCTTTTTGAAAGGCGAATCTCATGCGTGGGCTTTTATGCGCTTTGACTGCCAGCCGCTTTTCCAATCGAATGGCTATTCCATACTCGCACACCAAGCAGCCCCTTGCAGGACTCGGGCAGACGGCGATGGAGCAAGGGACCAGCAGGGGATGGGCAGCGGCACAGCGGAAATCAGCCGATAGCAGGCGGGCGGCCACAGGGCTACAAAGCTGGGACTTGTTCCATCATGCACGCTACTTGGTACGCTTACTCAGTTCTGCGAGTTCCCAAAACCGGCACCTTCTCCTACGCTGCCTGTTGGATCCCCAAACAGGGTACAAAATACCGATGCTTGCAGCATGAATTCCGCACCGCAGTGGATGGGGGGAGTATGAAAGAGGGATGAGGCCCTTTCCCGCATCCCACCTTGCTTGTCAGCTGTGCTCAAAGACACCATATTACAACACAGCGCTGCCTGCCTGGAGCACATAGCGAGCAGACGCGGCTCCTGCCCAAGGGATCCGGGATCTCTCCTCCGGTGTCCTGCTGTATGTGATGGCCCTTTTTCCACTGGATAGTCCGTGCTACTCTGAATGCCAAATCACAGGTAATTCTGAGCGCGGACAGTACCCTCCTCTCACAGTAAGCATACCCATCATCTTCCTTCATCGGGGCTATCCATCTGCCGCTCCGCGTTGCGCATTAGTCACCGGCAGGCTGGTCGGAGGCGTGTTTGTTTCCGCGATGCCTAAATGTCAAGCCACAAAATGGCACGATATACCCATCCATCTGCACAAGCGCTGCCACCTGGCTGCCATGTCCCTGCTGGCCTACCCAACTAGTGCGAGCCATTCTTGCAGTGGCGAGAATGCACTCTCTCCAGTCCGTCATAATGGTCGCCACTCTGCCAGTGTGTTGGCCACTACACCCTTGCAATTCATGTGTAGCTTGCCGTTTAAGGATGCATATCCTCTCTTTGGCGCTGTGCCCTTAAGCAGCACAGCCGCCGACCGGGCCGCTTGGAGACTCTGGCGCCCAACCTTGTCCCCAAATGAAAAACCCCCATGCTTCTCCCTTGTCACCGACGACTGTCGGATTTCGTTGGCCCAGCTTATCCTGCACGCTAGAGATTCCTGCCGCCAGCTCTATTGCAAATGGAGCATTTCGGCTAATTCTTCATACCCTAGTTCCCTTGTCTTGACGTATATTTGGAGGGTTTGTTTCTTGGACTGTCGAACAACTTCGGCCGCCTTCGGTGTTGCAAATATATGCAACAAATAGTCATTACTCGGTTTCAAATGGACAGCCTCAATCTTGTTTGCGCACAACCTCGCCATGGAGTTTATGCAACCAATCGAGGCTAGATAAGCCAATGATGACGACGGCGGTGATGGTGGTGATTAGAGAAAGGCAATTTTAGTACCAAAATGGAAAGGAACGAAAACTAGGCAGCATAAAAGAAGACAAAAGCTCGATATTGAAGTTGAGAAAATGCTAGGTGGGATCCCTCAGACAACACACTGGCCGACACGAATGCCTCGGTTACGATGACAGCAGGTACTCGGTCGCCTGCATCAGATTGAAAGTCGTTGACCTCGAGTGCCTCGACGACCCGGTCCTTGTGGTAGCCCATCTCCATCAGCGTGCGACGCTCGTACTGGTACTCGCCGTTGCGCACCCAGTCCGGCCAGTCGCCCTTGGCCCACTGCGCCTCAAAGTCCTTCTCCTTGTCCTTGCCCTTGCTGCTCTTGTTCTTGCTGCTCTTGGGCATGGGCGGAGCCCCGCCGTCCATGTTCCTGCTGCTGGGCCGGAATATCGACAGGACCCGCGACATTGGCCGCTGAGACACTATATGGAGATAATCTGCATATGTTAGTGGATGCAGGAACGAAGCGGGGATTTTCGGAGGCCGCTCGGGCGGAACCGTTTGGGTGTAAACACTGCTGCAGGAACACATGCCCGGTTTTGCGCGTGTCAAGCGAGACTGTCTGGCGAGAATGGCTAATCGCCGCCCAACATGTGGCCAAATAGGCGAGGCCGGCGCAAACCGTCCTTTTCATCCTGAGTGTAATCCACAGCACGCTCCACACTATATTGACTTTCACAACGTCCTTTGGGTGTCTATAAAGGTACAGAGCTCCGCATTCCGCGTGACACGTAAGCAGGCCCATGGCCAATACGCCCGAAGGAATCCCACATTTCATCCAGCTTTGAGGCACAGGGCACACGCGACATGGACGGATGTCAGTCACAAAGCAAAAAGGGACAATCCAAGGTGTGAGCGCGCGGGCTTGCTGCAAATGGCGGAAAGATGTCGGAGAAAGAAGAAAAGGAGCAGAGGCGCAAAATGGTTCACAAAAAGGGGTGGGCGTTGTGAGGCAATTTGGGGCGCGCGCACAGGCAACATGGGTAAGCGAGAAATAGTGGCATGGAGGGGGGGTGAAAGGCAAAGAGTGTGGAGACATTGAGAAAGAAATTGGGGGTGGGTGGAAGGTGCGAAGTGTTAGTTCATACCGTTGGTGCGCTTGACGACTGGCGGCGGCACAAAGTCCTTATCGTCGTCCTTCGGCTTGCTCTCGGCTTCGGGCTTTTTCGTATCCACGACCTCCTCGGCGATCGTTTGCAGTCCCGCGGTCGCCGCAGTCGCCGCAGCCTTGGCTGGCTCCCCAGCGGTCTTCTCAGGCACAGCGGTCTCCTCGCCCGGACCAAACAGCGACTCAAACGTCAAGTTGTCCTTCCCCGAGGGCTTTTGCGAAACATCGCCAATATCCGGGAACTTGTTGTTGAACGACTCGAGCTCCTGCGCAATGGCCTTGTCGCTCGACCCGCGCATCTCGCCGAAGGCTCCGCTAAAGTCCACATCAAAGGCATTGCCTGCGGACTTGGGCGTGGCCGCAGTGAATGGCGACGACACGTTAGACCTGACGACGTCAGGTGTGATGGCGGTGCTGGTGGGTGGTACCGAGGCAGCACGTGAAATGACGGCGGCGGCGGCAGTGCCGTTGGTTGTCGCAGGCAAGTCGGCCTGGCTCTCGCCAAAGATTGCGTCAAAGTCGTCATTGGCAGGCGGCACCGTTTCCTTTGGCCGCTCAGGCACTACAGGAGATGTTGGCTGCGGAGTGACAAACGACGCGGAACGCACACTTGGCGGCGAGCCAGACTTGGCAGCGGCGGGCTCTGACGTCACAGTCGACTGCAAGAACTCCTCGAACGGATCCATCGACTGGGCGCCGAACGAATCAAACGCATCGCTGCTGGAGAATGCCGCACTGGTCTCGGCAATTGACCGTGCTGGCGGCAGAGCCTGGCTGCCCGATGGCCCGCTGGCAGTCGAGGTCGGCACAAAGCCAACGGAGGTGGCAAAGTTCTCGAACGAATCGGCAGCGTTGGACGGCTCGTCGATAGCAGTGCCCAATGGCTGCGGCGGCGGCGACTTGAACATATCGCCAAAGGCGTCGGGCCCCGGCGAGTTGGCGTGCACATCGGATGCGCCAAAGATGTCATCAAAGCTGGGTACTGCTGCTTGCTGCAACAACGCGTCCCGGGGGACCGGCTGCTCAATTGCTGCTGGCTCTCGGGTGCCGAGGCGCTGGGCGTCGGAAGGGCTTCGACCTTTTGCGCCAGCCCAGCTACCTCGCTCTTGGCGGCGGCAAGGCTTTGCTGGGCGACCGCATTGGCCTCCTGCTGCTGCTTGGCCTGGCTCTGGGCAACCGCTAGTGTCTGCTCCAGGTGCTTCTTCTCGCGGTCAAGCGCCGAGATCTCGGCACTGAGCCTCTGAGCCTCCTCCTGCGCCTGCCTTAGCTGCGCCTGCACCTCAGCCTGCTGCGCCTGCACGGCCTGCACATCGCGCTGCAGCTGCGTTTTCTGGGCAACCACAATTGCTAGCGTCTTGTTTGCCTCGCCCAGCTTTCGCCTGCAGTGCGTTGACCTTGCCTCCTCGCTGCGCAGCTTCTCCTCCAGCTCGTTGTTGATCTTGGCCTCGGCCTCGTGCGACGACTGCAGGGCAGAGATCTTGATCTCCAGCTCCTGTTTGCGTGCCGACGCCGCTGCCACATTGCTGGCAATGGTGTTGCGCTGGGTCTGCAGGCCGCGCGAGAAATCCTCAAGATGGCTGACTTGCGACTGCATCTGGGCAATCTCCGACGTCAGTTGACGGCGACCGGGGCGCCGGCGTGCGGCTTGTCGACCTGCTCGTGTTGGAGCCCAGATGACCAACGCTCATTGTCGTCGAGCGCCTTAGCGGGTCCAGCGCCTGCTGCTGGCGGTCTGCCGACAGGGGCCGCATGGTTGGGCTCAGGTTGCGCAGGCTCGGGCTAGCCACTGATGCCTTGCGCATGGACGGCGGGACGAGCGTTGCAGGCAGTGTGTCGGGTATGTCGCGGCCAGCCAGCTTGCCATTGATCAAGTGCATAGCCACAGCAAACTGGTCCTTGTTCAGCTTGCCTGTCTTGCCGATATCTGCCAGGTCCCAGACCTTGGCCAGCAGCGCTTCGCTGAGCTTGGATTTGAGGAAGAAGTTGACCGCAGCATCGCCAGCCAGGAATCCGCGCCTGCCTGTATCCAGGTTGCCTGAAGAACTGGTCGTACTTTTCCTTCTCCTCGCTGGTCACGTCCCACACAGCCTTGCCCAGATCAGGCGTCGACGAGTTCATCGAGCCAAAGACATCGCTAAGCTGCTGCTGCCGCCGCGGCAGCGGGTCTCCACCAGCCGACTGCCACAACGACGCCGGGCACGTGGCCGGTAGCATAAAGCCCTTGTTCTCCATGATCCGCCGGATATAGTACATGGCCACGATGAATCCGGGCAGCCGCATCTTGCCCTCGCCCTTGGGGTCCACCAGCGTCCACAGCTTGCTCAGCTGCTCCACGCTGACCTTGGACCGCATCAGGATTCCGCGCGCCGTCATGCCGTCGATGACGCCGTCCACCGGATGGTTGGCATTGAAGATCCGCGTATACTGCTGCTTCTCAACGTCGGGCACCGCCGCCTCGTTCTGCCCCATCATGCTGCCCCATCCAACACTGGACGCTGCCGAGCTGCGCCGTTGGTGCGTGAACTGCGTCAGCGCATCGTCCTCGTCGTCGTGTGGCATGTCGATTCCGCGCAGGGCTGGCAAGGGCGTCTCATCTTTTAGGTTCGCCAGCGCCACGGGCTTCTTGGCCTGTGCCAAGGAAATGAGCTTCATCGCGACGCTGAATTCGGCTGACGTCAAATGACCCTTGCTCTTTGTGTCTGCAAACTGCCATACACGTCCAAGCACCGCATCCGAGAGGCCCGACTTTTGGAAGAACGGCACTGCTGCCTGCCCCTGGACTATGCCCTTGTGATCCGCGTCCGCAAGCGAAAACAGGTGGCCGTACGCCTTCTGCTCGGCCGCTGTGGGCTTCCACAGGCTGCTGGCTCCAGCCGCGTCACCGGCCACTATAGTGGGGAAAACACACAAGAGCAGACAGTGCGCAATCAGTAAGTGCATGCGCCTTGGCATGAAGGTGGGCCGTCCCCACCTGCGCTATCTCTGCACTGGCACAGAGCTACTTACAATCCAAAGAATTCATTGTGGCCGAAATTTCAAACGAGACGAAACTGTATAATAGAGGAAGTGAGGTAGAAATAGAAAGCACGAAGCTGAAAGCGAGCTTACGAGAGGGAAAATGAATACGCTGTCTACTACAAGGAAGAAAGCGAGAAAATGCACTTGGTCAGCAGGGCGTGTGGCATTGGAAAAATGACAACAAACCTCTAAAGCATGCGGAAAGCCTGCCTACGTGTCCCTCTTTGAAGTGCAAACGTCCCAGCCGCCTCCGAAATGCAACTTACCGCACCAGACGTGAACTGTGCCTCTTGCAAACTGCCTATATTTAAAAATGGAGAAAACTGAAGAGCATAAGGACCGGGGCGGAGGCTCTGGCGGAGATTCTTGGTAAGAACCAGGTAATTATTAGTGCAACACCAGAATCCCTGCTGCTGGCCTGGTTTCCGCCGGCCATCCTTCCCCTCATCCTCGACCAGAATGTTCCTCCGCTCCGGCATATCCCGATTGCCGATCGCTTAGCGGAAGGGTTCGGTCTGCGGTTTCATTTTCCACGCCAGCAGACCGCACTTCTAGGCCCTGACTTTAGGCAGAACTGCAATCGCCACTCGGATATCGCTGCTGAACAGCCGCTCAATCGTCTGTGTCGGCGCATCTGCTGCCATACAGTACATGGCCGGGCGCTCATCCCATGTTCTCGTCAATGACCCCCAGGCTCTTCAGGTGCTTTGCCTATATATCTTCCCCGGCGCTGTTTGCAGCCAACAGCACTGCAAATCTCGTGGATATACCCTTTGACCACTCGTTTCCTGCAGCATGTTCAATGTGCGGCGTATGCCTGCCAGCGTTTGGAGGCGCATGCTGGCTCGTCTTAGCTCGCTGTGGCTGGCCAACTGGCAGCGGAGGCACAGGAATGTGGTACCAGCCATGGGAGACAATCCGTGTAGGAAATAGCACGCGGCATGGCACTCCCGGTGGCACTGCGAACAAACCACCTAATTGCCCATGTGTTTAATATGCCAGGGGTTAGTTTCCAACTTGCCAATGCAGCGCTGTGCTACGTTCCGGTAATACTTACCATAGGCTCGCCATTTGACTCCATAGCACACTCACACTTCTTCGATTTCTCGGCTTTCCAGCACTGCGCTTTCTTCTGTCGCTTCTGATATCTGAAGCAGATGCTAGGCTAGCTTTGCTGGGGTCTTCTTTGAATGATGCCACAACCACTCGTTTCGCCTGATCCTCATCGACATCCAGGCTCACTGACAGTGGGCTGACAACACTTCCAAGTGGGGGGAACTGCACCGGCCCTTCGATGCTTAGTACACATGAATACATCGTCGACATGCTGCTGTCACCAATCAGCCCGATCCGTGCACTGCTGCACTGCGGGTATATAGAAAATGTCTCCATTGCAGGTGCTGTCAAATGCAACAAACATGGGCGGCATGTAGTCCGGCGGTGCGCTTGCATTCATTGACAGTCGAATAGCGAGCGACACTGGGACTACACAAATGATTCCTGAATTACATGCATATCATATACCTCTAGAGCTGCGTATAATATACGGCGTACTTACCACGCAATGGCTACCAAGCAAAGCAGTTTGCATATCCTGTTAGCCATGTGTGCTCAAAACACGCCGGACAATACACACCCCCTATGCTGTACTTGACTGTACATACCTCCATCTCCTTGAGCAATGCGGTAAAGCGGTTCAGATACAGCTGCGTGTTAGCTATCTGCTGTGGCGAACAGTACCTGTGTATTGTTTCTCCCTTTGCCTTTCCTGCAAATAGTATTTGCCAAAAGCAAACTGGAAGGCATACATCTCACGCAAGTAGGTAGGTGCTGCCATACACACTGATATCCCGAGCACCAACGTGTTGGCGTAGCCGTTCTTCACAGGCGTCGCAAATACCCGACATCGTTTTGAGCACCCTGTCACACTCTTCTGATTTACCGCCAACAAGGCGGTACAATGGCATTCCTAGCACATAGGTAGCCTTAATGATACATGTATGCCCATATAATGCTCACTCGCCACACCATTGCCTGTGCTCACCTTACCATTAAACTTTACTGTCGTAAAGCATTCGCCAGGAAATAGGTGTCGGTGAAAGGCCAGCTCGCCAATTGCAACACTGAGCGTATCGCAAAAGTGGTTTCCCGGAGGAAATGTTGGACAAAGGCATGGAAGAATGTTATTTTGAGAAAAGAAATAGTTTGGAATAAGGCAAGACAGTAGAAACAGTAAAAAAGCTGGCAAGGCCAGTTATGTAGAATTCAGCAAACAGGCATTCGATGAATGCTACGCTACGGCGCAGGGTTGTACGCGTAGCCGCACTGCTCGCCAATCCACCTCGCCAGTCCGTTGGAGTCGGGAATATGTCCGTAGTATAAGATTGGCGTCAAGTGAGCTGTGCTATTGGCAACCAGCTCAACCCACTCCTTTGTGCACTCGGAGCATACGTTTGTCTTGTCCACAGACTCTGGATTGGACTTTCCCAGCTCATACATGCTCTGTGCGCCAAACACCTTTGAGAAGCACTGTCCTGAAACCTTTTCGTCATTTCCACTGGCAGATCCCTTGCAGACGAGATTAGCCAGTCTCTCGTCCAGCCCACGAAATGTATATCGCGTTTGTGTGGTTGTATCCTAATGGAGTTGGAAGCTTCATTTTGTCCAGATCGCATTCCCTGGTAAGAAACTGCGAGATGGCGATTGTGGAATCCTAAGCAACTCGTATCACACACCTGGCCAATGCTAGGCAAAGTACAACGACTGCCCGCCCCAGCACTTTGGTGTCAAACTTGTAGGGTGCACGGATGGTGGCTAGGAGACAGCGGGGCGAGCGAATCGTGATGTCGGACAGCACGCTGCCCAGGGCACTGGTCAGCACCGACTTTGCAGCAGGCTTGTGGGCAGAGGGTACTGGGATTGCTGCCGAGCTCATGTATATTGACATGAGCTCAGAGTTATCTATCGCATATGCCAGACCGCTGCATATGCCTGAAGCGACCAGAAGTAACGAGAACTTCATTAGAGAAAGGATTATTCACGTCGAGAAGAAATCACTGATATGCATGGATTTGGGAGAGGAGGCAAAATATGCTCAACTTTTATACTTGCCACCATCTGGTTGCAAGCACTGGTAGCAGGAGGGGTACAGCCGTGGGAGGTGGGGACAGACAATATGTAGGCTATAGTAGTGCTGCCTCCCTAATTTACAGACATGTAAACAATTCCATTCCAATGTGCAAATCTTCGGAAGGTTCGGCAAATGTTTGATGCATGGTTGTTTATTAAATGCAAACCTCCACGGCTATGGCTGATGTCACTCGGGGATGGGTGGTGTTCACTCGCTGCGCAATGAGACAATAGTCTGCCATATCTCGGTCTTGATGGTCGCGTCGTCAATGGTAGCCGGTGTTGGAATGGGGCATTCGTCAACAGACGCCGTGCCTTTGTTGTGGACCGAATCAATCATCATCCGAATCATCTTGCGCAGAATCTTGCCGCTGCGCGTCTTGGGCAGCCTCTTCACAAACACAATGTTCTTGCTGTACAGCGACACAATAGGACCCACACGCGCTCTCGCCAGGCTGACAATCTCCTCCCTGATGACGTCTTCTGGAGTATGAGGTGGGGTGAACCGCAGGACAGCAAACAGCATGGGCACACTGCCCTTGATGGAGTCCGGGTGCGGCACCACGCAGCACTCGGCAATTTCGCTGTGCTCAAACACGACCTCTTCAATCGAGGACGTTGACAGACGGTGGGCGGCCACCTTGATGACGTCGTCGGTGCGTGAAAGAATATGCACATAGCCGTCTTTGTCAATCATACCGGTGTCGCCAGTGTCGTAGTATCCAGGGTAGCGTCGGAAGTACGCGCTGTAGAAGCGCTTGTCGTCATTCCACAGCGTGGAGAAGAAGCCCGGCGGCAGCGGCAGCTTCAGTACAATATTGCCGACTTCGTCAAGATCTGCGTACTCTGGGGTTGGGTCTACTGCATCGGCGTCTTCCGACATTGCGTCCTTCACCCTGACCACCTTCAAGTTGGCGCCTGGCAATGGCAATCCAGCGCTTCCGTACTTTACTGGCACAAGGTCATCGGCCCTGTCGCTCATGCCGATGCAGATACCAGTGAGCGGCATCCCGCTCTCGGTCTGCCACCAGTGGTCGCTGACGATGCTGTTTATTTCGGTGTACTTGACCGTCGGCTCACTGCTGGACACGGGCTTACCAGTAATCAGGCTCATCCACCAGCGCTGGACTTCGGGTGCGCACCGCTCGCCAGCCAAAAACAGCCCGCGCATGTGCGACAGGTCATACTTTTGACGGAACTGGCCCTGGGAGTCAGCACAGCGCAGGACAACGATGACGGTGGGCGCGCACAGAAATACATTGACCTTGTGCTGAGCAAACACACGGAAGACCTGGCCGGCGTCTGGCGTGCCCACGGGCTTACCTTCGTACAGAATCGTGGTGCTTCCGTTCAACAGGGGGGCATATGCAGAGTAGCTGTGTCCTAGCGCCCATCCGAAATCACTCATGGTGAACATGGTTTCGCCGGGACGCAGCCCGTACATGTTGCGCTGGGCGTAGAGCAGAGAAACGGCGTGGCTGGCGGTCGGCCGCACGACGCCCTTGGGCATGCCCGTGGTGCCACTGGTGTACAGAGTGTACAGCGGGTGGTTGCTCTCGACAGGCACACATTCAAGATCGTGGGAGTTGGCAAAGTGCTTCGCCACCTCCTCGTCCCAGTAGAACTCGCGCCTTACCTGCATCCAGCTCGACTCTGAGCTGCTCACGCTGCAGCACAATGATAGAGTCCGGTGTATACTCTGCAATTCGCAGCGCAGCGTCCAACAGTGGCTTGTACGCAATCACCTTGGTTTTGCTCTCCAACCCGCAAGGTGTTGGTCAAGATGATTTTTGGCAGGCAGTCCTTGATGCGCTTGGCGAGCTCGGGCGGCGCAAATCCGCCAAACACCACTGAATGCACCGCACCTAGACGCACACACGCCAGCATGGCAATAAGCGTCTGCGGCACCATGGTCATGTACAGCAAAACAACATCGCTCTTTGTTACGCCGTGGCCTTTGAGCACCGCTGCGAATGCCTTGATTTCGCGCAGGAGCTCATCGTACGTGTACTTCTTGACTGTGTCGGTCACTGGCGAGTCGTAGATGACAGCGGTCTGCGTGCCGCGCCCATTCAGGACATGCCGGTCGAACGGTGTTGTAGCACATGTTGAAGTAGCCGCCAGGGAACCATTGCGCCTTATGCTCCTCGCCCGGTAAAGTCGTGCTGAGCGCCTGCGTCGGCTTGACCGCCCAGTCCAACAGCTCGTGGGCTTGTCTGAGCCAGAATTGGCCGGGATTCTCGATGGATCCGCGCTGGACCTTGGACTGCAGATAGTTGGATGTTGTAGTTTTAACCATAGCCGATATATTGAAGATGGAAGGTAATCGTGGCCAGAGAAATGAGCGACACAGCTGGGGAGCCGCTGCTTCCGGGCTGTTTATATGGACGCAGTAGTGGATGAGTGAGGAGGGAGCCTCTACTACAGCCATGCCTGCCTTGCTTAGTGGTCAACAGACGCATTCGGCGCTGCAAACACTGATTATTCTATGTATAGGGTACATGGAAGCACCCAAAAGTGGGGCTGCCATTGCCATTGTCAGAATGCTTGCTCCCGTGTTTTCTTTGCGCAATAAACAGCCCCCAATTCCTTGAGCACATAGCCCCTGTACAGGCCGCACTGGGCACAACAAGGCTAGCAGGTGAAAGGGGGAATCTGCCTAATAGACACCTATATGTGTGGCTTGCACCACGTTGTCGCTCTTCAAGCAGCATTGCGCCAATAGTAGCGAGGCGTCCGCGCCCAATACCCCTCAGGCACAAGAGGCGCCTTGCTGCCTGGGCTCCAGCCAAAGGCCGCACAATATCTGTGCAAAAATGTGGCTGGCGCCTTGCACGCCTGCCAGACTGAGGACAGGGCCCTCTCTGTGTAGCTGCATGCCCAATGTTCCAAATACTGGTCCCACGGACATGATGGCGGGCAGATAAAACGCAGTCCAAAGCCGCATGCAGCGCTGGATAAAATGGATAAATGTATTGTTCCACATTGCTGTCTAAATGTCCATGTTGCGGGCTTTCTTGACCACAGTGCGGATCTTCTTGCGCGCAAGCTCCTGGTTGCGCTCGCTGCGGCTGCGCTTATACGCCTTGTGCTTCTTCAGCTTCTTCTGCGCGATGCAGCTCTGGGTCAATGATTGCTAGCTGCTTCCTCTGCTCCTTCCTCTGCTCGCGCACCCTGTCCACATGGCTCTTGACCTTCTGCATGGCCTTTGAGAACTCGGTTGTGCCCATCCGTGCCTGCGTCAGCTGCACAACCTCGTTTGTCAGCGCCTTGAGCTCGTCGAGGAGCTCCTCGGGCTTCTTGACAACGCCGTCAGGGAGAGTTACGGGCTCGCGGGCAAGCTGGGTGTCGTTGAGTGTGCGGTAGAGCGGCGAGACAATGGGCATGATGTAGGAAGACTGACAGAGCAGCGCGGGAGGAATGATGGTGACAACAGCTGCAAACCAGCGGAAGCTGTAGGTGCGCTTGTTCAGTAGCTCCACGACCGCGGATCAGCTCGGTGCGGGCAAGGCGACCAACGCGGTTAACGAGCCACGAGAGGCCACGCTCCGTCGGCAGACTAGCATGCTCCGTCGTCTCCTCCTCCTCGCCCTCCTCCTCGCTCTCGTCACCACTGGACATCCTCGTCGACAGGAGCCTCGTTGGCAGCATCCTCAGGAACAGCAGTCCAGGAAGCACTTGGCAATAAAGAACAGGTTCTTGACGATCTGGTTGCCGAGCTCTGCAGTCAAGTACTTGCTGCTGAGCTGAACCACTAGTGCATTTGCCAATTCGCGCAGCCGCTCGAACGACATGAGCGCAAACTTGGCCTGTCCGTCAAACGCAGGCACGTCCCAGGACTCTTCTGCCGGCTGCTCATTGAAGGTCTGCATGAGCATCCAGGCAGGGTCGGCGCTGGCGACATATAGGCCGATAAGGCGAGCAGCAGCCAAACGCACCCAGGAGTGCGGGTGTGTCAGATGGCGGACCACCAGAAGCCAGATGCGCGAGTCGCCAAGGGAGCCCGAGGTGCGGATGTACTTGGCAAACGAGTTCATGGCCATGTACGCCGTCTCCCAGTATGCCAGTGCTGCGTCCTGCGGATCCTCACCGGCACCCAGCGACATGGCGATCTGCTCCAGATCCCCGCCGTCATAGTTCAGGCGAGCCTCTGCCGGTGGCCCAGGTCTTGAGTGACACAGTGAGCGCCGAGTCAATGGCGGCCAGGAACTTCTGCGCGCGGAATTTGTCGCCCAGCGGCTCGATGATGATGCCGTAGCACTGCAGGGCAGCGCGGCCCAGCTCGCGCATCTTCAGCTGCTTGACACGCGCTGCGCGCATCGCCTTGTCGTCTCCAGAATCCTCGATTGCCTGGGCACTGGCAGCAGTACCCGCGGACCACTGGTCAAGCAGGATCCATACACGGGCCAATCGCGTCTGGTCGAATCTCGCCACCAGCTGCGGCAGCAGATGGGTAGCCATTTCGCGGCACTTTGTGCTCTCATCCTTTGCGATAATCAGCACCAGTCCCAGGAAGAACGGCTCGGCAGCCGTCGGCAGTAGCACCTCGTCGGCAAACCGATTGGACAATGACGCCCATGATCTCCAGCGCGCTCGACCGGCCGCTCTCAAACACATAGCCCGTCGCATTCTGCACGATGAAGCTCATGGCGCTGTTAATGCGGCGCTCGCCCTAGCGGGTAATCCATGAGGAACTGGAACCATGTGAGCCGGCACAGCTCACGGACATGAGCCATCTGCGCTGTCACCATGAGCTCGCGCACTGTGTCCATCAGCGTGTAGAGCGAGTCGACAATCATGCGACGGGTCAGGATTGCGCGGATCAAGGCCAAACGCAGTCGCTTGGCGTTCGGGCTCCTCGATGTCGGGCCGGATAAAGTCGATCAGATCGCGCAGCTGGTCGTCCGTCAGCAGAGATTTCTGCTGGACCTTGGACTTGGGCCTCGCCGGCTGCTTCGTCTTTTTGCCCTTCTTGTCCTTCTTTTCCGGGACAAGCTCCTCCAGCTCCTCGGGAACATACCCCTCCATCAGATGCTCGGCCGTCTTGGACCGCAGCAGCGACGCTAGAAGCTTGAAGGCGCTCTGGATCATATCCGAGTTGGTGTTAGACGACTGGCGGAACAGATAGAAAAGACGCTTGATCACGACCGGGATACCGCCCGCCAGCGACGGTAGCGGCAGCCTGACCAGCACTGTCCACGCCTTGCAGCACATGGTGATAACAGAGTTGTAGCGTGAGTACAGGCCGTCACCGGTCAGGTCAACAAACGGATCGAGCAGGCCCAAGACATCCGTATCGGACGTGATCGAACCGCTCACGCTTCAGCCCCAGGTACACAAGCTCCAGTCCAAAGTGCACGAACCGGTGGGCATTAGCAGGCAGGTAGTCGCGCTTGACCATGACGTCCTTGCGCAGCATGTGAACCGTGACCAGCTCGTCGCCGGTGGGCTTCATGCGCTTCTGCTGCTCCATCTGCTCGCGATTCGCCTCCGTGTCCTTCGCTGTCTTGGTTGACAGCGCCAGGTACTGCTTGATGATCGAGTGGCTGAACAGCAGAACCGTCTTGGTCTCGTATGTACGGTTGCGGTTGAGGCCAACGCTGATCTGATGCAGAAGGCGGTCCACGAGCTTGGTGCGCTTCGGCGTATCGGTCTCCTGCAGGATATCGCGAAGGGGCGCGAGCATCAGCCGCACATTGGAGAACCTTTGTGATTTGGGCCAAGATCTCGAAGCAGTCCGGGCCGTGGTGCACCTTGGCCTCCTTGATCTTGGTGGTCCACTCGTCGGCGTCCTTTCTCCAAAGCGGCCTCACCGAAACACATCGCGCACAAGGATCTCGATGACAGCCTCCAGTGTGTAATCCAAGTCGCCAACCTCCACCAGAGGACGCCATCTCCTTCAGCAGAATATAGATGGTGTAGCTGAGGATATGCTTGTGGAAGCCACGAGCCAGGGCGCTGCTCAGCTCCTTAACGATGAACCCAAAGTAGCCGGCGCCGAGGAACTTGGCAATGCGCATTAGTGTGTCGCGGGTGGCACTGCGGGCTGAGAGCGACTTTGCACGCAGCATGTTGCAGATGTTGGTCAGCACGCCAGGCAGCTGCAGGTTCTTGGTCTGCTCGGGCAGAATGGTCAGCAGTCGGATCACTGCCATGGCCACAGGCGCACGCAGTACCATTGCGTCTTCGTCGGACGATCCGATCTTGCGCTTGAGCTCCGGAATCAACGACCGCACCAGCGACTCATGGATCCGTTCCGCCTGCAGCTCCTTGGCCGCATTCTCGACGTCGTCCTCGTTGTCCTCGTCGAGAGGCTGGTCCGCCGACCTGCCAAGCACGTGGCCAAAGGCGTCCACCTGAACGTTGCGCAGGTCAAAGTGGAAGTTGTCCAGCAGGGCAAGGACCAGTCGTAGCAGGCGCTTCTCGAGGTTGGGCGTTTTCTTAATCACGCTTAGGTACTTGCGCAGCGTGCTGTTGTACATGGACCACGGCATGACTGCACCGAGGGCACCAATGGTCTGGACCGCCTCATGGGCGAGGTCTGCGCTGACTGATCTGTCGGTGCTCATCACCCAGTGCTCAAACAGCGGCATGAACAGGTTGCGCAGGTTGGCCATGGAGATTGGCGAGCTGGGTGGGTCAAAGTTGAACGGCTTGATGGTAGTGGGCTCTGCAGCCGGCTTTTCCTCCTCACTAACATCGCTGTTGTCGTCGTCACTCTCGCCCTCAGCATCGCTTTCTGCAGCATCCAAAGGCTCGGCCATCTCGACGTCCTCGTTGGCGTTGGCAGTGACGAGGGCGCGGAACCTGCGCATGGCACGCATCCGGCGATGGATTTGGATGTGCATGATGTTGTAGTAGAAGTTTGCCTCCTCGTCCGGATTATCCAGCACCTGAAGATCCCGCAGCTGGTCAAAGTACTGGCCGATTTCGCGCACAGCCGTGCGCAGAATAACCAAGAACTCGTTCCGCACAATCGTCGTGCTTGCTCGTAAATGCATGCTTGATCGACGGCAAAACAATCGAAACCACATTGCGGTTTATTAGCCTAACCTCATCCGATCCTTCCGCCTCCTCGGAGGTGTTGGCCTGTTTGACCCGTGCTATGAACCGCAGGAGACCATATGATGCGTTGGACCGGATCGACATCTCGTCATGGTCCTGGGCGAAAAACACGAGGTTGTGGAGGATGGGCACCCATGCACGCGCGCCCAGCTGATCGGGCTTGTCCCAGATCTCATCGTTCAGCTTGGCATAAGCTGCCAGGCGGCGGTCAAAGTCAGGCTCGTCGATCCGGTGCTCTGAGAATGCGTTAACATCCTGCACTATGCCTGCTGCTACCTCCAGCTGCGGATGGCCGCGCTCAAGGTCGATCTTGGCCAGCACACTGAGAATCTCACACATCAGCGAGCGGGCTGTGGGAAGCCGCAGGCGGCTGAGACCGACTGATACAGTGTCGACGTAGGTGTTGAATAGTGCAAGGCGCTCGTCGTCAGTGAATGTATCGTCGTTCTGGTCAAGAACGATAGGGACAAACCGCAGCATAATTGCCAGAACGTCGGCCTTGGTGCGCTCGTTGACTGCACCGTTGGGCCGCTTGAGCATTGGCAGCAGGAGATCCAGCAGCACCTTGGCGTCAGCAGTCTGCTGAGTCGTGTAGTCAGCGACACGAGACAAAAGGTGGATCTGGCGCAGCAGGATGTTGGAGCTCTTGCCTGTCTGGCCCTGCGCAGCCGCCTCGGAGAACACGCCGGCGAAGCACACCTTCATGTGCGACAGGATCTGCGACACATGGTCCTGGATCGTCTGCTTGGCAATTACACCGCACGCCTCAGCCTGCTCCGGTGTGAGACGGAATGCCTTCTCGGCCTGCTCCGGCGAATAGTCCAGGTACGTCTGCAGGATATCGAGGATCAGGTTGACAACAGGTGCCTGGACCTTGGGCGCGACCAGAATGCTGACCAGCATGCTGAACGTGCGCGGGTTGTAACCAGTCAGGTATGGCAGGTACTTGGGCGTCAGCGTCCACGAGCGGAACAGAAGCAGCAGTGCCGATGGATTCTGTGTGTTCTCGACGCTCAGCAGATCCAGACGCGGGTTCACAACCACCTCGCAGATGCACGGCATATACGGCTCAAAGTCAAAGTCGGGCGTCTGCAGAGTGAACAGGCCCAGTGAGGCCACGAGTGGCCAACTGACGAATCATCCGGGCCTGGACGCCTCTTGCTCTCGATCCGGCCGCGCTCATCACCAGCAGCCTCCTCGTCAGCACCGACTTCCTCGTCCGATCGTTGACGTTGTTGTCATCCTCGTCATCGTCGTCATTATCAGCTGGATCATCGGCATCAGCAACAGCAGCATCCACAGCATCGCCCTTGGCGGCCAGATATGCCTGGAGCTCGAGATTAGCCGCATCAAGCTGCTTCTGTGCCTCGTACGTAGAGCGCAACAGCACGACCAGTGCTTCGTGGAAAATCGGCGTAGCCTTGAATCCGAGCTGCTTGATCATCTCGGCCAGGAGCTTGAAGAATGACACCTGCGCAGCCATCGCAACGCGGTGGCCCTTGCCCCGGGGGGCCTCGTCATCATCGACATCCATGGCATTATCCGACTCTGGTGTCTCGGAAAGAAGCTTGAATGGGGCCGCCTTCATCACCAACGAGTCTATCGGCCGGAGTCGCAGGTGCAATGAAGTCGGCGAACGAATCGAGGCCGATTCCAACAAACTGGCGCAGCTCCATGCGCGTCATTCCAACCATCGCACTGAGAATTGAGATTCGGCGGATTTCATGCCGTCCTTGCGCGCAGACTTGCCGTTACGCACCAGCGTCTGACCGTAGAGCAGCCGAAGCAGCACAGGCATCAGCTTGGCGCGATGCACCGCATTGATCGACTCGCCAGTCGCTGACATGTCGAACACGGTGAGCTCGTCGCGGAACTTGCGCTCATCGAGCAGGTTGCGCAGGTTCTCGGCATACGTGTTGATTTCCGAGTCCTGCCATGTCAGAATGCACTCGATAGCCAGCAGCTGCGTTGCGTTGTCACCCTTGGTCAGCAGGCGCAGATACAGAGAGTAGAGTGCCTCGGAGGCGAACAGCGAGCGCGGCCGACGGAACTTGGCAAGCAGCTTGAGCCACAGCGCGCACAGTTCTTCGGAAGCCCGCTTCGAGCGCTCGGTCAGCGTCCAGCGGTGATCCAGGGCACAGACACCCGCAAGATCGATGTTAAAGCGCTTGTCTTGATGGCGGTCAAAGAACGACGATGTCCAGCCATAGTCGTCCTGGACGAACACCAAGAACGTCTGCACCAGCGGCTTCGAGTGTGGCTCAGCAGCCTGGGCGCCGACGTCAGCCAGCATCTTGAACAGCTGCTTACGGATGTTTGTGTAGTCGGTGCGCGCCACGTCCGGTGAGCTGGCGCCAATCATCAGGTACTGCAGGCGCGAGTACAGCGCCGAGCCCTCCTCCAGGTTCTCGCTAAAGTTGTCCCTGTCGTGGTCAAACACACGGTCAAAGCGCGTCAGATTCGGGCACTCCATCGCGTGTCCGTCGAGTTTGGGCAGGCTGGCGAATTCGCCCAGGGCCTCCCACGCAGCCTGCTGGTTAGCCAGCCACTTCTTGGCATCAGGAGTCAGCCCGGTCTCGATCAGCAAGCGCTCGTCGTTGAAGCGCCGAAGAAGCCCCCATACCGCTGACCAGAACAGATCGCTCTTGGCTCCTGCCAACAGCCCCATCTGCTTGATGATCTCGGGCCACAGCATACTGAAGTTCACCGACAGCTGCCCCAGGGCAACAAACGGCAGTACATTCTGGTAGACATCAGGAATACGGCCATTGGATGCCAGGACAGTGAGGCGGCGCAGGTGGTTCAGCTTCTCCTTATACATGGCCAGGCTTGTCTCAGTTGACTCAAGCTCAATGGCGAGCTGGATGGCCGGGCACTGCTCAGCCGGCTGCTTCTTCCCGTGCCGCTTACTGAACGAATCCTCGTCGGATTCCTCCAGCGGCAGCTGGTCAAACAGCGATAGCAGCTGCAGGGTCTTGAGACGCAGCGTGGGCTGTACGCTGACTAGGTTGCTCTCGACCGAGCGCATGACCGCCTCTAGCTGCGTGGTCGACATGGCAGAGGCAAACTGCTCCTTGACCTCCTCAGGCACTGGCGTCACTGCCACCGCGGTTCATCGTTGTCACAAACTTGAGCGCGTCGGCGATTTGGTAAACACCATCAATCCAGGGACGGGTTTGCGTAGTGGGTCGGCAGAATGCTGGCGACAACATCGGTCCCAGCGGTTCATCAGGGTCGTCGCAGCGCTAGGCAGGCGGCGCATGCATAGCTGTGGTTGCCTTGAGTGCCATGGCACGGCCAAGCAGTGTGATGAGTGGGTGCAGCTGGTGATAGGGACCCCAGTACAGCCTGTCGTCCTTGGACCGTGTGCAATCCCAGCGCCTCGCTCGCCTCATCACCCCAGATCCCGCCATCAGCAGGACCAATGTCATAGCGCTGCTTTGCGTTAGCCGATGTGTGCTGCAGATACTCGCTGTCCTTGGCAAGCTGTGCTGTGATCTGCGCAATGACTCGTCGACAGCTGGGTGCAGAACGAATCAAGACCATCGACAAGGACGCTGGCGTCGATCGAGATGTTTGTCAGAACCGACAGGATGGCCGATTTGATCGAGAGTTCGGACACCACCGAGTTCTTGGAATCCCCAGATGATGATGACTTGCTAGCCATGCTGGTGTTGTCGTCCTCGCTGTCATCGAATCCGCTGAACATGGTCGCCTCACCAGATGGAATCGTGATTTGGTGGTCGAGTAGATCGGACCATTCAATAGGCTCGAGCAGCCACTGCAGCAGCGACTGCGATACGCTCGTAGATGCCGTCTTCTTTGCCTTCTTCCCGGACGCCGATGGAAACAGAATCTGGCCTCGCGATGTGATGACCGACGAGATGCTGGCAGTAGATGATTTGAACATGTCCAGCTGGAAAGAGCTCCGCCCAAAAGAGCAGCAAGATGTTCTTGTGGTCAGCCCATTTGGAGACTGTCAGTTGGAACCAGGTATGGAAGCAGGATCTGGTTCCACTGCGACCACTCGAGGCGGGCCAGGGTCAGCGCCATCGACAGGGCGGTCTTCATTGACTCGCTCTCAAACACAGCATCCAGCAGCAGCCTTCCGACAGCCACCATTTCAGTGACATTGCTCTGCAAAAGCAGGCCCGAGAGCCACTTGATACGCTCGTGGGCCATGACCGCTACGCATTTCTCGTCGGCCGGCTTCTTATACGTCTCGCTGCTCACCAGTGACGCGATCTCGAATGCCGACTGGCACCGCTGGAACAGCGCCTTGTAATCGCGGACACGGCTGCCTTTGCGCAGAATCGTCGCAGGAAGCCAGCAGGCCAAGCAGGGCACAGTATGGCTCAAGCCGACCGGCCTTCGAGCCCGTGATGGCGCGCACCTGGCCATCGTACTCAGCGAGAAGAACCGTCCAGATTTGTTCGGATGTGTCGCGCTTCACGTAATGCAGGCACATCTTGATAATCGACAATGTAAGCAGATATACCTGGTTGTCCTCGAGCCGCTTCCCACAGGACTCCTTGTATAGCTCAACCAGAAGCGCAGTGAGGAGTCCTGAAGCACGCGAGTGCAGCCGCCCATCGACGCTGCGGATGCATTCAAAGAACAGCAGCGCAATGCCTTCTCTGAACCCAGCCACGCGCTTGTCTGGACACGCGACCAGTGCCTGGACAACATGGCCAACAAACGTTTGCAGCGAGTCGCCGCGCAGCTTGCGGATCAAGAATGCCAGCGACTCGGCTGCAAACCGTCGCGTGTGCGCCTTCTGCCGCTCTGTGCCGAGGATCGGCGCAACGAGGTCGAATGTTGAGCTGAGGTTGGCAACCAGGGGTTTTGACAGATACTTGAACAAGTATGCGAGGGCATTACACGACCATTCGACGATTTCGGGGTTCTCGACCTTCATCAGCGGCAGGATGCGCTGGACCAGCTGCTGGTAAAACGGCATGAATTCGTCCTGGAGATCCCGCGCCAGCGTAGTGACCAGACTATAGCTCACAGGAAAGAGTTAGCAACACATACATGCAGCATGCCAGATACACATGGCTACCCACTGCCAGCGCGCAACTTACTCTAGCACAGGCTCAAGTACGCCTTCGTGATCCATCGACAGGTAGCCCTCCAGCACGCCGACGATCTGCTCCTTGTGGTAGAGGACCTGGGCCAGCGACTGGATGGTAGTCTCTGATCTTCCTCAGAAGCTCTGTAAAGTCGTTTGTGCAGTTGAGCTCGCCCCACTTGAGCACAGCCTCGGCCAGGTACGAGTCGTACTCTTCGGGCTCATCGAGGTCGCGCTTCACGCGCCGCGAGACATTGATCTCGATCCCCTCGACGCGCTGCTTGAAAGACTTGAACCGGTAGGTGTTGGCACCGCCCGTGGTGTTCAGCTGCGCCGCAAACCCTGTGTCCTTCATTCTCAGTATACCGATCCTCCCGTTACGCGCAGGTTGCTGTGTATGATATGTGTATATATAGATAGAAAATGTGCACGTGTGCCTCTGCGTAGGTTCCCAGTTGCACAGCAGCAAGAACAAGTAGATAGAAGAAATGCGAGCAAGAGAAATGGCGCAAGGAGGGTTAAATAGAAGGAAAAAGTTTTTTGTCAAACCAGTCTTTTCGCTGGAGACATTGACATCGGCGGAAGAAAAAAAAGAGGCCAGAGCATTGATTTGATTATTAGTGGTAGATGATTACAGAGAGAGATTAGTAGCTGGTGTTGGGGATTAGTGGATTGACTTGCTGTTCTCGATTGCGATCTCCTTGAGCTCGTTCTCCGAGCCGACGTCGTGGTGAGGAGCCAGCGAGACCGGCTGCTTGCCAAACAGGCGCATGATCCAGGGCGGGATGTTGCTCTTGAAGCCACCGCGGGTGACAAACTCGACCCAGTTGTCGCGCTCGTTGAAGTTGGGCGGACAGATTCTGCCGCCGGAGACCTTGTGCAAGATCCAGACAGCAGAGTTGATGAAGATAAACGAGCCAATGCCGGCAATCAGACCGTATCCGATCGAGTAGCCGAACGGGATCATAATGATGGTGATGAATGCAGGCAGGCCGTCGCCAACGTAGTTCCAGTTGATCGAGATAACATTGCGCATCATCATCGATCCGACAGTAATCAGGGCCGGACCAGTGGCCCAGGGCGGGAACGACGCAAAGATCGGAGCAAAGAACAGCGAGATGAAGAACATAAGGCCGGTGATCATAGTGGTAATGCCAGTCTTGCCGCCCTCGGCAATGCCCGCGCCAGACTCGATGAATGCAGTGACTGGCGACGAGCCGAACGCCGACCCGATGGCAATCGACGCCGAGTCGACAAGGAACGCCATGCTGGAGCCCTCAAAGTCCTGGGTGTTGTCGTCCATGTAGCCAGCAAACTTGGCCATCGAGAACATGGTGCCTGTGCAGTCGAGGATATCCACATACAGGAACGTGATCAGCGCAATCCAGATTTCGCCCGACGACAGGTCCCAGTGGTACGAGCTGAGCGTGTGCTTGATCGGGTGGAAGGCGACCACCTTTTTGAAGTAGTCGAACGCGCCGTTGCCGGCCTCGGTGTACGGGAAGTATGTTACCGAGGTCGGGCGCGGCCACGAGATGATGGCGACGAGCACAATGCCGATCAGGATAGCGCCCTTGAGTCTGTACAGGAGAAGAGTGCCGATAACCATCAGACCCATGATGCCGAGCCAGGTCGGGCCGCCCTGCATGTGGTGAGAGGTGCACAGGTTGTTCTTGTCGCGGAACTCGGGCGGGCACCCGCCGAGCTCAACTAGAGTAGCCGGGCTGCCGGTGATGAGGCCGATTCCAGCCGACGACTGCAGACCGATAAATGCCAGGTAGATTCCGATACCGGCGGCAGTGGCAGTCTTGAGGCACAGCGGGATCAGACGCGCAAACCATTGGCGCAGACCAATGACCGACAGCACAAAGAAGATGATGCCCTCGATGCATACAGCCGCAACAGCATTCTGGTACGTGACCTTGCCAGTGCCGTGGAACCCAACGACGGTGTACGCAAAGTAGGCGTTGAGGCCCATTCCGGGAGCCAGCGCAATCGGCAGGTTAGCCAGGGCACCCATCAGCACACAGGCAAGGCAGGAGATGGCGCAGGTGGCTGTAATCAGATCCAGCTTGACCTCCTGGAGGCATGTCGCGTAGGCGGGATCTGTTTCGCAGGTAGCGCCGAACTTTTCGCGGTCGCAATCGCAAGGACCTCCAGAGTCGGTGAGGATGAGCGCATTCGTCGAGATGATATATGCCATGGCGATGAATGTCGTCAGACCAGCGCGCAATTCGACAGAGAACTTGGATCCAGCACGCTCGGACGGCGCGCCGGAGCCCTCGAGGCGGAACCACTTGCCGAAAGGCGTGCGGGCGACACGGGTGTTTAGCTTGTCAATCCAGCCCATGCTTGAGACAGTAAGTGGCAATGGGCAGAGGTAGCGTGCCGTAACAGATATTACAGGGGTGTATATAGGAGGGAGACAAAAAAGTTGCACACAAGAGAGATGCGTTGTCCTATTCCTTCTGGTAGACGAACAATGGGCGGGCCCAATGCTATTTATACTCGATCCGGCGGAAGGCGGCCAGTGTGCAGTGAACGAAATAAAATCCCCTTTGCGCGCACTTGCTAATGAGGATGAGCTCGGAACAAAATTTTTTGAGAGCAAAAGGATGTGCAGGTGTCACTCCCTGGCGACCGATTTTTTTCTTTCCAAGGTCGCCGGTGGAGGAGGGCTGGCAGTGGGGCCTGCAGCATTATTACGTGCGCACGTACTTTGCCTTCCCGCATTGCATGATCCACCAAGGCAAGAGCATCGCAGAGAGATGCGGATTCTACAGGACTCCCCCGCAAAAAGAACGCCGGGACAGCATGTCAAGGGCGGATTGGCGTCGCCGGAGAAGCGCTGCCTTTCATGTGCAGAACCGTCGGAGGGACCAGGGGCCGCGACCCACCCCCTCCGCCCCTCGCCCGCTGTTAACTCAGCGACGGCTGATGTGATGAGACAGATACGAACGGATTTGTTGTTCCAGTGACGGTGTCGATCACAACGCATTGTGGCATTCCAGCCTGTCAAGTTGCAGACGCGTCCGGGAAGAAAGCTGGGGGAATGAGAGCATGACAAAAAAGGCGTGAATCACAGTTGCCGCTGTTAATCCCACTCTGTGCACTATTTGTGACACCTGTCCATGGGACCGCAGCTACTAGGGGCGAGGCATCAGGTCATGCTGGCAGCGGACCGGCGATGGTACCAGGCCATACCGCGTCCGGGACGGTGCGCAGAATCACGCGCAGGGAACATGGAGCGCCGTGACATTATCCGGGGTTGGGAAAATTGACCCTGTGTTAGAGGGGCGCCTTTTACAGAAACATCCCACTTTCGCTGTGAGCCACAGTAGAAAACCACCGTCTCGATCTGCGGCCGGCGCAACTGCGCCAGATCTGGTCAGCGCGGCTTTGGCAGTGGAGCGGCCATGCGCATCCTTCCCAGAGCGAAGAAGCAGATGCCACCGACGGTCCCTCTGGGCAATCGCTAGAGAAAATTGGGGCAAAGTTGAAACGGACAGCACTGAAAAGGGCACAAAAAATGATTAGAAACGGTGGGAACTTTCGAGCGCCAGCTCTGGGTCGCTGGGCTCTGGGCGCTTTTTGTTGGACCCGGAAGATAACATTGCGAGGGCCGTGTGATTACAGGATGTCGCGGCTCTGGCTCATCTGCGCCTTGAGCTCGCGGTCAATGCTCGACTTGTCGTCGAACAGCTCTGGGGCGTTGATGCGCAGGAGCCTGCGGAGCCAGGGCGGAGGAATAGCCTTGTAGCGGCCGCGCGTCAGGTACGCGTTCCACTCGGTCTTGTCCTCGTAGTTTGGCGGGACGATGCGGCCGCGCGACGCCTTGGCCAGCAGCCACACGAGCGTGTTGATGATGATGTACGACCCAATGCCGGCAATCAGACCGTATCCGATCGAGTACCCGAAGGGAATCATGATGATGGTCAGAAAGGCAGGCACTGCATCGCCGATGTACGACCAGTTGACATGGACGGCGTTCTGGAGCATCATGGCGCCGACTGAGACCAGAGCAGGACCGGTAGCCCAGGGCGGGAACGACGCAAAAATAGGCGCAAAGAACAGGGCGACAAAGAACCCGATGCCAGTGACAACGCTGGTCAGACCGGTGCGGCCGCCCTCCGCAATGCCAGCACCAGACTCGACAAAGGTCGAAACCGGCGACAGACCCAGAATGGAGCCAATGGCGATGGTTGAGGAGTCGCAGAGGAAGGCAAAGGCAGAGCCTTCAAAGTCCTGCGTGCGCTCGTTGAGGAAGCCACCAAACTTGGCCATCGAGAACATGGTGCCCGTGCAGTCGAGGATATCCACGTACAGGAACGTGATCAGGGCCAGCCACACGTCGCCATCCTTCAACTCCCAGTCAAATTTAGCTAGAATGTTCTGGATCGGATGGAACGTGACGACCTTCTTGAAGAATTTGAAGCCAATGTCGCCATTCTCCGTGTAGGGGAAGTATGAGACCGGCGTGCCACGCGGCCATGAGATGATGGCAACCAGCAGGATACCAGCCAGAATGGCGCCCTTGACGCGATACAGCATCAGAATGGTAATGATGATGATACCGGCGATGCCGAGCCAGGTCGGCCCACCGGCCATATGATGCGAGGTGCACACATGTTTCTCGTCACGGAACTCGGGCGGGCACCCACCGAGCTCAACCAGAGTAGCCGAGCTGCCGGTGATGAGGCCGATTCCAGCAGACGACTGCAGACCGATAAATGCCAGGTAGATTCCGATGCCAGCAGCAGTGGCAGTCTTGAGGCTGGCCGGGATGAGACGGGCAAGCCACTGGCGAAGGCCGACAAGCGACAGGATGAAGAAAATGATGCCCTCAATGCACACGGCAGCCAGCGCCCTGGTGTATGGCACCTTGCCAGTGCCATGGAATCCAACAACAGTGTAGGTGAAGTAGGCGTTCAGGCCCATTCCGGGAGCCAATGCAATCGGCAGGTTACCAACAACACCCATTAGGACACAGCCGATGCAGCAGATCGCGCATGTGGCCGTGATAAAGTCCATCTTGATTTCCTGGAGGCACGACGCGTAGGCTGGGTCATTGGCGCACGTGGCACCAAACTGCTCGCGGTCACAGTCGCACGTACCACCCGTGTCGGTCAGGATGAGCGAGTTGGTCGAGATGATATACGCCATCGTGATGAATGTCGTCAGACCAGCACGGATTTCGACGGAGAACTTTGAGTTGTCGCGCTCGACGACTGCGCCGGAGCCGCTGAGACGGAACCACCGGCCGACCGGCGATTTGGCGACATGACTATTGAGATTGTCAATCCAGCCCATTCTTGAGTGGCCAGAAACGCGGGCTTGGATGGCTATTAAGGTGCTATACTGGGAGTGGTGAAGGAGGTTTGAGAGCCAGCAGATGAGGGATGGACACTCAGAGATGTTGTAGAATACAGGGCTGCAGGCCAGATACAGGAGGATGCAGACGCGGTATTATGCCAGATAAAGTACAAGAGCCAAGGGAGAATACAGGAAGCTGTTATATTAGAGGAAAAGATATTACAATAGTGCGGGATCCGGTCAAGGCGGCAGCCAAGAGTAATACTTTGGGCGAGATGTGTGTTAAGCGACAGACTAAGAGCAGCAAGAGCGGGTAGCGGGAGCGGGCCGCTCCTTATATACTCATGGTCTGCTTTGTAGATGATGGCTCCACCGAGCAATTCTCTTCCTTCAGAAGGCGCTTTCTTGGTTCCTATGACACGCCTACAGGGTGTTCATCGCTGGCAAAGGTAAGCGCAAATCCTGCGTGACGTCTGGAATTGCCTTAGAAGGCCATTGCTCTTGCAAAAGGTACGCAGCTTGACGGACGGGAATGCACAGCCTGGCGCAACAGCAGGCCAGAGCTTGGGCTACGGACTCGCTGGTTCAGCTGGCCACCGGTCCAAGCGACCTACTCATCAAGGCGAGTCGGAGAAATTACCCTAAACAAAAACGCTGAAAAAAGCTGCACCAAGCCAATGTCGATCCACCCCTGCGACAAATCTCATTCGATGCAATAATCTCCGTCGGCACACTCAGCCTTTACTTCCGATGCACGACATGCATCTGATGGGCACTTCAATGCCTCATCTCGGTGTCTTTCAGCTCTACAGCCAGTCAACCATCCCAGCACCCCCTTTGCCTGCCTATTTTGCACCATTCTCCGGCTGCAGCGTATGTGGGCCATGTGCTTCTGTGTTCCTTTCCGGGCAATTGCTGGCAGTAGTGAACCAGCCGGATCGCACCGACTGTGGCCACATACGGATGGGAGGGAGGGGGTTGGCTCGGCACCCCCCTGTCCTCGCCGTCGGAGCATTTGCACTTGTTTTGTCCACCAGCAAGCTTCCAGCTTGATTTCCATGGATACCGGGACGTCACCACCTGCCATATCGGCTAGGCATCTCCGTTTTCAACCGTGTAGTGTGCTGGCCGCAACCAGCTGCAATCATTTTCTGATCACGCGCACATTTGGTCGGCCTAGGTTCCGTCCACAGCCCAGATCATGATCCAGATGACTTGATTTCTACCAAGTTACATGATCGCCAGCTTACACTACGTACTGTTTGTCACCTAGGCGCATATATGAAGCCTATATGAGGGATGGCGAAGAACTGGTGCCGAAGCAAGGTACGGGACAAGAACATTCTTGCACCATCGATCTGTACTGGGCATATGTAGATAAGAGCAGGAGGCGAATCTTCCTCGCATGGTGGCAGCAGATCATCGACTACATCTCCTTGGAAACAGGCACGGAGCACAACACCATGCGTTCCACGGGACCGGAACGCGCCGTGTTTCTACACGAGCAAACTAACCCACCCCTTTCTTTTCCGATAATTCTTAGTGCGAAAAGGTTTGAGCATGCCAACAGGGAACTTACCTCAGGTCATGCAGCATGTCTTGCTATATGCGAAGCAGACAGTGACGGGCATGGGCGGCAAAAACTCGCCGCCTTGCAGGTGGCAAGCGGGTAACCGTATACCACAGTGCGGCAATTTCTTGCAAGCTCTGAGAAATCCTCATCATGGAACAAAACTCGCGCACTGTCCGTCCCAAGCACAAGCTTAATTATATTTTTGAACATGGACGTCTAGAAGGTGAGCAGCTCCGGGTTGCTAAGGAATCCCTTGATCTTGCCGGCGAATGCACCAGCGGCAGGCGAGTCGCCAATGATGCTGACATTAATCAGTGCTGTTGGCTTGGCCGCCTTGCCAGCGCTGGCAGATCCGCTAATCAGCTCGTTCAAGGCGCTATCAAGCACAGCGCCAGCGTCGGCGGTCGACACAGCGGCATACGGCTTGCCAACAACCAGAACCGTGGCCCCGGCCGGCAGCGTCTGGGGTGTGTACTGGCCCTCAGTAGCTAGGATGACTGCGGGGGTCTGCTCCGCAGCCTTACCAGACTTGGCCGCCTCCTTGATCGCAGCAGCCAGGTCAAGCACGCTGAGCATCGCCGCATCAGCAATCTCGACAACGGTCGGCGCCTTGGAGCCATCGACAGCAACGCCAACGGTGCTGGTCTTGCCCAGAGGTACCTGGTGCAGGGCGAGCGCAGCGGCACGCAGCGCGAACACGGACTCGCTCAGCGACTTGTTGGCCTTTGTAAGCTTGGCCAGCTTTTCAGCCGGGATCTGCACAGAGGTGGTCTTCTTGGCGAGCTCGAGCTCCGCCAGATGGCGCAGGACTGAAGACTCCAAAGACTTCACCAGGAACGCAGTCTCGGCATCGGCCGAAGGAGCTGGACCAGCCTTCTTGGCCGGAGCAGCAGCCGTGGTGGCAGGGGCAGCAGCAGGGGCAGTGTGTGATACGGCGTCCTTGTTGATAACAGCCTTGCCAGACTTCAGGAAGCTCAGGACGTCGCCCTTCAGAATGCGGCCCTTGGGTCCAGATCCAGGGATATCAGCAACATTTGAGATGTGGTTGGCGTGGATGGCAAACGAAACAGCCGGCGACAGCTGGTCATGGGCCGAGTTATCAGTCGAGTGGTTCACGGCTACACAGTATAGATCATGGCGGTGAGTACACATGTCTGGGCAGCCTAGTCATGCTTTGCAATTCCCTGACTGTCTTCAAACTTACCAGCAGGGGCAGCAGCCGGGGCAGCCGGAGTCGGGGCAGCGGCAGGCTCAGGAGCAGCCTCAGCAGCGGCCGGGGCAGCAGATGACGAGGACAGCGCAGCAATATCAATGCTTCCGATGTCGTCACCCTCCTCGGCAATAATGGCAATCGGCTGGTTGACGCTGACGTTCTGTGTGCCCTCCGGCGCCAGGATCTTGACCAGAACTCCATCGTCCTGAGCCTCGACGTCCATCTGCGCCTTATCCGTCTCGATCTGCAGCAGGAGATCGCCAGCCGAGAAAGATTCGCCTATATACCAATAAAGCCTGTGAGTAAGTGCGCACGTTCTGGCACGTTTTCTCGTGGAAAAAATTGTGCGCACAAGAGACACCTGCTATCCTGCAACGGCACAAAGTAGCGCACGAACTGTGGATAATTTCCACAAGCACCACGCCTTCATGTTGGGGAGCTTTGTGACTGCCGGGCAGGTTGCCAGGACCCGTTTCTGCTCAAGCGCGGTGGATCAAAACGACACTTACCCTCCTTCTTCTCCCAGTGGGCAATTCCGCCCGAGGTCATGGTCGGCGACAGCGCAGGCATGGTGAACTGCGAAGCCTCTGCGTTAACAGCAGCTGTGTGGAAGCGGGCAGCTACAGAAGCAAGCTAGTTAGTGGAGTTGAATTCAACACCAGGTCCAAATTCGGCAGGGGGAGAAACGTACCGGCGGCGCGAGCACCACGGCGGACAACAGCGAAACGGGCAAGCATCTTTGGCGTTTGTATGTGGGAGAGGAGGAAAAGAGAACGAGCCAAAAGGTGTAGTGTCAAAATAGACAAGAACAGATAGCGTGGAGATAAAAGAAAGGTTTTGCGAGGGTTGTGCGCAAACAGAGGGCGGATCAGGCTTTTAAGGCAATGGCGCGGGGGGTATTTTGCGGTTGAGCTATTGGGCTGAAAAACTCCGCCGCACCAAGAAAATATCCACGGGGTGGATAAATTGCAGCCCGGGCTGCCCAACAGCAGCGGCGGTTTTCGGCGGGTACCCTCGGCATTTAGGGTCGGCTCTACGTTGCCACTCACATCTGCAGGCAGACATGGCATGTGGGTGATATACTCGGAGTGTTTTCGGTTGGACATATTAAAAATCGGAAATATTACTTGGCTGTGGCATCTACGTGCGCCTTCTTCGCCGGGCCATCGCTGCCGTCGTGCGGCCGCTTCAGCGACGCAGCGTCCGTCGCAGGCTGTGCGATCTGCGCCTCCAGCTCCTTCACCTTGGCCTCCAGCGTCCGCGCTCTTCTTGGTAGCAGTATCCAGCCTGATCTTCGACTTGAGCTCGGCCGCCTTCTTTGCCTGTGCAACGGCCTTCTTCTGGCTGTCCTTGGCCTTGGCGAGCTGGGCATGCGCCTCATCCAGCTGTGTCTGCAGCTCGCTGGGCGGCGTGTCCTTGGCAGACTCGCGCAGCTCCTTGACCGTTTTCTCCAGCTCGGCGTTGGCTGTCCGCAGCTCCCGGATCTGCTGCGTCATGGTCTTGTTGTCGCGGAAGAACTTGAGCGCCTTGGCCTTGAGCTGCGCGGCCTGCTCATCGAGGCTCTTGACTTGCAGTTCGGTCTCCTCGAGCTTCTTCTTCAGACGGTCAGTCTCGGCAGTATCAACTCCCGGCGCAGGCTCAGCGCTTGTTGGTTCGGCCGATGTGGGCTGTGCACGCGCCTCCTCAAGCTGCACCTGTGTCTGGCGAAGCTCGTCAGCCAGCCGCGTATGTTCGACCAGCAGCTTCGTGTACGTCTGCTTGATCTCCTGCTTCTCCTGCTTCTCCTGCTCGATCTGGTCAATCCTGTCCTCGGACTGGGTCTGCACACCAGCGTCTGGCTGCGTCTGACCTTCAGTCTCGCCGACACTCTTAGCCTGGGCCTCCAGCGCCTGCACCTTCTCGGTGAGCTCGGCAATGTCGGCTTCCTTCTGGCTGATGATCTCTTGGCGACTCCTGAAGCCGTCTTGCGACTGTTCGCGCAGCTTCTTGAACGAGTTATGCAGCTTGTCGTACTTCTTCTGCGTTGCCTCTGCCAATGCGTTGGCCGTTTTCGAACTGCTCTGCGCCTGGGTGACATTGCTCTGCAGCTCAGTGATCTGCTTCTCCTTGTCAGCCACGCTCTTGCGCTCCTCCTCAAGCGTAGCGATGTGCTTCTCTGCCTGGCCCTTGAGCTGGTCAATCTCCAACTGCAGCTGCAGAACCTTGTTCGCCTGGATCTGCAGGTCAGCGCGTTCCTTTGCTGACTCCTCTGCCTGCTGCTTCATCTGCTGGTTCTCCCTCTTCAGCGACTCGTACTCATCGGGCTCGATCATCTGGTAGCGCGCCAAAACCTTCTCGTGCCGCTGCTTCCAGTGGTCGCACATGCCCTGCAGCTGCTCTGCCTGCGCCCTGGTCGCCTCCAGCTCTGCCTGCAGGGTCGCATTGTCGCCGCGCAGCTGCGGCACGACCTGGTTCTTCAGGCTCGACAGTTCTGCCTCGATGGCCTTCAGCTTCCTGCGGGCAAGGTTCAGGTCTGACCGCATGACAACATTGGATTCGCGCAGGAGCATGCCGTTCTCAATCTGCTGCCGCGCAGTCTTGCGCTGAGACGCTGTAAGAGTGATGGGCCCTTCGCCATCGGGGATAGCATTGGCAGACACGGGCTTCTCCACGCTGTCATCGGACGACGGAACCTGGTCGGCAGGAGTGTACTGCAGCAGCTCGCCGCGGACATTATCGAGTGCTCGCTGCGTATGGTTGGCCTGCTGCTTCCACCGCTGCGACTCCTGCTGGGCCAGCTCGAGCTGAGCTGCCACCAGATCACGCTCGCGACGCAAATAAACGACAATCTCACGCAGACCGCCCTGCTCACCAGCAGCCTGAGCAGCTGGAGCGCCAGTACTCGGCGCCGTCACATCACCTGGCTGCTGCGAGTCTGCTTCGGCAGAAATGCGCTCTGGGTCTACAGTAACGTCAGGAACTGTCTGTCCGATCGACTCCAAGTGCGCCATCAGAATCGAGTTCTGGCGCTGGATCTCTGTCAGGCGGGACTCTGCGCGCTGGGCCGATTCATTTGCCTGCTCTACCTCGTGCTTGGCAGCAGCGGTTGCCTGGTCGTTGCTCTTCTTGGCTGCCCTGAGCTCGCTGTTGGCTATGGTCAGCTTGCTCTGAGTCTCGCGCAACTTCTCGCGGGCAACAAGCGTGGTCTCGACGTCCTTGGCATGGGCGACAATCTCGCGCTCATATTGCTCCTGCAGCTCCTGGCACTGCTCGGTTTTGCGCCGCAAATCATCGCGAAGCTTTGCGAGTGAGCCCTGCTTTTTCCCAATATCGCTTACAAGGTCGGCGATTTGGGTCTCATACTTCGCCCGGCTTTCGGCAGCTTCGCCATTAGCATTCTCCAGCGACGTGCCGGTAGCGGCCAGCTCCTCGCGGCAGTCGGCAAGGGTCTTTTTCAGCGTCGCCAACTCATCCTCCAATGCCTGGATCTTGGCCTGCTGCTCAGCAGCCACCTGCTCCTGCTCAGCCTTGAACTGATCGTATGTCTCGCTGAGACCCTTGAGCATATTGTCGTTGGTCTCGGCCAGCTGGCGGAAATCCTCGGCACGCTTGGTAGTGGTCTCTAGCTCGCTGTGCAACGAATCGAGCTGCGAGTGGGCGTCGCTAAGCTGGGTCTCCAGGAGCGACTCGCTGGTCACGTCCTTGCCCTGGGTGCGCACACGCTTGACCAGCTCTTCCTGCTCGCGGATCTTGGCCTCGAGTGCAGCTATCTGGCGTCTCAGCGCATCGCGGGCAATCTCGACCTCACGCTTCTCGCCAGTGACGTGCATAGTCGCCTCCTTGGCAGCCTGAATTTGCTCCTGCAGCTGCGAAATGCGATCCTCGCGTTGCTGGATCTGGCCACGCAGCTCCTGCTGCTCCCTGTCGAACTTGAACTGGGCACGCTCGTTGGCCTCGCGGCTGCGCTTCAGCTCTTGCTGCACCGAATCCGTCTCCTTGCGGGCGCTATCGAGCCGCTTGCGGATCTGGACAAGCTGTTCCTCGGATGCCTTCTGCCACTCCTCACGCATATTCGTCGTGTTTTGCAAGATCTGCGTCATACTCGCGCGCTCAGCAACCAGCCGCTGCTCATCGCTGCGCCAGCGCTGCTCACTCTGCCGCAGCAGATCGCGCTCCCCCTCGGCAGCATCCAATTGCCGCTGCAGCTTACTGAGCTCGACGCGCTCTGCCGCCAGGCTGGATGAAAGGTTGTCGAGCTCCTTCTCGTACGATTCAGATTGCTTGTGTAGCCGTGAGGTTGCAAGGCGCAGGTGCTCGACTTCTTTCTGCCGGCCTTCGAGATCACGCACAAATAGCTGGACGCGCTCGTTGTCGAACTCGCTCTGGGCCTCAGCCTTGGCAGCACGCACGCGCAACTCTGACACCTCGCCCTGCAGCTTGGCCAGGTCAGATTCGAGCTGGCCTCTGGTCTTGCGCGATTCGGCGATGTATGTTTTATACTCGGACTGCAGCTGCGTCAGTGGGTCAGCAGTGCTGGTCGCTTCGGTGGCAGTGACAGCTGCCTTGTGCCCGACCATCTGAGTGGCAACTGGCGGCGGGACGTCTACTTCATTATCGCTGCCAAGTCTCGGGTTGCCCTTGATTGACTTGAGCATATCGCGCTCGCGCTCGACTACACTCAGCCGGGTCTTGGTGGTATGCAGCTCTTTGGTTAACCGATCGAGCATCACCTCGGCCTGATCCAGAGCCTCCTTGACCTCACCCTCGTTTGCCTCGCGCTGGCGCTCCTCTTCCTGAGCAACGTGGCTCGCCAGTTCGCGGGTGGTTCGCAAAAGACGCCGGTTCTGCTCAACAATTTCGGTGATGTTGTTGAATGTCACCAGCCCCTGCGAAATAACCTTGTCGACATCATCCAGCCACTGTTCCTCCTCATCGGGTGTAACCTGCGATGCGCTCGGCCGACCGCCGTTATCACGCGCCTCAGGCACCGTGCGGCTACCGGAGCGCGCCTCCTCCGCCTTGCGCAGCAGATTGGCCACCTGCCGCGACAGGTCTCTGGTCTGCTGCTCCTCAGTCGAAAGCTGCTGGCGCAGCAAATCGCGCTCCTTGCGAGTCTTTTTCAGCGTAGCCACGTTCTTGTCATTCTCCTGCCGCGACTCTGTGAGATCGCACGACAGCTTGTCTGCCTCCTCGAGCAGCCTATGATACTCTTCGCGCTCTGCGGCGATAATCGGACCACGCTCCTCGATCTCGCTCAGTATCTGCTCCATGCTCTCACGCAGACAAGCAACCTCTGCTTCCGACTTCTTGAGCTTGTCCTCGAGTGCAACCTTCTCAGTATACAGCTGCGTGATGTTGATGCGTCCGTCCTGGCTCGCGTTCAGCATCTGGATGGCGACCCTGGCAGTAGGCGAAATGCTCATCGGCTGGCCTCGCGCCGACCGGTCCAGCAGTGCGTTGGCTGTCTCTAGCTCGCCAGTCAGCTTTTGGATTTGCTCCTGCGCATTCTCGTATGCTGTCTCGAGCTCATCGACACGCTGCTCCATCATCGCCACTGCCTGGTTTGCCTTCTCCTCGGTTCCACGCTGGTGCTCTTCAAGCTCCTGCAGGCTCTGCTCGACACTGCGCACATGCTGCCTGGAGGCCTCAGCGGTCTTCTCCCACTCGCCGCACAGCTTCTTCTGCGCTGTCATTTCGCGCTTAAACTGCTCGGTCTGCTCAATCAGCTCCTCCTTGGCTGCTCGCTCGCTCTCAAGCTTGCTACGCAGAGTGCGCTCTGCAATCGTGTTGCGCTCGCGCAGCTCCGCCGTCTGCTCAGTCAGCGCCTCGATATCTGCGCGCAACTGCTCTGCCTCCGCCTTACTAGTCGCCGACAAACGGGCCAGCTCCGATCTTGCCTGCTGCATTTGTGCCTGCGTTGTTGTCAGCTCATCGTCTAGCCACTTGACCTGGTTCTTGGCCAAATCAAGCGACTGCTTCAGCATGTGCTCGCTGACGTCAGACACAGATGTCTGCGACCGCAGCCTTGCCAGCTCTTCCTTCTCTGTCTCGCGCGCGTGCTGCAGGTCGTGGATAACCTCGCTGAGCCGGTCGATCTCCTTGGCCTTGCCGTCAAGTTCGTCGCGCCTCTCAGCGATCTGGCTCAAAAGAGCGCGCTTTTCATCACGTAGCTGATCGGCTTGCTCGCGTAGCTGAGTTTCGGAATGTGCCTTGGACTCAACCAGCTCACGCTGGTCCTGCAAGTTGCGCGTGGCCTCGTCGAGCTGTGCCTTCGTTGCCTGCAGCTCCTCGCGCACAGTCTTCGTCTCAGTCTCGGCGCCGGCTGCTGTGCTGCGCAGCTGTCCAATCTGCTTGGTCAGACGATGCACCTCTTGCTCTATCAGTATCAAAATCTATTTAGTGCCAGCCTTCTCATTGCGAAATCAGTGGAAGCCGGCCAATTCTTACCTAAACGCGTGTTGTCATACTTGAGCTGCGCCTTCAGTTGCTCCACGTCAGCGTCATCTGCATTATCAGCTAGCCTCTCGCGCACACGATCTAGAAACTGCTGTGCATCAGCGTCACCATGGGTCTTTTCAAGCACTGCCTTAACAACAGCCTCGGAGAGCCCTAGCAGCTGTGGAAGCTCCGTCTCCATAGCTCGCTTCTAACGAAAATGGTCCTTGGGGGTATATGGAGCCTGTCTGTACACGAGTGGAAAAGTCAAGTGCAAGGTTCAGATGGCAGAATGTTAGCCTGAAGCGTAATAGAGCGATTTGTAATATAATAAATACTCGAAATCGTCAGGAATAATTCAGAGAGCGAAAAAAAAGAATACAACACACTCGCCGTGCCAACTAAGCACCAGTGATTAATCTGATCTAAATCGACTGATCCCGAACGCAGGCAATAGTGATGTGGTCCTCTCTTTAGGGCATTATGCCGGGCAGAGGGAGCAAGCTGGAAGGGCAGCATAGATACCGCCATGCTGTTCATTGAAGCAGCTTTATGATGGCATGGTCAAGTGGCTCATGTGGAGCTGCGTGTCTTGATGCGCCAAGACATTCGGATGAAATTGCACGTTTACATGCAGTCCTTGGAGGAATGTGGCTGTCTCATACATAGTATTGCATGTGCTACTTCTGATTCATAATAGTGCAATCGCATGCTCAGTAGAACTCCTCGGTATCTCGCCAACCTGCTGTGCAAAGCAGCCAGCGTGCTCATGCCACGCAAGACAGTGAGAGTATCCAGTGAGGACGAGGGGACAGAAGAATTCACGGAAGATTTACCCACAGACGCCCCCACCTGATATGCGGTATTGTCTGCACCTGCCGGCCACATGAGACGCGGGTGTTGCAGATTGGATTGGGCATTTTTCACTATCTATGATTTTGACAACCTTTGGTGGCGGGACTGAGTTGTCTTCTTATCTTGCACTCTCTTTTTCCTTGCCAATATCCACACACCACTTCTTTATTTGCTGACCTATTTTCTATGGACCTTAACAAACTGAAGGACGTTGCTGCCATTGCGTTCCAGCAATATCAGAGCGAGAGGATGAGAGAGGGAGGTCACAACTCCTACGCAAACGACAGGCGCCGAAACCAGGACTTGTATGGCAACCCAGGGCACCACGATGCATATAACCAGGTTGCGCATGGGCCTGTCGGGCCGACAGACTACTCGTACTCGGACATGCGAGGCAGTGCAGGCAGCGCCGGTAGACACGGCCAGCACCAGATTACTTTCAGCGACCAGTATGGGAATGACCGCCCTTCTGGTCATGGTAGCAGCAGCCATCATGCCGGGCCCGCAGCCCACTCATAAGAAAAAGCGCAGACATAGACATAAGCAGCAGCCTGAGGCACATGATGCTTATGACGCACCTGGCAGATATGGCAACCGCTATGACAGCCGACATGACAACGGCCACAACCCATATAACGGCGAGCATGGGGCGCCATCCAATCGCCGGCCTGGCATTAAGGATGTGGGAATCGCAGCGGCCACATTCGCACTGACCTTGCTAAACCAACAGAAAAACCACTCGAATGGCAGCGGTGGCTATTACAATGATGGATACTATAACCAACACAGTCAGAGTGGGGGCAGCCATCGCCAGAATGGAGGTAGCTCCAACGGATTTGACAAAGACGCTGTGGCCCACCTGGCATCAAACTTCATTGGAAAGAAGAAGGACAAGTCTGGTGGCCACTAAAGTATAGCATTTTGCTCATTAGTACCGTTTCTCCCAATAGTACGCCTAAAAATTACTCCTGTGGACTGGTCTTGATCTAGCCTCGAACAGCATTCCACAGCTCATCCCTAAACAGCCTCCTCCTTGATCGTGGCCGGCGTTGGAATCGGGCACACGTCGGGCGAGTTGCCATCCATAGCGAGCTTGCTGATCATCGACCGGATCATCTTGCGCAGGACCTTGCCACTGCGGGTTTTGGGCAAACGCTCAACGAAAATAACGTTGTGCGGGTAGAGCGATGCGAATGGGCCGACGCGCTGGCGGATCTCCCTGACCAGGTCGTTCTTGATCTCGTCCAGCGTATGGTCTAGGCGGTGGTGCTTGAGCACGGCAATGACCACCGGCACGCTTCCCTTGATCGAATGCGGGCGCGCAACCACGCATGTCTCGGCGACCTCATTGTGCTCGACAATCACCTCCTCCAGCGAGCTGGTGGAGATGCGGTGGGCAGCCACGTTGATGGTGTCATCGGCACGCGACAGAATGTGCACGTATCCGTCCTGGTCGATCATGCCGGTATCGCCAACCTGCAGCATCAGTATTGCTTCTAACTGGTAGCATATTTATTCTCCAGATAGTAAGCTACCAATGTCCAGCTAGAAAGGAAGCTAGCTTCTCATAAAAATATGAGAAGCCCGTCTGGAGCCCTATTTAAGTGAGAGTCATGTTGACATTCGTCAACACTAACGAACACATTTCACCCTGTATCGGCAATAAGTATGTGGGAATGTTAGCATATCTCCGATAGGAACAAGCTAACCGACGAGCCGTTATTTTAGGGGTTCGAAAGCAGTATTGGTTACATACATATGTACCACTTGTTAACCTAGGGGAAGAGTGGTTATCGGGTATATGGAATATAGGCTTCTCAAAAATGACTGAGAGGAAGAAGGAAAGCCGATCGTCTGCCTGGGACATTGTATGTATGCGTTTCGGCCTTGTCCATGGTGGCACAGGAGGACTCTAGACCTCGAATGTCAACACCACTCATAATATTGGCCTTATTATTTTGATTGAGAAAATACTTGCCGACAGAGGCAAACTAGTGGAGCTGAACGACACACTATGAATTGTCAAATCTACATCTTCAAATGTGCTGACTCGGAGAACACCCACACATACAATAAATACAGTGGAAATTAGGTGATTGACTGTGCAGACTAAGTGCGAACTTAGAATAATGATGTAGAACCAATGGCTGTTTGCCAGATGACCTTCACTTGAAAGTGCGCAGCAGCAAACTCATTATTCAATGTCTCTGGTTGCAAAACCGGAATAGGTCTAGCTGTCCTTCTTTCACGCCTACTGTTTGTTATTTGTGTTTTCTATTTTCTGCTCGCGCTCCATAAAATGAAATAATCGTACCTATGTCTACTTCCGACGATGCTAACAAGAATACTGGTGATGCAGCATAGGCTAGAGATGATAGCCTATGCCAGAAATTTCTGACAGAATTTGACAAATACGGCAAGGCTGCAGTAGGGCGCTTTTTGCTAGGAAACATAGGCCATGCACGCAAAGAGAATCCTGGAGCTGACATTGACGAAGTCGGCAACCTTCTGATTACCATGTGGATAAACCTACCTGAGACTGAAAAGACTGTATATGTGGACAAACCCCAATGGCATTGTGTGATGATTATACCACAACCGAACAAGTGGAACCATTGTGCGACACAGTCGGTCCAAGAAGATGGATTAGACTCATTACCTATCGAGGTTGAACTTGGAACAACATCATGAGATATATATGCTGACACCGAGCCACGCTAGGAAGTGGCCTGGGTAAGATTCATCTCAACTTTTGATTAATATAATTCAGGTTTCCCAGTAATGTATTAGGCGCGGATGTCTAAACGGTAGTTATAGTCCCTTAAATAGGGCTACAACAGTTGCAAACCTTTAGGTAATGAAGTTGTGCTGCGATAGGGGCCATGGCAGCGTATAAGCCAACAAAGCAGTCAAGGGTTTCTTACCATATAATTAGCTGACCTTTCTTGACGATGAAATGGCAATGCCATTCGAGCAAAGGTGCTGTAGAGATGTACTATATGGCTTCACATTTGAGTAGCAAGCACTCGGAGACGTGCTCAACCGTGCCTTTTCTTGCACAGGTCGTATACATATCGACAAGTTTGTACTGCATGGCATGTGCAAACTTGTTGAGTGCATCGCCTTCTCCTTGCCACCCACTCCTCCCATCCGGCACAATTTGGCGGCAGATCTCCATACTTGGTTCTTGGAGCAATATACACGAGTCTCATCTGTGCTGCGACTGAAAACTCTGTGCTCTGCTCCATTCATATCCAGAGGAATGCCCAATAGTTCAGAAAATGATGGTATTTACGAATATACTGACAGTTTTATGTTGCAAGAGCACTATCGCTTGGCCCTTTTGATACAATTTTTACAGAGTGAGCCTCCAGCTGGGTCGAGATTACTGGCAGTTGGGGAAAGCCAGCTTTGATGAGGGTGTGTTGAACAGGTTGATCTCGGCATTACGGCGGCGGACAAGCCCATCAAACACTCTTCCACCAGCCAGGCGCCACTTGGGCAGCTCCTGTGCAGCCACCGTGCCTGGATTCTCGCCGGCATTCAGCCGCCTGATCAGGGTCGATGACTTCGCGTTGGAGCAACCGACATTGAACACCCACGATGTCAGCGCACCCCACTGGTTGTCGTTGAGCATGATCGAGCTCTTGAGGTACGTGGCAAGGCACGACGAGTAGGCAGGGATGTCGTCGTTGAGCAGGGCGTCGGCAGTGGACTGGCTCAGCGGGAAGCTGTACTTGACCTCACCGCAGCCCTTGGTCTGGCATCGGTGGCCAAAGCCGACAGTCGGCAGGCCGATGGGGTCAGGCGAGGGGGCTGCCTCGAATTTGTTGGAGCTCTCATACTCTTTGATCAGGCTGACAGCTGCAGAGTTCAGAGTCCTGCAGAACCCGCTGCTGCCAGTGCTGCCGGTGTTGCCGGTGTTGCCGGTGCTGCCAGTGTTGCCAGTGTTGCCAATGTTGCCAGTGTTTCCACCAGATGCACCACACTTGTCAGCGACGTAGCTGCTGGATCCGGTTTTGACATAGTAGTCGGCAACATAGCACCCGTCCTGGGTTTTGTCCCACAGCGAATCGCCCTTGATTGATTCACCTTCGGTCTGGCAGGAGAGCGTGACGTCGTCGCCACTGCTGTATGAGCGGACAACACCGTAGCTTGTGCCAGGGCCAGAGCGGCAGTTGACGTTGTTTCCCTTGATGGCATACCCGGATGCAACCTGGGAGAGGGAGACGAGGGCAATGGCAGAGATGGAAGAGATCTTCATGGCTGTATGTTGAAGGGTTTTTGCGGTTATGTAAAAGCTAATGTTTTTGTTGGAATCCGAGTGTTGATGCTCTTTCCACTTTTCGCTGGAAGATTCCTCTGGCTTTTATATGCGTGCTCAGTTACCAGCTCATCACCAGTGCACGGTCATGATATGCACAAGCGCCATGTGTGCCTGCTGACTAAAGGCTTGGGGTGTAATTTTAGAAAAATCACGAAAGACCATCGGCGCTATTATTAGTCCATCACCCAGTTTGACCAAGTCGGTGCAAGGTGAATACATTGGCACAGATGCATGCAGCAAGATGAAAGCAGGCTTTGCATAGTGCAAAGACATGGCAGCAGGGCTGAGCAGCAGCGGAGCTTGAAAAGCCAGTGGTGCTAAAAATACCTTGCTCTTGCAGTTTTGTGTTGATTCCTGGTTCTCCTACTACAGGCGCAGATACAAATATGGGGAAGGGACAACTATTACATAACCAGTCTCAAGCAGGCCGGATTGAAATCCCGATGGGAACCGGAATAATCCACTTGCTAAAAATACATGCTGCCTGGGATGCAGAAGCCACTGGGTATCAGGTGTGCTGTGTGCTTGACACAAAGAAAAAGAATGCAAAGACATGGTGTGAGGCTACGTGTAGACCTACCGCAGTCGTCTACATTATAGTCGTGATCTACGAGCATGTATCTGAGATATATAAGGAGTTTGGATAGCAACAGTGCCGTTAATGAGGAGCACAGACATGGTAGAACAGAGTGCCACAGTGCAGGCACCATGGCCATGAGGCAGGCAGTCGGTTTTATTTGTCTCAACTGCTATAGTCTGGATACTATTCTGTGGATATACTGGATTGGACATATGTCTTCATAGCAGTGTGGTGTCGTCTGGCATGGCCATGCTGGGCAGTATTAAAGAAGGCTATATGTGACCACACACGAGCAGTGCGCAAGTATATTGTAGATTGGTTTTCAGTTCTGCCATGGCGCAAAACAGATATAGTGCTGCAGTATATATTTGTCGACAGATTACAAAGACTAGATATCAAACTCCACAAAACAGAGTGTCAGACATGGGAGATTCCCATCAGTGGATCCAGAAGACCTGGGCGTTGGCCGAAGCGACGGCGACAGCAGCGATGGCGAGGATAGTAGCGTAGGCGTTCATTGTTGAAGTTGGTTGGGTACTGAGGAGTTGCTGGTTGGTGTTGGTGGAAGACGAGTTGGCGGGGGTGTCTTGCCTTTTATATATGTGGACGGATGACTGCCATGCCCAAGCAGCAGATATGCATTCTCGCTGAATACCGATTGTGCCAATTATATGCATTTATAAAATTGGGTATAGTCCTTGAAAACACTTACCGTAGAAAGGACATGCATGCACTCATATTCACTCCCAATAGCGTGGGCTGCGATTGCCGCAATAAGTGCTGGGAGCATGCCATTTCGGATATCAGCACATGTTCTTATACCACTACAAAGGGAAATCCCAGTCATTTTTGATGTCACGATACGCTGTCAATTGGTGCAATTGGTGCAATTGGGAAATGCAAAGTCGTGTACAAGACAAGGATATCGTCAGCTAATAAGGGATGCCATTCTGTCAATTGCATGTGCAATCCAGCAATTGTGTGCCACTGCAGGGTGCAATGGTGCATAGATGATTCTGGTGCCTGTATTGAGACTGGAACTCAGCCCGCTGATCATGGTTCTGTGGATCTGAATCGTCAATTGGTACGCCATTACTCCGATGATGTTTCTACACCAACACTTGCACTGGAATGAAGGCGACCTGGGTATCTGCCAAGAAAACCATCTTCTTTTTGCTTTGCGCCGTATAGTCGTACAACTAGTTCAACGATAACAAAATTGCTGGATTTCTCATCACTTTAGATATAGCCAGACCATCTATGACACTTTGCTGATGACGGATACTACTACCAGATACTACAGGTGATGCGCCAATAGCCACCACAAATCCGTAATCATATCGACAATTCAGCATCCACCAGTTGCTGATTTCTGAAGGCTGTTTGCAATGCTGATGGGCGAGTAGTTGCTTGCCTGCTATGCAGTCGGCCTGATGCTGGCATCGTAGCCGTGGCAAATGGTGGACATTCGCATATCTCCAGAACTCTGCTCACAATAAATGGCAGCAAGAGCACCTACCGCGTTCTTTCCTACTTCATTACTATTCACTTGTCTATTTTTCTGCCAGTTTTCATACCAGCCTTCTGCCATGCCTTCACATCCCCAAAGCTTGCCTAAAACCTGCACATCTCCATGCTAGAAAGGACTGTTGACTTTTGCGTTTTGTGAGCTCTGGTTGGTAGGCAAGTTATGAAACAATTAGGTCATGTTCCACATTTGCATGTACCCGAGACACTTCTCTCGTGCTGCCATTGGAGAGAAGTTCCTACCAAAATCTGTATGGAAATGCCTTCTGGCGCAGTGATCCGAACCCTTCTGCCTCCACCAACAATAGCTACAACCGATACTCACTGGTAGATTTTTACGGCAGTTTGTCATGGAAGTACTCCATGCGCCATAGCATTAACAGTTTACTGGAGCGGCTTTATGGCATACTATCGTTTAATAGACCCAGTCCCTCTAGAACCCCCCATGTGCCTACCGAAATGCCTGTCGGCCACTGCGGCGCTGATCGACCTTCCCCTTTCTGAGGATAGTGACAATGTGAGCCCTTGTCGTGAATTTCCCATTTCCAAATTCCTCTGTAGCGATATATCCAGCTGCTCTCAGGATAGCTCCGAGGCTTGTTTTCTTGCGCAACTTCAGCTGCAGTACGTGGCCAGAAATGTAGAATGCAGTGCTTTCTACCTGCAGCTCTGTCAAAATTGTGCGCCTTGGCGTTTGCATCTGTATCTACACAGTCACATGAGGTCAAGATCAAGACTATTTGGCGTAGCGCCCCATCCCAAAACACCTTAGCGTCAGAAGCTCCTCTCATAAAGTATTTGCAATGGTGACTACAAGCGACGATGGTATCCCTATTGTGTATCCTCACATATGGCCATTGAGGCTACGCTATCGCATTGAGAATCCAGTGGATACAACTGAACCTGATCCACTGCCTGGCATTCCACTCCTTGCTCTCAAAAGATTGGTGATCGTGTGCAGGTATCGATTCAATAACGATGTCCTTTCAAGGGAATGACCCTTCACTGGAGGCTCAGTACATGCAGCTACGCCCTCGAACGGCTTCGACCCTGCGTGAGTGTGGTATTTTCTGTAGCAATCGACTTTCTGGACTCCAACAATTCGGAATGGATATATCAGACTGTAGAGTTGGTGGCAGGATTCAGCGCTGTGCGGGTTTTTGTGAGGTGCCAGAGTGCCTATTCATTATTGCTCCTGGAGCAAGAGTTCTGAAAGCTAGTAGGCATGGGGAAATCCAGCACCATTTCTGTACCTATTGGTCTCATCAGTCAGAATATTGAGATCCTGGACATGCCAAATATCTACTTCACACTTCACCAGCTATTTCGAGTGTCCAAGCACCTACCATACCTCAAGCAGCTGAAACCTGATATCGATCTGACAGATATACTGCATGCAAATGGTGGTATCCATAGAGGATGTCATGATGTATGCCATACTCGTAGGGAACAAGTAGAGGAACCAAGGCGGATAGCGGTCTATTTATTTTGTGGCCGCACAAATGTTATGAGCTCATCAGCCCCATGTTCGGCCATCTGGATGAGAGTTGCTCGGATATGGATATTGCCAAACGACTGGATATTCAGCGCTATTCTCTGTTTACAAGGCTGGCTGGTATGGAAGCGACATGGGATAACTGAGTAGATGGACGCGTGCAAAACAGCAGCTATTCCCTTGGCACTCTGCCCAGCTATCAGATATAGGAAAACATATACCAGCAACTAAATCCTCACACTTTCCTTGATCAAGCCTGGTGCTCAAGTGCTGACCTCATGGCGATTGCATGGACAAACCACCACCAAGAGTTTACTCGTCGTCTTGAAGTTGCAGCACCCGCTGCTCAATCCAGATTAGAACATTCTCACAAATAAGCGCTCCCCCTGTTCATATCAAATGCAATTAACTGTAGTGGAATGGCAGTTTATATTCAGAAGTATGTGTAAAAAAGAGTAGATCGCATAAACACGCATATTAGCGGGTGACAAATTCGATAACTCTGCGAGCATCGCCGTTATACACGTCAAGCAACGAAGCCAGGTGCGCCTCAGTGCAGTCATAGCCCATCTCCTTGATCTTAATCTTCAAGCAGTGGGGGCACGCAACTGTATCGCCCATGCACAGTGCCTTGCTCGGGAAATCGCCTGGATTCCCAAACCTGAACTTGAAATCCTCGACACTGTACCCAATTGACGGTGTGAACGGCGACATCATGAAGCGTGGCCGCGAAAATGACGATGGCATGCCGGTCTCAGCAAACCCCTGCTGAAAGAACCCGTTGTTATATGGACCGGTGGTCACAACGAATCCAGAGCTAAGATCATCGACACGGATTGCGCCATGGTGGTGGTGGTGGTGATGGTGGCTGCCGTGATGCGCTGTTTCACATATATCGATCTTGATAACCTCCTCGTTGCTGGGTTTCTTCTTCTTCACCACAGACTCTTCGACCTTGACCGTGACCTTTTCTTCCACAAGCTCTCCCTTGGACTTCTCTTCGACATCGACCTTGAGGTGGATACTCTCGTCCTTCTTGTCATCCTTCTTCTCGTCCTTCTTCTCGTCAACCTTGACATCAACCTTGGTCGTCTCCTCCTCAGACTTCTTGACCTCAACATTGACATCGATTTTCTCCTCAGATTTCTTCTCGTCCTTCTTCTCGTCGACCTTGACATCTATGTCTACATCCACCTTGGTCTCGGGTTTCGTCTCGGGCTTCATCTCGGACTTGTCGTCAAAGATATCAATAGAGATTGTCTCAATGTCTGCCGTCTCCTCGACCTTCTCTTCAGCCACCTCCTCAATCGTCGTACTTGTCTGTACATTTGTTTTCACCTCAGTCTTGGCATCAGCCTTGGTTTCAGTCTTGATGTCGACCTCTACCTTGGTTGCAGACTCCTCCTTCTCCTTTGCCTCCTTCTTGTTAGTCTCCTGGAGCTCTGCATGCAAACGGCCCATGGCCAAACGATGATCCTCGCCCATCTTCACCATCGACTGCGTGATAGTGGCCACTGTCTCCTGCAGCTTTCTGATTGCTGCCTCCAGGCTCTCGCTCCCCGTGTCCTGTGAGCTATCAGGCCGCTTAACAACCGTCGTGGTAACAACCTCGACCATCTCCTTGCCGGTTGCTGTCTCCTCAATACCAATGGCGGTCTCTATGGCTTCCTCGTGTTTGCCATGAGGGTGCTTTGGCGGCTTGGTGGTCTTCTTGGCGTTAACTTTGACCTTGTACTCGTCCAGCTCCTCTTGGAGCTCGTCGATCACCTCAACCTTGACCTTGTCGACCTTCTGTTCCACCTTCGTCTTGGTTTCCTCAACTTTGGTCTTGGCCTCCTCGACCTTGGCGCCGACCGAGCTGGCGGCTTCTACAACAGTCTCCTCGATGTCCTCGATGTCCTCGATGGCCTCATCTACTGTTTGGTCGGCTTTGACAGCGGCAGCAACGGCAGCCGCAGAGGCAGCAGCCATAGCGTGCTCGGTGAGCTTCTCGATGCTGTCGGAGTTGCTGCTGACTTTGGGCTTCTCCAGCATCTCCTGCTTCTTGCTATCCTGCTTCTTGCTATCCTGCTTCTTGATTTTCTGCTTCTGGTCCTCCATCTGGATATTGGTCAGATCCAGCGAGGACTCGGACGAATCGCTCTCGTACTCGTTGATCACTAAGGACTGGAACTGCGATGGCGTGTGTGACGACCCCCAGATGCTCGCAACATTTTCGATAGCAGCGCTGTTGTTACCGTTGAACTGCACGATCTTGAGCTGGAATCGACTGCCCGGCTCAAATAGCCGGAACATCTCATGCATGTTGTCTGTGCATGCCACGCCAATCTCCTGGTCGTCTGGGTCCTTGTACATGAGAATGTACTGACCGTGTTGCGACATCCGCAGCTTATCGGCAACCTACGCATCAGTATTTCCCGATTTAGCAACAAAAAACACTCACACAGAGCTGCATTCCATTCCATGGCACCTCGTGTGTACCAAGAAACTGGTTTTTGCGTATGTACACGTACCCGATGCACAAGGCTCTCGAATTTCTCCATCGGATTCACATCCACCATTGTCGCGTCGCCCTTGGCATTGACAAACTTCACTCTGAACGGCTCGCCGCCACCAGCTGACCCTGCCCGCGTGGTCCCGCGCACGCTGGCCACCGAGTCCTTCGGCATCGCCCGCGACACTGTTGTGGCCGACTGGTAGGGTGTGGGCGACTGCTGCGGCTCGTCGCTGGAGCTGCCGCTGGACTCTGCGGCCTTGCCCTTCTTGCTCCTTACTTTACGCAGCTTGCTCCGAATGCCGCGGATAAATCCCTCTTCTTTGGCACCCGAGCCGCTTTTGCTCGGCTTCTCGGGCTTGTTGCTGTCGCTTGCATCCGACATTTCGGTATAAGCTGCTGGAATGTCCAAAAAAAAAAAAACTATTTCAAGGAAAATGGCAGAGTAGCATAAAGGTGAAGCAAAGGGGAGCTCAGAGTCTGGCGCCCCCTACTGCCCTGGCAAGGCAATTTGCGCATACAGGGCGGCTCCTAATTTCGCTCCCCCTTCGCTTGGACCACCTGTCCATGGACAATAGCTGGGGGTAATGCCAGGGCCCTACTTTCTTTCGCACTCCTCATGGTATAGTGCACGTTGCAACGGACTGGATAATTAGGGTGTACGCGGGCAATCTTCTCCCCCATACGTGCATCACATCAACCTCTCCTCACACGCACTACAGCTGTCCAGCTGACCTGCTCTGCTGGTTCGTTTCAATCTCCGCAGTTGCTTGATTTTCTTCTGTACACCCTATCTTCCCGTATCATGAAAGTTGTCATTGTGACCGGCGCATCCAAGGGAATAGGCAGGAGTGCCGCCCAGCACCTGCTCTCACCAGGGCGTCTGCGTGGTCGGCGTGGCCCGCACCGCCTCCGCCCTCACTGAGCTTCAATCATCCTCGTCGCAGTTTATCGGCGTTACCGGAGACATCAGCGACGACTTCCGTGCAGGACCGCGCTGTCGGCGTAGCACGCTCCTTGGGCGATATCGTCGGGATTGTCAACAATGCCGCGATAGTGTCGCCAACCGGCCCAATCCTGGAGGCAACCACCGAGCAGTGGCAGCGCATCCTCGGAAATCAATCTACTGGCTCCTCTGGCGCTAACTACCAAATCCATTGAGGACCTGAAAAGGAACAAGGGCAACGTCATTAACGTTACTTCGTCGACCAGCCAGGCGCCCGTGCCGGCATTCGGCCCGTATGGAGTTACCAAGGTGTCGCTGAACTATGTTTCAAAGGCCATCAGCGTCGAGTACCCTGAGATCACCTGTCTGGCGTTCTATCCGGGCGTCGTGGACACGGATATGAACCAGGATGCAATTGATGCGGTTACAAGGTACGCAGGGAAGCGGCAATGGCGGCGACATGTCTGGAGCCACCAAGAAGCTTGCTCACCCCATCTCAGCCGACCTGCCGGGCCGCATTATCGCCAATCTGGCTCTGCGGGCCAGCCACGAGCTCACCGGCCAATACTACGTGTACAGCGACAGCGCCATGGCACCATACAGCACCTAGCTATTTATTTTTAACATTCTATTGCACAAACCGCACCAAAACAAGATCCTTGCCAACCGACACCGCAATGCCCTGGCTGCCAAGCATCCATCCGTCCTGCACAACCATGCGCTTCATGGACAGCGTAAACAATGGCTCGATATCTGGCATCCGGCACACGAGCACTTTCCGCCGACACGGCGACAGCAACGCGCACTTCCGTACCGACCCGCACAACCACACCCAGCCCTTTGGGAACCTGCGCGTATGCAGCTCCCGCCCACCCGCATTCATTGCGTAGAATGCAACACCTGTGGGCGATGGCAGGACAAAGCACGGCGGTGCACGTGGCGGCAGAGACCTGCGCTACCACAGATTCCTGCCATCGCCAGGACACAGTCCCCGGCAGGTGCAGCTGGCTGCCAAGCTTTGACGCTGTGCCGCTGGCGGGCTGCAGCCAGATGCCGCTGCCGGAGCGCGTCACTACTAGCCCAGAGCCATTGTCTACCCATCGCATGTGCTGGACCTGGTCTGGCATGTCGAACTTGCCGCCTTGCACAGTGCTCGGTGCGCCGACTGCACTGACCTGCCAGTACCACACGGTGCTGTCGGTTGCACTGCTCACTGCGGCCATGACAAATCCCGTGCTGCGCAATCACCTCGCCAACTGTGCCCACATCCTGGCGCTTCCGCTTCTCCCCTGTGCAGGTATCGCTGGTAAGTTCGAGATCTATCTCTCGTACTCGCTTGCCCTCACATTCCAAATCAACAAGAACCAATACCAGCCGGCTAACCCGAACGCATACGACACCATATACACGGTGGTTCACCCACCATGTGCATCGCACATTGCCAAGGAACGAATGCGCGCTTTGACACACTGAATCAGCGCTTGATCGCAGACACCTTGTTTGCTGTGTGTTCTATAACCCAGTACTTCGACCCCGGCGACGCAACAACCTGCCGCGGTGGCGAAGAGCAGTGGTGGAAGATGAACTGCAGGTTCGATTGCTTTGCCATTCGGCTCCACTGATACCTGCGGTAGGCGCTGAGACTCTTGTATCCAACTCGACTGCTGTAGCCTCTACCAAAAGTAAAGTGAGGGTTAGTGGCGGGCAAGGGTCCTCTCGACAAACGCTTTAAGAGCATCCTCTACCTTTAGTGTTCTTGTCGCTAGGCGTTCCTTCAAACTCCATATTGAGAAAGCCAATGTCCGAGCTCTGTGCCCGCTTCAGCAGGGCGTAGCGTGGTGCCTACAAATGCATTCCAGAAAATGGTCTGAATTTCCGCAGCCACGCTGGGCCATTCTCATTCTCCCCTCCGTTGCTTGTCAAAACTCGACCGCGTACCTTTGCTGCAGCCAGCCCCACCTGTGAGCTCTCCGAGTCACTTGCGCATAGAAACATTAAATAGACAAGAAATAATACTGTGTATTGAAAGAGCCAAAGGGGTTTAGAAGACAGTCCAGGATGGGAGAAGCGCTGGGCTAATAGCCGGTATGCTTTTGTGCTGATCGCCGATTACACCAAATCACCCCATATCCACGACCACCGGCGCATACTCGCCCTCCTCGGCATCCGCCAGCTCCTGCAGCTGCGGGCCCTCCATCAAGGTCCAACTGAACCTGTCCCGGAGGAACACGCGCAGCCGGCCGATCTCCTGGTCCAGCTCACCAACGTCCATCTCGTAAGCATTGAGCACCAGCTCATTGAGGATTTGCGCCACGAAGTTATCGCTCTCGAGCACCTCGGTGACGAAACTGCGCGGGCAGTCCGTCAGCTGGCGCATGAACACCCTAAGCATAGGCACGACCAAATCCGCAGCCATGTCTTTCAGCGCCTCGCGGCTGCCCAGCACCAAGTGCAGAAGCCGCTTCCAGTGCTCGAACCCGGCAAAGTTCTGCCCGACAAAGATGATCAGGAACGCCAGCTGGAACTCTCCCAGCAGCTCCTGCTCGCCATGCCAGATTTCCCTGAGACAGTGGCGCAAAAGCCAGGACTTGTCTTGGCTGTACTTTTGGAGTTCCGTTCCGGTAGCACCCGCTGGGAATGAGCGCCGGATGTTGATGTGCGGGAAGTCGAACCGGTCGGCTAGGTCTGTATCCAGAGCGGGGTGGGGCGTATGGGGGTAGGCGCGCGCCAGCATTTTTTGCGCCAGCGCCATTTCCTCGTCCTCGTAGCGGGAGCCGGTAGCTGACGTAAATGCATGGTTTCCGGGCATAATGCGCGCAAGCATCGCGCCGGTGATGCTGCTGGTCAGATACAGCCACCGGCGGTACATCGAGTCGTGGTCGGTGGAGAGCGGGTAAGCACCAAGATTGGCATCCAATTGCCTGATGTTCATTTTGATCCGCTCCGCCTCGGCTCCCGCGACGGGCTCCATTAGTTCGGTTTCCGGATTCCACTTTTGCACAACCACCTAATGAAAAGCGGGATATTAGAATTGATCTCGCTGCAAGCTACATATTTTCGCGAAATTGCTTTACCTCTTTTGAAACAAATTCGTGGAAGAACCCGCTACGCATGCCCGCTTGGCTATCGGTATTCACCGCACTACATAAAGGTGAAGAGAATTAGCCATCCAATGAATGGCGGTGTTTGGGAGATGAACTGCACAAGGGACAATCTTACCTGTAGTGGACATAATGTATGCCGGGCGGAATCATTTTGATGCCCTTAAATAATGGCCCTGTTTCCCATGTATCCAAGTCGACGCCAAACTCCATGCCGGCTGGTGCCCCGAGAACCACAAGGCAGCCGCCGGCTTCAAACAATGCGCGCGCTGTGTCCTGGTCCATTTGCTTTATGAAGCAATAAAGAAAAGGGCAATTCCCGAATATGATATCGATAAGAAAAATGAATCGTCCTGTTTTTGCCCATTTTTGGAAGGCAGGGCTGCCATCACCCCCAGGTGACAAATAGATATTTTTATGGTGACCACATCCATGTCACTCCTCTTGTGGAACAGTAGCATTACGTGCTGTGTGATATGCAGCACCGATCCATACCAATGCTCTCTTTAAGCAAGGTCCGTGACGCTCCTTCCTCCAACGGATTTAGGAAATACATGCCGTGATTTAGAATAAAAACACCCTCCCAGGCGCCTCCATTTATCCAAAAGAATAAAACTAAGGATATCTGTAGATTCTTGCAGCAGCCTATTTAAAGTGCACTGTCCCCTCTGCCAAAATTACCTTTTCCCTCTTGTTTTTTCTTTCACTCTATTTTTAATTTCTACACTATAAACATGAGAAGGCGGACGGATTCGGCAGCTGTCGAGCGCGGCATATTCGAAAGTGATAACATACGACAACGGCAGCAGTAAGTGGCATAGCCCTGCCTCTTATTTTTCTCTCTCCGCTCCCACATCCTACTAACCCGCTAGTGCAAATAGCCGAGCTTGAGCGGCACCGGGAACTCATGGGGCTTGGCGATTGCGCAGGCTAACTACGCGCCGATCCAAACTACGTGGTTTCAGGGTGGGCACGGTGATACTACATGGCAACCAGATCATCGCGACGGGCCATACGCTGGCGGATGGGCAGCATGCAGCAATGGTGGCTATTGGGGGAGCGCGGCGCACGGAGTTGTTGCGGGGCGCGACAATGTATACGACGATGGAGCCGTGCTCGATGCATGGCCGGACAGCATAGGTCGTGCACGGAGCGCATCGTCGAGGCCGGGGTTGCGTGCGTGGTGATTGGGGTGAAGGAGCCGACGACGTTTGAGAACTGCAATGGCGTGGAGGAATTGCGTGTGGCGGGCGTCGACGTGGTGCATCTGAAGTTCCTGGAGGAGGAGTGCTTGCGGACCAACATCCATCTGCTGGCTGGAGAGTAGAAGGAAAAAAAGAGGGAGGACAGTGCTCCATTGACTTCTGTTCCCCTCCTTTGACGTAATGAAACAAATAAAATAAAATGAGATCATCAACTGTGAAATGAGGGAGCGGCGGAAAGGGGCATACACTCACCGGCACAAGAAAGAGCGCCCGGTGCTCTCTCCCCCATTTCAGACCCCGCATAGAGTTCCGTCATATAATTTTTTGGTTCAGACATATTAGAGGGGGATGGCCCGAAAGACGATCCTCATCCAGCAACAGAAAAAGAAGATAAGCTGCTAGTAAATCCTTGTCATGGCTGGGCGCCCTGGCCGGCATACGAGTTCGGCACAATGCCATTCGGGTCCTTCTCCGCCAGCTGGCGGTAGTACTGGGCGTACTGGGCATACTCTGGGTACTGCGACGCATACTGGGCGTAGTAATCAGCGGTCTGCTGGTTCGTCCACTGGCCGCTCTGCGCAGCCGGCTGCTGCTCTGCCGGCTGCTGCTGCTGCTGCTGGGCGGGCTGGTATGCAGGCTGCTGGTATCCGCCGTACGGCTGCTGCTGGGGCTGCTGCTGTGCACCATAGTACTGCTGGGAATTGCCCCACTGCTGCTGCTGGTACCCGCCGTATTGCTGCTGCTGCTGCTGCTGCTGTTGCTGCTGCTGCTGCTGGGGAGGCGGCTGTGTCTGAGGCGGCTGCTGATAGCCGCCGTAGCCGCCGCTGTTGCCTGGCATTGCGATGGCCGTATCCCTGATGAGGGCCGCCCACGGCCAAATGCATCGCCACTGCCCTGGCGGTCCTAGTCGATCATTTTTAGAGTGGAACCCCCAAGAGTGTGTTCCGCCAAGTGACAATATGGCCAAAAATAAACAGTAACGCGCGAGAAGGTGAAGGTGATTCCAAATGCAGGCAAAAATAACGAGGGAGAGAAATCCAAATGTGTTGCATTATCACAGACATGATGGGATAATAGCATGGCAACGTTGGTTGGGAGTGAAAAATAAGCCAGCAAGCAAACATCACGGGGAGGGAGGGCAAACATACAAAAAGGTAAGAAAGAGGTTAGGTGGAGTGTAAGTACAAGGGGAGCAGTAGCACACAAGTTCCAGGCCATGGGTAGCAGCAGCGATGGCAGTGGTATAGGGTGGGTGGGGGAACTGGGCCTCTTGCAGCATGTCTTTTTTGCATATACGACATAAACTTACCTGGGCAAATTAACACACAGAAAAGGACCAGCAGGGGATTCCCCTCCCCTCTACCACACACAAAGTCGCACCGCAAAACACCACAGCAAGGCATATACAGAAAGCAACATATTTACCTGGACACTGGCGACCTTCTCCTCGATCATCTGGCGCGCGCGCTGGCAGGCGCCGGGACTGCCGCTGATAGTGACAGGCTTGAACGGCGCGCTGCGGTCCTGGCCCTGGATGATCTGGATGCGGGCGCCCGACGCCTGCTGCAAGTACTTTATAGTCTCGCCGCCACGGCCAATCACAATACCAACGGCCTCTGCCGGCACCTCCATGTTTTCGGTCGTCTGCGGGCTCCTGGAACTGCACTGGCGGCGGCTGGAAGCGCTGCTCCTGCGGCGGCGGCGGCGCATATCCACGGTTGCCATAGCCGGCGTCCTGCTGCGGGAAGCCGCGGTAGCTGCCCTGCTCGCCACCGACAATCTCCATGATCCGGGCCTGCGCAATCTCGATCTGCTCCGGCGTGCCGATCAAGTGGACCGGCCGCTCGGGAGCATTGCGGTCGGCGTCCTGCTGCACCTGCACCCGGGCCCCCGACATCGCCTGGATAGTTGCGGATGCTCTCGCCGCCCTTGCCGATGATCAGGCCGACGCGCGCACTGGGCACCATCACCGTGACGGTCTCCTCCTGCAGCTCGAAGTGCTGCGGCGGTGGCTGCCGCCGCTGCTGCTGCTCCTTGCTTGCCACGTGTCGTTCAATCGTATCCAGCACAGCCTGCTTGGCGGCCTGGCAGCAGTCGGGCGGGCCCTCGATGATGATGCGGCGCTCGGGGTCGCGCTTATCCGCATCGGCGTTGACCTGCACGCGCACGCCATGCTGCTGCTCGATATGCCGCAGATTCTCGCCCTTCCTGCCAATCACCAGGCCGACATAGCGCGCCGGAACAGTAAACTCCAGCGCGTCCTCGTAGCGGCGTTGGCGCTGCGGGCGCATCGTCCGGTCGGACGACCGGTCGCGCTTGTAGCCGCGCGGGGCTTCGGGCTGGTCCGAGGGAGAGGCGCTGCGGCGGAAACTGTCGTAGGAGCGCTTGCGTGGCGGCGAATTCCGCCGGTCGAGATCTTCGGTGGGATGCGCGTCGGCAGGCGGATCCGGTTGGCTGGGGGCAAAGGAAGGGAGAGGAGGCTGGCTGATGGATCCCAGCTTCAGGGCAATGGCGCGTGCTTTAGCGAGCGCGTCGTTCATTTCGACGCCAGTGGGGGCTTCTGTCCGGGGAATCACAGGCTCGGGCTCGCGCTCGCGCTCACCGGGTTGCTCAGCTGGCTCGGCAGGTTGCTCAGTTGGCTGGCTGTGTTGCTCAACCTGCTCGCCTGGATTGCTCAGCCTGGTCAGCGACATTATCGATTGGTTCGGGAGCCGATTCGACGGCCACCTCCTCCGGCTGCTGCTGCTGCTGGCTGCTGCTGCTGCTGCTGCTGCTCAATTGCTGACGACTCGCTAGTGGCAGACGGCGACGGGCTTTGCTCTTTGTCCGACATTTAAAACAAGGCTGTAAAAAGAGAAAAATAAACAAGCGGGTAATCAGGCAATCAGGAAAAGTAAGCTGTCTGGAACGAAAAGAGCGAGTACGCGCATCAAAAACGGCTAGTTGCTGAAAAATAGCGCTTTATTTGAGGGAAAATTTTTTGAACAAGGTTACACAAGGTGCTAAATCAAAAAAATGGATCAGAATGAAAACACGCCTACGAGCTCTCTACTGCGAGGGCAGTGACAGTACGCGGGACAATGCCGCCGGACACCGGTAGATGCGAGACACTTTTGCTAAGTAGATACTGGTCGATCTCGCGCGCCGCCTGGCGGCCCTCGTTAATGCCCCAGACGACAAGACTCTGCCCACGGCGGCAGTCGCCCGCCGCAAACACACCAGAGACACTAGTGCAGTACTTGCCCTGCGGAGTCTCAATGTTGGAGCGCGCCGACTGCTTCACCTGCAGCTCCTCAATGACCTTATTCTCGGGGCCCAGGAACCCCATGGCCAAAAACACCAGGTCCGCCTGATACAGCTCCTCGGACCCAGGCACCTTCCGCCATGCTCCACCGGCCGTCCTGCTTGGTCCACTCGACGCGCACCGTCTCGATGCCGGTCACGCATCCGCTCTCTCCGACAAAGCGCTTGGCCGAAATGCAGTACTCGCGCGGGTCCTTGCCAAACCTGGTGACGACCTCCTCGTGGCCCGTAGTCGACGCGGTACACGCGCGGGTACTGTGGCCACGGATTATCCGAGGCGCGCTGCTTGGGCGGCATCGGCAGAAGCTCAAAGTTCACAACCGACTGGGCGCCGTGCCTGACAGCCGTGCCAATGCAGTCGTTGCCAGTATCGCCGCCGCCTATCACCACCACGCGCTTGCCGTGGGCCGAAATGCCCAAGGGCTTCTGCTTATCCAGAAGCGTCTTGGTGTTGCCGGTCCAGGTACTCCATGGCGAAGTGGATGCCATCCAGCGAGCGCCCGTCGATAGGCAGGTCGCGCGGCCACGTGGCGCCGGTGGCCAACAGCAGGGCGTCATGCTGGGTTTGCAGGTCGCTGGCTGCGTGGGTGACGCCGACGTGGGCGTTGGTAACGAAGGCGACGCCCTCTTGCATGAGCTTGTCGATACGCCTTGTCACCAGGCGCTTGTCCAGCTTCATGTTCGGAATGCCGTACGTAAGCAGTCCGCCGGCACGGTCCTCGCGCTCATAAACCGTCACGGAATGGCCCGCCTGGTTCAGCTGCTCAGCTGCCGCCAGTCCGGCGGGGCCCGACCCGACAATGGCCACCGAGCAACCGGTCCTTACAGCCGGCGGCGTGGGCTGCATCCATCCCATCTCCCACGCATGGTCAATAATGGCTGCCTTCGATCGACTTGATAGCCACCGGCAATTCGCTGATCCCCGCCACACATGCGCCCTCGCATGGCGCCGGGCACACGCGACCGGTGAACTCTGGGAAGTTGTTGGTGGCCATCAGCCGGTCGAAGGCCGCGCGCCACTGGTCCTTGAACACCAGTTCGTTCCATTTCGGAATCACGTTGCCAATCGGACATCCGTCCTGGTCGGACTGGCAGAACGGCACGCCGCAGTCAATGCACCGGGACGCCTGCACCTGCAGCTGGCTCTTGGACTGCCGCGCCGAGATCTCGTCCCAGTCGTTGACCCGGCGCCGCGCGTTGCGGTACTTGTCTGCGCGCCGCTTGTATTTGGCGAACCCGCGCAGCTTGTCCAGCTTAGCGAACCGGTCCTTGAGCTGCGTGTCGTCCACCAGCGCGTCCTCGATGTCCACCAGGCCATCATTCACCACGGTCTTCTCTGAGTCTGAGCCATCCGACAGCTGGTGCTTGTGCGTAGCAGCCTTAGCAGCCTCTTCCTCTTCCTCGCGCAGCACGCGCTTGTAGTCGCGCGGGAACACCTTGACGAACTGCGGCAGCAGGCTGGCAAAATCCTCTGACCACCTCCTTGGCCTTCTTGGAGCCGGTCAGATCGGCATGCCGCTGGATCGTCAGCTTGAGCCACTCAGCCTCACTGCCATGTACTGTCTCCAGGTCAACGGACTCTGTGTTGCAGTTCATATGGAAATTGTCCGCCAGGACATATGCAATGCCAGCCTGACATGCCCGCTGCAAAGTTCCTGCCCACATTGCCCAGCACCACCACGCGCCCGCCAGTCATGTACTCGCACCCATGGTCGCCCACACCCTCGACCACCGCCAACGCACCGGAGTTGCGCACCGCAAAGCGCTCCGCCGCCACACCATTGAAGAAGGCCTCGCCGCTAGTCGCCCCGAACAAACACACATTGCCGACGATCGCATTTGTGCTGGCGTCGAACTGCGAGTTTCTTGGCGGATACACCACCAGCCGGCCGCCCGACAGCCCCTTGCCGACATAGTCGTTTGCGTCTCCCTCCAGGGAGATCGCCAGCCCCGGCGCCAGGAACGCACCCAATGACTGGCCCGCCGAGCCCCGCAGCTTCAAATGCACGGTGCCGGAGGGCAGGCCCGAAAGCCCGTGGGCAAGCGACACGTGGTACGACAGAATCGTGCCGAACGCCCGGTCCGTATTGCATATCTCCGTCCGATACTTCGGTGGGCTCGCCACCCTGCAGACTGGTCCACTAGCTGCGGCAGGAGGCGGGCGTCCTAGGCGGCTCTCGACTTGGTGGTCCTGGGCAAGCACATGGTATGTCGCCACTCCCGGCCGCATCGCATGCGCGGGCTTCAACAGCATGCTCAGATCCAACATGCCCTTAGCCGACGCATATCCATCGCGCACCCGCAGGTGCTCGGCGCGGCCCACCATTTCGTTGAAGGTGCGGAAGCCCAGCTGGGCCATCAGCGCACGGACGTCTTCGGCCAGGTAATGGAAGAAGTTGATCACATGTTCCGGCTGTCCTTGGAACTTCTTGCGCAGCTCCGGGTCCTGCGTGGCCACGCCCACCGCGCAGTTGTTCTGGTGGCAGCGCCTCAGGTACACACACCCAAGGGTGATCAAGGGTGTGGTGGCGAAGCCGAACTCCTCGGCGCCCAGCAGCGCCGCAATTGCCACGTCCTTACCAGTCTTGAGCTGCCCGTCGGTCTGCAGGACCACGCGGCCGCGCAGGTCATTCAGCACCAGGGTCTGGTGCGTCTCGGCCAGCCCGAGCTCCCACGGCAACCCTGTGTATTTGATGCCGGTCCAGCGCGCGGCACCCGTGCCGCCATCGTGGCCAGCAATCAGAATATGGTCAGCCAAGGCCTTGACTACGCCCTGAAGCCACCACGCCGACGCCGACCTCCGACACCTAGCTTGACAGAGACGCGCGCGCGCTGGTTGGCGCTCTTCAGATCGAAAATCAACTGCTTCAGGTCCTCGATCGAGTAGATGTCGTGGTGCGGCGGCGGCGACACAAGGCCGACACCCGGCGTCGTGTGGCGGGTCTTGGCAATCTCCCGCGACACCTTGGTGCCTGCCAGCTCACCTCCCTCGCCGGCCTTGGCGCCCTGGGCCATCTTGATCTGCAGTTCGTCGGCATCTGCCAGGTAATTGCTGGTGACGCCGAACCGTCCCGACGCCACCTGCTTGATCGCCGAGCGTTCGCTATCGCCGCTTGGCTTGATCACCGACCGCTCCGGGTCCTCGCCGCCCTCGCCCGAATTGCTCTTGCCGCCGAGCCGGTTCATGGCCACCGCCAAAGCCGTGTGCGCTTCCTTGGAGATCGACCCATACGACATGGCGCCGGTGCAGAATCCGCTTGACAATATTGGTCCACGGCTCCACCTCCTCGATCGGGATGGCCCGCGACGCATCCTGCTTGATATCCAGAAGCCCGCGGATCGTGCTGTTCCGGATGGACGCTGCTGACAGCTCAGTGTATTTTTGCCATGACGCTGCATTCTTGGTGCGTACTGCGTCCTGCAGGCTGGCGATGGAGCCGGGCGTGTTCACGTGGTTCTCGCCGCCGTTGCGCCAGTTGTACTCTCCCTCGTCGTTGATGGCCGCAATCTCCTTGACTATATTGCCATCGACATATGCGGCATTGTGGCGCGCCAATGCATCTGCGGCAAAGCCTGCCATGGTTGTGCCGCCGACGCGCGAGGCCGTGCCGACGAAACACTTGTCAATGACCTGCTGGGCCACGCCCAGGGCCTCGAAGATCTGCGCACCCTTATACGACTGCATGGTGGAAATGCCCATCTTCGACATGACCTTGCGGAACCCATCGTCGACTGCATACCGGTACCGCTCAATGAACTCTCCCACCGAATGGTCCACCAAGCACATGCTCGCGCTGCATCTTGGCAATGGCCTCATACACCATGTACGGACACACTGCGTCGACTCCATATCCGACCAATACACAGAAATGGTGCACCTCGCGCACCTCGCCCGACTCCACTAGCAATGCCACCTTGGCGCGCTGCTTGGCTGCCACCAGGTGGTGGTGCACGGCACCAGCCGCCAGAAGCGCGGATAATGCTACCCGCGATGGCCCGACGAGGCGGTCCGACAGAATCAGAACCTTGGCGCCATCTGTGATCGCCTGCAGTGCCTCGGAGCACACGCGGTCCAGCGCGCACTCGTACCCGCTGATGCCCTGCGCGACCTCATAGGTGGTGTCGAGAGTGCATCGACACCCAGCTTGGGTACTTGCTGGTCATGCTACGGATTGCCTCCAGCTCACCTGCTGGTCAGTACCGGCGAATCCAACGACAAGCGGTGAGTCTGCTGCTCCGACACCTCCAGTAGATTGCCCTCCGGCCCCACATGGCACCGCAGCGACATCACGATCTTCTCGCGGATCGGGTCGATCGGCGGATTCGTCACCTGTGCGAACAGCTCGCGGAAGTACTCGTACGGCAGCCTTGGGCTTTCGTCCAGGCACGCCAGCACCGTGTCGTTGCCCATCGACCCCAGCGGCTCCTTGCCGTTCTGCACCATCGGTCCCAGGATCAAATTCAGCTGCTCTGCCGAATATCCAAATACACGCAGCCGCCGGTCGCGTGAGATCGGCTCTTGGTCGATTGCCACTGGCTTTGCACTCACGGGCAATTGGCTCAGCGTGATCTGGTTCTGGTCCAGCCACTGCCGGAACGGCCGCCGCTGCGCAAATCCGAGCTTCAGCTTCTCGTCGTCTACTACCTCGCCTGCCTTGGTGTCCACCAGAAGCATCCGCCCGGGCATCAGCCGGCCCTTCGACTGCACCAGCTCCGGCGCAATCTTCACCGTGCCCACCTCTGACGCACAGATCATCCGGTCGTCCGTCGTGATGTAGTACCGGCACGGGCCGCAGCCCGTTGCGGTCCAGTGATGCTCCGCAGTACCGCCCGTCACTGAATGTGAACAGCGCCGGGCCATCCCACGGCTCCATGATGCATGATGCCCATTCGTAGAACGCACGCTTCTCCGCGGGCATCTGCGGATTGTTCTGCCACGCCTCGGGCACCATCACCATCACAGGCCTCGGGCATCGACAGTGACCCGCTTGTCACCAGCAGCTCCAGCACACTGTTGAATGCCGCACTGTCCGACCCATACTCGTCGATGATCGGGAAGATCTTGCTGATGTCACTGCCAAACGCACTCGACTTGAGCAGGCCCTCGCGCGCGCGCATCCAGTTCTTGTTTCCGCGCAGCGTGTTGATTTCACCTACCGCAGTTGCAAAGGATTATTATCGACGATTAGTTTTTTGCATGTACTGCGTGTGCTACCGATTGCTCACTGCAATGAGATGAGATGAGATGAGATTAGATGAGGGAGGGCGCATCCAGTTCTCGCACAAAAGAGCCTGCAATAATAAAAGGCAGCTTGGGGGGGACAAGGAGGCGTGGCTGGTAATAGACCTGGCCGAGCACAGTGGGCACAGAAAGATATTGATGAGCAATCCGCTAGACGGCCGACTGCCTCAGTGTCGACAGGGCCAGACCAGCTGCAGCAGAAAAACCTCTGCAAAATGGCTGGTCACAAGGGGGATTGCTCACACTGCCAAGCGTCCTCGCTTTTTTGGCCCATCGAAATTCCCTATTGGCCAGTTAATGCACGAAGCGCGCCGCTCAGGAACGAGATCGCGCTTTCATATGCTAGAAAAATAACTGCTGCGGGGAGTTTCTCCTCCCCGAAAACCTCCGAATGGTAACAGCTGCGCCTCCCTGTTTTTCGCCTTCCCCCGAATCGGAAGTGACACATCTACCATCACCCGAAATTGTAGGAAGCAGCATAGAGACAGATTTCTTTCGCTTACCGTTGTGTGCACACCAATGGAACGGCTGGGCGCGTTCCCATGACGGGAACGTGTTTGTGCTGAAGCGCGAATGCACCAATGCAAAATGCGTCTCGTAGTCGTCATCACGGAGGTCCGCATAATACTCGGGCACCTGGGCTGGCGTCAGCAGGCCCTTGTAGACAATGTTGCGCGTTGCCAGCGAGCAAATATAGAACCACCTGTCGAAGCCGATCTCATGCTGTGCGCGCTTGCGCACCACAAACAGCCTCTTCAACAGCTCGGTCCTCGTCGATCTGCTCCTCGAACGGCACAACCAGCGGCTGCATAACCAGCTGGCTCTCTAGCCCTGCCCACCGGCCCCAAAAGCTTGGAGTTGCGCGGCACCTGGCGCCAGGCGGCCACACTCAGGCCGGTTTCACTGGCGACCTTTTCGAAAATCCGCATGCTCTCGTTGCAGGACCTCAGCGTCGCTGTGGAAAAACAGGTTGCCGGTTGCGTACTGGCCAGGCACTGGCAGCTGGCAGGAGTGTTGGGCAAATGCCTTCGACAGGAACTTGTGCGGCATTGCGGTCATTATTCCCGCGCCGTCACCGTCGCGCTCATCGGCACCCACGGCGCCGCGGTGGCTCATGTTGCAGAGGAGGTCTTCCGAGTCGTGCAGGATCTTGTGCGAGGCGTGGCCCTTGATGTTGATGATGAAGCCAACACCGCATGCATCACGCTCGTTCTCGGGGTCGTACAGACCCTGCTTCTGCGGCATGGCGCCGGCCCAGCCATAGCCGCCGGGGATATTGGTCGCGGAGTCCAGAGTCATTGGATTGATGTTTGGGAATCTGATGTAGCTGCAAGATTGAGTTGAAATGTCACCCTCCGGGAGAAACGGGAAAAGTCCTTGGTAAGGAAGGATCTTGAAAGGAAATGCCTGTGAGAATCTGGGTAGTATATAGCCTAAATAAGTAGAAAAATATAAGCCAGCAATTGAAGAGGGTTGGGATGTTGTGAAGGAAGAGAACGCAGAAGACGCAACGCCTAGGAGACAGATGAAGAAAAATATACGCTGAGGAAGAAGGGCCGAGGCGATGTCTATTAATATTCAATGAAGCACCTATATTTCTTTTTCTTTTTTGCAAAAATGAGTAGCCAGGAAGGACGAGGACGAGGTGACGAGGAAGAGCGGCCGCGGCTTTTATACGAATTTTGGAGATGGATGAATAAAGGTTTTGCCTCGTAGCAGGGCAGCCGCGGGTTGGCCGCCAGATGTAGAGTAGCATACGGCTCGCAGGCCCTCCCTCTTCTTGGAAGGGGTCTAATAAGCTTTGACTGCACACAAAGACGCCCAAACATCCGACCCTGGGCTATTGGGGAAATATTCTTTTTCAGTAGCACGGATGTCCCTAGTGACTCCAAGAAAACGTAATGTGGCCGTCCACAAGGGGAGCTATTTCTTTTTTCGTCCATTCGCTCGGAGGGGCTCGGGACAGGAGATGAAATATGCCTTTGCATGCGTGCTTGCCGGCCATGGGACCCACCGGCTTCCGATGCGAAATGGAAATGCCTGGTCTGGCCTCAAAACTCGCCGGCTGTTGAAAACCAGCCTGTCATACCAGGGGAGTGACAATCCCCATGACACAGCATGCAGTGTCTTTTTTCCTCCCTCGAACGACGATCGCCATGCCGTTTTGGAACTGGAGCGCTGGAAAGAATCCGGGGACGGCTGCGGTGCCTCACACTGGAGCAGCGGCGGCAGGCGGAACGGGTCCTTCCTCCTGCCATGTACGCAGTGTAATATATGCAGACCTCGTGTCCTATTTACTGCCCGAGATGGGTCTGTGCTGAAGCAAGAGCCTCTTTAGCGCAAAGGCAGACCTTAGTCTTACGGGAAGGTGCAGGTACACTGCACCTTCCGTAAGAACATTGCCTGTACAAAGCGCTCAAGGCAGCACAAAAAGGTAATTGTTTTTCGTGTGATTGCTCAGAGGACCCACCTATCTGGCACCTTTGTTTGGTTGAACGAGTTTGCTGATGACGATTGATAAGGCATTGGTCTGCATGCGGGATAGGCGGCGAGATTTGGCCAATTTTCCGGTCGACTGGCGGCGAGGCCACCGATGGCAATGAGATAAAGCAGCAATGCTGAAAAGCGATTCCCCCGTACCTCCCAAGTAGTCCCGGCTTTCATGATGCCAGAATGTGCGATCATCACATGCGCATTATTTTTTCAACGCTTCTCCTTTCATGGTGACTCTTGCGGCTGCAATAGGAAGTGGGGGCAGGGGTAAACTAATGCTCCGACCAGGACATCCCAGCTGCTGTTCTGCATAGGCCCGTGATAGGATAAAAATGAGCCATGTTCGCAGTCACAGATGCTGTTGGCAAAGCAGTGACTTCATCCCTCCAGGACACGAAGAGATCTGCAGGTGCAAAATCTCCGTTTTGCTGATAAGATGAGTATTTGTTTTAAAAGTCCGACCTGAGTCAAGACGCACATTCCACCAGGTCAAAACGAAACAAAAAATCATCCTGAAATATCCCCTGGTGGCACGTCGAGGATATATTGCATTTCGCTCTGCCGGACATAATGCACCATTGCAGGAAAATATAACGACTTGCATGTGTATGGTTGTATTTTAGCGATTGGATGTTAACATGCCGTTCGGAACAATGGTGAACGGAGAAAATAATTCCAAAATACCCTGTATTTTTTCTCAGGGGACTCGCACTGATCCAATGTCCTTTGGAATATCCGCTGCATCATGTACATCGACATACAGCACCTGAAACTGGCTGTGCTTCTTTGTCATCTCCAGCGTGTACCTAAACGCATCGGGTGTCTCCGAGCCAGCATCCATGTCCGGATCAAAAACCAACAGGGAGCCAGCGGCGGATTCCACGCCAACGACAGTCCGGCTGTGACCCTGGTGCTGCAAATACAGCGGGTACTTTGACTGGCTGCAGTGCTGTGAGATCCACGAAAACAGCGCAGCATGTGAATTGTCGGCGCCCGTGGGTCGGTGGAAATCAACGATATGGCTACGGATGCCGAGCCGTGCCAAAATGCAGTATATCTCGGTCGTGCCAATCCATTTTCTTGTGTTGACGACACGGTGGCCGAGCTGCTCGGCACCGTCCCTGTCGAACCCCTTGCTCCACGCCGACTCCAGCAACTCCTGCAGCTCCCTGACCGTTGGCACTGTGCTGATTTCAAGCCGCTTGGCTGATTCGGGATCAGCGAGAATACTGGACAATATCATTTGGCAGTTGCGGTAGCCACATGCATATGAGCAGTCCATGACGGTAGAGCTGAACAACTGCGTGCTTGCATTGCAGAGTACTGCGTCGGGGAACAGTGTCTGGAGGCTTGCGACGCTGAATCTGGCGGTGCCAGGTGCTGCACCGAGATTGGATCGCGCGCTCCCTGTACAGGTTCTTGAGCAGCAGGGCTTTGCGGCTCTGCTTCTTCTTGGCCTTGACCTTGGGGGCGGGTGTGGTCGAGACTATTTCGCAGTCCGAGGTGCCGGTTAGATCGACAGTGTCTGGTGACGAGCGATGCATCGTTTTTGAGTGAGGGAGCCGAAAGACAAAAGGAAAGCACGTCCGAGCGCGCACGTTTGGGGAGGGGATGAATATGAGTATTGGCCTTCTGGTTAGCACCAGACCGGCCGGTTGGGGGTAAACAGAATGTGTCACATGCCACTTGCCAAAAGAGAAGAGGGCAAATGCGAACAGTCCCTTTGCTCCAGCCTCTTCGCGCTTCAGCTTTGCATTGCATACTTTTGATATCCTTTCCATACACACAATACCCATGCTGCGCGGTCGATACTCTCGGTTATATTACGAGTCATGCATACCTGCTGCGCTGCTGGTCGTCATATGCAGCCATTTTGGCGTTCCACCGGCCTGCCGGCACATACACAATGGGCGCATGCGTTGCGTTGCTGGTATCGATTCCGCTGTACATAAAGCACAACAGCTACCAGCTGGCGACCGGGCCGGACCGCCACGATAAGGTTACAGACACCGTGGTGCTTCCCGGGACCACAGGGGCCATGTATCGGCCTGCAGCCGACGACGGGGTCGTGTGGGGCGCATGCCTTCTGCCGCTGGTGCTGTCGGCAAAGGCGATCGATCAGAGCGCAGAAGTTGAGCCGCGCGGATTGTCGGTGGGCTTCGCAATCGCCGTAGCAGTGGCCATGAGCACAGCATTCGCAGTGTCGTCGCTGAGTGCATTCCTGCAGCAGCGGCGGGGCGAGCAGGTGCGGTGGACGCCGTTAGTGTATGTGTCGTGGGCAGCCATCGCTGTAGCAGCTGATCAGGAATGGCCTCTCGGTGGGTCTGGTGGCCGTACTGCTGGCAGTGGTCGCGCAGAGCCTGGTTACGGTCTATGTGGCTCGGTCGCTGGCCAAGAGCTTTACGCTGGGCGAGGCAGCGGTCGTTGCCCAGACAGTGGTGCTGGTGGCTATGGATTTTGCTGCGCGAGTGTGGAGTAGCGGCGAGCCGTACGAGGACATTGGCGCTGTGTGCTTGGAGGCGGCAGTGCTGGGCCTGCTGGCCATGGCACGGGTGCTGGCTTCTGCGTTTGCGGAGCCGGCGTCTGTGATCGGGTCGCACAGGCCCGTTGACAACTCCAGCATGGCTGCGGTTGCCAAGTTCGCGGGCATTGTCGGCATGTTCGGCTCAGCGTCCTTGGTGTCGGTCGTATACATCGCCCGGGTCAACCCGGATGGGGTGGGTGCTGCAGATGGTGCTTGGGTCGACGGACCACCTGCTCACGATCGCCTACTGGGTGGGTCTGCTGATTGTAGGCGGCGGCGTCTATGCGCTGGCGGCCAACACCTGTGGCATTTGGCAGCTCCGCGGAGCAAACTGGCACTGCACATCAAGCGCAAGTCGTACCACCTCCTTGGCCACGCTGATGTTTGTCCCCGGATTCCTGGCCGCCCCGCAGCTGCTCCACCTGGGGTTCACCGTGGCCCTGGTTCGGCTTCGTGCTGGTCGAGTGCGTGCGCCTGTTTGGCATCGGCCCGCTGGCCAGCCCGATGCGCGACTTTTTCGCCAAGTTTGTCGACCACCGCGACGCCGGCTGCCTGGTGACGTCTCACTTTTACCTGCTGCTTGGGTGTGCCCTGCCCGTGTGGCTGGGCGGCTCGAGCCCCGTGGCGTGTCTTGCTGGTGTGCTGTCGCTGGGCGTGGGCGATGCGGTGGCGTCGCTGGTGGGCATGCGGCTCGGCAGGGTCCGCTGGCCCGGCTCGCCCAAGACCATCGAGGGCACGGCAGGGTTTGTGGTCAGCATGCTTGCTGCGATCCAGCTCATCCGTGCGCGTCTCGGCGGGCCCGGCGGCGCGGGCGGATTGTCCTTTTTGCTGCTGTCAGCTGTTGCCGGGGTCCTCGAGGCGTTCACTGAGCAGAACGACAACCTCGTCATCCCACTGTTCATCTATGCGGGTGCCCACGCCATGTCCACTGGCGCTGGGCTCGACATTGTCCGCCTTGGCCCGGCGTCACTGGTCGCCTTTGCCGTTGTGCTGCCTGACGTCATTGATGCGACCAAGCAGCGCAGCATCACGGGACTGGCCGGCAGCCAATAGGATGCAGTGTGATCAATAAATCAGTGTAATTTCCAGCGGTTTCCACCACATTCCACACTCCGCCTTCGCTGGCACAGAAACCGGCAGAACGTGCCAGCAGCAGAGCGATGCGCTGCGAACGCCGCCGAACGCATTGGCTGCTGGCATTGCGTGGATCATTCTAGAGGCATTTTCTGGCCCCAGGTCCATAAAAGCGGCGGCCTGCAGCAGCTCTGGTCGCTGCAAAAGCACACAATTCGCTCTTAGCACACGCATTGTAAATTTTTTTTTTTCTCTCAAGCTTTCTCCCCCATCCCCTACAGGATTACCACCCCGCTGAGATTTCGCTAGGCCCAGTTATACCAGAACCGCACGCCCGCACTTTCTCTTCTCTGCTTCACTGCAAAAAAGTATTTTTCTCTTCTTTTTGTACACAAAACCCATCCCACTAGCACGTAAACGAAAATGGGCAAGGCCGTAGGTATTGATCTTGGAACCACCTACTCCTGCGTTGGTGTCTGGCAGAACGACCGCGTTGAGATCATCGCGAACGACCAGGGTAACCGCACCACCCCCTCGTATGTCGGCTTCACCGACACCGAGCGCCTGATTGGCGACGCCGCCAAGAACCAGGTGGCCATGAACCCCCACAACACCGTCTTCGACGCCAAGCGTCTCATCGGCCGTCGCTTCGACGAGAACGAGGTCCAGTCGGACATGAAGCACTGGCCGTTCAAGGTCATCTCGAAGGACAGCAAGCCTGTCATCCAGGTCGACTTCAAGGGCGAGACCAAGACCTTCACTCCGGAGGAGATCTCGTCGATGGTGCTGATCAAGATGCGCGAGACCGCCGAGGCCTTCCTCGGAGGCGAGGTCAAGGACGCCGTCATCACTGTGCCTGCGTACTTCAACGACTCGCAGCGCCAGGCCACCAAGGACGCCGGTCTGATTTCGGGCCTGAACGTCCTGCGTATCATCAACGAGCCCACCGCCGCCGCCATTGCCTACGGTCTGGACAAGAAGACCGACGGCGAGAAGAACATCCTCATTTTCGATCTGGGAGGCGGTACCTTTGATGTGTCGCTGCTGTCGATCGAGGACGGCATCTTCGAGGTCAAGGCCACTGCTGGTGACACCCATCTTGGTGGTGAGGACTTTGACAACCGCCTGGTCAACCACTTTGTCCAGGAGTTCAAGCGCAAGAACAAGAAGGACATCTCGGGCAACCCCCGCTCCCTGCGCCGTCTGCGCACTGCCTGCGAGCGCGCCAAGCGCACCCTGTCGTCGTCTGCCCAGACCTCGATCGAGATCGACTCGCTGTTCGAGGGCATCGACTTCTACACCTCGATCACGCGTGCGCGCTTCGAGGAGCTGTGCGCGGACCTGTTCCGCTCGACCATCGACCCGGTCGACCGCGTCCTGCGCGACTCCAAGATCGACAAGTCGAACGTCTCCGAGATCGTTCTTGTCGGTGGCTCGACCCGTATCCCCCGCGTCCAGAAGCTGATCTCTGACCACTTCTCGGGCAAGGAGCTGGACAAGTCGATCAACCCCGACGAGGCCGTCGCCTACGGAGCCGCCGTGCAGGCCGCCATCCTGTCGGGTGACACGTCGGAGAAGACGCAGGACCTGCTCCTGCTCGACGTGGCTCCCCTGTCGCTCGGTATCGAGACCGCCGGCGGAGTGTTCACTGCGCTCATCAAGCGCAACACCACGGTTCCGTGCAAGAAGTCGGAGGTGTTCTCGACCTACTCGGACAACCAGCCGGGAGTGCTGATCTCGGTGTTTGAGGGCGAGCGCGCGCGCACCAAGGACAACAACCTGCTGGGCAAGTTCGAGCTGACCGGCATCCCGCCTGCCCCCCGCGGCGTGCCCCAGATCGAGGTGTCGTTCGATGTCGACGCCAACGGTATCCTGAACGTCAGCGCCGTCGACAAGTCGACCGGCAAGTCGAACAAGATCACCATCACCAACGACAAGGGCCGCCTGTCGAAGGAGGACATTGAGCGCATGGTGTCTGACGCCGAGAAGTACAAGGCCGAGGACGATGGAGGTTGCGGCGCGCATCTCGGCCCGCAACGGCCTCGAGTCGTATGCCTACAACCTGCGCAACACGGTCCAGGACCCCAAGGTCGGCGACCAGCTGGAGGCTGCCGACAAGGAGAAGCTGACCGCTGCCGTCGACGAGGCCATCAAGTGGCTCGATGACTCGCAGGAGGCCTCGAAGGAGGAGTACGAGTCGCGCCAGAAGGAGCTCGAGGAGATCGCCAACCCGATCATGTCCAAGATGTACCAGCAGGCCGGTGGTGCCGCGGGCGCCGCGGGTGGCTTCCCTGGCGGTGCTCCGGGCGGCTTCCCTGGCGGTGCTGCTCCGGGCGCCGGTGCCGCTGGTGCCGGTGGCGACAACGGACCTACCATTGAGGAGGTCGACTAATTGTATGGCGTTGCTTTATCTGGAATCCTGTTTATCTCTGGTCCTTGTCAGCAAAATAAAAACTCCCACTTTAGAACACTGCAACCTGTCGGGCATGTGCCAGTAATCGTGCTGCGATGTCTTTTTGCAGCTGCATGGACAGGTGGTTATGATAGTTATCGGCTCTCCAATAACTGGCATTGATACCGCCATATCGGCCATCGATGGCTGGGGGACTGCAAACGGGGGAGGCTTGAAGCCTACGTTCCCCACATGTATCGGCCCAGCAGCCCCAGCAATTTCATTCAAAGGGGAGAGAGACCAGAACCCTGGACATGTCCCGCATTTCGCTCTTCTTTCTGTGCGCCCTCCCCAGTCTACTGCGAACCCCCTCGACATTCCTTTTTCTAGCCCTCCCCGAATGCACTTTTCCACGACAAAGCTTGTGCTTGCGCGCATCCTCGCCGAGGAGCTCTCTCGCTACGCGAGCTCGCCGCTGCCGGCAAGCGCGATCACAGCCTGGGCGCAAAACTACATAGCAGCCGGCCGCAACCCCAGCAAATACCACTTCAGCATCGCGCTGCGGCGGATCCTGCAGACAACCCAGGCATTGCGGTCCGTGGACGGCGCGCAGCTATCCCAGCGACTCGCCAGCCACAGCGAGATCGGCTCCGCCGTGTTCCTGCAGCACTCGGGCACGATCTCGGTGCACCTGTCCAGGCCGTTTCTTTTGGCCCAGGCCGTTTCGGCCAGCCAGGCGGTCGAGCTGGGCCAGGCGGTCGGTGGATTGGCCGGGCAGGCCGTGCGGATAGTCAAATGGATAGACGACTTTGTCGATGTGTCGCGGTATCGCAGCGCACTATCGGGCGATACCATGGCAAGGGTATCGGTGGAGGTGGCCAAGCTGTCGGGTGCAGTGCAGGAGAACTACGAGGTGATGCGCGGCCACCCAGAGGTGCCTGGCATTGCAAAGGAGACCAGGCGGCTGGGCAATAGGATCTCGCAGCAGAGGTTTGCCAGCAAGCATATGCCGAGGCTTTTGACGGCGCTAAGGGAGCGCGGCCATCTCCTGCATGACCCGCGGCCGAACGTCCCGGCGCTGACGGTCTGCCTGAATGGCAGGATGCTGGGTATTTCGGACGAGGCCGGGGAGCTGAGCTCGCTGGCCATGGACGCCTGCGTCCTGTATATGCTGGTGCGGGAGCGGCCGGGGAGCGAGACGTGGCTGCACTATGTGCCGGATTCGCGGCGGTCATTGCACTGGCAGAACGTGATTGCTGTGGCGGGGCTGGCGGGCGCCCAAAACATCACGCACCGGCTGTGCTCCGTCGGCCCGGTCGAGGTTTCGGCATCTGTGGCAGCAGAGACGCTCACGGGCCGGCTGCTGGGGCGGCTGGGCGTGGCGGGCTGGCAGGACTCGATCGATGGCGTGGACGAGGAGGTGCAGCGGGCGGCCGTGCACTGCGCGATGGCGGGCGCGGCCAACGCCAAACCATTCACTTTGGAGTGCCTGGAGGGCCCGAGCGCTGGCGCCTTCCTGCAGTACAACCACGCCCGCCTGTGCCGCATCCTGGCGCCGTTCCCCTGCCCGCCCGAGCAGTGGCTGCCCATTGACAGCGCCCGCGTCAATGCCCCCGAGGCCGACCTTCTGGCGCTTCTGGTGGCCCAGCTGCCCGAGATCCTGCAGGACACGCTGTCGGGCAGGAGGCCCGAGGTGCTGATGTACCACACGAACCGGCTCGCCCACGCTGTCTCCAAGGCCATCCCCGTGCTGCGTATCAAGGACATGGAGCCGGCTGTTGCCAATGAGCGCGTGCGGTTCTTTGCTGCGGTCCGAGCCGTGCTGGCCTGCACTCTGCGCCTGCTGGGCTGCAGTCCAGTCGACGAGATGTAATCAAGAGATTCCAAGGGGTTTAGGTGGACGGGTTGGCTGGCGGTGATTGGCTTGCCGATTGCGATGCAGTTTGTGTGTTTGCTCGCAGGCTCGATGGGCGGGAGCCTCTGTGATCCAGTTTTGTGATGTCCCCAATTATAGCACTGAGAATGAAGCGTCAAGAGGCACCCGGCAAGGCCGAAATTAACCCTGGCCGCGAAGCAGCACACCTCAAGGGCAGACGGCGAAGAATGTTTACAACCCTCTTTCCCTTCTCTACTTCAATTTTTCTTTCATATTTCTTTCTGTAACACTTTCAAAAGGAATACCCACCTGTTTCCTGGTCCCCTCCCCTTGTCCTGTCTGTCTGCGTTCCAGTTCCGGCTCCTGTTTTTAACCCCCAAGGTACAGCTCCTCGTTCTTTCTTGCGATTGTATGCGTTGCCGGTGCATTTCTTCTGTATGCACCTCCATATATCCCGCCTGCGAACTGCGGTGGGGGATGGGGCTTTCGGTCTTGAACTTGCCCGGCAGAGATGCTCTGCAATCGCTTGCGTTTCATAAAGCAGTACTTGTCAGAAGTGAAAAGCAGTATTGTATCTGAGCCCGGCGCTACTTTATGTTTTATTTCTTGCCGAAACAGGTCCAAGAACATGCCCTGTATTATAAAGCGGCCAAATACCATGCATATTGGTGCAGCCAGCTGCTAGCCGTGGGAGGCAAATAGCATAAACCTCCCATGTGAGCCCACCGCCAGCCCGCATGAGCCTCCTCCCTCAACTCCGCCCAATGGTCCTCAGTACTAACGCTCCTGCACCTCTCCTGGTATAGACTGTCTCACCCCCTCCCATCCCAATTCTTGCTCGCTTTCCAACCAACCACTAATGATGGCCGCTATCTCCACCGAACCCACTGTTGAGGCGCACGCCGCGGGCCAACAGTCAGCTGCCAGCAAGAAGAAGAAGGCCAAGAAGACCGTGGCTGACAACACCAAGTATGCCTCTGCCGAGTCGGTGTTCCCGGTCGCAGTCAAGTCGTCGCACGCCAAGGGCCGCCACATCTGCGCCAGCACCGATCTGCCCGCCGGCACCCTGGTGGCCGTCGAGAAGGCCTCGGCTGCGATTGTCCGCAACATGTCCTTTGTCAACATCTGCCACCGCTGCTTCAGCCCCGTAACCATGAAGACCGAGACCCGCCCCAAGGTCGACCAGCAGGGCCAGCCGATCAAGGGCCAGCTGGAAAAGTACACCGTGCCGCGCCACTCGTGCGACCAGTGCAAGATGGCTGCCTACTGCTCGCAGGCCTGCCAGGACGCCCACAAGCTGGAGCACGGCCTGCAGTGCAAGGCTCTGGCTGAGTCCAACCGGATTGCCGGCCACTACGAGGTCAGCCTGGAGACCCTGCGTGGCGTGCTGGCGCTGCTGGCCAGGCGCTTTGCTGATGTCAAGAACAACGTCGCCGAGGTTGCCCTTGCCAAGGAGGGCGAGATCCAGCCCACCCCGTATGTCGCCGTGGGCGATCTCAACGACAACCGCCACTACATTGAGCGCAGCTCGATCAAGAGCCTCCAGAACGCACGTAAGTACCCCCCCCCCAGAAGACCGCTCTAGCGCAAACACCACCATCCACTCTGTGGAGATGATAATGGCCCCCCTCCGTCGCTACTAACCACCCGAGCCAACCCTTGGTCTTTATATAGTGAAGGAGATGATGACGTTCGTGCCCGAGGAGGGCCGTGTTGCGCTGTCGGAGGCCGTCGAGCTCGCGTGCCAGTTCACCTCGAACCTGCACATCCTGACGATCAACGGCCACCAGGTGCAGGGCCTGTTCCCGTTCAGCTCGCTGTACTTCAACCACAGCTGCAACCCGAACTGCGTGTTCGTTGGCGAGCAGTCTGGCGTCCTCTACATCCGCACCCTGACTGACGTCGCCGCCAACACCGACCTGACAGTCTCGTACGTGGAGGTCTACCAGCCGCGCGAGCAGCGGCGCCGCGACCTGCTGCTGACGCGCCACTTCTGGTGCAAGTGCCGGCGGTGCTCGACTCTGCTCTCGCAGTCGGTCGACCGGTTCATGGACGGCATCCAGTGCCAGGAGTGCAAGAAGGGCGTGATGATCTTCGAGGAGACCAAGGAGGTGCAGGATATCAACGAGCTGATGACCGACATCTCGGCGCTGGACCAGGAGATCCAGGGCAAGTTCGCCGAGTGCGAGACGTGCCCGGCCAAGATCGAGGTCACCAAGCTGGTCGACACCCTCAAGGCTGCCATCACCGACTTCAGCACTGCCCACATGGCCCTGCAGAACGGCAACGCCGTCGAGGCCCGCCGCCTGTTCGAGCAGTTCATCCGCAACTTTGAGGACTCGGGCATCCTGCACCCGCTCAACGCCTACCTGATCAACACCTACACCGCGCTGGTGCGCACCTGCACCCTGCTCAAGGAGGTTGACCGCGCCATCCGCTACAACTCCATCCTGGTCGACCGCATCCAGAACGCCAAGGGTGCCGTTCCCGATAACTACCCCAAGCTGGCCGACTTCCAGCTGACCCTCGGCGACATGTGCCTCAAGCAGGCCCAGGCCAAGAGCGGCAACCACACCCCGGCCGGCCGCGCCATCACCAGGCGGTACCTGAACCAGGCCAAGCACGCCTTGGAGGCTGCCGTCAAGTCCCGCTCGGTCATTTACGGCGAGGACTCGCCTCGTGTCCATGAGGCCAAGAAGCTGGTTGAGGATGAGAAGAAGGAGCACGAGGAGTTTGTCAAGAGCAACGAGAAGCCCAAGAAGAACAAGAGCAAGAAGGCTGCCGCCGCTGCCGCCGCCGCCGCTGCTCCGGCTGCTCCGGCTGCTGAGGCTGCTCCGGCCACCGAGGCCCCTGCTGCCCCTGCTGCCCCTGCTGCCGAGCCCACCTCTGCCTAAGCAGAGCAACCTCTCCATCTTGCCCTCCCCTCCCCGCCATCAACAACTCCCAAAAACACTTCATATTTCTTCCCCCTTGAACATTCAGTTTTAACCCTGTTTTAAAACATGTCTCCACATAAAATATTTACATGGCCTGCTCTATATCTTTCGGATATTACATGTTGGGAAACGGAGTCAGGAAACTAAAGGAGAGACGTAGAACAAAACCAGACGGGTTAAGAAACGTAAGAGGGGGGAAAGGAATATGGGGATGATGATGGGTGCAGAGGAATGCGGCATGAGCTGTCCCTATTCACCCACTCACCCCTCAATCCTCAATAGGCAATGTACACATAGAACATGCAGACAGGGGTGGTGGTGGGTAAATGGGGACAGCATTACTCATTCGACGTCAGCGACGACCGCTCGTCATCGCACACCGACGACTGCGCAACCTCCCGCCGGTACCGCGCATGGACATCCAGCGACCGCAGCAGCCGATCGACCTTGACCGTCGACCACACAAACTTGGGCAAATCGTTGACCATCAGCAACAGCCGCGTCGTGGCCTGCGACAGATTGATCAGGTACGACGAGTTGCGCGTGTAGCTCATCATGACCGCCGCCGGATCGTGCATCAGATCAGACGCCAGCCGCCTGCCCGGCGTGCACAGCGGCCGCGACAGCAGATAGTACGCGGTCAAGGTCGCTCCGTACTTGGCCAGGATCGTCTCGCCAATTCCGCCAAAGAACCGCCGGAAGTTGGTTGTCACCACATTCGACGCTACGCTGCCCAATGAGCCGTCCAGCGCCTCCTGCGCACGCTTGCGGAACCCGTTCTGCACCCGCGGAATAAACGCCTGCGGCGCATACCGCTCGTTCGCATACGGCGTGGTCAGGGGCGACGGCTCCGGCGATATTATCGACGAGCCCTTTTCCTGCTGCTGCTGTTGCTGCTGCTGCTGTTGCTGGACAAGCGGCGTGCTGGCCGCCGCCGCCCGCTGGATCATCGACGAGATGCGCGCGTACACGCCACGGTACCGCTCCTCCAGCTGCGACAGGCGGCTTGCGTTCTTGCCCACCGGCGGCGAGGCGAACCGGATGATGGTGTTTGCAAGCACCACATACATGACCATGGTCAAAGAGCCGCTGCGGCTGATGAACCGGCTCAGCAGGCGCGAGAACACGAACCAGTCAAAGGTCGGCTTGACCACGTCTGCCAGCAGCCGCGGGAACATGTCGGCGAACCGGTGGATCTGCACTGTCAGCAGCCAGTCAGGCCGGTCGTACGCTGGCGTCGAGCCGTTGGGCCCCTGCCCGTGCAGCTGGTTCCACGTGATGTTCGTAATCCCATCGACGTACCGCTCATGCGCGTACCGGCCGAGCCGCACCCGCAGCGCAATGGTCAGCGAGCTGATCAGCCACTTGATCGTCTGGTTGATTGCCGCCATCGGTACCATCATGGCCAGGTACTCGGGCAGCAGTCGCCGCACCAGCGTGCGCCGGTCATAGGACACTACTGCGCGGACTGTGCGCGCATTGAAGTTGGCAAACCACACGTCCAGCCCCGTGCGTGCACCTAGCACTGCAATCAGGGCGACGGTCAGCCGAGCCTCGGTGCATGTGGCCGACGGGAATCCGATACTCAGAAGCCGGCTGACTGATTTGATGAATTGTGCGATGGTCACAATGCGGGGTGCGCGCTCTTGCAGGAGCTTGTTGTCGATCGCGTCTTGCTGGAGCTTCTGCTCGCGCTGAATCTGCTGCTGCAGCTGCTGGTAGTTCTTGGTCCCCTGCTGCACTGGCACGACATTGACAATCTGCCGCACCTGCTGCTGCAGCTGCTGGTGGTGGTGGTGCTGGAGCTGCAGCTGCTGCTGCATGAGCTGCACATTGGGCTGCGTCATGGCTGCATGGGCTGTGACAGCCGTCATAGACTGGAATCCCCCGTTCTGATACTGCTGGGGAACCGGCGTGTTGTGGTGGTTGTGAACCATGGGCTGGCCCGCATTGAGCTTGGTCGATGACGCTGACGGTGTCAGCCTGCCCGGGTCGATGTCCAGGTTCGCTGTGTCATCATACAACGGCATCTTTTGCTGCGCAAACTGTGCGCCGCCCAGACTGTCGACATTGGCTGCAGTGATTGTATCGGGATCGTCCCAAACTCGGCCCTTGCGGCTGCCATTGGTCAGCCGCCCCGTCGAGCTGCCCCATGGCGTATGCGACTCGAACCGGTGTGTCGGGCCAAGCGCATTCACTGCCCGTGCGCTGCTGGCGTCTGTCGGAATCGGGCTTGTGGCTCCAGAGCTGAAATGCGCGTCAAACACAGGCGCATCCTCAACTGCCTGCTGCGCCCACGACAGCCGGTTGGCGCTGCGGTACGACCCGGACGCGCTCTTGGCCTGGCTCACTGTCACCTCCGGCTGGCTCACTGTCACCTCCGGCTGGCTCGATGTCGAGGGCGGGATTCCTGTCTCGCCGTCGCTGCCGCTCTCAGTATAGCTGCTCTCGTCATAGTTGCTGTCGGAGAACACCGAATCCTCCGTGTACTCGTCGGAGTAGTCGTCTTCGGTATACATGTCGGTTGTGTACTCGTCGTTGTTTGAGCCGCTGTCGCTGGGCAGCTTCATGTGTGGTTGGCTGTCAAGGCTGTATCTATTTGTGTTGTGTGCTTTAGCCGAGGGCGGGGGAATTGCAATTCCTCCTGTCTGATTTGTCCACCTCCTCCACCTCGGGACCCTCCTCAGGGAAGGCATGCTGCTCGGCTGTGTCCTCGGGCGCGGAAGAGACCAGCGGTGTCTCGACGACCGCCTCGGCAGGCTGTGGGCTTTCTGTGCTCATTCAGGTAATTGACTAGAGAATAGTAAAGCAAACCAAGAGCGAATTGGAGTTGGCTTTGAAAACAAGTAGAAGGCGAAAAACGTATATGCTAGGCTGTAGAGCTGAAGCAAGAAAGGAAAAAAGAACAGAGATCTGTTCGACTGAGAGCAGGCGCTGGCACCATGCTTGCCCGCCTTGGGCCGCTATTTTTTCGCTCATAGTGAGGCCGGGGAAGCACCACTCCCTCGCACCTGAAAGAGCTAGCACACAAAAAAAGCAAGATTATCACATGCTGCCATTCTTTTTCTGCTGTCGCAGCATGTGCCTTGCCAGCGCCTCGCCCCGCTCCCCAATCACCATTCGCCATTCGCTTTCTGGGCCATGGCACACCTGCCATGCTCGCAGGCGTGAAAGCAGAGCGATTCTATAAGCCGGGACAGCAAATCGCTGCTTCTAATTCGAAATCCTGTACAGACCGCTATCGCTGCAAACTGCAGCTGCATCTCCTATGCATTCGCCACTCCGTCCACGTTGTCGCTGAAATAGAAAAGAGAACGGTTTAGCTCTTCTGCGTGGGACAGCTGGCCTGTATCCAGGATGCAGATTACAGCCGTGCTTGTGCTTCGTCGCGGAGATTTCTACCACATGCCGACGCCCGAGCGCAGGCGTGCTGGATTCGAAGATTCGCTGGCTGCTGGATTGGCAAGCAAACTGTCAATTCATTGACAGCAGCTTACTCGGAGGCAGCAGGGCGGAAAACGCCGCGTAATTAACCTATGATTCCAGCGCGCAGGTTACATTATCCCTGGATACTATTTCTGGCTGAAATACAAGGACGAGCGATATATCAGAGCTTAAATGTTACTAGTTACTTGCCATTGCGGGCAGCCGGTGCCAAGGGCCTGGGAACAGAGGGCTGCTACTGGACGATTGTCAAGTGCTGAACAAATGCGAGAGCGACCTCCACCGAGCCGGCACACGGTGAGAGAGTATTTATACAGCTCTGAATTCCTGGATCAAATTCTCCTCAGCAACAACCGAGCTGCATCACATCTTCTCTTTTTGCGGGTTGTATCAGCTTATCCATCTCAGAAGAGGAAAATAATCCTGTAGCTATAAAGCACGCTCAGGCTTCTCTCACCTGCTCAAATATTATCTTCGCTGCAGATGCATCCGCCCCGGTCTCCCTTTCCATATCCCACTCACGAACCTGCCGATATATCAGACACTGACATTTCAAATTTGCTGGCCTTTCTTGACACCCAAGCTCCGCCGCTGCCACCACTGCTGCTGCCAAGCATTCTGGGCTCGAGTGCTACAGCCATGCCACAGAGTTCTAGCCCCAGCACCGCCAGTCCAAACCAGCTGCTCACTGACGCTGCGCTGATGAGTATGGCGGTCACGTCCTCGCAGCCAGCCACCACAGCCATATCGCCACTGGTGACTATGGAAAAGGTCGTCCCCGGGCATGGCTATGGCAACCCCATCCCCTCTGTCCATCTCGACAGGCATCTCGCCGCACCTGACTATGGCAAACCCCATCGCCCATTATGACCATGATGAGCTCGTCACCACTGCAGCTAGGGCTCCAGATGCCTTGTGTCGATTTCAACCTGTCGGCGCCTTTCATATTGCCACCGCCAAGCCAGACCACCTGCCAGCCCGGTACCGACAAATATAGCGCCTCTTGCTGCGGACAGTGCGATGCTTGCCACACTCGCAGCACTCAATGGGCTCAATGGGCTTCAATGCGGTCCAATGCATGTGGATTGAACGACGACACTGGTGGACCATTGTGACGGCTCTTTGTCTCAAGCTTGTCCCTTCCGGATGCCAGCACAACCACTCGTGTTCTCCGTCTCCGTGCATGCACGACACAAGCTGCATGTGTAGTCCTTTGCGGCGACAGCCATCCAGAGCCGGCCAATGCTTGGTCTGCGCACACTGCGTCGCACTGCTAGATCGCGCGGAAACCAGCACTTTCACTGCCATCCCTATGCCCCAAGGGCTGCAAGACCGCACGAGGCAAGAAGATTGTGATTCCCGCCATCAGCTCGGACGGCACACTCATGATCTGCTGCAACTGTGGCGAGACCGAGACGCCGAGCTGGCGCCGCCATCCCATCTCCAACAGTATGCTGTGCAATGCCTGTGGACTGTACTATAGACTGCACCGAAAGCCGCGTCCGATCGCTTACGACGAAAGTGGCAAGCTGCAGGTCATCAGAAAGAACGCTGCAGTGAAGCGCGAACCAATCAATATAGGGTTGTCGGAGAATATTGTGTCGGGCCCTGTTCCACCATTCCAGGCGTTGAGACTGCTGCCGGCCGACGGAAGCCTGTCGCTGATGAATGATGATGAGAATAAAGATTAGACTGATGACACCATGGCACCGCCATTTGCTGCGGCCAGCCATGGCTCTCAGCAGATATACATATTGAGAGTGGCACTTCCCATTTCTCTAAGCCCACAGTCCTTCCATCTTTACCTATATATAAGATTTTATAGTCCAAAAAGTGTCCAGACTGTCCGCTAGAAACTTAATAATTGGTTAGAAATAAAACTCTTAAGCCTCAAAGCGAGTTTGGATGGCTTGCTCCTGTAAACTCCTTTTGATCTTGTGCGGCATCTGACCTCATCGGTGAAACCAGGGTGACAAGTTGTTATTGTAGTGTTCACAGGTCTCCACTATATATCTCTATTGGTTCAGCGCAAGAGCTGCTCTCATTGTCGGTCGGCCTGATAACCTCCATGGCATCATCATGGTGGTCATCACCGGCTGCGCAACACCCTTAGTTTATTTATTTATGAGCATCTATTGAATATGGCCATATAGCTCTTCTAGAGGCCATGCAATATTTGTGGGTTTATTTTATAAATTAATTTGTCTTATGAACATGCGTAAGCGGTAGTATTTGGGCCACAATGGATCCAGTCTGTATAGACTGATTCAAGAGACTGTATCAGTGCCAAGGGCCCCAAGAACCATGCAAGCCAGATAATTTTTAATAAAAAGTTCTTAATGCTATGCATCTGCAATACAGCAAAACTGAACAGCATCATTTCTCTTACTTTGCCTATTGAGTTTCTCAAATGAATATTACCCGCAGCACTACTGTCATAAAGACATCACTTGGTGGTATTGGCTTCCGTGATTCTATGTTGCCCCGCCTAGAGCAATTTGTACACAGCGTCAATATCATCAAAAAGCATACATACATGCTTGCACGATGGATACTACTCCATCAGCTAGCTGACGATGATGCTTTTGACCATGCAACATTTGTAAAAAATGGATTCTTTCGCTCAATTTAGTTTATTTATATATCACAACCTAAAGGCAAAGACGGCCATGTCTGCCAAGGATTTTGTCAACCGGAAAGATATGTCAGAACTGTCGAGCGCAGATTTCGGTGATGTAATTAGATATCATAAATATGATTGTCTATTACATAATGGCAATATCGAGCTACATGGTGTACGCGAAATAAATCAGGTAGCAGCATACGTGGATACCGAGCTGATGACAGCATACAAGAACAACATTGTGTTGCACTATGGCACTTGCCTACAGCGGATTCTGGCCAAATTGATTGATATTCGCAGCTGCAAAAACACACTGCACAGTACAATAGGCAATGTGTCCAAGGCTGAGTTCAATAATGCATGCCAAGTGTGTATTTATACACCTGCACAGAAGCTCCACCAGGCAGTTACCTCTAGGCACCCTGATCGCCATTGCACCAACAATCATCTGACACGTTCAAATGACCGGTTCGCCGTGATGCTCTTATCGACATGTCAACCCATGCTGACTAGCAGCTGAGCTCGCATCGTGAGCAGAGCTATCCTAGTAGCATTTGTAAATGTCTACCCATCACCAGAGACAAAAGGTAGAAAAGCCACCAGCTTTGAGTATATACAAAAATACATCTTTTGCACTGGAGCCATGCAACAGTATGGAGTGTAGCCCTTTGAGAGCGGAATAGTTGCATTGCCACATCATAGTTGAGTACTTGCTGGCTACTACATATTGGCCAGGACAACTTTGTCCTGTGCGGTGTACTGGTTTAATCCCAAACATATATACAAACAGGTGACTAAGTAGAGAAAAAGTCACTATAGTTCGATAGTCCGAATGCTGCCATGCTGGTAGTGTGCACTGTGTTCTCCACCCAAAGGGGTGGGATGGCTTACAATGTTAGGTCTGCCAAGAACAGCAATCTCAGTGACCTCTTTAAGTGCGAGTACGATAATTTCGTACACAGGTTGTCTGATGCACCATGTAGCACCTGTACATGAAAAGCCGTAATAAGGTAAGGGATAGTATGAGAAGAAGTATGTCAAGATTTAGTCGTTGCACACGGGGGTGACGATATTGCCGGCAGTGAGCAGCAGATTTAATGTGAGAAGTTAAGAACGCAAGATGGGGTAGGTATGACAATGGATGTGATGTTGGTATCTGAGATTTGGAATGGGATTTTGGATTCCGTCTCCCCCTTTTGTTTTTTAAAGTAAAATCCCTCTTTCAAAGCCAAAAACCTCTTTCAAACCTAAAAGCCTCATCCCAAATAACAAGCACCAACAGATACGGTATATATATTTAGCCATGTGTGCTACGTATGGCACATACCAGAGTACTCGAGGGTGTACTGGGAGGTTCCAGGCATTTATAAGAAGCAAAAAAAACACAACTATTTACTTGCGCTTACGGCGCGCGCGCAATACATTGCCCTCGCCAGAGAACTTTGGCTTCTCGTCCTTTGGCAGGTCGAGCTCGGCACCCGGCGGAGGCACCAAATCGTATCCAAAGAACAGTGTGCCAATGGGCACGTCCAGGGGTACCAGAGCAGCCTCGTCCACAGTGACTTCACAGGGGCCATCGGGCGTCGAGGCATACGACCTGATGGAATCCGCGGTAGCCTTTACTATTGAGGCGCAGGCCAGAGCCCTCAAAGGGCACGAAGCGCGACTTTTGCATTTCCTCCTTGACCTTCTCTTCGCGTCTCCGGATATCGCTGGCCATGCTGCTGGCCGGACGGCTCGACTGCGACAAGTCCTGGCGCGATGGCTCGACATAGCCAACGGGCGCAGCGAAATCAACGCTCAGATCGGTCTCCACAATCGCAATGCCCTCGGTAGATGGCTTGGTCTCGAGCACAGCGATCTTGTAAATGCGCTGGTTGTAACTAATCGCAAACACATCGCCAACAGTCAATGTGGTGAATTTGCGCAGCGCGTTCTCCAGCACCGCGCGGTGGTCGGTGATATCCAGAAAGTCAGTTGACTGTGGCTGCAGCTTCACGAAATTACCCAGTTGCAGCGATACGTTTGCGGCCTCCACCAGTGCCCCCCGATTCAGCATCAGTGTCTCCATCATCCATTCGGGCAGATATACGCGCCCTTCCTCTGCTGTAAATTCCAGGACACCGCAATGCGTTAGCTTCCCGCCACTCTCCGCTGACGCATTGTAGAGTTGGAACTGCAGCGGGTAGACGACCTCTAAGCGACTCAACGTATCTAATGCGGACGCTGGCATGAAGATCTTGCCGCCGTAGTTCGCGTCGAGCTTGCCGTCAGGGTGCTCGCTGATCGGGTAGGCGCGGTAGTACTCGCGGAACTGCCGCTGTGTGCGACGCATGGCAGCGTAGCCAAAGCCTCCACCTCCGCCGAAGCCGCCGTATCCAAAGTCGTCGATGTCGTCACCGTACTATAAATAGTGAATGGGCCAGTTAGTAGGACCACGCTTTACACCTGCTGCCTGCCGCAGTGAGAAGGGGAAGGCATAGGGGCTTACCATGTGCAAATGCGACAAGTGTTGGCTATGTGAATTAAATAGAGTAGCAAAGCAGTGAAATTTACGCTTGTCGAAGGGCCGAGCCTGGCAAACAGTCGGTTTTCTAGAGCAGCCAGGTGCTCTGATGACGTTGGCTAATCGGCATTACCGGATTTTCGCAGTTTAAAAAATCATGTGGAGTGGGGCAGCCGATCACGTCATATTGCAGGCGGAGAGTTCTCTGCGAACTGCCAGTCTTCGTATGCATATGGCCAACACGCAGCCGGCGATTCAATGCTGTGCAACAAACGATACCTGGTCACCTTTTTCCTCTTTGAGCAATGGCGAGCTGTTGCAGCGATGAGTATGAGCAAGGGAAATAAACTGGTGGTTCATAAAAATAGAAAAGGGGCGCAGACCGAGATCCCCATCCCCGATCGGCCGGTTGCGCTGTGTGCAGGGCGAGGGAGGACAGGTTGGGTGAGGGTCTCGCCGGGGAAACCCGACGGTGTGTGGAGCAGGCTCGGGATCAGTACAGCAATGGATTCTAGGCTCTGGCTATAAGTGTTGCAGGGAATCGCGGCCGGCCATTCTTGTGCAAATACAGCTCTCCTTACTCTTCCGCATTCCATTACTCAACTGAGTTTATTTCCTTACAAATACAGTATATTCTTGAACCTCATATATAGCCATCGATTTCATTTACTGCAGTATCGAGACCAAAGTAGTCTTTTATCCTTCCTCGACATATTTTTATCCTACACATCTTTCTGTCATATGGAGCACCTTCACGCACACCTTTCGCATCACTGGAATGCAGCACACCAGCCGCGTATCGTCACAGTGCCATGCAAGTACCGGGCTGGACGGGTGCTTGGACACGGGACATACGCGGTAGTGAAAGAGATGGTGCAGATAGACACGGGCGAGCACTTTGCTGGCAAGATGATCAACAAGAAGCACATGCAGGGGCGGGAGGCGGCGATTCCAAATGAGATCAACATTCTGAAGCGGCTGTCGCGGCGACATGCCAATGTAGTGACACTGCACGATTACTTTGAGACGCCGCACAACATGTACTTGGTCACCGAGCTGTGTACAGGCGGAGAGTTGTTTGAGCGGATCTGCCAGGAGGCGGCGTTTACCGAGCAGGATGCCGCGCGGATTATGCGGCAGATTGTGAGTGGTGTCGAGTTCTTGCACGCGAACGGAGTTGTGCATCGCGACCTGAAGACAGAAAACTGCCTGTTCCGGACAAGCGACCGCGATAGCACAGTAGCGATTACAGACTTTGGACTGTCACGGATCATCAATTCCGAGTCAAACTACGCGCTAACGACACAGTGCGGTACACCCGGGTATATGGCGCCGGAGGTGCTACAGCGGTGCGGACATGGGCGGGCGGTGGACATGTGGGCGGTGGGAGTGATCACCTATTTCATTCTGAGCGGGGCGACTCCGTTTGAACGAGCAAGCGCAGCGGCCGAGATGGCAGCGGTGGTGAAATGTGAGTATGCGTTTGAGCCGGTCGAGCACTGGTGTCAGGTGTCGCCAGCTGCCCAGCACTTCATCGCGTCGCTGCTGGTGTATAGCCCAGACCGCCGCATGACGGCCAAGCAGGCGCTAAAGCACCCGTGGCTGCAGGGCGAGCAGCGCATGGTGATGCCACCGGTATCGCCGTCGCTGCCGCGCGTGTTCCGCCCTGTGTTTGGCGAAGAAGAGAAGAAGGTCACGGGTTCAGACACTGCTGGGTTCAGCTCGCTACCCAAGCAGGCCGAGGGGCGGCCCAGTAAGCCGCTGTCGGGCCAGACACTGGCAGATACCGTGACCTGTAGCGTGTCGACGAGCGCCCGGGGCTCGCAGGCGGTCGGTCTGCCGGGGTCGCCGGCACTGGAGAACTCGGCCACTGCAGTAGGGGAGGACCCCACAAGTGACTCGGACAGCGCCCTGGGGTCGTTGGAGGAGCACACGATTCCGCAGCTGCACGTGGAGGAGACGTCGGTAGGCCCAGATAGCCCGCTGGCAGACATGGGCGTTCCGGCCTTCAAGACCCGCACAGTGCATGGCGGCGAGGAGATCGAGATGGGCCAGCAAAACCTGATCCCTGGATTTGGCCGGCAGGTGCGTCCGCATGCCGACAACAATCGCTTGGCATTGCCAGGAGCCGTGGCTCCAGTCGACGAGCGCACCAGCCAGATGGACGTCGATTGGCTGATGACGCCCGGGTCGTCAGTGTGCAGCGATGCTGATCCATGACCATAAAGACACTAGAGCCAGCCTGACCGTGCGCTGTGGAGGGTCCAAAAGAGTCGTGCAGTACCAGCCGGATAAGAGCAGATCCCCACCGTGGAACTGAAGCTTAAGCCGGAAACCACTTCGTCGGCTATGCCATCGGCCAACTGCAGGACAAGCCGCTACCAAGTATACGGATAGTCAGTGCGGCGATGCAGCTCTCGGCCAACTGGGAAACACCGATGGTTGCGGACTGTCCGCCGGATCCGTCTCCATGGTGTTTTAGCGATGCAAGTGCCCGTGACAATTACTAATAAACTCTTTGTCTTGGCATGCTCTAGAACCTGTATAAATGCAGGTGTCCCTTAGTCCATGGACAGGCCCTGCTACCGATATCTTGTTTAGCGACCACTGGAATATTCATTTTCGTTTACCTTTCGGCAATTTTCCACTCCTAATTCAAAAATGACCAGCACATTCAAGGCTGCCATCACCGAGCGCTACGTACGGACGCCCACCGACTACAAAATCGCCACTCTGCCTGTCCCCGCGCCGCCCTCCGACACGCAAGTCGAGATCGCGGTCCACGCCGTGTCGCTGAACCCCATCGACTACAAGCGTGCCGAGGGCATGATTGCCATTCCGCTGCCCGAGCCGTTCCCGCTCAGGCTCGGCTACGACGTCTCTGGCACCGTGACCAAGATCGGCTCGGCCGTCACGCGCTTCAAGGTTGGCCAGCCCGTCTACGGCCGTGTTGAGCAGGCCAGTGTCGGCACTATCGCCGAGATCGTCGTGGCTAACGAGTCGTCGCTCAGCCCCAAGCCCGACAACATTTCGCACAAGGAGGCCGCCAGCATTCCTCTGGCTGGTCTCACCGCCTTGCAGGTATTCGAAAAGGCTGGGCTGAAGGAGGGCCAGAGCGTGTTTGTCAGTGCTGGCTGCGGCGGTGTCGGCCAGCTCGCACTGCCGCTGGCCAAGCACCACTTCAAGGCCAAGGATATTATCACCACCGTGTCTACCAAGAAAATCGACAAGGCCAAGGCTCTGGGCGCTACGCGTGTTGTCGACTATACCAAGGAGGATGTTCATAAGGTGCTAGAGAACACGGCTGACGTCGTATTCGACACTACCGGCGACTCCTCCTCGTACATGATCGCTAAGCCCAATGCCCATGCGGTGTCCATTGCCCTGCTTGCCAGCGGCGACGCCATCGACGGGTTCCGCGATGACAGCGTGTCCTATGTCATATGTCAACTGTGTAAAGATCGCCATTGCCAAGCGCTTGGTTGGTGCTGTCGGCTGGTTTGTCACCCGTGGATTCCGCGCCAAGGGCGTTTCGTGCGAGTTCCTGCTTATGAACCCGGATGGCCGTGCTCTTGAGACGGTCTTTAATCCGCTGCTCACCACCGGCAAGATCAAGCCCATGATTGCCAGTGTCTACCCGTTCACTGACGATGGTGTTAGAAAGGCGTTTGCCGAGCTGCGTGATGGCCATGCTACCGGCAAGATCATCATCCAGGTGCGCGACGACTAAACCTCAGTATATCTTTCCCCATACCTCACCATCCAACTTTCCATGTCTTGGAGTTACGTTGCTGCTTTTCTTGTGTTCCATAGTAAACGTATCTTTCTCGTATACTTGTGCACAAATCCATGGAGCTAGTAAAGTGGCAGTTTCGCAACCCCTACCACGACGCGCAGCACGACTCTACGCGGACATTTTTATTCGGCCCGCACACCGTCACGCTCTCCCAGCAGCCTGAGCTGCAGATTGACCGTCACCACAACACCGGCTTCCTGGTCTGGGATGGCGCGTACATTCTCTCCACATTCATCCACCACCACCTGCAGCTCTCTGCCAAATCCTGCCTGGAGCTTGGTGCTGGCAACGCCCTGGTCTCCATTGTTGCCCGCCTCAAAGGGGCCGAGCGCGTCATCGCCACTGACCTGGACGACTACCTCGATTTCATCAAGGGCAACATTCAGCAGAACCCGGTCCCTGCTGGCGCTCCCTGAGATCGAAGTCCGCCATCTCAGGTGGGGTGATGACCACCAGGGCATAGGGAAAGTCGATGTGGTGTTTGGATCTGAGATCCTGTACCTGCGGGACCTGCACCAGGCGTTGTTGGCGAACACTGCAGCAGCTCATGCACAAAGACTCGGTTGCATATTTCATTTATAAGGATCGCTCACTCGGCGAGCACGCATTCCAGGCAGCCGCTGCACACAGCGGATTCAAGATTGTTGAACTTCCAAAGGCTTTTCTGGACAGCGAGTTCCAGGACGATCCCGTACCATTTGCTGCGCCTGCAGCTTTCATAGAATCGATGAATATAACTCTAGTTCTGTGGCGATCCGAAAACCACATTTGGCCTGTAATATCACCACCTATCGGAGCCTTGTCGATACTGGCCAGACGCAGGGGTACGTTAACCACCTGGTAGTTGGTATCAGAGTTCACACGCTTCGCTTATTGATTTCATTCTGTTTTGATACACAGGCATAAACTGCGGGCATTGGCAGAGCTCCTGTCTGCAGGCATTTCATCTAAATGCCAATTTCCTACGCTAAGACATCGGCCTTAGAACCACAGTCTTGTTCATGTGGGATAGAGCTGCATAGTAGATAATCACCTTATTACTGAAGAACTGGACAAAGCTGGCCATGACCACTGCTGAAATGCACTCGTCTGCATTCAAGAGCCGCTGAGTGATGTTTGGGTTTGCTGCACCAAGTAGATAAGGGATCTACCAGTATGTCACTTCTAGCTTCATCAGGGCGGGGAGTGCGGCTGCGTGGTTGGCAATTCTTTGCTTGGCCAGTTCCGATCTTTTGTTTATGATAGGAATTCTAAGCCATTTCTTGGCAGCCAGGTATATTTTGCACTCACAGAATATAAAGCAGCCCAAATGGTGAACCCCCTGTCGTGAAAACAGCCTTTTGCACATTTTGCAAAAAGTGGTCTGACTGTTTCAAACCGCAGCTCCATGAGCCATACGTTGATTCGCCCCATCAAGTGATCTAAGCCACATCGGCATCACCACCGACTGATGTCTATAACCGATGGTGGCCATCTGTGGTGCACAAAGGACAAGCTGCGGTTTTGCCGCTCATCACCAGGTGGCAATTATGAATAGATAAAACTCCCAGTCAAATTTCTCGTCATGCAATGATATCACCAAATACGACATCTCCATGCTGGCGAATTTGCATGTACAAAACCCTGCTTCTACTGCTCATCTGGTGGGAGTGGCCCTTCCAAGTTCTTGATTTCTAGACTCACCGTGTACATTTCGTATGATTTTGCATATCAACAATCGATCCGACTACCCGCTGTTTGTTCTGCTGGCAAGAGAGGTTAACGGTGCACACTCTCCATGGATGCAAGTCAGCTCACACTATATGGCACTGCTCGACCCCACACCGTATGTAAACCCCAGTCTGCAAGGGTATATCCTGATAATTGCTTCAGCAAGGCACTACCACCGTATCATCAGAGGAAAGGCGCAGCTAGACATTGAGAATGACATGTTGGTCTACCGCACTGAGGAACTCGCAAGCGGTGAAAAAGTCATGATTACCGACATGATGGGCGATGACCCAAGCACAGATGGGATCACACAAATGGGATTAGACACTGGCTATCCTGCAATTTTACCGCATGACAAGGCAGAGCACATACATCCACGAGTCCACCAGGATGTAGTGCCATAGGCGCAAATCGAGAATTCAGTGCTGGCACAGCATGCAACACACTAATCCTGTACGCCTGGGAGTGATACCTGGATCCCTTGATTATATGCAGTGGTACCTAGTTCCATTTCATATGACTGTAGCTCTTAGCAACACCAGAAAAACAGCCACTGCAAGAACCAGGTATACTGGAAAAAGCCCATGTCGACATTTCTATAGCACTGGGTTGCTATTCCATTTCTCATATACAAACCCACTACTTTCCAATGGTGCGAATCAAGGCTGTCCCTAACCAGGCGTCATGCGGACGAAAAGTGGTGATATAACGCATCATGGAGTCACTACATATGTCGCCTTTCGCAGCATGTGCATATGCAGCGCAAGGCCAACGGCGAGGCCAGCAACGGCGAGCTGGCCCTGTGCAAGGCCGTACTTCGACTGTACCTGGCCAGCGTGGCCAGCGCTGTCTTCCATAGGTCACGTGGTTTAATTTCTGGCGCAGATCCGTGATCAGCTACCGGGCGTGATGCCGAGTGTGCCACGACAGCAGCCAGCTGATGGTTTGCGCTTTTCCCACCACCTCGCATTCCTCTTCTTCATTTCGCCAGCACACTTTATTTCTTTTTGTAGTTTGTCCATTCCCTTCTTGTACACGACTCGCAATCTACAATTCCATACATACAATGAACCCCGAGTAGTAAGTGTCTCGCAGACAAGTGTGCCTTTTTTATTTTCCTTGCCAAGACCTGGAGTGGGAGTCCGAGAATTCGCACCCACATCCCGCAGTATTAGGGTGTACTAAGCAACCACTCTATACTTTGTGTTTTTCTGTAGCGACTACCTGTTCAAGCTTCTGCTCATTGGCGACTCTGGTGTCGGCAAGTCGTGCTTGCTGCTGCGTTTCGCGGACGACACGTACACCGAGAGCTACATCTCGACGATTGGAGTGGATTTCAAAATCCGCACAATTGAGCTTGAGGGCAAGACGGTGAAGCTTCAAATTTGGGACACTGCGGGACAGGAGCGGTTCCGTACGATCACGTCGTCGTACTACCGCGGTGCGCACGGCATCATTGTCGTGTATGACGTGACGGACAACGAGACGTTCGGGAACGTGAAGCAGTGGCTACAGGAAATCGACCGGTACGCGTCGGAGGGCGTGAACAAGCTGCTGGTGGGCAACAAGTGCGATTTGGCGGATGCGCGCCAGGTGGACTATACGGCAGCGAAGGAGTTTGCGGACGGGCTGAGCATTTCGTTCCTGGAGACGTCGGCGAAGGACGCGACCTAATGTGGAGCAGGCGTTCCTGACCATGGCGAAGCAGATCAAGGACAGGATGGGAGCGTCGAATGTGCAGCAGCAGCAGCAGAAGAAGCAGGTCAACCTGTCGCAGGCGCAGAATGTGCAGCAGAACAACGGCGGGTGCTGCTAAGCTGGCTCCCAGTCCGGAAGAAGACATCTGGGGGGAGCTAATTTCCAAGCTCTTGGCGCAACTCCGCTTTTCTCTTTCTAAACCCCTCGTCGTTTTCTTTCCAACTTTCCTTTCTCTCGAGTTTTTATTTAGCCCAACAAACAAACATTTTTATAAAATTCAGGCTTATGTATCGGTCAAGACATGGAACAGATGATACACGTTGTCGGCGTCCACGACCCCGACGCTTGTGCCGCACTCGTCGCAGACGACAGCCCGGTAAACGTCGCTTGGCCTGGCTTCCCTCTATGCTGTCGATCCGGGTCAGACCCTTCCTTTTGTACACAAACAGCTGGCTCGCGTCGATGTGGCAGTGGACGATCGACAGCGCGCGGTACTGGCCAGGAAATTTCACATGGCTCTGACACGTAAAGCACACCTGGGTGAAGCACATTGGGCAGCTGAGCACAGCGTCGGTTTTGCCCGGGTGCGTCCTGGCTGACGTACTGGGCGTCCTGGCTCATCTGCCCTGTCATCATACATCCAGTCAGTAGCGGCCGGGGGCTGTGGGGAACTGTCGCCGTCCATGAGAGACAAAAGTGAAAAGTACACGAATATCTGGACACCTGCTCGGGGGAAGAAATGCCGCATAGTTTTGTTTGTGCTTGACTTCTACGACGCTTCTGGGTCTGCAGGCAGAAACAAAAAGCAATCAAGGTGCTGCAATTGGTTGCGCTGCCTAGAGGGCTGCATAAATGAATCGGCCATCTGCGAGCCTTTTACGCTTTGGCTATCTGCCGCGCCTACCGGATGCAGCCCGATTTCTGCCGCGGTTCTGCCTCCTGCCTGTAGGAGCTGGCTTCAGCCTGCTTTTCCGATATGCTGTCGCTGGGCGAAGACCGCCGGCGGCCTCGAGGAGAAACGCCGATCGGCGGATGGACTCCCATGCTCTGACGCACTTTGCCAGCCAGGCGCCCTCTGCTTCCAGCGGCCTGCGCTACATACATAACGGCGCGGCGCAGCTCCTCTATGCCATCATGGCTTTCACGCGGAGCGCCGCCGTGGCTGGCCATGCATGCTTCGTCCCAGGAAACCAGCGACCGGGGGCTGTGGAACGACGGATACAGGGAGAACTGCGGGTCGGCCCACTGGCGCGCAATCCTGGACATGCGAGTCCACCGGCTGCTTGGTGTCCAAGCTGCCCAGAACCGTTACATCCGATACGCGGATACTGGTGAGGCGCTCGTAGGTCAGCGCAATCTTTTTCTTGTCTACCGCCGCGCCGCAGGACAGTGGTGCTATGGCAGTTCACAACAATATGCAGAGCGCAGCCGGTGGCCTTGTCAGCTGCCTGTGCTGGTCTGGAGGGCGGGCGGAGGCCCGGGATATTGGGAACCATGTCGGCTGCACTGGCCAGGAGCTGCGCCAGCGGCAGATTTGCAGGCTGGCGCATCGGTGACTACCAGCAGCGTATCGCAGATCTGCAGCATCAGCGTGGCCAGCTGCAGGTCGTTAGCGTAGTCGCGCTTCTCCTCGTGCTTGCGTGCAGCGTGGCATGCCTGCCGAACGCACCCTGGAGGCCAGCATCGGCGGCGTATCCACCAGCAGCACGCCGGCCCCTGCCACCCAAAAGTCCACGCCCAGGGTCCTATCTGCCCCGAATATGCGGCTCGAGTACGGCCCGGCCAGCCTGCGCCATCACCAGGGACTTGCCCACGCCCTGCATGCCAATGACGCCCACCTGTCGAGCTGAGCTGCACTGACCCCAGATACTTGCGCGCTGTCTGCAGGTCCAGCCGCCCGGACGCCGAGATAAGCGGCTTCTTGCCGAGTGCGCGCTCTGGAAACAGCTTCTCTGCGGGGACCCTAGGTGGAGCTGGGCGCGGTTGCCCGCTGGTGCTGGTGGCTGGCCGGGTCGGTGCTGGTGTCGCCGGCACTGCCTGGCTAGATGGGGCGCTGTGCTGACGGACTAGCAGCTGGACTGGCCGCGAGGCACCGTTGCTGGCGGTAGTCTTGGCAGGCGCGTCGGCTGGACGGGCCAGGATGGTCGGCACTGCAGGCGTGGCCCTGTTTCGTCTGTTGCTGGCCGGCTTCATCGTGCTGGTAGCTGGGTCAAACAGCTGTTTCTTGCTGCCCGAGCCTCGTTGTCGCGGCGGTCGTTCGTTTTCATGGCCCGATTTGTGCATTACCGTCAAACAAATGATTGAAGCGTCGCATTTAGAGGAAAAATTGCAAAAAGTGAAGAGAGAAGAAAAGTGCCCCTGTGAATGTGCGTGTTTTTAGACCACCGGCATGCGGCGACGGCGTGCCTCCAGCTTCTTGGCCTTGTTGGACGCCTTCTTGACCCTGGCCTCCAGATCCTTGCTGTCCATATCGTTGGCGTTCTGCGCTGCCAGTGCATCGCCGGCGACCTGCTGCAGAATGTCCTTGCCCGAGCGGCCATCGGCAGTCGTCTCCGATCCGCCGCTCACCACGACTTCGTCATCGTCCATCGTCCTCCTCTGCAGGCTTGTATAGGCCTACAGCACCCAGCACAGTCTTCGCGACCCACACGGGCAAGCGCAACAGCCATGACCCGGCGGATGCTGGCAGGCTTGACCGCATAGGGGTTGATCACGCCAACCTGTGTTGATCTGGTTCGCGTCCAGCTCGTCATTATTGCCCTCAAACCCCGAGTCCTCATAGTCAGTGGTGGGCGGCGAGCCGCGCTGCTGTCTGCGCATCACGCCTGTTTGTCTGCTGCTGCGTCTGCTCGGCACGCACCTTGACTCTGCCGCCGCGCTTCCTCTGCTCCTCCTCCAGCGCCTTGATCCGCTCCTGCGCGCGCCAGAACGACAGCTTCTGGAACAGATACTGCATGGCCGAGACAAACACCACCAGGCCGGTCACCACGGAGCCGAAGCCCGGCCGCCACCTGCTGTACATGTAGCCGGTGCCGCGCCACATGGGCACGCCGTTCTTGCGGAAGAAATCGTACCGCTCGCGCGCGTAGCTGTCGCGCAGCACGCCGACCACCAGGCCCATGCGCTCGAACCGCTTCGTGTCCGCCTCGGTCAGCTTCTTGGCGCTCTGCTTGCGCTTGTCCGGGTGGTACTTCATCGACAGCTTGCGGTACGCACGGTTGATCTCCTTCAGCGATGCTTTTGGCTCAATGCCCAGGAGCTCGTACCAGTCAGGATGTCGCCTCGTTGCGCTTTGACCGAGTCGTAGAGCTCAAAGATCTCGTGGTCGATTTTCTCCCATGCTACCGCCGCCGTGGACCAGCGCCAGGAACGCCAGAAGCACAAACTTTATTCTCATTGTCGTGTTTTTTCTTTCTTCAAACTATGTAATTGAGGAAGGCTACGAAATTCCTGAACAGAGATGAGCAGAGAAGGGACTGAATTCGTGCTAGCCTGCTGATTTTTCCCTTTGATGAATCCCAAACTGATTTTCCATTTTTAGCAGCCTGGTTTAACCGTGAGACCGCCTGGTAGTAGCACTGCTGATACTGCACATCTGGTGTTGTCGCCGTTGCGCCATCCTGGAATACACCGCTGCTAGTCTCCACCCATGGGTGAGCTGCAAGACCAACAGGTGAAAAATAGTTCAATACGTCGATGTCGCCAAGGCAGTTACGGCGCTTACCTACCACCTCCACTTTGAAGCTGAAGTTATCGCTGGACTCCTGCACCAGATTGCTTGCACTCAAACCACGGCTAATGTAGAGAATTGTATTGTGCTGCTGGCATATATTCCAAGACAGTATGACCTCAGCTCTCCTGGTATTAGCATACCCGGAAGGGTGTGCTGTTTGAATATGTAAACATGTAGGGGCCATATTTGATGATACGCTCCAAAACGAGGGTGGCCAGATTTACAGCTATTGATAATTGCAGAGGATTGTTGCGCCTGTCCTCCGGGCAGTAATGTTCAACCTATGCCACTTGGCTGCACGAACTACTGACCCTTCTCGCAATGAAACAGATAACTTGGCTTGGTATATTGTGAGATATACAGTCAATAGGCCTATAGATGCCCAGGTCGTTATTGCCATCTCCTTTTGCCGCCCTCATGAAGGTGGTAGAAACCATTCATGCTTTATGATATAGTCCGAAAAGTTGATTTGTTTGTTTCTGGATCTGCGAGTATGTATGTAGGTTTTGTAAAGGAGGCTTTACTTCAAGAATATCCTCAATTTAATGTATGTTCGAGAGGTGGCAGGCTCTATATACCTTGGAAATACAGACAGCTCTTCTTGACAGTGCGCCTGTGCTGCCGGTGCTTGTGAGGAGGACAGAAGGAGGGTGCAATGCTCACTAGCACAAAACAGCTTGCAGTGACTACGGAGCTTTATTCAGTGGCAATTCCAAGAACTGTGCCTAACACGCCGACAGGTGCTATTTGTGGGGGCAGGATGTGGCCAAAAACTTCGTCCAGCTCCTGTCTGCAGTAGCATCATCGGCCAGTAGATTCTCGCAAAGCACTCCCTTTACACAAAAGTCTCGCCCTCAGCATTCGATGCTGCTGACCACCGACACATTTTAGAGGTTGGGACGATCACTATTCACGTTGCACATGTGAACACTCGGCATCCATTCACAAAGGCACCTCATGATCAAGGCAGAGTCGGCCAACCCACCTCATCCATGAAACCACTTCATATAGGTTCTACCCGGCTACATGGTAATAACCATATTCGTTAGGCGCTTGACCAAGCGAATGCGATTACCTAGGCCTAGTCAAGTCCGATGCTAATATAATGCATTTACGTGGTGCTATACACATTGTACTCTTGGGCTAATGTCTCGAGCGTGAATTAGATATAGTGCAGGACTCCTGTCTGCTAGCGTTTTGTCCAAACAAGGGTTCCCAACGCTGTTTATTAAAACGTAAAGAAATGCAATCTAGAAGTGGGGCAAATGGGCTCTCCTTGCATGCCAGGCAGTGGCTAATATATCCTTGCGTCTGCCGCACAGTAATATCATTCGGATCCCCGCATAACTACAGCCACATTTATCCATGTGTCATGTACTGGTGCATTACTTCCACCAAACATCGGTTCAGGTGGTCATATTATAAATTACCCTTTCACTAGCCAAGAGAAAACCACGAGCGAACAATAGCTGGGACGTATCTTTGTATGATACTTGAGTGCGAACTTGTCGCGTTGGCCAATGCATCACTGCGGCTCTGGAGGAGATGCCCGTAGCGGGGAACCACTGGCCTCCAAATGTAGATGTTTTTCCCTTCTCTCTCAACAAACTGGACAAACTCATTGGAGTATTCCACTGGCAGGTCGAGCTTCAACAGGGATGGGGTTCGGATGATGAGCTGCCGGAGCCAGCTGGTGTTCATAATAGCTTGACCACAGGCAATTGATTGTGATTTTGAGGTGCTGGAGGGTCGTGCTAATTGGGGATGTGGATTGAGCAGTGTCGGCACTTGGATAATCCCAGTTACTTTGTATACACCCAAATTGAATACTGGACATTAATGTGGAGGTACCAGAGTCGTGGAAGCTGCATGAGAAGGCAGTCGATGTCATGGTAAGGGATATCTCGCAAACCCAACTGAAGCTTTTGGAGGTCTGGCCAATTGACAGCTTGGCTAAAACACTGACTCGAGCGAAACCAGTACTGCTGAGCGAACAGGCGATGCTATGGTCAAAAAAGAATTGGAGAGGCCCGTATCTGTCCTCTGTCGGTTCCAAGTATCATCGAAGAGCAGTCACCTCTAGAGTGTACACGCTCTGTATAAGTACAGGCTGGATATACGGCAGGTTGTGCGTTCTTTCCGATACTTGCAGACAGCATAACGGCATGTCAAGGAAGGGCTTGTAAAAGTCCCGGAAGTGGTCGAGTGCATTGTATGCGCAAAGCCTCTGAAGTTTAGGAAGGTGCAGATTGCATTCAGCAAAGCTGTGGACTGGCGTTTGGAATTTGGGAGCAGCTAAATTTCAGCGATAGCTCTCCTCAACTCCGGAAATACGATGGGCTTGCCTGCAGGATGCTGGAATGCTGACCACATAGCCTTATCAATTTGGCCAGCGATGCACAAGGTCCGTAGACATGCCACTGGGACGTTCCTGGCAGCCTGTTAAAGCGGCTATGCTCTGAGCACCAACATCAAGACGTGTTATACTTGCAAACTTTTCAGGGAGTCCTGTCCAGCGAATATGGGCTGTAGGCAGAATATGCCTCTAACTGGTGTGGATAAGTGAGCGAGCAGTACGTATATAAACCTGGCTTTGTCTGCCTTGGTGATGAGCTATCTCACCACAGGTGATCCTAGTGAGGGCACTCAGATTCTGAGCTAGACATGCGAGTGCATCGTCGTGCGGGGTTCTCCCAATAGCCCCGATATGCAGTGTTTTGATGCTGTCCCAGCTGCTCGCACTGAACTGAAATTCCTCCAGTGCTTGAGTAAATGATGCGTTCCATCCCTGGCTCCCGTTATCGATGAGAAGACTAGTGGTCTCTCGTGACATTCCCGCTGATGCAATGAATCCAATGTTTGTCACCCATTTGTACCTGGTGGCAATAGCACCGGGAAGGTATTGGTCCATACGCCCCTTACAAACAACAAATGCCGTACGACACATGGGCTTTTTTAAGCACTCCATCCACTGGTGGCATATGGTAGCAAGCTTGAAGAGCTCCAGATATGAGTCCACGGCCTGGTCGTGGCACAGTGGGTACATGGCGACGAGCTGCTTCAAAATGTTCTCAATAATGCTGCCTCCCGCCAGGCTATTGATGGTCAAGGAAATAGTGGACATCGTCGTACGGGAAACGGTATAGTATGTGCAGAAATGGTAGAGTGGAAAAGAACTGGGTTTTGTTTTGACATCTGCCGCTGCAGCCCGATAATCGAATGCACAGGCCGATCCATTTTCGAGGATCTATCACATTATGTGATCAATCGATTTGCGGACATGGGCGCCACCCAGGTATTCTGTGGCAAATAGCACATATGCACATCGGCAGTAGCCTCCAGGAAGATCTGGACATGGGAGACTGACAAGTCGCCAGAGGGGCTTTGGTCTGCTCGGCGACCACTACGTGACGACAGAACTGCAGCCTAGAATAGAAATCTGATTGCCGTTCCGCAGGAAATGCCGCGCCTGCCCAATGCCAAGTCGCAGCCAAAGGAACGCAGAGAAAGGGAGACAACAATGGGGGACAGATTGGCGGCATCTAAAAATCGTGTGTTGCCACATGTCACTGAACGCTAGGCCTGCTAGCTACTCCCCCAAAGCTCCTTATCTTTCGCGACCATCTCTGCTCTTGGTATTTGCCAGCAGCCGCAACCCAATAGCCTGGGCTGAACGCTCTGGCCGATCTCCGTCGCCCAACTCTAAGGCGCGCTGTTGAGGCAGCTGTCTTTTTGTCCGCTAGTGGACTGGCCTATAACAGCACGCGCGGCTATGTAAAGGAATCCTACGCTCTGGCATAATGAGGTCATGGCGTGAAGACAATCACGCATGTGCTCCATCTCATATGCGGCTGCTGTAATGTGGAGTCCGTAGATGCTGTCAAGGATATGCGCTAACTTCAGCGTCGGTATTAGCACCCTCACGTCATTCATAGCGCCGCATAGCCGGTGATTGGGCTGCGGGGTCAGTGATCGAGCTGTTCAATTCGCTGCACTGAAAACTGTCCCTTCTATGGCAGTGTCTCACAACTAATTGGCTGGGCTCTGGAGCTGCGCACGGCCCAAGCTCAGATGAACACAAACCACCAGCCCTTGAAGAAACAAAAAAACAAATATCGCGCACTTGATTGCCGCTTTATCTGGCCCGAAAGCAGCGTTCCACTACGGCTTTTCCATATACACCCCTGACGTCATTTTTTTTTTTCATTTCACACCAGAAACCGGCTTCTTTCCACTGCCAGTCAGCTGGACCTCTACCTATAAATGGGCGCCTCCGTTCCCCCCGGCCTGATCGTTCGTCCATCCTTTTTTCCCTACGCAAACTTTAATCCACCCCTTATTCCTGTTTCCATTTTCGCTATTATTATTTTGTTAAAACCTGTTGCTGTAATTTTTCCTGTTGCATTTAAGCCCTCTATGAGTGCTCCTTCCGATAAGCACCAACCACCACCACACCCAGATATTGAACAAAACATTCTGTCGCTGCAGACGGGCACCCCTGGACACAGCTCAGCACCCGCGCATGAAGCAGCGCGCAGACTCGGCCTACAGCGAGATGGAGATTCCCAACGGCCTCCAGATCGAGCCGACTGCGTCCCCGGCATCGAGCGAGCTGAGCAGCAGCGCTCCCCACGCCTACTGCAGTGACATGGACCCGCTGGTGAAGCAAGCACTCGAGAGCGGCGACCGCATGAAGGAGCGGCCGCTGTCGATGGGCGAGCCGGGGGATTACCTGGACAACCTCGACCGGTTCCTGCAGACAAACTACGAGTGCTCGTTCTGTCCGATGGAGCAGCCGACGTTTGAGGACATGCTCAAGCACATCAAAATAAAACACCCGTGGTACGATCTCAAGATTCACAAAAACATCCGGTAGCCTGTGCTAGAGGCACCCCTCACCTACACAAACCTGGTACTCTTTCTGTCCATTATTCCGTCCTTGTAAATTTGAAAATAAAATACTCCCACTCTTTTTCGTTCACCCGCTTGCGCTCCATGCCCTCCCCCACTCTTGCTCTCCGGCTTCTTTTTACGTCAGGATGATGCGCACAACCCACGGGGCTTGCTGTTCTTGCCGACATTGCACTTTTGAGTGCATTACAAAAAGCACAAAACAGAAACGGCGAAAACAGGTTTATGCACATGAGATGCATACAAAGCGCCCGCACAATGGACAGCGACACGCAACATGTGTGTATCCCATGTGCACCCACATCTTGCGATGACGAAGAAAATTTTTCTCCTGATACTGTAGCCACATCGTCATCAGCTGCAGTTCCTTTATCTCTTCGGCACCTTCTACTCTGTTTTGTTTGCCAGAGTCGCAGTGGAGGAGGATCGGTAGGGGGCACAGTCAGCCTTTGAGATCATTTGCTGCTGCTGGCTGACCACTCAAAAACTGGCTACTTCAGTGTGGACAAAGCCAGCTGTTGGTGAAGACTGTCTGCCCCTGCTCAACCCGCGGCAGAAATCTCCCAACCTCCCAGTGAAATTAATTGCTACTATCTGCGCTCCTGGCCGTTGGGCTACTCGCTACGCACAATGCGGGCGAGCGGGGAAGGACGGCATAGCGCAGGTATGCCTCCGTTTTTTATTGGAAGATTCCGCCCATCCCGCCACGCACTTCACACAGGGAAAGCAACAATGAGACTTGTTTTTGGCCACCTTTTTTGTCCCACACGCATATGCACTGCAGCCCGGCCGATCAGAACTGACAGGTACCGATATGGCCCTACCCATCTGCACGTATTACGTAGAGCACAATAGCTTGCATTATAATCTAATATTCAGTTGAAATTGCTAGGAATTGGGCCGGTTGAGGAAACCACCGGAGGCCGCCAGCGGACAGTGGTTTGCCTCAGAGCCCCAGTACTTGGGCATGGTCAGCTTGGTGAATAGGCCGAATTGCACTATTCCCGAGATTGCAAGGCCGCTGTCGAGACCCGCCGACAGCGAGAAGGCGTACTTTTGCCACCAGGCGTTTCTGTAGCGGTGGAGGTACCAGTTGAACACAAATGCACCAATAAACCAGTTGACCACACTGGCGGCAGGCATCGGCGGCATGGCCGCCTGAGATGGAGATGGCAACAGGGATGTTTATGTGGCGCCAGGCGCTGTTCGGATAGCGCTTCTGCATGTACCACACCGGCACGGGTAGGATCAGTCCGACAAAGAACATGTACAGCATTGGGTGGTACGGGCTGCTTGATCCGAAGAGCTTGCCGGGTCCGATGAGGCCCCAGAGTACCGAGGCTGAATAGAAGGTGTTGGCGCCAAGGCAAGTCCAGGGGTAGCCTTCTGGCGTACATATGTTTTTTATGCTGTTCATGAGCCAGAACGCGACAGCCAGCTCGATAAACGACGACAGGACGGTGCCTGCGAGCTGCACGACAAACATGTGCTTGGGAGGGATCTTCATGTAGTGGCCCAGCTTGAGATCAGAGACTAGGTTCAGCGCCTGTGTCATTGTGATGTAGCCGTATACCTTGAACGTGACGTTGGCAATGGGGTTGCCCGGCATCCCGTAACCGATGATGAACTCTGTGATCACGTTGAGCCCTGGCTGCTGATTGCTGATAGCCTGGATGATGCCAATGGGGATGGTGAAGACGAGCGGGACGATGACCGAGACCAGGACCCATGTCCAGGGCATCATGTGGTAGACCTCGCATACGATGATGGTCGCGGTAAAGGTCACAGCAAACAGCAGGATGTACCACCACTTGGGCACCTCGTCGTATTTGCGCATCAGCTTGGCGTGGATGTCCTCGTCCATTGAGCGCGACTGCTTCATGCGCATGAGGATTTCGCCGCCATGGTGCAGGCCAATGTATACAAGCAGACAGATGATGGCGGCAAAGCTGATGCCGTACGACATGGCAAACTGGAAGGTCATGCGCACAGGTCCGTACGCGGCATACCGTGCCGCATCAAGGTGCTGGTCCTCGCTCATGATCTTGTGGATGTCGTAGGCTGAACCGTTGGTCTGGAACAGGTGGGACGTGTAGATGGGCAGGTTGCCTGATCCCCAGGTGTTGGAGTAGTAGCCGATCGGCGTGATGATCCACATTGTGATCACAAAACCAGCAAACAGGTTGCATGCCATGACCCACGGGTACGCGATAGGCGAGCCCATGTTGCTTGAAATGGTGCTCCAGTCCAGTGTAAACGTCATCATGCCGAGCCCGTTGTAGGCATCACCGAGCTGCTGGGCAATGACGCTCTTGGGGGCAATGTAGCACAGCAGCGTGATGTATGTGAGCGCAGGCATGATGAAGTTTGGCACAAAGAACCAGATGAAACTGCCGATGAAGCAGATCCAGAACATGCGCGTGCGGAGTCATCTTGCCGCCAAAGTTCTGCACCTCGTGGAACGTGCGGAACAGCGTCACGCTGATCAGCGTCGACGGCCAGATCATAGCCGCCGGGTACACCAGGAACTCGCGCGTCAGCCCGGCAAACGAGTAGCCCATGATTTGCGACGTCAAAATGAACAGCAGACTGGCTATAAAGCCCAGGTCGGATTTGTACCAGATCTTCTTGATCGTGACCACGTCGATGGCGTATGGCGAGCCCGAGGACGCCGTGGCGAAAATCGAAATGAGCACGTGCTCTTTGATATTAAACGGGCCCGGGTTCATGGTCCACTCGAACCCAAATGTGCGGAATGTACGTGTTGGTAGCACGCGCGACATGACGTAGCCGGCAGGAAACGCCAGCAGCTGCACCACGGAGCCGCCCAGCGAGAGCTGGTTCTGGCGGTAAAAAAAGAACTGGTTGACGAAAGACAAGATGCCGGTGAACAACATGCCCAGAACCCACACACGGAAAGTCAAAGGAGTACATGGACGGGTCGTCCTTGTTGGACACAGAGCAGCGCACGAGGTCGTAAGGGGAGTCCTCTTCCTCCTCCTCCTTGTCCAGTGCCGTCTCGATGTCTTTCGGCTGCTTCTCGGATGCCTGCATCTCGACGGGTGTCATCTCATCATCGGGGAAAAACTGCTCGTGACCACCGTCCTGCTGCAAGTGGCCGGCGGTTTCGGGCGGAGTCATCCATTGTGCTGAATTGATGTCTGTGTAGCTTTGGGCGGCCAGGTCCTGGATACTTGGATTGGCAATATCGGTCGCCTTGGTCATCTTGTTTAGGAAAAAGTGGCGAATGTAGTAGTAGAGGCGAAGTAAAGGAAATAAAGCGAGGGACGAGGGCGAAATGTTAGTAGAGATAAAATAGGAAACAAAAGGTTCGACTATCTCAGAAGGCGTGGGGGGAGGTGGGAGGGGAGGGAAGTATAGAAGAGGCGTTCGGATACACATTCACGGCAGAACATGGTTGGGCTGGGGAGAGCAGAAATTGCGACACTATTTATTGCCTGAAGCGCCTCCGTTATCTTGGAAAGCAAAAAGGTTCTCCACCACATGCTGATTGTATGCGCTGCGTTGTTTGACTTGTCCCCATCACCCGGACAGCCAGAGGGACCCCTCACTAAATTGCAGCATTTTTCTTCTATCGGGACATTCAATGCAAATGGTGGCCCCGTATATCGGGCAAAAAACCCATGACAAAAAAGAACGGCCGAGACTGACCAAGGGACAGCCATTTCGTTCACTTTGGCCATTGAGCCATTTGCCGAGGCCTATACATTCAAATGGTGTCTCGCAGTTATCATATGATCGGCAGTATGCTAATTTTTAGCCGTGGTTGGACAGGGCAGGGCGGGTTCATGGCTGGCCCCCTCTCTCCTCTACGACGACAGAGAAATGGCGACTATCGCAAGGTCTAGAAGGCACGCCAATTCATTTTACTGTGGACATTGGTGGAGAGTCCAAAATAGACCCTGCTGTTCAGAAATGGCTGGTGCGCTGCAAGAGAAAAAAAAATCATGGTGTGGGGAAGGCAGGCTTTTACACGATGCTAAATATTGAAAAATAACTACTCCCGCTTTAGTTGTCGCTGTGCGCCGGCGACTGGTCAGCGGCGTTGTCGTCGTAGGAGTCGTGGTCCTGCTTCGGCTCGACATCATCGCGGCCATCGTGCGCCGGCTCATCCATGCGCTGGTCATTCACGGGCGACCGGGAGCGCACAGGCGAGCGAGAACGCGCAGGCGAGCGAGAGCGCACAGGCGACCGGGAGCGCACGGGAGACCTCGACGAGCGGCGCATGGGGGACCGGGAACGCACGGGAGAGCGGGAGCGAACCGGTGATCTGGAGCGGTGGCGGCTGGTGCTGTACTGCCTCTCCTCGTCGCGGCCACCACGGCCGCTCGTGCGCTCGCGCCTGTAGTCGCGCTCCGCGGGGCTGCGCGAGTAGCGGCGACTGCGGGACTGACGGTCGCGACGCGACGGGCTGCGGGACCGGGAGAACGAGCGCGAGCGCGACCGGCGGCGGCTGCTTCCACCACGGCGACGCTCCTCCTCCTCATCGTAGCGCCACGAGCGGGCAGGCGGGCGCTTGGCCCACTGCACGGAGATGCGGGCGCCATCAATGTACTGGTCGTGCATGCGCTCAAAGGCATCCTCGGCGTCGCGCGAGTCCTCGTACTCGATAAAGGCAAACCTAATGCAATGTGTAGAGCCATGCAGGAGGCCCAGGAAAATTAGGAAAAGCGTGATGATGATCTCCAACGGCAGGATGCAGAGTTCAGAAACTGATGTGTATTTGGTGGTAATATAAGACCAAGGCAATGGCATATCAGCAAAACTACGCACAGGGAAGATTTACGCCCGACATGGGGAGAGATAGCCGCCAGCAGTCGTGACATTTCGCGGCTGGCGAGCGGGAATGGCTCCGGAAATACCCACTATCCCTCCTCAAAGGTCGCAGTAGAGGGAAAGGCAGCGTGGCAAGCGCTTGGGCGTGTATTGTGTTGGTGGCGAAACGGGCGGGTTTGAAAAGAACGCACAGCGTGAGAAATATCGAAGGTCGACAGATTGTTGCGTTTTGGTAACATTCATAACAGCAGCGAAGCCGCCGAGATTGCATGTGTGTGACAGGGAGAGAGATGCCGAACGTACGAGCGAGCCGTGCGTGCGTGCGAGCGACGTTTATTTGCGTCGGGATGGAGGGGGATGGAGGGTGAGTATACAATAGGCAAATCGCTCGTCAGTACGTGTACTTACAGCTTGTTGGAGTCGCGGCGAGAGGCCGGAATGTCGCAGCGAACCAGGCGTCCGTAACTAGATCAGAGGTAGGTGATGTGCGCATGCCGGTCAGCGAGCAAGTGTTTTTTGGGCGGACACGCCAATGCGAATCTCAAGATTCCGCAACTGTAGAGATATTTGTCAGCTTACCGCTCAAACTCGCTGGCCAGATCGCGGGCGCGCGTGTTCCGGCTGAACCCAGTGGCGAACAGAATTCTCTTTCCCATTGCTAGCAAGAAAGTGTAAATAAATGACAAGGGCGTGGTGGATAGAGGAGAAAAAGGCACCGCCGAACTGCGTTGTTGTGGCTCAAGAGTGAATGCGCCTCGCAAGCGACACCAGCGATTTTTTGTTGGGGAGTCGCGGCTCGCCAGCACGCAGGAGGTCCACGAGCCGTCCACGGGTCAGAATGGGGCTTGAGAATGTGTTTCAGCATCAAGCGAAACAAGGCGCTAATTTTCTTTTTTTGTTTTCTTGGCGATGCAGTGCGGATTTCCCCTGTGGAAGCATCCAGCATGAGTCAAACAGGCCTTAAAAGCGTAGCTGCCATCCCTTGCTCAAGCAGCACAAAACTCTTTTCCACATCCCTCATCTGTCCAATTCCTCCCTCGCCCAATATAACAATGTCAGACACGAGGCCGCTGCCGCCCAACTACATCGCACAGTTCGACGAGCGCTACAAGCGTAGCTTCTTTGTCAATACCGCCACCGGCCAGTCATCGTGGGATGACCCGCGGCCCGCATACTACGCGCAGCAGCAGCAGGGTGGCACGCGCGGCATGGGCGGACCTCCTCCTCCCTCCTACTACCAGCAGGGCCCTCCTCCCCAGCAATACCACCAGCAGCCGCCCCCCCAGCAGTACTACCAGCAGCCGCCTCCACAGCAATACTACCAGCAGCCGCCTCCACAGCAGTACTACCAGCAACCGCCCCCGCAGCAGTACTCGCAGCCGCAGGCGGTTGTGGTGCAGCAGCAGCCGGAGCAGAAGCAGAGCTTCTTCAAGCGCAACCCGATGATGACCGGCTTGGCCGCCGGTGCTGTTGGCATGTTCGCAGCCCATGAGATCGGCGAGCACTTTGAAGAGGAGCGCCAGGAGGCGTATGACGCTGGGTTTGCGGACGGCGCCGATGTCAACGAGTGGTAAACTATACTTTTATGATACCTTGAATAGATGTAACATCTGTTATGATGCGTTTTGCTGGCGCTTCTGGGTGTAGCTCAGGGGCTGCTAGTGCGCAGCAATTTCTATTGTGTATCGACAGCGCTGCATCCACTTGCATGCTCTGCGTTTAGCCTGCGGGCGATGCAGGCCTGGTTGTCGCAGCCGGCATTAGGGCAGAGCCAGCAACAAGCGAAGAAATTGCGATGCAAGGCGAAAAGAAAACAGGGGGCTGGTGTCCAGTGCACATGACTAGGGATGATGACCACTGCATTCGGTCAACAAGAATGATACGGGCGGGACAGCCGGCAGGTAGCAAGCATTGGCCAGGTATAAATGGGTACAGCGGCGCAGAGGAGGCCGTCGCGTGTGCTGCTCTATCTTTCGGAGAAATAACTCTTCTACTCCTCCAGCAAAATAAACACCACTAACCACATGTTCAACTTTTCAGGACTCCTCGACGGCAGCGTCTTTCTGCGTCGCCGCGAGATCGAGCGCCGCCAGCAGGTAGAGCTTCGAGGCACGCGAGGCCGACCGCAAGCACCGCGAGAAGGGCGCGCGAGCGCAAGCTCAAGGCCATGCCGCGCGACAGCCAGCTGCCGCCGCGGTTCCGCCGCAACACCATCAACATACCCGTCATCATGCGCACCAGCAGCTCCGACAGCTCAGGCGTCCGAGGAGCCGTGCAGCCCCACCACCATCCGCTGGGCCGACTGAAAAAAAAAAAAAGAAAGAAAGGAGAATGCGTATATGTACTTTACTAATAAACAACTATCAGACGAGCAAGGCAGCAAGCAGCATACCAAACACTAGTGCCCTGCCTGCAGACAGGGCGGATGGCGCGCGCGAATAGCTAAAGCCGTCCTTGCGCACATACACCGAATACTTTGTCTGGCACCGGGCTCCTGCGCTTGTACGCCTGGCTGCACTCGGGCGACTTGCCAACCTTGACATTGCATCGCTGTGTATTCTCGCGCAGCGCTGCATCCCACACCCAGCATGTGGCCGAGTCCTCGCCCGTCATCACGCACTGCGCCTGGCTGTTGGCGTCAAGCACCTTTGTGATACCCGAAAAGTCGTGGGCGTTGACTGGTATCGTGTTATTGCGGATTACCACCTGGCTCAGACTGACGCCTTTGAACTGGTCGGTTTTGTTTTGAAGCGCAAGAGCGTCGCATGTGCCGCTGTCAAAGCCGGTGCCGTCGTACACCCCGATGCAGAGGTCTTCGGAGAACTGGTACTGGCCGACCTTGTATACGACCACGGTGGAGTCGATGTCAGACATGATATATGCAGTAAGAGGTGGGAGATGGGAAGTGGAGCGGTAAAGGGCGGGTGAGAAGAGGGACGTGCTGCCTGGAAAAGCCCCTGGGCCTGGCTGGAGGTACCTGCTGGTGCTTCTAGCGACGTCAAACAGAATCGCAAGTGCCCTTTTGCGCTGATTTTCAGGCGAAATCTGACAACCCCTCCGCCTTCGGCCCTGCCTATTAATAGCGCGGGTCTAATTGGCGGGGCAGATTTGATTTATGCATGGCCGGCAGCAGGTGAGTAGGCGACAAGAGCACGCGAACACGGGACACAGAACCCACACGCGGTGCCCAGTCGGCGTTGTTCTATTCTGGGCCACTGGTAATGACGACAAAATGCCTTCCCACACAAATCAGGTGCCCGACACGCCTTCCCTGAGCTCGATTCCTCCAAGGCAGTAGCAGCCCGCCGCATATATAAGTGCCGTCTCTGTTCCCAGCTGCCGCCGAGCTCCTTACCCCCACCGCCCCCTCTACCTCCCGTCAGTTTTTCCTGCTCTTTTGCCTTTCCGGTCCTGCTTTACCTCTATTCTTACAACCTCGTCTCTCAGCAATATTCCTTTACCCGCCACCTCATCTCTTTCTACCACCAACGCTTTTTTTTTTTCGCTTTTGAGCAAACTGGGATTGCATCTGCAGCATCCCAATACCCCAACATTACCTCATCCTATACGCATCTTATCCACCGTCACACACCCCCATTCCATACTTATCCCATCACCCTACGTTATCACACAGCAGAAATGAGTTACGCCGGTTCCTGCTCGCATTGCCCATCGATACATCTCCCTCCGATGAGCCCCACCGCACCACACCCCCAGCTATACTACCACAAGCAAACACGACACCCGTCTCATTCTCATATATGAGACCCACCGCCACACCACCGCTGGCCCGTGGCATTCGGCCAAGGGATGTTGGGCGCTGTGCCCATTCCCCTTTCTCGAGTTTGCCTGCTCCAGCCCCTGCCATGTGTAACTGACAAGCTGATTTTATCCTTGCACGCATGGCCCCATTCCCCTCAGGTTTCCCCGCCCGCGGCGCCAATATCGGCAGTCCAGGATAGAGCGCACCCATAACAAGGCTTCTTGTCCGTACATGCGTTCCTATGCGTTTCCTGTATGCATGCTACTGCCACATCCCGTTCCACATCATGGCATGTTAACGACACACACTTGCACACTCACAAGTTCCAAATACTCAAGCGGCCATACCCACACACCTGCACACAATCAACCGCAACACCACGTCGCCAGTGCCCCAAGTCCTCTCGACCGCCGTTTACGAACCCTCCTCCCTTTCATGTTGAAATTACGTTCTTTCCCTTCTTCAACCCCCCTTACCCAATAAACCGCATAATTGTGTCGCGCCGCAATAGCAGCAAACGTATTCCATTGTTATCTCCAATCGGCTCGAGTGCCAAGAGCGCGTTATAGGTCCAGCAGGGAGTGCGCTGCAGACGCGTGACTTCAGGTGATAGACTGCATTGCAGTGCATGTGCATCCTTTGGGGAGGGGGCAGGGACGACATGTACATCACGACACCAGCTATCGAAGCTGATCAACGCTATGCATGCTGCCCCTTGATTTAAGCCCAGCGGCATTGACCTGGTTTAAATAGTTTACATTTTGAACATACCATCGCAAGCGGGTCTAATAATACTCTTCGCTCTCGTCGCAAATCTCCTCTAATGTCCTTGCCCTTGCTCTCAGGAATCCAGAATGTGACTCCCAGGCCGATGAGCATGAACAGGGCAAAGATCTCGAGCAGATGGTTCGATCCACGCGTTCTTGCCACCAATGTCTTTGAGCTGCAAGAAGCCGCCCTGCGCAACAATGGCGCCAAGCTTGCCAGCAGCCGCTGAGATGCCGTGTGCAGTTGCACGGAATCGTGTCGGGAATACCTCACCAGGGATGACAAATGAAGTAACGTTGGGGCCAAAGTTCTGGAAGAACTGGGCAAATGCAAACAAAACAATGAAGGCGACGCTCGAGTTGTCCAGTAGCCGGTTGTAGGCGAAGCCGAGGATAACGTACAGAATCGTAAGCATAACGAATCCCAGAATCTGGATCTTCTTGCGCCCAAGCCGCTCGATTGTGAACACAGAGACCCAGTAGCCAGGCACGGAGCCGAGCATATTGATGATGATGTTGCCGACGCAGTTGCGCGTCAGGTAGTGTGACGGGGTGTCCTTGTCCATGTCGCCAGCGAAGCCGATGGCATCGATGACCACGGACGAGTTGAGGTTGATTCCGTAGAATGCGACATCCAAGGCAAACCAGGCGATGGATGTGCCCAGGAGCACCTTCAAGTGCCTCCACTCGCCAAAGTACATCTTGAATGTCTTGATGCGGCGCTGTCCACCCACGTGTCCTGCGGGCCGAGATGCCACTGGTACAGCAGTCTCGATGGCGTTCTCGATCGCTGCCCATATCGCCACCAGCATGGTGCTGCTTGGCCAAAAGCTTCTCCTGCACCGTGTCCTCCTGCGCTCTATTGGCGGCATTTTCCTGCGGACTGCTTTTGGAACCGCGCCGACTCCTTCATTGTCAGGCGCCAGTACAGAGTGGAAACGCCAGGAATGCAGCCGAGGCCGATAATCAACCGCCAGACATAGTCGAGATTCTCTACGTCCTCGTCAATCTTGCCCTTGAAGCATGCAATGAGGATAACCGACACAATCGGAGCGAGCACGTTACCGAAGCCCTGGAACGCAAACACTGCAGCCATGAGCTTGCCGCGGTTGTGTACGTTGGCGTACTCAGACACGATGGTAGCAGTGATAGGATAGTCGCCACCAATGCCGAAGCCGAGCAGGACACGCCAGATGAACAGGACGCAGAACACATTCATTCCCTTGACCATGCTGTTTGAAAAGGCGCTGGCGATGGTGGTGAAGATGGCGATCATCAGCGAGGCCGCATACACCGTGGTGCGGCCGATCTTGTCGCCGAGACGGCCCATGACAAGCTGGCCGAGAAGACATCCGACCTGGACTGCAATCTTGATCAGCGTGTCCCACTTTTGCGGGACCGTGTTCTTCGCCGACCCTGTTGCGTCATGATAGTATACAAACCCCATGATCATTGCCACGATGTTGATGGCGAACATGTCGTAGGCGTCGTTGAGGAATGCAACGCCACAAACTGTCAGTCTCTTGATCCATCTCCCAGTTGACTTTGGTCGCGGCATCGAGCTCGGCCAGCTCGCGTTGCCGGTGCTCGAGATCGGGATCATGGGCATCCATGTTCTCGCCGTCGATGGGGTATTTTTTGTCTTCCTTCTCGTCGTCATACGGGGTGATTTCTGATGCAGTTAGACTGCATCGCCATATTGCCATCCCCATATATCTCTTGGATACCCCGCAAATCAGACATGGGAAAAAAACTATGAGCTGCTGTGGAAAGTGGTCTGAATGAAGGAAGGGTGAGGAGAAAGAAAAGAAACGCTAGATGGGGGAATTAGCTGATGGCTAGAACGCTTAGCTTGAATGCATCCTGCCATCCCCTGCCCGCATTTTATACACTGTCGGGAGACACAAGTCACCCAAGATGCAGAGGTGGTAATGCTAAGAAATCTAGGCGAGTGAGAAGAGTTTTGGCCATCGGACATTATTCAAGCTCACGAGGTTTTCCGCCGCACCGCTCTGCCTCTGCCTGTCCCCCCAAAAAAAATGCACCGGATATAGCCGGTGAGCGGCAAGCCAAGCACACAGTTCTAGGCACGTCCTCTCGCTTCACCCGTGCCCATCACGCCTATGGCACCCCTCCCTGCTCGGATGTATTTCGTCTGAGCGTTCTAGTGCCTTAATCAAGACTGGTGTAGCGAGTCCGGGTTACTTGCGGAGACTTCCCTGCCCCTCTTGTGCTTCTCCGCGCGCGGGATCGCTGTGCGCCCATTCCCAACTAGCCAGCGACTAATCTCAACTAGTGCAATAGGCGCAGCTCGTAGGCCATCACGAGACATTTTGCCAGTATGGAGAGACTGGTCCTCCTGTGGTGCCAGATGGCACTGAGCGTACTGATGCTGCCCTAGCAGGTCCTCAAATCGGCTCAAGAGGCTGTGCACACGCGCGCCTTTCTTGCCTGTGTACTGGCCAGGCCCCTTATTCCTAGCCGTCCTCCCCCAAGGAATATGCAGTGGCTGGCCTGCGCATTATTTTAGCAGAGATGCAACCGCACTCTAGGCTTCACGTGGCGGGAGGATCTGTTTCAGCACACACAGGTTTCTCATTCCGCTTGGCAGCAAGTGCATCGCCAAGAACAGGCTGTCTGCCGCCACACTCCGGCGCCGCGGCCAAGGGGCTGTGGAGGTAAGGGACACGTTCCCAGGTCCAGCCAAGACATTTGGGCATGCGGTGTATAGTAGCCAGCGCATCCGGGTGACATGTTTGGACAATTGCGAGCGCCGGGGGCTCAAACAACAAACAAATGAGCCTCGCATCGGCAAGGTATTCCTGATGGAAACACAATTTATGGGGGGCTATACGCCATACATTTCAAAAAGTCCCCACAGGGGACCTGGCTTCCCTCACGAGATCTGAAGGTGGCTGGAGTCAGCAGGTCGCGCTTCTTTGTTGCTTATAAACGCATGTGTCGAGGGGCTGTATGGATGAGTAATGTATAGTAAAGATATTGAAATAAAGGCTAGATAACAAGGTTGGAATGTAGTAGTTGCAGAAGGCAGGGCGATCCTTTTTGCGGGCATGAGCGCTTAGTAGTACTCCTCGCTCTCGTCACAGATCTCCTCGAGGGTCTTGCCCTTGGTCTCGGGAATAAAGAAGGTGAACCCAAGACCGATCAGCATGAACAGAGCAAAGATCTGGAGCAGGCGGTCAATGAAGGCGTTCTTGCCTCCACGGTCCTTGAGCTGCATGAAGCCGCCCTGCGCGACAATGGCACCGAGCTTGCCAGCAGCAGCCGAGATGACCGTGAGCAGTCGAGCGGAAGCGCGTCGGGAACACCTCGCCGGGGATGACGAAAGGTGGTGACGTTGGGACCAAAGTTCTGGAAGAACTGGGCCAGGGTGAACAGCACAATGAAGGCAGCCACCGAGTTGTCCAGGATCTTGTGGTAGGCAAAGCCGAGGACAACGTACAGGATGGTGAGCATGATAAAGCCGACAATCTGGATCTTCTTGCGGCCGAGCTTCTCAATGGTGAACACCGACACCCAGTAGCCAGGCACGGAACCGAGCATGTTGATGATGATGTTGCCGAGGCAGTTGCGGATGATGTAGTGGTAGGGGGTATCCTTGACGATGTCGCCGGCGAAGCCGATGGCGCCAATGACCACAGACGAGTTGAGGTTGATTCCGTAGAAGGCAACATCAAGAGCGAACCAGGTGATGGAGGTGCCGAGCAGAACCTTGAGGTGCTTCCACTCGCTGAAGTACTGGGTGAAGGTCTTGGCGCGACGCTGCTTGACCGGGGCGGCTCCACCAGCATTGTACTGAATGGCATCCGTGGTCTCGAGCGCAGCCTCGGCATCCGAGCCCTCGAGCAGGCGCTGCTTGGCCATGTACTTCTCACGCATGAGGTCCTCGTCGGCGTTAGCGGCAGCAGCCTTGGCAGTCTCGAGCTGGAAGCGCTTCGAGTCCTCCATGGTCAGACGCCAGTACAGAGTGGCGACACCCGGAACGCAGCCGAGACCCAGGATCAGACGCCAGACGTAGTCGAGGTTAAGCACGTTATCCTCAATGGGGCCCTTGAAGCACGCAGTGATGATAATGCCGACAATCGGGGCAAGCACGTTGCCGAAGCCCTGGCACGAGAACACGGCCGAAATGAGCTTGCCGCGGTTGTGCACGCTCGAGTACTCAGACACAATGGTGGCAGTCAGCGGGTAGTCACCGCCAATGCCGAAGCCGAGCAGGACACGCCAGATGAACAGGACGCCAAACACGTTCATGCCCTTGACCATGTCGTTGGAGAAGGCGCTGGCGATGGTGGTGAAGATGGCGATCATCAGGGAAGCAGCATAGACAGTGGTGCGGCCGACCTTGTCGCCGAGACGGCCCATGACAAGCTGGCCCAGCAGGCAGCCCACCTGGACCGAGATCTTGATCAGCGTGTCCCACTTCTTGGGCACAGTGTTCTTTGCCGAGCCGGTGGCGTCGTTGAAATACACGAATCCGAGGATCATGGACACAATGTTGATGGCGAACATGTCGTAGGCGTCGTTGAGGAAGGCAACGCCGCAGACCGTCAGCTTCTTGATCATCTCCCAGTTGACCTTGCTGGTCGAGTCAAGCTCCTCGAGCTCGCGCTGGCGATCAAGCAGATCCTGGTCGCGCGGGTCAATAACGCCGCCGACGATGGGCTCTGTGGTGGAGTCAACATAGGCCTTCTCGAGCTCCGAGATGCCGGTGTTGCTGGCTGTGTTTGAGGTGTGCATGGTGAAATGCGGTAGCCTTGATTTCGCAGCAGGTAGATGGAAAGCCTGGAATATACACCAACGGGTATGTGCGCGTGGTTGGCCGGTGCACTCTGCTGCAGCTGAGGATACTAGATGAGCGTCTGGACAGAAGAAAGAAAAAACCGGCTGGAAGGCAGTTCTTCTGAAGAAAAAACGTAGGAAAAACGGAAGGGCAAAGAAGCACTAGTAGGAGTTGCAGGAGAGAGCACACGTTGTCTGTTGGTGGTTCAGAATGAAAGGAACCCAGCGGCCGGCACTTCATTTATACTCCCTGGGAAAAGAACGAACAACCGGCTTTTCTTGCAGGAAGCTTCCCATCGCTTCGTGCCCCACATTGACACTTCTACTACCGAACCCCCTTTCACTATACGGCGGTTTGAAAACGGGGCACTGGGTTGGCTTGGTTGAGAGATGTGCGCTTGAGCTCGGTCGTATATGGCGATTGCACAGAAATGCAAAAAGCGGAAGGGCACGGCTGCTGTAGGAGGAACGTGCTCCAGAAACTGACCACGGTGGCCAAACGAGTGGCCAGAAATCGTCCTCGCCAGCCTGTATCTTTCCAGTCTGATCGCCAATCCTTTTGAGCGGAAGGAGCCGATGTTTTACTCGCCTTCCTCCTTTCACACTTGGGCACATCTGCCACTGGCTAGCACTCGGTTCACTCCGCCTGCTTGTCCAACAGAAAAAGTAGCATTTCTCTCAACCCATGAAAAATGGACGTTTCACGCAGAAGCTTTGGGGGATTTTGTTTGAGCAGGTCGCGAGTGGTCCACATCGGCTCTGGAGCTTCTCCAGGGAAGGTGTTTCTCAGACACAGGACCTTTTTCTATTTACGGGCCGTTACTATCGTACGGTGTGGGTGTTTGCCATGCTATGGCCCCAAACAACATGGGCCATAGCATGGCAGAGTAGTAAACAGCATGCTGCGCTGGCTGATGGAAAAGGAAACCGGCACATCTGCATATCCCAATCAGCCTGGAATCGCCGGTGAACGTGTACCAATCGATTCACACATGCCCTCAGGAGTCCCTTTTTGTATGGTTGGCAATTGTTCCCTCGGCCGGTCCTCTGCGCTGTCGGATGCAAAGCTGCAACGATCGGACCCATCCATCCTGCAGCCAGGGAGGGTTGATGGAAGGGGGATGCGCATTGTCAACACACATGGGGAGTCAGGACCCAGCTTCATGCTCGCAAGGACAGCAGCAGTGGTCGCGAGGCACAACACGCGACCGGTATCCTCCATCCACTTGACATTTGTGCCACACAGTTCCGCCTGCATTTTGGCCACCAGAGCTGTGGGCCTATGCGCTTTGTCTATCAAGCCCCGTCGTCCGACCACCCCCTCTCGGGGGAGCTGTGCACTGGCTGAAGGCTAGCCACCTGTAACACCTTGTGAAGTATCCCTTATATCCACTTGTAGTTGTCCTTCCAATACACGCGGTTCGGCCATTTATTTCATGTCCAGTGACACGACGTGTGCAATGGCCCTACGCAGAGGTGTCACCAAAACATCCCACCGCAGTGCTCCAAGGAATGCTGGGACAAGGCCCATGATTTTTTCGTTGGCTGACTCGAACCGCAGGTCCATTCACTGACGTCAGATACACATGCAGCCAGGGGAAGCACTGCCATCCCCACGTGTGCCTTCGTGTGGAGCTAGGACGCACGAACCAATTCGCAGCGAACTTTCGGGATAGACATGTCTATGCAAGCAGCAGATGCATACGGCATTTAGTGCACATCATGTGTAGGCCATGATCCGCTGTTTTTTTGCTCCAGGCATTGGTAGCAGCAGCCAGAACATTTGCATCAGACATGTCGATTTCCTTGCCCACTAGGCGTATGACATGGCCCATCCGGCCGGAATTAATTGGAATTGCACCCGATGCCGACCTCAAGCCGTGGGTGGCAGACAGAAATAATGGCACTACAGACTCCAAATCATGTTTGAGCCAGCGGCCACGCCAATCGTGCTGCAGTGCAGCAGAAGAATCTTCTCTTCAGAACAGTGCACCTGGGCACTACATGGTAGCAGAACCTCCCCGGCTTGGCGCTTGCCCAACTAACGGGTAGCGCCAGCTCCAACTAGTTTTCCGTAGACCTGAGCTAGCTCCTCACCCTTGGCTGGAGCCGTTCTGCAACCCACATTGTGATGATTTGCGAGAAGCGCTTCGCAGCCAGCCAGCTCCCTGCCCCTGGCATTCTCCGCCAAAAGATCCCAGTCAATAAGCGATGGGTTTTCCCGGAGATTGACACGGTGGCAACGGCTACGCCAATCTATGGATTTGCCTAGCACAGAGTCAACCAACTAGGCATCTAGCAGGGTGCCTCAGAGAATCCACGTGTCGCACCCTGTCGCCTGGATTCGATACGTGGGCTCTACACGGCTGAACCAGTGGATCCATCATTGACTCGGCGATACAGCATGTTATTGAGCCTGTAGGTGAGGCCCCACTCGTCGGACATTAGCATCGCAGCCGCAGTGAATATCGTGGCTGCACTCCGCTTCCGTTCTCCGTGTCAGTCCCACTAGTCACGGCGCACACCGAAATATTGGCTCTTTTGAGGAACATGTAGAAGAGGGAAGTTCGTTCCTATTATCTCATGTTTTGAATGTAGTGTGAAACCAGCCTCGTTTGCCACTCTGCACCAGTGGCTAACGTGGCAGCTGCAGCACAGGCACCATGTCGCACTACTACTCCAAAACTGATTTATATGGTCCAGTTATCACGTGGCTAAGAAGCTATCTTCCAAAGGCGTGCCATATGCAACAGGCCGATGAATATTGGACTGCAAAGGGGCTGTGGAGAGGAGATATTCCAGGCTGCCTTCGACAGCAACGGACACCCGACGTCGCCAAGGCTGTGCGCAGTCTGTGATACGGCAGCCTGCCAAACTACAACGGGCAGCCGGATTGTGACAATCCCAAGTATACGCTGCCTGCCACAGGCCAGCAGGGCTTCTGATAGCGCAGCACACGGCCGAGTATGCCAGCGAGTGGTTTTTTGCGGTCTTTTGGGGGACAGCGCAGACCGAGCAAGGGTGCGTAGGCGCGGGGGTCGGGTTGGCTACGACGGGTACTGTTCTGAGCTTTGGTGTGCCACTAGATGGAATCAGCTCAGAGTGATCACCAAACAGACAATTAAATCCCGAACCGCTATAATTTTTTCCAAGCAAGCAGTCTGGCGAAGCCAGCCTTTTGTTGCTTCTCCACAGCACAAGTTTATTCCATTTTATTTCGAATTCTTACCATGGGAAGAAAACGGCAGCACTCTGACGATGAGGCGTCAACCAGGGACATTGAGAACAGCGACAGCGGAGCCAGCAGCGGCCCGGAGAGTGACTTTGAGAAGGACCTGGTGGACGTGGACTTTGAGTTCTTTGACCCAAAGCCAATCGACTTCCATGCGATGAAAGCGCCTACTGATTTCGTCGTTCGGCGACGACAACGAGGACTTCAACATCAGCGAACTCGTGGATCTGATCCTGGAGCAAAACACGATCGGATCGACGGTCAAGGTGGAAGGGGGACGACGACCCGTATGCATTCATGACGGTGCTCAACATGGACGTGCACAAGGACAAGCAGGTGATCAAGCAGATCCGCGAGTACCTGCTCAAGAAGGCAGAGAAGGCGGGTAAGGGCGGCGATTTGCTCGATGTGCTTGATGGCTCCGGCGATGTTGGACTATTGCTCAACGAGCGCGTGGTCAATATGCCGCCGCAGGTTGTGGCGCCAATGCTGGCCATGTTGATGGAGGAGCTCGAGTGGGCCATTGAGGACAAGGAGCCGTACAACTTTCGACTACTATCTACTCTTGGCTCCCACATACAAGGACACAGCGGCGGTCGAGGATGAAGACGGGTCGTCGTCGCGGCGGCCGAAGGATAAGGAGAGCCTGATTGACGCATATCTGCATGCGGAAGACGAGTTTATTGAGGAGTTCGCGCAGGTAAAGTTTGACTACAAGTTCTCCCGGTCAAAGCGCGTGTCAGAGTCTCGGAATTCGTTTGCAGAGACGGGTGTTGCGCCAGCCCGGCGCTGTCTGATCATCCACAAGAGCAAGATCCGGGCACTGATCGACCGGTTACAGTCAGCACTGTCGCCATCCAGCTAAATGCTATGAATACACCTTTTTCGAACAAGCTATTCGTAAACCCGGTATTATTGCCGACATATCCTCCATATGTGGGACTGAACAGCTAGTGCCAGTAGGCAATGGATGTGGCAGGCCGAGCAGCCCTTGCTATGCATGTCTGCGTGCCCTCCTCATCCGCCTACGTTTTAGACATCAGTTTCAGATGTCGACTGTGATCATTTAATCACCTATCACGCTTCTAACCAACACCATGCTGATCAAGGTATATGGGATCTGATTATAGCCCTGGATTTAGCCCGTGAATTTTTTTCCCTGTGCATTAAGGGCCGCAGGCCGAGTTGGCTGAGCTGCGCTCCCCTTTCGCTTCTATTTCAACAGCAGGCGCCTTTTTGCTGTTCTATTATTTTCATATCTACCTTCCCTATTTGAATTAACATGTCTCAGCAAACACCCGACTTTGCGCAGGACTTTGACGCAGGCATCAAGGCAGCGTTCGACTCGCTGGCCAAGGCCACAAAGGCAGCGCGGCGACTGCCAGACGACGTGGACTTCCACCGCGCGCTGGACGAACAGCTGGACGCAAAAATTGCCAATATCTCGCAGCGCACACTCAGCCTGGCGAATGCGCTCTGGGCGCCCACTGGCAGCTCCCGGATCCAGAACATCGAGGACATCGCAGTCAAGGGCGAGAAGGGGTGGGAGATGGGACCGGGGTTCCGCTCGGTGGTGGACACAGTCGACACACTGTTGGAGAAGATCGATGTGGGGCTAGATGAGGTTCTGCGGACGCCCGCGCACGGGTTCCGCAGTTCGGTAGGAGCGCAGAGCACGCCGATGATTGCAGCGGTGGCGACATCGGATCGGCGGCGGACGGAGGTGGATGTGGTGCATGCGCGCAATGTGCCACGGCCACAGATCAACTTTGCCGACAAGCCCGACAACTCGGCCAGCACGCCGTTTGTGTGGAAAATCCGCTCCAAGCCGCATGCACGCGTCCCGCTGGACTATGGATTGCCCGGAGCCGATGTGGTCGGGACGCCGCTGGGGTCGCACCTGGAGGCCATGGGTATCTCGCGACCGACGTCTCCGGGAGAGTCGGCAGCAGCGACACCCAAGGTGGCCATGAATGTCGCGCTCAATGCGGAGGAGCTGGCCAGAGCCATGAGCACAGCCGAAGAGAATGCAGTGGCCTTGCCGCACCCGTACGAGTACGAGATCTCCCATATCAACTACCCGCGCCAGCTGTTCGAGCAGCAGGAGGCGCAGGAGCCGCGTAGCTGGGATGAGACGCCGTTTGTGTTTGTCGATACGCCGCAGCAGCTGGTGGAGATGGTCGAGCACTTGAAGACGGCGGGGGAGATCGCTATTGATCTGGAGCACCATAGCTACCGGTCGTTCCAAGGGGTTCACGTGTCTGGTGCAGATCAGCTCGCGTTCCCGCGACTACGTGGTGGATGCGATTGCACTGCGCAGTGAGCTGCAGATCCTCAACGAGGTCACGACGGACCCAACCAAAGTCAAGGTGTTCCACGGAGCCGCCAGCGACATCCTGTGGCTGCAGCGCGACTTTGGCGTGTACATTGTGGGTTTGTTCGACACGTACCATGCGTCCAAGATGCTGGCCATGCCCGAGCACTCGCTCAAGTACCTGCTGGCCACGTACTGCGACTTCCATGCCGACAAAAAGTACCAGATGGCCGACTGGCGCATCCGCCCGCTGTCCAAGGAGATGATGCACTATGCGCGCGCCGATACCCACTTCCTCCTGTACGTTTTCGACCGCATGCGCGACGCGCTGCTTGAGCGCGGCAGCGAATCGCTGGGCCATGAGATTGCCAATCCATATGTGCGCCAGTCCGAGAAGAACTCTGGCACAATCCTGATCTCCGAGCCCACACAGCTGATGAGTGTGGCGCTGGAGAAGTCGGCTGAGACTTCGCTGCGCGTGTACCAGAAGGACGGGTACGATGCCGAGTACGGGCTGGGTGCGGGCGGCTGGGCCAATTTGCTGCGCAAGTGGAAGCACCCGTTCGACACGGTGCAGCTGGCAGTGTTCCGCGTGCTGCACCAATGGCGCGACGCCAAGGCACGTGAAGAGGACGAATCGACCGGCTACGTCCTGCCCAACCACATGCTGTACGCCATCTCCAACGCCATGCCCGAGGACGTGCCGTCACTGCTGGCCACATGCACCCCGGCGCCGACGCTTGTCCGCCTGGAGGGTGCCGAGATCGTCCGGCTCATCGTCCAGGCCAAGCGCACCACCGAGGCTCGGCTTGGTGACATGCATGAGCTGATCAAGCAGGCCGAAGAGGAGGCCGTTGGCGTGCGTCCTGCGCACACGCGGTTCGAGGACCACGATGCCGACGCGGATGGCGACCAGACTATGGACCAAGTGCCCAGGGTCGAGGACGACGTGCTCAGTGGGCGAATTGCTGGCAAGCATCGGCGATATGGTGGCTGCCGAGTCCGCGCTGTTCGGCGCTTCGGTCATGCCTGGCATGGCCAAGGCGGGGCTACCGGTCACGCCGGAGGCTGCCAGGGCCCAGGAGATCCGCTCCACGCTGGTGCTGGCCGTTGCTGTGCCCGACCAGGTGCTTGTTGGCAGCCAAGACATGGATGTCGACGAGGAGCCCGCTGTGGAGGAGATTCGCCAAGCCTAAGCCGCAGCCCACTGGCCCGGTGGTGCTCTCCGAGACCGTACGCCAAGTACAAGCCTGAGGCGCAGCAACGCCAGCCCACCTTCCACCCCTCCGCAGGCCGACAAAACCGCCCTGGATCTGCCAACCATCGCCCTGGGCGACATCGACGACAGCGACGACAGCGATAAGGATTCTGCACCAGTCGCCAAGCGTCCCCGCAAGAGCCGCTCGCGCAAGCACGTGGACATGTCCGCAGTCAAGCCATTCGACTACGACAAGGTCCGGCACTGCTGATGTTATCGGCCAGTCAACCGTAAATGTCGAGGGCGGATCAAAGAAGGCGAAGAGGAACGCAAAGGCGCGTGACCGCAAGGCCGCGAAGGGCAAGGGCGGCTTTGACCCCTACAGCGAGATGGCCTTGTCGAGGGATTTGGCGAAGCGACCGAACAAGACGCGTGTTAACACCAACTCCGGAAACCGCTCCATGTCGTTCAAAAAGTAAACTAGACTGTCCTTTATTGCTTTTTCTTGCCCATGCTCGAGAGTTGCGAAGAAAATTCATGGTTTCTCCCCTCTTACATGTTGGAACATGTCAATCCCTAACGTATGTGGCTTGGTGGATGTGTGTGTGCGCGATGTGTTATCGAAGGTCGGTTATAAATGCGCAGCCCTCTCCCAGCTATCTGATTGCCTCCTTATCTTCACTCGACCTGGCTTTATTGTATCTTTCACCAGCCATGACCTTCGATATCTCGCAGTACCTTGACGACAAGGATTATGTGAACTCCAACCACCCGATGGCGCGCAAGCACGCCCAAGGCCACACCAAATTCTTCACCCTCGACGGAAGCCCCCCGCCTCCGGGATATGCAACCACGTTCCTAGCCTGGACAATGCGCTGGAGATCCAAGTGCGGCGATGCTCCTGTCAGCGACGCCGTCCTGGCTGCTGTGCGCCAGGCACGGTATGCGCTCATGGACGATTATGAGTACTGTCGGATGCGTGAGCGTGAGCTCGACTTTCACTGGAACGTCTATCTGCGGATCCAAGCAGGTACGCTGAGGCTTTCGGACGACTCGGTGCTTCCTGCGTTCCGCAACGACCTTAAAGGAGAGAACCTGATGAGCATTTCGCAAGCAAGAGCTGTGTTGCTTACAAGTACTCCCGTGAGGACCCCGAAGTGGCGATCCAGCGCGTTGCAGATATGCTGCGCTAGGCAATAGCAGGCAATCTGACCACACCCACTTTCGTAAAATTTTTGTAATCGCTGTACGAGCAGCCTTGTAGATTTGTATTCTGCTCTTGTAATCTGGGACTAATGCTGTTTATTGGAATAAGCTCGATTTTTGCTATTTCGCTTGCCTAGCTCTGCACCAAGATGTGGGTACCTCCTGGCACAAGGGTTAAATATATTGTCCACACATCGACCCACGAAATCCGCAGCATCTACTGGCAAAAAAGATACTGCACACATAAAGCAAAGCGCGAATGGTATGAGCTAGGAAGCGCAAATCACAGGGCATTAGGAATTCAGCCATCTGGACCCTGGTTGATGTAGTTATATCGGATTCATTCCTTCCATATACGTCGGTGCTACAAGTCTAATTCCCCTGCGGATAGAAGTGGTATGCGTGCTTTTTGTGCGTTTTTGGCTAGGCATCTGTGTATGGTGTGAGAGGTTCAGTTCGATTTTAAATGGCACTGTCCTTTGCAACACCTTCAATAGCTTTGCCTCTACCCGATCTCACTCTTTTCTTTTTCAAGTCGTGGCAGCCGATATCCAATCCTGATCTCGACAAGCCGGATCTCAGAGCCGGTGGAATATCCAAGGGTGGTGCGCGGGCGCACGGTGTCTAAGGGATACTACACATTGGACGGACCTTCCTCCACCAGCCAACTACGAAGCGGACATTTTACATATGGATGGCAAGGTACTTGGACAGCCACGGTAATATGCCAGTCAGCAGGTGTCATTTTGGCTGTAGGCCATGATATGCGTTTGAATGTTTACTTGTATAATGTGTCATGAGTGCTGCACATGGAGGACCTGATCCACAAATTGCTCCAATTTGTGGAGAGCAACAGGAGGGTGTTGGGCCAAGGACACATCCATAGCTCGCAGCTCAAGTATTTTGATGATTGTGCAAAGGAGCTGGCGCCCCGCAAACTTGGTATCCATGTCACTGAGACCTGCACAGCGCTCCGAACAGGCCATGGTGCGTGTCAGCAGCCTGCTGCACTAAATACCATTGCTTGGATAGCCCTAATTATGCCTATATGGTCTGCAACAGGCCATGTCTCCCACATATGCAATGCTGCGTATCCTGTTCATTTGTAGAAAAAAAAAGCTCGTATTAAATAAATCCAGTTTTCCACGCTTTCACTACTCTTTGACTGCCAGGTCCGCTGCGGTGGGCTCAACCAGCTCACCCACACACAGATACTTGACATTGAAAAGGCCTATATACGCGTCCATCTGCTCTAGATCATCCTCCGTCAGCCCCTCCAGCTTGTCAATCGGGGCATCGAGCTCCTCCTCTGTGATGCCCTCATCAAACGACTGCGTTGCCAGCAGCCGCGACGCATCACGGCCCGCAAACAGATTGTAGGGACCGCCTGGGCCATAGAACCCGCGGCCGGCCGATACGTCATACACCTTTCCGGCGAGGCCGATAAGAACCGGCGTGTTGTTTTCGCCCGTGAATTGCGACAATTCGCGCTTCGTGTATTTGCGGTACGGCAGGGGCGCACGCCTGCGCGACTGGTTCTTGGTGTCCTTTGTCCAGAGATAGCACACGGCCTTATAGCTGTAGTAGAGGGCAATGAGCGCCACGACTGTCTTCACTGTCGACCCGGCCATTTGGAGAGAGAAGAAAAAGGTTGCGAAAATGAGGGGTAAAGTCGAATTCACCTTCAACAAAAGAAATAAGAAAGCAATATCCGTCAGCGAGACCGCTTTCTGCTGCCTTATCTCCAGTGCTGCTGCCGACACCTATTCCTGCTTATTGTTCAGTTGTCCGAAGATCCACGCGCCTCAACAGGCCGGTCGCCACACTGCACCTTTTCGTGCCACACGCACTCCATTAACTCCGTGTCGAACAGCAGGTCGCCTGGGCAGTCCTGCAGCCACCCGAATCCGTTGGCGCACGAGTAGAACCGTGAGCACGATCCCTGGAACACGTAGTTGCCGTCGCCGTTCTTGACGCAGAACTGATTCTTGCCCTAGGGCGAGTCCAACAAGAGAGAGGATGATAGCTGAGCTGCGCATTGTTTTTTACCTTCAGAGATGCACAGCTATTTGAAAGATGCAAGGAATGGTGCTGCCGGATGGGCAGGATAACATATACAGGGCAAATATATTGTTCGTTTATTGGCAACAGGTCATAGCCGCTAGAGGTGTGAAGGTTTCGGACCGAGCCTTTGGCAGGCTGGCTTTCTCCCTCTCAGTTATTTGGGCCAGGTTTTCACATCATCCACATGGGAGGTGGGGGGAGTAAAACAAAGATACGCGGGCACGGGTTGATACATGGTTACATTGAGGTTCTAATGTGAGCAAAACTGGAGACCAGCTTAAGAATACAGCTTTTCGGTAATGTTTAGAATATTCCCCAGCATATCGCGGTTCCATTCTGGTCTCGCTAAGGACGGTTTCCTGGAGGTTATTCAAGTTCACCACTCATGCCATTGATCGGTATCAGTCAGCTCTCGGCGCATGTCGTGGTGGCTGAAGCGGCCACTGCTTCCACCAGCGCTTATTCTCCTGTGGAGGGTATGTGCCTAGGGGTTTCGGATCTGCTGGACGCCAGTCGATGGACTATATGGCCAGTCCTATATTGGTAAGTCGCTGTGTTAGGAAAATCCTGCCTTGGCGACTCACCTGACTATGTAATGCTAAGCAGTTCTCTGAAGAACTCTCTTCTCTTTCTTTTCTTTTATCGGTTTAGCTGCTTAGCATTTCTCATGTCGTATTCTAAAACGCCGCGTATAACGCCTGTTTACTTTAGTAAACGCACATAGTACAAATGCTGTCCATGTGCTAGAGGATGCAGCATAGTGCTATTGCTGTTGATGCTCCAGCGTGTAGTGGTTGGATTCAGTTCACAGCACATTTACTCGGTCATTTTTATGACAAAATCCTATGCTCTACCATTGCTAGTGCTTTGTTGGCACACCTCGGGTAAGTCAAAACTATGGCAGCAAGATGAGACTATCTAGCCTACTTCATTTACTTGATGCCTGCTGTTCCACAAATAGGCATGTTCTTTTATTGCTTGCTAGTCTTGGCTGCGTGCTCACGTACGGTTTTTTGGTAGGGGTCAGGGATAATTTTGAGTAGCTTCTCAGGGAACTGGTCAGCGTGCTCTATGAGCTCCTTCAGAGTATCCTCAATAATCTTGTCGGCCTTCTTGAGCCCATGTGAAACTGACCAGTCCTGCATCGAGCTCATCTGCTCTACATCCTTCTCAGCAGCGTCTACAGTATCCAAGGTGCATCATTCCATGCTGTATATGTCAGTCACTGCCAGCTGCTGTTACATACAAGATGTGCTACCAAGCGGACGCATTACGATGCTTGTGGCATCGCTCTTTATCTCCGTAGCAACCTACCCATTAGCTTTGCGATCTCATCCTGCGACTTGCCCACCGAATCCTCCTTTATGGCCCTCCTCTTGCGTTCGATGTCTGCTGCCTTTCTCTCGTTAAGTTTCTCCTGATTTCCCAGCTCCATTACACGCTGGAAGTGGCCCGTTCTGAACTTCACGATCAGTTCGTAGAGGTCATTGTATGAGAGGGCGGGGCTAGCATCAGTGTCCATTGCGCTTCCTAGGGGTGCCAGTTAGTGTAGGATAAAGCTGCGAGAATAGAGAACAAAGGGCACAGGTCGAAGAATCAGCAGCTGCACCCATTTATTGTCCTCGGCCGGCAGGGGCGCTGACGTACGCGGCCGCCGCGATTTAGGAACCGGGAACGCAGATCCATGCCGTGGCGTTTTTGCGTTCATTTGCTACAGCAGGCGCTCTTTCTGCAACTCGGATATTCCGCGCTGTGCGGAGCTTCCCATGTAGCTACGCACCATCGCATCCACGATCTCAGTCCCCTGTATTACCGTCCCGTGGATTACCCTCTCGTGCCTAAAGAGTCCTTTTTTAGGCAGGTGATAGTGTGTTGCAAGCCACCTGACAACTCGAGGATCTGGTACTGCGCAGTGACCTGACCTGACCTGACCTGATGTTCCCCTCAGCTCGGATTTTAGGCATTTATTGGGGGACAGGTTGGCGATGTGCTGCAGCTGTGTGCAGTGCCATTATCTAGCAGAATCCAAAAGGCAGTTGTTTCCTCCAGTCTGGGAAGCAAAAAAGTACAAGGCAAGGGCAGACATTCTTGCATTGTATGATTAGAAGCTATTGAATATATTGACAGAATCCAAAGAGCATCAAAGAGAGCATGCATCCTATGCAGCGGCTTTTAGGACATCAACGGTCAGCCCCTTGAGATTCTTTATTGCGCACTCCTTGCCAACGCTGGCACTCTGTTTCTCAAGGGGGAACAGGAGCTTGAGCGACCTGCGCCTGTCTATAGTTAGACTCATGTGCTTGCCCTTGGCTATCTTCTTCGACTTGGTATCAAGATTTGTGCAGCTCGAACTCTTTAGCTTGTTAGGGTATACCATGTTTGAGCGCATGCACCGGGTACGCACCGACTCGCGGTTGACATCTGTTGGCCTCACTGCATACATGACGCATGCTGGGTGGTCGACAGAGTGCGACAGTGATACACGACTATAAGGGCTACGCTCGTCACGCAGAGCAGAATCCATCCATGCCTGCACGTTGTCCTTGGGCAACAAAACAAGCGGCGAAAAGTACTGCGGCCGTGCGCCGTCCACATCAATGACAGTCATATCAGACTGCTTGCTCAGTTGGCTACTCTGAGTAGCAGGATTATTGTGGATAGGGTTGCATGGTGAAAACATGTCCACCACATTAAGGAATGGCGTCGGTGGGACACGCAGGCCGTAGGTCGGCAGACACGCTGTAGCGATCCTCATGTAGCAGAGGCATGGCTTCAGTGTAAGTGTTAACAAGAATCCGACGCAAGGGATCATACCGAGAAACAGTATGCTTGTGATTTTGAGGTAGACCAGGAGGATCTCAGAACCAGGGATCACAAACAGGCTATTCACAGCATGCACAAACCGCAGGGTGTCGATAAACACCATGATGTTGCCAGCAATAGGGACCAGCTGCCAGGTCGGGTGCTTGGCAAACGGAAACCACAGCTGGTACTGGACCCGGTCGTTGTCGTCTGCGCGATGAGTCAGCTCGTTGGCCTGAAGAGCGACGTCGCCGTTGAAGGGCATGAGTCAGAGATGGGGGACTGAGTGAAGTAAGTGAATCGGTAATGAAATAGGGGAAATGCAATAATGGATGAGGCTATGGAATGCAGAGGAGTTGTGCCATAGGGAGAGACAGGCCGTGGTCGTGCAAGGCACTCGTTCTTTATAAAAGCGGATATGGATGCACTGCTGTGGAAATTAAAACTGGAATGAAGCAGCTCCGGTATAGTTTGTTTGCAGCAGGATTCGAGACCAAAAAGCAGAATGTCACTTACAGCCTATTTTTGCTACATTAGCAGAGGGCTTTCAGTTGCTATTGTAACCCGGACAAAATGCTCTGCAGAAAGGGCAGTCGTGACTTTAAACAAAATAGCGCAATCGCAGGCAGTCACGACGTAGAAAGCGGGATTCATTGAACCAGGCGCTAGCGAATTCACTATGAATCGCGACCATGTCAAGAGCTGATGTAGACTCGGCGCGCATACTATTTCCGGCATGTGTTTTCATGCTTGTTGATGCTGCTGTTTATTAATGCACACTTATCTAAGGTGACGATGGTGGCCACAAGTACGAGTAAAAGTATTGCGCCACTGCAAATGGGGCGCTGGTCCAGCCTGCAGGCGTAGGTGTGCTCGATGGTACTCGCATACCCCGCTTTTCTAAAATCCGGACATCCTTTCTGTGAAGGCTTTCGGCAGACTGCTCGCGCCATTGGCCCAGCTCGTGATCTGATGTGTCGCTTTCCGGCGTGATTTCTAACAGCGGGGTTGGCATACCCTCGCGCATCTGCGAAGCTGTGACGCTAGCTGCGCTGGGTGTCTGCCGGCCAGTGCATTCACTTACCACTGTAGTTACACGGACCACGCGTGTAGCGCCCGCGGATGGTGCTGACCATGGATTACGGGATAGCTCGCTGGTGGCATCCTCGTAGACGCTATCTCCACCTGTGCCGAGTTCAGATTGAATAGACCTAGGCATGCTAATATCCACGCTTACAGCCGTGTTAGTAGGCGGCGTTCTGGTAGGTTTGGTTGCCGGCTTGATTTCGTGTTCAGATCCTGCCAGTGTCACATCTGTAGACGACCTGGACTCGCAAACATCTACTACATGCGTCAACCAGTTGCTCTCTTTGAGCTCCATGGTCGCATTGGGTCCATATCTCGCCGGGCGCTCGTACTTTGGACAGCTATCAAACAGTTTCTCCACATTCCTCGGCAACGGTACATCATCAGGCGGACTCGTGGTACCAAACAAGAACCTGCACTCCTCTTTGCGCAATGACCGCTCGACCAGCCGCATATTGCGCTGATTGCATCTGAACTTGCGCGTCCACAGCACATTGAATATAGGAATGAAGCCAACTGCAGCTGTTTTCAAAAAGTTGCGGAATATCTTGCGCTTGGTTCGTGTGTGCGTGTGGCCAAACTTTTTGAGTTGGTAATATTGCCGGGCGTTGCGAATGATCACGATGGGGTTGAATAATGGGCAAATTAGGAGGTATTCGTTTAGAGTGAGCGGAAGGATGCCAATGCGGGTATTGTCAAGGAGCTCAGTGCCCTTGCGCAGTGCCTCAACCGTATGCTGCTCGTCCTTGCTGAGGTGTTTGTAGACATAGCCCGTGATGTCTGCCATCTTTGATGGGAAAATATGAATAGTGTGCAAAGTACTGGAGAGAAGACATGCAAATGGACTCGAGAAGAGAAAAGTAAACGAGCAGGAGGTTTGTATTTTTAAAGTGCCAACGTCACTGCTTGTATGCGGGGGTGGGTGCCGGTGCATTAAGAGGAAGGTGGCTCTAGAGCCCGCCGCAAGGCCCTTTTTGCCGACTTCCCTAGACTTGGAGCCGCTCGATAAACGCTTTCCAGGATATCAGATGCATGGTTTTGTGGCTTTTGACATGTTTTTATTGCCACATTTTAATACAGGGAATTGTTTTTCTTTGTGTGAAGGAAGCCACGAATGGTTCGCATTTTCAGCTACGCTGCTTGAGTAGACCTTTTAGCCCTCCGCGCGATTCCTCAGAGTGCGTCGGTGAATGTAGGTCGAGAAAGCACTCGGGGTGTGCTTTGCGCCCCATGCCCTCCAGCTTGGTCATGGTAATGGCATGGCTAACAGACCGCGAAGCAGCAGTGGAGTTTGTCCAGGAAGTAGTCGGCGTGCCTGAACCGGTATCTCCAAGGTACTTTTCGTCCCCGGGAGTGGTAGAGGGTGGGGCATGTTGACAGAGAAATGCGTGAAGTCGCTGTACTCATCAATGACCGCTGCCAAGTCGTAATGCTCTGCCACACCGCTCTCGACCGCATCCTCCTTGGACACAACATCAGCCGTATGCGATGGATACTCAGCTTGCATGCCTCTCGTCGACGGTCCCGGAATAAGATTAGCCTCGTCGATGGCCTTGCTAAATATCAGCCACGCCCTGTAGATTGGACGCAGCTTAAACGTAGCCCAGACACCTACAAACGGGATAAAACCTAGAACGAAGACCACCAGAATCACCGGCAGCATTGACCAAATTGGGTGTCTCTGGAAGCACCTGAAGTGCAATGTGCGAAGCGCAAAACGCATGGACAAACCAAACACGACTAGGTTGCCGATAATTGGGATGCACTGGATCTGGGCGATTTTGGTCGCCTGCGGACACACGCTGTCAAGCGTGGCACACAGCGGCAACATGTGGTCGTCATAGTGTCGGGCCATCTCGCTCAGCTCAACGAAGCACCTGTGCTCGTCGTCGAGCATTGTGCGTGTCGGCAGAAAGTCGCGGGGGTTGACTGTAGAATTGCTTGTCGCCATTGCGATGCTATTATGCTTTTGTATGTATGTGTAAGATGACAATAAGTTATTGTGGAGTAAATGTGCTATGTGCGACAGGAAAAGGTGGATGGGTATTGTCTACAAAGTCTTGGAGTGCGCATTCAATATATACATCACCAGAGCTGGCTAGCGTTCAGCCAAGCTTTGGCACACGTCTGTTTCTTGAATTAGAGCTAGGCGCCCTTTTCGAGCTTTTCTTTGCACACTCTTGGCAAGACTTTCCCTCTCCCCTGATCATGATCCGCTGTGTTTGAGTCTGCTTTGTAGAAACACAAAGCCAGGCTTGCAAGGAGTCAGCTGGAATGGATATCTGTTTACAGAGCTTCCAAGAGATGAGAGAGGCACCGACCCCGCGCATAATCACCAATCAAGGCTCCATATGCCTACGTCAGCACCGAACGATTGTGTTGGCACCGGAAAATGGAAACCCCGGCCAGGAACCCGCCAAAACCAGAGAAAACCACGCGGCATTAAATGTGAATCATTTACCACATGCCTTCCACCGTATAAATGGTGGGTGCCTCTTCCAAAGCGTCGCTTGACTCTTCTGAGTATTCGTCCTTCGCTTTCTCTTTCTCCGCTTGAAGGCCTTGCTTTTTGCCACTCATATCTCGTACTTCGTAGATAGACAATCGTGAATCTGTAACCATGGCGAACGGCACTATCGACGCCTCCAAGCTGACCACGACGCTGACTACGACGCCGAAGACGATTCCGGCACTGGACAAGCTGAGCTTCGGCAAGAACTTCACAGACCACATGCTGCTGATCCGCTACAACGAGGAGACTGGCTGGCAGGCACCTGAGATCAAGCCGTACGGCCCCCTGGAGATTGACCCGGCGGCCTTTGTGCTCAACTACTCGGTTGAGGCCTTTGAGGGCATGAAGGCCTTTCGGTCCGCCGACGGTACAATCAATCTGTTCCGGCCCGAGAAGAACATGCAGCGGCTCTCGACGTCGTCACAGCGCATCATGCTGCCCGAGTTCGACCACGAGCAGCTCCTGCAGTGCATCAAGGAGCTGGTCAAGGTCGATGAGCGCTTTGTGCCCAACGAGTACGGGTACTCGCTGTACATCCGCCCAAACTTTATCGGTACTGAGCCGAACCTCAATCTGCAGTACTCGCGCGAAGCCCTGCTGTACGTATACCTGTCACCTGTTGGTCCATATTTCCCGCGCACCGTGCGCCTGCTGGCCAACAGCAAGGAGGCACGTGCGTGGCCTGGTGGTGTCGGCAACTACAAGCTGGGTGGCAATTATGCGCCTGCCATGCGCCCTGCAATGGAGGCAGTGAAGGAGGGCTTCGACCAGATTCTGTGGCTGCTCGGTGACGACCTCTATATTACAGAGGTGGGAACTATGAACTTTTTTATCTTCTGGGACAATGAGGACGGCGACCGCGAGCTGGTGACAGCGCCTCTGGACGGAGTCATCTTGCCTGGTGTTACCCGCGACTCGCTGCTGGAGCTGGCACGCAAATGGGGGGAATTCAAGGTCAGCGAGCGCCGCGTGACCATGCCTGAGATGATCAAGGCGCTGGAGGAGGGACGCCTTGTGGAAGCCTTTGGCGCCGGCACTGCATGTGTCGTGTGCAGCATCGAGGACGTCTCGTATGAGGGCAAGGTCTACAAGATTCCCGTTGACCCGAACAACCCTAAGGCAGTGTTTGGCCCCCTAGCAAAGCGTCTGCATGCCGAGCTCCTGGATATCCAGTATGGAAGAGTTGCGTCGCCGTGGCTGGTACCTGTTTAAGCCAATGCGAATATATTCCACACATACACCAGCAACACAAATGAATCATAAAGCTATACCAGAATTACTCTGCTCGCGATGCGAGCTCGGCTGCTAGCCAGCATGGGTTGACACGTCGATAAGAGTATCACGGCGAACCGGCCATTTGAACGTGTCGGATGGCTGTTGGTGCAATGGCGATCATGGACATCTCCCACCTTGGTGGCCTGCTCAGCGCAGGCGCTTCAGTGCTGGTTCGTTGCTGCTAGTAGCAGAATCGCCTGCTGCTGCACGCCTCTTGCGCGGCCTCTTTGTAGCCGGAGTGGTGCCGGAAGCATCGGCAGCAATGGCTGTAGAACGACAGAGCTGTTCAGGAATACTGCCTGAATCACAGAGTGACTGGAAAATGAGCCTGAAGTTTAGAACTGCTGCGAGATCGCGGTTCAAGAGCCGAGATGAATAGGCTCGCCTGAATTGTGCCATGGCCTGCTTACATGACTCGCTTGTACAGCGGAGAAGGCCATGGCACTTCACAGTTGGGTTCTTCGATCTCTGGTAGGGCCGCGGGTTGGGAACATGCCGGAATGTCTGCAGCGACTTTTCGCAGCAGAACGGGTACATCGACGATGTCCGGAATTCGTCGATCAGATAGACTTCAAAGCTATGGTGTTTGAACTTGTCGCGCCATTCCTTGCCACGAATTGGCGCATGGTGCCGGGCCATCGGCGCACTCCAATTGCCCATGATCAGCACTGGATCTGGACCGAACTTGCTCCGGAGTTTTGCGGCAAGCCTGTGGTCTGCACGGGCCTGGTTCATGAATGAATCAAGGCGCAGCTTGCGGTGAAGCGGGTACACCTTGGGACTGGTCCCGACACCCGGACGGGCCTTCCAGCGCCTCTGGTGCTGCTTGTTTGACTTAGTGAGTTGCTGCTCTGGTAACCTTCGCGCTGTCATTGTGCTGGCATAAAACGGTGCTAGGACACACCGCACAGATGCACGGGCAGCAACGCAGGCACGGAATTTTGCTGGGCTAAGGGTCCGGCAGCAGTGCTTGGAAAGCTCTGCCTCTGCTCTGCGGACAGCATCTTCTGGGACTTGATCCTTTGTAGCCTGACGAATCCTGTCGTAGTGGCGCAGCTTGAGCTCCTTATTGCGCTGTTGCCGTGTGTAGCGGTAGAGCATCTTTTCACCCTCCTTCCCATTGCTGCTATTTTCGTGCACCATATACAGTAAATTGCCCCGATCTGGATCGATGAATACACAGCAGCCTTTCAGATTCTGCAGCTCTGGCTGTGGGATTTGGTAGGCGTAGTGACAGTCAGCTGTAGCATTGCCTGCTGTAGGTCTAGAGCACATGGTGGGTGATGTAGGGCAAAAGGAATAAACAAATAGCGAGTAACGAAAAATACCTGGTATATGAATGTGTAACTTTCGTGTAGCGCGAATTCTGAACAAGCCGTTAAGCGATGGCATTGCAATCCAGAGATGTGCGAGCGGTGTGACCATGTCAGCAATAGAGATTGACAGAGTCAAGGGATATATATTGATGAAGAAAGCTAAAGAGAAGTAGGAAGGGAGATGCGAGCGCAAAGGTTTTACACCATCGCTCAGGTGGCAGAGCCAAAAATAAAATAAAATAAACAACAGGATGAAAAACTATGTAGTTCACGGTAGTCGGATCTTGAGATTCTAGCGTTTGTGGCCACTACAATAACAGCGTGTTACCCTAGTTTTTTGATCTTGTGCGGCATCTGACCTCATGTGTAAGAGTTTACAGAGCAAGTCACCCAAACTTGCTTTGAGGTTTAGTAGTCTTATTATTTAACCAATTATAAGGGTTCTAGCGGATGGTAGGACACTTTTTGGACTATAAAATCTTGTATATAGGTAAAGACAGTGTGTCCAGTGATCACAGCCATCCTTGTGTGATATGTACCAGCTCTGTTTGTGGAATATAATGCCCATGCAGATACTTAGATTCCCGCTGTTCCTTGACCAACCAGCATCACAGCCTCGTGCACGGTATGTTTATATTACCAAACACAGTAAAAAGTTGTGACAGCCCCTTTAATGAAGGCGACTTAGCTGCTGTGCTTAGTCACAACGATATTGCAATCACGGTCTGGGTGCCATGGCCCGGCCGTGAGCCTGTGCCTGCGCGGCATGGGGATCGGGTTTCCGTTGTCATCGAGTCTGTCGGGCCCAAACAGCGAGCCCTCGGGCAGCTCAAGGTCGTAGTCCTTGAGAAGGTTTGCCAGGATGGTGAACATTTCCATATAGGCCAAGTTCCGTCCAGGGCAGATGCGCACACCGGTACTGAATGTCATGACATTCTGCTTCAGATCTGGGCTATCAATGAACCGCTCTGGCGTGAAGCGCTTTGGGTTGGCCCAGACGCTGGTGTGGTGGTTCAGCCCAGCCACGCTGGCACAAACCACTGTGCCTGCTGGCAAGAAATGGCCCTGGAACCGAGCCCCTCCTGCAGGCACAATGCGAGGCAAAGTAGTCCCGGACACAGCCCTGATGCGCAGCACTTCGTAGATGCAAGCCTCCAGGTAAGGCAAACTGGCGCGGCTCTCGGCATAGGTAACCAAGTGGTCGGGCGAAAAGGCTGCACGCACCTCCGCCGTGGCGCGCTGGTAGCACTCGGGGTAAAGCATCATAAAATGGACGAACCAGGTCATGGTCAGCGACGTTGTATCCGTTCCCGCGATCAAGAAGCTGACGTTTTCAGCTGTGATCTCATCGGCCGATAGCTTCATCTTCGAATCTGGGTCTTCAGCGTCAATAAGCGCCTGCAGAATATCCTTTGGGTGTCCCTTTCCAGCCTGTACCATCTGGCGGCGTCCGTCGATGATTTGGTTGTTGAAGTCGATGAATGCTTGGTGGCTCTTAGTCAATGCCGCGGTCAGCAGATTCATTGGGTACCGCCGGGCAAATGGCAATAGTTGCGTGCGGATAGCAAGCTTGATAGTGTTGTCGACCCACTGGATTATCTTCGAGTCGTTGTTCGCCAGCGCGTGGAACTGCTGGCCAAACCCAAGAGCGCTGATGACGTCGAAAGTTGCTAGGGAAAAGTCCTGACTAAAGTTGATGACTGCTTTGCCGTCGCCCTGGTCCACCTGCCTGTTCCATTTCTTCTTGATCTCGCCAATTCCGCACTCCAGCACCGTTGACTCCATCTGCGCAAGATATCCATGCGTGAACATGGGTCCAAACTGCCTGCGCCGCATGTTGCTGACCTCAGGCTCAGAGGTGGAGAACATGGTTTCACCAACCTGTGCAAAGAAGCTGTAGACCTTTTTGTTTTTGCGGAACGCGTGCGAGCCAAGCACCCGCCGGCAATCGGCAGGGTTTGATAACACAATGACGCCGGGGCCAACTGCGTAGATATCGCCATACTTGTCATAGTATTCTTCAGCCATGTCCGCTTGGTATCCGCGTGCTGCTCGCGACCTATACATGAGTATTGTGAACCTCGCCGACAGGTCTCCGGGGATACGACTTTCAAGCGAAAAGAACATCCGATAGACAAGATATACCGCTAATGACACTGCCGAGACGAGTCCCAGGGCCATCATCTGCGAAACCTCATAATCAGCAAATGCTTTGTTGATAATGTTTACAACTACCATACTCGTCGCATAAAGAAAATACGTCTATTTAAAAGTGGGTTAAGGTCAGAGAAGAAAGGAAGAATAGGCGGCCTGTTTTATATCTGAGCATTCTGCAAACATGGGGTCTTTTTGCGGAGGAATAAGCAACGGTATCTGGAGAAGCTTTTTTTTTCTCGTTCAAGCGGAGCATCATTCTTGGCACTCGGCTTCACTCACAGTTATCTGCCGAAAGGCAGCCGTATGCGGTGGTATTTTATGCCAAGGAGGGGTTTCATGTGCAGCTGCGTGACAGGGCATGTTGGGCGCACATGCCCGGATTTTCCATCTTTGGGAGTGTCGGCTCCAAGGCAGTGCGAGAGCGATTTACACAGCTCGTTCTGCTGGTAAATCCGGATATCAGAGCAGCATCATCGCATTTGACTGTACAGCGGACTATGGGGCAACACAGTCGCCCGTGGTCGCACATACAGTGTTCTGCTTGCATTTAAAGAGACATATCAGTGTATAAAAGTGATGTCATCGGCCAACATATGGCAAATTTTACCACCACTGTATTCGCTACCAAAAGAATGTTGCAGGTCTAGAGCACACAGTAGGTGGTGTAGGGCAAGAGAAAAAAAGAAACGATAAATACACATTCATATGTGGTGCCAAGTGCCTTTCTTCTGTCAGCACTCATCGTAGCCCACAAAATATACTTAAATAAGACGGTACGTGCCTATTACGACCTCGGTCAAATGTCAGGGAAGAAGATACTAGGTAGCGTGTTCTCCTAGTGATGACAATAAGAGTACTGATGAAACCAAAAGCGTTCACAAAAATATATTGGAAAAACTAGGAGGAATCCCCGCTGCTAGGAGCCAGCAAGGGGTATTTAAGCAAGCGCCGAGTGCGCATACTGAGCCCTCATCTAAGCTGCGTACGGCCTTGGATAAAGCTGCACTACTCCCAGTGAGTAAACCGCCTTGGGTGAGTCGGAACCACCCTAGCGGCATGACACATTATGTATTTTCGTTATTAATTTTTCGCTCCTTTTTCCTCTTGCCCCACACCACCCACCGTGTAATGGGTAAAAAGTGTTGTAGGTCTAAAGCACACGGTGGGTGGTGTAGGGCAAAAGAAAAATAAGAAACGAGTAGCGAAAGATACCTTATATATGAGTATGTGTGTAGTTTTCGTGTAGCGCGGATTCTGAATAAACTGTCATGTTATGGTATCTTAATCCAGAAATATGCGAGCGTTGTGAGCGTATCAGCAATAGAAAGTGACAAAGTTAAGGAACATACATTGATGAAGAAAGCTAAAGAGAAGTAGGAAAGGAGAAGCGAGCAAAAAGGCTTTATACCATCGCTCAGGTGACAGCCAAAAAGAAGAAAAAAGAAAAAAGAACAGGATAAAAAACTATGTAGTTCACTGTAATCGGATCTTGAGATTCTAACATCAACGCCGCAGCCTATAATAATCGGATCTTGCTGTGCCAAAACACCCTGTCTAAGCATTGGCTCGAATAGTTTGCGGTGCATATCGCTGACTTTGGGTGATGTATTTGAGACCATATTTTTATCGATAGTTTCAAACACTTGGTACCTACTCATTTGAGAAGGAAAAAGAATGGTACCAAGTATGCACTTGCAATTGGCAGGATCGGGAATCGCCACAGCGTTGAGGCTAGAGAAGTCAGTATCGCCAAAACAATAATAATTGTCTTCGCACCTGTCACCACGATATCCAGGAGCAGTTATAGTCCTCTCGTAGTAGGATGTAAAGCGAGCAAGGAGGTGACCAAGGAATTAACTGCCAAAGGAGAAGAATAGAGTGAAGATTACATAGCCTACAAAAAACTGCCGCTGTCGCTGTGACTGTACAAGTGGATAGCAAATTTTCCAACTCAAAAGCCGAAATGATACCCATAGCCAGCGTTAGAAATGGGTTGATGGAATGGGGCAGAGGAATGGGGCGTATGCTTTCCGATGAGAGAGTTTCAGTTTGGGCTATGGGCTCGCATCATTTTATATTCATGAGGTTGGGGTTACTGATATAAAACAAATGAATATGAAAAATACATAGAAACATAGAATGCAGTCCGTCATAGCACTACAATGCCATTTACTTTTGTACAATGTCATTTGAGAGCGCACAGATATTAATGCTGATCGACACTAGCGACGATAGTGGTAATTTTCTGACCTGGTACTTAGACTTGACCTGAGCTGGCTTGCAGCTGATTCGATTCATCTTGATGATAGCCATGTAGATTACATGATGCATAGGCAATAATGAGAGATAAGCATGAATGCGTTATATATAGCCATCATGAGATATCTATGATGTCATTGAAGGACCATCTTGCTGTTAATATCACATTAACTGAATGTCTGCTGCTGTAGGTCATTGTGCTTTTGGCCACCAGTATTGCCATTATTAACAATATAAGTATCAATGTCACGAATATGTAATTGGCGGGCACTTGGCAATTGCCACTTTAATATAATAGCTCACTACAGTTGAGCGTTGGTTGACATGTTGAATATTATTCCAAAGCGCCATCTCAAGTTTGCACTGCAATCAAATGGCCCACCAGCATACCCCTTTGTCCTCCCTTACTCTGTGCCAATATTATTATTATCCTTTATAGCTATGAATTTTTCAAGCCTGACATTCATCCTCGCATTCTCTGCGAGCACCTTAGCGGCACTGCTGCCTGATGATGTGATATCCTGTCCAGCTGGATACCACATAATTTGTACAAGCAAGCGGGTGTGCCACTGCGTTCCCAATTAGCGCCATTATTATAAACCAGTTTAAATAAATTGTTGGCATGGTACTAGTGTAGCTGGGTCGATAAAAACGGTTCAAGTAGCCTAGAAATAGCAGCTGGATCCTGCACTACCCGTGGACCCACTTGTGCCCGACCATGATAATCTGATCCCAAGTATTATGATCCATACTGGAGACATTATCAACAAAAAGAGGGAGCACATATGCACGGTGCCAATTTCTAGCTGCCGAAAATGCACATGTGGTAATGTTTCTGACAACCACCCTCCCGTTTTTGTGGTTAAAAATAGGGACCGTGCTAGATGAAAATAATTCCCACCCTGCCTTCTTCACAGCGGTCGTCAACCATGTGCCTGCAGGATATATTGGACAATCATTGCAGTTTCTGATTGCGGACATAATTTGGAGGGACCGCTTTGGACGATCCCCCTTGTCACATTTGCTATCAGCTCCTTGAGTGAATGACCTTTCACATCCTCCCTACTTGCGAAAGGAGTATTCAGCAGCTGGTATTGCTTCTAACACGTGTATGCTCTTTGCAAAGAAGACATGGCAAGCCTTAGGAAACTAGGATATAAAGCGTGGAGCTGAGCCCGCACCATACATCATTCATCAACACATCATCTTTCCTATCCTCTAGCCCTCGCAATGAACTTCGCTGCCCTCTCTGCTCTTATCGTCTCTGCCGCCGCTGTTGTCTCGGCCGGCGTTATCGAGCCCAAATACCAGTGCCCGCCGCCCCTGAAGTGGGCCTGCCCCGAGCCCAGGATTTGCGGCTGCTACTACGTCGGATAAACCTGCCGAGGTGATCCATTGCTAGACATTGATCACAAGCAAATTGGTTTAATAAATTACATTCTCATGTATTGGATTATATTGCAACCGGACATGATTGGGTCTGCAGCTGGTTCTACATCCGAAGGAGCGTGAGGAAAAACACATGTAGTCTGTAACCCGACACCAAGTGTCATGTGCCGAGGGGTTGTCAAGTTGGAACCTGGCTCGTTCTGGGAATGGGAGGTCGATCAACCACGCACTGCGGAGATGGAAACAAAAACATGTATGGCCGACACTCCGTCCACCCCATATATCCCTGGCTGCTAAACTGATTGGCTCGCTTCTCCATCTGCTGGATGTGGATTATCCTCGAGACAATTCCGAGCACAAATAACTGTGGGAACCAGCACATTCCCATTTTCGAGCACTCCACAGACACGCAGCCAAAGGAATGCACATAGGGGGCATGCAGCCCAGACCTTGGCACTGCAGAGCGTGGTATGTTCTCTCACGGCTGCAGCTACTCCAGAGATCTGCACTGCAGAATCTACTTCTGCCCATATAAACAGTTTTTTGACAAAGAGCGTGTAAGATTGCATCTGGCATATCGGGGCATCAGTTTTATCCCAAAAAAGGAATATTCACTGCATTAGCCAAAAGTAAAATGTATGAAGAGGGGTAGACGGAATTGCTCTATGACCAGCGTCTGCGAGAGACAGGTATATAATGCTACGACTGAGCGGACTATCCAATTCACCATTATCATTGCTTCGTATATTTTTCGACTAGCCTAGCTTTTTCTTTCGCCATGAAGTCATTTGCCATCGTCATTGCCGTAGTTCTCGCGTCCGCCGCATCCGCTGCTGTCGTCGCGCCCCGTGCTGCCTGCCCTCCTGGGTGGTATCAGGAATGCACGGGACCCCACCAGTGCAAGTGCTATCCTCGCTAAGAGCACACCAGAGATTCAATTATTCTCCTTTTTTGTTTGCTCTTGTTGTGTCTCGGGTACGATACACTTGGATAGACAGCCTCCTGCAACTGTCTAGAACACGTTTACTTTTCGAGCACCTTTCCACGACGTATATTGAACGTATGAAATATGCTGTATGAAAGAAGGAAGGAGGAATCACCAGGTGAAAGGGCAGGTGCCCGTCTAAGTAGTGGCGCCGGTCGCCCAGAATAGTATGGCCGGCCATTGTGGCCTAAAGGTCTTGATCCATGGGTTCCTAAGATCATAAGGATTTGGAACCACATCTCTCTCCGCTCAGCTTGGAGCCTTGGCTCGCGTAGTCAGGAACCGGCTTAATGCGCTCAGGATTCCTTTTCTCTGCGTAGGGTTGCACGTCTCTGCATAGGCCGCGATGATTGTCGGGTCTACGAAGTGTTTGATGGGTTCCCATGAGTCT